GTTTTCTAAACCTTTATAGATTTTTTATATAATATCTAATAATCCTTTTACTAATAATCTGATTTACTATAATAGAAATAAATATCTTTCACTAATATTTCACTATCGATTTACTTAAGTTTCCCTTTCTTATCCTAATTGGATTTTTTATCTAAATAACCTTTACCTAACTTTAAAAAATTCTCTTTTCTTTTCGTATAAGATTTCCTACCGAATTATTTACTAAACTATTTCTTTATAAACTTTATTTTAGTTAAATTAGCTATTCTATCAGAATCATTCTTACTACTATCGTTTAATTCTTATTTTACTATAATCCTAATCTAATTAAGTTTACTTTATTATACTTTTTAACCTTCTTTAGTTTTATAGAAATAGTATTTATAGATAATATTAGTAATTCTTATAACTTTACTCTTTCCTATTAGTATATTATAATATAATTTAATAATCTTATCTTTAAACAGTTCCTATAATTAATCCTAAAGATCAAGTCCTTAATCCTTATCAAACTATTATTCCAGATATTATTTAATCCTTACCAGTTTAGTTTTAAAAGTTATAAAATCCTTATAAAACTTTTATTATATATTAAAGAACTTCTAATATATCTAAACTATAATATTATACATATTATTAAAAAATATTACTATCTATTCTCTAAAATAACTCTACTTTCTCGATTTATCAAAGTTATCTTCAATATTATCCTTCTCAATCTTTTATTTATCTTAATAGGCTATATATAAATAATCTATACCTTCAAAGATCTTTTTATAGTTATCAGAGTAAATTACCGATCCTCCCTTAAACCTGGTTTCTAGATTATTAAACTATCTTTCCTAATCTTAGATACTAAAATCTTATCAGAAAGTCTCAATCTTCCATTTAATATCATTCTTTTAATAAAACAGTTTTAATATTTTAGTATTCTATCTAAGAAATTTTTATACCACATTCTTAGTCTATAATTTAAAAATCTTCTTCTCTAGATATTTATTCTTTCTCTTAAGATCTATAATAATTCTTATTCTTATAAAATCCTTAGAATCTCCGTCTAATATACTCAAATCCTACTTCTTAGAACTCAAATTATTACTTTAATCTCCTAGAGCTAAATTTTTTACTCTTTATTAGTAATTCTCTATTAAACCCTTAGTTATAGAGACCAGATTCTTTATTTAAACTAGAGAATCAAAGCTTCTTACTAAAAGATCTACTATACCTAATAACCTAAAGAGTAGTTATTATACTAAGTTATCTATAAATATATTCTCTCTATTATTATATTCTAAGAATTACTCCTAGATATTAGATTTAAACCCTAGTTCTTATTAGACTTAAATACTAAATCCCTCATCTAAATCTTACTATTTTCTTTAGACTTTTATAAAGTAGCCATTTATTAGAAATTCTTCTTTCTTGATTTCTTAGGGGATTAAAGAGGAAGAATTAGAAATTATAAAAGATATACAGGTTTAGATATATAGTCTATTAACCCGGTAAGATATTAAATAAGGATAGTTCTGGTTTACTATAGAATCACTAATAAATCGATATTGGTTTTAGAGCTAATAGTCTTATAGATTATTTCAAAACTAATTCTTATAGAAATAAGAAAGTCCTAGGGGACTTTTCCATCTTATAGCACTTTTATAAGATGATCGGATAATGACCCGTTAACTAATCTATGTCTTTACATACACGACTTATAACATGGTAATATCGTATAACCTCTACCTTTGTTTCCATGGAGGATGGAATCTTCTAGGACCTTCTATGTTGCATCTATGTCCTTGGTTCAAACCTCCTGCTTCTGCGGAGTTGGGGATTCATATGCGAATCGCTGGCGTATCGCCAACGCTTCGTTCTGACATTGTATGAAGTCAGGACTTCTTACACCCTAGGCATCTAGTTTAGGTATCTATAACAGAGTACTCTGTGTACGTGATATCCCGTGACCCACGTACGTGACCTCGACATCCCATGACACGTGACATACTCAACACATGATATACTGAACACGTGACCCAATCATGTGACCCAACCACATAACATCGCTTCGCTCCGCAATTACTATAGAATACGAGCGCGTTACTGTGATCCAGCGTGTTAGGGCTAGTCTATATTAGGAAAGCGGTCTAGAAGGCGGTCAATTGGATAGTTTCAAATTACCTACCTAGGTAGGCCCGTTGTAGTCGAAAACCGAGTGCCCGTAGTCGGCCTTTGAGATTTTCACGACACCCCATCATTCAAATAGCTTTCAGCTAGAATAGATAAAGCTACTCGACACCAAAAAGTACAGATCGAACTCATAACTTTGAAACTAGGCTGGAATAGCAATTGACATGGTCGTGTAGCAATGACAGTCTTCCGATCCTGTCGAATCCGCCTCTGTGAAGCCCTTGGACAGATCCCTGTATTGGCAATAATGATTGACCAACACCGTCGAAACCCCAGTGTCAAATACGGAATCAAATGCAAGTGCCGTTTGAGATCTTGAAAGAGTCGGTTACTAGCCAGCTAGTTTCCAGAGCACTTCTTGAGGCAATCCTGGCTGCTCTGTGACACAATACCGGGTTAGCTGAGGCACCTTCGCGTAGCAAGCATTGAAAAGAAACATACTCCACCATCGATCTTGCATAGCGTGTAGCAGTTGTTGGTTGGCTGAAGGCCCAAAAATGTCAATTCATGGCCATCGGCCCATCGCACACTTCAGCGGACACAGCTTACCACTCGCTTGTCGACTACGACTGGGGATGCAAGAGCCACTCCAACGAACAGAGCCAGTGCCATGTGGATCAAACGCATCTTGTAGGTGATTGAGTGCTTATTGTGAAATACGATAGCGAAATTGAGTGAAGTTGGAATGATTGATTCAGAACACAACATACTATGGGAGACCCCTCATCTTATATCTCCTGGTCACTGTTTCATTCAAAATCTACAGCTTACTTTCTCGACTCTTTACTTCCCTGTGACCCAATCACGTCTGCGGATGTTTCCCGCCCCCAAATGCGGTGCAGATTCATGGGGCGCAGGAAATACCCTGCAGACTTCCAGGGTCGAATCTGCGAATGCGCATCTATATTCCAAAACGCCAAGCATTGATCTACGGCAATCTCGTTGTTTTGAGTAATGTATGGAGCCTCTCCCTGACTAATTTGAAGTTCAGCTTGGGGGGCCTTGCAGTGCCAATTGGCTTAGGTTGCACTGCTCAGGGCTGTTACAGGTAATTGCGGGGGCGAGTCGAGTATGTATACCCAAGGCCAGAGGTAAGATCATTGGTTCTTGGTTGGTTTCATGATCAAATATCGCACGATACAACCCCTTTCGGAGTTTTCCTGTCTATTTTTCTTCATTCAGGTGATTGCTGATCTTTAAGTCGTAAAATCTACTGTCACTCTCACTTCATGAATCGGGATGTGCTCAGGTGCCCAGGTGCCATGTGTAACTTACTAACACGCTGCAACGAATTCAAGTATCACGGATTTAATCCTCAGTATTTGTCTGAACTTCTCTTTCTACCTTCAGAGAAAGATGAATGAATGAATGAATGAAATTCCAACACCCGACAAAAAAGCAGCGACGAAGAATCTTCCATGGCTGTCGGGTTCCTCTCATTTGAATCGACCAAAAGTCGAGCAAATCCGATCGTATCCCACTCGAACTCTGGCTTGGTGCATGATGTCTAATTAGTATTATGATCCATTTACCAAGACTAGCTGAAATTAGTCCCGCTATTCAGATGGCAGACAGGGTCAAGCTAACAAGCCCGGCATGACCTTCTTTGAGTAGACCCCGGATCTATTGAGCGATCATATGGAAGATGCGTATGGTAGAATTATTCCCTATTGATAGACAACTACCGCCATGAAAATTGATGATATCCTTCAGTAAGGAGAGAGGCCGCTTAAATGGTCTTCTGCCTGTGAGTTTCCTCAACAAGTTGTTCGAGGAGAGCAGAGACCTTTGCGGGGGTCTCTATCATCGGGTAATGGTTGACACCTGGGAAAACTTCCAATCTTCCATCCGACAATGCTGCCGCCAGCTTCGTTCCACATGGTTCCAGTGGGGTGACCACATCGCTATCACCGTGCACAACAATTGCTGGGATGTTTATTTCCGCGTGCCTGTCGTCCATTTCGCAACCGACCATGGCATTTGCATTGTATCGAAAGGCGTATAGCGGCCACTTTGAAGCTTCGATCGCAATTTCCGGGATGAGGCCAAATTCCTCGAAGAATCTTGCGGCCAAAGTGGGCTTGGAAACACCCTCGGTGAGGTACTGGGCAGTGACACCAAGCTCTTGAAGTTGTTTCCCATCCACATATGGTTTTCAGACATACAAGGGGCGTTTGTATATCAAGGCGTTTCCAAGGTTGGATGCACGGTGTCCATGTGTGAACTCGGGGGCATGCCGAGTTTATATTTACGGCAAATAATCTATTGCTAAGCGGCTTTCTTCGGGGACTCACTCGTACAGCGTCAGGTATTAATTCAAGAGTATTCAGTACTGATCGAGGCCGGGGACCATACTAGGTAGCTATACCGACACCAACCTGGGGCCAACTTGGGAGCTAGGCTACCTAGGATTTTGATTGATCCGCTCATACATGTGTATTGCCGTCCATATTATGCCGGCCGAGATTCTCACGGGCATTGGAAAACCAGCGATGAGTCAGAGGGGCTCATCTCCATCGAACCTGTAGAGATGGCACTTGGTCGCCGTTCGAATATAAGCAGACCCCCAGTTGACCCCGGGTCGCCGTTCGAGCACAAGCATTCCCTAGTTCTCGGGTGGCCTCCCGTCGCATTTCAAGTGGCCTAAATGGAGCCCGCGCTGGACACTTCCGCCACTTAGTTCACAGCGCATTTCTAATTTTCATTTCTGCCACTTCATCCATGATGAAAGACTAAAGTCTCGCTCCATTCAACTACAGATATTTGCTCCTAAAGTTTTTTGATCATCTCGGGGGGTTGAATACATTCGTGCACCCATGCCGTGTACTAGCATCACCATCATCGTCGCTCCCTACCACGTTGGTCTTCTTGACCATCGAGTTGGTGGAGGGCCTCTGCGCATCCTATCTCACGGCCTTGCCGACAAACTTGAGCAGTTTGCGCCGGTCTCTTTTGTCAACATTGCCCCTGTCGATACGTTCGAGGGCGAGATTAGAAGAACCTTTGAAGTCATCCGTCGTATTTCAACCGCTGTCTCTCAAGCCTGTGCAAATGGCTCTTTTCCCCTCGTTCTCTCGGGAAATTGCTACGCAAGCGCGGCGGTTGCAGCCGGTCTCAGCGATACGGTATCCGATCTCAACATGCTGTGGCTTGATGCTCACGATGACCTCGACACTCCATCTACGAATGAGAATGGATATCTCGACGCAATGGCCGCCTCTATGTTGACCGGCTCTAGCTGGCACGCGATGATGCGGACAGTCCCTGGCCACAAACCCATGGACGTTAAACGTGTCGTCTACTGCGGGTTGCGCGATGTATCCGAGTCGCAAAAACTGGTTGTTGAAAATTCCGGTGCTGACGTAGTGTGGGGCGATACTTCACAAGCAGTTGACTTCACATCGGCGTTGGGAGACATCCTAGATCGCAGGAGCCTCGGGAGCACCCATGTGCACCTGGATTTGGATGTTCTTGATGCATCTCTCGGGCGGGTCAATGACTTTCCTTCCCCCGGTGGCTTCCTGCCCGAAGATCTTGCCGGTCTCATGACTATGATCCCGACAAAGGTCGATCCAACTTCTCTCGTTGTCTGTTCATTCGATCCGCGATTGGAAGGAGGTGATACGGTGGCAAGACTTGCGGTGAAGGGCATCTGTACGTTTATCAAAGGCCTCAAAGACAGGCAAATTCTAGTTCACGGGGAATAGAAAATTGCATATCTATAACATCATACAGTATAGGCAATGCGATGGAGAGTATTCATACGCCTTGAGACTGGCTCGAGATCACGATTTTGAACATACATATGCTGTTTAGCACGGCACCTGAGCGAGTCGCGAAATTGCATCTCTAGTACCTAGTATCGACCATATGCATGAGTGTCCGTATAATCGAGACTGCCCCCGGGGCATTAAAGACAATTGAACTGATTTGCTATAGCCTCGAATTTTGACGTGGCCTCTCAAATCCCCCGAATAAAATACCCTAGGGTAGGCAGAAGGATAATTTTCATCGACAGTGTTTCCAAACTTGGCATTGGATAGAACAAGACGATTAAGAAGTCACCCTTTACCACATTCAATGCTTCTTTATATCCCAAGCCCTGGAAGTCAACTTGGAACTTCATGTCTCGCTTGACCTTGCCTCGTCGCTCTCGCAATTATTCTCAAAAAATATTGATGTCTTTCCAAGTTTCCAAGGTTGCACTATGTGATTATGCTACCTCATGCCCAGGTGGATATTGGCGCCGTGTGCCAACCTTGCAAGGCTGCATATTTTTTGACACGTTTGATTGCTGGCAGTGTGGACTCATTGTCCGGGGAACTTTTCCACTGAGAAGAGCACCATTCTCCCTAGAGAATATTTTGGCGATTCCACTGTGTGGACCAGCCATGAACGAATGCGAGGTCCCAAAGCCCCTAGCATCTCTTTGATATGGTCCTCCTGCAGATCCATAATATGGACATTCATATACTCACCAGATCCAGCCGAAGCAGCCAGGCTTCAAATGGCAATGATCGTCGAAATTAGGCAGACACTTGAGATGTGGATCGGCGCAGGGTTCTGGGCCTCCGAAATGGAGACTGTCAACATAGGGTCTACTCCGTGAATATATGGACAATGGCCTATAGTACTCTGTACAGGGTGCACATGCTCTGTACTAGCATGATGCTGTGTAGCAATTGGAAACCAACACATCAACATCAAATGAAACGTGAATAAAAAAAGAATTCAGGAGGCGCCAAGTAGCATTGACGCCAGGCCTGCCAAGCAATGCCTTTGCAAGACGAGAACCCGTGTCATTTAAATCATTTCCTTTCCCTCTTTGAAGGGAAACATTGCTCACCATGGCGATCCCCACCAAGTTGCCCTTCTCCAAGCGGCGACTCCGACCGCGCGTGATCATTTCGTGTGTTTTGACATTCCCCCGCACAGTCCCCAGCTAACACCTCTGGCAGCTACATCTTCGACTATGTGATCCTCATGTACGACAGAGCTAGCGCTGGTCCATTGCGAAGAGCTAACATTTCACTAGCGCCTGTGTCATCGGTTTCTGGATCCTCGACTCCATCGAACCCTACCATCAACACTTCTCCCTCAACAACATCTCGATTCAGTATCCCTATGCCGTACACGAACGGATACCCATCGCCTACGCCCTCTGCATCTCGGGCGCTTTCCCCGTGGCCCTAATCGTCCTCTACACCCTCTTCATCGATGGTCTGTTTTCGCACAACAAGCCGCAGGATGCGGTGTCAGGGAAGCGCAAGCTGACCGGTCCCCACCGGTGGAAGGATAGACTCTGGGAGTTGAATTGCGGGATCCTGGGTCTGCTATTGGCACAGGGGATCAACTTTGTGATCACCCAGGCGCTCAAGAACGCCTGTGGCAAGCCGAGGCCCGATCTCATTGACCGCTGTCAGCCACTCGCCGGCAGCAAAGATCATTTCCCTGGCCTGTCGAACTACACAATCTGCCAGGGTGATCCTACCATTTTGAAGGACGGGTTTCGGTCATGGCCATCAGGTATGCGGATCAAGTGCGACGATACTTTGCCCGTTCATTGCTAACTTCTGCTCCTCTAGGCCACAGTAGCTGTATGTTTACCGTGTTATTGGCATCCACCGTCTTGTTTGTTTACTGATATCCTATTGCAGCTTCGTTCGCCGGTCTAGTTTACACATCCCTCTGGCTCGGCGGAAAGCTTCACGTCATGGACAACCGCGGAGAAGCCTGGAAACCCCTCCTGGTCATGGTTCCCCTCCTCGCGGCGACGCTTGTTGCCGTTTCGCGAATCATGGACGCCCGCCACCACCCCTTCGACGTGATCACCGGCTCCATGCTCGGCACTGTCTGCGGCTACGTCTCATATCGACAGTACTTCCCGCCGATCACCGAAGCCTGGCGCAAAGGCCGCGCCTACCCAATCCGCACCTGGGGCACCGATCCCGCCGGCCCCGATGCAGTCCGGTTGGTCGGCAAGGAAAACAGCATGACCGCGCTCCGCAATCCAGAGGATGAGCGCATCGATCCCGATATCCCTCGGTCAGAACGGACCAGACCCGACGACCCGGCGTATCTCGATTCCTCGAATCCCTTTGCCTCAAACATGAACAATCGCCGTCCCTATGACCACGACCCCGACGGCGGTGCTTGGTCGTCGAGTGAGGATGACGTGACCAACAATGGGTACGAGATGCGCCATGAGTATTCAATGTCGCAGAATCCTGCCGGTCGCCATAATCCCCCTTACGACTCTGGCACTGCCTATGTGTCTCAGACACAGCCGCTTACCACCGAAGTGACGGCGGGCCCGGGACGGCCGTTGACGGACGCCCCTGGGCGAGCTTTTTAGTGACGATTGACACGATAACATCTGTTTATGATTCTAGCCTGAGAGTAGACTTTGCCGACGGGATTCGCTTGGCTGCTTTGGTATGATTTTGATTCGGGCACAATTGCGAAGGCTGGGAAGAGTCTGTATGATTATGTGCATTGAAAATAGCGACAATTGCCGAAACGGACACAGTTTTGATACGAAGTTATTCAACTGAAATCTCTGCAATCTTTGCTCTCCAGTATACTCTACGGAGTACACTTCGCTGTAACAGAACGTGTCGAGGAGGCCCCACTCTCGTTGTCTTGACAACTATGCCCACGAGACGGAGTAAATCACTACGCAATAAAGATCTAGATTCAAACGTATGCAAGACATAGATCAAACATCAAGTCAAATTGATTAAAGCAAAACTCGCCGGGGCCACTCTAAGACCCTGGTCCCCAGCCACCGTCATCCCGCACGCTGAGTCGCCCAGCCTCCCTCAGCCCAAGATGACGCTGCAGCGTTTTTATTTTAATTCCTTTCTTGTTGTTCTTTTTTTCTTTTTTACTTTCTCCTTTGTCTCTGCATCTCTGACATCGTGCATACTGCACTCTGATCGCAACTGAGCCTCGTGTGGTAGCCCCACGGTCTTGTCGCACACCAGGACAGTTGCCAATAGACCAACATTCCTGAGATCTCAGATCCGAAACTCTGCCAAAATGATCGCCAGCGTCTTCTTCATCTTCAATCGCCTGGTCGAGATCGTCTTCCTGATCCCGATCATTGGCATGCTGGTCCGTTCCATCCCATCATCCCCAGTTCCAGTCCCTAACCAATCATACAGGCCTACTTCGTCGATGGCTACATCAAAGCAAACATGCTGACCCCATCCTACATCTTGGTCCTCTTCATCGTCAGCACCATCGCCGTTTTCTGGGCCGTCGACACTCTGATCCGGTTATCAACCACGAAGCGCTCTGCAATCTTCGTCGCCTTCATCGACCTCTGCTTCTTCGGTGCATTCGTCGCAGCCGTCTACCAGCTGCGCTTCATCGCCAATGCCGACTGCGCAAGCTGGAGCGGCGGCTCCGTCTGGATCTCCCTGGGTCCATTCGGCTCGTACGGCCAGCGCACAGATAATCCGCTCTCACTGAACGTCAACAAAACATGCGCGATGCTCAAGGCTTCTTTCGCGATCGGCATCATGGAGGCTGTCTTCTTCTTCTGGACTGCCTTCATTGCGATGTGGTTGCACCGCACTCATCGGGACGTTGTTGTTAAGGAGACGACGGTACGCAGACGGAGTCACTCCAGTCGTCGTCACGGCTCGGGCTCGCACCATCACTCCCGCCATCGCAGCTCCAGTCGTAGCAGACCTGCGCACTATGTTGTTTGAGATCTGCTTTCTGTTTTGTCTTGCTTTGTTTTTTTGGTTAACTTTTACGGCTTTCGCATCTCATGATTTTACGATGGATGCTTAATGAGATATGGATTGGGGTATCTGGAATGAAACTGAACGTTGAACGCTTTATGGATATCATGCCTTGCTCAAGGTGTATCCTATGGATGAACTTGCGACTGAATTATATGGAGATGATCACCTTGGGATGACTTCGCCCTCGGCTTTCATTGGGTTCTCGGGGATTTTTCTGCAACATGAGTTTCTCATACATACCCTTCAAATATCACACCTACTGTTCACAGTATTCCAGTAGCTTGAAGTTTCGAAACAAATGAGGTTTCTGAGTCGAGACAGGCGAAGGCCGATCTCGGCTGCTTCGGAATCCCCGCAGTTATTCCTTGCTCATCTCCATAGGTCAAATTAGTCCATGGGACATCGAAAGATCTGACTCGATCACATCTCTAAAAGCCCCAGAAATGGCTGTGACAAAACATATTCGAGACCGTCCACCATTGGACGAGCTAGCAGCTATCATCCAGAAAGCACTACTCTCCAACTTCAAGACCGCCAGCGCAACAGTTGTCCAATGCCCAGATCTGAAAAAGCCGCCCTTCAACCTAGCCGCATCTGGGCTTTCTGGAAATCCTCGCATCGCAGACATAGGCGGACAAGGAAATCTGTTCCCTCGACCAATCCTCGACGCAAAGTATTCACTTCTCAATCTGGCCCGGGATATGGAATTGTCTCCCAATGCGGGCTTTATACTCGGAGCAGGGGCCGCTCCGTTTCAGGACATTGGCCGCAATGCCGAACTGGCACCCAACCTCTCCTGGCGGTCTAATGACCCGACGGCCAGTTTCGAGAATCCAAACTCATTATCTGTAGACAATGGCTCGCGCGTGATCCAAGTTGAGGAGAATCGTGAGCCGATGTGCGAGCACGCCAAAAGCACAAATTGCGCATTAATGGCCAACCTGTACGGATCGGATGGGGATACGGGCCCGGTTCTCAAGATCAAGGCCCGGGCACGTATAGGTGAGAAGAATTTCACGGATTGTATTCGCTTGGGTCTGCGAGATGCATATGGGGATTCCAGGCCGCTTAGTTTGGGTGGGGTGTTTCTTCTTGAGTCTGGGAAGGCTAGGTTTCATATCATGCCTGACTTTCCGGCTGAGGATCAGTTACCCTTTCGAGATAGATTGGAGTTGGAGAAGGAATGGCTGTCATACCATGTGTTTGAGGCTCCGGTGGTCTGCTTGACTGTGATGCATAGTGCTGATCCGGAGGGGTTGGGGTTGAGAATGGAGCATACTCATTGTTTTGAGGCGGACGGGGACCGGAAGGGAGGTCATTATCATTATGATGTTGGGGGAGATGAGGTTGGGTACGAGGCTTATTTTAATGTGGCGTCTGTGGTATATAGAATTGATCGACCGGTTTGATCCATGGATGCCCACCTGGGCAGTGTCAATGATATTCAAGCATTTGTAGTAGCCTAAGAGAGCAACTCCTCTATCCATTCTTGAATCTGAACAGTTTAAAGGCGGATCATTGAAGCTAAGAGAATGGCACAACCACATCCCCTACCATTACCGTGCAATGTCCGGGTTTCTCAGTGTCATGGCCATCTCTTTCATCCGATGAGATAGTTGCATATCGACCAAAGGATACTTTCCCATTAATGTTCCTGGTTTTGGCAAGTGTCGAGAAAGGCTCATCGCGTCGGGCCCCGGTGAATTGGTCGATACAGACCATTTGACATCTCTGACATGCATCTAGAGCATCAAAGCGTAACTGATTTGGCCCAATTCGAAGTGAAGACCACTTGTCCTCGGCATAGGGCTGCTCCACGTCACCGCGATGCACAAGCCGCTCAGCCACGACGATGTTCCCGCGGAAGACATCTGCTGCGACAGTCTTGCTACTCCCGAGCTTACTGTTGGCTTTAATAGTCTCGTTGAGGCGGTTGACAGATGACCGCGAAACAACGAGGATAGGCGAATCATTGGAAAGCGCGATTTTGACTTGATTATCCTCGCGCGATGGATATGAAAAATCCGAGGGGAAAGATCCTGGCATGAGAAGGCTGCGGAAGCGGCTTTTCCATGTACTCGTCGTACTCGTCGTGCGCGGTTGGCGTGAGTATCGAATTGCGGTTTGCGTGGGGAATCTTGCGAGTGTACAGGGTACACCCAGGAAGTCTGAAAAGAACGCCGAAACCACCGGTGATGTGTATGCATGCAGAGCTACAGGATCTCCACATACCGTCGTTGGCCTCTTCGTTGAACTTGGACAGAATGATGTGGATACAAGGCTTGTATCTTCCCAGTCGAGTGAAATCTCAAGGCTGACTTGATCTGGCGCTGCTATGGCGCCGCAAGTAATCCGTAGGACCCCCTTTTCAATATCTATCGAAGGTCGTATCAAGCACATTCGAGGATATCTATTGCAGTTAGTATGAAGTTCAGCTTGTGACATAGCATGTGAGACAAACCGTTTCTGGTTCAAGGCTGCACTTGTTCCTTGGTGTATCAAGCACCATTCCCGGTCCCAGGCAAGACCCTCGCTCTTTACTTCCCAACGCTTGCCCTTGGGGATCTTGAAAGCCCCACAGCTTTTGATTGGGAAGACTGCAAGGCTTTCAACATAGAAGTGAGGTGCAACAACCTCGGCGTTTGCCCCGATGGGATCTAAACAAACAATGGGTGGTATCTTTTCCACATAGAATTCCTCGATGAAGCTGAAGAGAGAGTCGATATCTCTCATGTTGGTCATGGCACCCACACTGACACGCAAAATGCCAGTTGGTCGCCCACCTAGAACATCATGACTGTCACCGCAACGCAACCCGGTCGAGTAATGATTACGAAGCTCTGGTCCAGTCCAACCGAGAGAAAGGGATGTTCCACCCGGATTGCAAACTGATCCAGTGCGAATCTGGAGGTTTTGAACGGTAGCTAGCTTCTCGACCTCTGTCTTTGGAATCCATTCGCCACGGCTGTTGCAAAGGTTGAATGCGATGATGGGGCCTTGGGTCTGTACATTTCCATATGATGAGGAATTAGATTGATAGACTTTGCAAACTTTCGTTTCGTTGAAGTGTGCCAGCGAAGAAAGCCTGTCGTAAACTTCCTTGGCCAAGAAGGCAGTGTGGGCCGAGATGTTTGACATCGAGCCGTACAATCGTTGGTGTGTGTCCAAAGCCGAATCAAGGGCAACGATACTATGGAATGGCAAGGTACCGTCTTCCAAGCGTTCGTGAATAGATGTCTCTTTTTTCGCATGCCATTGGGCTCCGGCTGCGACCACCATGTCAACGGTACCTCCGCCAAAGTACTTGCGTCCTTCAAGGACTCGGGCAGCACTTTTCCGAACAATCAAAGCCCCCAGATCAGGGAACCCAAATATTTTGTAGAAGCTAAGGACAGTGAAGTCTGGTGCCGATGAGGATGGACCTAGATCGAGTGGGGCGGTTGAGACAAGCGATGCAGCATCAAGTAAAGTGAAGACATTGCCGCCACTTTTATTAGCCATGTGCCGAACTTGCTCACACCAGCGCCTAGGTAGGCGGCGGCCATTCATGTTGGATTGAGCCGGGTACGCGATCAGTCGAGGTGCTTTGGACTGGTTGCTGGATAGCTCTGAGATCCCAATTTCCATTTCCTCGTCATTTTGGAAACACGAGTATCCCATCCCAGCTAGCTCTCGTACACCGACGATACTGGTATGGGCATCGTTGTGATATCCATACCAAAAGCCTCGGTGATCAGAATCTCTCATGGACTCTGCGACCAATTTGATTCCGGCAGTGGCATTGGCCACGAAGACAAGGTCGAATTCGTTAGGGTCCGCGTTGAAGAATTGCAGCACGCGGACTCGGACATCGTCCGTCCGCTGTGTAGATAGTTGTGAAGAGAGAGACATTGAGTGAGGGTTTCCAAATAAGTTGGATAAAAGATCACGCGAGAAACCCTCCACGGTGGATTTAGCATAGGGTGTTGTTCCCGCATGATCAAGATATGTAGTTCCTGTTGAGGGCAAGGTTCGATTAGTATTGATTGAACTTGGTCATTGAATGCCAACCAGAAGGGAAAGGTGCGCTTTCGAGAATCCATACCATCTAGCAGGGGATACTCCTCTCTGCGGATGACATCCACATCGGCAGAGTATCCTCGGCAGTACTCCATGGGGAGTGATTCCTTCACATCTGACTTGGTCATTTTTGACAAGAGTGCTGTGGTTGCAGAGACTCAAGGTGTCTTGTATAGCCTTGGAAAGGGAAAAGACTGACGAGGATCTCACACGGAACGATAATCTTCGTTAGTTCCAGCTGGCGGCCAGAGCATGCAGCCCACAGTGAGTGTAGATCAAGAATGAGTATGAGGGTGTGAAGAGCAGAACTTGGAATGGCGAGAGCAGAGATCAGAGTGAAGCAAGAGATCGGAGTGAAGGGGGAGGATCGAGACAGCAAGACCATCAGCTGACCCTCGACAAGTATGTAAATGTACTCTCTGGAAGTAAAGTCAGTTTGATATGTTTTGAAGTAGAAAATATGTAGAAATAGGCTGCATTTTGCAACGGCGCAATATAAAACGGCTTTGGGGGTTCGTACAGATAAGGCGAGTATATGCTTGTCGGTAAGCTCCGATGCCCACAAATCAGCCAGCTTGGGTATTACTTCCAGCCAACGATGGGATAGGCTTTGTGCGGAGAAAAAAGCATCCATACGAGGACTGGTCCATGGCTTTTATACCTAGGTAGGTATATTGGCATTGTCGAGGCGCAGAAGTGATATCAAAGCCGCTTGCCACCATCCCCGCACAGCTCATAGGCTGTGGCAATATCGTGGCAATATCGGTCCCTTAGCCGCTGGACAATGGTCAACGGCCGGTTTAGCCCGGGTTCAGCCCATCCACGCACAGCAGCCCCTCTGCTGTGGGATATCCAATGATCTGCGGAGTGGTCCAACTAGGGCATGTCCATGCATAATAGCAATGTCTCTATACCCTCCACCCATAGGCTGGGTCGGGGAGATCTCTTCACATCAGCCGACTGAGCTATATCTACTATTGAATTTAAAACTGCATCCCTGCCTGATATCACATCAATAAAGGCCAACTTACTACTTCCATCCACTCATGGCTGTCCTCTTTGCGAAGCTTCCATCACCCTCTATCACACGTTCCCGCAGAAAACCTCCCCAACAGACAATGCACCTGCCACCTGCAGGTGCTTCTGGGATATTTGGGGCTAAAGCATTGCCCTCGCCCTCGTCACATCATCAGCTTACCCACTCGATCTGATCTGAATTGGTAGTACGACTAGAACAAACCTTGGAAAAGTGTGCCTGGAGCCCTGAGTGATGCAATACGTCCACAATATAGCCACACGCGCAGCACAGACAGTGCAAGTGGATCGAGTCTCAGGTACGCAATAGCAATGTACGCGAGTAGACTTGGAGGCCCCAGCTTGTCAACCCATGATCGCACATTGGGGCCAGAGATGATATCTTGGTAGTATTCCAAATAAATGCCTCGTTTGTGACTGGAGACATCTCGGTGTGATAGCTTATGGGTTTCATCATTACTCAAATGTATTAGGCACATGGCATGTCTAAACTACTACGTACTCCGTACGGAGAACATAACAGCGCTCATAGGTTCGCAATACGGACTGAGTCTCGGCGTTTGCTACATGCACCTACACCGCCGACTGCTCAGGCGAGCGACCCAATGATCGAGGACTGTGAAGCTTGGGCCTTCTTCGACTGGGCTGCTCGCTCTGAAGAGCAAGAGCTAGATAGGGTGTGCAATCCATTGGCACCGGGGCTGGGATTGGGGTATGTGACCGCAGATTGTATTGTACATAAGGTGTTGGTAGTATACTTTGAAAGAAAGGAAAAAAATAAGAACTCCATCCCAAGCTCCGAGTGTGGCTCGTACAAGTAGTAATGTCGACGGGGGATGCAATTCGAACAGGAGTCATTATGGCGTTGGATAGCCGGAATGAACAACCCCGTCCGAAGAAATAATAGGAAAATCCTCCAACATATTCTGCTGAGGCTTTGCCATTACCGCTTGGGCCATTGTTTCCATCCACGACCATGACCTCTCTGTTTGCCTGAGTCAGCGATGTAAAGAAATGCCTCGGATGTAAACCTACCTGCTTCCACGCGCGGACCATTTCCGGCATTCCCTCCATGGCCTTGCGACGATCCTCGAGACGGGACTCCATTGTACGCTCCCACTTGTGACCCTTGACCTTCTGGCCAATACCAGTTCCCTTGATCTGCAATCCACGCTCCTGACGACGTTTCTCCTTGAACTCGGGTGATTTGCGGCTGGGAGGAAGGAGCTTCTCCACATTATATTTGATGGCTAATTTCATCAAGTCCGCTTGCTGCCGCAATCCGTATCTTGGGCTCTCCCATTTTCCAAATCGCTTGTGGGGAAGGAAAGGGTTGCGAAGTTTGTCGCTGGTCACAAGAAGTGCCTGTGCAGAGCTCCAATCAGTTGGCTTCAGCGCCTGAGCACCCTTGGCATCGCGATCAGAGGTGTATGGTGATGGGAGCGGTGTTTGGGGAACGATCGCATCCTTTGGGCGAGGTGCTGGACGGCGGACAGCAGCGGAGTGCAATTGAGGGGGATACCGGGCAAAGAAGTTCACAAGACGCTGAGGGAGACTTGTGGCCGGTGCTGGAGCCGCCATGCTGAGTGTGATTGATGGTTCTGTTGTCCTGGCTTGATAAACGCAACTGGGCTGCTGGTCCACGGGTCAAAAAGTTGACACCGCCCAATATGGGCTAACCCGAATTGGTGACATTTGTGGCCTAATATTCCAGGCACCATAAAATGCCCTAAGTGACTAGGATCGGATATACATTATTCCGACCTCCCGACTCCTTGTCGCCCGACCTTTCAGGCATTATAGCCTACCCTATCCGGCCTTTCAAGGAACTATATTTATCCGCCCGTCTGCGCCCTTCCGCCTGAGGCATTAAGCTTCCTATCTTTGGCTTGGTTTTGAATCTTCTCCAAGGTCTCGGTCCTGCGCTTCAACATTCTCATTCTTATCAGCACCCTGCGCTGTTCATAATCTGACGTCTCAATATCCTTCTTTTTACCGTTGTATCATTTGCGCAACAAGCCAGCCTCCAGTGAATATGGCCGAATACCAGTATGGAGGCTCCGATGAGGAGAACACTGAGCTGCACAAGTTCGAGACTGAGTTGGTATGGCCTGCGCGTGCCCTATGGCTGAATCGCCTGCTGACATACTTGCGATATGACTAGTTGGATGATCCTGACAATTTCGAAACCTGGGAGAAGCTGGTTCGCGCCGGAGAAGCTCTCGATGGTGGAATCAATCGCAACTCCAATCCGCAGGCCATCACCACTGCCCGGGCTATTTATGACCGCTTTTTGGCCAAATTCCCCCTCCTTTTCGGCTACTGGAAGAAATATGCCGACCTAGAGTTCTCAATCACTGGCACCGAGGCCGCTGAAATGGTATGAACACAGTCCTCTGGCTCGGCTTCCATTCCCTATCGGCCATTGCTTATGCGGTACTCTCAGGTCTTCGAGCGTGGAATCGCCAGCATCCCGCCTTCAGTCGATCTTTGGGCCAACTATTGTGCCTTCAAAGCGGAGACTTCTCACAATGCCGACATCATTCGAGAGTAAGTGCAACAGAGAACACCTTCTTCCCTTGCCTATAACCTTTATCGACGCAGCTCGCAGAAGCTCTCGTGATGCCGATTACATATGAAGTGTGGGCCATTCATATTCACCGGGCAGCAGTTGCGTTGTTGATGAGTGAGAGACTATTGTTCCCCCCCTTCACCCTCCCCCAAAGATTCAAGGAGATTTTGGTTCTCAACCCCAGCTCACCCAAGGTCGTTTGCTTCTTCTGGAAAAACTGCCTCCATTGCATTCAACCAGCATTTCTGTTCGATACCCTTTAACGGAACACGGGGTGTCCGTTACTTAACCTCACGACCTTTGCTATTACACTTGGACGGTGTTTACCACTTCCTTCTTTTCCTTCTCTACCTTTATCCCTCTCCCACCCAATCCCCCAATATCTGTGCATTATACTGACGCATTTATGAAACAGCCTGTTTGAACGGGGAGCTGATTGTGTTGGTCTTGATTTCCTCTCGCATCCATTCTGGGACAAATACATTGAGTTTGAGGAACGGAATGAGGCTCATGATAACATCTTCACCATCCTTGCCCGAGTCATCCATATTCCTATGCACCAGTATGCGCGCTACTTTGAGCGCTACCGCCAACTCGCCCAATCACGGCCTTTGGTTGAACTCGCACCCGCGGAAATTCTGGCTGTCTTGCGCGCCGAGATCGAGGCTGCGGTCTCCCAATCATCTGCCGGTGCTAAGGCTCAGGCTGAAGTTGAGCGTGATTTGCGTTTGCGATTGGATGGATACCACCTTGAAGTGTTCACAAACACCCAAACGGAGACCACCAAGCGGTGGACCTTCGAGTCAGAGATCAAGCGCCCTTACTTCCATGTCACAGAGCTAGACGAAGGCCAGTTGACCAACTGGAAAAACTACCTCGACTTTGAGGAGGCCGAAGGTTCCTACCATCGCACTCAGTTCCTGTATGAACGAGCTTTGGTGACTTGCGCTCATTACGATGAATTCTGGCTCCGCTACGCTCGCTGGATGGCTTCCCAGCAGAACAAGGAAGATGATTTGCGCATCATCTACCAGCGTGCTGCTTATCTTTACGTGCCAATTGCCAACCCCACTATTCGACTCCACTATGCCTACTTCGAAGAAACATGCGGACGTGTTGATGTGGCAAAGGATATCCACGGCGCTATTCTTGTCAACTTGCCCAGCCACGTGGAGACCATCGTTTCTCTTGCTAATCTTTGCCGTCGCCACGGAGGTCTTGAGGCGGCCATTGAAGTTTACAAAACGCAATTGAATTCCACAGAAGTCGAAATGTCTACAAAGGCTGCTCTCGTTGCTGAGTGGGCTCGCCTTTTGTGGAAAATCAAGGGAAGTCCCGATGAGGCTCGAATGGTGTTCTATAACAACCAGCAGTACTACATCGACAGCCTGCCGTTCTGGCGGAGCTATCTGGTGTTCGAGATTGAACAGCCAACCAGTGCATCCACTGAGTCGGTGCAGTATGACCGAATCAAGCAAGTCATTTCGGATATTCGCTCCAAGAGTACTCTCCAAGTTGATGCTGTCAAGGAGCTCGTCCAAATCTACATGGCTTACCTTCTTGAGCGAGGTACCACCGACACAGCAAAGGAGTATTTGACCCTGGATCGCGAGGTCCACGGCCCAGCATCTGTCGCTTTTGCCCGTACCGGCGGCTCTGCGGCGGCAATCTCGGTCCCTGCAAACATTCAGAATGCCCAGGTTCCCATTCAGCAGCCCAGTCAAGAAGATGCTGCTGTGCACGCTCATGCATACTACCAGCAGGTTCCTGTTAACGGTGGATCCGCTTGAAACTCCACCCTGGGCTTAGCTCCTCACAGCAGCTGATGGCTTCAAACTTTGATATTTCCCTTTGCCCCGGTTATCTGTTTGGGTCTTATGATTTGATTCTGATGCTTCTCTTTACTGTCGCGATTCACCGGGGTAGGTCGGTTCCCTCCCCCTTCTTTGTAGTATCACCCTATTTTCTTTGTCAAACACACTTTTTTCAATTTGCCCAGCGATTATGATGACCCCCTAAACTATCTTTGCAGGGAAGATTTCGCCGTCAATGGGCTGGTATCTAGCATCTGTTTGGTGCTAGATAGCTTCTTTGTGACCATGTCGAGATCGAATCCTGTGTGTCTGGCTGTACTCTAACCAGCTTACTTTCAAATGAACATTAATTCTGTAGTAACATATGTCATTTCTTGTAAAAACTTCACTTTGGATCCCTGCAGGATGGATTGATCCACCTGCCCTAGACCTCGGGATCCATCCATCCATGGCCGGGGCCGGGGATCGATAAGGCCATTCACGTGACTGCGTGACTGCGTGACTGGATCCCCTCGCGTTCCGTAGAAATTCGATATCATAGAATCTTCGTCATCATACCGCGCATTTATCACCGAGCTCCATTTCTCCAGCTTCACAATGACGATGGATGGGGTGATTACAAACGGCTCTAATCCCTCTCCCCCATCGCCTCCACCTCAGCCAATGGAGCGCCCTCCAAGTCCACCTCCACCTCCTCCTGAAGACTCAGCCGCTCCGCCGCCGCCGCCAGACGTCGCAGCTCCCCCACCTCCGCCAGAGGATGTACCTCCGCCGCCTCCGATCGAAAACTCAAAAAAGAAGCAGGGTTGGGGTGTGAAGAAAGCTGCCATCAAACCGTTGAGTGTGGAAGAGCTGATTCGCAAGAAGAAAGAAGCAGATGCAGCAACAGCAAAGGTAAGCAAGCTTGCGTTCATCCGCAAGGAGCTTTGGTATCATGTTCCTGGCTAAGCTCATGGTTGGCTAACTGGTATCTGCCTATACAGCCAAAATTCCTATCCAAAGCTCAACGGGAGAAAATAGCACTGGAAAAGCGAGCGCAAGAGGTTGAGGCAGAGCGACAGGCTAAGTCACGCTCCAATGACGGAAAGCGCGACGATCTTAAAACAACCCCGTCTACGGTGGGCCATCGAGGAGAGTCGAATCCCAATGTCCCTACCGGGCCGCGCGCGATGCGCGATGAACGTCCAACGGGGCCTTCTTCTATGCGCAAGGGCGAAAGACAATCGAATCGAAATCAAGACATGCCCCCACCAAAGAAAGGCGAAAAACGATTAACCGAAGAAGAGGGACTCGATGCACAGGCTGCTCTGACAAAAACACGATACATGGGTGCAGAGGTGACGTCAAATTTCTCCGCCAAAAAGAAGCGCAAGCGCACGACAGACCGCAAGTTCAACTTTGAATGGAACACTGAGGAGGACACAAGCGGCGACTACAACCCATTATATCAAGACCGACATGAGGCCAACTTCTTCGGCAGAGGACGTTTGGCAGGGTTCAGCGATGATGTCGCCGATGATGTGGCTCGCAAATATGCGGCGGCGCTGGTCACTCGCGACAAGGAGGCCGGTAGTATACGCGCCCAGGAAATTATGGAAATGGAACGCCGCCGCCGGGAGGAGAGCACGCGCAACCAGCTGGATAAGCACTGGAGCGAGAAGCGTCTAGACCTTATGCGCGAGCGAGACTGGCGAATCTTCAAGGAGGACTTCAACATTGCTACTAAAGGTGGCAGTGTGCCAAACCCTATGCGTTCGTGGGAAGAAAGTTTACTACCAAAGCGTCTATTGGAGCTTGTTGATCACGTGGGCTATAAAGACCCCACGGCTATTCAGCGTGCAGCTATTCCAATTGCGATGCAGGCCCGAGATCTTATTGGTGTTGCTGTTACAGGTTCCGGCAAAACGGCAGCATTCCTCCTACCACTCTTGTGCTACATTTCGGAGCTACCACGACTTGACGAGAATGAATGGCGCAAGAACGATGGTCCTTATGCGATTGTTCTAGCGCCCACCCGTGAATTGGCACAGCAAATCGAGATTGAAGCCAAGAAATTTACACAGCCTCTTGGATTCAACGTTGTCAGTATTGTCGGAGGACATTCGCTAGAAGAGCAAGCCTACAGCTTGCGCGATGGTGCGGAAATCATCATTGCTACCCCCGGTCGTCTAGTCGATTGCATCGAACGTCGCATGCTGGTACTGAGTCAGTGCTGCTACGTGATTATGGATGAAGCAGATCGTATGATCGATCTTGGTTTCGAAGAGCCCGTCAACAAAATTCTCGACGCCCTCCCCGTCACCAACGAGAAGCCTGACTCTGAAGCAGCCGAGGACTCGCGCGCCATGAGCCAACACCGTTACCGTCAAACTATGATGTACACAGCCACCATGCCTGCAGCGGTCGAGCGCATTGCTCGCAAATACCTGCGCCGACCAGCCATCATCACGATCGGTGGTGTCGGTGAAGCCGTCGATACAGTCGAACAGCGGGTCGAAATGATCGGTGGTGAGGACAAGCGCAAGAAGCGCCTCGGCGAGATCTTGTCCTCGGGTGACTTCCGACCTCCAATCATTGTTTTCGTCAACATCAAGCGAAACTGTGATGCCATCGCTCGTGAAATCAAACAGATGGGCTTCTCCTCTGTTACTCTCCACGGTTCCAAGACACAAGACCAGCGTGAGGCCGCCTTGGCCTCCGTGCGCAGTGGTGCAACAGACGTCCTCGTGGCGACTGATCTCGCTGGAAGAGGTATTGATGTTCCGGACGTGTCACTCGTCATCAACTTTAATATGGCTCTCACTATCGAGAGCTACACTCATCGTATCGGTCGTACTGGTCGTGCTGGCAAGAGTGGTGTTGCCATTACCTTCCTTGGTAGTGAGGACAGCGATGTCATGTATGATCTGAAGCAAATGTTGGTCAAGTCGCCCATATCAAGGGTCCCAGAAGAACTGCGCAAGCACGAAGCGGCGCAGTCAAAGCCCAATCGTGGCGCTGGAGGGAAGAAGATCGAAGACAGTTCTGGATTCGGAGGTAAAGGAGGCTGGGCATGATACCCTTTGCCGTTTCTTTCGTGTTTCATACCATCTTTACCATCTTTCTTCCCTGCTCCGTAGTGAGATACGTTATGTAGCAATGCCCTCCACATGTGATGTTTAGGTAAAACAAACGCTTACTGTCACGAAGATATATCACTACTAGGTATTTCCTGAAGAACAAATTACGCAGGATATCTACTACTACATACCTAGGTATGTAGGTACCTAGGTAGGTAGGTACTCCGAGGTAGTGTTTGGGCATAGAACCTTGGAAATACACCCATGGATCCTAGTACACACGCACTGCCCAGGTGCACAGGTGGCCCCGAGGACTTAGGCAACTACCTAGTACATCCATGGATGATGACCTAGATCCTGGGATAAGATTCGTCTCGAAGGATGAAAGGTTGAAAGAGTAGAGTTTTTGTATTGCTCATATTTCAACAAAGACACATCCTGTGCGCTTTGATGGTGTTATAATATACTCCGTAACATAGCTGATATTTAATTGAATATTTTCTCAAGTTGGGCCGAGCCGAGCCCTAGGGAATACTTCTTGCAATGCCGTTGCGGGTTTAGAGCTTGCTCTCCAGGTAGCGGTTGCTGTTCAGCCAGTCCTCAACATCCTGGCGGTCACGCTTAAGCCAGTTGACCTTGGCGCGGATAGCATCGAGACTTTGCTCAACAGCACGGTCGAAGCCCTGATTAACATAAGTTAGTAAGAGTACATAGAGCACGAGGGAATCCGCAGGTTAAAAGGAAATCACGAACCTTGGTGTCCTTGGAAGCAAAGAATTGCTCAACCTCCTTCAACTGTGCCTCGGTGCAGAAGCTGGCGGTGGTCATCTGAACAACGGTGCCTAGCATGCCGAGACCGGGAGGCAGACGCTTGTAGAGGTCATCCCAGTTAGACTTGAGCCAGTTCCAGCGGCCTTCAATACCAGCCGGGGAGCCACGTAGGCCGCCAAGGGGCATGTAGATATCCTGACTCTTGACCTCGTCGTTGATAGCAAGGCCAAGTGTACGCTGGATGAGCGCCGGATCCTCAGAGGAACCGAGGCAGCGCAGAGCAGTGGTCTTCTCGTCGGAAGTGGGGGCGTTGCGGAACCGGTCCAGAACAACCTCGTACTCCTTGACGCCTCCGTGCTTCAGGACGATGGTGAACACACTTCCACGGATGTTGGGGTGGATAGCAGAGATGTCGCCAGCAGCGAAACGGGCGAACATGTCCTGAGCAGCCTTCACCACGACAGGGTCGTCGGCCATACCGGCAGAGCCGAACATGAGAGCCTTGAATTGCTGCAGAATGTGGTCGTCATTCTCGGGGAAATCCCAACCGATCTCGTGGGCCTTCTTGGCAACCAACGAGCGCTGGAAGGCCTTGAGAGCATCCTTGGTTTCCTTGCTCTCGAAAAGCCAAGCCGCACGCAGGGTGCCAATGCGGGTGAGGATCTCGTTCCAAACCACAAACTCAGACTCAGTGTCGAGACCCTGGAGCAAGGACAGCATGCCCGAGGTGCGCTGGAAACCAGATGCCGCCAGGGCACCGGAGTCGGCGATCATACCGGCACGGTCCTCGACACTCAAGCGTCCGTCACGAGCAGCCTGACCAAGCTTCTTGAGACGCTCAGGGCTGTATGAAGTACGGAAAATGGCCGAGTGGTCGGCGTTGAGCTTGTAGAAATCCAGATCCGGAATGGGGAAGTCACGCTCGCGCTCAGTGAGCATGGTGCTCTCATCGACACCCTTCTCAGTACGCAGGCCAAGCATCACGGGGAAGAGAGTCTGGTCTTCCTCGGGGCGGACATCACCAGTGCGCAGGAAACGGTTCTGCTTCACGTGAATAGAGGAGTTGTCCTTGTTTTCGGTAACACTCAGAACGGGGAAACCGACGTTCTTGGTCCAGATGTCCATAACCGACTTCACCGGCTTGCCACTGGCATCACCCAGAGCAGCCCACAGGTCACCAGTCTCAGTGTTACCGTATGCGTGCTTCTTGATGTAGTTGCGGACACCCTGGAGGAACACGTCCTCGCCGAGGTATTTGGAAATCATGCGCAAAACGGAAGAGCCCTTAGAGTAAGAGATAGCATCAAAGATTTGGTTGATCTCGTCGGCACGCTTAACGGGCACCTCAATGGGGTGACTACTACGCAGAGAGTCAAGCGAGAGAGCACTCTGCAGGTTGTCAATAACGTAGGTCTGCCAGACCTTCCACTCCGGGTAGAAGACGTTGCATGAGTACCACGACATCCAGGTGGCGAAACCCTCGTTGAGCCAAAGACCATCCCAGAAGTCCATGGTGACGAGGTTTCCGAACCACTGGTGAGCCAGCTCGTGCTGAACGGTCTCAGCAATGCGCTCTTTTCGGGATGCACCGCTGTTCTTCTCGTCTAGCAGCACATCAACGATGCGGTATGTGATGAGACCCCAGTTCTCCATGGCTCCGGCACTGAAATCGGGGACGGCAACCATGTCCATCTTGGGTAGAGGGAAGTCGCTGTCAAAGGCCTTCTCGTAGAAAGCCAGAGTCTTAGCAGCGAGCTCCAAAGAGAAACGGCCGTGTTCAATATCCTGGTCAGGAGTGGCGTAGACACGAATAGGAACTCGGAAGTTTTGCGTCTCAATGTAGTTGAGGTGACCAACGATGAAAGCAACGAGATAAGTAGACATGAGCGGCGAAGTAGTGAACTTGACAGCCTTCTTTGCTCCACCCTGAACCTCGGTCTCGGTTTCAACATCCATGTTGCTCAAACAGGTCATGCTCTTGTCTGCGACCAAAGTCACAGTGAACTTGGCCTTGAGAGCCGGCTCATCGAAACAAGGGAAGGCCCGACGGGCATCCGTGGGTTCCATCTGCGAGGAAGCAATATACTTGGTCTCCCCATCCTTCTTGTATGAGGACCGGTAGAATCCGGCCATGTTATCATTCAGAATACCAGTGAAGGTGAGCTTCAGCTGGGCCTTGGAACCCGCCGAAATGGCCTGTCCAAACTTGATCGTAGCAGTCTGGGCGTCTTTGTTGAGGGAGATTTCGGGCTTTGAGTCCACCACCGATCCATTGGCTGAAACCACTGCGCTGTGGATTTCGATCTCGTTGGAGTTGAGGGAAACGAAATCGGTATCTTCGGCCACATCAAGACTAGATTGCACAGATCAGTGGCTGTACGGATGGGGAAATCTTGCGGAAGCGAGGCTTACTCGATGTTGACGATTCCTTCATATGTGAACTTCTCAAAGTTGGGTTCAAGGGTCAAGTCATAATGCTGCGGCTTGACATTTGTAGGTAGCACCTCTCGGCCCTGCACATTAGTCGACCCGGAGGCCTCGCCGCGGCGTGAGCTGCACATTCTGCGGTATGAACAGTATCTTTTGGAGGTGTGTGAGAGCGGAGAAGGATTACGGCGAGAGATTGGTCTAGGGACTGGAGCTTGAGGAGAGCGGGAAACAAAGAGGGGGAGGGGCGCTCTGGCGGAAAGAAGCGGTGGCTTTGCTTGTTGCAGCAGCACGCGCGAAGAGAAACGGCGCATCAGCACTGAGCCCGAACGCGGGAGATAACGAATGAAGAAAAGAAGGTAGGAATTAGAATTAAAGGTAATAGATAAACACAGAATAATTGAACCACGGACTTGCGAGCAATGGCCTCTGGCTCAAGGAGAAAAACATATCAAGTCCGGCAATTCCAGGCGGTGAGAGCTTCCGCTTCAATAGCTTTTCTTCTTTTTTTCCCCGCCCGTTTCTTCTTCTTCTTCATCATTTACGCAAGTTCACCCAGTGGATGCTACATGTTCACCATAGCACACAGCTGATTGGAATAGCTTTGCTATTACTTTGCAAGACCATACACCAGCAAGTTTGAGGGGCTCACGACAGATTCTTTGATTCTCGTGGGTGGGCATCCATAGAAGACTGGAACATACACCATTATCATAATTATCTGCATCTTAGTTATTGCTATGATACTCCGACCTCTCGAGGGGCTTTTATCTAGATCTGATCACGGAAGCAAATATCTTCTCTTTTTCTTGAACTCGAATCGCACATGGAGTAGGGCGCAACCAATTTTCAGTAAGAGCCTGCCTGTGTATGTTCTCTCGAAGTACGCAGTAAATTGAAGTCCATAGAGAGTAATCGCATAGTAGAAGTTGTTCACGGCATTCAATCGCAAGGCCAAAAAAACAAAGAACCTGGGAAGAGAAGAAATATACAACCGAGAGGACTTGCGGGGAGAGATGCCAAGACATCGAAACAGTCGGCCAGCACATTGATAACACCCATCCGTTCTCTTCACCATACCATCCCACACCCCCATTTACCCCGGCGACATACCTTTTGACGACGACCACCGAAGAATTGCAGCCTCGGGCGTATAAAGCTATAATCAAACTCCCACCCGCGAGCTTGCCACGTCCTCAAAATGCCTTACCTACCGACCTCCCAGGCCTTCCTGGAACAATCCGCCGAATTATTACAAGCATATCCAGCCGTAAGCGCGACAGTCCCAATGAAAGAGACGCAAGCTAACAGGCACAGACTCGGATAGTAACGAAATACAACTTCCCAACAACGAGGCCCGGCAACGCCAAGCGAATCCAAAAATCGCAAGCCAAAAAGACCGACACCACACCCAGTGCACCAATCGCAACTCTTACAGTGAGGACTTTCAACCCAGCTACGGGTATCTGTTTGCAATACCGCACGAACAAAGCACAGGAGGTCTCTCGGTTGATCACGAGTCTTGGGAAATTGGCCGCCGGAGCCGATGTGGCGGGGCTGGGGTTGTCTGCGCCCGCTCCAGTTGATGTTGAGATGGTGGATGCTCCGGCTGTGGAGGAACCGAAGCAGCAGCCACCGCAGCAAGCTCAGGGAGGAAAGGGGAAGAAGAAAGGTGGGAAGGGAAAGCGATAGGCTACCTAAGCATGTTGAATTAAAAGCTGAATTGCATTAACCAAATGTTCTAATATTGATTTTCTATGTGCTGGTACGGAAAACCTAGGTGGATATGGTCTGCTACCTACCTGGAGATAGCTCATCAATAGTAACTAGGTAGATGCCTAGTTGCGCAGAGAGCCGGGCCCGGGTATGATCTTCAATGGCAGGGCTGGAGAGCTTCTTAGTGGAGATTGTATACCTAGGCACGAACCAGAAAGTTGGAATATTACCTATTGATAACAATGGTACGGAGTGGTCATTGCGTCGATGGGAAAGTAGGCAACTGGTTCTAATGGACAAATAATTTTGATATGGATACATACAAGCTCGACGAGACATTAGATCGAAGGAATCCAAAAACCTAGATACACAGAATCCTCCACCAATCTACAGGACACCGACAGGATTCCAAGTAGATGAAGAACAGACAAAATTTCAACGCCATTCCCATGCGAGCCTTCGAAAAAAAAAACGTCAATCAGTAAAACGGAAAGTAAAACAACGTGATATCATGTAAGGGGAGAGAGGGTATAAAACAAGAGTGAGATGGAAGAAGGGAGAGGAACTTCATTTAGAAGTCCTCATCGAAGTTGAGACCGTCGCTAGCAACAACCTCACCCTGCTCGTTTGTCTCCTTCTTGGTGGAAGCCATGACACCGGCCTTCTGGTAGTCACCGACACGCTTCTCGAAGAAGTTGGTCTTGCCAGCCAGGGAGATGGACTCCATGAAGTCGAAGGGGTTGGTGGAGTTGTAGTACTTCTTGTTGCCGAGGGCCACGAGCAAGCGATCAGCGACAAACTCAATGTACTGGCACATGAGCTTGGAGTTCATGCCGAGCAGGCCACAGGGCAGAGCATCAGTCAGGAACTCCTGCTCAATGCCGACAGCCTCGACAATGATATCCTGAACAACCTTGGGTTCGGGGCGGTGGTTGAGGTGTGAGAAGAGCAGACAGGCGAAGTCAGTGTGGAGACCCTCGTCACGAGAGATAAGCTCGTTGGAGAAAGTGAGACCGGGCATAAGACCGCGCTTCTTCAACCAGAAGATGGAAGCGAAAGAGCCGGAGAAGAAGATACCCTCAACAGCGGCAAAGGCGACAAGACGCTGAGCGAAGGTAGACTCCTTGTCGTTGATCCAGCGAATGGCCCATTCGGCCTTCTTAGCAATGCATGGGACTAGTGTTCAAGTTAGTCAGACGATCCAGTTGTGAGCAGTGAGGTATTCTTACTGGTGTCAATAGCATCGAAAAGGTATGTGCGCTGCTTGGGTTCCTTGATGTATGTGTCGATGAGGAGGGAGTAGGTCTCAGAGTGGATGTTCTCCATCATGATCTGGAAGCCATAGAAGCAGCGGGCCTCGGGGATCTGAACCTCTCCACTGAAACGCTCAACGAGGTTCTCGTTGACAATGCCGTCGGAGGCGGCAAAGAAGGCAAGAACGTGAGAGATGAAGTAGCGCTCATCATCGTTCAGGCGGTTGTGCCAGTCGTGGAGATCCTTGGAAAGATCGATCTCCTCGGCGGTCCAGAAGGAGGCCTCAGCCTTCTTGTACATCTGCCAGATCTATTCAAACACGAGTTAGCCCAAATTATTCGCGACAAAAATCTCCACTCTAACCACTTTACGCGTGAAGACGCGTGGGCGACGTGACTAACCTCGTGGTACTTGATGGGGAACATGACGAAACGGTGGGGGTTCTCCTGCAGGAGGGGCTCAGTGGCCTCCAGCTCCTTGATTGTGGGAGCAGCCTTGGTGGCAACAGTCTTCTCGGTAGGCTTCTCAACGGTGTCGACCTTCACGGCAGTGGGAACATTCTCCTTGCCGACTGATCCGAAGTCAAGCTTCTTGGCGGGGGAGTCTGTCATCTTGAGGTTCTCGAGGGAGGAAGCAGCCTATGGGAAGGGAATTGTTAGCTCCATGCAGGTTCAATACGCGTCTGACGCGAGAGGCAAAAAACGTGACATCACGTACCTGCTTCGAGGGAGTAACTTGAGCAGCCATTGGGACAAGTATCTGAAGGACGTGGTAGGGCAAGAACAATGCTTCAAGACAAGAATGGGCAGACGCTTGTGAAGTGGGATGGGAAGTTTGGTGACAGACGAGGGAAAAGAAAGACAATTAAGTAGTGCTGCGGGCTGGCGATTTCTCTAGCGCGACTTGCAAAGTCACATCGCACGTGATCACGCGCAGATTAGGTAACGCCGCCAAAAACGCGTTCCGGGTGGATTTGGTGTCTCTCATGCCACTTGATTCCCAGCAACATCCGAAAGGATATGGCCGTGCTCCATACCAGCCCCTGAGGACCCATTCTTGTGCATATGCTCTGCTCTGGGAATTGCGATCTTATCTCAATCTGCAGTGGTTTTGACAGCTTTACACTTTATACCGACCGTGGAGGAATTCCCCTACCAATTCCTGTCGCCAAATAAGCCTACGATCAGGCTTTACGGATCTATACGGACAACTACGGTCCAGAGTACGATTCAATGTACCCGTAATCGTCACAAAACAACACTAGACGCGTCTCCAAACTTCGACGTAATGAGGCTCCACCTCAGGATCTGATAAGCCAGAGGGGCTAACGCGCGACGCGACTAGCACAACAAGCCGGATTTACGGATCTAACTGGCTTTTCATCTGGAGGCCTAGATCCAGCTGCTTGGATCTCATTTGTGGATTGGCTTTTCTTTCAAGGATTTTCGGTTCTCGGCCGCCCTGCTCCATACAGCTTGAGCTCAGCTCCCCACACGCGTTCGCGTTATGGGGTCTCCCTATGACCTCGCGTCTTACTATGCTACACCAGCGCACTCAACGGACAATGCTCGTATAGTATATCTTCAACCTAGGAAATCTCCAGGGGCAGCTCTGTAGCAACGCTCTGACATCTGGTAGATCATGTCAGAGAATGAAGGATGTACCCCATACCGAACCTTGGAAGTTGGGAGTGGACCTCGGGATACATAGCGTCTAATCACGCCGATCTGCTCGCGTGTCGGACCTCAACTTCGTAACCCGTAGGCAACAAGACGGAATACTGCGTTGCAGGGTTTGAATGCCAAGTCTGTGGCTTGCCGATATTCAATGGTGTGGGCTATAATACGGAGTGGTCGTGCTCCGCATCCGACTTCAGGCAAGGGCCATTCATTCTATTCAATTCCAAGGTTATTCCCCCGTACTCAGTACAAAGAGTTCTGATGTTGTATCGAGTACCCGTACCCCATGCAATGTGGCAAATCCCTTGCAATTCTGAAATCTCCACAAGTTCGCGTCTCTGCACCGGCAACCTGGGATTCTATACAGGACGTTCCTTGCGTCACCACGTGCAACCGCGTTCTCGTGTTTCGTGATGGGACCGCGCCAAGATATCTTTATATGCAACGGATACGAGTATGTACATTCAACTCCCTTCTAGAAATCTGGGAACGCCGACTCTATGCCCAAATCAATAGCAGCATGCCCAGAACATCCCATGCAAAATAGACTGCAGATGGTGATAGTCGATCTCAATCGTGTAAGATCATTGTGGTATCATCTGTGTTGCTTAGATTCCCTCGCGGAAAGAGTTGGGCAAAACCCGATCTTCGACGCGACGCATCAGCTTGTTGGTTTGCTCAGCCAGACTGAGGGTCAGAATCTAAATGCGGGGTTAGATCTTATCGCGGAACGAGCAGTGCGGATTGTACATACAGTGTGGGGTAGAATGCGGGCCAGGTGGGCAAAGAAGCCCTTGTAAATGGCGAAGACGCCCTCAGTGCGGATGGTCTTCAGAAGACAGTCAAAGACACCTCCGTACAGATTACCTGTCTGGTTATACATTCGGGCCATGATCGTGTCTAAAAACGAGGTCAGCCAAGTACCGATGCTACTATAGAGATCCACTTACCAGGAGGATGCATGAAACAGCACACGACGAAACCAGAAGCCGCGCTACTGGTAAGATGCAGAGCAGGGCCCTCCTCCATGCCCAAATGGCGGGTCAAACGGCGCTTGGCGAAGAAGTATGTGGGGAGCTGGACGGCACTGCCGAAACTGGTACGGATCATAGCAGCTCCAACACCACGGTAGATACCCTTGATACCCTCGCCCTTGTAAATCTTGCTCAATCCATCGTACGAGTTCTTGTAGTTGTGTTGAGTGCCGACCGGGAGGAAGGGGGAGTATGACTGAAGACGAGTCTTCACAAGGAAGAATGGCGATCCAGCGGCAGCACCAATAACACCGGAAGCAGCACCAGCGAAGATGTTGGCACCGAGAGATTGGACCTTGGGATCACTGTAAATGGCGGTTGTGAGGTTCGAGCGGATGGGTTCATAGAAGCCCAGACGGCAGCCGTTCAACAGGATTTGGTACACATACTAGACACCAGTAGTAATTAGTTTAGTCTGATGCGCTTGGACCCAAATCACCCCGGATTATTACTCACGGCAGATCCAATGCCCCGGAACAGACCCCGAGGTCCCTCATTCTGCAAGATCACCTTGACACCGTGCAGCACACCTCGGTATTTCTTCACAGCCTCATTCTTGGCCTGCAATTCACCTTGCAATTGTAAACTAGACTCGCCCAAGATATATTAGTGGGAAATTCCGGAGAGAACAGTATAATAGAATACCCACCGAATCTTGACTGTCTCGAAACTGTGGGTGACGGTGACCGCACCGCATGCTGCGATACCGCCTGCAATGAATGCGCTAAAGCATATGTTAGCCTTGGGCCATAAGCGCATATTCAGCGATGTGAGGAGCCATACCCTCCAGTCGTCGCCATGGTATCTGACCGGTGATTCGGTTTCGGTAGTGACGGTTGGGTATGTCGGTTAGCGTAGGAGGATCGGGCCCGCAGATGATGACGAGGTAGCCAAGGGAGCCTTCAACTGAGTGGTCTGCCCGAAGATTAGAGCCTTAGCGGACCTGAGTCGAGCCGAGTAGTTCTATCAGTGAATGTACACAGGAAGGAGTGATGCGATGGGAAAAGTATCTGGGGGACAGCATAAAAGCTTACATGCGGCGAATTGAACTCGGCTAAACACCCATTGGTCAATTTGTGCCTGGGCCTCCGGCCTCGGTGCCGGTGTGGGTAGCCCCGGGATTTCCTAGGGCGGTGAACCGCCGGTGACGGCACTCGACAGCGTTTATGAGGCCAAAGGTCTATGGCTCTCTGAACGTACTATATCACTCTTTATCACAATCTAAACAGCCTGTGACATCCAAAGAGAAGGTCATTAAGCCTCGGCCATCCATGGATTGACTGTTACAACCCTGCAGCAACCCCACTTTCTGTGCTCATTATCGTAATGGCCAAAGGCGGTGTAGCGCGCAAAAAAGCAGTCGCGCGGAGCTCTGCTCGGAGCTTTCATAGTCACCGTTGTCACCATATCTTCTTGCTTCCTTCTATGCTCACTTAATACCATGGGCAATACTCGACCCTTGGACAAACATTAAAAGCAACACATTTTAAGATCATCCGCAATGACTGAGGGTCAATCGACACCCCAGCTGGCCTCAGCCACTCAAGCTCCCCTCAGATCGCAAAAAGTCACAGAAACCGCCCCCTTCTATCGCCCAAACAAGGTGTGTGGATCTTAACATACATAATAGCTACATGTAGTCTAACTACTCCCTGGAATAGGGATTCTTCCCTTGCAAGAAAGAACCGTCAAAATTCGTGACCTCTCTGGACTTTGATGATCAAGGCGACTATCTGGTCGGCGCTGGGAACGATGAAAGTATCCACACTTACGACGTGAAAGAGGGGAAATTCAACAAGACCGTTGCTTCTAAGAAATATGGTGTCCACCTTGCGCGATTCACACATCACTCTCGTCAGGTCCTCCATGGGAGTACCAAGGTTGATAGTGAGTAGTATAATGTCTCCGCTCTGGGCCACTTCGCTAACCACAGGCAGATAATCTCCGACTCCTGGACCTCCACAACGAGAGTTATGTCCGATACTTTGCTGGCGTGGGTGATCAAGTAACCTGTTTGGCTCTGTCCCCTGCCAGCGATGCCTTCGTGTCCTGCTCCAAGGACGACACAGTGACAATTTGGGACCTTAATTCTCGAAATCCTCAAGGAAAGCTAAAAGTCGCGACCCCATACCTTTCAGCCTTCGATAACTCCGGTGCCGTCATCGCAATCGCCTCTCAGTCCACGTCCGTCGTGCTGCTCTATGACTTCCGCAATTTTGACAAAGCACCCTTCTCCACATTTGACCTTGCACCATGGGAAGAGAGATATACACCATCGACACGAGGGCGGGCATGGACCAGGTTGGAATTTTCCAACGACGGCAAATCATTGCTCCTTGGAACAGACTACCACGGGCATTACGTTCTGGATGCATATGAGGGCACCGTCAAGGCCTTTCTGGCTGGAAAGGGCGGTCCATCTGGTCGCGCGGCACCGGTGTCCGCAACAGGCAAACCCCTAGGGCAAGGAGATGCATGTTTCTCCCCCGACGGGCGATTTGTTGTTGGTGGAAATGGCGACCAGCCCAATATGCTCATGTGGGATATTAACCAGGCCAGTGAGGGGGATCCCTTAATTCAGCCTACATACAAATTGCCCTATTCAAAACCCACGGCCATGGTGGAGTGGAATCCACGATACAACATGATCGCCAGCGCCGACAAAGAGATTGTCTTCTGGGTCCCCGAGGATTCTTCCAAATCTTCTGAGAAATAAACAAAGTGAAATGAACAGACTTCAAGACATGATCAGGGTTTGCAACCTTCCAAAAGTGACACACTCTCAAAATTGGCATTCGCGGATGAGCGAATCTCTATGGATGTGTCTAGGTTTTTCTATCTCTATCTTTTCCCACCAAACTTCGCGCTGTGTCGCAAATCCAGACATCTGGACCTTTCAAATCATCGTCGTCTTGCCTGTTGCTTTCGACCGTTGCCTCGATCTGTTTATCGATGGTGCGATTGCTTGAAATCGTCGTCAATCCTGTGATCCAGCCGTACAAGAACACGCTGTTGTTGATGTCAGACAATGTTTTTGTAACTTCATGAATCACAGCAGGGAGGTCGCCTCTTTCTTTGGCGGCAGTTATCACCGGCTGGGCATCGACCACTCTGATAGGGAGTTTCCACTCTGCAGGAACAGGGTAGTCGGTCAGTTCTTGGAATTTTTGCAGCACACCGTCATGGCCGAGGTTTTCATAAGGCTGCTCTCCCAACAGCAACCGGGTGCGTGTTTTCTCTGTGTCTGTACCGATGGTCTCAACAATTTCCCTGAAACGTGTTGCAGCCTCCGAAGTGGCAACCAGTTCACGGGCACTCATGGCTGGCCAGAGCTCGGAAGGCAACAGTGGCTTTTCTTTTTCGACTTCAATCTGTCGAAGGATGGCTGGATGAAGCTGGAAAGCTGGGACAATGTCCTTGATATGTGAAAGGTCGGACACCAAGGCTAGCAGGATCGTACAGTCGACATTCAAGGTAGATGTGAAATTCTTGAAGGGTTGAGGCAGTAGATGGACCAGTCCAGTGCCAGTAGGTTCTGGTAAACTTTGCTGGCACTCGACTTTAACGCCAAAGCTCCGCATTTGTGTCAAGATGGAATCAATCGCGGGAACACTTCCCTCTTCAATCTTTGGTATCACAATACGTAGCCGAGGGTGCCCGTACCTCACTCGTGTAGAATTGGCAGCTCTTCTCAGGTCTCGGGCGAGTTTGATGAGCTCCATTTCATCGTCGTCTTCATCGTCGTCCGAATGCTGTAGCACAGTCCGTCCTTTTCCATCCTCGGACCACTCTTCCTCGCTATCAGTATCACACTCCCATCCCTTCTCCGCCATCTCGAATAACAAACGATTCTCAGAAACCGTGGAGACTTTCACCCACTCCTGTCCGTCATCGGCAACAATGTCGACAAAGGCGCTCTTGCGCTTATCCTTGTTGGGTGGCTTCTCAGGCTGTGAGCCAACTTTCTTCATCTTCTCGCGCACCGTCGCTTTTGATTCACCTTCCCAGTAGAATCTCCTCCCAAGACCAACCAGGCCAGTACAGGACCCCTTCGTAATCCTCCACACAGCTTGGTAAAACGGCAAATTGGACGAACGCAAGGCGTGCACCAGACGCATCTCAGTGTCTGGATCAGCAGAGCACGGGCCAGTCTCCACGGCTGCTTGAATTTGCTTTCCCATCCTCTGGAGGATCTTTGATTCGGCGTTCACATTCGTGCGGAATTGGCGCACCTCAACCAATTGCGGATTGCGGAGTGTGGATGCCACCAGGGCTGAATAGGCGTCAATTTCGGACAAGAGATCGTCGCATTCTTGATTCAATTGTCTGGAAAGCGTGGAGCTAGTGCGAGTGTTCGGCTCGTCAGCCTCGGCTGCTGGTCTGGCGGTGCCAGTGCTTGTGTTGTCGGTTTGGCTGTCATCGATATCCCGATGTGGGCCGGAGGTTGTTGCCATCATCCAGTGCTAATCACCGCTGTGTGATGCGTTCCAGCCCGTTATACTCCGTACAGTCGTGCGCTAACATACGAGAGTGGTCGAATGTGCAGATTCAACCGGATTTTGCGGTCTCAAGGTTTGTGCTGTACAGCAACACGTGTGGGGCAAGCGCAATGGGCGTCCACGGGTGTTATCAGATCGGCGAGGTTCCAAGGTTGACATCTATACCCAGGCATCTATGTCCCTCTGGCGCTATTGAGTATGTTGGTATTGGAACATACGTCGGCCAGTAGAATGGGATTTTTGCAAAATCAAAAAATTGTGACTCATGAAATATTCTGCTTGCTTCTAGTGAAATCTATTCTTGGACAAAGAGTTGGGGCCGAAACTCCGATCAATGTTCGGCTACTATCATCATACATTCCAACTCACGTTGAGGTAGTCATAAGGATCTTGCTGTCATTGCTAGACAAATTGCACGATGTCTAATCCACGATACAAGAGAAGCCAGGAGAACAAGATTTTCTGACACCGGCGTGAAAGATAAACAACGCCATAACATGCTTGCACCCTGAATCAAGATGTGTTGCTCCCTCGAAACAGATTAGATCTAGGGGAACGAGTGATCCTGCATCGAGCAAGGTCAGCACGCGCCAATGTTCTAGATATGATCTAATCTTTGTTTTTGCCGGTGAGTCGTTCTCTCTCGTTCGAGTTGCGAGGTGACTCGTCATCCTCCGACCATCTCTCGCCGTCTTCTTCGCCCACTGCGAATATCGTTTCCTCCTCAAGAGATTCACGCTGTCGTGGGGCTGAAGAGACAGGCTTAGGAGGCACCGGGGACAAGTCACGACGGCCTTCGGCAGCCGAGCTGCCAGGGTAGTCAGGCGGGGCATCATATGCATCCTCCTCATCCAGCCCACTGCCGAATGATCGGATCTCAAATCCATCGTCATCTTGAGCAAGCTGTCATCATGATTAGCATTCGTCATTTGCGATTTGAAGGAAGGGATCCGTACCTCGTCACTCATGGCAAAGCGGCGGTTGTTAGCGGTTGGTCGCCACAGATAGGCCACAAATCCGATATCGAACAGGTACACCAGGTTGAGCCAACCATCCAAAACAAACCATCTTGCCTTCCAGTGTTCGGGAACAAAGCTCGCGTCACTGCGTCCGGCGAAGGCGAACGAGTTGATGAAGAAGAAACCGAAGATCACGATGATGCTTCCCAGGATACACCACCACAGCTTTTTGTACATCATAGCCTTGGTCTTTTGCTTTCGGTCAATGAGATCCTTCATGGTGGCGTTTAGGGAGTTCAGGGTCCACACGTAGAACGCAGTGAGTGTGCCGGCAAGTGGAAGAACGATTAGAAGCACCAGGGGACCGGCACTCTCTGGGGTGATCGACAGACTGGCCACCGAGTAGACAACCGCGAAAATGAAGTGTGCGATTGCCAGGACACGGACATAGATCATTGTTCGGCCAAGAGAATGTTTCACCACACCGTAGCCCATGCAAACGATGAGAAGAAGGAAGAACGAGAAGGCGTTTCTACCTGCATTGAGAACAGCGACAATGACCATCAGGGCCTTCGCTCCGCCGTTGAGTCCATTGCGGTTCTGGAATTCTGTCGAACTAGTTAGACAAGGAAGACAAAGAGCGTGACTGCGGTGAACTTGCCATAAAATCCCCATGTCATCAATTGCTCAACGATCAGGAAGACAACAATCGCTGTGATATAGTTTTGAACAGGCACTGTATACGTCAGTATCAACTCGAAGGGAGAGAGCAAGGCAGACTCACAGATATCATAACGGTTTTGCACGTAGAGGAATGCCCAGAAGCTAAATCTAGGTCAGCAAATGCCCCGGGGTTAAGTACTCGGGTCAATTTAACATACATTCCGATCACGGCGTACACAATGGTCAAAGCACCATAGAATGGAAGCTTCGCGATTTGCGCAGCTGGAAGCTCACCATAGGAATTCCGGAATGTGACGACTGCTTTGTAGTCCTCCCCAGAGTACGCATACGTGCTCACGCAGTAAAATCCAGTCTTTCTGACAGGGTATTTCAAGGCATCCGGGTCATTCAGATGGATCGCCTTCGAGATAATGGGGCTTGTAGATACGTCAGAGGCATTGTTTGTGAGGACGAAAGACCCGAGTTGATCCTCGGTACAGATCTTCGCATCGACGTTGGAGGCATCGCAAATTGTTTCCTTGACCTTGAAACCTCAATTAGTTTCGGGGTCAGTTGTGTCTGGTTCAAAGATCATACCTCGGCGTCGTCGGAACGGTATTTCCCAATCAATTCCTCGTCAGACCATTCAAATATGACCAAGCTAGCCAGTGGATCGCTTTCTGATGCTGCTGACTTGGAGAATTTCACCAGTATGAAAGGATCGACGTTTCCTCCCCAAGCTTTGCGACTGTACATCCCTGAGCATCGTTGTCGGTGCGCATCATCGGATTTCTGAGCACAGTTTGATTAGCGTAATCCAGACAACGGTTTGTGGACAGCGACGGCCTATCGGACTGCTTACCAATTCGACATCGTTGGCAAGCACCTGGCTTGCCAGTAGGGCTGTCAGACCTAACGTCTGGAGCCAGCTCTTCATGACTGTGGAGTTGAGCTTGACTAGGCTCCTGGGTTTGGAAGAATGTCAAGGCCACACAGCATCAAAGAAGAGATATAAGGCGAGGTAGTAGATTCGCTGCGACTTATGAGCAAGACGGGCGGTTAAAGGAGATCTGAGCTCAATGCGTGGCCCCAAACCGGGGAAGCCGCGCGTGGATATTATCTAAGCCAAAATCCGCCACTAATTTTAGTTTCCAACTTTAGTTGATCTTTTTTCTACTCAAGTCTAGCATACTCGGTGACAAGACGGTTGATCACCATGCCGGTCAAGGAGCTAGAGCAGCCATGCATGGAGTGCAAGGATGCTGAATTCAAAATCACCGTTCGCCAGCGGAAACTTTGCAAGTATGCGACAATCTATAACCCCTCCAAGTGCGATGCGAGTTGCTAACTTTCTCAGCTTTTGCTACAAGCGCTTCATTGCTCATAAAGTCATTGCGCGCATGAGTCGCTATCGACCATATAAATTAGATCAGCCACGTCACCAGCTACTTCTTCCCGTATCGTTCGGCGTCTCGTCGTCGGTCTTGTTGCATATATTAAACGCTGATCGCCAGAGGCGTCAAGATGAATCACGCCTCATAGGCTACGACTTCCACATCCTTGTCGTCGATCCATCCACAGTCTCAACGACAGAACGAACCTCGTTCGACCAAAAGTTTGAGCTGATGCAAAAGATTTTCCCTGCCCACACTTTCACTCGCATTCCCTTCCACGGCATCTTTGACCACGCCCCAGAGATGGAAGAGATCATGCGGAAATATGCCGGGGCGCATTTTAAGGATGATCCCTCACTCCCCAACGAAGAGCGTCTGGCTGCCTTCCGCGCCTCTATCTCTACAGCCACATCCCAAGCCGATATCGACACCGTTTTACTGACCAGGCTCATCGTTACATTCGCGAAGAAACTTGAGTGCAAATCTGTGCTTTGGGGTGATTCAGATAGTCGTCTTGCCGCGAAAGCACTTGCAGGTGTTGCCAAAGGGCGTGGAGCCTCACTCACTTGGCAAGTCTCCGATGGTATGTCTCCTTGGGGATTGGAGTTCGAGTACCCCCTACGTGATCTCTACAAGGCGGAATTACTCCAGTATGAGAGTCTATGCCCGGAGCTTTCCGATATAGTCATTCCCGACCAGCCACCCTCCGAAAATGTTCTTACCAAAAACCTGTCCATCGATGAGCTCATGCTACGATATGTCCAGGGCCAGGGTGCAAAATACCCGGGCGTCATGGCAAACGTCGCAAGAACAGCGAACAAGCTAGAATCCTCTACTTCTGGCGCCGCAGCTACATGTGCTCTGTGTGCTGGTCTCTTGGGAAATACCGAGGGAAACACCGGAGTGACTGTTGCCAACCAGGCTCAGGATAACCTAAGCTCCCAATTTTGTTACGGATGCATGCGGTCTCGCCCTGAGGATGTTTGCTAAAAAGAATCGTTTCATTGGGAAAACAAAGGGAACAACATGCAAACATTCAACACTAAAGCCATTGCCAATAACCACGGGGTATCTGAAACTGCATCTCAATATCATTATGCTTAAAGCATTACCGTCCACCTCGCTCCAAATCTTCTTCGGGATGACTCGCTCCACCAAACCACCTACCAAAAGAACGGTTGTTCTTGGGCTTTTTCGCTGGCTGTGGTCTGGTTGGTGGCTCAGGGCCGGAGTTGTGACCTGCCCCATGGCTCGATGGATGGATGTAATCGTATGCTGGGGGGCTATCGCTGACCACCCCACCTTCTTGTCTATCAAATGCATCAGGAAGGCTATGGTCGACCTCGACTTCTTCTCGTCTTCCTTCATCTCTTCGTGTTTGTGACCGCCGTCTGCTTCGCTTCGCAGCGGCCTTGGCGCCCTTTTCGCGCAAGTGGGTTTCGAGAATGACTGCGTTCCTGGTGTTGGCTTTGTACACAGCATCGGCAAGATCACCAATGAACGGCACAAGACCAATGACGAAATCGACAATCACATTGATCATCATCTTCATGCGCAGGGATGCAGGAAGTCCACCATCGATGCCTTCGCATGATCTCACGACCATCATCGCAAGAGCGGCGTCACCAGCATCACCGATACTATTGTTTCATGGTTAGCATTGATCTCGGTGGTGTAATGGTAGTCTGATAATTCTTACAATGGAACGAGTCCAATTACACTTCCCCAACCGAAGCGGATTCCGCATAAGTTGAAGAGCGCATAGTCCAATTGGTAGGCTCTGCGCTTGACCTTCGTCAAGACTTTGCTATCATTGTCTGATAAGCCTGGGGGAATGGCCTTGCGACGCTTCTGCTTCTTCTTCCCGAAGGTACGGCCGAGTCGAGAGGCTGGGACTTCTTCGAAGTAAGGGTCCTGTATGGATACCGCGTTAGCTCTGTTTGCCCTCACTCAATGGACGGTGACAAGCGATTGAACCCACCTCGGTGCCGAAGTGATTCTTGGCGGTTTCGCCCAACACCCTCTTTCCAATCAGAGATACCAGTGCTTTCGACATGCTGGACAGGGCTCAAGATTGGGAAAGGAATTATTCGGTGGTTGGCCGTAAAAGTGTGGACGTCAATAAATAAGTATCCTGACCAAGCGGTTGCTAACGGTCGCTGCTTCTGAAGATACTAAGCAAGGATAGTAAAAATAGACAGTAAGCCTTTGAACCTGAGGTCGCAAAAGCTTAGCGCTGGTTGGGCGATCAAGGGTTTCGGTAGGCGCTCGTTTCACCTATGCTGGGTACATAGGGAAATGAAAGAGGAGTGGCGGAAATCTTCTTGCGAAAGGGAGATTAATATAACAAATCCACCAACACAGGGGAGTCAGGGTGATCAACTGTTTTGCGCGAACAGACGTCATACCTTTGAATCCTGGAACGCCGATCTAGAAGCCACATGTGGCGTTGGGATATGCACCGCCACATGTTAGTCATCTGATCATCAGCCCGCCGAACTTGGGCAGCTCCGGTTGGTCTCAGCTGCTTCCCAACACCCGTGGACATCACTTCACTCTTCCCTCTACGCTCATTGGCACACTTCAACCTCTTATCTTCCTGCATCCTCTGCTATCAGATTCGATCCAGCAGTTTCGCCACATCCACACAGCCCTGGGTTGGTGCACCCTTCCTAGAAGCTGTTATCTCCACAGTGCTGGCTTGCTTGTTTCGACTGTTTGCGCCGTCGGACTAAGTGAGCAACCAGTTTTCGGTCACTAAAATTTTGAAATGCCAGAGCATATCCAACAATATGACAGAAACAAAGATGCAATTAGAAGATTGTGAGTGCCTAATCCGTGATCGGCTACAATGACGACAGGCCACTGACCAAGGCCTGCGGGGTGTTTGCAACAGGGCTGGATGACTTGTGTGTCCGTTTCATCATCAATCTTCCCCGCGAAGAGCTTGAGTCCGTGGAAAGAATATGTTTCCAGGTTGAAGAAGCGCAGTGGTTCTATGAGGACTTCATACGCCCGCTGGACCCTGCCCTCCCGTCCCTCAATCTCAAGACTTTTGCCATGCGCATATTCCAGCATTGCCCGCTCATGTCCACCTTCTCTCACCATGAACATATCGTCGCATTCTCCGAGTTCCTCGCATACAAGACGCGCGTCCCAGTCCGCGGTGCGATCATGTTGAACGAAGACATGGACGAAGTCGTATTGGTCAAAGGTTGGAAGAAGGGTGCCAATTGGAGTTTCCCTCGAGGAAAAATCAATAAGGATGAAAAAGACCTCGACTGTGCAATTCGTGAGGTTTACGAAGAGACAGGCTTTGATGTTCGGGCCGCCAATCTGATCAAGAACGATGAGGACGTCAAAGACATCGAGGTCACCATGAGAGAACAGCACATGCAACTCTTTGTTTTCCGAGGTGTTCCCCGCGATACCTACTTTGAACCGCGCACCCGAAAAGAGATCAGCAAAATTGAATGGTACAAACTCGCAGACCTGCCTACAATGCGGAAGAACAAGCAGCATGATGACGGGTACGCAGCTGCAAATGCAAACAAGTTTTACATGGTGGCTCCTTTCCTACATCCTTTGAAGAAGTGGATTGCCCAGCAAAAGAAGCTTGATCTAAAGACACAGCCTAGCAAGCAGACCAATGCCGCCGAGGGATACGTCTCCGTTGACGAGACTGGCTACGCCAACGGCACTCCTGGCATGTCTGCTGCAGAGATGACCTTGCCAAGTGATCTTCCAGAAGTGGCCTCAGCGCAACATGCTTCAGATCATCTCAAGCGTCTTCTGAAGATAGGTGATATGCCATTACCAACGCAACAGCACGTTCCTGAGACTGCTCAGCATTCTGCAGTTGATGCAACAAAATCTGATGCGCTTCTTTCTCTGTTACTCCAAGGTAGAACTGAGCAGGCTGCCACTCAGATTTCACGCGGCGATAATATCCCGCCCCCCAACGGAGTCTTGCCAAATCTTCCGCTTCCAAACAACGGCATGGGGAACAACTTCTTCCCCGGCTTCCCCCACCAGCACCAACAGCAAGATCCTCAATTCCAGACCTACCCGGGGCTGCAATACCCCGCAAATGGGGCGCAGATGCTTCCTGGGCCTGGATTCCCCAGCGTACAACCGGAGGCTCGTGCTGCTCCAATCATGCCACAATACTCTCAGCCTCCCCCTGTGTCACGATACCCTGTACCCTCGGGGCATATGCCTGCACCCTTCCAACGCACTGGCGATCCCGAATTTTCAGAATCTGCCTCAACGTCTCGAGGCTATGGTCCTGCAGTCCCGCCAGCCAGCAAACTGCCTCCGCCCAAACTTACGACCCATTCTTTGGCGCTTTTGAACGCATTCAAAGTGAAGACTCCTAAAGCCGCAACTCCCGCAACCTTGGCAGCGCCTGTGCAGGGCTCCTCTTCGCACATGCGTAAGACTTCACAGCATCAGGATGGTCTCCTAAACTTGCTCAAGGCACCTCAGGCCGTGGCCAGTTCACAGCCAGCAGAGCTATTGGGGAACCCAGTTGCGCCATCTCCGGCGCCTCCAAGCAAGCATATTCTCCAGCGCCCGCAAAACTACTCTCCCTCGCCGGCACAACACCCAAGCGCCCCAACTCACGGCCATACGGCAAATGGTCAGGTGTCAGCCACTGTGTCAGGGCCTTTGAACACCCCTCGGTTCGACACAACCACCAAGTCGAACGCGAAACCCCACGGAGGATCAAATCGCAAAGGCCCAGCAGGCAGGAAAGAAAAGGTCCAGGCGGCACCGACTTCTTCGCCAATGACAATCTTGGCAAGGCCTGAATCTGCCAAACGGGAAGTTGCCCCTGGACACGCCCCGCCTGCGACATCGGTTCCTCCTGCCCAGGTGCCGCAGACCCCCGAACCTGTTAAAAACTTCCAACCACAAATTCTGCGTCGATCTGATAAGACTGGTCACGAAATTTTGATGGCCGCGGCTCCTCAGGTGACTGAGCGGAAGCCAAGCCTGCCAGGTTCTCAGGCCAGCCAGGGCTTGGCTCCGCAGGGCAACTTTGACAGGCGACCCAGTCAGACCGCTGAGCAGAAAGCTTCGCTTTTATCTCTTTTTGCCAAGGGAGATGGGCGTGCTTCTCCGTCGGCCATCAGCCCCGGTCCGCGGGACTCGCGAGCTGGATATCACCAGCCAACAGGAGTTGTCAGCCCCATGTCATCTCGCCATCATCCCAGCAGTGGTGGCACTATTTCTCGACATGGGACGCCGTCTGATGCAGGTGCGCCGACTCACACCAGTCAAGTTTCTTCCCCAAGCAACAAGGCGTTCTTGCTTGGGTTCTTGGAAGGTGTTGCCAAGGGAAACAAATAGGTATCCCTCGGCCGTTTTTGTAGATCACTCTACCATAGCGCATCCATTTTTGCATAGCATCCATAGTCTAATGCTGTATCATTTTTTTTAAACAACGCTCCAAGGTCTTTACAGTATTCTGTTTTTGTTTTGCTCCTAGTCATCTGTTAGTTGTGAAACGATGATCTCGGTACTTGAGCCGATGCGAATTCTGCCACCGCTCAACGTCATCGGCCGATTTGTAAAGAAACAGATCAATCCACATTGGCTGCTCTCTACCAGGTCAAACATGATGCGCCCACGCCCATCGGTCTGCAGCCGGTGTCTCGATCGCAGTCGGACTTTCTCAACTACAGCACAGCGTACACAAAATAGTCACAATGTACCCCTCCCGCCGTCAGCTGGGTATAGCCGACTTACAAACCGCGGATTGATCTCCGTCACCGGCATCGACAGCACCACCTTCCTCCAGGGATTAATGACGCAGAACATGCTAGTGGCCAACGATCCTCAACGAAATATCCGTCGAACAGGCGCATACACTGCCTTCCTCAACTCCCAAGGCCGAGTCCTCAACGACGCCTTCGTTTACCCGTTACCCGGCGCCGAGGCCCAGGGCCCAGACTCAGGCTGGCTAGTAGAGGTGGACAAGGACCAGGTCCCGGTCCTTCTTAAGCATCTCAAAAAACACAAATTGCGCGCGAAGCTCAAGCTTCGCGCTTTGGAAGAAGGCGAGCGCACCATTTGGTCTTCGTGGAAGAATCATGCGGAACCCCAGCGCTGGGCTGCTTATAGTCTGGAATCTGATTCTGCATCTCCTTTTTCTGTGACCTCCGAAATCGCCGGGTGTATCGACACACGTGCCCCGGGCTTCGGTTCTCGCATCATCACGCCTGGCTCGGACGGCTTGCGCACACATCTTCCGGACGAGGCGCAGGTTCCCGGGTCCGAAGTCGAGCTGGACTCATATACAGTCCGTCGGTTCCTTCATGGTGTCGCAGAAGGCCAGGCGGAGGTACTCAGTGGATCCGCCCTGCCGCTACAGTGCAATATGGACATGTCCCGCGGTATTGACTTCCGCAAGGGGTGTTATGTCGGACAAGAGTTGACGATTCGCACCCATCACCGCGGTGTGACCAGAAAGCGTCTTTTGCCGGTTCAGTTGTACGATTTGGCTTCGGATACGCAAAACGGACCGGAAACTCTGACATACGATCCATCCGCGCAACTCACTCTGCCTCCGGGTGAATCGGATATTGTCAAGGCCGGTGCCGCTACCCGCCGAAATCGCAGTGCGGGGACTTTCTTGAATGGAATTGGAAACATTGGGCTGGCGCTTTGCCGTCTTGAAGTCATGACCGATGTTGCCCTTATGGGTGAGACTCCTGCCCGGCCCCACGAACATCAGTTCAAGCTTTCGTGGACCCCAGAGGTAGAACAACCCAATGAGGTTGGTGTTCGTGCTTTTGTTCCACCGTGGCTACGAGATTTCATTTCTGGTGGTAAAGAAGAGAAGCCTGCTCCGCGAAACATCGAGGCTGAAGTTGCGCAGCGAGCGAGGGAGTTTGTTGAGCGGCTCGAAGAAGAAGAACATGAAGAAGAAGAAAATGGAGCTCACAAACAATGATACCTACGTGGCGACGGGCATTGCATGTATAATACAAAACTCAAAACAGATATGTAAATACTTCATGTATCACAATTCAACTCATCTAACACTGCATAATGTGCTTGGGGTATCTCTTGTATTTATACAAATCAACCGGTTCGAGCCAACCGGTAGGGAAAACGCAAATTGGAAATGGCCTCGCATTTAGGTATTCCGGGCCGCTGCTGCTTCTGCTGCGTCTGCGGCTTCGTCCTCTCGTGCGAGCTGTTCCTCGAGCGCTTTTCGTTCTTTTTCTCGTTGCGCGTTCTTCAGATTCATCATTGTCACTTCCTGAAGGCTAGGCGTGCCAGAAGATGGGTTAAAGGACGATGCTTTCGGCGCAGCTGAAGCGGCGGATGCAGAAGCAAATGAAGCAAATGATGGTGTTTTCCCGGATGGTGGTGCTGAATTAAGGCCTGGAAATGAGAAGGCTGGCTTGGCAGCTCCATTGGAGTGTGATCCTGAGGGTTTTGGTATCGTCGATGCAGGTTCGGCTTCATTACTGGGCGTTGCGCTCGCAGCAGAATGGCTTCCCAGGTCAGGCTGTTTGCCCGTTGCCCAGTAGACGGACTCAATAAGACCCCAGTCACTCTCCTGGCCCGCATGCTGGCGAAACTTTTTCTCGCTATCGAGTACCGCAGTATGGGCGCTCACAATCGAGGCGTAAACGATCACCCCTGTCGCAATGGTCTTCTTCTCTTTCTTCTCTCCGACTCGCTGGCGCTTGTCTTTGAGCATGAGAGTATTTTCAATCTTTCCAAATGGAGAAAATAAAGCAGCCAATCGATCAACATCGAGCTCTAGCCCAAGGCCCTCCCTCACCCAGCGCACTTTGACCGCACGCTCATTCTCGGGAACAACCGCATCCTTCGACCGATCCACACGCTGGCTACTGCGATCCGCCGCCTTGCGCGCTTCCTCTTCTTCTTCCTGCATCTTCTTCTGCTCGTCATCCAGCTCTTTCTTGAGTTTGTCTTCCGCCTCGCGCCGTCTGCGTCGTCCATCCTCCGCAATACGTTCAATCTCCCGCTGCAATTTCTCCTCCGCATCGTCATCGCCCATCCAAGACCTCTTCACACCTTGCGTAGCGCCACCCTCGGCGGTGCCTGCCCTCTCGCGCGCTTCCAGATCTTCGCGCATCTTTCGCTTCGCGGCACCCATCATTTCCCGCTCGCGCTGCTTGCGTTGTCGTGCGTCCCGCGCATTGTCGTACAGCTGTTTGACTTCGGGATCGGAGAGGACATCGTTGGCAATCTGAAGAAGGTGGAACTTGTCGATGTCTGCTGCTGTAGGATTTGCAATCTTGTCGGGGTGGTACTTCAACGCTGTGCGACGGTAGGCGCGTCTGATATCTGATACGCTGGCATGTTGTTCAATGCCGAGGAGTGCGTAGAAGTCCTGGTTTGAGGCGGCGTGCGCCTTGAGGTCGTCGTTGGACATCGTGGATTATGCGACAAGATGTCGCTGGAGGCGGATCGACGAATAAAGAATATTGTTGTAGTTCTGAGGCGCTTGCCTAGTATTTGCTTGTTGGGGATGGTCGAGCTCCCTCAGTAAGTAGGTATCGAGGATCAACTGTCAACTGGTGATATCGTTGGAAATTTGTCAAGGTGTTTGGAGCTTCGGGCGGTGGGTCAGTCCAACGTTGGCCTCAGGCCGCCAACTGGTGAACTCAAGTTGGAAATAGTCAGAATCGAAGATGAGACAACATTTCCAACCTCGGAAGTGTATAGAACGCAATCTTGGAATATCCTAAGAGATACCTAAGTAAAGGTAAATAGATTCCCAGATAACCCAAGGTGCCTTTGTTGTAAATGTAGCTTGGGGATCGGGAAGTATATAACAGCACGTGGTGCTGCCTCCAGGGCTGTCGACTCTCCAAATCTTGGAACATCGAAAACATTCCCTTTTTCCTTTCCTACCTTCTCAAGATTTGACCATACTTATCGATTGTTTTTCATCAACTTTCACCAATGGGTGTCACGGCTCCATCCAAGCCCCAAGTAGCACTGGCATTGGCTGTGGTCAAGCAGAAACCACCAGACAAAGACCTCAGAGGTACAGCTTTCGGCCCCCGCAGGCCGGTACTTGAGTTACTTGTGGACTGACATTGCCATTCAAGAATATGTTTTAGAAATCCGACGCTTCATCAAAAGTTCCAAGGAAATGGGCCATGATGGCTCGCTAGACAAGTTCTTCGACAGCGTCTCCTTCTGGCAACAAGCATACACACAGTCAGAGGCAAGACAAATCAAGCTTCATGACCAAGTACATGACCTACAGCAGAAGATTGAGGATCTCAGAGCGAAACTGCGAGCCAAGGATGCTGATGGCACCGAGGTCTCACAGATCAACAAACGCAAGGCACGTCCGCCTCGCACCAATAGGGACAGAGGATGCCCAAATGGGACTACAAAGCGGGCAAAGATACCAGGTAGCCTGAATCCAAGATGTCGCCGGAGAGTTGATGATGAATCAGGCGATGAAAATGGTAGGGACACTAATATCAGTTCAAGTTTAAGTTCAACAGTGATTCTAACATTCCCCAGAGGGCCCAGCATTGTGTGTCAGCAGACAATTGTATACACTGCAAAAGGCTCTTCAGAAAAGACCAAACTCCGATTCTTCCCTCGCAGCTCTAGCTACCGCGGCGGTGATCCTTTGCAAATCCGCAGAACAGCAATTGATATCAACCGTCCAAAGCAGCAGCACAATGATCCAAAAATGTTCATCCCAGATGGAGCCCGAGAAGTCAAATGTACCAGATACCGACACTGTCATCAATGGAGTGACGTTGGCTTTTCATCTCGTGCACAAGGCATTGCAGAAGCTTACCGAAAACGACAAAAGCAGGCAACACAACGCTCAGGTTATCTACTACTTGGTAGGCTTGTTTGAGTCTAGCATGACTGCTCTCACTTTGCATTGCACTTCCATCTCCACCAACGAAAACCAGGCCAAGAAAGAACAATTCAGCCTCACTGAGAGTCAATTAGCATCTCATCTCGCAGACCTACTTTGCAAAATGGCGCTTGCTCTGGATCTGACTCGCATCGGAGACCAAGATATCATGGAAGGATTCTTCTTCCTTGTCCTTCGGCGTATCGGGCAAATGCTAGCCCTTCACGTCTTCCATGAAATCAGACTTCCTATGAATGTTTGTCCCGCAATGAAATACCCGGAAGGACTCGAAGCGATGACAGACGAGGGTCTGATGCCGAGTCAAGCGCAAATTGAAACCCGATATCTTATCCGGCTGTTGGACAAAATGCTTGATACCAAGTACCAACTATCACCAAAAGCACTGGCTTCGTATCAATTTATTCAAAACGTCAAGGATCGTTTGCAAAAGACTCTTCTCCGCGCAGTTTTCGGACCCGATGATCGTATGTTCCGTGAGATCCTATTACGCCCGCAGACCCCACCTCCACTTGACGGCTTGCCGATGGAACAAGAGAAGTTCGTCGACTGGATGACGCAGGAGCTGTGGCGACTAGTCGGTTGGGATGTCTTGAGATCGGTGTTCGCTTCGAAATAACCCATTGCCTTTTACACTGAGGTCTGTGATCTGTTGGCTATATGAACCATACCCTTGTATACTTCCCCTCTAACAACAGAACCTCAGGTAGCTTATCATAATATAATCTTAGATGTATTGATATGGAAAAGAGTACTCATTCTACTCGAGATTTAGAACACGAACGGCATTTCCGCCCAAAACAGCAGTCAGGGCCTCCTTCTCCCCAGCAAAATTCTCATCAATAGCCTTATAGTTAGTTGTCACACTGACCCATTCCTTTTCCCCTTCATCTAGGGGAGGGAAGAAAGGGTGATCGGTGCCTGAGATGACCAGTTAGCCTGAAGTCAACAACATCACTCAGAGCAGAGGCTGCAGAGCACTTACCGAACATAAGGCGATCAGAGCCTCCTCCAACGGCTACCGCCGCCTTTAGTCCAGCAACCCCATAGACCACTGCATCGAGGAATATGTTTGTCTTCAAAACTTCCCAGATACTTCTCTGTGGCCCGGGAACATCGCCACCGCCTGCAACAAACTTTCGCTCATGAAGAATACAACTTTCGATGCGTCCAGCTAAGAACGGCAGCGTGCCCCCCGAATGAGCCAATAGAATTTGCAAGCGCGGGAACCTATCAAACACACGAGATAGCAACATTCGAGTGACTGCAATAGTAGTTTCGAGTGGGAATCCCAAAGCCAGGGGGAGAACATGGCCGTAGCGATTCATCGCTTCCGAGCCGCCGAACGCCTCATTCGGAAGACCGTAGTGGGGATGCAAGAAAAGAAGAAGCTGTGTTTCTTCCAGGGCAGCCCAAATTGGGTCAAGTTGCTCATCATCCAGACCGGCTCCCAGCCCCGAAGTCCCCATGATCACACCGCGGATATGAGGTAGGGTTTTCAGTCTCTTAATTTCTTTCACGATGATATCAGGATCAGGAGCGCTGAGCGGCAAGGCTGCAAATGCAAATAGAGTTGATCTTCCCTTCAATGGCAGTGCCTTATCTGAGCCAGAGGTCACCTGCGCACAGGTTTCTTCTAGATCATCGTTGATCCGCTGAGCCCATGTTTGGGCCTCGGATGGTTCAAGGAAGTCGAGCCATGGATTTGCCAGAGAGATTACACTGCAGTCGATTCCATGCTGTTGCATGAATGCTAGCTTGACGCTGATGTCTGAATAAGACGAGTCGACTGGGCGGCCACGCTGGTCAATTGGGATTGCGGGATCGTCATCTGATGCAAGAATGATTAGACGCGGGTCTCCGCTGGCTGGATCGTGGACGTAGGGAACTGTTTTGCGAGAGCGGAGCATCGCCATGTATGCCGGAGGGTAGACATGGGTGTGGACATCCACGACGAGAGGGTGAGACATGGTGAATACAGAGGCGAGTTCTAGTGATATGTTGTTTGTAAAGCTGTGAATTATGAGAGAGCAGGAAAGTCTTCCAAGGTTGTCTTAAGTGAGGGGAAAGTGATAAGAGGTGCACTTGGGCACATCTGATGCGGGGATGTGTCCCTGCAGTTGCATAGTCTTCCATTCATAATCTTTCGTCTAGAAATTACGAACATCAAGCACATTGAGCTATACTCAGGTGTTTCGATGTCGAGGTAAATAGAATGTTTCATTGGTAATACTATCAAAGTAGCCTTTTTGGATCTACTTGAGATCTCATTTGGCCAGCATCAAGCATTGCCATGAAGAATATCTCCCCATATCGCAATGAAGACCTCGTTGACTCATAACATGTGCCAAAAGCGACAAATTTGCCTGGCTAGTCATCCGTCAATACATTTGAGGCATGAAGTTCCCGATCACAGCACAACATACCGTTGTAACCGCATTCACAGCTTTCCTCCAGCAAGGGTAATAGGCTTCTTGTTGGTGAAGTTGGGGATGTCCGAGAACACATTAGCACTCGCGGGGTCCTTGAGAGCAGTCTGCAGAGCCTCCTGGCTGTCCCACTCGAGGGTCGCCATGATCAAGTACTCAGAGCGCGAGCCATCGAGCGCGTTGGGGAACTTAGTCACGTGCCAGTTGGCCAGGCCGTACTTTTTCCAGGTCTTTTCGACCAGGGGCATATGGGTCTTCATGTAGTAGTCCTCGTCGAAGTGGATGTCCGCTTCATTGGGGTACATGACAATAGCAGTGAAAGGCATTTTGGCGAGAGACAAAAATCAAGAGATGGATAACAAGAAGAGAAAGCGAGAAGGACAGCATTTGAAGCTCAACAGATCGACGCTTATTAATTCGAGTGGAGCCAAGCTTCAAAGTCGCCGAGGTCCATTTTCCACCTGGCCGAGATTACAATTCCAGGGAAGTTATGCATGCTTTGTGCTTGTCCTTAACTGTATCCATTGACTCTGTGTTGAAGTTATCCAAAGGTGTCTATATCGGCACTGATTCAGTCTATCGCAGGATCAAACGCCGCAACCGAGGCTGCGTCCCAAATGACTTGATTTGAGACTTGTCTTCAGACCCCTCAACCAGCCCCGCTATTCGTTTGTACCGGGAAGATAACGGGAAGAAAAGAAAATACAAGATCGGCAGGATCTGACCACACTTCCAAGGGACAAACGTCCAAGGACAAGAGATATCATTTGATTCATACGAATACCATCTCCGGGACGGAGCCTCAAAATGTCAGAAGACAACATATGTCACTGAGATTCTTGTAGTGCCTTGAACGTCCGCTCAGCTTTCCGAAGAATCCGTGCCGGATTCCCTGCAACGACGTGGTAAGCCGGAACATCCTAGATGGAGACATGCTTGGTTAGAACCACATTCGAGAAGATACCCCGACAAATGAGAGAGATCGTTTACCTTGGTCACCACGCTTGCAGCGCCAACAGTACATCCATCACCGATAGTAACACCGGGCAGGATAGTAGCGTTACCGCCAATCCAACAATCCGAGCCAATAGTGATAGGCTTGCCCATCTCCGGTCCATTTGTACCATTGCGTAGATCTGGATCTGTTGGATGGGTTCCACTGAAGAAGGACACATTGGAGCCGACGAGGGTCCGTGATCCGATCGTCACCAAGCAAGTGTCGAGGAGTGTGCAGTTAAAATTGATAAAGACATTGCTTCCAACTTTGATGTTGGTGCCGTAGTCGATATTGATAGGACGTTCAACCCATGGATATTCGTGTAGCACGGCGTCATCTTCCTCATCTGTCAGAGCAGGCGGCGGCAGGGGTCGGCTATCGCCAGTGATTCTAATAGCAATTGTGAGTATACTTCAGCCAAATCTGACATAGTCCCCGCATTGGAGAGAGTTGCTGGGTCTAGGCCGCCGATCACACAGAAGCAATAACTCACTCTGCCCAGAATGCTGCGATTTCCCTTCGGGTTAGCTCTCCGGAGTTGTTCAATCGGTTGACCACTCGAGCACAGCGTCTGCGAGCCGCTACAAGCTCCGGAGAGAAAGCGAAATAAAGCTCTCCTCGCCTCATCCGAGCGAGGTTCTCTTTTTCATTCACGTCTAAGAGCATGGTAGGCGATGACAACGGCCGACTCAAGAGTGAAGAAGTTGAAGTTGGGATTCACAGGACAGAAGAGTAAGACAAGGATGTGTGAGCACAAGCACCTGTTGATTCCTGCCAGGAGGAACAAACGAAAGCCACGAAGTGCAAAGAACAGCGTACTCATACTTCCCAGGGAAGGAGCTAAGCCAAACTGGGCAACCATCCTCTGGGTTGCGCTAAGCTACTTTCGGCTCCAAATAGCCGCGACCCACTAGCATTTGCAACACTCTGGCTTCAACAGGCACGACAGAGGCAGAGCATCGAAGTCTGCCCTTGGCGTGACGTAGCTCAACGCTTGTGGGGCTCAATTAGGCCTTGTACTTATCCGGAGCGCACAGCACCAGGAATGATCCCTCTGCAGTCCACAGGGTCTGCCACGTTGAGTACTGGGAGAAGCGGGCGACGGTCAAGGACTGGCTGCCTGACATGTCGTCAACGCAAGAAGAAGTGTGATGAGAAACATCCCACATGCGGCAGCTGTGTGAAGCTGAAAATTGATTGCTCGTGGAGCAATGATGATACCCAACGCAAGCCGCGATTGCATCGCCCACAGACATTCAACCATGACTTCTCTATACCATCTGAAATCAGTCATTACATGACGGTGTTTGCTTCACCGAGCATGACTATTCAGCAGCGCCTTATCTCCCACTTCATTTCTTCCTGTCCAATTTGGATATCATCAATCCGCGCTTCTGATGCTGCGGACTTTCTGCGTGACCTGATCCCTACCGCCCTGAGAAATGGCATGATAATGGACTGTGTCTTGGCAATCGCTGCAGGTGATCTTGGGAAGATTGGGGTCGAGTCTGCTGAGCTTGAATGCCTATCACGCCAGCACTATGGGGTTGCGACGGCAGCTCTGTCATCTGCGATTACAAGTGAGATCGAGACCAATTTCTCTGGAGATAGCCAACCCTTGTCAGGTATGCCCTGTGCTATGGCCCAAGAAACCTTGAAGGTATTCCAAGCTAACATACCACGAAGAGGATACTCTGATGGCCGCCCTTCTCCTTTGTGTTCATGAGGTATTTCCTCAATTCAGCAATTTCAATCACATACTTACCATTCCCATCTAAACAGGCCGTGAACTTCACAAGCAGTGAGAATTTACTTACCCACATTAATGGGGCTGCTACTTTATTATCAGAACGCATAAATAGGAACTCTGGTAATGCGGACCTCCACGGATTTCTACTCGAATTGTTCTGTTATTTTTACACGCTTGCAGCAACGACCCACGGCCATCAGATGAAAGTAGACACGGCGCTTGCCTTTCAAATATTTCATTGCCCAATGCTTCTGGAGCATCGAATCCAGGGGATGCTCTTGGGCTCGTCGCCAAAGCTTTTTTACATCATTTTACGTCTTTCTATGGTGCTCAATAATGATGCATCATTACGCTCCGGTCAGAGGTCCATTCTAGCAGAGTTAAGTTCCATCGAGCTGGATCTGGAACAATGCTTTCCCGGGCAAGGAGCTACCTGCCATTCAAAGTCTGCGACAGCGGGGTTTGAATCGAGCGAGGCTTGGCTAACATCCGAGCTATACTATCTTGCATGCAAATTGCAGATCAGACAAGCAACCCAGCCTATCGCCGCAACGGAAAACGAACCGTGGCAGAACCTCTTATTTGCATTTTTCGTAACTCTCGAAAAGCTCTCCATTGACTCTCCTGCCAATGGCGTACTCTGCTGGCCTTTATTCATCGCAGGGCTTTCGGCTATCACCGGCAAACACCGATCAGCAATCCTAGCTCGCCTCAAGGCAATCGGGACAGGATGGCGATCTAGTATTGCATCTCAAACTTCCAAGTTCTTGACGCGACAATGGAAAGAGTCTAGGAACAGTGAGTCTGTCATGGCCGCGACCACCGCTACCAGTTTCGATTTTGGAACCGTACCAATGATCCTCGTTTAATCAATGTATTTGTCAATACATCTCGGGGGTGCATGAAGAAATATCCTGAAAAATCCCTTGCTCTTCTGTACTGCACATCAATCTCGGTAGAGACAGTACATGATATCAGGTTCCGATCTCGGGAGGTCTCTGAGTTTCAGGCCAACCCTGGAAAGCGTGAACCCAACACCCCGAGATCATTTACGACTCACCGAAACAAGTTTCCAAGGCTCCTCGATCCTCATAAGGTCCCGAGGTCTCTTTTGGACTTTGATTCTACATCTCTTCATCATTTTCACTCTACAAAAGCCCTTTCGTACTTATCTCCCTGTTTGGTTCGCGATGTTAGGCTCGGTTTTCAAACGCCTCTATGCCTCGTGGGCGATGGACACCTTTATCGTGGGAACCATGTTATGCATTGGATTGAAACGCAGCAGAGCGAACCGCATTCTGCAGGCCGAAAACGATCAGATGAGAACACTTTTGTTCGAAGGGACAAATTATAAGGAGAAGAAAGAGTCAAACTAGGAGGGTGGGACACGGTCGCGGCGGACATACTGCTCTGCTATGTCTGATTGGGGAACAGAAACTGGCCCACGAATATAGCGGCGGTGGAGGTATTGACAGAAGAGAGGTTGAATGAGAAGCCGTGTGGGAGATTGCCAACCTTGGAAGTGTTACGCGGATCATATAAATAAATTTGCTTCGGAAGTCTGATTCTTATGCCTCCGTTTGTTGCGATTCCTCAAGACTGAAATATCTCCTTCTAACCTACCTAGTAGGAAGAGAAGCTTGTACAGTACAATGTCAGATATGCAAAGACAACAAAAATGCCCGGAGAATGTTCCAGTATTAACCTTTTGCCTATAGGACCAAGGTAACTCGTCCGATCATCATTTCGGCGAATCCCCAACCCAAACTTAACGTAGACATATCCTAAGTAATTCACTGGATTTTCCTTTCTCTACCTCACCATCTCTTCAATTTATCAACTTCGCTCTACGAAATGTCAAAATTATTCTTTCTCCCTCTTCTACCCTCGAATTTAAAGAAAATCACTATTTACGGCGAAGCGGCCCTATTTGTTTCGTGGATCGGTCTGTTGGATTGGAATCTGAGTATCCGCCTACAACGGTGCAGACTGGAGGGAGAAAACAAAGTCATGAGAGCACTCCTGCCAAATGACACAGATTACACCAAGGAAGAAGGGCCAAACTAGGAGGCAAGGCGAACATTCATCCGACACGAGAATGATTTGGCTTGAAGACAAAGAGTATGCAGCCAGGAAATCTTTTGAGGAGGATCGCGATTCGCGAATGTACATCAGAAATCGAGATTCGCTACCAAATCCCTTGGAGGACGTGGGGTACCGGCATAAAATAAACAGATTTGCTGCAGTGGATGTTGCTTCTATGAAAATTTGCTCTTGCTCTCCGGGTTCCAAAGTTCTTTACTTATCCAAGTGATCAGTTTTCCCTTGCCAGGCGAGTCTACATTTTCATTACGTTTGCATTGGCTTCCAAGGGTTGATTTGAGAATATGCGTGAATGAGATACACAAAAGGAAAACATGAGATGATGACACTTTCAAAGTTTGAAGTTTCAATGCGAATTTGATTTTGTGCTCACTTGAGCACCTGTAATGAGCTATCCTTCTGTAAGTGCCTGATATCGGCCTCGATCGGCCCCAGTCTGGCTTGGATCAAGCGGTTCACCTCTCTTTCAGTCGCTCACTTCCCCTTGTTGAGAAGGTAGGTAATAACATAATAACAATCTTCCAAGGTTGGGAGGTTTCTGGAGACTCGAGAGCCACTGGGCAGTTCTGCAGCCACGTTACGTCTCTTGCTTCCAGAATCCAAGGATGTCGCATGATCCTATTGATAGATACCTCTTATCAGGCAACACAACCCGACCAAGACCATCGACAGGGGGGTTTGATTCGCTTGCTTCCAAGTTATTGAAGCCGATGGCGCAACGTTGGAATTTTTGTTTCGGAGTAGCCAGGACTCATTGGAGGGAAAGGAGCCAGGGCCTGGCCTATTATTGGTGTTTAGCAGGCTTTATTCCTCTCTGCTAAGCCTCGCTTTCACTTCTTCTCTCTTCAAATAGTCCTATCTCTTGACAACGTGAGCGCTCCCTCGCGTTGAAAAGGCGCGCCAAGCATCAGAGCGCAAGAAACCGAATGTTCCAATGAGTATCACCATTCTGGGCGCGATGACGAGCGGTCGCCCAAGACCCGAACATGAGATGCTTCTGAAAGTCAGCACAATTCAGATTCCAGTCAGCCTGGAGGCCCCTGGATGTGCTTACCTACCTTGGATATACATCAACCAAAGGGCGGAAACATACCTCAAGATAGCAAGATTTCGGGGTAAATAATCCGGCGCTGGACAATGAAACGCCAGGGCGAAACGGGACTCGTTCGGCCCAGAAGTAGACCCCTACGGCTCCTGCAACCGTCTTAATCGCAAGCTCATTGTGATATTGTCCACCCTCAATGAGCATCCTTGACCAATAAGCCTCAACTCTTCAGGGCTCAAGGTACTCCAAGCACCTTTCGTGTCCACCGGAGGTAGATTTGGGAGGAGAGGAGGGTGGCCACGTTCAGCTCGCTGGCGCTTGTCCGCCCGGGTGTCCTCGGAGACATTCTCTGGACGAGAGTATCGACGTTTCAGTGCCATCAGGATTCTGGTAAATGCAAAAATTTTCAAAATAGATGTATAGAAACACCCATCGCCGCAGGGGGCAATCAGCAGAGACGGGTAGGAGAAAAAGAAGAGAGGCCCCCTGAGCCTGCGATAGACACTTGACAGCTGAATTCCATGGCAGCTGCGTTGGCTGAACTTGGAAGGCACCTCAGAGCCCTGTAGCTAAGCTACTCCAGGGCTGCCTTCAAGGGCCATCAATTGATGTACGTTATTCAACTCTTTTGATTCGTATCAGAAGTGGCTTGTTCTCCATCTTCCGTAGAAACAGTTGAACCGTATTAAAGGCGTTTGTGCTGTGTCGACCGAAGTAGTCGAAAAATAGAAGCTGATCCATCACGGTGTAAATTGCTTGCCTCCGACCGTAGATATGAGACCTGGCTGATGCCTCCGGCTATGTACTGCTGTTTGACTAGCAGATAATATTCTGCCGATATTCGTCTAGTTGGCGTCCAATGGTGATGAACGGGTATGGTAGAGGGGACGAAGGAATGAAATGAGTTGTATATTTTGATATCTCTGTTATTGTTGAAGTTTCACTGTTCTGACACCGTGCTTATCGCCTTCCAAGGTTATTATCTACGTCCACTGGCATGCAGGGCTGCAGGTGCTTTCCCCTCTTTTGGAGATATGGCATTCGTCCCCAGATCTTTTCCAGCATTTCTTCCACATACTTATGCCATGACTGACTCAATCCAGAACATCCACCCCGCGTCGGCTGCAGTGGACAAGGACGAGCTCCAGATTCCAGTAGGTGTGGTTCCTAGAAAGCATCTTATCATCCTGACATTTCAGTCTAGCTCATTGACTTTGGCCCTTTCTTCACGGGCACACCCGCCGATAAACATGCCGTCGCACTCTCTATCACCGCGGCATTCAAGACCTCAGGATTTGTTTACCTGAAGTCGCACGGTATCCCGCCATCCGTGGTGTCCCGGGTATTTGCATCATCCGCCCAGTTCTTTGCGCGACCCCAAGAACAGAAAGACGCACTCGGCTGGACCACTCCGCAGTCGAACCGGGGATACGTTACTATCGGACGGGAAAAGTTGACCACCGTCGACGAAACTAATGGCGATACCCTCCGTGCATCGGCCCCGGATATTAAAGAAACCATGGAGATCGGCCGCGAAGGGGTGGAGGGCCGACCCAATCACTGGCCTGATAAAATCGACGAGGAAGGCAAAGATTTCAAAGAGACGATGCAATCATTCTTCGAAATGGGACAGACTCTACATAAGCAAATCATGCAAGCCATTGCACTGGGAATGAATCTTCCAGAACATTTCTTCGACGACTTTATCAGCGCCGCTGATAATAACCTGCGTCTCCTTCATTATCCCTCCGTCAGCCGGGAGGTATTCCAGAATAACCCTCACCAAGTGCGAGCTGGCGAGCACAGCGATTACGGCTCGATCACCCTTCTCTTCCAGGACAAACACGGAGGTCTGCAGGTGCGTAGCCCGAAGGGAACATTCGTGGACGCTACCCCAATTGCCGACACCATTGTTGTGAATGCCGGGGACCTTCTCGCTCGCTGGTCCAATGATACCATCAAGAGTACCCGTCACCGGGTAATCCAGCCTCCTAAAGCGGGGGACGAGAGCCCGGATACCTACCCTGCGCGCTACAGCGTGGCCTACTTCTGCAATCCCGATGAGGAGAAGTTAATTCAAGCGTTGCCAGGTACCTTTGGTGAGACTGCTCAGGTTGATAAGAAGTATCCCGATATTGTCTCCGGCGAATACATGGTCCAGCGATTGAATGCCACTTATTGATTTTTTTTGGCCCCTCTGGTACAGGATCTACTGGTTGATGTCATGTTCTCAGCCTGTTCGGAAGCTTAGTTTCTCTTGATTTGGACTTATTCGTTGAAGCAGGAATATGTATGTGCGTGACTGTCATGAGTTTTCACTCTATGTACCTCTGATCCCAGTAGCCAATTACATCACAACGTTTGAATGTAACGCTGCTGTATCTCTTAGTAGACTGCTGGCACGACGGAAATGCGGCCACCGTCCGTAATTACAATGTTACCATTAATATAGCCACCGGAGTTACTGGCCAACCAAATAACCAGACCAGCAATGTCTTCCTCACTACCACTCCGAGTAGCAGGAATCATCTCTCGCGGGAACGAGCCCTCGGATACTCCCTGGCCCTGAACCCCACCGCTATTGAACACGTGGGTCGACATTTCCGAGTAGTAAAGCCCTGGCGCAATACCATTAACCCGAATGTCGTAATCGGCAAAATTGGTCGCCAGCATCTTCACCAGATGAGTTGTCGCAACTTTGGAAGTATTATAAGCGAAGCTGAACGGCACTTTCCGATTATATCCCGCGATCGAACTAGTGATGATCACTTGTGCGGTGGGCGACGAAAGAACGCCCGGTTGTGGCGCGGCCCGTCTCTTATTGGCGGCCTCGAGTAAAGGCAAAAATGCCAGGAAGGTGTAATATGCACCGGTGACATTGACGTTCAAGACGTTGTTAAACTCCTCCATTGGGATGTTGAAGAGCTCATCCCGGACCTTCGAAAGGGGCGGAAGTGATCCATCTGCTGCAGGCTGTGGAGGCTTCATGAGAGGACCCATGATTCCACTATTGGCAATGAGGAGATCCACGTGCGTTGTCTGTGCCGCGACGGCCTGGTAGGCGGCCTCCAGGGACTCTTTGGAGGTGACATCACATTGGATCGGGATGACGGAATTATGGATTGTTTGGGAGGAAGTTTCTTGGAGGGCGTCTTCGCGTCGACCGAGTACGAAGATTTTGTCTGCGTTGTTGGCATCGAGTGCTTTGGCCATGATGCGGCCAAGACCTGTCTGGTCAGCTCATGCGCGAAATGTCGGTGGGCGTTTCTTACCACTTCCGCCTCCGGTGATCACGATCACTCGGTCCTGAACCGAGAACAGGTTCGATGCTTGGAGATGCGCCATGATACAATTGGATTCGGAGATGGGGTGTTGTTGAAGTTGAGTAGGAGGTTCCCCGCGATCTCGCCATTGTTGGTCTCCACCCGGACCACACCTCGGTAAAACCCCCGGGCCTCCAGGGCTGGGCGCCTTCGGTACCTAAGATATCGATTTGATCTACTTCGTACAGGACCTGCACTCGGAAATATTTCCAGGCTGTCGTCTATATAGCAGCCCAGCTCTAGAGACATGACTCTGGCAGATTCTGTCAATAGTTCGTCACTCACCGCAACCTTGGAATTCGTTTGACCGCTACAGAATTGATTTCTTGTGGGAACAGCGACCTGTGGATGTAATGTATCATCTTGCGAGTTCCTCCCAAGCTGTTTCGCAGTAATTGAGAGATAAATTTTCTGTTGTCTGGGACGAGTGCCCATGACGGAAGCCTCGGACATGACTTCGGACATGAAGACCCAAAATTAGACACCGCTGGTGCATGGCAACGACCATGGGCTTCGTATTGGATAATAGTGATGGTGGTGGTGGTGCTGAAACTGAAGCAAGGAGCATTATGCTGCTTCTCTGGTTGCTGGGCGTGTATGATCTGGCCTCGACAGATAATAACAAGCGCTGGTCCTATTCAAAACCAACCGACGCTGGCATTTTACCATCCTGGGGACCGGGTAATGAATCAATTATTATCTCTTGAGAGTCAGCTCCATCCGTACGGAATGTCCTGCATCAAACTACTAGTATAGCACACTAGTACTCTACAGAGTACGGAGTGCCATTTAGTACATCGGATATAGACGCCGGGGCGGATCGTGGTGGGCCCCTCCGGCATTCATGCCCGAGTCGTTCATCAGCTTGCTGCATCTGACTGCAGTCACTGGTCAATTCCTGAACTTCACGTCCTTGCAGGTATTGCTGGTTTGTGAAGCAGCGTGCAGGTCTGCTGGGTATCCCTTCTTCCCGAGGTCCGCATAAGACCATATTGGAACACCTGGGCACGTTGTTCAAAGAGACAATTTTTACCTGTGCAGACCTGTACAGTATTAGAGGGAAGTACTCCGTACACAAAGCAAAAGGTAAAAGCCATTCTTGGGGTACTCGAGTTGGAATCTCGCAGATTGGAGAATGTGTTCTTTTGTGCTACAAACTACGGAATGGGACAGTCTGTACTCCGTACTCGTACTCCGTGTGAGCACAAGCCTGATCAGGCCCACTTCACTTCGCAGCCATTCCGATCTATGGCTCCGATTGAGTCCGAGAGTACTAGCTTCATTTAGTCTAGACCGAAACGCTATATGGTTCGTCAGAGTGGAGCTCATCGTCTCACGGTCGCGCCGATCCCTTGTCTCCTGGATTCACGATGCATGGCAGTCTGCCCAGTCCGAGAATCGGGCTCTACCATAACGCATGATATGCCCAGAGACGCAGATCTGACATATTGACCCGATCTGAGACGAGAAGGATGCTTTATCAGTATGATGAAGTATAGTACTGATCGTGCTGATACATGTGAGTTTCGAGAACGAGCCCGGGATGGAGACTAGGACCCGCCGCGCGTACGCTAAAGAAGCGGTGTGAGGGGAGCTGAGCGAGGCCCGATGCCGTGGAAATGCTTGAATGCCCCCCCTGATTGGATATACCCGAAACCTGCAGATGATATAGCCAGAACGTGCATTTGGACTTTCAAAACTCTGCCTCGCGTGAGCAAATTAAAGTCTCAACTTCATTCTCCACAAATATCCTCTTCTCCTCCTTGGAAGCGTTTTGTTATACAGGTCTCCGACATCCATCTTTCAGTAAGTAGCCTGAGAACCATCGGACGGGAGGTCGCTAACATTCCAGCCATGGTGCAATGGCTTGGCTCGATCACCACCCAGCAAGATTCGTCGCTGGCCGGTGTCTTCATGATCAACGGCGAGCCATGGGTGTTTGAGAACCGGGGCAAGACCGCGCCCTTTCAAAAAGCTCCGGCGGTCGTGAACATCCCCTGGAAGGAGGTCGAAAGCATCCGCAATTCCCTTCGCATGCGCGACCCCTTCCGCGCGACTATCAGCGGATCGACTATGGAAATTGTCTGGGCCAATGGCGTGAGGATCACAGCGAATGTTCCCCATTCAACCAGCTATGGTTCATTTACGGGCGAGGGGGGTTGGCGGGTGCAGTGAATTTATGGGGCTCGGATCGACTTATATGGTCTTAATGTGATCTTGATGACTTTTTGCTTGGGACATGGCCTTCTCTGGAAATATTTTTTGCGTTTTGTTTGTCCATTAATCAGTGTCTAAATTGCTTACAGACGCATCGGATTCTTTTCTTCTCTTCAAACCCTTGGGCCTTTGAAATCTCCCCAAATTAGCCTCTCAAAATGATGATGGCAGGATGGTGTCCCGGGGTCTGCTAGGTACGAGCACCCAGCTTCACCACAATCCTGGAGTCCGGCATGAATGGCCGGAATCTGCTTCCAGGTCTTTGATGTCTGATCTCTGGGGATTTCCATGGACGTCCTTGTCTTTGCCCGACGTCATCCCTTACCGACACCTCCCGGGCCCATCGTCAATCTCCAGTACCTGACCCGTACGCAACCACCCAATGAAACAGATCATCCTTCACTGATGTAAAGCCCTGGAGAGACCCTAGTTGACCAGACAGGCACCTCAACTTTAATCCAGCCATGTGGCCCCCTGTCCGTCCGGAATTCATCCCGTCTGCAACTACCCTTGGATACTCGATGAACGATGTTGACTCTGGCCGGTAAGTTTCATCTCAACACCAAAGGGATGATAGACCACCGGCAAACACCGCGCCTATGACGGTATCCAAGGCCTGCCACTCGAACACTGACGAAATATTGTCGACAGGGTCGTATATGTGTTCTAGCTCCTATCCGTACTCACCCGACAGATTTCGAACAGTACTAATTCCCGAATGTTTCTGCATAGCTACATTTGCAGCTCCCCAACACGCCTGTTTTCTCCAAAGCAATCCGAAAGCCAATTCATCATGATCATGAAGAGTGTCTTTCTTTACAGCCTACTGTCCGTTGTAGCTGCGGACCCAAAGAAGCACCACGCTGGAGGCCACAAAAATGGAGGCGAACATCAGGAATCAACCCTGACGACATCATCAATCGAGGCTTCATCGGTTTCCGCACCTCCACTTGAAAGTCATTCAACCCCGGAGGCACACACGCCTTTTACCGAAACAGCAACCACCACTGGTGCTTTGACTGCAACTTCTGTTGGCACGGGAATTCCAAGCGCCGGCGTTCCACCAGGGGCTACAAGCTACCCTGCTGATGGGAACCTTCACCACGCCGAGCCTGCTCCCTACGACCCAGCAGGTGGTGTTGGAACGAATGGAAGCACGCCTGTTTACAACGCAAGAAGTGATTTCGACTACGAATCTTTGGTGCGCACTCAAATGAGATCGCATATGCTCAAAATCTCAGAAGCTGACTTATTCACTTGTAGGCTCTTGCTCTGTATCAGGAATGGATGGAATACGATCTGTTCCTAGATGGACTTAGACTCTTCAACCAGTCCGATTTTCAGGCTGCTGGTCTGTCGTCTTCAGACCGCGAGTTAATCCAATTCATGGCACAGCAGGAACTAGGCCATGTTACCATGCTAAGCAACATCTTGGGACACCGTGCACCGCAGCAATGTTCCTACATCTACCCGTACACTAACGTGAAAGAGTTCATTGACTTCTGTCAAAAGATAACTCGCTTTGGTGAAGCGGGCGTGTACGGATTTCTTGCACATCTAGACTCCCGTGAAGCAGCAACTCTTCTCACGCAGTCCATTACTACTGAGGCCCGACAGCAGCTGATTTTCCGTCAGTTTGAGGGCCTATTCCCTATGGTAGAATGGTTCGAACTAGGTATACCGCAGTCCTGGGCCTGGACACTCCTGGCTCCGTTTATCAGCACCTGTCCTGAGAACCAAACTCGTCTGATTTGGCAAAACTTCCCGACACTCCTGGTGGTCAATCAGCCTAACCCTTGGAATGTGGGAGTGACAGCAAATTCCTCTTCGGACCCTGCTCAGAGTTCTGATGCTAGCCCTACATCAACCTCCAGTCAGAGCTCAGAGCAGACTCAGACTTCGTCTTCTAGTCAGTCCACTGGGTTTGTCCAGCCTCCGGGGTTCGCGTTCAACCAAACCTCCGGATCAAATGGCACTACAGGCCCGGGAGTCAGTATTCCGAAGACACCGAAAGGGAGCAGCTCCACCAACTCGAGCTTGAGCTGCGGAGTCACTGTTAGCAAGACTCGACCTTTCCCATTAACTTTCCCGGGTCGCCGGGTGCTGCTGCAGTGGGATTCTCCGGGGAAGCAAGTCGGTCCTAACAACAGCTACACCACCGCAGTTCAGACCAATGCGAGTGCTAAGTATGTCATCTGGGTGTCTCAGCTCAATGTGACTTATACTACCTTACATGTTGACAACAGTACCAATGGCACCGCTACCACCAACAGCACTGGTGGCCGAGGATATACGACACAGCCAGACCTGGAAACATATCAAGGAGATCCTGCTATTAACGGAACTATTTTCATTGCCATCACGGACAGTGATCCGACTCTCAGTCCGTTCAATCTAAGCCTGATCAACCCACATGTGATTGCCGGTCCAGCATTGTACCAGGCCGGGTGAATGATGGTGCTGATTAGATGAATGATAGACAGTGGGAATTAGAACAGGAGATTAGACTGAGAAATGGAAGAGTTATTGAATCAAATCCGATCATTGTAGGGAGCGGTCAAACCATCAACTTCCATCTTCATAGAGCCAACTGGTCAAAGTCAAAGTCTTGGCGGCCTTAACTCCGGGCGATCCATCTATCGCCGAATCAACCTCACTTTCTCCACGTCAGTGTTTGCCAACTGTTCGCAAGCCCAACCCTGCACGTCACAATCCCAGCCCGGCACTATGGAGACTCCACGCAATCGCAAACAGCGGCGCGCAGCAGCAACTTCCACTCATGACGAACCCGAAGTTCCCATGGCCCATCCGCCGCGCAACGATCCAACCCAAAACAAACCGACCGTCGAAAAAACGTTATATGACATCATCGCGGAGCGACAACACGGGCAGAACAAGAAGGGAGGCAAGATCCCCGCAGCTGCGGAAGGATTAGGAATTCCCTCTCAGTCAGGGGGGACGCGATTCGTCACGGTCGATGCGTCCGGAGAACTGGTAGACACCCACGGGGACATCAACGACCACCTCTCAGAAACCTCTAAGAGCAAATCTGGCAAAGCAACATCGACACCGAAGACAGCCTCTCAGCCCGGACCCGAATCAGAGGCAGAGGCTGTAGTTGACAAGCCACTTCCACCATTCCTCGACACCATACTCCTTTCTCTGCCGCTCACCACTCTCCACCTCACATTGAGCTTCCTAGCATCGCATCAATACGCCGAAACCACCGACGTCCCAAAACTCATAAAAGACTCCGTCACAACTGCTTTCCCCCTCCTGACCCTGTTTGTTCACCTAGCGCATGGACACATCATCTCCTTCGGGAAGCGCAAGTCGGAGAATCAAACGCCAGAACCGTCTTTATTCCCGTTGACGGCAGATAAGCTCAATGTCACGTTCCTTCGAAAATTGGTTTTCCCTCCCGCGTTGCGGACTTTCGTTTTTCTGCCTGTGGCTGCCATGCTAGGCGCGCATCTGATCGCTATCACCAACGGCGAACCTTACTATGCGGTCATGAAGAAGGCCCCGGCTGTCGGTACCATTTGGATCTGGTGCATTCTAGAGCTGTCTTTCGGGGCAGCCGTGCTTGGGGCCATGGGCCCTTTGATTTGGGGAGTTTGGTGGATGGATTATGGCATCTTTTGATATCGGAAATACCAGCTGGCACCCATGAACAGGCCAGGGGAAAGCACGAGTCTCCATCGTCGTGAAACGGTCTCGAATATAGCTCAACACTACCGTCTACGGTCCGACGCAGGGATAACGGGCAAGAAGACATGGTTCTCGCTTAGAACCCATGCAAACCAGCAATAAAAGCATGGCCCGTGACGACTCGAAGACCACCCGAAGACGAGGCAGATTTATTTCTTGTATATCTAGGTGCCTTGCTACCACAATATTATATATCAGTCCACCCCATGGGGTATCGCCATATCTTCCACACGTCCCCGCTCCACCATGTTCAATTACCACCACGCTGAACCAGGAGCTTGCGGCCCTATCCAATCTCCAATCTCCAATCTCCAAGCTTGTTTGAATATATGTATTATCATAAGGAATGTGTTCCAAGAGTCACGCCATTCCTCGCCAAATTGACCAAGCCTTGGACACAACGGGACCTCGACGTGCACACATTCCTGGATCAGGATGAGGTCTCCATCAAAATTGATGCCTGTGGATTTCTGGGTGATAATACGTATACTCTCTTCTCCGCCCTATGTCATCCGTTCAGATATCCGTGCGCCTGTTTGAGATTTCCCTCGGAATGCAATTAGATTCAACGTGTGACCCCTGCCCAGGTGATATTGATCTGGAGCTGTAAGTAGTAGAGGCTACGCTTATGCTTGGTAATCTTGACCGGGCTTCGGAGCTCTTGAAGCGAATCGAGGATTGGTTTTTGATAGTCCTCTCACTGCGCAGGTAACTACGGGACTTCTTTAACCTGTTTTGCCCGCCGTTTCATTCAAAGAGTTTCAAGGTTTGTTCCACGTTTTCTAATCTTGTTGAATTACAGTGCTCAATATGCTTGTAGTGTTAAAAAGTACAGACTCGGGAGTACATTATGTCAGATTAAAATGTTGGCATCCCTTGCTAACCGGCCTATTGCTGGTGCTCGCGAACAAGTCCTGTTGATGTAAACAAAGGTACATACATATGATCCTCATAACGTCCCGCTGAAAAATGTCATATCGCGCCGTTTACCTCTTGTCAGGATTCACAGAGTTTTTTCACCGCCACGACCAAGAAGCGGTATACGTAGCATCATGTACCAAGGGCTTAGTGAAAGTATATATGGCACGTCGTGTACTGATCGACAGCTAAAAACAACCTACTCTTGGCATATCTGCATTCCTCTTGAGTCTTGTTAGTCCAAGGAGTCAATATTGGTGTCATGTAATACTAGACATGAAGTTCGTGTCTCTTCCGGGGGGAAGCAGGATCCTGCATCTTGCAGATTTGCAACGTTTTCGAGGGTCTGGTCTGACTCCTTCAGGAGGAGACTTCAACCCTTACTGCATGTATTAAATCCGGGCATCTCCCGACCTCGGAGCTCCTCTTGCAAAGTCAGGGAAACTGTCACAAGACCATATTGGATCCCGGCCTGTACCTTGTACAGCTATATTCCAACTTTATTCGCGATGGGATTGGATGCGTTTCCAAGACATGGGCTACTGCAATATCCCAATAATGGAACGTACTCATTCCATCCGATGACCAAACAGAGTGTGCCACTTGTTTTAGTGCCTGATGGGTCAAAATACTGACAACTTCATATCATCATTTCGACACAGATGTTCATGTAGTCTATTTCTAGAGTGCCTTCGAGTCCGCAGGGTTCCAAAATTGACAAGTCCACTTTTGAAAGCCATAGACCACCTCGATGCTCATGGATGTGTTTAATCGGAATGACCCTCGGCAATATCGGAATGAAAGGCTTCTGCTCAGCATGATCGCCAGGATAAACCCATGGAGCTGTCACGCAGTCTCATATTTGAGTCTCAGCACAACATCTGCCAGGTGATTCGATCAGCGTTCACCCGTGGGCTCGGATGAGCGGAATCGGTGACAAGGGATATATGGATGACGATGATACTGCATGGTTATGAACTAACGATATGATCTCCAAAGCTAATGCAAGAGGTTTCGAAAGTATGAACGTCTCCTCGTGACGGGTCTCTGAAATTCCAAGGTTGTCCACGGTGTACCTTGATCTTTGCACACTAAATTGTCAAGGTATATCATAGGACATCTTAGTTTCACGCAGATAGTCCAATAGTATATGACGAAAGGCAGAATAGTGACACCATCCAACAGGCCTTTGCAGCAACCTTGGAAGCAACAAGGCCCAACAAGAAATTTGGAAGTCTCTTGCGCAATCCCCAGAGCCAAACACCGAAAACCCACCTAGACACACATCAAACCCCCGGCGCATAGCGGCGGGTTTATCCGAGCTCACATTCACACATTCACAGGTTCATGCACACTATTCGTAGTTTTTCGTTGACTTCACCGCTGACGAACCATGGAGCCTAGAACACAACCAATCCGAATGGTGGCAAAAGGAATCCAGGTATCAGATGGAATCCACACCGACAATTACGCCTCGGAATAGAAAAGATCTATCTGAAGCTCCTCAACTCCACTACCTTGGCCTCGGTCCAGGGTTTGGTCTAGAGCCCTAAAGGTAGAGTACATGCGATGCACGGGGTGAACGAGCTCGTAAGAACTATACGAGCCCGACCTGCGGATCTTGACCGAGCTGTCGGGCGCCATGGCTCTATGCAAAGTATCCAACCGGACGTCCTGGATGAAGGGAAGTATCATCCGACTGCAACCTAATCTAGCGATTCATTGGAACCACCGTCGATCGTTTTAGGGCCACCCCTTGCAGATGTGCTGAATGCGAGCATTAATCCCCGCCACCTACGTGGCGCATGCTATTCTCGTTCAAGTAAAAGTAGGAGCACTCCGTAAGTGGCACGGGATTCCGGCCCCCTGTGGGCGGGTCAACCGTTGCTTTTTTCTACAGATTGGACACATCATATGTAGGCGATCCCGGGAGCCGAGATCGAGTCGGAACTCGTTGTGGGCACGAGATTATCTGGGTTACATTGGGTGTTCCTGCATGAACCATTCTGACAGTGGTAATTGTTTAGATGTGAGTAGAAAGGTACGAAAATGAAGTCAGAATTGCATGAAAGTGTTCAAAATACGAGATCCCCGCCTGTAATGCTGGTAATAGTCATCGAGTCGTAACAAGAACAGCACAAATGCTGTGAAAATGGAAAATAGGTGCAGAAATGAAGTAGAAAAGTACAACGCCAAACCCCTCCGATATGCCCAAATACTCCGTGTTGCAATCATTCAGACTCTGACGCGTCCCTCAGACGCCACGCCAACAGGTACATGCCTTCTGCGTCGTCGTCGGTTGTCAGATGCACCGTCCACCTCATATCGCGACAGAAGAGATGCGACCATCTCGCGGTACGTGTTCATCTGGTCGAGTCTGAACCGCTGGATTTTGCCACTGGCGGTACGAGGGATTTCTTCCACGAAGATCACCCCGCCTTCGAGGGACTTGTAACTTGCCAAATGTTGGCGCACATGGCGATACACCTGTTCGCCCGTGAGGCGGCGCATGCCGGGTTCACGGGAGCGAACCACGAACGCGCGGGGGACCTCGCCCAGTCCACTCTTGTTGACGCCAATTACAGCCGCGTCGGTGATTCCAGGGTGTTGCAGGAGAACGGCTTCAACTTCGGCGGGAGCCACTTGCCATCTATGAATAGAATTAGTATGATCGATGGATACGGCCAGATGCAAAACTGACCCTCGAACTTTGATTAGCTCCTTGGTACGTCCGACGATGTAAAACTGGCCCTGCTTGACCATTGCCACATCTCCCGTGCGGTACCATCCGTCAGGCTCCAGGGCGTCGGCCCGACCCTTGTATGCACTCAACAAACCGGGGCCACGAACATACAACTCGCCGGCACGCTGATCACCCTGGACGATGCCGTCTTGGTCCATCAAGCGCACCTCGTATCCAGCAAGTTGGGTGCCGATACTGGCTGGATCTCCGGCCTGGCCGTAACGAGTCTGGAACACCACCCCTACCTCTGTCATGCCCCAGATCTGGCATGCGTATGCCAAGGGGCTCAGACGGTCGCGGAAGGTCTGGATGGAGGTCCCGTCAATACAAGCACCTGCGACACCAACATAACGCAGTGAAGATAGGTATTCAGACACTGGCTGGGTGGATTGGTTGAGAGAGTGAATGATGGCAGGGACCAAGTAGGTCTCGGAGATTTTGTACTTGTGCACCGTGGTGAGGAACTCGTTCACCTCGAAGCGTGGGAGCACGAAGAGCGGGTGGCCGTATCGGACAGGGAAGAGATGCGTCCACAAGGCTCCGAACAGGTGGAACATGGGTAGCGACATGAGTCGGCTAACCGGATATGGAACATCATAATAGATCGAGCGATGTTGTGAGACAATTGCATGGTGGGACAGAACAGCCGCCTTGGGTAGGCCGCTTGTGCCACTTGTCGAAAACATGGCTGCAGGTGTGGTTTTTGCAACGGACTCGTTGAACCTCACCCAGTCACTTTGGCCATAACAGAGGAGATTCGCAATGCTGGAGTGCTGAGCATCTCCCATTCCAATGAATGATCCTGCGGCGGAGTATCCAAGTTCATACCACAGGAACAGCTGGGCACAATAATCAATAGCTCGCTCATCGACGACACAGACTTGGGCCGGGTGGATGCCCCGGGGGGTGGAGACATCGAGAACGGTGGCCAGTGCCTCGCGGGTGGTGAGGATCAACTTGGGCTCCGCCAGGCCGAGGATATGATCAAGTTCTTGGGGCTGGCTGCGAGGGTTGGAGCCCATGTAGACTCCACCGGCACCAATGATACCGAAGAAGAGTGCGGGATAAACGATCTATTGCAATCGGGACCAGGTCAGCATGGTTCTCGCAGCCTCGTTGCTTTTTGGATTTTTTTCTTTTGTATGTTTCTTTTTTCTTTCTTCGGCTTGATTGTTGTTCTTTTTCTTTTCCATCCGTATATGCCGCTTCATCTGGTAAAGGCTTCGCGTCTCAAGTGTATGGGATGGTTGGGATTGGACTTACACTGTTGCCCAGATGTAACAATACACAGTCTCCAGGCTGGATGTTGTGGGCTTTGAAACCCGCAATCAAGGTCTGCACCAACTGACGAAATTGAGCTGCCGTGAAAGACCGCGAGGGATCTTCAGCATCAATGAATAAAGGTTGGTTGAGGTTATAGGGCTTGGGGCCCCCGAAGGTGAAGCTCAGCAAATCCATGTCAGTCACGGGCAAAGACATGATCGTGAGTGGGGAAGAAGAGAAGTGAGACGGAGACCCAGGGGGTTATATAGAAACCCATTCTCCATGCTGATGATTTGAATTCTCGATGGGCTTTGATTTGGAATACACACTGCTTAGGTAAAGAGGCGCTAGTGTCTCATGCATATCAAAGGCTTTCGACTTCACTTTCCGATCAAAAGTACATTATCTCTCTTTTTTTTTACTTTTCGGCTAATGTTCCCAGTTGCTGCACGCAGTGCCAGAGTCAGTAAATCGAGTGCAACAGCTGAACTCGTCCACTAGATCGAGAGCGAAGACTCCACCAGTTAGCGCGGGATTTACAGGATTCCAAATTCACTAGTCTGGCCCCACTGCCTCAGCCATACAGTCAACACAGCGTTCAGCCCCTTGACTGAGCCACACGCTCAGACCCTTTGATCCTTGCTGAACTGCGATGTCAATCGGATCTACAGCGGCTAACTGAACTGTGCATTTGATTCTCAAAGCACATGATTTCACTCTTCTTCACGGACCCACGAGCGATTTCTGTCAACACGCGGGATTCCTCAACTTTTGACAGGATCTGCAATTCCTGGCTACCAATTGGAGTCGTCTGTCCCTCCTCCGCTTCAATGTCTATGATGGGCCCAATATCACTTCATGCGTGCCCAAAGCCCGCAGCCGCTCATCAGTGGAGAACGATCCTCGATCTCTCCCCGAACTTGCCTGTCTAATCTTCTCCCACACCCAGATCGACTAACGATTTGGTGCTCCACTCCCGCCAGGTTCTGCAGCATACCCATGCGCACAAACGCTGGGGCATGAAGTGGAGCCAGGCCTTTGGAGCAATCAGCGTTGAATATCATCTCATTCCAAGGAGGGGTTCGAACATGCGGTCACACTCAGCTGCACACAAGGATCGACCGTGCCGCAAAAAAGGACAAAAAATAATTGAAAAAGAAAAACAAAGGAAGCAAAAAAAAAAAAAAAAAAAAAAAAAAGAAAAAAAAAAAATAAAAAAAAAAAAAAAAAAAAAAAAAAAAAAAAAAAAAAAAAAAAAGAAAAAACGGCATAGTAAGATAAAGTCCGATCTCATAACCACATAAAAAGCAAATAAATCCCAACAACTATGTCATCGGGTGAATGCAGCTGCCTCATGGCAGGATTGCATTGATCCACAGTGGCATTGTCCCCAAGCCTTGCGCTGAATCGGACTGTAAGCCACTCGTCATCCATATCTCGGCTAGAGATCGGCCTAGGATCGAAGCCTCACCCACCCGTGGTATCATGTGCCAATGCTTGATCTCCACGCGTGCAGCCCTGGGTCGAGACTAGTGAATAGCCCCAGTGGCGGGATAGCGAGTGGTATGCTTCCTCTCGACTGATATCAATTCGGTGATGGCCTTGATTGGCTCGCATGAGCGCCTTCCTTTGGGAACCTGTTCCGGTCGACCCCGTCAAAGTGAGTTCATTCGCCTCGTTCTGGGACCATTGAACAGAGTTTTGACAGTATGCATCCCAAGGCTCGGGGACTGGGAGGATTGTCCCCCGATGTCCCATGTCGAGCCGAAAGCAAGGACTCGGGGGGGCTTTCTGGTTGCTCATTGGCATGGTTGATTCCACTAGCCCGAGTTCTGGGTCCTGATGTGACGGGAGAAGAATGAAATGGTGTCATTGTGTCCCGTGTGTCAGATCCATCAAAGGGATCGGGTGTAAAAAAAGACGCAGAAAATCACAAAGGGAAATCACAAAGGATAAGAAATATCATATGCAATGCATTGACAGGGATCCCCGAAGTCCAAACCCTAACGGGAACGGAGAAAAGGGAAACGAGAAAGAGGTTCGCTCAAAGAGGGAATCGGAGGACGAAAGGACTGCTGAGAACGGTGAAGCCCGAACGGGAAATAGTAAGATGTGAAGATGTGAGCTGGGCCCTTTGGATATGACAGCTGAACTTAGGTGCTCAAAACTGAACAATTTGCCGGTTGGATTGACAAGAGCTCTTCTTCACTCCCATCTCACTTCCTTTCCTCCTGGCATCGCACCCTTTCCTCCTTGAGTCGTGTCACATATCATTACCTCTTTCAACACTTCGACAATCATGCCGGAGGTCACGCCCATCCAGATGCCCCCAAAGGCCGTGATTGACCCGGGCTCCCCCACTTCCAGCGCGGATACACTCGACGATGGCGACCTCGCCATGGAGAAATGTAGTTCCAAGATGATGGAAGTGCTGGATCTGGACAGCCCAGCCCAGAAAGAAGAAGCCCGGTTTGACCTAGAAGCCCAATCCACCCATCCTCGACGCGAGCCAAAGATATTAGCCTCGCTTCGCTATGCCATACTCACTCTTTACCGACGTCTCTTCACACTGGTGTTTTTGGTCAACGTCGGTGTCTTCATCGCTGTCATGCTGAATTCGCAAATGCTGCTGGCGCTGGTCAATGCCACAGCTGCCAACCTGTTAGTGTGCGGGCTGGCCCGTCAACCATTAGTCGTCAACGCCATCTTCAAGGTCGTGCTATCCATGCCGAGGTCGGCACCACTTGCCCTCCGCCGCACTGCCGCCAAGGTGTACCACTATGGCGGCGTCCACAGCGGATGTGGGGTTGCCTCCCTCATCTGGTACGTTGGATTTGTGGGCGTGCTGTCCCATGAATATTGGAACCCGTCAAGCGGCCCGGACCTCATCACCACCAAGGCGCCGGTGATTCTCTCGTACGCCATCCTCGTACTTCTGCTGGCAATCATCGTGGTAGCGCACCCAGCAGTGCGCATGAAGCGACATGATTATTTCGAACTCACCCACCGTTTCTCGGGGTGGCTTGTGGTAGCGCTCTTCTTCGCGCTCTTGATGGTCGTTTCACACGAGGCCAGCCAGTCCCAGCACCAACCCCTGGGCAAATTCCTCATCTCACTTCCCGCCTTCTGGTTCCTCCTCGTCACCATCATCGCCATCGTTCACCCCTGGCTGATGCTCCGGAAGGTCGCGGTGCGGGCCGAGCCCCTCTCTTCCCACGCCACGCGCCTGCACTTCGACCACGCCATCACCACCTTCGGCAAGGGCATCCAGGTCGCCAAGCACCCACTGCACGACTGGCACAGTTTCGCCACCTTCCCGGACCCGACCCCATCCGGCCCCAACGGTTCTCCAAGCTTCTCCTGCCTAGTCTCCAAAGCAGGCGATTGGACCGCCGCAACCATCCAGAACCCGCCCACGCACCTGTGGAAGCGGGGCGTCCTGATCTACGGCTTCGCGTATGCCATGCGTGTCTTCCGCAGGGTGATTGTCGTCACTACCGGATCCGGCATCGGGCCATGCTTGTCCTTCCTAGGCGATGAGAACCGGCCGGCGCTCCGTGTGCTCTGGCAAACTCGTGCCCCGCGCCGGACATACGGTGAGGGGGTCTTAGATTTGGTTCGAAAGATGGACCCAACCCCCATTATCCTAGACACTGATCAATGTGGCCGCGTCGACATGATTCCCCTCATCCTGCAGCAGGTCAAGGACTTTGATGCGGAAGCGGTGTGCGTGATCAGTAACCCTGTGCTGACGGGGCGAATTGTGTATGAGCTTGAAGCGCGAGGCACCCCGGCTTTTGGCCCAATTTTTGATTCATGATTACATGAGCGTATTGTTTTGTTAGTTAGCCTTTCAATGATAAAATATTCAATGATTTCAAGAATTGGGGGAATTCCAAAATTATATAAAAACCCCTGAGGTTCGCAGCGCTAAGACCAGGCAACTGGGCAAACTCTATATAATTCCAAATACCTAAGTACTCATTGTGTGCAGTACATACCAGTAGAGTGTTGAACCATCATGAGTATGAATACAATTCTGTTCCTATTTCATTCTCACATCTGACTGTATCTGCCTACATAGGTAGGCCACTTCGTAACATTGGAATCCGTCGATCATGTCTACCTAGGTAGAAGTGCCAAGACCGAGGCCGCGGTCTCTCTTGCCCAATCCCGTAAGCCTCCGCGGAGCAGCTCCGAGGTATACCATATTAAAGGTGGTTCATGATATTCACATTGCTCTTGAACATTTGACCATCTCGATTTAATCGGTGTAACCTGACCTCGCAATGTCCGAACGCAAAGTAAGCACAGCCCAGACTACCATGTCGCATCCTTGTCCACATCCCAGAGCAAACATCCAGTACCAAAGTACCTACATATACATGACTGGAAAAAAGAAAAAAAGGCAAACACTTCACAACAGTCAAGCTAATGCAACACACAGGCAATTATCATTGGCGGCGGTCCCGCTGGGCTTGCAACAGCACTGCGTCTACACAAGCACAATAACATCACCTGCGTGGTCTACGAGCTACGCGAGCAGCCTAGTACCCTCGGGGGTGCGGTGGGCATCATGCCGAATGGACTACGGTTGTTTGACCGACTGGGCGTGTGTGACGAGCTCTACGCGAGAGGATACAGTGGCGGCATGTTGACGGTTCATTCGGCTGCCGGGGGTGTGGTCGGGGCGCAAGATATGGTCGGCTGGGCGCGGAGTCAGACCGGGTATGGATATTTGAGGATCAAGCGGGTTGACCTGGTTGATGTTTTGTTGGACGCTGTTCGGAGGGAGGGGATCGAGGTGAAGTTTGGAGTGAAGGTGACGGGGATAGAGGATGGGGTTGTCCATACCGAGAATGGGAATGATAGGGCTGATTTGGTGCTGGGATGTGATGGGATTCATTCATTTGTTAGGAGGAATGTTGTTGATCCTGAGTGCGTGAGTGAGTACTCCGGCTTTGCGGGGTCTTTTTCGATTGTTGCTGCTTCGCAATTGCCACCGCGGACGGTGGATACGATGAATGGATTGCATGCTATGACGACCGAGGAGGGAATGTTCATGGTCAATCCTTGTACAGCAAACAAAGATGAAGTGATGTGGGGTTTTTCGCGGGAGGTGGAACTACCTGGCCATGGAAGAGATGGGTGGGAGGAGACTCGCAAGGCTGAGGTGAAGGGATTCAAAGACTATCTTCTGGGAGTGCTCCAGACTGCGACTGGCGAATGGGGCTCACTCATCAAGGACCTCATTCAGAACACTTCTGTCGTCAAGTTTCATCCCGTCTACCGGCTCCCACTTGGTGGATGTTGGTACAAAGATCGGTGTCTTTTGCTTGGTGACGCAGCACATGCCATGTCACCGCATGCTGGACAGGGTGTGTCCATGGCCCTCGAAGATGCGTTCTTGCTTTCGAGGCTTCTTGAGGATTCGACTCGACCCCTGTCGCAGGTGTTCGCGAAATACGACGAGGTTCGTCGCCCGAGGGTGAATGAAATCTACTTGCAGGCTGCCGATAATGCCAGCATGAGGAAGAAGACTGGTCCATGGGGCCTGTGGCTGAGAGAAACAGCTTTCGGCACGTACATGAGATTCAGCAATGCTCTAGGGTTAGAGAAATGGGCATTTGGACAGAAGCAATTGGTCTATGACATCGATCAGGTGGAGTTATGATGTGTTCAGATAGTATTTGGTTTGTCAATAAGCAGATCTGCCAGAGCTAATCTTATTCTTGCTCTTCGAGATTATAAAACTATAACACGCTGAATTGCTTGGCTTGAACGCATATATTCGAAAGGTGTCGGTTGGTTGGAGAAGTAAGTGGGTGATGACAACGGGTTAGAATAAAACACCAATAAGCGTCTTCAGCTTACGAAGTGAAAGTGGCTTGACAAGATAGTCGTTGACACCTGCGGTTCTGGCGGCTTGTCGCATAGTATCCGATGCAACACCCGTTACAGCCATGATGCAGGAAGGCTTGAGGGCGTTGTCTTTTTCATACTGGCGTATTTTGCTTGTTGAGACCAGGCCATCCATTACTGGCATTGATAGATCTAGAAACAATTAGCACCCTATCAGTCAGTTATTCATGCCAGAGGGATATGTGAAGAAAAAACGCTCAACTCACCCATCAGGATTAGGTCAAATCTTCGAGAAGACTCCACCTTTTCCAGTGCAATCAATCCGTTAGAAGCCGTCTCATAGCTGTAGCCAAGTTTTCGCATGAATGTTGCAAGGATCTGTTCATGATCGTCAGTTAAGATAAATGATTGAACAAATGGGAACTTTTGGAGTAGATTTTGGCGCGGTTGGATAACTCGAGTTCTTACTCACCTGGACATTGATATCATTGTCGTCCACAATAAGGACATGCATTTGATCTTTTGCTTCGGTGTCCATTTTCTCGGGGGGATTTGGGCAGACCACTTCAATCGGGGTTTGCGGCACCAATTCCACCGGTGTCTCTGGAATGGCGATAGGTTCGGCCTGTGCTGGAAGCTCCTCAGAAACGATAGGTGGCACATTCAATTCAGTAACACCGAAACACTCGTTTTCAGGTTGTGTTTCAAGTAGCTTCTTGGCATCTTTGGCGGCTTGACATATCGATTTAGGTCCGAATCTGCATCAAGTTAGTCCACGCGTCCTCATCAACAATAGAAACATGAACATACGGCTGCCGTACGAAGATAACATTAGAGGGCAGGGCGTTGCCCAGAAGGGCACCGGCGCTGCCCAACACAATGAAAACCTTGAAGCGGCTGCGGAGATTGCTCGCAATTTTGGTGCCATCCCATGTGTCTTTGAACTTCGCCTCTTCCATTACGGCAACATCACCCAGCCCGGTTTCAATAGACTCGGCAAGAGATATGCGCCATTCCATCTGGTTCATGAGAACACTGGCAAGCGTGTTTTGGATAGAGAGTTTGCGTTTCGCATCAGGGCTCATGATACCAGTAGGTGTTTCAGCCAAGTCGGGATAGGAATTAAAGCCAATAAGCCCTGCTCTCAACTCATTGGAGTCTGTGCCGATGTTGCATTCGGTAGAACTTATAGTTGCGGGAACCTGATTCTCACATCGCAGCGAGGGAATGTATACATCGACCTGGGTGCCCACCCCAATCTCACTTCTCATGTTGATGTGGCCACCGAGGAAAGCGACGAGTTTGTGTACGATGCTGAGACCAAGGCCGACACCTTCTGAAAGTGCGTCTTCCTGGGAGAATGGAGTAAAAGCTGCGTTCTTGAGGAACTCTGGGGCAATCCCTCGGCCTGTGTCGGTGACGCGTAGATGCGTAAGGGTGGATTCCGAGGTCTGGTCGACCACCTCTGACAATGATAATTCGATGAGACCATCTTGTGTCCATTTCAATGAATTTCCGAGGAGATTCATGACAATCCGTCTCCAAGCGCCGGCTACTGATCGGATCTTCCATGAGCGGGGCTGTTCGATATTGATCACCACGGACAGCTCGCGGATCTTTTCTTCAGATGGCTGGACGGATAGAGTAGGTTCGATAGGGGCTCGACCCGTGTGAAGGATCATAGCGACGTCTTCGACTAATCGATCAAGATGGAATTCAGAAACAAGACTCATTGTCCCCTTGGTGCTTCTTTTCTTGTCGAGCTCGGGGGCCGGTCCCAAGTTGTTGATTTTGCAATAATCCAACCTCAAGCTTGGTTAGCAGAACACTGGATCGTTTTCTTGGGATGCTTACAGGTGGTCTATAGTGTCCAACAATGTGATTCCTGAAGTCGAGATCATGTTGACAATGTCATGTTGCGTGGGTTGAAGGGGAATATCGTTCAGCAGCTCTGCGCTTGCAAGTATTCCGTGAAGTGGCGAGCGGAGCTCATGACTGATTGATGTGACAAAATCAAATTTCGAGTTTTCACTTGCCGTCCAATGTAAACGGGAAACCTCGGAAATGATCGAGTCGCCGAATGCTTTGAAATAGTTAAGTTCCTCTGTACCCAGAGGACGGTGGCAGCCGTTCATCCAAACCAATGTACCTGCAAGCCAACGTGACTTACTCCAATCCCAAAGGGGATAGAAGAGTACGAACTTGGAGCCTGGAAGTTGTGCAGACAGGCGATCGGTGATCAATTGAATGGGTTCTGATTTTGAGGCCGAATTTGTGTTGTCCTCGTCCGCGGCGGTGATTTCAGCGCTGCTCTCGAGATCGAAGACATGGCCCTCTGGAAAATGGGTGATTAATGAATGGAGTAGATCTTCGGTAATCATAATCCGGCTGGGATAGCCCTTTGAATCATCGGCCGTCCGATCGTTTGAAGGCTGCCCCAAGAAGCCACAGTATTTTCCAGCATCTTTAGGTAGCGATGCGCGAGGGGTCAGGGGAAATCCCGGGTCGACAAACTGAGGCACAGCTTCCCAGCCCTCGTTTTGTCCGGATGGTTCACTATTGTCATTAGAGATGGTCCACTGAAACTGGGGCCTTACTCACAATTGTGGATCATTTCGGTGGGCATCGAGAAAAACCACACCATCGAGATCCAATGATTCTTTGAGCAGCACGCTAGCACGGGAGAAAATGGCTGCAATGCGCTCAGTGATAGGAACGTCTTCAGTTACTGTCGGTTCGGAAGTTGCATCCAAAGAAGTGGATGCAGGATCCGTTCGGTCCGAATAAGCTCTCGAGATAGACGAGGGCAGTGTCGATTTTGATCTCGAGCGGCCAGTTTCCGAGAACACAGAGGCTTCACGTGCATTCAGACTTGGTGAAGATCTTTGATCAAGCGGCGAATAAACCCCGCGATCTTTGGCAGATAGTGAAGCAATGCTTTCCCCCACATCACCCAAGTTTACCGATGGTTCGAGACTCTCTGAATTCATGTTCTTCGTGGACGTTTCCAATTGATTCTGGGTCGAGAACCCGGTGGGATCAAACTTCGAGCGGCTTTTGACAAAGCTCGTCAGGCCTTTCACCAAATTTTCCGAGCGGCGATGGTATTGAACGATCCGGGAGTTTTCAAGATGATTCGTAATCGCATCGGCAATCTCTCTCAGTGCAGATACCTCTTCGTCGCCGAACCCTGTGCGTGGTTTGTCGTCGACCACGCAGTACGAACCAAGAACATATCCCGAAGGACTGTACAGAGGCACTTCGGCATAGAATCGGAAGTGGGGCCAGCCAAGCACATAAGAACGATCTTTGTAGAAGTCCTCCTTGGTGAAATCACGAATGATATTCCTTGTCCGGTTGGCCGTTACGTTCTCCGTGTCCTGGACATGAGACTCATCCTGACCGGTGAACAAGCGAATGGCATGAGGACACACCCCCCATTCCAAGTCAAGGGTCCTCACACCCAGGAAGATCCCATCATCTGGTTGATGGTGATCGGTATTGCGGAGGGAGATCGAAGCCGTCGCCTCGGAAATGACATGCTGGTTCCCGCCATCGATGATCGACACGAAGGATCGATTGCATGCAAAGCGGTAAACCCCCAACTGGGTGAGCGCGGTCAGGGTGGTATCCGAGGAAAGATGCACGGAGTCTATTGAATCCTCGGGCAGGCCGTGCTGATCGAAGGTGCAGTAGTACCTATCGGGATATGTCAACGGCGATCGGGATCGAGGCGGGGGCAGATCAAACCTTGATAATTCCCGAACTCTCTCTTGCTCGTCTGGCTGACCCATCGTTGGTGGGCCAGCTGAATTGCAAGCTTCTGTCACATAGGTAGTCCCCCTCTTCGCCAGAATATAGAAGAAATACAAAAAGTCAACGGCCAAAAAAAATCGACGATAAACCTGTTTTTGGGGAAACCGGTGACACTTTATTTTGCTCGCCTTAGTGCCTCGGTAAGAGAGTCTAGACTTGGACTATTGTTTATCCGCATAGATCGTCGGTGTCAGATGTCTTTCCCGTCTACTCCGTACATCCATTCCATACTGACACCTGGGAGTATCCCGGGGCTATACTACTATTCTACTATACTCTCGTAGTCGGAACTAACTGCGCATGGTCCTGGAAATAGGCTGATTGAAATATTTGTATTATCAGAGCTGAGAATCTTTAAAGGTAACAAATGAAGGCCTATTCAAGGAACAAAATAGTAAGAAGAGAAAGTCAGATCCACTGGGAAGTGAATGGGTATCATGCAAACTGGACTGGGAGCCCCGGAACTGCGCTGCAACCCGCTGTCGGGATTGTGTTGTCCCCCGTCGTTGGTATCATTAGGCCGTTCGTTGAGAAGCAACCGAAAACGTAAAACAGAAATGGAGAACGTAGGAAAACCATTATTGTGGGTGTAATTTTGGGGGTAATTTTTTTTCTGGCCGTGAATCATAAAGTCATAATGAGGAACCGGTAATCAGATAAACTGATCACACGTGTTGAAGTGCAAGTAGTTCAATGACGGTTTTAGTGACGGGAGGAGTCCACAGAGGGAGCGCGAGAAGGAGTGCGCGAAGGAAGAGGAGAGGGAGCGGGGGATTCGCCGGTGACAAGGTCATCCGATGTGAATCGCAGGTTGCGGGCAGAGCCGCGAGTAGATCGGTTGGAGGAGTGGGTGGAATCGCTGTCCAGTCGCAGAGAATCCATGCGTTCCAGATCCTCGTAGTCCGGAAGCGGGAGTGGGGAGCCGTGGTAATCTTCGAAATAGCTGTGGGCATCGTCGGGCTTGGTGTAACCTGGGGGGCTGGCAGGGACATCTTCGTAAACAGGAGGCATCTCCTCGTCCCAGCTGATGCCAAGACCACCGCGCTCAGTGACGTGAAGGTGGAACTGCATGCGCAGAACACGGGCGGCGCCGGTGGGAGTGATCAGGCGAGTGTTGCGGTTGGGGCAGAATTCTTCGGCAACGATGAGCTCGATGACCAGGTTGTGCTTGACCTCCAGGCCAGCGGGGGCCTCCATATCGCAGACGGCGTTGGCGGCGGGGTTAATGCTGGCCTCGAAGTTCATGCTGATTTCACCGCCAGCGGTGTCGAAGTCGGTCTTCCAGCCAGTCTTCTCCTCATTGTGGCCGATGATGCGGGTCTCCTGGTGCAGAACACCCTTGCCTTCTCCGCCGATCTTGTGAGCGTGCTTCTGGCAGGCGCTGGAGACGATCTTCTGGTGTTCTTCAATGCGCCACATCATTTTGCGTAGACGCCAGCGAGTTTGAGTCTCGTCACCCTTGTCGACGACTCCACTCAGAGTCATGTCGACGGGGAACTTGCCAATGGGGTGAACGACGGAAGGCAGAACGATGCGGCCGGTGAGGTTTGTGGGAGGGAAGATGCGAATAGAGGACTTGTCGTTGCCCGGGAGGAGAGAGCGGCGAACGTTCAGAGGCAACTTGAGAGAGTATTCTTCACCGGTGATGCTCTGAGCATGCGCCACCAGGAAGTACTCAATTTGGCCAAGAGCGCCATTGCAAGACGCTGGGAGGTGGCCGGGGAACAGGTAGCTGAAGGGAAACTCATGTTCTCCGCTGTTCATGTGCAGATCCTCGGTGAGGAAGTTCCACTGGGTCAGCTCTTCGGTGCGAGTAGCGCAGTTGGGGCAATGCGTGGAGACAGGCTTCTTGGTAGTGCTCTTCGAAATGAGACGAACATCAAACTGGCTCAAAGTCACACCACCAATCGCTTCTGAGACCAGGACACGCAAACGGCCAGAGAATAGTGCACCAGTCGAGCTGGCAGGGGGGCCATAGCACACGAGTGGGGGGGATTCAACCTTGACCTCAAGCTTGGCGGCCGGAGGGATTTCATGCCCCGAACGCTCCTTGGATCGTCCCGCGCGTCCTAGGCTGCGGCGCTTGTCCTTGCTGTGGTCTCGGTGCGGGTGAATCAGGTGGTCCATAGAAAATGATAGGCGGCGTTCAGGAGATCGTGCGCGGTCAGTGTGGTTGTGCGCCGGCTTCTTTGCGCCAGGGATCTCGTTGACGGAGACGGTCGAGGAGGAGTTGGAGTGATTGGGGGTCGAGGAGACAGAGGAGTGTAGGGAACTTGCATTCCGCAATAGGTTGGGGATCAATCGGCCCGGCATAGTGGCGGTTGCTCAATTAGCAGTGATGTGTAGATGTGTAGTTGATCTAGATGCGGGTGTGATGGAGAGTTGAACGGTCAAGAAGTGGTGGGGTCAAATAGTTGAGGGTTGGAAGCAAAGCACCACATCGTATAGTAGAAGCAAATTCAATCGCAGATGTAGGGCGTAACCTCTGCTTTTGAATGGGCTGGCGCAATCATGTGCACGCAACCGTGGAAACCCCAATCGAAAAATGGAATTTTTTTTAAAAAAAAAAACGAAAATTGATTTTTCTATTCGATTTATTAAATTTCTGTTCTGGAAACCAAGTTCCCTCCGAATCCAGGTACCGGTGCAGTCAATGAGAGGCGCAGAAAAATGCGAAAAAAAGAAAAGAAAAATTAGCAGGTGGGGCAGAGTAAATCGTCATCGCCCAGAAATTACCATACCGTGACCCATAAATTACACCGCATTGGGAACCCCCCCAAGGTTCTCCTTAGAGCCTTGGTGATGACTCTACTAGTATCCTCTGTTTGCTCTTGCGTCAAGCTGTGACACGCAATGTCTCGTTCAAGCCTCATTTCGGCTCAGGCCATTGCTACACATCCGCTCATCTCGGTTTCCGGGTCTGGTGCCGAGACAGGCCCAATCCATGTTTGATTTACGAGTAGAAGGATCTCGCCCGTTGCTTTGTGATCGTCTGATGCCTTTTGGGCTTACCCCACATCAGCCCGAGCAACAATTTGGGATATTCCAGAGAGAACCATTGACGAGGGGCAAGCTAGACCACATCCAGTGCGATCCAAGCACATGATGCCATATTAGCTCCAGGGCGTGCCAAATGGAACCAAAATCGCCCGTGCGTATGACTCACGGTCTTTATGCCGGATCGGCTAAATCGGTCGGAGAGGTTTGCGATGGCTTCGGGCTCTGTTCACAGGCATCGTGGCCTAGCATGTGGTTCGGCCTTGGACCCCGGGGAAACAGGGACACTTTGCCGCGGGGTATGCTCATGGATGCTCATCTACACGGCCGATAGCGGGACCTGCCGCCTGGGGGCCATGCTCGGCGGTCAACCTGAGCTGGAGATACTTTCCTGAGATGGCCACGATCCTACCGATGCTACCCCGGCTTTGACATACATGATCCTAGTCTACTAGATTATCTTCCGAAGAAACACGGAGGAGCACCCGATCAGGTGTCTTTGACCCTGGCAATATAGACAATGCCTGGGAAGTGGGCTGAGAGTACATTTGCCGTTCTATTCATGCCATCTTTGTTTCAGTCAACATTCAGGTCTATTAATACTGTAGATCAAAGAAAGTACTCCGTACTGTACCTCCAAGGTTGACTCACGTGGCAAGGCCGTAACATACAATACCGTACCTAAGACTGATCTGCGACTAGCGCCGTTCTCTAACGCCATTCCGCATGAGGACAACGAAACGCGATGGAAAGACCCTTTCGCGGAGCTCCACTAGGAAAATTTTTCTGTTTTCCCCTGCGCATACACCGCCTGTCCTTTTCAATCGACGGACCTTACGATCACTCACGGCGCTCGCCTATGCCTCCAGGGCTCTCTGTCGAAGGTGTGCGCCTCTACCCCGCACTGCAGGCCTTGCATTTTGTGGGGCACAGCGCAACTATGGCCTACAGGATGTACATCGACGTCGTACAGACCTTGGACTCAACACCTGAGCTCAGAAAAACATATGATCAACGAAGTTCTAGCCTTTCCGCTGTCAAGAATTGCTCCGTGCTTTGATGTGCCCCGTTGACGAATCAGCTCCGTAACCGCCCCCATCTGGTCACCCAAATTACCTAAGAGCAACAACGAGCATCCTTGTAGCGCCTATAGACAGCGACCTTGTGCGCAGGGGCCCAGGTACGCGTTCGAGCTGCAGCTTCGACACGTTGAAGAATTGGCTCGTGCGTTTGGGCGCTGAGTACCTTGTTCCCAAGGGTTCTTGGAAGCTACGGTGAGCCCTGGCATCACGCCATGGGCGTGTGTTGTACCTGTAATGGGTATGGGGACGCGGTGATGCCATCCGGGTGCGCATTTGCACTCCCGCACGTCAGCTCGGAGATTTAGGTGTCTTGGCTGGTCGATCGATTTAGTCGTACGTTGCACATACTCGTAGTATCATAGTACTTCATCTAGTATGCGATCTCAATCGTATATATTGCCCTGATCAGGGTGGTGCGCTGTTGCTCGTACGAGTACACAAATCGAGTATGTCCACGCTCCCATATCTTCTCCTCCGAATGACTACAACGGGGGTAATCATATCGAATGCAATATCTAGTATAGCTTCGGTGATCACCATCGTGAATCAGTGGCCCTGGTGCACCGGGCGGTCGTCGGATGGACTAGCCAATCGTTGGTAAGGGGGATGCCGTCTCAGGCGAACTTCCTGTTTCGGGTCGATCTCGGTCTGCCCCTCCGATCTGTTTCAACCGGATGCGATCCGTCTTTTTCTTTTCTTTCCCTGGCCCTTTTTCGTTTTTGGAAAAGAAAAAATACATTAAAAAATACCAAAAAAGCAAGAATTCTCTTTTGATGCCTTATTTTTCTGCGCGTATGGGGGGATATTCTCCGCCCGTTGTGCCATTAAGCCATTCTGCCGGCATCAGCAAACGCCATCTCGTCATTCCCTACTTTTATATCTTCATTCTCAGTCGTAATTTCCGCCATTATGACCAAACACCAAGAGCCCAACTCTCCAAACTATTATAAATTCCCTCCAAATTGCGCCATTTCCGACCAAAACAACACTAATAGAATCCGCGGAGAACACGGCCGGGTCTCCGCTTAAGCGGGCAGAAAATTTCTGTCGGAACCTTATACTCGGCCCGTCACAACGTGATGCCTTAGCCCGGCCCGTAATGCCTCTTTGGTAGGGCCTCTCCTTCTCATTGCCTCCACTTCATCGACGGAGTCCGCCTGTTTACTTGGCACTCTTACCCGGTCCGTTGCCGGTTGGTACACGTTCTCCGTTGCGCAGAGTCCATACGCTGCAGTATATGTAGGGGCATGGCCTGAAACTAGCAGATCGTAAATCAAGGAATACAGTCAATCCTTCGGTCTGGGCCGTGTCACTAATTGGCTCAATCGACACGGGTGCCACAGTCGGATTCATGGTCTCGACAAACTTTTACTCAAGACTTTCCACGTTGGACTTAAATTCTTATCAGATCTTGGCTCCAGGACCAGTGGACCCTTTCACTTTGCGTGGTCAATGTATATTCAGTGCCATATAATACTCTATTAGATCGAGCAGAAAATCTCGAAGGGTTGTCGTCTGATATCCGCTTCCGTCCGCATTCCGTGCCTAGTGATCATGGGGCTCAACTACTACTCCGTACGTACTAGTAGATCGCCGCGGTAGCTCATTTACTTCCACATCAGCAAGCTCCACAAATGCAAGAGGACCGGAAAGACTTGCCCCGAGTCATTGTCAATATCCAGCTTTGGAATATCTATTTTCAAAAATATCAGGACCCCATACTCCGTACTCCGTACTCAATATTGACGTAGAGTGACAGCCCGGGATTCACATGACACGTGACTACCCCGGGCGATCATCGCGGAACCGCTGAAGCTTCCCCTATTGCGCAACGAAGTTCAACCTTGAACTGTGTTGCCCGGTACCCCAGCCTGACCAGGACCTAGGCTTCCATTGTTCCCAATCGGTAGTACCCTCTGGCCTTGACTTGAGCACGCATCAAGCAGTAGGATATCCATACTCTGCCGAGGTCCCGCCATGCCATGATCTCGAAGTCTAGCTACCTCAATCCAACCCACCAAATACCACGGGGTACATCACGACGAACCGAAAATTGATATTCGCGCTCAATTGACCGCGCCATTGCCGCACATCACTTCCTCTCAAACCACGGCCCGCCATGACAGCCACCTTCAACTGGACGGCTTTCGCAGTCGCCATAGCCGCCGTCTTCCTATTCTGGACCCTCAGCTCAACATCCTCATCCCCCTTCACGCGCTCCTTCCCCCGCCTCGCCAACAAGCGCATCTGCCTCCTGATCGCCCACCCAGACGACGAAGCCATGTTTTTCGCCCCGACAGTGCTAGCACTCACAAACCCCGAACTAGGCAATCACCTCAAGATCCTCTGCCTGAGTACCGGGGATGCAGATGGATTGGGCGAAGTGCGCAAGAAGGAATTGCAAAAATCCGCCCTGCGACTCGGCCTGCGGAGCGAATCGGATGTCTTCATCGTCGACGATCTATCCCGCTTCCCTGATGGAATGGACAAGAACTGGAGCGAGGAAGATGTCGCGGGCATTTTGGCTTCGGCTTTCGCGCCGCCAAAGGGCAAGAATGAGGCTCCGGCTGCGACCATCGATGTGATTCTTACTTTCGACAAGCATGGGATTAGTAACCATCCCAATCACCGGTCGTTGTATTTCGGTGCCTTGCACTTCGTGCGTACACTGATGAAAGGGAAAGTGGGGTTCAGGTGCCCTGTTACAATGTATTCCCTGACAACGACATCCATTTTCCGAAAATATGCTGGTGTTCTTGATGCGCCATTGTCTATGTTCTTGGGCGTGTGCAGCAATGCTGCTTCTTCGCTGAGGGGGTCTAAATCCAAGGATTTTGCTGCTTCTGGGGAGGGACCGGCGCGGTTGTTGTTTGTGAGTTCGATCAATGAGTGGATCACGGCACAGTCGGCCATGGTGAGTTGCCATCAGAGTCAGATGGTTTGGTTCCGATGGGGCTGGATCACTATTGGCAGGTATATGACTGTCAATGACCTCAAACGGGAGAGAATTTGACCTTTATATCCCCGTCTGCCAGATTTATGACCGGATCAAGATCTCAGATCTAAGACTCAACGGCCTTTCCTTGCTATCATGCATTTGATGTCTACATGTGACTTTTGGTTATGTGCCCACTGTATATCTAATACCGCACCGTCTTCAACCTTGCAAGGCACCTGGGCATAAGACTTGCATTACGTGCCTAATAATGGACATAAATATCTACCAAAAGCCCTGGGGAACATTGGAAGAACATCAAGCCCCCAATCAGAAATGCAATGATGTGGCATCGTCAAATGGATATCAATTGCTCAATAACATCACATAAAACCGCTGGCAAAAATCGCTTCATACGGTACAGAAAGTCTTCGCGCTTGATCAGCTCCAAGGATTGCCATTTCTCCAGTAAATGGATCGCCTAGGGTCCGCATCCAAGCCCAGTGCATGAATTCGACCATAAAACCCGCCAGCGGGATTATTCTTCTCCGAAAGTCGGTGTCCTTCGGGATACTCAACCCAAGTGGATAACTTATTGAGTTTCTGTTTGAGCTCTTTGGTGTGATCCAGTTGGAAAGTGTAGATACGGTTCAGCGGTGAAACTGATGGATCAAGCTTTGGGTAATCACGAAGTAAGAGTTCCCAGAATATCCTATCGTCGATGACCTTCTCTTCAACAGGCTGGAACAGTCCCGCCTGGTCTGTCAGGCGCCGTGCATGTATCCGGCCATGCTGGCTCATGTAGCGGCTGTGGGAGTTTGTTTTGCCCAGAAACTCGATCGTCCCGCTCTCATGCTCTCTGTAAGATCCTGTGCTTTCGTATGCATTGATCTCCGGGAGAAAGTCTTTCCATTCTTCTTGTAATTTTGGCCTTTCTTGTTGCTCCCAGACCTTGTTTGGTGTGTCTTTCCATGATTTTCTTTTGACAACCGCGAACGCGATACGTTGCATCAAATATATTTGTTGGAACACCTCCAGCCGAAGCAGGTCGTATGTATGAATTGCCTCGGTGAGAAGTGGACATTCAAACAAGGCCTCGTCTGGCTCCACACAATTTTCGCGCTGGTACTTTATTCGGCCATTGGGCGGAATTTGCTTTCCATTCAGTGGTGCCTTCATGCTGTCAAGCACCGGCTGCAGGCAGCGCATAACTGTGTCTCGTGCTTGCTTCCTCCGTGCTCTTGTTTCACTGAGGATATCGTATGCCTTGCGCATGTCCTCCTTGCATGCCTCCAAGGCGCCATCCATAATGTGGGTTTGGGTTGTAAATCGATACATTTGGAGAGTAGGGGGAACGCTATAAGGCTCCTCGGTCATCGTTTGGAACATCCCGTGAACCATTTCCCTTGGGACTTGACCGGTCCGTCCATCGTTGGCTTGTCTGCGTTTGTGTTCTTTTGAGAGAGTATATGCCCTTTCGAATAGCTCAGCCCACACCTTATCCGTGACCGGGATGTTGTATGACGAAGCAATGAAGTCCACAGTCTGCATGGCAGCTTGTAAGTCATTACCCGTCCCAAAGGCATGAGACACAGCAAAGAGAAGTCGATCCGTTGGGTACAGTCCAGACCAGGTATCGTACGGGGTGACAGGTGGGAGTGAAGAGTCATCGCTAGCAGCCACGATTGCATCCACGTCAACATTCCAGACGGTGACAAGAATGTTTTTGGCCGCTGTCATATCCCCCACACGAGCCGATGCGAGGAAAATGTTGATGTAAGTCTGCTCATCCCCACTGAGGCCATTCTGGCTCATCTCACTAAACACATCCAGCACAACTCGCCTCACACTATTTGCCGCTGTCCCAAAGCCACGCCACCCAGGGCTCGGGTTCGTCATGCGCCGTTTCTTGTAGTTGTAAGGGAGAATGCGAAGATTGTATGATTCCTTCCCCACGTAGCAGTGGTCCCAGACTTTCGCCCCGGTAAAATGATTGTAGCAGATAGCGTCCGGGACGACATTGTTGGAGTGCATTTCTTCCCACAGTTCGTCTGCCAAGGCTCCATTGCCCATTGCCCGAGCACAGTCCAAGAGGTGGGTGTATTCCGCTAGTTGGGGTGGATACCCGGCCGCAACTCTATATTGCATGATGGTGAGTAGAGCTCTCGTGAAATCGTCAAAGATCGCCTCCACTGGTTGAAGGCCTTGCATTAAAACACCCCATCCATGAAGAGTGTGATGAAGATCGCGATACGGCTCCACAAAGTGGGATGGAGCGAGCAAGTGAAGAATCTCAATGAATGCAGAGGGGGTCAGAGCTCCAACGAGCCCCACCGACCGTGGGTCAACCATGGCCTCCATGACTTGGTTCGGCTGTCCATTTTCAATGGTTTGGAAAAAGCTTCGTTGATATGATGCCTCTTCTTCTCGAGAGCTCCATTCGGGCAAAGGAATGCGATATTCTTGTTCCACCGATGCAGGACGTGGGACGGCTAGATCGCTGTTCCAGCGCTTACTGGGACCGAATTGGCGAGCATTGCGTTTGTAGATGGTACGACGTCTGTGAGGAGAGGTGATCGTTGATGTGGCGATTGATGAAGGGGCGATAGATGATACCCGTCTCGAATGGCTGATGGAATTGGAACTGAGTTGGTTTGGGTTGCTGCCACCGTTGGTCCCAGGCCGGGACGAGATGCCCCAGTGAGAAGCAAGTCTCTCACCAGTGAAAATTATCCTCCGCATATGGTCGACTGAACGATTTTAAAGCAAAACAGAATCAAAAACACAGCAACACTGGAAAGAAAATCATCAGGGGCCTAAATGAGGGGAAGGCGCGCTTCGACCCCGGCTTCTTGGGAGACGTGGTACTTTGTGCATATTGTGCTTCAGGCTAAGTGTGACACCTGCAGAACCTTTGAGGGGACATTTGCATCTATGAGCCCTAAGGACTTTTGGGGAAGATTTTGTCCCTGGCAGTGGACAATTTACGATACATAGTACTGTATATTTGCTTTGAGTCTATACAGAAGATATCCACCTCCTGTCATAAACTAGATCCCGCGTGTGGGTACTGGAAAACCCGGGGAAAGCTGACTCATCAGATTCCTTGGCAAGGTCTCACGCTAAACCACATCGGGGTTCCGCCAAAGCTCGTTGATTCTGCGTGTGTGTGGACCTGCACTTAACCCAATCCAACCTTCCTATCCCGTCATGGCCGACATTGAAGATACCGGTCCCTCCGGCTCGGAGCCCCTTGACCTCGTCCGCCTTTCTCTCGATGAGACCGTGTTCGTTAAGCTGCGCGGTGACCGTGAACTTAAGGGTCGTCTTCATGTGAGTTACTACACCGGAGACGATTCGCAACAACGATTGACCATGGAGTGCGCATAGGCCTACGACAGCCATTGCAACCTAGTGCTCGGCGACGTTGAAGAGACGATCTACGTGGTGGAGGAAGATGAGAACGAGGAGGAGATCGTGAGGGTAGGGGATTCTTGAATGCGGGCATCTTCGCACGGCGCGCTAACCTCGTTGGCCTGGACAGACAATCAAGAAGCAGGAAGAAATGCTTTTCGTGCGAGGTAAGTGGGGAAATCAGCTGTTCCATATCATACGGTCACTCATAACCCCTATAGGTGATTCCGTCGTTTTGATCTCCCCTCAGGCATGAGTGCCCATACCCGATGGATAGAATTGGCGTCCGGCGACTGCGACATGGGCCAGGAGGACATGAGATACCACAAAATGCAGTCAACATAGATAACGATACCACGGAATGCGGTTTATGAGTAAGGTGGGATGTCCGATGGGATTTCATCCCTGTGATGTAGGCTGTGCATTTGAGTCATCACGTTCCTTGTGATTCTAAACTCTTCTTGCTGGACTTCCTCGTATGATGTGCCACTAGAAGGGAGCTCCAGGCGGGGACCCTTTCAGGTTGCGGCTCATGGGCGATGACTCAAACCTATGGATGACTCCCCGGGGCTGTCGATTCGTCCGGGGGTCATTATCGATAAAGCTCCCCGGCTCCCTTTTAGAATCTTGCTCTTCTCAAACTGTTGCTGATATTCCCTTTTTTGTTGAAAACAAAACCAAATACATCAATCCTTCTGTACTAGAGTGATAACTATGATCACTCGAATACAGCCTCGAACCCCAAAAACGACGATCTGATCCACCAACCAATAACGTCACCACCCAAAAAGGCGGCCCAGCGCCAACTGACACGTTTAGCCTTATCAACCCCCACGCCATGCCGACAGCGAAACAGAGCATAGAGGAACGACGAAGAGGGGAAGTTGTAGGTGACTGAACCTGTATCTGACAATTCTCTCTCTGATCTGGGTTTCTTGACAGGCACTTAGCGAGTTCGCCGAGTACGCGGAAAAGCAACAGGCCCACCGCTCCGGTAAAGTAGCACCCAGCGACAGCGGCTATTCCACCGCCAGTGTATCGCGCGACCTCGAAGACCATGCCGAGCTTGACATCCTCGACCAGCTCGGGCTGTCCGATAACCCTCGGGCAGCCAAGCTGAAGGAGCTCTTGCTTGGCACTGGTGATGCCGTTGAGGCCAGTCTACAAATGCTCGCTGGCACATTACAAACCCGGATAGATGAAGGACACGGAGAAACCATATTTGATCTCGGATTGGAGGATGGAGGTGAATCAATGGGATTCGACCTTGCTCAATGGAACACTGCGCTACAGCGTCTTCGCGAGGCGGCCGAAACAATCCCTGCCCATTGCCGAGTCTTGTTGACCTACAACGTCGGCGGTCCGGAGGAGTCTTCTGTGAATGCTGGCCGAGTGCCGGGTTCTTGGGGTAAGGTCCTTGTGCGTCACCATGCGGACAACATCGAGGAGATGGCAGAGCTTCGGATTGCAGTGGTGGGGAATGTGGATGCCGGAAAGAGCACCATGCTGGGCGTCCTAGTTAAAGGCGGACTCGATGATGGCCGTGGTAAGGCGCGAGTGAACCTCTTCCGCCACAAGCATGAAATTGAAAGCGGACGGACTAGCTCTGTGGGCCTGGAGATCATGGGATTCGACAGCCGGGGCGAGATTGTTGGCAGCACCAAGGGCCGCAAGTTGTCTTGGGAGGACATCGGGAAACGATCTGCCAAGGTCATCTCCTTCTCCGACTTAGCCGGCCACGAGCGATATCTGCGCACTACCGTGTTTGGTATGCTGAGCAGCAGTCCTAATTACTGTTTGTTGATGGTCGCCGCCAACAACGGACTGATCGGTATGAGCAAAGAGCATCTTGGCATTGCATTGGCACTCAATGTGCCTGTCATGGTGATCGTTACGAAAATCGATATCTGTCCGCCGCATATCTTGCAGGAAACCTTATCCCAGCTGTCTAAGATCCTCAGGTCGCCTGGTGCGCATAAGATTCCTATCTTCGTCAAGGATATGGAGGAGACTATCAACACAGCCACGCAGTTTGTGAGCCAGCGGATATGTCCCATCTTCCAAGTCTCCAACGTCACAGGCGAGAATCTCGACCTGGTCCGAACCTTCCTCAACATCCTGCCCCATCGCGGTCAGTACGATGCCGAGGGGCCATTCGAGTTCCTGATCAACGATACATTCTCTGTGCCCCATGTGGGTACAGTTGTCTCGGGCGTTGTCAAATCCGGTGTTATTCACGCTGGTGACTCCGTCGTGGTGGGACCCGACTCACTTGGCCAATTCACCACCACGGTGATCAAGTCTATCGAGCGTAAGCGTATCCAGGTAAATGCTTGCTTCGCCGGTCAGTCCGGATCCTTCGCACTGAAGCGAGTGCGTCGCAAGGAGGTGCGCAAGGGGATGGTAGTCCTCAAGAAGCTGGAAGAGCCTCCCAAGGTTTACCGCGAGTTTGTCGCAGAGGGTAAGACTGACGACCTATGACTGAGTGGTCTCATACTAATGCAATCCAGTACTTATACTTTCCCACGCAACCACTATCAAGCCCAAGTATCAGGCTATGCTTCACGTTGGAGCTGTCAGTCAAACCTGCTCGGTGATTGACATTGACCGTCCGTTCATCCGCACAGGAGACCGAGCGCTCGTTGCGTTCAGATTTATACAGCGCCCTGAGTTCTTGGCTCCTGGAGACCGAGTACTGTTCCGTGAGGGCAAAACCAAAGGACTCGGCATTGTCAAAAGCATCGGGTACGATGCCTCCAAACCCTTAAACCCCGGTGCTCAGGAAGGAGCCACCACTCCCACTTCCACGAAACGTCACGATTAAGCGATCTAATACAAGCCCTGCCCAGGTGGAGGGACCCAGTGAAGTCTCTCTGTTCGTATTTCTTATTCCAGATATTCAGTTCCAGCGATAGAAGTTGTCGTTTCCAGTTCCCATACCTGAGAATATCCCTAGGAGTTTCTCAAACTATGATTTCATTTCATGACCACTTGGCCACTGTCTATCCAATACTACACACATAGCAAACTGTTCTAAGGTCACTAATACCTCCAGAGTAGTCTAATTGCCTCTGTGCCATTCGCCGTACTCTTTGTGCGCAGCCCTGGAGGTGTAGGATGAGGTCACCTGATTATCATGACGTCACCGTATGACGATGAGCCGCGACGATCACTTCGTCCAACTCAATTGATTCAGTGATTCTCATTTGCAAAGCCGTGTCGGTGGACGCACTATATGCGCAAGCCACAGCCCAACTCTGACGTACTTTCAATCTGAGGCCCTTAAAGCTTGACATTGCCCGTCTCGAGAGCTTCCTTCTTCGTACATCCTTATTGAAACATACATCTCCCTTAACATTCTTATATCTTCCTTATATCTTCCCAATAAACCCATACCCTATCTTTCTTATTAAATTAAAAGACACCCCACAATATGGAGACAGTGAACAAATACGTGACCGCCGCTTCGACCGCCATCTGGGGCCAAAATGGAGACCCCAATGTCACACAGATCACCCAACAACATGGTGAAGAGCCCCTCTCTGGTGTCCAGGGTAAAGGAGAAACTACAGACCCTTACGATGCTGGAAACCGTGATGGTAAGTCTACGGCAAAATGCAATCAATTGAAACATATCTAACTCCAGTAGAACAACCCGGCGCTCCCAAATCAGATGGAAACACCGCACCTCAAGAGCCCAACCTAGGCGGCAAGACACAAACTTTCGAAGAAGCCGCCGTCACATCAGACCCCGTTGCTACCAAAGCTGCAGGCACAACCCAAACTTTCGAAGAAGCCGCCGTCACATCAGACCCCGTTGCTACCAAAGCCGCAAGCACAACCCAAACCTCCGACCCTGAAGATACCAGCTCCACAGCCGCTATCAGCAGCTCCGCACAGCCGGTCTCCAGTGGATCGACTGAGTCCAACAAGGACAAGGAAGTCGATAACGAGCAACGTAGCTCTTCACAGAGCTCAGGTGAAAGCAGTTCGGTTCCGCGCCCCGCCCACCCCGAAGCAAGCATAGAGGCTCTCGAAGGTCCTCAAGGCCCCCCACCAAAGCCGGCTGAGGAATTTGAAAAAGAAGCCAAGGGCAAGGCACCTGCGAAAGAGGAGAGCGACAAGAGCGACAACAGTGAGTTTGCTTTCCGGTCGGGTGTATCCGTTTGATACTAACATCCACACAGGCTTGACCGATTCCAAAGATAGCGCCCCCAAGAACGACACTTCCAAGACTGGTGACTCGCCTACTAGTAGTAACAAGTCTTCACACTCTCAGGACAGTGGAAAGAGTAGCAAGTTGGCTAAGGTGAAAGAGAGTGTGAAGAAGCACCTCCATCACTCGAGCAAATAAATTCTTTGCCTGAATGCAATTGGGCCTTGGGTGAAGAATCCTACTTGGTTCAATAGAATGAGGTGTTGGGAACTTGGGATTCAATAATGTCTACATCATGTCTACTTTATCAAGCTTTCATTTCATCTTCCTCTGTACTAATACCTATGTATGCAATTCACTTTCCTCGAAGGGTCTGATTCACGCGTTCTCTCTTTGTAAAACAAGAACAGCCAGGACATTAGAAAGATACTCGGACAATCTTCATCTGCAAACAGAATGAAACTGGATCAATGCCAAGGTACTCGTCGCTGCTAGTCGACCATCTCTACGGGGTCTTCCACAGAGCAATACAAAATCCACAGAGCAATGCAAATTCCACAGACTAATGCAAATTCCACAGAGCAATGCAAAATCCACAGACTCATTCGATTTCACAGAGTAATCCAAATTCCACAGAGCAATACAATTTTAGAAGTCTTCCTAGGTATAACCCTCCAGGTCAAGTCCACAGGTACCTACCTAGGTAGGTAATAAGTTCCACATACAAAAGGCACTTTATTTTCAGATCTTATCTTCCCTCCAGGCTGATATCTCTCTCTACCTAAACATGAAAAGTACATAAGAATCTTCTCTAAACAAACCTTAATACTATTCTATATTGTCTTTCAAGGTTATTCTTAGCATTTATTTTGAAGTATAAATAGGGGATGGTTATGGAAATATTCTTTGAAAAATCGCTATATATATCCGAAGGTGTCCACCTGGGCAAAACAACAGTGTTTTTTTTACCTAGGTACTGATAATTTTGGAAATATATCATGCCCAGGTGGTATCGGGCGTCAGCTATAAGTGAGCAATACATGAGCCCGTAAATACATATTTGCACCTGGCAGGGTTCCAGACCTCAAGATCACTCGAACAACATCTTCAACTCTGCAAGTTTCTCCTTGCCCTTATCCTCATCGCCATCATCACCACCAATCTTCAGTCCCAGCGAACCGGCAATGTTCATTTTGCGCTCTTGCACGCGCAGCATGCGGCCCTCAATAGAGTCTTTGACCACAAACCGCGTGACATTGACATCGCGTGTCTGCCCCATTCGATGAACGCGATCAATAGCCTGTGCTTCAATAGCGAAACTCCACCATGGGTCCATGATGAAGACATTGCTTGCAGCTACCAGGTTGAGACCCACTCCGCCGGCACGAAGTGATATCAGCAGAACTGTTGGGGCTGAAGATTCAGGGTCATTTTGAACGGGTCCTCTGGCGGGAGCTTCGCTATCCTCGTCGACAATGTCATCTGCGTAGCTTTCTTCTTTTGTGAACTCCGCCAAGACGGCGGCGCGTGCTTTTTGAGGCATTGTGCCATCGAGGCGAAGGTGGTTGATTCCGACCCGGGAGAGTTGGGGGCCGATGAGATCGAGGAAAGATGTAAATTGCGAGAAGACGACAGATTTGGTGTTTGGGGGAATACGGCCCAGGTGGGAAATTAATGCATGAATTTTCGCGGAGGTATGCGCGGAAGGGGAGAGCGGGTATATACGACGGAGAGAGATTTTGGGGGCAGGCTGTGAGCTGGTGGGTTGGGTACTGGACATGATACTGTCGTCGAGTGGTAGTGCATGAGAGGAAGGATGTCGGACAACTTCAAATGTGTTTTTCGCTTCAACAGGAGCACGGCAGTTGAAACATCGGGCCTCAGTGCCCTTGTTCATTTGGTGTTGTAAGAAATCCTCGAGACATTTCTTACATGCACTATGCCAGCATGCTGTGACGGCGGGATCGACCATGGGTTCTTCACAGCAGATCGGACATTCACCACTGGACTCAGTTTGGATTTGGCGAAGGGCGTGGGCAGTGAACTTGACCATTGTCCCGGGTCGGTCCTGAGAATCGGCGTTCTCATTTTCTGTTGTAAATTGGCTGATCAACTCCTGAAGATCCATGTCGTCTTTGAACTCGTTTCCTGCATCGGCTGTTGCCGCGGCGTTCTCTTCATCCGCAACGATGGCTTTGTTGCGTGTCATCACCGGATGACAGCAGGTTTGACGAAGCCGAAGGATCTGCGCGAAAATTGTGCTATAGGACTGCAGTAGAGTACCGGCCTCCATGTTGTCGTTATAGGTTCGTTTCGCTCGTGTATAAATGCAGTCGTAGATCTCTCGCTCTGATTTTGGTAACTCTACCTCTTCGATAACAACGGTCTTCTTCGGTAGTGGAACCAATGGCTCGCCTTCTGGTGTCTTCATGGACTTGGTACGCCGAAGTACCAGAGGTTCGAGCACACTTTGAACAACATTCAGAGCCCGCACATATTCTTTGGACTCGAATGGCACGGTAATGAATGTCTTCCAGAAGGAGAAATTGCTCCAGGGCTCAACCCTCAGGAAACGGACCAGGCTGAAGAGGTCCTCGAGACGATTGACAATGGGCGTTCCAGTCAGTGCCCATCGGTGCGCCGCCTTTAGTTCACAGCAGGCCTTGGCCGATTTGGATCGGCGGTTCTTGATGACATGGGCTTCATCTAGAATGACCCGGAAGAACTCCACGGAGAAAAGGCCGCCATTGGTACTGGGACCTAGAGCAGACTGGAGTATGTGCTGGCGGAATTCCGACAAAACAACACCGTAACTTGTGACGATCACCTGAGGAGCGGTGGCATATTTCGATTCACAGCATTGATCTCTCAGGTTTACAGCCTTGTCCGACCCGTAATACACCAACACTCTCTGTGTACCCGCTTTCAGAGCCTCACTTTCCCACTGAGAAATCAAAGATGTGGGTGCGACGACCAGTGTGGTGTAGGGTGCAGGTACTACCCCGGCCGAATTTGGCATCCGAGCAAGATCGTTGACGGAGCTGGGACCATTTGATGTTTGGGGATCAGGTTCAACTGCATGTGAATGAACCAAACTGAGCATTTCGATGGTTTTCCCGAGACCCATCTCATCGGCCAGAATGCCACCCTGGCAGCGTTGCTCCTGGGCAGGGAAGTCAAGGCTCAGGTCTCCGGAATATGGATTGATGTAGAAGTGATCAATGCCCTCGACTGGAGGCAAATCCTTCTCATCGACATCTTTTGTGGGCCAAGTGTACTCCTCCCATAGGGGATGCATTGACCTTTCCTGATTCTGTTTGGCGTCCTTCTCCTTGGACAACATCCAATGAAGGGCTTGCTGTTGGTATTTCCTGAGGCTGAGCTGGAAGGTAGGAGCCGAGTCGGCCCCAGGCATGTTGAAATCAAACGACTGAGCCTTCCGGTATAAAGTGTCAAGCTGATCTTCCTCTAGCTCTTCCGTGTCGTTCTCATCAGATGAGCCGTCTGGGTCTTTAGTCGATTTCGACCTTTCCCTTTCCTTTTTCACGCCATCGTACTGCTCTGCAATTTCAGCGGCACGCAAGATTCCATCTCGCTTGTGTTTCTCTGTTGTTGGGTTTGTAGAAGTAGGATGTAGGCTGATCTCGTGGAATAATTTTACAAGAGAAACTTGACGAAGTCGAAGGTTCTTCTCTTCTGTGTTTTCTTTTTCTTCAAACAACCCAGTGGATCTGTTATCGTCTTTGTTCAAAGCTCCAAATGCACCATGCTGAAAGGCCTCCTTTCGCAGGAAAACCCGAAGTTGTAGGTAGATAGTGTCATTCACACGCACCATGTCGGGCACAAATACACACACTCCCTCAAACCGACAGATCTTCTGGTCTATTAGCGTGGAGACCCATTCAGCAGTCTCGTGGGGCAGCCGTCCAACCTCCTGACCGGACGCGTTTGTGAACCGAGTCAAGACATCGCTCTTGTGGTTGACAAATGACTTGCCCCCTCTGCCACGCTTCATGGTTGGTTGCGAGCGTGCACGTTCGATCTTGACAATGTCTCCATGCTTGAGAACCGCACGGCCACTCCTCGTGGCCCATCCCCCCACCCCGAACGCACCCACATATCTAGTATCTGGGTGGTTTCGCAGGACAGACTGGTTTTCTATCGGGCTTTGCACCATGGGATTCGCCCGTGGAGAGTTCAATTGACCATTGTTCAAAGCCCTTCCAGTAGTTCGTGCAGGCTTCTTCCACGAACCATCAAAGTATACGTTGACAGCTTGTTCAATATTGTTCGAGGCCGCCAATTGAATTGCTTTGATCGACTCGACCGGAAGTTGTTCCCCTACAATGCTTGTGAAGAGTTCGACATTAAATCCTTCGACGGATGTACTCGTGTCGGTGGTCCCTTCGGGTTGCGCTGGTTCGGCGGCATCTGGGAGGAAGGCATCGGAATCGGGGACCGAGGCCGGGCATTTTGCTTCTGCAATATCTGTCAAGTCTTGTCGCGACTCTTCAGCGACACCTAAGCCGGGGGAGCTTTCCGGAATACGATCAACGGATCGAATCTCAAGCACGTCCTCATGTTGGTGCTGTTCCGCAGGTGGACAGGGTAACGACGCGTCGGTATCTGGAGCATTGGAAGGAGATATGTTATCCGCGAAGAAGCGCTGTCTTTTTGACGGTCTCTCCTCGTCGCTCATGGTGTCATTGAAGCAAAGTAGAGTACACGGGGAGACGCGCCTAGAAACGCGAAGTCAGGTGGATCGGCACCTGGGCAGTATTGAAATGCGAGCAATGCTCGCGAGCCATGCTCGTTTGCAAGACATATTAACATGGTATAGCTATTAATCTTAATTAATTACTGACCCATCCGATCATTCTCTGCATCAATGTCGCCTTTTGACTGCCCTTCAGCAGCTTAAACCAATGCGCTGACAAATATGTGCTGTGAGCCAATGCGATTCGCCCGATTACGTCGAATATTTTCCCCGGAGTCCGCAACTTCACCTTTCACATCAATGTCGTTCCTCCAAGCTGCTCGGCCTTGCCGGGCAAGAGCCTGTCGATTTCCTGCAGGCTTCCAGTCGCGGACTTTCAGCAAATCCCATTCTCTCGGGACACCCATCACCGCGGAAGAAATCCAAGGTGCTCATAAATATTGCGTCGCTCTTCTCTCGTACGCCACAACTACCTCGACGGCCTTGAAAGCTCCAAGCTTTGCCGGATATAATGAGATGCAATTGCTAACTTCGAACTCCTTTCTTCAAATAGAAAATATGACCGACCCTCCTACACACTAAGCACCTTCATCCCGCGACATGCTCAATCTTTCTACATTGCGCTGCGCGCACTGAACGTTTCCCTCTCCATAATCCCCGATACCACCTCATCTCCGACAATTGGCTTGATGCGCCTTCAGTTTTGGCGTGACTCAGTAACAAAAATTCTGGCTGGCGCACCGCCCAAAGAACCCGTTGCGATCCTACTTTCATCTGCTATCTCCGAGCTACACGAGCGCACTCAGGGTCGCGCACGCATCAGCAAAGGCTGGCTGACCCGACTAATCAACTCGCGGGAGCAAACTTTAACAAATGACCCGTATCCAAACATTGCGGCGCTCGAGTCCTACGCCGAGAATACTTACTCGACTCTCATGTATCTCACTTTGTCCGCACTGCCGATGGCATCTGTGACCGCTGACCATGTTGCATCACATATTGGGAAAGCGGTGGGAATTGCAGCTGTATTGCGCGGGCTGCCGTTCGTGGCCTTCCCTGCTCCATCTGCTCAGGCTCCTCCTGGGGCGAATTCCCCGATGGGTGGAGGTGGTGCGAAGCAGGGAGCTGTTATGTTGCCTTTGGATGTCATGGCGCAGGCGGGCGTCAAGGAGGAAGATGTTCTCCGATACGGAGCTGATGCCGAAGGGCTTCGTGACGCAGTGTTCACTGTAGCCACTCGGGCCAGTGATCATCTCATAACCGTGCAGCAGATGCTGAGTAATCTTCGTGCTGGCGAGGATGTCGGCCATGACTTTGAGCATGAAGGTGAAGAGGGACATGAATATGATGTTGCAAAGGGCAATGAGTCGCCTCTTGAGGAGGTCAACAGAGCATTTGGCGTTTTCATGCCCGCTGTTGGCACCCGCCTGTGGCTGGATCGCCTTCAGAAGCAGGACTTCGATGTATTCAGCCCTGCATTGCTTCGGTCTGATTGGAGGCTCCCGTGGAAAGCGTACTCCGCGTATACGCGGAAAACCCTCGACTAAATGCGTACTGTCAAGAACTGTGCGATGTATATTACGGCTTGGATCTAGGCCGACTGGGCTCTGTGTACATTAGGATCATTATAAAGTAGATACCACGATTTAAATGACTAATTGGATGTTCGCTGCTCTACAAGAGAACGAAGCCTCACCTTGCAAAGCCCCACGGATAGGTTTAAGGTGCATATACCGCCTTTGCTCTTTGTACGATCATTGTCCATACCTTTTATGTCGATAGGATTCAATGATACTACCTAGGTAGGTAAGTGACCAGCCTTGAATCATGCCCAGGTGTACATTGAAAACCTTGGAATGAGCACACATGAGAACCTTGGAAGAAAGCATAGGGATGCTAACGAAGAACAAAAGCATTGCACACTGACCTCGTGAGTCTCGAGATTCCACTCTGTCGAATGAGACAGAGTGTTGATTAGCCCTGGAGTCACTTTGCTATCCTAGCATTTCCAAATTATATGGCATCGATATTGGATTAACCTAGCCGACTTTTTTCAAGCCAGCTTTTTGGAATAATGGAATGCCGAAAAGCACCACATGAAACATATTAAATTTGCCCTAGCTTACTGCCTAGGCTCCATTTGAACCATGCCACTATTATCCCTTCGGTCTTCATATTCAGGCCCAATTCAGATGACTTCATGCAAGAGAAAATCGTGGAAAGCTTCTTGGTCATGTTCCCCCGAATTAGAGGGTGTTTGGACCAAGGTTGTCCAGATCTCATTCGGCCCAATTGCTTTCACCCCAAGCGTCCCCAGACTCTACTGGCGAGGGCTCCTCATATCCATAAGAGAGATCCTCAGGAGATGGACCGGGGTTTTCATCCATAAACCAGTGGGTATCAAGACCTGGCAAAGCACGACCGGGGCTGGGGGCCATGACCAGACCCGTCAAATGAGAGTTGGGTCCTTCATATCTCAGATACAGCTCGTCGGTTGCCGGCATGAACTTCTAAGTAACGAGTTAGTTCGGAGATTCAAGTTTTCAGATCTGTATGCACCGACTTACCGAGATGATGTCCAAAATAATATCAAGGTCACGCTCGTTGCTTCCATTCCTGAGCAAACGCTTTCTGAAGTACATATCTTTGATCCAAGTTTCAGGATGGGCGATGGGAATCACATAGAGTTGGTTTGTGTAGAGAGTCACGGAGAGCCGAGTCAAGTGCGGGAAAACAAGACCGTGAAGGGAACCTTCAGGCCCGAAGTGGTCATTGCGTGGGTGGTTAAGCACATGTGCCCACCAGATTAGATTGGCGTAATATTGGCGGCGCTGAGGTGGAATTCCTGACATGACGGCGGCGAGTTCAGCAGCGGGGTGACCCCAAAGTACCCGGATGGCTTCATTATACCAGGTCTTGTTCACGAGGGCGAAATTGAGCAAGTCGCTGGACTCGGACCCGGTGTTGAAGAGGTATACCGAGTCTTCGGACTTTTGGGAAAAGATGCTGCTCAGAATCTCGGGTAAGGCGAGGGCACGCTGGGCTGGGGTCATTTGCATGACTTGCAGGGACGGGGAGCTTGAAGTTGCCATGGTGAGAGGCAGCTCATGGGTCAGAAGAGTCCCAGCACTGAGCTTGTGGGATGAATGGGTGTCTTGAGAGAAAGAGAGAGATGTGTTGGTAGAAGAGAAGAAGGAAGCAGCAGGAGGAATCAAGACGAAGGGAGACGGAATTGAAACGATAGAAAACCTCAGGTACCCAGATACAAGACTTTTATAATCTTGATTGGCTCCTTTTAACGCAGAAGAATGATTGAAAACTGTCTTGTTGAAGCCGATTTTGTCTTATTATCACTATAGTAGCCCTAAACTCTTCTCATAATCAAAAGAGTCCACCTGGGCACCAGGGAACAAGGTAAAAAGAGAATCCAAGATGGACTGGATAGAACGCTAGAGAGTTAACACCAAAAACTACTCAGGTATAACTGCCGAACACACTTGAGCGAACTTGCTGTCCTGTTTTTGTTAAACATACGCGGGCTCTAGATCAACCTTGGAACCTCCATAGCTCGAACATCACTAGCCTAGTAGAGCATCATATTCAGTCGCTTAGCGAGCACTGGACTAGATTCTTCCAACTTGCTCGAAAAAGTGCTATAATAATGGGGAAAAGAAGGAGGGAACGCCGACGGAGCCCTGTTGGAGTCTCAAATACGTGCTTTACGCCCTCAGAGCCCTGGAGGCCAGCACGGCTTATCAGACGTGACCAATCCAAATATTTCGAGAGCCTCCAAGCTATGAAATGTCCCTGCATTTCACGCTTCTGGGAAATTTGGGGTAGATTTGAAAATTTCTATTCACATTCCACGCTGAACATCTCAACAGAGACATGAGTTGCGGCAAACACTCCTCTGCATCAACTCGTTCTTAGTTATGAGAGATGGCAAGGAGCTGCTAGAGCTCGGCTTAGCAACCCCGCGAAACACCGAGTACAAGACCCGGGGGTATAATTTAGCTCGAGCCTTGCACCGGAAGTACCGGAGTCTGCGGCAACAACCCAAGTACTTGTGGACTACCCCAGGGCCCCCTCGATGGCCCAAGACCGCCTCTGCAGATAGAATCTATTGCGCACCAGATCGATCTTCAACCCAGGGTCAAATACCCGAGATTATGTGAATGTCGTGTCCAATAAAGTGATACAGGACCTTACGCTACTTGGCCCGAGAGTCGAGACGCACTCGGGTTATCCGACTCGGCCGTTTCGTTGCAGAGCCCGCAAGTGACGATCTTTCCCCGTACAAATTCTTTTGTGGGACCATTCCCCCAGCTTGTTCCCACTCTGTCTCCTGGCCGCAGTGGCGTGTAGCATTGCCGCGTAACAAAAGCTTGTGGAGAGGACGCTGCCTTGGATTTGGATCAATTCCCACCGGGGCGGTGAAGTGATTCAAAGACTTAATAAAGTGAGCACCGCCAACATTTTGTAGATTACTGAACCGCTCATTCAAAACTCCCTCCCTGCCCCGGGCTGATTGCCATGCATCTCTCTGCCTTTTTGCTGCCCCTGGCGGCTTCGCTTGCTGCGGCAGTACCATCTGCTCGCGCGTCGAAGGCTTCGAGTATGCCCACAGTGTCTCTCGATTACAGTACAGTTCAAGCCGTCGCAGGCAATGAGACACTTGGATACTACAAATATCAAAATATCCGCTTTGCCGCAGTGCCCACTGGAGATCTTCGTTTCGCCAAACCAGAATGGCCATCTGTGGAATCAGTTATCAACAATGGAACAACCTATGCCAGCCAAGACGTGGACTGCGGATCTTATGAGGATTGTCTTTACATGGACGTTTGGGCTCCTGCTAATGCAAAGGGCAAGAAGCTTCCCGTTGTGGTCTGGACATATGGCGGCGGATTCACCAGCGGCTCCAAGTCCAAGAGCACCCCGGAGGGCTTGTTCGATCTTTCCAAAGGATTCATCTTTGTGGCCTTTAACTATCGTCTCGGAATGACCGGCCTCGCCAATTCAGTGACTGCTGTTCATCAAGGTGCCACCGATAATGTTGCTCTGTACGACGTCGAGCATGCCTACAAATGGGTTAAGAAGTATATCCGCAACTTTGGTGGCGACCCCGACGATATCACAGCAGTTGGATTCTCCGCCGGGGCCAGCATGCATCTCTTCATGATGACCCGCTTCGGGGGTCATAATGAGCAGCTTTTCAACAAAGCCTACCTTACCTCTCCAGGTTTCGTACCTGGTGCCGGTCACCACCAAGGGGAAATGTTCTGGCAGAACGTGTCTACTGCCGCTGGATGTAGTGGTGGTGACCTCTCATGCATGCGCAAGGTCCCCTTCTCCAACCTCAGCGACATTGCCAGCGATGTCCGTCAAGCTTATGGATACCAATTCCAGCCTCGTGTCGACGGTGACTTTATCGCCGACACTTATGAGTCTCAGCTGTACCAGGGAAGATTCAACTTCACCGGTCCCTTGGTCATTACCCACGAGCAGCATGAGAACAATGGCTCACCCACCTCTGGAGTTAACACAACGGCCGATGTGAGAAGCGAGCTGCGCACTTTCTTCCCGGCTATCACGGAAGATGTCATTGATGAGATCTTGGAATTATATCCCGAGTCCGACTACACCAGCCCTGGGTACCGCTTTGCCGATATCAGACAGTCGTTTGACCTGACTGCCCATGACTACGCTCTTACCAGGGCTCTTAACAACAACACTTGGAATGCCATGGTTGCTCTTAACCAAGCATCCCATGGAACTGATCAGAGCTATTACTGTAAGTAAATTCCGTCTTGCCTCTCCTACTTTGACACCAATGCTTACCCGATCTTCCCAACAGGGTACAACACCTACTCTCTTCTCCCCAGCACTAGCTCCAAATCCGCACCTGCTGCGGGCTCTGGTGTCACCATTGCGGGTAACATCTCGCCAAACCCTACAGTTGCTGTAAGTCGTTACTCTGAGAATTTGGATATGCTGGCTGACACTCTTTGCAGCGCAAGATGCAAAAGTATCTTCTCTCCTTTGTACTGACTGCCAACCCCAACACCAAGTGGGCTGGTGATAAAATTCACTGGCCCAAGTACGGTGCCAACGCGACAGAAATTGTGTTCAATTCGACCATGTATACCATGGAAGATGATCTCGCCAATGCAAAGAGCCTGTACTGGAATAAAGCTCTCTGGTACTAGGTTAACAAGCCCTGTCATGGTGTGGAATCGTTCGAATTACCGATGAGCAGTTTACTGGGCATGTATTTATATGTAAACTTCTATACTATATCAGCCATGATGTACATAAAGTGCGAGTCACCAATGTAACGCATGTGAAACCAATGTTGGTTTAATTCGTGTCTCCGTTTTTGCATTGCCCAGACGGAAATAACAACCAAATGTCGAGGGTCAACTGGCCGGCCTATTTCTTGGCTACCAATGAATGAAATGACCTCGAGATCAACTTGAGTGAGATTACCCAGGATCATGGAGTGGTGCGTTGTCGGGAGGGGCGGCTGTTGACCTTTCCCGACGTCCAATACAAAGTCTCCTTGCTCACTCTGGCTGGTCATTCTCGATCAGGAAATCGCAAGATACTTGCTCTATTCTTTGCGGATCCCGCTAGACCTCACGCAGCTTTCTATCCATAGGAGTTCCTCCGCGGCAGGAGGATTGGACCCCGAAAGCGGGGAAGTTTGGATCTGAACAGCTTGAAGGGCCGTCAGTGGTGTCTGATCAGGAAGTGCGTCCTACAATGACTCTCAACGAGGCTAAGTCCTATAGGCTCAATTGATGGTGAAGCGTAGTGCTGCGGAGGTGCTTGATAACCTTGGAAGCAGCTGTTTGAAGATGGCAAGTTCAGTCTTTGCAAGCATAGCCCTGTTTAGTTTGTATCTAGGCCTGGAGAATACATGGCACTATAAAGTTTGTGGGCCAGTAACACTGTCAACTTCTCATGTTCTATGTATGCCCCCCTGGTTTCTTGTTTGAAATGCCGTATGCGAGTGAGAGATCAGCCTTCCAAGCCCTGGAGGATGAAATGAGGATCCACGTATGCACAACGCTTTCAGACAGGCAAGCAGGGCAACAGGAAGGACTTTGATTGGAACCTCCCCAAAGTACAAGGTCTGTACACGATGGATAGATCCGTTTACCCGATTATCCGTCAGGTTGCGCGTGGGTGAGATCTACGAGATCACATCATAGCGTATGTTTATTAGGTCTCAACGTGGCCCACGTCGGGTCTTCTCCTTCAAAAATCCGCTGTTGGTATAAAGACATGGCTATCAATCACTCCTCATTTGAGTACGTGTTGATTAAACTCACCCCGAACGATCGCTGACCTCAGAATGTGTCAGGCTTACTGGCCCGTATGGCGATTGGCGAGACGATCTTCAGTCTCAAGGCTACGCAGTCATCAAAAATGTCATCAGTGCAGAAAAAGCCCAGTACTACCAGAAAAAGGCCTTAGACTGGCTATCCTCCTTTAACCCGGCTTTCAACCTTGACGATCCTACTACATGGATCAATGAGAACTTGCCGATTCAAAGTAAGGTGAATACTTTCAATGGGTACTCTGTCACCCATGAAAAGTTCATGTGGGAAGCCCGCTCTGAGCCAAAGGTCTTGCAGGCATTTGCCCAGATCTGGGGTACCGATGAACTACTCGTCTCGTTTGATGCCCTCAACGTGACCTTGCCCAACCGGAAGGACCGGCCTTCCCAGAAGCCTTGGCCCCATGTAGACCAGTCTCCGATGCGTCGCGGGCTGCACTGTGTTCAGGGGATTATCAACCTCAGCCATGCAGGTCCCGATGATGGATCGTTGATGGTGTTTCCCCGGTCCAACACGGTCACGGAAGAATTTTTCGATGAAACAGATCCATCCACCTGGGAACGAAAGGACATCCGGCTTTTTACCGAGCCGGAAATCGAGTGGTTTACGCGACGGGGGTTGAAGCCCCTGAAGGTCTTGGCCGAACCTGGGGACTTGATCGTGTGGGATTCACGCACGGTGCATTGGGGTGGGGAACCAACCGCTGCCAGCAACACCATCCGAACGGTGATTTATGCGTCGTATGCCCCGGCTCGGTTGGCTAGCGAGGAGACGCTGCGGTTGAAACAGGAGGCCCTGAGAAGTTATCGTGCGACGACACACTGGCCACATGAAAACATTGTCCTGCGCGATCAATTGGTGTATCAGGATGGGAATGTCGATCCCCGCAGTCGGACCGCGCCGTTGGAGTTACCCGAGTATACCGATCGCATGCTTCAACTAGCGGGGGCCAAAATGTACTAGGATTTCCTCAGATTATTAAGACTAGTGTCTGCAGGTGTTTTTCTGACGACCCCGCACTTTCTTCTTCTTGTCCGCGCCAATATGAAAGCTTTCGACTCTCGTGCGATTGAATATCCTCGAAAGCGTGCCTCAATTGCCTGTAATTTCTGTCGCCATCGGTAAGATATTCTCGCGGATGATCTGATCCCCCAACTGAGTAGCAAATAGGAAGCGCAAATGCGATGGGCAAAAGCCGACCTGTGGTCTCTGTACGGATGCAGGCGCACAGTGCGTCTATCAAGAAAGCGAAAGGTAGACAGGGGAATCCGACGTTCAACTTGACAGGCCATGGATAGTGACCTCAAGAATCAGGGTGCAGGATGTCCCTGCGGAGATACTCCTTCGCTTGAATAATTTGGAGACTCTCATGGAGCAGCAGAAGGATGCCATCGCCCAACTCACGGCCCAGGTGGCCGCGAGTCCCACCTCTACCCAGTACTCGAACCCGTCTTGCTCGCCGCAACCGCGCTACTGGGATCCATACGACAGTCAACACAGGTCGCCGGTCGGCTTTCCCCCGCAACAGAGCCGCCCCTACGAGGTCCCCTTTGCCATTCCTCTCGGTCATCACACTCCCACCGGAAGCTTCTTCGCGCTGGATCGCATCAAGAATCTGATTGGAGAATACCCTCATGATTTCTTTTTTCGATTAGAAGTTAATCGCCCTTTCGACGACTTCAAAGCGTTGGGAACACCACAATCATATGAGCAGATCGAACGGTACAGGCTGCAGCCTCACGTCATTCACCCACTTGTCATCCAGTTTCTCGAATATGTTCATCCGTTCTTCCCCATTGTAGAGGAGAGCTCGATCCATGCCCTTTTCGATACATTCCCGGCATCTCCCAAGGCCAACGTCCGGACGTCACTTTGTCTCATCATTCTGGCGTTGGGGAAAGTCTCCCTAAACTCTGCAACCATCTTCGACATCGAGGCGGAACGGGGGCATAGCGGTGTCGAATACTTTGCACCGGCGTGGGTCAATCTGAGCCAGGGACTTCAACCAGATTTCTCGGCGGAACACATGTTGCCGGTGGCTCTTTTCTATGGCTCTCTATATCTGCGCTATATCGGACGGCCGCTTCAAGCCTGGCAACTGATCAAGCGGGCCTCCGATAGTGTCCAGTATATGATCAATGAGTAGGTGGTGTCGAGGCCATTCTTCTTCGAGGGTTAACCAGGCATAGACCGCGGGCTAGAACCACGCAAGAGCAGCAGGATATTCTTTCTCGAACTGCCTGGGCTACCTATATTCTCGAAGGGTGGGCAATCTGACCTGCTAAACCATTGCGCCGACTAACAGCCTTATCTAGCGATGACCTAGCGGAGTTTCATCATCTCAGTCGTAGCGGTATCGAAGTCGTGGTCGAACGATTGGGATTCCCTGGATTTTCGATTTCTGACAACGGAAGCAAAGGCTGTCAGGTTTTCCTCGCGATGTGCTCCATCCGGACGATCCTCAGTCGAGTCCAAGAGAGTTCCCATTGCATCACGGGTCAACACCCAACTGACGCCACTACAAGCCCTCGGAAGCACACAATTGGGTCTCTAGAGAAGATCTGCGGAGAGTTCGACCGTCAGTTGGAGGCATGGTTCACCTGCCTCCCAGCGGCCATCAAACCAAACTTGGATGTTGAATTCCCTCTCGATGACCCATATGACAGTTATATTCGTGCCCGGTACTTTGCAACGCAACATATCATCTGCCGCCCGAGTTTGTTTCTGGCTGCTCAAAGCATTACGTCTTTGCCGGTGTATATTTTCGAAAACTGCACAAAATGCGTCAACAGCTGTCGCGAGTTCATCATGGCAACGTCTTATCTTCTCCAGAAAAGGACCCATTCAAACTGGCCTCGGATGCAAGCGTAAGGAATTGGTTGTGTGGGCGATCTTCTGTGCTCTGCTGACATCCACTTAGACTCCTAGCAGCAATTTTTACCCTCTCGATCGCCAAAACCACACCGTTACTAGAAACAATGGTTCATGATTTCGATGATCTCGTGAAGGAAGCAATCCGATCCATCGAGCCTTGGGCACGACACTCTGAAGCGGCGGATACAATCCTGGGCATGATGAAAACAATTCGTCAAAAGCTTCGTGTGTCAAACATGACTACTTGACAGCCCTGAAGACATACAGTGCTGGATACATCACCTCTTTTGCTCGAAATGCCGCATAATCAATCATGTACAAATCCAATAGCTAGATATCCACTTCGAGCGCTATCAGTAATGATATCCTAGCCCCGCGGTCCGTGGGCCCCGTAGGTCACGGCTTCAACTCGTAATGATTCCTCGTCAGCAATGCCTCCCCAACTATCAAACCAAATCAAGTCAATCCAAGGTGTTCGTTTGCCGGGAAAGTCTTTTACCTGGGATGTTCAACTCGATCACTCAAAGAAAAAGCCAACCGTCGCCAGCGTGACCCCGCATGCATCGGAGGTGACCGAATCCCCTCTGCTCTTACCAGCTTTGACACATCCACACATCCATCTCGACAAGGCATTCATTCATAGTGCGCCTGAATATGCCGACTTACTGCCCTCGACTGGAAGTTTCCAAGAAGCGCTGTCCTCAACCACCAAGGCCAAGCAGCGATTCAACCATGCCGATATCATCAGAAGAGGTGAATGGCTACTGGCTGAGTCCGTCGCATCAGGAGTTACCGCAATGCGAGCATTCGTGGAAGTAGATCACACAGTACAGTTCACTTGTCTACAAGCCGCAATTGTGTTGAAAGACCAATGGGCGCAGTCGTGCAATATTCAGATCGTCTGCTTTGCGCAGGATCCCATTTTCTCCAGCGATCATGGGGAACAGAATTTGGAATTGCTGCAGAATGCGCTGTCCGAGTATGATCAAATCGATGTAATAGGCACAACGCCTTACGTTGAAACCGACACAGAAGCCGCAAAAAGGAACATTGAATGGGCGATTGACAATGCACTGCGCTTGAACAAGCACGTCGACTTCCATCTGGACTATAACCTTGATCCGAACAAAGAGCCACTAATATGGCACGTTCTCGATACTCTCAAGGCTCGAAACTGGACCTCACATTCTTCCAAACGCATCATGATCGGCCATTGTTCGCGTCTGACTCTCCTGCCAGAGAACGAATGGGCGCGCCTGGTTGCTGAAATCCACAACCACAACCTGCCTGTCACCTTTGTGGGTCTTCCCACCAGCGATGTCTACATGGCTGCAGCCCCAGGTGACAGTGCCCAGGATCGTGCTCGCGGTACTCTGCAAATCTTGCATTTGATCCGCAAGCACAATCTTGATGCTGCAATGGGCGTGAACAATGTTGGGAATTCGTTTACGCCGTGGGGGTCACCAGACCCCTTATCATTGGCTTGTCTGGGTGTGGGAATTTACCAGGCAGGAAGTCAGGCTGATGCTGAATTGCTGTATGAGTGCGTTTCGACACGGGCTCGAGCGGCTATTGGCCTAGAATCCCAAGAGGGCCTCTGTGTGCGAGATGGTTGGGTGCCGGATTTCTTGTTGGTGCGCAATAGGGATGAGACTGGGTGTGGACTGGTCAGACCTAGGTCGACCGTGGCGGATGTTGTGTGGACTCCGCCTGGGGTGATGAATCGAGATGTTGTGTTGGGTGGACGGTTGAAAGTCTCTCCAGCTTGTGACAAAGATAATCTTTATCATTTTGCATGACTTTCGTGTCATTGAAGATACATACTGGTACATACTGATACATAAATGGAGTGTGCATGCAATTTTGGCCTGGCATGAGACCCTTCTGCGTGTCCATATGGCAATAACGGGCAGATTGGCTCGAATTTGGGGATCATGAACTCGAGGCTAATTCGTAGCCTTGGGCCGCAAAGCATATGATTGCACGGGCATTAGGTTGAAGCTCTTCGGGAATCCCTTCTGCAGCTCGGCTTTGATGACTTCCATCCCCGCGGCGTCGAAGATCTGTCTGAACTTCGCATCCGTTCTCGTCACACTGCTATCCTCGGCATCATACATATCCTGCCCCGAGATTTGCGTCGACAGATTCTCCTTCACCACCATCAATCCATCATGCGTCAAGGAATTGCGACAGCGGACGGTGAAATCGACAAGTTGAGAATCTGTCAGATGGCCCACACACCACTGCACCCAAATTAGGTCGTACTTCTTTTCCGGAATCCACGATTCCAGCCCCCGCGTGTAGATGGCGCCGATCACACCGTCCCTTTTCAATTGACTGTCTTGCATGACTTGGGTGAATTTGGCTATCGGCTCTACCGCGTCTACAACGTCGCAGACATGGCTGAGAAATCCCTCTGTCACGCGTCCGACTCCGGCACCACCGTCTAGGCCTTGTTTGAATTTGCCCTCTGATGGAACACCTGGAATCAAGCGACGAACTTTGGCTAGGAAGTTTTTGGACCCTTGCAGATCGATGCGCGACACCGATGGAAACTCTCCGAGCATGCTGCCTGGGGTGGCAGGCACACTATTCCAGTATTTGAGAGAGGCAGCATGATTGATCTGCGAGTCTGTGGAGGCCATGGCGGAACAGCTCTGGAGCACCTGAACAGTCGTCCACGGGTGAATTGATATTGATAAACACGTGACCCGAGACGCAAAAGGCCTGGAGAAGACAGAGATCGAGAAGCCGAAAACGAGGTGTTTGGTTGCGATCCCTTTCTTGGCGATACTTCCGCAAACAAGGGTAATGGGGACTGTGCCGTGATCGACAGGGATGAAAAATGCCAGAAACACCTCTGATTTCCCACTCTAATGCTGAAACAAGAGAAAACAGACACCTCAGGATTGGTGTGTACGTGTAATCACAGTGGGGGCGTGCAACACACTCCGTTGGAACGAGGCTGTGATTGGAAGCCAGGCACAGGAGGGCGTTAGGGTGTTAAACTGCCGATCACTTTAAATCACTTTCATTTCCCCTAATCTTTTCCCTACACATTCTTTCTCACCACAGTCACTCTTTCGATTCCTTCTTTCACACAATGGCAAACGGTCGCTCATCGCAGGATGAGCGTAAGCTCGAGGGTGGCGCTGCTGCTGCTCCTCCCCAGGACAATGGTCTCCACCCGGCCTTCTACATTGCGTACGTACTGAATGGCGATGGGCGATGGCCTCAGGGTGTTGACCAATTCTCTCTAGGCTGTGGATTGCTCTGAGTTCCAGTGTTATCCTGTTCAACAAATGGGTGTTGGATCCTCGCAAGGCCAACTTCAGTATGTACACACCCCTTGACTTCGCCCGTTCGCATCGCTAATCATGACCGATTCTAGACTTCCGTGAGTCGATCCAACGAGTTCCCACCAGGGAACATTACTGACATGGTGATATAGCCCTGTTCTTGACTACCTGGCACATGGTGTTCGCGACTGCGATGACCCAGATTCTCGCTCGCTTCACCACCATCCTCGACTCGCGCCACAAGGTTCCCATGAACCCGACCACCTACTCGTGAGAATCCCCAATTGAGAATCGCTGCCACGCGAGTCACCGCGGAGCCTCGATTGCTGACCGCGTTTTCGCAATACAGTCGCGCCATTCTGCCCATTGGAATCATGTTCAGTTTGAGTCTGATCTGTGGTAACCTAGCTTACCTCTACCTGAGTGTTTCCTTCATTCAGATGCTGAAGGTACGTTGGATGCAAATTTACAAAACTCGCGAGAGTGTCGGAAGTATATAACTAACGCTCGATCTTTCCAGGCCACCAACGCCGTCGCGACCCTTCTGGCCACCTGGGCTTTCGGTATCGCCCCCACCAACATGAAGGCTCTCAGCAACGTGCTGGTGATCGTGTTCGGTGTCGTGATTGCCTCCTTCGGTGAGATCCAGTTCGACATGATCGGTTTCCTCATCCAGGTCGCCGGTATCGTCTTCGAGGCCCTCCGTCTCGTCATGGTCCAGCGTCTCCTTAGCTCCGCCGAGTTCAAGATGGACCCCCTGGTCTCTCTTTACTACTACGCCCCCGCCTGTGCCGTGACCAACGGTATCGTCACCCTCTTCACCGATCTTCCCCGCATCACCATGGGCGACATCTACGGCCTCGGACTCGGTACTCTCGTTGCCAACGCCCTGGTTGCCTTCCTCCTCAACGCCTCCGTCGTCCTGCTGATCGGCAAGACCTCCGCCGTTGTCCTGACCATGGCCGGTGTCCTGAAGGATATCCTCCTGGTCGCCGCCTCCATGATCATCTTCCTTGACCCCGTCACTCCTCAGCAGTTCTTCGGTTACTCCATTGCCCTGGCTGGTCTGGTCTACTACAAGCTCGGTGCTGAGAAGTGCAACAACATGGTTGCCGATGTGCGCCTCCAGGTTGGCGAGTACAACCGCGCCAACCCTGCCCGCACCAAGGCCATCGCCATCGGTGTGCCTTGCGTTCTCGTCCTGCTGTTCTTGTACAGCAGCGGTCCTTCCGCCGCTCCGGTCACCAACTAAGGCCCGAGCGCGCCTGGATGAAACCAATTGACGGGAATCTCCCACGGGCAGAGACCTTTCCTTGTGGGCATTCTCACGAATCCAAGCTCGGGGCACACCCGATGCTTATGTTACATTTGATATAGGACTATGTCTTTCTTGTCTGGACAGGACGGGACATGCATGTAAATTTAGGAGACATAGATGATACTGAAGGGGTTAAAGGTGATAAGTCTTATAATACACGGTTGTATGAAATTGATAAATTCGAACTCGACATTTCGGTGATTTTGATGCAATCAAATGTGTTTCAGATATATATTCACTTCGATGACGCAGTCTGTCTCTGGCGAAGCTTTATGTGAAACAAGCACTTGGCTATTGAACGGTCTAAAGCGCGCTATCTGACTCCACCAGAAACGCTCCCCGATTTGTTAAAGCGCGAGCCAAAGGTGGGATCTCCTAGGATTCTGACCAGTGTTTTCACGAGATAGAACACCCACGTTGAGGTAGCCGTTCCGGCTACTCCAGCCTATCTGAGGCATCGTGGTGAAAGGACCTTGGTATGCTAATAAGAGTGCAGCGACCAGTGTCGGCTTGCTCTCCGATCGACATGTGCAAGTGCAATTGATGTATTAATTCCACTGCGTTTCGCAATCGCAGGGCGCTCCAGCGCTGCAAGTGTGAAAGCCTGAAAATATCCCCGCAATAGACAGTAAACTCGGCAATCCCTCGCAGCCCAGCAGACTACAAGGTTCTCCAGTGATATCTCGAACACCATACTTTCCAAGGTTGCCAGCGATCATCAAATATGGCGCAGTGAGACAAATTACACCCAGCTTCCGGCAGCCACTGACACTTCTTTGCTCGGTAGAAACAACTCAGCCTTCTACCCCGACCTCAAGGATCGAGTGACTCTGGTCATCGGAGCTGGACAATCAGGCGACCCTTATACAAAGGTCTGGGGCAATGGAGCAGCCATCGCCAAAGTCCTAGCCTCCTCGGGAGCGAGGATCATCGCCTGTGATCTGAACCTCGAAGCAGCACAACGAACAGCAAGCCGCATCCAAGCCGATGGAGGGTCTTGCGAAGCCTTTCAGCTCGACGCAACACTAGCGAGCGATATCAAGCGCATCGTCAAACAAATAGTCGACAGATACAACCGAATCGATATCCTCGTAAACAACGTCGGGTTGACCAAAACCGGTGACCCAGCAACAATGCCAGAAGAAGCATGGGACACACAGTTCCAGCTCAATTTGAAAACAGTCTATCTCACCTGTAATGCCGTGCTGCCAATAATGGAGAAGCAAGGCTCCGGGGCCATCATTAACAACGCCAGTATTGCGGGGATGAAGTATCTTGGAAAACCGCAAATTGCATACGCGTCTGCAAAGGCGGCGGTCATTCACTTCTCGAAGATCACGGGCGTGATGTATGCCAGCAAAGGGATTCGTGTGAACTCTGTTTCTCCGGGTATGGTGTTCACACCGTTGCTTGAGAAATTGGGAGCTAGTGATTTGGCGGAGGAGCGTGAGATATACAAGAAGATCACAGATCATAATGTGCCTATGGGCTTCATGGGAGACGCGTTTGATGTTGCCAATGCGGTGGTATTCCTGGCTAGTCGTTCGTCGCGCTATGTTGTTGGTCAGAACTTGGTCGTTGATGGTGGACTTACGGGGTCGACGGGGACTGGTCAAACTGCGTCGAAGCTTTGAGATTTTTAGTTGCATCGCAGTGGGTGTGTCTGGAGAAAGCAGATCGATCATTGAACAGTGGACTCAAGTCATTTTGAGCAGGCTACAAATATGAAATGTAGGCTGCCGTCGTGGCATTTAACCGTTCAGGGCTTTTTTCGGGCAATGTGTCATTGTTGCGTCCGGGCCCCAAACATGCCAGATATTTTACTTCTTCAACTCCCCATACATAAACAGAAGGGTTGCAGTCTAGACTCATTCGAAAGCCTAGACCATGACGACGCCAAATAGAGGAATCGTGGTTATCTCCGGAGGCAGTGCAGCGAACAACCTGGTTGACGTGTTCAGCGCGGTCCGCGAGAGTAAAAATTGCCCACTGAGCTACATCATCCCCATCAGTGACAATGGAGGATCATCATCTGAGCTGATCAGAATCTTTGGGGGGCCTGGGATCGGCGATGTTCGAAGTAGGTTAAAAGGGCACCATCGGATTCCCCACGCTGACCTCCACAGGCAGATTGGTGCGCTTGATCCCCGATTCACCAGCAAACCCCGAAAGGTCGGCAGTCAAGGCACTATTCAATCATCGACTCCCAGCCGAGGCTAGCCTCGCAGTCCATGAATGGCAGTCGATCGTAGACGGCACATCCACTCTGTGGACAGCCATCACCCCCGCCAAAAAAGAGCTGATACGCTCATTCTTCAACGTACTGAATCTGGAAATCCTGAAGCGTGCGCGACCGCCATCATCAACTTTCGACTTTACGTCGGCGAGCGTGGGAAATCTCTTCTTGACCGCTGCGCGTCTATTCAGCGGCAGTTTCGAAAGCGCCATATATCTACTGGGAAGTATCTGCGGTGTTCCGTCAGATCTTGTGCGCGTGATCCCAGCTATCAACTCCAACTTCTCTCACCACATTTCCGCCTCTTTGGCTGATGGCACCGTTATCGTGGGCCAAAACAGCATATCCCACCCCAGCGAGGCAACGGCTCTTCAACATACTCCTGGATCCAGGCGTCCCAGTTTACTTCTTGCCGACGGAGATGACATTGAGTACACAGATTCCGAAGTCTCAGACCCGTCGATATACGAGGAAGACCACCTCCCCGGCTCACTGGCTACTCTTCGCAATAAGAACATCAAATTTAGCAAAACCGAGAACGAAGACTTGAGTTCTCGCATCACACGCATCTGGTACATCAATCCCTATGGCCAAGAGATTCGACCACCCGCAAACCCTCGAGTATTGGAAGCGATCAATGACTCCCAGGCCATCATCTATAGTATAGGATCTCTCTATACTTCAATCATTCCCGCGATAGTCCTGCGCGGCGTGGGAAAAGGAATCGCCTCCAGTCCAGCTCGACACAAGATCCTCATTCTCAACGGTTCATTAGACCGAGAGACGGGTCCCCCATCGGCACCGTTCGCGGCCTCAGACTTCGTGGAAGCTATCGTGAGCGCCGGTGAAGAGAGCCGTGGGCGAGGCTCGATCAACACACCCAAACAAGAGTGTCAGGGCTCAGCACTGCCAGACACTGCCCAGAAGTCTAGAAGTCTTCCATACACCGCATATATAACCCACATCTTGCACCTGGAGGGCCCTGGGACTCCACACGTAGATCGTGAGCGGCTCACGCACATGGGTATCGAGACGCTTCGTCTGTATGGACGGAAAATCACAGCTATGGATGGCGACAAGGAGGTTGTTGTGGGCATGCAGTACGATCCTAATGCCCTTGTACAGGCTATTGAGGTTGTACTAGGAAAGAAAGGCGATGCAATGATTCGGGGTGGAATCGGGAGTGGGCTCAATAGGCGGAATACTCTCGATCCTGCCCCTGCGAGGAGAGACCGTTGAGGTATGGGATTCTTGACATCCCATTCGCATCCTAGCCACAGATCAGACTTGCGGCAGGCAAATCCCACGCGCATACATAATAGCTGAGTCAATTATCATCGGCTTTCATCAAATCATCAAATATAGTTCATTGGCACATTAATCGGGAAAGCATACAAAATACAAAGGACGCCGGCCGACACCCAGTGACATGCACACTGCAAACTTGGAAGACAGCCGCCTTGTGAGAACGAAAGGTCAACATCTGGACCAAGAGTCCATCAGCGGCAGCGTGGAGACTGTGGGTTGACTTCCGCATACCCGCCCGCCTCCATGGTATAACGGAAAAATTATTTATCGATTCTTTCTTCATAACGGGAAAATGTCATGGAACGCCGGTCGCAATGTCGCATGAATCATCAAAACGGGAAGAAACCGTCCAAAGCCAAATCCACGGACAGCTTATTCCTCTTCTGTCTTGCTATCCTCCACTCTTTTCCGATTCTGTTGGGTAGCCTCGAGCTCGCCTCGGGTCTTGGTGTGAAGCTTGAACAGAAGAGGAATGATGCTTTGTTTGCCTTTCGTGTTCTCTTTATGTGAAAGTGGCTTGCGACACACAGGGCAGGTACCCTTGTTTTGCTTCGAAGAATCAGTGCGCGCCTCTTCGGTAATTGTCAGGTAATCGACGATACACTTGTGGCAGAATAAGTGACCTGTGATTAAGAGATTAGTATCTCTTCTAGAGCTCCCGAGGAAATATCACGGAGCTGAATACGTACCGCATGAGGTGGTTGTCGCATCCACAGGTGTGTCCATGCAAATAGGGCATTTGTACGCGATCAGCGGATTGAGCGGTCTATCGGATTTTTCTGTAGGCTGCTGGGCCTTTATTGCATCTTCTCGCTGTTTTGCAACTGCTCTTGCAAGCTCCCTTGCATCCGACTCTTCGGTGATGTCGATGGTCTCAATAGCCTCTGCTCCGAGGTAGAAATCCGAGGACGAAGAGGTGGAGCGGCTGCGCTCATTCTGGCGTTGGCGTTTCGGTGCCCTTTCAGCTTGTTGTGCGGAATGAGAGGATGATGCGTTATTGGAGAAGGGTGGCGAAGAGGATAAAGCGATTGGATTTCGGCGGGCTGTGGATGTCAGATCGACAACATCAGGTGCGCGACTACCCATGGCAGTTAATCTGGAATAAATATCCAGATATGGCTTTCAGTACTATAAGTTTGGTAGTATGCAACTTCACTTTCAGTATTTTCAAAAGGGATATTGCACTGGTAGTTCAGATTGAGGGTGCCAGTTGTACGCCAGCGCTGTACAATAGGCCCTGTACAGTCTGCCTACAGATTTGGGGCTGCAGATCTGTAAGTGGCCCGGGCCGTTGTATCCTCTGAGAATGGCAAATATAGAAGCTGGAGCACAAGGGCTGATTCAAAAACGAAACAGCATAGTCACAATCAGGACTGTATGGCGGGGAGGTGTCAAACTCCGTGCCCAGGTGCTCCAGGCGGAGATCCATGGATAACCTATCACCACGTGATGATAATACCCGATAAGAGTGTCGCATCTCGGGGCCAATCGGAGTGGCCCAAATGTATACAGAGTCCGCGGAGCTCCAGGGCTTTACCCATAGGCAAGATCCCAAGGTGTAGACCATGATCTTTCCGGGAATTGGAAGCAAGGTAAGTTTGAAATGGCAATGACGTGATAATCTGAAGGTATTACCAACAACTTATGCCGGGGCCACCATTCAAACACCAGAGCAAATGGTGGAGAGTTGGAAGACAATGTTGGTCACGTGGTACTTTGAGGGCATATCGGTGTAACGATAGTCCGGGCTGCATGACGCTCAGATTATGCCGCGATAGGCAATGATATGGAATTTACTTTCATCCCAATACAGACTCCTTATACGCCTTTTGACTCTACTACTGCAGCCCATGCGGCTGTACCATATCGTGATATCATGACCTAATGCTGTCTTTCTGAAATACTTATGATGTTATCTTGGAAGGCCTCTTGCGCTCCATGTTCCAGGGGTGTCTTCAGGTCAATCTCACAACACGACTCGTTATCCTTGATTCGAGCGCGGCCTTGGAATTTGTCGCATAATGGATATAAGAGGTTATACTCTACAGTTACAGATGGCTCTCCTACCCGGACGTCTCTTTCTGGTGAGTACCCATCCTTTGCGCTCTGTCAACGCAAAATAATGAGTCTTCAGCACTGACAAGTTGCAGTCCCCGCCTTGTCCCGGTTCAACGATATTGGCGTTCAGCAATTGAGCGACTATGTCCACGCCCAAGTTTTTCCGGCTAAAGGTCGTGTCCCGAATCCCGAACTCGTCGCACTATCGAAAGACCACCTTGCGCGCCATGAGCTGCTGGGCAAATCGCAGAGCGGCGCCAGCCCCATCGCATTCGATCTTCCGGCCCTCAAGGGCAAATCATTGGATGAACATTTTTACAAACTGGGAATGGATTGTTCAGAGCCGTATTTGACTTATGCGAAATCCTACGCCGCTCTTACCTGCCCGCCCAAGCCGCGCAAATGGGTCAAACGCAGTGGATGGACGAAATATCATAAGGATGGAACATCGGAGCCTGTCGAATCCCCGAACGAATCAATGCTCACTTTTGACACCGAGGTCATGTACAAGGAGAATTCGTTTGCAGTAATGGCCTGCGCAGTAAGTCCAACGGCATGGTACGCGTGGTTGTCGCCCTGGCTGCTTGGCGAATCGGAAAACGAAGTGCAATTGATACCTTTGGGAGACCCCTCTCAGCCTCGCATTGTGGTTGGACACAACATTGGTTATGACCGGGCGCGCATCCTCGAGGAATACGACATGAAGCAATCACAGAATTTCTTCCTGGATACCATGTCTCTTCATGTGGCAGTCAATGGCATGTGCTCGCAGCAGCGACCAACGTGGATGCGACACAAGAAGAATCAAGACTTGAAAGATAAAATCGCCAGCGAACATGAGTCCGTGGAGCTTGCGGCACTTATCGAGAACAACATGTTAAGAGAGGAGGAGGAAGAACTTTGGGTCGGCCGGAGCTCAGTCAATTCCCTACGGGATGTTGCCAAGTTCCACTGCGATGTCACCATCGACAAGGCGCAAAGAGATCTTTTCGGCGAGCTCGATCGTGACGCCATCAACAGCAGATTGGAAGAGCTCCTAGATTATTGCGCCGCCGATGTAGCCATAACGCACCGCGTTTACCGCAAGGTCTTCCCCAACTACCTCGAAACCTGCCCGCATCCTGTCAGTTTTGGTGCCCTCCGACATTTGTCGTCTGTTATCTTGCCAGTCAACGAAAGCTGGGGAGAGTATCTTGCGCGCGCGGAGGAGACATACCACACACGACTTGAGGGTGTCCAACGGAAACTGCATGAACTCTGCGATGAGGCATTGAAACATAAAGACCATCCCGACATTCACATGGAAGACCCTTGGCTACGCCAGCTGGACTGGTCTGGGCAAGAGATTAAAATGGTGAAAGGGAAAAAGAAGAATGACCCTCCTCGTCCCGCTGCCAGGCAGAAAAAACCCGGAATGCCCAAATGGTACAAGGATCTCTTCCCGAGTAGTACCTCGGATATCAACCTGACTGTGCGAACCCGCATTGCTCCCATTCTACTCAAGCTATCATGGGATGGTTTCCCTCTTGTTTGGTCTGACAAGCATGGGTGGACATTCCGTGTACCCCGCGACCAAGTCAAACAGTACGATAATCAACCCGTTGTGAAGTGCGATATGACCGAGGAAAAGATCATTCAGTTGCGGGATGACAGACTGGCGACCTACTTCAAGATTCCTCACAAGGATGGCCCGCAGGCTCGATGCACCAATCCCTTGGGCAAAGGGTACATGCAATACTTTGAGCGTGGGATACTCTCATCCCAGTATGAGCTTGCCAAGGAAGCGCTTGAAATGAACGCATCATGCTCCTACTGGATTAGTGCTCGAGATCGAATCAAGAGCCAGATCGTGGTCTACGAAGACCAAGTGAAGAATACCAAGACCGAAACAGAAGCGAACGGCAACCGCGTCGGCTTTATTCTACCCCAGGTCATTCCCATGGGGACAATTACCCGACGTGCGGTGGAAAACACTTGGCTTACGGCGAGCAACGCCAAGGCCAACCGCGTCGGTTCAGAGCTCAAAGCCATGATCAAGGCACCGCCGGGCTATTCGTTTGTTGGTGCCGATGTGGACTCTCAAGAATTATGGATCGCAAGTCTTGTCGGAGATGCGCCTTTCCAGATTCATGGGGGTAACGCCATCGGGTTCATGTGCTTAGAGGGCTCTAAAGCCGAGGGAACTGACCTCCACTCTCGCAGTGCTTCGATTTTGGGAATATCGCGCAACGATGCTAAAGTTTTCAATTACGGTCGAATCTATGGGGCCGGTGTCAAGTTCGCTGCTACCTTACTTCGCCAATTCAACCCGTCCCTCACTGAACGGCAAACCCAAGAAACTGCTCAGAATCTTTACAAGGAGACCAAGGGCACTCGAACCTCACGTCGCTTGCTGAGCGAAACACCTTTCTGGCGGGGCGGCACGGAATCCTTTGTATTCAACAAGCTCGAAGAATTCGCGGATCAGGAGCGCCCTAGGACGCCTGCCCTAGGCGCTGGAATCACCGAAGCACTTATGAGGCGTTTTATCAACAAGGGTAGTTTCATGACGTCCCGCATTAACTGGGCCATTCAGTCGTCTGGTGTTGATTACCTCCATCTTTTGATCGTTGGCATGGACTATCTCATCCGACGATTTGAGCTCAAGGCCCGGTTGGCAATCACCGTCCACGATGAAATCCGCTATCTTGTGAAGGACGAAGACAGATATCGCGCCGCGATGGCTTTGCAAATTGCCAACGTTTGGACTCGCGCTATCTTCTCCCAGCAAGTGGGCATCGATGATCTTCCACAATCTTGCGCCTATTTCTCAGCGGTCGACATAGACCATGTTCTTCGCAAGGAAGTCGACATGGACTGTGTGACTCCCTCCCATCCATTCAAAATCCCACATGGCGAAACCCTCGACATCGCTCAACTTTTGGAGAAGAACCAGGAGGCATTCTTGGACCCCTCCATCACCCCGAAGTCACCTCCCAATCCCGACAAGTACAATTATACACCGCGAGAGTCAGTTATGTCTGGCTTACAAGCCTCCAATGATGTTGATTTCATCAAAGCCCAGATCACCAAAGATGACAAAGAGCTTCGTGAAATCATCAAAGAGAAGACTCGAATCGCCACTAGCTCCAGCACTCCGGCCTCCCGCTCCTCTTCCACTAAACCAAACACCAAGTCTACGCAACGGCCCTCCGCGAAACCACAGCGGGCGGTCCTGATGGATCTAGAGTCAGGCCTCTATCCTGACTTCCACAGTCCTCCTCGAGCCAGCATCTCCCATGGGAACAAACAACCCCACATGGGATTCCAGCGTCCTTCGTGGAAGCCTCGGCCATCTGCTCGAGCCTAGCGCCCTGGCTCTTCTTTCTTTCACTCTTTCTTTCTTTTTTCCCTTGAGTCCCCCTTAATTTCGGATGTAATTATTGCTCTCTATCTTGTTAAAAACGATCTGATAATTGTCGGAGTCAGAGGTCAGCATTGGGAAGGCGTTCTATGCATTTGATGTGAAAAGGTTACGAGCCTATTATGTACTATATGAATCCATTCGAATGTTGAAGTGCATGCAGCGCGCAGAAACAAAGCCAGATGTAAGCCTCGGAGCCAAGCCCCGTTAAATAAGATCAAAGGGTCCACATGCTCCGTGCGCCATAGCCCCCCTTGGCAGTTCCCTTTCTTTCAGGTCTTTCGGTTCTTTCACCTGGGCGCAACCTTGTATTTCAATATCTTCGTACCTCGCTGGTTTCACATTGAGTGCTCGCGCCTCTTCGACGTCATACCCCGCACATCCTGTCATGTTCTTCTGCGTGCTCTCTCAATGAGACGGATTCGGCCAGCAAATACCCGGTCTTGATGGCGGTGCCAAAGACTGTACAAGCAGCATCGTGAGATCCTGCATAAGAGTGGGAACCTCGTGATTGAAATCTGGAGCCCGAACCCCATATACAAGTGGTTGGATCAACGCGACCACCCGAACCCTCATAATGAGCGTCCATTCGCTCGACTACGCCCAGCCCAACGCAACCCGATCTGACATTGACGTTGAGGCCGGGCGCCAGTCGCCTATCTCCCAAGTCTCTCCTAGAGGGGGAGACACCGAGCCGACTTCGTTCCCTGCATTCACATCTGCGACACGAGTGGATTCAGCCGATACGACGAAACGCCGCGCGAGACGCAACACCGCCCGATCTTACCATCCCGAGGGATTCGCACAAGATCCAAACTGGCAGCCAGGAACCGAGCCTGGTATTGACCCGAGCAAGCCCCTCCCACCGTATACCTCAGAATGGGCGTCGAACATTCCGGCGGATCTGCATCGGCAGTGCCAGATAACTGTTGTGGATTTCTCTCAGAATGAGATGCGACAATACGAGTTGGACAATGACACGTTGGGGCCTTTCTTGGAAAGAGAAAGGGAGTCATGGGTGCAATGCCGGTGGATCAATGTGAATGGGCTGAGTTGGGATGTCATTCAAATTCTCGGAAATCACAAGAGGCTGCATCGTCTTGCCATTGAAGATTTGGTGCATACCACCAACCGGACCAAGGCAGATTGGTATTCGGATCATGCATTCGTGGTGCTGACACTACAGAAGTTGATGAAGATCTACGAAGAGTCCTCCTCTGATTCCGAAGATGAAGAAGAGAGGCCAATCAGTCGCTGGAAATCCAAGGATCGGAAAAGCTCCGTGGCGAGCGAAAGGAGCTCTATCTCTTTGAAGAGACCTACGAAGCGAAGGGTTATCTTGGCGGCCTTGAAGGATATCTTCAGTTTCAAATCAAGCCCACCCCCAGAAGACAAAGAGAAAACTACGTTTGGGTCCAGTGTTCGACCTGGGCTCGGGCGACGGACGTCAAAGCACACCTCTCATTTTGGAAACGTTGGAACTGCCTCGGAGACCACGGCCAGGAGTCTGCAGCGATACCGCGGTGGGCCCAACGAAGATCGCATCGAATTCATGGAGCGACACGCCGCGCTTTCTGGCAAAGGTCTGTGTGTCACTTTGGAGCAGGTTTCGATCTTCCTTCACGCCGATAACACCGTCACGTCATTTTTCGAAACAAGCGCGGATGACATCGAGGCTCCCATCGTCAGGCGTCTCATGTCGCCGGAGACTATTCTCCGACAGTCATGCGATGCCAGTATGCTGCTACAAGCTATTCTCGATGCTGTAATCGATCTTGCCATTCCAGTCACAATGGCATACCAAGATGCCATTGGAGACCTCGAGCTCGAGGTCCTCACAGATCCGGACATCGACCAATCGAAGTCCTTGTACATTTTGACGTCCGAGATTGCTGTACTGCGAAACTCCATCCAGCCTATAGTGGCGGTGATGAACGCTCTCCGCGATCACCGCTCCGAGCCCGTCGGCACCCCGGGATTCGGCATCTTGCGCAATCCTCTCAGTCCAGCCGGCACCCCTGCGGAACCGGTTGAAGCCCGGCCCCATTTCGGCGTCGTCACACCCAATTTGAAAAGCCTCGGAGGCACCAGTGTCACCATCAGCTCTATGTGCCATACATATTTGGGTGATGCTCTCGATCACTGCATTACCATTGTTGAAGGGTACGATCAGATGCGGCGTAATGCTGATAACATGATTGACCTCATCTTCAACACTATTGGTGCCTATCAGAACGAGAGTATGAAACAGCTTACTCTCGTGACTTGTCTTTACCTCCCCATGACTTTCCTCACAGTACGTTCCACATTGAAATTACTTGGGGGGATAGTTCTGACTGGTTTCTCAGGGTTATTTCGGAATGAACTTTACAGATTTCTCCGGCATCGAACACAGTGATAGGTAAGCCAAAGATTCGCCCGCGAGCCCGTTGGCAGTTCTTCAATCCAATGCTAATTCCAACAGTTATTTCTGGAAGATTGCGATTCCATTTGTCTGTGTCACAACATTCCTACTGATGTAAGATCCCTCCCCCCTATCTTGGGGAAATAATACTAATATGCTATTGTAGGCGTGATAAAATCCAGCGATACGCAGTCATGCTGGCCCAGCGTCGCTTGATTGTCAGTTCGAGGAAGCAAAGACGGGAAAGGAAGAAGAAATAAACGAATGTTTCGCTGCTCACTGTTCAGGTATTCACTGTATCATCACTTTTCAGCTCCGAGTCGTTACTTTTGGCCTCCGGACTTTGACATTTGTACATTTACATATGCTCCTACCCCCAAGATATACTGGTTCTACATGTTAATACGACAAACACGTTCCAAAGTTTCTACCCAGGCACTTGGAATCTCGAAAAAGACCTCGGGATCCATGGATGTATGCACTTTGTAGGATTCCAGAGACTGTACTAGGCAGTTTTATAGGTATATTCCCATTCCAACTTGGAACCTTGGAAGGTTAGATCCACAATGTACCTAGGTAAGGACCTCGGGGTACAGTCAGATCTGTTCCAACCTTGGAAGCCTTGGGGGTTCAAGGTTCTCATTGCCATTGCCAACCTTTGACTTGAGACATGCTCGATTTCTATTTGCAATATAGATCGAATTAGAGCAGACGAGCCGCCTAGTATATACCTGCAAACGCCACGAGTCTAGATTTATCTGATCCGACTTTAATCAGACCCTGAGAACAACACCAAAACCAACAAAACTCCAACCCGGTGAATCAAATCTCCTGTGTATCCAACCCCCAAACCTCCCAATGCTGCAGCACCTCCCACCCCACGCGGCGCATACGTCTTCGCCAGGCGAAACCATCACCTTCTCCCGTGTGCGGGTCGTAGGCGGGATACGCTCTGGGCGTTTCGTCCCGGTCCTCGTCTCTCTCCTGAGTCCGAGGTGAGTCAATGGGCGTGTCGCTATCGCGAGCCCGTTTGCCCAATGACGATGACGGGGCTCTGATGCGCGGTGAGGCATTGAGCCAGGTCGGGGTTTGGGTTGATTGGGGATCTGGGGATCTGTGGACGGAGATTGGTGCACTTTGGCTGTAGATGGGGCTTTCGGTGGTCTCCTGGACCCGTCCGTCTGGGGACTGGAAGTCACGAGATGGAAGCGGTGCTTTGTAGAATTCTCGCAACTCCCAGGCTTTCCAGCCCATGCCGATGACTTGGACGTTTCCATAGACTTGCTCGTTGGCAAGATCGTAGCTCATCATTTCCGTTAGGGCTGCGTCGTCGAGTTCCACGACTTCGGCAAGGGACTTGGCGTTCAGGAAGCTGTCGTCTCGCATGAATTTGCCGTCGAATGAGGTTTTTCCTTGGGCGGAAAGTGATGATTTGACGGTCGCGCCGGGCGATCCATTCTGCGAGATAGACGCCGGGGGAATGAGAAGCCGGAGTGCTTTTAGTTTCCTCAAGAAGGGAATTAGGAGGGTGAGAGAATCCATGCTCGTGAATTCTGTGGCAAGGGCGAGCTGCTCCAAGTTTGGACAGCTGTGGACAAGACGAGCGATCATAGCTGTGGATAGAGGCCATTTAGAAGGGAGAAGAAGGTGTCGTAATGTAGCGCCGTGGTTCGCGGTGATGTGAGAAAGATAGCCATCTCGCATACTGAAAAGAAGATTGAGCTGGCTGGCTGGGGATGCGGAGTTGATGGGAGAGTTGGTTACTCCGTTGACAGCACCGGGGGGCTGGTGCTCGGAGACTGGCGGCGTGAGGGCCGATGATTCCAAGCCTTTCGGTCGTGGGGAATTGATGGAGTCATTTGAATCAGAGGTTACATTAACGAAATACAGCCGCTCAAGTCCCTTGAAGTTACCAATGAACTCTGAATTTCGTTTTGAGACCGCATCCATGCGAACGGATTTGATTCGAAGTTGAGCATGTGGTGGAACGGTCGGCCAGCTGCTCTCGATGAACGTATTGACTAGACTGGACCCCTCAACCCCACTGAGGAAGGTGACATCTTCCACCGTTGTAGGATCAAAAGCGAAATTGAAGTCCTCGGTGTGGAACGCATAGAGGTTCTGGAAGGTCATTTTCTTGATCGTCAGGGGCTGTTTGCTTGAGATCAATTTGCGGAAGTACTCATGCAAAGAGACACTCGGTTCCTGGGCATCGCGCATGCGTGGGGACCAGTGCATTTTCAATTCGCGCAATTTTCTGCTCTTCCATAGCAGGGTTGCAATATCATCCGGGTAGCACAACGGGTCGATATCCGTTAATTTGAGGCACTTCAGATGCGGCATTCCTGGTATGACAAAGGTGGGCTGTGGGTGACGGCTGGACGGGAAGCGAATCGTCAACGAAGTAAGCTTGGGCAGCTGTGTCAACCCCATGAACACCGTGTCGTACATCTTGGTGCTTAATTCCCAGTGGAAGCTTTCCAAGTTGGTCATGCGGTCCACCGCCGCTCGTGCGGCGATGTTCAGCAACATCGAGGAGTCGGGCACCCGACCGACTCGGGCATGTTCCTCCAACTCATGCTCCTTCCACTCTCCACGTAATGTCATTGATCGCACCAATGGCGCATAGGATCGAGTGATAATCGCATTCAGGCCCATTGTAAAGGGACTTGCGCTCCCAATTCCTTCTGGCTGTTCGCCGCGATAACGGATTTTGTCGTAGGAGGTCAGCGTTAGGTTTCGGTATAGCTGCGGTAATGCCATGTAGTTGAAGACTCGGCATGTTCGACATAGTCGGGCGAGATCGCCTGTATCGTTGACCTGTCGCCATTAGGAGAGTGTAGTGATTGCTGGAGCTATACTCACATGTGACACAATCTCGACAATGAGGTTCAGAGGCAGCACCATCAGCTGGGCACCTCCAGGCTGCTCAGCGATGGTGGCGCCAAACATGTTCTGATTGACTGTCGCCATGCTGCGACGAGCATCCAGTGCGACATGTCAAGAGTACGGGGAAAAAGTGGTCGGAGTTGCAACTTCCCGGAGCCTCGAGCACCCGGGCTCCACTTGCGTCAGCCAAACAGAGGCGACAGTCATTGGTGGGATTGGGGCATTTTACTATATCTACTCCGTAGTCACATTGAACTTATGCCTTCATACAGACTCTATTTGCGGACATAAACACTCAGCATATCAGTCCCCTGTCCATGTTCATACGACCGCTCGGGCTTGATGTACAATGCCCGCCGGAAACGCCCATCGGATTCCCCAGTGGTCTTCCTACTGCCCACGATTCCATCACCACCCTCTTCAAGCAGATTCCAGTGCACTCCCTTCAACCCCCAGGGCGGGCCCGGCAGTGAAGGATCCTTATAGAGCGGGAACTCCAGACAGACCAGCATACCACCGGGAGACAGAAGATGCGCCATCCGAGATGCCCAGCGCGAGCGCATCGTTGGATGAAGAGCACATAAGAACTGTATTGATTCAGCGCCAACTATTCCCGCAAAGTCAGAAGAGAATGGTCGACTCACCGTATAATCATAAATCAAGTCATATTTCAACTCGTCCTCCCAGTAGGATTTGAAAAAGTCGCCCTGGACGAACTTGACCGTGCCGGTTTCACGCTTGTCCCAAGCGGCGCCGAAATTGTATTCTCGTGGATCCTGGAGCTCGTGACGAGCATATTCTTCAGCCACAGAAACTCCAGTCGGAGAAATCTCCAAACCGACGACGTCAAACCCGTGAAGAGCGAGCATCACGACGTCGTAGCCTTTCCCACATCCCTGAACTTCAGTCAACATCGAATCAGGGAACGTGAACATCTGCCTTACGGGTACAAGGGCCCTTTTCCGATGCCCATCGGACGCAATGGGTGTCAATGAGTCTTCCTTTTCAAGGGCATCAATGAGGGCTGGTGAAGGGCTTCCCTTGTCCCAAAGATCACCATGATGAGAATCCCAAAGCTCAGACCATGCGCTATTGTGATCATCGACCGAGCTATACTGGATTAGACATGATCTTAAAGGCAGAGTTGTAGGGGTTTCGTACTACGCCTCAAAGTGTTGCGTCACATTGGTCTGTCCGGACGGGCGCTGATGGGAAGATGACATTTTGGTTGTTCTGAGATCAATATGAAACCGTCAGAAAGAGCAGAGATGCGACGTATTATAATGTTGGATCTCTAGTATGATCGGCCTCTGTTCGTCATGCTGACCAACTATGATCGAGAATTCGAAATCAAACCCCGAGGCCTGGCGTTTGATATTTGGCTTCCTTTTTCCAATCAGGTGAAATCAAATGGCTGTGAATAAATCTGAATGCTAGCAGCTTTACTGATAAACTGTTAATAGTCTTTCAGACTCTGGTTTGAATGAGATGAGTCCAAGGTTAGAGATACAGACCTGACATCAGTCTATGACATTTACACAACCAGACTCAGGAAACGAAAGAGTTTGCAAAGATCCAGTCCGTATATTTCCTTTTCGATGCTTAAAATTGACTATGGAGTAGCTCTAGAACCTTGGAATGATCAGATGGCAGTTTTGATAACCAGATCTCCCTTAAAGTACCCTACCTGGTGTATGCTGCTCCAGGGCTCATCGGTCTATCACATAGCGCAGTTTCACTACAGTATGGAAGTACTCCATATTATGTAGATGATGCTTCTGATCTGGAGATTATATAGTGATCTATCGTATGTACTAAACTATGTGGTATATCACGGGTATCTTTCCGATGTGCATATCCCCCCAAACACCATGTTTTAATCCCAATTCCCAAATAACCCAAAAAACAATGAAACGAAAGAAACGAAGACCCCACAGGCTTGGATCAATCCCTTTGCCCAGTATGTCCATGCTGACGAGATTCAGCGTCTGCAGATGGCGCCGGCCGAGACTCGTTATGTGGTTCAGCCTGCTCTCTCGATTGATCCCTGTCCTCTCTATCCTCGGAAACAGTGGTATCTGTCCAGCTTCGCTGATCGAAGTCCATAACAGGTCCGTTCGAAGAAAGATGATTGACATCCTCATTCACCAGAGCCGCGGTCTCGGGGTCATAGTGTAGAACATAATCCCCGCCTCCTCGCTCCACATCGGCCTCCGTCCACGGAGCAGATGCCGATGGCTGGGAGGGGATGACCCGGACAGGAAGACCAGGACGGCTGGTCGGTACTGCGGGACGCGGTTGCTCGACTAGTCGGTTCTCCCCGGTGCCAGGTGGCTGGCTTTCCAGCAGTCGGTTCTGCGGGGACCATGTATGCTGGCCGCGTCGCCGCGCCGGAATCACAGTGACTTGCAGCTGGCCGTCATTCTGCTGTGACCCAGTGCCCGGACGAACTTTTCGAAGAGAGAAGAAGTGATCACCACGAGAGCGGCCACCACTGGCTTCGGTCTCCCCATCTGCGCCGGTTGCAACTGATGGTCTGTGTTCCGAGGGTTCTTCGACAGCCTGTGCAGATGCAACTTCTTTGGGTAGAGACGCACGGCGTCTTTTGAAGGGATTGAGCAGAGCGTGCCATCGCGGGTCCGTCTGGATGATCTGCGGTGATTGTTCTCGGGTGTTTTGGGATGAAATGCGGTTTTCATCCGCGTTTGGCGTATGATCTTCTCCTTCCATTTCCTTGTCTTCCGCCAGGTCTTCTTCTTCCTCCATATGTGGCATTGCCACTGGAGGTGTGGGACTGGCGACTGGATGATACCTGACATTGTACACCGTGCTCGCTGCACTGGTAGTATCTGCACGACTCACTGGCGTGATGGCCGCCGGGGGTGGACTTGGGCGATTATTTGACGCACGTGGTGCGTTGGCAGCCGTCTGGTTAAAGGGAGCTGCTCCCGCACCTCTGCGGTTCCCACGGGGCAGCCCAGCCCGTGCTCGGAGGGGACGATGGGCCAAGCCCATCATGCCGCCCCATCCAGAAGATGCGCCATTCCCACCGCCTCGGTCATTCCCTTGGGACGGATAGCGTGGCCAGTCAATCTCTTCGGATGGGGTCACATCAAGCATCTCGTCCCCGTCAAAGACCTCTCGTCCTAGGATCCCGTCTTTCGTTTCGTCTCGTTCCAAAGCTTCAATGCGTTCCACCCACTCCCATACGACCACACTGGCCGCGGCTGATCCAACCCATCGAATATAAGTACCCCAACCGGCGATCTCCGGTTTTGCTATATCCATGACAAAGAAAACGACCGGTATGAGAATCGCACAGAGCGATAAAAGAGCAACCAGGCAGATATTCCGCATCTTGGGATGAAAGAAAGCGAAACGGTGCTTGGAGATCGAGTAAAATATAACCCAAGCAGCATAGAGCAGATTGAGTGACAGCTCAAACAAGTAGCTCAAAGCAGGAATTGCGTCGTCGTATAACCTGGGTCGGTTCGACGACGTCCTGACCCAAAAATTCTCCAATATACTGAATGTTGTATCCAGCACGATCAATGCAAATCCAGCCCACTTGATCATCACTTTTTCCTTATGTCGCGGAAACAGCCTGATCAACGTCTGAACCTGCGCGAGCCAAAGGAACGTGCTGGAAATCACGCGTACAATCCGAATCTCTAGCCCGTCAATCACTTCGTCGGTCAGCGCCTCGGCATCGGAGTAGCCATAGTTGTACTGGCGTTCTGCGACTTTGAAAGAATCCACCGTCGCGATCGTCAACGAGATTGCCACAAGGATGGCTGCCACTTTCTGTAGCCATGGCCGTCCGCCAACTCCAACGACCGAGGAATTCCCGCTGTACGAGCCGCTGATCATTCCATGACGCCCAAGGAAATTGGCCCCGCCACTGGGACCTCCAACGTAGAATGTTCGCGGGGTGATGAGAAGGATGATGACGAGAAGATAGCTAACGACGGTCGCGCAGCCGATGGCGTATAACTGTGGCGTGACGGAGGAGTAGAAAGGATCGCGAGTGTCGAGGGCGGCGGTGACGTGGACTTCATCGGTCGGTGAACCGGTGCAGACGGGCTCGAAGACGGCATTCTCGCTGAGCGTTATAGGAAATGAGTTGTTATACCAGATGACTCCTGGAGGCGCGATCAGACTCGGGTTCCAAGCACGAATTTCGGGGGAAAAGGGGGGAGAACACTCACCATCACTTGGCAATACGACTGGCGTACAACCGGGTGCGTATGATTTCGTCGTAGTCGTCGTTGGGTTTGCCCAGATCTGGCGGGGGGCTAACTGGGAGACATGGTCCATGATCGGGCGTGGAGGTCAAGTCGTCTGTGGAATGATTCATAAACACGATTTTCCGACTGCGCCTGCCTCTCACTCAGACTTCCATGGCGTACTGTACTCTGTACAGAGAGTCCGACTCAGGTGTAGAAAGCGCAGATTAAACGGATGTAATGAAAGGGAAATCCGGAAGTGGATAATCCCCCAGCCTAGACTCCGTGGTTCCTCCACATTTTTCTACTCGGCGCTAGAACCTTTTCGTCTTTCTACTTTTCTTACTATTTGGGACCTTTGAATCTCACGGTTGCACACAATTCCTCTGTCTTACTATATAACGGGTAATATATATGGAATATTCACAAGCTCAGCCCCGTTTCAGGCTGCTCAGTGCAACATCAAAGGTTCGTTTGTCTCATCCCATGTTCAATTTATGCCTGGGCAGCGAAGCCGAGGCGGGGGCCCTGGGAGTCGAAGACGACGTACTGGCTCTTGAGGAAGATGTCACCGAAGATGGAGAAGCCAATGCCAGAGTTGCTCTGGATACCACCATAGCAGGTGGAGCTACCAGTCGACACGGCAGCGTAGTTGATCAGCTTACCGGGAACCACGGCGTCGTGGCCGCCAATAGTGACAGTAAAGTCAGGCAGAGTGGCGGAGCAAGGGAAGGTGTAGCCACCGACAGAGAGGTTGTTTCGGGAGCCGGAGACTTGCTTGTAGTAGGCAGCAACAATGGAGTCGTCGAGCAGAAGCAGGGTGGTACCGGTGTCTATTTGAACGAAATCAGTCATGTGGAATCGGGGTGCAATCAGAAAAAGCCAACTTACCAGCAATACCAGTGACGGATGACCTCTTGGTGCTGGTGCCAATCTTGTAGCTATCGGCCGTGAACGACCAGAAGCCCTGGGAGCTGTCGACATCGGTGTAGACCAGGCTGCCGGTGTACTTGGACTTATCAATGAAGCCGAAGTCGTAAGTACCGGGAGCATTGTGCTTGAGGGTCACAGCGAACAAGGGCTCGTCCAGCTGGGACTTGACAGTGTCGAAGAAGGTGGTCTGGGGACTAGGGCTGACAGTGTTGATCGAGCTGAAGGCAAGACCAAGCAGACCGTCGTTGTTCTGGTCCTGCACGAACTGAGTGCTAATCTGCTTAGCAGCCTCAACAGCCTGGTTGGTGGCCTTGACTCCACCAACGGTGACAGTGTCTTTGTACACATCACCGCTAGCCCCGCTACCGTCGCCGTAGGAGATTGACCATCTGGCGCCGGAAATCTTGGTGCCGGAGCTGCCAGTCTTGTAAATGGCGTGACCCCTCTGCTGCGAAGTAGGGAGCTCGTCGGAGAAAACCCAACTACGTCTGGTTAGAGACTTTGAAATCAATTTCTCCAAAAGACCAAATCAACTTACAGATCAGCAGATCCAGTATCAATATCCAAGTTCAAGGTAGTGCCACCAATGGTGACCGGAGTCAGGTACTCAATGTCCCCATCCTCGGGAGTGGTAATGGCAGAGCCGCTGACGGCAGCGGCCTGAACATTAGCCGGAACAGTAGCACCGTACTTGGACAGAGCATTGGCGTAGACTCCAGGCAAGTTGACATCCTTGGTGCGAGTCGCCGTCCGGGTCACCTGGTTGACAGTGAAGCCCTTTCGAGGGCTCTGCACTGGCACGGCCGCGGCCGATGCAATGGCTGAGAGAGCGAGGGCAGCGGTGACTTTGCTGAAGACAACCATCTTGAAAGCAGATCTATAGATACTGGAACTGAATCTAGTAGAGCGAGCAAAGACGAGGATGGATATCTCTGGACACGCAGCGACGAGCCCGACTTTATAGATCTCCCAAGGATACTGTGCCCACAAGAAGACCTCCAGGGTTAAAGCCATTCATGGCGACATCCACCAGGAGATCATACTCATCCAGGAAGTTAGAGACGGCGATCTGACAGAATGCAGGATGGTTGAGGGGAAACTTTGAGACCATCACGGACCCCATCGGTCCTCCAACACTTGCGACGGAGTCCGCCAAGTGGTGGAGAGGCTAAGAGGGCGTAGTAGCGGCAGCTTGTAAAGCTACAACCAAGTTCAGTAGGCCTGATAGGGTGATGATAGCCTCGGCATGAGGGAATAGTTAGCCCAAACGCCATGCCCAGGGAGCTTGGTCGTGACAAGCTATCTCAGATGCAGAAGGAGGTGTTCCAGCCAAGACCTGGAAAGTCTTGGAGCACTGCATCGGGGTCATTCGATGCGAGCCCCGGAGGCGCCATTGTCACATTGCGAGAGACCCGAGGCTTTCGATTGGTCCCGATGATATTGTCTATGCGAGTCAGGAGAACAATGAAGGTCCCTGAAGATCCTCGGCCGTTTATCTCCACTCCGGCCAATCACTCCGGCAAACGGCGCCAAGTAGACTTCTCACTATACTCGTATGGTCACATCGCTTCAGACTAATCTCTGGAGTTGTCGTGCTATTGGGTGTGAGTCTTTCTCTGGCGGGATCTCGGTGGTGTGGTTTCTCCGTGCAAATGCACTAGCACAGGCACAATCTCCGACGGGATAACACGGGCATCCGATGCACTTACATCTCAGCCCTGATATAGGCGATGTGACCCTTCACGGAGACCGAATCGTAGTGCCTGCAGCGAAGGTGTCGAAGGATCTGGCGGGGCCACGGATCGTCGAAGATCGGCAGTAGATAACGACCCTAATTGTGATGCTGTTCACGAATCACGAGACAATTCCAACTACTCCGTATGCGACTCAGCACAGCTCACACTTGTCTATGAAATCTCTCTACATATGAATCTTTTCTCGCGCAAATCTGTGCTGTGTCTAACCTTGGAACTTGTAGCTTGTATCTCAGCAGCGCTTCTAAACACATGGGTCTAATATGTGCCACCCTCCTCACATTGTAGACGAACCCTCACCTGGGCAGTATCCCATTAAGCAAAAGCCACCGGTTATCGAAAAGCTTCTCATCTAGTTGCATCTTCATGTGAAACTCTGGAAGTAATATAAAGCCTGCATGAAAACACCCCACAGTCTCGTGCCCGACGGAGACCGGTCGGAGAAATTAATATCTGTACAGTCAACATGCAGTGCTCTAAATTGATGCAAGAGCTACCTAGGTAGATTCCTAATGGGTGTATATTGCAGCGTCAAGCCACAGGGGGTTTCATGCAGAGTACAACCTCGGAATCTAGGACTATCGTGGAAGTGTATACGGAGTACGCCCGATGCGCTGCAAGTCATTGCCAAGAGATCCCTCTGCCTAGTACAAAAGTACTACTCCGTACAGCTACTTGCATCCAATCACGGTCATGCCATTTATGGGAAGAATTAACTCATAGTCATCGTTACTGTCGTCACAGATATTGAGAGGAGAGCCCCGCATTCTCCTCGGTAGCCCCGTTCCCATCATAGCCTTCGTTGAGAAGAACTTCAAGCATATCAAACTCACCAAGCATAGGCCCAGTGCCTCCAAGTCCCTGGTCAACCACACCGGTGGAGGAATTGAAGAATTGATCGAGAGGGAGGGCGAACCAATCGGGAAGTGCTCCCGTGGATCCGTGGTCCATAGGCTGGGAAGAAGGAACCTGATTTGGTGATGATCGATCCATCTCAGGCGGGAATGTCGCATTCGAATCATAGTAGTTGTGATAGACTGATGGTGGAGGAGGCATAAAAGAGACGTTGAGATTGGAGGAATTGATCGGTTGCGCTGGAATGCTCGCGAGTGGATCATGACCTGATCCCATACCGTTGGTGTCCAAATAACCGAGACCCGCTCCGCCTGATGTGGTATCATTGCTAGCGGACCAGGGAACAGCAGGGCCATCGCGGCGAGTTTCGCGTGATGGCGAGTTGGGCCGTGAATTGGGGACCGAGGGGCGATCGTGGCCATCTTCTGCGCCTCGGTCGTGAGGTGCGAATCGCAGGAAACGCGTGCGAATGCTGCTAGTGAGGAGCTCGAGTAGTCGGGCTACAGTGTTGCTAAGGTGCACGTCATCGACCACATAATTGCGTAGTGCTTCGACTGTTCGATCCTGCAGGTCGAGAGAGACTCGGACGTCGTCCTCTCGAGCGCCCAGTGTGAATGTCTGTAGTCAGGATTAGTGGTTTGCTCATAACGTGCTCCGCAAATACGGAAGGAAGGAACTGTACCTTAAGGATGAAGATCATGCCAGACAAGATACGGAAGAAAGTTCGAATCGGCGCGTGTCTTAGGCGGCCTTCTGGGACCAGTCCATCCAAGACTGTCTGTAGAATCTTGCGGGAGGAATCGATGACCTCTTGGATATAATGCTCATTGACGCGGTAAAGTTCATTTAGTGTTTGGAACCAGGTGTTGGTGGTATTCGCGGGCCCTTGCCCTGGCCGGGTACTGGTTTGAGCGGATTCATTGGACATTGTGGTCCATCGATCGACAACCGCTTGCAGTGCGAGAGAATTGATATAGAGACCTGGTTATATTAGCTTGAGGACATACAGCCTGTGACTGCATCAACTTACGTGTGTACTCAAGTTCAATCAGTAGAACGCTTCGCATGGCCGGAGAGACTGCTTCTTGTTAGCTTTGGCGTTGAGAAATGTATCCTTTTGATCAACTCACGGTTAACACTGTCGATTTGTTGTCTGAATTCCCGTAGGTACGGTTGGAAGCGGTCTATCTGTTCACGATATCTCCCGCTTCTGATTAACTCCATAGTCTGATCACTCGATGCGAAGAGGAGATGATTGGCTTGATACACGATCTTAGAAATACTGATCCAGCAATCTTGCATGCGATCAAGATTTGCTTCGTCATCTTTTGCATCAGCAGAGGTCGGCGTAATATCTTGTCCCCATTGAGGCAGTGGGAGCATAGAAGGAATGCCTAAACGCCCACTGCTGTGTGTGATGAAAACGAGAATTAAGCGACGGAGTCGACGCTTGCGTGTCTGCTCAGCGAGAGACTCTGTGGTTACCTTGGCATTTCCTTTGGGGTCAAAGACACCAAGTTCGAATGCAAGTGCTTGCGCTGTGCTCAGAAGCATCCACGACATTCGGTCTGAACGCCAGGCTGGCTCCAGCCATTTTTGGAACGCAAACCTCCCTTCGGACCCTCTTTGGCCTGTCTCATGATCCAGGTGATTGTCAGCCCGACTTTGTGGCTGAGGATCGGTGTCTAGAAGAGAATTCTCATCGTCGCCCGGTGGGAAGTGCAGGTTTCTTGGGTGCCACTCAGTCAGAAGTAGCATGGCCTCTACAGTGCCCAGCGATCTCAGCTGCCCGTTCACACTGCTTTTCCCTGATGTTGGAGAACCCAAGTCCAGAGACCGAGGTCGACCAATGCCCGACGTTCCGGGATCAAATTTCTCTTGACCCCAAAAGAGACGTTCGATCATGCTGCGTAGGTATGCCCAGAGACGGTCGTGGATATAGAACGCCCGCGTGGTAGCGCCATCGCCTTTAGGCTTGAGGTGCCTTGAGGCGATAGTGAGAATTGTGACCGCAAGCACCGGCTCATCAGTGAGCAGTGTGCGGTGGGTAGATAGATGAGAGAAGTCAGGGATGACGACTGGGCTCATGGGCGCTAGGTTTTCATAATAGTACGCCACATAATCCATGCCTTCCTCCACAGTGAGCCACCCGGCACGGACGAACCGCAACCTTGACCAGGCTCGAATTGCGTCAGTATATGCCGCTTCCGACGGAGGCATATTGACAGGACTCTCCGCCTGATGACCACTGTCTACAATCTGAGGATCTACCGGCGCCGAAGCCCCAGCTGGGTAATAAGTTGACCCACCCATGGACATTCCTGATCGAGGAGTCCGTGCAAATGACCCGCCTAGGCTTCGGGGCGAGCTGCCCTGGGGTAGCGGCGAAGGCCCTGAGTTGAAAGAGGAGACAGACCGCCGTGCAGCGAACCGATTCTCAAGGCTTTGGCGATTAAGATCCTCGGTCCTACCTGCCGCTTCAGAAAGTAGATGCAAGGCGTCGTGAGTGTTTGTAATAGCTGGCGACAGCAGCTCCACCGCAGTCCTGTTCATCATCGGAGGACCCCCATAGCTCTGTGGCACCATGCGCTCGCTGACGGGGTAGGTGGGAGCTCGTGATATTGGGGCACTGGGCGTGTACCGCTGAGGTGCGGGGGGAGCCTCGGGCCATCGTTGTGGACGCACAGGGTCGTGGTCAAATTGAGGTGCTTCTGAAGGCGCAAACGGAGCGGCCTCACTGGAACTCTCATTCTTGGCCACTTCGCCAATCATCATCCGCTTGTCGCGGTGCAGAATGGGCTCTGCCTCGATTTCATCTTCTTCTGCAGCATCGGATGTCTTGCGCTTGCGGCGAGTAGCTGAGAATTCGCATCGTTTGCTTTCGCGACGGCACCGAACACAAGGTGGAGGGCGTGGATTGTCAACACCTTTTATTTATTTATTTTGTGATCAGTCAAAAGTAGATTGGTGGATTGGATTGGGACATACTTCCTAAGTCGCACTTGACCTTGCGTTTGCGGCACGGGTCACAGGCCTGATAACCGCGCCTATGTTGGGTATCATTGGCCTCCGACTTGCCGTGAAGGCCGCTATTGGCATCCTGGCCCATGTCTGTCCTGTCGTCGCAGAGTGGATAATTGTCTGGGGAAGACCCCGACACAAAGCGACACAAAGCGAAGATAAGGCGGTCACGGGTGGGGTACTGGCTGACCAATACTCCGACGACTCGGAGTGAAGTTCAAACAACTGACTAGACGAGCTTGTCTCAATTGGATTTTGGATCTGTTGGATATTGGGTTGTTCCTGGAGATCCTGTTGGAAGGCATAGTCCATGTGGTCTGAGATTCTGCGGGGTAGACCCCAATACCCCCTTGAGGTAACAAGGGGCTACTTACTACATGCCTAAATATACACATCTGCATCGGAATTGTATGCAATTCGAGCAATTCTATTGGCACAGCCGGCTGAATATGAGATCTCATGTTCACAATTCATAGATTATACATATATGCATCTTCTCCGCTGCAAGCCGGGACTATGTAGGGGTACAGATCACTCGGATCCACTCAGATGGCATGTTAATTCGTTGACATGGGTACATTAGCGTCACGCATCAGCCACCATTGACAGTGACTTCTTGACCCTGTCCGGGGCAAGGCTGACATTCATCTTGGAAACCGACTCCCAGGCTTTGCGTGGCTGTACAAGCTCCCCGGACGCTGCACTGTCTATACTGCCACGCCTGGAGAGATCTGGAGTCAACCGTCCAGCAAGAGCCCGAACACCACCGGCTTTGCGGGCGGGAATTTCCGAGGTACCCGCCGTCAACACATAGAGGAGGTATTTGAGGTTGGGAAGAGTATGGCGTATGTCCAGCACACGCAAGCCTTTCTTACTGAGAAGATACTCAATGTCCTTGTTCAAAAGGAAAACTGCATACTCAAATCGGTATTGCACACTGACCGGGTAAAGAGGATATGTGCGTGCCGAGAGTGAGGCAGAGATGGGGTCCTGGATAAATGATGTCGACCCATTTGCGTTGACTGGATACGGCAGGGCAGCTGACAGGTAAAAAGACAGTAAATATACCAAGTGTACCGTGTGTCCCAATGCCGCAGCCACTACCTCGCGATCAATGTCCTCGAAGCAAGAGTTCGGGAGGGCAAGCCCTGCGATGGTGAAAGCGAGAGGCTTGTCAGAAATGGGCTCGATGGGATATACCGTGAGGAGATCCTCCGCGATCCGTCGAGTCTGACCTTTCATTTCCTCTGCGTTTTGGTTGAGCAACTGTTCGCTTGATACCAGCCGCTCCTGGGCTTCGGGAAGATGACTGTGAATCTTGGCTTGGCTAGTGCGACCTTGCTCCATTGCTTGCTTTCGGGCCTTGATGCTTGCAATCAAATCTTCCTTGTGTTTCGTTGCTGCACGCACTCGCTTACGCTCCATGGCAACATAGCCTTTGGTGAGAGCGAGCTTCTCTAGCGACTCGGCAGCGGCGCTAACAGTGTTCATTGGACCCTCATTCTGTTGCAATATGGAGCTGATCTGCGCTTCCAGCTTTTGTCTGGTGGCCAGTGCATCTTGCACACACTCATCCAAGTTGGCCAACTTCATCAAAGCATCATAGGGGGAGGATGGTAAGACAGTACCACCTGCAGCGACCTTTTGTCCAGTAGTCTGCAGTGGTGTTTCGGTCGGTGGCAAATCAGTCAGGTTACTGTAAACACCGTCGGAGAAGTGGAACAAGATCGAGTTTGCCGGGAGAGGTTGATGGAAGCTCTCAAGCGTTTTCCCCAAGAATTGCAATGATCGTAGATGAACCTGCATTTCAACCAACAAGATATGTTGTGGCATTTCTGCCGTTTTTGTCCAGATCTTCAGAGTCAACTCATCCATCCGGGAGACATGTGGGCCACATAGATTCAGATCAAAGGCCTGGAAGCTAGGGTTGTTTGCACGCTCGACCACCTCGCTGATGTAGACCGGCTCTTCGATGCCGTCGCAGTGAAGAGAGAAAAACGAATCCACCATTCGGGTATTGACTATGTCCTCGAGTTTGACCTGCCGAGTTCGAGGATTGGGGTCGTTCCAAAATAGGGTGCTTCGGCGACGTGGACGCATCGCAGGCTCTTTGTTTGCATTGTTGTCTTTGGTCGTATGTGACTTCGACTTAAGATCGGTAAATGATTTCGATGGGTGTAGATGATGACTTCCATCCTGCGATAGGATCTTCGAGGCTGACTTTAAGGTATTAGGGATGTCGTCGTCATCAATGGTCTTGCCACGAGCCCGAGTCGCGAGAGGCGTCACGGCCAAGTTTCGAATGGATATGCTTTGTAGATGCCTGAGTCTGCGGTTCTGATATCGTGTCAGTTTCAGAGGCAATAAAACCCTCAGTAGCAGAGCATACCCATGCGTACAGCCACGGCCGTTCCCTGCGGGCACTTTCAGGCTCCGAATCCGAATCCATGGTGCCAGTGCAAGCGCTCGGGAAGCGCGGTTGTTTGATAGTGAATCACACGCAGAGGGAATCGCTCATAATCAGAATCGGACATTCAACAGGGTATATGAAAGTAGAAAGCAATTGAAGCGTGTCAGAAGCCCGATAAGAGATGCGGAGAGCAAGCAGTGCCGCCAAGACCTGCGTGTTCCCCGTCAAAAAATCGACCTCCCGTCTTCCCTCAATTCCGCAATTCAACACCTGCGACAATCGATCCGGACTCGTGTTGCCACCTCCCGCCCTATATTAGCAGTACGCAGCCTTCGGATCGGCCGCAATGGCCTCCATCAAGCAGACTTTCCAGAAAGTGCTGGACTCAACGGCACTCGCGACCACGAAATTCATTCGCCGACCCCCAATTGACCCGAAAGTCCCGATTCAAGGCAAACCAAGACAGCCATCCTCAAATGCATACAAAGACCACCAGGATAAGGAAGGTCTGCGGTTACAGAAGGCATTAAACTCGCTCACCCACGGACAAAACATCTTTGTGTACCACAACCTTCGCACGAAGCAGGTCGTGTACTCACTGACCCGTCAATTGGAGGTTAGTAGCACCTTCTTTCCGATGGATAGAGGCACCTCGGCTTGGATTCTTGTCTAAATGCTCACGCCATGTCCCCTCCGAACTGTCGGCCTTGCGCAATTTTACTGATCCTCGCTCTAGAAAGCCAATGTCCTCAAGCAATGCGTCTACCACGGCAAAAAGACCGTCCCCGCCGAGGTCCGTAAGGACATGTGGGTTCCTTTCTTCTCCGTGCACTTCAACGAAGCACAGGTTGGACTGAACGTCTACAACCTGGTGCGCCAATTCGCACTCCTCCGCCAACTCTCCCCACCTAAGGAAATGATCACCGTGACGAAAGAATACCTCGACTCTAAGCGTCCCCTAGACCCGCGCGACCAAAAGGAATGGGACGATCACAACATGGGCCGACTTGGCCAGATAATGAAACAGAAGGAGCGCGCCCGAGTCCTCATGGACCAGAAGGCCACTTCAATTGCCGATATTGCCTTCGTTATTGGAAAGTACTCTAAGGATATCCTCGAGGGTCTCCCCGGGTACACAAAGTCCGGGTACAAGACGTTGAAGGCGCGTAAGCGCAGGCGTGCAGCCCTCAAAGCTGCTACGGAGCTTGCTGCGGATCGTGCCGAGCAGGTTTCCTCTTTGGAGGAGCAGCTTCAGGCTGAGATCCGTACGGATCTGTCCCTTCCCGAAGCGCAGCAGGTTAAGATCCTGTGGAATGATTTGTACGATGCGCAGTATGCACAGGAGTGGCCTGAGTTTATTCACCACGGTCAGCTGCGCTGGACTCGCAACCACATCATTGGTCAGGAGGCTGTTGAAGGCACCAATGTCATTACCGATGGAACTTTCGAGGAGGCTAAGTAAGCCTTCGATATCATTGGGTTCTTCTTCATCTCGTCTGGTTCTTCGGCGTCAGGCGATGGTCCTGGTCATGCATTTGCTGACATCTCCTTCCATCTGGCTCCGACGTGGGTGATGAACGGTGCTATTTTTGTATTTTCTTTGCCATGTCTTCTGTCTAGCTTTATTCTAGCATTCTTCGCTATATAAATTGTACTTTTAGATATATCAAATCTCAACATACAGCCGTGTCTAAAGTGGCTTGTGGTTTTAAGAGCATACTGCCCAGGTGACTGGCTGAGACGTACTATTTCAGTGGGCATATTGATCAAATACTATTGAGCATGTGGAGATAACCTGTCAAGGTTACCAGACCTCGGGAGCAGCCTACCTACCTACCTACCTAAACATCATGATACACCTGCCCAGGTGGGCACTTGACATCCATGGATAGTCCGTACAAAATATAGTCGGATTGAGCAAAAAGAATATTGTGGTAGAAAGTCCATAAAACGAATCCTAACTCATACAAGTCAAGTTTAGGACAGAAGCCTAATAATAAAAAAGTCCTATGCTTACAAGACATCCAGACAGCCAGGTCTGACATCAGACAAAGGTTGGAATCTCAAAAGAAAGAAATATCAGCGGACCGAATTTGCCATGACCGCCAATGTATGATCTCAGATGGAGGATTCTCGGACAGTGTTCAGATGGCACACATTGCCGGTCTCGGAAGTGGAACAGAATGACGGTCTATCTCATTTGGAAATCTCGTATCACTTCGTTGAGCCAGTTTGGTTATTGGGACTCTTGCTCGGACTCAAGATGTCCACGGAGGGAAGGTTGTTACTTTCGTTCATAGACACCTCAGGTCCAGGCTCCTGTTTGGAGCTATGGCTGGCCATCTTCTGGAGTGTGTCGTTGGTGACTTTCTCGGCTGCCTCGGGGTCGTCTGCCAGGCCGGATGAAGCAATGGACTTTCGTGCTCCTTCGACGATATTATCGGCTTCGCTCATGCCCCGGACTGAGGTATTATCGCCATCCACGCCTATCGGGTCTGCACTGCTGCTGACGACATCCTTCACGCGATTCGAATCAAGTCGAATGACCATGATAGATAGATTGTCAGTGCTGAATCTGGCGAGTGCGTGATCCACCAGGATCTTGGAGGCTTGCTGAGCGTCGTGCTCGTTGCGGATCAGATCGACAGCTTCTTGGTCGCTGCAGACGTCCCACAGCTGGTTTCTAGTCAGCAAACATGTCAATTTCGGGGGTTTCAGTAGTCAAAACTTACGCCATCACAAGCCAGAATGATGAACTCATCAGCATCTGGCTGGATAACTGTCTCTGTTGTGTAGGGGTGTCCGGTCACAAGGTCCTTCAAATAAGCGTCACCTAGCGCACGGGTAACGGCCAAAACGCCATTAACGCGGTTGTTCAGGATAAGCCCTCCGGCGTTGCAGATTCTCCTGCCTTCGTTCTCGTCGCTTCCCTTGTGATCATAGGAAAGGCGAAGTGCTTTCCCATTGCGACATAATACGATGCGTGCATCACCCACATTTGCTGTGTACAGGACTCGTGAGCGGATAGCTTTGTCCTGCAGTTTCGGCAGGACATTGCCAGGGGTATCTTGAGTTGGAGTCTCGGTGTTCTCGGCATTCTTCGTAGCCGCGGCAGCCGCGGGCGCAAGTGCAGAAGATCCGGTTGCCGATTGTGAACTGGGTACGCGGTCCTCCCATCTGAGCACAGCGGTGACGGCGGTACATCCAGAGTTCTTGACAGGAAGCTTTTCCAGCTGTTGGTCCACGCTAGTAAAAGTCTGATCCAGGAGCTCTGGAACTGGGGTGTTGGGACTTCTGCGCATGGCTTCCTCGAGAATCAAATGTAACTTCTTTCCACACCACTCTGCCGCGAACGTTCCAGCATGTCCGTCAAAGATCGCGAAATAGCCGTTATCCGTTTCGACAACATTCGAGGACTCCTCTGATGCTTGCGACACACTAGTCCCCAAAGGCGCGCCATTTGTACCCGGTGAGCCCGGAGCGGGGGTACCCAAGAAGTTGTAGAGGTAGGCATGCGTATCCTCCATGGTGCGACGGCATTTTCGGTTGCGGTCTTCGGTGACACCGACGCGGAATGATGATCGAGCGGTTGGTGCGGACTCTCCGGCAGAGTTGTTGAAAGAACCTTGGGGGACACTCAGGGCTGGGTCCATCTTTCCAAGCTTTTGGAGCGGGCTTTCTGCGATCGAGGGACTGGTACTGAAAGACGAGCTATCCCGACCGTTGATGCTCAGGGAGCTCTTTGCGTTGCTGAAAAAGTTGGCGGCCTTGGTTACGGTGCTGCTTCGGCGCTTTTTCTCTCCGGCGGGGCCCTGGTCTTCGCTTGATCGACGGAAAAATCCGGCACCTGGGGGAGAGAACTGAGAGAACCTCTTCTCGCGTGGACTTGTACCGGTGGTGCCGGCGGTATCGGTCTGGATGGTCAAGGAGCTGGGGTCGAGGCCAGTCTCTGGGAGAGTCTCTACTTTGTCTTTGGGAGGGCTCGAGGAGCCACTGAACATTCTGTTCAGTAACCCACCCTGCGAAGAGAAACTGCGGCGCTTATTTCCTGCCAGCTTGATTGTATCCCTTCGAGAGGAATGGGGCGCACGGGGTGGTTTGGGGATAAGCGGGGCGAAGATGGGCGCGAGACTGACGTAGGGGTCTGTTGAGGCAGAAGTGGATCAAATAGACTATAGATTCGAGATCAATCAGCGATGGGTCTCTTGGGGGCCAGGCAGGTGTCTGAAACGGCGAGAGATGGAGTGAGATAAATCGGGCAGTGAGCAACAGACGTGTGATCAATTGGGGCGCATAGCACAATCACGGGGGACTATCTCCTTTCTGCCGAATAATTGTGAAGGACCAGAATCAATCGCTGAAACAGGATAATCCAGGGAGTGCAAGCGATTCCAGCAACTCCAGGAGATCAGAGAGTCCAAAGAATCCAGAGAATCCAGAGAATCCGGAGTATCCAGAGGATCCCGATAAGAGAAAGTGAGACCGACGCTCTGCAAGCGCAATGTATTACAGCAAGGTGCAACAGCGCATCAACCCCGCAATTGAATCAGCCACTTACCGGATCAAGATGGTGTTGTCCAAGTATTGGAGAGGTTGACAAAGGAGAAATGGTCCAGAGGGGAGAACGGCTCACGCGGCAAGCCAAGGCCGGGGAAACTAGTATCGATTTTTGGGCTTGATCGAATCTTCAGATGCAAGGTACCTTCGAGGCTAAGACTTAGATCTGTCCTTGTCGGGATCTACTCGGTTATATATCTGCCTCCAGGGCCCTGTAGGCCTATACCCCGGATTCATAGTGGATGACGCATGTTTCCTGATTTCTGAACTATGATGCCACCACCGAAATATATATACGCATCAGTGGAAGAGATATATTAAATTCTCCATTCAAGGCGCCTGAAATCATCCGATGTATACAGACAGATCAGATTGTGATCACCAGGAACTAAAGTCGCCATAACCCCCCGATTTGACCTTTTTACGGACAGGTTCCGGCTCGGCCTCATCCACAATCTCATCCTCCCCCCGACTCGCTAATGCGGCTTGTAGATACTTTCCAACGCCACCAGTGCTCTCTTTTGTCTCAGCGCCACCGCGAACTCGCTTTCCAGTCCAAGTGACTTGATCGTCTTCCGCGCGACGCGCGCTTTCTTCCTCTTCCTCGGCAGACGGGCCAGTGGCGCCCGAAGCGCGCGACTCTTCCGCCCGCCGTTGAGCGAGGAATTCCTCAAATGGGTCGACGAAGACGGTGATATCCTGGATGCGGACTTCGGGAATTGGCCGGTTCGTGTTTGCCTCCACGGGGTGCGTCTCGAGTGAATTCAAAGTAGCAGATGACGGCGTAGGATCATCGATGATACGGCCAAAGATGGTGTGTTTGAGGTTCAGATGGGGTAGGGCCCGATAGGCAAAGAAGCTAGAAATGCGTGTTAGAGAGGAATTGGGCACCGCAGACAAGATGGGACACTTACAACTGACTGCTGTTCGTGTTCTTGCCCTTGTTGGCCATACTCAGTGTCCCCCGACCATCGTGCTTCAGTGGACCGTCAAACTCATCGGCAAAGTATTTACCCCAGATGCTCTCGCCGCCGCGCCCAGTGCCAGTGGGATCACCACCTTGAAGCATAAAACCCTTGATGTTGCGATGGAAAGGCACATTCTTATAGTAGCCTTTTTTGGCCAGTTGGATGAAGTTCCACACGGTTTTGGGGGCATACTCAGGATAGAGCTCCAGGTTCAGATGACCAGCGGTGGTTTCAATGCGTGCGTAAGCCTTGGCCTTGACGCGACCGCGCTTGAGCATAAAGTCCTCCTCCGACAGCAATGCAAGCTCGGCGGAAGTGTGTGGTGTCAGCCCCGTACTAGTGAACGAAGCAGCCGCCTTTCCAGTGGTGAATTTGGCGGCATTGTAGGGTGTAGGCTTTCCTGACTGAGCGGCGCCGGTCTTGGTATTCGTAGCCACAGGCTTTGAGACAGCGTTAGAGCCAGCTGGAGCAGATCCAGCTTGCTGGGCACGCTCAGCTCGAGCCTTCGCCACAGCTTCTTTCGCTTTTAAGATCTTTGCCGAGCTGCCGAGCGCATTCGCGTTCACACTGCCGGAAGCCTGCTGGTCTTCCACGACACCCTTCTCTCCTTCTTTGATGTAGTTGAAGGAGCTCAGGTTGCGCGACTCGATATTTTGCGGGTCCTGCAATGTGATGATATCCTTCCGGCTGAATTCCTCGTCTGTGACCAAGTCGCGCCACAACTTCCCCTTGATGTTCAACCGTTCCACAGTATCCCATGAGAAGACGTTGCCTGTATTCCGGAGTGCAACAATATGTGTGTTATCGGTCAAGATCTTGAATGTTACCGGATCCACATAGTCGCCATCCTCGTTCTTTGCAAGCGTCAGCTTGATCAATTCCGAGCTCTTCAGCGGCGACCCGTCGACAGGGTTGGTCCCGTGTTTCTTGATCCAAGGGAGAATGTTGGTAAGGTCGAAAAGCGTTCCATTTTGCGTGCAAACTGGATGCGAGAACGGTTGGAGGGAGAGGGAGCAGAAATTGAACGGCAACCGCTTGAACGCGGCGTGCGGACCGGTCCTTTTGGCTTTGGAAACACCAGCGCCTGCACTGGCTGAATAGGCATCCTCTGACGCCCACTCGGAGTGTGTGATCTAGAAAGTCATATTGATCAGCGAGTATTCGGCATGCGATCGCGCGCAAAGCAGGTGGACTTGATGGGGCTGCGTACGTAGAGCTTATCCGTTCCTGCAAAGAGACTTGGTAAGTACACGATGATATGACATGGAGCTCATTGCGAATCACATACCTTTACCCATGGCTGGTCAATAAGCTGATTCCAGCGCAACTTTCCGCGCGATGATTCAATGATGGCAAGACCTTACCGCTTCTGGCTTAGCCCAATCAGATCTATGAGAGGAAGTCCAGCGGCCGTCTAGGGTTGAGGTGATGCAGTCTACAGGCACCGAAAGATACATAGAGTAAGTAGGTAATTATTGGGCGTTTGATGTTCACCATTTAGTATGCAAGATCATCTTACGAATCATACTAGGAGGAAGATGAAGTAAAGGACATTATTTTGCTAACTGACACTTTTGGAGTCTGCTCAGACGACCGAGGGATAATCATACATGTACAAGAGCCATTCTTCCCGATAGAAAGCCCATGCAGAAGAAAGAAGAAACACGCTTGCGAGACCCGAGCGAGCCGGAAAATCGAAAACGCCTTGAAAATGTAGGTCATTAACTCATATGAACGTTGAAGGCAGGGGTAATGGTGCCTAAGCCATCAGAGGTTGGTACTTCAATGGAACCACCCATTTGTTTCCGAAATCAATTCCGTGACGACGACGTGTGCCATACTTGCGCCAGACGATCTGAGGGATTCCGATGTCAGCCACTGCGACTGTCCACGAGATTCGTTCAGCGGACAGAAGAGCGTTCAGAATTCCAGTCTTAGGGGCTCCGAGACACACCACGGATGTGGCATTGACGCAAAGCCGAGCGCCGTCGGCGACAGTAAACTCTCCTGTAGAGCTCGTATTAGCTCAAGTAAGTGTGTATAGCGATTTTTTGTAAACATACCAGTGGAAGCATGAAGCCCAGAAGGAACATCCACAGAGAGCACGTTCACATCGGTGCGGTTCATCCAGGATATCATTCCAAAAGCCACGATTTGGTCATCGGTACGAAGATCGTCAAAGGACAGGTGCATGCCGAACAAAGCATCGACGAGGAGATCGGGACCAAGGTCAGAGGTGGCCATGCGAGAGGAAAGCTCTTCCCATTTGAGCACTCGTCCACCGACCTTTCGGAAAACATCAAGCTGTTTACGACAGCTCTCAAGCAACTCAGCCTCATGCTCCAGCCCGAGCAAACAAACAGTCACTCGGTGACCACGGTTGCGCAGATGACGAGCTGCAGCGATCGCCCGCGCTCCAGTCCGGTGGTTGCCAGTAATGATGACCATGTTTGGGGCAGCTGCGTCGTTGGATACCAGGGCCACAGCGGCCTCTGCAATGCCTCGTCCTGCATTCTCAGTGATGATCTCTTCGGCCAGTCCAAACTCAGCAACCGAAATTTGCTCGATCTCCAGAGTCTGCAGAGGGCTCACGGTAGGGCAGCTGCGATTGGTAGTCGTCAGGCGGAGGGAACCGGCGCCGGAGACATTGGGGGCAACCATCGGCGAGACTGAGGACCGGCCGGGCCGAGGGCTCGTCGTACGAGAGACATTCACATGCAACTGGCCGCGACCAAGAGCGCTGAGCTGTGGCATCATGGGCGGGGCGTGTATGGCACTGTCCTTTCGAGAAGGCTGGACCCTTGGGCGCTCGCGCGCGGAAAGAGCCTCACCAGTCATTTTGACATCCTTCACACCCTCAAAGTCTTCGCCAGTAGTGTCACCGGTGTCACTGTTCTGGGGACTGTCAAGCACATTCTCAGTCCAGTGCAAGTTTTTACCACCATTAGTACCTGGCTTGATCTTTCGGTTGAAGCTGACTAGGCGCTCCTCATCCGCAGTGGTGTCGTCGTTGCGAATTTGTTCAAATACAGTCCGCTTGTCGAATTTGGATAGGTTGGTTGCGAAGTCGAATTCGCCCAGCTCCTGGATATCTGTCGCATCCTCAGTGGCCCATCCACTAGGGTCCTCAGTGTAGCGCCGTGACTTCTTCTTGCGCAATTTTGGTCCAGATCGAGACATGGGTTCCGGCGAATCTTGGAATTCAGGGCCTGCTGGCTCCACAAAAGCAGTTTGGCGCCAGCCCTTGCTCTTGGGGATGGTGCTCCCCGCAGCACCATGTTTCGCAGCGTGTCCCATTTCATCGCGAAGGTTTTCTTGGTGAGCCCGTCGGTTACGTTTCGGGGTTTGTTTTCGAACTGGTGGCTCTTGCCCCAGATTCTTGCTAGAAGCCCCTTGGGTTCCAGCATTGTTACCACCTGCATTCAATTCCAGGCTGCTAAACGGCTCAGTCAAGGAAGATGAAGTTTTCCCAGGAGCCTGATGGACAGGACCAGCGGGTGGTCTGTTTTCAGCGGACGGGTTAGACTTCAGAGGAGTGTAACTTAAGATGGCCGGGTCCGTAAAATCTTGTGGAGTCGGAGTGCTCTGGATAGGAGCCAATGGCGCATTCAATGGTACATATGATCGGGGTCGAGTATGAGCCTTTGGCTGAGGCACTTGCGGAGGCTGTGGAGGCACTTGAATGTTGCTTTCAAGAGACAGGTCGCCAATGAGCGAGGCGTCAATAGAATACTGGGGAAAGCGCTGGCCGTTCCAAAGCAAGGTAACTATCATAAATTCAGATCGCGCAATTTCGAGGGCTATCGATGGCTTGCTTACCGTTGTTCAGCAACAACTGTTGCCCGAAGACATTGGCAACCTGGCCCATGAGCCTAGCACCCGGTGGATCTTTGAGTTCCACCATAACATTGTAACCGATAAACTCTTGAGCCATGATGATTGTAAGCTTACGTAGTCCAGCAAACAATCACGAGATGGGTATTTGTCCTTCGTTGAGAAAGCGCGTTAAACTTGGGGGGGAGGGGAGCCTGGACGAGGAAAGCTGAAGATAGCTTAATCTGCGGTCACGTGAATTGGCTTATCGGAAATCGCGGCTTTTCTTATCGCGATAAGGTTTCACCGCCCGGGCGGTCTACGGGTGGGGTGTATCGGGTAGGTCCACCGGTAGGGAGCCCCCGGGGCCTACTTTGTAGGGAGTATACCTACCTACCTACCTACATAGGTACCTAGGTATGTAGGTATGTAGGTAGTCTACTGTACGGTGTACATTGTATAGGGCGCCCTGTCATGAATTCAGGCCCACGGAAACACCTGAGTTAAAGAATACGAGTTGATATGAAATGTTCTTCGTTCTTAGCTGGTCGGGAGCAGTATCACTTGCGCCAGTGCCTAGGAGTGCCCAGGTGGACATTGCATCTTTGATCACCAAGTCATTGCATGTAGATATAAGGCTATTTGGCCATGAATATTGATAAAACTGCATGTCATGTCTCATGATGCCTGCACCAAGCCAAACACCGGATTACACCCCACATATGCCAAGTATACTCCGTATGATCAAAAGTCAAAATCATCAAAGTCATCAGGGTTCAGCTCAGGGGGCTTGGGTTTAGTGGCTTCGCCGATGCTGACCAAGTTGGAGTAGAATTCTGTGACCCTTGGATGCACCATGACCTTTCGAGGCTCGAAGCGGGTAACCTGCAACCCCTCCTGTGATACTGCTCGGCTCAGTGCAACATAAGCTTGACCTCTTTCGAAAACTTTGCCCAGATCAACCTTGACACGTTGAAGGGTTTGGCCCTGTGCCTTGTGAATAGACAAAGCCCATGCGAGGATCAGCGGCACCTGTTGACGCTGCGCTTGAACTTCTCCATTGGGAAGCTCGATCTTCCACGTCTCGGGCTGGCAAAGTAGATGACGTTCTGACCCATCAGGTTGTATGAACGAGACCAATGGCCATTTTCGAGCCATAGATGCCGGTGCCTCTTTCATTGCCATAGGTTTGAGCTTCTTATGAGCACGCATGGCTTGCTCATCGTCGCTGCCCACCTTTTCGGTGTCAAAGTCTTTGTCGTTCTGTCTGTATAGATCGAAGTAATCTTCACTCATGAAGGCCACCACTTTACCAATCGAGCCGTTGACAAGTGAGTCCTCCATGTTTTTGATGAGCATGACTTGCGCTCCTTTTTTCAATTTGATCATTTGAGGGGCCATGCAGTTGGATAATAACCTGTCACGATGAGACTGGTCCTGGATTGACCCAGAATCTAATGCGGTGAACAACATTGTGTCGCCCGAAAGTCTGCCCATTCGTGCAGTGTTGGCTCCATCCACTTCTGCGCGAGTTGGGAATCTTTTCCAGGGTCAGTCTTGGTTTTGGAATAGGTAGGATAGGGAAACATACAGCTCCGTTGCTTCAAGAGAGTCTTGGAAATCAAGAGGGCGCGAGAGCCTTCTAAACGCCTCGATTGTCTTGGGTGTGGGCTTGCCAAGCCTCAGTTCATTCAGCATGCCCGCGAATTCTGGATCTCGCTGGCGGAAGACGTGCGTCAAAAGAATAGTATGTTGGATACAGGTATTCCACGAAGTAGCAGCAAATGCAAATTTGGCCTCACGACTGCCTCCTTCTGGCACTGGGGGTAGTTGGAAGAAGTCACCTGTGACTACAAGCTGAATTCCCCCGAAAGGTCGACCGTTGTTGCGCATCCGCCGGGCGATCTCTTCGAGCTTATCAAACAGGTCCCCATCAACCATAGACACTTCATCAATAACAAGGACCTTCGTTCGAATCCAGCGGTTCCGGGCTTTTGGATTCTTTTTGATCTGTAACTTGTTAGAGTTAACGTCGTCGGCTGATTCACACAAACGAACCTTTTTAACGAGCTCGGGTACTGGCTCTTTACCCAGACCAATTCCCGCAAAGCTGTGCAAGGTCACGCCCCCGACATTACAGGCTGCAAGGCCAGTCGATGCGGTGACTGCAGTCCGATCAGGTTCCGTGCGATATTTGAGACGCAGATTGGCAATGATCTCCCTCATTAGCACTGATTTACCCGTTCCTGCTGAACCAGTGAAGAACATGCTCTTCCCTCGATCAACGACCGCCGCTAGAACAGCTTTTTGTTCGTCACTCAGGAAAACCTTGGAGAGCGACTGTGTGCGCGGTGGTTTGACATCTGGCTTTTGTGTCTTTTTGTACTCCTGTCGAAGCTCCTTCTGTTCCGCCTTGATGGTGCTCTCCGATTTGTTCCACGGTTCTGTAGGCTTGGTACGTTTTGGTGTTACCAAACTATTCTTCTGGTCCGCGGGGGGTACCCTGGCATTTGTACTCCACGGAAGACTTCGGGGTTTCCTTGGGGGCGATTGATAATGAGATGGAGGCGATGACGACCATGGCACTGGCATGCTGCTTGGGGGGGCCAATGCATCCTGGGATACGGAGGGAAGTGCTGGGTAGTTGATATCAGGTTGAGTGTCTAGACTTGGATAAGTGACTGGCTTCGACGCGATAATGCTTGCAGAACTCGGCGCAATCGGCGGTTGTGGCTCGTCAAAGTCGATATCATCATCAAAGTCGTTCTCAGTAAAGAAAACCGCGCTGTGGAGAGAGCCTAGTGATGATTCGGTCTCAATCTTCCGCTTGACGCCAGCAGACTGAGGTTGGGACTTCGGTGGAGCCGATGCATTCGTGCGTAACAGATCAGACTGGTGAAGGGGCTTCGGAGCCCCGCCAGGGTGGTCTTTGACGGCTTTCTTGAACATTGTGCTTTCTGAGGCTGCGGATCGAGGTGAGGACGAAAATGCAGAGGAACTCAACACTCTCTTTGAGTAACTCGGAGAAGATTGAATAATGTGTAGCCCCCGCGCCCTGATTCTGGCAACATGCATAAAATGAGACGCGAACGGGCAATTGCACGGATACACGCAAGTTCCAATAGGGACGAGAGATCGATTTTCTACAACGCGTTGGGGGGACGCGCCTATCTACACGTGACCTTACTGTCCAACCCGTGGACGGCCCCGGGGGGCACTTCCTAGGTTGGGCGCCCTCGGGGCCGGGACTTCCAGGCCTGAAGCTCCAGTGGGCGCTGGCACTATCAGCCCCGAACCGTGAGCACACGTGACTCTTATCGCCGCGGAAAACGCGCGGGACGCGATCCATATCACCAAACGTGAGACCACCTTCCTACGTTGTCTATACCGCGCCATTGAAGGTACTGTGCATTCTATGACCATGAAGAATGGCAGGGATGGCTGTCTCGAGTGCGTCGAAGCCCCGTCGCTCCCAACGGTTGAATTGCTAACGAATTCATGATGCAGACAAAGACTACCCTTTAAAGGGTGTAGTCATTTGCTTCACGTCTGTTCAAATTGAGAAGAGGGCAAGTTTAAACCAGGGGCTTCTGAATTCTTATTTGTCGGCTGACTTTGCCCTTCTTGACTAGACCCCATTGACGCAAATGGCGGAGCAAATGGGCGCATTGCATAGCATCCATCTTACCTCGGATGTGACCCATCTCCTTGTGGGTGACACGAACAGCGACAAATACAAGTTCGTGGCAAGGGAACGAAATGATGTGTTGGCCATGAAACCAGAATGGATCGAGGCCGTACGGCTATCGTGGACACAGGGAGAGGACATGGACATCGCTGCAATGGAAAAAGAATACAGACTGGCACCTTTGTTTGGTCTCAAGATCTGTATCACCGGTTTCTCAGATCGTCAGTTTGTTCACGTTTGGGAAAGGGTCCTTGCTAACGATTGCCTCGCAGTTCCCTTCCGAGCTTACATGCAGAAAACGACAGAGGAGAATGGAGCCGAATACCGCAAAGACTTGACGAAATCCGTATCGCATTTGATTGCGCGGGACTCAACCGGCGAGAAATACAAGTTTGCGACACAATGGCACATCAAGGTTGTTTCAGTCAAATGGTTCACTGACAGCATCGAGCGTGGAATGATTTTGGACGAAGATAAGTACCATCCGCTGGTACCACAAGCAGAACAGGGCGTCGGCGCGTGGAACCGATCTCTACCATCCCAAAGGGAACCTTCTCGAAGGGACAATACCAATGCCAACGAGAACTCCGGTAACCCACGACCTCGAAAATTGCGCAGGGTGGCAAGTACGAAACTGGTAGACCAAAACGAAAGCATTTGGGGCGATATCGTGGGGACTGGATTCGATCGTGAACCAAATGGAAACACCACTCCCCAAGGGCAAAAGCCCGAGGCGCCCAGGCCTACGATACAGGCATATAAATCATTTGCTAGCGAGACCACATTCTCAGAAAGCACCCAGTCAAATCAACTCCCAGCACCGGCGTCAGCCCCAGCCAAAGACAATGGGTTTTTACATGGGTCATACTTCTTTATTGCCGGGTTTTCTTCCAAGCAGGTTTGTGCCCCCATTTATTTCATTTATGATCAATGACGCTAATAAATGATCAAGACTAAAGTACTGCGAGAGCATCTAAGTTATAATGGTGCCCGGTTGGTAGACTCACTGAGCGAGTTCTCCCGGCCTGATATTCCCAAAACAGGACATGGGCTATTCATAATGGTGCCTTACCAAACCCCAAGGTCGAAAGTCCCGTCCACGGACGATATGGCCTTTGAATGCGAGGTGGTCACAGAGATGTGGTTAGAGAGGTGCATTGATGCCAGAGCTTTCGTCCCCCCAGAATCGCACGTTGCAAGCACACCATTCCCGGAGTTTCCTCTACCAGGTAAGTACTGTCAGCATGTAGTATACGATGGATCTGACAGATCCAAGGATTCCCCGACATGCGTATCTGCTCTACTGGCTTTGGACGCATCGACCTTTTACATCTACGCAAAGTAGTAGAACTGATGGGCGCCACATACGGTGACTTCTTGACACAAAAAGCATCTGTTCTCGTTTGCAAGGACCCGCAAACGGCCAGTCTGGACAAATTGCGCCATACAGGAGAATGGGGAATTCCAACAGTCTCCGCGGACTGGCTTTGGATCTCAATTCAAGCAGGCCAAAAGAAACCGTTCGATCCATATATCGTTCGACGGTACCCCTCGCAAAATGCTACTGATGCCGCGAAAGATCCTACATCCGCAAAACGAAAACATCTGCACAAAAACGTTGACGACCGGCCAAGGGACTCGCCACTCCATGGCTCTGTTGATTCTCGTTCCAACAATTCAAAGACACAAGGGTCCACGACGGTGTCAATGAACAGAACAGTCCCGGTCATCGGAGACGGGTTCGAAGACGATGCACCGAAACCTTCTGTCCCTGAGTCTAGATCCCCATCGCCGGCTAGAATACCAGAACAACAAGCCGCAGATGAGCCAAGCACAAAGGAGACAACTCCGAACACCGATTCGGCACCTAAAACCGGCCCATCCGCCCTAGACACCGCATTAAGCGGACTCCTGCAGCAAGCCCGAGCTGCCAAATCAAGACAACAAGCCGAGACTCCCATTGATGCCAGCAACCCACCCCGACGAAAGCGCAAGCCCCTTCTAGGTCGTGCCCCATCCCATACTTCGGCAATAGCACTGGAAAATCGACTCTCACGCGCCAGCTCAATTGACACACTGAATGACGACGGTATCGGAAGCGCGATTGAAAGCGGTCATCCAACACGAGAAAATTCGCAATCTCACGCTCGAGGCGAGCCGAGTCTGTCGTCCATGCTGAGTGGCGGGAGATTTGATTTCCTTAACGATCGACTGCCAGCTCACACCGAGGAAGAAGATGAGGAAAACCAGGCGCCACAGATGACGCAGTTGGGTTATGAAGACGCTGACGCGGCTGCCATGAGGGCTGAATTTCTCCGAGATGCAGGAAAGCTATCAGACAAGACGAAGACTGACGGTGGTGTGCATGTTGGGGAAGTACGGGAGTTGGAGGATCTAGGGTGGGCTTCTGGTCGTAGGACGAGGAAGCACCCTATTCGAATCGATGATGAATAACGTTTGTTTTTGCTCGAATGCTGGGCCTGGAAGCATTTTTTATTTTGTCTGTGTCAGCGCAGACGTGGCATTGCATTGCGAATGGCGCTCTTCTGTCTATCCACGGTAGTCATTTGGGTGATATCTCAACCATAGCTGATGATTTAATTCCAGCCCTATCTAGGTGGAGAGCGTGGGTCCCTACATATGCAATAACTATGAGCACACCAATATAGTCCTACTAGTACAATCCACCCCCATTCAATAATTGGTTCGGGGGATCAAAGTAAGTGTTGAGGCAAGTTGATTGTCCTTGATTTGAGAAAAGCTTTCTGGCAGCGGCATGTATTTGAATTCAGGTGGGAATCTTGTAGGGAAAAAGCTGAGGTGCTACTGGTGCTTGTTGGGTGAAAAACTAGACTAATCGGTCCATTTGGTCAACTTTCAAGTTGGGTCCACCGTGGAACAATGAGCCAGATGGGCATGGGACAACAGGGAATGGAGTCAAGATAGATGCAGAGTGTACAAGGGATTAAAGGAGAAGCGGAGGGAAGTGAAAAGAAAGATCGTAAGAATCGTCAGTGGTTGTACAAATGTGGTCAGGATATTACGCCTCCATCGATGCAGCCATGCCGCCAGGCAAAGGAGCGTCAAGATCCAGGTTTTCAACGGTTCGACGGTTCTCACTGCTGTCTCGGAACAGATTTGAGAAGTACTTAGTGGCAACATCACTCTCCTGCTTGATCTTGGTGACCTCCTGCTTGCGTCTGCCCAGATCTTCGATATCTTGGGACAGAGAAGTTTGGAGATTGCCGGCGGGCATGCGCAGCATGCGGCGAACCTCAGTCGAGATACGGTTTGCGTTTGAATGAACATAGTCCATATCGGCAAGAGTTGCGGCAATCTTCCGCGACAGACGAGGAGGAAGAGTTGTCGGGATAGAGTTCAGCACATAGGCGGTTGTCAAGACAGCTATTGCAATGTTAGCGCATGTTTGATCTTATGATATAAATATAGGCACTTACCGGCAGCAAGGATACTTGGGAAGAACAGCCGGCGCAAGTTGTTCGGGCCAATGAGCTTCACCGCACTCAGTGCGCTGTCCACCCAGCTGAAGCCGCCAAGGGCTCTACCACCCAGAACGGTGACTGCAGTCATCGCGACACCTGTACCTGCCATCTTCTCCTGGCGCTCCCACAGACCGGCAACGTCAAAGAAGTCCCATAATTCAACCTCTGTGTCAACTTGACGGCCGAACGTGTGACGGCGTCCACGGCGGAACATAGCATCGGCACGGAAGTTGAGCGGGCTGAACTTGTCTTCCCCGATGTGCAGCAGTCCAATATTTTGGATGAACCCAACTCCTTGAACGGTCTTCTCTCGAGCGTAGTCCTCACAGTCAGTGACCGATGAGGCGATTTGATCCAGCATGGCTAGCTTCAAGTCTTCGGCGTATTGGAAAGCTGAGAAAAGACCAGGGTATTCAACACCGAGGTCCGCGTCTGACACCCGGGTGATTGTATCAGTCAAGGTCGAGCGAGTGTGGTTGTAGACATCATCGCAGGAGTCATCAATCGCTTTGTTAACACCCTCCGCAAGCTCTACCTTCTTCTTCTTGCCATTCTCGAAAGCAGGCTCAATCTTTGCCAGCTCGTCTGTAACCCGCTTGAGCTCTGTTTGAGCAACATCACGGTTGACAGTGGCGAGCGAATTGAGATCAGCCAAGAGGTTCAGGAGATAAGTTCTGGCAGGGGCAAGCTTGGATCGAGAGCGCTTCTCAAGAACAAATCGTCGCAAAGCCCCTTCAAGATTCTCGAAATCTTGAAGCTTCTCGCGTTCTTTGCCCTTGCCTTTATCTTTAGGGTCTTTCTTATCATCGTCGTCATCGTGAGGATCAGAACCACCGCCGTCACCACCGCCGCCACCACCACCACCAGAGCCTGACTGAGAGATAGCAGAGGGCGCAACTGGAATTGCATTGCTCGAAACGAAGTGAACGAGCTCAGCTGCTTCTTTGTATGTACGAGGGCTGAGCTTGCCAATTTGATCCAAGATCATGCGTTCGCAACGTTGCTTGTCGCGAATTTGATCAAATCCATTCACGACCATGAAGATGTAGGCTTTCTCGTGAGCAGCATTCAGGATGAACTCCTTTGCAGACAGTGTGAAATGGTTCGCAGCAGATACAACGAAAACAACGACATCAATCTCCTCCTGTCGAGCAAAGACTGCTGTGGTCTTCAGTGAGTCCGAGTTGAGACCAGGCGCATCGATCAAGGCGATGTCAACGACACCATTGTTGAGTAGCGATTCGTCGATAGACCGTACATCCTTGACATAAACCTTGCACTGCATGTACTTGGTGTTTTCGATAACGATGTCCTCGAGCTCGGCAAGAGCATAGACGTCAAATGTGCTCTCGTCGTTGCGGTTGTAAGGCGTATCCTTATGAACAGCGTGAACTTCTTCAATTCCACCATTCTCGCGAGCGTCCAGAACTTCGCAGAAGATGCTGGTGCATGGCTGTTGGTCCTCTGGCAACACCTTCCGGCGTAGCAGAGCATTGCAGAATGTCGATTTACCCGCGTTCAAGTCACCAGTGATCAGGACCTTGCTCGACGTGTCTTCAATCCTGTCACGCAAAGAAAGAAGATGCTTCATGCTTTGGCTAATTTTTCCATCTAGGAGTGAAGCAATGGAAGCCTTTTCCAGCGAGTGTACGAGTTCTGCCTGTGAGAGAGCACCAAGCTTGAGATCGAGTTTCAGAATAGAAAACTCCTGCGCAATCTGCGGAGTCATCAACCTGGGCTCAGCCGGGGCTCGGCGTTCGGCAGAGGCGCTGGACTCTGCTAGATCCTCGTTTCCAATCGTCGTAGCTGCGCGTCGCAAATCTGGGCGAGGCGGGGTCGTAGGCCTATCGCTGTCACCAAGCTCTGAGTGTGTATGGTTGAGCTGGGGTCGGCTTGCAGGTGTGGTGGCGCTCTGCACAGATGGATAGTGGGCGGGCCACTGACGGTTCATATGCTGGAGTTCCTTCAAGGTATCGATAGTCCGGGAGATCGCGCGACCGAGTTTAGTTCGGTTCGAGTTACTGATAAACCTGTAAGCCTTGAAGTTCCCCAGCCGATTTTGACTGAAGTAAAGTGAGACTTACTAAAGAAGTTGAGAGACGTGACTGGCAACCACTTGCTTTTCATGTTCAGCTGAACACACAGATATTAGCCCAAACAATTCACATTTGACGCAGCGCAAGCACTCGGATTGCCTACCAGCTGGGTTCCATTCCCCTGGACGCGTTGGTGTGTGCACTGGTGTCGGGCGGTCCTCCATCAATCCTGCACGCCAAGCCGCGTTCGAGTCCTCCTCCATTGCGCTTTCCCCGGCGATACTGCCTCCATATCCAGAATCTTGGTTCAGAGATGTCATCAAAGCTGTTGCGCTGTCGGAGGTCGATCCGTTACCCACGGTCATGTAGGCAGGTGGGGGAGGGAAAAAAGGGCTCTGCTCAGGTAACTCTTCCTCGCCCGGGAATCTGGACGAAGCGGCTCCGGAGGAAGAGCCCTCGGCAGGGTAATATTCCTGGCTCATGACAGAAGAAAAACCACCGCGTGGGGGAAATCCATCTATCAGAAAAAAAGATATGTTTTGGATCGGTTGATTGGAGATGATTTCCAAGGTTTGATGACGTCGATCTCAAAGAGGACTAGCGTCCATGTGACCTGATACAATTGTAATGAAACGGTAATATTACCATACTGCGATTGATGTCACTGTTTCTAGGTACTCCTCGAGACAGCCTTCTGCATTGGACTTGACATTACTCCTTCTAACTGGACACTACTGCCCTTCACCATGAATGTAAGGCGCCTTCAAAAATTCTTGGAAATAGTCTTTCTGCTTACACAAGGCTTATCAGATCGTTGAATGGGCTTTCGGCAAGCGCATGACCCCCGCGGAGCGTCTGCGCAAACACCAACGTGCCTTGGACCGTACTCAACGTGAACTAGATCGCGAACGGGTGAAACTGGAGAATCAAGAGAAGAAGCTGGTGCAAGATATCAAAAAGAGCGCCAAAAACGGCCAGGTCGGAGCCTGTAAGATCCAGGCCAAGGACCTGGTTCGGACACGGAGGTTGGTTCCAGACCTGTTCATTGATCATTGCAATCTAGGCTAATGCGATAGTGAACTAGATATATTCAGAAGTTCTACCAAATGCGCACCCAGCTACAGGCGATATCTCTGCGCATCCAGGTACGCGCGATCCATCTGTGGCTGCCCCCTCTTGAGATATCAATGCGCTGACAGTTCTCACTTCCAAGACCGTGCGAAGCAATGAACAGATGATGCAATCTATGAAGGGAGCTACAATGCTTCTCGGTAGCATGAACAGACAAATGAATCTACCAGCGCTTCAGCGGATTGCGATGGAATTCGAACGAGAGAACGACGTTATGGATCAACGACAAGAGATGATGGACGACGCAATTGACGAAGCGACAGGAATGGAGGGAGAAGAAGAAGAGGGAGAAGACATCGTGAAGGAGGTTCTGGACGAGATAGGTGTTGACCTCAACCAGGCTGTTTGTTTACCCTCAATCATCGGAATGCCGACTATGTGGACTGATACATCTTGCAGCTGGGCGAAACACCCGCAGACATACAAAAAGCGCCAGTCAATGAAACACGGGTTGCGCAAGCCATCGGTGGAGGAGGGAATACTAGCGACGATGATCTCCAAGCCAGACTGGACAGCCTTCGAAGATAACCATCACTTTTGCGTTATAGACAGGAGCCTTTTGATACGACCTAGCCCTGCGACTTTGTTTTTAGCATGCTCTCGAGGATACTCAATACAGTTGCCAATTTATGATTTTCATGCGCTTGAGCCTTGATGTTTACTCCCTGTCTATGTCTACATCTCTTCCGAGGCCCTTGCACCTGGGTAGTTTTATTTTATGAATGAATGTTTCTCAGCCTAAATACGTAGGTCATCATACCCGCGTAGAAGGCCCCCAATGCCGTTGGCGAGGAACTGCCGTTCCGGTTAACATATACGATCTAATCAATTCATCCATGGATCGTGTGGCAGCACAATACTCCGTACTGTATGCTAAATGCGGACTATTTCTAGGGCTGAAGCGTATCACAGACATGAAAATCAATTAAATATGAGGGACAACAATCAACGAACTCACGGAACTGGAGGAATGTCCACCTCAGGACCAGTCAGCCCACCTAAGGCTCATTACGACCTTTCCCTTTTTGTGCTTCAATATAACTGGAGACGCGAGGTCGTTTGAGAGGTCGACCGGACTCGGCCTCTTCGGCCGACCACGAAGAGTACCAAGGAAATGAAGCCATTTCCTGTATATTTGGCCGGTCCTCTGGGTTTCTGGATAAAGCAGCTTGTAACAAATCTTGGCAGTCCTGTGAGAGGTTTTCGTGCGTTGTTATATCCTCATTGATCATTCTCTTCCGCCGGTTCTTGATCCTATTGTAGTTCCGGTCTAGATACCGACCAGTATATTTCCCGTGCCAGTCTTCGCAGATATCCCTCCTTTCCCATGGCCAATAACCGTGTAACAATCCGTATACAATTGCCGAATATCTCCATAGGCAACTTTGTCTTGCGTCGTGTGGCAAATAGACTTCTTTGGGGTCGTGTCTAGGGCGATCCGGTGAATTGTCGACCATTTGCCGTTCATCATATTTCATGAGCTCCAAGGCTAACTCGGGCCTCATCTGGTACTCCTGGAAAGGGATTAGTGGGCTTATCTTAGACTGAAAGCCGTCAGCAGTGGCCGAGAAGTAAATCTGCCCGAGGTCAATTAATTTAACGTTCAGGTCTTGGTCCACGAGGTAATTGTGCACTGAAAGATCGCTATGCCAGGTTCCCATATCGGCCATTTGAACCATAGCTTGTAACAATTGTCCTGAAATTTTGCAGGCTTCATGTTCGCCCACCTGAATCTCATGAGTTTTGCCGTCGACCAGGTACTTCCCCGAAAAAGGTGGGAATTCAGGCAGTACATATTTCAGTGTTTTACTTTGCCTCCTTCTTTGAAGAAAGACATCCTGATCGGGGTTGTCGGCCTTTGACTCTGGAAAGTCATCAATACAGGCTTCCATCACCATGGCCCATTGCATACCGTGGGTGTAGACCGAGTCGAGACTAGGGAATCTGTCACTGTTGTTGAGATAAATTAGGGCCACAGCCTCCTGCGGGAGATAGTGCTCCTTACCGGTAGGCTCAATAAAACTCACCATGTCAGGATATGACAGTTTCTCCTGCCACTCCAGGAACTCGATTATCACCGTCTGATGGGGTTGTGCCTTGATTGCGTACTGCTCAGGATCGGTGACGGGCTCACTCGTGTCCCATTCTCGGGCGAGGAATGCTATCCCAAAAGCTACTTCTTGTTAGCAATCACTCACAGTAGAAAGAGCGGAAAACTTACTTCCTTGACCTAGCACTCCATATATCCTGATTCTCTCTTGAAGGTCCGGGCAAAGCATGAGTATAGCCCCTGTCATTTGTGAATCGCCTACCAATGTTGTTAGCCTCTCAAATTTGGTTCCTCGTGTATCCTGGAATTCCGGATCATGGCTAACATAATCAATATCTGGACGAACCTGGCAGGTACACAAGGAAAAGTCCTGACCACCCCGCTGCTCAAATACTGCCTGGAGGCGAGCTCGGAGATTCCGGCTGAGATGGGGCCATTCCTTGGATGCGGCATGATCGGGATCCAGAAGATTTCGGGCATTTTCCCCGAAAGAGGCCTTCAAGTCAATGAAATCCAGAAGCTTCGGGTCAGCTTTCTCGGTATGGATCGCATTTTCAAGGGCCACGGGGTCGTATCCCATCCGAAGGATTAAACCAAACTCGTCGTCCGATTCCAAATCCTCTGGTCTCCGCTCAACCAGGATATCATCAATCGGAGACTCGTCAAGCCCCATGGATTCAAACGGAGCATTGGCTCCTCTACGGGTGCGACCCTCTTCGGCCATAGTGGTCTCCAGGAGTCACAGGAAGTCGAGATGTGGGAGATGTGGGAGATGAAAAAATCGAAATGTGAAATGTGCAATGTGAGATGTGAGATGCTCAGGTGGGCAACGCAATGAAAAAAAGACCTCGAGGCAGATCCCTTGTATTTATGTCAGAAGATCAAAGATCCAAGCTCAAAGTGATTGTGTGTCAAAGGACACAAGTTCAAAGAGACAAAAAAAGAAAATCCAACCTTGGAAGTCATTAGGAAGGTGACAAAGAGTCAAAGGCATCCATGACAATAAAATGTAGGTAGTACATATTGTGCCCGGGTTTGCGGCTGAAAACCTTGGAACCAACGATCTAGGGATCTGATTCGCCCCCAGTACGCCCGTGAGCCTCACGAACACCCGGGTGCGAACATGGATCCAGGCCGAGAGTACAGGTAACCAAGATTGCTCTCGAGATAATAGGTATAAATAACGATGAATCTCTGGCGACATAACCATCATCTTCGACATCCTACATCGTTCTATTATCTGAGCATTTCTCAAATGTCATCGTCTTTTGCCGAATGTCTTCCTTACGAAGGGTATACTTTTGTCAAGGCAAACCCGGTCCCTGGCCAAGATGCAAGTTGGCATCGTGTGAAGCGCACGCCGATGTGTCGAAGTCAGCCCGACTACTTCAACATGATACAAAAGCGGGCGACCAAGAAGTCCGCGGCGGTGCAATACCAAAAGATTTCGTCTAATGCCAGGCGCGCCCATATAAATCAATTGATAGACGAGCAAAGACAAATGAATCCCATGGTGGAGTGGACCTGTGTTTACGTCAAAGAACATGCAAAGCCATCCAACGCTCCAAATGCTCGTCGGGGGGACTATGAGACTGTTTCTATGGATGTCATCATCATGCAAATCTCTATGAAGCCCATATGTTTAAGGGCCTCGGCGGAGGGCCAAGTCGATGCTGGCGCTGGAGTTCGACCACCACTGTGGCCTCAGCGCAGAGCTCATCCTTTAATGCTGGGGGGAAATGCGAACTTGCCACGGCCTATGATCGCAGGACCACAGTCTCCGAGAGTGGTGCTAGATGATCGCTGTGAAAACTCAGAAGTTCATGGAGAAAGTCCAATGAGAGCTCAACCACAGCCTCAGGAGCCCAAGCAATCGACTACAACCACGCCTAATCCGGCGTTCAGTGCAATGGGTAGCAGCGACATGGACTCTGATCATACTTCAGGCTCATCGGAGGATAGCAGCAGTTCAGATGATGACATGCTATTCAATTCACCCGATGAAGGCTCCGAAACAGACGATTCAATTGGTCCGGATGTTGAGCAACAAGCAGCTCCCCCAAAGAGGCCCCTGGTTCATTCACAAAGCAACCCGCTTCATTGGGGAGCGAGCTATGGACCTCGTTCTCGGTCTTGTGGAAAGCCTCACAGCCGTAGCCTTGATAGAAGACTTGATCGAAGACTTCCGGCCCGCGAACAGTATGAGACATCTACTGCCAAGAGCATTGGACCTATGAGGTCCGAAAGGGCTAGATCTAGAGGTTCCGTGTCCGGAAGAAAGTATCGGAAGCAACTGATGAGTGACCATGAGGTTCGAAGTCGGAAGCTCGACCATCGCGAAGCGAATATTGGACATCGAGAGAGACAGCTCAAAAGAACTTTGTATGGACCTCACCAGCTTGAGCTCCAGCCATCCAGTGACCGCCCTGCCGTTTGTCGTTGTACCTGCCGTTGCGCTATGCGGGGAGAGAAAGTGGATTGAGGCATTTATTGAACATATCCATGGATGTGTTTTTATGTTTTTATGTACTGCTCTTCCGCAAGTCGTTTTTTCTCACCGGTCAGTTTCCAAGGTTGAGTTTCGGGCTCGGGCTCAGGCCACAAGATTGATACATTGATACTTCGGGAGACACAGCAAGATATGCCAATGAAGATGAGTTAAATAGATCGCTGCACGTAAGCCCCGAAAGGGCAAGTCACATAAGAGGCCCAGGTGTGGAGGGACGAAAAGTAAACGGTTGAGGTTATGTCATAGGATGCCTTGTATACTAGGCCAACAAGTGCCCCTCCATTTCACTTAACTACTTTAGCTTTCCCAGTCTTCCTCTTGAGCTATTCCATCTTCTACCTTTTTCTTTTCCAAACCCATATCCTCTCTCACATCCATCAATATGCCTCGCCAATTCTTCGTCGGTGGTAACTTCAAGATGTATGTAGAGCTTTACTACAGCTGCCCCTCCATGCCGATATGTATCTGCAAAGACCATGCAATTGACCTCCTTGCAGGAACGGTGTTGCCAAGAGCATCACTGACATCGTGAACAACCTCAATGCCGCCAAGCTCGATGACACCACTGAGGTCGTCATCTCTCCCCCCGCCCTCTACCTCTCCTTGACCCGCGAGCTCGCCAACCCCAAGATCGGCGTTGCCGCCCAGAACGTCTACGACAAGCCCAACGGTGCCTTCACCGGAGAGATCAGCGTTGAGCAGCTGCAGGATGCTAAGATCAACTGGGCTGTCATCGGCCACAGCGAGCGTCGTGTCATCCTCAAGGAGACCGATGAGGTTCGTACCCCCGCAGCCCCTCCTCGAGCTTGCAGATCGAACACCCACGGGAACCAAACGCTAATTACCACAATAGTTCATTGCCCGCAAGACCAAGGCCGCCATTGAGGGTGGTGTCTCTGTCATCCTCTGCATCGGAGAGACCCTTGAGGTACGTCATTCCCACCCGGTTTCTCATTTTCGTCCCGATCCCGATAGTGGGGTATCGGGCGAAGACCGGCTATTAATTTGGAGAGAATGACCCGCTAACACCCGACTTCTGCAGGAGCGTGAGGCCAACAAGACCATTGAGGTCGTTACCCGCCAGCTCAACGCTGCCGCCAAGGAGCTGAACAAGGAGCAGTGGGCTAAGGTCGTCATCGCCTACGAGCCCGTCTGGTATGAACCCGTTCCACTGGTTATTTGTTGATAACATCTTTGGTTTCTAATACTTTCCTTTAGGGCTATCGGTACCGGAAAGGTCGCTACCACTGAGCAGGCTCAGGAAGTCCACGCCGCCATCCGTGAGTGGCTCGGCAAGTCCATCTCCGCCGAGGCCCAGGAGGGCGTTCGCGTCATCTACGGTGGCTCCGTCAGCGAGAAGAACTGCCGCGAGCTCGCTACTCAGCCCGATGTTGACGGTTTCTTGGTTGGCGGTGCCAGCTTGAAGCCTGCCTGTAAGTTTCAAGCCTGTTCCAATTTGGACATTGTTCATGTCGATACTAATTCATCTGCAGTCGTCGACATCATCAACGCCCGCATCTAAAGGATTCCCTCTTGAAACTAATACCCCATCTTCCCTTGGCCAGGGCAAAATCAGCTCTGATGTAGGCGTCAGATAGAATATTAAAAAAATTTGGAACGTCAAGTATATTGCCATGAATCTATGTACAATTTTCGAAGTATGTTTCAACATGATATTAGCTCCAACACCCGCAAAGGCCCTTTACTGGAAGCCTTCCGAGGCTGCAGGGACACTCTATTGAGCAATGGTAGTTCAGCAGCTTCCGACGAACAACCTACGATGAATACAAGACGGACACACCAACCCCGCGCCAGAACGACATAGGAGCCCCGCCTCCACTCTGGGCCGAGCCGCCCCCCGAAGTCGAAGAGAGCGAAGGTGACTGAGAGAACGAGCCCGGTCCCAGCCCGACACCCGCACTCACCAGGAGCTCCTTCACTCGCCCTTCCCAAAGGAGTCTGACGTTCCAAGACTGATCAACACGCAACTTGATGACAGAATCGCTCGTTTCAGGCTCATTATTAGTCGCAGAGCGCATGGGCGATTCGGGACGAGCCGGGTCGTTTAGAAGCGGGGAGACCGGTGAGCCAGGCAGGGCAGCACCAAAATCATGCAGGCGCATTTTGCGCCGGGCCCATTCCAGATCGTCATCGGACTTGGACTTGGACTTGGTTTGGCGCCAAAGCTCACAACCTGCAACCATTTCACTTTCCCAGCTGTAGACGTTGAAGCCAAAGCGGGAGCTGAATGCTAGATTTGGTGTGGCTCGGAGCGAATAGCTCGTTGAGAGAGAACCCGTTATGGGCGTCAGGGTTAGTGTGAGAGTATATGGGAATGCGGATATTGGTGTTGGGATGCTGGAGGGGGATGAGCGCGATCGTGGTGATGGGGTCTCTGTGGCCGCTGGCAATGTGCTGAATCGTAGACCCGTGGACATGCCGATCAGCGATGATGTCGGGGAGTAGTATGCCTCTGCGCCTGCGGAGAGGAGGGACAAGCGCGATGGCGCATCATGGCGCGTATATCTAGGGTCTGGACCGAAATTCCAAAGTCCGCGCCAGCCAAATAGGGCGTTGTCTGTACTGAATAGATACTCGTTGCTGTACTTGCCCGTGTCATGAGAGAGTTGGGCGAGCATTGAGGCCTGCGGTGCGGATTTAGATTGGGGTGGGCCCTGGGTCGAGCAGACTGCTAGCGATAGCTGCATGTTCGTCGAGATCCGGCGCAGGAAGAGCGCATATAAAGTGGTGGGGGGTGGAAGGTGAAGGGAGGCATGGAGGAGAGTTGCCTTCTTTTTTGACTGTTCCTCTTTGCTGATATCCTCATCCACATGAACCTGCCGTGCTGAGGGCTTTCCATCCTTGAGCCCTGGAATGCTCACGCCATCTAGTAGCGAGTCCCATCCCCAAGTTGGTATAGGTGCTGTGGGGGCCTGTACTTGTCGATATCCCAGGGAAATCTTTCGAAGTGGGATCAATGCACTCCTACTAGGAAGATCGTTGAATGGAACGGTACTGAAGAGGTATGAGACCGATCCATCGAGCAGCCCAACAGTACCGAGGGTGTAACTGGTCGCAAAATGGGGGGTAGAAAGTGATGAAAGATGGACGCGCAAGCGTTCAGGTGTGGAGAAGTCAAGGATCGCTGCATGTATGTGTTAAAAGATCACATCCCCGGTCAGCAATTAGAGAACCACATACATTGAGCGGTGGTAGTGAGTGATGAGTATGAGTTGTCGCGGTTCCAGTGCGTCGCCTCAGCGAAAGAGAGCTGAATGTAATCCATAAAATCCAGCATTGTTTCAAAGCAGCGCTGGCAGGCAAATGGAGAGCCTGGACTGCCACGTCAATAAATCAAAGAGGTCCAGATCGCGCGCAATTGAAGTTGAAACTCCAAGGGTCCACCGCAGATATCCAAGCTTTATCCCCGATTCGGGTTAGCGTTGGATAAGCGGTGGAAGGATAATCCGGTTATCAGTGAAAAAAATGCCAAATGCCTGTGGGGGAAACATTCGATCTCTTGTTTGAATTTCTTGAATCCCCAATCACATTCCTATAACTCATCATGCCTCGTTCAAAGCGTGCGCGCGTCGTCCACGAGTCCAAGACCGCCAAAAAAGACCACAAGGAGCAAACCCGCCGTCTGTTCTCCAACATTCGGGAATGCATTGAAGAATATGACCATCTTTTTGTCTTCGCGGTCGATAACATGCGTAACACCTACCTGAAGGATGTGCGCACTGAATTCGCCGACAGCCGGTAAGCAGGACCGAGATCCAATCTGCGTTTGCATACAAAGTGATGTCGAAAAGGGCGGATAAGAAATGTCCATCTTGATATCAAATTGATATGCAAATCTCCCGCTAGCGATCATTACTGACCTATTCATGTACAGAGTCTTCTTTGGTAAGACCAAGGTCATGGCCAAGGCCCTTGGCCAGAACTCCGAAAGCGAAGCCGCTCCCAATGTGCACAAGCTCACTCCTTACCTCACTGGCGCCGTCGGCCTGTTGTTCACCTCTCGCACACCGGAAGCAGTCACTGAGTACTTCGAGAACTTCCGCCCCCAGGATTTCGCCCGCGCAGGAACCGAAGCCACCCGCGCCTTCAACATCCCCAACGGTCTCGTTACCGCCCGCGGTGGTGATATCCCCGCCGACCAGGATGAGCCCATCAGCCACACCATTGAGCCCGCTCTCCGCAAGCTTGGTGTCCCTACCCGTCTGGTTAAGGGTAAGGTCATGCTTGACCTGACCGAGGGCCAGGACAGCTACCCCGTGTGCCAAAAGGGCGAAACTCTGGACTCCCGACAGACAACATTGATGAAGATGTTCGGTGTGCTTTCTTCCGAGTTCAAGGTTGAGCTCAAGGCCTACTGGACCCGCAGTACTGAAGAGGTCAAGATCCTCGAGTCTGAGGGTGGAATGGAGGTTGACGCATAGATGTGGATCTTTAATTCTTTCAGTTTTTGTCTTTCTCTTTCCATTCGGTCTCCATTCGGCCGGAAAAAAAGAAACTCTGCTGGGCATCTTATGGAGTTTGGTGAGGGCGCTTTCTTTGCAAATATCTTGAAGACTTGTGTTTTATATCTCTTTCTCTTGTCTGATTTTGGAGGGCTTCCAAGGTCGTCCTCCTTTCGGATCATGAGCTTACGATAGGATTTGGATGCCGAGTCGGAAAAAATTTATAAGTATTACTCGTTTTACAAATTCACTCACTGGATAAGCCGTAGAAACCGGGATTCCAAAACGCCCCAAGCGCTTGGGCGTGAGGAAATTTGACACCAAGCACATAAAATGGCACACTGCTCCTAGAGGACCTTGGCCAGGGCACATTCCAAGGTTGGAAAATCCGTGAGTAAACCACTTCCAAGGTGCCGTTCTAGAGAAACTCAATATACGGGGTATCTGGCCTTGGGATAAAAGAAAGGCAACAGCTTCCTATCGGCTGCATCGACCTGAGTTACTACGTGCCCTGGAGGTCCCCGGGGCCACGGGTGATTAGTTGGCTGACGGACCACCCAGTGTTCACAAGGATCGTCAAGTACCTAAAATACCTGAGTATAGATGCTGAATCAATGGATGGCCACAAAGACTTCCCAGGAGAGCTTCCAGAGGACTTATTCGTGCCCCAGATGACTCGCTCACACTTCTTCTACGAGGGCCAAGGATGAGGGAAGGTATGTGCTCAGGGGACGACCGGCATGATAAAACCATGTTGACATAGCTCTGCATGTAAAATGAGAAGTAATAACGCCCGCAAATCCATGCATCCTGGGTATCGGAAAAAGAGAGAGATGACTATGAACACCTCCAAATGCAAATGAGAGCTAGAAAGAGATAATGCGCTCCAAGGCTTAGAGGAACAAGTGAATCATGGCGGTGTGACTGCTCACCGGTTTATTGCAGCCCGCAACTTGACATTTTGAAAAGGGTTTTGTCTTCGATGCTGACTTCCTGGCCTTTGAGATTGCCCGGTTCTCGGCGCATTCGCCGCAATATGCCTAAAGGTGTTAGTGAGCCCAGCCCCTATGAAGTCGGAGTTCAAGCGAAATACTTACATGCCCACAGGCTTTTGCGACATAAATCTCTTGCTTGCGGCCTGAACCGGTGCCTAACTCTTTATCGCAGTTGGGGCAAATTGGAACGTTCTCCTCCTCTAGACATCGCGAGAACCCCTTTGGTGCCGAAGCAGGTGCTCGGTAAGAATCCCGCTGAGAAACTGGCGCTGGCGGAGTGGGATTATATTCAAAAGCTGGGACATTGTATGGGAGTACCGCAGGCATGGAGTTCATGAATGAGAAGAAATCATGGCCATACCATGAGCCCGGGATGTTTGATGATGCATGGCCCCGACGATTGGTAGATTCTCGGACTCTCGATGTCGGAAGAGAAAAAGGACCATCCACCCGTGGTCCCGACGGGAATGTAGTAAGTGGTCTTCTTGGAGGAGGAGGGTGATACATGGAAAACCCATTTGAATCGAAATACGCGGGCTCCATGGTGGGCATGGGCCTCACAACCGAGGACCCTATTATTTCGATATCTGGGCCATTTGACCCCTCGGTAGTGTTCTCTTCCGCTTCCAAGTCAATGACATTTGGCTCGGAGTCGCGATTTCTTATGTCTCGGGAAGGACGGCGTGGGCCAGCTGGCGCTCTTCGAGCCTCTCTTAGAGGAGATTCCGGATCCGCCGTTAAATCTATGACATCGTTTTCCGGCCCTGGAGAGACCGTCACTGGGCGCCGTTGATCGTCTCCAAATCGCGGAGTTGGCCGAGCCCAGGGAGCTGGTAGATGCACAGAGGAGCTTCCGGAGCGCGAGTACGAAGGTCCATAGCGGATTGAATTGCTGCTGCTGCCAGCTTGTCTTTCGAGCATCTCCCGGTGTGTTCGCTGGAGTCAAACCCGTATTAGTTGGGCTGTTGGACATTTGATCAGGTGCCCCGCCCGTTGCACAGCGGATGGAGGGCTTACCTTGGACCCTGTGGTCACAATCCGGATGGCGTTATCATCAGCCATTTGGAGACTGAGTTGTGTGTCCCAGGACTTGAGATGAGGGATTGAAGTACACCGAAAAGGTGCGAACGAAGTGAGGGAAGCCATCTGTGTTTCAATGGCGAGTCCAAAGGCGGTGGGCTTGTGCCATCCGCATGAAGGCGGTGGCGACAGTTCGAAGCTTGGTTGGTCCTTCGGGTATTTTGAGTAACGATAACCATCTAGCCCCGGGATTGTAAGCTAATTGGACAAGGGCCTGCGAGAGTCAGCTCGTTCCAATTACACGATTCAAATCACGGGCGAAAAGTATTCACTGCCCGCGACTATTTAGACAAGGCTCATCTGTGAGATGGAAGGGTCGTTTCCAATAGAAGAACCGGACGACGGCGCAAGGTTGTCCAGAGGCAACCCGCAACCTGGCTGAAGGACGTCGCTTATATAGGTAAATGGATGTAGGCTTGAATTTGGTATGCATAATACATGGGTTAGGGAAAAAACTGGTCCCAGGTAGCAAATGGACAAGAACGGAGAAACATGCAAGACTCAGGTCAATAGTACAGTACTTCGCGATGGTGATGCCTGACCGTCACGATCGCTAAGAAAGCAAAAGCAAACAGAAAGGGAGTTTCTCTATACACCACGCAGATCGCCGTGGTATGGAGACCAGATACCACGCACACTCTCGTTCAAACTTGTCACGGGCTTCTTGGTGCGCTTCAGCTTCTCTCCGCTGGCTTCCTTGAGAAGAGTTGCCTTCTTTAGGATTTCACTGGGCTCTAGGTTTCGTACACACACAGGCTTTTCACGGCCATTGATGTAAAGACCCTTGATGAGAGGGTGTTTTTGAGGCCGGGGAGACACACGAATCTCAATCTGAGGGTTTTCACGAGCGAAGGCGGGGAGGAGGGTCTCCAGGAAAGTGCTGGTATCATCGTTAGTTTTGTAAACATTGATTATCAGAATTCCTCTATGGCTCCAGTCAATACATACACCATGCCCTTAGAGCTACCTGCCCAATTGCAGTAATGGAAGTCGAGGCGTTTGCATTGTAGGATGAAGGCTCCGGCGCCGTTCTGAGAGGATCAACCATGTTAGCCCAGCTATTGACACTGCGTATTCACATTATACATACCCTGGCTGCCGTTGAAGTTCTGATTCCGCGCAAAGGCATTGTGTTAAGCGTCAATAGTTGGCCTAGGAGATGTCAATTCGCGATGGTTCGCCGGGCATTTTCTTGCTCACGTGATCGATCGGGCGGTGAAAGTCCTACGCCAATTGCGTCTGCAGTGTACCACCCTACGCTAAGGGCCAGAACTGCGACGCGAAGCTCTCACTCCTGAGGCTTAGTCGACTTTCACATTTCGACTTCATTCAACAAACTGACCCATATTCCTTGAGATTCGCTCCGAGGATGACGGATAAGCTACCTCCGCCGCTTTTGGCGCTGTTCCAGCCGCGCCCGCCCCTTCGATACCTGCCCCCAGGCGATCGCGCACCCGAGGACTGCGGAAAGAGTACCATTTCCGGTGTCGCTCAGTTCCTTGCGGATGCGAAGTCTTTTGCTGAAGAAGTTCCCTACAATGCCACAGAAAGCTGGATCCAGCGCAAATATCGCCTAAAGACAGAGAAAAAGCAACAACAAGAGAATCAAATCACAGAAGGCTTGCAAAACTGTGAGATATCTATTCCTTTCACTTCAGGCATTCACAACCGCTAAACTATTTTCTGCAGTCAATCCTGAGAAGGATCCACAAGCTCGAGGTGACCCGTTCAAAACTCTTTTTATCGCACGTCTCAGCTATGATGTGAAAGAAGCCGATCTGGAACGAGAGTTCGGGCGATTCGGTCCCATTGAGAGAGTATGTCTATGCGCTCATATTTTGCCATGATTCGGGTATTAACATTCTTGCAGATTACACTCGTCAAAGACACCGTATCGGACAAGAAAAAGAAGGCTCACCAGGGCTACGCATTCGTGGTGTATGAGCGCGAGAAAGACATGAAAGGTATCACATCCATGCTAATATCATTGGCACTCATCAATCCCACTCCTTGGTCTTGCGGTAAGATATCTCGCTAACACTAGTGGTCCCCACTTCCAGCTGCATACAAAGAAACAGATGGCATCCGCATCAAGGACCGTCGAGTCCTGGTAGATGTTGAGCGCGGCCGTACCACAAAAGGTTGGAAGCCTCGCCGCTTTGGCGGTGGTCTCGGTGGACGTGGCTACACCAAAGCCATGCCATCCCGGCCTGGTGGTCCCGGATTCAATGCTCCTTCCGGCCCCGGTGGATATGGTGGCGGATTCCGCGGTGGCTTCGGTGGTCGTGGCGGCGGTGGAGGTTTCCGTGGCGGCGGTGGTTTCCGTGGCGGTGGTGATCGCTTTGGAGGTCCTCGTGGGGGAATCGGATATCAAGGCAACCGCAATGGCTTCGGTGGACAAGCTCCTCCAAACGCTCCCTCAGGCCCCGGTGGTGGACGTGGAGGGTTCAGAGGTGGTTATGGCGGCGCCGGTGGCGGTGGCCGATTCGACCGTGGAGTAACTGGCAGCAACTCGGAACCTGTGCGGCCCCGTGGAGATGGCTATGGTGAACGTGAACGCCGTGATTATGACCGTGACGACCGTTACAGAGACCGTGGCGGTGACCGTGGCGGTGACCGCGGTGGCGACCGTGATCGCATGGGAGACCGAAACGGAGATCGATACCGTGACCGGGACCGCGAGCGCGACAGGTATGCAGGCGGTGGTCGTGAGGATTATGGACGCAAGCGATACCGCGAAGACGAACCTGGCCAGGATGACCCTCGCTCTCGAAGAAGGTACTAGACATTGGACTTCGACGTCTTGCCTCTTCGCCTGACTCTTGACCTGGTGTCGTGCTGGGTATCATTGATTGACACAGTTTCCATGACTCCTCCGCGAGATTAACGGGGCGACTCAAAGATCACAATCGGCCCATGGCAAGTTGAACTCATTATCGCGATCACCCATCATCCATGTTTTTGATCTCGCATGACAATACCTGCCTTGACCTCAGACTCCATTATGCACATCCATGCTCGCCGGAAAAGATGAAGTCAGCTCATACAAGGTGCTGGAGCTCCCCGTTTCCATTTTCCCCCAAGAGTTCTCTTTCTCTACTTGTCTTTTTTCCAAGGGGGTTCTTTTTCCTGCCTGCATCTCTCTTTTTTCCTGGGGTAAGTATTTGTACTTTAGTTGATTCATGCGAAATCCTAAACCCGCAAACTGGTGCCATCAGGTAAGACCAGCTATGGCGGGAATGACTTGAAATAGGTGCCTTGCTAGATAAATGAAAGTGTGGGTAATGTCATCCTAGTTCCCATTGCGAACTGGTGTTTAGGAAGCTCCCTAGCGTATTCAACAATATCTATGGATATTAATAGCTTTCTGCAAACTTGCAAGCTGGGGGCATAGATGATGGAAAATTGCTATGAAAAGCCGGCTGGAAGGTATCATGTCTCAATTTTCTACTACATATGGTTAAGGTCGACAAATTTGGTGCCTGTCACAAATCTTTTATAGCATGGAGAGCTACAGTGAAAGTTTCAGAGCAAACACCAGTGGGAAACTCAAAAGACGCCCTGCTCTAAAATTACACGATAGTTCCCGAGCTCATGACTGTGCTGTCAGGACTGTGACAACACCCGCCTCGTTCAGTGCCACAATGCTTTGAGCATCCGATCCCCAAGCCACAGAGGTGGCGGGCACTGCGCTGCGCAGTGGCTCTGACCATGCCTTTGCGGCCTTGGAGAATTGCTGCACAGTCACTCCGCCCGGTCCACCGGTCAAGAGGAACTGTCCAGTATAGTCCCAGAAGATAGAGTTGACCTGGCTGCCGGTATCCAGAACCTTGGTTTCCTTGGAGCTGCGGAGATCCCAGATAGAGACAGTGGTAGACTGATCGGCCACGGCGGCCAGGAAAGTACCGTTCTCGGAGAAGAACAAACATTTAACGGGGCCTGACATGGCGTAGTCCGCAGCAGCATCACCGCTCTTGACATCAAAGATCTTGACTTGTGAATCGGCACCACCGGCCGCAATCAAGTGACCATCGGGGTGGAAGTTGACAGACAAGAGAGCTGATGTAATTGTTAGCATGTAACATGGACGAACTCGCAAAATGCGGACTTACCTGCGCTAGTGAAGATCTGGGATGCAACAGTGTTTGTAGCAAGATCGTAAAGTACGTAACTCTTGTCGACACCAACAGAAGCGACAATGTCACCAGTAGCGTGCACAGCCACAGCGGTAACTTCGCCGGCGTGCGCCTTGAAGCTTGCAACCTCAGCGCCATTTTCGAACACCTTGATAGAGCCTGTGGCTGAGCCAACAACGGCCTTCTCGCCTGCCCATTTGGCATCAGTGACAGGTCCATCTGTGCTCAAAGTCTGGACAACACTCTTTTGGGCGAGAGAGTAGACGCCAACCACACCATCAAGACCGCCAACAAGAGCCAATTCACCGGTCGAGTTGACAGAGAGAGCACGGCCACCGGGGTATAGAGCCTCAGAGGTCTCAGTCGGTTTGTATGAAGAGATTGCCTCACTTGAGGCCCAGTTCTCGGGGATTGGGCGCTTGCGGCGGGTCTTTGAAAGTCTGTAATCGTGTTAGTATCTCATCTATGACGTCCATTCGATTGACATACGCTGCCTGTGTGTTTTCAATTCGCTCCAGGACCGCCTGGGGCAAGCCTGCGGAGTCCACCTGCATAGCCTCACCACCCGCACGGGTGGCACCAACAGACACATTCGAGAGCGCCTCGCGAGCCTCATCTCTCTCCTGGGTCAGGCGCGCGATGACACGCACCGCGGCATCGTGTTGGTAGAGGGCTGAGCTCAACTCGCGCCTCGTCTGTGCCAGGTTCTGCTGCAAAGTATATGTTTCCAAGGCAAGGGCGTCCCATTCTTCTTGGAACACACCGAGAAGTGACGGGATGGATGTGAGAGTTGGAGGTCGGGGGCGAACGACGCGCTGCGACTTGACATCGATCAGGTCCTCGGTACTAAGCTCTTCGCCGTTCACGGGATCTTTGCCATGCTCGGCAATGTATGCCTCAATGAGGCGCTTTTCGAACACACTGCCTGTTTGACGATTAGATGAAATCGTTGTGCGCAAGGTGGGAAGAGGGTACTTACCGCTCTTGGGAGAGACGACGGGCACTTGAGGTGCCTCTCCAGAGACTGCGATGAGAATTCGGTTAGAGATACAGGGCAATCAAAGTGACTGAAGCGCATTGCGTATGAGTCCACTTACTAGCACAAAGCATGGTTAATTGGGGGTAGTTGATGGGGGTTGGTGAGGACTTGACGCGGAGCGGCTCCTATGGACTTTTCGATGTGTCCCGTTACAGTTTAGCGTCCCAGAGCTGTTCGCGGTGCAGCTATCGCACTTCCACCCTCTCACCTGCAGTTGACTGTCTGTAGCCATCTGGAGGGACTAGACATGCAAATTATTCCATGATCTACAAGATTGGCTGAAGGCAGCACTGAGCTTTATTTGAAAGCGCTGCGACACTCGCATCAGCAACAATTGCCAACATGCCGAAAAACCCCAAGTTTGAATATGGTACAATACATTCCACTGATATCGCATACTCTATGTTGTTCTAACACACCATCCAGATGCGAAGCAGCCTGCGTTTTTGCAAAAACTCCGAGGCGAGTACGGGGACAACACCGGTCGCCTGGAGCGGCCTGCCCTACGAGCGACCAGACTGAAGGTCAACAAGGATGATGATGACGACGAGCCTATCTATGTCGATGAAGAGAGCAACGAAGTGATCTCCAAGGAGGAATATAAGACACTGGTGGGTGGAAGCGAGTCCAAAGAAGCTGAAAAGGACGATCTGGCAAAGGACAAGGCCGGGGATGAGACCCAGCCCCAGACAGAAAACAGCAAGCAGAGCAATCTCACTGAAGTTGGAGGCCAGCGGAAGCGAAAACAAGTCAAGGTGGTGGGGGATGACAAGGCAGAGGCAGAGGCAGAGGCAAAAGAGCAACCCAAGCCGACTACCAAGAAACCAAAGAAGGCGAAAAAGATCAAGCTCTCATTTGATGAAGAGTGAGATCCATCATTGCAGTTGGAACGGGGGTTTCCATGCCAGTCTACTGCGAGTCCAAGCATTTAAGACTCACCATGAGTCAAGCAGGCAATTGTATAGCGTCATAGGCCCAGAGGCCGTGTAGAGCCCACGCCTTCAAACACAACCGGATCAGATCACATATAAAAAGAGCCCAGTTTCCGAACGAGACTCAATAATAACGAGAAAAGAAGAGAATCAAAATCAGATCAGTTGAAGCAGTGCAGGTTGGCGGCCTAAGGGCACATTTATCAGCAACTTTTTTTTTCCCTCGCGGGATCCAATCACACTTCCCGGCTTCATTCCTTTAACACCCCGGCCTGTTCTAGCGACAGAACCAAATATGCCTGTGGTGAATGTCGACCAGCTGGTCCGCCTGCAGCGGAAGCCAGAAGACATCAGAAATGTGTGCCCCTCCATCCCACTTTGATCGGTGATGTCAGTTTGCCTTATACTAACCGCAGTCAGATTTGCATTCTAGCCCACGTTGTAGGTCATGATCCAGTTTTCATGGCTATAATCGAATTGCTCACATTTTCTGCTCTAATCAGGACCACGGCAAAACTTCTTTAACTGATAGTCTCATTGCTACCAATGGCATCATCTCACCTAAGTTGGCGGGCAAGATCCGCTACCTGGACTCTCGTCCAGACGAGCAGCTTCGAGGTATCACAATGGAATCTTCCGCAATTTCGTTGTTCTTCTCTATGCTGCGCCGTCCAAGCCCGGATGCTGCGCCAGTGCCTAAAGAGTATTTGATCAACCTGATCGATTCACCCGGACATATCGATTTCAGCAGTGAGGTCTCAACAGCCTCACGTCTCTGCGACGGAGCAGTGGTTCTTGTTGACGCAGTAGAAGGTGTGTGCAGTCAGACGGTGACTGTGCTGCGACAGACCTGGGTTGAGCAACTGAAGCCGATATTGGTTATCAACAAGATGGATCGTCTAATCACTGAACTGAAAATGACCCCCGCGGAGGCTTTCTCGCATCTAAGTCGCCTGTTGGAGCAGGTCAACGCGGTAATTGGTAGCTTTTACCAGGGCGAGCGCATGGAAGATGACTTGCAATGGCGTGAGCGTATGGAAGACCGCATCAATACTTCTACTTCTCAGAATCAAGACCGGAAGAAGCACTCGGCAGATGATGAATCCGCATCTATCATCACAGAGACGACAGAGGCAACAGAGTTCGAGGAGCGTGATGATGAGGATCTCTACTTCGCACCTGAAAAGAACAATGTCATCTTCTGTAGTGCTGTTGACGGCTGGGCTTTCACCATCAGGCAATTCGCCGCAATTTACGAGAAAAAACTGGGTATCAAACGCACAGTTTTAGAGAAGGTTCTCTGGGGTGATTATTATCTGGACCCCAAGACTAAGCGTGTCTTGGGAGTGAAGCACTTGAAAGGTCGAGCTCTTAAGCCCATGTTTGTCCAATTGGTTTTGGACAGCATCTGGGCAGCCTATGCAGCCACCACAGGTGGAGATAAGGGCAAAGGGTACGCACATACAAACCCTGCCTCCTTCTCTGCTGAAACCGACACTGACATGAAGTATACAGAGACCCGGTATTGCTGGAAAAGATTACTAAATCTCTCAACATTAACATCCCGCCTTATATTCTTCGTTCCCGCGACCCTAAGAACATCATGACTACTTTGTTCTCTCAATGGCTCCCTCTATCTACGGCTTTACTGGTATCTGTCATTGAGTATCTCCCCAGCCCACCGGCTGCCCAAACTGCTCGACTACCAGAGATGATCAAGACATCGCCTGGCTCCGATTTCATTTCCGAGGATATCAAAAAGGCCATGGTCGGATTCAAGACCGGCCCTGATGAGCCAGTTGTGGCATATGTCAGTAAAATGGTTGCAATCCCCGAGAGTGAACTCATGTCGAGCAAAAAGCGAAGTGGGGGCACCATGACTGCCGACGAAGCCATGGAGATTGCCCGCAAAAAGCGAGAGGAGATCGCAAAGATGCAGGCTGAAGCCAAGGACGCACAAGGAGATGATTTCGAGCGCATGACATCAGCTTTCGAAAACACTACTTTGATTACTGAGACAGAGGATGAGGATACTGAAGCAGCCGGAAAGGAGGAAGATCCTGACCACCTCATTGGCTTTGCCCGACTTTACTCTGGCACCATCTCTGTTGGAGACGAAATCTACGTGCTGCCACCCAAATTCTCACCCGCCCATCCCCATGCCAACCCCGAGCCCAAGAAGGTCACAGTCACAGACCTGTACCTACTCATGGGCCGAGCCCTCGAGCCTCTCCAGTCAGTTCCAGCTGGCGTGGTCTTCGGAATTGGAGGTCTTGCAGGATACGTGCTCAAAACAGGCACTCTATGTAGCCAAATTGAGGGCAGTATCAACTTGGCTGGTGTTTCCTTGAGCACGCCACCCATTGTGCGAGTTGCCTTGGAACCCACCAACCCGGCCGACCTGAGCAAGATGGTAACTGGTCTGCGCCTGCTGGAGCAGAGTGATCCATGCGCACAGTACGAGCAGCTCCCCAGTGGCGAGCACGTTATCCTCACAGCTGGTGAACTTCATTTGGAGCGTTGCGTGACAGATCTTCGTGAGCGATTCGCCCGTTGCGAAATCCAGACTGGTGAAGCTATCGTGCCCTACCGCGAGACGATTGTCCATGGTCCAGAGATGGCTGCGCCCAAGAATCCGGACCTTGGCCGAGGAGCTGTTCTGTCTGTTTCTGCTTCTAAACAGATGACTCTTCGCCTGCGGGTGATGCCGATGCCTACGGCCGTGACAGACTTCTTGACAAAACAAGTTGGAACTATCAAGCAGCTCCAGTTGGAGAAGCGATCCGAATCCGAAGGAAAGACAGAGGCTGAAAAGGAGGCCGAAGCCGTTGTAGATGGAACCGGTGAAGCGCCCGAAGGCCAAATCCTCTCCAAGCAGGAGTTCCGCGAGGGCCTAGACAAGGTTTTCAACGAGGAAGTTAAAGAAGACAAAGAGCTTTGGAAGAACGTCGTCGATAGAATCACTGCATTTGGTCCCCGTAGAGTCGGCCCCAACGTGCTAGTCGACGCAACTGCCGTCAACACCTGCGACAAATTGTGAGTCTACCAAACCCGCCATATTGAACGGATAACTAACAACCCCAGCTTGGCCGATGACATCAAGCCCCAGATTGCCGGAGACAACCAACAGGCCCTGCTAGTGCGCGACTTCTGTGACAAGATTGCCTATGCCTTCCAACTCGCAACAGGCCAAGGCCCTCTGTGCCAGGAACCCATGCAAGGCGTGGCCGTTTTCCTAGAGGAGCTATCTGTTCAATCCAACAGTGACGATCTCGACATGGGTCGACTAACAGGCGAGTCCATCCGACTCGTCCGCGAAGGTATCTCGGCCGGATTTCTAGACTGGAGTCCTCGCATCATGCTTGCAATGTACAGTTGTGAAATTCAAGCAACAAGTAAGTCACCACACCGGCATATCCAAAGGTTCACCATAACTAATGCAACCACAGCCGAGGTTCTGGGCCGTGTTTACGGTGTGATTACCCGTCGCCGAGGCCGTATTCTCTCTGAAGTCATGAAGGAGGGTACCCCCTTCTTCACTATCCTGGCTCTTCTGCCGGTGGCCGAGTCCTTCGGGTTCGCTGAAGAGATTCGCAAGCGAACTTCTGGTGTCGCGCAGCCGCAGCTTATCTTTGCCGGCTTCGAGGCACTCGATGAGGATCCATTCTGGGTTCCAGCTACGGAGGAGGAGTTGGAGGATCTGGGAGAGCTTGCAGACAAGGAGAACGTTGCGAAGAGATACATGGATGCTGTTCGAGGTCGGAAGGGATTGGTTGTCCAGGGCAGGAAGTTGATTGACGCCGAGAAGCAGAAGACGCTGAAGAAATAAGGAGCAAACAACAAAGAAAATCGGAGATGATGTGCATAGATGGATATACAAATGAGACCAAATCGCGTTTGATGTTTCAAACCTAAAACCTTGCAAGGACCTGCCCAGGTGAAATTTACGAATCCCATGCTTCATTTGCAGGGTATCTATGAAACTAGAAGTTGATATCTCGACATGATTTTGGTGCGTGTCCATGGGTAATAACTACACAGAGCAAGTTACGTGATACAGTTTTGGAGTAGATCAGTGAGGCAGTTAGCCCTGCAGGGCTGAAGACATCTCGGGACAAACACTTGAGAGCCCGGAAGAGAGACTGGCTCAAATGGTATTCATTGGTGAATCACGATTCCACGGGGTATCTTTAGTCTTAAGAGTCGCCAATGTCAATATCCAGGGTGGCCAACTGTATACTCAGTTGAACTCGAGAACCGGCTACCCGGTCCGTAACTGGGTGTTCACGTGGCATGTCGATGCAATCGAGCATCAGGAGGGCAATGCTCGAACGACATGCATCACAAGGGGGCTGGTATGTCTCGCATGAGAGCCAGAATTAGCATTGTCTGCATATATCTCAGAGACCATGCCCTTGATAAGGGAGAGGCCACATGTGCAGCCTTGGTGTGCAAGTCAGACATGACAAGGCATTCCAGGAATTTGAAAGGCTAAGCTAACAAAGCAGCCAGTCAATTCAAGGTAGATGGCAAGAAGCCATCCTCGCAAAGGGATTTCCGATAAGAAGTTTTGGAAAAGTAGAGTTCCTCAGAAAGGTCTGGCAACCTTCCTTGGCTCTCCGGTTCCAGTGACGGGATCTCTCATTTCTTTCCAACTGATTGGGAACATCATGTTACCCGCCTCACTCCGAGCCATGACAACACCAAGATCATTGCGCGCAGTAGTGATATAGTAGGAACTCTGATCACCAAGCGAAATGACGGAACCGCGAACGATATCACCAACGCGGAACATCTCATCCATGACAACACGATCCTTTTCAACGGCGCGGACGTCCTCTTTGCGGATAAGCGCCTGGAAGCGCAGGTCGTCAGTGCCAGAGTGGTTCTCCGGGTTGGCGGCGGAGGTGAGGATGGAAGCGATGTTGTCGTTATCCGAGGCTGTTTGTGATGATGTCAAGTGTTCGGATTCATCTAAGACAACAAGGATCGAGACAATGGCCTGGCGTTTCTGCACTCGCGTGACTCGCGCGAGGACGTTGGATTCAATTGCTGGTAAGGTGTTGTAGCGGGGTTTGGGCTTTGCGGCATCGGAGGTGCTGGCATTTTGAGGTTGCAAATCTTTGGGTGAGATCACTCTTGAGACTCGGAGGGTGGGCTTCGGTTGGATCTTTGGCTGAGCTGGGTCTGCTATCACTGGTCCCGCGATGGAGGCATAGATGAAAGATTCCTGGACGTGAGTGCCGGGGCCGGCTGAATATGACGAAAGGGAGCCTAGGCGCTGTCCAGGGATGGCAATTTGTGGAAGAGATGCCATTTCGGAGTGTATTTGCAAGTGATTGGAGAGGTGGTAGAGCTCTTTCGTTGACAAGACAGTGATTTTGCTCCCCAAAAAAATCGGGGAGCTGCGATGCGGGATCGGGGGTAAGTTTGTCCGGTCTATCTACTCCATATGCCCTCGACACTAAAGCGAAACCACTAGAAATATCATCACATTGTCCGTGAGAAAGTACATAAAAACCATTTTGCGGTAGGCAAGTAATTATAGGGCCCATATCTAACATGGCTCGAAAGTGTATGCGATGGAACAAAAAAGAGACAACACCGGCCCAAAAATATCATGGACATGTAAGAAAGGGGACAGAAACAATACAAGAACCAACCCATATCACTCCAATTACCCATTGACAAACGCAAGCGGAGTTGACTGGATTGCATGCCATACAACACGCATCGGGGGAATGAAAGAGACCCAGCATAAGAAAACCGATAGCATATGGCACAGAACAAACCGAAAACAATGGTTAATCAGATAAACGGGGTTCAAGCTTCCACCAGGGTTTGCTTAGGACCTGCCCCAAGCAATTCCAGACAGCGACGAGCGAGCGTAATGACTTCCCCTTCGCCGTCATCAACATCTTCCTCGTCGGATTCGATGTTCTTGTCAGAAATTGTCTTCACCAGCTGGACGATGTCGTCAGATCTGGATATGTATCCAATGAGCTTTTTGTCTTCGGACTCAAGCAATTGTAGAAGAGTCCAAATAGCAATGTGTTGGAAAGTCGGGTCACCGCTAGCGAGGAAGCGATGGAGGTAGCCGTGAATGCCGCCATTGGAGTCTGCCCAGTCACGAACGAACATAGAGTAGTCACCGACTAGGTCATGTTAGTAATTGGCTCGCGCATGGATAGAGATAAAGAGAAACGGAAGGTACCTTTAGAGGACAAATTTCCCAGAGCGGCCGCACTGTTACCTTGCACCTCGATGCTATCAGAGTTTGTCAAAGGAATCAAGACGTCAAATACCCCCAGGCTCAATAGATGCGGCTTGAGGTCCTCGCTGAGTGCCAGCACAGCGATGGCAGCAGTCATCTCGGACTGAACTGTAAGAGGGACTCGGAGAACTAAGTCCTTGCACTTCTGAACTGCGCCGGCCTGCAATACAAGCTCCTTGTTGCGATCAGAGCTAGCGGCAAGGTTACGGAGAGTTGAGATGGCGTGGCACTGGATTTCCTCGTTGTCGGTCGAGCCCAGAAGGTCGACCAAGGGCTTCAAGAAGCCCGCTTCGATGATTGGTGATTCATTAAGAGGGTGAATGGAGATATTGCGAATACAGGCGACGGCGGAGAGAATGAGGGGAAGGTATGAAGATTGCAGAAGGCGGAGTAGTGGGGAGAGACCCTTCGCCCGAACGATTTCGAGCTGATATTTCTCGTCTGAAGCGAGGTTACGGAGGGCGAGTGCTGCTTGACACTGTACTTTCGGGGTGGATGAATCCATAAGATGAACCAACGACTGCACTAGGCGCGACTCGGTCTGCGCGAGTCGTTTGCGATTGGTCGAGTCGACGGCGATGTTGCTGAGAGCTGTTGTGCAGTAGTATTGGACGTCGACGTCGGGGGATGAGAGAAGATGCACGAGCACAGGGATAGCGCCAGCGTTAACAAGTTGTTGGCGGTTATCATCTAGTCTTGGTATTAGAGAAATGGTCCCGGTTGAACGTCGGCGAGGGCGAACTGCTTACCGGAATGGGTCATGTTGAGCAATGCGCCCGTCGCATTACGTTGAACACGCATGTCCTTCGACTTGGCCAGACGGATGAGGGGACCTAAAGCACCGGAGCGAGCGATCTTGGCTTTGTTCTCCTCGTGTGTCGCCAGATTCGTGATACACCCAACGGCATTACACTGTACCTCGACATTGGGTGACATCATCTGGCGAATGAGGGGAGCCAACCCCCCGAGAGTCACGATTAGGACCTTGTTTTCCGCTGTTCCTTGTTAGCGACCGTAAGCAGAGGAAGATGATGGAGACGGACCATTCACGGCAAGATTGCCCAATGCTGCGCTAGCAGCCCGTTGTACTTCGATATCCGAGCTTTGCAGGAGGAAGAGGATAGGTTCAAGGGTATCGCGGTCGACTTCGCGCACGTCTGAGAGGGAATGATTAGAGGTATTATATGAGCATGCAGTGGAGGAGACGCACCTCGCTCTGTGATTTCCGCGAAGGTCAAGCTCGCGCTTCGCTGCAAGTCGACATTTTCGGAGTAAACCAGGGTGCTCAGAGCTCGGAGAGGCTCGCCGTGGAAGAAGTCGGTCTCCGCGCGCTGTGTGTCGGTAATGATCCAGGTCAGTGAAGTTCACATGTCAAGGTTGCACGGGGGTTCGACAAGTCCCACGTTGACATGGGAGGAAAGATCTGGAAGGTGGTGAGGGGAGTGATAGCTTGGAATGCACGTACGTTCTCCAAGTAGCCCAGCAGGTCAGACACCGCCTCTCGCTCATTGTCGGCCAGGGTCGTTTCATAGATTCCATCTCGAGAGCGAGCTCCAATAGGGCCGAGGCATGCTGATATATGACACCATCGGTCGACTGCCGACAGACAAGACAGACAGGACGCTGCGATTCCACTCATGTTGGCTAGCAGGCCCGCATTAGGCGCGGTCCTGCAAATTTAGAAGGGCGAGGGTAGAGGAGGAATTCAAGAGCGACACATAAGTCCGAAGAAAAGATGGAAAGCCGCGCGTGACGAAAGGAACTTTGGCAGGAGGAACACCGCTGGAGGCTGGAAGGAAGTTGGGGGAGGGGAGAGAGGTCTCGCCTCAGGCAGAAACCTGGGCTTTGCTCCAAGTTCACCCGATCTCTCAGATATGTGACATTCTCGATATTTTGGTCAAGATCAAGGTCATTGATTTCTACCTCACTGAGAGATCTCTTTTTCCCTTGATTCTCTCCAACGCATACCTCTCAGCGCCCCCCGCCCGAGACGGAGTACCCGTGGACATCATCGGTAGCTCCTGACCAATCCGAGACAAGGGATCACCTCAGCTACAGCTTGACCCGGGCATTCAAGCGGGTTCCCTCAGTGCTTCCTTTACGGGTTACTCTCAGTGTGCTGCGTGAGAACATTCTCGGGGGTATTCTTCCAAGGTTGTGAGTTTGCCCTCGGGTCCGTGCCAGAGGACGTGATCGCTCCTTGTGATGGATGGTCATCAGACATCACACGTGAAAGGGTATCACCAGTACAGAGGATTGCACGGGTTCGACGGTGTACAGTGTGTACTAAACTGTGTAGTAACTACTAGTAGTTAGGAGAGAATGTTACGAATGTCAAAGACATGCACATATAAGCATAAAAAAGAGACCCATGGGTCCGGTCACCTCCAATCCAGTTTAGCCTCCTGCACATCATATGCTTCGATATGTCTCGGCAGTACGGAGTATGGGATTTCGATCTACTCTACGGAGTACACTTACTAGTCCTCCTAGATACGGGACAATGTCTGCTTCGGTTTGATGGCCGAGGTCTCGACATAGGCTAGTCCTAAGGTTAAATTAAGATCGGTGCCTCTCCACCAGAGCTAACCCCGAAAACCCTGTAAGAGATTTCGACGGGTCCGCTGAAGCCCTAGCAGGATCTGGGAAGTCGAGATCGGTGAATTTTCATTTGCGCACAGAAGATGCCGAAATGAAATGGGTCAAAGAAGCGTGTCGATTGGCAAGTGGGAATTTTTGCGCCAGCCCACTTGGGTCTCTCGATCCATGAACTCTGAAGGGCTCCCGGACACTGCATACCCAGGGATCTCATGAACTCGCCACATTACCATTGGGATATTCTTTGTACTCGTAGAAGATGTCTATATAGAAATTGAGCATTGCGGGGAAATAGGCTCATGGCATCGCCAAGACAGGGCATTAATAGCCGATGGCGAGGAGTATAACCTTGGAACCATATCTTTTCGTCACCTCAGACTCTTTCTGGATCTTCGACCTGGCCGATTGCAAAAATCGCCTTTTAAACCCCCTTTTCGCGCTCTTGGCACATCGGCCTTGCACATCTTGACATTCCTGATTTTCTTTGAAGCACGAGATCCATCATATGATGTCTTGCTAGCCGCACATCTTTTGATACTCTGCCGTGATTCTTGTGACTTTGTCTTCTTGATTTCTTTGCTCATTTTCCACTGCGTGAGGCATCGCTCTTTTCCCTGACTTGGGTCAACCGATTCGATGTCGAGTACTTCAGTCACCGCCTCCACCTCCCTCCCCGACCACTCTCGTCCGAGTCGCTTGCGCCGCTTTAGTCAACTGCGGACATATACGCAGACTTTATCGTCCACCAGCTCTCAGCGATCGAGGAATAGTCTGAGTAGTCGAGTGCCTTGGCGCTCCTCGGTGTCGGGATCAAACTCTCCGGTGGAGAACCCCAATCCATGTCCTGAAACCGAACCATCTCTCTCCCGCTACACCTCCGCGCCCACCCCGAGCTACGGCATCGGTGAACTCAACGGCCACGCCTCATCTGCAGAGTCCGCCACCTCGACCCCTTTGAACGAGGTCGCCGAGACACCTGATGAAATGGCGCGGCTGAGGAGCGCATCGGCTGCCCAGCGCCCCCCGCCTCGCACACTCGAACGGACAGCGACCAATTCTCAAGAACCAGCTCCGTCCCCTGAGCCGATCGTAGCCTCCAACCATGTGGCAGAAGCTGCCCCCGTCGAGTCGAATACTCCGCCAAGGGCAGAAACAAAGGCGACTATTCGTTTCTTTCCGTACACCGACGCCTCTCAAAGCTCCAGGCCGTCTCTGCCTTTCGTTCCCGTCACTCGAACCCTTCCATCCGAAAGCTGTGTAATTCGCGTTGGCCGATACTCTGAACGCGACGGTGTTCCGATTCCCAACCCAACGGAACCCACAGATACCCCTGTGGGCTTCAAGTCCAAGGTGGTGAGTCGGAAACATTGCGAGTTCTTGTATGTGAATGGCCAGTGGCATATCAAGGATGTGGGAAGCTCATCGGGGACCTTTTTGAACCATATGCGCCTAAGTCAGCCGAATATGGTGTCCCGTCTATACTCCATCAAGGATGGCGATATCGTGCAGTTGGGTATCGATTTCCGCGGGGGAGAAGAGATGATATTCCGATGCGTTCGAATTCGTATTGAATGCAATCGTTCATGGCAGCAGAAGCCTAATGAATTCAAGTAAGACTCTCCGCTCCCCTTGGAGGTCGTGTGATACTAACCCGTCTAGCAAAAACACCGAGAGTTTAATCAAAAATCTTGGAAAGGGAGAGACTGCTGACTATTCGGGCTGCCGCGAATGCTCGATTTGCCTTGGCTCCGTCCTGGTAGGTTTCCCGGCTTCTTCTTCACTCCGCCGAGACTAACTTTGTCATAGCGCCCCTACCAGTGCTTGTTCATGGCAGCATGTGCGCACGTCTGGCACTATAAATGCATCAGTCGCTTACTCCACTCTCCCGATTACCCTATGTTCCAATGCCCAAACTGTCGCGCGTTCACCGACCTCAGCGCCGACGTTGACGACACCAACGAAATCGACGATACGCCAGCAAACGATGAGAACGATCATGCTTCAAATTCTTCCAGAGAGCCTGATACAGATGCACCTTCGGCCACCGGGACGAACAGCACAGAGGAGCCGCAGGAGCACCTGCAGGAGCTCCCCGAGGAAGCGATGCTGGCCAACAACGTTGAAAATCTGCATTTAGAAGAGTTGGATCAGCAGATGGAAAGCGCCTTTCGCACAACCTCTCCCGTTTTAGACTCGTCCAACACCAGTCTCGCCCGCAGCGCCACTATAAGTGTACCAGGTTGGCAACCTTCGTTGCCACTCAGCGTGCCTGCAGGCCGCCAACCCCAGCTGCGATCCGACACCCCTACATCCGATGATAATCCGTTGACGCCACGGAATGACTCTGGCCCACTGGCCTTTGATGGCCGAGCAGGCATGCCGTAGGCTCGATCGGCTTGGAAATACTATTCACTCATCTTTTTGCCATCTATCTCCCACCGGGAGAACATCATTGTGCATTTTCCGATATCTCCATTGCGGGGTCGGGTTTCTGCCCGGGCTGCGGGGCCTGCTCTACATACACATACCGTTTGCATTTTTGGGTAGCGCTTATTCATGTCCATTCAATTCGATTCACCGTGGCGGCTGGTTCTCTTCATTTTCTTTCCATATCCCCTCGTCATGTTAACGCTTCAACATCTCCTTTATACCCACTTTGCATCCTATGTTTTCTCATATTTCGGGTCTTTCAGCGAACCAGGAAATTGATTCGTTGAGTCTTTGTATACACACCATCTTTGGTATATGTATACATGCAATATAACAAATGTGACATCTAGGTAACCTCATTTACCCTCAAGCAGATAATGCCAGATAGGTAGGCGTGTTCGATAGCTTTGAATGAGTTTAAATCGATCGAGGCTTCGGTACAATCTGAACCCCCGTGTTTTCCTGGAACCAACTGCCCAGTGGTCATTCTACCCTCAATGGCATAAAATGCCCAGGTGGCCTTGTCGCAGCATAGGATTTCGTAATAGGAAAAATTGAGGGCCTATTCCAGGATTCAAAATCACGCGAGAAGTACGCACAAGGTGCTTTGAATGATAATCAGGTCTAAGTAACTACTCAATATTATACACAGCTCTCCTAAGCTAGATCCCTCAGGCCAAGTGAACATTGAAGCTGCCATGCTTCTTAAGATCCCTGGAAGAGGCACCGACATACACACGGTATGAGCCTGATGCAACAGCCCAGTTCTGCGCCTTGACATCCCAATAGGAGATATCACGACGACGCAAGTTGAACTTCACTTCCTCTTGTTTACCCTTCTTGATCTCGACGTTCTCGAATCCACGCAGCTGGCGAATAGGCTGCTTGGCGGCGTTGGGGTAAGAGATATAGAGCTGGGGCACTTCCGCACCATCAACAGAGCCAGCATTGTGGATCTTGATGCTAACACTAGCGACAATATCCCAAAGATCCTCATAGCCACCAACAGCCCGCTTTCCAGTAGGGAAAGCAGAAAGCGACTTGGGGCCGTCGATGTGAAGGTCCGAGTACTTGAATTCGGTGTATGAAAGGCCGTAGCCGAACTCATAGCGGGGTGTCACGTTGTAAGCGTCGAAGTAGCGGTAGTCGATGAAGTTGCCTTCGGTGAAGTTGCACTGCTGTGTATAGCAGAGACCGACATTGTAGTCAGATTCGTTCTTGGCGATGGTGTGGATGAGTCGACCGCTGGGGTTAACATCGCCATACAGGACATCAACGATTGAGTTACCGGATTCCTGCCCGAGAAGTCCACCGTAAACAACAGCAGTGACATTCTCGTTCTCGATCCAATTGTCGACGAGTCGGACACCGGCAGAGTTGATCACAACGACCGTGTTGGCACAGTTCTCTGCAACCTGGTTGACAAGGGCGTCCTGGTCAGCGTTGTACAGCTCGGTGCGATCGGCTCCCTCGCCAGCAAGAGCATTGATGAATACAAGGCACACATCCATATTCTCGGCATAGTTGCTGATAGAAGGCGTGGTGGAGGTAGTATCGGATCCTTTCATAACCAGGGTGGACCCACTGGATGAACTGTAGGTATCGTTTGCGACCCAGCGGAGCATGGTTCCGTCCTGGCTTGCCTTGATAGTCAAGGCAGTTTCGGGGGTAATGAGATAAGGGAGGGAGCCTTGACCAGATCCAGAATCTGTAGCAAGATGGCCGTCGTAAGTGGGACCGGAGCCTTGAACACTGAAAGCCATATTGGGGCCGGCGACAGCGGCGCGAGCGTGAGATCCGAAAATAGCCATAGTGTGAGGCTTGCTCAAGGGAAGTGTGTTGTTCTTGTTCTTCAAGAGAACCAAGGACTTGGAGCCGTGGGATCGAATCAGCTTGGCGTGGTTGCCACGAACATCGACGTAAGCATCCTCTGACAAGGTAGCAGTCTGGGTGCCGTTGTCAAGATTGGCATGATACCAGCCAATAAGGTTACGGGTGGCCATATCGTTCAGGCGGGCTTCGGTCAGATTCTTGCCCTTCAGGAAGCCTGTCATGGCAGATGTGCTCCACAGACTCGAAGATCCATAGTCCAGGCCGTTGATCGCCGAGGCCAGGGCGTTCTGCTGCGCCATCTGATCGGGGAATACCAAGCCAGGGTAGCCCAGCTCTTCCTTCAGGATGTCCAAAAGAAGGGATGAAGATTCACAGGACAGTGTGTTGTTGACCTTGTTCATGGCACACATCATACCACCGAGACCGGAATGTACAGCATCGTAGAAACTCCAAAGGTAGGTCTCATGGAGGGTCTTGGAGTCTACGTTGGAGGAGTATGGTGCACCAGAAGACGAGCTTTCACCCATGGAACGAGCAGCATGCGAGGAGCTAGATGAGGATGAAGGTGCGGCAGCGCTTGAAGAGAAATTCGCGCCGCCTGGAGGGCTTCCCATACCACCGCCCATACCACTGCCACCGCCGCCTCCGCCTCCACTTGAGGATCGGTTCGTCTCTTGTTCATTGAGAATGAAGTGCTGTGGTTGCGTGTCAGCGTCATCGTTCTTTTGATTAGCTGACAGTTGAATCCTCCTACCTTAGCACCTGCAATAACACCAACATCATTGTAGGCCTCCACGGTCAATCCCGTGGCGATACCATTGAGGTAGGGGTCCGGCCCGAAAGTTTCGACCAGACGGCCACCCCAAGGAGTGCGTCCCATGGGCTGAGATGTTGGTCCGGTGACAACCTGCACGCCCTTGAGATAGGCCTCCATGGCGACAGCCTGAGATTGCTTGTACATGGCATCCTTATCCCAGGTCATGGCCAGGGTGGAGGATTGACTGAATGCGGAGACATAGTAGTAGTCCTGCAAGCCCATAGCACCATCCAAAAACTTCAAGGCAGTGAAGGACTGGCCATCAGTTGTCGATGCATCGCTTCCAGTGATGAGCTTCAGCTTCTCAGTTGTGTTGAGCTTGGAGACAAATTTGGTAGCTTTTTCATAAGCGACTTGCCAGTCACCAAGTGATACTGAATGAAGTCTGTTAGTTCAATGAAGAATATGTCTGGAAGCTTGGTGTACCATTGTTGTTGGAGAGAAGACCTGCATTGGAGCTGGAGGCAGCAGCAGTCACCTCCAGCAGAGCACAAAGGAAAGACAAAGAGTGAATCTTCATCTTCGGAAGATGAAGGGTGAATTAGACGCAGAGAATAAAAGAATGAAGTATCCATCTTGAGACGGGGTTCTCTCGAGTTTTCATAGTCGAAGCCGACGCGTACAATGGCTATAGTATCGGTCCAGGGTGGGAAAAACAAGGTTTCATATCCACTCAAATGGCTTAGCCCTATGGGTTCTCAGAGTGCTATTACGCGGACTGATGATCCCTTTGCACAAGGTGACCGAATAGCGGAAATTCCTGCATCCCGGAAAAGCCGAGATTTAAAGCCCAGAGAGCGTTTATCGGTATTCAATTCGAAAGCGGGAGGTCTCCCTGCCGATCATCTATTCGGGTGCATTTCTGAAACATCAGGTCGGCTTGCCGTACTCCGTACAGGTACAGGATACAGAAACGAAGCAGTGTTTCTAGTTGTTTGAGAACCCAAGTGACTGTTCCATAATCCTTACCGTTCTTACCAATGTTAGATCTAGTTTGATATAGAGTGGCCATCGATAATAGCAGACACTGGACCCCGCTGAGGTGACGATTCAAGGTCTACCCGACCCTTCCGGTGCCGAACCTCAGCACCTAGGCACTAATAACTGATTCTGCCGTTCCGTAATTAGTGAAGTCCTCTCCAGGAATTGCCTCTAGAAATTGACTCTCACCACCCGGCGGGCCGGGAGACATCTGACTGCAATATCATCCTGGGTTTATCGCACACGGGTCTACGTGTGTGTATTGATTACTTTCACAAAGTTTGCAGATGGGTATCTCGGACCGTCAAATAAACTCTTGTCTCTGCGCAAAATCCTCTAGTTGGTCGTAGGGTTAACTTTACATCAAACACAGGAAGAGGGGGGGGCCTCATGTATGTGCGAGCCACTGCTTATTCTCTGACCAGAAACCTTGAAAGCGGATTCTCCAGGGCTGTCTCCCGCAAATCTCCATCATGACTTCTCGCTCTTTTTTAATCCCCCTCCCTTGAAAACAGGATTTGACTATGTACCAAGGTACAAGCTGTGAGAAAATTATTGCGATTGAATAGATTGTAGTGCCCCGGGTAGTACCACCACTTCCCGCCACCAGCGTTTCGTTCGCGTGGCTGCTGGGTAGTTACCTAGGTGCTTAGATATGTATTGGGTTCCAAGGTTTTTATCAGTAGCCTGCTATGAATATAAGTTAACGCACTCGCTTAATACTATCATCAGCTACCTAGGTACTAGGTAGGTCCATGCCCAGGTGTATTTGAAAGTTGATAGAAAGCGAGCATTTCAACACTAGTATGGTGTGGCCTACTTCTTGAAGCCACTATTTTCGGAGATCGATTACCTAGGTACCTATCTAGGTGTGTTCCCTTCAACTTTCCAAGGTTTGATGTTTTCCAAGTTGTCCAAGGTTTGCTTCTTATGATGTTTGTACCTATGCTTGCGCCATATATATCCCTTTCACTTCAAGGTTTCCAAAATTTCCCTTCCAAGGTTCCCCTTGCTAGCCCCAAGCTTGATTTCTTCTACATACCTGCCCAGGTGGGTACCTTGGTTTTTTCTAATCATTTCAGAGATCTGGATTTGATTCAGCTTTCCAATAGTACACTTCGCATCGTGATAGAACTGTGCAGGCTCCAGGACTCTGATTTCACGTGATCTCGCCCCGCTGCCCGGGCGTGCCAAAGTGGGTCTTCCCAAGATTGTCACTGGACCCGCTTTTGATATCTTCGTTGTCCTGGTCAACATCGCAATTCTCCAGTGATATACTCCTGGGCAGTCTTGATCCAGTGAATTTACTTGGGTGACTGACGCCACCGGGATATCCAGCAGCATGAGGTTGAACTTCAGCGAGCCACCCACTCCAACCCTGAGTCGCCAGAACACCACGATTCAAGGCCATCACCAACGACGTGGTACCCATCCGCACCGCATGTCATCACGTGCCAAGCCAAGAAGGTGAGCTAACAGAAGCCAAATATACAGTTTCAATGTATTGATCTTTCTAGATGGCCTTTGGTTTTCCGCTTTATCAAAGGTGCAATTCATGGCGCCATCTTATTCTCGGTTTTCTTGCACGCTGTATTCACAGCCCTGATCGTCTATCTGGATACTTATGTATTCGACACTGTTGGGCTACCAAGCACTATTGTATGATCTCGAGCAGTATCTTCCAGGTTACATTGCAACTAAACATGACCCAGATCCCTTCATTGTCTATTGTCGTGGGATTGATGCTTGTCTTCCGCAACCAAACCTCCTACAACCGGTTCTGGGATGGGCGCAACGGGATGAACTCGGTCAATACCTGTGTGCGCAACCTTGTCCGCACAATCGCAACGAATAGTTACAATTCCAAACGTGGACCGCCCACGGCTGCAGAGCGCGAGGACATTGAGCGCACGATTCGAATCCTCATGGCAATCCCATATGCCGTGAAGAACCATCTACGCGCTGAATGGGGTGCTGCCTGGGTGTTTGGCGGCTCTGTAGATGAGGACTTGAGTTCCATGCATGGAAGTACGCTTTACAACCCCGATTACGCCAACTTGCTACCAGCGGGCTTGGTGGGACATGAAGATGAGGGCTTGGGCCTTCCTTTCCAGTTGACCTTTTTCATTGATGGATTCATCAAGCGCGGCGAAGAGAGAGGCTGGTTTCCTGCTCCGGGCGCTAGTCAGATGCAGGCTCAGTTGAATACGTTGACTGATGCGTATGGGAAAATGGAGACAATTAAGTTGACTCCCATTCCGGTCGCTCATTTGTAAGTTCTGACTCAAATTATTGCTTTCCAAGGTTGGGTGTTTGGCTAACGGGAAATGTTGCAGAATTCATCAGAAGCAAGTCCTCGCTCTATTCGGTTGCGTCCTCCCTTTTGCAATGGTTGACGAAATGGGATGGTGGGCAATTCCTATTGTCAGCCTGGTCATCTTCACTCTTTATGGCATCGAGGGAATAGGATCCCAACTAGAGGATCCATTCGGCTATGACCGAAATGACATCAAGATGGATGCTATTGCCGGCGACTCAAAGGTTGAGATTGACGTCGTTCTATCCGAGTGGCGGACACACTCTAAAGCTATGGATGCTTTGAGAAATCAACCTGCTGGAGCGTACCATGGAGACTTATGCCTTACCCCCAATCGCAACGAGGACGGTGCTGGCAGAGGAAATGACAAGTATGCACCACCAGACTTGTTCTTGAGACTTAGGTCAAACACAGGGAGACAGGCATGATTCATTCATGGATAGACCTAGGTAGAGATGACCAATCTGTTTTCATGCCCCCGTGGCTCTAGGGTGCCGCGGGGTGATGCATTGTGTGGTATAAAGTTGCAAATCTTTCTTGTAAGGTGAACTCCCCCACCTGGGCTTTTGTATGAGAATAGACTTCCTGTGGCGACTGCATGCATGATGATTGCTGTGGACTCAGCCTGACCGTGACTTAAACATCTAAGCAATGCTGAGAGCAGAGTCTGATCCCAGTTGGGTTTCTGATGCAATCAAATGATAGCCCAGATCCAACTAGAAAGATTACAACGGTGGCTCGAGGGCCAAAACACCATCCAGTATCGAATCCGCAGTCACTTCTGCAAGAACATGCGACACTGCATGGATATTGCTTCCGTATTGTAAACTGCGGTCTTCGCCTGGTACTGTGACAATAATGCGGTGGCGGAAAACTTTTCTCGCGGCCAGTGCCACAATCGACGGCGTCAAAAAATCAATTCCATGCAGAGGAGCTAAGAGCCTAGAACTTTTGGTTAATCGTTTCCCCATTTGTGTGCCTACGAAGACGCTAAACTTACTCTGCAAATCGTGAGAATTCAATATTTGCTTTGGCAGATACGCCCCCGGAGACAGCACGACTTAGGCGCAAGAACACAACAATGTCTTGGATATAACGCGCTATTTCGGCACTAGTAGTGACTGACGCACTTGAGTCTCGGAGCTGAGCCATATCCTGAGGCGTGAAGTTTAGTATGCTGTGTCCTGACCTGGATGGTTCGCCCGACTCACCTTCTGCCTAAGCGTGGCGCTCCGTTTTGTATGATTTTCTGACTTATGAACAACGGACGACGTAGAAATTTGTCCATCCGAAAGATAATCATCTTCTTCAAGATGTGAATACCCATCCCCAGGACTGTGGAAATGGGAGATAAAAAGGTTATCGAGCTATGGCGAAGTTAGCCACAGCTAAGAGGAGACAATCGCGCTTGTTTCCAATATTTTGACTCACCAAGTGTTTCTTCAGTGGCGGCTGAGGATGATCGGAATCTCGGGCCACAAGAGGAATGAAGAGAAACTCTTCGGGTGCATTTAAGATACCACTCTCGGTAATCAGTTCTCTCGACCGCATTAACTATACTGGCTGTTAGACTCAACTTGACTTGATGGATTGCTATTGGCTCCCCTACCTGCAGTATGTGCATTTGAAGATCATCGCTGGCAAGGTTAAAGTTTTTGGCGATCACTATGTTGACAACATTATGGTTCGTTAATGGGGTTGGCGTGGCCGGGGGCTTGCTGGTATCCCCAAAGCTTTTGTAGGAAGAGCGCTTGCTTGACTAGTATCGTCAGTACAGGCGTAGGATATAATGAAGACGTCCGGGATCGCAAACCACTTCAGTGTTCAACCAAGGACGCGTTGCTCGATGGTTTGCTCGTGCATCAGGAGAGAGAACCTCATTATAAACGTCCTCAGCAGACGTAGAGGAGGAGCATTCAACGATGCTATATGAATAATCAAATGTTGCCCAGGAAATCTGGCTTCGTCAGAATAAATTTCTCCCGATCTATACAGTAGATCAACATACCAGGGCAAGCTCTTTAGCAAGGTCATTGATGCAATTGCTGGTGGTCTCGATCAAGCAATGCTCGCGAGCAGCAAGACACAGGAAAAGCGCCACTTCAAGATCAGATAATCGCCTGGCAGTGTCTGCAAGATTTGACCCATACATCGAGAAAGTCAAGACATAAAAAAGTCAACAAGGTTGAGAACGCTCAAGAGCAACTGAGGTCGACGGGAGTGGAACGCCTGGGAACCAAGGCGTCAAACACATCCGAAAAGGGCCTAGCGCGCGCGACCTCCCAACATCTCCAACTTCAGAGGGTCTCATCTGTAATCAACAACATGGCACCGAATCCACTTGCCAATTGGGAAAAGATCGGAAACAGTTTCTATCGCAAGCTCGCAGTCTACGACGCTATCTTTGAGGATGACGTGGAGTTGGAAAACTACCTTGTCGCGGGTGCCCCCTACGGTGGAGCTATTGGTGAGCAGCGTTCTAAAGAACATCTGGAATCTGAAGGCTGATTCACGTCAGCGCTATACCGCGACGAGACCAAACCGCTGAGATTGCGGGATGGGCAGGGGTCTCGGTCGACCATTGACGTTTATTCTTGTTCCGGACAACGCATCAACCGTATCAATGTATGTTCGCAACTGATCATCGGATGAAGAGCTGTATGCTAATGTACAAAAAGTGGGAGCAAGCCACAATCAGAGGTTTGGGCTGGTCTGACAAAGAAGAGCTGTTGATTGTCTCCGAGGACGGCACGGTACGACGGTACCTCGGGTTAGACGGGGAGTTCACCTCATTCTCTCTCGGCAATGTGAGTAAAGCTCCATCCGACGAAGATGCAATGCTAATCATTCAGTAGGGCGCCGAGGAGTATGGTGTGAGAGCTTGCCAGTTTTGGTCATCAGGTCTCGTGGCATTGCTTTCCAATAACCAACTAATTGTTGTATCCAAATATGACGAGCCACGCCCGCGGCTTTTGGCACCTTGTCCAGAGGGCGAAGTCTCTTCTTGGGCATTAATACCTCCAGCTCATACATTATCACGCTCTGTCGAGGTCCTCTTGGCCGTTGACAAGACAGTCTTTCTGATTGACTCAACAGAAGCAGAAGACAAAATTTTACAAAATGGACCCTTCAAGCATATTAGTGTATCACCCGACGGGCTATCGGTTGCACTTTTCACCGCAGAAGGCAAGCTGTGGGTTGTCAGCAACGATTTTCAAAGCAAAACCAGCGAATATGACTCGAAATCACGGGTACCACCGAGTACAGTGACGTGGTGTGGCAAGGAAGCGGTGATTCTGGCTTGGGAGGATGAAATCCACCTTGTAGGATTGAATGGAGTCGCTTCGAAGTGAGTCGGCATATTCTTCGTGCGCAGACCAGCAAGGGCTAACATTTCTAGATACTATTATGATGGTCGCGTTCATGTAATACCTGAATTTGACGGTGTTCGCCTGGTCACCAACGAAACATGTGAGTTCTTACACAAGGTCGCAGGTCAGTCGAATCCCCAACAACTTGAACCCCAAAACTTGAATGGACCGGGACTAATTTATCCCAGGTGTCACCGAGGAGATATTCCGCCTTGGCTCTTCTTCTCCCGCTTCGGTGCTTCTGGACTCGGTCGATCAACTAGAAAAGAAGTCACCCAGGGCTGATGAAAACATCCAGCGAATCCGATCGAGTCTGCCTTCAGCGGTTGATACGTGCATAAAAGCAGCGGGTCATGAATACGATGGCTTCTGGCAAAAGCGCCTTTTGAAGGCCGCTTCGTTTGGCAAATCCGTCCTTGATCTCTATAATAGCGACGAATTCGTTGAAATGACTGAAAAGTTGCGGGTTCTCAAATCGTTGAGAGATTACAGGATTGGCTTGCCGCTAACCTATGAGCAATATCTACGTCTCACACCAGATGGCCTCATTGAACGTCTGATAAACCGTCATGAGTATCTTCTTGCAATACGGATTTCGGAATACCTTCAGATTCCCGCCGACAGAGTTTACGTCCACTGGGCCAGCCAAAAGGTCAAAGTTTCAACAGTTGATGATGAAGCTGTGTGTAAACTCATTGTGCAAAGGCTTGATGGCAAACCGGGAATCTCTTTCGAGGCAATTGCCCAAGCGGCCTATAATGAAGGCCGATCTCACTTGGCTACCCAATTGCTAAACCACGAGCCTCGTGGTGGCAAGCAAGTTCCTTTGTTGTTGAATATGGAAGAAGATGAGCTTGCACTGGATAAAGCTATTGACAGTGGAGATGATGACCTGGTGAACTACGTTCTCCTGCATCTCAAGAGCAAGCTTCCTTTAGCAAGTTTCTTTCGACTTATCAACACTCGTCCAATGGCATCTGCGCTTGTTGAGACAGCTGCACGGGGCGAAGACACGGAACTACTCAAAGATCTTTTCTATCAGGATGATCGGCCCATCGATGGAGCCAATGTGCTCCTAGCCGAGGCACTGCGTGAATCTGATCGCGCACGTCAGACGGAAAAGCTGCAACTGGCATCTCGCCTTTTGTCGGATTCCAAGGAGCCCACTGTGGTATTGAACCAGAAATTAGTCACCGAAGCCTCCCAGCTTCTAAAAACCCAGGAGGCCTTGGATAAAGACTTGGCAGACAACAGTGAATACCTTGGTCTCAGTCTAAATGAAACCGTCTACAGACTTGTTCGAGCGGGATACGGCAAAAGAGCGCAAAAGATCCAGAGTGAATTCAAAATGCCGGAGAAAACATTTTGGTGGCTTAGATTGAGAGCATTGGTGGCCAAACGCGATTGGGGGGAGCTGGAAGAAATCGCCAAGGTCAAAAAATCCCCAATTGGGTGGGAGGTAAGGCTGACAACCCTGACTATCCTGACACGTGCTCACAAAGATAGTCTTTCTACAACGAGATTCTGGGTGCTGGAAACACAAAGCTTGCTTCAGGGTTCGTGCCAAAGTGCACTCACCTGCCTCCTGCCGAGAGAATTGAAATGTGGGTAAAGTGCGGAATGATTGTGAAGGCGGGGGAAGAGGCGCAAAAGGCCAAGGACCTCAACACCCTGGAACTTCTCCGGACGAAAGCATCTGGCCCCGCAGCCACCGAGATCGAGCGCATGATCAACCAACTAAAGCCGAAGAAATGAGCTTGTCAAAAGCTCTTGCCGAACACCGGGACTGACCAGCCGGGTCTGCTCTCTCTGTTCAGGTAATCTCGTCGGCTTCTTCCATAGCCGCAGGGTCGTCCGTAGCATCGTTCGCTGTGTTGCTATCCTCTTTCTCGTCCTCCATTTCAAAGACATTCCTTGCCACAGGAGTCCGCGCGGGAGTGGCATCTTCAGTCATGTCATCATCGCCTTCATCATCCTCGTCATCGTCGTTATCATTCTTCTGGAGAGCAGCGAAAGCTGAGGCTTTGCGGTTGGTTTCCTCCCAGTCAGCCTATTCCATTGTCAGCCTCATTGCACCAACCCCAACTGGCTCTATATGTTCATACCCTTCGGCCATCAACAACTCTCGCACGGGCGAAGCTTTTGGCTTTCTTGATTTCCAATTGATCCAACACCGCCTCGGCTCTGTCCATTCCCTTTTGTTGTCTCATCCGCTGTGCTCTCGAGACCTTGTTATTCTTCTTTTGCTTCTTCATCACACCGGCATTCGCGCGATCAGCCAGAATGGCAGGGCCTTGGGTTGTGGGAGATTCGGCTCGGGGCAGCGAAGTCACAGACTTATCAAGGTCCATGCTTGGAGATGCTGCTCTCCGTGCTGCGCGAGAGCGCGGGGCAACCTGGGCTATTGAGTGTTAGACATAGCAAAAACAATAAGAAATCGAGTTCATCGTAAACTTGCATCTGCTCTTCGCCATATTGGATGTTTTGAAGAATGTGGAATTATCGTGGGGGAGCCACTATCGATAAAAAAAAAGTTTACGGTAAGCGAGGTCGGCCAAAGACGCACTCCGCTTTGTATACTCCATGCTTCTTTTTCATTCGCGTCTCCGCTAACTTTCTGCTTCGGCCTATGCTACCGATCGTCAACTTTGCATTTTTATGCGGAGGTAGCTCATACGGCTCCCTCAATAATGAACACAGGATACAGATACCCTGAAACCGTCCCAAGCAACCCTAATCACTACACAAGCCGCAGTTATGAAACCGCTCGTGAGATGCTACAAGGCAACTCACTGATTGCATTCATTATTACTGTGCTGTGCTTTGTCTTTATCGCGCTCGATTACTACAGACTCACGCCGATATCGTTTCTACACATCTGCTGGGACCTTGTCGTTTACATAACCCCGTCCCGAATCGTTGTCGCATTGGATCCCTGCATGGCCGACACCGAAGCTGTCGCTCAAGGCTCATCTCTACCTCCCCAGGCAAAAAGTGACGCCATGATGCGAATTCTGGGGGGCATATCTGCCAGCAGCCCCTTCCCCGCCCTCCCCGGACCTCAAACTCTCTCAACCTTCGGGAACGCTTTGCTAGGATCGACAAGGAACGCGGCACCGCCAGGTCTAGGAAATTGGAACAATTCATGTTTTCAAAATAGCTTGGTACAAGGTCTGGCGTCTTTGAAGTCATTTGCAGACTTTCTAGGACGCAACATGGAAGGATCTCAGCAAAGAGCCTCTTTCGAGACACATCGTGCGCTACTGGGCCTCATCGACAGTCTGAACAGCGCTTCGAATCATGGAACAAAACTCTGGGTAAAGGGCGTTCTGGATTTGATGAGCAGTTGGCAGCAGCAAGATGCGCAAGAATACTTTTCGACTATCATTCATCAGGTCGACTTGGAGGCTGAGCAAGCTTCGCGTGGACATACCAACAATCTCGGGTTGAAAAAGGCAGGGCCCGACGAAAACATTGTGCAAGGTAGTTCCGATGATGGATCTTGCTCCGAGCCAAACGACTTGTCATCACTAGCCCAAGAGGTCGCGCATAATCCTCTCCATGGTCTACTGGCTCAACGGGTTGGCTGTATGGATTGCGGTTTTTCTGAGGGACTTTCCCTCATTCCCTTCAACTGCCTCACTGTTCCCCTTGGCGAAAAGCACGAATATGACATTCGCGAGTGCTTGGATCAGTACATGACGCTTGAGCCTATCGAAGGCGTAGAGTGCGCCAAGTGCACTCTTTTGCGTAGACAAGAACAGCTCACCAGCCTCCTCGGGGGTCTCGATGATGAACATGGCAGTCAGTCGATCGATTCCGAAACACCCCAGCCTTTCGATGCAGTGAGATCATCGGCCCAGGAAAGACTGTATGAGATTCAGCTTGCACTGGATACCAAGGACTTCAGCGAGAACACGTTGGCGAAAAAGTGTCATATCCCTTCAAAGAACCGAGCAACTACCACTAAGTCCCGACAGGCCGTGATTGCACGAGCTCCAAAGGCTCTCGCGATTCACATCAACCGCAGTATGTTCGACGAGATGACTGGAATGTTGAGGAAGAATTATGCAGGTGTTCTTTTCCCTCAGACTATCGATCTGAATTCGTGGTGTCTTGGGGCCAATGCTGCCAGCGAAACTGGTTTTAAAATTGAGGAATGGGAAACGGACCCTTGCAAGTCTATGCTTTCGCAACCCGGCCAATCGGTTGAGGTGCCCAGCAGGCTGTACCAACTCCAAGCCGTCATTGCCCATTACGGTCGCCATGAAAATGGGCATTACATCTGTTATCGGAAACAGCCAATCTCGAAATTTACGGCCCCTGCCCCAGATGAAATTCTCCAAGCTGAGGGCGACAAAGACAAATCTGAGCGCTGGTGGCGATACAGTGACGATGACGTCGAAATGGTCAGCGAAGGACATGTAATGTCCCAAGGCGGTGCTTTCATGTTATTCTACGAGGCTATCGATGGCTCCGACCAGCTTTCTCTCCATTCCCCATCTACGCAGTCCCTTTCTACCACCTCCAACGACGATATTCGCACTGGGATTGCAGACATATCCGCTGACGGTTTCATGTCCGAGGACATTTCCGCTTATTCAACTGTGACCGACTTTGAATCTTCCACATCCCGTGCGACCAGTGTCTCCGCGTTTATGGATGAACACCAACCCAACATTCTACAGACAAAACAGCAAACTGATCCCGACACCGATCTTGCTGTCAACGATGAAATCGAATCGCCTCCTGCGACCGTTGTGTGATCCTTTCCCCCTCCTTTTTTTTCCTACCGATTGTTTCCCTCTATTTCCTGGCATTGTCTTGCTGTACAGGCCTTTGCATCATGATACCCAAAATCTCGTTTTCCCTTTCTGTGTGTTGAGTTTGAGTCTCTGTGTTGCCGGCGTCGAGGGCAAATGCCCAGGTGTTTATGTATGATGATGTACTTCTAGTGATCAAGTAAAGTCCCAGTCAAACTTCGAATGAATCAGTCTATCAATTCTATTCGCTCCAAGCTGTATGCGCGCTGATCACGACCTTCAGGAATCAGGGCAACGCTTTACTTGAAAGCTCAGTCGATAAGCAGTATGGCTTTCAAGGCTATCCCTTGTCGAGTTTATCATGTCAAAATTCCTAGTTCTGGTTCCTGCACATCGTGCATGGGTTTGTTTCGCCTACATTTAGCGACCATCATTCTTTGGAATAGTCACTCCCCAATTACGACTAGAGAAATGATTGCCATGTTTCAATGAGCACCTTGGAGACTTCGTCCCATCACGCCCGCGGGGATTCGGAATCACCTAATCAAGTACCTTGGGGCCACTGTGACAGAGGACGACCTCAAATCGCATTCACACCTGGGCAGGGTATTTGAAAGTAGACAATATCGACCCTTTGAGAAAGCTTTGAATACTAGGATGAGAAGTTCAATCATCAATCAGCTAGACATCTCATTTGGTGTGAATAGCGAATTCATGATTGCGAGTGAAGTAAACAGGTCCGCAGATCCGCCGCAGATCCCCCGGGGTCCTCACTTTTATCTGATCACGTAGTATGAGCTCCCCAGGTCCGAACATTAAAGCATTGTCAGTCTGCTGATCAGTCTCAGTTTGCTCTCAATTCTGAAAACACTCGTATGATACACCATGTCCAGCAAACCTTCCGCGCAGCCCCATGCCGTTTTCTTCATCAATGAGCTCCTGGAGAACATTCTGCTGCACACAGACATGAGGACCCTCCTAACGTCCGGTCAGCGTGTATGCCATGGCTGGAAGGAGACGATAGATTCATCGCCAAAGCTCCAAGAGCACCTTTTCCTCAGACCATCCAAATCTCAAGTATCATGCTCTTGTCAACGATCTCGCAACCCGCTCCTGGAAGATGTTCTCTGGGCCCAGTTCTTCATCAAGCAGCAACAAACCTCAGATTCACCAGCCGAAGTCAGCAGGTTTCCCCTGCGCGAATCGGATCGGCCAAGGCTCGAGGCCTATCTGCGGAAAGACGCCAGTTGGAAACAGATGCTTCTACAGCAACCCCCAACATCATCAATTGGCGTGCTCGAAATAATCAGAAGATCAGATTCCGAATTCACAAAGTTGGATGTCAGTCCAGACTCGGGGTTTCTCCGGATGGGTCATATCTTGAATCTCCTGCAGGGACGCAGCACGTTGGTTCCGACGCGCAATAAATGGATTCTCTGGAGTGGTCGGTCACGAATCCGAATGCCTCTCAACTTCGAGCTCTGGGCGCCAAAATGGGTATACGAGCCGAGTACATTGCGACCGGTTCATGAATGGATACCCGATAACATCGACTGGGACAGTCTACGACTTGAAGTCGCGTCGATGTACTTGAACGACTTCGAATGTGATTTGGTCATTGTATCAGAGCGGAGACAAAAGTTGTTCCAGGGTGATGATCGAGTCCACAAGGAGAGTAAACTCGATCGTCGGCTTGAGAAGGTATTTGGGGAGTGTCGGGTTGGGATTGGAAGGCGGCATATCAATCATTCTTGGATTCCTATCAAGGGGGTGGGTGTTGATCGGAGATGGGTATTGAGGCCATGTTCTGCTACACCTCTTGTTCCGAATCTGAGTGCCATGTCCGATTTCTCTGATTCGTCTTCGGTTTCCTCTTCGTTTTCCTTGTCTGTCTGAGGGGTGTTAGGGTTATCGGTCTTGGACCCTTGGTGTTCTGTCAATTTCAGTGAGTTTTTAGCAATCATAATCGCGTGCAACATTTCCACGGACGTTGCAAACTTTTCTACATTAATTCAAGAGTTCCTTGTTGAGGTGCATTAAACTGTTATGGTCATGATCAGCTGGACTCTTTGTCAAACTTCATACTAGGTACTTCCAAGGTTCAATGTTGACTCGGGACACTCTGGTTAGCTTTGGGCCTCAGCGTCCCAGGAGTGTCTATGGGAAATGGTGCCCGAGAAAAGCCAGAGATTGCAATCTGCATATACTTTGAAACCGAATGCCCAGGTACCGCCGAAACCTTCCCGCAAATTATCTAAAAGCGGGGGAGGGGTAAGAATTGCATTCAAGCAGGCTTGATGTGATTGTCGCCAGATATATTGTTGAGACCCGATGTCGGTCTGATGCACACCGAAGCACCAAAGCCCAATAGTACGGCGTCAACCATTACCCATAATAGCAGGAGCTCCCTACAGCCCAGGTGAGCAACCCTGGAAGTCGTGCATAGATCCGCATCCTGCAACTAACAATGAAACAACGGTGAAGATGAAGATAACAACCCACGTCCTGATCAAACAATGTCAGCCACAACCAACGGAAATTAAGTCTAGTTCAACCGTTCGACAAACATCGCAAATTCCCAAGCTTAATGTATCAAATAGGAAGTAGACACAAGTCACCGCCATTTTAAACATCCGAGCGTACGTCGGGGAACGCCAGCGACCGGCAGCCCCATGTTGCTCTAGCGCTTCCAGAGACTCGCCGACCAATCCAACAACCTTGGAAGCACTCGGACAATGTTCATCAGCCGTGCATTTGATTCGACATGCACGTTCAGGACGTTCTTCAGCAATGTTCACCGTATCATCTAGACGCGCATCCGACAGATGTCCCTGCCCGGCTCCAATTGAAATTTTCACTGATCGAAAACACCCCTCAGGCATCGTTCGGCAGTGTACAGACAACGGCTTGGACAAAGCGATTGCTGCCTATGCCCAAGGGGGCTAGTGGAAGAATTACGCAGACGCATCTACAATGTAACGGGACTCTGCTGCACGGGTCTACACATACTCCGTACTGCATTAACGTTCTCGAAAGTGGATGGTTCTCTGTATCTGCCATGAGACTTGAGCTACATACTGTACTCCGTACGGGGTGCTGTAGCTGGATTTCCCGATTTGGCCGAGTCGTTTTTTTTTGCTTTTGATTTTTTTTTAGAATCATCCCAAAATATGCACAAACGCGACCGTGGCAACGACATGCTACCCGGTGGCAAAGATCGGTCAACGCAGATACCCTCCACGGTCGCAAGGCGGGAAGGCTCTGAGTCAAACATATGTACATACATACTTGATTGGAGTCAGCGGAAGAGTCAAAGGCTGCAGTAGACATCCAATAGCAAAGCGTAACTTGGCGGTCTCGGGAAGCGCTGTCTGATCTCAAGTATTGAGCAGATGACGGCTTACGACAGTGGCATCTGTGCGGTTCATGTCTATCAACCGGACTATGAATCAGAGGCGTTCTCTACAGGTTTAATATACATATGGGGGCGCCCTACGTGCAAGCCTCCTACGGAGTACAGCTCTACACCGTAAACCCGCCACTACCATCACACCGTGGGCGATCGCTGCGGGCGACAGCGCGGATGGGGATCCGGAAGGGAGTTTGGGTCACACTGCAAAAGACCAGAGCGTACATGTCAACTCACATTCTTCATATCTCCGCAAAAGTCAAAGGGTGGGTCGGAATCTGATACCCGGGACCCCATGGGGGTGTTCCATGGTTCGGACTATGCTTATTCCCAGCATCTAGACCAGACTCTGTACCTTTTGTACTTGAGATATCAATACATCCGAGATGGTACATGTGGCTGAAGTCGGTGAGGAATTATTCGGATGTTGACACATTCCTTCTGATTTCATCGTACCGAGGTCGACCCTCGGTCGGCGTGAAAATATTTACCCATTGAGTCGTTCTTGCTCGGTGCAGGAATATGCGATGCTGTACAATTCATCCAACGCAGGTTGAATAATTGACTCCTTCCTTAAAGCAGTGTTATTGTATATATGCAAGAGCAGACCCGACTACCTGTCCTTGCGATTTTAGTTCTGAGATCGTACATATGAGCTGCAGCTACAGCTGCAGGGAAACCCTAGAACCTTGAAATGGCTGGAAGGGCGACTGTGGATCCGAGCCCCTGCGCTTCCCAACTGTACAGTCTGGAGTACATTGTATGTACGAAAGACCAACAGCTTCACAATCCATAGCAGATCAAGCCCGACAAAGTCTCACTGCATGTGTTCCAATCCACAGACATATGCGAGTAGTCCTGTCTCATAAGCCGGGGTTTCACAACGCTCCATCAAGCCCCAAGCCGAGGTAGAGCAAATCAACAGATCGAGGTCTCGCTCTCGCTCCTGAAAATTGGATTCTTTGCGCCCAATGTCAGTACTTCTTTCCCGGGAGCCTAATAACAAAGCCGGAGATCACTCAGGAGGTCCCGCGGAACCTATGACATGATCCGTCCCCACAAAACCCAGGAGACAGGTACAAGGGCACGCGTCCCAAATCCCTTGAATCCACCAAGGGACTGGAAACAGGGAGGGTCCGACGCGACGCGCTGGATCGCGGGCCGTCCCCCAGACCAAGCTCAGCTCTCGCAGCTTTCGCAGCTCCCGTATACGGAGTAAGCCGTATCGAATATGATTTCATTAGCCCGAGGTCCGGTGGAGCTGTCACGTCGACCCAATATGATTTCCTGGGTCATCCACGCTCCTGGTTCCCCGACGGGACGGGGAAGTATCAATTGGTACTCCGTAGTCCGTAGGGAGGAATTGCACTGCAATACGGAGTAGATCTATAGCATTTTGCCAAAGTACTATGCAGGCAATCGTACCAAGGGCCAAATCGATATCGACGAGCACTCTCAAAGGGAGGTTGATATGATGGGTCCCAAGGGGGCGCTGATCTTGGGCCGAAAAGGGGGTGAATCAGACTCCCAGGGTAACGGAGGGCTCCACTTAGTCCTCCGGGGAAGGGCATGTGTTTCCGCTAGGCGTGCATCACGCAAGTCATCTGGCGCATCATAAAACTTTCCAAGCCTTTCACGATCGAATGAGAGTGCTTACGTAGGTAATGGGGGATCGAGGGAGGAAAATCCAAAAAAGAGCGAAAAAGCCCGAATGAGAGGAAAGAATCGGGGACTCTCTTTGTTATGAGTCTGGACCGACGATCTAGGCCTGGGTAGTGCGAGTATTGATTTAAGGATTCCCGAGAATCCACCGGGGCCTCGGCAGACCTGTGGAGCTGTTGATTCGTGCGAAATTTCATCGCGGTGAAATTCCGACTGTCTTCAGTACGGAGTACAGTAGTAGACGGAGTTCTCTCGGAATACTCCAGTATATGCCGTTATCCGAATAGATGGCGACAGTGAGAACGCCTCAAACATGATAAATTGCCGAGGGGACTGCATTTAGCCGAAAGTTGGGGAGGATTTCGGAGCGGAAACCGTTACCCATTTTCGAAGGGGCCACTTTTATGGATTTAGGGCTTCTAAAGCCTTCTCCACGGGCTCTAGACTGTGGAGATACGAACACCTACGGATAAGTACCCCTGTAGCAAGTCCCGACTTTTGGGCTTTATCACCTGTCAAAGAACGGTGTTGACGTGGAACGTTGAGTTTGATCATCAATAAGATCATCCACCAGCGGTGAAGACGTGAAAAGTACGAAGCACACCAGTCGAGATGAGAAATCGAGACCAGCAATCGAGACAGACTCCGTAGCGAAGATACAGAAACAAAAGTCTGTGGCGATTGTGATAGTCAGCTTTGTGTGATTTGTGTGATCTGTTATTTTATTTTGGGACGATCAGTTCGTTGATCGACGGACTCTGGCGGAAGCAGCTTCCGTCTGATTGTTCGGATTTTCGTTGCTTTTTTTTCTTTTTTTCTTTTTTAATTTCGATTTTTGATTTATTTTGATTTACTTTTTCCTCTTTGGGCTTTTTCTTTAATTGTTTCTGATTTTTGGATTTTCATTTTCGTCTGCAAGGGAGTTCGGGTGGTCTAGAAGTCTTCCCCGGCTTTGATATCAACCCTCTTTCACTTTATTGATAAACACTCTCATCCTCCTCTTCATCTTCACCTTCTCTCTCTCCACTGCTGTCAACAACCTCCCCAGGACCCACTTGGTCCAAGCTGTCTACTCTCAACCCCAATCTCTCTCACACCATGATTCCTATTCAGTCACGCCTACAAGCCATGTCGCTTCCCAAAGCGGCGGCTCCTCTCGCCAGCACAGATCCAGCACAGGTCACCTTCTGCTGGAGTGGCAGCTCTGGATCTTTTGAATCCACCGTCTCATCCACCGTCTCAAGTCCCTTCGCCCCACCACCAACTCCCACCGACTCTCTCCTCGACATCAACCCACGCAAATCATCTTTCTCCAGTGAACAGGGCGCAGCATATGCTTTCCCATCATGGCCCAACCGACCCTCGCTCTCCACCAATGATTCAATGGACTCCTGCGCCAGCGCCTATCTCTCCGACGATGATCTCCTCTGGATGCCCGAGAACGCCGGCACCGAGAAGGAAGTGGAGGAAACGCCGGCCACCGAGCCGATGTGCTCCGTCACCATGGAGCAGCAGCTCCAGCGCATGCGCGCGATCGCCGAGGAGCAGGACCGGGCCAACTTCATGGCCAAGGTCGACGCCCACGCCCGCGCCACGCTCGCCCTGCGCCAGGAAAAGCAGACCGTCATCGAGCGCGACACAAAGCGCAAGAAGCGTCGGGTCGTACCAACGCCCAAGCGACGCGCACACTCGGCTTCCAAGGTTTCCACGCACTAAGCTCGCCGGCCTTGACCGGTGCAGCGCAGGCGCTGGACCCCATTCCCTTCTTGTCACTACCCATTACCTTATCGTTTAATTCTCGGAGGCTCAGGCCGTACCCGCTTTGTTCTCGAATCGACGATCCGATCTCGGACGTCAAGCATCTTCGCACACGTCCACGGGTCTCCCCGCAGCTTACCTAATGGCGCTGACGGCGGTTTCTCGCGAAATGACTTTCTTCACACCGCTGGTCTTTGACTCATTTTCCCTTATCGTTTCAGCGTTCTCCGTCATTTGACCTGCATCAACCCGGTGTTTCCCATTAGCCTTTGCTTTTTTTCCTTGCTTTTTCTATTTGGCGATTTCCATTTACGATGTTTCCGAGCTCCAATACCCCATCTTGTATACCCCCATCTGTTGTCTTTCCTGTATCTGATTACTTCTTACATTGCGCCACTTCGCCCCATATGTACCCATACTATTCATATTGGGCATTCCAATCAGAGCCGTTGGTTCTTAGCACGTTTATTAGGTAGCCTCACTTAACTGGCCTCACTATTTCTCCCAATCCTTCCGATGTAGACCGAGATACTCCGTACCACACAGTACCTTGTCCGATTCAAAGTAATATTTGCTTAACCTTGTCTCCGTATCCCCGATGCCACGTTCGTGGAGATGTAACCTGTGAGCAAACCCCCGAAATAGAAAATCCACCACCCGTCGATCAGCCCTGTCCGCCTCGTGTCCCGCCTCGCGTAACTGTCAGAAACCCAAACCCGGGCAGTGAGGCTGCAAGAGCTTGTCCAACAAGCCTGGGTATCGCAACAGCGAGGCTGATATGAGATGGCCGGGGATCGTTACCTATACCCGATGGTACCTGGGTCCCCGGGTACCAGTTGACGTAGGGCAGTCTGACGGATTTGTCACTTGCGATGCGACTGTGCACATCACTGTTGATCCTTTGAGTCAGAGTTTCCCTTTTGTGCGGGATATTCTCGGCGGGTAATTTGGGGCAACTGACGGCGGACGCTTAAATGGGCAGTGTTTACCGCTTTACCCCTCTATCACAACTATAGGCAACTTTAGCACGCTCATTTCTCTTTCATTTCCGTGAACCGGGGTATGCTTCCTTTTTTTTTACTTGAGTTTCCCTGTGGTCTATCTAATAGTTGAAATGAATATCAATTAACACTCGAGAACCAACCTTGTAGCACATGCCTGAATGCGCAATTCCAGTAATTGGTAGCGTGTCATTGTTGGACAGTCCGAGTCATGCGCTGACTGGATTTCCCTGATTACTGTCTGGAAGTCTACGATAGTCATCCATGGGCGCCTGTTTGCTGCAAGGACACACAGGTCGAGATATCGGAGCCCATGTGCTATCATGCGCAGCTAATGTACGGCAGGACGACAGGCCAGGATGTGTCCGATATGGCCAAACTTTGCTACAGACAATATTGCAGGTGAAAGTATCTGTTGTATCTTTCTCGAACTTATCAACCCTACATGGATGTATTCGCATGTGGCAACCCATGACTTCTTGATCGTAGCCCACCTGGGCACCAAGCCCCGAAATCCAACGATGGCAAACCTTGTTGGTGTGAAGTAGCGGGTACATCTCCTCTGGAGAGAAATTTCAAATTTTGAAGCTGTGCGAACCCCGTCTGGAAAGAGTAGAAGACCAGGTGCAAACAGTATATCCGATAAGGCGGTGCCTAGATGTACCCAACCCTGCCGTTCAAATTATAAGCTCTAGAGAGAACCGGCGTGTCAAGAAGACTGGCGGTAGCATTAGCAATGTTGTAGAACTTGCGCGCTACGATTTCCCTCCCCATTCGCAGATGCATCAAATGTTGAAACCAAGTAAGTAGGTCATAGGACTCAAGTTAGAATAGTCGATAACGACAAGGATTAAGAGCAAAGCCGCCAATGTATGACTGAAGCCTGGCCGTTGGGACTTCCAAGGTTGAGACCCCAAGGAGCCCTCCCAGTAATTCTAAACATTGTATCAAGACCCAAAATAAGTGACAGAGAGATTACGCGAGCCAGCTGCACCCCCAGTCAGATAGCGTATACCGAAGTATGTCGTCAAGCTGGTTATCAAACAGCGGGAACAATGTAAGCCGTATACGTGGCTGTGAAAGGCTACATAGGTCCAGGACAGATGGCGGAGACTCTCATCATGGAACAGCAGGCTGTATGCCGCTCGGAGGCTTAGAAAATAATCCGCAGACAAGGCCACTTGAGCACCAACTCGAATATTGAAACACCTTCAGCTGGCAGCAACGACCCCGGGAGGCCCGCTATGACAAAATACATCATATGAACAATGTCCATTCCCTTCTGCAGGACAATATACGGCTCCAGACGGTATATGGCGATTGGAGGTTACTGAAAGGTCTAGTCAGTCTCAAAAGAGCCCGGAAGAGCAGTGCCATTCGTGATGGCGACGAGAGAGAAATATGAGGAAGCCCATGCTGGTCATCGATATCTGCACCACCTGGGCAGTTGCCTCGAGGGAATGGGTAGGTTGAGCCGAGAAAGCTTTGATATTTGGGCGCTCACAAAGAAGAGTGGAAAAAGGTGAACTCGGCTATCACTAAATGCCTCGGTGACTCGGGAGTTGAAAGGAGCACCAAATAAGCATCTTAACCTCTGCCGTTACTTAAATCTGCACTACATTCGTGTAACAACATGGAAAGCCACATGGCCGCTTGCACTTTTGCGGGGAGATTGTGGAGCATCCTGATACCTATACAAGAGTTGATCGGTTTCGAAGCAGGTGAGAGATTGGAACATCAAGTCGAAAGTATGCCATGATCAAAATCTATATTCATAATGCATGTATAGTCTATCAGTCTAAAAACAGCAGGCCCGCGCCCATTAAAGAATTTGATTGATGGTCTCCCCACGACACCATTTCTCAATAGTTGTCTTCACAGCGGCCGAGAGGTTTTGCAGTGTGTTTTCCGAATACCACGCCAGATGAGGAGTCAAAGTCAAGTTCAGTCCCGCTGCCTCGGGACTAAGCAAAGGAGAGTCGCCGCGACCAGCGGGCTCTTTAGTATAGACATCCGTTGCCGCGCCGAAGATTGTGCCACTCTTCAGAGCATCGAGCAGGGCTTGCTCATCGACAATACCACCTCTGGCGACATTGATCAGCAACCCATAAGGTGACATCATCTTGAACTCGGCCGTGGAGATCATATTCATGGTTTCGGCGCTCCGGGGCAAGCACAAAATGACTACAGTGGACTTTTTCAGAGCCTCTTCGAATCCGACTCGGCCAGGTCGAGGGGATACGCCTTTGCGCTCAGCGATGATAACATTCATACCGAGGCCCTTCGCCATTGCCTCGATACGTTTGCCCAAGGCTCCATATCCAACAATACAAGCCGTCTCATCACTACACAGCAATGGTGCTTTTCCATCGGGTGCACGAACCCGACTGAGCAATGAGCCACGGGCCTTCCACTCCGTATCCAGGGACGGATCCGATGGCACGGCAACTGTGGCATTATGAAGCTCGACGAACTTCCGTCGAGATGCGAAGTAAAGTCCAATGGCGTGCTCACTGACGCTGGCAACATTGCTGCCCGGGCAATTGCACACTGTGACTCCTCGGGCTGTCGCAGCGGCGACGTCGACGCAGTCTGTGCCGCTTGCCATGATCACTACAAGTCGTAGTTTGGGAGTATTCTCCGGGCTGAGGGTTTCCGCTGTCAAGCGGGTCGTGGTGGTGATGATAATTGTGGCATCTTTGACACGTTCGAGAATTTCTGATTGGGCTGTCAATCGGTGAACAGCTCGAGTATGGGGCCCTGGAATATCGAATTCGGGGATTTGGCAATGGACGCCCTCAACGGCGACAATGTGATGCGCGGTGGTGTCCATGATAGGCTAGATTTGAATTGAAGAAATCAAGCTAACGCGTGGCTTTTCTGATGTTCTGGGGTTGATCCTCAGGTTGTCTCTATCGACTCCACGTCTGAGGCCCGGGGTGTTTGTGTGATGACTGATAACCGCGAGTAGCCGGGATGGATTTCGGTCTGCTGTCGTGAGACTCGTGATGTTGAAGTTTGCAAAAAAGAAGTCAAATTTCGAATGGACTCTCTTTAACTGTCTCACACTCGCCTATCTCGTCTAGCGCGATCAAATTCTGCTTCGGAAATAACGAACGGTTCTCAGTGTGAATAGTTTGTAGATATTCGGATCCCGATGATAGCCGAAATCAAACCCGATATCAAACCCGAAGTCAAAGCCGACGCCCTTCGAGTCACCGCGGTGGATCTATGTGATTTATAAGAATGACTCTAAATTGAATCTTAAAAGGAACAGCAGATACTGTTAGGCCGTTTAGACTGATTTATCTCAAGGTTAAAGACAATCCATCCCAGGCTAGGACCGCCATGCCTGAACAACAAGCACCCTATGGTAGGTTAGCCCTAACCTTGGAAGTAGTATGAAAGGCTCCATGTTGACATTACCTCTAGTCATCCTCGATGTCTTTACATCAACCAGGTAAATTTATTCAACAGGTAAACGGTATTCGATGCTTACCGGTATCAAATTAGATTCAAGGGCAATCCTGTTGCCATTGTAAAAGTCGACGATGTCGAGCTTTCCCAGGAGCAAAAGCAAAGGATCGCAAAGGAATTCAACCTATCCGAAACCGTCTTCCTGCATCCTGCCATTGGCGACCAAGACCCCCAAGTTGACATCTTCACACCCGTCAATGAGATGGAGTTTGCAGGCCATCCTATCATCGGCGCGGGTCATTTGCTCTGCCGCCAACCATCGACCAACCTTGACGAGTCCAAATTCCTCAATGTCACAACGAAAGCAGGCCCCGTTCCAATCAAATATGACGCAGCTCAGAAAACCGTATCCGCCGGAGTCCCGCATAATATTCACATCCACCAACAGCCAGCAACACTCAATCACATCACTCCTGTTCAAGCGTCTCTGACCACGGCCTCTGATTTGAAAGGTGTGCCCGAAAGCTCTGCTGTGGTATCGGTGGTTAAAGGCGTCACATATGCGTTGGTCGACCTAACTGAGCGACCTGATCTCTTTGCGAACATCGGACCCGGTGGAAGTCCGGCCCTTAACCTTGACGAAGGATGGACACCTTCGTTCACTGGTGTTATGTATCATCGTCACCTCGGGTCTCACGAGGAGGGAAGTCTCTTGGTGTGGAATCTTCGCGTACGCATGATTGCTATTGATTTGGAAGACCCTGCATGTGGCAGCGGGGGATGCTCCCTCGGCGCTTACCTTGCTCTATCGAATGCCCACAAGAGCCAACGCCATCGATTCTGCATTGACCAGGGTATCGAAATGGGTAGGGATAGTTTGGTGATTGTAGATGTGGTCCTTGATGATGAGAGGAAGAAGGTTTCGACCATCGAACTTAGTGGCCATGCTGCATTTGCTGCGGAGGGTAAAATCTTCGTGGAGTGAATTTCTCGTTCGTGGCTGTTCAACTGTCCCTCACTCTCCCCCATGGGATATACGGAGTATGAAACAATAAAACACAGACCTTCCGTCTAAATTTGCCCATGAAATCGCTCGCTATTAACACTAGATATCTGCCAGCGTAGACCTGTCTATTGTTACCAGCCAAAAAGAGGCATCGACCAAATATTATGAAACCAGAATAACGGGGGCGAATCAGGTAGCCCAGAGAGTGAAGAATCCTAGCCTTGAAAGTCTGTTCCCCAGAGCCACACTGATTACAGCCCCTTGGTGAACAGTTCTCCACTCAGCTCTTTGAGGAGAGGTTCCTTTTGCACAGCTGGAACATTCATCTTCCCAGAAAGAGTCTCCGCAACACCCATCGCACGACAAAGATCGACGAGAGCCCCATCCAGTGGTGCTTCATAAACAATGAGCCCCAGAGCATAAAGCAAGCCATGTAACGCATCGGGGCTCTGATCCTCACGCGAAATAGCCTCAAGCAAGGATGCACTCAATTCAACCTGATCTTCCTCAGGTAAGGGATCAGCCTTCCCAGTGAAGCGGGAATTGTGGTTGAAGGCAGCAAGGTTGTATGCAAAGGAGGCAGCAACAACACGAAGATTGGCATGTGAGTCTAGGAGGGAATTGGTGGCGAAGCTGAGGCACGTCGTGCGGAGGGAAGAAGACGAAGTAGCAAGTTGCGCTGGGTATAGCGGTGAGCTGAAGAGATTGCAAGTGAGTTGGAGGGCAACGATGCGAAGATTGTAAGGCGATGATGATGTTTCATCTTGTGCTAGAGGTGTGAGGAGGGTGAGCAGAGTCGCGTGCTCTGCCTCTTCAGCGAAGTAGCCACTGGCCCGGGGATCAAGCAGCAAAAGCCGGAACAAATCGACCACTGCAAAGTGGCTATCAATGGGGAGTGTTGTGTATACCGAGTTCAGTGTAGTGGCGAAAGCGTGCAAGTCAGGGACTCTGATATCCGCTATAGGCGTGTTCTCTGAAGACTGACGAAGTCTGACAAATTCGATCACTTCCCTGACTCCTCGACCCTCCTTAAATGCAACTGGCAGTTTTTGGAGGAGCTTGTCAAGTGGTGGGCTCTTCTTGTAGGTGACAAAGTTGGTAATCTCCCGCTGGAGGCTTGGGAGGCGTAGCTGACGATGAGGGTGCGCTGGGTATGCCATCTCAAGCAGCATGCGCACATTACCAGTCAACTGAGCCGGAGAGGCTCCACTCCACTCATCAAGCTTCTCGCCTCTCACGAAAGTCATGAAAGTGGGTGTTGCGCGCACATTGTATTTCATGCTCACATCATAAGCTATGCTGATATCAACCTTGATCAACGTACCTCGCTCCCCGGCCTCGGCTGCGAGTTCATCATAGGTTGGGTAGACAGCCTTGCAGGGAGGGCATGTAGACGATGTGAAAAATATGACCGCACAGGAATTTGACGCGTTTCTGAGCTCATTGTCTAGTTGACTGAGGTTGCTCACCACGCGGACTGTGCCCCCTGTGGATACAGTGGGCTTCTGTACGGAGGGAGCAGGAGCAGGTTGGGCATGGGCACGAGGGATAGGACTTGATCCGGTGCCTTGAGTGACACCTTTCAGAGCCGACTCAATTTGAGGTTTCATCATCTGCCCGAAAGGCGTTTCAAGGAAAGTTTGAGGCAGATTGATGATGTGCTCTGGGATACTTTTGCCAACAAGGAACATTGACAAGTCCTGGGTAAAGTTGTTGCAGTTGTGAAGGAAGAGGTCATATGACTGAAACATGGAGTCAGTAAGCTTGAATGATTGCAACCCTCGCAATGATGACACAGACCTCTGGCGTATAAATGGTGGCCAAAGAGCCGATGTACTCTTCAACAACATCGCTTGGGAGCTCAGTAGTACCCAATTTCACGACTTCCATTGGCTGTCCATGATGAGTACTCCCCGGGACGGAAGTCTGGATTCCTTGGCCGAAATAGTACTCAACACCGTTCAGTACGATAGAAGTGTGATAGATGGCATCCATTTGCGTTCCCGTAAGAGCAAGGGAATACTGCAAAATCAGCCAATACTCTTTGTAGGCATGAGAGTACATACCATCCGTGCCAGACCCTGTGTTTTTTGATTAGTTGTCGATTCCAGATCATTAGAAAGGTAAACCTACCTTTGACAGGTCATAGACGTAGAGTTGAACATCCATATTTCAGCCCTTTCAGCTCAATATGAAGTGAAAAGAAGCTAATCAACTCCAACGCAGGAGTGAACTGGAGATAAAGGCTCAAAGAGACCACGCGGACCTCGGGAGCCTTGGAGGCTGCAGTGCGATAACGTCAGCAATTGCTACGATCGCCTTCGACCATTTTCTACACAAAGTATCACACCATGCAGCCCTTCTAGTGAGGGGGATTTCCCATGAATATGGGAATACTATGGCTCCTGGCCGGTGAGAACTTTTCGGGGTTCCAAGGTTGCCATTCTTGTAGAATACCTATCGACTTACATATGATAATGGAGAGTAACACAGACAGCAAATGAGAACAGAAGGACTGGAGCGAACGATCCAAATCCGTAGTCCGAAATCACATATAAAGCACACAGAAGTTGGAGATCTCAAGGGCGTTGAAGATATCGATTGCTTGGCGCTATGACATAGCTCTCTCCCCACCTCAAAACCTCGGATCTTCTGCAAACCCGACGACAGCATCGAACAGAATGGTATGTCGAGCAAATTCCCCTCACCAATGCAGCCTGACACCCGAATAGCCTCCAAAGCGGCGTGGAGCCGCCAGCTCAGCACCAGCAGCAGCTCCAAAACGTGGGCGCGCATCGAAGCTTGCGAAAGACAACAACATCACAGCCGAGGAAGAGAATGAAATCAAAGAAGTATTTCACATGTTCTCAGCCAAGAACGAGAGTTTTCCAGACGAGAAAGAAGGCGTTCTTCCCCGAGAAGATGTGCGCAAGGCATTGGTGTAAGCATTTCCGAATCTCCAATCTCCAATCCATCGCACTCCGCACTAGCATTCAGACGCAATATTCTCACCTATTCAAAAACACACCCTAATTGAATCACCAGAGCCCTCGGCCTCCCACCCACGGACTCAAGCGAACTCGCCGAAATCATCTCTGCCCTCGATCCGACGTCATGTGGCTTCGTGCCCTACAGCCCCTTCGTCTCAATAGCGGCCGCGAAGCTGCACTCGCGCGATGATGATGCAGTGTCTGCCGAGGTAGACGATGCATACCAGCTTTTCACGCGCGGTACGCGCGGTCCCATCACGCTGTCGCATCTGCGTCGCATCGCGCGCGACTTGAAGGAAGATAGCGTGGGCGATGATTTACTCAAGGACATGATCTTGGAGGGCAATGGCGGCGCTGGACTTAGTGCTGGTGTTACTCTGGAGCAGTTCCATGATGTCATGACGCGGGCGGGTGTATTTTGATCTCGGCATTCGATGAAATCTGTCTGAATCGTCAGGCACGGCGTTTGGGCGCGTTGGTCAGAGCCACGGCTGTATTTTCTGTCTACGTCAATGGAGTTCGAGGGTCTCTGTCAATAATACTAATTATGTTCTAGGGGTGGCCGATAGTCCAAGCCTGACTACGGACGTCAGGAGTAACAGTCAAGGACTGTGCGATGAGCACCCTGGGGCATTTGTTTTCATAATGTTATCGATTTGTGATGTGTCATGTTCTGGTTGTAGATACATGCTTTCCCCCACCGACTTCTGCGCAGCAAGCAAAAGGAAAAAAAAAGAAATTAAGCTGTTAATAGCATAGGAAAAAGCATAGAGAAAGACACCATCGAAAGAAGCAGAAGAAAAAAAAAGAAACGCAAGACAGCGAGGCCGAAAGACGATATGACCTGCGCATCAACCATGGGAAGCGTCGTCGAAAGCTGCGAGAAAGCCTAAATCACGCGAAAGCAACGATGGAGGAAAGCGAAAAAATATGTCAGACTGTTCAGAGAATTTCATCGTTCATGCCAACGTCCTGGTTGTCGGTGGCCTGAGCGACATTGCCGTTGACGGGAGCAGCCTCGGCGGGAGGTGCGTCGGTAGCAAAGTAGTCAACCATCTCAGCGTCGAGCTCCTCAACGGTCTTGGGCTTTCCGCGGCCGGGGTTACGACCGCGAGCACCGGCGGCGCGGTTGCCACGGCGAGAACCCTTTTCGGCAGTAGCAGTGTTCTTGGTGTCCTTCTTGGCCTTGGCAGGGGCGGCAGCGGACTTGGGACGCGCCTTCTGACTGTAGGTACATAAGTATGCGGAAAATGAGCATGTTAGGTTGGTATGATCACTTACGCAATGCGCTCGGTGAGAGGCTTAGCGACTGGGGCAGCCGGGGCGTGAGAAGCGTCGAAGACAACTTCGATCTGTTTGATTGTCAGTCACTGTTGAAGCGAGGAAGGGACTTGACTTGGAAATTGATTTACCTTCATGGGACGACCATCGACGAGGAGCCCATTGAGCTCCTTAGCAGCCTTGGCAGCAGTGTCGGGCTTGATGAAAGTGATCGAGGCAATACCACGGCTGGTGCCGTTTTGGTTGTAGGTGAGCATGACACGTCGAACGGGGCCTGCGGACTTGGTGAAGTATTCCTATGATGGAAACTATTAGTATTGCGTTCCGGTTCAGCAATGGTGACTGATCTCGAGCGTCGGAAAAGGCGGCAGCGCAAACGAAGACGAGCAAAGATCAGAGGCAAGAGAGCACCAGCAAGCGCATCATTGTTCTCATCGACCACCTGTCATGTCCTTATCCACAATTTCCAGATCCAGCCTGGATCACACAACCCAATGAGCGACACATCCCTCTCTTATGCAAGACCACGAAACAATATAACAGACATTCCCCAAGTTCCCGCCTCATTCACATATTCACCGAGAGATTGAAGCCGTCATGTTCTCGCGCCGTTGCCATCGACGCGGACAAAGCCAGAGTAGTTCCATCTGCCCATGGATGCCTACTCATCAGAAAAGTTATGCAAGGCACAAGAATCCCCTCGAGGGTACTGATTGGGCCATCACCCCATAGCACGGAGGCTCTTCACACAAAGTGGTATGCGACATTGTACAGCTGAGTAAGATGGTCTCATTGTGTCAAGTCCACGTGCTCCCACAGGTTCAATGATGCACTTGCTGATGCTCGTCTGAATCTCAAGTAGAAGGGTAATGAAAGCGCGCAACTGAAGAGAAGTTCGGATGATGAGTCTTCATCGAACATCTGCGGCACAGTACTCAGAGAACAAGGCAGGTGGATTTCCGAGCGGTATCAACACGAGCAATGAATCTCTTTCACCGTACTACGACTTCGCTCAACTTGTTTTCTCGCACAGCGCCAACAAAGAAATGGTGCAGAGATCGAAGGAGCAGCTTGTCTGTGCCGTGCATCAAGTATCATTTGTTGATGTGAGAGGGAAGAGTTCGAAGGTGGATCGAAATCGTTTGCGCCGCAAGGCTCCCGAGAAAAGAGAAGGCGATGAACGCCAAGGTGAGGGCCTTCTTATCAACATACCTTGACATTGCCCTCGGAAACATCGGAAGGCTGGAAGAGTTAGCATGCGAACAAATTCCAGAGAGATGGAAGGTGAAGAACATACCAGTCCACTGACGAGAATCTTGCTGGAAGCAGAGTGGGCAACAGGAGCGGGGTGAGCAGGCTTGGGTGTGGCCTTAGTAGACTTCTTGACGCCTCCAACGGAGGTCTTCTTAGCAGCAGCGCGGCGAGAACCGGCGCGGCGACGGGTCTGGCGGCGGCTGCCGACCAGATCGTCAAGAGACTTGTCAAGGTTGGCAGACATGATTTCAGGTGCAAAGCTGGCGATTTGCAAGTGGCGCAGAGTACGCGTTGATAGGCGGCCTGTTGATTTCAGGTCGCTTTGAGATGAAGTTTTAACTTGGAAAGTCTCAACGGGGATGCAACCGTTAGAGAAGCGTGATGATATTCGCGAGGGAAAGGATGATGCTGATGGAGGAGAGAGCGAGCTGAGAAGGGGGCCTTCATCATCGGCGCTAAGCTAAATTTGGAGTCGGGCACGGATATGGTAAGCGGTGAAAGAAGTGAGACCGGTGCCGGACTAAGATATATCCGACGTATTGTTCTACTTAGGCGCGCACATGGTCCCTAATTATCTGGAGGTTTCCAAGGTGGCCCTTGACCTTACCCATGTGGATCCTCAAGTTCCATCGTTTATTTCCAGCAGATGTTTGTGAGGCCACTTATTCTTTGTGATCAAACACAAAAACAAAAACAAAAAAGCAAGGGTGAAATATCAGTTGGAAGAGACCTCGGACCCCCCAACATGCATATTCAATCCTCTTTTCTTTCATGTCAGAATTTTCTTGGTTCATTCAGTTTTATCTTCACTGCGCAAGTTCATTGATTGTTTCAATATGCACAGAAAATATAATTTATCCAAAGCTTTCATTATCAGGCCCAGCCTGGAGGATTGGACTATGGAAAGACAACGCACCAACTCCAAACGCAATACATGAGGATGATTCATGATGAAAGGTACTACAAGTACCGAAGTAGGAATTATTATTAGCTCTTGAGAGCCTCCAATCGTCCGCGCATCTGCTCGAGCGTGGCTTCTTGGTCTTCGAAGTCCTCCTCGGCTTGTGGGGATTCAGGTTCAGAGATCTTATGCACCGGCTGGGTGGCAACAGGCTGTGCCTGAGAAAGGTTGCCCTGCAAGACTTCTTGAAGGATCTTCTCGATTTCAGAGTCCGCTTCTTCCTCCTCATCTCCGAAGACCGAAGGATCCGTAATGGCATCGTCCACCATCTCCTCAATGATGCCCGCTCTGACGAGTTCAGAGGAGAGTTGGTGCATGGTGGAGGATAGCTGAGGCAATTTCACTAGAGTATTGACATCTTTCATGATCCCGGTTGACTTCTGTAGGCTACCTTGGATCTTGCGAGCCGAGAATGCCTCGTTGACCTGCATGCCAACACTTTGTAGTTGCGCGCGACTAGTGTGAAGGCGCGTGGTCTGTTTTCGGATTCGCACAAGCTCTCTGGCAAACACTTTTGTGTCATTGGTCGCCTGTTTGGCTTGGGATGGATTTCGCTGGGCACGTTTGGAGGCGTTCAAGATGTGCTGCCGAGTCTGACTATCGCTGATTTTCAAGCGGGCTAGATCGCGGTCAAGTTGTCGTGTGTTAGATCGGATTAAGGCGTTGCATTTTCTCATCTGGTGAACAGAGAAACAAATCAGCGATGAGTCCACGGACGCCTTTATCGTCTGGTCTGCCTACCTGGGCTTGTGGGTCGGGCCCAAAGAACACTGCTTTGAGGGTTTCCATGATTTCGATCCACTGACGAAAGACCCCACCAGGCCTCAGGATAACGTGTACTAGATCTCAAGAACACGGGCAATGTCTGGCGATAGTGAACTCGTTAGGGTGTCTGATCGGCGATAAGGCTCAAGCCCGGGGCATCGTCCTGTAACTGAGCGGGACAAGACTGAACTGACTGCTCTCTGAGTGCAAGTTGATGCATATGAAGTAAAAAGGAGCCTGACAGTTCTCCGCGACCACACTTTCTCGGCCGTGGTGTTTACTTGAGTACGCAACCATCCATGCAGAGGCGACATCACTCCGCCCACCGGGACCGGCGACACCTGGGCATGACTCAGCACTGATGTAATCCATGTCCCACATTATTGGTGCCTGAGGCGACAGTGAAGGAGGTCTTCCACGAGGTTCTAGCACCTTTATGCGCATGCTGAGCTTCCCTAAACACTTCTCCATCTTTCTTCGACAACAGTTTCAATCCTCTTCTTGGTTCTTACTTTCTCTCTCAATTATCTCTCCGACTTTAATTCATCATGTCTCAGACCCTGACACCCGAAGGTATGTTGCAAATGCTCTACTTCTTCCCCGCTCTTGGACGCGGGACTCTGCACATTTTTGCATGATAGTTACGATGACGTTATCCTACGTCGAGATCATTCTTCAGGGATTGTCTTGATGACACCTTGTTTGGCAATGAGACCAAGTCGCTGATCCCTACTTTCTAGTGACATGGGCCCAGCGCTCTTCCGACGATGAGCCTGAGCGCAACTACCTTTACGTCAACATCAAGACCCCCGATGTTCCCAAGTCCGAAGCTACTCTTAACATCACCGAAAAGAATGTTACCTTCAAGGGCCCTTCCAAGAAGGGTGTTACATACAGTGTCTCCCTGGACCTCTTCGCCGAGATTGACCCCGAGAACAGCAAGGTCAACCACACTGATCGCGAGGTCGAGCTCGTCCTCCGCAAGAAGGACCTTAAGCTTGAGTTCTGGCCCCGCCTGCTTGAGAGCAAGCAGAAGATGCACTTCCTGAAGACCGACTTCGACAAGGTACGCTGAAGCCCTCCCGGTTCCTGACAGGCAGCGACTAACAGAACTTAGTGGGTGGATGAGGACGAGCAAGATGAGGCTGGTGAGGACGACTACGCCAACAACTTCGGCGGCTTCGGTGGTGAGGGCGGTGACCCCAACGCCGGCGCCGGCGGCCTCGGCAACATCGACTTCTCCAAGCTCGGTGGCATGCCCGGCATGGGCGGCGGTGCTGGCGGCATGCCTGACCTGAGTGCCCTTGCTGGTATGGCAGGCGGTATGCCCGGCGCCGAGGGCGCCGAGGGTGCCGATGACGATGTAAGTTTCTTCTAGTCGCATCATTTATCTTGTTCTGGTTACTTACATCTCTTCTCAGGAGGATCTCCCCGAGCTCGAGGAAGCCGATGGTCAGAAGTCGACCAAGATCCAGGAGGTTTCCTAAATGCGTCACGACTAATTTCTGCGAATTCTGCTACGACCAGAAACGAAAAACAGGGTGCTTCAAGACACCCACGGGATGGTATGCTGGAGCTAGATTTACTTGATATTCCCACCGGCCATTGACTGCGGCTTTGCTTGACACGCGGCATGGATCCGAGGATACTTCATACTTAGTATATCTGTCTCGTCCAAAATATCCCAATGATTGATGAAGCGTGATAAATGGTCATTTCTCAGGTAGTCTGTACATGTCCAAGAATATGTCTTGTAATTGCTACATAGGTAGTCATCCGAGGTTTTACAGTGTTGGTTCTCGTCTGAACTCGCCATGTAATGATAAACCCAGGTATCCGAGGCGTTGCTTGGCAGTCATGAACAAGGAGGGCTTTCCAGGTTTTACTGTCCTATCACGATTGACTTCCATTTGTGCTGCCCAGGTGGAAGAGATAGGTGTAGAGTTCCCAGACTCGAGAACTGAGCTGAAAGGAAACAGGGCGAAGTACTGTAATGACCCCCCGGAACTCACCTGTACATCCTCATTCTAAGCTCTATTTCGTCCATCTATTAATGCCCCGAATGCAATCGAATCTGCGATTCGAAAGTAGTCCTGGGAGCCCGCCGATACCACGAGCCCTGAAACTATTCCGTAAGCTCATGGGCAAAGCTAGGGTTTCTCTAAGAATGTCCCCTGCTCCACGTCTTCTGTTATTGAACTCATACAGTGTGCAAAAGACATCATCATGCTTGACAACCCTCGCCACCATAGTTCATACAACAAAACTCTCTTGCCCTGCAAAGCTAAAACATGATATTCACTGCCATTTTTCTTCCGCGTTTCGTTCAATGGCTTAGGTTTCATCAACTCGACAGGGCGGAAAAGCCGAAAAGCTAGAGTAAACAAGAGCTGCATCGGCTGTATCCAATTGAAAGAATGTAGCCTCATATCTTCAACCTCCGTGATAAATTTATGTTAGTAGCTGAGATACTCCGCACACTGTTCAGAATTACGGATAAAGTGCCTGGGCCTTGGAAAGATAATATGTGTCATGCATGAGATTACTCACAAAACGAAAAGCCCCAAGGCATACTCAGCATGGATCAGTGCCGATCGTTTGCTGACACCAATGAATCATCCATGTATGCGTGCATGAATTCCCTTGAGCATCTGCGGGGAAGATACAGGTGAATAGGAATCGATCTTCGTAATACGAGACTTCAAATATTGTAGCCCATTTGTTGAGTATCATTCTGATTTTCTGGCTAGATCAGCCTGAACTTGATGTGATGCTTTTCTACTACCTAGGTAGTACTTAGTCGCTGAGTGACCAAAAGCAGGTCCTCACATTGGTTTCATCTAAAAGAACGCTTGTTCATGTCAGGCATCCTATCTCGGTGATGCCGACCACTTATAGGCGTCGAATGACTACGGGGTATGTATACTAGCCGCAGTTCAGCTTTCTAACTACGGAGTAAGCCAAGAAACTAAGGGTTTTAGACCGTGCTGCGTACTTGGTATGGGCTGACACTTTCTGTGTGTCTCAGACTCAAGCCTGTAGCCGTCTCTCATACATGCAGGGTCCCGCCTCTTCCGGTGCTACCACGCTCCACCACGGTCCGAGTCTAAACCTGCCAAGGAACCTGGAGCCCCATTTCTGCTTCATTTGTTCTCTTTCAAATCTCACATAATAGTACTGTATAGCTGATCTGTTTGTATACTTATCTGTACAGGTGATATGCAAAAATTACAACTCATTCATCTCAAGCATGAACCTAATAGCCCCTGAGTACTCCGTAAGGTGTTGCTGACCCAATGATACTACATATCTGTATGTGCAAATCAAGAATCCATAGGCTCGAGGTAATGCTCACTGTGATGTCAAGTTTTGTGAAACACCCGTTTAAATGCAGTCCTCGCGGTTATCGGCATCATATCCGTCCCTGACCTGGAATGAGCTGATAACGTGGGTATAATTGCCCAGGCGAGCTTTGTCCGCCAATAGTTCAATGGCTCGTGATCCATCTGCTTCTGCATGCAATCCATATTCATGGATATCTGGTTCATTTCATGCATTAAAAGTATTGACTCGTATTAGTATGTACGAGTTCGGAAAAGTTTCCAACAATTGCCATATGATATGGACTCAACCCACACGGTGCCAGTTCAACAAACCATCGAAAGAGATACCATTGACATTGGAGCAACGAACTCACATATCCTTTCTTGTATTTTGTGGGCGCAAGTCATTTAGTACCCGTCGAAGCTTGGAGTGTCTTCTACAGCCGCCCTCCGACTTCTTGCTCGGTGCTTCAGGGATCAGGTCCACAACTAGGATTCCACACAGCCACCAACACCTCCACTGTGAATTTCCCTAGCGATGCAGATCAAACATGTATTATTAGTGAGCGATTTCTGGAAGAACAGTCGCCAAGATTGAACTGCAAGAGCCATTACCACTGATGTAAAGATCCAGACATCTCTTCTGACGGCGCGTGGCCCAATTTGGGTCCTTTGCATTGATATCTGCAATGTAACATCAGCTAAGTTCCAATCAACAGTCATCTTGGTCAACATGAATTATTATCTTGCCAGGGTAGGAAATCAAGAACCGGACGAGGGGAATGATCAAAGCGTCTAGGCAGTGGCCTCGAGCAGTATAAGTAGGTCCATGAATCACCCAAGCTTGATCTTGAATATCAGCTCTTCACAGGCAATCGACAGCTTCAGCAAAAGCACTATCCATATATCTCATTGTACCACAACTCGACTTTCAAGGTTTCACAATGAAGGTCACTGCTCTCCTTTACACTTTCTTGGCTGCCACCGCTTTGAGCGCCGCATCAGTCGGCGAGCGGGCTGAGCTGGGTACCTTGGACGTCTGCGGAAGTGGTTATGGAACCGATCAAAGGCGCACGAACAGTGGCTGTCAATCCTCAAACGGAGATAGACACTTCTGTGGCTGTGACAGGACCGGCGTGGTAGGTTAACTTGACCCCATACCCCGACCATGTGGGCTAACATATCATTCCTTGAAGGTTGAATGCCGAGGTGGAAAGTGGACAGAGATTCGTGACTGCGGACGAAACTCATGCCGTGGTACCAGTCAAGGTGGAGCCAAGTGCTAGAACCAGAACATGAATTGTGCTGGGAGGCCATAAGAGTGGAACTTTGGAAAATGTACAGTCAGTCAGTCTCTTGCTGAAATTGGTGGTTCAGATTGGAAGAATTCAACATCAATCCATCTGTTGGGCTGGTTTAGGGGCGATGCTTCAAGCAGACATTCATTGTACCTCAACTTATCATTCGTCGCTCATTGAATTTTTGATAATATGCCAGGCTTTTCAAATTCCCGAGGTTCTATCCTGCAACTAGATGAATGAGAATTCGCGTAAGAGCGTACTTGAAGTTGATCAAATGCAAGTAGAGACCTTGATTTTTGTAGGAAGAGAAAATGGTGACATAGCAGGCTTGGGATCCAGCTTCATGGGGCAAAAGTACAGTGAAGGAAATGTTGAATCCTTCCAAGGTTGAAGGGAATAGTACTAAGCTTTGGGGCGAGTAATACACGATGAGTGAACACACGTTCCTTTGAAAGGACTTTCAATGGCGCAAGGGGTTTTACCCACTTTCTTCATCCCCAGGTAAATCTCAGACCTGACAAATCTTTGGCCGGCACCTGGGCATTTATCGATGGATGATGGCCGGGTTGGGCTTTCCTTGTGCAAGACCCTGCAACAGGGGAACATTGAAAGTTGAATCCTTCGAAGCAGCCCTGGGGCACTTCGCTCTGGAAGCGGCGCCTATCACAAGCCACATCACAATCCCGTTGAATACCGACTGGAGCGTTTCCATTGATTCCATTCACTCCGCAGGGACTTCATACTGACACTCCATGAAAGGCCGGCAACCTGCCTTGGCACGACCACCAAGCGCCAGGGTCTCGCAGGATCAGGCTGCCCCACCAGAGCCCCATTAGGAAAATGAACTGAAGAACACCCTCAAAATTGAGAGAGATGCCAAAAGCAATATGTCACCTCGAATCCATCCGCCTGGTAGGGGTTTGTTTGCCACTTCAGAAACAGAAATCCCGGTGCCGATCTTCAGCTTTTGGCCCCCAACTCCGCATCCTGATAACTTCCTCTCTCCCGATCTGGAAACTGGTATAGGTGATTTTGGTTGCTTCGTTTGGTATTGCTGGATGCTCTGGACTCACCGTGGTAGTATCTGTTGACCATCTTGCTCCTGCAGATGGAGCCAGCACTCCCATTGGAAGATGGTTGAGCTGAAGACTATGGTGCTGGTAGGGAGGGAATGGAGTATAAAAGGAGCGTTGAGGATCGTCCTGTTGATCAACTGCCAATCTCAAGTCAATCTTCTCTCAGTCTTCTGTTGATCACTCCAGTCATCGTCACCGAGACTCTCTTCTCCACCACTATGTCCAAGTCCATTCTCGCCCTCGCCGCATTTGCCTGCGGTGCTAACGCCGCCATCAAGGCTGTCTGGCAGGCTGGGTCATGCGCTAGCCCTACAGGCCCTACCATTGATATCTCTCCTATTGGTGTCAACACTTGCACGCTGTACAACTTCTTCCCCAACGACGATCCTCGCGGCCACGTCGTGGTCACAGTGGAAGGCGGTACCAACGGCATTGCATTCTTCCAGCTGCCCAAATCTCAGGAAGACCAACACATCCAGTGTGGCTCACTGCAGGGTATCTTCCACCAGTCCGGGTGCTACGACTCCATCACTCCGGCTCTCGATGTTGTGACTGCCGAATGTGACCAAACAGGCTGCAACAACCTCTCTGGCATTCCTTCTGGTAAGATGGTTGCCGCCATTGACTCTTCAAGCACCTCGAAGCGCGAGGTCGAAGAGCCTAAGATCCAAAAGAAGCGCGAGACCATCTCCGAGCGCCGTGAAAACAACATCGCCCGCCGTGACGGCTGCAGTGGCTCGACCTCCGTCACCTGCGATGATTGCCAAACCTGCTATGCTCAGGGTGCTCGTGTCTCACCTTTCATCAGCTGTCCCGGTCAGGGCGAGTCATGCGCTGCTCAGTTGACTCAATCCATCACCATTACCGACGAATACAGCATGACGGTTGGCGTGGCTGACGTCTTCAGCGCGTCGGTCGAGACTAGCCACTCCATTGCTGTCACCAATGGAGGCTCACAGACTTTCACTGTCTCTCCTGGCCAGGCCGGCTTCGTGCAGTATGAGGCCCTGGCCCAGTGTGGTACTAAGACAATTCACAACGGCGATGGTTCTGTTTGCGCCCAGGCCAAGGGTACCTTTGTTCTTAACAACCAGGGTGCAGGCGGCCAGTTCTCTTTCGTGCGATCTAACTAAGTGGCGGTGTCATCATGGCCCTAGTCTAGTTTGTATGAAGTTGCCTGAGATCTTGGAGGAGATTTAATCATGTGTGCGATGACAATTGACAGATGAAATAACCTTGGAAATTGGAGATGGACCATCTAGGCCCTGATATTTCATGTTTCTAGAGCTATATTTTGCAAATAGAATCAATAAAGCCCCAAAAACCTTATCACCAAATTCCCAGGTAACTCGTCTTTCTAGTAACTCCAAGGCTCTTGTGGGAGTGGGGACAACTCAAGAATACTAGAAGACTAAGATGCCAAATTTCGAGTCTAACGAACCTCCAAATCTTTGAAGATTCAGAATTATGAATTTACCACACCACAAAGTTAGACTGTTCGGTGGCTAAGTTGGTTCGCCGCCATCTTTCTATATCTCGATGCAGTCGCGATTCTTGCCCGTTTCCCCCACTTGAGTAGGGGAAGAGGAAGCAGAAGAATCACGAAAGCGATGACGGCGACCAAAATATGCAAGTCTCGCATTCCCATGCGGTTGACCCAAGGAGTAAGGACAAACAAAACAATGACCGAGAAAATATTGCGCATGAATATCACACCAATTAGTGCATCGCCAATGATCTAGATTGTATCAAGAAATGATCGAAGATTCAGTAGAAGCCTGGCACTTACATCTTGATAACAATCCATGAGATATGAAAGAGCAATTCCGCTGATAGCTGCAAATGCAAACCCAAAGACACCAAATCCAACGGCTAGTAAAGCCCAGTGAGCACCCTGAGGTCCGTTAGGGGGGGAGTGGTGAATTCGCCTGGAGATTTCCTCACATATGCAAGTCCCAGCCCAAACATGAGTATGCCCACAGGGGTGACCACGGCTAGTGGGAGAGCAAGCCAAAGACGCATCTCTGGCTCATAATATCCACGGTTCCGTTTCGATAGCCACAGAATCGATTTGTCGCTCAAATGTCCACCAAATGGGAACCCAAGGACTGCGCCAACAAATGGAGCGATGTTCATCAGTCCAACTCCTTTCGCGTCGAAGTTGTATGGCGGTAAAATCATGTAGGATGCCTGTAGGGAAGTCATGATTGCAAACCAGCAAAGAGTAGATCCATATGTGATGGCGGCATATGAAACAGCGGGAAATGTGAAGAGGGCCTCGATGGGCTGATAGAAATGCGGCCAAAGACTCTCATCAGTCGGGGTGATCCATGCCATTCGCTGGAAGTATGTCTTTGGTCTGATTTCCGGATTAGTAGACGCTCTGTATGGTTTATCAAGCACGGCCGCCTTATCCACCAAATCGCCATCTTTGTGAACTTCGGCCGACTCGCCGGTCCCATGCGATGTCGCGGTAGCGTCTTGGCCATAGATAATAGGTATATACTTTGATTCTTCAAAGAGGAGAATCACACAGACAAGTGTTACCCCAAAGAAGATCACACACCACCACCACATCCATCGCCACCCCTGTGATACAACGATGTACCCCGATGCCACAGGGCCCAAAAAGGCCCCTGCTGATTGCACAATCACATACCAGCCGTTCATCGTCGCATGCTGATGAACAAAAAACAAGTCTGCAATGGTGATCTGGACCACGATCTCACTGATCGCACCTCCAATGCCTGAGATCAATCCACTGCCAATCAAATCTCCAACACTATATGTCTTGGCCTGCCAGATGCATGATGCGAACTGAAGAGCCACGCTGAATATGTAGATTGGGCGTCGGCCATACTTGTGTACCAAGGGCGTGAAGAAGATACAACCTACGGCGAGACCGCCATAGTTGACAGCTGCTTCTGCGTTGAGGATATCGACCGAGAACCCGAGTTCTGTCTCCATGGGACCCCATGCCGTGAAGCCAATGTCCAGTTGGACGAAAGTCCATAGAACGAAAAAGCTGACCAGGGTAAAGTTTAGAGCTTTTCGGGCCTTTGACCAGTTGAGAGGATCGTTGGGGTCCGATGAGGGGGTTGGGAACAATACCAGGCTGTTCCTGGATTGGACTGGGTGGATCAGTCAGTCGCTTCAATCAAACACGCGGGTAGCCACCTACGGTCTTCGAGTGCAACTGTTCCGGGGGCCCAAAAGGTCTCATGATCATTGCAAGCGTCCATGGCTGGCACATCCAAAGATGAGTAGAGGCAATCGCCCCCTTTAATACATACCACAGCATGCCCCCGACGTTGTCCTTATCACCACCCCAAGTGCCCAGGTGAATGCGGGGAAACAAGCAAACAGTCCGCGACGGCGAATCAGCTCGTATCAAACATGCCGGCTTGGCGTGATTGGACTCTTCGGCACCAAGCTGGGCTGCCTAGGTGCACATCAGGGCGGAAACCTTGGTGTTCTGTTGGCTGACGCCGAGGGCTTGATTGTGCTCAAGCCCCCAGAAGCAGGACAGCCACGAAATCATATTTAGTGACCTTGGGGGTTCGGTCGATATGATGAACATTTCTAATCCAAGTCGTTGCAAGCGGGATATAAGGAAACAAGAGAAATGAATTGTTAAAGCAAAATCGGATTGAAGTTGGTCACAAGCAAGGTCAATGTCCTAGAAAACCCCCACAGCAATAAAAAGTAGATGAATTGAATTTCAGTCAAGAGACCAGACATAAGCACGGAACATCTGGCGACTATAATGACTCCAAGGGAAAACAGTCAAATCATACTTGGGCTGGAGGAGTCGTTTACCTCTTTCGGTTGCTCGAAACCCACGCACACTTTTACAACAAGCGCACTGGGCTGTACAGTGACCCCATCCTTTCCTCCGACGAGGGTCAGGGGGTGTCTCGCAGCATCCGCACGAGCGACCACAACAACCCCCACGATTGATACAGTCCTGGCGCAGCCAATCACTTCGAAGATACCAATATGACTGTTGTCGAATCCACAGATATCCACTCTTGATCGGTCCTGCCGGGCAACCAGCCACAATGGTCTCGTAGGTTCGTTCGAGGCGATCGTACTCGTGGTCTAGTGTTATCAACTCTTCGACCATGTCGGGCACAATCGCCTTGGCGACAGGGTCGGAGTTCGCGTTGACGATCTGGATGCATTCTTTGACGAAGCTTTCCTGTTGAGTCACCTCCCGGAGCAAAATCTCCGTTTCAATCACCGATTGCGCCCATCGCGAGAGGATGTCCGGGTTGGTTTCCCAGAGCAAGAGTCGTTTCCCCCGCACAACCTGCCATCGCATCCAATTTGCCGAGACGCGTGTCGCGCCTTCAATGCATCCTGTCAAGCCCCCGATCACAGCAATTTTCTTCTTTTTGGCTTCGCTCGCCATTTCGACCTTCGCTGAAGCAAGGATGAACAAGGTGAGGGTGAGTTCTTTACATCACTTTTCATCATTCACTACCTAGGTAGGTTGTACCCTCGAGTGGACTCTGTTCCATGGATGGGAAGCCACTGAGGGTTTGAACCACAACTGCTAATTTCTCGTGAGCCACCCCTCAGCTAGTTGTGACTTGCTGGTGAATCTGCCCAGGTGTGCTCTTCGGCTGACCCAATCCTCTGGTCAGGACCAAGAGGCGAAAACGAGCCTTCGAGCATACGGCACTCTCGACTCATTGCGGTCCCGAGATACCAAGAGGTCACTTTGCCATGCCGTCCCCAAACGCGAAGCCTTGCCAAGTCCCAGAGTGGAATTGCTAGACCATCACGTGCGAGCGGCATCATGTTCACCCGTTCCCACTGCACGATAACTCCACTCGAAACGTCCGATAACGACCTCGGGAGTGTTTCTGGGGATCGGGGCTCCACTCACGACAGCACTTGGCCAACTCCTTTGACTGCCCTCACTGGCTCTCGTTTGAAGTTGCCGACGACTGTCCCATCTGAAACCCTCAACCCTCAACGGATCCACCAACTTTCAGTCAAGAGCCAAGGTAGATCCGAAGATGTCCCACAACACTCCCATTACAGAGAAACGCCGCGTGCTGGTGGTGGGGTCAGGGGGTGTGGGGACAATGGTCTCTGTCGCCCTCGAGCGATCGAATATGGCATCAGTCACAGCTGTACTCAGGTCCAATTATGAGCAAGTTACTCAGCATGGATTCGAGATTGAATCCATCGACCATGGGAGATTGTCCAACTGGAGACCAAGCGCAGGTATGCTGGAAACAATCTCTAACTGAACCACGACTCACGCGAGACGGTTAGTTGTCAACTCGGTCCCCATGGCTGATCTCAAGGCTCCGTTTGACTATGTGATTGTGACAATGAAAAACATTCCCGAAGTAAACAATATCCCCAAGATCATCGCACCAGCAATCACGCCGGGTCACACAACAATCGTACTGTTCCAGAACGGCATGTACATTGAACCGCCCATAATCGAAGCTTTCCCAACAAATGCTGTACTATCAGCACCCAGCTATATTGGCGCACATGAGCATAATGGACATGTTGTACATGATGATCACGACAACTTCCATATAGGCGTCTTCCACAACACATCGCTAGACGAAGCATCCGAGCGAGAAAAGCTAGAGGAATTCGCAAGGATCTACAACGGAAGCAAAGTGGTGGACGCAAACATCGTGGACGACATCGTGTTTTATCGCTGGCGGAAATTGCTCTGGAATGGAGTTTTTAATCCAATGTGCGCCATTACGCAGCTGAACAGTGGTGCAATCCGAACATTCGGTGGCGAGCACAGCTTGATTAGACCAGGGATGATGGAAATGGTGTCCATCGCCAGGGCCGATGGCTATGATCTTGGGCCTGGTATTGTGGACGAGGTCATCGATCGCCCGCCAATTGAACTAGCCTTTCGTCCCAGCATGCTTGTGGATGTGGACAAAGGCAATCCGATCGAGGTGGAGGTCATTTTGGGTAACGCGTTGGGTGTTGCGAAAGAGAAAGGTGTTCCGACGCCACTCTTGGATACCACATACCGGTTCTTGAAGCTCATTCAGGCGCGGCTGTTGGCTGCAAGGGGGCTGGTTGTTGAGCCGAAAGAGCTACCAACCACTGATTTGATATAAATGATCCGCGAATTGAGTGGGCCAAGAGAATGGCCTGTCTCGGATCCGTGCTTTTCGCAATGTTGCAGTTTGACAAATACGATATGCAACCTGGCACCCGTGGATGCCGTTAAGTGGCGAGGCGTAAGCACCACCTCGAGTGTCGATCGTAGTCCCGCTGGCTGCAATGCGGGGACTATTCCAAGGTTAATTCTGACAACTGTCAACTTCCAACTAGTTTCGCTCACATTTCTACTATATTGTTCAAAATGGAGAGAATCGATGTGCACGCGCACTGCGTGCCACCTTCATATCGTGAATATTGTCTGCAGAACGACTTTGCGGGAAAAGGGCATCCAGATGGAATGCCCGCAATCCCAGTCAGTTCTCCCATTGAGAATCACCATTTCTATCGATGTCGCTGACGGAATCCAGGAATGGAATGCGGCAGCCCACATCGAACTGATGAAACCCCTTAACATCAAGAAATCAGTACTGAGCATGTCATCGCCAGCAACCCATCTAACACCCGGAGACGATCAAGAAGGACGATCAGTCACCCGTCGCGCCAACAATGACATGTCTCAAATCTGCGCCGATCATCCAGATCGATTCCTGTTTCTCGCATCCCTGCCACTGCCGGATGTCGAGGGCTCCCTTGCAGAAATCGACTATGCACTAGATCATCTTGGCGCAGTGGGATTCCAAATCCTCACCAACTCCCATGGCGTATATCCAGGTGATGCACGCTTCAATCGCGTGTTTGACAAATTGAGCGAGCGCAAGACCATCGTTTTCTTCCATCCGACAACGTGCCATATCCAAGAAAACACCTCATTGACGAAGGTCACGCCTCTACCCGGCGTGCCAGCGCCAGTCATGGAATTCATGTTTGATTCAACTCGGGCGCTGATGAGCCTGCTCACTTCTGGAACTGTTGAGCGGTGCCCCGGAATTAAATTTTTGGCGTGTCATTGCGGTGCGACTTTCCCTCCGATCATGGAGAGGATCGCTGAGTTCTCGCCCATCCTTCTCGGTCCCGGAAATGGTATCAGTGGGGAGAAGATCAAGCAGCTTCTCCAGTCGCGGTTCTATTTTGATCTTGCCGGTGTTCCGTTTCCGGATCAAATTCATGGTCTTCTTCGGCTGGTTGACTCGTCTAGGTTGCTTTATGGAAGTGACTACCCGTATACCCCTGCAGCGCTAGCTGGATCGCTAGCACAGAGAATGGATAGCGGGTTAGAAGCTCACTTTGGATCGGAAACAGCACAAGCGATCTTGCTGGAGAATGCCAGAACCATGCTTGGTGAACCCCGAGTATAGATATGGCGCGTGCTCCGTACTCCGTACAGTATTTCCCATTGATGATTACTCTTTGAAATAACAAGAAGTTGCCCTGTGCGGTGTAGATCGGTCCTGTTTAAAATGCGCTTCGGGAGAATCCCGCGTGGTCAACCCCTCTGAGTTGATTGTAGAAGCGTTCCTCTGATCTGAAGCAAGACTTTCTCCGTAAAGTCCGAGCTATATGGGTTTCCAGGGAAAGAGGACTTGGCCTGGATCCTTGCTTTTGGCGATTTCGGTCAACCATGTCTTAGCAGAGAAAATGACTTGAATATGTGCATCGCCATGCCGTGTTGTGACACAATGATAGTGACCTTGTCGATCCCGTCGCTGTCAAAATGGCACACGCAGCTGGGGGACAATAGGCCCCGCAAAGTCTAGTGGGCCTGGCGTGTCAATCAGTGGGGATATCCCCAGATGCCGTGAAAGGCGGGGACAGACCCCCTAGTATGATCTGGAGGCCTCGAAACTTCAAGTATAAGAGGGTATCGACCTGTCTGCCTGACACACTACGAGCTGGATCTCACATTTAGATATGGCAGGGTTTCTACTTCGGTTCGCGAGACTCCTTGATTATCAGAGTATGGAATACCTCCATTCACACAACACGCTATATGTTTGTTTGGTCTTCCTTGTGGTCTTCATCGTCATCAAAAGCACCTCAACAGCCTTCAAGCCCGGGCTGAGATCCATACCTGGCCCTTTTATCGCAAGATTCTCGTGTCTATATCGCCCATGGAAGATCGCAAAGGGTGATGCTCCAGACTTTTACCGGAGACTGCATCAACAGTACGGTCCCATCGTCCGCACGGGGCCAAATACCGTGGATATCTCGGACCCAAAGGCCATTCCCATCATATATGGCATCAACAGCAAATTTCTCAAAGTAAACTCACTCTTTCCAATCGTAAACAAATCAAACCTAACATCGATGCTAGTCACCATTCTATGACACATTTCACCCTGTGTATGAAGACAATCCAATGCCGAGTATGTTCTCAGTGCGCGATCCAGTGCAACATCAAGCCCTGCGCCGACCAGTGGCACAGAAATTCTCAATGTCGTCGATCAAGGCCCTAGAGCCTTTCGCGAATGAGTGCACGAATATTTTCGTGGACGCGATGCGAGATCTAGAGGGGCAGTGTGTTGATCTCAGTGTATGGTTGCAGTGGTATGCATTCGATGTCATCGGTGCCATCACGTTCCAGCGGCGTTTTGGCTTTATGGAGAAGCGGCAAGATGTCGAGGGAATGATCGACGCTCTGGACAAGGGTTTGTATTATGGTGGGATAGTCAGTCAAGTTCCGGCGCTGCATCATTGGTTATTAGGGAACCGCTGGGTTGCAAAATTCATAGCTATGCAACCATTCATTGACGTGGCTCATCCCCTGCGGACTATATTGGAAGTAAGCGTTATTCTTGTTGCGTCTGACTCGGGATTTTTCGCTGACCAAGTTGCAGTTTACCCAGAAATGCATTGATGATTATGATCGAAATAGTGCTGATCACGCTGATCGACCAGACTTCCTCGCTTGGCTGCGAGGCGAAGAGACAAAGGGCAAACCTATGCCGAACCGAGATATGATCAATCACCTCAGTAACAACTTGTGGGGCTCTCTTGTCTTACTTCTGATGTGTTCTGAGTCTTACTGATTTTCTACTCAAAACGCAGGCTTGCAGGAAGTGATACAACTGCAATCTCACTGCGAGCAATCATCTATTTCCTCGTCAAAAATGAATCTAAATACCACAAGCTACAACATGAGATAGATCAAGCAGATCAAGCCGGCAGAATCTCCGAGTATATCACTTATGCAGAGTGCTTGGAGCTACCCTATCTGTGAGACAAGCCTCGATCACTCTCCCAAATGAGCAGGACCTAATGTGATTCAGCCAAGCCGTGATGAAAGAAGCGATGCGATGTCACCCTGGCGTCTCATTCCCGCTGGAACGGGTAGTGCCTGAAGGTGGAGCAACATTTTCCGACATTCATTTGAAGCAGGGAACGATTGTTGGTATCAATCCCGCGGTGATCCATCACGACAAGACTATATTCGGAGACGACGCAGACGCATTCAGACCTGAGAGATGGATTGAGTCAAGCGAGGCTCATATCAAGCTTATGGATCGACATCTTATGACAGTGAGTTAAATATGCGGGTGCCCTCAACTCGTACTAATTGTGGCAGTTTGGATATGGATCTCGGACCTGCATTGGGAAAAACATCTCGATCATGGAGATGGGGAAATTGGTTCCGCAGATTATTCGACATTTTCAGCTCGAATGGGCATCCGATCAGCCCGAGTGGAATGTGCAGACGTTCTTTTTCGCAAAGCAGCATGGCCTGAAGTGTCGTCTGCGGCGGCGCCAGCAAGTCCCGCAACCGTGAATGTGTCCGACGTAAGAGTAACGTAGGCCATCTTCACATCTTCCCCTCTTTGACATCCTGTTCTCTCGTTCTCTTGTTCTTTGTTCTTTATTCTTCCAACGCATTCTCGACAGTCTACTTTTCATCGAAACTACTTCGGAAAATGGCTACCAGCGAATCGTCTTATCTATATTTCCCGTCATTCATCCTCGGGTTCTTGATCGTGCTCTTCATCTACATCTTAATTCTCGTTCTTAATAAAATTATGAAGAGCCGCATCAATCGACAGAGCCTCTCGGATACAGCCCCCAATGCCAAGAGAAACTTGGCTCGAAATTCGCGCAAATCCCATCCCAATTTCGCCCCAATGTCAAACATTACAACGATAACAACGATGCCAAGACACGCTATTTCTGATATGGATCGGGATATTGAATCTCAAAAACTGAAATATCTGGAGATACAGCACCTTGAAGTTGGAGTGCATCCGAATTAGATCGGTTAATTTGCTGACCATCCATCGCAACACTCATGGTGGCCATTCAGGGCCAAAGATCGGACAATTGTGCTCATGCGGGCAATTCGCATGGCGGCTATTTTGTTGGGCTAAGTGCCATCACACCGGTAGAGGTGTGATGGGGAGAGATGGCCATGCATCGTCTGCATGGGGGAGTTGGCCAGTGCAGCTCTTATATGAACCGAGCATGGGTACGGAGCAGTCTTAGAAGGTTTTTGAAACTCAATTGTATCTCAAATTTGATTGTCTTTTTTTCAACATGTCCCAAGAAATTGTTGGCAATGTCCTTGACCCCAAATACCGAGACGCAAAGGAGCCGCCATCTGCCTCACTTGCAGTGGCAGATCTATTTCGATTGGATCAAAGAACGATAGTTGGTAAATTATCCACCCCGAGTACCTAGGTAGCGATGCATGCTTATTGAAATCAAGTGACCGGCGCTGCAGGCTGTTTGGGATCAACCGTCGCCGAAGCAATCCTCGAAAGCGGCGGCGATGTGGTCTGCCTTGACATATTGGATGCGCCGAGCGAATCAAAATGGGGTATGGAGTTGTTCTTGATATGTAGCTTTCGTCTCAACTTCAATGAAACTAACCACGAGCAGCAAATATTCAATCTATCGCAAAGAAACACTCACAGCAAGTGACCTATATTCAATATGATCAACGGAGCGACGAGTCCGTCAACGCCGCTTTTGACAGAATGAGAACTCTTCGATATCCCCTGCGTGGGTTAGTGGCCTGTGTAGGAGTGATGGATGCCTGTTCAGCGGTCACCTTTCCCAGCGACTCTTTCACACGACTACTCGATGTCAATGTTGTGGGAACGTTCCGAGTCGTGCAACGATTTGTGAACAATCTTCAATCAAATCCAGCCAGCGTGGTCCTAGTATCTAGTATGAGTGGTCATGTGTCTTACAAGGTCAGTTGTAGTTGAGTTGAGTGTCGCGTCATCTTAATCTGACAGCTATTTAGGGCTTGGATACAATGGCGTATAACGCGTCCAAGGCGGCATTGCATCAGATGACGCGCTCGCTGGCCGCGGAGTGGGGGGCTCGCGTAAATGTACCTTTGATCCGAGTGAACTCGCTGTCGCCTGGTTGTATTCGTACTCCAGCTTCGGCTGAGGTCTTGCCGGGGACGGGACTCGAGGAGATGTTGATTAATGACAGTATGCTTTATCGGCTGAGTACCGCCGATGAGTATCGGGCTCCTGTGATTTTCTTACTAGGGGATGGGAGTAGCTATATGACAGGGTCTGATTTGAGAGTTGACGGTGGGCATTGTGCGTGGTAGTGGTAGTGGATTCGGGAATCTGAAGTAGCAAATTTTGTCTGATATTTTGTCTTCTGTTTTTCTATTTCTCGCCTTCTCGTAGTAATTGAAGCAAACTTAAAGCAATTCCCATCAAGTCGCTTGGGAGTCTCCTCGCATGAGGTCTGAAATCTGATACTGAATCAAGCAAAGAGCCACGCCTGAATCTGTACCCTTCATCTCGTCAAGCTTCTCTGCCACCCACTTGGAAGCCTTCTCATGAACAAGCTCCCACACACTTTTCGAAGGCTTATGGTTATTCTCCAGGTATCCCATCACGAGCAAAGTCGCGACGACGGTGGTTCTGTCTCCGCGGAGAAGATCATCGGGAAGACTGCCAAACGCTGTGGTAGCATATAATGCAGCGACATCGTCAATGACTTTTCGTCTATCGCAGCGCATGAGCTTGAAGAGCCGGTCGGACATCCGCCAATTCCCCTTGTGTTCTTGCTCGTAGATGATTTCGCGGAGGTTGCTCGAATGCGCATGGTCGCGTGCCTTCTTCACCGAGTCCAATTCGACTTCAGGTAACGCAGGTTCTGTCAATTCCAAAGCATATTGTTCATACTGCTGAAACTGGTGGAATGCAGGCTGGGCAGGAGCTGTGGTGTAATTGTAAAAGCCGGCATGATTGCCACCATTTCCCCAGCTTCCTCCTCCTCCTCTTCCTCCGCCTATGGTTCCTCCGCCTCTGGTTCCTCCTCCTCCTCCTCTTCCTCCACGCCAATTTTGCCCGGGAGATTGGTGAAAGCTTTGCATGGGATTCCATTGAATGTAATCTCGGCGATTCGTCGGAGCAACGTAACGCTGTTGGGCCGCGCTGGACAGGGTCGGGGCTGAGAATCGAACGGGTTGATCTCTGCTGTTGTCACGACTGTGTAAATTCATAGAGCCTGATGACCCACACTCGACGGGGTGTTCCATGGGGAACTTGTTCTTGTGATTTCTTTTTGGGCGAGTTGAATCTTCGATAGCTACAAACGAGACGTACTTTCCAGTGACTCCGAACTTAATACCAAGGCTTTGGCATTCACGTTCCGCGAGACGCTGCTTGGTAGCCATGTGGAAGTTATCAAAGGCATTTCCTCGATCGTCCTTAGCATCTGATAGCCAACCGGACTCTTCTTCGAGTTCAATGATCGCCTTGCGTGCGGCGAGCTGATGAATGGTCATTCCAAGACCAATGTCACAGATTGGCACTTTCAAAGTCAGAGGACCTTGTCGCGACGTGCCGCTAAGTAAGATGGCTGTTGGGATCTCTCCAGAGCTTTCGGGATCCATGAGTAGATATGCATCTGTCCTAATGAAGGGATACAAAGTAGGCAACTTGTATGGGGCTTGAATCCTCCGTGGTTGCCTGAGAGTAGGAAGTTCAGCACTGGTAGTATTCTTGTTCGTGTCAGCATCCATCAGGTTGTCCTTGAGGTTCTCGTCAAACAATGAGATTGGCTGTTGTGGACCACTGCTTGGTTCATCGATGGAGTCACCGCAATAGTCGTGTTCTGTCTCTGAAGCCGAGTCCTCGTTTATGATTGTCACATGTTCGAACCCGTTGTCTGGCTCATAATCATACTTGACCTCCAGTTTGAAGTCATTTATGTGTGGTGTCAATGCTCCCTTCAGCATACGGATCACCTTGCGATCAAATTCCTCATATTTCAACACCGATTGACAGAACCCATTTCCTGCTCTTGCTATTCCCTCGATCAAGGAATGCGAAACACAGTTCCCAATACCGAGAGAGAGAAAACCGAGCATCGCCCTTAGTGGCCTCCCTCCGAACAAACCTGATTAGAGACTCTTGTTGGAAGATTTCTCCATCGGTGAGAATCAAGACCTCGAGGTCTCGGTCCTTCAGGCGCTGAGAGATCGTGGCGACAACCGCTGCTTCCATGTTCGTGCCACCCATGTCGGCGTGAATCGTTTTGACGAACAACATCGCTTGCTTCAGACTGAAAGCATCATAGACCTTACTGGTGGGCCACAAAAAGGAGTAGTCAGATCCAAAAGAACAAATGTTGAAAGATACCCCAACAGGCAAGGATTTCAAAAACACTTTCAAGGCAGATACCAGGGTTGCGATTTTGTCCCCCATGCTTCCACTTCTGTCAATGACAAAAATTATTTCATTCTTTGCAGGAGGTAGTGCGAACTTTGGCACAAGGGTTGCCATTATCGCGCGTTGGTTGGGGATGGTGGGATGTGTTTCAAGCATTGCACAAGGCGCATCGAGTCCCTCCACTTTGATCAGAAGCACGAAGTCTGTCTCCAATGTTGCTTCGTGGGAACTTTCTCGGGGCTTGAGGGATGCAGATGCTTTACAGGGATCGAAAGCAGTTGCACCTGCCGATGAACTGGAAGTCCGTCCTAGCGATATCTTCATTTGATGGCTAGGCGATTCCAGCTCGGAGATTACCAAGCTGTCGCTCATGACAACATCAACCGTGACTGACATTGCTTGGGTTCCTTCGCCATTTGGGTTAGTAAATGTCGATCCGCGTAGATAAAGTTGGCTTTCTTCGACCCCATAGCGAGGGGCGATGGCATGTGGAATTGTATAGCGAATGCCGTCTGTCTGGGTGTCTTGCTTCAACTCCCCCACGAATGTGATATTGACATGGACCTTCCCTTGGGCAGGAACGTTGCCGAGTCGAATCAGAAACACGTCGTTCTGTGAAGTATGGTCCATAACAGCAGCGACTCGGTTCTGGGTCACCTCAGCTCCATAGAGCTCGTTGGCTTGGGATTTGGTCTTGATCGCACCGTGCAGAACGTGAGTCCCGACTGTGCAGTTGAAGGCAACGACACTGACACCATCGTATAGTGGAAATTTATAAGAGACTTCTTTGACCTGCTTGTAGGACTGGTTGACGAATGTCTGTGAAAGAGTTGTACGGGCTACCGATGAAATCACAGTCGCATGGACCTTCAGGGAGACCCGAGGGATGTAGATCGGCCGGTCATGTTGCCGAGGCCGATAAAAGCAGCCACCTTGAAAAGGATAACGCACAGGGTTTCCATATGCATCCATGATGTGCAGGGGCTGCAAAAAGTTGTCAAGAGGTTATTTCAGAATGAAAATTTCAGGGTAAAAGCTTGCAGTTTGAAAGATGAAGTAGAAGTAGAAGTGAGAAATGCAGCTCTATATGAAGCCCGGTTTGAGTGCAGAACGATGTCATATATTTGCTGAATTTGACACAGTATGGACAAACCTTGGAATGAGTCACTGGTCTTCAGGGCCCTAGAGCTTCTCTCCAGGCTTGGGTTTGAATGGTAAACTTGGGTTAGCGTTGGGGGTCCCTGGAAGGGGAACTGGAGGACCAAGGTCGACTCCGAGTTTGATAAGAAAGTTGCGTAGCACTATGCAATGTTTTCAAATTAGCGTCTTTGACACTTCATTAAAATTGATATCTATGCAATACAGGAATAAGAATGGTCTATGCAACACAGGAAGTTTTAAACTTTTGGAATCAACACCTCACCGGGCGAAGCCATCGAGATCGGATTCGAGATTCCGCGCAAGCTTCATTCGCAAAACTCATGCATCATGACACTTTACAGCTTGAGCTGCAGCAAGTTTCCAACCATCTCCACGGCGGTGATACGGGTGGTAGCCCACAGGGTGGGGAAGTCCAAGGTGCTAGAGAAGGTATCGGCGTAGCCGAAGAACAGCATGGGGGGGATCCAGCCACGGGCGTACTCCAGCGCGAAGCAAGACTCATCCATCTTGTACTGCTTAACCTCGCCGCGGACAAGGTGGTGCACGCTACCGGCGGGGTAGACCTCGGGCTTGAACTCGCCGGGGACGTAGGCCAGCTGGGTGCCCTGGAGGATGTTGAAGTAGTCGTCGGCGGTGTGGCGGCCGGTGTGACCCTCGGTGCCAATGGCGGTACCTGAAAACCGTTAGTGGTGTGGGCGTGTGGTTGAACCTGCGGGGACTTACCGAAGACGATCAGGTACTCAGTGATACTGGCGTGGATCACGTACATGGCGCCCATGGCACCGCCGGCGTTGTTGAAAACCCACTCCTCCTGGGTGCTCAGGTAGTTGGGACCGACCTTCTGCTCCAGCTCGGCAACGATGAAGTTGACAATGGAGCGAGTATCTTCGCCATGAGCGCTGATCGCACGCTGGGAGAGATCGTGGAGGTGATCCGGGTCGAAGATGTAGAATTGCTCCAGGCGCGCGTCGAGGAATCGGTAGACCGCGGAGAACAAGGCGAGGAAGATGGCCAGGAAGCTCAGGGTCTTGAAGGAGAAGCAGCGACAGCCACAGCCGGAGCTGGAGCTGCTGGACTTGGAGGACTTGGAAGGCATGGTGTGTTGAAGGATCCAACTTGAAAGCGTCCACTAGAATTTAATCTCACGGCCCCTGGCCAACACCCCGGAGTTCCACCCAGTGGGGCCAAACATCTACAACCCTCGCTTGGTTTGAGATTTTATCGAGCTCTACATTATGATTTCCTTGCTCATGTCTCTGGTTGCCTACTAGTACATACATTTCCAATATCTCCTGGTCTTGGCTAATTGCTCAATTAACTGCTTTTTCGAGTTGCTTCATTTCAGTGTCCATAGATGCCTTTGCATTGTTTGTATTGCTGACTCATCACGGACAGGCCATGTCGGATGCGCGCAATCCGTATCGCCCGCCTTATGATTGGTCAGTTTTGAGCGATGTCCATGGTTCCGCGAACCTTGAAGCTCATCCATGGATCCAGGTGGGAAAACACCCTGAGCATCAGCGGGCGGCTTCCCGGGTTTCTGTCATGTTTATTCCGTACCTAAATGAGACCACCTGGACATCCTAGGTGCACCTCTGGTGCAAACAGAATTATGGATAGTTCGGAACCATCTAGTACAGAACACCTCCATCTCCAGATATGCCTACCTACGACAATCATAAAACATTGGATCACAGTCGACCACTCATTCAGAAATACAGTAGTCCGACATTAAATGAGTTTTTCCCTGTCCCTCAACCTTGAGCAGCGTCCATGGTGTAGCCGCTCCCGACTGCTTTGACCGCACTGCGGTCTTCATCGCCAAAGGCGCCCATTTCACTTAATGTACAAGGGCACCGTTTGTGTTCCCGTTGGCGCTCCGGCCAGAGACTTCACCTCCGGTAAGAGCGTCGTCAGATGCCCAGGTGAAATTGGGGCTCCTGCAACTGCTCTGGGTTGGGCCATCTATGGATATGTTTCAAGTACGAAATCACCATCATAGTTTGTGGTCAAATTTCGAATTATCGCTAATACCTAGATAACCCAAGCTCCTTCAAACACTGCTTCAACTTCATCCTTCTGGTGCCCAGGTGTATACTAGGTAGTAGTAGCTGCCTGTGATGACCGAACAGGCTTCCAAGGTTCAAGGTTGGAACCCATTGTCGATCACTCGCTACATACTCCGTACAGTACGGAGTAGGATCCTTGCCAAGTTAGAGCTTCAATCAGAGAAGTATATGTACACTACAAGGAGTACTCTTAGGTATATTCCGGGTAAATCAGATCGACGGTCACGTAGTTCTGTCAATCATCTCCGTTTCAAGGACGGTGGCCCCTCCGCATTGATGAAACCCGCAAATCTTCCTAGATTCAACCGAAACTCACATTGAATTACATCCATGGATACAGTATACACATGCCTGCATGTCGTCAGGTTGCAGGATACATCTTCCTGAAGAACGAATGTGGCTGGAACCCGGAGGACCCCACAAACGTGCGTTACATATCCTCACAAGCACGGATATATGCTCCGTGCATCGAGGTTCGTAGTTGATATGCACTACGGAGTATTGAATTCAATCTATTCAATCTTCACAGCCCACTAGATTTCAATAGCATTCTTCAAGTCTCGGGAACTCCTATTTTCAGAATTTTAAAGTACTGTAAGACAATGGAGACCCGGAACCAAGCATCGGTGGAATCCCATTTGACCGTGTTCTAGAAGCAGTGGTCCTCCGCCCCGCTCCACGACGCCGGTGTCTCAGATAAGCTGCCAACGCCCGGAGTTCTTCCCCAAACCGCATCCTAATCTACAAACGTCCTGCACAAAAATGCCGAGACGTGGAAAAACATAAAAGTCCGCGACGATCTTTACTTGCACAGCGGACCGACCCAGGGCAAGCTTTCACATTATCCGAGTGGAGTCTCAAATGGCATGTCCCAATATGAAATTGAGACAGGACCACTCCGTGCTCTATACGGAACAGGGAGCCTTGGTTCCAGGTCCAGGTCCACTTGAGAGCCAGCACGTATAAAACCGACCTCGAGCCCGGGCTGGGATGATCACAAACCTCAACTCTCCTTTCCAAACTCACCATGAAGTCCTTCGCTCCTCTCTCGCTCCTTTCTCTGGTGCTGGCCGCCACCGGCAGTGCCGCTTCCCTTCCCACCAAGACTCTCTCCCGCCGTGCCGACTTCTGCGACCAGTGGGGTTCCGTCACCACCGGCAGCTACATTGTCTACAACAACCTCTGGGGCCAGAGCTACGACACCAACGGCAAGCAGTGCACCGGCGTCGACTCCCTCAACGGTAACGACATCGCCTGGCACACCTCCTGGTCGTGGTCCGGTACCGCGACCCAGGTCAAGAGCTACGCCAACGTTGCTCTGAACTTCACCGCCCGCAAGCTGAGCGCCGTCAAGAGCATCAAGTCCAACTTCAAGTACAGGTTAGTAATGATGACGAACGGAAGATGGACACATATCTGACCTTAATCAGCAACTCCGACAACAACGTCGTCGCTGATGTCGCCTACGACCTCTTCACCAGCTCCACCGCCGATGGTGACGAGGAGTACGAGATCATGATCTGGCTCGCTGCCCTGGGCGGTGCCGGTCCCATCTCCTCCACTGGCTCTGCCATCGCCAGCACCACCATCAACGGTGTCAACTGGAAGCTGTACTCCGGCCCCAACGGCCAGATGACCGTCTACAGCTTCGTTGCTGAGTCCACCGTCACTGACTTCTCCGGTGATCTGCTTGAGTTCTTCACCTACCTCCAGAAGAACCAGGGCCTGAGCTCCGACCAGTACCTGACCCACGTCCAGGCCGGTACTGAGCCTTTCACCGGATCCTCCGACCTGAAGGTTTCTTCCTACTCCGCCGTTGTCGCATAAGCTGTTGGAATCATGGGGGATGGTTCTTACATAGTAAAGTAATAGAATCAACGCAGAAGAAACTCTGCTCAGAATTCCGACCCAAACTTCCCAATTGGCACTGGGACTTCTTCAGACATGAAAGGATCCTGGTGCATCAATGTATTACGCGTGTCGGTCATATGCGGTGTCCGCAGCAGTGTTCTAACCTCCAACCGCCGATCCAGAAATATGAAACACGTACTCCGTAGTCTGGAAATCCTGAAACGGGGCGGTTTCAGGCGTCTGGATTCCAGAAATACCAGGACGAGTAGGAGGATGAGTTTGAGTAGACATAGAATGTTGCCACCTAGACAGGTCATAAGGCAATGGGCAGCGAAACGCTGGGCCCGAAACTCCCGATCGCAACGGCGGGATGGCGGGCTTGACGGACATGGCGTCCGGGGAAGAAACAAGAACCCGCACGTTGGGACGGGTGAAGGGACCCAGGATCCAAGAATAATCGGAATCGCACCGCCTATCCGCTCTAACAATAGAAAATCAACGGATGCTAATGTTGGTAGCGGCGCGAAATGTCACAGCAAGCGCTGGATGGGCTCCAGGGCTACCAGGGTTGATGTACTGTAAGCGCCGGGCGGGATGGCGGGAGGACGGGCGCTTATATGGACCCAAGGGTGTGGGAATCATGGGAACTTTGGAACATTACATTCGTACGGAGGATGGAATTGTACAGTTCAAATCGCAAAGGGCCAAACTGGATAGATCCAAGGAGCAAAGGATAGAGAACAATGTGACCTATACTCTGACTAGTGAAAAATTAGACCTCCTGCTCCGTGCCCTTGACCCCTCGAACACGCTAAACTCGTGGCGCGCCGTGACAGGGGGCCCATTGGGCATGTCATTTGTGGACTGGTTTCTCGCCCCATGCCAGGCATAGCTCGCCACGGTCGGAAACTGACAGGTTTGGAGGTTCATGTTTGAATAATTCCATTTTCCATTTTCCATTTTTCACATTTCATATTTTCGTGGTTTCAGCTGCGAGTGGATCAAATGATGGGTTTCAAAGTATACAGTGTATCAAATGGGAGGTATGAGATCCTTTACAATTACCATCATCTAATACTCCGTTGAGAGCTTCGTTTGGATCGCGAGAGCTACGTGATCGCTATGCTACTAGTAGGCTCCCGGGGCTATGGGAGGCTGGTGAATAATTGATCGGGTCCACCGGCGATCCTCGGCTCGTCCCTATCGAGTATGGGAGAGTAGGCACTACTAGGGAGCTGGGCCAAGAAATGATGATTTGAGTCCAGGTCGAAGGAACAGAATGGTGCAATGTACTCAGGACGTACTAATGTCGCGTACCCCATGTACATTCAGTCGTAGGAGGCGAGCCCAATTCAAGGGATAGCGCGTACAGGTACAAGAATAGTCTAAATGCGCGAATCCAACTCCATAAAAAACCGGTGGAGCAAATCACATTAGTCTCCCGCGTCTCAGACTCCGCGCGCGAAGGTTCGAGCATCTCAGATCCAACTATGCAGGTTCGCTTTACCTGTGCTGTAACCCCTGCGAAGCCTGTGAGCCTGTGCCCATTCTTACTGGAGAACGGGGCCTTGCTGCACGCCCCCTATGGCGCATACCAACTTATAACTAGAGTATTCCGCTCGGATTCTTCACGAGATTCATCCACATGCCCCGTCGTCATTCCCTTTCGTCTTGGATTACCTTCACTATCATACATTAATATCCGCCCATTTCCACTGTCTCGCCGCTCAATATCTCCCTGACACTTTATTGCATAACAGTGGATTCTGTCTCAATAAATTTCCCCGGGTCTCACTTCGTCGGACTCAGTTAGGGCTATCAAATCGATAAGAGGTTGACACGACAACCCCAACTATCCTTGCGGCAACATTCCTTCATACAAAGGCGACTTCTTTTGACACATCCTGCCGGTCAGGAATTCTTAATCTTCTTTGTGTGTCTTTGTGGTCCTTCTTTCCACACAACGGCCTTGTCTCTCATTTTCTATTTCCATCCCGATTGTTCTTGAAATCTATATATCGCATTCCCTCCTCGACTCTCATTACGACATTCCCTCTATACAACATGAATTCTCTATCGCTCAACCGAGCAGCTCTCGATGAGTTTGTCACTTCACGAGTGACCCGCGAAATGGTGACATACCTGGCTCAGCAGGCCGCCCAGGTCATTCGATGCGAAGCCCATGTGACCAACACAGTCAATCCTCATGGCCAGCCTACACCACCTTCGACTCCTCCCATGGAAAACTCCGATCTGCCTGCCCTTCCTTCAATCGAAATCTTCATTGCATCACTTGTCACCCGATCTCAGGTCCATGTCTCCACCCTCATGAGCTCTTTGGTATACCTCGGCCGCTTGCGCTCCCGCCTGCCTCCAGTCGCCAAGGGCATGCGCTGTACAGTCCACCGGATCTTCCTCGCCTCACTTATTCTCGCTGCGAAGAATCTGAATGACTCGAGCCCCAAAAACAAGCACTGGGCCCGCTACACCGTGGTCAAGGGCTACGAGGGCTTCGGCTTCTCCGTGCCCGAGGTCAACCTCATGGAGCGTCAGCTCCTCTTCCTCCTGGACTGGGACCTGCGCATTACCGAAGAGGATCTCTTCACCTACCTTGAGCCCTTTCTTCTGCCCCACCGCCAGCGCCTGATTGCCCAGGAACGTGAGCGCAAGGCCGAAGAAGAACACCGCCACAAGCAACAGCAACATCGCGAATGGTATGTCCGATTTCCGCGCCCGAAATCGGGACGAGGAATAAACTTTGTCGTGCATGTAACTAACATCTTCAGGCGCCGTCTTCATGCATCAGCGGACCTGCTGGCCAGCCGCCTCCGTCGTCAGAAGCTCGAAGCCCGTGGTGAACGTCGTGACACCACCATTCGTCGTCTCCCAACCCACGTTTCCTGCCCAACCATTCACAACATCAACCCACAAAGCGCCGCTGAACACGATCGCTACAATCCTTATACCCGTCATTCTCCGACCAGAACAACTCGCTCCAACTCCCCACCATCCGTGCGCGATGTCCCTGCCCTCTCCCACGCAGAGACCTACACCTCCCTCTGCTCGCGCTCCTCGAGCATCGCACCAAGCTCCAGAGGCACACCCGCCTCCATCAGCACCGTCTCCTCCGGTCCTGATGACGTCACTTTCTCCGACCAATCGCGCAGTCCCTCGTCCCTCTCTTCGCTCAGCTACAGCTACGTCAACGTCCCCGAGAAGAAGTACGAGCCCACCCGCCAACCTTCCAAGAAGATGAAGATCGGCGGTCAGCACAGTGGTTTCGTTGCTCGCTTCCTCGCCTCCGCGACTGGCTCGTACATGGGCGGTCGTCGCTCTCATTAAATCGAGCCGGTCTCGATCCCAACCTTGGAATACCTTAATCATCCTACACCGATCTCTATCGTCTCAATCTTTTGCCTATCTGCCATCTCCTTATCTCGTCTCACTCTATGATCTTTTATTCACCCTTCACTTTCCATACTTTGCTTCCTGAAAAAGCAGTCGTTGATACGCATGTGCCAATACTTTTGCCACGGCCACCGCAGGCCCTCGAGATTTGACTTCTCTATTTCCTTTTACATTCTCTGCATGGCACGGCGTTCTGTGTCTGTGACTTCTTCATACGTTTTCATGCTTGGCAATCTAGACTCTGCCTTATGTACCATGATCTATTTATTGAACAATGATATCTCAACAATCACTTCCACCGTACCAGTAGAGTAGAACTCAGCTCTCCATGCCCTTTGATATTCTTTTCTCAATATCACCATAACTACAGAGGCCGTTTCCCACAGGCATAACTGCCTTAAGGTTGCCTCGGTAGTTGCCCCACTTGAATTGCTTGCCGTTACCCCAAGTGACGGATATCTCATGCACCTCCACGGGCGCAGATGACATCAAATTGTGGGATATGGCGCGAGGGGCATGTAAATTCTAAACATTGTATTCGAACCAGCTCTGCGGGCTGGTCACTATGGGGATGGCTCTGGCTGAGAGTCTAGGTGCGTCATTTAAATTAGTATTGGAACGGAAGAATGACCCAGCTAGGGGGAGGTTTCCTCGGGGACAGGGCACCGTGTTCCAAGGAATATTGGATAATTCTACTAGTAGTTCATTCATGAGCGGAGGCAGATTGGGCAATGCTATTTCGTTACTCGTGATAGTGATGCAAAAATCGAAGGATCAAATCGCCGGGGCCTCCCAGTAATCGCGCTTGATTCTCATGATGGCGGACTGCTTGTGCGGGAAGCTGACCTCGCCTTCTTTGTAGAAGCCTGCTTCTTGAAGATAATTAATGAGCCTGGAATAGGTTAGCCAAATGATCAAGATACCGGACTGCTGATACCCACTTGATATTGTCGACGCGCGGCTCCAAGATGACAGACTCGGTCCGCATGTCCGACAGGAAACAATAGTGCACCAATGCACTCAGCCATACTGCGACGCGGTGCGCGCCACGGAATTCCTGCTCGCCAACAAGCAGATGAATTCCACGGTCGTAGTTACCCACGTGGTCCATCAAACGGCCCAGTCGGTCTTCCTTCACCCAGTATATCTCGAAATACCCAAAGGGCTTGCCGTCCCAGCATCCGATTACAGGGAATTTGTGTCGGCTCGTCAGGTTGTCAATGAGGAATTTCTCCTGCGCGGACCTCGGCCCGCCTTCCGCCCACATCGCTTCTACGCGAGGAACATTCATCCATCGGTGCAAGGTATCCACGTCCGAGGAAATATCCTCTGCGAGATGCTGGTCGATGCCTGTCACCGCCGAGCTGATTGGGGTGCCTGGCCGACTACCGTCGGACTTGATCATTGGCACGAATGGCACGCGGAACGAGAGATACTGCTGCAAACTGGGGATGTAGCGCACGTAGAAGACCTCCCCCTGATGAGGCGGCTTCGGGCGAATGGGATGCCGAGTTCCATTCGTGGACGTGTATTGCGTCGGCGCGGGCGGGTAGTAAGTTGGTAAGTGGCTTCCGGAAGTGAAAGGGCCCGGGGAGGTGAAGGGGGCGAGGTTAGCCGTGTGGAAGGTTGCTTCTGTTGGGGCCAACGACAGGGTCGCAACACTGGGGAGACCGTCGCGGGTTGGAGATGCACTGCGAGACTGGAAGGTTGGCGAGGAGGGAGCCCCGCGCGGGGTGAGAGTGAAGAGGAATAGGCGGGGGTCGAGCTGCCAGAAGCTACGTCGGCTGACGAACATGTTAGACCAGCTGCTGCAGTCTCTCGACTCGACGGGCTGTAAGCCCACTGTGGAATCTTCGGTGGCAATGAGACCCATGCGCTCAAGTTTCTGTAACAGATTGCGGCCTTTGAAGATTCCCTCGCGCTTGATGTTGATGCGCCAGTCGCCCTTTGGTCGGCCGTCGCGCGGGTTCATGCTTGATGCAGCGGTCTCGACGTGTAGGTCCGGTTCAGGCTCATGGAAGTACCACCACAGCGTTGCCCAGAGCATCATGGCGATTTGGCGCGTCGGCGAGGTCACGGGCTTGAAATCGCTAGATGGTGGGTTGACTATGTACGAGATGTAGAGGGAGTCGCGGTTCAAGGTTGGGGTGGTGAAGCGCGTGAAGTGACCATCGTCCTGATCCTGCTCTGATCCATCTACGTGAGCCTTTTCGGTGTTGATGATGATCGTCCAGCCTGGGGGGAAGGTGGAGTTTCGCTGGACGTTGAAATCGGTGGATTTGAAGGTAACCCCACCAAAAACGGGTGATACGTTAAAGGTGAGGCCATTGGGGAGGTGGCAAGTGGTGTTTTTCATGATGAACTTGTCTCCAGGAGCCCAGGTGGAATCAGTAGGCTTTATAGCCCACAATCTCACAAGTCCACAAGTGCTCGAGTTGACTTTTCTGCTTTGGCCCCTCTCTGCGCGGGGAATCGTGCACCAATGACCAGGGCGCAATGTCCACAGCAAAAGCAACGAACAAGTCCACCTGGACACTGTTCCACTCTTCGATTGGTAATGTCTAGTGGAAGATTCGTTGAAAGGAAGAAAATGGCAGGTTGGACCGAAATGCCATGATGACGCATAAACATCAGCCCATGCACAAAGTACCCTGCGGTGACCTGATTGGCCCAAGCTATACTCCGACCTACAGAGCTTCCAAAGGGTGATTATTTCATAGTTTACGTGTAGAGATCGATCATGGTAGTATGGTACAGCATTTTTACTGTTTACTGACATTCAGCGGTAGATTTTAGCTATGGAAACACAGTTTGGCAGCTAATTTCCGTGTTGGAGATCGGTTGATCTTCCAATTTCCTGCCTGGATTGACAGCCCATTTCTCCCGATTCGAGACCTGGTGGACCCATGGCCAATGAGAACAAAGGCAATGGTAAGCAAAGGGTATACTAGTACAAGAGAGGGAAAAAAAAGAGAGAAAACAAGGATTAAACCGAAAATTTAAAAGTCCTCCACTGTGGTCCCAAGCTTCCGCTCCCGCGCCAAGCGCACCAAATCACCGCCAGTAACAAGATCCATCAGGCCCAGCCCAACGGATTTGTAGATGACATTGCCGCGCTGAGACCATTCGCGGAGGCTCTTCTCCTCATCCACAGTCTCCTCGTTTCGTTGAGCGTCGCGCACCATCAGGAGTTCACCGAGCTCCACAACCTGCTTCGGCTTGATCCCCGCTTGGATGATCTCGCCGGCTTCTTTGAGGGCCGCGTCTAGACTGTCCACGACAATCACACCACTGCGGTGGACGTGCTTATGCCAGTGGCGATGAGGAGGCTGGACAGCAACCTCGTCTCGCAAAATATCCGGATGGATTTCAGCCATGTGGGCCTTGTAGGATCCAATCGCACAAATCAGACGGCCCTTTTGCCGGCCTTCGCCAGAGGTAAGATATTCGGCCGGGAACAGTGGCTCTGGAGACGGAGTACAGCAGAAGATGGCGTCGGCCTTACGAACGTGTTCTTTCAGAATACGGCTGTACTCGCCGAAATCGGTGCTGACGGCCGAGAACTTGACATCCCGGCGCCATTCGGTGTTTTCGGGAAGGTAAATGTCACGCAAAAGCTTGGCAGCTCGATCGAATGATCGGTTCACGATGTACACTCGGCGGATATCTTCGCCGCGGAGCACTAGCGCCAGACGGATGTGCCAGTAAGCCTGCGTGCCGGCGCCGAAGACGAGCAGAGTGCGCACCTTCTTGCGCTTGTTGAACATCATCAACGACGCCAAGGCCGTGCGGAAGGCCGTTAGCTCATGGGCATTGATCAGTGCAAAAGGCAGACTCTCGCCATCGAGAAGGGTTACACTTCCGCGGGGCGATGTGTCACGAGTTCCTGCGCCCGGCCACGCGCCAAGAGTTTTAGAGATGTTCGAGGTAACATTCTGCTGGTTCACGCAGCCCGTGAGAAGGGTCGAGCTGTCTGTGCTTGAGCTGCCAGTGGTGGTTGATGGAGCGACTGAGCTACTCTCGTCCTGGTCGTCCTTGTCGTCCTTGTCATCCGAGCCCACAGACAGATCGCTCAGATCGGAAGATAAAGAAGCCACCGAGTTTCGGAACGAGCCCCGCCTCCGTGAGGCAACCTGTTCCTTCTCTTGAAGACTGACTGTGTCACGTTCAACGGCACAACCGGCATCGCCCCCGTCCTGCAGGGAAATCATCTTGATACCGATTGTCTGACCCGTGCTGGCGGGCATGAACAGGGTAGTGCAGCCATTTTGACGAGTGATAGCAGTTCGCTGAGGTTGAAACGCTGCTGAACAACCCTTATCTTGGGATCCGCTGGAGTATTCCCGCAGAGCTTCTGCAAGATTGCGTTGCAGGCTCACGATCTCGTCGCGGGAGAGTGCGTGGAGCAGATCGCGGAGCTGGGATCGGGAGAGCACGGTGAGAGGCATGCGGGCGGTTTAGGGTGTTGAAGATGGGAGAAAGGAGTGTGTGATCGAGTGGGGGAGAAAAGAACGCAAGAGGTTCTAAGATCTGCGAAATAGTTCCAATTAGCCAAGGCAGTCCCCCACGCCTCTGCCAAGATGCAAGTGAAACAACTCACTCGGAGCTAACGATTGCATAAATTGCGACTCGCCAAGTCCCAATGGGGCGAACTCGCGGACTCGGCGGACCCAAAATAACTCGGGCGTCGGGGCACAGATTCGCCTTGAGGTGACGACAACTGTAGGTGGGGGAAAGCGGGGCGATCAGCGCGGATGAATCGAAAACTCAGTCTCATGCGCAGCGCAGGGTGTTGAGAGTTGAGAGCCTAAGGTCTGTGCATCAGTCAAGAGACAGATAGACAAAGTATATGTACTATGTAGGATGCACGAGAACGCATATGTACGCCATCGCAGATGCGGGAATCCCTGCCGCATCCGTGAGGCCAAGCCCAATGCGGAAATGTGTGTATAGTGCTGCCTGAGGCAGACATCAGATAGGGCCCGCGGGCTCTATACGACCATTAATACGAGTACGAGATCACCAGGGCTGAGCCCACCTACCTAGGTAGTACTGCGATTGTAGTATAGTAAACACTCGCAATTGCCCTCTCGGGGTTTAGGCTAGCCGGGTTGGATCTCTCCTTTCTTGTTAGTTGGTCCCAATGGCTTGCGCTCTGTGGCAAGATACCTGTGCCCAATATTGAATAGATCAACCCAGTACTTGGTTGTCTCTATGAAGGGAGTCAGCTTTACTTTCATTAGATACAGTTTTGCATACTTGTGATTATCTTAAAATGCCAGTTCCTTCGAAATCTGGAGATTCCCTGCCGAGTGTGTGATCTATGCCCAAACAGGCCCAAACAGGCCAAAACTATTCACGAGGCTTGTGCACAGCCGCCAAAAGGCATTTTTATCAAGTGAAATGTAGACTTCAAGGTTCTCCAGATACTTGAATTTGGCCACGAACGTCAAATAGACACCCAGAGCGTGTGAACCCCATACTGGCACCGACATTCTACGAGTATGGTATCCTTGAATATTATTGGCAGCCTAAAAATTAAGATAGTGTATGGCAGTTTAGAGCTTGGTTAGATTGTTAGCATAGTACATCATGTGCAATATTGGCATCTGAACGGCCTTGAAGAAGGAGGGCAGCGATCGCTAGACGCCATCCTCTAAAACTACAAGCCCATCTAGGGGCTCTCCCATAGTCTCCTCTCATCTATGGCTCATACATGGCTCCCCGACGCCACAAGGGATTGACATCACTATTGGTAAGATTGAAGATTGAAGATTGTAGATTTGCCAGGTAGGAAATGCTACTTCAGGGACTACGGCCTGATGCAGAGTTCAATTGCTGATGTACTATTTGCTGAGACAAAGTACTAGGTGCTGTGACATTCATCATTCACCCGTAGCTGTAAAAATTCAAATAGCAATCCAATTGTCCAGAAATGACTGTCTCAAAACGTCCACATTGGGTCGGACTAGAACCCCGATTGCGGGGTCGACCGCCGACATCAAGAGCTCGGGAGCTCCACCCGAGCATACAAGAACAGCTCCGAAGCTTTCAATTCCATTCCTCAACCATCATGGCCTCACAAACCCTCGGATTTATCGGATGCGGTAAGTCCACACCAATAACACCGAGCACCAAGCACCACTAACAGAACCAAGGCAACATGGGCGGAGCCGTCCTGAACGGCATCCTCACCGCATCATTCACCAACCCTTCCACTGAAGCAAAGCCAATTTCTCGATTCATCGCATGCACCAAGTCCGCCGGCTCAGCAGCGTGCATCGAGTCCAAAATCGCGCCCGCGCACAGAGATATCATCTCGGTCGTTTCCGGGCAGAATGTCCAGACCATGCGCGAGTCTGATATCGTCATTCTCGGCTGCAAGCCGTTCATGGCAGACGAGGTGCTGAGAGAAGAGGGCGTGCGTGAGGCGCTGGCTGGGAAATTGGTCATCAGTATGCTGGCTGGTCAGTCGTGTGAGAATCTGACAAGAATCATCAAAGAAGGGTCTGGGGCACATGGCTCGGAAAATATGGAGCTAGTGCAGGGTCCCAAGGTGATGAAAGTTATCCCGAATATGGGGGCGCAATTTGGTGAATCAATGACTATTATTGAGACGCCTGCAGCGGGCATTGAGGAGGCGATGGTGCGCACTGTGGAGTGGATCTTCGGTCAGGTTGGGAAGATCAAGTTCCTTGCGCCTGAGCAGACTGGTCTGGCGACTGTGCTTGTCGGAGCGACCTTGGCGACGCTGACGCTTCCCATTGAGGGGCTGTTGGATGGCTGTGTCGCTGAAGGGTTCAGGAGGGCTGATGCCATGGAGATGGTGCTGCAGGGGATTCGGGGGCTATCTGCTGTTCTGGAGTCCGGGGCACATCCCGCTGCTGTGAGAGAGAGTATTTCCTCTCCGAGGGGATGTACAATCCAGACGCTGTTGAGTCTGGAAAAAGCAGGGACGAGATCGGACTTTGCTGAGGCTATGATCCAGGGGAACAAGCATCTCAAGGAAAACATGTAGACAGTGAGATGTTATATCCTAGAAAGACTATGTATAGACGCTATATACAGCCAGTGTATATGCGGGTATTCCAATATATCATGCACTTAAACTCCTATCCATTTAAATCGTTTCTCGTTCCCCATCAACCCCAGATATCGTCATCGTTCTTAACCAAGTCATCCTCATTCAAAACCTGTAAGCCATTACCTCGCTCCTCGCGTTTCCGCTGCCTTTTCGTTACGGTACGCCCGGGTGTAAACGGGGTCACGGGAGTGAACGGCATGTATGGACTATACGGCGTAGGCATACCCGTCATTGGTCCTGCTCGGTGCTTTGATGGCCGCTCCAGGAATGTTGTCTTGGTTGCCGGCGCGCTCTGCTGCGGATATGCCTCACGGAAAGGTAAGGAAGAGGAAGGTGACGCAGAGGCAGCAGGCGCCAGAGTCAAAGGCGCCGGCGGCCGTGAACGGCCTGGAGCAGGCATGACCGGGGGCTCAATCTGCAACCGAGGCACCGTTGGTGGTGGGCCAGGGTTGTAGATCCGTGGAGAGAGGGGTGGGTTTTCAGGTATGTATGCCTGGGGTGTTGTGGGCGCTGGGGAAGCCATTGGAGATGAGATTGGCAGCTTTCGAAGTGCCAAGCGAGGCGACCGGACCTTGCTAGGGTCTGGATTGGCGCGCGAGCCTGAATTGAAGAGCTTTGAGAGGCGGGAGCTGTTGAAGCCTTTGGTCGGCGACTTTAGTGGAGCCAGTGAGTGGTCAGATTCGTGGGAGCCACGGTCCGTGAACGGATTGGTGATCTGGCTATCAGGGGATCGTGTTTGGTACTCTGGTTCCTTCATGGACAAGTCGACACCAGACGCCTTTTGAGCGTCATGCTCCATGACAGCAGCATACAGCATCTCCATCTCATTTTGAGCTCTTTGCCGATCGGTCGCGACGATCGATTCATCAACTGTCAACATGCTACCGTTGATAGATGGCTGAGATGGTCTGGCACTTCTGTGTAATGATCCCCAGGACTTGAATCCACTGGATTTGGGACTGGGGAGGTTGTGCGACATAGGCGATACAGGGCTGGGATCCATGCTGAGAGGCGGTCTGACAGGCTTCAGCATCTCCATATGCAGAGTATAGTTGGAAGACTGGACTGATCGACGGAGGCGACGTCCAACGAAGATAAGCAGAGCAAGGAGAAGAGCGACAAAGATCACATAGGCGCCCACAATGCTTCCAATTTGAATCGCAAGCAGTGGTTTATTCACCACTGGAGGCGCAGGCCAGTTGTCAGCACGTTGAGCGACCACTTCAGCCCAGGCTGAGTCAGTATTTACAACGAGAATAGTCAAAATGGCACGCAGAAAAAAGGCCGTAGAACCCATCTCCGGTTACATGAGATGGGAAAAGAGGGAGGTGAAGTACTGAAATCAACGCGATGCGCAGTCACAGATCGACATGTCGAAACCGATAAATCTGACGGTCATTGGAGTGATACATGTTCCAGGGGTGACGAGGGGGTTTTGAGTGTGTGATGAAGATGTGAAGTGAAGCGGGATCGGTGCCTGTCGTTGGTCACAAATACGCGCCCTCATGCAGGATCATCACTTGGCGGCGGCCAGTCACAGGTCTCAACTGCGGTCTTCGGTCTGGGCTTTTCATTACTCCAACTCGACCGCAATAGTCAAAATTAGCCCTGGAGCCCTGGAAGGCTTACTCACCAAGGTGCTGCACCTGGGCAGGGCCCCCGGGGACTACGGCTCTTTGCAGCCAAGGGCCAAGAGCCGAAATGGGATGGAGCCCTGGAGGTTGTGTTATCTCCCGTGAGTAAGGGCTGGAATACAGAGTACTACTGAGTATAGGGAGTACGGAGTGCAGAAGCACCAGCTAGAGGTCCCGTCGTTCCTTCCGACACGACTTCAGACATCATGGCGCCTTCCCCCCAGTGCAGTTTCCGTCTGTTCTCGAACAAACTGGAGGCATTCAGGGCCAAAGCCCCTTGCCTCTTCATTCATAACCATCGATAGTTCGCTCATCTTATTTCTTCTTTCCCCATGGGAAACAAAGTCTCGGTCGTGCGTGGAGTCAAGTCAGAACACTTCTACGACCAACAGAACGGAATCAACGAGATCTGGGCTGGCGACGTCGAGATCATCTCACGCCTACCTTTCGGCGATTCTGACCAAGAACAATCGAGCTGGCCACCGGGAGGAATCCCGAAGATACCGTGGCATCAATTTATCATCCCACTTCACAAACGAGATCAAGTTGGCAAGATGAATTCATCAAATGCTTCGAGCCCAATGTGTGCCTGTGATGCACCACGTCTCATCTCAGGATATGATGTCCTCTTAACGACAATACCCGCCGAGTTGGCATCCGACGTTGGGGTAATGGCCATCGAAATGGCTGTCTTCATGGCCTTCATCTCTCTAATTCTCCTCGCCAACATATTTGTCCAAGATGAAATGCTCCTACTGTCGGGCCCGGAAAGGTGCTGCACCAAGTCCAACCTCCAGGCGCAGCGGAAACCTCGCAAGTCATTTATAATAGCTGGCGTGGCTATCGCTATTTCAATGTTGCTGCTGGTTTTCGGGCTTCCTATACTCACAGTCGGTCTTCACAACCAGAAACTCCTGGCGTGGCTTGAAACAACGTTTGTTTATCTCTATTACTGGGGGCTGTTCTCATCTTGTACCGCCATGGGATTTGTCTTCGCGGGCCGTCTGTTCAGACTGAAGCCGAAGTCGGCGCAATTCAATCAGGCACGGGTCTGCTGCTCGGGTAACATTGTGGCAATTGATGATGATCAAATGAAGGTATAGTTAAGTGCCTTGGCTCTCTTGATCGCGTGTGAACTGTTGGTTACTCATGGTGTCCATTTTCTGAAAGAAATCAGTCTTATCAGTGTATTGTTAGCATCAGCGTGGAACTTGGAATGAAAGACGAGGGAACAATCGCAGAAAGGAGAGAGTCATATCAATTATCATTAAAGAGTGAATTAAGTGACAGGCATTGCTCAAGACCTACTCACAATATGCATAATGTACAACCATGATAATTTTAGAGCCGCCCTTTCCTGTGATACCGAGACCAACTCGTATGCACTAAAAGGACATGGATGATCTATTGGAACAGGGTATTTGACAACACAACCGGGTCCGGCCGGTTGTCGTTGAATATCCATGAATCATATATCAAATCACCGAAGACGGTGATCTTCAAGATTTAGAGAACAAATCTCGCCAAAGCTGTTTCATGCCATACCCTTTCGCCTGGTCCTCTTCGTGGACCCGAACCGATTGTGCCGTGCTCAATGATCCAAACGAAGTAGACACGGGCGGAACAACTGAAGTTGGGCGCGCGCGTTCAGTTGCTCTACGTTTGATCTCCTCCGCTAATTCAGGTGCCACTTCCGCATAACATGCCTTGAGTTCTCGGTCAAGATTCATGTAGGGTTTGTGTGCTGATGGCGGGGCCATCAAGTTATACGACCGCGCGAGCGTATTTATCTGCTTCACGGCAAGCTCGTGGTAGGACCGTTCGATAGAGAGGTAACCCGGGTCTCGCAATGGTGGAAGATGGGCTAGGCCATCTGAATCTTCACCTGTGGCATTCATCGAAGATTCTGCTGCGTCTGAAGATGATTGATCGGTGTTTAATGCAGCCTCCAATTTCGCTTTTTCGGCTAGTCGAGACTCGGCTGCTGCATACGCCTTCGCACGCTTCATTTGCACATCCAGTGACCCGCCCTGGCTGGCAATTAATCTCGCTGCGTGTCTTCTCCAGTCAGCTCGTAGACGACCACGGAATCGACTGACTTCCGAAGCAAGTTGCTGCTGTTTCTCAATCCAAGGAGGCACAACCTCCTGCTTTTGAATGATCTTATTCATAAAGTACTCAGTCGTGTCGATGAACGGGCTGTTGGCGTTGTGGTCTGTCTCGGTGTTGACGCCCTTCCCTCGACGAATCTTGTCGAACTGACCCCGTGCAATCGCATCTTCAATCCTCTCATTTGCTAGAGATGAAAGGCCTGATATTGATATCGGCATGTTGTATGCACCAGGGCTTAGATTCTCTCTCATCTCACGGCGCATGTCTTCGCGTTCTTCCTCGGAAAACCCAGGAGCACGGCTCAGTGTGTATGTGGAGGTCTTTTCCTTGGCTTCGGCGAGTCGATGTCCCCGAGACTTCTTAGGTTTTGGGGCTGGCTGAAGGTTGACAGGCTGTGGAATTTTGTAAGGCATTCGTATTGGTTTACTCGCATCGTCCAGCATACGTAACGTCGTATCTTCAAAACGCTCCGTTCCTGTCCATGCAGGAGCAGCCGCATTCTCTCGCGTTCCTTTTCCTGCCGCGGCCTGTCATGAGTGCGAGGTTAATGGTTGCTCGATAGTAGTGTATAGAGGGCGCATACAGGCATGTTGACTATCGAGTAGGCGGCTGCATTCTCACTTTTGAATGAAGCCGCGGCCACTCGCTCTTCGAGCTGTTTCTTCAGCTCCTCTGAAAACCCCGCGTGCTCGATGTTGCGACGTGCGGATGGCCCACCCTCCAGGATTGCATCTTCGGCCATCTGGGCAAGGCGGCGTGACATCGCGCTATCGGGTTCGTCTTTTCCCGCATCTTCGCCATCAGTTTTGGCTTTCGCTTTTGCAGTTTGATGCCGCGCGCACGCTGCGGAAAACTGCCTAGATGCGGGGGCTATCGGAGCTCCAATTGTGCACCATGAGGAAACACTGCGAATATTTGTTGGCAACCTATATCTCCCAGCCATGCTTGGCGGATTCTGCAGATCGACAAGCGGTTAAAACAGAAAGAATATAAAGATCTTAGTTGCGAAAACGACCGTCTTTGAAGAGAGAAAGATGGCTGCTCTATCGTGACTTCGACCTGACGGCGTATGGAGACACTAAGCTGAAAATGGGGAGTCTAACCCAATATGGTAACTCATCGTTTACATAAGGCACCTCCGCGGAGTCGAAACTTACACGGATTTTGTTTGAGCCAACGCCGCCAAGCTTCGATCAGTCACTAGCCACGGTCGCTCGAGAGCAAATCGCCTCATCTCTCGCTAGTCAATACCCGCTCATTCTACCACCAATTCCATATATCGCCCACCATGGCGCCCAAAGGCTCCCTTTCCACCCGCATGAACCCGCTGCGTCTCAACACCATCAACCACCTCCGTGTCCGTCGACCAAACCAGCATGAGCAGAACCCCTGCGTGACTGTCATGTCCTCCATGCTCAGTATGTCTATCCCTGCGCTTGAGGAGCAATGAACCCGCTAGCCACCATTACCCTTTCTTCTCGTTCTCAAAACACCCCGAAGCCTCGAACCTTGAATGTCACCAATCATCTAACAATACCTCTCAACAGACTGCTGGGCTTCCGCTGGATACGCTGCTGAGGGCTGCGCTGCTCTTGAGGCGCAATTGCGCAAGTGCATGGACGACCCGGTATGTCGAGCCACCATAATCTGGAATAACCTTCTAACAAGCACCTTCCATGCAGAAATCCAGAGAGCAGAAGAAGAACACCGTCAACTACCACTTGATGAGAATGTACCCCAAGGTCGTCGGTCCCCGCAAGAAGGACGGTGTTCTCGGCTAAATTATTATTCACGCGCTGTCCATCGCTTAACCGCAAAAGCGAGTTGTTCTGGAGTTTGGGTTCTTTTGATACAATATTTCGCGAAACCTCTGACCCTGCCACGGTCGCTGGTTTGGGTCCGTCATTTTGCATCAGGCTATGGGAGTTGGCTTTCACTCTTATGTACAGTATACAAATTTGGATATGGAATCACCTGAAAAACAATTGATTATTATCTTCGTCATTCTCTCGTTAGCTATCACGGACCGATTCGAACTTGAGTATCAGCTTATCACCGCGCGGCTTCACGGTGTAGGCATCGATTGCTTCAATGTCGTCGTCATTGACTATGGTGGTGCGGAAATTGGTGTAAATAGCCGCGACGGCCAGTTTCATCTCTGTCGAACAATGTTAGGACCAAACCACTGTCGAAGACTTCGGGTATTTACCTTGTAAAGCGAGGTTGCTTCCCACGCACATTCGCCCACCGCTCCCAAACGCCCAGAACCACCGGCGTTTCTCGTCCAGGTCAGCGGGTGAATTTTGATCTGCGAGCCACCGTTTGGGCTGCCAGCTCTCTGGGTCCGGGAACACTTCTGGATTACGGTGCAGAGAGTATCCCTGTGCGCTGACCCTAGTGTTAGGTGGAATGTTTGCATAGCCAGCCAACGTGCAAGGAGGAGACGGGGTGACTCGAGGCTGAATGCCTGGAATTGGGGCATGGAGCCTCAATGTCTCAGTCACAATAGCCTCCAGCAAGGGCAAATTATCAATTGCCTTGGCGGGGGGCATCTCCGCAGACTTAGGGTATGCAACTGGAGGGTCCAGAGTAAGCAGCTCCTCTCGAAGTTTGCTCTGAATTTCTTGGTTCTTGGATAGTTGCCAAAACAAATAAGTGAGGCCGACAGCGCTTGTCTCAAATCCGGCAGTCAGTTGGTCGTACAGCTCGCATGCAATGTCGAGTCTCTGCTGCGCCTTATCTGGCTTTTCTCCGTTTTTCAAGGACGCTTTGTCCAAAGCTTGTTTGAGTTGCTTGTAAACGATTGGCTCAACCCCTGGATCGGTCGATGCGATTGATTGCTCGCCCTTGTCGCATAGGTCTAAAGCCCAGGCATCAAGCATCGCATTGGCTTCGTCACAGTATTTCGGAACCACGCGAAGACCGATTCGTCTCAACCATCCATCCAGATATGGTACCTCTTGGGAATAAAATTCGAACGGCTTTCGGCACATGTAAAGGTGAAGCCAGTGCTTTCGAAATGATTCATTTTGCAAAAGATTGGTACCATTCTGCAAGCCGAAAAGATAGGACGAGACAAAGTCCATCGTCAAGCCTTGGTTCAGGTCATGCACATCCAGTGGTGCTGCAGTGCTTGCAGCCTTGTCAAGAATGGGTAGTAGCCTGTCAAAAATGACTGCATTCGAAACTATTCCGAGATGGGGGGATGTTTGCAGAGTCGACTTGGAGTAGATGTTGGACAACATCCTCTTGCGGTTCGAATGTGTTTTACTTCCCACCATGGTGAACATGCTGACTGTCCTGGGGCAATGGTCAAAACTTGATCTGCACGGTATCTATGCACGCACTTACCCAAAGGACGCAAACACTCGGGGGTACCAGTCATGCTTTTCGAACCCACCCGTGTATACTGATTTGATTCCCCCATCGACGCAATTGATGGAGATCTCCGATGGTCCCAGTCGGACAATTGGGCCGAGTTTCTCATGCAAATCCTGAATCGTTCGATTGTTTCGACTGGTGAAACGTTTCCAAAGCATCCAGGCCGGCGTGAATGGAGCACTCCAATGCGCATTGGGGATCTTGGCCAGCGGTGAGATGAAGAATGGGTATATAATGGTCTTGTAGCAGACCAATGCAGCGACAAGCGCTATGGCCAGTGAGGTCACCGTGATAGCCATGTTGAGCTGGCTGATCACGTTGAATACTGGAGCTTTTAACTTGCCACAAGATATAGAGATCACGGTGAAAAGCAAAGTTGAGTGAGAGATAACGGAGGTGGACACTGCAAAGATATAGAGATTGCCGCTAGTTCTGGGGTCGGCCAGTGCCCATCCGTGTATTACAGGTGTTGCCGAGCGTGGTCCCTTATTGCAGGATTAGCCTGCAGGGCCCATATCCGTGGGAATTGTACTCCGATTCGGTTATAGCGGCACACCAAATGTAACCATAGACTTGACCCTCGAGAAACATTTCACAGTTTCGAATGCAGAACACCTGCCCAGGTGGGCAGCTTCGCACCGGGGTCGCTTCCCCGCGAAATTGATAAGATAAAGCGCCAAACTTCCCGGCTTTGCCCAGATCTCTCCACCTGTGGGCACAGCCTCGAGGCTACCATCACATAGCTTACGGATTCCCTCTACCTTTTACACCGATGGTCTCAAGAAGATCGTCAAGCACCTCAGGCCCTTGAGCCCTCCAGGGCTAGGGATCTGACATGCTTACGTCATAGGGCCCGCCGACGGGTCCACGAGCCCTGAAGTCCGATTCGTACTGCTCTGAAATATTCCAACGCAGACAGTGCTCGGGTTCAGATCTATCCTGCTCATCAACCTGGGAAATCACCAAATAGTTCTCCAAAAGTGCAGCCTGGCTTGTCTTGAAAAGGTCACAGTGATCAAATTGGCAGGATCCCACAAAAGCCCATGATATTTTGAACACTCAAAAAAATATACATCATCGAAGATCTGGACACCCACCCAGCCTCCGATTTGGATGATGACTGGGATCTGTGATCTCCCATCGGAGATCATCTATAACATTGCAATACACTTGCCAACTGCCCATGCATTAGCCAGTTTGGCCCAATCATGTCGTCAGCTTCACCAGGTGGTCACCGCTGAGAACTCCCGCATTTTCCAAGCCTTTGTCCAAAGCCGATTTCCTGGCATTCCCTCGAATTCGTACTGGAAAGAGGCAGCGCAAGCGTTGTCTTCCCGCTCACGGGCGTTAGATAGGAATGCCGTCATTGGACGCTTTGTGGTGCCTCCAGAAACAGCCATGAAAATTGGCTCGCACGAGGTGACTCGCCAAGACAATCCAACCTTAGGATACAGACCTGCAATTGATTCCTATGAAATATGGAATGGAAAATGCTGGGCCGATAGGAAGGAGGTTCTTGCCTGGGGCGCCGCCAATCAGCTGGTGATGAGGATCAAGCAAACCGGTGCCCGGCCGCAAGAGCAATGGCTTCAGTTCAATGATATTGATCATATCAGCAGCTATGATGATGTGTGCTCCCTGCACCTTCTATCGGCAGACCCGAAGTATCAGACAGACAACAAGGAACATCTGATATTTGGCCGGATTCGGGGTGATATCGCACATCTCGCTGTTTGTCCTTCAAACGGCACATATGAGTATCATCGACGGTTTTTGACCTACGGGCTCAGGCTCGATAAAACAGAGATGAGCAATGATACCGATCGTATCTTAGCAGCTCATTTCGAGAATGGGTCCATCGCTTTCTACGAGACTCAAACCGACCAGAACGAGGTTGAGCCGTTTTCCTGGTATCGACCGGAAGGTGCTACGAGAAACAAATACTCCAAATTGCTGTCCTCGTCACTAGTAGCTGTTTGCACTGGAGAAAAGCATAATACTTTATCGATATCGAAAGTGACACCGGACGGTGTGTCCCCATATCGAGCAATTGGGGCCGAGGATCTCGAGGGCGAGTCGACCAGCCTCAAATCCAAAGTCAACATTGGATGTATCGAGCCTCTCAACAACCATGTCGTTTCAGGCTCGCCGGGTGAAGTTTTTCTAACAGCCTGGGATGACTATATCGTCCGACTCCATGACCTCCGATCCCCGAAGCCTTACGAGGTTGCCTACAAGGATATCTCTGATCTCAATCCCATCTACAGCCTACACGCCTTCGGACACAACCATTTCCTGGCTGGGGCTGGCGGTGAAGCCATAGTGAAAATATTCGACCTTCGAATGTGCAATACATACAATTATCTCGATGCACAGACCCCAGTCTCTCGGCGCCAAAGCCTCGATGTCCCAAAGAATCCAATGGACAGAGCGAAAACAAAACGCCCCCAGAATGGCTTCTCCATTTTCCTCTCAAATCAGCCGCCTTTGCCATTCGGACGAGCCCCAAATCGTCGCCAAAGAATTTCCTACCGTGGCCCAATCTACACAATGTCATCACCTTCGCCATCCTCGCCAACCGTATACACCGGCATTGTGGATAGCGTGGTCCGGCTGGATTTTGCATCAACCGATGACCTGACTGGCCCGAGAAACGAGTGGTTTAAGGATAATCTGGATCTGGGCCTGAGCACAGGGCCTGAACCTTCGTCAGACTTCAATATGGTGCCATTGAATCTAGCTGGTTATGAACGACCCGATGAGGATGACCTCTCCACCACGTCTGTGTTGAGACGCCAACAAGAATTTTGGAAGGCTACCCCTACGGATACAGGCTTTGAAACTAGCGCTGGGTGGGATCGCAGGTGGGAGGGTTTGGAAGAGCCTGGGGCGTGGAGAAGGAGGGATGAGCACATTTAGAAAGACTTCCGGACCTCGGGAGAAGACATTGCAGCATATAGAGTTACGAATAGAGTGCAGGGCAACCATGGATGGAAGCCGACCTCGGGATTATATACCTACCTAGGTAGGTACGTATGTGCGCAAGATGTGAAAAATGCCCCAAGACTTTTGATTCTAGCTAATAAGCAAGAAAGATCTATGCTACCGTATTTTGGGTAAAATGACCTTGTTAATAGCTCCATGTGCGCCGTGCTGAGTAATCTGGGGGAAAGTATAATAAAAGATAATAGCCCTGGAGAAAAAGATGTGACCGTCTGCAATTCTGAGGTCTTCATCTGTTGCAGCGAGTTCCACTGTTGCAAAATATCTGCACGGCCACAACTCATTGGCAAAACCCAAGCCAGATCTTGTTGAAGCGAGTCTATGAATAAACACAGATATTTTGAACTTTTTCAAGACGTGTAGCAAGAGCGTGTTATCCAGGCAGATTGAAATTATGAGCGAGCGACGCTGGAAAGTGGTATTGTCGCAAAAGCAAGTGTCGTTATTTAGTCTTCGAACTTGTAAGAAGTCTTGGCAGGACCAATGTCAATGGGACCGCCACGGTAAGATCCGCGCTTCTTCTTATTCTTCTCCTTGGTGAAGCCCTTGCCGCGAGTCACAGAGAGGTCCTTCCAGGCGCGGTCAGCGTAGGCGTAGGACATATAGTCGTTAGAGGGGTGGTCGTGTGGCAATTCGCTCAGCAGAGCCAGGGGAGTGGGACGAGCTCCGGTGTGCTTCTTCTTAGCGGGAGGGTTGTGGGGGGCGGGGCTGGCGCTGGAGGAGGTAGTCTCAACCTTGACGACCTTGGTGACGGGCTTGACCTCTGGGGAGGCGGCGACAGTGTTGCTGGTGGAGGTGGAATCGGAATCACTGGAGGAGTCAGACTTGGGAAGAGGAGTCTTCTTAGCCTGCTTCAGAGCCTTCTTAGACTTCTTCTCTGACTCGGACTCGGAGGATGAATCAGAGGAGTCGGAAGAAGAGGAGTCAGAAGAGGAGTCGGAGGAAGAGTCGGAGGACGAGTCAGACTCCGAGCTGGAGGATTCCGAAGAGGAAGATGAGTCGGACGAAGAAGAGGAGGAAGAAGAGGACTCAGCGGCCTCCTTTGTGACCTTGGCTTTCTTGGCCTTGGGGCTATCGTCCTCCGACTCGGAGTCAGAGGAAGAGCTGCTGGACTCGCTGCTGGACTCAGCCTTGCGCTTGACGCCAGTGGTCTTCTTGACCGGTGCAGGGGAGGCGGGAGACTGGTCATCATCTTCATCGTCGGCGTCGCTATCAGAGCTGGAAGAAGACGAGGATGAGGATGAGCCAGCAGCATCATCCATCTCGACGTCCGAATCGCTGGAGCTGGAGCTGTCGGAGTCGCTGTCGGAGCTGGAAGAAGAGCTAGAAGAAGAGCTGGAGCTTGCAGCCTTCTTCACGCCAGCGTTCTTCTCAGAAGCCTGGAAAATGTCGACGAGAGAGGGCACATTCTTCGCATCGCCCTTCTTGGAGGGCTTGGCCTCTTTGACAAACGCGGCGCTAGTCTCGGGGAATTTGTCGGAAAGGAAAGCGGCGACTGACGCGATCAGCTGGGGAGAGATCGACTTGGTGCTTTTAGGAGACTCGGTCTGATGAGGATTGTCAGTTCAGTCCTATCTAGATCGCTTTCGCTAGTTGCCGAATGGGACAGACACACCTTCTGGACCGAAGTCTTTTTGGATGAAACCTTGGCCATATTAACGATTGCAAGGTGATCTTTGATGAAACAAAAACCAAAATAATTCAGCGGGAAAAGAGACGGGGTTTGGAGGCGAACAATCTGCCAGGAACCGACGCGAAAAGAAAAAAAAAAAGTATATACGGGGCGGTGAGCTTCTGAAAATACGGTGATTGGTTGAAAATAAGTGAGGCCGAGATATCGCTCACGTGGTTGGGTCCTTGGGCGGTGAGGCTGCTGTCCTGCGTTAATTGGCACTTGCAGCTCAGCCTTCCCTCCGGAGCCACCTGGGCATTTCTTTTGGGCTCTAAGAATAGGCAGCCCTGGTCAAACTACCCAACTCCCTAGGAGCGTCTTGAGATATTTGATGAATCCTGACACCAGCCAGCTACGTAGGCACAATTAGCGCAATTTCATAGCTCCAACTACACTTCTCAGGTTGTTCGCATGCATAGTCAATCTAATCCGGATCAATTCAATCCTCCGCCTTCCAAGCTCTCCGCCTTACTATCCGCAACCCCAAACACAGCTCCGCCATTGGCATCGTACATCACCGGCGACTATACGCACTGTTTTTCCCGCTTGGTTTGGAGCTTGGCCCATCAGCACTGGGTGGCTTATTCACGTCGTTGACTCGTGGATCTCAATTCCTTCGGCGCATCTTGCGTCGTGGCGTGGCCGATCCCGACCCTCCCGATCATGTCCCCTTGATCGTCAAACTATCCACCACCGAGCTCTAAGTCCTGAAATACGCCAGAATGAACAGCAGAGACCGTCCCCGTGGGCCTCCGCAGGCACCCCCGCCAAATCGTGGCCCTGGTCCCCAATCCGACTCAAACTCCAGCCCCAGCACTATGACAAGAGGGGTCGCCTTCGAAGATGAGAAAGTGCGGATTATCAAGAGCTGTTATGCGAAAAAAGACGAAGATGGCAACCGTACGTATACCGGCAAATAAGACACAAGACCTGCCCCATGTTCAGCTGTAGCGCATTCAGCAACAGGTTGCGAACTGACGTGCTGCGCGTCGTGGTGGAATCGCATTCCTGTGCGCCATATGCGCGCCACTTCATCAATAATCTTTGGATAAAGACGTATAATTTGTTAATCAATCTTGCTCTATACAGTGCTCGAATCCTACATCACCCATGTCCGCATCACAGAAGACGCAACACATCCATCAAGTCCCTTCCCTCCGAACGGCCCCCCGGAGAATAGGAAACCTCGTCTCATTATAATATCGGTGCGAAAGTCAGGCCGAGTCCGTGTACACAAAGCCCGAGAGAATGCCGAAGGTACTTTCTCCATTGGAAAGACCTGGATGCTCGAAGATTTGTCCGCAATCCAGTCATATGCCTCCTTTGTACCGAGGACGCAGGGTGAGCAGCAGCAGAAGGAATGGGCTTCCAACTGTGGGTTCACCGTCACCATTGGAAAACCATACTACTGGCTTGCGAGAACCTCCAAAGAGAAAGAATACTTCATCGGGAGCCTGGTCAAAATCTATAGAAAATACACCAATGGGAATATGCCAACCCTGGTTGGGTTTGATGATACGGAACGACAACTGCTGGCAAGACACGGCCAACCGCAGGGCAGGCCCCCAGGGGCCCCAGGTCCTCCGGGGCCCCAGGGCGGTCCGCCCCCAAGGGGCCCTGGCCCAATGCCCCCGGGAGCCGAAGGTGCGATGCCGCCGTCACTGCAGCCCTCTTACAGAGGCCGCGAGCCAAGTCGCGATGTGCCTCCGGAAGTCAGAAGAAAGCCATCCGAAGACCCCGCTGCGCGGGCTCGAAGCCGAGATCAGGCGTCCCGGCCGTCGACTGGTTCTCGACCATCTACCGGGCATGGTAAACCGGCACCCTCACCCTTTGACTTGCATAAATCACCCCCTGCCTCGCTTTCCCCCGCGCCCCCAGAGCAACCGCCGCCCCGCGCACCCGAGCGGAATGCAGCAAACACAAAGACACCCGTTTCCCTACCAGAATCTAGGGCCAAAGAGAAGCCTCTTGCCATTTCTACGAATCTTGAGCCCAGCTTTACCGGGGTTCCAGATGGACTCCGGCCAGGGTCTTCTCGCAGCCAGGAGCGTGGTCCCAGATCTCCAGCTCTTGGTCCCCATTCAGGTCCAAATAAGGGTCTAGAATATATGCGCAGCGCCGATGGGCTTCGGCCAACGACAGCCGGCTCGTCTAACAGTGACATTCGGGAAACGGGGCCACGCCCGGCGCCTAGCTATGGCCCCAAATCGCCTCAACGCGAGGCCGGCGAAAAGGCACCAAGCTTCACCCCGCCGCCTTTGCCACAAGACAGAAGCGTACCCGACAGTCTATCAGCTGGGGGTGCACCCCATCAGCGAGAGCCCTCCTCGTCACCGGGTATCGAGGGTTTGGCCGCAGAGCCTGCCGCTATGTTCGCTGCGAACATGCCGACAGAAGAGCCGCCAAAGCCCCCTGATGCAACTCCGCCTGCCGAGATTACTTCTCCGGTTGAGCCCTCGTCGCAGGCGTCTCCGGTGTCAACCGATGAGCCGGGTGAGTTTGAACCTCATCGCCCTGGCCTCGGGCCTATGGTCAAGAAAAAGGCCGGCAAGGACATCGCGGGCGCGTGGAAAAAGGCCGCCACCGCGGCCGGTGCCTTCAAGCCTAGAGCAGGTGGAGCTGGTGAGCGTCTGCTACAAGCCGCCAAAAAGCAACAGGCTGAAGTGGTTGGGCCCGATGGCATCACTGGCGTTGTGCCAGCACCTTCTCTCAATAGGTCGGCGACCGATCCTCCGCAGAGTCCAGTGGGGGCAAAGCCCGATCAAGATCTCCAATTACCGGCCCCCGTAGTCGCACCTGCACCGACACCTTCGCCGGCAGCTATACCTATACCACCTTCAGGGCCGGAAACGCCGACTGTCGAGATCACCGAACCAGCTCTCGAGGATAGGCAGGTGGCGCTGGTCGAAACGCCCGAAGTATCGCAAGAGAACCTCACGGATGTGGTTGTTAAGGTTGAAGATCGTTCGAGAACACCATCCCCTGCCGCCCAAGGACGCCGGCGGAGACACCGTGAAGACCATACTGTGAAATACTGCCAAGCCCTCGGTATTGACCCTCGTGTTCTCGATGGACGTGGCATCGATTTCGATGATATCCTCACCGACTTGGGCTGGAATGGACGGTTGGCGGATGAACAGAAGATTGAAGATCTCGAAGCAGATGTTCGCCGTGAAATCGGCCGTGTCGAAGCAACCAGCTGGCTTGGAAACCTCGAACAACAGGAAGGAAAGGTTGAACAACTCGCGAGCCTAATTGACCGAACGATTGAGGAGTGTGATGAGCTGGATGGTCTATTGACCCTTTACTCCCATGAACTCAACGTAAGTTTGAATCGATATGACTTAGATTTCCAAATCACTAACAACTCTGAACAGACTCTTCACGAGGATGTTGCTTATATCGAAGCCCAGGGCCAGGGTTTGCAAGTGCAAACAGCAAACCAGAAGCTCCTCCAAAACGAGCTGCAAAATCTCTTGAAGACGCTCTCAATCTCATCATCCGAGCTTGGTCCTCTGAAAGAGGCTTCTTTGAGTAATCCCGATGGGCTCAGGGATACTGAGAACGCTCTCTCGACGCTGTATAAGGCCATGCTCATGATTGATTCTGACATTGGTCAAAACAAGAGACGCCAGGTCGATGCAAGCGTTGGTGTATATGCAGATACCGAAATCGGCCAGATGCGAGCAATCAAGCAAAAGAAGGAAGAATATCGCTCCACGGCAATCCTGTTCCTTAACAGGCTGAAGCAGTTCATGGCTCTCGCTTTCAAAATGGCAGAGCAAAAGCGTGCGGACGCCGCGGCCAGTAGTGCGAAGGACCAGATGAAGCTGGACACCGTTGCTCGAGGACATTTCCGCCAAGAAGTTTGGCGATACAGTGCCATCATGCTTTTCGCCAAGGAGGTCAGTATGACTGAATGGCACAGTCTGGTTGGGCTTTATGAACAGCAGTCCAAGCCTTCATACCAAATCGACTTCCGGGATAACAACGCAGCTTGGAAGAAAACCGCTCGCAAGCCAACGGGCGACGAACAAGAACTACTCTTTACTCACCAAGAGAAAGAGAAAGAGACCGAAGGTCTTACCATGGCGGCCAGGAAACTCACGGTACGACGAGGCAAGACCGTACGGGCAGCCGCTGGGCTTCGGCTGGCCTCTGGTGGAGAGAAGAAGCAAGGGCGAGTCGAACCCTCTGAGGCGTTCTCTGGCACATTGCGGGAGACACTGAAGATGATGGCCCAGGAGCAAAACTTTGTGATTCAATTCTTCCACCTCAACTCCCTTGCTAGTGCTGAGTTCTCTGATATCGTCTACTCGACGATTCCAGAAAATCGCAATTGTCCCGATTTCTCTGCCCCCCAATCACACGACCCCGATCGTGGTATGGCAAAGCGAGTCGAGCAGATAATGGATGAGATTTACTCCTTCTGGCCGAACGACATGCAAAGCATGGTGGACTGGGCCATGTCCGCCGATCCTCTGCAGGGCATTGGAATCCTCCATGCCCTAGAAACCTCCATGGCCGACTTTGACGACACAAACCAAGAATTCATCCTTCATTCTCTCCAAAAGCTTCACTCCCGCCTCATGGGCCTATTCAATCGATTCGTGGACGAACAGATCCGCGGCATTGAAGACACGAAGGTCAAAATCAACAAGCGCAAGGGTGTTATCTCCTTCATGCGCGTGTTCCCCAATTTCTCCAACGCTGTCGAAAGTATGCTCTCCTCTCCCTCGGGCTCTTTCTGTGACATTCGCATCTGTGTAAACGATGCGTACGACCGTATTAACCGTGCCATGTGGGAGTCCCTCAAGTTCATCGCCAAAGAAGCCCCGGGCCAACCCCCGGCTGTCGCCGCCGGTGCTGGTGACCCAGAGGATAAGGAAATCCTCAACTACCACATCCTTCTCATTGAAAACATGAACCACTACATCGAGGAAGTGGACGTGCATAACATCCCCCCACTGGAGCGCTGGGTGGACCGCGCCCATCAGGATTTCCAGGAACACATGAAGCTCTACTTGGACTCTGTGATTCATCGCCCGCTCGGGAAATTGATCGACTTCACTCAAAGTGTCGACAATCTCCTTGCCGCGGGAGGCAACCCGGCGGACATTGCGGGTCGGGCCAGCCATTCTCGGATGGTGGCGAAGAAGGTGCTCTCCGCATATGACAACAAGGAAGTCCGCCGCGGGATCGAGATGCTCCGGAAGCGGGTGGAGAAACACTTCGGAGATGCCGATGATCCAGGTCTCAGTCGCAGTCTCGTTCTCAAGGTGTTGCGGGAGTGCGAGAATCGATACGAGCAAACGTACGATCGGACGAAACGCATTATTGAGACGGTCTACGAGGGACAATTAGATCTGGACTGGCGCAAGGAAGACACGCTCAGCATGTTCCGGAAATGATACGGAGTAGATGAAGGTATACTCCGTCGAGGACTCCCATTGGCGAGCGGCTCAGCTCCACTGGTTCGGTCTCAGGGGGAGGTCTGTGCTTCGCCTTTAATTCGCGATCTATCACTTTTTTTTCTTCTCTCTCTTCTCTCTTTGGAGATCTCTGGTCCTGTTTAGTGGACATTCGTAGTCAATTGACGAATTGGAATGAACTGTGGCGTATGGGTTCCCTTGCTTTGGCTCATCCGGTACAAACGCGCGTTGAGGGCTGCAATCTTAAAATAAGTACAAGTCCTCGTACTTCCGAATTGGCATTGCAGACGGAGTAGGCAAGGTAGCTGTCCGCAGACCTGAAACGTACGCATTGCTCACGGAATGGCCGTGACAGAGGACCAAATACTGTACACAAGACGGGTAGAATGTGGTTCAGAGCCAGTCGGTGTGGGGGGTGATCTTCGATTTCGCTTTTTTTAATCTTATTCTCAGTTCTCTCGGTACTCGGGACTCGATTCTCTGTTATTCTTCCAAGCTCACCCTCGTTTACTCTTATCTCTTGTCTTCCGTTCTTTTTTGGCTTTTTTAACTACTCACGGTGAGTGTCTCATCCCAAGGCGGTCCAGCGGTCTCCACAGTCACTCAAGGGGGGCACGGATCTCACATTCGGACCCTGGGAGGTTGCGTGTCCTGCGACACCCTCTGTGTGTGTTCCATGCCCTCCTCTGATTCCGATAGGATCTTGCTGGACTGTCTTCACCGGCCTTTCTCCTAATGCCTCGCGACTGTAGATCATTACCTCTTGTCGCATTACCGCATTCCTCTCGTTCCAACCCGGATTGCATGTCGCCTTCGAATCGAACATTCCTCGAACTGATCAGCGCCTTTCACCTTTGTTGAAGATCAATTGTGCGGGGACACCATGCCCTGGCGGCCGCTACCTCGCATCGCATTCGCTGTCGCTATATACCCCTTCAATCCCTCCTCCCCCGCGGACCTACCATTGGAGCTCGGCGATGAACTGTACATAATTGAACAAGGCGGCACAGATGGCGAATGGTGTCGCGGATATCTTGTCGCGCCTCCCTCGCTGCTAGCAGGCTTGTCCAGCACCAAAGGCCAGACTCTCGAGGCCCGAGTGTTCTCGGGCGTCTTCCCACGAAACTGCGTGGAGATTCGCGAAGTGCTGGGCGAAGGCGAGGGATACAAGGCTTTGCTGAATGGAGATCGCACAAGCATGGATCGCTTGACCCTGTCAGGCTCGGACGGGGAGTTTCTGGCGCGAAACAGCTTTGCCCTGTCTGGCGATTTCACGGGTGAAGTGTCGGATGTTATTTTCGCGAAAAAGGGCAAGCCCGCTCAAATCGTGATTCACAAGACCGACGACCCCGCCCTGTCAAGTCCGCGCTCCATGCAGACATGGCGGACGGGTTCAATTCCTCACACCCCGGTGTCGTTTACTCCCCGCGACCCTGATGCGCCGAAGCCTGCGGCGCCTGTTCCAATGCTCAAAATTGGCGACGAAACACCCACTTCCTTGACGGAGCCCTTGGTCGATGAAATCGCATCATGTCTGCGTGAATGGCATTCAACGAATTTACATGAACTGCTGCTGGACCGAAAGTATGATGTGCTGGAAAAGATGAGCGGCATGGTGCAGGAATTGGACTTTGCAAGAAGACAGCTATTACACAATGTTCTCACTGGACAGGAGAAAGAAATATTGCGGAACGAAACCGTATGGAAACTCGTCAAGGCAAACAAGATGCTCAGCGGGAACGTAATTGTTCGCGATCCAGAACAACGGGGCCGTCTGCTCACAGGAGACGACTCGGGAATCCAACTTGCAAAGCTCCAGTCAGAGATGAGCATGCTTGAATCCAATCCTGTCACAACCTCCGATGCTACGGCCCTTCACCACCTGCTCCTTGAGATCAACGCGGTATCAGGGAACTCTCCGGGCCCCACAACTATCGCAATTCAGTTATATTCGCAGTCAGATGCTGGCGTCCTCGGTCCGTTATCCGAGACCTTTAGCCTGGATATCCCATCACCGGATAAATTTATCAACATGAGCCAGAGCAGCAAGCTGAAAACACTATTTACCGAATTGGCTGCTACGGATATCGGCGATGGGTCCTCCAACGGCCGACAGCTATACCTTGTGGCATGGGTTCGCGCCTCGGAGACACGCTCTGCGCCTGATCCCACACCCATGCCAAGACCATCCGTTTCGAGGGAAAGCCCGACCCCAGTCAAGTCCCCAACGAACGGTGGCATCCAGCCCTCTGCCAAGGGCAGTTTGAAAACGCGACGGAGCATGATGTGGACGCCTAAGCAGCGTGGGCCAAGCTCGGACAACATAGGCAGGCCGAACGTTCAGGGTATTCCAAGAACCTCGAGCAGCTCCTCGAGCTTCAAGGAGCCAGCTCCCACCCAACCTGTCCCGACAAAGGAGATTTCTGCGATTCGCACTGTCGGCGTTGGAGTTTTGGAAATCTCCCAGATTCTCCGACAGGAACGAGACGGAGAGCAGGTGATCAATGTCTGGTCACCTCGTCGAGAAGGCGAAGACGGGGATGGAATGGCAGATGGCTTTGACAAGTTGGTTCGGACATTACTTCCCAGTCCGACAGGGCGCTATGTGCGCGCAGATCATGCTGCGCGCCTTCACCTTCACCTACGTCCCTTCGTCAGTGCGGATCCTGATGCCTTGATCCGACAAAATCCCACTATCCTGCATGACGTTGTTCAGACACAGCGCATCGGTTTCTCAAAGGCACCCACTCGCACAAGATCAGACATCTACGTCACACTCTCCCAGGCTGTCTTCCCGACAGACGCTCTCCTCTCCCATCCGCTGGCCGGTCAACTCCCTCTGCAAGTCACCTCGGGTCTTAATAACCTCCAGCTTACCCTTGAGGTGCGTGATGCACAAGGAGCGCGGATAGATCGCTGTGTCTTCCCTTCGTCCGCCAACACTTCGAACACAGCGTGGCGAACTACGCTCACCCAGCGAGGATCGCCATGGAACCAGACTATCCGCCTCAAAATCCCCACGGAGAAGATTCCTGGGTCTCATATGGTGATGAGTATTGCGGATGCACCAGAGTTCCCTTTTGCGCTTGCTTGGATGCCTCTCTGGGATCAACAGGCTTTCATCAAGGACGGTCGTCACTCTCTCTTATTGCATGCTTATGACAAGCAAACGTCCAGCATTGAGAACGGAAAAGGCGCTTACTTGAACCTTCCCTGGAGTTCACTTGGCAAGAATGAGTCTGCCAAGGATGAAGCCTTGACTGGCCCCTTGGCCACACTGCAGTTGGAAACACATCTTTGCAGCACCGAGTACTCTCAAGATCAAGTGATCTTAAGTCTCTTGAATTGGCGTGAGCGGCCCGTCGATGAAGTTTTGGATACCCTCAAGCGCTTGCTCTTCGTTCCAGAGATCGAGATCGTCAAGCAACTGAATGGCGTGTTTGATGCATTGTTCGGAATCTTGGTTGAGAATGCCGGCAATGAAGAATACGAAAACTTGATTTTCAACAACCTGGTCACTGTCCTTGGGATTGTCCACGACCGACGCTACAATTTGGGGCCGCTTGTCGACAGCTACGCTGATAACCAGTTCAACTTCCCCTTCGTCACACCATGCCTCATCCGCAGCTACCTGCGCCTTTTGAATGGTGCTACCGATGGCCAACAATCCCGCAGCTTACGTGCCGCCTTCAAGGTGGGACGTCACCTGCTGAAGTTCATCATCAAGGCCCGTGAACAACAACAGGCGAAGGAAGAAGGCATCGGTATCACCAAGGTGCAATCCACATTCAATAGAGATATGCATACCATCTTCAAGTCGATGGAGACATTGATGAAAAACAACTCGCCGGCTTTGGTGGGTAGCAAAACGCTGATTGTTCAGCACATTCATACTTGGCTCCCCGAACTCTCCAAGGTCTTGGGCCGAGACGAATTGATTATGATCGCACTGAGCTTTATGGATTCATGTAAAGACGTGACAGGAATGCTCATTCTTTACAAGCTGGTTCTCATTCAAAATTATACCCAATTTGAGCTGTTTGCATCGGGTGAAGAAAGGAAAACCCTGATCAACAGTTGCATCGGTTGGCTGGCTCCATACTGGGGCCCAACCCCTACCGTATCGGATCTGTACCGCGATCAGGTGCGCTTGAGCAGCTCCATCGTGGCTCAGTTGCTCAGTCAACCTGATCCCCTGCTCTATGGGTTCATGCCGAGTATCGTTGCTTCTTATTGTGCTATCTCCGCAGAAGGGGTTGATGAGTCTGAGTATCTGTCCTTACTGTTCAGCAAGGCATTCCCATTCCAGATGAAAACCGCAACTGCTCCCCAGAGATTCGATGAGTCGTTGGTTGAACTCTCTGCTCTCATCGCCGCTATAGCTAAGATTGCGTCTCCCAAGCTACCTTCATTGAAAGAGCTGGAGCTTGCCACCTTTGTCGGGCAAACCTTCGAGGCTCATAACTCTATCTTGGATTGTGAGGCTTACCCAGAGACTTGGTTCAGCATGCATGTTTACAACCACCGCGCGACTGTCAAAAGCCTTGAACATATTGCCTTGTTATTGATTGATAGGCTCCTGCCGGCACCCGATGATGCCGACACTTTTGATACCAAGCTATGGGAATCATTCTTCACCACCTTGCTCAAGGTTATTTCCAGCGATGTTCTTGCGCTGGAGACCTTCCCCGAGCAGAAGCGCCGAGCAGTGTGGAAGATCGCCGGTGATGTCCGCGAGCAGGGTGCCGAGCTGTTACAGTCTACCTGGGAGGCCATTGGCTGGGAGACTACTGATGAGGAGAGAGAGCGGTTTAATCTTAAGAGATTGGGTGGCTATCAGGTCCAATATGTTCCGGGCTTGGTTCCCCCTATCATCGGCCTGTGTCTCAGTGTGCACGAAGGTTTGCGCCATGTTGCTGTCCAGATAATGCAAACTATGATTCTCAGTGAATGGGATCTGAACCAAGACATCTCCATCATCGAGACGGAGATAATTTCCAGCCTCGACAGTCTCTTCAAGTCAAAGATGATGAACGAGAGCGTCAGCCAGAAGATCTTCATTGCTGAACTGCTGGATCTATTTGAGAGTGACACAGCCTCTGATGATCTCTTGTTAAATGCAGTGAGGAGTCTCGTTGGAACAGTTGATGAACTCCTGGATCTGCTAGTGGCTTCGCAAAATGGAGTCTCTATCCAATCTCTTCATGCCCTGAAACTGATGGAATATATGAAGGACATGGGCCGTGAGGATATCTTCATTCGCTATGTCCACGAACTAGCCGAAGCTCAGGCCGCAGCAGGCAACTTCACCGAGGCTGGTCTTGCTCTTCAATTCCATGCCGACCTCTACGAATGGGATCTCACCAAGACTCTACCGGAGTTGCTCACCCCCGCGTTCCCTGTCCAGAGTGCGTTTGAGCGCAGAGAAGCATTGTACTTCTCTGTCATCTCACACTTCGAGAACGCCATGGCCTGGGCCCCTGCATTAGTTTGCTACAAGGAACTTGCGGCACACTATGAGCACACAACCATGGACTTTGCAAAGCTCTCTCGGGCCCAGAGCTCCATGGCTCGAATCTATGACTCCATCTCCAAGGGCGGCAAGCAGTTGCCGCGCTACTTCCGTGTCATCTACAAGGGTCTTGGCTTCCCTCCCAGCCTTCGTGATAAAGAATTCGTCTTTGAGGCAGCACCGACCGAACGCATGGCTGCATTTGTTGATCGCATGCAGCGCGAACATCCTATGGCGCAGGTCATGTCTTCGGGCGAAATTCCTGATTACGAAGGCCAGTTCCTGCAAATCAGTGCCGTCAGTGCTCACCGCGACGTGTCTCATCCTGTATACCAACGGGCCAAGGTACCATACTCTGTTCGCGAACATCTATTGATGTCAGATCCCTCGCGTTTCTCCTCCACATCACGACGCCACACTGGTAGCTCGGATGTGCGTGAGCAGTACGTTGAGAAATTCGTCTTCACGGTTTCAGAGGCTTTCCCCAACATCCTTCGTCGCAGCGAGATTGTCTCTGCTCAAGAGATCTCTTTGTCGCCCTTGCAGACGGCGATCGAACGAACGTGGCGCAAGACTCAGGAGCTTCAGCTAATTGAGCGTCGCGCTGCTTCGGGTGAGGATTCTGGTCTGTCGAATTTGACAGAGGCCCTGGAGCAACTCCTCGAGCACAGATCCCCATCATCTAACTGCGTGGCTCTATACCGCGTATTCCTCTCTGATGCGGAACTGGCACGGAACAAGCGACTTGAAGGGGTGGACGAAAACGCTGAGATCGGAGAGCCTGAGCCTGAGCCCGTGGATCCAATGGAGACCGCACTCTCTGTGGCACTTGTTGATCACGCGTTGGCCATTAAACACGCCCTGTCTCTCTACCAGCGTCCCGCTCAGCAAGCCACCCAAGCCGAGCTCCTCCGACGATTCGAGGACGTCTTCGAGCCCGAGTTGGGCTCCATCGCCCCCGCCCCAGTTGAGTACTCGTCACCAACACCAACCCAGACCGCTCGCCAATCACCCGTCGGTGACGTCCGCCGACTCCCCATCCAACGCACCGTCAGCAGCGAGCAAGATGCGACTCGCCGCAACGCGCACACGCGCAAACGCTCCGACCGACAATCCGTCAGCCACCGCATTAGCATCATCAACCCCTTCAAGCGCCACGGCGGGTCCAACTCCATCTTCACCATTCAGCCCGACAAGACCCAAACACCCGGCGAGGAAGAGATCGATGATGACACGGCCACCATCCACAGCCGCACCACCAGCCACTCCCGCGGTGGTCGTAGCGAAAAACGTCGCAGCTTCTTCGGCGACAAAGGCTACAAGCACGGTTCCTCCCCTTCCGTGGCCCAGGAATCCCAGACCTCCTTGAAGATCCGCAACCCGTCCCGGGACCCTTCGCACGACAGTCGCAGTCGTGCAGACTCGCAGCAGCGACACCCGAGCACGGGTGAGCGGGCACCTCCCAGCGCCAGCGGTGGATGGTCGACCCTCCCGCCTACGCGTGACTATTCCCGACCTGCTACGCGCGACAGTAATCCTGTGACGATGACGACGACCAATGGCACGGCGCCTTTGTCGCCAGTCAGCAATAACAGTTCTGGCAATGGTGGGATGCGGGACTCGATGTTCCGTCGGTTCAGTCTCCTCAAGGGCAAGGGGGTGGGAAGGAAAAATAGCCGGATGGATATCAAATCCCTGCCCGAGGAGTGATGTTTCATTCCTTCATTCCTTTTCTTTTTTCTTTTTTTGGTCCATCCTTTTTGAACACCCATTTCTTTGATATCACTTTATTATCTACTACTGTCATGAATTAGATACCATGTTAAATAATTGTATTAATTGCACGAGTTTGAGTTCGACATCTAGTACTTCGTATACTCGTAAAGTACTAGCACTGGCGCTAGTTCTATCGAGAATCATGATACTCCGTACTATCCTTTGTAGCGAAGGGGACTGGCCCGTGCGGAGATGAGGGTGTGGCAGTGCTGGTCTTGGCTTCGGCTGCAACCAACAAGCATCGCCCATCTGGCTCCAGTGGGGCTTGGTGTGATCATCACGGAGAAAGCTACTCTGCTGTTCGAAGGCTGTGTCAACTCTCGATCCACGGAAACAATCTTTGTTACGTAGTGGCTTGAAACGGTCCCCTCTCCCTCTCCGTTTGACTTTTTACAATGTGTACGTCCCATATGAAGTCTGTCCAACTCCCTCCCTAACCAGCACCCAGCAAACCCCAACTTCCGCTCCCAATTCCGAAGCTTCAGCTTCGGTCCCCGTACTGCAACAATGCCACGCAATGGCTCTGTGGATGAGCGCACTGGCCTCCTCCGTGGCTCATTCTCCGGTCTTGCGCCTCACGAACATGATGGCCCCCATCGTCACCCCAAGGATTCTCGTCTGTGGGTGCAGTGGCCGACCCATGTAGTTCATCTGACCTGGAAGACCCTGGTTCGGGACTATGTCAACCTGCTGCTGATTTGTGTCCCGTTGGGCATCGTGGCTGGTGCTTTGGGCTGGGATTCGACAGCGGTGTTCACGCTGAACTTCTTTGCCATCATTCCGCTGGCTTCCTTGCTGAGCTTTGCAACTGAGGAGCTGGCGGCAACGATGGGCCAGGCCCTCGGTGGCCTGATGAATGCTACTTTTGGCAATGCCGTCGAGTTGATCGTGAGTGCTCCCGAGGTCTTTTTTGTTTGATGATGTCATGGTCGATGTCCATGTCCATGTTGATGGCAATGGCAATGGCAGTGCCCTCTAAGGGATGATGGCGGCTAACCAATTTGCCTTCTAGGTCAGCATCATCGCCCTGAAGGATAACCAGGTTCGCGTGGTGCAAGCCAGCATGCTTGGCAGTATTTTGTCCAACATTCTGCTTGTGCTGGGCTGCTGTTTCTTCGTCGGTGGATTGCGATACCGCGAACAGTCATTCAACAGTACCGTTGCGTCTACGATGTCCTCGCTCATGGCTGTTGCTTCTGCCTCGCTGATTATCCCTGCGACCCTCTACGCTGCCATTTCGAACAACAGCGACTCCGCGCCGGGTAATGATGACAACCGCGCGGCCCAGCACAACATTCTGATTCTGTCTCACGGCACCTCGATCATCCTCCTCTTGATCTACGTCATGTACCTCTACTTCCAGCTGCGATCCCACTCCGATCTCTTCGAAGAGACCAATGGCAGTGATACGGAGACAGGTGCTCCGGCCGAAGAGGAGGAGGAAGAGGAAGAGCGCATTCTTAGCCCTTGGGCTGCGACCGTTGCGCTGGTCGTCGTGACCGTTCTGGTCTCGATCTGCGCCGACTACCTCGTTGGCAGCATTGACAGCATCGTCGAGAAGACCGGTATGAGTAAGACATTTATTGGTCTGGTACTGATTCCCATCGTTGGTAACGCCGCGGAACATGTGACTGCCGTGGTTGTTGCATACAAGGACAAGATGGATCTGGCAATTGGTGTTGCTATTGGTAGCAGCTTGCAGATCGCGCTGTTCGTCACTCCTTTCTTGGTCATTCTGGGATGGATCATCAATATTCCCATGACTCTGCACTTCCAAACATTCGAGACCGTCGCCTTCTTCATCTCTGGCTTGGTGGTTACCCTGCTCATTCAGGATGGAAAGTCCAACTATCTGGAGGGTGGCATGTGTCTCGGCATGTATATCATTCTTGCCCTAGCCTTCTACGTCTATCCCGATAGCGTGGTCAACTAAGCTGGTCTTGGGGGCTAGGGTGGTCTCTCTTTAATTTTGGGTCCGGTGTGCGGTTCTCTCTTTCTTATGTTTCTCTGGACTTGTGTCTATGGTCAAAATTATTCGTGTTTAAGTCTCCATATTTTGCAAGCATTAACAGCTCACTTATTTCATTCCGTCACTAGAAGAAGCCAATGATTTTATACGCTCAGGCAGCCCTTGGACACGTCCATCACCTACCCAGACAAGAAGTACCTCCAAGGTTGCTTCTTTCTCATTTGAGGTCGTCAAGAACTAGGAACATTTAAAACACGAATTGAAAGTCGGTTCACAGCCTGCTGCTGGGATTCATCACCTAGACAGGTATGGATGCCCTGGTGGCCCTCAAGAATCAATCTTATGAAACATAGGCCGGTTTACAGGCATTGTCCTGGAGTACCTAGGTAAGTTACCCATGATTTACACATGGGATACTGGAATAGTCGAGGTCTAAGAACCTGAGAGAATTGACATGGGTCTCGGTAGATCGACAAGTTGGGGAATGTCCACTCCGTACGGAGTATACTAGTAGGATCTCAAAATATAACACTGTGCATGGGTAAAGTGTGACCAATTTCTTCCAGTATGATGTGAGAGCTTCAGGGCTGGCATTGAATGAGCTACATATGCCTTCAACAGTAGCCGAAATGGATTTACACTACACTATCTACATATTTAGTCTTATGTAGCCGAATACAGATCTCGGGATGTTCACAGTCTTGGAACTTGGGATATGGGGCTTCATGTAGACGGCTGCAGTGCCTGTGCTCCAATTCCGAGAGCCCTCAGACTTCGAAGCTTTAGGGCTGATTTCCAACGCTCCAATTCGTGGATAGCCTTGAAACTGATGCACGATGATTCATCTGGGGAATCCTGCTTGAAGCGCTCATGACTTCACTTTGGAAATCCTTGGCATGCTGACTCAGCATCAATTTTGCTCAAACCTCCAATCGACACCTCCGACTCCGATAATTACATTGCGGCCAATTTATATCATTCGCCATAATGACACCCCGTCTTAACCTATTCACGGCCAGAGCGGCATCTGCTCTGCGCCAATCCACCACTCCCGCGCTCGCTTCCCGCAGCATCGCCAGCCCTGCCCGATTCCGCGCCATCCAACCTATTCAGTGCCGATGGAACTCTTCGCGCGATGGCTCAAAGAAGGTTGAGCCCCAGCCTGACGAGCAGACTTTCCCAACCTCCGACCAATTGCCCGATGTCAGTGAGGAGGCGAACGAGATCTCGCGGATCATGGATAAGGAAAAGCGGTGCGACGGTGTTCCGTCCACCCCGGAGTTGGATCAAGGCACACCGGTCGAGGAGGTGAGCAATAGGATGCAATAACGCCATGCCCGATGGCGGAGTGTTCTTCCAAGCAGGAGCTAATCAAGGTGGAATAGATCCTCAGCCGCGACAAACAGGCCATGAAGCACATGCCCAAGGTCATGCAGGACGAACTGAAGAAGTCGGGCACACGCTCTTTCTCTACTTCAGCTCGCAGCCGCATTCCCGAGATTGAGAGCTCCGTGCCAGGCCCCGAAGGCGCCAGTGCGGAGGCCACTGCTGCTCTTGCCGATATGATCAGACAGGCCCAATCGCCCCTCGTTGAAGAGAACCTCGACTTGAAGTTCGACGAGCCCATCCTCCCCCAGAACATCAAGACCTTGAGCTACCGCCAGCGGTACGATACTCTGCAGGAGCAGTTCACCAAGCAGATGATGGTGGATGGCAAGTTGACCAAGGCCCAAAAGGTATGGATCCGATTTTATTTGACCTTCTGGACAAATTCTAACATTTCTAGAACATGGAATTCATCCTGGAGCACCTCCGCACTTCCTCGCCCCCCCAAATCAACCCCAAGCGCCCTCTCCTCGATGCTCCCCCAGCCTCCCAAATGCCCCTCGACCCCGTCAACTACCTCGCCGTCGTTGTTGACTCCGTGGCCCCCCTCTTCCGAATTCGTCAGCAGAAGGGTATTGCCGGTGGTGGTGCTGCCGTGCAGATCCCCACGCCGCTTAATCTGCGCCAGCGCCGTCGTGCCGCGATTCGTTGGATCATTGACGGATCCGCCAAACGCCGTGACTCGACTTTCTCGCATCGCGTTGCTGCCGAGGTTGTGGCAGTTGCTGAAGGCCGTAGCAGCGTCTGGGACAAGCGAGACCAGCAGCACAAGATTGGTATCTCTGGTCGTGCCAACTTGAGTACCCCCATGCGTCGCTAGGGTGTAATTCTTTATGGGTGTTTGGTTTTGTTTATGAGCACTTTCTTTGCATTTGTACATTAGTTAGTCCGATCTAATAGATCCTGACTTCATTAGTTAGTCCGGATCCAATACCTAGGTAGATCCTGACTTCAGTTTCAGTACTGCCCAGGTGTATATTCAACGGTGATGTTGTTTCACATGTCTATATATAGCGGAGGTGGATTTGCTTACTCCGTTCCATCTTATTGGGGGCCACCTATACTAAGTTGGACGTGCATGAAACCTCCGATATACTCAAGTTTTTTAGTTGCACACCAGACCAACATTCCAGTGCCAACTTGAAATACTGAAGCTCTCCAGTGCTTCCATGCAAGATTACCTAAGCTATTCCGCATCGAGAACACGGTCCCTGAGGTCATCGCGAGAAAACCGACAAGGTAGTTTCTATTTCTTCAACGCCTCAGGGTGAATATCAGCTACTGGAACAACTTCCAATCGGTGGTGCGAAAGTGTGTTCAGTCGTTGCCAGCCTGACCTTCCAGTGCAACCCACGATCGCAGCTGACCCGGGCTTGACTTCGTCCCCGCACACCTTTTCCGGCCTTGCCTCTCTCCTTCACTCATATGATATAGGCCGATCCTTCTCCGGCCTCCCCATTTTCGACGGTGGCTCCCCCGCACTCTGATTCCATCGAACTTGTCGAGTACCATACCTCCCGCCGAACCTCAAGCGCACGTGGCCCTGACTGCGTCGAACGGACACGAGCTAGCGCTAAGCACTTCACACCGGCAGCCAATTCGCAGTCGCTTGCCGGTCTTCATACCCTTCCTAGCGAGGATTCTGCGCAAGAGAAGCTAGCGTCAAATCGCCTTCGGGCCACTCGTCTTCGGTTCTGGGCTGAGGCCCTTCGACGCCGCGCTCTCAACCTAGGGAACCCAGATTTAGAACCCGCCAAGATGAAGTTCTCACACAGTGTGCAGTTTAACGCTGTACCGGACTGGAGCTCCAACTATATTGCGTACAGCAACTTGAAAAAATTGTAGGTCCGACTTTTGACGCCGCAGGGTCTAGGGTCTGCTGGTGTCACATCGCACGAGATATGTGGACCGCGGAGAATTGTTTCCAGGCTAATCTTGCGCAACTAGGATTTACACACTTGAAAAGCAAGTTAATCGTACTGAGGGCCCATCCACCACCGATGTCGAGTCTGCACCGCTGCTGGGCGCCCAAACGAGCAACCCAGATGCAATTTTCAAGCGCGCTCTCGACGCGGAGATGGACAAGATTTGTACATTCTTTCAGAAGAAGCAGGCGGAGATTTTCGAACTCGCCGAGGAGCTTACTCGGGATGCTCATGTCTATCTTTCCCAGACCGATGGTGTCAATATGGACCCCGTCAGCGAAACAATCATCAAGGCCAGCTCCCGTCGAAACGGTGGGCCTGGCCCACGCCGCCGATCCAGCGGTGTCAGCAATGATTCCATGGCCGACGATGAGGAAGGGTTTAGTGACGATGACCGGTCCCCCTCACTTGCCCAACGTCGGCGGTTGATGCAGTCAACAGACGGCGAGAGCGGTACAGACGACCAGCATGGAGATCTCGCAGATTCCTCGTTCTTCGGACAGCCCGCTATGTCTGATATGCACGGTTCCTACCTGAACGACGAGGACTTCCTCGCTCTGTATAACACTGGTATCTCCCTAAAGAAGCGCCTGGTCGAGGGCTACGTCTCATTATGCGAGCTTCGATCCTTTATTGAACTAAACAAGACTGGTTTCGCCAAAGCGTTGAAGAAATACGACAAGACATTGTACCGCAATTTACGTCGAGACTACCTGGCCTCCGTGGTTCACCCCGCGACGCCGTTCGTCGAGAGTACTATGGCTGCGGTTGACGGTCATATCGAGAATATTGAGGGTGTCTACGCGGGCATCGTCACCAAGGGTAACAGGCAGCTAGCCAGGCGTGAGCTACGTTTGCATCTGCGCGAACATGTTGTCTGGGAGCGAAACACTGTTTGGCGTGAGATGATCGAGATCGAGCGACGCGCACAGGCTGCAAATGTTGGCATTCGTCGTACCCTCTTGGGTGGCGATGAAGATCCGGCCACTGCTCGCCGCCAGGGCGATAAGAATGAGATTCGTACACAGGAAATCTCAACGCCTCTTGGTCGGTTCCAATTCCCCCTGTGGTTCTGCAGCTTGAGCTTTGGCACGCTGGTTCTAAGTGTCGCCGTCTTTGGTGCCCTGCTTTCTATGCAGACCATGGAGACTCCCGAGCAACAGAACTGCCTGGCCATGCTGGTCCTTGTCAGTATCCTGTGGGCCACTGAGGTATGTCGTACTGATATGACTTGTTTCTTTGTTTCCTGATGCTAACGTTTGACTCTAGGCGATCCCGCTTTTCGTGACCTCGCTCCTAATTCCGTTCTTGGTTGTTACATTGGGCATCATGAGGTCGGATGATGAGGAGCACAAGCGACTTGGGCCTAAGGAGTCTGTGGGAATGGTATTCTCGGCAATGTGGACCCCCGTGATTATGCTCCTTCTTGGTGGTTTCACGATTGCAGCGGCACTCTCCAAGTACGATATCGCCCGGCGCATGGCCATGTTTGTGCTCAGCAAGGCCGGTTCGAAGCCGTCGACTGTCCTACTTGTGAACATGTTCGTCAGTATGTTCCTTAGCATGTGGATCAGTAACGTTGCATCTCCTGTGCTTTGTTACTCGATCATCCAACCTCTGCTCCGCAACATGCCACCAGAGTCCGACTTCGCCAAGGCTCTCGTGCTCGGTATCGCCCTGGCCGCCAATGTCGGCGGTGCGGCATCCCCTATTGCCTCCCCTCAGAACATCATTGCTTTGCAGAATATGCAACCAAACATTAGCTGGGGCACGTGGTTCTTCATCGCATTGCCAGTGTGTATTATCTCAATTCTGCTCATCTGGGCCTTGCTTCTGGCTACCTTCCGTCCTGGCCGCAATGCCACCGTCATCCCCATCCGCCCGGTCAAGGATCGATGGACTGGTATGCAGTATTTCATCAGTCTCGTCACTGTTATGACCATCGTGTTGTGGTGCGCTAGTCACCAACTCGAACACATTTTCGGCGACATGGGTGTCATTGCCATCATTCCGCTTGTCCTCTTCTTTGGAACGGGTATCCTCAACAAGGAAGACTTCAACAACTTCTTATGGACGATCATCATTCTCGCCGCCGGTGGACTATGCCTAGGCAAGGCAGTCACTTCTTCTGGCCTGCTGCACACTATTGCCGCCGATATCACCGCCCGTGTCGAGCATCTCAGCTTGTACGGCGTGCTGTTGGTCTTCAGCGCTTTAATCCTCGTCATTGCCTCGTTCATCTCTCACACTGTCGCTGCCCTCATCATTCTGCCTCTTGTCCGCCAAATCGGCGTCAGCATGGAAGATCCTCACCCCAACCTTCTGGTCATGGCCAGCGCCTTGATGTGCTCCGTCGCTATGGCTCTGCCCACCAGTGGCTTCCCCAATATGAGTATGTTTTCCTCGCTACGATCACAATCCCACTGGCTCTCGCTACGATCACAATCCCACTGGCTCTCGCTAACCATATCCCCTAGCTGCCATTATGACCGAGGTTCCCCAGACAGGCCAGCGTTACCTTCAAGTCCGCCATTTCCTGACTCGCGGTATCCCGTCCAGTTTGATGGCCTTTGCGGTGATCGTCACCCTCGGCTATGGATTGATGTGGGTCGCGGGGTTGTAGATCAAGATAGCTTGGGCTTGCTGAAACAGTCCTTTAATTCTCATTTCAAAAGAGGACAGGACAGCTTGTCTTTGAGTTTGCGTTTTTTCACGAGCGTGTGTTCGAGCCTCCACATATATGTTTAAAATGCGATCTGCAAATACTATAGATTGGGAGGTCGTGTGTATTAAATGCAAGAATTTATCAAAAGTGGATATTGAGCTCAATGTAGGTGAGCCCTCGGGACAATGACAAGCTAAGACCATCAATTGATCTATAGATGACCGTCATACTTGTCTCACCTGAACTTACACGGTCAAAGCCCTTTCACCCGAACGAGACAGGGAACACAGGACAAATGTCGTGTGGCAATGCTTCTCCGAGATACGACACAAACAGTTGAATTCAGAAATTTATTAATTCATTTCTCTCAGCTACTTCCAAGACGAAAGTACTATACACAGCGAGACGGATCTAGAGAAAGAAAAGCCCGTAACATGAAAAAATATGCATCACCGTAACCCATAACTCATTGGTCCCATGCAAGCGGAAGACCGGTGGTATAAATACTCCAGATATTAATTACTGCATGATTGTTAGCAATGCGCCCCCCAACATTGGTATGATATATGGGGTATACTCACAGCAATCCGATTGTCAAATCACCATGGATCTTCGCCTTGAGCTGAACCTCGATATCCAGATTAAGGTCCAGTCGCAAGCGCAGCTGCTCGTCCCGACCTCCATCGTCGTCTTCCTTCTTGTCTTCGCCGCCGCCTAGGATCCCTCCTACGGCTTTGCCTGCACTGCCGGTGGCGCCGTTGAGCGCATTACCTGCTGTGTTCTGCACAAGCTGGCCGGCTTGGTCGACACCACCGACACCGGGGAGGCCGCCTAGAGGTCCGCCGTCTTGTTGTTGTTGCTTGGGCTGGCGCTGTCGGCGGACGCGACGTTGAGGCTTCTCGTCTTCCATTTGGACTGATTCGACGTCTGCTTCTTGACGACGAGGTTTGCGTCGACGACGTTCGGGCTTAGGCTGGGGTTCGGGTTCGGGTTCGGCCTCTTTTTGTTCGGGCTCAGAGTCTGGCTCTTGTTGTTTTGGCTCAGGCTCAGGCTCAGGCTTTTGTTCGGGCTCGGGCTTTTGTTCAGACTCGGGCTCTTGCTGGGGCTCTTCAGGCTTGGAATCGGAGTTGTTTTCTTGACTATCGTCTTTGTTTTCCTCTTGACCTTGCTCAGAGGGGGGAGGGGTCTGCTCTTGTTTGGCGGGGGACTTCTTGCCCAATTTGGGAGGGGCACGCTTTGGCTTAGGAGAGTCGGGGTTAGGAGTGGAAGGTTGTTCCTGATCGGCCATGGTGGAAAGAAAAGAAAAAGAAGGTGTTGCAGAGGGGGTGTGAGGGGAATATGAATTGATTCGAGGATATCGGGACCAAGCGTCACCAGGTGGGCGAAGTGAACTACTATGTAATCGTGCGTATTGGTATATGAATGCAGATACCGACCGAATGGGTTCTCTCTTGTCCAACCGTTTATATCATCAGAGCCACCAGGCCTGATACAAACCGGTCGTGGACGAGTCTAGCCGCCTCCGACGTCAGATGGGCTGTCAGTGTGGCTACCCCAGGCCGTGTCCCAGTCTAACGTGGTTGTCCAGGTACGCAATGACGGACTGCTAGGCGAGCATCGAGCAGGAAATGACGTCTGTTCTACCTGGGGACCGGGATTAGGCTGGAACACATCCGTATGGAGCAATGAGCAGCTGAATTGACCAGGAATCAGCGCTAGCCGGCGATGCAAAACCCTGGGAAAAAATAGCATGGCTCCGCATCAGTTGCACACGCCAATCAGACTGGAGTTTCGGCGAATTTGACGCATGGACGTGCTCCACTTAAATAGATTAAGTAGACGTAAGACCGTTGCAGGCCTCGTCTCACGGAGATGGGATGACGCCACACGACGTCAAAAGATGTCTTCCGATGCTTGTACTGTACTAGTACAATACTCCGTATAGTATTGTGTTTCGTGCTGGTAGCATGCTCGAAGCTATAGCCTTGGAGAGAGATAGTTGTAGACCGAACATTGGAAGGTTGGAAGGTTGGGGTAATTTAACGTGCCCGGTTCCAAGTTTTTGGCCTGGTTCTGGCCACGAGTCGGAAGCTGTTTCCACGGATTTGGCTACGAGCATAACCTGACATTTGGCAGGTCGACTTGTGACGCGGGGAGTCGACCAGCCGCCAACGTCATGTCTGTGAATCCGTATGTATCATTTTCTTGCTTGTCTGGTTTTATCGGAACGATTTTCTTTTCTATTTTTATAGTATTCAACATTTCTCTTTCTTGTTCCTATCCTCGATACCCTATTTACCCTCTATACCCTCTATACCCTCCACGCCCCCACTCTATACCTCTCCCTCGACTTCTTCATCTTACGGACCATGGCGACTGCCGAAAAGACCAAAGAGCAGCCCAAGAAGCTTCCCGTCCAGGAGGACCTCTCCGACGGTGAGGACTATGACAGCGCCGATGATTATACCGACGAAGAATCAGAAGAGGAAATCCCCCAGACCCAGAAGAAGAAGCAGCTACAAAGGCGGAAACAGCCTGTCCAACAAGACTCGGAAGATGAATATACCGATGAAGACGACTACGATGAATATGACTATTCGGACGACGATGGCGACGATGCCATGCAACCCTACTCCAAACAAAACTCAAGCTTCAAACCCAACGGCGGGATGGACGTGCTCCACAAGGATGAACCATCAATGCTGGATCAGGAGGGAATGAAGCTGAGGTTGGAACTCAACCTGGAGATTGAGGTGGAATTGAAGGCACGCATTCACGGCGATCTTACCTTGGCTCTCATGTAAGTTGGCCTCGAGGCAAGAAACCCCTCCCAGTTGCCTTCGATTGTCTTGAACTCTCGCTCAACCGAATTAGGAGTTGATCGCGTTCTATCAACAACAGGGCTTGATACCCTCTTCCTCACGAACATTCGACGTCGTCATGATCCGATGCTTTCCATAGAGCCATGTCTTGAATTGTTTTGTTGGTTTGGGGCCGATACATTGTGATGTATATTTTTTATGGACAATCAAAGTAATATTCCCCGTGCAGGCTGATAGCAAAAAAGTGTACGGAGTACGGAGTACTGTACTGTAGTTTGGCGATAGACCGGAAGCCACGCGAAGAGTAAACCCGTGAAGCCGAGGCTTGGCGCGGGTCCCTAACATCCACCGGGACATTTTACCTGTCATCTAAGTTCTGTCGCAGCTCATTGTATCATTCACAACCACCGCTTCTCAAGCTCTTTCCTGGGAAGCACTCTCACTGGTCCCATCATGTCTTCCAAAGACTTCATCATCAAGCACATGAATGCCGACCACCAAGATTCCCTCGTTCTATTCCTCCGAGCGTACTGCGGCATTACCTCCTCCCAAGCCAAATCGGCCAATCTAGAGGACATCACCCTCACGAACCTCATAATCGCCGCCCATGGCACCCGTTACAGCGTTCCCATCGAACCCCCGATGAAAGACTACTCGGAGGCCCGCAGTCGCATGGTAGCCATGCACAAAGAAAGCTTGCGACGTCTCGGCCGCAGCGACATTGCCCTCACCGAATACCGTGCTCCGCGTGGGTTTCCAGTAGTGGTCTTCGGCCTATGCCTCTTCTTCTACGCCAGCTGCTTCCGACGCAGTAACCTGCTACCGGGCTCGTTTGTCTACGAGTATTTCGGATACAAGTTTGTGCCGGATCTGGCGCACTTTGTCTACAACATTCAGCCCTGGTTCTTTCCTTTGGTCGTGGGTATTCATGTCTTCGAGACCGTGCTGTTGATCGTCACCCAATTGAGACCACTAGGTGTCCCTATTTTCTCGGGATTGTGGTGCAAGTGGGTTGTTTCGTGTTTCATCGAAGGCTTCGATACATTCCAGCGCATCAAGCAGATCGTTCAGGAGGAGAGGGGAAAGAAAGGCAAGAGCCAATAGGTACTGGACGAGGCACTAAGTTTTATGAGCTGGTAAACCAATCGCAATCGAGAATTCGAGTGATGGTGTTCGTTCAGTGTGTCGCGGGGATTTCATATCGAAATAATAGATGGCTCCAATGCTGTGCAAACTGTAAAAATTTGGAAACACCTTGAACAGTGAGATGGTGGAGATGGACGTGCAGTGCGCCGTTGTATCCATGCCCCGATATCAGATGAAGATCACGTGTTCTGAGTCAGCGATGCCGATCACCTGATCCATACAGAGGCTGGATCCACTAGTCCAGATGCGGCCTAGTGTCAGTTAGGGCATCGCACAAGCGAGCGACACAGTGCGCCTGCGAAATTCAGCGACTCCACGACCTCAAACTCGCACGACAACCCTACGACAACTTATCCGCGTTTCTGGTGAAGGGTAGCATACACAGAGGTGAGTTATCGGCTGTCTCATTCCTGCAAGGTTATTCTCGACAAGAATTCTGTTTCGCTCGCGTCGCCATCAATCTCGATTTCTCGACTTCCAATCTCCGTTGCATCAACCCAGTCGACACCTCGCCAAACTCAATCCGATCTCACTTCGTCTTGGAAAAAGTCTTCTATCTATCAACACTGTCGCCTATCTGTCCGGTCTTCGAATATCGATTGTGTGCGGTGCTCGCGACGAAACAGAAGGATTGGAGAAAAAAAAACGCAGGGCCCACAATCGACAATATCTAACGTTCATCTTTCAACATAGACCCCTCCATCAACCGCAAATATGGGTATTTCTCGGGATTCTCGCCACAAGCGCAGCGCCACTGGTGCCAAGCGCGCTCACTACCGCAAGAAGAGGTACGATTCAACCCATCAGAATTGAAAATTTCCCCTCCCTTCCGTATCACGTCGAGGATCCGCAACAAGTCGAAGCAGTATTCTTACACATCGTCCTACAGAGCGTTCGAGAAGGGTCGCCAGCCCGCCAACACCCGTATCGGTGCCAAGCGTATCCACCTGGTCCGCACCCGTGGTGGTAACCAGAAGTTCCGTGGTCTCCGTCTCGACTCCGGCAACTTCTCCTGGGGCTCTGAGGGTATCTCCCGCAAGACCCGTGTCATCGGAGTGTCCTTCCACCCCTCCAACAACGAGCTGGTCCGCACAAACACCCTGACCAAGTCCGCCGTTGTCCAGATCGATGCTGCTCCCTTCCGTCAGTGGTACGAGGCCCACTACGGCCAGCCCATCGGCCGTAGACGCCAGCAGAAGACCGACGCCCCCGAGGAGAAGAAGTCCTCTTCCGTCGCCAAGAAGCAGGCTGCTCGCTTCGCCGAGTTCGGCAAGGCCGAGGGTGCTATCGAGCGTCAGTTCGAGTCCGGCCGTCTTTTCGCCGTTGTCGCTTCCCGCCCCGGCCAGTCCGGCCGCTGTGACGGTTACATTCTGGAGGGTGAGGAGCTTGCCTTCTACCAGAAGGCTATCCGCAAGTAAACGATAAAATAAAATATTCGGTTGTTGCAACGGGTGGATCGGAGTTTCAGCTATGTCATGATCAGGGCATCCTAGGGATGCAAATTGTCTGTAGAGCTCTGAGCCATCAATCCATGGGATTTGTTCCTAGTTCATCTGTTCTATGTCTTCCCTGTAATGGTGCTCATTCGTAGCAGTATGTTCTCATCATTTCCAAGTTGTATCCTTACCCCGAGAGCTGCGACTTTCCAGCATCAGCATCCAATCGCAACACATTCCAAGAACCTTGGAATACTTCAAGTTTTTTTTTTTTATCCAACGCTCTATACCTAGGTAGGTAGGTATCCTTTTGACACTTCCAATCATCCTTGCAGCCTCTGCCCAGGTGGATACCAACCTTGGAAGGTATTGGGCTCTGGAAGGTCAAACCCCGTTTCAAATGGGCCCGGGGCTTGACCACCTCTGCGCATACCTAGGTATGGATTCATATCACCCCGGTCCACGGGTTCGATATGACCTTGGGACATTCAGGCATCGGGGGTCCTGGGGGTTCCAAGGTTGGTACACTATTTCCAGTTTGGCTAACATCGAGGGCTCTCATAGACCTAGGTACAGTATATATAACGGCAACAGCCCAGGGCTTGGCTACTAGGTACAGCCACCCGTGACGGATAGGCAGACTCGGCAGTGCCCGAAAATATATAATTGAGCAAACTGCCTTATCCTCCATAAACTTGGAATTTCTAATGATATACTCAAGTGTGAGAGCCAAGGGAAACACAAGTTGCTCTCAAGGTCCACGCGTGTCATCCTTCCCATTCACGCCGCGGCCAGTGGAAGCTCCAAATCAACAACCCAAGGCGCATTCCGCGCCTCATACCTGACAGTGTTGACACTCGCATTGATGAACAAAGTCTCATCTCCAAACCGTAAAGGGTTGTCCGCCCCTTCACTGACATCGTAAAACGCCGAGCGATTCTCAAGCATGTCCTCGATATCAGTCGGTACATCTTCCAGCTTAGGCCCACTCTCACCCCAAACTCCTCGTTGCGCGCCCCACCCTTCGTGGATATGCCCAAAAAGATGAATACGCGGTTTTGCCCGCCCCGCAGCCCGAAGCAGATGCTCACACCCCACATTCATGTCTGGCGGGACCTGATCTAGGACCCCCAGTGGCGGACCATGAGTCAACATGATATCAACACTCGGGAAATCCGGCACGGGATTCGCCGCCTGATCGGAATTATAGCGATCTTCATCCCGCTCGTAGGCAAATGCCCAACGGTAGAATTCGGGCTGATAAGGTGAGGCGTAGACGGTGAACGAAGCACCTGTCGACAGGGTAAATGAATGAATGCCCTCTTCGAGATATATGATCCCTGCTTTTCGGGCAGCCTCACACGTCCAGAGATCCTTGATTGAGCGTGCGTAGGATCGCAACTGCTCCGTGGATGGCTGGGGTGTTTCGTGGATGTGATCGTCAGATATCAAGACAGAATCTTCGCCAAGATTCTCTGGCTGCTGGTGTCGGTTGTAGCCAAAGGTTGTGAAATAGTCTTCGTCTAGGGTTATGTCGTGGTTGCCGGCAATGACGAGCTTAAGCTCTGCATCTGCGTCCCGGAGCATGGCGATCATTGCTTCATTCTCAACGCGGTAGCCGACCTTTGTTAGGTCCCCAGCGTGAAGGAGAACATTGGCTTTTGGCAGTGGTGATCGGTAGGCATTATCAGTTCTCTGTGGTGGGTTTGGTGTGCTTGTATGGGTGTCTGATATCATGCAAATGCGGGTTTTGACCATGTTGCTCAAATGAGATGACAGACGGAGGCTGCTTTTTCAGAGATAGTAAATCTCGATGTTTGGACGAGGAAGAAGAGCTATGTGATATGAGGTGAGGTTGAGGTCAGTAGTTCCCCGCTACATAACGGGCAGTTACGAGTTAAGAGTGCCTTGGCACTTTACCCACTTTTGCCCCAGTGTGGGAGCCCGACGTTGAGGCGAACAATTACATCTCGAATGGGAGCTGATTCTCGGACGTTTGAGATACAACTGAATTGCATTAAACCCTAACCTAAGAAGTCGTTTCGTTGATCTATGTACCGCAAGTCAAAAATAAACTAAGAATCCCCACCAAGATCGAGCCAACACAAAAAGGAACAAAATAGCTGGATCAAGATCGAACCGAAAACCGACTGTAACTCCAAGACCAAAAATCAATACCTAAATCCAAGGTGCTCAAGGAGCACCGCCGAGACCAGCGGCAAAAGCGAGGTACCAAGTGCGTGTCGCGCCGCCGTCAATCCAACTGTAGTCAAAGTCTGGCTGGGTGAAGAACTCCCAGGATGCTTTGGGGTCGATGAGTGCGAGGTTGGCGTAAAGAACGCCTTTCCATCCGCCTTCCACCTTAGATGCAGGTGTGGAGGCATCTTCTGCAAACATTGCCTGCCACTCCTGATGAACAAACTCCTTTCGGCGGGCGTAAGGAGTGTGGGGCATCAGAGGGAGCATGTGGATACTGTGGAACTGGTGAGCATGGGAACCGAATGGGATGTGGGATAGTCTCACCCTTGAACAAATTCCAAATTGGCGCCGAAGTAGGTGGTGTGGTCAACCTTGTTTTCGAAAAGCTGCCTTCGTTAGGAAATGATGTGGAAATGGGTGTTGAAACTTACGATTCCAGTAACCCGGTTAGCGATGAAGTTGGGAGGCTGGTTGATGTTGTCGTCTTCCATGAGGAAATAGTTGTTCAGCGACCGTCCCAAGATACCGAGCATCAGGTTGCCACGAGCCTCCATGCTCGCATCACGGCTGGTCTGACCCCACATCTTGATCGCGTACGCGAACATGGTGTCTTCGGACGAGGATTCCTGGTCCTTTCCGTCATAGGACTCGAATAATCCCTTAGCCCAGGAGTGACCGTTGTACCAATCAAAGCCACGAGAGAAGGGGAAAAAGTCATCATTTTCGACAGAGTTGCTGGCATCACGAACGAGCATGTTGACCCATTCCTTGTTGGCAGCCAACCAGGATGGATCGAGAGCGCCGATGATGGCAGCTGCTTGGATGAAGTAGCCGTAGTGGAAATGGTGATCGTTATAGGCAGTGTTGCCGAAGTCTTGGTTCAAGTCGCCGTCGTAGCCTGCGGTGGAAACCACACCCTTCCAAACTGTGTCGTACGCGAGAGGGTACTGCTGCTTGTTGTCTACAAAGTGGGCGAATGCTTGTTTCAGTTCTTGGAAAGCGTCAGTGGTAAGCTCGACGTTGTTGCCAAGCTCCTTGACAGTGTAAATCAAGGTCGCGAACTTGCTGAGCGCCTTTCCGCTGTAGTACATGCTGTTGAGGTCTGTTTGCTCGGAAATGTTCTGCTTCAACTCATGTGGAGCATGCTGGACAATAGCATGTTGGGCAGCGGGGGAGAGTTTATCGACACTTCCTTGAGTAGCTGACCAGGGAGCGAATCCTATACCAATGGGAAGCTTGGGCTCAACCATGGTCCAGCTCTCTCCAACGACAGCAGTTGAGTTGCCCTTCGTAGTAGTACGAAGGTGGATATCAGTGACACGGCCTTGAGTGGCTTTGTCGAAGGACTGAACATGATGAGGCAGTGCGAACATCAACAAAGGAGTTTTCTTGACGTCCTTTCCAGCCTTGGTCCACGAAAGGCTATAAGTGCCGACATCGTTCGTGACAGAGCCAGAGATGTGACCAGCCACAGGGTAGACACCACACGAGTTATCATAGAACTTCTCTCCCGGGACACCAGCAGGATTCTTGGCAATCTGAACAGTTCCAGAGTAGCCACGGGGACCGCGAAGGCTAATCTTTGATACGAGCTTGAATTCCGGGTCTTTAGCATCGTCCGGAGTGGCATACATGAGCCAGGTGGTATCATCCTCAAGCTCAACTTTGTACTTGAAGATTCCCGGGCGCGGGGATCCAGCATTAACGACCTTACGGAAAAATACGCCACTCTCAATGATGGGCTGCAGGTCCTTGTAGACAGCAGTAGTGTAGCCCATACCTTGGATGACGGGGAACGTGATCTGCTGCGCAGAGTCGGAAGACCGCTTGATGACTGCGTGTGCGGAGAAAGCCTTGGGTTGCTCAGTCTTGAGCACCGTGGAGTCACCCAGCTCGCTAGCAGAGAATATAATCTGCTGAAGGCCAACGGGGTTGATATAGTACTGAACAGGCTCTCCGGGTATCTTGTGGTTCTTAGGACCCCATGCCAGCATGTCAGAAGGAATGTGCGTGATGCCCATACCCCAACTCTTCAAGGAGCCACCACCCTTAGACCACGCCAGAGAGTACGGTTGTGTGAAACTAGCATTGGTCTGAGTTCCCAAGAAGAAGCCAGCGTAGAACTTGTTGGTTTCAATTGGGTCCTTGGAGTCGGCCTAGATTGCGAGGTTAATATTGCCGTTGGAGATCCTCCAATTTGCATTATATCTTACATGCTTGTTCTGCACTGGGTGATCTCCTCGAGACTGAATGCTTGCTGGGGCGGGCCCAGTTGCAACTGGCTGGAAGACATCTTGGCCGTTCATATTTCCAGCAGTATTTGGTTTCACCGGAGGTGGAGGATCAATAGGATGTGGGTCTGTTAAGGGTTAGAATTTCTCCTGCTCTCTCTCTTCAGGACGAGATGTGATACCTGCTGAGGAAGTAGTTTGTGGGTCGGGTCCACCTTCTGGAGAATTCTTGACAGTTGCAGTGTTAGTGGGAGCTGGAATCGACTCGGGCTGTTTGCCCGAAGTTGGCTGATCTCCAGTAGGAGGTGCCGGTGAAGCGTTCGTTTGCTGGTCTGGCGCTATCAGCCCCTCTAAACCATGAACGAAGTCGCTCACGTCAAGCTCTGGAAAAGGAAGCTGAGACGACCGGCCGTCTCTTTGCAACCCGAATCGATATACCTACTATCGTCAACATGATTCTTCAGGAGGCTGAAAATGAGACCACAAGGACCTACCGGGTGAGACTCGGGAATAAGAAGCCTGTTGCCTTCGTTCGCCGGTGGATATTGAGTCACGTACGCACTCGTCTGTTCAGTGGATGTCTTTTGCAGTATGCTTTCAACTGCAGTTCCCACCTGTGGCAGACCGTAGGCAGACTCTGCGGCTAGAATCCAAGTCAGCAAAGCCGCAGCCTTCCATTTTGAGCCTTCCATGATGAAATGAGTGAAAGTCTATGGATTTGCAAGCCTTCCCTCAATCCAGTCTCGTGGGATGTGATATCACCCGTGAGGCTGAAGTGATTTCGAGATAAAGGGCAAGCCAGATTGGACAAAGCGCTCGAGAGCACTTCAGATAATGGGGATCGGACTTACAAGTATGCACAGCAAATACCAGAGGATGCCCCGAACCCCCTCGGAGCTCAAGCCCTCAGTGCCAAATTGGGATGAGACACGGGCCGATGTGTTGTGACTCGTCTTTACCAAGAATCCGCTAGTTCCTGATCTTCATTGAAATCAGTAGTGATCCATCTCAACTAGGGAATGAGGGAAGAATGGTCCGGGGTGTCGGGTCAATCGCGAATCAGCAATGTAGGGTGTGTAAAAAACATCGCGACATGGTCCCCACCATGAGGAATGCGGGTGTCAACCTAGCAACCATGAGTTCACTTACCTAGGTACTCTGAGTGTCAGGTAGTAAAATTGAACGGCAATGAAATTTCAAAGTTTAGGTCTGTCAATTCCACCCCGATGAAGTCAACTTCCCATGGGTGAAGTGTCAACCGATCGTCCTGTGGAGTATGGAGCATATATACCTACCTAGGTACCAAGTGCCTCGCGACCTAGCATATGTGCCCAGGTGCACCTGGCAGCAAAACTAAGGTTCCTTACTGAGCCACAGTTATGACCCTGACACCGCCCGTAGGATCCCTGCCTGGAAATCATGGGTTCCGATCAGCCGTTGATTCCCGCATTCTTAGCCCAGTCGAGACATTAGTGTATGCATTTGGTTGCCTCTTCCACCAACCTTGAAGGTAGGATTTGTTGGAATTGTGGAATATTATGCGGCGTGACGACATATAGGCCATGTGGATTACTAGGATTCTACAGAATGACAGTATAGCGTGGCTTGGCTGATATGTCCATACTCAATCATCGGACTCGGCAATTGCAATGCTTTTGATTCAAAGATCGTGGTCCGCAGGGTGAATCGCATTAGGTGACATGGAATGAAATGGTATATGATGAAAATGAGCCCAAACACATGAGATCAGATCATGGGCTTTTCCATGGGCTTGATGATACCCTGCTTGATCATGACACGAGGTTTGGTGCCACTCTGGAAAGTCTCCTTGGTGGACCACTCGGGGCCCAGCGGCATGCGCAGAGACCGTTCATACTGTTGCTTGCTCTCGAACTGATGAGGTAGCTGGGTGGCCATGTACTTCTTGTTCTAGAAGAGAAAGTTAGTGAACTGCGACTGCGCGGGTAAAATCAATCATGCTTACCTTCTGGATTCGCTTCTGGTTGATAATGACACGGTCGAGCTTGGCATCCTTGCGCTGCTGGGGTTTCACACCCGCGACAGTGGTCAAGTCACGCTTCTGTCTCTTCTGCTGTTTCTTGCTCACACCTTCGCCGGCCCAGCTCCCCCAGCCCTGGAGCGTGTTGTCGATGACCTTATCGCCTTCGTCTTCAATGGTATCCATCTTTTCTTGGTCGAAGTCTTGAACGACTTCATCACCGGCAAACGCTCTCTTCACGAGATCGTGGTTTTTGAGTAGGACGGGGACACTGTCCTCATCGTCACTATCCTCTTCATCGAACTGTTGTTTGGCAGATGCTGTCTTAGCCTTCTTTTGCTTCTTGTTTTGCGCCTTCGCCGGGGCAATTTCAGGTTGGGCAGCATCAAGCGAGATGTCAATGCTCTCCTGAGCATCAGGACCGGTTCGGCGACGGTTGGTACGTTCGGTCTGAATCAACCAGGGGTTCTCCTCCTCCGCGGGTGCCTCTTCTTCAGCTGCTTTCAGCTGCTGGTTGGAAGATTTGCGGGACTGTGGGGTCGGCTTGTTAGCACGAGCCCCAGAGTTTTGCTTAGCAGATCCACCGACAACGATGTCCATATCGTTATCTGATCCAGCGACCTGGGCATCTTCATCATCGGAGTCCAACTTTTCCTCGAACTCATTCTTAGGAACTTGCTTCGCACGAGTCTTGGTTTCGGGCTTCGCGGACTGGCCAAACTTGCGTCGACCAACCTCCGAGTCAGCCTCGGACTGAGACTCCTCGCCGTGGAGCTCACGATTGAGCTTTCGAAGCTCCGCATCATTCTCCTCCTTCCGGGCGGCATCGGCGTTCTTCATGAACTTCATCTCGAAAAGGTCGGCATGAGGCCCCTTGACGGCACCGGACTTGTCATTGCTTTCAAGGGCGCTTAGCTTTTTCTGGATTTTTTGTCTTTCCACGTCGGACCCTTCTTCATTCCAAGGATCCTCGTCCTCTGATTCAGAGCTAGAAGAGCCGAGGTAGTCATCCTCTCCAGTGGAAACACGTTTGCCTTCAATTCTCTTCCGCAACTCCTCCTCTCTCTGAGCCAAGTCAGCTTGGCTGTTGCGGGCATCCTCATCCCAAGCAGTGCGACCGGTCTGCTTCAAGCCCTTGGCCCATTTGCTCTCGCGATGCTTGGAGCCCATGCGAGCCTCAGCCCTTTGCCGCTCACTCTTCTCCTGGTCCATCTCATCGGGATCCACACCGGCTTCCATAAGGGCCTGTCGCTCTTGTTGCTCCATCTTCTCGCGCTCCTTGCGGTGAACGCGGCGGTATGACTTGCTCTTGATCTTCTTGATACGCTTAGCACGAACTTCCTCACGGAAAAGTAAATCACGTCGCTTGCGCAGCTCGGCCCGACGAGCCTGGATCTCTTCCAGGGGAACATTGCGAGCCTGGAGTTCTTCAATTTCTTGAATTTGATCTTCGGCGGTCTTGCCTTCGGCCTCCGCCAAGCCACTCTCCACGAGGATGTTCTGAATCGCACTTTCCAAGTCGGTCTGCGGTTTGGTCACCTCCAAACGGTGAGTTTGCTCGGCATCAGGATCACGGAGAGGGAAGGAGAGATGTTCGGCCCGGCGGTTGGCTTTAACAGTGTCCAACCATCGGTTCAGGGTTTCTTTGCTTTTTTCGTAGGCAGCGGTTCGGTCAATTCGGTCTTGCTGACGCTTTGCCAGAGGAGCATCGAGCTTTCCAGGGATACCAGCCTTGGAGGACTGAACGACGGAATCAATGTGCTTGAGAGAGTTTTTGAGGCGAGAATCGGTAATTGAGGGCAGAAGATCCGCCACTGTCAATTTGTTGGAGGATGTCAAGCCGTATTCGGAGGGCTTGGCTTGTTCTTGCGACTTCTGGGTGCGTTTCGTAGATTTTCCAGTTTCCATAGACTGAACAAAGTCCTGTAGTTTAGACAGCTGGTGCGGGTCTGCCTCCTCGTCGTCCGAGGCTGAGAGTCCATCTTCGCTGGCATCGCTCTCGCTGTCTGCCTCTGACCCAGAATCTTCCTCACTGTCGTCTCTGGCGGCCCGCTTGGCCTTCTTCGCTGCCTCCCTGGCCTCCTCCTCGTCAGCCGCCGCGTTCATATCCCAGGCGGTTGCGAGATCAACGGCATCCTCCCCCAAATCGTCATCCTCATCCTCATCGTAGTCTTCATCGTCAGATTCTTCCGACTCATCAACGTCTTCCTCCAAGTTGATCTCGACGGGTTTCTTTGGCTTGGGTGCAGCTTTCTTGGGCGGGTTTTTGGACTTGGACGCCCGGAAGGTGAATCCCTCGAATCGTTCTTCGTCGCTTTCACCGAGGGCTTCGTCGCTGTCGAGTTCGCTGTCGTCATCACTGTTGACTTGTCCGAGAGTCCATTCGTGGCCTTCGCTATCGCTGCCACCGTCAAGACTTCCGGTATCTTCGGTTCTGCGGCGCTTGTAATGCGGGGTCTCTTCCTCTTCGTCCTCGTCGTCACCACCAGTGGTTCTTTTGCGGCTGGAACCATCATCGTAGGCTCCTAGACGACTGCGTCGGACACCCAATCTGGTTGGGATTTGCTTCTCTGCGATGGAAAGCGCATTGAGCGAGCGTCCATTTTTGCGCTTTTGGGGTGGTTTCTGTGCTGAGCGATCCTTAGGATTACGCAGTTGCGTTTGGCTGCGAGGCATGGCGGCCGGGAAGTCGAGAAATCAGACTATTGGCCAAATGATAGCTCCAGACCAGTACCAAATAAGTACTGAAAGATCTGAGGGCTGCTTTCAAGACAGGTGTAGCTGCGTTGAACTTTTTTTCGCGGCAGAAAAAAAAGTTCTCGGCGCGGAGATTAGCGCGACCTATCATTCGCCGAGTTTTGTTCTCCCAACTTCCGCCCGGGCGAACATCTCGACTTCCGCTATTCTGTCCTCCAACAACAGTACATAAATACCGCCATCATGTTCAAACCGACACAGCCAATGCTGGCGCGTGGTCGCTTGCGCTTGACCACCAAGCAAGTCAATGGCGGATACTACAAGGGAAACCGCACCGGCTCCATGGGTACCTGGGACAAGAAAGGCACATACAAGCCTGATGCCTCTAAGCACCGCGTGTATATCGCACCGGAAAAGCTCGAAGTTCCTGGAAAGTTCTATTCCGAAGACCAAAAAAAGGAGCCCTTCCTGGTGAGCATTCACATCCACATTCACTCCACGCCCACGGCGTCCGGAGATCAGGTTTGCTAACATGTCCTAGCTCGCCCCCTTCATCACAAAGCACATGCGCCAGACGCCCTCAAACTACGTTCAGGATATTGAAAGAAATGGTAGGAAGTCCACTGTGATTCGAGCATTCCAGGGTACGGACTATCTGCAGATGTGGGCGGACACCCCCGAGGCCGAGGAGGCCAGATCAACGCAACCTAAGCCCGAGAAGATTGAATCTGTGCCAAAAGCCCAACTCAAGCAGGTTGAGCAACAAGAGCTGCCAACAAAGCCAACACGCAAGGCTTCCCAGCCAAAGGCCGAGACCCAGAAGCCGAAGAAGGAGTTGCTTTTCTAGTTCCGCCAAGTGAACTGAGAGTTATCTGGAACAATAACAAAGATTCTACCGACCGTACCATCCTATTGAAGAAGTACTACGAGTTCCAGCGATTGTGAGTGCGCACCAGGCTATACGGATTGATATATATCCTAATACAAGCCGGCAGTCACATCTAGCGCACTCGACGCAGCAGCCCGCTGCTGAAATTCCCACCGCCCGCTGGTCAGTTGAATATATCCCATGTATTATAGTTTTTACTCAGCATATCGCCTCAAGCCAGACCTTGGCCTGGCCTTGGACAACAAGAATTTTGTACTACACCATTCTAGACTACTTGACAACCTACTTTTGTAGGTATTCAAAGATTGACTTACCTAGTAATCAAAACTTCAACTTCGATTAAGGTCGCAAGACAGAGTTTGTATCTCGAATCTTGGAAACGAAAGACGCGGGATGTATGTATCATTTTAGCCCTGGAGTCAATTCAGCTACTATGGATCCATGGATGTACTACTCCGGATTAGAGTGGTCTAGAAAGAGAAATGCCACCACGGTAGATAGCATGTAATTCGCTCGATTTAGTCGGAATTTGAAATGCACATTGGATACGTCAGCCAAAGGCTTGCAACTGTGGCATTGGATGCATGAGTGCCAACAGAATGTCCAGATGTCGAGCACGTCGCCTTGGGCTTTGATATGTGCGTGGTCCGTGCGCACCTGACCGATAAGCTCGGCCATGCCGTATCGCAGACAGCGTCCACGGGTATGTCATAGTTCTTCACCTTTCACTCGATCCCGCCGGTGCGGGCCTCCATTGTTTCTTCTTCGCACCTGAAGCCTGACTGTGAAATCTCTACCGCGGAGTGTCAGCTTTGTTTCTCGATTTTGAGTTGGGCCGTCGGCATAATTCCAATCTTCCCGCACTAGGTTGTGTTGATCGGACCTCCTCGGTCCCAAGTCGTCCAGATGTTCCAGTCTTTCACAGGAAATGCTCGCCGCCCTAGGCAGGTCAACCTCAGTGGACGATCGAATAATCCTTTCGCTGCATTCCCCGGTGGATCGTCTAGCCGCTCAGCCCCTCATGCGACGAACCCTGAAAGTGCTGTTGCAAATGCTCAGCGGGAGCGAGCTCTCAGACAACTCGAAAGAAACCGACAAACCGCATCTAGGACCGTGCAGCGTGTCTGGCGGGGATATCGAAGCCGAATGACAACCCATAAGAGCTGGAAGTTGGAGTGGGATACATATGAGTGGAATAGGGTCAGCCATACCCTGGGAGCTCCCGGTGACGGTGCTTCGATGACAGAATTTGAACGCCTGGAATGCCTATTGAGCCTTGCAGTGCCACCATATTTCACAGCAGAGCAATGTCTAGGCCAGCTCAGGCTCCTGGTCCAGTTTGTGGGATCTGTAAAGAGACGAGAAGATGTTCTACGGCTGGTATATTTCTGCAACGTATTTGAACAGACCTTCCATGCTCTTCCTACCATCGCCACCGAGGGCGAATGGACCGAACTTTTGAAACGGTTGGCGCTCGCTATTCTCAATGCACTCGGCTCAGCAACAGCAACCGCAACCCACGGGGCGGCCGTGTTGCCTCTCCTTCGGACGCTAGCCTACCTGGTCGAGCTGATCCCAAAGCGAATGGCAGCAAGTGCGAAATCTTATTACCAAGCGATGGCGAGTCTGACAAGAAGCATTGTGGCTTTAGGTGACAATATTTCATCGAGCCAGATAATCAACGCCGTGATAGCCCTGCTTCGACCCATTACTTCCGAAACCATGACAGCCTACGAGGCATTTGCCATGTCATATTTGACCATCCCAAACTTGCCTGGCTATCTCGGTCAGCTCGACGAGCTAGCACAAGAAATCAACTATAAAGTGCTGGCGTCGGCAATTGAGTCCTTGGTACTTCCCGCTGAAAAGGATTTCCTAGCCGGGAACCCCGAGGCTCAATCTTGGCTCCTTTCATATTTGATATTCTTTCATCGTTATGCTCTTCCAGGGCAGGCTAATCTCAAAACTCCCGATCTTGGGTTCTTGACTGTGGTGTCTGGGTTGCTCAACCTCACATCTAGCCATCTCACGCGGTGCCTGGACGCAGAAGAGTCAAGTGATGAAGATTCCACCCAAGGCCCCCAATTGCATCCATTCATTAAAGACCAGATTTCTAGCCTTGTCAACCAGAGCAGCATCACAGGGTTGCTTTCGCGTATCAAAACAACAGACTTGTCCCAGAAAGACCTGTCAAACAGCGAGTCGGGCGCTACAAGAGAAGCGAAAATTCTTGCGACATATGCTCTGAACTTATTAAGGGTGTTTCCTCGACGTGGCGATGACATTCGCATGTGGTTGTACATGGGTTCAGCGCCGTTGGGAGATCAAATTCCAGGACAACCAGGTACTAAGATACCGGCAATCAAATACTTCTGGCAGGCATCTAGATCAAGTCAGATCTTCAACATCATCAGCAACGATTGGTCCAAGGTTCTTGCACTTTTGCAGCTTCAGAAACATGGCGATGGGCGTGTCAATGTTTCGCAGGAGGATCGAGACCAGGAATGGACGATCATCCTTTTGTTCTTCGAGCTCTACACATTTTTGCTAAAAGTCATGGACGACGAAGAGTTCTTCTCAAGCGCTTCGCCATTTGCAGCTTCGGACGATGCACATTCTTCGTGGACGAAAGAGAGTGCGCTTCCACTCCAAGATATCAAAGACATGACGGTGTTTCTCAAAAACCTTGCCTTCACTCTCTACTGGAATCTTGCCGACTTGACGGGCAAGCCCGATTCTACGCCTTCCAGTGGCGACCTGAGGAACTATTTCACAAACGCGACGCAACCGTCTGTAGCCTCAGAACGCCAGGAAGCAGAAGCTAAGGAGCAATCTAATGATCTCCCTGGCGTGACAGGGATTCCCCTCGACTACTTCAAGGGCCTAGTGACAGGTCTACTGAGAATGCTACATGAGCGAGAGTAAGTACAGAAGCCGCTTATTAAAAGGTGATTCAACGCTAAGATTCTACTAGTTCACGACGGAAATTCCTTCCTCCAGATCATTGGTTCATGACAGATCGATTTGATATGGAAGGCTTCATTCCCGCCGTCGTAGCCGAGGAGGAGAAACGACATGAGTTCCAAGATGACGAGGATGATGCCGAGACTGATCTCTTGGACGATGAGACCCGAGCCGAATCTCATCTTGTCGGTAACAGTCGTGCCCGGCAACTGGTTCGCCTCCAAGCTATGCGAGATCGACAACAAAAGGCCGCACGAGGAAAGGCCCTCGCGCTTATTGCACCAAGGCTTGAGATCCTTCGCAATATGCCCTTTTTCATTCCATTTGCTACTAGGGTCCAGATATTCCGCCAGTTCATCTTCAGAGATCAACAACGACGTCGAAAAGGCTATGTTGACCCCGAGTCTTGGCGCCTTTCTGTGGCACAGAGTTCCATGATGAGCGGGCCAGTAGATGGCGCGGATATTTTGGCCCGCCACCACGCCGACATCAGACGGGAGAGTGTATTTGATGATGCATTCTCCCAATTCTATGCCCTGGGTGACGGGTTGAAAGAACCAATCCAAATCAGCTTCATAGATCAGTTTGGAGCAATGGAAGCTGGCATTGATGGCGGTGGAGTGACAAAGGAATTCCTTACTAGTGTCACATCACAGGCCTTCAAGACCGATGACATGGAAAGCATGTTTGCAGAAAATGACCATCATTTGCTGTACCCACACCCTGCAGCAGTCGATCAGCGCAAAGCGATACTCAATGAAGCTGGTCTGTCAAGTTCAAGCGGTATGTGGCAGGACGAAGTGCGTGATCTCCTTCGACGATACGAGTTCCTTGGCCGAGTAATCGGCAAATGTCTTTACGAAGGGATTCTTGTTGATGTCAACTTTGCGCCATTTTTCCTCTTGAAGTGGGCTTTGACGGGGGGAACTAGATCGGCCGTGAAAGAGTCATCTTACCGCGCCAATCTAAACGACCTGAAGGACCTCGATGAGGGGTTGTATCAAGGGCTGGTGAGTTAAGCAACCTATGGAACGGAAGTTTCCCATGCTTTAGAATATAGAACTCACCATTTCCTTTCAGCTGAAACTAAAGAACTACCCCGGCAACGTGGAAGACTTTGGTCTTGATTTCACCATCAACAACACGATCCCGATGCCAAGTGGAAGACATCGCACCGCGACAGTAGAGCTGAAACCAAATGGCTCCCAGACCGCGGTCACTAACAAGAACAGGCTGGTCTATATCTCATACATGGCACGTTACCGTCTTCAGTTGCAGCCTGCTATGCAGACCAATGCCTTCCTGCAGGGTCTGGGTCAGATGATTCAACCTGCATGGCTCTCCATGTTCAACCAGGCCGAATTGCAAACGCTGGTGAGTGGAGATAAGGCTGACATCGACGTGGAAGATTTGCGACGGAACACCCTCTATGGAGGAGTGTATGTCATTGGCGATGACAATATGGAACACCCTACCATCGCGTTGTTCTGGCAGGTGATGCACCAGATGAATAATGAGGAGCGACAGAAAGTCATTCGCTTCGTAACTTCTACGCCTCGAGCGCCTCTGCTCGGGTTCAGTCACCTACACCCCCGGTTCAGCATCCGAGACTCTAGCGAAGACCAAGAACGGTTACCGAGCACCAGCACATGCGTGAATCTGCTCAAATTGCCACGATACTCCGACGCTGAAACCTTGAGGACCAAGCTTCTGTATGCGGTCAGCTCTGGGGCAGGCTTTGATTTGAGTTGATCGGTCTCAAGGGGCAGCCGAACATTCCTGTGTGTATGCTTTCTCGTGTACGGAGTACCTTGTGTGCGTAAATATTTGGGGCTAGACCGTGCGCTCTTTATGTTTCTGCATGCATAGCATGGGCGTCAAATATTAATCTTCTGGCACAATGACCCGTAGAACGCACTTCAAGAGTTCACTAGAAAGAGGTCGAAGGCCATCTGATAGTTGAGGTTATAGTGAGCCCTTAAAGCGGCAAGGTGGGCGTCCCAAAGGGGATTAGCGTTCCAAACTCGTGCCTCTGAGTTTTCCAGAACGCCGAATTGCCTACGCAACTTTTTTTCTTCCTACAACCTCTCCTCCAAATCCGTGTTCTCTCTTTCTTTAGGGAATCTTCTTCCTTTTTCCTTTTCGAGTTTTCGAATACAAAATCGCAAAAAAACACGAAAAACCCCCAGAAAATTTTTCCAGTTATCTTATCTCATTCCCGATTGTGCGGTGTGTTGTGTGGAAGATTTTCTTTCAACGACCGCCTCCATCGTCTACATTTCACCTGGTTAGTGTCACTCTGGTTTCGCTTCCCCCCTCAGTTGAAGAAAGTTATATATGAGAACTTTCTTGTGTGCCTCTCGCTCTTCTCGCCTGTCATTATTTCTGGCAACCCCCGCTAATCGATTCCAGTGTGCATCTGCTCAAGTGAAATTTCTCCAACCTCTTTGTTCCGTGGATACCTTGCTGTATGACCCCCCTCTTTTCATTGAACCCTTTCACTCGCTACTCTCGGTCTCTCCTTGGATGCTTGTCAAACAGACTGCATCGGCTGCCGTGTAACCTTTATCTCAAATGCCTCCTTGTTTCCCCTCCCCCTCTCTCGCGATAGGCTCGGCATGCACATGCTAAAACCCTTTGCTCCTATAGTGATAACAGCCGCCAAAATGTCTGCTGAAGCTCCCACCACCGCTCCCGTCGCTGAGCCCGTTGCCAACGCCAGCCCCGAGGCCAATGGCGCCCCTGCTGAGGCCGCTCCCGAGGCCGCTGGCGATGCTGCCAACAACCAGCCCCACTCGGCTTCTCTCTACGTCGGCGAGCTCGACCCCTCCGTGACTGAGGCTATGCTCTACGAGCTTTTCTCTTCCATCGGCCAGGTCGCTTCCATTCGTGTCTGCCGTGACGCTGTCACCCGTCGTTCCCTGGGCTACGCCTACGTCAACTACAACAACACCTCCGACGGTGAGCGTGCTTTGGAAGACCTGAACTACACCCTCATCAAGGGCAAGCCTTGCCGTATCATGTGGTCCCAGCGTGACCCTGCTCTGCGCAAGACTGGCCAGGGTAACGTGTTCATCAAGAACCTCGACAACGCCATTGACAACAAGGCTCTTCACGACACCTTCGCTGCCTTCGGTAACATTCTGTCCTGCAAGGTTGCCCAGGATGAGTTCGCCAACTCCAAGGGTTACGGTTTCGTTCACTACGAGACCGCTGAGGCCGCCAACAACGCCATCAAGCACGTTAACGGCATGCTTCTCAACGACAAGAAGGTCTTTGTCGGCCACCACATCTCCAAGAAGGACCGCCAGAGCAAGTTCGAGGAAATGAAGGCCAACTTCACCAACATCTACATCAAGAACATCGATCTCGAGATCACTGACGACGAGTTCCGCGTCATGTTCGAGAAGTTCGGAGACATCACCTCTGCCACCCTTAGCCACGACCAGGACGGTAAGTCCCGTGGTTTCGGTTTCGTCAACTACGCCAACCACGAGAGCGCCGAGGCTGCCGTTGCTGAGATGAACGAGAAGGACGTTAAGTCTCAGAAGCTTTACGTTGGCCGTGCTCAGAAGAAGCACGAGCGCGAGGAGGAGCTGCGCAAGCAGTACGAGGCTGCCCGCATGGAGAAGGCCTCCAAGTACCAGGGTGTCAACCTCTACGTCAAGAACTTGACCGATGACATTGATGACGAGAAGCTCCGCGACCTCTTCACTCCTTACGGTACCATCACCTCCGCCAAGGTTATGCGCGACTCTGCTGAGCGCTCTCCTTCCCCCACTGAGAACAAGGAGGCCGACAAGGAGAACAAGGACTCCGAGGAGAAGGCCGAGGAGGAGACCAAGACTGAAGAGAAGACCGAGGAGAAGACCGAGGAGGGCGAGACCTCCGAGGACCAGTCTGAGAAGAAGGCCTTCGGCAAGAGCAAGGGCTTCGGTTTCGTTTGCTTCAGCAGCCCCGATGAGGCCTCCAAGGCCGTCACTGAGATGAACCAGCGCATGATCAACGCCAAGCCCCTCTACGTTGCTCTCGCCCAGCGCAAGGATGTCCGCCGCAGCCAGCTCGAGGCCAGCATCCAGGCTCGCAACACCATTCGCCAGCAGCAGGCCGCCGCCGCCGCCGGTATGCCCCAGCCTTACATGCAGCCCGCCGTCTTCTACGGTCCCGGCCAGCAGGGCTTCATGCCCCCTGGCCAGCGTGGCGGTATGCCTTTCGCTCCTCAGCCCGGTATGCCCATGCCCGGTATGCCCGCCGGCCGTCCCGGCCAGTACCCTCCCTTCCCCCAGCAGGGTGGCCGCGGCATGGTTCCCGGTCAGCAGATTCCTCCTAACTTCCAGGGTATGCCCATGGGCATGCAAGGACCTGGTGGTCTCCCCAACGGCATGGGCTACCCCATGGGCCAGCAATTCGGTCGTGGCGCTGGTGGCCGCGGTGTTCCCGGTATGCCTATGAACATGCGTGGTGGTCCCGGCTTCGGTCGTGGTGGCCCCCAGATGGGCCGCGGTCAGGGCCGCGGTCAGCCCGCCCCCGGTGGCCAGCCCGCTGGCGAGTCTGCCGCCTCCAACCCCGCCCTCCTTGCCGCTCCCCCTGCCCAGCAGAAGCAGATGCTCGGTGAGGCTCTTTACCCCAAGATCCAGGCTCAGCAGCCCGAGCTTGCTGGCAAGATCACTGGTATGCTTCTTGAGATGGACAACTCTGAGCTTCTTGGCCTGTAAGTTTTCCCCCGCTTCCTTCATTCAACATTCATACTAATATGGTTATCTTTAGGCTTGATGACGAGGAGGCTCTCCGCGGCAAGGTCGATGAGGCCCTTAACGTCTATGATGAGTACATGAAGAACAAGGGTACCGAGGGTGAGGCCACTGAGCCCAAGGCTCAGGAAGCCCCCAAGGAGGCTGCTACTGAGGAGAACAAGTCTTAAGTGATGTGTTCAACTCTTTTGTCTTTCTCGGAAATCTTTGGACGCACGTTTTTGATGACCTTTCCTTTCTCTTATCCCTATTTGTTCCCACCTTCGACCTATCTCCCCCCTCTATATCTCCCTCTCTGATCCTGATATCCCTCGATTCGAAAAGTTTGTTCTTAGGCAACCACCTTCTTGGTGTTTAGTGAATGCGGTATGACATTCGGATTTTTTTTCCTCATCTTTCGCTAGCTCTAGTTTCCCTTTCCCTCTATTCCTCTGCGTCCATCTTGTTTCGGGTTGGGCCTTATTTGATATGAAGGCAGTATTGGGGCTTCTTATGGTGCTTCTATTCTAGGCACCAAGGGTGCTTCGGCAGCTGAATTTTTGGATGGCCTTGATTCTTCCCACTTGTCCATGTGGGAGGGTCGTGTTCAATTCGTTGTCCATGTTTTCTCCACAAAGGGGGTGTTGCCTTTTTTTTTTTTTTTTTTGTCAATTAGATTTATTCCTCACGGAAGGGTTTGATCCCTATGTTCTCTGGATCGTGAGAGCAGCATCAGTCAATAATCCAAGGGCCATGACCTTGTTCAACACCCAAACCTTTGAAGAACTACTAGTACGGCAAGTCGATTATGAGGTCAAGTGCCCAGGTGGCCGCTATTGCCGCCGGGGCCCGCGACTGGACTGATGAGTCATCTCCCACGCAGGCCGCCCGGGGCCCCGGGGGTGCCCAGCGGGTCAGGGCAAAGCGACTTGCAAGTATCCTCTCACACCATGTATGCACAATGGCGTCTGAATTTGTGCCTGAAACATCTGAAATTGGCTCCTTGACAGCTCACTCAAACGAAGATAGCCAATTTGTTGGTAGTTCCAGCGGTGTTTACTTCGTTAAGACGGTCAAACGTGCGTTCAATGAAGGTGGCCCTGATTCATCTGAGTCAATCTTCCCCACGGCAGAAGAAACCTTGGTAGGCGCCGAGGACTCGCCTCGCGAAAAGCGCCAGCGCACTGCATCTGTGCGAGATGCTATCTCCGACATTGAACCCCCAATAGGATGGAATTACGACCCTTCATCGACGGGGTCTATGGGAAACATCCCATCCCCAGAGATAGCAAAGGACCTTATGATGATGTACTTCAAGGTCTGGCATCCGCTGTTCCCATTCCTGCACGGTCCCACTTTTCTGCAGGTGATGGAGAAGGTGTATTCGAATAATCAGAGTCAGCAGACGCAAGGGTCATGCACTGATCACCGCAGCACATGCTGGACTACCATCTTCCAATGCGTCTTCAACCTTGGCAGCCTTTTAGCGCCAGACCTTGATCTCCCAGTTGAATCGAAAATCCAATCACCCAATAGCATCAATGGCTTACTTGGGACTCTTTCATCACGGCATGACATCCTCTCGCTCCAAGCACTCCTGGCTATACAGGTTTATCTTGTGGCGACCATGTCTCTTCGTCAGGCATCAACTGTTGGTGGCTGCATATTGCGATCGATGCTTCATGCAGGTCTCCACCGGTGTCCTTATCGATATAAACAACTCTCCACGCACGACCGACAGCTGCGAAAACGGGTATTCTGGTGTGCATATGCGATTGATCGATATCTGAGTCAAGCCCTGGGATTACCACTTGGTATCCAAGATTCGGATATTGATGTGTGTTTACCCGCTGCGCGCGAAATGCATTCTTCTCGGGGTTATATGACCCAGACTGACGTGACGACACCTAGACCCGTGTCGTCCACAGAAGATGACCATGCCCAATCGGCGCGGCCACTGAATCGGGTCGCAGCCCCTGACGATATTGAGGGTCATGGAAAAGAAAGTATCATGGCCAGCTATGTGGACTCGGGCACCCTGACTGGACGGGCATTGGAGCTCTTCCACAAATCCATCTTGGTGCGATCTGTTCGTCGCAGCTCGGTCCTGTTCTTAGTGACGGATGTTCACAAATGGTGGAATAGTCTTCCTCTGGATCTACAGCGAAAGCCACTGGCATCTGAGCGGCGAGCACAATCTACCACGAACGATGCTGCGTTCGACTTTGGTCCATTTTTCACGGTGCTATATCAACACCTCATCCTGATTATTCACCGACCTTCACTGTCCCTGGAACCATCGACGGCGGAGTTTTGCTCCGGGCTACAGACTTGCATTGGCGCTTCTCGGTCCATTCTCTCTGCGCTCAGGTTGCAAGTAGACAGCAAACAGGCTTTATTCTGGCCGGGGTTCCTGTCAGCGGCATGGATGTCCGGGCTGGTCTTGGCTCTGGCCTGTCAACTCAAGCAATATGTGTTAGCGAAGGGCCTTCAGTACGTAAACCCCCCCTGTCGATATAGACTGGGAAAGCTAATTATGACAGAGAAATTGATCAAATCTCCGAGACCCTGCGTCTCATGTCTACACAATGGGAGACAGCCAAACACTGCCATGTATCGCTGTCAGTCTTAGCGGCAAAAATCCAACAGTCGTCAAGCAGCACCAATTCGCATATGAATTCCCAAGCATATGCTATGAGAGGAAGCCCCACGCTGGTGGACACCTTGAACGCACGCGAAGAGAGACGACAAAAATTAAGCGGCTCGTCGCCTTTTCCAGAGAACTACCCATCAAGTGCAGAAGGGGCCAGCGCAGAAGGACATGGTTACCAACCAAATGAGTATAACGCCCGTGATTCATGGCGGGGGCAAGGTTCTATCTGGGATCAGTCAACTCAGCTACTGAATAGTAATGAGCATGGCAATCCGACCGGAACGCCCTCATCACTGCAGATGAATTTCCAACATACTGACACCTCTCAATTTGATGGGGTTTCAAACTTTGATTTGAATATGGTCGATCTGATCCAAGGAGCCAACTTTGACACTCTTTTTGATCAGATAGGGCAACAATACCCAAGCTTCTAATGTTGGGCGACATGGTCTACATCTACAAGCCTACTAGCATGAATGCGAGGAATCTCAGGCTATTGATTACGGCCAACAGAAAGAGAGGACTAGTGAAATGATCATATGCCAAAAGCACTTTGATTAGGTATCTGCGAACACCGCTCACTGCGCCCGACTCCAAACCCTACCCACTAGTCTAGTCATCGCGGCGGAAAAGCAGCTCTCGGTTGATGCGAACACGACCAGTGCGAATCTCCTGACGATAGAAATCCGACTGCAGCTCGGCAGCGGCGAAGATAGAAGCCTTGTCGGAGTTGTACTCGCCTGGGGCTTTGATTGATACGCAAAGAGCGCGATTGTGGTGCTCTGGCAGAGAGGAGATAGTACCTGCACCATTGTGGATCTTCATGGAGACGGTTCGCATAATGGTTTCATCGTCAAATTCATGATCGGAGGCTTGGACGAAGACATTGACCCAATTCGAGACTTGACGAGGGTCGTATTCTGGCTCTGGGATCAGCTCCCCGTCTTGATAGAACATGCTCTGCATCCTGCTAACGTTTAGCATATTCTCTATCTTGGACACCAAGCTGCGTGCTGACCTGTTCCGACTCTGATATGATGGTGATGGTTGGTGGTGATGGTGGGTGAGATGAGAGAGAAGTTACTCGAGGGCGTTGAATTGGCAGGAACGTTATATACCGGGAAGGCACTCCAAGGTCAGTCGAGCTCATAGACGCATTGTTTGGAGACAATGGGAGTGTCTTTGATTTTGCAACGTCTATTGGAAAGGTGAAAGGGAACTTCATCAAAGCCATCCTAGTCTGGTGCCCATTGATCTGGTCTAAATTGAGGGTTTCATTGAAGCGCTGTCTGAAGCTCTGAAGCTCTGCTGCTCTGCTCATCTATTTCATTTTGTTTTCACTGTGTCCTCTATTTGCCCCTACCAAACGTCAAATATGGCCCTCGAATCTCCACGGGCAAGGAACCCTCTGTCCACTATGCATCGTGACTATTTCCGAAACAGCAAGGACCGATTGATCCAAACAGACCCCTCCGCAACCTGAGATCGCAGATACTCCGCCGATAATTCTGCAGCGGCCAAAATTGATTCTTTGTTGTGGTGGTCCCCCGGCACTCGGATGGAGACACAGAGCGGGATATCGAGATGCATGGCGTGATCCGTGATACTGACAACCCTGGTGCGGATACATGTCACTATGGTGCTCATTATCGCCAGATCATCACATCTGCCGTCTCGCTCGTCGAGGAATATGTTCACCCACTTCACACCTTCGCCGCTGGATTCGAACTCGCGCATCGTGGTTCCGTGTTGATAGAACATCTGAGCTGTCGGTGGGCTGATCTTGCAGGGCAGAAATGACTTGCTGTAAGGCGATGGGTTTGGTATGGGTGTATTGTGAGTATGCTTGATGGGCTGAGTGGTCGCCCCCCTTCTGCTGATGGAGATGTCTTTATACTCCAGTGCCGGACTTCTACACGCAAAGCGATCAGATGTTTTCACCTGGTTTCATATCGCTACAAGAACAAGCTCAAGCTCAAGCACCCCAAAAGATTGAACTGTTACATCTTATGCAAGGTCGATCAAGGCTTTCATTGAAGAACACTCCCCGTCCTAGCGCTTCCAAGGTTGGTGCTTTGAGATCACGAGAAGTTCGTCTACAGTTTTAAGACAACTTGAAAGTATGGAAACCAATTCTGACCATTGCATTCTCGATCATGAAACCCTGAACTGAACAGACTAGTATCCGCATAATGCTATTCAGGAAGACCTGAAACAAGACCGATCATGAAACGGCAAAAGAAACAAGACAATGAATTGTTTCAGACTCTCTTTCAGAGCAGCTTTTCAATCTCTGCACAAACAGCATCAACTACCCCTTGGGTGTTAGAAGTTCCTCCCAAATCAGGTGTCAAAATCCCAGCGGAACAAACATTTTCTACACAACTCATCAACTTCGCCGCGGCATCCTTCTCACCAAGCCAGATCAGCATCTCTGCCGCTGACCAGAAAGTAGCGACCGGGTTCGCGACACCCTTTCCTGTGATGTCGAACGCGCTTCCATGAACAGGCTCGAAGAGGGAAGGGTTTTTACGCGTGGGATCCAGGTTGCTCGAAGGTGCCACACCAATCGAGCCAGCTAATGCAGCAGCCAAGTCCGACAAAATATCCATGTGCAAATTTGTTCCGACAATCGTATCGATGGAATCGGGCTTTCCAACCATGCGGACGGTCATGGCGTCAACAAGCATCTTGTCCCAAGTGACATCAGGGAAGTCCTTTGCGACAGAGGCAGCGATCTCATCCCATAGAACCAGTCCATTTCGCATGGAGTTGCTCTTTGTCACCACGGTCAAAAGCTTGCGCGGTCGTGACTGTGCGGTCTCAAATGCAAAGCGCATGATGCGCTCAATGGCATGGCGGGTGAAGATGGCCACTTCGGTTGCCGCTTCCCATGGCTGTCCGACATGTGAACGACCTCCTTGTCCAGCATACTCGCCCTCTGAGTTCTCTCGCACAAGCATCCAGTCGATTCCTTTGGTTGCGGTGTTCAGCGGGCACTTTGTTCCCGGGAATGTCTTCACCGGCCGCACATTTGCGTACAACTGCAGCGGGCCGCGAAGCGCAAGCAGGAGACCCCACAGAGAGATATGATCGGGTACATCTGTCGCTTGTGTCAGTACACGGGTTCTTGCCTCGGGGGCTCAGGTGTAGCTTCAACGTACCTGGAGCGCCTACAGCGCCGAATAGACCAGCGTCGTATTTGCGGAGAGTGTCAAGGCAGTCTTCAGAGACATATTTGCCGGTTTCCTTGTAGTATGCAGTTCCCCACGGAATATGATCAAACTCGATGTCGAAGGTGCCCAAGGTTTTCGCGAGCTTCTCCACGACTTGGATCGTAGCGCTGACTACCTCGGGGCCAATGCCGTCACCTGGGATGGAGGCAATACGATATGATTTGGTTGCGGACATGATGTGATGGATGAATTTGTGAGGGCTATCTGAGGGAACCTAGATAGGACTATAAATATAGACGCCAGTGCCGGAGCCTGGTGGTGATGGAGCTGGCTGATGTTTTACCCTAATTGAAGTTTTGAAGCACAGAAGAGACCAAATGGCCGCTGTTGTAGGCCACCAGGGGGAGCCATCGGCAGAACTTTCAGGCGAGGCGATTTGCCACTCTACACCAACTCCGCTACAGACATCACTCTTGACACACAAGGGGAAAATGGGACCAAAAGAGAAGAAACCTGCTCGAATTACGACGGCATGCAATGCCTGTCGATCAAGGAAGCAAAAATGCAGTGGTCAAAAGCCCATTTGTGGACAATGCTTGGAAAATAACCGGCCATGTAAATGGCCGGAACAGCTACGAAGAGGGCCGGAGAAAGGCTATGCAGAGGCGCTAGAGAACCGACTTCAGCTTACAGAGAGCATACTGCTCAATCTGCTTCCACATGTTTCTGATGACCAGCTCTCCTGGGCAATCCCACACCGGGAAAGTGGCCAAGACTCCGGCACTCCATATGTGCCATTTCCGAGACTGGAAAGAAGAGGAATCGAGACTTGGTCCCAGTTTCCACTTGATACTTCTCGGGGTATTCGGCGGTGGCAGCAAGCCTGCGCGGATGGAAGTGTCGGCTTAGATTCACCGAGTCCCAAGAAAAGACGCGTGCAGAACGAGAGCCCTTCGGAACACAACCGCGAATCTGTGATGCTTTCAAACGAACTCTCAGGGACTGGAGATGTTTTCATTGAATCCGAAGGGTCGTCTTCGCTTATGCCCGAAGTGACTGGCTCCATTGAGGGACACCCGACTCAGTCACCCGGTGATATCAATGGACAAATCCCCGCGACACAGAAAATGAGCACTTGGGATGGAGCCCCTTCTTTGGAATTCCAACGCCAATTTCTCTGGTGAACCAGAGATAATTGCTTTCTTGCACTAAATCTCATACGATCCATGCCACCAGGGAAGTTCGGAACCCGCGATCCGCGCCCCGCGGCTTGTCAAGGTCAACGCCGTTGCCGATCGTCGGCCTGCGCTCAGGCTGCTCAAATTATGCGCCGGGCGCACCTTGAAAGCCAAAGTTTATACGCATGAAAGATGTACAGCTAGCTTTTAAGGTGAGAACCTCAATCAACCTGGTGACCAAGGCTGTCGAGGTAAATTGTGTCCTCGATGACCGGATTGTTTCCATGAACACCATCCTTCACGTCTTATCTTCCGGATCTGTACACAATCCGAGACAAACAATGTTCTTGCTAGGCAAGTGGCTCCGGTAAGTGAGTTGTGTATTGGAAATTTACTCAGGCTAATTGCTGGTGGCATAGGGCTTTGATATATTGAAGTTTGACATGACACGGTTCTATACCAACCTTGAAGAAATGACGACGAGGGCAGTCTTCAAAGCTGTGATCGGATCTAGCCGACATGTGATACAGGGACGGGAATGCACCTGGGCCGACTGAGATACCCTGTCGCAGAGTGTGCATCGGGTAGCCCCATATATTTCCATGGCGCTCATGGCTTCGCAACGCTCTCTCATACATCTCGTTTGTGTCTCCATAGAGCATGGATACCTTGGTAGCTCGTTGCAACTTGTTTCTCGCGGCGTAGTTGGGCGTTGGGTGAGTAAAGACGTAGTAGGACAGAGGTGTCACCCAAACAAGGCATAAAGCGATGAAAGCCTGATGCAACAGCCGCGGCTTGAATGCCATTTTGTGCGCGAAAGCTAGGAGCACTGCGTAGGAGCTGGTATTCTAAGTATTCCTGGGTGTCGGACCGCCGCGTCCTGAGATGCCACGGCAATTGACCATTCTTCATAAGGCGACAATGGGCGCCAATGCCTATAAGTGTTGCAAGTTGCTCACCCAGCCAACTGTATTTTATTGTGGAGGGATTCAACGTATTCCATGAGATCCAATGGCAAAACTGCCCTGTTGCGAAGGCTTCTTATCTGTCGATCACAAATTTCAAACGAAAGCATCATCATCAAAGGAGAACAAGTCTCCCTGGAAGTCCAAAAAGTTGGCAAAGTCCACAGTCACAGAGGGTTGTAAAAGTTCAGGCATCTGAGCGAGATCAGGAGTGGAAACTTGAGATCGTAGAGTCGATGGGTTCAAGGGATCGGGCTGGTGGAGCTTCACGGATCAGCAATCGTGTCGTGCTCGAACCAAGACAATTTCAACTCACATCAAATGATGATGGCTCTACGCCCGCGACCAAGAGATACTGACGGCAAGCCGAAAGTGCTTTCTTTGCGCCCTGCGCCATCCATCCGTGTTTCGCCTCTAATGAGCCTCGGCCACGAACGGATTGTAAGACGACTGCAAGGAGAACGACGTCCTTCACGTTACTTCCCGCCTCGCCTATACGACGGGACAAGCGATCAAGAGTGTGTTCAACAATTCGAATGAGACTGGCTTTGCTGTGCGAAGGCATCGGTGATGTATGGATAGAGAAATGCGTGGTAGGCTCTGGACTATCGGTGGCCTGTTCTGCAACTTGGGCCGACAACTTCATGTGCTCGCATACACTTAACGCTGCGGAAATTGTATCACTTCGGCAGAAGGCATAGAACATGTTCCAATATCCGATAGTATTCTGGGTATCGAGATCTGCTAGGCTGGGGTCGAAGTAATCTTGATAAGACAGAATGGTTAAAGATGACTCAAGCGATGCTTGTTGAATGTCGGCGAGCGCTGAGCTATGGAGTCCCTTGTTGACAGATCGGTAGAGACACAGGAGAGGTCGGCGGATGTACAGGTCGGTGAGGAATTGGCCGAAGGATACTGGTAAATCTGTTTGACTATTTGAAGTCTGGTTGAGCCTCAAGGGATGTGGGATTTCGCGCAAATATTTCTCTAGCGTGCGAATTCGTCTCATGTGCTCGCGAGAGTCAATGTTTGGGTTTGTATGCAGTACGGAATTGACGACATTGATGCGATCAGACAGGCTCTTGCCAAGGGTGATCAGGGCTAGAGTATCTGTTTTTTCGTCCACAGGCCGAGACACAGGTAGCTCGGTGGTTGTTTCGTCGAATTCCGAGTCGTAGAGATTCGCCGGTGAGCTGTTCTGGAAATTTAGCTGGGGTGTCGTGATCGGCATTCCGGATGTGATCGAAGCTTGCAGATCTATCTCAGTGATGGTCAACCATAAACGGCGCCGGAGTTCGGCTTGGTAAAACGACATCTTTGCAGACCCTGGCATATCAATGTGCAACCCCATGACCATTGCAGAGCGTACAAGTGAGCCAGCTCCTTTCCAGCACTCTTCGGGTGGCAGCAAGCGAAGTTGGCGGGCCAATAGAATGAGTGTCTCGATTTGAAGTGTGGCAAGCTCAGTCCGGTGCTTACGGGGAAGCTTCTGAAGCCATGATTGGAGTAAATTGACCGCGTTGAACTTCAAGTACTCCCATGAAGAGAAATGGTCAACCTCAATGACCTTATCACCCAGGGTAATCGAAATTGCCAATGTTGCTGTAAGTTGGGGAATGAAAGGCGAGGCTAAGTATGATTCATGGTCTGAATGATCCCAGAAATGGTCATACTGGCGGAGAAAAGTTGGGACGTGTAAGACTCTCAGGGTTTTCTCGAAATTCGTAGTGTATATAGTCAGCAGTCTGTCGCAAACCTCCTTGTTGGGCAGAGATTGAAGTAGCTGGAGCAACTCTGGGAAACTTTCCAGCTCCGAAATTGATTCTGGGGAGCCGAGAATGTTGCTCTTGCTCTGCAGGGATTGCACCTCCTTGGCGAGCTTCACGATCGATGAGTCTTTTGAACACTGGTTGACAAAGGCTTTGGCTTCTTCAAACTATGGGGCCATGAGACGGTTGTTCTAAGACAAGGGCGTCAACGTACTTGATTCAGAAGGGTTATTCTGCCATTTTGGCCATGATACCTGGACCTAGACCCCTTGACGACCAATGTGCCAGAACATGACTGCAGGTTTGGCGATGGCGGATCATCTATTCGCCTGATGTGGGCTAAGTAAGGGCTTAAGAGGGTAAATCGAAGAATCCCTCACCAAGAATTCTGAATTAGGGGATCAGAGCTGGCATTCCGAATGGCAAGCAGTTCCTCAACTCGGGCTAGGCGTTGCTGCACATCTTCTATGATGCCAATGCTATTAGCATTCTGGTCTGAGTGCTGAGGGATATCAGTAGTCAGCTGGATTCTCTTTGCCCTGGGAACCGGCCCTGGGTGTTGGTTGTAAGCACAGTCGACGCTCCCTGCCTTGACACAGTTCTCGCAGGGCTCCACACGGTCGCATTTAAGCTTCTTCTCTCTGCATCGAAGACATGATACCACCGGCCGTGCTCTCTTATTACGCTGCGAAAGCGAGCTCATCCTATGATCCGAGGCCGAGTATTCCACGAGAGTGTGAAATGCTCCTTTGCATAGGTGCTCATTTTAGCCCCCAAGTTGGGGGGCCCAACTACGGGAAACGAGGGCGACCACTAAGACCCCTTGTGCAGACACGACTACTGATCTCAGATTCGATTGGCAATCAACTTTGTACATATTCATATCATGGATCATATTGCGAAGGAGTATCACGTTTTATCAAACCCGATCAGTTGGTAATCACGGGGGCAGTGTTGTCCCATCTCGTCTCCAACGCCACGGTGACCAGGAAGCGAGCAACACTGATGCGACTGGCACTGCCCATCAGACCAACTCCTTTCCCATCTTTGGGCCATTCTTTGACTTCAGTCACTCTAGTTTCGACCAGGCGTGAAGGCCTGACCAGCACGGAAGTCAAGCCACTGTCTCGGATCTCGCTCTCCACCATGTTGTGGTCCTCGTAAGAAAACGCCATGTTGGATTTACTCATAAGCAGGCGCATCGCACATGGCATATTTTCCCATGAGGCCCCCACGCCGAAGGCTTGTAAAATGACAATCTTGCGTACTTGAAACTCCTTCATGATCTGTACCACATTGGCGTTGCTGTCTGCCATCATGCGCGGCGGAGAGATCGGTGCCGCGAAAGGACTGTCCGTGGCCCGAAGAGCACTGAGTGTGACTACCACCACGTCCGGCACAGAGAGACTGAAGGCAGCTCGGACGTCAGATGCGTCGAGGGGAGTACCTGGTGGGAATTAGTCGAAGGTGCGAAAGTTGCGGGGGTGATGAATACCTTTCACAATATCCAAACCTGTTTCTTTCTCAAGAGACCCCGGATCTCGAACCAATGCAGTGACATGGTGACCCCTTTGAAGAATATCGTCAATAACGAGCTTTCCAGTACGGCCGCTGCCTCCAATAACAAGAAAACGCATGTTGCCAATCGGAAAGGCTCAAAGGTTGTCTGGATGATAGATCTGTGAGTACTGGATTTAAAGTCAAACGGACGGATGGGCCTTGCTTTTAAATAGTACAATCATTCACCTAGAAGGTCTCTCTCATCATGTCTGCTCGTTGGGTCAGTATAGATGAATCCGGATCCGAGGTTTTCGGATCCGGCCGGACTGGGCCGAGCGACAACTACGCATAAAATACAATCGAAAGGAGCTTGCTTCTGAGGATAAATTCAGATAATACAGGTATTCTGGATTCAGAGAAAGTATTCGTCTAGTTGCTTTGATTAGAGTGCTTAGGGAAAATTCGGCCTAGAAGCTGAAGCTGGGTACTCCGTACTGTTTGATTGGATACACCTTTACTCCTGGAAAATCGCAACCTTGGAAGTCTCCCTTCCCAGACAGCTCTGCTGGTTATTTCCCTTTCTCTTTCTTCTTCGTCTCTCCCTCCAACCTCAATCCTCGCCCAAACCCCAAATACAGGCAACATCAAAAGTCTAAGAGAAACCTCCGGTTAAGCTCTCCACTTTCCATTGAATTCCTTTTCTATTGCCTTCCTCATTCTACTGATATCTACCAGAGTACATGCTGGTTCATGTTTTGCAAGGGCGAAAGCGATTGTCTGAGAGCGTGGGACAAGTGGGCATCGGGTTTGGTTTTCCGCATGTTCAAGCTAGTCCTGTTCGGGCTAGTGCAGTATCGGCAATACCAGCGATTGGCTGGTCTCTGCAGTTCGAATCGACGATTTAACGACATCTCTCTTGTCGACAGCCATGAATAACGCCACTTGAGGCCACTTTCCGCAAAATGACCCAGATTTACTATTCAGGTGACCGGCCTCCAGGCGACCTGATTAGTTCCAAGTCGTCTAGGCGGCAGAACAACCTTGGAACCAACCTTGGAAGGGATGTAGTTCGGATTAAACATTCCCCCCACCCCTACCCCGCAGTATGAATTCTTCTGCTGCTGTCGACTTTGCGATTCAAACAACATGGTAGTATCATTGCAAAGTGGTCATCATGCCAAAGTCTGGTATTCAAACCAAAGCCTCGGGGAAGCGGCACCATGCTTCAATGGCATGTGTAGCGTGTCGGGAGAGTAAGGTCAAGGTCAGTTTCTAGCATTTCTTAAGACAGCAACAATGAAGCTCATGACAACAGTGTGATGGTGGGGATCCAAAATGTTCCAGCTGCACCATCAAGCACCGCGAATGCCGCTACCAGGCTGTGGACAAGAGAAAGTGAGTAGCCCTGCAAAAGTTGACAGTGTACACAAACCTCCCACCCAATGGATTGTACTAATGGTATACAGACTTCCTCTGCGGGTTGCCATAGAGTTACTCTCCAGTAGAGTTGATCAGCTCTGTATCTTCATTCGTGCAAATGGGCTGGAAATCCCACCTATGTCACCAGAAAAGGACACAGCTTTAACCAAAGTCCTTGATGTCTTGGGCTTAACTGAGGTACATTCATCGTCGGTACCGGCATCCACACAAGAACCAGATCTCTCGGGCTCTAGGATGAGCATTGAGCATCTTATTTCCAACGCAATGAACCCTGGTCCACCCGCTGCTCATACCGTTGCTGCAAGCGAATCGAATGGCATCTGGGCTCAGACCTCCCCAGATGACACGTCCCAAACCTCTCATGCCAGTCTCATACAGATTCATAGTCCTCATGATGTGCCCACATTGCCTTTGTTCACCGAAGCTGATGATTTGGGTGTCTCAGCGGCGGAACACTTGGTTGCGCCTGAGGATCATCCAAATAATCTCCTGGGCAATTGGGACTGGACCATGGATTTAGGAACTTCCTTGACGCCACCATCGTCGGAGAATCAGGAGCTTAACACAGAGGCTCTGCAGCTACCATTGGGAACAGCGGAGGTGACAAGCCCATTTGAGCCGCCAGTCGCTCAAATCGCAGCTGTCTCTGACATAGATATCAAAAGCACAGAGGAGATAGAAGATCTCATTGACGAGCTCTCTGATCGAGTTGGCACTCTCCGCTTTGGCCCCGAAGGAGAATCTTACTTTTATGGTCCGACATCAACATTCAACTTGGCAGATGATGATGCTCCAGCATCTGGCAGACGGACCAGTCGTACCTTTAATCAGGATGACATGGAATCTGTCATATCAATTCCAACAGCCCTTGAAAGACATCTCCTCAGCTTGTACTTTACATGGCAAGATCCATCATTCCACGTCATTGACAGAGAAATGTTTGAAAAACAAAGATCTGCCTACTCAAGGGGAGAAAAAACGCCCTACTACTCGGAGGCGCTTTTACATGCAATGTGATTACGAGCAAGACCCATCTATTTTTCTTTATGCTAATGAAGCTTATAGGTGCTCCCTTGGTGCTGCATTCGAAACACGTTATCACCCTTCCTTTGTTACATTTCCGAAGTCATTGGGTGATTTCTTGGGAGATCGAGCCAAAGGTCTTCTTGAGACAGAATTGGACACCCCTTCTGTGGCAACCGTTCAGGCGTTGATAATCTTGAGCAGTCATGAAATTGGGAATGGATCCGATACCCGTGGATGGCTTTACAGTGGTATGTTGTATCCAACCCCGGAGTCCACTTCTTACATTCTTAGCTGACATGACCTCAAAGGAATGGCCTTGCGACTTGCTTTCGACCTCGCTTTGCATATTGACCTCTCGTCCTACGTTGCTAAGGGATCTGTAACGGAGGCTGATGCCAAGCTACGCCGCACTGTTTTTTGGGCTGCATACATGGTTGACCAGTCAGTTTTGAGCATCCACCCATATTCACTACATGCGCTGATTTCATTCCGAACCACCAGTCTTGTCGGTTTCTATCTTGGTCGACCGTTCTACACTAATATGGAAGACGTCACTGTCCCGAAACCCGATGGTAGCCTCCAGCACCGTCAGCCTCACAACTGGACTCCCTATGCCTGTCCCATACCCTTCACAGATAACCTCGAGTCTGTAGACTTCATAGAAGCTGTCAGTCAACACGAAATCATGCTCTGTGAGCTTATGGCCCCTTGTGGGTATTTTCTGTGGGTGCTCCATATTGTGGTTTACACCCTTCATCTCTTTCGGTGGTCGCAATTGGTCGTTTGTCGTCTCTGCTGACCTTCCTTCCAGCTATGGAACAGCAGACATCCCAAGATCAAAACTCCAGCCTCTCAACGAGAGAATTGTGACCAAACTCCTTGATTGGAAAGCCCAATTACCCTCACCTCTACAGATCGATCTCAATGATCACACCTCCCCATATCTCCCCCATGTACTGTTGCTCCAGTGAGTATTCACCCTGATCAATGATCCCTCTCCTGGGTCGGAGTTCTTGCAAGTTCTCTTCTGACTTTTGCCAAAGTATGCAGTATTATCAGAACCTCATATACAGCCACCGACCTTGGATGTCAAAAGGATACCTCCAGCCACAACCACCAAAAGGTCCAGGCTACACACACGCAAGAGAGATGTGCATCAGCTCTGCCATATCCATTGCCAAGATACTAGTGTTGTACGAAACCAGATACACACTCCGCCGCATCAACGTCAAAGCAGTTTCCATTACCTCCTCCGCCGTTCTACTACTTCTCTTCGCGGCTGTTTCCCGATACCAGACACCAGAGAACGATAACATCACCGCCCATTTGAGCACATGCTTCAGAGCTCTGGATGAATTCTCCCTTTCTTGGCAAAGCGCCAATCGCGCCAAAGACCTTCTGGTGAGATTGCAGCATAAGTGGGAAGTCCGTACGCGGGCCAGTAAGCCCAATCGCGCATTCGATGGGGCTGGTTATCCGCCGAGAAAGCGATTCCGCAAACTGAATGGATCAGATCCTCCTAATTCGGTCAATGAAGGAGCTCCAAGTGCCCGTGTTGGGCCAAGGGACCTGCATGAGGATTCTGGTCTTGGCTGGATGCTTAGGCTAAGTGGCCAACTACCTTCGGATGGCGATGAAGATCTTTTTTCTTTTGTCGCGAATACTGAAATCCCTCACGCTGGCTATGAGGGTGCGTGAATGTGAAATATTTTGAGGGTTTCCTTATGTGTATCAACCTCCGAAACCACCTGACAAGAATCAATGGATGTAGTATTTGAAAACATACCCAGGTACTTTTCATCCCCTGCCGCTTGCATTTCAAGTGTAAGAAGTACATGTTGAGCTTTCTGGGCACGGAGCTTCCAAGCTTGCATAGGCTTCCAATGTTCTAGGTACTGTCTAGTAAGCGTGGAGGCTAGAAATAAGAATACATATGCACCAGGTGAAGACAAGTCGAGATGATGTCGACCAATAGGGGTTATTGAAAATGCGAATGTCAGCCTGCAATCGGACCCATACTTGGCGCGAGTCTGTGGGGCTTCCTGGGACGACACCGAGGTTTAGCAACAGGGGAGTACAATCTCAACTGTTAGTTCCTCGAATGCATCGAAAAGGCATACCATCACCAAGGCTCGGCAATTACCCCCGCGCATCTCTGTATAGTATTTTCTGTGGATTGCGCTACATCGAACTAAACCCTTAGTGCGTGTCAGATGAGTGCTTGGGCGCAAGCTTCCCCAGGTTATCATTGGGCAGGCACTGCGGAGGGCTCTTGGGCATGGTACCATTCACAATTGAGTAATAATCACTGAGAATTTGAATGATTTGTCTGTACTAGAATTGCAGTCCAGAGGGGAGGTCAGCCTAACCACCGGCCCCGGGGCCCAGGAAATTGCTGACGTAAAGGTTTTCCCCCCACATGTGCACCCTTTCAATGAACCAGCAACCTCCAGTCAATTTGCGGCGTTATGGTTTTGAAGAAATGCTCGGTCTGTTCGAGAATATTCAAGAAGACTGAACATTATAAGCGACATGAGCGCTCCCGTTAGTAGCCATTCTCGAAAGTGACGAATCTTCACACCGATCTAACATCCAACATAGACACCAAGGAACGCCCATATGAATGCAATGTCTGTCATAAGCGGTTCTCTCGCAGGTAGGTGCATGTGAGCCACATGACCTATTCAAGTGGTTACATTGGTGTTATATTATGGAATTAACATGGGCATAGTGATGTGTTGAGTCGCCATGCCAAAGGTCATAAACAGACTGACGCAACAGCCGGTCCGTCAGAGGCGCCAAATCCACGACCATCAGTGGTGGATACTTCCTCAGTCACAGATGCTGCCAAAGCTTCTTTTATCACAGGGGCACCATGTCTTCCAATATCGTCTGCAACCCCACGCGACGCACCTCTGGCAACCGGGCTGCCATCATCACTAGACTGCCTCGCTGACATATCAGCCCATCATGGCCGTGGCGAGACAGAATCAAATGCAGTGGCAATGGGCGAACCTCAGGCTTACTATGGGTGGAACGAGGTGACTCCTGCCGATCAACCGCCTCGAGGCGGCTTGGCCTTCGACCCTGTGCCAAAAGACATGCTTCAAATGTGGCTTGAGCCTCGCACCGATACTGCCTCCAATGCCTCGCTTGATCTAATGCACGATAATCAACTTCCCCTCATAAGTGATAATCTTTTACTCGCCCCGGATCTGAGTCGGCATTCAGTGGACAGTCGGCCCGACAACGATAACATCCCCAATGAGCGCTTCTTCAAGGTTCAGCGATGCTGGTTGGCACCGCCTAACACCGGGCGACTTATAAATAGCCTGTGGCGTGATAATGCGATGTCTGCAGTCGATAATATTTTCTCCATCCAGTCGTTGCACTTCGCCGATGATCCAAGCGCGGGCCAAGGGTCGCGGTGTGGATTTGATGAGAATTGCAGACGACGACTTCAGGCAGGATTCTCAGATGACACTCAATCTCCTCGCCCCAATCAAGTCACCTCCCCGGGTTTTACAGCCTCGGCATCTCATTATTCTGATTTCCCTCCCGCTGAGATCTTTGACATGTCGTTGGATCATTACTTTCGGCTGTTTCATCCACTTTTGCCGTTCGTTCACGTTCCTACGTTCGCTGCTAACAAAACACGCCCATCACTCTTATATGTCATGACTTTAATCGGGATGACATTACTTGGTACTAAGGGAACTACGGCGTTCGTTTCCAGGAACTTCACCGTATGTTGACAGTAGTCCCCGAGGCCAGATTTTTCATTAACGAATTCCCAGGCTGTTCTCGAGAAATTGACAGCCGAGTTTTCTAGATGCTCTTTGGGACTTGACAATGCCTCCGGTACCATGACAATGCTTGCCACAGCCTTGCTCTTATTTGAGTTGGCTGGGTTAACAGGGGTAGGACTCTCTGTGTCTTGGCTCAACGGAGTTTTTCTGCTAACACACATCGTCATGCAGAACGGGGCACATCTAGAACTATGCCAACCCCTTTATATCAATGTGATGTCTGTATGTTCCAACACAATCGCTCGGCTTCATTCCAAGGTTGTTTGTGAATGTTGCTGACAAACTTCTTCTCAGGTCGCTCAACGGCACGGACTCTTCTCAGTCACTGAAGGGCAGATTTTGGATATGACTCTCTTCGAATCAATCTCGAATGTAGACATGAGATGGAAGGCTTGGAGCAAAGTTGAGTCCACTAAAAGGCAAGTCTTGACCCGCAACGGAGCAAATATGATTCTAACAACACATCAGAATAATCATCGGACTTCTCCTGCTGGACTCATGGTACTCCTCTTTTCTTTCAACAAGCCCAATCGTACACCCGGACTCGATCCAAATCATTCTTCCCTGCAGTGAAGATCTTTTCCGCGCACATTCATCCACCCAATGGTCGCAAGTAATTAGGAGCGGCAAACGCATCCTCTCGCTAACAATACGAGCACCATCCGAAAAAGTCAGCGTCCCGGCCTTAGAAGGCCCTCTAGAAGACTTCTGTGTTCAAGCAGTGTTGGCTATTGTCCAACTGCGCCAATCAGAGGCTTACCACCGCCTGCTCTCCAACAAAGCCAGCTACCCCTTTGCCCCGTGCCATACCTACGCCATGGATGGCCGCGCCAGATGTCTCCCTTCACTTCAGTCTCAGCTCATCACAGCATATGGTGAAATTCTTGATCACCTGAATTCCAATACTCTCATCGCCTGGCACTACATGTGTATGATGCTGACAGCTGATATCCAAATATTTGATTTGGCCGCTGGGCGCGCGGGCCCAAGTCCTGCCCGAAAAGCCCTAGAAGATATTCGCGAGTGGTCACAGACACCTGCTGCTCGGCGAGCATGTCTTCATGCTGCGCACATATACAAAGTCATGACAAACCGGAAGACATCCGAGCATCCCACTTTTCAATCAATCTTCTCACTCTTCTCGGCTGGTCTGGTGCTAGGGCTGTATACATTTATGGTCCCGGATGTGACTGCCATATCATCTGGCGTTGGCTCAGTGGAGCTGATGGATGATGTCGGGTGGAGAGCCGTCGGAATGGAGGGATTCACGAGTTTTATGGAGCCTGGAGGAACCCAAACGTTCTCGCCTACTGATGACCCCGCCGTCAGCTTCATTCGTAACGGTGCTGCAATCTACCTACGAGGCCTTGCTTTTCAGGGCGGTTATCAATCTGCACGCCGTGTCCTCCTCGACTACGCCTCACTTCTGAAAGACTCTGGAAAATGGAGTGTCAACCAATTTTCTCACATTCTTTACATTATGAGCGATGTGCTTATGGATGTGGAATGATGGCACTCAGTCCGCCCAATTACTCTTCTATCTAATGGACTCGATGATAATGAAGGTTATTGTCTACGGGGCTCCGACCAGTGTTCAACGTGAACCAGAGGTAATACCGAGCACAGAGTTCACTTCCCAGTGACGGGAGCTCTCGATTGATCTGATGACCTGACAAGTCTTCCCTGACTGGATTTATATGCGTGTTGGGCCGAATTTTCACCAGGAGGTTGCTCTGGGGTGACTGGCCTGTGGGATGAGCACACCTCCTCGGAAACTCTTCTCTCAAGCCACTTGCATGTCACTTTATTCAATGTTCCTTGCCTAAGTGAGCTACTGAGTGATTGCCTGAGCCACAAGCTTGGTGGAAATCAACCCTTTCTCTATCAATCATCAGGCTGAGTCGCAACTTGTCATCCACTCCTAGTGCCTGGATCCAAGATTACTTCCTTGGTGGACGATAAACCGAGTGACCGTCTCGTTGTCATTTTCGGAGACTGGTTCGGTTGTTGCGAAATCAAACGTTGAAAACTTTTTTCGAAGATTTCGGGAATTACGGACCTTGCGCTTTACATCTCTTCTTCGTCGGACATTAAGGAGATGATTGTTGGCTTGCATACAAAGTCGATGCATGTTTTTATTTGCCAAAGACTCGGACTGAGGCTCGATATGAACTTGCAGATCTGTATATACAAAAGATGCCTAAACTAGGCAAGTCTCGCGATATAGAATCCCATCAACCATCTCACCTATAGCCAAACAACTTGTCAAACCGGGGCTTTCAATTCCCAGCAGGTTGACGAATCCAGGCAAGCCTTCTTCCTCACGGATGATGAAATCCTGGAACCCCTTACCCTCGTTTACAGAGCCACCTCGGCCCAGCTTAGGTCGAATGCCACAGTAATCCAGAGCGATAGCATCAACATCAACACCAGGCATGAACGATTTGATCTCTTTCAAAGCCTCCTGCAGGTTAGCAGGATTCGGCTTCAAATCGTCAGGGCTATCAACCCATTGAACATCTGGCCCAAAGCGGATGCGCCCACCCATATCAAGCGTCAGATGCGTACCCAAACTGGGTGTGCCCGGAAGCGTAGCCGGGTATACCAAAACTGAAGTCCGTGGCCGAGAAGCTGCGTAGGAGAAATAGGTCCCCTTCGCATAATGCGGGATGAAATGACAATCCGGCGGAAGCAGCATGTTACTAATGGCGCAAGCGCCATGTCCAGCACTGTTAATCAAGGTCTCTGCCGTGAAAGACGTCACAGACCCATCCTCGTCTGAAACGGCAGTGACCTTGTACCCTCCGCGCCCACCGTCGAGAGCCTCGACGGCTGTCACTCGTGTTTTGAACGCGATATCACCGCCTCGGTCCTCATAGTCACCCTGCAAATATGTCATAAGCGAGTGGCTATCGACGATTCCAGTCGTCAAGCTCTCGACAATACCCGCGTCGGCCTTCACGTCTGGCTCGCGACGGAGCGCCTCGTCTCGGCCGACAAGGCGAGTGGGGGCATCAAGGTTTTGTGCGTGTGCGTGCACTTTCAGTGAAGCTTCCCACTGCGTTTGGGTTTGAGACACAATCCATTTCTTGGTATTGCGGTGTGGAATGTCGTTTTTGGAACAAAGCTCGTATAGGAGGTTACGGCCGCGGATGCAGAGTTTGGTTTTGAGAGAGTTTTCAGGGTAGTAGAGTCCGGCGTGGATTACCTATGACTTGTAAGTTGGACGTGAGGGGTTTCAGAGGGGGAGGGATTGGACCTCGGAGTTGCGACTGCTTGTCTCCGTGCCTGGCGCGTCGTGCCGCTCAAGCAGAATGGTTGAGCTGCCCTCGTGGGCAGCTAATTGCCTTGCTGTCGCGAGTCCCACAACACCAGCGCCAATTACCTATTATCGTCAATTGGCCTGCGCGGGTGGGTTTGGTGTTGTCTTACAGCGTGGGTGAAGTCCGCATTGGCAGCGCGGCTACTTGAAAAGCAGCGCCGGCTCGGAAGCTTAATTAAACTGAATGCACGCGCAGACATTGAGTTGACCAGCAACCAAGTGAGCAGCAAAATGAGTGCAAAGTGAAAAGATGCAGGGGACGTGCCTGGATGACGCGATCCCGAACTCGGATTGCGCTTATCTCCACACCCCAAAGTGGAAGTATAGCAAGGCACCTGGGCAACTTGGAAGGTATTCGCCGCGTCCTCCAGTACCTTAACGTCCACTATCACTTGGGCACTCGTCGGGGCACACTCAACGGCTCTCAAGGTACTAGGAATTCTAAGGTTGCGTGTGCCCTTTCGAGATCCTTCAAAAATTGAGACTGCGGTGCTCGTCTGAAAATATATATTATCGTCCTATCTAACACACACGATGAATGTTTATCCATCTGCTCTATCGCTTCACGCTGTTCTTTAACATCTCATCCAAATGCTATATGGCGAATTAGCGAGGTTTAAACAGACACCAGAGCGAAGGTACTTACCTGCTTCTGCTCGTTCGCCAGTTTGCCTTGGGTATCCTAATTCCAGTCAGCAAGCGAATCCACCCAAAAGCAGGACCGACTTACACTAATGATGGTTAGAATCAGAGAATAATTGTTGAAGAGGAAGCGTTCTCTTCGCTTGGAATCGGTGCCATTGCGGCTCAGTTTGGCCAAAAGTGAATCAAATTCGGCCGTCAACCGAGCCAGACTGTTAGACACCGGCTCATCATCACCGGCGTCACTGCTCAGAACTAGAATTCCATGGAGAAGCTGTCCAAATCGTTGAGTCAAAAAGTGGGGTGCCGATGACTGCTTCAAGTCATCTCCACCTGCAATAGAAAGCGCCGAGACAGCACTTCGCCCAGTGTTGGACCCAACGCGTTTGAGCGACTCGCCATGATGATCCATGATAACTTGGAAACGCGGCCATAGTTGCATGTTTGTTCCATTCACGTAGGAGTCTGCGACTGGTACTTTGCGACGCTGGAGCTCGAACGCCGAATGTTGATTGAGACGAACACACATCAAAACACCCAGAGAGTCCGTGGTTTGCTCAATCAACTTTTTGGTCAGAGCTTGGCCTAAATTGAAGACCTGTTGGAACATCTCCACGGCGTTGCGGGAGATTTGGTGGAACGTTTTCGCGGAGAAGAATTCCGTGAGGAAAGAGTACTCAGAGCAAATATTGTCCACCAAGGCAAGGTTGAAATTACGGAATGGGACTTCAATGCCATGGTAGGTATTATCCTCTTCGGCCAAATAAGACGATAGAGCTTGAAGATTGCCGGTGCGGAGGATATCAATTCGTCTGCCCAAGGAGAAAGGGTCATGTGCGACAGAGCCAGCTCGGCCGCCTGGAATTATGTTACCTGAACCCGGGTCAGTAAGCTTGAGTAGATATGCGGGGGTGTTCTGACCTGTTCGGTGTGTAGAGGGATCGCCTCCGAGTACTTCGTTCCGATCAGGGGGATAAACCTTGATCTTATCAAGCGCTTGGAGATAGCGAGTGAAATGCGATGTGTAATACCAGCGCATTGTGTTGATGTAAGCTTGAGAGATTTCCCCTGCCAGCTTTGGGTGGACCTTTGAAAGATAGCTGTATAGATCTTTGAACTTCACCAAGCGCTGTTGCTGGATTATTTGCGAATTGATATTTGGTGAGCGCATCGCGCGAATTTGAGATACCAAGTAGTCTCTGATTCTCTCAATGGCCTAGGCAGATGTCAGCTAGGCTCAGTCAGTGTGGAGGTAACAGTGAATATTTACCTTGTTCTTGACATCTGTCAAAAGGGGCCGAACATCCTCCACGGCCTTGAATCCGTTATTAGATGCAGCTGCCTTTGCTTCGATGTTCGTCGTTCGAGTATCGATTTCGTTCAAAGCCCGGACCCAGTTCTCGTCAATCGGACCTTCGACAATTGTTCGCACTGCTTTGGGAGAGATGCTGATCTCCTCCACGGCGGGCCCTAACAGTCTTTCCACATTGCGTCTGTTCTCTAGCATGGCATTCAATTGGGTGGATCGAGATTGTAATGTCTCAATCTCCGCTGACACAGCACCCAGCTCATTTTGGAAATCATTCAAGTACAGCTCAACTGACTTGGAAACCTCATCGCAGCCGGTTATTGAAGTGTGCAGCTCTTGAAACCTATCCCGCTCATGTTCAAACTGTTGGACGGTCTGTGCATTGATGTCGTTATCCCGGGTCTTTCTCCGCGGTGTCGGTTCCTCCTTTTCCAGGAAGTCTTCCAGGCTCAGCCCATCGAATCGAACAGTCTCCACCAATTGCGCGGGCTTTTCCAGATCCGAAAGGAGTTTGGGCCCATCCTTGGCGATTTGGGATTCCTTGCCAATGATCCCATTTAGCACCTCCAGCGGATCGGGAACATTGGCCGGCCGAGGACGCTGGATACTTGTCTGCTTCAATGGCGATCCACTGGCCCCACGCGTCGTACCTGGCAAGGACGTTGTGGATTCATTTGGAGTCACAAGAAGAGATGTCGAGGAAGTTCTGGACGTTACGCCAGGACGGTTGTAAGGACTGGGGGAGAGCTGGGATGATGATCGTCGGGGTAAGGGCGAGAGGTTGCGGCTATTCGCTCCGGCGGGCGTTGTCTGGCCTGAAATGCGGTCGCGCCACATCTTGCAGGGGAATGGGTAGCATGGAAATCCCCAAGGAAGTGATAATCGCGATACCCCAACTACCTTCGAAGTAGTTAGGAGGACACTCGGACACCACCTGTATACACACTAAACCCAACACGGTAGTAGCCAATCAGGAAGCGACCCCGCCACCGCGCCCACGAAAATCTATTAATCGTTTGATTTTCTCTTCTCTTCTTCTACTTTTTCCCCTCCCCATCCCAAATCCCTTGTCTATCCTTCCTTTTTTCCCTCTTTCCTCATAATCTATTCACCATGTCTGCCGAGGAGGTACGTATTCCTTGTTTGCTATTTCCAGAGCCATTGGCTCCTCTGCGCTGAGGGGGTTTTTTTTGCCCAGCCCCGCATGCGGCTCCCCCTCTCTGCTCTTCTCGAAGGGCACGAGGCCACGAAAAACCCCCCGCCCATCGGTTTTGAAAGCCTTGAAGACTAACATGCTTTGTTTCTAGCACGATGTCACTTTCGACTCGGCTGATGCCGGAGCTTCGCTCACCTACCCCATGCAGTGCTCTGCTCTGCGCAAGAACGGCCACGTTGTGATCAAGAACCGTCCCTGCAAGATCATTGACATGTCCACCTCCAAGACCGGAAAGCACGGTCACGCCAAGGTTCACCTTGTCGCCACCGATATCTTCACCGGCAAGAAGCTCGAGGATCTCTCCCCCTCCACCCACAACATGGACGTCCCCAACGTTGTCCGCAAGGAGTACCAGCTCGTGAGTGTGACCTGACCACCTGAGACATTGGTCAGCATACTGACAAATACCAGCTCGACATCACCGAGGATGGCTTCATGTCCCTGATGACCGACAACGGTGACACCAAGGATGATGTCAAGGTTCCCGACAACGAGGTTGGTGAGAAGATCAACCAGATGTACACCGTCGACGAGAAGGACTGCAGTAAGTTATCACGCTTACACCTTATTTTCGAGAACCATCACTGATATATCTTCTCTAGACATTGTTGTCCTTACCGCCATGGGTGAGGAGATGGCCATGGAGTGCAAGGAGGCTCCCAAATAAACTCCCTATAACTGGATATCTTACTTGTTATGCCAACCTTTATGTTCCACATGGGCTCAAAACCCCCCCAAAAATTCATCTTTCATGGTTCAACGGTTGATGTGATCCTTGGAACAATTTTGCTACTTGTTTCCGGATCTCATGGCCCTATAGCCTTGGATGTGGGCTGGACCGAGAATTGCTTTGATTGGCATAATATGTGTTGTCCGAACAGTTCTGAGTCTCAGCATCTCATGATAGTGTGACGAATTACTAAATACTCAAATCTTCCAAGGTTGTTGCTTGACATTTCTAAATCTATGGTACTTAATCTCAAATGGGATAGAACGTACTCCCCAGCCCTGGAGGTGGTCAGCTCTCCATCTGTCAATGTAGCTACCTCCCGGTGGATACTTGGTAATATACCCATGAATGGGACCAGTAAGAATAGCTCAAAAAGGGCCCAAGAGATTAGTTCCTGGAATTTCACCCTTGTAGAGTCTCTGTATCTCTTATATGTAATGTTTTTAAAAAAAGATTTTCTTAAATTAAATGTTGCACATGGCGCATTGCGGGACAGGTGGAGAAACCAAAATCGGCGGTCACTGGGAATGAGGCAGAAAAAAGTCCCAACTTTGGCTCTTCCCCCAAAGCATGAACAAATGCCTTGATGGACTACGTTACCCGAGGGGTCTGCGGTCAAGAAGGATGCCGTGAAAGGCGCTACTATATCGATAATGGTCTATGGTATTGTCGACGGGGCCATTTGCAAGAGGTATGACGTTCTTGTCTTTCCCTACCTATCACCGTGTCAGCAAAGGTCATCGCAGAGCTGACTGATTGGAAATAGGGTGTCCAAGTCGCAGAAGATGGCGACGATTTCGGAAATTTAGGTAAAATTCATCGCGTAAAGAAGGAGATCAGAGAGAAATCAACCAAAAGTAAGTAGATCAGACATCGAAACCTTCTACCTTCTGTTGCTGACGATCCGTCAATAGCTCTGCATGGACGTCCGGCATGGACGCTCTTCTTGCAAATCTACCAGCTCATCCTTTGGAAGCAATCTCATGCTTTGGTTCATGACCATGGGTTCCCACAAGAGCTAGAGGTATGAGAAAATTACCCTTTTTCAAGCACCCCGGGCTTATCATATCAGATTGTTGTTCGTGATCTCTGGGCTTTGCGACTTCCAGACTATAGGTTGAAGATCACAGAGTCTAATGAAGATGAAGACGGCGACACCGATCGCGAGGTGTTTAGCTCCCAGGCTGCCCAGAGTGATGATTCTGAGGTCGGGTTCAAGCCAAACTCAAGATTTGTCGAATGGCCCCGTCTCATCGATGCTGTAGCACTATGCTACCTTGCAGCGCTATTGATGCGGGTTCCTGTCTGTGTAAACGACTTTTACGAGTATGTTTAAGACACCCCCCAACGAGCAACGGTTGCAGTCCTACGCTCGCCAATGTCCCTTTGCTCACATTGTTCATTAGTATGATCATGCAGCAGCAAATACCCTTTACACGCGTGTTGGCAAACGTACCGCCAGAGATGAGGGAAAAGCTTCCGCCCGAACTAACTGGAATTCTTGAAAGTAACGTGAGCATAGCCTGTTTTATCGACCAACCTGGCAATAAAGCTAATTAACAATGTTCAGAAACTTCCAGAGGTCGAGTATCTTCACAAGGCCGTCCAGGCTTTATCGTTGTTTTATCAACGTCGATTCGAGGTGGTACTTCCTCCTCTTAATTGGCCTATACTTCTCTTCCGACATATCAAGAGATTGGCCTTACCAAGTGAGACCAAGACCCATACCTCTATGTATACCGAGGATTCCTGATCTAACACGATTATAGTCGAGGTATATGATGCTGTTAAAGCTTTGAAAAGTTTGTTAGATGTCACGTTCGAATACCCAAAGCCAAAGGCGGCCATTGAACGAAAGAAGTCGCATCATTATCCTGATGTGGAATTGATCGTGCTCATTATCATTTCTACGAAGCTTCTGTTCCCCTTTGATGATGTGAAAAGATATCCAACTACCAACAAAGAGCCTGCAGCACAAACCATGGATTGGTCTCGATGGGCAATTGCACAGACGGCCTTCGAGTCAGACTCCCACTTTAAGAAGAACATTGGAAAGGATGCTGCAATTCGCATCACAGACAGTGATGTGCTGAACATGTCCACCGACCAGTTGGACCACTACATGGATTGGTACGCAGACAGTTGGTTAGATACTTCGGCACCCCCGGGGCGTCTTGCTGAATTGTTCCCTATACAACGGGGCGACATCCAGCCAAGCTCTGCCACCGACCCAGGGCCTCCTTCTGCCCCAGGTGTCACACCTGACGCAATACAAAAGAAGCTTGATACGTTACTACACGAAGTCATGCAGGATGCTAAACCCAGACGTGTCATACCGGGGGATAACGAAGAGCCCAAACGCCCGGGCGAAGTCTACCGCCGGTATCGATGGGAGTCCCAGCTCAGTGGCACCGCACGGACTTTCTACGAAATGGCTGCCCAGCTCGCTGCGGTTCCATTGAAAACATTAGTCCGTGCTGTGACACTAGCTGAATACCAAATTGCCAGGCGTGACGAGAAACGACAACATCGAGAATTCTTTGAAAACCAAGGAGTGGAGGTGGATGATAGTGATGCCGATCAAAACATTGAGACGGAGGACAGCGGCGACGATCAAGAGTACTAAGTTGAATTGAATAAGATTAGCGATTTCAAGGGTTAGAATTATACAGTAAATCAGAAAATATACACCCCAGCTTGGAAAACTGCGCGTTGTACGAAGTATGGAGTACGCAGAATGATATCTGGAACATCAGAATCAGGTGAGAATGCATGTCCCAGGTCTCGTCATAGTTCTTGGCCCCCGGGATCCATCGCGGGCTCGCCTCGTATTATTGGCCAATTGTGCTGGCGCCGGGAGTGGGTGTCTAGTGTGTACAACAAGATGTATGCAGTTTGAAGGTCCACAGGCAGTGAACAAAAGTTACTTGAGAGATGGGAGGCATTTCTAAATGCATTGTGTCTGTCGTTAAGTATATTGGGCACCGAATAATTCTCAAATCAATCCCTATCAGTGCAGAGAGGTATTCACGATGAATCCTCGCAGGTATCGGCGTATACATCACGTGATGATCGGCGGTCAAGTAGCCCTAAGTAACTGCGGCAGAAGGATAGGGCTTTTTCACCGCTTCCCGTTCGCTTAGAGCACGGGCCCATAGCTGACATAATCGCCACAACGTCGAAGTCGCAATCCTCAAATTGACCATCGCGCCTGGAACTCAGCGACCGACAGCCGACACCAACGAAAACCGCAACCAGTACGTGCCATACAGTCCTTTCCCAATAGAATATGTGCATCGCCATGGACTTATCCAGCTAACCTCGTCTTTTTTTCGCGCCGTTTCAGTGCAGATGTAGGTCATCCTGAACCGATTCGATGTCATCGCGAACCCGCCATTTCCGATCCCTCGCCCGCACGACCCACGCAGGAAGATGAACATGGACTAACCTGGTGCGATATAGTTTCGTCAAGACCCTGACGGGTAAGACCATTACCCTGGATGTCGAGTCCAGCGACACCATCGACAACGTCAAGACCAAGATCCAGGACAAGGAGGGTATCCCCCCTGACCAGCAGCGCCTGATCTTCGCCGGCAAGCAGCTTGAGGATGGCCGCACCCTGAGCGACTACAACATCCAGAAGGTATGCGATCGACTCCAACCTTTGTGAATTCGACCAGAAGTGGGGAACAGTGGTATCTCGGATGGATCGGATTTCCGACTGCACTGTCAGACAACAGACTCTGATTCGACGCTGGATACGCAAGAGGGGGATTTTATTGACGTCTCGGTCTATGGTGTGCGAAATGGCGGAATCGTGGCTAACGTGGGATTTTCTTTACAGGAGTCCACCCTTCACCTTGTCCTGCGTCTCCGTGGTGGTATCATCGAGCCTTCCCTCAAGGCCCTCGCCTCCAAGTACAACTGCGAGAAGGCCATTTGCCGCAAGTGCTACGTACGCTCATCCCGCCTCCCACATTTCTTTTCGCTATGCGTCGCAATATTGCCTAATGGCACCGACGTCAAATATATCACGACAATTTACTGACCAGATAACAGGCTCGTCTTCCTCCCCGTGCCACCAACTGCCGCAAGAAGAAGTGTGGCCACACCAACCAGCTCCGCCCCAAGAAGAAGCTCAAATAAGCGACTCGCTCCTCGGTGTTGTGCTCGGCGTGCTGTTGTGCAGACTCCAGAGCTGGGGATTGGCTGGACTGCTACATGGAGAGGATTACAAATGGCGTTAGATATGATGATAAAATCAATGCAGCCACAGTCATACTTTTTCTAGTTGGCTCCTCTCGACGACCAAGTTACACCCCATGAATGAAATGTGTAAAATCCAAAAGTCGAATTGTCTCGCATTTCTGATTCCTTCTGTGGTAAAAAAAAGTACAATACATGCATCTGTTCCAAGTTCAGAACACGCCCAACCAGTTGCGAGACCTGCTGCCTGAGCAAGGTCGCCAGTATGACCATGACCAGTGTTCCAGTTTCAATGCATAGTGTTCTCCACTATGCCCTGAACGTCATTCCCTGCTTGTCATCCGTCTTGTTGTCGTCAGTGGGCGTCTCCTTGTTCTTCTTCGACACCGGGCTTCCATGACTAGCAGATATGTCAGTTCAAGATCAACTTGTTTGCATGCCAATGTCGAAACTCACGCGAAGAAAAGCATTTTAATAGCGATAGTGAGTGCTGCATGCACGAGAACAACCGCGACCAGAAGGACCTTGCTCATTTTGGCATCTGTAGCATTCAAGACCGGGTACAGATTCCGTAGAAGGAAGAACACGGTCCAGGCAAAGCCAACACCAACAAGCGCCCAGTTGAGTGCATTCAGCGGGCTCCAGCTGACCAGCGCAACGGCAATCCAGACCAAGTTCGAATACCCATACAGAGCCCAGCACTCGATCAAGTCGGCCGTGGAGCTACCGAACCAGCGCAGCGCGCCCCACAGCACAATGGGGAGAATACCCGTATATCCGTAGATCAAGCCCGCAGCCCCAGAGAGCAAGGCGAAGTCGTATTCAAAGTGTTGGTCGTCGTTATTAGACAGCCATTGCGAGATGGTACCCGTCAAGAAAAGGATCACGACTACCGTGGTCGCAATCCAGATAGGTCCGTACAGGTCAGGCCTACCCTCTAGGACATCCAGGAAGTTCGTGCGGGGATAAAGTGTAGCGACGCAGCGGCGCAAGACCTCGTTCGTGTCGACATCGAAGAATTGCTCGTAATAATGCAGAGACCACCAGTTGTGCTTGGTTGGCGTGCCGCCGGGGGACCGGTCGCGGTTACGCGACGACCCGCCGCCCAGGAACGGAGTCGAGTCACTTTGGGACTTGTTGTTTCTTTGGTCGTTGTCGAAGTCTGGATTCTGTTAGGAAGACGGATTGTAGCGCCTGGCGGGAAGCTCACTTGAAGGGTGGAACTCAAGGTCTTCCTGTAGGTCTGTGTGCCCGAGGTCACCCTTTTCGTCGGTTAGTTTTGTTGTTATTTATCATGACGGTTCTCTCACCTCTGCATCTACGTCTACGACGACATCGTAGCCTCGGTTCGCCATGGTTGTGATGCTGGTATGGGGTCGAGGAAGGGGAGTGGTCAAGTGTACACATCAGCTCCCGCAGATTGAGCCACCGCTTGAGCCACAACTGCGGGCCCCGGGAGTGTCGTGCACCAATATGTACTCCAGTTGTGTCAATTCCACCTGGGCACGTTCGCACTCAATGCTGAATATATTGCTGGTCTCGAGGTTATTTTTTGATTAGGGATGCTTTTGATTAAAAATTCTTATTATGTACATTCATTATCACATATTTGCAACAACGCCTGCCCAGGTGCTGGCGCATCACTATTTGCAACAACGCCTGCCCAGGTGCTGGCGCATCACTAAGGTAATCATCGCCAGCTTTGCAGTGCTTTTTGAATTCGGCCGACATAGGACCAGATAGAGGTGTCGAGTCCTTTTCTGCGGATATAGAAAGATGCTGTCCCCACCAATATGGCCAGCGCAATGGATCCCACGGAGCGACGATGCTTCCACAAGAAACCGAGAGCTTGTTCCTTGCGCTCCTCATTGCGGATCTGCTGGGATTGTTTGTTGAAAAGGTATACCGCATCCGCAACAGTAGTACCGTGATGCCGCTCACGCGAGGTTTTTAACACACTGCACCAAGGAATACGTTTCCAGGCTCGAAGCGGTAACGACTCCGGCGGGTGATCCTTGAATAACTGTGTCGCTCGAAGAATATGGCTATCCAAATCAAGCGGATTTGGGAGTTTGGAAAGCGTGAAATGAAGCATCTCAGGCTCATCTTCGGGAATTTCCAGCAGCTCCTTCTTTCTCGATAGAATCATTGCGGCAAAGAGGTAAATTGCCACCACTGGTTCTTGAGCTAGAAGGAAGTCAAAAAGCCTGGCGATATTGCTGTATTCTTGAATGTCGTGGGCATATAGGGTCAGGGTAGCTGCAAGTGCAAAGAATGGCTGGATATTGCCAAGATGGTGCCTCAACTCAGGGTCTGTGGTTTCGATGATCGCCGGGATCAGGTGCAGATGCTTTATCGCTGGCGAAAGTGAGGGCAACATATAGTCTCTTATGCGAAAGAGCGATATCTGCGCGACTGCTGGCAAGGCTTTCTTTTCCCCCAAGACCAACAAAAGAACTTGTACTATGTCATGGTAGCCTTGGAAGTAGCATAGCATAGGAAATTCTCGGAGCACATTGGTTATCAGTTTGGACAATTCCTTTTTTCGCGTTTGCAACTCCTCAAAGGGGGCTGTTGCAAATTAGCAAATATTCAATTCAGGCGGTCTTTTGTATAGCTGATCGATGGCTTACCATTTTGAGGGTAGTAGACAAAAGATCGGTTTACGTCAAGTTCAACCTGGTCTTCCTCAGCGTGGCGCGGAAGCTCCTGGCTATGGGACGTATCGAATGTTTGAAATTTCGCGTCACATTGTAACAAAGTAGGCCCTGTGACACGGTTGGATGGGATTTTCTTCCTTGATTCTCGGGATGAGAAGACTTACATGCAATCTGTCGCAGCTCATCTTCCAACAATCCCCCTTCCGATGTTGCATGACGAATCAACTCTTCCACATCCTGAGACATACAAGCTTCCCGGATGTCCCTGGCTTTCTTGGATCTTGCCTGTAAATTTTCGAGCTCTTGCATAGACAACTCTGGTTCTGGCCCCTCGCAGACCTTTTCGTCTGGCTCCTTTTCGGGCTCTCGGGGCTCATAATGTCCATTCCTGGGGTGTTCCATTGTTGTTTGCTTGGACAGATGTTTCAACACTAGGGGTATATGACTCAATAGTCAATTACCAAGCGACCTGGCTGGTTGCCTATGGTAGTTTGAAGACGTGGTATGTCTTCACTGATCACCAAGGGTCACGTTTATCGTACCCAGGAAGGACCTCGACTTTCATTGAAGATTCACGTGTGCCTCGGTAGAAATCTTCAGTGGGACATGCTTGGAAAGGCTAGCGTAGTGCCGGGTATCCGATAATTTGTGGAATGTGTGATGTAGATGATTCTTTACATGTAGACCCGTGGAGTCTGGAGGTCACGACCCACTTGGCCGCCTGAGGCAGCGATCGGGCACCGCGAGATGTTTTCGCCGACAACAACATTCATCCTGTGCGGTGTTTAGGCGCACACGGATCTCTTCGTGGAATATCATTCGCCGCTTGTTGGCCGTTTCGATCCTGTGCAGGAAACCTCTTTCCGTCAACAGATATCGGGTCGCGGGATTGCGACACAGCAGTGATTGCATCGCTTCCGGAAAACGCATGCCTACTTGCTTGACGCCGTCATCCCCAGTTCACAGGCATAGCTTTGGTAGTGGTGACTAGTTGGAATACTGCTGGATCAGTTGGGGTTGCGTTCAAGGCCACTTTGTTGGCCAGTAAACCGTCGTAGGCTCCAGTGCCTAGGTAGGTCTAGCTGCCGATTGAGTCGAAGCATTTGCTAACGACGGGAACAGGATATACTTGAAGCTCGTTGTTCATTAATGGTCCTGCTATTTGAGACAGCAAACATATGAGCTATATCTCACTTTCAGTCTGGGTCCCCTAAATGTGGCCCATTGGTCTCTGAGAAGCCCCGCTCTGCGAGGTATGGAGAGGAATACATCTTTCCAAGATTTCTCAGATGGTCGACAGTTCAGATTCATGATCTAGCTCCAAGGCTTTCATATCAATACATCTGAAATATCAATTCAGGTGATACTTTACCTGTGGGGTGTTTCGCTTCAGGCCACCTATTTGAGGATTTGATATACACCTCGATCGTGATTCTACGCCTACCCCCTCTTCAAACTTTCTTCAGGGCCTTCTCTGTCCTCTCCGCTGATCTCTCCTCACCTTCTCACTCATACACGTCGCTGTCCTCCCAGCCTTCGGGGTCCTCAGCTTGTACGCAGACCTCTCTCTTTTCATTTTCTCCCCCCTCACACAATCAGCGTCATGTCAGAGATGAATGCAAATCTTCCTGTGGGTCTTTTGACCCAGCCGCTTATACCTAGCCCCATGACGAACTGGATACTGCCTGCACGCATCAGACACAAAAACAACAACGATGTGGTGTTTGTCGGAGAACGTGGCATTCAGATTAAGGAGGCTCTTCACAGTGGTCATCTTGAAGATGTCGTGGAAAAGACAGACTTTGATGGTCTACCTCTTGGTGCGAAGGTCATCAATGTCAACACGCGACTGCCCTGGGAGACCCAGTTGTCGCCATCAAGTCCCCAGGACTCTACCCACAATTTTGAAGACCTTCCACCTCAAATCTTATTCATGGCTACTGATGCGAATGAGCTTCACTTCATGTATTGGTCCTATTGCAGTGGTCAATTCGTGTCATACTGTCGACCTTTGCCCCGCGACGTCAACGTATCTGAGAAATTCGGTACGCACATTGCTGTTGATCCTAAGTGAGTGACTTGCTCAAACCGATCTCTTCAATCGTGGAAGAAATCCTCTTACCAAATAATCAGATCGCGTGCAGTTGCTGTCAGTGCATCACGCAATTTCTTCGCCGTGCTTTGGTTAGATCATCCTACCAAGATCCAGAGGCAGATGGCCCACGGAGGGCTTGATCCCATAATAAAGGTAAATCGGCCTTACTATGATTATGTCTGATTCAGGGCTGACATGTCCTGCGCAGGAAAAATTCTTACAGGTGGACGGGGACATCTTGTTCATGGAATTCCTTTACCCTAAGGCACTTGATGATAAGCGCACACTTCTCCTCCTCATTGTTCATCGAGATGAAGCAACAAGCGCTATGGTTTTTGAATGGGATGAAACCAGCATCCAGAGCAACTTCAATCCCAAAACGACCACAACTCAGTTCCCCCCGCAAGACTACCTACCAACCATGGTCGTCCCCCTAGCGAAGGAATCTTCGTACCTCTTGATTACCACAAAATCGATGGCAATGTACACGCCTGATAGCTCATCTCGTCCGATGAGATATCCACCAATCATCCCTGACACTGGTGCTCACCCGATTGGGCTCTGGACTCGCTGGGCCAGGCCTTCTCGCAACTGGTTATACAGCCAGAAATACGATGCAATAATCCTCTGTCGGGAAGACGGTTGGATCTATTATCTCGAGTTTGGTAATGACGGGGAACTAGAAACCCAAACCTCACTGGGCCAGCTCCACTGCGATGTCGATACAGCATTTGATGTCCTGGACATGGGCTTTGAAGGTGGTGATTTCATTCTGGCGGCTGGAAGCCAAGGTGACGGGGGTCTCTTTGTTCAGGAGGCACGAGATCATCCGAGATGTGTGCAAAGATTTGTCAACTGGGCACCCGTCACAGATGCAGTTGCAGTGCCATCAGGTAATCAAGGTGTCAGTGGATTGGATTCGACTCATGATCGTCTTTTCGTCTGTTCAACCTCCGCCTCCGGTAATGGGGCCATAACTGAACTTCGACACGGCGTCGAGGCCCGGATCGGTGTCTCTATTTCGATTGATGAACTACCCGCGGTTCATGACATGTGGGCGATGCCCTACGGAGAAATGTCACAGATGTTCCTCTTGGTGTCTGATCCGATGTCGTCTATGATTCTACAGACAACATCTGATCTGGCCAACGGAATTGAAGCTCTTCCCAATGAAAACTGCTGGGGTGATGAAGAAACCCTCGCAGTGGGCTGCACTCCTCGTGGCGATATTATCCAAGTCACAAAACGCGGCATCTATGTTTTCGGACCGTATGAATCTAGATTATACCAATTTGTTTCACATGGTCCTGAATCCGTTGTCACAGCAGCCACTGTCGATGGGTCGAGTCTCATAGTTACCATGGCTATCAGATCCAACGAGGGAAACTTCCTTCAGGTCGTTCGACTGAACACGGATCTCACTGCGAATGAAATTTTCCACCATGATCAGCCCCATCGACTGGAAAAAGAGGCCATATCAATGTTCTATCAAAGTTGGGGCTCGGTCGGGCTCATCTTTTTGGGAACCAGTGATGGAACGGTGCTATCATTTGAGGTTTATGACTCCCCTGACGCACTCAAACGACTCGCGGACACTCATGTTGTAGTCGAGGCAGGGGAGGATGTCTCAAAAGCCATCTCAAGTATTGCTGTTATCCGCGCAATGTCCAGTAATGGACTCCACGGGCGTCTTTTCTGCGGTTTGCGGAGTGGCATACTTGTCTCTTTTGAGATGGAGCTTCACGCCAACGGTTTGCGAGGTGGGGCATCTCACATCCAATTCATTACCCATAAAACTGATTTTCGTTTTTAGGCCTCAAGCAAGGAACGCCAAAGCGGCTTGGGCAAACTTCAATAACCCTCCAAGCCCAGGAGGAAATTGCTCTTTTTACATGTGGGGATGATTTCTGGCGAGTGTCATTCTCACCAGGCCTCGTCAATCCTGACTATGCTTTGTCTCGAGTGTTTATCACCGACCAAAACCGAGTAAGTGCTAGGCCCTTCATTAGTTTTCGTGGGATGATGAACTAACCGTTATGCCAGCCTGCATTCTGCCCGGCAAATATTTCAACATTCTCCCTGGTCAACACGAATGATCAGTACTCAGGAGTCACATGTGCATCCTTGTTCTGTTGGGCAAACGGCGAGCTCCTTGTGTGCTCCCTTGATGCAGAGGACAAGCCAATCCCCCGTCGGATCGATATTCCAGGAAACCCAAACAAATTAACCTACTCAGAACATCTTCGAAGCCTCATTGTCTCTTACACTGTTGCTCAAACCAGCCATAAATCGCCTCTTAATGTTGTCCGGAAGTCATTTATCGAATTCGTGGACCCAGATACTCAAATCCCTGTGGCTCCGGTTGATGAGCAAATGGTTGCCGAAGGCCTAGCTCCATGGAGGCCAAGCAGCAGCCCTGGAGAGAAAGTCACCTGCCTATTCGATTGGATGCCCCAGAAGGATGGCAATGCGTATCACCTCGTTGCGATCGGAACTTCCATTCCTACGCCTCACAACCCCACCGACCGCACTGGCCGTGTCTTACTATTACAAGCATCCAGAGATCCCAACAATCCCTCCCAAATCACTTGTGTAGACAAGCATATGAAGCTTTGCGCTCGTCCAGTCACTGCTATGGCAGCATACGCCGATACCCTGATTGCTGCATCTGGGAAATCATTTCTAACACTTGCCTCGAAAAACTCGCAAGTCGGATGGGTCCGCACTATCGGAGCTCGACTCCCTTCCCAGGCTGTCTCCTTGTCTGTTCATAAGAATCTCATTTACGTCACTACCGCGAGGAATTCCTTGTTAGTCTGCAAGGTGGAAGCTGGCGATATCTCGGTCATCGACTCTCATTCTGTCGCGCTCGATGGTTTGTCACATTCATTTGTTACTAGCCTTGAAGGGCGCCCAAATCGGGCCTTTGTTAGTTCCCGTGGGGGAACTGTCCAGGTCTTCTCAGATGATTTGCCTGTGAATGCCCCTGGGGATCGCTCAACGGTCCGGTTCCCCGTTTCAATCTTGAGACTTGTTCAAGGCTGCAAGTCCCCATCTTCACTGGCAGCTAGGGGCACCATGTATGGGTTCGCTATCAATGGGGCAATCTACCGGCTGGTATCCCTGACTGCTGATGAGTGGACTCTTCTCGAAGCCTTGGTCCTGCTATGCATGAGTGACAAACGCATGTGTCCATCTTTAGCCCGCAGGAATCGTTTTGCTATCGCTGCCTCCAATCTCCAAGATAACCATCACATTGATGGTGGAATTCTCGCCCGTCTTCTTACTTTCGACGCGGACGTTCTGAGTGAGATGCTTCTCAACTGCACCAGGGGAGAGAATGAAAAGGTGCAGCCTGTGGTGGCAGAAACAGTTCAACAAGTGGCCGCCAAATTGCTAAGTCTCACTGATGACTATCCTCGGGCTGTTTTCTCCTGGCTTTGGGACATGCTGCGCGTGGAAATTTGACCATTGTCCTTCTGAATACAAGCCGCACATATGGACCCATGTGTGATGTAATTACACCATTGCGATAGAAAAAAAATCAGTGAGCTGTCAAGTTTCGTTTCTAAACCTAGGTAAAAGACGTATATACTACAAGCTTGTGGCTTTTTCTCTAAAAAAAAAAAGGTCTGTAAACAGTGTACCTTGTGTATTGCTGGTCGTGGCAATGGAGTGAAGTCAGATCTGATTCCCCACCGTTAATGATTCTTTCCGAAATTCTTTTCCCTCCCACACCCCTCCCTTAATCCACCTATACAGAGAGCTTCTATCTCTCTGCCTTTCATTCTGGGGATTGTCTTGTTTTATTTCTCTCTCTTATTTTCCTCCATACGTGCGCCTATCACGTATCGCAAATAACCGGTTAACTCCGTTTGTGCGCTGCATTTCTCCGGTCTCCACTCGAATCGGATCACAGAACTTATCAAGTCACCAACATGGCACCCAAGAAGAAGGGAAACAAGAGGCAGGAGGAGGACTGGGAGGCTGATCTCGGCGAGTCTGCCCCCGCTGTTGAAGCTCCTCCTGCCGAGGAAGCTCCAGCAGACAATGAAGAGGCACCAGTTGGCGGCCTGATGGCTGCCCTGAGAAAAAACAAGGCCAAGAAGGCTAATAAGAAGGGCAAGGCCAATGATTTCGTTGAAGGCGAGGATGCCAGCGCTGGTAATGACTTGGCCAGCAAGGAGCCCGAAGAGGGTAACTTCGATGACGACGATGTCTTCGCCGGAAAGAAAACCAAGCCTATTAAGGATATTGTCAAGCCCTCAGTGGAAGAGCCGGAAGCCGGCGAGTTCCGTGTGAAGACAAAGAAGGAGAAGGAGCGCGAGAAGAAGGAGAAGGAAAAGCAGCGCAAGAAGGAGCAGGTAGGTTCTTGCAGTTACCAATCCACGCAATGTGAATCTCCGGTTGCTAATCTCTCTTTCTCCTCTATAGGCTGCCACAAAGAAGAAGCTTACCCCCGCTCAAGAAAAGGCTGAAGCCAAGAAGACTGCTGCCGCTGAGGCTAAAAAGGACGAGCCCGCTGCCGCCGCCGCCGCCGCCCCTGCCGCCGACACTGGCAAGAAGAAGAAGCTTCCTCCTCATCTAGCAGCTCTTCAAAGGCAACAGGAGCTCCTGCGTCAACAGCGTGAGGAAGAGGAGCGCCTTGCTGCGGAAGAGAAGGCTGCTGCTGCCAAGCAAAAACTCCTCGATGACGAAGAGGAGAAGAAGCGTGCTGAGATCCGTGAGCGCAAGAAGGAGAAGGAGCGCGAGAAGAAGGAGCAGCTGCGTAAAGAGGGTAAGCTCCTCACCAAGGCCCAGAAAGAGGCCAAGGAGCGCAACGAACTTCGCATGCAGCAGATGCTGGCTGCAGGCAGCAAGGTCGCTGGTCTAGAAGACACCGGTGACAAGAAGCGCCCTGTTTATGAAAACAAGAAGAAGAAGGCTGGCAAGAAGCAAGAGGAGGACCTTGAGGCCGCTGCTGCTCGTGCACAGGCTCAACGAGAGGCCGAGGATGCCCGTCGTCAGAAGGAGGCTGAGGAAAGGGCCAAGGCCGAGGCTGCCGCGGCTGCTGCGGCTCCTGAGGATGACGATGCAGTTGATGACTGGGAGAAGGCGGCCGACGAGGACGTCAAGGACAGCTGGGATGCTGAAACAGACGAAGAAGATGAGAAACCTGCCGAGACGCCTGCACCAGCCCAGACAGCCCAGACAGCCCAGAAGGGTGAGACCAAGGAGGATTCCGACTCTGAGTCTGAGTCTGATTCTGATGACTCTGACTCCGAAGACGAAGAGCAGTCTGCCAACCAAAGAGCCATCCAGGCCAGAAAGGCTGAGGCTGCGGAGCGCAGGAAGAAGCAGCACGAGGAGGCTATGGCAGCTCGTTCCAAGGACGATCTCCGCTCTCCTATTTGCTGTATTCTCGGTCACGTCGATACTGGTAAGACCAAGCTGCTTGACAAGATTCGACAGACCAATGTCCAGGAAGGCGAAGCAGGTGGTATCACCCAGCAGATTGGTGCCACTTACTTCCCTGTCGATGCCCTGCGCACCAAGACCAACGTTGTCAACAAGGATGGCAAGTTCGAGTTCAAGATCCCCGGTTTGCTGATCATCGATACCCCTGGTCACGAGTCGTTCTCCAACTTGCGCTCCAGAGGTTCTTCTCTCTGCAACATCGCCATTCTTGTTGTCGATATCATGCACGGTCTCGAGCCCCAGACTCTCGAGTCTATGCGTTTGCTGCGTGACCGCAAGACTCCTTTCATTGTCGCATTGAACAAGATTGATCGTCTCTACGGCTGGAAGAAGATTGACAACAACGGATTCGAGGACAGTTTGAACATGCAAAACAAGGGTGTCCAAAACGAGTTCCGCACTCGTCTTGACGCTACCAAGCTTGCTTTCGCCGAGCAGGGTTTCAACTCCGAACTCTTCTTCGAGAACAAGTCTCTTTCTCGCAATGTCTCTCTCGTCCCCACCTCCGCTCACACTGGTGAGGGTGTCCCCGACATGCTTAAGCTTCTGACTAGCTTGACCCAGGAGCGTATGACCAACTCCCTGATGTACCTGTCGGAGGTTGAGTGCACAGTCCTTGAAGTCAAGGTCATTGAAGGTCTCGGTACCACCATTGATGTCGTCTTGTCCAACGGTATCCTTCGTGAAGGTGACCGTGTCGTGATGTGCGGTCTCAACGGACCAATCACAACTAATATTCGTGCTCTCCTGACACCAGCTCCGCTCAAGGAGCTGCGTCTGAAGTCTCAATATGTTCACAACAAGGAGGTCAAGGCTGCGCTTGGTGTGAAGATTGCTGCCAACGACCTGGAGCACGCCATTGCCGGTTCTCGCATGCTGGTTGTTGGTCCTGACGATGACGAGGAAGATCTCGAGGACGAAGTCATGTCCGATCTTGAGAACCTTCTCAGCCGTGTTTCGACTGATCAACGTGGTGTCACTGTTCAGGCCTCCACCCTGGGCTCCCTTGAGGCTCTCCTTGAGTTCCTGAAGGTCTCCAAGATTCCCGTCGCCAACATCTCCATTGGTCCTGTCTACAAGCGTGATGTTATGATGGCTGGAACCATGCTTGAGAAGAATAAGGAATACGCTGTCATGCTTTGCTTCGATGTTAAGGTCGATAAGGATGCTCAGGCCTACGCCAACGATATCGGTGTCAAGATCTTCACTGCAGACATCATTTACCACCTGTTCGATAGCTTCACTGCGCACATGGCTCAGCTCACAGAGCAGCGCAAGGAGGAGGCTAAGCTTCTTGCTATCTTCCCCTGTGTCATCAAGCCCGTTGCCGTGTTCAACAAGACTGATCCTATCGTCATCGGTGTTGATGTCATTGAAGGAAGCTTGCGTCTCCACACTCCCCTCGCCGCCATCCGTACTAACTCCGCGGGTGTAAAGGAAATTGTCGATATTGGCAGAGTGTAAGTTTTCCCCGTCTAGTCTCTATCTTCAGTGATCTAATCATCAACAGTACCTCCATTGAGCGCGATCACAAGGCCGTCCCCGTTTGCAAGCGTGGTCAGCCTTCCGTCGCCGTCAAGGTCGAGGGCCCCAACCAGCCCATGTACGGACGTCATCTCGAGGAGAAGGATCAGCTGGTCTCGCACATCTCGCGTGCCAGTATCGACACACTGAAGGAGTTCTACCGTGCTGATGTCTCCATGGAAGAATGGGCTCTTGTCAAGCGACTCAAGCCCGTTTTCGACATCCCTTGATTTCGCTCTTAGAGCCCCTCCCCGGTGCAGGTCAAGACTCGGATGCAAGGCCCCATTCCATCCTTGATATTTCTTTTGAGCGAACCTAATTATTGACTGCCTGCGCATGACCAGCATTCCCCGTTGGCCCCATCATGGCCTGCGGTTCCATCATGACCAGTGGAGGAAACGAATCGAATCCTTGAGCTTATGACACATTCTTTCAAAAAAAAAACGGGAAAAGTTATTTTGTCTTGATTGCGATTTGAACATACTATGACTGACCATGACTTGATGGATGAATTGGAGATGTTGCCTGTACATGATATAGGAAAAGCGAGGACCGGTCGATACCAGATCTTTTGTTACTGCTATAGTGAATTGAATTATTAGATCATTTGACATACTCTTCTCATTTTGCAGACCTATCAATTTTTCCTCTGGGGGGTTCTGTCTAGCCTGGCTGTAAAGTCCAGCGCCTTTTCGCGCTATTTGCTGGGATGACATGTTCACACCCAGGTATCAGGAGTAGTCAAGCTAAGATGCGGCAGTTTCAAGCTAAGCTAATTTTATACAAAGTCAGTATCGATCAATGCTTAAAGCATGCCCAACAAAGAGAATTTGGCGATCAAAGACACATCCTCCTCCCTGTATCGTGTTCAACATAGCCTTCGCTACAGTTACAGCCTCTGCCCAGTGTCCCTCAAGGGACTTGCGTGGTCGTATCGGGAACGAAATCGTTCGATTGCCTGGTTGGTATAGACAGCGGTCTCCCAAAACAGATCGCTTGCTCCGAAGCGATCGAATCACAAATTCCATAATCTCAACGTCGGTGTGGGTGCGATACATCTCCCGGCTCAGGTGAACAGATGCCCAGTTGGGGCTTTGGCGATTCTGCTCTATATAGGTCTCAGGTCCTTCATCTTCGCAGACATCGACAAATCCGCTTAATTTGTCGTCCTGCCTTCTGAGGCGTTTGCGGCTGTATGGGCGCTTCTTTATAAACTCTTCTTTGGCCATGGCGTAGATTAGGATATTCTGTCTGAGTCTGATTTCTCCTCGAGCTGGGGTGACTCGGTGTGTCGAGGACCTTTATATGGAGAGGAATACTCTTTTAGATAGACAATGCTCTTTGTAAGACTCCCGAGGTCCTTGTCGTGCATTGGCTTTGTTCATCTTCAACCTTTGTGACAAGAGAGCATGTGTCCATCCAATTAAAGTCTTGCATATGTACATGTTCCAGAGGTTCAGACCTAGAAATAGCCTCTAGTCGTCTCCCTCCCACCTCTCAGCCTTGCCTCCGTTCTTCTCCCAATCCAACCAACTTCCCCAGTAGTATCCGACGGTAGAAGGATCGTACCCAGCCTGGACTGCCATTTGAGCCATCGCCTTCGCACGCACACCGGCTTTGCAGTAGAAAACGATCTGTGCGCCATCGACAGGCTCGGGCTTTGGGAACCCGAATCGGGTCTCGAACTCATCTGGCGTGAGGAACATTGCGTCCGGCTGTGATGCAAATGGGATGCTAATTGCCGAGGGGATGATACCCGTGCCTTGGAGTTCGGCTGGCTCGCGAACATCAATCAGAATGGGCTTGTGGGTTGGTGAATCTGGTGCGGAGGGGAGGGAGGCATTGATCTGGTTGTTGTTAGATTCCTGTACATCCAGTATGCTTGGGGTGTGCAGTGCATACCTCTTCGAAGCCCCAGTTTCGAAGACTGTTGGAGTCATTGCTGTTATGGCGCTTTTGCAATTGAGTACTCTTGGAGAGTGAGAATGGCGTTGGGACATTATATGTCAGGGCGGGGACTCGGGGTCTGGTGGATGTGACCAGGCCTCTGGTGGAAACAGCTCGGAGTGCCGGTGAGAACACTCGACGAGCTGGGGCTCTGATTACTGAGAGCATTGCAGTGTATCGCTGGGCTGATACTGCCGTGGCCATTTTGATTGATCTTGGTTTGTATGGAGTTGGACTAAGAGCACTTGAGCCTCGGGCCGGTGATGTCAGTAATTGCCGCGATACACCGCCTACTGATATAGTGCGAGCACTGCATATTGAGCAAGTGGTGCAACGTTTTACTTGCAGTCAGTGGAGTAGTTGAATGTTTCATACATAGATATACTAATTATATATGTGAGTAGCCCGTTGGGAAGATATGCTGTGAGAGTTGGACGTTCAATGCACCTGGGCATAGGTAGATGCCCAGTGTGACGTGGAGTAACCCTTGGAAGTAGATATGGATATATATCACTCGGAAGAGCTGGCATACTTCCAAAGGCGTACCTAGTACATCAACGGGTTGAACTTGGAAGAGCCTCAAGGTTCAAGCCTGATTTTATGATCAAGGCACTCATTAATCTACCTAGTAAGGACAAACTTGGGAAATAGAGATGAAGGTTATTAAGATTATTCTAATGTGCATGGCTCTCAAAAGTAGTCACTCGAAGAAAAGAAACGAGAAATCCCGAATGACCCCTTACGGGAAACATATCATCAAGTCAAAGGGATTTCCGTGCACAAGGGTATCCAAAGCCTCTCGAAAGAGACAGTATGCTAAAGACTTTCCCTTATCGGCATCATGCATCAAAAAATGAAAATCAAGAAAGAAAAAGTGAAAAAAAGAGGTCAGCAGGCCACCCCATCTCCAGGATAGGAAGGCAAGTATCATCGTAACCAAGGCCTTTATCCGGAGAACGAGGCTGGGCTCCACTTCGCTTTTGGGGATGAAAGAAGTCTAAGGACGGGGACGGAAAGTGAGGAGACAGTCGTCCTGAGGGAAGATGGTGGCAAACACCTTGATATCCTCAGACTCAGGAGTAGGAGTGTGTTCCCAGTCCATCACCATACTGGCCTTTCCGATCATCGACATCAGAGACAGCTGAGCGTAGGTCTGGCCCAAACAGTAGTGGGGACCTGTGCCAAAGACCAGCCAGTTCTTGGTCTGTGCCTCAGCGGTGCCACTAATCCAGCGGTCAGGGTCGAAGGAGTCAGCGTTGGGGTAGGCCTCTTCATCGTGACACGCGGGCCACACGGATGGAATGATCATGGAACCCTTGGAAACGGTGACGGTCTCACTGATGGGGAAGTCCTTCTTGACCAGGTAAGGGACCATGATGACGGGAGGGCGGTAGCGCAGAGTCTCCTTGACGACGGCGCGGGTGTAAGGCATGTTGTCAAGCATATCCATAGTAGCGGGAAGATCGCGGTCACCATTGCGAATGTTCAGGTTCTCCTCGCGAACCTTGTCGAGGATCTCAGGGCGATCAGCCATCAGCTGGAACAGCCAGGTGGAGGCGGCACTGGTAGCATCCTGGGAAGCGAAGAGGAAAGTAAAGATAGTCTGAGCAATTTCAAAGTCGGAGAAGTCACGCAAGACCTGGGAGGGCTTCTCGGAAGAATCGACCTGGATGCCCTTGGCGATCTTCTCACGGTAGACAGCGGAGTCCAGCTGAGCCTTGACCCAGGCATCCATGATGCAACTAATCTCACCACCAGCAGCCATGCGGGCCTTGGACTTGGCAGCACACTTGGTAAACTCGGCGAGCACCATGTCCGCGGCCTTCTTACCGTACCAGGTCTTGGTGTAAGGCAGGATGATAGGGAAGTTGACAAGTTCGAGTGCGGCAGTGATCAGATAGTAGTCGTCCGCAATCTTCTGGACACCCTCGTCGGTCATGTAGTAGCCGACGAAGGTACGGCAAGAGAGAGCACACATCAGCTCGCGGAACTCGGACATCCAAGGAGTTGGGGTGTGCTTGAGAGCAGCGGACTTCTCGAGGAAGCGCTTGTTGTAGGCGTTGAAGACCTCCTCGGAGCGGGGCAAGTACATGGCAAGAGCCTGACGAGTGAAGAGTCCATTGAGACCTTTGCGGTAGTCGACGTGGGCCTTGCCATCCAAGAAGACCCAGTTGGTCTTTCCGAGAAGCTTGTGCGCGGCGTCCACAACGCAAGGCTTGACGTACGCGGGCGAGTTGAAGATCTTTCGGGACATGTCACGAGTGGAGGCAATGACAACGAACCTGGGGAAGCCCGGTTAGCGGTCTCATTTGACGTTTCCGAGCGCATCTGGAATTTCCGGCCAGACGCCTTGGAGCTACTCACTTGTGGAAAACTGAGACACAGCTGAGTTCGCCACTGTCCCATTTGGCCTTGTATTCGGTGAACTTGGGGTTGACGGATTGCAGGAAGGGGCCCATGAAAGGAATCTTGTACATGGGGCCAATAATCGCGCCCTTGAGGTAGTGGTACTTGACTGTTGATAGGGGGCCCTGGTCAGTTTCTAGACGTGATTTGGAAGTGAAAGATGTCGCAATGGCACTTACACTGATCGTAGAGCACGGCGGCAATGAACAAGGTCAAAAGACCCTTCCAGAGCGTGAAGCCATCCAGAACCGTGGCCACTAGACCGGCCGGCGCGAAGAGTTGAGGCGAGACCGTCGCATCCGCGGATGGTGAGACAAAGCTCCCGGTGAGGTTGGCCATTTCAACCATATTTGTCCCGTCAAGCAGAGCAAGGTCAAGGGAGAGTTGCTCAAGATTGAAAAGGGCAGACCCAGAACAAAAGGGAAAAAAGAGTGGAGAGGGGAGAAAGGCTCAGGGGCGGGAACGCCAATTACACCGAGCCGGGATGCCTAGCATTGTATCCATGCACGTTTATTGCATGACTTTTTGAGTGGTAATTACTGATTTCTGTTAGGTTCATTGCTCTACGGAGTATTTGTCTCGCGATTAGTGTAATTTTATGCCCTTTTCCGGCAATTTGTGTATAGACATTTGGGCTCCGGACGCGAGAAATCAATCTCTGCTTTGGCCCATAGTTCGGGGAGTCCAATCTCCGAGCCGTCCAAATCTTGCAACGGAGCTTTGTGCCTACACAGTGTGTGCTGTACAGGAGCCATAGCCAGAGATTTATCAAGGTCTACAATAGTCCATACTCCGCACAAATCGAATGGCCCCCCGTATTCTCCCTTTAGTATCAATTCTACCGCGTACACATCGAATTGCCAATTAACGCCATGACAACGGCGATTACTCAGCACGGCGTGACTCGGATCGTGAGCCTCCGAGAACCGTCGCAACGCTGATTGGCTGGGCTCAACTGCAAGGAACTGAGGCACGTGTACTTGTGATGCCCTGACGGGACATGGAATGTGAGGGCGGAGTACTTCATACGTGGGACTTTAATTACAAGGGTATTCAAATGTTTTGGTATATGCGCGGAGTAAGGAGCTCTAACGACCGCCAAATCCGAACCATCCACGGCGGCCCTTGGATTCTTCTTCAGGAGCAGCAGCGGGGGTGGGGGCCTGGGCAGGTGCGTGGGGCTGTCCATCGCGGGGATAATCGATATAGTTCCACGCCACGTCCAGGAATAAGGGCTTGACGGGGATGGCCTGCATCTGAGGTGGGAATGGCACCAGGTTGTTCAGATCCTGACCAGATCCGGCGAACTGCTGCAGGCGCTCCACCGCTGGACGTTGGCTTGATTGAGATGCTTCTTCCGCGGTGGCCTGCTCAAGAGTGACGAGGCCTCGGTACTGAGCAACAATTTCCCGCAATCTCGATTCCAGGGTACTAGACTGCGCACGAGAAACGTCTAGCTTGGGAGGGCCGTGGGTGCTTTCTGAGGATTGAGACGTGGCAGAGCCAGAAAGGTTCAATGCCTGGGCGAAGAGTGCAAGGGCTTCCCTGGACTTTGAAAGAACACTATGAGACCTACCCAGCGAAAGGCATCTGAATTAAGGGGTTGGTTAGCTGAAAAGCCGGTAGAATTGGGGTACAATACACACCTGAGGGCTCGGAAATAGTGACGCTTGGCTTCCAGGTCTGCTACGAATGCAGAATCGGCAGCAACACCGGGAAGTTCGAGGATGAAGTCCAAACTCTGAAGGGTCGAATCATACAGAACGACGCGCTCACGGAGCCTGTTGAGCTTCTTTCCGGTTCCTGCGGTGTGTCTGGCTGCGTTCTTGTCGTTCGCCGGGACTTGCATTTCCTCAAATGACAGACCGTCATGCTCTCCACACAGCACACGGTTACGACCCACGCGCCAGCCAACCAGAGTGTAGTTCACTGCAGTTCGAGTGATCTGGAGTCCCTGCATTCTCTTGTCGCTGGGATCAACACCCTCGCTAGCTAGGTCATCAATGGCGGTTTTCGTAGCATCAACAGCATCCTGACTGGCAATGATGACGCTGTCATATGCAGCAGCTTTCTCCCTGGATGTAGCGGATGCTCCAGCGCCGGATAGCCAAGTCGTGAGACGAGCCTCTGCAGCCGAAGCGGCAGCCAAAGCCTGGGAAATAGAAGCATCATCGAGTGGAACAGTGCGTGATCTCCATGTCACAGACTGGGGTAGTTCCTGCACCTCTCCCTCGGCGGTTCGTCGTGTGCCAGCAGCTTCTTCTGCAAGACAGGAAGGATCGAATTTCTCGACCTCGGCCCGAATGTCAGTGTCGGACGGGAAGTACTCAATGGCTAGCGACGAGGTAGGTTTGGATCGAGGGAGCTTCATCTGGTATGCGGCGTATCGAATGCTTGGGTCAACAGTCCCAGAGAGCAGGTCCCGATAAGCGTCTTTCTTGACACTTTGACCCAATGCCGTGTAGATCACTCTTGCGATAGAATAGTCATGCAGACATTGCTCCCATCTGCGCTTTTCGAGCCAGAGAGTGCCAGAGATCATTGCTGCATAGGCACGAGTTTCCAAGATGTCGGTGTCGCTAGCCCCAGTAGATGATTGCTCGTGGAGCAGCGAAACGAGTTGCTTCGCATATCCGGTGGCCTTGGTCAATCGGGATATGATGTGGCGTCTGGCAGCGCCAGAGATAGCCTTAGCAGAGGGGTCTGCTGAATGTGTTGACTTCATATGCATTGCTTGCGCCCAGGCTCGTTCGGATCCGAGAAGGAGAAGGTGTACATATCTGACATGACAGTGTGGTCAGCCCGCAGATCAGCCAGAAGATAATGGGAGGTGCCATACGAAACATTGCTTCCAACATTCTCAGCAGTCACGGCTGGTTTGGCAGTATACTTGCGACCTTTGACAGTGGCCTGTCCAAGCTTCTTGCGGAGTTTCTGCAGTCTCCTGGTGGTGTGCGCGCGGTAGGCATTGTAATCCCCCACAAGGAGGACCTCCTCTCGCTCCTTGAAGATAAATTCAGTCACCTCCATGGTTTTGACCTTTCAAATGGGAAACTATGATGGGAAGTAGAGGGGGACACGGTTGAGGGTGGTGGGCTCGAAGGCGGTGGTGTCTCTTCGGGCAAATGAATGGCCCGACCAAATCCCGGCAATTTCCAACTTACAACTCCGAGTCCTGGGTGTTTTTTGTGAGCTTCAGGATATTGGCTCGAACGGCAGCAACGTTTATAACGGCGCTTTTTGATATTTGGTCACACGCTGTGTTATTTCCACGAAGAAGATCACCGCTGGCCTGTGGTTCCCATTGAGGAACCTGTTTTACTTTTCTGGTACGAATGGCACCATTCCCAACAGCCTATTTGATCCGCCTTCACCATAGCTTCACGAACATCTCTTCTGACTGACAACTATTTTCAGGCTCTGTGGATACAATACGATGCAGCTTGACAAGTAATTCGGTACACTCCAGCTTGGATTTGCAACAATCGGGGGGCAATGCTGGAACGGGCGACGGGCTGCCTCGAAAACGCAGGACGGCGCGTCCTCCGGAACTCCCACGGTGCAGTTCGCAGCGGCCATTCCCTGTGTGATCGCACTCGAAAGGAAAGAGGCGCTGGAGCAGATGCGCCCCATTGGCTCTTAGCACTTTTGCAGGCGTCGGATCAACAATCATCTTCAACCGTTGATTCCTGCCACAGCAGTAAGAGTGAGAGATTCAATGGTGGCCCAGCGCCTCTCGAGTTCTTATATCCCCGAGAACCACAGCGGCTTGTAGCTCCCCGACCATCTCACGCTCAAAGGAGACCTGGGCTACGCCGGAGAAGATCCCTCGTGGGATTTTCGAGGTCATACGTATCCGTCTCAAGCCTTCGGCAGGCAGTCGCCGATGTTTCCCTCAGTCACGAGCATGCATGTCAGGGCACCGATGGCGTTGACGCCAAAAGTTCGGGGGTTCAAGACCTGGTAATCGAAGACTTGGAAAATGACAGCTTATTGCATCAAGAATTGCATACCGAAGACGCAGGAATTGATGACCCTGGGTCAGACGATCTAGAGCCTGGAGACCTGGACACTGGCAATCAGACAACCGAGAAGCCCCAGGACCCTGAAAGCATCGAACGGGAGCGCAAACTCCAAGCCGACCTGCATGCATTCTTGCTGAAAGATGGCAACCAATTTGACATAGCCTGGATCCGGTTCGTTGCAGCTGGGCGCCCCTCAAAACTCTTGTCGCCGCTTTGCGCGTATATGAGCAAGTCGCAAACGTTCAAGGACAAAAGACGAGTTTGGTACCTCTTTCGACTGATCCCCCCGGAAAAGCGCACAGCGTATGACTACCGCAACATGTTGACTTCAGATCTCCACCTCTCACATGTTGACAAACCTCGACACTTGGACCACATTTGCACTCATGCTCTCTCTACGCCGTTCGCGCAAGAGATCGTTTCTCTGGTCGTAAAGCATTACGTGGAGCACAGAGAATGGGCTCGACTAAGATCACTTTGGTCTAAGCTAATAGCAATACCATTATCACAACGTGGATCACTCTGTTATGACGTGTTAGAGCACATCAACCGGGTCAACTTCCCAGAATTCTCCTTGGCCAGGCATTTACTTAACCTCGCACGATTTGCCATCCGACATATTGATGACGAAGCAACCTATGATTTTACTCGACGTCTGGTTCAACGATTTGCCGAGTCAAAAGACATTCTCACACTCACACCACCTTCGAGTATTCTTGCAGTCCTCAGGGATTACGGCTCCACGGGACTATTGCACTACCGTGCATATCTCAAACTCATCAACCATCACTTCTTCGGCGACCGAGACCAATTCATTCGCGGTATTCTTTTTTACCGTCAGTTTCGTTCAGACATGCCCAACGTCAAGCCACCTAAATCAATGTTGGTCCAAGTAGTGGAGCGGCTGCAAGAGCTGAAGGTACCTGAGGCCGTGGATTACTTCTTGGATGAAATCAAACAACGTACTCAACAACCACCCAGCATCTACGTCCTAGTGCGGGCGATGATTACCTTCGCTATGTCCTCGGATGCGAAAAGTGTGCACCGGATCTACAACATGTTGATTGAGCATCATGGCCTTCCTAGGAGCCGAAGAATCGTGAGCCCTGTCCTTATGGTCCACGCTAGGCTGGGTGACGTGCCCGGAGCACTACGCGAATTCGAAAGACTCTCGGCAGAGTTCAACCTCACACCCAACACATCTTGCTGGAACATGATAATCCTGGCTCATGTCAATGCTGGAGACTTGCAAGGTGCTCTTTCGACGTTCTCGGATTTGTTGGCAAGTGGAGAGTCTCCCGATGCCTACTCATTTGGTCCATTGTTGATGCTCTTCTCGAAGAGAGGAGATGTGGCAAATGTTCGCCGGCTAATTAAGGAAGCCCAATTAAGAGGAGTGAAAATGAACACAACATTGCTTGACAAGGCTGTCCGGGTGTACTGCTCCAGTGGAGAACTTAGGTTCGCCGAGGAGCTCACTGAGGCAAGTGTTGATCTCGTTGAGGGGTCTACTCTGCGAATGTGGAATGTCCTTCTCTTGCACTACGCGCGCAGAATATCCAAGTATTCCTTCCGCCGCATTTTGGATCGCATTGGCAAGCTTGGCTTAACACCGGATGCCTGGACTCACGCAGCCATCATGCTTGCTTACTCTTTGAGCAACCAACCTGATTTTGCACGAAATGCCCTCCGAACCATGCACCGGTCGGGCTTGCGGCCGACTCAGCATCATTACTCTATCCTTCTACTTGGCTATCTGAGACGGCGCAATCGTGATATGGTGCATGTCATATTTCGCGAAATGGAAACCCGCTTCGGCCGACCTGGGTTGAGTGCGAGCTTGTTGAACCTGCAGATGCAGATCAATCGAGATTTGGAGAACGTACACGACAAAAACACGCCTGCCGAAAGTATTGTCCTGGAGCAGGCCGAGAAAACACTCATGAAATCGATTGAGAACTTCGCTGCCAACCCCACCGCTGCTACGCATGCTTCACCCATGACGGCCGAGGGCTCCTCAGTAGATCTTGCCACCACGATGCATTATCAACATTTGGTCACCAACTACGCCGTTGAAGGGTCAACTGAGAAAGCCTTCGAAATGCTTGACCAATACATAGCCCACCGGAAGCTTGCAGGAGTACATGACAATGGCTTGGAATCCTTACCGCTTGGTTTTGTCAAGGCGGTCATGATACTCTATCAAAAAACCCAACAATTTGACAAGGTGGAGGACTGTTGGCATGTTTTGATGGGCAAAGTTCATAAGCTTGCTGGTAATGTGGACCTTGGCAAGGTTTTCTCAAAGTCAACATCCGAGTCATCTCTTGCCTCGTCGGATGACTCGAACTCAGCAACGGAAGGCAAGGTTCTCCCGTCTCGGCGTTTCATGTTGGACTATCCATTCACAATTTTCATGCGATCACTGGCTTGTCGGGAGCAGTTTGACAGGATACACGATGAGGTGGCCAAGTTTCAGCAGGCAGGCTTTGCCCTGAGTGGTATGAATTGGTCAAACTATATCGCGTCTCTTGCGTCATCAGACGATACCAAGGATATTGTGGTTGCTTTCCAATTGTTTGAAGAGAAGTTCATTCCTCATTTCCCTGGGTGGTCATGGATGAAACAAGGATACGGTATCAGACCGCTTCACTGCCCTGTCACCATTCACCATCTCGATGGCAAATTTGGCATGAACAAACCCCGCAGGATGATGGGTAGACACGCCATCAACCACTGGCGGAAAATCGAGCCCGACTACATGCACCCTGATTATCCAACCATGGTGCTACTCGCGGCCGCCATAAGACGCCTCAGAGATGCGAGTATCGAGGAGGGCCCCGAGCAAATGAGAACTCTCCATCTCACTGCAACGAACACGTTCGAGACCATTGCAGAAATGCCACGATTGCCTGACAAATACCAGGGTGCATTGCTTCGCGACAGAGAAGTTTTCCCTGATGCACTCTCGTTCCCAGTTAAGATCTTCACCACCCGAACAGGTGCTCTCGGCGTTGAGCGCGGCCCAACAACACGCACCTTCGCTCATGCAACCTACGAACCTCTCGATCTTGACATCCACCTGACAAGGAATTCCGTCGACGAGCAGAACGTTACTCGATTACTCCCTGCCGAAGAGCGTGCCAGTTTGGGTGCTCTGGCAACCGTCATTCCTCGCGAGGACCGTATCGCCATCGAACAGCAATTCTACGAGTACAATGAGCTCACGAGAATCTGGAAGAAGCGAAGCGCGCACCAGAAGAGACTCATCGAGAGAGCCAGACGTGAAAACAAGGGCTTGATGTATGGCATTCCGGTCGAGTTCGTCATCAACAAGTACAAACCAAAGAAGTTGAAATTGGAAGAGCAATTGTTCGACAAGTATTATCGAACTTGGAGGCTTAGGAAACCCACATACCTGCTGTACAAGCCGGTCACGGGTTATCCGGAGCAGCGAAAGTACCGTGCCTACTCCGCGCAAGGGTTGTCACGGCGCGGTGTAGGACGGAAGAGAACGAAGAGACGAGAATTTCCAACCATGACACGCCAAGAGGCGTCTGTCATAGGCAGGGCTAGAGTTGCCCGTGCCATTGAGGCTCGCAGAGCCGCCAAGGCCGCCAAGGCCGCTCAGCTGGCCCAGGCTGCCCGGGCTGAAGAGCTCATCACAAACTCTGAAGTGTAACATACATAGATTGTGATTTATTGTTCAGGTCTCAGTTGACCTGTTGTTTCTATATGTTGATTTTAGTCTTGTACAATACATATTCCTTTTTAGCATCGATTTCTCGCTTCGGTCTAGGGCTGTTCAATGAACTCCATTCATGAATGCCTACTACCTAGTAGAGAGATAGTCTACGGATTAGCAGTGTAGCCTGGGATCGCCAATTTAACGAAGCATTGAGTATTCATTCATATTTATCGTAGTGATTCCATTGATATCTCCCTCACGCCAAACACCGTACACAGAAAACATGCAATGATATCAAGTCCCAATGCAATCAAGCACAGGAAGTTCAAAAATCCGGATACGTCTAGCATCCTCAAAAGATAAAAGACACCAGTAGTCGATGAGATTAAATACGGTACACATTGTCATCATCTTCAAGATACATCAGAATGTTCTCGTCGTTCATGACACGTAGGGCTTGAATAGCCTCGGAACGGGAGAAGACCTGTGTGGCACCGTGTTTGGGTGACTCTCGGATCGTGGTATTGACGACATCAATGAGGTCGTTCACCGCGCTGGTATCACTATCCGCGAAGACACGCTTGCCCATGAGCAGACCCAGAGTCTGCTTGAAGACTGCCATACGAGCTGGGGTAATGGGTGTGTCTGTAGAGGACGTGCCTTGTGAGTCGGTCTGTGTCTCCATGAGCTGTGAAGCTGGGTGAGAGGACACAAGAGACATTTGGGAGTCTTCATTTTGTGACTGGGTCTGGGTCCGGGCTGTTTGGCTGGAGCGTACTCGCTGAGCACGAGGGCTTGCCGTGTAGAGGCTGTCTGGATCCTCATCTTCATCGGGGGCTGGAAGGCTGGATGCCGGTGCGGTCCCACGGGACCGGCCCGTACGTCTGCCTGGGGTTGCGGTCGATGTAGCGCGGGCAGTGGTGTCATCGTCATCGGAGTCATCGTCAAGTTCAGCATCGCTGTCATCAGATGAGTCGTCAAATGACGTCACCTTGCGTCTCTTGCGGCGCTCATCCTCGACGACTTCCTTGAACATCGCGAAACGGAGAATGGCCTCGGCGTGTTTGGCATCCTTTTCCTCAACCCGGCTAGAAAGACGAGCCTTGGCATGCGCCGTAGACAGACGAATCAGCGTTTCGAGAGTACGCGGCGTGATGGGAGATGTGCGACGCTTGTTGCCAGTAAGCTCGTCGTTTCGGAGAGCAGAGTACGTCGCAATAACGTGGTCGGCGGCACCCTTGGTCAGAACAGGCTGAATACGCTTCTTGGCATACTGGATGTACTTCTTGATGAACGGAATGCTGATGATCTCGACATTCTTGCCCCGGCGACGACCAGCGTTGGCGGCATCAATCATACCACCGTGAAGCATGACGTTGAACTTCTCAAATACCTCGCTGGGTCCATTGGCATCTTGGCGATCATCAGTGCCCACGCCCAGCGTTTGGTTGAGCTGTTCACGAACGGGGGCACCTTCTTCGGTGCCAGGTTGGCGGTAGCGGTGCATACGCAGAACGTGCTCGGAGATCCTTCGGTCGTGAGTGTCCTCAATATCGTCGGTCACAACGAACAGCAAATCGAAACGGGAAAGTAGGGAGTCGGGGAGAGCAATGTTCTTGTGGGGATCTTTGTGAGGGTCGTATTGGCCATAGATAGGGTTGGCAGCCGCGAGAACACTGCATCGAGCATTCAAACTTGTGTGAATACCGGCCTTGGCAATTGTAACAGTCTGTTGTTCCATGACTTCGTGAATAGCCACACGATCGACGTCACTCATTTTATCGAACTCGTCAATGCACACCACACCACGATCACCAAGTACCATGGCACCAGCTTCCAGTCGGCGCTCGCCGGTTTCTTTGTCGGAAGTTACAGCGGCAGTCAGACCGACACCCGAAGATCCTCTACCGGTAGTAGCAATTGCCAGGGGTGCAGTGTTCAACACAAAGCGGAGGAGCTGAGACTTGGCAGTCGAAGGATCACCAACCATGAGGATGTTGATGTCACCACGAAGGTGGGTTCCGTTGTCCAGATTCTTCTCCATTCCACCGAGAAGCATGAGAAGAATTGCCTTCTTGATGTAGTCGTGGCCGTGGATACTGGGAGCCAGCGACTTGGATAGTAGTTCAAAGACATTCTTCTTCTTAGCAATCTTGTTGATGTTTCGGATGTCGGTATCCGTAAGAGTAGCCTCGGCGATGCCTCCACCACTCTTCGAGGACAGTTGGATAATATTATTCGCCATGACCACAGTGCGGAAGGTCGACGAGCCATTTGATGCGTTGCGGTTACCGAGCGTACGGTAAATTCCCACCAGCTGGATTCTGTCACCAGGCTTTGCGGTATCAACAAGGTCGTCGTCCAGAATAACATCGACACTCCGAGGCAATTGACCGGCCGGGGCACGTTCGGGCATTTCTTGGATGGAAATCGATTGGTGATCGAGGTAGGTGGAGTAACCGTACTCGGTAATAAGCTGGCAATCGTGATATTAGTATACGTATATCGTCAATCGGTGCTACTGGAAACTCACAGCATTCTTCTCATCGTCTTCTTGAGGGTAAACATTCAACGTGGTAGCTCCACTGGCAGTCATCGTTTGATCGCGGTATTTTCTGGAAACAAAGCGCTCTTTCGCGGGTACATAGTGAACACTCTGGACAATCTTCGGGCGAACCAAAGAGCACTTCGTGACAATGCCCTCCAGGGACACCATGTGGTTCAATTGTTGCGATCCGAGGGTGCGGGGGTTGCATGAAAATTCTCCGAATGCGCCAACGTAGGCACAGTAATAATTCTATCAAGTATGTTAGAAACTAGATGATGGTGAGGGTCAATCATGCAGGAACGGACCGCGTCATCGGATGTTTCTTTGCTTGGACGTCCAGGGAGTGTTTTGACGACGGCCTTCAAGGCAGTGTCGAAAGCTACCGAATAATCAAACGGCGAGGATAGCAGCCTACGAGAGGTAAGATTAGCCCATCATGCCCATCCCAAATGAAGATCGATGTTCATGGAACTTACCCATCCGCAAGCTCACGGTTGTGTGCTCTGATCTCATCAATGCTGACCTGTTCAAAAATGAGTGACCACTTCCCACAACAGCATAGCTGGTTCACGTACTGTCAAGCGTCGCAGACCGCGATTAAGCATAACCACGATGTCGGCGCGATAACTATTTTCGTTAGATTGGCATCAGCCGCAAGTAAGTTAGACGAACCTGCGTGCTCGGGCATCGTCTAAAAAAGTACGTTAGCCCCGTTGACAATAAGAATGAACAAAAACCTACTCGGATCGAGAAATTCGGTGGCCGAGCGCACGCGATCTTGCGCGGCCTCATCACGTAGTTGGCCTTCCATGATGTACGATAATATGGGGGGGAGGTTATGAAGGGGAGAGTCGAGGGGAACGATCTCTGACCTCCCGATTGGGTTTAATTGGCAAGAACGCGTGTGAGTCGCGTGGCCTGAGGCAGACTTGTCTCACGCGTCTGGTCTTATGTAAGCGACTAATTTTTTCCCGGGTATATATAGCTGCTCGACCTCCCAGAACTTTTTCTTCTTCAAGCGACTCTACGTTAGTGATCCCTCCCCCCAAAGTTCGAAACTACTTTGGAAATTCTTCTTGAATGTTTTGCTGACCATTTCCCAACAGTTCAAAGAATCACTTTAGAGTAGACGTCCTCTTTCTAAGCTCTTTAAAAGAGCCACAGAATCTCCACCCTTGCTGATGACTGAATGTCCTCGGTGCCCTAAAGTGAAACCTTTTTACTTCCGCCTCGACTGTCACGCGTGCTGTTCGCAGTGTCTGTGTTTCGGTCCAGGGAGTGGTGATGATCTTGACCTGGTCTCGGCGTCTGACTTCGGTCGGCTGGTCCTGGTGGGTGTCGAGGAGGTCTGAAAGGTCCTTTTCTTTTTTTTTTCATCGTCATGTTCGGCAATGCCGAGCTTTCGGAGAAGAAATCATGCAGGGTTTTCTCTTGATTCCCATGCATAAGAAGATCATCTAGTACATAGTTACCTAGCAACGAGAGCCCATTCAGGTTCGACATGATTCGCCATTCATCAAGGCCCACTCAGATCCACAAGAAGTCCTGAGGTTGTAAAAGACTGCCGCTTTGCTTTGAACCTACAAGGTCTTCTCGTTTCCTTGACGCGCTACCGTCACCAGGTTTTCTTTTCTTTGCAGGGGCTCTTCTCACAAGATTTTCGTCGGTATCATAACAGTCTGTCTTCAAAGAGGACCGATTCAGTTCAATGACTTGCGATGCTGAAATGTGTTTGTCGCTGAAGTAAAAAATCTCGGTGTCCAAGTAATTTGTGAGAATCCATATCAATGACTACCTGGGTACATAGACATGGGTCCATGGGTCCGGGTGTGCGGTTCACTGATCAAAGCATATTAGTACATGCGCGAGGTTCTTACCCGTGGACCTATCTAGTGTAACAGGAAGAGCGCGTTGAGAGTCTGACGAGGAAGACAGCAGGCACTAGTCTCTTCACTACACTTCCTAGGTACAGATACTTCAACTTCAGATGGAGCATGTATTTTAGATAGTTGGCTTGGAAAAAAATTATTCTATTTATCTCTGGTCAATATATACCACGCAGGATGTATGAAAACTTGGAACAGAGTGGTAACGCCCCCCCAAAAAAAGACCAGACTCGATCAAAGGTTGTACACAGTATTAAGATCACATCTCAGCATGTCGTCGTTGAGGATCAATCACAGCAGACGGCTCCTGAGGTCTCCGTATACATTATGGCTGTCTTTTTCTCTCCCGGCGATTGACCTCTTCCATCTCGGCGAGAATGACGCTATTGAATTCCTCCCAACCGTCGAGGTACAAATGGTGGCCTGCTTTATTGACCACAACAACCCTGGAAGATCCTTCGTCGGCGCGACGTTCCTCGGGAGACGCATCTGCAAGAACTCTCTTCTTTTCTTGGTTCATGCGAGCCGCAGCAGCATGGCCACCCGAGACATCCATCCAGTCATGATCGCCATACATGAAGACAACAGGGAAGCCTTTCTCGCGCTGAGCAGGCTGCTCATCAGACGGAGCAGTGGATCCGGGTGCGTCGGACGTTGAGGGAGCAGTAGTGGCAGTTCCTGGGTTAGTGAGGGGGCTATTATTATGAATCAACTGTCGCCCGAGACCCTGGACGCGGTGGATGAGAGGGCTGCGGGCAAATGCACCCGGAGCAAGAATGTATGCGAGGGCATACTCGCCACTACCGCGGAGACTGAAAATAGAGTATGAGTAGTCATGAAGGGCGGATGCTTCTTCGGCTGGGAGATGAGAGAAGCGGCGAGAAGTCCAGCCTGAGACGATGCGGGGACCCAGAGGACCTGCCCAACGGACCAAGCTGAAGGGAGAGATATTGGCTTCCCACAAGTAGGCGAACCACTTGGGCATGTTTCGGCGCGGCGGTTGATTGGACTCTGCAGGTGGTTGACGGCCTGTGATGAAGCTGCCGTCGCTAGTTTTAGGAGCTGTCTCGGGAATGGCTGTGACCTCGCGTTGATCCTGAGTGAGTTCATTGGGTAAGGTCGATGAAGATGGCTCGGTCACGTCTGCAGTCACGGCATATGGATCCTCTGGGATGCCGACTGGAGATGCTAAAATGAGCTTGTTGAGATGGCCAGGATATTTGAGCGCATAGGCGACAGCCATGTAACCACCGAGACTATGCCCCAGCAATGTGAAGCGGTCAATCTTGCGTTTGATGCGCCATTCTTCCAATGCATCAACAAACCAAGCCTCGGCTTCCCTGATAGCTTCTTCTCTGCCCTTGGCCTTGATTTTGAATGCGGGTCGGGTACTGCGACCCATGCCCAGCATGTCCAGGGCATGCAACTGCCAGCCCTGGAGCCGGCTCAGTGGCTCGAAGTTTTTGTAGAAAAAGCCAAGGCCAGCGCCATATCCGTGGAGCATGACCAGATGTTGGTCTGCCTCCTCGCCGATCCTCTCCACCGAAAATTCGTTCAGAGCGCGGTCCTTCCCGTTCAGTTCCACCATACTCGAGGTCCACCGACGAGGACCATACGGGTCATCTTGAGAGCTTGTGGCGACTTCTCCTCGTTGGTTGTGATCTGCCGCCTCCAAGCTACTCGGGGTTGTGCCATTCGGGAAATCAGTCGTGTTTCCAGTCTGGAGGTGGGTGGGAGCGTGGTGATGCAAATATGGTAGATACGAAAGAACTTTGTGTTCCGCTGCTGCTGCGGGCATACGCGCCCACTTTGAAAGGGTTGTTAGCCACGATACTATTTTGGCGTTGGGAAATCGTGGCTCACCCATTGACTGAACCCTTCCCGGTACCCCAACGGAAACATTGCACGCGCCGCTGCTGCGCCAGCTGCTGCGCTGGCAGCGTAGGGTGTTCCTTGCGAGCTGTCACTAGAGTTTCTCTCTGAACGTTGTCCGCGGACGTCCTCTCGGGACGAGTTCAGAGATTCAGAGGCCATTGAGGAATGACGGTGTCCCCGAGGAACAGTGGCAAAGACGTCAAAACGTCTGATGATGCGGTATTGAGGTCTGAAGAAGGCCAGGGTTGACGTTGAGCCTGGGCGTAGGCGCGAAAGACAAAGAGGTTCCAACAAGAGGACTGTGGCGTGTATAAATTGAGGATCCGGAGACAAATCGGCCAGGCCGCTTAACCCCGGTAGGCAGCATAAACCCCGAGATAGAAGCAGACAGTAGATTATAGACAATAGAGACTCGCTAGCGTGCAGTAAGCAGGACAGAGTAAACCATACGAGAGAAGGAAAAAGAGCGAAAGCGACAAGTACAAATTGGCTGCCCTTGAAGTCGACGTCAAGTGGATATTCCGACGCAACTTCCGCCTTCCTCCTTCACATGCGATGACATTGGGCCGGAACGGCCACTTTCTGTCCCCTTTGATCCTAGAATTCACCTCGACTCGGGCTTCTTTTGCACCATGGCTTCGCCTTTGGACCAGGTGATCAAAGGCGCCCCAACATCGGAAGCCCGCGCGCCTTCTGTCCCTCGCTCTGATACCGCGCGCCCCTCAACACCAGACCCGCTAGCGAACCTCCCTTCCTCCCCGCCACAGATATATCTCAACCTCCTGATCCTCGAAACCTCTCTGCGTGCTCAGTACCTTGCGCTCCGTGAACGCCGGCGCCAAAATACCTTCTTCCTGCTCCTTCTCGCCGCTTGGCTCGCCTACTTTGTCTACGCGCTCTTCCTCCGTCCGCGCGAAGATGGCCGGGGTGTCGGTGGTTCCGTCTACTGGGTCGTCGAGATGGGGGAGAGAGTTGCCCTGCTTGGTGGGGTGGTGACTGCCCTCCTGGTCTGGGGAACGGGGCAATGGGAACGGGGTATCCGGTGGCCACGCCGCTGGCTCGCTGTCTCCAATCGTGGCCTGCGAACGATGAATACAAAGATTATTATCATTCGTGGTCCCTTTTGGCAGGAACTGCTTTCCTACCTGGCCTTTTTGTTCCCTTTCTCAGTGCCATTCTTCCCCTCCCCGAACGGCAACTATCAGTTTGTCGAGCAAGACAAGCGCACTGGCAGTCGGCAGCACTACCACTATTACAATGGGGACAGCGAATCCGGGCTTGTAGAGGAAGACCTCAGCCCAGGCGGCGACTACATCCGTCTCCTCCTTCTACCGAAATCCTTTTCCCCGGAGTTCCGCGAAAACTGGGACAACTACCGTACCGATTTCTGGGAAAAAGAGAATGAGCGCCGCTCTCAGCTCCGCATCAAGCTTCGTGAGCGAGAGAAACAGCTAGCTCAAGCCGATGGATGGCTCGGGAGACTCGGACTAGGCTGGCGCGCCTCCCAACGCCGCCGCCTGGTTGCCGCGACCCTCCACCGACCCATCGAGCCTGAGTTCAAGCAACGTCTCGCCCATGGCCACCACACATCTATTTCGAAAGAACGCGCTCCATCACGCCGCCATACACGATCCGAGTCCCATTCTCGCACCTCGTCTCGCAGTACCACGCCCGTCGATATCGATGACCGGCCACCTTCGCGCTCGTCAACGTCTAGCCTACCCCGGAGGGGTAGTACAGCGTCTGGGCAGGAAACACCGCAACAGCGGAAGCGCAAGGGGTCAACGCTCAGGCGGGGTCTCTCACCTCTGACGCAGGCACAGATCCGGGAAGGAGTGCGTACACCTTCGTTCTCATCTGATGATTCCATTCTACCAATGGGACTCAATGAGAAGGATAAGGAGGAGAGTATCACCTCTGCCCCGCAAATGTAATACTGGGGCTGTTCATATCTATACCCTGTTCTTTTAACTGCGACATTGAAGCTGCCCTAAGACCGGCGTGTGTGCATATTGGAATCGATAATAGATAACAAGACGTACTGTACTTTGCAGGTGCGCTTGAGTCCAATTGCGCGTGTGTCCATCAACCTTGGAAGCGCCTTCAACTAGGCCACGTAGATGAGGTACATAAATATCGGAACCGAATCACTGACCTCAATTCTACCTAATTATAACTTGGAGTGGAATCTTAACCATCCCTACTAGGCCCAGACATGCCTAGGTACCAAAAAGGCCATAGAAAAGACGCCAGGAAGACGTGGTTGAAGACATGGCTGACGCAAAATATGTCAGTTCTCCGGCACTTTGAAGCAGTGATATATGCACGGATTTGATGCTTCAAATTTACAATGCTCATGGATAGGACTGAGAGCCTGGGCCCTTGGAAGCTAACTTCACCCCAAACGCTCACCAGCCGCGCCCCTCGCAGGCCCAGAAACACTCTGCCTGCGATGTCGAGGGCTAGTAGGATAATGCGCCATCAAACGCGCCGAACCCAAAGAGGCCGCATCCCGCTCATCTGTCGACACGCCAACCCCAGGTGTCGTATACCCACTCGCAATGGGACTGATCATCCCGGAACCATGGCTACCCGATGATTTGGGTCTTCTCAACGAGAAGTAACCACCGCCCCGATCAAAACTCCCACTACTGTTGCTCCCAAAGCTGTGACCTAGCTCCCCAGAACTGGAAAGATAGGAGCCAGAGAAAGGTGCTCCGTTCTGGGAGCCGCGCGCAGCTCGCGGCTGAGAACGAGTCGGAGCAAAAGGTTGGGGTGTCATGAAAGGGAGTGGGAGGCGTGGCGTTGACGATGACATGCCGATATGCTCGTTCGAATTGGACGGGTTGTCGGGTCTAGCGGATAGAGCGAGAGAAAGGCCCGTCCCAGTACGTCGATCAGACGTTGTCAATGAAGATGTTGTGAGTGAGCGGTGGTGGTGTCGAGATCCAAACCCATTGGACGCTAGGTCTGCTGCCCCAAGTAGAGATTGGAAATTACGACAATTGCGGGAGTCATTTTCACACAGCGGACTGTTTAAAGTACTCCCGGCGTACGTGCTGGCGCTAAGTGTGATCAGTTGCGAAGGGAGCTCGAGTCGATTGTTAAGAGAAAGCCAGGCACGCTCATCGGCGTCAACAGTCGGATCTACATCGCTGATGCTGGACGAAGACGAGGTCCAAGTGGTCTTTTCATGTGAGCTGCGTGGCTTGCATGGGTAGGAGCGCCAGCCGCCCACACCCTCGAAGTCTCGTCGTTCATCACCACTGATAGGGAAGCCGTGATGAGTTGGTGGAGATAGGTGGGCCTCAATCATGCTCTGAGCATATGAGCTCTTTTTACGGTAGTCATCAACGGTAGATCCCAGAGTCCAAGAAGATGTTGAGTCGTGCTTGCGTTGTGCTCCATGATTGGAATTTCGTCTAGATCTACCACTGACGGGCGTTGGAGGCTCCGAGGCCACGAAGGTCAGTAGTGAGGATGTGGGCGAAGTTGGAATCGACAAGGAATGCACCAATATGCCGTAGACGAGCTCCACATAGATCACCGAAATTCTCAGTATGAGGGCAAAAAGGGCGATGGAGATTGTCACACATGCCGACAGAATGAGGGGAATGGAGATGATGGCTAAGATAGGCAGTGCTATCAACGTTGTTACTGTGGACCCCATTGAGAGCTCCAAGTCTCCCAGTCCCCCCAGGGCAGATCAAAACTTCATGACAGTTTAAATGGGGAAATGAAGGTGAAACGAGAAGCGTCGAGTGTTTTGCGGAGAAGCATGTGATGACCCCGATTACATCACTTCCCCGGTTTTTCGACTTGATCGTTTTTTGTTTCTGTGCTTTTTGTTCTGTTCAGACGAATTCTCCATCTTCGACCGTTGGCTCTTCTCGGACATTCACCATGCCTGAGCCATTCCCCTGGGAAATCGGCGTCCATGATGCCCATTGTCACCCCACCGACACGATGGCCTCGGTGTCCGACATCCCGCACATGAAAACAACAACACTGACGATCATGGCCACACGCGGAGATGACCAGGACCTTGTACAACAGACAGCCGAGTTATGTTCGGTCCAATCAGACACAGATCACATTGATCGCATAGTCCCATGCTTCGGCTGGCACCCATGGTTTTCGCATCAAATCTCGAACTCAGCTTCATCAGACACCCAAAATAAAAAGGAACACTACAACGCCGTCCTGACACCCTCGCCAGCGGATGATCAACCTTTTATCGACATACTTCCTGATCCAAAGCCTCTCTCCGAGCTTATCTCAGAGATCCGGGCCCGGCTCCAAAAATTCCCTACCGCCCTAGTCGGCGAAATCGGTCTAGACAGATCATTCAGAATACCAGGTCCATGGACAGCCGAAGAAATCGAGAATCGCAATGGTGAAGTAACACCGGGCTCGCGCGAAGGTCGTCGTCTCTCACAATACCGCGTCAAGCCAGAGCACCAGCGCATGGTCCTGAAAGCGCAGCTTCAATTAGCGGGAGAGATGAACCGGGCCGTCTCAGTACACAGCGTGCAAGCACATGGTGCCGTGGTCGATGTCTTGAAAGAAGTTTGGGCAGGCCATGAACGAGTGAGTCTCTCGCGGCGAAAAAGAGATAAACAGCGGGACGCCGAAGGGGCAGAGTTCGAGGAAGAAGAAGTCGCTGTTGCCAAGCCAAAACTATTCCCGCCTCGCCTTTGTATGCATTCTTATTCTGGATCTGTGGATCCTGTTCGACAGCTCATCCACAAGTCTAACCCTTCGGATGTCTACTTTTCATTCTCCGGTTTGATCAATTTCAACGGTGCCCCGGCAAAGAAGATTGCTGATGTTGTTAAATCTTTGCCGGAGGACAGAATTTTGATTGAGAGTGATCTTCATAAGGCTGGTGATGAGCTTGATGACTTGATGGAGGATGTAGCGAGGCGAATCTGCGAACTTCGTGGGTGGGAGCTCAGGCATGGCGTTCAGTTGCTAGCTGAAAACTGGCGACGTTTTGTCTATGGCTAGATGACTGTTGCATTATTGGCGAATATGCATTTCAAGGGCGTAGGTAACATTTCATGCGGAGCAGTTCCGACTCGGCGTAGGAATGCAAATGTTTCTTGGAATTTTTGAACAGTTCAAGACTCCTTTGCTGCCCAGGGGGCATATCTCTAACATAGGCCTGGGGCCACAAACACAAAATGTACGTAGGTATGTTCAGGCCGCGAGAAGATCTATTGGACCTGAAAAATGGCTGGCTACAAACTAATTGAATCTTGTATGGCACGGCTTTGATTATATGACATGGTTTGAATCTATCATTGTACGTCGTTTGTGACATTGTATCATAGGCTGTCTTGAAACATGATGCCTGGGTATGTCTGTGGCCTGACATCGTATGTGATAAAGGTTGTGCGCATATTTTGCGCCCTGGCGTAGCTCGTCTCGTCGTCAAAATGGGAAGAAAGGTAAGTGGCGTGGGGGTGTTGGGTGATGAGAACCCTCTTTAGAAGATATACAGGAGTAGGAGGACATGACTATTAGTGGCCCCATCCACCGTCATGGATTAGATCTGCCATCGGAGCATCCTGCCAATAGATCTGCCGCCACTCGTCTTCCAGCTCGGGCAGACCTTCGACTCCCACAGGAGGTGGTAGGTCTATATCTCCAAATGAAAACAATTGTCGCCAATCGGGATAGTCCCGAGCCGGCTCTATGGAATCCACTTGCATGCTGCTTGAATAAGGATCGTTTCTTTCCATTGGGCCGACATTGAGCCGAAGAGGAGCAATCCAGTTGTTGAATTGTGGAGGGTTGGGCTGAGGTGAGAGAGTGTTCTGGTGCAGAGAAGACTGAAGGGATGTGGTCGACTCGGGGGTGGGCACACCGAAAGAAAGCGGTCGAGGGGTTTGCATGGTAATCGAAGGGACGGGAGATGCGATATGCATGGGCATTTTGTGTGCATGGGGCTCGCCAAAGGGCTTGGGCCGTTCCGTGGTTACCATTCGAAGATCCTCTTGGAGGCGCTTGGAGTCCTCAAAGAGTCGCAGTATCGTACCAGCATGGACCCAGTACTGAGCCAATTCACGTAGCGAGTAGGATGCTGAGTCAAATCGCCGTAAAGCGTTGATGGCAAGAACTGGATTTGAGAATCGGAGTTCGACTCGAACCTGGATCATGGCAGTGAAGAGCGTGTGAACACCAGTGTACCAGAGGTACTTCAAGCGATCGTTCATCCTCAACTCTTCAAAGATGGAGGCGATGACACCAGCCGCAGCACTGCAGATTTCTGCGTCATGAGGGCCATAGTCATCGGAATACGCCGAGGCTCTGGGATGTGGCCGATGCAAGAGAATGAGGAAATTGTTGTAGGTTAGATGGAGCATTGCGGACCAAGGATCCATGTCCGACGCTCGCAGCCGAAGATTATCAGGAAGTTTCAAGGACCAGGTGGCAAGGGATCCATCTGCTTCCTGGAGGACTGCCTTCCGTCGCTCCTCTGTGGTCCGAAGGCCGAATCGGTCGCGGATGAGGTACGAGATCATTGTGCATAGCTCGGTGAAGTTCATCACAAATTCGGCTTGCACATGCGGACCACAATTCTCGAAATCCGCAGGTGTTAGCGGAGACACATCAGAATCGTCCAGATTAATCGCCTGCGGTCGACCGTATGACAGGGATATCATCACATCAAACTGGACCAAGATAAACCACACCCTTCTCCACATTCGCCTATCGCGAGTCACGAAGCTGCTTGAGACGGGATTGCGGTGCATGCCAAGTCCTGTGGCAATCCGTGCCGCCGCGCCAACCCAGAAGTGAGCGTCCGCAGCGACATCGTCATCTGCGCTATCGGAATGCCAGGTCAGAAGAAGCGCCGCTTGAACAAGTATGTCGCGGTTTCGCTCTATACGATTATCGAACAGGTACTTGGTGCGGCGGAAGAATATTTCCTTGAGAGCATCCCGCTCTAATTTGCCGCGCGACACATGTGCTCCAACCAGCAGAATTGCCTGGAGGAGTAATATGGGTGGGGGATCTGCAGGGTCCCGATTTCGATATTGGGTCATGAATAAATCCTCGTCGACGATGGGGTAACCTGGGTTGACATAGGTGAAATACGCCTGAACCAGCTCATCAGCCAAAGGCGGTTCTGGGAGTGTAAGAGCGTCCGTGAGCAGCTGATCATGGCCCGCCTTCATTTGGCGCCGTGGAATTTCATTGCTGGCAAAATGATAGACATCGTCATCTTGATCACGTTGTTGCCGGATCAGGAAGGACATATTTGAGAGTTCGTGCCCAACATAGAATGCCCGCACGCCTCGTTGAATCTCTCTTCTCCCTGATTCCTCTTCGTCTATCAACTTCACGAGATGTTGCTGCATCTCGCTATGGGCCTCCTGGGCATGCGCCAGATCAGGGCCTTGGCGGCCGAATGGCTCTGGTCCCGTGCCTGGTGGGAAGCCATGTTGTGGAAGGGCCCCCGAGGTGGAATTGCCATGGCCGTTTGGAAACGCAGTGGGAAAGCTTGGTGGTATTGGTGTTCCCGCAGCGAGAGAGGGGTTCGAGGTTTGATCGGTCAATGGTAGAGGCCGAGACCGGATTGGAACAGGATCAAGGATGGACCGCACTGCAAGGCGCTTCTTCTTTTCGTGTATACGGCAGTCGGTTTTTCCAGAAGCGCGACAGTTCGTGCAGGGTGTTCCGACTGAGCGGGCATCACAGCGAACCTTGCGCCGGTGACAATGAACGCAAGCCGCAGAGCCTAAGAGTTTTTTTGAGTCACCGGTCAGCAACGAACTTTGTGGGATTCCGTTTGACCACGAAAGGGGCCCGGGATCGGGTGTATGGGCATCAGGCAAGATCACCCTAATTATACGAGTGCTTACCTTGCTTGCGCTTGCTCACCCCATCGGCCGGGAGCGGCGAGGGGGCGTTATCGTTGACGGAGGACATGGCAAGAGTACTATTGACATCATTCTAGGTCCAAATTGGCCAGAATTCTGCATCCTTCAAGGCAAGTTCACCGCTCAGTTCAAGGTATCATATCTTCCAATCCGATTGCCGAGGGACAGCAATCACAAAGAACGAAAAAAGTCGGGAAGTTGAGGGAACTGCGGCATCGGGTCCGGTGGAGCCTCACGTGGATGCGGAGAAGATTATGTAAATCGGCCCCGGTGCCCCGATTAGGGTGTACTTTATTTGAGCCCTCGGACTTCCTATACTTTGACTGATGCCAGTGAGGCAAGAGTGAAGATGTATATTCATGAGGAAGAATTGAAAAACCGGATATGACCATCGTTCGATAGGATCTATTGTGATGACTTGTTCCCAGGTGGGTGGCGAAGAGGCGAATGTGAGGTTGAGCATCATACTCATGTATCGTTTTTGTCTGAGAATCTCCCTGGATATCAACAAGCATAAATCAAGTCTAGATCGGTCATACTTCTCGGATATTGTGAATACTCGCCAGGCCACAGCTCTGCAGATACCTAGGTAGTCACGCTCGACAGTCCGAACCAGAGAAACCATCCATTCCACCTGCTCAGGTCTGGGACTCATGTGCCACCTGGGTACTCCAGATCATGTCCAGGTGAACCTTGGAAATGAGATGGTACGGTATCATTGTGAGATTCAACTCTGTACTATATATGCTTTCATTTTACGGAAGCTGATCCGCAATCAATCGGGACACGGTAACTCATGTATGCAGCTGAATTCTGCGTACTCCGTATTGAGGTTGCTTATACCTAGATAGAGAATAAATTTCCAACCGTGTGGAGCAAAATATTCAGGTAGTGTCCACGAGTTTCGTTCCCAAGCGTCACCGATACTCACATTAAAAAGATCAACATCTATCAGGATCAAGATTCCGCCCAGCCTAGGTATGATTCCAATATTTTGGCTCTGTGTGGTCGTCCTTGGACTTCTCTTGAATTTCTGAACTCTATCCAACCGCAAGTGCATACTCGGTACATGAGTTCTATGTGCTAGTTCAAGTGCCCAGGTGGGTTAGCAACAAGAGGTTCATTTGTCTGTATTTACAAATTCCAACCCGAAAGCTCATACCTAGGTATAAATCAGCGCGTCATATTCACGAGAAGGTATTTAACTTGAGCAGAAAAATTCAGGTCCTACCCTCCCGTTATCTGAAGGAAATTTTTCACGTCAGAACTTGGGTTCAGATGGTGCGTGAAGAGGGAGGAGTTGCTACTAGTTATATTTGAAAGCTCTGTGCAGTGTTGAAGGGAAGGATAATGGACACCCAATAGCTCAACAGCGAGCTCGAAACAACCCTGGGATGAGACGCTGAAAACTCTCCCATCAAGCTAAATTGATATGATACGAATGTTCGAGCAGCTCTTTGCATACGAAATGAAAACCAGGATCGATAGTCTGATGCTTTCATAGGGGGAGCAGGTAAACGCCTCCAAACTCTTCATACGCGAGCTAGTAACCTATACTAGTCAAGTAAGCTGCGAACTGCCTGATAATGCTTGCGGCGTCTCCGGGTGGCACTGTTTCAGGATAATGTGCGACAATGATCGATTCCGATGATTTCATCACACAGACACCCTCCCCATCCTATTGTACTCACGATTCAATAAACCATTAGCTTGTGTCTCGGTCGGATAGCTTACCTTTTGAGCATAGATACTTTGATCATCCGCTCTGGTGACCTGAAGCTTTTCCCCTGCAATGTATAGTCCTCCGGAGTATAGAGGGATGGAATCATCAAAGCCCCTCAGGATGTATTCGATTTCTTCTAGCTGAACCTGTTGGATGATATCCAAGTTCAATGGATGAGCCCTGAGTAATGAAGGGCCAAAAACTTACATCAAACCCAGGAGTTGATGCGAATTCGGCATCGCCTGCTGCTGAGAATATGGCGGCCTTGTCGATTTTGTTGGACCCGACCAGGGTCTGATCGACCCACCCTGGTTGACTTAGCCAGTAATCATGACAGTGAGTCCATGACATACCTTGCCAGCTCATGATCAATATAAATAGAGCGGGGGACTGGTAACGGAGGAGGGATGGTCTCCGCCAAAGTGTCGAGGGGTTGTGAAATTTAGTTAGCCAATGAGAACTGACTATTTGCGAACTCCGATTCCACGGACTGTACGGAGTACGGAGTATGGAGTAGATTTTTGTTTCTGTGTAATTTGGAAGACCCCTAATTGACACTAACGACCCTTGCTTACGAGCCAAGCTCCATCCACGCTGAATGCTTACCGACACACCGCTGGAATAGGTAGCCCTCAGGTCATGATACAAATTTCAGTAATCGACTAAATGTGCTTCGCTGGCTTCGTCGGGGCCCAAATGTTATCTTCATCTCTTTTCTTTTGTTTTCCCCACTGTGTAGTGGGATCTACGGAGGATGTACGGCGAATATTCAACCATGTCAAGGTTGTAACGAGCTAGACAGCATCAAACAGTTGTGAACCTGGGGGGAACTCACCCGCAAAACCTCTCGAATAGCTCTCGAGGGTAGCCTAGGAACGTACCATCGGCATTTCCTCTTTGAGGTGCTCCGCAGTATGTACGGAGTAGCACCAACCTTAAAGCCCCGAGCCTCAAGATACCTGGGGCTTCTCGATTGGCCCCGAAATTTGCACTAGTTTGTAGATCGCCTTGGCTCCGCTTTGTTCTCCGACGTGAACGCTCGATGTTTCCCCTGACAAGGAATCTGTCACTGCTGGAGCCTTCTGATACGTTGAATGGCGGTAAAGCGACACAAAATGCCTAAGGCCTGCACTGAAAGGGGTAAGATCACCGCCTCGATCGATAGTCTCAGCCGTCTTGATGCAAGGCCAACACACCGTGTCAGCTCGTGTTCTGGGCTTTTGACAGCATCGCTGACTCTCTTGCGAAGTTTCCATTGGGTTTTCTTATTTCACTTAGTACGGGGTGCACACCTGAACCCCTTTGTCGCTCCACGTATGGAGGGCCCAAGAATCTGGATTCTACTAAGGCTCACTTCCCAGCATGCACGAGCCAACCATACCTTGCCGCAAATGCGACAACGCCAAATAATATGTGGACACCAATTGATTTGATGGCCAAGCCTGAGCAGCAGATTGGGCGCCGCAAAAGCCACTCATGGTTGGTCAATTATCACCGGATCGGCAGATATGAGTACACAGGAACGGATCCCTGCGCCGGGGGCCATGTTGGAGCTGAGTTCGCCTTTCACGCCTTTCCGTACGCTGCGTCTTCGGTTAACTCGAGTCAATACAATTGAGATTCTCGTAAAATGCCCCTATAATTAGACTGGTCCATGAGATTCTGAGATCCCGCAACCGCAGGATACATATCATTGCCTGTGCCTCCCCAGCATCAAAAAATCCAATCTACAATGAAATGGTCTTTTCTGTTTTGCTGTGGACTGGCCGCTGCGTCAGCTCTCAACAAACCTCCAATTAAGAAGTTCGAGCTTGATCTTACTTGGAGCAGTCGAGCGCCGGATGGTGTTGAGCGAAAACAAATCTTGGTCAATGGACAGTCTCCTGGGCCCCCTCTCATCATTGAGGAGGGCGACGAGGTTGAGGTGACAGTCAACAACTTCCTACCGTTTAACACTACAGTCCATTACCATGGAATTGAGTAAGATCGCCCCCCAGAGAGTATATTTCCTCATTATTGATGCACAAAAAAAAAAAAGACAACAGGGTACATCTTGGTCAGATGGCGTGCCTGGCGTGTCTCAAAAATTGATTGCACCTGGGCGTAAATTCGTTTCAAAATTTACTGCCACGCAGTATGGAACATATTGGTGAGCTTTCTTGTGTCATAACCAAATGAACACAGCTAATCTTTTTTCGAAGGTACCACTCGCACTCCAGAGGGCAGAACATGGATGGTCTTTACGGAGCGATCTACATCAGGTCTTTTAACCCATCGACAGTCAGCGCTCAAAAATGACTGACCAATTAACTAGACCCCGAGAGATCCCCGAAAGCCTCGTAAATGCAATTTCCAACGACAGTCTGGCTCGTTCCCAGATCCAAAAGGCATTCCAAGACCCACAGTTGCTCATGATATCTGACTGGTTTCACAACACATCCGAAGAACTTCGCCAGATCTCGCTATCTGCAAACATTGACACCCTGTGAGTGAAGAATTTGGAAAAGAGAATGTCACTAATTGCGGGCTCAGATGTGTGGATTCTATCTTGATCAATGGCAAAGGAAGAGTGCGCTGTGTCGATCCAGGCTATTTGACCAGTCTAGTACCTCCTCCTTTGTCACCTCTCCTTCAAGGCCAAAATTTCACAGCAAAGGGGTATGCGTTTCTTAGCAGACCGGAAGTGCTCAAGCTGACTGGGATCGTAAAGATGTCTCCCCACCCACAATACCTTTGCTCAAATGACCTCGACCCACCACTTTAACAAATTACCACCATCCCTTTTTGACCAATGCAATGCGACGAACACACCAGAAGAGGAGATAAAGGTTGATCCCCACGATGGGTGGATGAGTCTTAACTTGATAGGCGCCGCATCCATCTCAACCCTCACATGTACGTTCTCACGCCCATTTCTGTTGTGCTTTTGTTTTCAGCTGACCAGAATCAAGTCTCTCTCAACAACCATTCCCTGTGGGTATATGAGGTTGATGGCCAATACATCGTGCCAACTAAAGTTGACGTACGGCTCAGCCTTTCCCTGAATTAACCAAGAAAAATGTTGACCAGCACACCTAGGCACTCACACTAACCAACGGTCCCCGTTACTCCGTACTTGTTGAGTTAAACAACAAGCCTGGTGACTATAGAATGACACTAGCAAATGCAGGGCTCAATCAGAAGATCGCCGGATACGGCGTGTTTTCCTACATCAATGGCGATCCTTCTGTGGTAGGAACATCATCACTCAACTACGGCGGTGTCCCGAGTCCGCATGCCATCCTGCTAGATGAAAATACCGTCAAGCCATTGATCCCAAACGCACCAGCTGCGAAAGCAGATTCAACATTCCTCCTTGAAATCGGTCGTATTGAGAAAGCCTGGAAATGGTACCTCAATGGAGATCATTCATACGACTTGTCATTGGAGACGGAAAAGCCTCTGTTGTGGGACTATCAATCACGAGAAAATAGCAGCCTAGTCATAACAACCAAGAACGGAACCTGGGTGGACATCATATTTGATGTCACTGGGAACAAGACGACACTCCAGCCAGGTCATCCGATTCATAAACACTCCAACATGGTCTACGTTCTGGTGAGCCAATTGGTTTCATTTCGCTGAATGCAATCTGGTGCTAACGTGTGGGTGCAGGGCGCTGGATCTGGAAAGTTCAATTGGACCACCGTCGAAGAAGCAAGAAAGGATATCCCAGACATGTTTAACCTGGTGGATCCGCCGAAAAGAGGTGTGTCATTTCAATTATGGAAACATCAGAGTGGCGGCTCACAGGTCATTCCAGATACATTTACAACACTGCCTGCCCTGAAAGGTCCGAGCTGGATGGCAGTTCGATACCATGGTGAGTTGAAACACTTGAGTCCCAAGATTCTTGTTTTGACGTGACTAACTTGTTGATAGTTCAAAATCCTGGGGTAAGCACACGAAAGAACCACAAAGTTTCTCTACTAACAAAGATCACCAAAATAGCCCTTTTTGATCCACTGCCACATTGATCCCCATCTAACAGGTGGAATGGCGTAAGTACTCATTCCCCCGAAGACAAATACTGAAATCATTAACACAATCTCTCAGACTCGCCATGCTTGATGGCATAGATGCATGGCCTGAGATTCCTGAGCAATATGGCCCGACTGGTGAATGGGGCAATGCAACCGAACGACAGTGATGGCGAGTATATAATCATAATATGTATGTCCTTGGTATTTATCCCCGGGCTTGTTCACCTCCAGGTGATTGGGTGTTCTTATAGACCCATCTGGGCAACGCAAAGTAGTTACAAATCGCTAGTTCTTGTTGAACCTAGCCTGTCCCTCTAGACCAGCCTTCATGATCATGCCGAATATCTCGAGGTCCCTTTTGGTGTCCTCAGAGGTAGTCTTGGCTGACTTACCCTCAGCAACAAGCGCATACAACTCCTTCATCTCCAGAGTGTAAGCATCTTCATAAGTTTTTCTCACCATAGACTCGCGGAATGATCCGTCGTCCATTTTTTCACGGATGTGCATGGTGGTAGGCAGGCCTTTGACATAAGGTGAGTCAAAGCAGACCTTGACAGTCTTCTTGCCACCGAAAACCTCAATTGAGGCATCAAAACGCGGCACCTCATCAATGCCAGACTCATAAGATACCGCAAAGGAGGGGAATTGGAACAAGGCACTAATAAAATTAGTATAATCACTTCAACCGAAGATGAAGTCCACATACCTCCAGAACTGGGGCCCTTTTGCAGAACACAGCGAAGCACCAAGAACGCCCTTTGGCATCCCCAGTGCTTCTCTCATAGCACTAAGATCATGAGATCCCAAACTACCGAGGTTCCTCCACTGATTCGCCGTATCAGCATTGACCTCAATACCCAGTTCCTTCGTCAACCCTTGTTCCAAAAACTCTGCGGTCTTGGAAGCCAATTCCTCAGAGTCCTCTTTCCTGTAGTCGCTAAAGACCTTGGGGAAAGTACCCGACTGACCGACGAAGTCCGAATTGGGACCAACAATATCCCGCACGCGCGCATAGTGCACCTGATCAAGAGAACCAATCTCCGAGACCGCGTCGATGAACGCGCTCGTATACCGACGCATATACCCGACCATCACTTTACCAGAAGACTGTTTCTCCAGCTCGATGATACGGTCTGCGTCAGCGAGTGAGAGAGCCATTGGCTTCTCGATGAAGACGGTCTTGTTGTGCTTCAGGCCTAGGAGGGCGTGCGGGACATGGAAGGCGTCGCTGTTGGCGATCATGACAATGTCTACTTCCGGTGAGGCGCAGAGGTCTTCTGCTTGGCGGGTTGTTTGGGGAGTGGCTCCGATCACCTTCTGGGCGCAGTGCGCGAGCGCATTGTCGGAGACATCGCATAGGTATGTCACTTGGAATTTGTCGGATAGGAAGCCCAGGGTTGGGATGTGGGCGACTTGGGTGATTTCACCGCAGCTGTAGGTGTCAGCTGGATCTGTTGAACTTGATATTGGGCTTTCTTACCCGATGATTCCAACGCGGAGGATGGTCATGACGAGTGACGTAATGAGTGGGAAAATAGCCCGCGATTAGGTTCTCCGGGGCTGAGTATTTGGCCGTAGTGCTCGATGTAATTCGAAGGTGACCCTAGGCTCTTCGGAGGGTTAGCCCTGGAGGATTGCTCAGATCACGTAATTGTGTCGAGCGAAAGGAAGTTGAATTGAAGTTGGGTCTGTTGCCCCGCGGAGAGCCCCGCGGGACCCTCTGCGCGGTAGATCTGTATGGAGTACATGTACACTGTAACTTACGCGCGACAAAGCCTTTATTATTTATACTACCCCATATGGCTCAGAAAGTCTTTACCCATCGCCGAGTTCACACCAAAAATAGCGATTTTTCAGAGCTGTATTTTTTGTAACCTACGGTGTAATGATTAATTTTTTCCCATAAACTAATTCGTAACTATTCAAATAATAGAATAATTCTTTCTGAATAACAGAACAAAAGTAATCATAAAATGATTGGTGACCAAAGTGCAAGAGGTAGTTCCGGTGTCAAATATATATATGCGTGCCCATACTAAATTTCGGGTTTTCACCTTTCACCTAGATTCAAAAATCAACAATTCTTAATTGAAAAATTTGACAATGAAATTTAATATACAAAAGTTAATGATTTACCAATTTTAATTCATATAAAAATATTTAAAAAATATGTTTCCATATAAAATTTGGAAGCTAAGTTGGTTCAAAGTAAGGCACTTTTGGTGGGGAAATGGCAGATGGGTAAAGACTTTGTGGGTAGTTCTGTATGTCTAACTAAATATACAAAAAGCTATACAACCTTGGAAGCAGGTGTCTAACACGTGACTAGAGATTCTCACTGAAACCCGGTCCCCGAGCCCTCGGCGTCTAATTAAAGTGGATCGATATCAAGATCGCCTCCGTATTCGCAAGCAAAAAGCCTGAATGCGTCATATTATTTCAAATGCCGAATGGTCTAGGTGAGCTTAAATCACATATTTAAACGCTCGTTCCTAATACTGTTATCCTTCTTCTCCCATTGTCTTCAATCCGAACGCTTCATTATCTTTTCGTCATTCAATACCTACATACCTATACTTCCCGAGGTCACGATGCCGGTTCTATACAGCTACAAGGAGTCGGGGAACAGCTACAAATGCCGCCTACTAGCAGCATTCCTTGGTGTCAAGCTGGACATTGTTGAGATTGATTTCCTCGGCGACGAGCAACATGGCGAAGATTTCCTCGCCATCAACCCTAAGGGAGAAGTGCCGACCCTCGTTGATGGAGACACCGTGCTCACGGACTCGGCCGCCATCCTGGTATACCTCGCCGGCAATACCACACTAAACAACAACTCGACCACATGGTGGTCATCCGACATCGCAGAGCAATCTCAGATCACCGAATGGCTTGCTTTTGCTGCCTCTTGGGTGCAGTATGGCGTTTTTACGGCCCGGGCCATTCTATCCTTTGGTGGGCCATACAACGGCATCGGTACAGCGTCCACTGAGCAAACTTTGAAAGAATCTCAAATTCGTGGAGTCAAGTCGCTCGAAATTCTGAACAAGCGCCTTTCGCAACGAGAATGGCTGACGCTGGAGCGGCCGACGATCGCGGACATTGCGGTCTTCGTCTATGTTGCTCTTGCCCCGATGGGTGACGTTTCTTTGGAGCCATTCCTTCACGTACGCCAATGGATTAAACGCCTCGAAGGACTTCCCGGGTTTATTCCAATTGATGGTCTCGACGATCCTTTGTACAGAAGAAAGAATGAATAATGAGTGGGGGATTTTGGAATGTTTCCTAATCGACTTGGTCTCTGATGGCAATCTTGGGTTACACTGTACCTAGGAATTTATAGCTCGACAGGGTTTACCTCCCAAAAGCCCTGAGGCATCCCGGAAATTGGACAATAGGCTCAAGCTATGTATTTTCACAAGTCATCATCACTCGAAGACCGTATGAGAGGATGGCATTTATGGGACAGGGGCAATCAACAAAAGGATGGTCAATGTTAGATGGATTTTTAGCGCTAGCATCCATATGTACCTACATATCTGTGCATGTAATGGCCGCCAGATAGCCTTGCTTCTCCCTTCGAAATTAGGTACATAAACTAAGAAAATTGTCTGTATCCCTGAATGATGGCCTCCCATCCACCGGGATGGTTGTACTCAGTCGGGTTACTCTCACCGTCCAAGATCATCACATCCGTCTTCCGAGTATTGACCGAATACCAGACCAGATTATCCGGGCTGTTGGTGACACGCATCATATTAGTCTGACAAGATCCCGAGCACTGAGTTCCGTAGTCGCCATTCCATTGACCGTTGAAGAATGCCCAAGCCGCACTGTTGTACAGGAAAATATCCTTGCCGCCATCAATATTAGTGGCCAGTGCAGAGCGACACTTGCCGTCACCACCACCGCACCAGGAGAAGTCTGGATCCCCAAAGCTGGCCTCAGCAGTCCATGGTGCTGGCGCAAGCTTTGTGGCTCCATCACCTTGCATATAGGGGCTTTCGGACTGTAACATGCCCGCAAAGACGTTTTGCGCGGACTTGAAGTTGTAGTTGTATAGCCAGTGGTGCTCGGAGCCTGTGCCCGTGAGCCAGGTTCCCTTTGTGGCTTCAACGAGGATACCCCGACCGGTGGAGATGATGGTCTTTGAAGATCCGCCGTCGAGGTTGTGGTCGGCTGTCCAGCCCCAGAAGTTCTCGATATAGGCCGAGGAAGACTTGGTCAGGTGCATGACCATGAACGCGGCCATACATTGAGATGTGTCCTGGTTGTCACAGTTATCCTTGACGCTGGTTTCGGCAGTGCCACCGACTGTGACAATGGTGTTCCACATTGCCACATCGCCGGGGTTTGTACCTGCGGCATTCACTTCCAAGATAATAGCGCCGGGGAGAATCTCGGCAACGCTGAAGCGCATGTCTTGGATCTCAATGGTGCCGACATCACCAGATTGGCCGACTTGGACCACGGGCTTGGGGTTCTTGGAGTCTTTGAAGGCATCGCCCGCGCCAGAAATCACAGCCCAGGCTTCACCAGCGATACGAGATCCCACTGGGATCTTCAGGGTGTCCTTAACAATGTAGACACCGTACGGGAAATAGGAGATCTTGCAGTTGGCTGCATTGTCTGCTAGGATGGCATTGAGAGATGCCACATCATCCGTGGACCCGTCACCTTTGACTTCATGGCCATCCACGTTCTTGACATTGACAACTTGGTCCGCAGCATACTCAGCGTAAGTAGGCTGGGCACGAGTGAAGAACTTGCCATTAGACAAAAGAACATCAGGCCGAGTGGTTGTGAGGTCCTGGCCTGCGACATACTGACCTGGAGTCAGGTTGCCCCAGATCCAGGTATCAACGTGGCTGGTGGCAGCGAGCTTCACATTGTTATTGCTGTCTACCGCAATAGCATTGTTGGTGTCGTGGGCAAGGTTCTGAATGACCAGTTGGCTGTTGCGATTGCCGCCGTCATTCGAGGAGTCGTGGAATTTCACCACAGTGCCTGAGTTGGTGGATTTAGAATCCAACAAGACCAAGCTTCCAAGACCGTTGCTGGTCATGTCGACTCCATATCCAACAGTATCGAATGTCGCACCTTGCAGAAGAGCGGTGTGCCCACCTGCTGCCTTGAAAGCGGTCGTACAATATCTGAAGTAGATATTCTTGAAGTTGACCTGTTGGTTCGAGTTTTTGATACCGACAACACCTCCAGTGATATCGACATCAGTGATCGCGATCGTTGATCCACCACTGATATCGATACCGGTATGTCCAGTAGAGCTGGAAGGCATCTTGATCTTGACGTTGGTCAAGCCAGATCCCTGAGCAACACCCCATTGCAAAGCAGTGATCTTTGTATCGGCACTCAGAGCAGTGGTATCAATGACCACATTTCGCAGGAGGGTCATGAAACTGGTCTCGGGCTGACCATTTTGGCTGTCGAATCCGTTGATCAAAGTGCCACCGTTGAAGCCAGGAGCTGCTTTCAGGACTGGTGGGTTCAGAGGATCACCAGTTATCACAGTGCCGACACGCAGATTCAAGGTGCTACCCAACTGGTAGGTACCGCCGGGCAAGAAGACTTCAGCAGGGTATCTGGTCACACCCTTACTCGCGCGACTTCCACCCGATCCATCATCATTGATGGCATTCTGGATGCTGCTAGTCTGATCACCCGATCCATCGGCAGAAGCCGAATAGTCTTTCACGTTGCGCCAGACAGGGTAATTGGCATTTGAAACGTGGGGGGCATATCCTCGTGGCCAGCCGGTGTGATCCTGGTCCAGCATCCAGTAGGAACTGGGAGACGAAGATGTAGGTCCTGTGCATGTATCCCGAGTCTCACTATACATAATCAGAAAAGGGTTCCAAGCTTCAATATGTGTTCGTGGGACTCACTAGCTGGAGGGAACTGCCACCGTGGGGGCGACGGCCAATGCACTCGCTAATGCAGTCCACCGAAGGAGATGCATGGTGAAAGAAATCGGACTATGTCCAGCGGGGAAAAAAAAGGAAAGAAATTATATACTAAATGAGTGAAATAAAGGAATGAATGTGAAGAGTTCAGCTGGAGAAATAGTGGTTTATAAGTTATTTCACGAACTACATAGAGCCATACTCGCACACGATTACTGGTTTGGACTTAGAGGGTGAGATTTTAGCCAGCTTCATGTACGGAGTACTAGTAGCATGGATATAGAGAACATGCTATCCATAGAGATCACCATGCTCGCGCCCCATTTCCTCAATGGGTATCTGCAATCTCCGATTGGGGCTAGGGTCGGTGGGATTCATGCGGGTAAAAGTGGAGGTGTTGAATGGGGAACAGTCGCTGAGGGCCAATTTAAGGGCTGCGGGCCAGCGGGCTGAGAGGCTTAGTGGCCGGGTCCTTCAGGGGTCAGAGCCTAATTGGGGAACTGGTGTTGGTGTGTTTTGGCGAGCTCATTTTTCCCTTCCTGCAGATCCGGGCCCCGCATGATCCTCATCGTGCGATTGGCTTTCAAGATCCAAAGGCACTATAACTGTGCCCCTGAATTTACCAAGGCTATTCTCTGCATACATTAGGGCAATCTTGGGTTGCATCACTATCGAGTGGCTGAAATGAACGTCTTCAATGTAGTGGGCAAGTTCTGATATGCTCGACAAGTGAAATCGCAGGGGGTGGTGTTCCATTTACTCCAATGTACAAATCGCAGTCTCCTAGTCTCGCAGAGACCTCGCACTGTCGTAGATACATGCCCTTGTCCCGCCCGTAGTTCCCGAACTCCCAAACGATCAAGAAAGATGAATATAGGGCCACAGTTGCCGAAATGAAGCATAAAAGAAAGCCATGCTGGAAGGGCGGTCCCTTCGAATTCCAGTGCAAACAAACGTTAAAGCTGAAGGAAAATCGATCCAAGCACCGTATAAACAATGCTTTGTCAAACTGAATGATCACGGTTTGAAAATCTCACATAGACGGGAAGACCCTACACAGCCATAGAGGCCGAGAGAGTCCAAGTCCACTATGGTGAAGATTCATCATGAGAAGTCCACCCACTCTATCAATTTGTTTCTCACCATTGTCACTTTAGTACGACTCCGCGCCTGCTCCATTGTGCGGCTGGCCAACCATCGAGGGATAGCCATAGGCAGTAGCATCTTGCTCGGAGGGGTCCAGACTAGGGTTCAGCATGGGGTTGCCACCCTCGGCATCGGCGAAGCCAGCGGGGCGAGCAGGTCCCGCCCCGGGGGCTCCAACTGGCCCTCCAGCGCCATACCCAGCACTCGGAGGGCGCTGGTTTTCACCGCGGGCAGATTGTGTCTGTTTTGCGGTCAGTGGAAGGAAACTTGATATTTGTGCTATGCGCGCATCTCGACCCTGGCTTGAGTATGCGTCCTGGGCGGGGAATGACTGAAGGAGCGGGGGATTCCTACCTCACGGTACTTGGACAGATAGATCTTCAGAGCTTCCGCGTAGTTCTCGAAGCCGAGCGAGGTCATCGCGAACAGAATGTCTTCACCGTTCACGGTCTTCCGCTTCTCCTGTTGGCATTTCTCTGAGGCTGCGGGGACGGTTAATCAATATTCACGGTAGGTGAGACGATAACCAACGGACCTTCACTGGTGATGAACGAGATGAACTCGCTCACGCATTCTTGCATGCATTCTTTGGCCTCTTTGGCGATCTTGGCGTTTTCTGGAAGAGCCAACTTCATAATACGAGCCACTAGATAGGATCGCCGATGTTAACATTGTGATGATGGAGCTTCGTTATCGAGGGGTAAGGGCAGCAGCCGCGGAGAAAGATGGGAGACGCGACCGACAATCCGCGACACAAAGCCAGCCGGAGCTTCGATTTCGTCGCGGCGGATCGAAATGCAACGGACAAAGTTCAGATCCGATGCGCGCAAAAGTTCGGACCAGAAATGCGGGGAAATAGGGAGTGGCCAGCCCAGCAGCAAAGGCAAGGTACGCGCAAATCAGAGCAATGGGACAAATGCAAGAGGACGCGACTAACCATTTGCAATCGGAAGCCACCGATCTTGCTCCTTCACCTCAAACTCGCCATGATGCCCCTGCGCGTCGTGTTGTTCCTTGTCCATGTGCTCTGGTTCTTCACCCGATTGCACCTCGGGGTCGAGTTCTGGTTCCTTCGAAGGCGAGGTCGACGACATGATTATGAGTGGTTTGAATACGTGCAGCGGATCCTCGGTTTAGGCGTCAATGCTTGTGTTTCGCTCTGTTGTCAGACCACGTCAGATCTCAATGCGCGCGTTGATCCCCGGTGCAGACAGCGCAGAGTTGGCTGCGCCGAAGCCGGACAAGGCTAGCTGGGTACGAACCGCTTCACGGGAGCCTTAGGCAAGTGTGGGATTTGGCAATAATGCAGGTGATAGCTCTGTACATGCGACGCGCGCCACCAATTAGCTATTGTTCTGGGGTCTTAGAGGGACTTTCCAGTGAACAGGATTCGTTGAAAATGCAATCAGGCCGTACCCGCAGTGTGCCAATGACGCGCGCTTTGATACGGTGTGGTCGGGGGCGGAATTTAGGCCGGGTGAAGGTTGAGGGGGGATGTGGGAACAATGAGGGTGGGTCAAATCGGGGAGGAAAGCCCAGGGAATGGCAAGGCTGGGGAGGCTGCCTCTGAGCCCAGGAGAATGGTATCAAAGTGAGCGCAAATCTTCCGATTCGTTTGGGGTTCAAGCGCTAAAGTCAAGATGGGGTGTTTGAGTGGAAGGGTCAATTGGCGAACCAGAAACTCCCTGGCAAAAGGACGCCTTCGGTTGGCCACTCACCAATGTAGATATTTGGTCGTTTACCTAGTTCCCTAGTAACCACACTGTCAAATGGACGTCAATATCGCGGTTCTTTTGATCGCCTAGGATGAAGCCGGTGAGTGGAGAGAGCGACGTTCAGTCATGATCGCATCCGATTACTGCCGCCTCAGGCATTTATTCTGGTACGACAATTACTGTTCTCTTTCAATACATCGCCCAAATATCAGTAAGTTACGTATTATCAGTACAGCCTCGACGCTGCATCAAACACCGAAACTATTTCCACAGAGGTATTGCCTGGCTTCATGCTTCTCTTTCCTCCATCTCCATACATCTGACACAGGTTGGGTTGTTCAGGGCCCAACACGCATTGGCAGTCAGGCACCAAGGCCTGCATCCCGGCTGGGCAGTAGATATACTTCCAAGGTTGCCCAGGTGCCTACAGATGTATGGATATGCCGTAGTACATCCAAGAAGTTGAAATAGAAAACTCTAACTATGAAATGTGAGACGCCAGTTAGGCATGGACCGCGATTTTTAAGTTGACTTGGGCCAATGTATGCTTGGGTCAATATATGCGGGCTCATGCCATCTCATGACATCCTTCGTATCCGAGAACGCACGCTATCTAGAGGCACATACGAAGGCACCAGGGGTCTAGATCTACAGATGACATGGCTATACTCCTGAACATGAAACAAAGCTCTTGGAAATCTGGCATTGAAGCACGAATCAACGCTGCATGACTGCATTATGTCTAATCTTTTCCCATTCCTAGGCGCGCCGATGGTCTGCATTTCCACTCGGGCAGCACTCGGAAATAGCATATATCCAAAGTACACAGGTGGAAGAGTAAATTTCATCTAGGGCTGCACAACTTGGATGTTGTTCTTTTTCTGCAGGGGAAACGAAATGTCAGTACGGCCCATATCAAATCGGCACAGGTAGGCCACAGGTTCGGCAGAACCCAATAGGCAGAAAGAATGCGCACCTTCCAGTTATCCAACTCATTCTGCTTTGTCTTGTATTGTTTCAGCATGTCCTCAATCACTTGCTTCAGCCCGTCTTCGTTGGTCTTGAGTGTGGGAAGAACGTCCTTGATGGTGCGCTCAACGAGAACGCCGTTCACCATGCGGAAACATTTGCGGTCCGCCTCGAGGGGGTCCAATGTTTGAATAACGAGCCTGCAAGGTCGTGGATTAGCTAATGCACCTGGCCAAATGTTCTCGTCCGCGCTGGTGTAGCTGGTTCCATCTCGTTGAGACGTTGCGCTGCGCGCAAAAAACGCTTAGAACTGAGAGGAACTCACTTGTGCTCCTCTTGTTCCTGTTCGATTTCGCCAATCTTGGTTGCTAACTGTTGGAGGGTGTTCTTGAAGTTCGTGTACTGGAGCTGAAGCTCTGTGTCGAGGGCTTTGCATTAGAATTTGGTTCTCGCAGGCTCGTATGATTAGAGCGAACATACCCTGTTGCTTCTTGGGGTCGATTTGCTTTTGGCTAGACATGGTGGTATTCACTGACGCGGCGTGGTAATGCGAAAGCTCAAGAAATTAAGATGACGATGCGGGGCGGGTGCTTTTTTGGCGGAGAGCCGCCACTATCGGGTTTGACTCTCGCGCCAAACAAGACCGTTTTTCAAGACTTATTACTAGACTGGACGATCCTGGTTTTCGGTATAAGGCTAGAACTAGTTTATTACATTGAAACACGACTCATGTCAAAGTAATCGAAATAGAGTCCACGGGTGATATCTAGGTCTAGTCACGTGATGTCATTGAAGTTTGCACCGTTTGACTATGATAGGAAGAGCTCCAACCTTAGAGCAACCAGCTTGATCAAGTCAACTTGAGACCTATTCTACGACTTCCCTGAGACTCGTCTCTCATTCCAAGTCGCAATTATGTCTCGCGATATGGGCCCCCCGGCCAAACGACAAAAGGGCCCTGGGCACCTCCCAGCAGGCCTGCGCGATGCGAAACGGAAGGACATCGACACCTGGGAAACCAATCGCATGCTCACCTCCGGTGTAGCACAACGACGTGACCATGAGGGCGATTTTACAGTCGATGACGAGGAAGCGAACCGAGTGCATTTGCTCACCCACGACCTTCGGCCGCCTTTCCTAGATGGCCGCACGATCTTTACGAAGCAGCTGGAACCGATTTCCGCCGTCCGAGACCCGCAGAGTGACTTGGCTGTGTTTAGTCGCAAAGGCAGCAAGGTTGTCCGGGAACGTCGACAGCAGCGTGAGCGACAGAAGCAAGCCCACGAAGCAACGAATGTAGCCGGCACAGCCCTCGGAAACGTCATGGGTGTCAAGGAGGACGAAGGAGACAGCGCAGTTGCCATGCCTGTTGAAGACACATACAAAGGCGGAGGCAACAAATTTGCAAAGCATTTAAAGAAAGACGATGGCGGCGCCAGCGCGTTCAGCAAGAGCAAGACCATGCGTGAACAGAGGGAGTTCTTGCCCGCATTCGCTGTGCGTGAGGACCTGCTGAGAGTCATCCGAGACAACCAAGTCGTTGTCGTTGTCGGCGAAACAGGATCTGGAAAAACTACGCAACTAACACAGTTCCTACACGAAGACGGTTACTCCAAACACGGTATGATTGGATGCACACAGCCTCGTCGTGTGGCTGCTATGAGTGTCGCCAAGCGTGTCAGTGAAGAGATGGATGTGGAGCTAGGTGGTACCGTTGGATATGCCATTCGGTTCGAGGATTGTACCAGTGACGAAACAGTTATCAAATGTACGTGGTCCCTACTCGGACATTCTTTACGGGTGCTAACGTTCTACCAGATATGACGGATGGTGTGCTACTGCGAGAATCCCTTGTACAGACTGATCTCGACAAATATTCATGCATCATCATGGACGAAGCTCACGAACGAGCTCTCAATACTGACGTTCTAATGGGGCTTTTGAAGAAGGTTCTAGCCCGGCGTCGGGATCTCAAACTCATTGTCACATCTGCGACTATGAACTCAGAACGTTTTTCCCGCTTCTATGGCGGTGCTCCCGAGTTCATTATCCCCGGTAGAACGTTCCCTGTCGACCTTCACTTCTCTCGAACACCCTGTGAAGATTATGTCGACAGTGCAGTCAAGCAGGTCTTGGCTATCCACGTTTCTCAGGGTCCCGGTGACATTCTTGTTTTCATGACTGGTCAAGAAGATATTGAATCAACCTGCGAGCTGGTTGACGACCGGTTGAAATTATTGAACGATCCACCAAAGCTCAGTATTTTGCCTATCTACAGTCAGATGCCTGCTGAGCAACAGGCCAAAATTTTCGAAAAGGCCGACCCGGGAGTGCGCAAGGTCATTGTTGCTACAAACATTGCCGAAACCAGTCTGACAGTAGACGGTATCATGTACGTCGTGGATGCGGGTTATTCCAAACTGAAGGTGTACAACCCGCGTATGGGCATGGACACCCTCCAGATTACACCGATCTCACAAGCCAATGCCAACCAGCGATCTGGGCGTGCCGGACGTACTGGACCTGGCAAGGCATATCGTTTGTACACAGAGACGGCCTACAAGAACGAGTTGTACATCCAAACGATTCCCGAGATCCAGCGAACCAGTCTTTCCAACACCGTGCTATTGTTAAAGTCTCTCGGTGTCAAGGATCTACTGGACTTCGACTTCATGGACCCACCTCCCCAAGAGACCATCTCTACCTCTCTATTTGAGCTGTGGTCGCTAGGTGCCCTAGACAACCTGGGTGAGCTCACACCACTCGGTCGCCAGATGACTCCGTTCCCAATGGACCCTACCCTCGGCAAGCTGATCATCATGGCCGCGGAAGAATACGAATGCAGCGAGGAAATGCTAACCATTGTCTCAATGCTTTCTGTTCCAAACGTCTGGTATCGCCCGAAGGAACGAATGGAGGAGTCCGATTCTGCGCGCGAAAAGTTTTTTGTCCCAGAATCAGACCACTTGACTCTCCTCCACGTATACACACAATGGAAAACCAACGGATTCTCTGACTCCTGGTGCGTGAAGCACTTCCTACACGCCAAAACTCTCCGTCGCGCGAAGGAAGTCCGCGACCAGCTGCAAGATATCATGACCGCCCAGAAAATGCCACTCATCAGCTGTGGCACAGACTGGGATAATATTCGCAAATGCATTTGCTCGGGCTTCTACCACCAAGCCGCACGTGTGAAGGGTATCGGCGAGTTCATCAACCTTCGCACCAGCGTTACGATGGCTCTCCATCCCACGAGTGCACTCTACGGTCTCGGCTACGTGCCTGAGTTCGTCGTGTACCACGAGTTGATCCTCACTGCCAAAGAGTACATGTCTACAGTAACAGCTGTTGATCCTCATGTAAGTCACCCCCCCCCCCCCCAATCCTCTTCGTTGGTCCCAATTAACATGACCTAGTGGCTCGCGGAACTCGGTGGTGTATTTTACTCCGTCAAAGAAAAAGGCTACTCTAAGCGTGACCGCCGCGTTACGGAAATCGAGTTCAACAAGCGTATGGAAATTGAAGCGCAGATGGCGGAAGACCGCGAGCGTGTTGCAGCTGAAAAGTTGCGAGAAGAGGAACGCAGTGATCCTGCGCGCAGGAGGACGGAAGTTGAGGTTGGTGGAAAGACCGCTGTCCGCCGTCCTGTTATTAGGCCCCGGGGCAAGGTCGGTGGCTTGTCAGCCTCTTCATCTTCGTCTCCACGTTCGACTACTGGGGCGCCTCGAGGTGGTAGCGTGGTCAAGAGGCCTTCTGTGAAGAGAAGGCCTGGTGCTTTCTAGTTTGAGTGGCCTTGTATACCAAAAGTCGGTCCTTCAGGTGCAGCCATGTATATCCAGTTAAAAAGATACCCGCCGTGGCGTTCCCAATAATAGGTCGTCGTCATACATCACTGTTCCAGTTCCATGGCAACCTGGTATCAATTGTGAGGTTCAGCTAGTACGCCGCGAACTCCAGAGTAGAGCAATTTTTTCTTCTTTTTTTTTCGATTGACTAATTATTGCCTAAACCTACCCGTGGACTAACCCGGCAGACGTTTGAGGCCGCAAATACTTGTTCAACAAGTCAATTGGTATAAGTAGGTAATCATATGGACAACGTTAGTCCACTCCGATTGCGAGGTGTACAGGGTGTATGATAATCGAAACAGAGTTGTCCATTGCGAACATCATTTGTAGACAAAATAGACCGTTCCCAGAGAGTAGGTCATGTAATCGAGCCGCGAGCCCAGCTCAGTTGATAAAGTTGATGCAGAAGAAGTGTAGGATCAAGCTTCCAAAGATATAATCGGCAAAGGCCCTGCGCGAGTATTAGCATCAGATCACAGAAAGTAGCATAACTTTTCCAATTGGAAGAAATAATGCGGCCACAACTCACCTCTCATGCGAAGTACCCGTCCCCTCTTCACTCTCATCTGCAAACCGCGCATTCTTTCCCTTAGAGCTAGGCTTCGATCCCACACCACTGTCACTCGTCTGCATGCGCAGACTAGCCGTCAAAACAAATTGGCCAACGGCGGCTCCGAAGCCGCTGAGGAACGCGTTGAAGGGCTGTGATAGATATGGTTAGCCACAGATTGCAAGTAAAAGTAGCCCACGCTGTTATGAACAGATGCATTTTGAGAACGGCCTCAGATGTGTCGACTTACGTAGTTTCCGGCAAGAACACAATACAGGAACTGTAGGCCGCCGACGAGAACCAGGAACGCCATGAAGGCGTCTAGAAGCAGTGTTCGCTGGGGTGTGGTGGATACGTATTGCTGCCAGACATGCTGGGCAATTTCGGCAGCCGAAGCATTTGTCTTCAAGGTGGCAGGGCCGGACGAGAGTTTTGGTGTTGCGGGCGTAGTAACCGCGGAGGGAGCCGCGGAGGTAGTTGAGGCCGCGTGGCGCTTGGGGGCCATGATGAATTCGCTTTAGGGATTGGGAGGATACAATTGATGTCAAATATTAATTGAAGATATGGAAAGGAGTCTTCCCTGGTGCTTGGGCCAAGAGGGTGGGTTGGAGGTCAATGGCAATGTGGAGGTTGACAATAGATGCCAGCTTGGAGCTTGGCCGTTATCGCTGGTCACGTGGTGGTTTCTGACCCGATGTGGAAGTATACGGAGATAACAAAAATTGGAATGTCCACGGGTCCACGGGTACGATTGATCAAGTTAGCGGTCTTGGTTTTAAAGTTAAATTCAAAGAATTATATTGGGTATATTGTTTGTACAGCATCGATGTCGCCGAGGAAGTCACCCACAACATAGCAGTGCAGAGGGGAGAGCATATGTATACTAGTAGACACAGGGAGGGGGGAGGGATATCATTAACACCATCAAGTCATAAATCACAATACAAGGCTTGTGATGTAGCCATCATGATTGAAAAGTCCAATTCTGAACTTAAGCAAACCATTCACCAACATTTGTCCCCTGGGTTGGGTCAGATTCGTCCTTTTCGACGTCCATTTGGAAATCACGCATGACCTGATCCCATTCCTCCCAACTGAGCTGGGGTGCCTCTGGTGCTTCGGGACACGGTTCCAGGTTGAGAAGAGGGTTGCTCATGAAAGCATAGGAAGTCACAGATGGATCTGCGGCAGTTTGGGCAGGGCCATCAAGCATATTGGTTGGGGTATCAAAAAGGTTCGAGCCGGGAAAAAGGGTTTGCAAAGCGCCCAAGGGACCCTGGCTAAGGTCAATGTTGAAATTTGCGTCTGACCCGAATGTTTCTCGAGTCGCTGGGACATTGGGCATGTGGATTCTCGGGAGAGACTGGTTGTCTCCAGGAATCAGGGTTGGCTCGCTCATAGGTAGTGGCCCAAACCTATCTATGAGCTCCCGGTGTTGCTCAGCACGTCTGGCCGCAGCTCGCTTCATCAGAGCAGCCAAGGGCCGCCAGAGCATGCCCTTCTTATGGGTTCCTTGAATCGCCCAGTCCGAGTAGAGTGAACTGACAGCGTTCCAGGCTCGGTCGGTGACTGGGCACATTGAACGAACGCAAATTTCTGAAAGCACAAAGGCAACGCCGTGCCATTGCATATTGGTGCGGAACAACCAGCCCCATTTCGCGGTTTTGGGATCAGCTTCGAGTAAACGGCCGAACTCAAGAACTTCAATTGCAGTCTGGAATAGGCTTTCGCGTGTTGCTTGCGAGATATTGCTGCGGTCTTTGCGGGTCATTGGATGATGAACGATGAGCCATAGCTTAGCAAGGATAAGTCGTGCCACTGTTGCAGCACACCACTGAATTGGGATATTCATGTCACAATGTCGGATATACCGTTGTTCGCAACGATTGCTGATGATCTGAATCATGCGTTCGCATCTTTCTGGGGATGGTATCCCCCCAGGCGTGCGCCACTGAGCACCAGGACAAACATAATTAGCCCGTCGCAAGGCATTTGTAATCTCGCAACGAATCAGACAGAATGTAGCATCTGTACAACCTTCCCGCTCAGCGGGAGCCTCCTCCATATCAGGCGTGATATCTTCATCATTGATATTTAATGGGAGTCGGGTATCGAACATGTTTTCGTGAATGAGTGGATCAGTGCCATGGTCCTCCGATGACCGAATGTCCATCAACGAGATATGCCACCATAGTCGGCGGCGCATGTCTGTTTCGAACGGTTTAAGAGCGAAATTGGTTCCATCCCGGTGTAGACCTAAGCCCTGAGCAATCCGCAAGACAATTGAGGTCATGGACCAAACAAACTTGCTATCGTCTTCTCGTCGGACGCAGACCAGGAACATTACCGCGGCTTGAAGGAGGACCAAACTCTGTGTGTTGAGAAACCCGGCTTTTGCGAGTGCTTGCTCCGTTGCGAAACGGTACCGTTTGACGGCCAAGGTGCGATCCAAGTCGAATTGACGCATGCACTGATCAGGTGTCATACTGACAATGGTACAGAGGTACATCGAGAACACTAGGGCCTCTTGGTTCTTATCCAGGGCGCTTGGGTTTTGTGCCGCTTTGACGAACAGGCTCTGAGCTGTTGGTCTATGTACGATGGTGATCAAAGGAGCGACATTCTCCCTGTATATTTCCCAAAGTATTGATACTTTGGACATGGGAGGATGGAATTCTCGAAGAGATTGTGAGAGTGAGTAGAACCCGAATAGGAACCCATCATGTGAGCCTGAATGTGCTGACTCCGGGGAAGGCATGTCTTCTTCGTCAGAGGATGAGTGATCAAGAATATCCTGCAGTTCTTCAATCTACAACATCCAGTTAGTCATTATCATTGTATAGAGTCTTGTGCATCTCACCTCGTCCCCAAGACTAGCCCAAAGCCGATTGCTTACATATCGGCTCCGCCCTTCATCAATGACAAGTCGTCCAAACTCATTCTCAAATTTATTTGGATCAACTTTATTCGGATCTGGATCCCCAAAAGGACAGCCGCTTTCTGTTTGTGATTGTGGCTGTGGTTGCGGTTGTTGTTGTGGTTGCTGCACTTGTGACGCCTGCGGCTCAACGTCAGACCTCCCATTATCACTCAGGAAAGTCGAAGGCCCAGTTGACGAGCTACCCGGAGCTGAGGGGCTTCCCTCAGTCTGGCCACCCTTCAGGTGATCTATGACGCCCTCCAGGCGACGCAGGCGCGAAAGCAGCTCAGCGTCTGGGGGGCGTTTCGACTTACGCGGGGCGCGACCAGGCGGCGGGAAGACGCAGTCGATGCCAGCCTTCGTGCAATTTGAGCATGGCGACCGTTTGTTGCATCGGACCTTACGGCGGCGACAGGTGACACAGCTGCGGGAGCTCGAGGTGGGTTCCACAGTCGTGTGGGTAGGTAGGATCGGAGAATTATCGCTGGGCGGGGAGAGGTTTAGCTCTGAAGCTGAAGGAAATGCCATGGTGGGGGTTGCTCCCACATTCTTCGGCTCGCAGAGTTTTCAAATATATTCCAGGGCTACAACGCTCCAGGAATGAACAAAGTACAAGGCTCCAGGGCTCAAATCCTTTACGTTCGTATTACTGGGGTTTTATCATTATGAGTCAGCGGTCCCTTTTAGGTAAACGGACTATCTCCGAGGACCGGGGGATTATGAAGTTAAGAGTATAGCAGGGCTAAGGTGATGGGTCTAGATCTGTACTGGTATGCAATCTACACCTGAATAGCGTCTGTCGCAGAAATAAATAAAAAAATGAAAACGCCGCACCAATGCAAGGGGAATATGGGATCGACACGCTGAAGATCAGATAAGGAATGTACATGGTACGCTCAAGCTTCCTGCCTTCGAGGGATCGGTTCGGACGTGAGGATAGGCAAGTCGCTGCGCCATCCTCGGCGGAGGAATCGTTTGAGTTTTCGTCTATACTGCATTAGTCAAAAATCCAAAGCACCATAGGTGTAGCACTTACGAAGCAGACTCCCAGATCTTGGTCTGTTCATTGAAATTATGACTATATTTCTGTCAGTGGTAGGTAAAGAGAACGGGAGTTTGGCTCAAAAATACCCATAGAAGCTCGTTCGGGTGAGTGCTTTAGCACTATATTCCTCCTCAAGAAGATACGTATAAGCATACGGGATCTTGACCGAAACACCTTCGAACAGACTTTCGCGCAACGGGAAAATGTCACTCTCCTATACCACGTTAGTAACACATCACTCAAGCCTAGAACCACATACATCGTAGTGATGTTTATCCTTGCACATCAACGCCTCTGGGCTGCCTTTGCTTCTCTTCTCCTCGTCTTTCCTCACTGCCGTGATATCAATGAACAAACCAGACGACATGTCGATCCATCGTGCATCAATCTTGTTCAGTGTATCTTGGTCGGACTTCACGACATAGTTTGGATTGATCTCGAGCATATATGTGCGGCCGCCGTCGACATCGGGGATATCAAAGTGATGCTCGGTCATGTTATAGTAATCGGCCAAGAAATGGATTGTAGGTTCAGAGATCTGGACATCGAGATCATTGTCCCATGGAAAGATCTGCAGTATGTCAGTACGGGAGATTGCCGGGGGGAAATCTTTGGTACGTACCTTCTGGTTCCACCACCAAGCCAAGAGGGTGCCGTGCATGATCCATGTCTCAGCCCCAATCGCGTTCATCGTTGTGAAGTAGGTTTGGATCAAGGCCGAGAGGTGAGGGATGACCTCCGTGTCGGGAAGAGTTTCGTTGGCAAAGCTAGAGGCCATCAGTTCTACTCGGGCTGAAAGGGACTGGAGACTCATACCGGCCATCGTAATGATGATGGAAGCTGCAATGGGGTTAGTTTCAATGGTCACAGTTCTCAAGTGCATCGGCACCAAATGAATTCACCTACTCCGATTCATCTGTGGGGTTCGCCGCGTCAGTTGAGTGGGCGACAAAGGCTGTGGATATCAACTCACGAAAGTATTTCTCTGTCGGAATGTGTGTTTTGCTCTCATATTCCTTCGTTACATTCTTTCGTACACTCATAAAGTCCGGTTCTAACTCTCCGCGGACGACAGAAGCGAGAGTCGCAAAGAGGAACCCATAAAGCCACAAGGCACTGGCCGAAGAACGCATTCTTTACACGGTGATCTCACCACACATGCCCAATCGATGAGATGGCGGTTTTCAAGCTCAGAGGGAAAACCAGTTCCACTCTCGGAAACGTTCGAGTATGGGATATTTACACCGAAATCAAGGTATTCTCAGAGAGTTGGACACAGAAAAGGACATGCGATATTCACAGATCAGAAGTTTCGAGCCGGACAGATGTGCGGACCGAAGACCACCCACGCCCAACTCAGCCGTGATTGGACCGGGACTCTCATATCGCATCCAGGCTGACGACGTATGGAAGAATTCTTAGACGAACCGAGCGCCGGCAGATCCGCTGGTCGAATCAGAAGAGTTCATTCAGAACCGTAACAGAGTTGGCCCCACTTGGTGATGAGCTTGTCTGTCGAGTCGCGTGTCTGTCTTCTTGGCACATTGTGTGCTTCTTCAGACGGCTGTTTGATCGGACGACAAAGGGACGTGTGAAGGATGGGGCCAATGGTGTTACTGCAGGGTCATTTTCACTGTATTAAGTAGCCGGAGATCAAGATAAAGACAGCGTATGGAATCCTAGTACACGCCGTGGCGCGTGCGTGGTGAGAGAGGTATACGCGGCCTCTGGCATCATCACAGATTAGCCTGTTCACAGACTCTTCCGCTTAATAACGAGCGGAAAGTGGAGCTATACGAAGAGACAAGCTTATCAGATGCTTTCAAGGTGGGTGCTTGATGCCTTTCGGCGATGCGTGGATTGAAAATCTCATTGTGCGACGGCGGTATGATTCGCGGCCCGGACGGCAGCAATCGCTCGATCAGTGGACACCCGTGGACTGCCGCGAAGTTGAACATAGATCTGATTCGGAAATGTGAATCGTATGCTTATTCTCATAAAAATCAGAGAATAAGTTGATCAAGAGCTAGAAGTGCCGAGGCGAGTATAGCCACTGCGCTAGCCGAACTGCATTCCGGCAAAGTCCCTTGGATCGCGGTTCTCATGGCTGTTCAGCATCAACATCCAGATTCAGGTTTGCGTTGTGGTGTGAAAGGAATACAGTACAAGCCAGAAAAGAAAGGTAGGAATTGAACATGTACTCTGTTCAGAGTCACTTCAGTACCGAGTTGGAATGTCCCTTCCAACATGGGAAGGTTGTGATGTTTCAATGAGTGCTTTCAATCCGCACTTTCAATCCGCACCATACACTTACCAGCTTCCCGCTCAGATCTATATCTCAGTGTCCGGCCCTAGTGGTTGAAGATGCCAAGAAGACATCAATCACGCCCCCTGGACCCGCAGTGCCTATCTTCCCCGTACTTAATTTCGCGAACTCTGCTGCCAAGCGCGTGTCTGTGGATTCACGGCTCGTGGGCCTCCGCTTCATGACACCTGCAGGTCACTGACCTGTGACGGAGGATTCAGGGCAATGTTGATCAGTGGGTTGGTGTCCGTCGGCGACCGGAGGTCTTCGAAATGGCCGAATATACCCTTAACTCATCATCTTTGGTTCACCAAGGTGAATGTTGGTAGTTGAAGTTGGACAAGCGTTTGCAACCCTAGACAGACTTGTGAAGAGTTTGACTCGGCTATACCTATCAACTTGGAACACCATCGCAGTGCAGGATTTGAACATGCACAAGTTGTACCCCTTGGCAGTAATACGTGTGTTCCATATTTCTTTGTTAATGATCCTACCAGGCTCTGCAATTTCTGCCGGCGTTCAAGCCCGCACCTCTCAGACATCCAACCTGAAACGACCCTAGCTGTAGACGGAAAGTAGCACATGTCATATTTCGAGGGCCCACCCTGCTTTCCCGGCATACCGAAAATACGACGTTGTCTCTAGCCGAGTCTCCAGGGCTATCACATGGAAGACATGTGAGGGAGAGAATTACGTGAATTGAACGGCCCGCAGATTCAGTGTGTATTTATAGTATGTTTTTTGGAGCGTTAAGTTCATGCCCTGGTTTGTACCGCGTCTAGACCGAGAGAAGAGAGCAGAAAGGATTGGAGTAAAAATCATGCGTGAGTCGCCGACTCGGGGATTGCCGGGGACTCATTTCTTCTTGGATGGCCCATGAGGGGACCGCTCGCTTATATCGGTTTTCCAAGGTTGAAGCCATCCATGGCAGCAGGTCCGATCAATCAAGAAGGCAACGGCGAATTCGCAAAGTGACCCGAGTTGGGCAATCTCGGTCGTAGCCGCTCGAATGAGAAAAGCCCATGAGTTCGGATTTAACAGGCGCAGTGGAGTAGCCGTGACACATTGATTCGCCAGGTTTGTCCTTTAGCTTTGCTTGGTCGTTCGATGGTCAAAAGGATCACTTTAGTATGGCTGGTGCCTGTTCCTCCCTAATTGAGCCACCGAATGCTAACCCTGGCAAAGTTAGATTGATTGAGGGGATTTCCATTGGCGAAAAGCGGTGCTTTTCGTGAATGCGAAGAGTGGATGCTTCCCCATACTATGACATGTCGGGTCTGCAAACCCTGAATTCTGACGGCTTTTACACCTTATTACTCCTTATTACTCGCCTCGGTCTGCTTGAGACCTTGCCCTGGCTCGTGCACCGTCCTGTCTATGATTATCCGCCTCGTTTTCGTTGCTATTTGTCCTCGATGCGATACGATGAGTCGATATACTCAATAACCATCGCTACACGGACGTACTTTTCCGTCCCATTATTGGAATCTAGGGCGCGTGATCATGTCAGAGACCTCCACACCCCAAGAACCCACCGGATCACAGCTCAATCGATCCTGTGAATCGTGTCGAAGCCTGAAGGTTCGCTGTCTCCCCAATCCGTCGACGCCAAATCAATGCCAGCGATGTGCCAAGGGAAAGAGATCCTGCGTCTTCGTGGCTCCGCAGCGCCGGCGGCCACGAAAGAGGACCGACTCGCGAGTCGCCCAGTTGGAAAAAGAGATGCGGGTCATGCGCTCGCTGCTGAAAAATCGAATCCCGGAAGAAGACGAGGAATCGGAGGAGAGCGATGACGACAATGACGAGTTGAAAAGCAGCGGCAGGGATCAATCTGCCAACTCCGATGATCTTCGCTATATGGATTATTCCCCCGAGCTGTTGACCCACGGGGTATCGGTGCCGGAGTTTGCGTTTCCCGCGGGCGTCGAAGAGGAAAGACAGCCTGTCGAAGATGTGATCGATCGGGGGATTCTGTCCATCGAAGACGCAGAGCAACTAGTGGCCTACTACGTCCATGAGCTCGCCTCGTTCATCCCATTGGTGGTTCTTCCCCACACCACCACGGCAGCCAGTCTACGGGCAACGAAGCCCGTCCTCTTTCTCTCCGTGATAGCCGCGACGGCGATCTCCGTCGATGCAGGACTGGCCGCCGTCCTGAACCGTGAAATGGTACGACTCTATTCCGAACGATTTTTCATCGAGGGCGAAAAGTCTCTGGAATTGGTCCAAGCCCTGTTGCTCATGATCATCTTTTACTTTCCGCCCGCTTCACCTCTCAAGCTGCAATTCTACCAATACACGCACATTGCCTCGACGATGGCGCTGGAGATCGGACTCGCAAACAAACGCCGTGTGAAGTCCAATCGCAGGGCTGCTCATGACGAAACACTGGCAGAACAGGCGCGGGCTGTCCTCGGTTGCTATCATCTTGGCTCGACGGTTGCGATGAAGACTCGTCGTCCGAATCTCCTTCAGTTCAACGACTGGATGGTCGAGTGCGTCAGACATTTGGAGCGCTCACCGCACCGAACAGATCAGCATTTAGCCCTCTGGTTCGAGCTCCAACGTATAACCGACGAAGCGATGTCTTCTTTCGGTCTGGATGACACGAGCACAACATCACCACTGACGGAGTCTCGTGTTCAAGCCGTGCTGCGTTGGTTTGACAAACGGATGGAGACATGGAAGACGAACACGCCTTCAGAGATGCTCACCGGTAAGCTTTTTGTCACCCTGCGCTGTTCGTGGAATGACGACTAACGATGCCCAAGTCCCTCTGATCCTCGAATATCGCTCCACAGCACTCGCCATGTACGAGCTCGGCGTAGGAGAGGGCTACCGTGACCCAGATGCTTTGAAGAGACGATACTTCACGTTGCCCACGCCGGAAGGGCCAGATGCACAGTCCCCGCTCAGCGCAATCCGAATAGACATCAACATGAAGTGGATGAACGCCGCGCAGGAAATGCTAGACGCTATTTTGGCCTGCAGCACAGACACCATGCGCAAGTTGCCCAATTTGATGTACACGCGACTAGCGATGGCGATGACATCACTGCTGAAGATCCATTTCTCTGTGCGAACCGGGGCTCTCGGCGAAGTCGTCACGCCAGAGACTGTGAATGTGCACTTTTATCTCGATGCCACTGCCAACAAACTGGCCGAGGCGAGCGGGGGCGGGAAGTACAAGATTCCTAGTCGGTGGTATCAAGTCATCGGGGTTCGGGGGAGAGATTGGTACGAGCGTCTTGAAAGGCAGGGCGAAGGGACGGTAGATTCGATGGCGGCACCAAGTAGCCAAGGCCAGAATCACAGCCAGGTTCCCGGCCAGGGCCAGAGTCAGGACACACTTAACGTCCAACCCATGAACACCTTCCCTGTGCCGGTGCCGATGGTTGACCCGCGGGATGGGTACGTAGCGATGGGCGGCACGGGGATGTGGCCGCCAATGGATGCACAAGGCCACACCCATAACTCACAATTCTTCATGGGGTATCAGCATTCACCCCATGGAGCACCGTCACAGCCGATGCCCCCTCAGTTTGCGTATGAGCCCCAGCGGATGCCCGCGCCTGGAACGGGCATGGAGTTGGATGGCTGGCTTCCTGATGGGAGTATCTTTGGGATGCCACCTTTGCCCGAGTTCTAGTCTCGGAGATCAATCGACGGAATAGTGTATATCTATGATATGTTAATGCATGAGTGTCATGAATCACCGATAGAGTATATCCGTCTTGTATCTTGAAACACAGAAGCAGATTGGGATGGAATTTGTAGAAAGCCCATGATAGCGAGTCAGTGAAGACTGCAGCTTCCAAGAACAATCACAGAGAAAGACTCCAAGAGAAAAAAAAATCGGGAAATCCCAACATTTTGGATAATATACGGATGATATCGCATTTACCCCATTTACCCCATTTACCCAGAATGGCGTATTTCGGAGCTTCGGGAGAAACGGAACTTCCGACCTCTTCCCAAGACTTCAACGGCGTGAGCACCGGGTTGGTCTCACCTCCGATACCTAGGCGCAGGTGGGGGGTTTCCCAATTTTGGTGCCTCCATTCCCTCCGTGCCTCCGTATCAATCACCCGAACCCGAACCCGAGGCTCTGAGCCATCTATTGGAGCCTTTGTTCATTTCCTTGACTTTCCTCAATTGGAAAGTTTGTATCATTCATGGGTAGTGGAGGAAGATCATATTCCGTCCTTTGGGATACGAATGCGAAAGTCTTTCTTTCAGTAACAGGTCTGTATTCTTTCGTAATTGCGCGGTGTACAAATGTCAAAGGATATCAAAGTCAAGTCATTACCTCGTTTACATACATAATTAGAGAATCGAAAACGCTTCCAAGGCATCCATAAAGCCTGCTATAGCACCCACCCCCACCAGCCCCCTTGTGGCGTTTCTCGTCAGGGCCTTGTGTCTTTGTTTGGCCTCTTCACGCTCGCGATCACGGCGACGGGTCGGCGATCGCTGCGCTGAACGAGGTGGGGAGGCTCTGGGGTCTGCGAGTCGGGGATCCGAACTTCTAGACTCAGGGCTTGATGTGGAAAGAGGATAGGCGCGGGGATTAGATCGGTAGTGTTCGAAGTGGACATGGTTCTGTCGTGGAATTGGAACTGGCATGGGGGTCGGAGCGGATTGATTTGGATGTGTGTTTGGAATTGATCGTGGCGCTGTTGGAGGTTGGTATGCTTTTTGGCTGTGCTGCATCGGAGGTGGATGTGAACGAGGTTGAGACGGGGGTGGGAAGCTGCCACTGGGATGTTGGTATGGGTATGATTGTTTGCTGGTGAAATGGTCTGAGAGACTGTGTGAATGAGGGCGACGTATATTGCTGGTCGTGTGAGGATGGAGTGTATCCTTTTCTTCTTCGCTTGAGTCGATGGCCCTACCACGGCTTTGGTGCTTGGGCTCATCAGGCTCGGCCTCACTTTCGACGTGGGCTTGGTATCGAGAGTATTCCTGACGTAGTTTTGCTGCGCGCTGGCGAGCTTCTTGCGAGTGTGGGGCTCTCCAATCGTCTGTTCTTCCTTCAAGGTAGTAGCCTCGCACATTGGGGCCATCAAAGTCGAGTTCATCGGAATGCTCGTCTGTGTCGGAGACGTAGACTCGTGGTTGGCTCTTCGATAGATGGCCGTGATCGAGTAACTTGGAATGATCCATATGAGGCACCCACATGGACAGTAGCCGATTCATTGCCTTCTCTGACAGTTGAACCATGTCTTTCGGGGATCGCTCCATGTCACTTAAACCCAGATCACTCTCCCCAAAAGTCACTGCAGCGAGCCGTGTAGGGCCTAGACCGACCATCAGTCTGCTTTCGGAAGCTGTGTTGGAGTAGTTGGCATTGATCTTTTGGTTTGTTGGGTCCCTGACAGCATCGACAGCTTCCTGTTCCACAAGATCCCACAGGCGATCGAGACGCTTGACAGCCCAATACCGAACAATAATCATATTCTGAGACTCTGCTTTCTCCTGTGCAATAACGTCGTCGGTAGCAGAAGTAAGTGAGTCTGTGTCAATCCCATCATCGGTATTGGCTTTAATCACCGTCCCAAGCTGCAGAATCCGTAGCATCACGATCAGGCTGAGCTTGAGGGACTCGACTTGTGCTAGAAGGTAGGTGACATGCTGTTTGGGGAAGCACCATTTCAGTCTCTCTTGTAGAGACAGCCTCATCAAATCCTCATTTCGGTCAGTCGCCTTTAACTTGTCCAACATGTGCTCGATCTCAATGAAGATGGCCTGGCCCTGTCCGGCAATCTCAAAGGCTTTCTCTGTTGTCTCGGGGGTTCGATCAAGCTCAAGGCCCTCGAGGGTTTGCCCGACATGCTTCAATGTCAAAGCAAAGAGTGATATGCCCTTGGCGATGCTGTGTATCTCCAATCTAGACTGTGCCAGTTGACAAGCGGCCGCGTTGAGGAGCAATGAGAGCCGGAAGCCCGCGCCGGAGATCTTACTGACGGAAGCCTGGCCTTTAGGGTGTTAATAGACAATTAGATGCGCCCGGTGGGATACCATACCTTGTGCCATGATATTGGAGTAGTGAGTTACAGTGTATTTAGACCATGTAGAAAGCAAGATGAGAACAGGACAGAAAGAAACAGAAATGAGCAGTCGCCACCATAGAATTAAAGCATATTTGAAAGAGCCGCACTGCATATCAAGTGACTCAGGCGACTAGCAGGGTCTGAGCCCCGCGATTTACGGCTATTCATGACGCCATGGAATACACTTCGTCGGGCGCTCGTTGGTTTAGGGGAGCGGGCGGAGTTGATCCCCAGCTGGAAGTGTTCTAGCGCTGCATATCCCTGAGGAATGAACACCTGGGCAAAAGTACACTGCCTCGTCTACTCATAGCCATAAGGTCCCGCGTGCTCCAACTTCTTTGTTTCGTTGGAAGTTGCTTATCAAGGCCTCTCGTGTTCGCGGAAGACGGTTCTGTGCTATGCCGAGTGCTTCAGGTATGGCCAAGACTGTCGAGGACCCTTGTCTTTTTACCCGGGTTTGGGGCGAGGCTATCTTGCCTCGTATTTCAAGGATCTTGACTGGAATGAAGTTATAGTCCTGTGAAAGCCTGTGAACTCCGGGTAGTCCGCGAGTTAGATGTGCGGCTCACTGGGTACCGGCATTGACTTTGAAATACCTGGGAGTTTTGACTGTAGATCTCGACTCTGTTTCGAGTGCTTTCAAGTGGTTCGGCTGTACTCGTACTCCGTACCCCATACGGAGTGTGTTGTGTGAGGCTGCGTGCGTGTTGACACAACATTGGCATTTCCGCATCCGGGAGTTCCAAGGTGCGAAACCTGGGTGTTTGTATGTTACTGCTGCTAAACTACTGTACTACTATTCCTACTATCCTATACTATACCTCCCTCGGCTACGATGCTTCATTTTCCCCAAATTGACGTATGAACTGTGGTGCCTTGTCCGCCCCTCCTTTTTTTCCGCCGCGTGGCCACTGATCGTCATTTGCGGAGATTGTCCCCAGCGACACTTTTGTGACAACAAAGAAATATTTACAGAGCTTCAGAGCTTCAGAGCTTCAGAGCTCATCACAAAGATCGTGAGGCCGGATGGGTGAGCTCTTGAAGAGGAAGGGACGCAAGGGACAATCCGACACACCACCCATCTCGGGGCCTCCAGGAGCCCCCAGCCCATGAAACATGACTACAGCCTCGGGTGTCAATGAAGACACCTCCGACCACTCGATACCCTCCGCATCGAACGCCCCCGATTCGTCCCAGCAAGCCGCCCGGAGCGACTCCCCCGCAAACCACATTGAAAAACAGGACAGTGCGGCGTCCCCGCCCGGGACGTCAAGACCGGTCGCGGAGTCTCAGCAAGTTCCCCAGGCATTGGACGAAGTTGATGACTTTGGTCTGCCCATTCGAACCCGCCGAAAGCCCGAACCAGCTCCATTCGAGCCCTCCGCAGGAGATAACACCGGTCATGGCCCCGAAGCAGCTGCGGGGTCGACCGCATACAGTGATACAGTGAAAAAGACGGCCGGACCTGAACCCACACAGGAAGAGCCGGAGCGAGAGACGCCCCTTGAGCCAATGAACGGGAACACCCCAGAGCCCAAACGCCTGGAGACTCAGGAAGGTGCCCCTGCGCCCTCGGAGAATCCGCCAACGGTGGGAACCTCTGATAAACCTCGATCTTCGATCTCCAAGCAAAAGCCCCCTCAGGTGTCGGAATGGTCGCACCAGCGACTCGCACAACCCGGTGCGCACCAAGCGGAGAGTGATGACGAAGAGGAAGAGCCCGACGAATGGACGACGATGCCTGCCCTGGGAGAATTTGACTACTACGACGACTACGGGAGGCTCATTGCCCGCGGGGCCAAAGAAGAAAGCGATGAGGCAGTATACCAAGGGCTTGGAGGCGCGGGGAGGGGATATACTCGGGTACAGCTTGATGAAGACGCTCAGTCGGCCACAAGTCTGGATGAGGATACAAGCTATCTGTTTCGGGATACAGGTGACAACTCCGCTGGTCTTGTCGGAGAGGAGTTGCGAGACTCTATGAGTCAACTCCAGGCCACAAAAGATCTTCTCAATGAAACCCAGAAAATCGCCTACGTAGGTGTTGTGCGACTGTCAATCCACACCATGAACCGTGATTTGGCGTCGATCGCTACTACGAAATCTACTCGCAAAACCATGCAGAAGGCGTCGGATGCCATGCGGAAGTGGGGCCAGGCAATCATGGCTCGCGTCTATGCCCATATGGACATCGACTCGGCCGAGCAGATCATGATCGAACAACTTGCTGGTCATGGTGTGCAGCCTGAAGATCTCGTTCCGCCTCTCATGCAGAACGCGAGGGTGAAGAACCCCATGGCGGAAAGTAAGCCTAAAAGCTCCATATCGAGTCTGAAAGGCGATCGTTTATCGAGTAGGCTCTCTGCGGAGACCGCTTCCTCCGAACTAGACCCTCCACCACCATATGAGGCTCATGAGACTGAGGAGCCACCTGAGGTTACAACTCCCTCTCAGATGCCAACCTCTGATCGCATCGACATTGACCTCCGTTGGACAGTACTCTGTGACTTGTTCCTTGTGCTGATCGCAGACTCAGCGTATGACGCACGGTCCCGAACTCTCCTGGAAAAGGTCGGTGCAGCCTTGGAAGTTACATGGCTGCAGATCTCGCGATTCGAGAAGCGTGTCACAGACTCCCTCGAAATGCAAGAACAATCTGAGAAGGAGAACTGGGACGAGTCCGATCATATGGAGAAGCGTCGCAAAATGGCGCTGAAGCGAAAATATATGATCATGGGCTTAGCCACTGTGGGTGGTGGTCTGGTCATCGGACTTTCTGCTGGATTGCTTGCACCAGTGATCGGAGCCGGTCTCGCGGCTGGTTTCACCACCGTGGGTATCTCGGGAACGAGCGCGTTTCTGGGAGGCGCCGGAGGTACTGCCTTGATTGCATCCAGTGCTACGTTGGGTGGAAGCACCATTGGAATGAGAGCTTCGCATCGACGTACCGGTGCGGTTTCAACTTTCGAATACCGGCCTCTGCACAATAATAAGAAGGTGAACCTGATCGTGACGGTCTCCGGATGGATGACTGGCAAAGTCGATGATGTTCGTCTACCATTCAGTACTGTAGATCCCATCATGGGTGACATCTATTCTGTACTTTGGGAGCCTGAGATGCTTCGAAGTATGGGTGACACGATTAATATTTTGGCAACAGAGGTATGTTGTCTAACTGCAGACCTGTAATACCACTAACACGTTATAGGCACTGACACAAGGTCTACAACAAGTCCTGGGAAGCACTGTGCTGATGGCACTGATGGCATCCTTACAACTACCTCTTGTTCTCACTAAACTCGCATATCTGATTGACAACCCCTGGATTGTCTCACTGGCGCGCGCCAACTCGGCCGGCCTTGTCATGGCCGACTCGCTTCAGGAGCGTAACCTTGGCAATCGGCCCGTCACATTGCTGGGTTTCTCGCTCGGCGCGCGTGTGATTTTCTCTTGCCTCAAAGAGCTTGCTGATAAAGGTGCCCACGGGCTTGTTCAGAATGTGTACTTATTTGGATCGCCTGTGGTCGCGAACAAGGATGAATACCTCAAAGCTCGCAGTGTTGTGTCCGGCCGTTTCGTGAATGGGTATGCCACCAATGACTGGATTCTGGGATACCTGTTCCGCGCGACCAGTGGCGGCATCATGAAAGTTGCCGGTCTTGCGGCAGTAGAGGGCATCCCGGGCATTGAGAACTTTGACATTACCTCGCTTGTAAACGGGCACATGGACTATCGTACTGCCATGCCCCGCATCCTGAGGGAAGTTGGCTGGGAGGTTCTCGAGGATGAGTTCGCTGAAATTGAAGATCCGGACCCCGACAACCACGCCGAACGACAGCGTGAACTGATCCGCGAGATTGACGAAGCTCGACGGGAGGCAGAAGCCAAGCCTGAGAAGAAGCGATTCGGTCTTTTCAAACGGGGCAAGATGGCAGAGAAGAAGAAATGGGAGACATACGACGTCGATCGAAACAACAGTCCAGACGAGACTTCTGATCTCAACAGCAGCCCTGGCACTGTCCTCTTCGATATCGAGGCCATTCGAGCGGAGCTACATTCGGAAGCGATCGAGGTCAAAGAATTAGAGTCGACAATGCCCCTGATGAAAGTGGACCTGAACTCCCCGTCAGAACCGGCGCAACCCTCTCCTACAACCAAAGCACCAAAGTCTCCGGACTTGCCAGCAGTCTCTCGGGCTGTCTCGACGCCACTACCAGTCGAGCAAACCTCCTCTCACGAACCCTCCAAGCATGACGAAGCTGAATTGACTTTTGACACCTCATTTCATGATTCCCCACCCACGAACGATCCCCCTTCTTCCCGCCCCGAGTTGCGAACAGCCACTACGATGCCCAACATTGGAGCCACTGCTGTCGGAGCCATGGCCATGGAGCCCAATGCTTGGGCGGACGGAGGGCATGATGGCGAGATTTCTATGACCTTTGAGTAGTTTCTTTTTTGTCTCCCCCTTCTTCTATATACTTTTCCTCTTCAATAATGAGACCTGTGTATTCACATGGGTATTTTTCTATGATCCTATAGTGGAACCTTCAGTAAAGAGAGGGATATGTCTTGCTTCTACAATTCTTTGTGATTTCATACTCATCGCGGATTGGCTGCGGATCCTTTGTCTGCAGTTCTTACTGCTAAAAAAAGACCCAACGAGAGAGTTGAAAAAATGTGAGGGGAAATGACATACGAGTGTCTCTTATATTTGCAATAAATGCCTAAAAATTTTGCGTGAAATCAAGCAATTGCAGTTCCAAGTTGATAGCTGAGCTGGGGTTATACAAAACCTCCAAACTCGGCACGTGTCACGCGTTTCTTCCCCCTCAAACGCCCAATGTCAACTTGCATATATCCACCCGGAACCCTGCATAGGGCTCTTTGTTTCAAGGATTAAAGAAAACCTCAATCCGACGAACACCGACTCTTTGCAAATTCCAAGTCCGCCCTCCGCGTCCCAAAACACGTTCCGTTATCAACGCGCCGCAACCACTGCCACGAACCCGAATCCCTCTATACTCTGCACATAGCACGATCCACAATGGGCGCTCGAGCAAAGCCCAATTCTAGTTATGCGCCGAACCGGTTGACAAGAAATAATGGCCCGAAGAGCTCTCTTCTATCGACCTTTAGGGACAAACAGCCCGAGGTCAAACCCGCTGCTATGACTGTCGCACCGAAAGCCCAAAAGAGAGATACCGACACAGCCCCTACAGCTCCTGTGGGATCATCGTCGCCACTGAGCTCTGCCACGGATCTTGAGCTCTCCGATGTGCCGAGCGAGATCCCAGACATGGACGCCATACTCCCGAGCACAGAGCTTGAAACAAGATTGGGACCCGGCACAGACGATGAGCCCTTGAGCTCTGAAGAAGAGCAGAGTGACAGTGATGCGTCACCGCCGCGCAAAGAGGCCAATTACATGACCTTGGACCAGAAGTTGGCAGAAGCCAAGGCTGCACAGAGCAGTTCGCGCAAGACCAAACTCGGCCGCACGGCGAGTGATATGATAGGCGATAGTGATGAAGATGAGTTCTTTTCCTCTTGGGGCTCGTCACAAAGTAAACGTGCAAAGTTCAACACGTACCAAACAAAAGGTTCTTACTTCAATCGACCGGCTTTTGCTAGACCGGCAGAGAGCCCAGAGAGCAAAGCCAAGCAGTCACCAAAATCCAAACAGACCCCCAAAGCCAGACAGACTTCCAAAGCAAAGGAGACCCCCAAGGCCAAGCAATCCTCGAAAGCCAAAAAAGCCCCTTCGGTTGAAGAGAAGGCTGTGGAGGAATTGAAAGAGCCGGAGGTCTCGTTTATTGTCCCCAAGGACATCTTGTCACCAACATTGGCACCGCAAGAGAAAGGAATAGATTTAACTGTCACGCCGCGAAAAGCAAATGATGTAGGAAACGACAGCGGCGCCGACTCGCCGCTCTCGTCAACATCATCATCTTTCTTCAGAGCCATCGAAGTCGAGAAGGAACCATCGCCTCCTCTCAAAGCACTGTGTCCAATGTGCAAGGTGGAAGTTGACCCTGAGATTCTGGCAGAATTCAAGGCACAACCAAAGCAGCGGATTCGTGAACAGCAACAATTCTGCGAGGCTCACAAGGCTCGCAGCGCCGCGCAGCAATGGAAACAGCGCAAATATCCTACCATTGCGTGGGATCAGCTCAAAACTCGAGTACAGAATTTATTCCCTGACATCGAGAAGTTGCTGGTCCCGGACGCTTTTTCATACTACCGCAACACTCTCGACGAGATTTTGGCTTCGGGTAAAGCCCGCAACTTTCGACTTACGATTGATGGGAAGACCCTTGAGGTGATTACTTGTGGTTATTATGGCACGAAGGGTGCGAGTATGATGTACGTTTTTCTTTCTTTGGCGAGAGGCTATACTAATAGTTTCCAGGCTGCATGCTGTGATTGCCCGGTTCTCTAGGTCTCTGCGTCGTTTGGCGACGACAGATCGAATTATTAAGACTGCTGGCGTGGCTGCCTACGCGCAGTGCGTTCTTGTGCCCGAGTTGGCCATGCGACTGGTGAAGCAAGATATGGATGTTGACGACGAGGGAGCTCGCCAAATCATGCGGGAGAGCATGGATATCGGGCAGAAAATGAACCCTGAGGCCAATGATGTTGTCCCCGTGCCAGCTGACTCTGAAGGTATCGCCGCTCAAGACTCGGAAGATTCAGATGAGGAGGATGAGGATGAGGACGAAGAAGATCTGGGAGACGAGGAAGACATGGACGACATGGAAAACAACGAGGAAGACGGCAAGTTCGCTGAAGTTGCCATGGATGAAGGCAATGAGAGTCAGAACCTCGAGAAACAGGAGAAACAAAGCAAAGATCAGGAGATCAAGAAATGATTGGGAATTTCTATTTCATGTCGATGTTATTTGGATTCATCTTATACTTCGCACTTCCTCGACATTGCATATATAGCCATGATACCTTATATGATTCGTTTTACGCATATTCATGTCAAGTACGATGTCCTCCAACGAGGTGTCTTTATCCCACAGGTGTCACCGACAACATTCTAGTCTCGACCTGCCATAAATTACCCGAAACGGAGATTATTGCGGCCCCACCTTAGTCATATCCCGACGATAAGGTGTGCTCCCAGTGACGATGATACAATGCGGAGATGCTTCTTTTCCTGTCTTCTATCCCACCCAAGATGAAAGAAAAAGACATGCCGTATTCGGAGACGAGTCCTCTGCTTGAGGTCAATGTCGCCCCTCGGCGGCATAGATATCCGCATCACGCTCTTCGTCGAGCTTGTACGATCTCCCTTGCCGCGCTGCTATCTGTAGCGACCGTACTTTTCCTGATTCCAACCGCCATCCTACCTCGAGAAAGTGGCTCGGTCTGGTCTTATCTCCCATGGGCCCAACCTATTCCACACGAGGCATGGCCAGAGAGCTACGGCCTCCCTTATGACCAACTCCAGCAGATCCTCCTCAATGTCCCCTCGGCGGATAAGGCTCGAGAGTGGAGCAAATACTATACAGCGGGACCGCACCTGGGCGGCAAGAACCTTTCCCAGGCTCTTTGGACTTTGAATAAATGGAAGGAGTTCGGTGTGGAGGATCTTCAACTTCCGGCTTATGATATTTACCTGAACTATCCCCTGGATCACCGTCTGGCTTTGCTGAATATCTCGGGCGATAAGGCCGAAGTCACTTTCGAGGCCACTTTGGAAGAAGACGTTCTAGAGGAAGATCCCACTTCTGGCCTGGAAGACCGTGTGCCTGTCTTCCATGGTTATTCTGCTAATGGCAATGCTACTGCCCAGTTTGTGTACGTCAACTTTGGTACATTCAAGGACTTCGAGGACCTCGTGAATGCCAACGTCACACTTGAAGGCAAGATCGCCATTGCTAAGTACGGTCGTATTTTCCGTGGCTTGAAAGTCAAACGTGCACAGGAGCTTGGGATGGTCGGTGTTCTTATCTACAGTGATCCCCAGGAAGATGGAGAGATCACCGAAGAAAACGGTTACGAAGCTTACCCTAATGGGCCGGCCCGAAACCCTAGTGCGATCCAAAGAGGTAGCACTCAATTCCTAAGTAGGATACCCCTTCACACACATTTGATACAAAGCTGACTGTTGGAACAGGCTTCCTCCCTGGTGATCCCACCACCCCCGGATACCCATCTAAGCCCGGATGTGAGCGACAAGAACCAGAGTCCATCCCCTCCATCCCATCTCTCCCTATATCCTACAAGGAGGTCCTGCCATTCTTGAAGGCTTTGAATGGCCACGGCCCCAAGGCATCAGACTTCAACAAGTGGTGGCAGGGTGGTGGTCTTGGGTACAAGGGTGTCGAGTACAACATTGGACCTTCTCCTGAGGGTGTAGTGATCAACCTTCACAACCACCAGGAGTATGTTACTACTCCGCTTTGGAATGTTATCGGTACCATCAAGGGCCACATCCCTGACGAGGTCGTCATCCTTGGCAACCACCGTGATGCGTGGATTGCCGGTGGTGCCGGCGACCCCAACAGTGGATCTGCTGCTCTGAACGAGGTAGTTCGCAGCTTTGGCGAAGCCCTCAAGGCAGGGTGGAAGCCACTCCGCACTGTTGTCTTTGCCAGTTGGGACGGCGAAGAGTATGGCTTGCTTGGATCAACTGAATGGGTCGAGGAATTCCTTCCCTGGCTCTCCAAGGCTAACATTGCCTATCTGAATGTCGATGTTGCCGCCGCTGGTACTCATTTCGAGCCTCGCGCAAGCCCACTGCTGAACAAGGTCATTCACGATGTCGCTAGCCTTGTGCAGTCTCCGAACCAAACCGTACGCGGTCAAACTATCGGTGATGTCTGGGACGGCAAGATCTCAACAATGGGTAGCGGAAGCGATTTCACAGCCTTCCAAGACTTTGCCGGTGTTGCCAGCTTGGACTTCGGATTTGGCCGTGGTAAGAACGATCCCGTCTACCACTATCACTCAAACTACGATAGTTTCGCCTGGATGGAGAAGTACGGTGACAAGGACTTCCTATACCACCAAGCAACCACCCAGCTTTGGGCCTTGGCAGCCGCACAGCTAATCGAGTCCCCCATCCTTGCTTTGAACGCGACAGACTACGCGCTCGGTCTCGGATCCTACCTGGACCAAATTAAGCCAGCGGCCGATAATCTCCCCAAGAACACCCACTTCGACTGGGTGCCACTTGACATGGCGATCCTCGAGTTCCAAGAAACCGCTAAAGCCTTTGATGCCCACGCCCTTGATCTCAAGGCCCAGCTTGGCGAGGATGTGCCTTGGTACCACTGGTGGAAGAAGGTGAGGTTGTGGTTCCAGATCCGCGCTGCCAATGCGAAATACAAGGGCATTGAGCGGGCTTTCCTTTACCAGCCTGGTCTCGATGGTCGTAGTTGGTTCAAGCATGTCGTCTTTGCGCCGGGTATTTGGACTGGTTACTCGGGTGCTACTTATCCAGGCATCGTTGAGAGCCTTGAGGCTGCAGATGTGGACAATGCCAACGTAAGTTTGCTTCCAAGGTCATATTATTGCTTCGTGCTCTTGCTGACTTTTCTATTCAGAAATGGAGCTCCATCATTCAGGGGCGCATTGCTGCAGCGACTAAGCTGCTGCAGTAGATGGCCTCAGCAATGTCCTATGGAAAAACGATGAAGATGTACACCTCAAGAGCATGCAGAGATTTGTACATATGACAAGCACAAATTGAACCAACTGATTCTTCAGTATTTCCGAGTCGAATAGTCGTACTCCGTACTCTGTATACATCGTATGCCCGACCCCACAGGTGGAGCCATAGCCACATGCAACCATGGATCCATGATGGCATGTCATATTACTAATCTATCGGATTGCACCAGCCCTGGAGGGACCTGGAGCTTCAATCGCACCATCTCTACCCTCATTCCCTAACATTCTCAATCCAATCTCCAAAATGGTACGTCTCCATGTCATTCTTCAATGCAACTCCTCTAATGAACCAACAGGCCCCCGTGACTTCCGCGCTCATCCTCTCCCTCTTGACCTCCCTCGGCGGCGCAATCGGCTATGCCCGCACCGGTTCAGTCCCCTCCATTGCCGCCGGTCTCTCCGTAGGCTTCGTATACCTCCTCGCATTCATCCGACTGCGCAGTGGCCAGACCTACGGTGAAGAACTGGGCCTGCTGGCATCTGCGGTACTGGGTGGCAGCTCGATTCCGCGTGTTATCAAGACTGGCGGAAAGCCCGTTCCTCTGGGCTTGTCTGTGCTTGCGATGTATGGACTCTGGGTGTTTGGGATTGCATACAAGGAGCGGAGGTAGATTTGATGGTTGATGTGGTTTTCAGGCATCTGAAGGTTCTGGGTGTTTTCTAGCGACACTTGAATACATTGTTTACATCTCGTTACCTTTCTGCATAGCTAAAATACTGAAGATGGTTATCTAAGTGCTCTTTCCAATGCTCGTGTATTTAAGACTGGGGTGCTGAACGGAAGTAGAGTAGACCAGTGCATTGATTTCTGCTATTGTTGGTACTTCGTACAGTAGTGTGGCTGACACCAAGGCCATTACACATGGCGGTGGACCTTGACATTGAGAAGAAAAGTTTGAGTTGAATTTGTGATAGAGAAATTCCCACCAAGATCTGGACCGAAACGCCCGTGCCGAAATGGAATCCCTACCTCGAGAGAAACGCTAAAACTTACAATTGACGGTAAATCATCGTCATGCCAATGAGGCATCAAATTGAAAAAAATCCAGGACCAGGGGGGATCAGGGATGAAAGCAAAAGGGCGCGGACACATACTGACTGAGGCCATTCGGCGTTGGCGAGGCAATTCTCAATCGGACCCGAGATGTACCCTCAAAACTTTCGTGCATTTGTTTTGGCTTTTTTTTTGTTGTTTTCAAGATTTTTCTTTGGACTCACAAGAACTGACGCTTCCTCATGGGAAGAAAGCGGCCCCGGGAGGGGAGAGGATTCATCAGAACTAGGATTTGAATCAGGGCCACTGACAACAAAACCCAGCCAGGAGAGCTTGTGTGAGTTTATGCGTCGAACTTAGCTGGGGTCCATCCTTCAAGTAGGGATAATAAAGCACTTAATGAGCGGGGTCAAGCACCGTATCGGAGTCTTGGATGGCGCCCACGATGGTGGAGTCGGGAACATCGCCAAGAACAGTTTCGGCGCTGTGGTCGGGTTTCCAGGCGTATCGGGGCAGCTGCGCCATTCTTTCTTCTGGGCTCAGGGTATCGTGGTTGTAGATCATTCGAACGGCGGGCTTCGTCTTTTCTTTCTTGGCGGGCTTCTCGGCGCCTTCTGTCTTGGCAGCATCCTGTGCGCCTGGAACCTGGTCATCAATGGGGGTCTGGGCGGGTGCTGGAGTGTTGTGACCGTTCGAGTAGACCGTTGTAGCGGGGGTTGGGACCTGATGACCCATGTGCATCTGTTGCATTTGGTGCGCGTTGACTGGGGGTGCGGCAAAAGCAGGACGTTGAGGTAAATGGGAAGCAGCCGGCAGACCTATGCCCTTGTTTTCGGGTGCTGGGGGTTGCTGGCCGAAAGAAGGTGGAGCTCCGTAAGAGACTGGGGGCTGCGCAGGTAGCCCAGCGGGGAATGCCTGAGGGTGTCCGGTCGGGGTGTAGGGCGAAGCGCCAGCCGCCTGTGGTCCACCGACAGGGGAATAGGTGGGATAGCTGGGGCTGGCGGTTTGCGAGAATGAAGGAGCGGCCGCCGCGGCATTTCCGCCGTAGGGCTGGGGGTAAGAGTATGGCTGAGGCTGGGTCTAGGAAGGTTGGTTAGGTATGATTCCTATCAGAGGGAATGAGAAAACTTACGAAACCAGGCGTGGGAGTCGGGGTAGACTGGGCAGATTGGACAGCACCAGTCGGGGTCTGAGAAGCACCCACGGGGGTGACGTCGCCACTGCTAACTCCGCCAAGTGCCTGTGCTGCGCGCTTGGCCTTGTGCTCCGCCAATCGCTTCTTCAGATCAGATGTAGTTTCGACTTTAGGCTTCTTTGCCGGTTGACCGCTAGCGGTGCTGCCGGCGGGAGGGTTACCAGTAACGGCCTGGCGCTCGAGCTCTTCCTGCTGGAATTGGGTTGCGACGCGCTGCTGGTGAGCCTTGAGGACCTCATCAGGGATACCTTCCATCCCGAAGATCTCAACCTCAAGTCCCATGCGGTTGGGCAGTGCGTTGTCAACCTCAGTCAGCTGCTCTTTGTGAACCTGACTCAAGTGCACGGAAAGACCTAAGGCACGAGTTTTTAGCCTGGCGCCCAATTGAGGGTGGGATTGACGGGAAGCTTACCTCCAGCAGTATTCAGTCGGCGGTTGCATCGGTCACACTTGAAGTGCTTGGCCTTTTGGTGGGAAATGAGAATCTTCAAGTCGTCAAAGTCACGTTCACAGTAATAACACCACGGACGGTCCAGAAGCTCCTCTAGGGAGGGACCACGTCTTTTCTTGCCCATTTCGAGGGAGCGCACAGCGTAGAACCTTTCAAAAAGTAAAGCGGGGGTGAGGGGTTGTGGGGAAGGAGGTCGATTGGGAATGGCATCGCTGCTCTTCTGAGAGTTGGACATGATGCATACACGTGATCGCACGTGATTTGTGCTGAAGTATGAAGTCCCGTGATGAGGCGAGATGGAGAAGTGAGGCGTTGGGAAATGGAGTGAGGAACTTGCTAAGATAGGCAGGTACTTCCAAGGCTCTTTCTGTTTACTTCATATACCTCATACACATGCGCAGGTACCCTTCTAAAACTGTTGTTGGGGATTCTTTTGTTCTTCCGAGCTGCCTGTATCAGTCTACGGAGTACCAAAACATGTCTAGGGATACACGGCTTCAATGTGCTTTGCTATTGGTCATAATTTGATTAACATAATGATTTGCTATTTGGTTTTTGTTTGAGTGACATCTAGAATCTTGTCAAAATCTGAAATTGTTAAGTGCTAGATCCAGTACTCCCTAGAAATCATTTACATACATAGGTCCAACATAGGCCTCACTTCAAAAATACATTAAACTTCGGAACTAAAATACAGATTCGATCGGTGACATGTCTTTATATGCCGCTCAGACACACGTGAGGACAAGAGACCCTCATATCTATCCACTGCGGGCTCAACCCAATCACGAAGAGGGTTGTGCGCCAAGCTGAGATTGAAAAGTGACGGGGAACTCTGATGGTTCAAGGTATGTTCGAAGCTGGCAATTAAGCAACGACCGATAGGTATGTGAAGCAGTTACAAAGCCCTCGCTCATGGAGTGGTGTAAAGTTGGGACGGTAAAAGCATCGGGATGTCAAGAGAAAGGGAACAAGGTAGTCGGTTCGCCAGCATTTGTATTTTTTTTAATGGCGAGGATCCCGCGGATCGTGTGAGCCAGGCATATGACCCATTCCGTATTGTACATATGGGAATGGCGCGTAATGTGGAGGCATCGGTTGCCCGAGCTGCGCCATGGGAGGAACTGGCGGCGGAGGGCCGTACGGGTTTACGGGCCCGGGGCCATAGTGGGCGACCCCCATTGGAGGAAACGCGGGAGGCATTTGCTGCTGTGCTTGCACACTTGCCATTGGGGGCAACCCAGGTCCCTTGGGAGCAAGGTTCCCGGCAAGAGGGGCTAGTGAAGGCGACCGCTTACGGCGCCCAGGGCCGATAGGTCCCATGGGGTTGGGGATAGAATCGTCAGGTCCATCGACAGTTCGGTCTTGTTCAATTTGGGCCTTGGAACGTTTGGGGTTGCGTATACGCCCTTCTCGGTTGAACCTATCCCAGTGGTCAAGCATTGCTTTGGTTCTTTTCGGGTTCTTCGAATTAGCAATCTTCTGGCGTCTGGCCTCCTCGATTGCCTCGATCGACAGCGTCTCTTTTTTGATCGGTGCCTGTGCTTGTGATGCGGGGCTCTCGGGCTCAGTTGGCTCTATGGCTGGGAATGTGTTTTCCGCTGAAGGAGTCGCGGACGAACCCACAGTGCTAGCGCCACGTCGGCCTCGGCCACGATTTGAGTTTTGTGTCGGCGGAGCAGGAGTGACTTCAAATGTTGCCCGCGAAGAAGCAAGTCGACCATTTCCACGACCACGGCCGCGACCACGACCACGACCAGAACCACCGCGAGGTTTGCTATCTGGTTGATAAGACTCGGCAGCAGCCCGCTTGCCGCCACGAGGCCGCGTTCGCCGCTTGGCAGGATGGTTTTCTTCTTCGGTTTCGTCGCCAGGTTCACTAAGATTCTGATCGTCGTCGGTGTCAGGATCCTTGGCAGGCAATTCAACCTCTGCGGCCTTGCGTTTCCGAGTGACCTTCGGGGCGGCTGGCTCGCTCCGCTTCTCATACATTTGAGGGTGGTATTCAAGCCCGTGCTTCTTCATCGTCATCCAGTTATCCATGTTCTGGTCACCGTATTCTTTCTGTTTCGCAATCATCTTCCGCGCCTGTGCAGGTGTGGGAACGAAACCTCCTTGGGCAAATGGATCTTGAGATGTACGGATGGGGATAAGAGGGGTGTGGTTCGGGAAATAGGTGTGTTTGTAACCGTAAAGCATAGCTTCTTTCTTCTCTTCGAAGTCATACTTATCTTCATTGGCGCGAGCCAGAGGTGCACCGCCCTTCTTCTTGTGGCCCTGCAGCTGATGTTTCTTTGCCTCATATGATGCTTCATCTCGTCTGTGGCGGTGCGCTTTCAAGTAAAGGCTATCAAGAGCCAGCCATTCATCTTGGAGTGTTTTCATGGTCAATGCTGCAGTTTGTGTGATAGCATAGAGTTCCTCTGGGGAGAACTTCTCAGGTGTGCGAAGCATGTTCACCAAAGTCTCGATTTCCTGGGTTTGAACTTCAAGGAACTGGCCTTTCTCGACTTTAGCCTTTTTGTATGGGAGTATGTGAGGAAGCGGCTCAGATGCGTCACGCTTTTTAGATTTTGACGGGTCATTGAAGGAATTTTCCCATGTCGATTCACACGCGGAAGCTTCCAGTTCGTAGGCGGGCGAGAACATGGTTGTGTCGTGGACATTCCAGAGTCTATTAAGACGCTCCTTGACGTCCTCTCTTTTCCACGTATCCACGCGAGCACGGTACTCTTCTGGATATGATGTCCGTGGGTTGGAGAGCCACTCAACCAGGTCGGCCCTGCCTGCAGGCACAACTGGAACGCTTACTTCCACGGTAGTTGGTATAGTGCCATTCGTATCTTCTGTGGTTATCTCGACGGTCGTCTCCTCAACGTCGCCTTCGCCATCTCGAGGTTCGATGTCTTCAGTCCGAGCGGCTTCGGCTTCGGCTTCGACTGCGGCTTCTTCGTCTTCTTCGTCAGCGGCATCATCATCTTGAAGGTCGCCAGCCTCGTCATAAGTTTCATCGGCGCCCTCATCAGCGCCATCGTAGCCAAAGCTAATGGTTTTTGGGTGTGCTTCGTTAATGTGATCATTGAGAACATCGTCTGCTGAGACATTCTGGTCATTTGGAAGCATTAAGAGCTTCCCGCACCAGTCGCACTTCACTTGATGGATCGGCTCTGGTGACTGTGACATTTGGGTAGATGTAGACTGAGGGCGGAAAGGCTCCGAAAACTGACGGCGCATAGGAGAATCCTGGCTGTCGCCGACATCTGAGGAAGGGTTGTCCCCATCCAGATCAGCCCTTGGGATTGGCGCCATTTTGCAAGCAGAGGAGCGTTAACAATAAAGTGGGTAGGGATATTTGAACAGATCACAGGAAAGAACAAGAAAATAGAAAAACAATCCCCAAGTGAAGAACTAAGCGCGTTGGAGAAGGATCTGTATAGATGGTCAGCTCAGTTCGCTTGCAAGCGCCAAGACCCCAGCAAAAACAGCGCAATTATGTGTTAAGCGCCAAGGTGGTGAGGAACGAGCGCGAGTGAGTAAAAGCGAAAGCATGGTGATTTACATGATCACGACCGGGAATACAGAGATATTGAGCGACCAGAAAGAGTCATGAAACAGAAAACACGGTCGGGCAAAAATGTGTGGATCAAGATCTGCCCGGGAAGTACGCAGTGTACTGCCAGACTACAGAAGGGAAATGATGTATTTCACGACGCGCCACTTACCATGAGGGACTTGAAAGTCACAAAGAATGTTGGATGAAAAGACACACGTCACAGCCAATGACTGCTCACTGTTAGAGAGGAGTTCTGCAAAGAAGGGTGCAGGGTGGACGTGAGTGGCTGCCAGGGATGTGTACTTACCTATGGAGATGGCGGCGTAGATGAGTAGGCTTCCACTTAGACGAGATTCTCAGCAGAGGATCCCGATGGAGAAGATATCAGGAGCACAGGCAATGGGAACAGCAGTATGTCAAAGACGCCCAAAACTGTTGGCGCGCAGATCTTGCGGTAGTATGAAGGGAAGGGAAGAAAAAAAAAAGATCGACGCGATGCGCGAGAGAGAAGAATACAACAGGGTGAGTGGAAGGTGATTACCACAATGAATACAGAACCAGCAGGATACTGGGTGAGGAGGACTAACGATGAAGCGGACTGCAGAGATTGAGGTTGAGAAAGAGATAGATTTGTAGTTTGTAGCCATTTACGGGGGTTTCCACTGCCCGTCGTGGCCCGACCAATCAGCGATCACTCATCTACTAGCGGAACTACATCGAGGAAAGGGGCTTTGATTCAGGCTCAATAGCATTCAATTGGCATGAAGAGAGTATTGACATTGTGCTCGAAAAGACTCGGTCTCCATTCACTTCATTGAGTGGGTTGTTCAAAGTTCCTGAATGTGTTCATTGAGGCCGAATTGGGCCGAATGACCTTCCAAGGTTCTTCCAAAGAGATACGTCACATGATGCGTACTTTGGATGACACAAATCCCTGGAAATGGAGTCAAAAAGTGTTTGTACTATACAGAAACTCAAGGCGAACAAACGGCGAAATTGTTGTGGGGACCCAGTGGATTTGGCGCTTATTCTCCTCCAAGTGGACACGTTCCCGAGCACTCGACTCTAGATCTTACAGTCCAAGGTTGTAGGTCGCAATAGACCTCGGGACTGATGGAGCTCACCATACACGCACTGAATCAATTTCCAGGCATCAGGCTCACTCTAAGTTTCGACAAGGTCATTCAAGTGATCAGCCGTACCATAATGCACCACCTATTTGGATGGATACATACTCCTCGAATATACACCCCTTGTTTCATCTGCAGAATAGCGACATAACTCATATCACCTGGATCACTTTCTTTTTTTGACTAGTAGTCCCTTTCCCTTATATCACTTGATCAGAGGATTCAGGACAACACACTTTTAATGCACCCAGAGGGGATTAAAGCGATGTTCATCAACCTCGCACGACCCGCGGGAAATAACATATAGTACCAGGCTTCCAAGTTTGAAACACCCGTGCTAACTCGCGCCAGGGCTATCTCCAGTGCTTCGATAATATTGCCCAATGCCTCCAAGATTCCAGGTTCCAAGGTTTCGTTAAAGCCAACACACTTGCAATCCTCTTCACTCCGGACCTGCGTGAATGAATTCCACTTTGGACTCTCAACATGCGTATTTTGCCATCGACTTGGATAATCAAGATGCTAAGTATAAGTAGATTGCGTATTACCTCCAGGTGATTGCTTTCATCATAGTGCCAGACTATACCGAGGTGTCTCCTCTTTTCCAAGGTTGTTTCAAGGTTGGTGGGCTTAATGGTTTGGAAGGTATTTGGGTAGTACCGGTTGAGTCGAATACTTTCTGGCCTCGTGCCCAGGTGGCTTGAGATCTGCCATCAGTGCCCAGGTTTCCAGTGCCAGCTGAAGAAAGTTAGCATAGATGTTCCAAGCTTTTGGGAACTTGGGGGATATCGGTTTACATGTGCTATGTACATTAGGTAGTTCATCCTTAATGTCTTCTACCTGGGCAATGTTGTGGTTTTCAGCCTGTCGTTTTTGGTGAAGTATGTCCTTGACATAACAGAGTAACACTAGTTACAAACCACTATCGAATATCAATACAAGACCTCGGAAGTGCAACTAAACCTTCACGTGTCAGACGGGGTGCTACATTCATAGTAAAATACGTTACTGAAAGAAAGGAATCGAAAAGACAATGAGATCCATGCATTGCATTTATTTAACAGTACAGTATAATGCAGGAACAAACACCTTCTCCACAAAAACGAACGACACACGGAAGCACAGAAAGACTAAAAAGGATGGCTCAAATTGAAATATGGTTTTCGGCCAATGAAGTGCTCTGCTGGGCATCAATGCAGTTGACATGCATGACGTGGGCCTAGATCGATTCAAATTACGATCTCCTGCACGTCAAATGAAGCACCGAGCTACAGTAGACTCTGTTAGGACTTTTGATAGTTACCTTGGAATATAATAAATAGACATTCATCCTGGTCGATTGGCCCCGATATCTTTACAGAAATTGTATTTTTTGGTTTTGATAACCCGTGTATTAGGTATAGGCATAGAATGATTCACCAACTTCAAAACCCACAGAGTAGCTACCTAGGTAACGCTGATCTCGCCGCTAGGCAAATATATGTATGAGCGGCATTGCAGATATCTGGGTAGCACTTCCAAGTTCAATTCATACCTAAATATTATGTATCAACCAAATTTCGCTTCCTCGCCCTAGCCCAACGAAAATTGCCCAGGTGAAGCGCACTGCAATCACCCGAATGACTTGGCTCCCTGGAACCCTTAAACTTGTTCTGGCTTTCTGTAGGCATGAGCGTGTCCAATATTACCTAGGTAGGGGATTATCTACTGCAGATAACGCAAAATATCCGTAGGTATGACGTGCAGCAATATTTTCTACTACATCAAGGACCCGAGTTAACTACCTAGGTAGGTAGGTAGAGGGAATGACCACCTAGGTTGTACCAGACTGACAACCTTGGAACATCATTCAATATGTCTATGTACAATGTATATAGATCTTCAGAGCAGAAAGACTCAATGGTTCTTCTCCCCAACATCCAAAGCAACCAAAAATCTCGAGACACAATTATAAGCTGCAATCGTAGCCGTAATCTCTACAACTTCCTTCTCGTCAAAGCAAGCCCTCAATTGCTCGAATACCTCCTCCGGAACCGTGACTGTCTTCGTCATAGCATCTGTATAAGCCAAAACAGCACTCTGCTCGGTCGTCAAGATTGATGACGAGAAATCCGCCTGCGCATCCCCAACAATCTTCAATGCATCTTCACTCAGCCCTCCCTGTTTCAGCAAGGGTGCATGTTGCTCCCATTCAAATAGTGCGCCGTTGACCACTGCCACCCGGCAGATAGCTAGCTCGCGAATGACGGTCGAGAGGCTTGTCCGTGTGCGGATTGCGCCGATGAATGAGTTCCAGCCTTCTGCCACAGGGTAGGAGTGCAGAAGGGCCAGGTCAAGGGGGAGAAGGTCGTTGGGCGCCCTCCGGGCTTGCACGCTAGCTAGTATTCTAGCTTCGTCGGGTGTGTTGGCTGGGGGAGGGTTTGGGACGTATGGGAGGCGCATTTCGAGTGTAGATGTTTTGAGATGTTCTATCACAATCTTAGTTGGGCGTGGCTATTCGTTTTGGCTGACATACCTAATAAACCGATATTCTCCCAAGCCTGTTTGGAATTTCAGGTAGCAGTAGCCTGTCTTTCAAGGGAATGAGTAACTATTTATCTCGGCCCCGGGACAACCCCGCGCGGTCCCGCTATATGGGGCTGATGGAAAAGCCGCGGGAGTCGGAATGGTCTTTCCGGTATGAATCCGCTGGATTTGGTGCCATTAATGTGTTGGTATTTGGATAGTTGGAGTTGGTGATGATTTGCCCCTAGGCGAAGTACTCAGCTGTCAAGCTATGTATGGATGTGGGGGTCTCATATCAAGATTCAAGATTCGTGGGCAACATTTACCCATGGCAGTCGTTGATTGTTGCAGGGATAGAAGATTGATGCCATGTGAGTGCAATTAAATCCAATCCCAAGTCTAGAGCATTGTAACTCTTGATGTCTTTTGAGGTTGACCATTCACTCTACAAGCACTGTCTCTGGTCTTGGCACTGTACCCACAGCGGCTTCAGAGCTTCGAAGGTGTCGTCACCTCTCCTGAACACAACAACCATGCCGCCAAAGGCCCCCAAACCTACCAGCGATGAGCTTCTCGCTCAGTTCGATGACCTCGGTCTCGGCAAATCTGGCCAGGCACCAAAAACACCTACCAACCCCAGCGGCGGGCAGGAGGACATCCTCGCCGAGCTGGATCACCTCGCTGCGCAGCGTCCAGCCAGCGGACCAGGCACTCCCCGCCTGTCTATCGACAAAGCACGACCATCTACACGATCTCCCCGGCCAAGCGCGACTATCGAACGCCCAGCCGAGGACAAACCTGTCCGCCAGTCTGAAGAGGCGAGTCGACCCTTGCGCGCAGAGCCCAAGGAACAACCCAAACCTGAGCCGGAGACCGCCTCGGCGGAGCCAGCTGCGGAAAGTGGTGGATGGTGGGGAGGCTGGGGAGGGGGCCTATATGCCACTGCCACTGCAGCTATGAAGCAGGCCGAGGCGGCTGTCAAGGAGATTCAAAACAACGAGGAGGCACAAAAATGGGCCCAGCAAGTTAAGGGCAACGTCAGTGCCCTTCGGGATCTCAGTACGATTGTCTTAATTCCTGTCTGCAACATAGCTAACAACGCATAGGTGGCGAGCTGCGTGACAGGGCCATTCCAACCTTCACCAACCTTATTCACACCCTCGCACCCCCGATTTCCTCGCATGAGCGTCTCCAGATTCACATCACTCACGACCTGTCCGGTTATCCGGGCATCGACCCCCTGGTTTACGCCGTGTTTTCTCGCGTAATGTCGCAGGTCGAAGGCGGTGATCTCCTAGTGATCCAGCGCGGCCAAGAATCCTCCCCCAGGCGCCTCGATGTCACAGGTCTCATGACCAGTGCCGGGTGGAATGACGGACCCTGGTGGAGAACCGTCACTCCCGGCCAACCGCGCAGCATCAACTCGGTGCGCGGCGCGGTGGAGGGCTCAAAGCTAGCTCGGGCTAGCGCCGAGTCTTACGCTACGGAATACTTCTCGAGCCGCGGTGGAGTGGAAGGAGCAGCTAAACATGCCTCGGAAGTCCTCAGCGAATCGAATCCTGTGCGCAGCAGCGATATCTTCCTCGCCATCCAGGCCATCAGTCAGACGGTATCCAAGGATCTTTTCCAGGCGTCGGGCGAGGAAGAAGAGACCGAACAGGAAGAAGAAATATCCTTTGCTTTGTACCTTCATGATCCTATTCATGGTATTGCTTTCCACGCGATCTCCCAGACTATCCCCCAGGCATGGATTGAATGGCTCGACGCTTCGGTTCCCGCGCCTGTGGACGAGTCCGATGATGAGCATGCGCAGCGAGTTGTTGTTCCTGAGGCTATCGCGGAGATCATCGAGAGTGGAGGTGTCGATCCCCGCGAGTGGGTTTCAGAGTGGATCGAGGAAACTCTTTCACTGGCCGCTGGCACTATTGCGCAGCGTTACGTGGCACGCCGGATGGGCGTTGGAGAGGGCGGCGTTTCCAAGGGAAAGATGCGCGCTGAACAAGCTTCTACCGTTGACAGCGGTGCGGGAGAAGCCGCACGTGCGATCTAGCTTTACGACACACAGCGGTCTGTGTTTTAACGGCGCAGGTATATGAATGAAATTCCTATGCAGCGTAATTGTACAAAAACAGAACCCTCCGTATTATGCAAAAACCATGGGTATCGTTCAGGTCATCCAAATCTTCAATAGTCCAGCACCAACGGCCCTTCGAGGCCAGGGACATGCCAGAAGTTGGCTCGGAGAGCAGTCACACTAGAACGGTCAGCAGATGTTTTCTACACAAGGGCATGGGTTTCGCCCATCGATGTCTTGGGGATTCATACCTGGTCGAGCCGTTCAGAACGGTATGAGCATCTGTTCCCTCCTCGCTCTCTTCCAGCGTCTTCTTCATATCAGACAAGTCGGCAGACCACTTGAACTGTCTCTGTCTAGGCTTCACGGGCTCCTCCACCCCATTCGTTTGCGACTCGGCATGCGCACCATTGACGCCATTCGTCTCACAACCATGCCCATTGACCAACTTCTTCCCCACCTCCGCATACAAACAGCCCCGGTTCCAGTAGTAGGGCAGGGTCCTCGTATAAAGCACGGGTTGATCTTCAACATCCACGCGCATGGGAACATTGATATTATAAAGTTCCACTCGCTCGTCCCAAACCTCATACAAATGCGCAACAAGTCGCACGGCCAATCTCGCCGCTGCCGCAATCACCTCATCAGTCTGCGGGTCCTTACTTCCAAAGGAGATCGCGATTCCGCGCTTCCCACAGAAAACAGCCTCCAGTGCACCCCCAACAGTCCCCGAAGACAAGTTGTAGATCGTTGACGCATTGCGGCCGTGGTTTGGTCCCGAAATCACCAGGTCAACCGGCGCACGCTCACTGAAGAGGTTGTAGAGACCTAATTGCGCACAGCTGGCTGGAGTGCCGTTGGCGATGACAACCCAGTCGTCGTCGGTGTTTGGGGACTGGAAGTCTTCGTCCCAGGTTCCGTCGGGGAGGAAAGCATCCGGGTGCACATAGGTTGCTTCCAGGTTGGCTTCGATGAGATGCGCCTTGCCGATCCAGGAGCGGGAGGCTGCTGGGATCGCCACTGAGACGGTGTGACCTTTGGCTTTGATTTCGTCGACTAGTGGGCGAACGTAGGGTGAGAGGCGGGTGCTTGGGGGCCCATCATCGTTGACAACCTGGTTTGGAGTTAGTTGTGATCTATAGGATGCGCGCAAAAGAAAAGATGGTATGTCACGCGCGGCCTTTTTGCGGCGATCACTGCAGTTGGATTGCGATTGTCGCGCCTGAGGAAGCCGCAAGAAGCGCAGGAAAAATCGTGCCGATCTCACTTACCAGAATGTGCATGGTTTGAGTTTCGAGCGCTAGAAGCGATATAGAGTTGGATAACTGACGTCTGTTTCAAGGCGGGCTTTTGGAGACCTCTTTTTTTCTTTTTTCTTTCTCTTTGGCCTTTGCGTATGAAAAGTCAAAGTGGAATTGACGCCCCGCACTGGGGTGCAGCAAACTTATACCGGGGATAAGTATTGAGCCAGTCCACACCGGGGTGAAGCCGTTCAGGCTGCGGGGACGGTAATGATAGGGCCCGAATGCAGCGTGCGGTGAACCGATCCGGTGGTTCTTTCGGGTGTGCTGGCCATAGAGACGTTTTCTATTATTCAAGTATATGTACTCTATATTGCAAGGCGATTGGTCTTGGTTTTTGTGATTATTTTATGTGTTCTAGAAGGATGCATCCATGGATATATACTTCGATGGGTTCGATGGGTTCGATGGGGCTCGAATGCAGGCTCTACATACCCGGATGTGCAGTAGTCCGTACAGAGGGTAGCATGTAACTGAAAAGTACTCCATAAGCAAAATAAATTATACTAGATGTCAGTATGCGATTTCGGTGTACATATAACCAAAGCCATACAGAAAACTTGAAGTCCAGATGCCAAGCCTGACATAATCCTGCCCACCGAGCGGCCGGTTTGAGTTGTGCCTGAAACTACCTAGGTACTCACACACAGACGCTTTTCTCTGACACGATCGTCTCTCGTAAGGTCAGTCCACGCTCGGAGATCTACACGCCGGGTCCTTTTTTTTTTTTTCTGCTGTTTTTTTTTTTAAACAATTATGGACCAGGTTATTCTGGCGTGTGACTGTTTTTTCTTTTTCCTTATCATTTGTAAATCATAAGCCAAGCCAATGTATTGAGTAAATCCGAACAATCTGGTTCTCAACCAGTAAAACAAGAATCACTCAGACCGTGACACGCTAGTAGACGATCGCAGAAAATCTTGTGGTGGGGACCCGCGACCTTCGTCTTTTGGCCCCTCAACTCTTCTTCCCGAGTCATCCATCTTCAACAATCCGTCACTGCACCCGCCTTACCCTGCTTATTAGCAAAGTCTCAAAAAGGTCATCTTTTTGAGATATTTGCTCAAACTCGTTGCCGCCACTTTCCGTCGTATCCTGTATGGACTGTGGAAGTACTGGGACCGCTGCGGGGATTGACCCCAAAATCTTAGACAACTGGCAAACTGAAGGCGCCTATTCCGTCGCGTCGTGGGAAAATTTGGGTTACGATCAGCCGCCCGAGTGGGATACCAGCCAGGAATCGAGCCAGTGCGATGCCGACATCGCCGACTTGGGGACCTTGCAAGGTCCATTGAACGAATATCGCCGCTTGGAGAGGTCCGCTGCCCCCTGGAAATAACCGTGCATGCCCACGGGAATGTCGCTAACGTGCTATGTAGGAAGCATGATGTAGCGCCCGAGAACTTGAACTACATCGATGGGGTCGTCGAGGGTACCGGGAGCGGCACCATCAGCCCGAGGACGATCCCATCGTCCGCAGACGAGAACTTCCACTCCGACGAGGCGTGGCCGCACTTCCAGCTGTACAACTCCGTTGGCATGCCCATGGATGCCTCATTGCTTTACCCCTACGCGAAAGGACCGAACCACTCGACCGGAGCCGTGATTGTGGATGATGTGGGCGAGATGCCTCATGGGGGCTTTCCGGATGCGCCGGCGGAGGGAATCATGTCGTTCCAACAGATCCCCCAATCCTTTCCCATGATCCCCGAGCAGTGGGCGGAGATTCAACACAGCCTGTCTACAGAGAACATGCCCCCACCCGATGCGATCCCGCTCACGGCTAAAACACAGGAACCTCCTAAGGGTAACTCACTGCACCAGTTCCAGACATCGATTCGCTCCCTTGAATCGCGCTGGCTCAACAGTCTAGAGTCTCAACTTCCCATCCCGCAGATCAAGCCGCAAACCGTTGGAAACAATAACCAAATGGGACAGGAGTTCCAATTCAAATCGGAGAACTCTTCGGTCTCGGGGGATTTGTCTGGTATTTACGAATGCTCGTACTCTGCTACGAGCGATGATGCTCCAGCATTCGCGGATCGCCAGCTGTCTGACGATGACACTCAGTGGAAGATGTCTCCACATGAGCCTAGCTCGCGTGAAGGATCGCAGCCTGCGCCCAAGACCACTGCCTTCATGGTGAGCGAAGTTCCCGAGTCCATGGCTGCTGGTGGGTCGAGGTCGAGGGCTTCCTCGACCGCTGGGCGGGGTGGCCGCCCAGCTGCGCTCGCCATGCAGTCCACGGCCACGGTTAGAAAGCGCAAGACCAGAAACCCTGGCTCTTCCGTTGACCACGGTGTGAGACCACTGCAAATTGTCCAGGAAGATGGACAAGGCGGTTCCATCGCCTCGGCAGATTTTGTCTCGCCGCCTCGGGGTGCCCGTCGCAAGGGCCCTCTCAGTATGGTCGGGCGAGCCAATGCCGGTCTGCGTCGAAAGAACAAGGATACATGTGTCCAGTGCAGGCTAAACAAGCGCAAGGTGAGAAGTCCGTACAGTTTTGTCGACTCAACAACCTAACAATAACAGTGCGACGGTAGCTCTCCTTGCGACGCTTGTCGCCCAACTCTTCACGAGCAGCCATGTGCCCGTGCATGCTTCTCCAGCATCGTTGAATTCGGAACCTGCAACTATATCTGTATGTTCTGTCTACGCTTACGATTCTATGAAACAAGCTAATATTTCTAGCTCAACGCGCTGTGAACCACCCCACAATGGATGGGAGCAACCGGGTTCGAATGGAAATTCCATCTGAGTTTGACCTCAGCCAACTCTTGTCTCTGCTCGCCGAGCGTCAAGGCCGGTTCAACATCCGCGCCAGCCAGGCCTGGGGCTCTCTTTACGTCCTTGACCTGGGTGAAACCTACAAGTTCCTCAAGAATCTTAGCGAGTATAACGGCAACTCGAAATCAACCTTCTTGGAATTCATTGACCGCCGAATTGTCGACTCAAAGGATAAGTCCAAGAACTGGCTTTCATGTGTTGCCGACTGTGATCCAATGAACCAAGCCTACGTAAGTCACCATTGATAAAATCTCCCACACTTCCACTAACACCAATCTCAGACCCTTCTGTCTCAATGGAACAACATGCCCAGCCGGGCGAAATACAGTTTCGTCAGCCTAGATGACACCCCAGAGCGAACAATGGACATCAACAACCCCTCGGACCGCCGTGAAATCCTCCTCGCAGCCCAGCTCTCCCGAATTTTCTGTCGCATGCTTGAAGTTGAAGGCTTCCGCAAACTCGAACGTGACTTCTACAACATCAAATGGAAGCAAATCTCCCACGACACCCACCTCCGCTTCCTCAACGAACTCGGCCACATTCTGCTCACGCTCCGCTGGCGCGTCAGTTGGTGGAAGCGACTCGGCGACGGCGGTCAATCCCCAGACCCGACACAGCAGCATTACATTGATCGCGTGGAATTGCTCTGTCGCATCCTCTACGTTTATTATACGTGTGTGCAGGCCAAGCTGCCGTCATGGAGTGCTGCAGAGGTGCCGAAGGGAATCTGGAGCACGTATGCGGATTCAGAGACCGTTTGGGATGATTTCCCCTCCGATTCGAGCGACGGGGGTTTCCAAGGGTGGATGGATAGGGGACGAGAGCTCATTGAGGCGGCAGGTGTCCCTGGGCGAGTTTCGAAGTTCTAGGTTTTCGACAGTGTGTTTGGAGTTGGTTTTAGATACCCTTTATTTCTTTGTGTTTTTTTTTTTTTTGTTCCCTTCTCATTTCCCTCTGTGTCGCTATCCCTACTCCTGTTATGCATCATGACTTCTTTATATATTTGCTATGATTGGATGATGGTTGGTTTTGTACAGTTGTCTTACTCCTATAAATACAATCTGCTTCACATTTACAATTTACCAATGGATATCAATCAACCTTCGACTCGGGGGCTAGTTGTTGAATCCCAGCCCTATAAGTATGGTTTAAGAGAAAGGGTATCGATTTCATGCACTCATACCAAGCCCCGCCATATTCAAGCCTTCTTAGGTCCGGACTTCAAAGTTCCAGTCTTCTTCGCTTGGTTCCTCTCCTTCTCCAACCGATCCTTCTTTCCACCAGCCAACATTTCCAAGTGTCCCGCTTTCGTCGCAAGACTCTTCTCCGTCATACTGACAAGTCCGGATGTGAGTTGCTGCACATGCATTAGTACAAGCCGCCTTGAAACCTCGAACGAATGTGGCATACCTTCGTCAGCTTCTTCTGCTTGATGAGTCCGGCTTTCTTGGGCGCCACGGAGCGGACACCGGGTCTTGTGGTCTTTGAGGGCCTGGAAATGCTTGTTAGAATTGGAAGTTCTTCCACATACTGGGCGCACCTACTTTCTGCCCGGGCCGGAGGGTGTGGCTTTTTTCAAGGATCCTTGCACCATTTTGTGTGAGGGTGGGTTGTAAATCGGAAGTGGAAAGTTGGAGTAAGACGGTGGGCGATGATTTAATGTGGTGTGAAAAGCACTGCCTGCAGTACAGAGTAGATATTGCGTTTGATCGTTTGGAGACTTTTCTGGATGTTTTTGGGGCGTTGCTGAGGGAAAATTGCTTATCGGACTTATCGCGTCACGTGTGGTGGGTTTTTCCGACCCGAAGTATAAGGGCTGCCCAGGTGCCCAGGTGCCCAGGTGCCACCCTTGGAAGAACAAACATGTTGAATACAAGGTTTATTACATGTGTAGGGTATTTAGTAAAGACTATTTCGATTGGAATTCTGCTTGGAGCTTGATATAGTGGGAATTTGTGTATCTTTCGAAGACACTTCCTCATGTACCTAAGCATCTAGACAATCCAATCGCCAAAGAACCCTTAGTAGGGGGATCCATATCTATTCTCTGGCCTTGGAGCCTCAGTATGTGTACTTAAACCCAATCTGACCCTCGATAGGCTTGCCACCCGCCTCGACGCGCTGGTTGGCCCGTCGGAACTTCCAGGTCATTGCTCCCACAATCAAAACGACTAGTGCATTGGCTAGCATGGCGCAAAGCAGCCCTGGTCGATAATTTGGCGCATCTTGAGCACGGAATACTGTCGTTCCAATAATTCCTCCTATACTTCCTCCTCCGATAAGTGTTGCCGATGTGAAAGCTCGTTTCCATTGTCCACGAATATTGTTACTACCGTAACCTATGTCAGCAAGAATCTTGCAAGAAGTATAGAAATAGAAATATTCTTACCTCTGCCATGAAACCAAAGCTGGACAGTTTGCATTTGCTGTTGGGTTCTCAGCAGTGTGGTCAATCTTCAATTGTGACAGGACTTGCCGGCAATAGTGGCCAAGAACACCCCAAAATACCTCGGCGCCGCAGCATCCAGGTACCCCAGAAGCCCAAGACCGAGAAGTCCCATCAAAGCATTGCCAGCGATGATTGGGCCGCGGAGGCGCCATTTGTCCGAGTAAACAGCCTGGACAAACATCACAATTGCAGCAGCCACGTACGGCGGTGCCACAAGACACTGGGCCTTTGCAACGGAGAAACCCATGCTCTTTTCCAAAATGATAGGCAGGAAGTAGGCAATCGAGTAGCTATTTGTTGTCGTGAGCATGTACAAAGCAGCATAAGCCCAGACCTTGCTATCTTTGCAATTGGCAAGATATCTACCCATTGAAAAGGGCTCCACCGAAGCATCTGCTCGATCAGCTTGAATCTTTGCAATCACAAATGATGCTTCCGACTCGTTCAGGAATTTCCAGGATTTGGGTGATTGTTCAGGAAAGTCGACAAGCAGGATGTAAGAGCCAACTCCCAGTACACAGGTGAGGAGACCTTCAATCTGGAAACGGTACATTAGCACGCCTTGTGACCAGATATGAGCCCGAAAATCTTACTATGAAAATCCATCGCCATCCAGCTTTACCAGCCAGCCCATCCATTTGCATTAGTCCATATGCCAGAATGCCACCAAATCCAGACGCCATGCTTCCGATGAGATAGAATGTTGCATTGCGTTTTTGGAGCTCGTAGCGCGGGTACCATGTACTGAGGAGATAGACACTACCGGGGTATAGACCTGCTTCCAAGGCACCAAGAATGATACGTAGGCCAGCCATTGTCTCCCAATTCGGAACGAAACCGAATGCCTGTATCTGTTAGCATGGGGTTCTCGGAGTTGACTTCATGATCACTTACGAGCATGACCGCTCCCCAGAAAAGTACAATACCCGAGAGGAAGAGCCGGGGTCCAATTTTGCGGATGATCACGGTGGCTGGGATTTGGAAGATTGTATACGTGATAAAGAATACTAGTGATGTGATGCTGTATCCGTTGTTTGTTGCGTCCATCTTCAGGTCTCCTTGCATTCTGCAGAGAGTTAGATTCATTGAAATGAGCGAGATATTTGTACATACCCAGCAACAGATGCAGCTCCGAGATTGGTCCTGTCAAGGAGACTGACACAGTAAAGGAAACCGAGGGTGATGACGAGCCGCATGTCAATTCTTCGAATGAGTTTCTTTTGCTCGGCTGGGCTGAAAGTGGCGATGAGTTCCTCGTGGTTGAAGTCCCCCTTCTCCGTGTCTGGCTCATCATGGAATGTATCCTTCATCTTGTTTTTACTTTTTCCGCTTTGTGATTCTTTTCATGAAAGTACGATGAAAGGTCGCCGGGCGTTGAGGTGTGAAAGCGGCAAGATACTTCTGGGGGCATTTACTCTAGGATTCTACAAACGGCTTTATAGACATTGTTTTGCGGGGTAATTGTAGTGACCCACGTCTCCGCAGTTTTGTGCAATTTGGTGCATTGAAGATGTCCGATGCCCAGGTGGAGGTCTCCGTACATAGGTAGGTATCAAGGGTGTTGATTGGCTTGTTGTGTTCCGGTGGAAGTTTGGGAATATGAGTACGTTCGATTCGTGGATCAGAATGTTCCCACCGGAGACATGGGACTTATTTAGCTGCCAGGTGAGGGTCGAATCACTCAATTGATTTGCCATTCCCCTTCGTATCCAGGTGGCTCAAGACGGCTTCTCAGCACTGAGCCTTGGAAGCTAGGAATTCGCGTCCCAGTCCTGGAGATTCTACTGCCTACACCAGACATGAGGTGTAGTCTCTGCGGGTCCCAAGGTCATTTTAAAGCTCAGGTCATTCCAGGACTCTCCCAAGGTCAGGCTATGCCCAGGTGCCCAGGTGCTTGGCGGTTGAAAGCTTATCCCGAGGTCTCCGAAACCAACGGCGTTGGATTGCGACGGAGGGGCCCTTGGCAGGCCTTCCAACCTTGGGAGGTTGGACCTGCGCTTCCAAGGTTTCCTCCGCCCTCTGATTTCTTTGCCCCGAGGGCTCCATACCTAGGTAGTATCATAGGCATGGGTTATGATCCATGCCCGGGTGGATAGTTCCAACTTCCAAGATGGTGGTGGCCATTCATGTCCCGACGCCCAGGTGGGTGCCCAGGCGGAGCTGGAGGTAACCTGGGGCCTTGGGAAGCCTCGAAACATATAATCAATCCACCTAGGTATCTCCCCTGACCCCGGTCCATCCCCCGGCCTGACCTGGGAGGTCACAGCCTTGGGAATGTTCGCACCTGGGCATTGGCAGACACTGGACCTCGGGAGGCATAACATTATCCACCTGGGTACCTACATAGGTACCATGCCGTGTAAGGTTTTGAATAACTCTGGAAGGGGTCAACAGTATACAGTACTGCCAAGGCCTCATGATATATACTACCTACCTAGTTCTGGTGTTTCTGGTATGAAGAGAGAGAAGAAGGGGAGGCTCCTTCCTCTACGAGCTATATACCTACATAGGTAGGTATTCTTCATTATCCCAACCTTGGAACTCTCTTCGTCCCAGGTCCCTCAAAGTCCGCTCATTGCATTCTTCATCTCTTTATCTCTCACTTTCTACTCAGTTGCAAGGTTTTTTGATCCATCATCCGAGACAAGCAAGTTTAAACGACTTCCCCCATGAATTATGCACTATTCATGACAATACAGTCCCCCAGTTTCCTTTCTTCACCCTCTCCCCAACCTAGCTTCGAAGTCTAGTTACGCCCACTCGAACCTCGCCCATACCGAACTTTGACACCTTCTGACACCAACACAATGGTTATCTACCCGGACAATCGGGTTTGCCGTGGCTGCGGCATAGTAGGGTTTACCAGAGCGACATGCGAGCAATGTGACTGTGTCTATTGCGAAAAAAAAAAAAAAAAAAAAAAACACCCCGTCATCAGATGTCCGAGAGCGCCTCCGTGCCAGCACTGTGGCCAAAAGGGTCATAAATCAGCATTTTGTCGAGATAAGAATCGACAAGTACAACCTACCCTCGCTCCAAAAAGAGGGTTTAACATATCCATCACCCCCCTCGCACACAACAGCCCAGGGTTCTTTATTATCGCACAGAAAACGAGAGAGGTAGTAATAGAAAGCCAACCTTTCTTGAAGATTATAACTAACTCATTGCCTATTAGTATGTCGCTGCGGAGAAGCCATTCGACTTGCCTGACCTGAAAGAGCTATGTTCTACCCTTCTGCTTGACATTCTCAATAAGAAGCTGCCTGGCTGTGAGGATGGTCCATATAACCAAGACATCTGGACAGACGGTGGAGTCGACAGAGTAACTGAATATCTGTTGCGTTACATCAGACCGGAGATTCTTCGCCTCCAAGGCCGTCCGGTCACCACCGAGTCACTCCAAGCAACCCAACGGCACCAAGCCAACGACGAAGATTGGAATGGCGCTATGGGATATAAGGATTTAATCGCGGATTCAAGGAATCGGGCCTACAACAGGCGATATGTCGGGCAAACTGGAGATGCTCAACGACGAATACAAATTTGCCCACTCCGGGTACATCTTCTCGGGACGCAATGTCCCAACGCCACCGGACATTGCTGAACAACAGTAATGGTTGGATTATCTTTGTTTGTGGACCTCTCGCGGCGCGAGCACTCCAGTTCGCTTTGAAAGGAAAACAGTTTTCCCTTGAGTTGAGAGGTTTTCGCTATCCTCTCTATATCGAGCAAAGCAAATCTGCTCAGGTCTCTCATCGTCTTTTTGTTCTCTGTTCTGGTATCCCCGCACGGATCTGGTTCAATGGTCAAGGAAACAGCGCGAAGCTTAGCGAAGCTATTCGCTTTGGAATTAAACTATTGGGCCTCAAGGGACTTCGGCTTTATTCGATTGAGAGCTTTTCTATATCCGGGGCTATCCTTCGATGGGCAAGGAGTGAGAGACTTGGAGAGGGATCCACGACGCTAGAGAACATGGATCTCGACGTTAGGCTCTGGCTTGGCCGTCAGGGGATGACAGACAAATACCTCAAATGATCTGGTCAAGATTGCTGGAACTCTCTTCTCATGATGTTCTGTGCCATCAAAAAACAACCACAACAGACTACGTCTTTCAAACGGCCGCCCCAAGCCCAGGAACAGCTCCAACGAAAGAAGTACAGGAGCGGGGGAGTCTGGACTCTGGAATGCGTCAGATCTCTCAGAGGTTGAAAGAATTGTCTCCAAAGCCAAAGAGGAATTCATGCAATCATCGATGCAGACGTCAACAAGTCCCGTCCAGCAACCAGAAACCCCTGACACTGAGAGCTCTTCCTCCGTGGAGACCGAAGAACAAGATTACAAGAGTGGAATTACTCTTCTGTCGGGCGAGGAGACTGTGGATCGCCACAAAATCGACGAAATCCGATCCATTCTGTCACATGTCCACTCTAACCGAGAAACAGAGTCCGAAAACAGCGATATGCAAGACATCAGTCTGGCAGAGCTGATACCAGTTGCCCAGAAAGCCATCAGTCTTGGAATACTCAATCAGCATGAGCTGCCAACTTCCAAGGTTAAGATATTAAACAATCCACAAACACTCGCTCCCGATCTCTAGCCAAACCTATTCCTCATACTAGCCGTTTACCCTGATTCTTCTGCCACGTCAGCCGTTCTTAAGGTTGCACTTGCAACTGTATAAGCTGAGGGCTTTATTCTGCCTACCTGACCTACCTATGCATATACCTACATATGTATGTAGGTAGCTCCATGGTACTTCTCCAAGGTTCCTGCCCTCAACCTCGGAGGTCCGGTCTGACAACTACCTATGTAGGTACCCAGGTTTGATTAGTACATTGTCATTGCCTCCAGGGCTGCCAGGTGCTCTTTGTTTACTCTCCGTACTTCCAGCTGTTTTAGTTATGTTCTCCTTTTTTTGTCCTTTGTCTTTTTCTTTTGTCTTTTAATTATTATTATCTCGTATCCTAGGTCTCTGATCTGCTAGCAAGAATAAAGCATTTTCCTGCTTATGGAGTCATATTTTCAGAGATTTATAAAGAGATAGTCAGTCCTACGTGGAGAATCTGCCCCGAAGCAGTATCTATCCTTTACACACTCATTTTTCCAAGGTTCCAAAACATTCTTGAAAAAAGAAAGAAAAACAAGGTAAATAATAGACTAATAAGGCTAAAATGACACTGGAACAAGGATCAAAGAACGAAGCTGGTGTCATATCGATGGATGTGGGGAAGGAAGAATCATGGAAGGGGAGAGAGAGAGAAATGGTCACATGATCCATGTGTCACGTGACCGCAAAAAAAGGGGCGAAAAAGGAGGGCCTGGCCGGGAGTCGAACCCGGGGCCACGCGCATGGGGGGAGCCCCCAGGTCCCCCTTTCAGAGGACCGGACTTTTTCCGAAGTTTCATCCGAAGCGCGTATCATACCACTAGACCACCAGGCCCTGGTGGATGGCTCGGACTCGAGACTCGAGTACTCGAACTCGAACTCGAGGGTCCCGAGGTCGAACTCAGACTCGAGAGTCGATCGAACATCAGGTACTAGATCCATGGATAAATGGTGGGTTCACATAGAGCTAAATAATGGTAGGCGATCGGATAACTTAACAGAGTAACCTGTGAACAGCTTTAGTAACAATGAGACACCGCCCGGGCGTGGACAACGGCATCCAACCAAAGTACTACCTGGGCAGGTGAAGTAGGACCCGGCTACGTGCTGTTGTTCGACATCCGTCTCGCTCATAATGCCATTTAGTCCGCTGTTTCATCACAAGCCTTTATGGTCTAGTTGGTTATGACGTCGGTCTCATACCTTTAGTATATGACATTCCTGGTAACAGGATTGATATCCGAAGGTCTCCAGTTCGAACCTGGATAAGGGCATTTCTTTTTGCTTTTTGAAGCACTCATGTGCTGGGATAATTGAAGTAAGCATCGCCTATCCCGATACCAGGCGCCTCTTTTCCTACTGTTCTCGCCTGGTTTACACCATGTCTGCAAAAAACGCCGTTGCAAACAAACGGCGTTGTTTATCCTTTTTCGCGACTGGTGGAGGGTTCGCAGTAAGAACTTTGGAGGCTCGGGCCCAACATCGCTTTGAGTTGGTGGGAACCGCCTAAAATCTACCCGAACTTTCAGACACTTTTAGACCCGGGGGTTGGTTGGTTTTATGGTTAATTTGGTATTGCTTAAACAAGCAGGTTGGATGTGTCTACATCTGCCCCAAAGCCACATAGATATCTTATTTGAGTATGGGGGAGGTACTGGATGGCTGCTCTGTCCAGTGTCGCTGTCAGAAGCATATGCCCAGGCCTTGGGGGGGGTTCCCAATACCAGAGAATCCTGGTAAATCTAAGGTATTCTGATATTTTCTAATATTTCATGGTAGATAGTGCGTTGTTTTTATCAATACCTGAGATATATTGTAGATCTCTAGTATTGAGCCTCACGCAATATTTAATCACAATTCGGTGTGTTCAAAGCTATAGTATTCAGCAATTCAACCGTATTATAGAGAAATAGTATTCGGGATTTGCAGAGCGTATTCCGGATTGTAGAAAGTATTCTGCAATCCCGGTGGTCTACTACCTTTGATGTTTTCAAAATCCTAGCTTCTAAGATTCCTATCCCTAACCTTAGGATCTCAGCCTCGGGAACTCCCGACACAACTATAGGAGTATCATCTATTTATAGATACTTGATGCAGATTCGCTGATCAAATAATAACTAGGGTACCTCTGATATCTCTATGATACGCTGTCGAAGCCTTCTGATATCAGTGGACGCCGTCGATGCCTCCGTGATGCGTTATTGATACTGCGCTAAACGATCTAACTATGGAAAATATCTACAGATGATTCGATCTTTTGGGACTTAGAGATTGGTTCTAGAATATTAGGGTTTAAAATTTGGGGCTTAGAATCTACTCTGGGTATCTGGATTTAACCGGTTAGGGGGAGGGGGGGGGGGGTGAGTATTTAGTTTAGATAAATATACGGAGTATTATAATTGGAAAATAATACTTTACCTGTAGAATACTACAAAATACAGAATACTTCCGAGGAACGGAATACTGGAAGGATATTATACTAGTAATAATGTATTAATATAGTATATAAGTCAATACTATATTGTCAAAGATACTGTAATTAGTGCATTGTTTTCACAATACTTATAACACCATAATACTGTAGATCTGCTAGGATTCTGCGGTATTAGAAACCCCCCCAAAGCCCGCATAGTATGATCTAGGTAGAACTGCCCAGATGGGCCCCTTCCAGTTTCCAAGTTTCCAAGTTTTCGAATATTTGTGCTTCCCCAGGGCTCGATTCAATAATTCAATACTCACAGGGGTAGATATCGACCTTTGAACGTTGAAATTATATACACCAGAGAAGGTGCGCCGCAACTGCTACCTAGTACCTACCTAGGCATGTATTCGGTACCAACCTTGGATGTAGCCCTAGAGACTATTCAGGTAACAGACACCTGGGCGGTTACCTAGGTACGTACCGAGTCTAAGAGCCCTGGAGGGGTCAACCATGATCACTTTTTTTTGGCCCGCTTTTAATTCCTCGCTGTATATGCTTTGCACTAATTGACCTTGGAAGACTCGTGAAACCTTGAAGCACAATCGAAGGCCTGAAATATCCTAGAAAAACATGGATGAAAAACATGGATGAAAAACACCAAATGCATGTACTTTACGGGTAAATCCTGCCGCAGTGTCTATGAGTTGTCAGAGATCCAGGTCATTAACTAACTAAGTGGTTAGGAGATGGAGTTGAATCCTAGAATGTATGTTTAACTTGCCCATGAAGTGTACACCCCTTCGGCTGAGGAAATTGCCTGTACAATCTTGGAACACCACACATACAATAGCCTGGTTGCTTGAAACTCCAGGGATTTCACGGCAGAAAGGCAAATTACTGAGAAATGTGGCCAGAGAACTGCCCAGCTCGGGATGAGTATTGGATTCCCTAGGCGCGTGGAAACCCCATCTTTTCTCAATGTGGGCTTGCGGCTATAAATCGAAGGTTCACAATGGCTGAGCGAGCTGAGCGAAGCAATCTTCCAAGGTTCCAAGGTTCATTGTGCTCCGAGGTCCCTATATATAGTACAGATGTATACCTGGGTGTATGCCATATATGTACGGCGTTTTGCGAGTTCTGTCTACGTTTGATATGGCTAACTAGAACATGCATAAATAGTCTTTCGATTCTTTTAGATCAAACTTGTGGTGTTTTCCATGGCTCTTTCGAGGTTGGCAAACATGATGTCATTTAAAGAAGCAATGCTCGTACTAATGGGGCAACGATTTACGGTTAAAGTGGCTGTATTTCGAGTGAGGGATGATCTGGATATTGTATTGTAATTTTGCAGCATTATCTTCATCAAGCCTTTATGGTCTAGTTGGTTATGACGTCGGTCTCATACCTTGAGTATATGACATTCCTGGTAACAGGATTGATATCCGAAGGTCTCCAGTTCGAACCTGGATAAGGGCATTTCTTTTTTGTTGATCTATCCTAGATAGACATAGTTACAGAATTCTTTTTTGGAGTGTGGATTGCAGAAGCTTTACCTGAGTACGGAGCACCTAGGTAAAGCGCTGCTCAGTGCGGGCGGAGGGATGGAAGAAGGTTACACGGACTCAGGGTTTATATTTGCCAATGGCGGCTTGACTGTACACAAAAAGATGAGGAAAGCAAGACTCACCGAAATTGTCCATCCCATGGATTGAGACCTGGGCAGCTTTGACTGAGTGATCATGACCAACTAATGAACTAGGTGGCTCGCAGAAATATACCTTCCAAGGTTGTAGAGCGCCAGATAATGAACGAACTGGTGAGGTGTTCAAGGTTCTTGATCCCCTTGCTTCCCTCCCGGGTATAGGGAGTTATTTGAAAAGTCAAAGGCCTCAATATTGACGGAACTTGGGAGATCTCAAACCTCAACCCCAGATAAATAGTGCATGTCATAATAATATCCAATTGTAAGTGTATGTGGGAACTCAAGCAAACGCTAAAGATTCCAGCTATGTACAAGCAGAGCGATCTAACGCGATTTATATTACACTGTCCAGCAGCCGAGACCCAAAACACCGAAATAAAAATGTTTCTAACCAAGACGCAAGCGTCCAGGCACAGCCCGGCCGCTGAGCATACCACCCTCTTCCGTAGCGTTGTTATCGTTTGACATCCAGCGAGGAAGCCGGAAAGGTTCACCCTGGAACCAGCGAGGAGTATTGGTAGTTTCAAAGGTGTTCTTCACTCGGTGCGCGAACGACTGGAAGAAGTTCTCCTCTTCATCTTCTTCGCCATCTACAATAGTTGGCGCAGATACTGCTCTCTGGTTAGACTGAGGAGAGCGAGATCCCTCCGCGATAGGAACGCGTAGGCGAGACGAGCCGGGAGAGCCTTCGTCGTCGCGATCCGAGGCCCAGGTGGAACGGCTGCCGCGGGAGGACACCGCTAGGGAGCCGAACCCGTTCAATTCTCGCTCGATCAAATCGCGTCCCTCGCGCCACCCACCCATGCCATAACCGGCAGGATTGTTCTCCACGTCGTGAACATCGTCATCCTCGGCGAGTCCACATCCGAAGATGTTCTTGATGCGTCCGTACAGGTTGAACAGTGTCGCGCAGATGGGAAGTAGGATGAGTATGGGGAAGATGAAATCAAAGCCTTTGCCCAAGGGGGTCAGGTTAATCAGTTTACCGAGGAACTCGTAGAAAGTTGTGGTACGGCGGAACTCCTTGGGCAAGAAAGTCAAGAAGTTGTACGCAATGGGCACCGTCAAGCGAGCGACCAGACCGGCATACCAGCAAGCACTCTCGCCATAAGTGTTACGACGGACCAGTGCTCGGTTGCCCCAAACCTTGACATCGCTGATGCCAACCATAGCCGCAGAGCACATGTATAGCAGCCAAGCAGAAGCGACAAACTGACCACCGAAGCCAACAGGTTGATTCTTCCAGTTAGGAACCACAGTCAAACTCACGGCGGAAAGGTGTGGTGCCAGAGACTTAATCAATTCGGACCAAACGATGCAAGCTGATACGAGTGCGAAGAAACCACCAAACACCAAGCGAACCGAAGGGATAACGTTGGAATATACCTGGTACCGCATGTAAGGCGTGAGAACTTTTACGCGGGGCAAAAGCGAGGATCGACGCGGAGCGGGGGCGAACTCGAGCTTCTTCGAGGCGGCAGAATTGATGATAGCTTGAAGATCAGCAGAAAGTTGGACCGTGCGATCCCACTCATCTACGAACCGAGCCTTCATGTGCCGAGCGCGCTGAAGCCGCCGGGTGAGGTCAGCTAGATAGCGCTCGGAAATGACGGAGGGGATTGTGGCAGAGCTTTCGGGGGCCTCCAGGATTGGTGCCCGCACGTCCGGCTGACCATGGCCTTCCCTGAGTTCCTCGATCCAATCCTGGAAATCACGAGCAGTTCCAGTCTTGCGGCGTTGCAAAAGGGTGACCTGGCCGTTGAGATTTTCCAACTCGTTCACGGAGTCCATTAAGCGGTCGTGGATTTTCGGCGCGTGGGCTTGGATCCTTCGTAGACGGCCGCTAACGTTGGAATTGCGGAGAAGATTGCGGGGGATAGAAACTAGACCGTGGCCCATGAGATAGATGGCGAGAACCAGACCCCATACATATGCCAAGGCCATGATCAGACCCTTGATGGAGGTGAACTCGAATCCATTTGAGATAGAAACGTAGACCAATCCCACGATGGCGCAGGCCAGACAAATCAGTTGGTATTGGGCGTTCGAGCGGAGGGAGTACATGAGACGGCCTTTCGGGTCACGGTAACCGGAGTCGACATATTCGCCGAGCAATGGCAGGATAGCCCTGTAAGAGATGTGTTAATGGACGGGTGTTAATGCCCCCCGGATACCACGGAATACTCACCATGTCAGCACGAAGATCAACCAATATGCGATCCGCCAGCACACCAGCACCATTCGCTCTGGCAACCAAATTGCCTTGGGGCCGGAGCCATCACGCGAACTCGACGCAAGATCAATGGGAACGAGAAGCACAACGCTCGCGGGCAGGGCTAATGCCAAGAATATCGGAACGATTAAATAGCCCGGGGTGGCGCGCAAGGTCAAGAATCGCCGCAGGAGAAGTAGCACAAGAGCGGAGATCAAGAATAGGGCGATTGCGAAGAATACGTTGGAGCCCACTGAGATGGGCGGTACAGAGACGGGGAACATGCTGAAGGGGCAGCGGGGAGCAGGACACAGATGGAGACTGTTCAACCGTTGTTCATGGCGAGGTGTTTCCCAGTTCAACAGTTCCCAAAGGCAGCAGTGTGTATATATAGAACAGTCTGGGGGGTTGACGTTTTGGGGGCAGGAGGCTGACTTAAGTTCTGACTAAGTGCAGAGGTACCGGTGACCTTGTTTTGGGTGTATTTTGTAGGGAGCGGTGGGGTACCGGGTACTGGCCAGCCACAGTCTGGCTGTTTCCGTTTTTCAACCAATTGGCTTTTCCGGACCAGGTCAGGGCCAGAACGCCTGTCGATCCTGATTAGAGGGATTCGTGGGCTTTTTTTCTCTTAGTTTTTCTTGCGCTTCTGGTATATTGTGGCATTTTGGAAATTGCATTTTTACACTAGAGTATCCAGATGTCGCCTATTCCTCAGGGCTCTCCCATATAAGCCGTGGTGATCAGCAGGATCCAGCTTAGGCAATGTGTCGAGTGTCTCATGCATACAGATCTGATGCTAATACAATGATCCACCTTATGACGACGTGTCTGAGCTTCAGGTACTTAATAACGGCCTGATCAATGGCGGTGTATTGCTGTCATTACGGGAACCGTACGGGACTACTTCCTCGTAGGCGGATCACCCGGGCAATAATGCATGTATCCTGACAGGATCGCCTGACCCCCATGGGCACTAAAATACATCTGCAATACCAGGCTATTGATACGGTGATACCTACATTCTCTCCCCCAAATTATTTGTTTCTTCTCTAAACCCTCAGATGGGATTAACACTGCCCTTCATTTGATAATTTCCTTTTTCAGTCTCTTTCTACCATCTTCCCCCTCTCTTTCGTACCAGTACAGTAAGTCCAAGGGCTCTCCCGCTTTGTTTCCTCTCCGTACCTTTGCTTCTCCCGAACTGGAGTGACTGGAATGACTGGACCGACTTAATCCGAGCTGCACGATCCCTGTGATCCCATATCATTTGTCCTCATTCGCTACTAAACCTGGCGAATTGAATCCCGCTGACGCTGGTGCCCGAAGGCCTTGCTTTCTCTGGTGTTGGTCGCCCGTTATTGCCCTCTTGCCCTCCGTTTCGTCCGTTTCCCACTCCATCCCCACCCTCCCTGATCGACTCGGCGGTTCCACTCCAGTAGCTTTGCTTTTTTTTCCCTCGATCACCCGTGTGAGGATTTCTCCTTCACCCGCTGACCTCTGGCGATTTAACAGTTCGTGCGTACTCAGCGAATGCTAAACCCCACTCCTCTTCGCGGATCCTCCATTGATCCACCATTGATGGGGTGTCTGTCATGAATCCCGGAGACTTCAACCCGGGCGCGGGGCCTGGCCGGCCAGCCCCAAATGCCGCGATGAGGATGAAGACCAACATGCAAGTACCTAAAAATGATAATGTGCAAGCCATGATGAATCATGTTGCGCAAGTCCTCCAAAGTCAAGGACCGTACGGGGGCTGGAAGGCGGAGGTTCCGACGAAAACCCGAGCGACTAATGTGTACCAAATGTGAGTGTTTCGCGTACACTGCTGGCGCGCTCGATCTTGATTGATTTCCTTTGATCCCAACCTAACTTCTTCGCTTTCACCTAGGATCACCTCACTTCGTTTGATCCAACCTCGCATCGATCTCACCCAAGCAGCCCAGGCGGCCATGAGCTTTGAGCTGAAAGCCTTCACCAAAGCCAGCGAGAAAATAGAATACGACAAGGAATGCACCGAAAAGCTTCTTCATATTAGAAACACTCGCGAGAGACAGGCGGCGGTCGCGTACCAAAGCGGTATGATGCCTCAGACCGGCGGGCAGAATCAGATACCGGGAAATTTTCCTCAGCAGCTCAACCAGAACATGCAGGGGTCTCCATCGGCCCCGCAGATGGGCATGGGGATGAATGGTCAAAATCAACAAGCTGCAATGCAACGGCAGCAGCAGCAACAATCACAGGCAATGCTACAGCAGCAGCAACAACCACAACAACAGCGCAACCAACAGCGTCCCGGCAGCGGTGTACCTCTACCTGACGACCTCAATACCCTCTCAGCTCAAGACCTCGATCAAGTCACCCGACTCGCAAACGAAATGCTGCACAAGACATCCCCGGAAGATATGGAAAAGATTAAGATGAATCTGTCCAACATGACCCCGGAACAGCGCCAATACCTTTCCCGCAAAAATCTTGAGCCTATGACTTACTTCTTCCGCTCGCAAGCACTCAACCAGATCCGACGTCATCGTCGCGCCCGACTCGAGATGGGACGCGTCCCCAACGCCGGGGTGGATGCGAATGGCAACATGGTGGCCGATCCTTCAATGAACCCGCAACAGCAACGGCAAATGCTGCAGAATATGCTGAGCCTCCAACGCAACTCTGCATTCCCTGGCAACCCTGGTCAGTCGATGGAACCACCGAATTTCATGGGCAACGTCGAAAATATACAGGGACAACAAGCAGACGGTCTGCGCTCCCAGGAAGCAGGTCATCTCGTGGTCCCTGCCAGCTCCTCGCAAATGAACCAAGCACCGTTTTCGAACAATAACAACAATAATAACATGTTCCCCCAACAAATGGGACAGAATGGCCCGGGGAATATGAATGGGAACAATGTGAACGCCCAACCCCAGTCACTCGCTCAGCAACACATCCAGGGTGGTGGCTTCAATACACCACAGGAGCGGATGCAGTTCCAAGCACAGCAATCCCAGGCCCAGGCGCGAGCTCAAGCAGCCCAAAAGGTTCAAATGTCGATCTCAGGTCACGGGGGCCAGCCAAGCACACAAGCACAGCCGCAACTCACGGGACAGAGCCCCGTCATGCCAATGCTTAACCAGCCAATGGTACCCGGTCAGATGTCACCGGCCCAAGTGCCTAATCAAGCCCGGCCGCCCTCCCGAACCCCGAGTATGCCCCAGCACCCGTCTGGTGTCGCAGGACAGACCCCGATGCAAGGTCGACCGCAAATCCCCGCCAACATCCCCCCACACATCCAAGAGCAACTCGCCCGCATGCCCCCCGAACAGGCCCAGGCTTTCATCATGCAGCAGCGCCGTTTAGCTCTGAACAATATGGCTCGGGCCAATCCTGGACAGCAACCCCAGTCTCAGCCCGGCCAAGGACAATCGATGATCAATAACCAAATGGGTAATGCCATGATGCGAGGTTCAATAAGCGGTCCACAAGATCTCAACTCGGTCGGCATGCCCCAGGGCCAGCAAATGACCCCCCAGCAGCGCCAACAAAGGCAAAATGAAGCTTATAAGCTTCAACTCCTGCGACAACACAATAACGGGGTGGAAATGACTGCAGAACAAGGCAGGCACATGGACCGTGTCTCGTTCCCTCCATCAATCTTGAACATGAATGGCACTTCGATGCAAGTCCCTAATAATATCAAGTCATGGGGCCAACTCAAACAGTGGGCTGCCACAAATCCTCAAGTCGCCAGTCCTAATGATGTTCCGCGCCTGGTGATGCTTCAAAAGCTCCATCTAGGACAGCTCATCACTGCCTCTAATAGTCAGATCAAAGATCCTAATGCCCAAGGCCAGGGAGCGACCCCCTTCCAGGGTACTCAGACTCCATTCACGGGTGCACAGAATTTCTCTGGAGGCCAGCAGCCCCCTGCTATCAACATGGCCGCTATGCGACCTATCTCCGCCCAAGACATTCAAATGGCACGCCAAAAGCTGGGTCCCCAGGCTGCAAATTTCACCGACGAGCAGATTCGTGAGATATTGTACCGAAATCGACAAAAGCATATGATGCAAGCGGCTGCGGCCGCACAAAATCGAGCTTTGCTTGAGGGGAACACGCAGCCTGTTCAGCCTGGTCAACCTGGTCAGCAGACTGCGCAACATCCAACCCCTGCAGCACTGCCTGTTCCACAACCTAAACCGCAACCACCCCAAACTCAACAGGCGCAATTAAACGCGGCTCTTCAAGCAAAGAATCAATCGACCGCCAATGCAAAGGGCGCTAAGGCCCCTCCTGCTAAGCAGGTGCCAAAGAAGAGACCTAGCACAGATGAATCAGCGGAAGCTCGACCCAGCACCACCCCTCAAATGACCCAAAGCACGCCTGTGCCAGGTGCTCAGGCGACTGCCCCCACACGGCCAGGGCTCCCGATCACACAGGATCAGCTTTCTCAAATGACACCCCAACAGCGCGCCCAATTTGAGCTGCACTTACGCAGGCAACAGCAGCAGGCCCGTGGTCAGGTCCTCAGCAGAGCTGCCGCTGAAGAAGCATGGAGCAGGAACCTGCCACCTCAGGTCATGGAAATCTACGAAGATATTGCCAAGAACGCGCCACCCGCAAAACCCATTCCTGCATCGCCAGAGCAAAAGGCCGCTATGACCAAGCAATTGCGTGAGGCATTGGACGTCCTGGGTCGACTGGATGCCCTCGTTCAGTGGTTCGCGAAAATGCCAGGCCAGGACAAGAATGTTAAGAATCTTCTCGCAATGGTAAGTCAATACTCGGTCATCCAACCCTTTACATACTAATTTACTGCTACCTAGCGCATCCAATTGATGAGGCAATTCAAGCCATCCCATGAATGGGTTGTCAACGATACTTTCACAGTCACCTCTGATTATCTGTCTGGTGCAATCATGTTTATGCGCAAGTTGTTTGCGTTTATGATCAATCGTCTGCAACAGCAACGTCCTCAACCCCCGCATGGCCCCAGCTCAAATGCACCACCTGTTCAAGCCAACATGCCAGCGCTGAATGCAACCAACTTACAGCAGCTCCAAGCACAGGAGGAAGCCTTACAACGAGCTCGGCGTGCCTCTAGTCAGTCCGCCAATGCCGCGACTGCGCCTTTCGCAGCCCCATCTCCCAGAGGCGTCCCCCAGTATGCTGCCGGGGGACTTGCTCCAGAGAATCTCAAGCTACCTCCCCCCAAACGACGGAAGCAAGACCCTGCGGGTGTATCGTCAAGCCCGCTCCAAGCCAATGCGGTTCCCGGCGCTGCAGCTGCTGCAACGACGAAATACAACAAGGCCGTGGCCGATGCAACCTCCAATGCCGCGGCTTTAGCTGGTGCTTTCAAATGTACGGTGGTTGAATGTCCCAACCATTACCAGGGCCTGCTGTCTCAGGCAGCTTTGGACAAACATGTGGAAGAGAACCACCAGCCCGAGGAGGAAGAGGTTATCGATGACTATCTGAAGTACTACCATGAAAGTCTCTCCATCGGCCTCAACTTGAATCCGAATGACACGATGGAAGCGCAAGCAACGGCTACCACCGTACCAGCACCATCTTCCACCAGGCTCAGCGCCGCTGCTTCGCCTGCCAAACAGGGTATTTCCACCCCGGTCATTCCTAGCACCACGCCCATGGCCCGGGTCACCAGTCAACTTGGTGCTAAGACGGCATCACCCGCTGCATCAGCCCAACTGCTCACGCCGCAGATGTCAACTGGAAAGGCACCTAAACCCGGTGTCAAGGACGAAAAGAAGGATCTCATCAAATCAGAACCAGGAGATAATGAGACCAAGGATCCTTGGGCAGACTGTCCCACCTCGCTTGACACAATCCACGATACTTTCTCTAATCTCGCGAGCAAGGACCTACCTCATCTGGGCCACGAACCCCTTGAGGACTTCGACATCAATGAAGCCACCCCAGTAGACGACTGGGTCAACCTGGCTACTTTGACACCCCCTGATGAGGCTGAAGAAGCTGCTTTCCTCGATAAGTTTTACGAGCCTTGGGATGAAGAGTCTATTGCACTTGCTGCCGCGCGAATGCGCATCCCCCCCGAAATCCAGGTCAAGAACAATGGCTCTATGGGTCAACTTGAGGTTGACTGGGACGCCGTCGCGCGTTATGAGAAAGAAGGAATCCCCATACCTATGTGTTGAATATCTGCACTTCATGATGTACACATAGTCCCTCCATATTACCGGACTGATTGAAACTTTCCATTTCCAGGGCTTTGTCATTTCTTTACATTTTGGTTTTATCGGCGTACATATGAGCGGTGCGTTTGTATACTACCCTTTGCGGAAAATCCTTATAATCTTGATCCTGACGGGTCAATCCTCTAATCCTTTGGAATTTTGACTCAGCGATGGCGTTTTTGAGGGAAAGCTGGGGCTCGGCTCTTTGGAATGTCAATTTTTTTGGACAATTTTGGTGACTCGTAACTCGTAGATCTGTACTCCGTACGGAGTGTCTCATGCGCCCCAGCCCTGGAGTAGATGTGTGGGTACCTTGCGGCCGGGTACTCGGCCCGTACAGTCAGCGCGGTGGAGGTACCGCGTGATCAAGTAGTGATGTTATCATGTGCGATAAGCACGGAACTCCGCTTTGTCTCCTCCCCAGGCTCAACTGAAGCCTTGCTTTCTACATCTACTCGAATACTTCCCTCCAACTTCTACCTGCAAGCCCTGTCAAATCTCAAACAGCAGGGCAAGATGGCGAATAGCGCCCTCATTCCCTTCCTGGTCACGATGATGCTCGTGACCGGGGTGTGCAACACCATTCTCAACAAATACCAGGTCAGCTCCAAGAAATTAAGGCTGTAAAGCAAAGCCAGATCTAACACAACCACTCTGAATAGGACATGCAATGTGTGCGAAATTGCGACTCCTCAGATCCCAGTCACCGGAAGCTGTTCGAGCAGCCCGTCATTCAAACGTAGGATTGGCACCTTGCATAACATGATAACGAGGTCATAGCTAACCCTATGCCCAGAGCGCAGATGTTTATCGGAGAAATGGGCTGCTGGCTAGTCGTTGCTCTGACCTTCCTCTACCGCCAATACATCGCACCCAGATTATCAAGCGGTCCCTCCCCTCTCCTAGCAGGCGGATACCACCCGATCAGCGGCGAGGCCAACGACGAAGATCACCCAGACGAACTGGACGATGACACACACAAGCCCATTGATGACCGCATCCCACTTCGCGGATGGAAGATCCTTCTCCTGGCTGCCCCTTCGAGCTGCGACATCGCCGGCACGACTCTCATGAATGTTGGCCTTCTCTTTGTGGCAGCGAGTATCTACCAAATGACCCGTGGTGCTCTCGTCCTTTTTGTCGGTCTGTTCAGTGTTTTGTTCCTGCGCCGCAAGCTTTACCTGTATCAATGGAGCGCGCTATTCGTCGTCGTTCTCGGCGTGGCAGTTGTCGGTCTATCGGGTGCTTTGTTCAGCGGTGATTCAGGACACGATATCACGCAAAATGCCCAGAGGGCTCTCATGCATGCTCGTGCGGTGGCCCGAACCCCAGAGGCCGTCCAAACTGTTATTGGTGTATTGCTTATTGCTGCCGCGCAGATCTTCACGGCCTCGCAGTTCGTGCTTGAGGAGTGGATTTTGGAAAATTACGCCATGGATCCCATCCAGGTCGTTGGATGGGAGGGCGTCTTCGGATTCTTGGTCACTCTTGTCGGGATGGTGATTATGTATATCATAGTTGGAAGCACTGATGCTGGCCGCTATGGATACTTCGATATCAAGGAGGGTTGGAGCGAGGTTGTTCACAACCGTGCTATTGCTGTATCAAGTCTGTTGATCATGATAAGTATTGGGTATGTTTTTTTTTCTACCGACATTTTCCACCTTCTCTAACTGTTCTTTAGTGGCTTCAACTTCTTTGGTCTGTCTGTCACCCGTACTGTCTCCGCTACGTCTCGTAGCACGATCGACACCTGCCGTACGCTCTTCATTTGGCTTGTCTCACTCGGTCTCGGCTGGGAGTCTTTCAAATGGCTCCAAGTGGTTGGCTTTGGGTTGCTGGTCTATGGAACCTTCCTGTTCAATGACATTGTCCGCCCGCCACTCAAGGCTTGTTTGCCCCGCGAACACAGGGAGGGCGAGGTCTTGCTTCCCGAAGACCCCATTGAGCACATTTGATCACTCACTGAGCTCTTGAGCCTGGATATACCTCGGTATACTGGTCTTGAATCTACATGCCTGTCACCTGGGTCCTGGGTTATCTCGCTGTGGTCCACGGTAGACCGGGAGCTCCCACGGTGAGGGCTTGATGCATCATATTGTCTTGCATTTTTTTTCCTGCACGGGCGTTTGTTCCAAGGTTTTGTCTTTGTCTATCTATATTTCGTTTAGGGTTCCTATACTTCGTACAGGGTTTCTATTTCGCGTTCTTCCGCGGAACTGCCCGGGTTCATGCTCTTTTTCCAGGCCTACTAGGTATTTTGGGGGTACAAATATACAATGGGGAGTTCTCAATAAATGGACATCAACCTCCAACGACTTTGTTGTAAACCTTCCAAGGTTGCCTACCCAGGTACCTAAGGTAGGAGCAGCTATGTGTTCCTACTACCTGCCCAGGTGGGCCGGTGTCCCATATCCAGGTACTAGTCCATGGGTCCCGAGGTCCCTACGACACACTTACTGCGTGTCCACGTCTGCCCTGAACCTTGAAGCTCTTTGCGCAACTTCACTTTGCTTTAGCGGGATTAAACTATTTTGAGGTCACCAAAATCCCAAACTGTGACATGGCAAGGAGAAGGCGGAGAAAGACATATCCACTGCCAGAGGGTGTGAGGAGAAAAGTGACTGGGGTGTAGAGCACTGAATTTAGACAGTTTGTTCATGGAAAGATTAAAGCATTCGTTCGGATGTATTTTCGGCATCAAGATCACCAAGATCGTCTATGGCTCGGACCAATCCACCTGGTCAGTGACAGGGTCTCCACCATCCCGGGCATAGCTGACACGAAGACGAAGACGAAGCTTGGCAGGGAGAGCCTGTATCATGTTAGTTCGGGAACTGTATTAGAGAGAGAAAACATACCCCATTCACAGCGCTAACGCGCATTGATTGTGTGCCCTCATCGCCAGTCTCCAATTCAGCCTTGCTGATTGCGCTCAGCTGCAAGCGTTGGCTCTTCGGCACAGCAGCCTGTAGACCGACGCTAGTGAAGCGGTCAAAGTTGGATTCATTACGGAAACGGGCCATGATCTGGGCATTGGGACCGCTACGCTGGACTTGCAAAGTTAAGATGAGACCATCCTTGTTCAGAGCAGTGTGCGCAGGGGTTGCGGCGGCGACGGGGGCAGGGGAGACAGATGGCGACGATGCAGAGGCACCCATTCCCCCGCCTAGCAGATCCATTGACGCAGATGATTGTTGTGCTGGCTGTGGTGATGGTGAGGGGCCATTTGAGCCGAACAAGTCCATGATGGCGCTGTTGGAGTTCTGCTGAGCACCAGGGCCCGGCGAGGGCGATGACAAGCCCGAGTCTCCGCCGAGAATGTCTGCCAGCAGATCAGCGGTGTTCGATCCGTTCGAGGTCGGGCTTGCGACGGGGGCGTCGCCGCCAACCAAGTCAAGAAGCAGATCATGTTCCGCGGGTTTGGCGGTCTTGGCTGTCGCTTTGCTGCGGAGGACCTTGCTCTGGCGCTTTTTAGTGGTGGGTGCGCCCAGGACGCGTTGCTCCTCCCTAATCTCGGGTGCGGGCATGCGTTCGAGAACACCGCGGCGAATTTGATCAAAGCCGAAAAGATTGGTATACTCAACGGCACGCTGTTGGATCTCGACACTCAGATCTGCGGTGCGGTTGGAGAGAAGGCGGCGCAAGCGTTCAATTTGAGCGGGATCAGACATGCGGACTGTGAGCTTCATGGCCGCAGTAATGATGTATTCGACAGCAATTTGAGTGGCATATGTGCTGTTCAGAATGTTGGTGAAGACGTCGACGAGATCGCTCTCCCGGACCTCCTTGACTAATTCCTCTTCTTCGTACTGACCACCTTGTAGTAAGCTATCGGCATACTCACCGATAGTCCATGTCGCAGCTAACGTAAGACCCTCCTGTGAGATATCTTCCTTCAATGATGAATACAGCTTTTGCACTGCATATGTCTGAAGATCAGGTGAAGTAGCAATGAGACGTACGAAGGACGAGAGGATCTGTTCCTTGACGTAGTTCCCGGCCAGCTTAAGAACACGTAGTATCGTATCCATATGCCAGCGCTTGTTGGGAGCAAATCGATCCGCCGCAATGCCGATTTGAGTCGTCATCACAGGCTTGAACTCGTTGTCGGCCACCTCCAGGAAGGCCAGCAGTTCCCGCACTAGCACCCGCACATTACCTTCGTTGATCAACATGAAGCTGAGATCAAGCGCTCGCCGGCGAATGCTGATATCAGGATCCCGCAGACATTCCAAGATCGTATTGCGGTGTCTTTGGACTGCGTTTGGTTCGATTGCAACCACCTTGTTGAGGGTGTTAAGTGCCACGTAACGGATGTTGTTGTCTTTATTGGCCAGGAACTTTCCAAGAATGTTGACGCCCAGCACCCTCAATCCCGAGTCGGCTTCGATATCCAGAATTGTAAGAACGGCTTCGTATAGAATGGAGTTACCAACGTTCTTGGATGAATCTGTGTTGGTAGCCACCTGGGCCAGAATATCGTTGATCAGTTCACTGGTGGCCAGATCTCCGCGACCCAACACACGCAAGAACCGAAGGATCTTGACCTGGAGGAACGGGTCGGTGATACCGGACACATCATGCTCAGGGGCGTATCCAGATGTCGTAAGTCCCTTCAGAGCTCGGACTAGCCCTCCAGCCAGTGGCCGGAACATCTCAATGACGCCCTCTGGCCCTCCCTCTTCCTCGTCTTCCTCTTCCGCCTCGCACAGATCGATCGCCAGCGTCAACCCGCAAAGGAGAACACCGTGGTTCCGGTCCGACAAAAGGTTTTTAGCCTTCTCGAGGAAATGCTCGTACAGGTCTGGAACCTTGCGACAAATGCGCATGGCGCAAATAGCTGCCTTGCGGCGGATGTAAGGGTTGGCCGTAGACATGAGGCTTTCGACCTCGGGGAAAAGATCACGGGACATCTCAACGGAGGCGATGTTTCCAAGGGTGCAGAGGGCGAGACCGACGATGTATTGGTTAGAGTGGTTGAGGTCACTGTGTATGATTAGCGAGGGCGCAAAGCCGGTCACCATGCTACACTTACTTCTTCAAAGAGTTGGTCACAAGTGTCAGAACTTCCTGGTTCTCGTCCAACAGCAGCATAGTTCCCAGGTAGCCCAGCCGCTTGTCGGCGAATCGGTGTGAGGCGAGTAGTTTCAAACATTCGATCTGACCGAAATGAGTCCGCTCTCCGAGGGTGAATAGATACAGGAGCTTGGCAACATTGTTCCTCCTGTCAATTGTTAGAGCCCAGCTAGGCGTTGCCTCGCGGATGCTGAAGCTCACCGAATACCGGAGTCGTGACTCTCCTCTCGAAACGATGCTCGAATAGCGGCGCTCTCTTTCTGAATGACTGCACGTTCATCGGCAATGGTTTTTGCTGATCGAACATTCCGGATGAATTGCTTGACTGTAGATTGCGTGGTTAGAGGGCCTCTCAGGGGAGGAGGGGCGGCGGGCAGCACGTACGGGAAGACATGGCGACCAGATGGACCCCCGACGGGGCGAGAAAGGAAATGTTCAATGAATGAGTCAAGCCAGTTGAGGAAATGCAATCCAAGCACCGCGCACGCGAAACTCAATGAAACGACGAAGGGTCGAGGCTCTGGAGGTCTGGACTGCTGTATTATTATTCCTCATGGCAGTCGACCTGGCTTCTTGGCATGTGGCGCTAGTGTGGATGTGGCTTAGTCTGAATCCCTGAATCACGTGTCCTGATCTATACTCTTCGCCCGGGCTTTGTTGCGACTTCAGAATTGATATATTAGGTGTTGTTTGATCTGGCATCATCATTCCTTATTCAATCTCTTTGGGTAATGATCTAACAGACAAATCATAGTACTATCAAAAACCTTCAGTCAGGCACTACAGTATACTACCATACGTATGGGGTACTCCATACATAAGTTTACTATTCTTAGGTGCAAACTACTATAATTTAATGACAGCTCCATACAACGGTGTCTAGCTTTTGAGCAGATGCGATTCTAAGGTTCAGCACATGAGGAAGTTGTAGATATTCATACAAAAGAAAGATATCCCCAGTGCCCCAGTCACGTTGCGTGGTCCTCGTGCTTCACAGCCACTTCCAAGGTTCACCGCCTTAGGGCTGAGTCATTCTATGACATAAGTGGACCGGCAGATCTCACGGGCATAACAAAGCGCAGCGCAGTTTTGAACTCGAAGTCTGGGGTTTGCACAGGATATACAGAGGATCTTATTAGATAGGGCAGATCACTTCTCCCCCAAAAAATCAAGACCTCAACGGTTTTTCGAGAATCCGTCTGCCTGTTACCCAAGGGGTCTGACGTAGTGCCGTGGGTTTCGGCTTGGAGAGTACAAGCACAGCTGAGCAACCTAGCTCCACTTGGCCGTTTCTCCAACATCCTTTTTTCGATGTACAATCCCATTGCGCTCGCCATTGCATCCCCTCGAGATGTCTAGTGCCGTCTCAAACGAATCTGCAACTCTGCGGCCCCGTGCCGTCCCCATCCAACCCGACGGGAAGTCGGATGTGCCTCTTCCCCTTCCGGTGGACAAGCTCACTCAGGATACAAGGTAAGTCCCTCGCGATGTATGCTGAGAGATCCCGGCTAAGAATATCGTCTCACTGCAGTGGCCGCTCTACCCCTGTCGCCGAAGATGCACCTCCATCAGCGCATTCGATCTCATCCGCGAGGAAGCAAGTCCGCGCCCGCAACCGCTTGTTCTACACAATAGACTATATCCCTCGTGTGTCACATTTTGACCCAGATAGTAACTATCACAACTTTCGGGGGTTCTTTACCCTTTTCTGGATTGGCCTGGCCATCATGGTCGGCACCAGCATGCTGCGGAATCTCAAGGAGACAGGGTTCCCCCTGCGAGTGCGCGTCTGGAGCCTCCTGACGGCTAATGTGTGGATGATGGGCTTGAGTGATGCTGCCATGGTGATGAGCTCAGCACTTGTGCTGCCCATGCACCGCCTATGGCGAAGTGGTCCACGGTGGCTGCAGTGGACGCGAGGTGGCATCATTGTACAGAGTCTAGCCGAAGCATTTTGGTTGGTACTTTGGATCAAGTTAGTTGCTTCACTGCGTATCTCGCTGAAAAATTGATTCACTGACCGAGGACACCAGCTGGCCTTTCATGATGCAGTGGACGTGGACTGCACAGGTGTTCTTCACACTGCACACCCTGACCATTCTTATGAAGTTACATTCATATGCCTTTTACAACGGTCACTTGAGTGAGACCGAACGACGACTTGCTTCACTGGATAAGCCGGGTGAGAAATCTTCCGACGCCGCCGCTGCTGCAGCAGTGCATTACCCGGAGATTCATCGACGCCGGCCATCCATGAAGCAGCATGACGACAGCAAAACCTCGGCTCCGTTGGACAGACTGCGGGAAGATCTTGCCACAGAATTGACCTCTCCGCTGGGCAATATTTCATACCCGCAAAACCTCCACGTTGCAAACTATGTCGACTTCCTCTTCTGCCCGACGCTCTGCTACGAGCTGGAGTATCCACGCCGAGAAGAGCGACGCTGGTCGGAGATCGGCTGGAAAACTATGGCCGTGTTTGGCTGTATTTTCCTACTCACATTGGTCAGCGAGGAGTACATCCTTCCCGTTCTGGTTGAGGCTAGTGCTCAGCTTCATCAGTTCCACAGTGTCACTGAAAAGGCTCTTGTTCTTGCGGAGACCATCAGCATGCTTCTATTCCCATTCATGATCACTTTCCTGCTTGTCTTCCTTGTCATCTTTGAATACGTGCTGGGTGCATTCGCAGAACTAACTCGGTTCGCCGATCGCCATTTCTACGCAGATTGGTGGAATTCGTGTGACTGGTAAGTCGGGATATAATGAGCTTCTAGAAGAACTGATTGATTGACTGCTCTATTAGGATGGAATTTTCTCGCGAGTGGAATGTCCCAGTCCACCACTTCCTCTTCCGCCACGTGTACTGGCCCTCGCGCTGTAATTTTTCCCAGCCAGTGGCCATGGTGATCACCTTTTTGGTCAGCTCGATTTTCCATGAACTGGTGATGAGCTGCATCACCAAGAAGTTGCGGGGATACGGGTTCTTGGCCATGATGCTTCAGCTTCCCATTGTTGCGATTCAGAAATCACGCTACTTCCGTGGACGAACCATTCTCAACGTAAGTATAACCCGGCGTTTGGAGACCCGAAAGTATGACTGACTTTCTCTAGAATGCATTCTTCTGGTTCTCAATGATTTTGGGTCTCTCGATGGTAAGTTATCCCACCCTACGGCCCATTTGAGTTACTTTGACTTTTGACTGACATTATCCCATAGATGTGTGCATTGTACGTCCTGGTCTAGATTGAGCATTTTACATGGATTCTATCAGGCATAGGTCCAACCATATCCGCGGGGTTTGTAAGGGACGAGGTCTGGACTCGATCTGGACTCATACAACTTGCACTGATGATATGAATTCTGCACACTGTGCACGCCCTAATTTTGTACATAGCTTCGATTACCTAGGCAGTCATATCCTAGCGGGCTTTGGCGCCAATCACATAATGGCATATAATTTGGTCAATAAAACCGAGTATATATGAAAATTTTCGACCATCACCCAGGCAGCACAGAGTGCCCAGGTGCGGAGATGTCCCATCATCGCCCCATGTGGGCATGTGTTAGGACTTGAAACCATGAAAGTTTCAAAATGAATAGACCCCTGGCACCCAAGCCAAGTGCTTTTCAAGTTTATCCTTGGTTGGGTAGCAACCTTCCAAGTTGGAAGCCAGCGCCTATGTAGCTACGAAATACTCATGTCCAGCCCCGGGACCCTGGAGGTGGTCTGTAAAAGATCGTAAGTACTCCGTACTAGGTATACAAAATACGAGTACCCGTGGGCGATATGGGGATCACATCCGTTTTGTGCCCTTCTCAGCCTGTGCAATTCCAAACCTTGGGAATGAAGTCCTTTTTGCTTTACAGGGAGCTCTATCGTTAAAAAGGCTGCAGTCTTTCCCCGATCATCAACCTTGGAATAATCCCGAGATCGATGCCCAGGTGTGTGCCCGGGTGGCTCCAGGCCTAGAGCAGCGGTGGACTGCCCGGGTGCCCAGGTGCACAAGAGCCCAATGTCCCATGTCCAGCGTTAGACCCACTGGAAATTCCTCAACACTAAACCCTTCCTGGGTTGTTCCACTGCCCAGGTGGGAGCGATAACCTGGGAAACCTACACATATTGGACCTGATATCACCTGCAAACATTTTATGTACGACCTTGGAACACCCATGGGTTGATTCCTGGTGAATTCCAAGCCATATCCCTGGAAAAAGCATATCTAAACAATGGAAAAGTACAGCCTTTGACAAGATATATTTTGTTGAGCCGGGATATATATTTCCAAAGTCAGCTCCAAGCTTATGCCCGCCCGCGGTTCTTTGTGCAACCTTACACTTGGACATAACCTTGGAACCTTCAAGGTTGGAATCACCCGTGGATATCCCCAGGGTCTACGAAATGAAACAAAGAAAACCCTAAGGTTGGAACGCAAAATAAGATCAGCCAAGCTCATAATTCAATCATCACTCGTAAGTTGGATTTTCCGGTATGTAACTAGTCGACGGGGTATCTATTGGTAGCCCGGAAACAAACATACAGAAAAAGGAAAAAGAAAAAAAGGACAAAACACCCAGTGAATGAGATACAGCGAGTATCCCTGAAAAGTCAAAACGCCCCAGGTGCAGGAATGCAACACACCGTCCACATCCCCATAGCGCCACGAGCACATCACATCCCGGCTCACCGAGCCTCCCAAGAACCGGTAAGCAAGCATGGTGACACAGATCGCACTCGACCGAAGAATCCGCTAGGCAATGCATATGCACTAGGCACGTGCAGCATGCAGAAAGCTGGAGCCGATATCTAGCTTGTGTCATCCAAACATATGCTGCTTTAATTGTCGGGATGTGTGCCCTGTACTCCGAATAGACAAATGATGATATTGAGCTAGAGATGCAAAGTAGACAAATTGGAACGCCCCGGCCTCCGGTAATTGTGGTTTGAAGTATTGTGTAATAAAAAGGTTAAATGTGGGAGAGCAGAAGAGAAGAGTATGCGTGAACTGTCGTAGATCGTATTTTCGTGGTTTTCGTGGTTTGCATAGGGGGAGATTCATCTGACAGACTGGCGTCTGTCTGGGGTAATTCGATGATATTCTTCTTCGTAAGGACGCCTTGTTGAATAACTGGGAACGTCGGGTTCGTAGGCTCCCGGGAATTTGGGTTCCTTCTCCTTAGGTCGGATATAACGAACCTCGTAAGGGCGAGAAGTTCGCGAGGACCGTTCCCGCTCTGCACGTGGTGAAGACTCATATGTTTGATATGTGCTGCTTCGCTTGGGGGTTGCGCGGGTCGGGGTCGAACGCTCCCGATCTGGGGATCGTGCTGAGCCTGAGCGGTACTTTGAAGACTTTGGTTCCACGACGCGACGCTCCGGTTCTTCGAGGATGCTGTAGCGCTGTGAGGTCTTGGGGGAGGTGCCACGCGGGAGCTCCGGGGTGTTAGGACTGGAATAACCGGAATCGGTGCGATCACGCATCTTGGAAGTGCGCGATGCTGGAGTTGGCTCATGTGCCATGTCGTAAAGAGTTGAATCGCGAGATTTGCGACTTTCGCGGGTTTCAAGCTTGGGGCGCACGTAGCCTGCGCTGGTAGTGTGGGAGCGAGTGGGCATGAATGGACGCAGGTGTGTCTTGATGCCTGGGGTTGTCGTGGCGGATGGCATCTTGGGCGTCTTGACCTCGTAAGATTTGGGAGTGCCCATGTTCTCATATGAGTTATTGCGAGACGAGGAACGAGCGGGTCGCCGTTCGGAACGGGAGCTGGAGGAGTCTATTTCCGGGGAGTCGTAACCACGGTAGGCGCGTGGGGACTTGGTCCGACCCTTGTTGGATGCGATGTAGTCCTCCGCACTAAAGGTCGTGGTCTCAATCTTGGTCTTCCAGTGATCAGACAGGTTGCCGTCATCCTCGTAGCGACGTTCACGGCGGCGTGGATGCTCTGGTCGGGATCGCGATTCTCGTTCCTCCCGCTCCCGGCGAGGCGTTGTACTTGGTCGCGTGTGGTACCTGTAGTTCATGGCACTGGAATCCGAGGCATCGTCAGATTCCGCATAGTTGGCCTCAAATTTGGCCTCGGTTTGTCGCCGTCGCTCTTGATCGCGTGTCTTTGCGCGGTTGGAATGTGTGGCTTTCGCACTGTCCCGTTTCTCCTTAGCGGCGCGGTCTGAGCCCAACGGCGTGCGAGGCTTTTTCTTCTCCTCCGCGGCTGGGGTCTTGGGCTTCGTGCGAACACCATACTCTTCGGTGTACTTGCGAGACATTGGGCGGGGCTCTTCTGTGAATCGCATTGCCTCTTCAAAGTAGACCTCCATTGGGACCCGCTCCTCCACGATATGGCCATTGCGGAATTCGCGATTGTTGGCGCGCGGAGAATTGTATGCCGGGTCTGTCCGCTTGCTCTCCGCGATCTTGCGCTTGAGCTCGGCAATCTTCACTTTCTCGTCGTGCTTCCTCCTGCGAAGATCATCGGAAAGTAGTTCGTAAGCTTGTTGGACCTTTTGGAATTCATCTTGGGCCGCATTTCGCTGTGAGACGTCCTGAATCTTGTCCGGGTGACATTTGAGGACCCGCTTCCGATGGGCGGCCCTGATCTCGGTGATGGTTGCATCATTGGCGACGCCGAGTACGCCATATGGGTCTATATCTGGTGTAGACATTGGATTGATCGATGTGAGGTAAAGTTGAAAGGAAGGGAAGAGGGGAAGAGGCGGTGGGCGTATATGAGGAATGTCAACGGTCTAACGTTGACGTAGCAAAGATTCCACACCGATGCATCCAGAACGAACTGGAGACAATTATAAATATGGGAATGGTCGGATGTTGCCTTGGAAAAGGAACGGACAATAAAAAACACTCTCAAAAAGAGGCGGAAAAGACAAATCCAGTCGGCTCAATGAAGGACCAAATTGTTTAGGGGGGGCGAAACTGCGCCACAATTTTCAAAGGACCCTATACTTTGGTAATATAAAGAGCGATATGTAAGGTGGTAAGATCGCAAGGTGATGTCCGAGAATCAAGTGATAAATTGGTAAAGATGATATAACAGAGATCGAATGATACAGAAAGGTACGGGAAATTTCGAGCAGCCCAACTCTTCTAATACAAACTCCCCTTCATATCACCGGCAAGGCACTCACCACACCGCAGTCTGAACCTGGGCCGTGCGCTTCATCCGATTTGTTGGCGCTGTCTACCAATCATTGCGTCGAGGCTGGTATTGGCGATCATTTAACACGAGCCTTGATCCCTTGGGTAATGGCGAAGGCCCCTCCCCCCTCTTGTGGTCGTCATGCCCATCTTTTCCCACTTCCTGTAGCAGTCTCGATTCAGTAGTGCCGGGCTGCAGCTAGTGAATAGCCAACCCACCCCCAACTTTCCAATCGCTATGGCAATTAGGCGTCTTTGGGTCGCCTCATTTATTTCGCCTTGCCCAAGATATTTACGTCGTCCAGAATGTGGGTCGTTCACCGTAAGTGTATACAGTACATTACTTCGTACCTGGTTCCGTGGTCAGCGTACCCCGGTCCGCCCGGATTACCGTGGACACCTTATTCCTTAATTTCGATCTATATTTAGTTCACATCTCTGATCTCTCTCCTTCACTCTGATCTCGGATGAGCTCTCTCTCTTACTTGACATTCTTATAGCTCAGATGAGTATGCAGCCTGGCCTAGACAGGACTTTGGTAAAGTTCAGGCATTGATTCACACCCAACTGGTTGTCCCACACCGGACCCATTCTCCAACGTGTCTTTGAACACCCCACCCGAGACCATCTCTTTCTTCCTATACGTTGTGTTTGGACATGAGACCATCGCACTACCATCAAGGGACGAGTATGAGATTTTTTTCCCTGCTGGCCCGTGTCATCCGGACCTAGGCTGCGGTCCGCGCGGCGCAGAGATATGTTCTCCCATGCTACGCACCTGATGTACGGTTCCGATCGTGACGAGTCTATTGGAAAGCATGCAAATGCCGAGGCACTTCTTTCCCTGTCAGCGTCAGATCTGACCATTGGTTTACCAACCTCATCCAGTATCACTAAGGGTAGCATAATTGGCAATGCGAAGTCCGATGTCTTACGCCCGCCCGTAGCGAGAAAGATCGTACAGAGTAGTCGGCAGGGATCAGGCCGGCCGCCCCCAGGATATTGTGTCTCGGCTCTTATCCCGCCCAAATTTGTCATTTGATTATCTGTGTGATAGTGATGACCCAGGTGCACTCGAACTACCCAAACAAACGCCGACCGTCTTTCCAACCCGACTGCGCAAGCCAAATCCATACCTAGGTAATCCTCCGATCCCATCAGCGCTGTTTTCAATGTCACACAAAGTCTTCTCCTGCTGCCATCCGAAACACAGGGTTGTAACCTAATTCCCTTGAAGATCTATAACCCCTCTTCCTGTTTTTCCCACCTGTCACGCAGCAGAACTAGGACCGGGGTCGGTAAATTCGGGATTGGACGCTGAACCCTCGTTGACCAAAATTTGAGGAGTGACACCAGCAAAAGCTGTACTATGTAAGGTCAAAGGCTGTACTTGTGAACAGAATCGCAAGCGCATGCACCAGCAGTCATTTGGCCGAGGGGCCGGTTTGCGAGGAAAACAGAGTACTCCGTACCTATGCAGAGTCCATGCAGGTCACCTGCAATAATGATGTCTGCTATTACATACTGCAATAACAGTCCAGTACTATTGCAGATGTCCAGACCACTCAGGCCAGCCACTGAACGCCTTCTAGAAAGGTGGCCGGAGTAAGAAATTTGTCCGCACATGTGTTTCCCACGAGCGTTTGTGTAAAAAATCCCTGAAGAAAGCTAGCCCAGCACCCAGCGCATTACACCCCAGGTTAATACATGATCAGCCTCGCATGGTCACATCGCTGGTCAGAGGGCGGGGGTCTATTGGTTGCCTTTGCTCCCCTCCACTCGCAGGCCGTGTCGAAGCGCTGGTCCTGGAACGGTTGAGTTTTGGGATCCTCGTTGCAGACTGCAGATGACTTGTGGACTCTAGTGCCTGGACTAAATGAAACTTTGATGTGATGTCACAGAATATGTAGGTCGGCTTGGTACAGTACATTTTACGGAATATGCGGGGGCGGTTTGGCCGACAGGGAGAGACTAATTAGCAGAAATCCAAAATTACGGTAAATAAGACCAAGAATGGAGGGGAATGGATCATTCCTTTTGTTCGATGCAGATTAACTCAAATGGAGATCTACAGGATTACCCAACAATGACTTACCAAGTATCCCTACAAGTCGTCTCAAATGCTCGAGTTGCATGCCTCGGAGAAGGGCAGCCAGTATGATGGCTTCGCCCACCACCCTCGAGAACGCCCACCTGAGAATGCTGGGAATATATGATGTAAGCTCAATAATCTGACAGCACTAAGGTCGTGCGTCAAGTCTGTAGCCGACCAATGTCAGAGTCTTCATGCATCGAAGCGCACATCTCTGGCGTTAACGTGAGGCCAAAGCCCCACAGGTCACCATACGTTCCGAATGGTAGGTCCCATGCAGCGTCAAGCCACAATGCGAGTCCGAAAGTTAAGAGATTGCCGTTACGATCGGGTCGGCTAGGACTCAATATGCTCTTCAAGGCCTCGAATAGGTTTAGACTTGATAAGAATCACCCGTTCACGACCGCGTGGTCGACCTGCCACACGAGCAGCTCACGTTTAACGAGGGTTGGCGCATTGAGCCGTTCGCTCCTAGGTGTGGCCAGCTTATTGCCACGATGGCGGAGTAGACGATGCAAGCTTCCTTTCTAGGCGTTTGCGAGGCGTGATCAAAATGGCTGAGGCTACCCGCGCTCAGGGCCAGGCGATCGGTTCGGCGATTTTCTAGATGATTTTCTCGTTCTGCCTCTCCACTTACCGTTTAGGGAACTACTGCAGGTCTGACCCCAGCTGGGCTGATGGCATCGTTGGACTCGATCGCCCATGTCTATACGGAGTAAACGGGGCGAAAAAACTTTGACCGGTTCATCGCGTTTGTCAGGCAGGGCGATCAGGCTGTGATTGTATTCCGTTGCCCACGGACAGCAACTTGCGAATGACAGGGTCAAATGAATTACCTTGGAATCTGGATCCAAGTCTTTCGCCCCTCAGGTAGCCGACGGCCAGCGAATTCGTTCGTACGGAGTACTCTCGCCCTGCATGCACATAGCCGCAAGTAAATCGTGGCAGCCTGCTGAGGCTCAGAGGTGTGCGAACAGCATCGCATCGAGCGAACCAACAAGAGCTGCACCAGCCCTGTTCCCACCAAGGAAGTGGGACTATGGTGGCGTTTGGGTGCCGACGATATCCAGATCAAGTGACACCAAACGATGAAACCCGTTAGCACCTGGCATGTCTTTCGATTCGTATCAGGAACCGCAATCCACCTCGAACCGTGAGCACTGAAAGCCAAAGGCGATTGATAGTTCGTGTGTTGGGCTCGTCTGCTCGAACCAAACAGACCAAGGCATACCCGAGGCAACGCGAACCGACTGACGGTGGCTTCGCGATGAGTCTGAACCGGTGCTGCGAATCTCCTGGCGATTGGTTGAGAAAGCTGCGTTCATTTCCGAGTCATGATACCGGGTTCATTGCGAGGACATGGATGTCTGTTTACAAATTCCGAAGTATTGCCGGGGTCGGTTTCGATTGAAGACAACGGGATGGAGTGCACATCTATTCAACGAAGATAGCACAGCTGATATTGCCCAGGATCACAACGAGAATGAATCGGGCTCGTTGGAAGCGAGGTGGGAGGCTGACCACCCTCAGTGACCATGATTTCAAAACCGGCGCTGCGCGTCCAATCGACTGTCCGGCAAAGCGGTCTTGAACTTCCGGTGTTGATCGATTAACCTGTCGGCGGGCATCAGGTTTCCCCCTGCTCGGAGATGGAAGCCTGACTTGATGGGCGCGTAGCTGTGTGTATCGGGGACGCGGGCGAGTACGCCTGTTGGCGCATGACTCGAACTGTTGGAGACATTTTTTGAACTATGCGAGTCAGGGCGCGACTTTGATTGCGATGCACATTGTCCGTGCAGGTGGCGCAATGAAGTAGTATGAACTGGTAAAGTCGAGAATTCCAAAGGCGCAACTGTCTTCTATTAAGATATCCATGGATGTGTTGCTGTTCCAAACTTGGAGACAAACTTGATAGGCCAAGAAAAGAAGAAAGGGAAAAAAACAATCAGCCCGCGAACCCTTGGAGCCCTGGAGCCCTGGAGTCTAGAATAAATTAGTCATCGGACCCAGTCTTTGATTCCAGATCTGATACGGAGTAGGTTGCAGACCAAGATGGACTCAGGGCTGGCAACAATAGCTATAGTTTGTGAAAGAGAAGTTGCAAGGTTGATAGACTGCACTATGGTGGCTCCATATACGCTCATAAGTACGTAGCACAGCGTACTGCTACCAGGTCTGCCAACTTTTGGGCACCCCAAGTTGATCCTCAACTACTTCTAGAGCCATACTCCATAATATACTCCTTGGTTGCCAGCCCTAAACCACACAAGAAAGATTGCGAAAATAGCGCACAATATTCCAGCGTTCGAAATGATATTTGGCCACCAAGTATGAAAGTGGAGCAGAACCGCGTCACATGACCACATTGTGATTGGTTGGCTTAGGGCATGGCTAGGGCTAGCTCTTACCGTTTGTTAGACAGCCTCGCTTAGCCCGGCCGGGAAAGTGCGACTCTGACTTTCGTTGTGAGCAGATCCGACGACATCCTACGACAATCCGCCAACTCCATCCCCGGGACATTAGATCGCCAACATGTCCTCTTTTGAATCAGTTGTCACGATCGACGGGAAGGGTCACGTAAGTGTTGCCCTCGTCTTGCTTGCATGTTCGCCATTAATCAGTGATTCCACAGCTTCTCGGTCGTCTCGCCAGCACTGTCGCCAAGCAGCTGCTCAACGGTCAGAAGATCGTCGTTGTGAGATGTGAGGCCCTCAACATCTCCGGCGAGTTCTTCCGTGCGAAGCGTACGTTCAACCCATTCTCAAAAATTCTCCCACCGTGAAATCAGGAACCGCGAACGGTGGAGGCACACTACGATCCGCAAGGGACACAGCGATTCGAGACTGCTCGCGGGTCGGGAGGAAATGCAAGTTGGAAACTTCAGAAGACTAACGTGAATTCCGCCTCACAGTCAAGTACCACGCCTACCTTCGCAAGATGACCCGTTTCAACCCCACCCGTGGTGGTCCCTTCCACTTCCGCGCTCCCTCCCGCATTCTCTACAAGGCCATCCGCGGTATGATTCCCCACAAGACCGCTCGTGGTGCCGCCGCTATGGAGCGCCTCAAGGTCTTCGAGGGTGTCCCCCCTCCCTACGACAAGAAGAAGCGCGTTGTCGTTCCCCAGGCCCTCCGTGTCCTGCGTCTGCGCCCCGGCCGCAAGTACTGCACCGTTGGCCGTCTCAGCCACGAGGTTGGCTGGAAGTACCAGGATGTTGTCTCCCGGTATGTGAATTGTCTCCGATTGCGTACTGCAATCTCTCCCGTGATGTTTGCTAACCATTATTTTCTACAGTCTTGAGGAGCGCCGGAAGGTCAAGAGCAAGGCTTACTACGAGCGCAAGAAGGCCGCTCGCCGCAACCTTGCCAAGGCGGAGCAGGGAGCGAACGTGGACAGCAAGACCAAGACCCAGCTTGCTCAGTATGGATACTAGATACCTTTAGCGCGGCTGGATGTTGTGTCGAGCGATGGTTCTGGGATGGGATCGCGGACGGTTTTCTTTCAGCGAATTTGAACGGCAAGCCGACCGACCTTGTTCTGCGGCCCGGTCCCTAACCTCATGAATACCACTGTTTGTGACGCACATGGATCGGGGACTGGGGTCTTCGCGATTTTCAAAAGTCGAAAAAACGGAGTCGTTTGGGATTAAAGGTTCAAAATTAGCTGGCCGTTGACTCGCGCCGTGGCGGTTTAATCCAAAGAAACAATTTTCAAGAGTTCAACATGATTCTTATGATTAAAAAATACTCTAACCAATCTTTTCCTACCATCTGCCTCCAGTCCAATGTGTAGTGCCATTGCCATTCTGTTTAGTTAGCCATTGGAATATCCTGCGGGCCGCAGAGGTTCGCACATCCACCCTTGGAAACCTTAGGTCCAACCCTGAAGGGTCCAAACCTCGGCCCCGCTACGATACCGCCATGTCGAGTCCCAACCCTGGAAGATCTGCCTTGGGACATCCACATGCCCAGTGCTCCAAGAACATCACATTCCACCTGGGCACCCCTGAAATATTTGACATGTATATATATATATCTCAACCAGTCTTGGTGTCTCCCGAGGTCGGTCTACTTTGAATTTCTTCCAAGTTCCTACTAGGTATGACTATGGAAATCATTGTGCACACTGAATATACCAGGCCAGTACAGTCCCCACAAGATAGACCCGACCAATACATCCGGATGATGAACTGCAAAAATGAGGCCGTATGTCCTAGCCCGATCCCAGCTTAGTTCCCGAATCCCCCGCTTTCGATCCGCTGGTATAGCCTAGGTTAACCGCATTAGTAACGAAACTTCATCCCCGCATTTCTCCAACTTGGAGTAATCTTGGGTACTGCATACTTCTCTGTACATTGCTACACATCATTGTACATCTGTCTCCTTTTACTCCTTCGCATCTACAGATCTCCGCCGTATGACAGTCTGTGCCTCCAATCCTTGTGCAACATGTCTAGTGTGAAATCCCGGCTTTCAGGCCTCTTGGGCCACTTCAATGGGCCCCCTTCACCCAATTTTGAACACAAAATCAACAAACATACCTTGTCGCCAACATTCTTCCTCCCTCGTGCTGCTGCAATTGAGCCCAATGTGAGCTTGCCATTGTCTGATTGGTGGTAATCAATGTCTGACGAGAATTACACAGGCCGAGGCCATTTACCATGTAACCGCCAACAACAAGATCCTACGACGGACTTATGGCGAAGCTGCAGACAGAGCCAGAGGCTTGGCTTACTATCTGAAGAAGCATGCATACAGCCGAGTCGGCATTGTTTGCCCCAATACCCCGGCATTCCTCGAGTCGATCTTTGGAATTGCTGCCGCTGGTGCTGTCAATGTTGGTATGAAATAGACATGTATCCAAGAGGAGAGACGACAAGCATATCTAACACCCTCTCAGCTGTCAATTACCGTCTGAAGGCGGACGATGTTGCTTACATACTTGGCCACGCCGATGCGCAGGTGCTCATTGTCGACGAGGAATTCCTCCCACTCTTGGAAAACTATCGATCCCAATACCCCCATATTCCCATTATTGTAGATACTGACACCGATGCGACTGAGGGGGAGTTGACCGGTCCATTCGACGACGCTATCCTCGAGGGCTTAAAACACGATTTGGAGACCGGCTCTCATGGTTGGGAAGGCCTCGAGATGCAAGCAGCTGACGAGGAAGCGACTCTTGCGTTGGCGTACACCAGTGGCACAACAGCCCGCCCCAAGGGTGTCGAATTCAACCATCGAGGGTGCTATCTCGCGACATTGGGAAACATCATTGAATCTGGTCTCAACTACCACAAAGGACGGGCCCGCTACCTTTGGACACTGCCAATGTTCCATGCCATGGGTTCGTGTATAATGTCCCGTTTTGAATGTAGGATAGTCAAGCTGACACTGGCATACAGGGTGGACATTCCCGTGGGCAGTGACCGCAGTTCGCGGCACACACTATTGTTTGCGGAAGATAGACTACCCCGAGATCTGGAGGCTGCTGAAGGAAGAGCAGGTCACCCATTTCAACGCTGCACCTACTGTGAATACATTACTCTGCAATGCCAAGGAGGCAGAGAAGCTGCCCGAGCCTGTGCGTGTCACAGTGGCAGCAAGCCCTCCAACGCCTCATCTCTTTGAACAAATGACCGATTTGAATTTGCATCCTGTACATGTCTACGGAATGACTGAAACCTATGGACCGATCACCAAGGGTTACCAACTGCCAGAGTGGGATACCATTGACCTTAAAGAAAAGTACAAGAAGATGGCCCGCCAAGGTCATGGGTTCATCACAAGTCTCCCTGCACGGGTCATCAAGACTGAAGTTCCCGAAGGAACCCTCACCGATGTTAGCAGGAATGGACAAGAGATCGGAGAAATTGTCTTCATCGGAAATATCTGCGCCCGAGGATACTACAAAGATCCCGAAGCAACTCGGAAGCTGTTCGCAGGAGGTGTTCTCCACTCAGGGGATCTCGCGGTTTGGCACCCGGATGGCGCGATTCAGATTCTTGACCGTGCTAAAGATATTATCATCAGTGGTATGTTGTGCCAGGAACTCAGACCTCCATGATTCACTAATGGAAATTAGGGGGTGAGAATATATCCTCCGTGGCCCTAGAGTCAATGCTGGTCACACATCCCGGAATTTTGGAAGCCGGCGTTGTTTCTGTTCCCGATTCTCACTGGGGCGAGCGACCTAAAGCCTTCATCACCGTCAAGGAAGGCACTAGCCTCGAAGGCTCTGAGGTGATTAACTGGGCTCGCAATGTTAGCGGAATCAGCAAGTTCATGATCCCTCGCGAGGTGGAGGTAGTGACCGAACTTCCCAAGACCAGTACTGGTAAGATCCGGAAGAATGTCCTCCGCGACTGGGTGAAGGGCCAAAAGGAGGTCTAGACCGTTTCAGGACCCAGATGGTAGAATATTAGATTCCTGCTTGTATAAAGAGATTCTGGAAGGATACAGGTAACTTCGCTGCATTCCAATGAGGTCAGATGTCCAGGATTTCGGTGAAATGTAGATCGATCGCAGATCAAGCACGAGGCCAGATCATCTGAAGACTCGAGGAGTGATGAACAGTACTTTGTTTCATGAGTCACTTCCTTCTTCCCTTCAAATGTCCCCGTCAAGCCAAACGAGTCAGGTCAACATTTGAACGATCAGGCCCGACTGTATGCATCTTATCAGGCGATAAGGACGTTGCTTGGCACGGACTCCGCAGCCAGTGTGAAACCCGGGCCCCATTGCCTCCCCCCTCCATTGCCGCCTGTATCCCTTCCCATTTCGCCGCATTGGCTCTTACATCGCTTGCTTCTGATCCAAGGGGTGCTCGAGGAGATCTTGATCGCTCAACCTCACTTTGAGTTTGATCTGATTCCCACTCCCTTTCATCACCGCGCCGCGATTTCCATGCTTACACCCTCAACCGCGTGCCCCATCGTACTGCAGACATCAACCGCAAGCACCGCTCTCACTTTGACTCATACACTCGGGACATTTAACGGAAAGCAGACTGCCTTGGTGGACTGGACTTGCATGAATCAGCCCCTCACATGCACCTTCCACCCATGCATGTCCCTCTCAAGTTATGAGACTTCAACCGTTTAAAGAGCAGAACAGTCTACAACACCGGCCAACGACGACCGACCCGATATCGACGCCCAATATGCCTCGCCCACGAGAAGCTGGCCGGTACCCGAGCGCAGCCCCTTCCGAAACCTCTGGATCGACGTCACCGGAACGTGCCGCTGACGATGATACCGATTTCTTCATGGCTCAGACCAACGACTCGCAGTCATCCATAGGTGTCGCTAATTTTCGTGATTCCCACCCTCAAGATGTACGATCTGTGCCACTACCACCCATCGGCCGCCTCCCACCTGAGATCCTGATTGCGATCTTCTCGAAACTGGCCTCGCCCGTAGACATGCGTAACTGCATGCTGGTGTGTCGCGGATGGGCCTCAAACTCCGTAGGGATACTATGGCACCGGCCATCTTGCAATAGCTGGAATAATCTGGGAAGAGTGACAACATCGCTCGGGGAGCCAAACAGCCTCTTCAACTATGCAGACCTCATCAAGAGACTGAACTTGTCTGCCTTGTCAACCCAGGTCAACGATGGCACAATTGTTCCTTTCAATCAGTGCAAACGTATCGAACGTTTGACACTGACAGGCTGCAAGCAGCTCACGGATAAGGGCGTTTCGGACTTGGTGGAAGGCAACCGACACCTCCAGGCACTGGATGTTTCGGAAATCAAATATCTTACAGACCACACTCTTGCTACGGTGTCGAGAGACTGCCCTCGTCTACAGGGCCTTAACATCACGAACTGTGTGGCCATCACCGACGATGCACTGCTTGAGGTGTCACAAAAATGCCGTCAAATCAAGAGGGTAAGCAAGCCGTGGAAACGATGCGTTGAAAAAATATCAGTACTAACCGATCAATAGTTGAAACTCAACGGAGTCTGGGGTGTCAGGGACCAATCCATTCTATCTTTTGCAGAAAATTGTCCTTCTATCCTCGAAATCGACCTGCACAACTGCAACATGGTCACCAGCAAATCAGTGACTGCCTTGCTCACGACACTCCAGCATCTTCGAGAACTGCGTCTCGCACACTGCACGCAGATCGACGACTCTGCATTCATGTCACTCCCCCCTACTATGACCTTTGATAGCCTTCGCATTCTGGATCTCACTGCGTGTGAGAACGTACGGGATGAATCAGTGGAAAAGATCGTGCAAGCGGCTCCTCGGTTACGCAATCTGGTACTGGCAAAGTGCCGGTTCATCACCGATCGATCTGTGATGGCGATTTGTCGGCTTGGGAAGAATCTCCACTATGTTCACTTAGGCCACTGCTCCAATATCTCAGACGCTGCCGTTATTGCCTTGGTCAAGTCCTGCAACCGCATTAGGTACATTGATCTGGCTTGTTGCAACCGTTTGACCGATCACAGCGTTCAGCAATTGGCCACTTTGCCCAAGCTGCGACGCATTGGGCTGGTCAAATGCCAAGCGATCACCGACCAGAGCATACTTGCACTCGCACGGCCGAGGGCAGCTCAACATCACCACTCTGCCAATCATAGCAGCAGTAGCAGCAGCCTGGAAAGGGTCCATCTGAGCTACTGCGTCCAGTTGAGAATGGATGTATGTATTGCCCAATCAGTCAATCCCGACAACGTTTATGCTAACCTTCTTTCATCAGGGTATACACGCTCTGCTGAACCACTGCCCTCGTCTGACCCATTTGAGTTTGACGGGCGTTCAAGAGTTCTTGCACGAAAGCTTGACTACATTCTGCCGAGAAGCCCCTCCGGAGTTCACTCAACAACAGCGAGACGTCTTCTGCGTTTTCAGCGGCGAAGGTGTCACCCGACTTCGTGAGTTCTTGAATAAAAGCAAAGCTCCTTACCGCGAAGAAACAGAAGCCACGATGTATGATGACGACGAGGAACTGGACGGAGAAGGAGACGGAGATGAAGGTCGGATGGCTGGCATGATGAACGCAGCTGTCATCAACGACGACGACGACGAATTTCTCGACGTTTCGACCCTGAACACATGATACGATACCCCCTTTCCTAGTTGAAAATGAGCCGAGGGCCGGTTGTTCTCTTTAATTGCTTTCTTACCTGCGATGCTCCGGATCCAGGCAGTCATCTCTATTCATATGAGCGAAGATCATATTTTATGTGGGAATTGCATTAGCTCGCTAGCGGTCACGGTCTCGAAATATTGCGAATTGCATAGAATACAAGCAGTTCTATTGCCACTCATTGCATGCCATATCCCATTGACTCAAAGTAGACCAGCCAATGTGTTGGCGTGAGTTGTCTGACATGTCTGAAAACAAAAAACCATCGTAGTTGCTGGATAGACAAGCACCCAAGAAAACGACTCATCTAAAAAGACCTTATTTAACACGAGATTACCTAGGTATAGATCATGCAGATTACTAGTGAGACAGGTATACAGGGAGTTGAAGAGTCGTATGCACTAGCATTGTGGATCTGCGGCATGTGAAGTTACTTCTCCCCGCATTTGCTCGATTTTCGACTCCAACACCTCCTCAGCCCCAACCACCACAGGGCCATGGCTTCCCACAAGGCCAAGAACCCCCTCGCGTTTACACCGTGGCCGGTGACAATCGTCACGACAGCTGTGTATCTTGCTCTTTTCATTCCCTTGCTGGTGATCCACCACAACGTCCCACCCGCGCCTCAAGCAACCCCGAACGGCTTGAACCTCACTGAGGCATGGCAAGACCTCCAAAGCCTCACTAAAGGTTTCCACCCCTACAACTCACACCAAAACGATGAGGTCCGCTCCTGGCTGCTCGAGCGCATCAACGCGATCCAGCAATCTGCCCCGTCCGCCGACGCCTTCCGTGACACGAAAGAACAAAAGCCCGATGTGTTCGTTTTTGACGACCTGGTCTCGAACCTGACATTCGTGGACCGAAACGTTGGCGTCTACTTTGAAGGAACCAACATCCTTGTTTATATCCGCGGCTCGGACGATAAAAAAGAGAGTTGGTGGGATATTCCCGGCCGGTATCCCGTCGGTAAAGGCGGTGTTCTAGTCAACGCCCATTACGACAGTGTCTCAACCGGCTACGGTGCCACTGATGACGGAGTCGGTGTTGTAACATGCTTGCAGCTGGTCAAGTACTTCCTAACACCAGGCCACGCGCCGCGCCGTGGCTTGGTCGTTCTCTTCAACAATGGCGAAGAGGACTACTTGAACGGTGCCCGCGCATACAGTCAGCATCCGATGGCGAAATTTGCCCATACCTTCTTGAATCTAGAGGGTGCCGGTGCTGGTGGACGCGCTACCCTGTTCCGCAGCACTGATAAAGAAGTCACTCAGGCGTACGCGAAATCGCCATACCCATTCGGCTCGGTGCTAAGCTCGAATGGGTTTGACAAGGGCTTGATTAGCAGCCAGACGGACTATGTTGTTCTCGATGGCATTCTGGGCTTGCGCGGGTTGGACGTGGCTTTCTTCGAGCCTAGAGCCCGCTACCATACTGATCAGGATGATGCGCGGCATACGAGTTTGGATTCGCTTTGGCATATGCTATCTGCTGCTGTCGCGACCACAGAGGAGCTTGTATCTGATGATACCGATCGGTTTGATGGACATCTTCGAGATGATGGAACCGTGCCGAGTGGCACTGGGACCCGGGCTGTTTGGTTCGATCTTTTCGGAACTGCTTTTGCCGTTTTCCGTCTGCATACGCTCTTTGCTTTGTCAGTCACTTTGCTGATAGTGGCGCCCTTGACCTTGCTCGTCACCAGTGTGATCCTGTCCAAGGCTGACAAGATGTATCTGTTCCGCTCCTCGGTTTATTCTGAGATTGGCGATGACTATGTCACACTTCGTGGTCTCCGAGGCTTCTTCCGGTTTCCGTTTTTGATTGCGATCCCTACATCTGTGACTGTTGGATTGGCCTACTTAGTCACAAAGGTTAACCCTCTGATCGCCCACAGCAGCTCATATGCTGTTTGGAGCATGATGATCTCGGCTTGGTTCTTCCTTGCTTGGTTCGTATCCCGCGTCGCTGATTTCGCCCGCCCATCGGCTTTCCACCGGGTGTATACCTGGACCTGGCTGTTTGTTCTGACTTGGTCTCTCATGGTGATCGCCACAGTCTACGAGCATGAGGAGGGACTGGCTGGTGGGTATTTCATGTTGTTCTACTTTGCCGGCACTTTCCTGGCCACTTGGATCTCATACTTAGAGCTCTTCTCTCTCCCAACGAAGTCTAGCTACGCTAGCAAGTTTGGTGATTCACGCCGGCCTAGTACCCAAGCCAGCCGGCTAGCCGCGTCGGGCGACGAGCACCATGAAGAGGAAGCCGAAGAGGACCCGACTGAGTCTACGTCGCTGTTACACGGCCCACACCGACCCACTTTTGCAAACTATGTTCGTGTTGGTGGAGACCATGCGTCAGACGATGATGAAGAGGAGGAGAAAGATCCCAATGTTTATGAGCATGAACAGTCGTGGAGTGGCGCAATGCCACGGTGGACGTGGATATTGCAGCTGCTACTAACAGCTCCTGTTATTCTGATGTTGATCGTGCCTCTGGGTCTCATCATCACCGGAGCTCTCAACCAGACAGGACAGGATGGCAGCCCTCAGCTGATTGTCTATATTATGACCGCCGGCCTCACCACACTGCTATTCGCGCCCACATTACCATTTATCCACCGCTACACTTACCACGTGCCCATTTTCTTACTGCTCGTCTGCATCGGCACCATGATTTACAGCCTCGTCGCCTTCCCATTCGCGGATTCTAATCGCCTGAAGCTTTTCTTCTTGCAGGAAGTAGATCTGGACAACGGTGTCTCCACTGCTTCATTGACCGGCATGTCTCCATTCGTAAAGGATGTTGTCTACGGGCTCCCCACAGCAGCAGGACAAGAGGAGGTATGCAAAGGGGTCAAAAGAAGCAATAATGAGCTTCAGCGCTGCTCTTGGAATGCACCACTGCCCCGTATCAATCTCAACGCAGACACTCTATCTCTTGATAGCAGCGATGTGGAGCCATCGGCGCAAGCCACCGAAATTTCGGCTGATTGGATCACCTTCGGTATCTCATACCCGGAGCCTGGTACTCTTTCCGCTCGGTTCGAATTATCAGGCCAAAACACCAAAGCCTGTCGTATCGACGTTGACAGCCACAGCTTCAACAACTTCACCGTATCCGGATCCTCTGCACCAGATAGCCGCTTCATTGACCCATCTCCAGAAGGCTTGAAACAGATACGACTCTGGAGCCGCACTTGGGACAACAGCTGGACTGTAGATATTGACTTCGCCAAGCATGACTCCGACGCTGATGAGGCCGAAACCACCGACGACTCCATCACAGGTCGTATCACCTGCATGTGGAGCGATAACAACCAGATCGGCCTCATCCCTGCCCTCGACGAGGTGAGGCAATTCAGTCCAGCGTGGGTCGCTGTGACGAAGTTCTCGGATGGTTTGATCGAAGGCTCAAAGAAATTCGAGATCAATCGGTCTGAGTTTGGGCTGTAATCTTGACCTGTGAAAGATATTCATATTGCTTGTTGTACGATTTAGCTTCTAGCTTATCCTCAGAGTTTCGGAATTTGTGCATGTATCATTGTGTTGAAAACTGTTCTCCAGTTCCATGACGGCTAGACAGAATGAATTTTCTTGAAAGGCAACTCGGTGTATGAAATACTCATGGAATCATGTGTAGATAACCCTCCGCGTAGTTTCATGTAGTGTTTAGTAATAACAGTGTTCCCCCACCTCGGCACCTGGGCAATCTGTGAAAAAGAAACGCTGGAAGGCTTCGGGTAAATAGGTCAGATTCAATGATCTGAAATCTGGACCGAATACACCCCGAGAAACGCGGGGACTCGCCCAATTCTCCAGTCATGCCTCGTACTAACTACCTTGTCAAGCCAAAGCATCAGATCCCAGCGATGGCTGTTCAAAATGGAGAAATTCCATCCCGTTTACCGATAGTTCTCATTTCTGTTAACAGCCAAAAAGGTAAGGGACCACAGCTGTCTGATGTTGGATTCTATACGAGCATAGAAGTTAGCCAAGACCATATACGTCGAGGTAGCGAGTCCATCCCAGCAGAAAACTTACCAGTTTGACCACCAACCCCCGGTGGCGCAGGCAAAACCCCCAAAGGCGTAGTGACAAACTTTCCCACACGATACACCCAAGACCAGACTTCAGCCGAAAGCTGCTCCGAGTTGGCCTCGATAGAATCCCAAAGAAGATTATATGCATCCTTGACATTATAATAGACAGAGTCATCAGTACAAAAGGCTGGGACAGGCGAGGGAACAGAGTTTTGACGGCCTCGGATTCGAGAGCCGACAGAGAAGTTCGACTGAACCTCACACCTGCCCAATTGCATCTCGAGCCCCTTGGCCATCATGGCTAGCTGCCAAGACCAAATCACAGTTCCGTGGTAGGCGCCAGTGGTGAAGTTCTGTGCATAGATGGGGTCGTTCCCAAAGGCAGGATTGGCAACAATCATTCCAGCATCTGTCATCAGACCAGCCGGGAATGTGCGCTTGATGTTGTTGGCAGATTGGTTCAAGAATGGAGTAAGTTGTGCGTCATTCGTGGTGTTTAGCAGGAAGTGTCGGAAGCAGTCGTCTGTGTTCATGACTTCGACTTTTGATAGATTGTTGCTGCCTTCTAGAGCCACTGCATGGAAATGAACAGCACTGTCTATGCTGTCTGCTTGACTGGGGCCGGGGAAATGGGACTTGGCGTAGCTTTGAACGAGGGATTGAGCCCTTTCCTTGGGAATTTCGACGGCGAAGAAGGAGAGTGTTGAGTCTTCCCATACTTTGGCATATTTGTCGGCCAGGGTCGACCAGTGTCGCTGTTTGGGGTAGAGACCAGAGCGGGCGAGAGTCCCAATTGCACGCAGAGCAGCTGGTACGAGAGCAGTATTCACATCGTAAGGAATTTGGCCGCCGCCGAGACCTGGTTGATGTTAGATCTTAGAAATAATGGAATGATTTTCGAGTGATGAGGAATGTACCATAAGTGCTATCCCGCCATTCTCCGACCACCTCACCCTCATTGAGGCGGATGAGGTTTGCCTTTGTCTGATCGAGAAAGAAGGGACGCGCAAGACGCATAACTCTCTCCGAACTGATCAATGCAAGGTCACCCCATGTCAGGTTTGCATTTGCGAGATTGATGGTCCCTGCAGTGGTACTATTGCGTCTCAGTGAGAAAGTGTACAAAGTTGAAGAAGAAAATAAATCTCACTTGAGGAAGGAAAAAGATCTATTCTTCCCGACAGGATTCTGTACCAGGTACCGTTCCATCAAAACAGGGAGGAAATAGTCGGTGTCAATCTGTTGAAAATACGTTAGTATTGCCACATGGATCGATGATGAGTATATGCTGACCATCTTATAATCACAGCCCATGGCGCTACTATTGAGACCCTTTTGTGCGTTTGTCCAAGTCGCATAGTCTCTTGGTCCTCAATGTGAGCACTGATCTGGTATTAAACAGGGAAGTCGGAGACTTACCCGACAGTCTCCTCATGACAGACAGTTCCATCTGTCCTGTTGACTCGCTCCAGAACAGCTCCAATGACAGCCTCCATAGCACTTCCTTGACCGTCGCTCAGGACAGGTTGGAGAAGCAGTGCAGATATCATAGAGTCACGACCGAAATAAGTCAAAAAGCGCCATGCACCAGCCATCAGCTTTTCCGAGTAGGATAGGAATGACAGCGCCGCAGCTTGAGCAGGCTGTTCTGCTGCCAGGGTTTTGGAAGCTGTATTCAACACAGACTTGGGCTTGAGGGCCGTCAATTGAGGATAGTTGATGCTGGCCGACATAATGTAATCACCTGCGCCGAAGGTGACAGTTTTATTGGATAGTCTCACTTGACCATTGCTGTTCGAAGATGAGTTGCCGAACGGTTTGAAGTGCAACTTCGTTGTGGTCACATTGTCAAGCCATGTTCTTTGCAGCGATACGCCTGTATTGTCAGAGATAAATTTGATAGTATCTTGGAGCTCTGGGTGTAGAAGGCTAGGCCCTTCGACAAAGTCTCGGATAGTGCGAATACTTCCCAGAATTGAGAGGTTCAGTGTTGCAGTGGCGTTAAAGCGGAGAACACTCTGAGCTCCAACACTGGGATTCTTGCCTGGTGGCTTTGGAGCGGAATATACTGGTCCTAGAGGGGCGCCGATGGTTGAATTAACCAGTTCGATAGCTAGTGTGCCGTTCGGACTACCTCGCGGCTCAAAGAACATGCATGCGCCGCTATCTCCAGCTGGCCAGGCGATGATGAGTCGAGGACCGATGATGGATAGGTCGCTGTCTTGCTGCGGGGTGGTAACCACTGCCTGAGCGGCAACATTGCAATCCGAGTAGAAGTAGTTGTGGTACGGGAGGTCAGTCAGCGACAGAGTTGAAGCCGGATCGGAGCATTTTGGAGCAGCGCGAGCAAGATACTGTGTGAATGTTAGTAATTTTCACTGGGATTTTTTGAGGGAGCGCCACTGACAGCATCACTTGTAGCTGCACCGAGGCTTGCCAACAGACTCAACTGGATGATGATTCTCATGCTGTTGGAGGAAAATCGACTTTAAATGACTGGGCCAGAGAAAGAGAAAGAGCATCCCTTTTAAATTGCGAGACAAGATGCAGATCTAAAGGATTTCAATGCGCAAAGTCTAACTGTACCACTGACAGCTCTCCCCACGGGGATGTGGAGACGGTAATGACAGACCCCCGATATTTCTCCGCGGGTGCCGGTACATACTCCATATCAAGAGCTGCGTGCAATCAACTTGGAAGCTAATTGGGGTATATTCGACAACTAGATCATGAAGATGATGGCCGGTGGGGCTTGTTCTATGTACAGGATCACAATGCATATCTATGTTGCATTCGGCGATGGACGGCAACGGGTCGCCTATTTGTGGATTCTTCCCAGATTGTTTGTTGGCTCGTTCGCACAACATCGGTCGGAGAATCTTCGACGTGGAGTCAAAGAGCCGAGCGTAAGCCCCGAGATTTCACCGTAGAGGATACATCCTCAGGGTACCGGGAGGTTCGGTTCGACAATGGTCAAAGTGTGACCATAAGGAGGAAAGAGGGGATATCGAGAATCTTATCGATGTTCATATATCGTGAAGCATGATTCATAAACAGAGTCAGAGGATTATCGATACTACCGGATGGAAGCTCAGCCCGGTTTCTCGGCCTTGCGTGGCCGACTCATATGGCGCTGGGTTCCGCTGAAAGGGTTTGTGAAGTCGATTGGAAGGTGATCGACGTGATAAGCACGACCTTCATTGGTCCAAGATCCGGACATGTCTGAGTTTGTGCGTATGTGCTCGGGGGGTAGGTGTTCGAACATGGCGATGGAGATATCGTCGGGGTCCATCCACGACGGACCGCGTTGACTCGGAGGCGGAGCGGCATGGGTCATATCGGAGGTGACGCGAGTTGCGTCGACGAAGTCGGGGAGATCGCTGGGGGCGGAGAAGGATTCGGGTTTCCAGACGTGGTTCTGAACCAGGAGGATGAGTTTGCCAAGGACAGCAAACTCGAGTTTCAGTTTGATGCTGTACACGGCGCCTTTCAGCATGGTTTCCATAATGTAGAAATTCAGATACTCGGCAACGAGTAATCCGACATCTAGTACGATGATGATCATGTTGATGATCAGGAGTTGGTATTGGATCCTGCGTTTGCTGTGGTCCGGGTCGAGACGTATCATACGCACGGTCTCCCAGATGTAAAGTCCGGAGATGATGAATTCCTGCAAGCAGAACCCGGTCATCTGGATCTTTTCCATTATGCTGTACCCTGATTTGTATGGCTCATGAGGCGCACCCGCGATTAGATTCGTGCCGTAGGTGAGCACCGTTGTGGGGATGTGCAGGATGATCGCATTCACGGAAATCATGATCAACACGCGACGCAGGACACGTTGGTTTGACAACACCAAGTGCAGGCGCGAGTACAGGACCACCGATTGACCGGTGACCATGCACCACCACCCAACCGTCAACAAGGTCACCGGCAGCCATGCTTGGCTGTTGGCGATGTTGAAAAATTTCAACAAAAAGCCCAACGAGTACGGCAAGAGGCCCGCGGAGGAAGAAACCAGCAAGCTCCAAAAGTAAAGGCCTCGATAATCTGCGAATGTGACGAAGAGCAGAATCATCAGCTCGAAAGCATTATACCAAGTGATGCCCGCGAGGGTTGCGATCGTAATCTTCATGCCCAGAGATTGACCCTGGTAGCCACCGCTGATGCCATTCCCAGCCGCGGTGAAATCAGTCATGTCGAGTCATGGGCATAGTGGGCGCGTAGGGTCACGGAGTTAAGAGACGCGACATCAACCCGGCTGAAATCCGGGGAACTGCGAGATGAGAAAGAGACAAAGAGACAAAGAGAGGCGCAGCTGAAGCCCGAATCCGCCATGCGGGGGGCCGTGATACCCCGGACTATTTACATTTGAATGGGCAAATCGTCCTAAAATGGGTCCAAAAATCAAGAAATGTGACTATCGGTGAGATCCAAACGCAAAGGATTCGCTCGCTCTAGGTAGCGGGACCTGATTGGAGATTGATACGAGCTACACTAACCGTTTCGCACGGAGTACTGCCCTTTACGGTATACAGTGAGCAGAAAGAGCCACATATGCCATGTTTCACAGATCTCACGTTTCCCAGCCTTCTCAGGCCAGGGGCCGAATATGCTGTTGCGCACCTAAATATGCTAGTGGGAAAAAAAAAGCCACCGCGGTTAAAGGGGGGTAAGCTTCCTTGCCTGGCGATCTTGGGATCTCAAAGTTATTGACTCCTACGGAGTACCTACCTACTATACATGTCTTTTTAATTTACCTAGGTATACTCCGTACTCCGTACTGGATGATAATTATTTATCCTACACATCAGAACTTGATGTCATGTGGCGCGTGACTCGCTTAAGAAATGGGGATTCGATAGTCTGGGGTTGTGGACATCTCACTCATAATATTTCATCCAATGATGTTGTTCCTGGAACCCCAACACCTCCTTAATCTTCCGATTCGTGATGGGAGCCTCTCTGGCCCCCAATTCACGCGTCACCGGTACATCAGGGCACACTCGGGCGAGGAATGCCGCCGTGCCCTCGTAGTTCGTAATTTCGTCATTGGTCGCGTTGAAAATCTGGTATCCCAGGCCATCCTTCTGCACCGCAAGATCGCACATTTGCCCCAGGTCCCGCGCATCAATGTACGCCCAGCCGTGCGCCGCCCAGCGGTCGGGATTCTCGACGTATGAGCGAAACAAGGACTCTTGATACTCTTCGGGCGCGAAAATGCGTCCAATGCGCAGAATGTAGATGTCACTTCCGTAGCGGCGCTGGAACCCACGCGCGACCCGTTCGCCGCACACCTTGGCAATCGCATAGGTGTCCATGGGGTTGGTGTCGACGGTTTCCTCCACCGGGAAAGACGGATAATCGACGTCGCCTTCGGCGAAAGCCACGCCGTAGACGGTGACGGAGCTGGCGATCACAATCTTCTTGATGCCAAGGCGCGAGGCGGCCTCGATGATGTTATACGTGGACAGGGTGTTCCCGCGGAATGTCTCCTCGTCCGGAACTATCATGTTGCGGGAGTAGCCGGCCATGTGAATGACTGCATCGGGGACCAGCCCAAGGGGTTCGCGGAATGGCTCTTGCAGCCGGAAATGAGAGCCCAGGGCGCTGTACACCTGGCCGCTGTTGGTCAGGTCGACGCGCAGAGTATGAACCTTCTCCTCCAACTCCGCGGGAAGCGGGATGAGGTCGAAATTCAGGATATCATGGCCTTGTTGCAAAAGATATTTGATAATATGCTGTCCCGCTTTACCGGAGCCTCCAGTGACCACGATGCGTTTTCCCATGTTGTATATCTGTGGGGTTTGGAACCTTAGAAGTTGCGGGGTATAGTGTACACCCAGAGGCACAAAATACTGAAGCCCAATTGAGAAGCGTGTGTGCTGCAGGTTCTTATTCCAAGAGCCGCTTAAAGCTTTTGAATTGACCTCATCGCTTGTACTCGTGGAGTGCGGATCCGGAAGATGACTTGCCGAGGGGTTCGGCCCGAGAGAAATGGAAGGAAAACACCCGAAAGCTACCCATCTACTCCGTATGGAGAGTAGATATTCACGATTCTGAATTTTCCAATCCCAAAATACGTCTGATATGAGAGTGCTCCTCTTTGGTGCTAGACACATCCTTGTCTCGGAAGCATGCCAACCTTCCAAGGTTGGAAGGCCTACTGACTGTGCGGCATGACAGAACTAGACACACAATATAATCACGGCCATGCCCGAAATATTTACAGATCGTTATAGCATCTGATTGTCCGTTTCCCCCGAGGTCAATGATGATCTTGGTATTTGCTCGCATTCATGTCACCGGCAACAAGGTTCAAGATGTGCCGATTGCAATATAGCTTGTTCCGACGCAGTAGAACTACTGTACTGTAGTGATCTGAGATACTACTGATCCAGCAGCGAACAAACTTGAAGCCACTGAAAACATTGGTCACTAGGTAGCACATGCTAGTATGTACATGCGGCTGCAGTGTTACCCTTTAGATTTGATCCACGTTGTTGATCGGCGTTGTCACCTTCGGACCCAGACTGCGAGCCCTTCCAGCTTCCATCAAAAAGTCACAACCCCCGAGGCGTGAGGATTCTAATCGCCAAAAAATCTCGCAAGTCGATATCTAGACTAAAAATGTCGCCAGTCTCTTGACCAACTCGAGGCCCGCACGCTGTCCTCCCAATGAGACCTAACTCCAAGGTCTTCTGAAAATTGATGAAGGTGAGTTGGACTTGGTCAAGACCGCCATTTCGTGCAACTCAAGTACTGTAAGCAGTTCCAGTGTGAGCGGCCATGTTCCAAGGTTCGAGTCCAGATTCGCTGTTTTGGATAGCAAATGTGTCAGCCAACAGGAATTCCAAGGTTGGAACGGCGTACACCTTATAGATATGCGAAAAACATGCTTATTGTCCATCACATCGCACAACACGAGGTGATTGGTGATGTTTCTGTGCACCCTGGAGCAAGGGCTGACAAGCGGCAAACGCCAAGAAGTTTGGGATGATCTTTATCTGGAAGATGAATAGCCTGCTCCACTCTGTCAGATTGACCCGTGCGACAATACCAGCATAGCGCCTATCCCGTGTGTTGGTAGGTTCCCGTAACGAAAACTTTCTGAAAATTCTCTGCCTTGAACTCTGCGGACTCTGCTGATCCAAAGGCTGAGTAGTTGCGAATTGCGACCCACGCGCAGCGCTACTGCAGGGTCTAACCTGAAACCACAAACACAGCAATGATTTACTCAAGTTGCCCCCCTCTTCGCTGTACAACGGTGATCCAGGAAGGCTACGCAAAGCCTGGACCGATGAGCCGCCTTCGCATCGCGAGAGGACTGCGGGACTTGCCCCTTTCCCCTTTGAAAACTTCCATATCCTTGATCCAAAACAATGACCACCGACAATCGAAGTTGTTATTTTCCCTCCGGGGCGGAAGCTCCAAACAATGTACCCTGCAGGTCTGATACGAATACGTGGTGCTGTGGTACCACAGATCTTTGCTTAGACAATGGCCTCTGCTTGAATGCAGGACATCAACCATATGTTTTGTCGCGAGGAGCATGCACAAGCAAAGATTGGACTGGGTGCACAGAGCATTGCAGTAAGTCATACATTTCATCTTCACTACGGCCATCCACAAGAATGAATAAAGGATCGATATTGACCAATTGTGGTGTTACAGAAGACTCCACCCCACATGTGGGCGCCTCGATCAGCAATATCTACTTCAACGGCTCAACCTCCCTCTATTGCTGCGGCTCACCCATGGCTGTTGGCTCGAGCGTCGTCTGCCCCTCGACATCTGACAACGACGGCACGCCGTTTACCGTGAAGACTGGAAGAGTGATCCCCGGCCGTGCTCTCCTCCAGAATGTCTCCACTCTCAAAAGCACATCCTCATCTGGGACAAACACCTCGAGTGAGAGCTCGATGAGCTGTCAGACATGCCATGACACCGCAATAGGCGCCGGAGTAGGTGTTCCCCTCGGGGCCCTGGCTTTACTGTTCGTGGTGTGGGCGCTCATGGAGCGAAGAAGAGCCTCTCGACTCAGTCGTGCTTTGGGTACTCCGGGACCAAGAAACAATGGTCCCGTTCAGCTACCAAGCGAAAACAGTGAGCTGTCCGGGCACACAAGAAAGAGGAACCACATGGTTGAGCTGGAGGGTGGGCGGCCTGAACTTGACAGCGGCGTGTCAGCGAGGGAGTGACACCAGGTGCTCAAGTAGACATCGCATCGGTTGGTGAGCGACAAGACTAATACTGGATCACTTATATGACATTGGAGTTAGGCTCTTATGGGGATTAAAGCGTGAATATAGTAATTTTTGCTTAGGCCAAGGTCTTTCCTAGGTATGAAGTCTGTTATTGACACGAAGATGGACAGAAAGACAGACTTCGCAGGCCAGTATGTGACTATCGACTACCTAGGTACACAGAGCGAACTACCGAGACTCCGATCTAGATGGCTAATATAGCTACCTAGGTAGCTTCAGGGTCCACGGTCGACTAATTCGGTTAAAGCAAGCGTGGCCTGAGAAACAAGGCCTGCAGTACTTTCGTGCGGGGGTTACCCCAGATCCTGTCTCTGTGGAATATCACTTCCAAGTTGTGGACCTTGTTTCCTCCCGCCACTTTGTATATGTGAAAGACGTCTCTGATTGGTGCATTTGGAATTATCCAGTCGTGTCATCGAAAATCTCATGCTTCTCTCCAACCATGCCGGATGATTACCCCAACAAACGTCGGCGCGGCAAGGAGCGTGTCCGAGTGACTCGAGCCTGCGATGGATGCAAGCGGTAGGCAACATTTCTCCGGGTCAATTTTGGCACTCTAATGCGGGACTCAGGAAAAAGCTGCGGTGCTCCGGAACATTGCCTTGTTCACTCTGCCTTCGGTCGGGGGTTGACTGCGAGTACAATGCGGAATATACCAGAGGCAAGAAAACCGACATTCCTCTGCTTGATCAGCGTGAGTTCACGTCTCCGAGGTCTCCATCTGCCACGAAAGGCCAGTCACTACCAAACGCCAATACGCGAGCATTGAACTCAGCGCAGCCTTCGTTGGAACAATCTGTTGTCTCTACGGACGATAGATCCCTCCCGGCAACTGCATCTCCCATACATGCTCAGACTGCGGCCGCAGATCGTGAAGCGACATCCTACGGCATGGAGATAGCATCAACTCAAGAACTGTACAATTCACGACTCTCGAATCCCCACTTAGCTGCTCTGCAAGGAGAAGAAACCGGCGCGGCATCCTCGCGCACCTCCCCCGAGAGAGATCAAACCGATCTCGAAGGACACTACGTAGGCCCGTCTTCCGGAGTTTCCTTTTTGCTACGGGTTCAGAAGCGAATCCACGAAAATGTAGCTGTCTTCTCAAATGGGCCAATCTTCAATTTTGGCGACGCGGCATTACCTAGACATGATCCGCATTTCTTGGTTCTTCCACCAAAAGACGAAGCAAAGGTTCTGGTGCATCGCTATTTCGATTTTGCATTTCCGACTCATCGCTTTCTACACCAGCCTACCGTTGAATCATGGCTCGAGGCATTCTACTCGGGTGTGCATGGACCAGAAATCATCATGAGCCAAGCAATAAAGGCTCTGCTGCTGATGGTGATGGCCCAAGGAAAGCAATACATTGGTGACCAGGATACCCTAGTTGCTCAGTCTGTGAAGAGGTACATGCCCACCCGATCCCCCGTATAAAGAGGCGGCATGAAACAAACCCGGTTAAACTGACCTTTCTCCCATGAAGTAATGTTTACTTCGCAGCTTCAGAAAATCATCTACAATCAGAGACGGGCTCGGTAAGCCTTGCAAGTATTCAAGCCCGACTTGCACAATGTTTCTATTTACTATCAGAATCCAGAGTGAATCACTGCTGGAGCCTGTTTGGTACCACCGGTCGCCTTGCTCTTGCAATTGGACTCCACAGACGCTGGCGACGTGAGGCTATACATGACCACGTTGAGAGTGAGTGTCGCAAACGGGTGTTTTGGTGTGCATACAGCTTGGATATCTACCTGAGTGCTGCTTTGGGCCGGCCAAAGATTTTCCACGATGAAGACATTGATCAAGTAAGTTACCCTGTGTCCCGAGGTGTTCGTAACTCCTCTAAAAGTCCCAAGCTTCTTCCGACATGCGCGAGTGATAGCCAGGTCACAAGAAGCGCGATATTACCAAACCTCTCTCATGGCCAAAATATCATGCTTGCGCCTGTGTTTCACGCAAAGTGAGTGGATCATATCTTGACGATCACACCCCAGAGCTAAGCATATTGCAGGCTAGTCCGAGTCATAAGTGGAATTCTGAAAGACCTTTACGGACTTCAACAGAAGAATGTCGAAGCACAGACAGTGATCGCACAAAAATATGGCGCTGACCTTGCGGATTGGCGCAGTGGCATTGGTCCATTCCTTGAAACCCCAAACATCGAACTGCTCCAGGCCACATACCAGAGACAGTATAATGTTCTTAATTTTGCATTTGCGCACGCAGAAATTCTATTGTACAGGCCATTCCTCCTTCGAAACCTCGCGAGTCTAGGAAGACGCTCTGGCATCAAGCATTCAAAACCACAGCAAGACATACAAGCCAACATTGAAAAATGCCTACACGCAGCCTCAAGGATTGTAAGACTGTTCAAAGAGCTTTGCAGATCAAAGAAGATGTACAGGTTTTTCTGGGTGAGTTAGCCATCCCCTCAACAGTGCAGTCCCGAAGACTAATATGACTTTCATTTAGTTCACACACTACTACGTCTTTTGTGCAATTGTTATCCTATATGTGTATGTGATACAAAATCGCTCAGCCTCAGCACAGGATCTCGTACAATATCTACAGATGGGAGAAGAAGCTCAGAATGAACTTTCCAAATGTGGAACACAGACATCTTTCCCCCAGCGCTATGTGGTCGTCCTCGAAGAGCTCCGAAAAGAGGCCATGAGGCTTATGGAACAGTCCTCAGGAAGAACCGAAACTCGGGACGAGCCAGTAGAGCACCATGCCAAATCCGGAAATCCTACGACCGAGACCACATTGTCTCACCAAGTGATTGATGCCAGCACTTACAGTGACACGTTCAACAATGAGTTGGGAGAGTCGAAATCGGCGGGCTGGATGACGAACTTTGCCCAAGACCACAGTCCGGCATCTTATCTTGCAGATATGACGGGATGGGGTGAATTTGATTCGCTCGTTCTGACGGGGTTGGGAGAGTTGAGCGAGATGTTCCCTGACAATGATGGACAATACTAGCTACTCTCATCTACGACATGGCACTTTCATGTCCATGAAGTGATTAAAGCATTTTTGTTTGATTAACATACTATACCATTTTTATGATGTCTGGAGCTAGTGACCTTCTCTTTTTACCTCCTGTATTCGTTTATTTCCCTTCCCTTCTCTCCCCTTAACTACTTAATACTTTTCTTCACTTCCACCCCACCTATTCTTTTTTTTTCATCTCCCCTCCGGCTATTTTACACAGCCTACGAATACTGTGCCCATCTTTACTGGCTGCCACCTTCATCCACATTTGATCAACAAGGATGCAAGCGTCAGCCAAAGCTGACCTGATTATGGGCGGATCCTACACTCAGCAGGGCATCCCAACCATGGTTACCGCGTTGCAGAAATCCAGTTCGCAAATGTGGAGCCAGTGACAAACATCCATCACCCATTCACAGACATCCTACGCAGACTCGTCGACAGAACGGACCACGATTGGTTCTGGAGTATGCCAATGGCGACGATATGTACATAGCGCCACCCGTATCGAGTACACCGAGTTAGCCGTCCGCATTTCAAACACGCCTAAGTCCTCTCCGTTTGAGTGACGAGTCGTTTCGATTGGCCAAACAGCAAGCAAGGGGTATGTTGGGCTGTGGGTTTTCCGACAATCTGCTTTTCCGATCTGCCCTGGTTGACATGGTAGCCAACCGGAAAAAAATTCAGATGCAGCTGGCTATCTTGTAAATTGTCAGGGACTGAAGGATCATGAAAGCAACCTCGCAGGGCCGTTTGTTGGCTTATGTTTAATAGGGACAGAGGTTCAAGAGTTCGAGTATCTAATTGTGCCAATAAATTTGAACCTCGCAGTGCAGTTGGCGCACAACAAATTACCTGCAACCTTACACAGACAGATCATGACTTGGTGTGCGCGAATACCAAGGCCGTCGAGGGTTTGATGAGAGGGATTTGATCTTAAAGCAAGAACCTGAAACCCTGGGTGACTGCCTGCCCTGGAAGTCCATTTTCTTCATTCCCCTGCACCGGAGCAGAAGGCCCAATGTTCGTACCCTCCTCTTCATCCAGCTTCTTGTTCAATCGACCTAAGACGATCCTGAGTATAGTTCCAAAAATGATTGTCAGGGCTGACATGGCAATATTGTAAGAAAACGCTGTAGTGTATTGAGGTGCCGCAGAGTCTGTGCAATGCATTAGAAACAAATCGAGAACCGAGCTGGCAAATTGAGGCATACTAGGGTATAAATAAGGCGTATAGACTTGGCATACATTGCTTAAGCAGTTGATCAATGCCAGGGCTGCAGCGCGCTTCGTTGCAGGGCGTGGCAGGACTGTATATCGTTATTATTGACAGACATCCTCAATCCAGGGTGTTTACTTACTGTTCGATATATACCCAAGCACTACAACGTAGCTTGAATAGATTCCGCCAATCATGATACACATTGCACTGCGAAGTTGATGAGCATTGGGGCTTCAGCACGCGACGGGATATTCACTTACACATATCGTGGTGCGAACGATGTGGTCGTCACTGCGATTATGAAACACGCAATTGCCAGGATGGGCGGAAGTGCAATATGCAGGTAGCGCTCTCCCGTCTTGTCGGCGTGCCACGCGGCAATGAGAACAACGATTGTTCCTATCAGATAGGGCGGAGTTGTGAGAAGTAAGGTCGTGACGCTGTCTTTGCCAAGGCCCGACATTACACTGACAGGGTCAGCACATATTCCCAGGGATATCATCCAATAGACCCGTTGAAACCATACATTGGGAAAAAGGTTGTCACAGCACCGGACGCAGTACATCCGTAAACTGTCCCGAGAAGAAGCCACACTTTGTAATCCCTATTTGCAATGTGAGTAAAGCATCTAAACAATATTAGGATCGGAAGTAGTGCCCACTTAAAAGCAAGCTTTGCTCCGTGGAACATGGACTGCTGCTCACTGTCAACCCAGTCATCCTCGCCGATGTCTTCCGTCTGACGCCAAGCAGCAAGAGCCTTTTCGTCCTCAGTCAACCAGGATGTTGTACGTGGCAGATCTGGGATTATAAAGATGGAGATGAAAGCAACAAAAATCTAAGTCTTTGTCAGAGTTTCGCTCTCCAAACGGATCAGTGTAATTCCTACTGTGATGGCGCCTTCAATGATGAAAAGCCACCTCCATGCAGAGATTCCACGTGCACCACTCAGGCCATTGGTAATTCCTGCGGCAATAAGTCCAGAAAAAGCACCTGAGATCAAAGACCCGGAGTACAGAAATGCTGTTCTTTTAACGAGTTCTTTGCGTGTGTACCAAGCCGACAGTAGGTAGAGACAGCCAGGCTTCGAATATAAGCATATATGCTTCTCACAAGGGGGATGACACTCACAAAATAAGCCGCTTCAACAAAACCGAGAATGAATCGGCAAGCAAGTAGACCTCCGTAGCTCTTGGTGGCAGCGGTGCATGTTGATAATATCCCCCACGCCAACATACAGCCCGGAAGATATATCGATGGCTTGCCAAATTTGTTGAGAATCATGTTAGACGGTACTTTCGAGGTGTCAGTGCATCAAGTAGCTTTGATCAAGCCCAATATATTACCTTGCATGAGAAGATACCCAACAAAGAGGATGCTGACCGAGGTCTTGAAGAGATCAGCTTCTCGTCATGTTTTGTAAACATTGATAATAAGAATCTCACCTGGTACTGTTCGCCTTTCAGGTTGAGATCTTCCTCGAGGCCCGCCAGTTTTGCTGATGCGATGTTGTTGCGATCCAAGTAGTTTAAGATGTACATCACCACGATCATGATGAGAAGCCTCATGTCGATCTTGCGGACAAGCTTCTTTTCCATTTGCTCTGTCTGCTCGAGTGACAAATTTACCAAACAGGTTGGCATCTGGCTAGCCAAATGAACAACATCATCATCTTTGCCAGGTGAATACTCAACATGGCCAGATACACTTCCTTTTCGAGAAGACATGGTAAGTATTGAGAACTATAAAGTTTTTGAGTTCAAATGAAGGATAATCAAGAAGGCTTGTTTTGCCAATTAATCATGGCCAAGACCTTGGCTCACCACTTCTTTTTGTATTCGAGATCACTACGCTGTACAGGCTGGGGTGTTGCGGGGTAAGCCCCTTCGGCGATCATGTCTCATCTAGTCTCGGAAAAGCCCCAGAGTCTTCGGAAATGTCACTCGGAATCGCCTCTGGATAAGTCGACAGAGCCCATTCTTGAAGTAGGCACGCACGGCTTATAGCAGGGTGACAGTCATCAAAGCCAGAAGCCCTGGAGCCCCGGAGACTGCACACCTATAGATAAGCTCAAGTCGGAATTTCCGAATCTCCATTTTTTAGTCCAAAGACTGTCATGTGTCATCGATGTCTGCACTCAGGGCAGGTTTGAACCTCAAAATGCCTGGTGATGAGGATGATGATGGTTCATCTGAATCTTTCTAGCACAGGTGGTATCTGAATTCCGATAGGACACATGAACCATCATCATCATCATCACCAGGCAAACCGAGGCTCGCCTCAGCGAGAAAACATCAAACTCACAACAATCCTTTGGACGAAAGGAGCTTCTCGGATTTTTCAATTAAGATGTTTGCTATCACTTTCATCCCGGTCAGGTTTGGATGAAGAACCGGACCGCTTTCCAATGATCCAACCCACGGCTCTTTGCTACCGAGGGCATGCCCCTGACTGAGTTCGTGGATTGGGATCCTTTCACACCAATCCGACCTGCCTTTCTCTGCAGCAACATATGCTTTTTGGAGGATAGATGCAACATTGCGGTGGTAGTCAATTCTCTCCTGCGTCAATGGAATATCCTCCTCGGGTTTGGTGTCAGGGCCGAGGACAGCAAGATATTCGACAAGAAAGACATGAGCACGTGGAGCACGCCTATGTATCTCATCAAGGACTTCACCTAGTCGCTCTTCCAATTGACCGGGGGATAGGGGCGAAGATGAAATTTCTGAGCCACATGCCTCTGAGATGATGCCGCCAATGTAATTGATATCATTCCCTCCAGCTGTTATCGTGACGATATTGGTGTAATCGGGCAACCCCTCAAGTTGTGGCGGGAATATATCGGTGAAGGCGTGCTGTTCATCAGCAATTATGTTGAGCAAGGTTGCACCAGAGACGGTCCGATCGGTTAAGATGGCGTCCAAGTGTATTGCTAAAAGGGTTGCATAGTTCTGGCCTGATCTCATTGCAGTGCAGGGCTCGACTTGGGGAGGAATGTCTGGGCCAGCTGCGAATGAGCTTCCGAGACTTGCGATGAGAGGCCTGCCGGAATCTTCCATGATTGCGTGAAACCCTCAGGAGGGATGAGAGGTAGTGACGGGCCGAACTATGTACAGTGTTGAAAGGATGAGAGCGTGGTTGCTACAGCGCGAACACCCGCGTCGGTGAGCCGTGCACGTAATTCGACGCTAAACCTAAAAGGGATGGGTACTTCCTAAATTAGCCTAGTACCACCCGAGAGATGTGTTGCCTGAGAAACAAGGCTCAATTTATCAAATCCATCAATTCGGGAGCATTTTCCACTGATCTCCAACTCTAAACCCTCTCGGAAATGGATCAGTAGAGTCCAACACGATCTGCTTGAAACTGGTTATCCAAGCCCGCCCTGAAACAGTTGGAAGAACCGCTTGATACTCGCCAACCTGTGTTACGCCCCGGATACGGCTCATGAACTCTGTCCCGATGATGCTGCGATGCTTGAAGATCTCGTTCTCCAAAAGTTGACCCCGAGCATGTAGCACTGCAAGTCGAGCACATGTCCCCGTTCCACAAGGACTTCGGTCAAACCGCCCGGGCGAGACAACAACGGTATTTACCGCGCCTTTGCAATCACCTTCTTGCGTCAGAGGTTCGGTGATGACTATGTTGGTGACCCCCCTGATCTTAGGATTCTCTGGATGAATAGGGGTGTATGATGCTTGGACAGCACGTTTGACGCGCTCGCCAATGTCCACCAGCTGTGTGCTATGTTGAGAATCGATCTTCAACCCAACAGAGGCAGCATCAACCAGCACATACATCATTCCTCCCCAGGCAATATCAACCAAAATCTCTCCAATACCCGGCACATTGACTTGGTAGTCGAGTTTGAAGACAAATGCAGGGACGTTATCGAACTCCACGGACTTGCATTTCCCTGCTTCACACTCTGCTTTCACGGTGACCAGGCCAGCAGCGGTGTCCAAACTTAATTCCGTGATCGGCTCCTTCATTGGAACCATACCGGTCTCCAACAGGACTGTGGCCGTGCAGATAGTGTTGGACCCAGACATTGGTGCGTACTCCTCACTTTCCATGATCAAGAACCCGGCATCGGCTCTGGGATCACACGGTGGCAAGATCAGGTTTGTATTCATCGAGGCTCGACCTCGAGGCTCATTCAAAAGGAGCTGACGGAGCTCATCTTTTTTGTTCAGAAAATGAACCAGTTTGTCGTACATTGTGCTGCCAGGAACATCCAAGACACCACCAGTGATCACATCGCCGACTTCACCTTCGGCATGACACCCGACAACTGACAAAACGCGAGAGAAAGGCATTCCAGTTATGAGTCCTTTATGTTTTACCCAAAGACAATTGAAGAGCAAGACAGGCAGCCCAATCGCGGGGAAAGTCTGACGGCACAGCAAAAGGGTTCATGACCAATACCACGAGCGCCGTGCAATGGCTTTTATACATTTTTCCCATTCGGACTTTTGATATAAGATATTGGAGATCATCTGACGCGTTTTATGAGGGGTTCAGACCAAGAAAGCATAACTGCTTCGAGGTGCTTTTGAACGGCCCGACGGAATGACTTGCTTTTCTTGTCATTAACGCTGGATCCGCTGCAAATTCTCGTGTATCCACACCTGGCTGGCCTTGATCCCAAAGAAGACCAGGTGCATTCACAAAGTCTGATTGGACAGCTGACTGTGATTGATCAACATGATGACCCGAACTAGACGAGATGAGGCGAGACAAGGGGCTCGGACCTCTCAAGCCTTCAGATGAGCGTGCGACAATTAGTCACATCACCAATCGAACACTACGCCTTCTTTTTCTCAGATGGCCAAAAGTCCGGGCACACCTTGCTATCTCTCGGCCTGGTTTCACAGTGTTAAATGTCTATTAAATCACCATGCTCCGCATTCAAGCCGAGCACTGATCACGTGTCCGGCTGACCTTGCGAGATGCATACCCCCCGCTCGATGCGCTGAACGCATAAAAGCATCTAAAGGTTTGTGCTCTGGGAGCAGGAGCTGAGCATACTTTTAGCCCAACAAGGGAGCCAGATCCCGCAAAGGTTGTTTGCCTTGTCGAAGGCGCAAGAAGGAAAGCGACGAATGTAAGCCCCCGGGGCTGCTTGCACCCCTGCCAACGAAATTGTTTGGGTTGTGATTGGTCTGCCCTGTCTTTGCAGCAGCAAACGCAGGGGGGATTGAGCCCCGATCAGCTAAGTTTGGGGGCCAAATTCTCCTGGGCGAAGCAACCTAACGGTCTAGCCCACATACATCTGTCTTTACCTTCCTTATTGATATCACGATCTCACGTATTTGGACTGACCAACCAGATCTTGATTCATCAGTATCAAATATTGGAAAGCCTTGCAACTTTGCCGAAGGGTAAAATCAGAAAAATCGCTTCACATAAGTATTTCAGAAATCATGTACTGAGGTTTAAACATCAAAACACCTTTGAGATGACTTTCCGCCGAATATCGGGCCAATAAGTCCAAACGAGGGTAGTGAAAATGGTCGTCGGTATAGCAAACACCCAGTATATCCAAAATTGACTGGACATGGTCCAGCCAGAATCCCCACCAAAGTCAAAGAATGACATGCTAAAGATGGCGCAGATAAATGTAGGAGGAAGGAAGGTCAGGGTGACGAAGGCAATAGTTTTCATGGTCGTACTGTCCAGCTGCGTAGCTCGACCGATCTCGAGTGTGACGCTCGCATCATGCTGCGCTACAGTATTGAAGGCTAACTGCACCTCGTTCTGTAGTCTTTTCTCGTTTGAGATGGACCGGAACCGCAAGTTGGTGATGAAGGATAGAAAAGACCGGAGTCGAAGATGAATATCCTCGGAACAAGAGTTGACATCTGGTAATGAAGCCATATAGCTCTCATGTTGCACCAAAAGATCTTCTAAATTCTGAACAGCAACGTCCAGTGTTTCATTTACATGAATTGCATGTCGTGAAATGTCGTGGAGGCGTCTGTAATCGGGCTGCGGTCTGCCTTCGGGCTTTGGTTCAGTTTCGAGGCCCCGAACGTGATCTCGTATTCCCCAGACAGAGGGCTCCTGGGCTCGAGCGACCTGTTCGACCAAAGCCGGATGGACCCAGAATGGGTCTTGCAACCACCTGGGATTTCGGGCCATGACTGCCTCCAGGAATCGATCTCGCCATGGTTTTTCGAGGTCAAGAGCAAGTATCACAGTTTGATTGGTGGATGGAATCCATCGAGTGAACATATTCATGTGATACCATCTGAATCTTGCATCGTGATCCACTTGTTTGACTGTGAATTTGCTCCAGGTGTCTGAAGAGGTCAGTATCGTCCCACAAGCAGGGATCGAGATTGGGATGAATCCTCACTGATTCCAGTCACGACACCCGAGTCTTGGGTCTTTTCATAACCAATACAACCATTTGAGTTCTGGTAAAAGTACGACCACCAAAAATGGGGCATGCAAAATAACTCGGCGAAGGAGTTACGGCACTGGGAGCATTTTTCGATTTGGTCAGAGTATCCGACACTTTCGAAATTAGTACCACTTTCACATCGAGGACATGGGAAACGAACATAACGCAAGTCTGTGACCAGGCAGGAATGATTTGAGATATGCCTTTGTACCTGTCAAAGTGAAAGTTCACCGACCGAGTCTCTTGCCAGTTGTCCGGTCGCCCTGGGCTCTGTTTGCACTGTAACACCAAAAGCCCTTGGCATGTTCGATTTTTCTGTTCCTGCATTGCACCTGAGCTCAAACAAATGAGAATAATTTACGGGGCTCGAGGAAAAAGTAAGGACCAGTCTGACATTAGGTGGGGGGAAAAGGACCGTGCTCCCTGCAGCACATCGAGCGCAAATCCCCAGGTGCCGCAAGAGAGATCAATTTGAGCTATTGTACTCCATACCTCGTCGTGAAATCCCTATGTACTGAACAAATTCAACAATATGCAGATTCTCAGCTTACCACACCTCCGAGGGATTGTACTCATCATCTACTGTTGGTGGACCGGAATATTTCTCGTACCCCCAAACCCAATACCAGGCGGACGCGATGAGGATGAAGGCCACAAAGACCACCGGGGCGTAATTGACGGTCTCGGCAGATACTGGGATTGATGTAGGCATGCAAAATAATGGGATCACAAGAAGACTCCAGGCTGGGAGGAAGTTTCGGTCAGTCTTTGCCAAGCATAGATCACAATCAACTGGGCACTCTTACCCAATGATATAATGTTGCAAACCAAGCCAAATGTGCCGCAGTAAAATTGGCCATTGCGGACTTGTTTTCGACCACCGACAAGAGACACAACAATAGGGCAAGCATAGCTAAGGGTTAGCGTAATGACCCCAATCCCGGTGAAAGCATTGAAGGCGGTTGTTGATCCAAAATAGATAAAACCGAGCAGGACTTCAACTGCCATGCCAAGCATCATGGCATTAAATGGCACTCCGTCGTTGTTTATACGTTTCCACCATTTGGACCCAGGTATACCTCCGTCCCTGGCAAATGCCCATGTGCTGCGCGAAACTGCAGTGGTGCAGCCTATGACACATAGTAGGGAAAGTACAATCAACGGGAGAAGTAGCATGAACGAGCCAACCGAGCTCCCAATGGCAGACTTAATGATAGTCGGCACTGGCTGGCCGGACTGAAGAGCGTTCAGTATTTGTATATCGGGAAGCACGAATATCAGTGGAACGAGGAACAGAAATCCGGCCAGCGTGTTAATGATGACTGTTCCGACCATTGCTTTTGGAACTTGGGTAGCTGGCTTCTCAACTTCTTCACACATACTTCAATTGGCCAGTATCAGTATGCGATCGGCCTTAAGGAAGATATAAGTCTGGGACTTCACATACCAAATCACCATGCCAGTGGATGATGTGCTGTAGGCAGCCTGCAAAAGTCCAACGCAGAAGGACCACCCGGCGGGCCAACCAGACTGGGGTTCAAAGCTGGTGAAGACGTACTCGGCATCATGTCTACCCTCCTTCGCAATTGCAAGAACGCAAATTATGATAGCGAGAACTCCAAAGAAAGTCCAAAAGATCGCGAATGTCTATCCATTATGTTAGACGGGGAGAGGAGAGCAGACCTGGGGCATCAAGACTTACATCGAGATATGGTAGCCATTTATTGCCATAGGCGCAGATAGCGTTAGCCAAAAATGTGACTGCAAGAAACAGTAGAAAGATCTGATATGTCTCTGCCTGGAAGATGCCAACTCCCGGAGAAGACTCAAAAACATTGATACATGATACAAGAAACAGAGTACTTCCAAGGTTCACTGCTAGGGTGATGGTAATATTGCCGACAACATATGACCACCCACAGATCCAAGACGCAATCCTTCTATAAGAAGGGGGAGAAAGCATGAAGGTCTGATAGTAAACGCCGCCCGCAGTTGGATAAACCGAGGTGATTTCTCCCAGGGAGACAGCTACACAGAGAATGATCAGAGACACAGCAACCCATCCCCAGATGATATTCACAGGGCCTCCTCCGACAAGAGGATATGTGAAGGTTGTGGCCAATCCGTATGGAATTGCAGCGAGCACGAAGGACATGAATGCCACTTGGAGGGTTGAGCGGTTTCGGACCAGCTCAGGCTCATAACCCAACGCTTCTAGAACTCCATTGGCAGATGTCTGTTTGCCTTCTTCGATATGGGGAGAGTCAGGGCGATCAACTGGGTCGGAGGCCTTTTCCTTCGAAGCGTGTCGTTGATGGGCGTCGACCCTGTGCGCCATGGTGAGCCAACTCTAGAAGTCGCAGTGCGTATTCGAGGGCGATAAGATTGATTGTAAGGGGACGGGATGTATATGGGTTATGATTTGGCTCATAGGCCAGGCTTCAAACGCGTTGATATGATCCAATCAAACTGTCCGGCTCGGCAATGTGAGGGTCGACACGAGCAGAAGATCTCGAGGTTGAGGCAGGTTTGAATCAATACCTAGTTGCTCTTATAGCTGCAAGCGCTGAGTGGAGGCTGAGGCGAATTGATGATTTGATCTCATGCTAACCTTGAAAGGTTTCAAATACCAGTCATCAAAATCCGGACGCGTTCACATCTTCCGTATCTTCGTCGGCGGCCCTCACCAATGCGGCTGGAGACGCGAGGTGACCTTTCCCGACCTTGGAAAATCATCCTTGCCGTTTGTCAGTTTAACAAAAACTATAATCATCTGCCTCCCATAGGCCGGCACAGCACCTCAGGGGTGAGCTATCTCCACAGTGTCAGGCAACGACATCATAGCTTGTTTGGAACGCGAAGAAGCGGAAATATGCCGAGATAACGCTGTGATCAAAGATCTGAAGATTCCACATCAAAGAGCCCCTGTAGCAGAAGTTGCGATAACAAAAATGGCTCACGTACAAGTCCAGTGCCCACACTAGTCCGTTTTGGGTAGCCACTAATGCATGGCGGCTACACTAGTCCCCTTTGGGAATCTATGTGGGGCCTGGGCGCTCCGAGTGAGCGTCTTCCCTTTGACGTGGTGATACCGCTGGTGATCCCCAAGTAGGCCGCTTCTGAATTTCCTTCAACATGCTCTCCAGACTGCCGAATCCTCCACACCAGAGAGATTCCACCCATCGAGCAATTCCGAGCCCGAAGGACCGGCTGGATAAAAGTACTCACTGTGCGCTTCGATGTTCGCATAACGGAGTACAGCTGCGCCTCCAGGGGCAATCTGATGATGAGATGCTATGCCCGTACTGTCAATCGCTGCAGCTTCATGACATTTCTTTGAAAGCTAATTCGCACTGGGGTCGACTGTCGTTCAAATCCAACACGGCTTCCGTCAGTTTCGCGAATGTGCCCCTATGGATATTGCCCACTGCATCCACCTTCGACGACGCAAAAAGGTCGTTCCCAGTATCCAGATCCGATGCTTGACTGTGTCGATGCCACAGCATTGAGTAACCATTTTCCTTGTCCGTTTTCGCCGAGGGCCCAGGGGGGCTTGCAAGGCAAGCTCAAGCTTCTGTAGCCCCTGAAGTTCAAACTTTAAAACACTAGAGGTCGCATAATCCAGCTACGTCATCTGGGCACACAGGTATCTGCTGGTCTGTTGCGAGATCGAGATCCTCCTGGCTCCCTGGGATCCGGCCTTGCGAATGTACGAATGAGAGATCACCAAGGTTGTCAACGGCCATATCTGACGAAGTTAATCTCATGGCTGACTGGCTCGTTATTTCTTTGATTCAGGCTGCTCGATTGACTTTTACAATGCCCCATTACATCTCCAAGTCCTTCGCTGTCCCCAGAGCTCGGGTTTCTTCTCTCAGCAAGCCGATGGTCGAGAATGCAGCAGCATCCCGCTGTCCATCCCACCACGTGGGTGAAGTGTCAGTATCGTTGACATGATATATGAGGCACTGAGTGTGGGGCATCTACAAAGAATCCCAAAAGGGAAATCCAATCCTCCCGCGTGTTATCGACCCTTTTTGGGATTAGTGGCAAGGGGGCAATGTGCGGGGTCGAAGCGGCGAGAAGCCATCCGGAGCTCTCATCCCAAACACCCCCAATAATCGCCGTTGGACCAATCGGGATCCTACAAATATTTGCTTATCGGCAGGTGATCGGATGTCGGTTGATGTTCTGGGGACATCGAAATGCTTTAGCTTGGAATCTCGGCTCCATCACCGGTCGGCCGGCTTTGCCCCTCCTTGCGTTTCATTCTTCACTTATATCTCTCATCACCCAATAAAATGGAAAGCTCAAAGAGGATATCAGCTCAGCCAAAGAAGAAGCAAAACCCGAACCGGTGTAGGCCGAAATCTAGAGGGGGCTGCCAAAGGTGCAAGCAGCGGCGAGTAAGTTGAGGTGAAAAATGCACAGTGTCTTTCTTCGATGACGAGGATCCCACTTGAAGAATGAGGTTTCCCTAACTATCAGTAGCGCAGATGTGACGAGACAAAGCCAAGCTGCCAGGAATGTTCCAAGCGCGGCCACGAGTGCCCCGGGTACCAAAAGCAGAGCTTGCAGTGGCGGCATGTCTTCAAAGATGGTGAAGAGGCCCAGAGCGCAGAGAACAAGTCGCACTCATTCGCTGATGCACTCGAGTCTGGAGACACACAGCCCATGGTCGCCAACCCCACTGAAACTCCTGCATTTGCCGGCTCTCAACCCGAGCTTCCAGACAACTGGCAGACGTCTTCGGATATTTTTGATCAGCTCTTAGACTTTTCTGAGCCTGTTGATGATTGGTTGAGCTTTGAATCAGAGCCGGATAGTATCGCTTTGGCGAAAGCCCAAGCTGAAGCCGATCCGGATGGACTATCGATATTACGCCAGCGACTGGCCACTACCTCAGTACCTTCTTTCCTGATTCAACTGCCGGTGATGCTAGTACAGTACTGGTTTCACACGGTCTGTAATCAATGGTCCTCTTTTGACTGCCCGCTGAACCCATTCCGAATCATCCTGAGTCGACTTTGGAGCCGAAATGCCGCTATCTACTTCGCAATTCAAAGCATGTCAGCTGCTTCCCTGGCCAATGATTTCCCCAATATGCGAGCCATTGGAATCCAAACGCAGCAACAAGCAATTGCCTGTATAAACAATGCTGCCCAGAAAGGACCCAAACAAACCAACGATGACGAGTATTTCCTAGCACTTCTCCTGGTTGGATCTACTACTGGGTGGCACAACCCATCTGATCTAGGTCTGACCTACTTGAAGGCTGCTCAAGATCACCTTACAAAACAAGAACGACGATGGAGTAACTCGGATCCCGCTTTGGCAAAAGAACACCCGCTCTTCAAGCAGTGCTTGCTCTATTGGAACTTGCTGGCTGCTTTCGTTGCGGAAGAGTCTCCCATTGTGGATCTGGAAAGCCATACTGAGATCAGTGAACTGGATCTCTCGATCTATCTTGTCGATGGACAGGCACTACCCCACCCGTGGACGGGATCTTTGAGATATGCCCTCAATCTATTCTACCGAACTGCAAGGGTGATCCGGGCGGCAAAGACTATGCACCGCAGAAGGGATAGTACATTGGATCCTAGTTTGATCGATTTAAGCTCTATGGCGGAAGAGCTTGATCTGAGACAGAAAGCCGAAATAATTGAAGAGAAGATTCTCTTCACAGGCTTTTCCTTCTATTGTGGGCCTGTTGATATTGGCGATTCCAACACACCGCCATCACACTTCCTCACACTGGCCGAAGCATATCGCTGTGCCGCAATTTTGCAGATCTACCATGTTTTCCCAGATATCCTCCAAGAGCGATTACACAAGAATGAGGCAGCCGATGATGAAAGTCCAATCCCGGCGCTGTTCTTGTTATTGTTCCCAGCACCTACTGGATGGAACTCCCCCTCAGCAGAGGATCTGCGACACACTCTGGCATTGCATATTGTATCTCTCCTGGATCAACTGCCATTGACTTCTGGAACAAAAGTGATGCAACCAGTAATATTGGCCAGTATTTCAAGCGACCTCGTTTTCACTTCTGGGTCGGTGCTCGGCGCATCAGCAAACGCAATCCCGAGTCTGAACACACTAGACGTTGAGATCGCGCAGGCACGGCGCAAAGTTAAGATGAGATTGACCGAGCTTCTTTTGATTTTACCGAAGCTTCCTATGCAACGCATCGTTAATGTTGTACACGAAACTTGGGATCGGGCGGATTCTGGATTGCAGGAGTTTTGGTTGGATGTCATGCTGGATCTGAATTTGGAAACAATCATGGGTTAGGCGCAAGCATTGGGGGCATTTGCTTTGAAGACGCATTTGGATCAACGCGTGCTCAGACGGTTTTCCAGGACGACTTTGTTACCATCATTTGAATTAGCGTGCTTAGTTCGACCTTTTGTCTTTCGTGTTGACCAAGTTTGGATCATTGGAACCTTCAAGTGCTTGAAAGTGCGCGTGTGTGAAATATCTGAATGAATATACGTCCCCACAGGCGGGAGACGGTTAAACTATATACGCTCCCATGGATCGTACGATATCCCGCCAGGCGGACTTTTTTTCCCAACTAGGAATAAAACGCAGTATACACCTGGCATTACATTTCACTGGGAATCCCGGGGCATCAGAGTTTCTCCTTTCAAGGCTGTTGCGGTGCTTGAGTCTGTCACACAATTGGACGTGTACTCTCGAGGTCACTAAGGCTTTGTGCTTCGAACAAGCTTGGCCGGTATGAGTTAAGCCCTCCCAATCTCACATATCTGTGTACCCAACCCATGACTGATGCTAACTCTTAGCTGATCTCCAGGCTGAAGGAACTGTGGCGGACTTTGCGATATACCGATGCCGCAAGGTGTACCAGTGATGATCACTGTACCGGGCATCAAGGTATGACCCTGCATGGATTGTTAGTCTGTGTGCTCCAAGGCTTTGGGGCATAGCATCGGCTTCATACCTGAGAGAGATATGACACGATTTCCGGTATGCTGAATATCATGTCATCGGCTGAACCATCTTGCATAATCTTCCCATTCAGAGATGTCTTCAAGTTCAAAATCCTGGGATCCGGAACTAGCTGAGAAGATACAATGCATGGGCCCAATGGGCAGAATCCATCCTAAAAGATGTCAACAAGTCGGGTTGCCGTCGCATCCCAAAGGAGCAACATACCATTCCTTTGGCGTAGGACCATTGGGAGGTCTTATCCTGATGCTTACGCGCCGTAACATCGTTCGCAACCGAATATCCTAAGATGTAGTCTGCTGCTTCGGCGACTGAAACATTCTTGCATTGTCTTCCAATCACTAATGCCAGCTCAACTTCGTAGTCCGCTTCGTCGTATTCCACATTTGATGGGAGCATAATCGGCTCGGATGCAGAAGCAATACATGTGTTTGCTTTCAAGAACACGCTGTCGGCACATAGCCTTGGAATTAGCAAATAGCAGGGCTTTCTGAATATGGCTCTCACTCACGTCGGCGTGCTTGGGAGATCAAGCTTCATTTCAGCAGCATGTTCCTTGTAATTCAAGCCAACACACCGGATTGTTCCAGCCTCGATCTGCGAGACAGGAGACAGGAGCTCTTCAATGATCTGGGTCTCTCCGGTAAAAGGAGCATCGTAATTTAGCGCTGAGCACCCGACGATAGTTTTGACAGAAACATCCAAGCTCTTGTCTAAGGCCTGGCCAACTATGATTTCGTTCCGATGTTAGCTCGGTCTGCTTTCGTGGGATTTCCAACTTCCAAGTTGGAAGGTTGGCGTACTATCGATGTCTGGGTTCACTGGCTCGCCACCGTATATATTTCCATCTTTGCCCCTGAAGCGAACCCAACGCTTCCAGACCTATATCAAATCAGATTGCGTTGATGCAATTTGTTGATTTGTTAAGGTGACATGAAAACTCACGGGATGTGTTGCTGCAGGCGCTGAGTGAGATCCGTTTCCATTGAAGATTGCCATTTGTGCTAGGTAATGCTCAGGTGATAGATATGACACAAAAAAAGAAATAGAACTTTTACGGGATGATAATACCGCCCTTATCAATGTCAGTCCACTATCCCATGACCGAACCATCTGTCGGGAAATTCATCGGGAAATTCAGGTCTGACAGGGGGTTAGAGTTGGAATATCCCGACGCCAAGATGATAAAACGCGGGGAACATAAGCTTGTCGGGCCGGACTTGCCGATGAGTACATTGCCTGGGAAGTGCCTGAGAGACTCTGATAACCTCATTTAAAGAACAGGAAATATGTATATATTCCATCGGATTGACGATGGTTATCAAGTTCCAATTTAAGCTTAAGTTAAGCTTATGGGCAACTGGCCCTACATAAATTGCGACACGCCCAGGTGATTTCTTCAGTGCGCTTATCTCTCGCCAATGGACCCTATTGGTCATAAGTGCCACTGGGAGAATCGGAGATATCTCGACCACTACCCCAACGGCTTGAATATCCCGAAGGATTTCCCGACTGATAACCTACTTACACTCTGTGTGTAGTATAAAGAGACATGCACTCCACTTGATGCAATATGCAACCTTGAGCCCAACATGAATAAAGAGATGGACATCAAACTACAAACTGACGCATCTTCCGACCACGATGTACAAATAGGCAACTTCGCCATTGACCCTGCGCGTGAAAAGAAGCTGCTATGGAAGCTAGATCTGTGCATTTGTCCTCTGGTGATGCTCATTTTCCTCGTTGCATATCTCGATCGCAGCAATTTGGGGTAAGCTAGATACTTCCAATGTCGGGATTCAAGGATTTCTTTGCTAACCTTATATAGAAATGCAGCAGTCGCAGGGATGCCAGTAAAGTCCTAATGCGGTCATCATTCTTGATGCCCTAGCTAACGGTTTTGATAGGAAGATCTTGGCTTGGTTGGAAATGAATTAGGAAGTGAGTCATCCCTCAGTACATCCACGGACTTTTGTTGACAATATCTCGAAGATGCGGTCTCGTTGTTTTACGCGACTTACGTTTTTTTCGAGATACCCTTCTCAATGCTCCTCAAAAAATTGCGACCAAACCGATTGATTGCCGCATTGATCATTGGCTTCAGTGTATCCATAATAGGAGCCGGTTTTATCAAGAATGTCGCAGGGCTTTACGTCACACGACTTTTGCTGGGTGTTTTTGAGAGTGGTCTTTTCCCGTGGGTTTGATTCTCTGTCTGAAATTGATCAACAAGCTCACCGTTTTCAGGTGTTTGACTGTTCTTTTGACTACATTCTATAAGCGTGAAGAGCAGGCGCAAAGAATCTCGTACCTTTTTGTTTCAGCTGCTCTGAGTGGTGGCTTTGGCGGTCTGTATGTTCAATGCGCCTGCTTAAAGACTGTGTGGAGGGTGACGGCTGATATTTTTCTAGGCTTGCTTTTGGTTTAATCCGCCTTGATGGTGTGAGTGGCCTAGAGGGCTGGAGGTGGCTGTTCATTGTTGAAGGACTAATGACTGCTGTTGTCGGGATTGCCACCTTTTTCTTGCTCCCAAATGATTTTGAGACAGCCTACTTCTTGAATGAAGAAGATAGGATACTCATGCGCCTTCGCCTACAGCAATCTACACGCTATGTCGAGACTGAAGAGTTCGATATAAAGGAAGTGTGGAAAACACTGAGGGATCCCAAGACATGGCTGACGTCTTTTAATCAAATTTGCGTCAACATTTGCTCTTTTGGCTTCAGCACTTTCTTGCCCACAATCATCAAGGGGTTTGGCTATGATTCTGTGAAAACACAGCTACTCACCGTTCCTGTCTATATCTGGGCCTCCGCTTTCTACTTGGTGATCGCCAACCTTTCCGACCGAGTACGGATGCGAGCTGTCTTCATGACTCCACTTTGTTTGGTGAGCGCTGTGGGCTACGCTATGCTTCTGGGGGTAGATGTCCATGCGCGGGGCCCGCTATACTTCGCAACATACGTCTGTGTCACTGGGTATGGATATTCAATCTTTGCAACTCCCATTTTCAGAGAGCACGGTTTAATAATTATTCGCAGTATTTACGCCACAGTCGGACTCGGCGTCAGTTGGAACGCGAATAGCCACTCCGGTTATTATAAGCGTGCAATGGCAGTGGGTGTGCAGCAGTCGATAGGAAATTGTGCTGGATTGATTGTAAGTCAATTTTCGGCCTCCAGGGGTACGTTAGAACCTGGCCATTGGACTGACATTGTCTCAAGGCAGGCCAAATCTACAAGTCTGAGGTAAATGGACGGTATTTAGTAGGGCATTCTGTGTCTTTGGCCGCGATCTGCCTCGCATTCTTCGGAAATGCGGCCATGTGGACACTGCTCCGGCACCACAACCGACGGCGATCACAGATGTCGCCTGAGGAGAGAGATCGCATTATCAGCTCAGCTTCGTACGAAAAGCGAGGTGGAGACTTCCATCCGGATTTTCGCTACATTCTGTAGTTCAAATAGAGACTCGGTTCGAACCGATAATATTATTTTCCCCATTGACCTAAAAGAAAACATCGCCGGATCCGCGCGGTACTTGAACACGGCAGCCGATCGGAATTTACTCAGTGGACATCTGAGGTTTCGAGGACAAGCTTACCTGTTAGCTTGACGCCACAGAGCATTGTGACCCACTCGATCGTAGAAAGGAAATGAGATCCACCTCTGAGAATTTTTGTTTCCAATCATCTTTTTGATCAACAAATTGACAAATGGAGAGGAAAATGCATGATAAATGGGGCTTTAGGGCTTCCGACGACACAGGATCAGCAGGGGTAAAAAGTTAAGCGCACGGTCTTGGGCATCCTTTTCCAACCAGGCTTATGAACACATCACTTACCCGATGGAGGCTAATCTGAAACATGATCGTGTCGATCTCTGAGTCTTGCATGTTGTCCCTGAATTCTGTATCTGGAACTCTGTTTCCGTGAATCGGTCACTGCGGACATGCGCCCGCGGGGACTGGAAGAAATATGATGTATAAGATTACTAGTACCGCAATTCCACATAGTACTACTGTAGTACTCAGTCAACGATTGACGTCTCTACGGAGCACAAGTGAGAGCATCGCTAAAAGGTCCCACAAATATACCCGACCGGATGTGTACAGTAGCTCGATTTTTGACAGCTCCACGGAGTGTCATCCGCACAGAGACAAATGTGTCCTTCCTTCTGCCTGTCATATCCACAGAGCGAACGTGGATCGATGTGGACCGGCCAATTTCCGTGGTTGAGAGCTATCAGACTTTCTCGGGCCTTTTAGCCATGCATTTGACCCTGATCCTTTGCGAAAGGAATTACGTAGGTGGTCCGAGACAATGTACTATGTAGGTGTACGTACTGCATGAAGACCCCTCCTTGCTCAGCCCGCGATGGTTCGCATCGCGCAAAAGTCATGGTCCACTATGTCGTGTTGGGCGAGAAGTCTATACTCCCCCCTGGCCCCCTTGGTAGCCAGTTATTGGCTTCTGTTTCCGAGGTGGCTCTTTAACTTCGTGGTGATCCACTTCAAATCGATCCAAGATCTTGGTGCTGCATCCTTTGAACTGACAAGCCCTTTTGAATGAGCAGATGGGCTGTTGTTTCGATCACTTTGCAGCTTTTTTCAAGTATTCTATGAGCTCGGGCAAGGCTACTGTCATAGTTGCACTGCAAGGCCCTTAAAATGATTGAATGACGAGATAGGGGGCTCGCTTTCACTTCAGATGATCCACCCTCTATTGCCGGTCTGGGTCCACTCTCTCCACTTTGAATATCAGAGCTAAAAGATAGATCAGCACGGCTGAGCTGTAACACGAACTGCAGCGCTTTTGAGTTAGGAGTATATCCACAGAGCACTACTCCTCACCCCTCGCTCTTCAAATTTTGCAAGAAAAGCAACCACCACAATGGCTTCCAAAGACACCGTGTTTGACTCGACAAAGTTTCGAATTCTCATGATTCATGGTGAGTGCAGCAATATGACATGTCCAGTATGTGCTCACAATCTTGATAGGCTTTGCCGGTAGTCCTTCAGAGTTCCGAGCCAAATCCAGCCGAATCGTCAAACGCATCAATGAGATAGTCACACCGCAAATCCTCGAAGAATTCCCCGGAGGCATTGAGGTACTTTTCCCAAATGGGCTATGGGCTCTCGAGGCCCCGATAGGCATGGGTGGAGATATCAATGATGATGATAAGGCGGAGTCCAAGTTCTTCGGGTGGTGGCACGGCCTGGATGACACAAGCCGATACAAAGGTGTGGAAGCCTCATTGTCCTCGGTCGCCCATTATATTCGTGGACGGCCCATCCATGCCATCATTGGATTCTCACAAGGCGCCGCTCTGGGGGCAATGATCACATCAATGCTTGAATGCGGCAGCAACCCAGAGAAAGCTGCCATGGTCCGGTCCCAGGGCCTACCGGTCGACGACTTCCTATGCCTACCCAACCAGAAGGCCTTGAGATTCTACATTGCAATGGCGGGATTCCGAGGGACCATGGAATTCTATGGCAGTCTGTATCGCTATCAAATACAGACACCTAGTTGCCACGCCATCGCCAAATTCGACACAATGGTTGAGCACCATCAAACCATGGATCTGGCGCACAGCTTCGAATCATATGAGATCGTCCACTACTTTGGATCTCATTATACCCCCAGAGATAGTGTGACTGTGGACTACTTAGCGAACTTTGCGCTGAGAAACTCTCGCGATGACCATTCCTCCCTCTTCCGACCTTCATCTCCGATATCACAGGCAGATAGTGAGGAGAGTTATACCACAGCCCGGTCTGATCGATCTGCAAGGCTTTTCCCCACCTGGCAAAAGCCTCTACGAAAGACCAATGTCACTGTGGGCGGGCGACTGGGGGTCCCCCAGATCAGACGTGTCCGATCATTTAATTGGTGATCAGCATATGCAGATCATTTTGGACAGATTTGATTTCTTTTTTATCGGAGCCGGAGTGGGCTGGCTGGCGTTATTTGGAGGTTGGATACCACACATATACTTCACCCATGAAGTGCTTTCTTTTCCGTTTCTCACTTTGTCTATAACTACATCTTCATCTTGTTTCACTTGTGACATACGCAGGCGCTTTGCCTCCGACTTCTCTTTTGCCCCTCTTTACTACCTGCTCAGGTCTGATGACTTTTCCTTGAATCCTTTACCTTCATTGTTTCAATACTGCTGGGTTTACTTCTCACACTCAGACATATTTTTTTTTTTTCATGAAACTCTCAAAGAGAAATACATATATGATTTTGTGACTCTCAAAACTGAACACTATTGCGGTAGGACTTGCTACCTCCACATTCCGTGATTCGACTCATCCGTGAGAAGATTTACCTCAGAAGTAGTACTGCAGGCGACACGCAAAATCAAGAGAAAAGGGCCGGCATGCCAACCGCGTGGCTGCGAGGGCGTTGAATCCCCTCCCACCCTCCTTCAACCGTCTCAGAAGATCCGACGTCCTGGTCCATCGTTGATTCCCTGCGCAGATGCTATCGATGCCTTGGACACCGTACGAACGCCTGTCAGGGTTTCGGCAGGACTGCGTTGTGCCCGGCCTGTCTCCCGTCGCGTCGTCGGGACAAGGAACAACAATGATCCGCATACCCATGGTATTACATAACGCGTCACAAACGGCTAAATGCCTCTGATGGCATACATCTGCTGGTCTTACTGCCCGTTGACCATCGAATGTCACCTCTCTGTAGATGGAGGTCCAGTCACCCAACTCCCCCAGCTTAGCTGCGAGTTCGCACCGAGTTGGTCAGGCATGGTTTGTGAAGCATTCGATCATAGCCCCGGGCCCGTATGGATGCTGACCTATTGACACTCAGTGACCGCTGTAGGAGGTGAAAGACAATGTGGTATTTCATCAGCGTCGGTGACTGACAGTGTTGTTGGAAACAGGAAGAAGATCAAGTGTGATGGGGCTTTTCCTTCGGTAAAACCCTCTTCCCTTAATCTTCCTTCTTCGCGTAATTGACAATGTGCAGTGTCGGGCCTGTGAGAAGACCGGGCTAGTCTGTGAGGTCTCTGCTACTCTCAGACGACAGACCAAAGTGCGGGGGTAAGTGATTCCGAGGGGAACTGCGCCCGTTTGAGCAAAGACTGAAGCCTTTTAGTTTCACCGCAGACGAGCAACGGGTGGAGCAGCTTCAGGCTGAATTGGCAAGATGTCAACAAAAGCTGAAATCCGAGCAAGATCGTAATGCAGCTCTTCAGCGGGAGTTGTCGCGTCAACAGCAGATTGGGCCCCCAAAAACAACAACTTTGGTCGAGCCCTCCAGGCCGGCACAGACAGAGAGAAGTATAACTGACGATCCCACATATGTTATCAAACATATGGGTCGATTAGTACACGATGAGAAGGGGTTCGGTCGCTTTGCAGGCTCCACGACTGGGGTCCACTTTGTTTTGACGGTTGAGCAAGAATGCCAGAGGGCGCTCAATCTTTCCGGCGTTTTCCCAGAGAGCTGTTACCGGGCCTTTCTGGTCGAATCGCAATGCAATAGGGCATTCCTGGGTGCAGACCTTTTCAATGATCACGATCTGATCAAGCAGTGTCTCACTCATCCACCTGCGCATTATTGCCAACAAGCCGATATATTCATACAGAAATGGGAGGCATTCTGCCCTGTCCTTGTGAGAAAGCAACTCTGGGCAGACATCCATGATCTTATGAATGCTTTGGATGACAACAGTGGTCAAAGTACCCTTGATTATTCCACTGCGGTAATCCTATTGATGATTTTGAACATACAAGAGTCTTTCGCCGGTTCCCCAGCACAGTGTCCAAGACAGAGTTTGGATTGTCTGGAGAGACTCTCTTTGGCTCATAGGCTGATTGACAAGGTCTTCACTCAAGGGCATATCCGAAGCTTGCAGGCTCTGGCCCTTTTTGCGCTCTTCAATCAGCTGAGCGGCCATTGTCTAACCTTGACTACAATGAGCGGAATCATGGTCAGGCTCGCCCAGTCGCTGGGACTACATAGACACGCAAGACGATTCAAAATGGGCGAGGGAGAAATCGAGCTTCGAAAGCGCTTGTGGTGGTGGGTGTATGTGTTTGACAGGTATGTGCTTTTCTAAAGTTAAATCCACGCACTCTAATCTATTAGGTATACTTCGATTCTACATGGAATACCTCCTCTCATCAATGACGTCGACGTGGATAATGACTTGCCTATCGATTGCCATCTTCAGGACTTGGAGGCCGCGGAGCTTTCTCATCCCCTGCCCGGTGAACGAACATCGGTATTTGTGTTCCTACAATACGTGAGTCTCGGGAAAAAGTCATCGCAGATTCTTGATCTGCTCTACACGACCACACAGCGACGAGATGGCGCGAGGAAGATTACTGAGCTAGAGCGTGACCTCCGCGTCTGGAACCAAAACCTCAAAGCAAATGGCATCGTCTTCGACATCGGGGATAATGGCCTGCAACATCTAGACGGCAACGCGTGTCAGTCTTACGATAACGCAACCTTGTGGCTCCAACTCATGTCAAATATGATAATGAACCTCATACATCGCCCTGGGCTGTCTTTTGACGACACAAGCCCAGAATTTGTTATGTGCCTCAAGGCATGCCTTGATTCTGGCACTGCTATTTCATCGCTAGTTCAAACATTGCAAATTCCCAGGTGGCTTCGCAATCTGAGCTTGATCGGACCATCTACGATATTTCAATCCTCACTCGTCCACATCTACTCTCATCTCAAATTCGGCATGTCTAAGCCAAATGGACTCCCATCTTTGGATGCTAGCATGAGTCAGGTTTCAAAGGCAATCTCATTATTGACAGCGGATGTTCAAAGTTCTCTTATCAACCAAACAGCGGAGGACTTTTATCGTCAATCTCTCAATGAGATCATCGAAACTCTGCAAACACTACTCTCATCTCTGCCAATGGTTACACAAAGTTTCTTGAGCACCGAACTTCTAACTAATGAGGGCGCATCTACAAGCGACACGTTCGACGAGCAATGGGGCGGCAACGCACTGGACGCGTTGAATTACATGACAGCTTCTGATTGGATGGGTAATACGTCAAGTCCGTTCATGGGTTTCATGGATTTGGGCGGGTCGTAATGCGGAGAACGGGCCCGTTGATTGGCGCCGGAATAAGAGCCTATGCCGAGTCTCCTAGCCCTATGCCGGCAGTGAGTCTTTCATGGAGTCTCTATTCCGATCCGATGCATTGCATGACCCCAGATTCTGCAAGCCAAGGCTGTCACTTCCTATTTAATGGTATCAGTCTGGGGCCCCGGATTTTCGCTCAACAACCGGCTTTATTTCTCTTCATCCGAAAGCTCGTTTACGCGGCGAATTCGACTATCCCCCCGTTTCCTCCTTCAACTGATTCGGCAAAGATGACTCAGAAGTTCTGGAACCTCCGAGGGGAGATGTTATCTCTTGTCCAGATTCTGACGGTTGTTTGTCCGGCTTACACCCTGTTTGGATACAATCAGTCGGGGCTTGGGAGTCTCGTTTCTCTTTCAGACTGGGTGAAACACTTCCCATCAATTGATACCGTCAATACCGATGGTGTTGAGGCCAGTCACAATGCCACAGTGCAAGGTGTGGTGATAGCAACATTCACACTGGGTGCACTGCCCGGTTGTTTATCATGCTCCTATACCGCCGACAGATTTGGACGGCGTCCGGTCATCTTCTTGGGAGGACTGCTTGCTTTGATTGGCCAAGTGCTAGAAGCATCATCATACCAACTTGCACAAATGATCGTGGGTCGTACTCTGCTTGGAGCTGGAATCGGAATGCTGAGCGGCACCGTGCCAACTTGGCAAAGCGAGTGCTCCAGCTCCAAGAACCGGGGAAAGCACATCGTGCTTGATGGTCTTTTTATTGCGCTCGGCTACATGCTGCAAGCGTGGATCAACTTTGGATTCTATCAGTTCAAAACGGGACCCGTGACCTGGCGAGCTCCGATCGCCATCCCCATCATCTTCGCCATCATCCTCCTCGTATCGATCGTCTACCTCCCCGAATCCCCTCGATGGCTCGTACGCCAACACCGCGTCGTTGAAGCGCGGACTGCACTGGCTTCTCTAAGAGATCTTAGCCATGATGCACCGGCCATATCTGGAGAAATTTCTAGCATTGAAAGCTCTCTGGAAGAGACTGCACAAAGCGCCGCATCTCTCAGGGATCTCCTCAAAATGGGAGAAGATCGCCTGCTCTACCGTTTCTCTATATGCATACTGCTCCAATTCTTTCAGCAAATGTCGGGAGGCAACCTGATTTCGGTCTATTCCTCCGTGATTTTCGAACAAGGCCTAGGACTGGACGCTGAGACCGCTCGAATTCTTTCCGGTGGTACCCTCACGTGGAAATTCTTATCATGCTTTGTATCATTCTTCACAATCGACAGATTTGGTCGCCGCCTCGCCTTGACGGTCAGTGGTGCTGGGATGGCTAGCTGCATGTTGGGCTTAGCAATCGCCACGTCTTTCCCACATTCCAACTATGCTGCCCAGATCATAAGTGTTCTTTTTGTGTTCCTTTTCAATTTCTTCATTCCGATTGGATTCCTGGGCGCCAACTTCCTCTATTGTACCGAGGTGGCACCCATCCGGCTTCGCGTTGCCATGTCGAGTATTTCTACTGCGAATCACTGGCTTTGGTATGCGTTTCCCCAAGTCAACGATTTTTATGGAAGTTGACCCATTTGACAGGAACTTTGTGGTCACTATGATAACGCCAGTGGCAATCAAAACAATTGGCTACAAGTACTATATCGTTTATACATGCATTGGAGCATTTATCCCATTCACCGTCTACTTTTTGTACCCTGAGGTAAGTATATCACGTCCAAAATCGCCTTTGATTCGTTGGCTAACAAGAAACAGACCATGGGACGCTCACTCGAAGAGATTGATCTGATTTTCCGGGAAAGTCCATCGGTATGGGCGACCGTTCGATTTGCAAAAAGCCGGCCTATCGATCCCGGGTCCGATCTGCCGCATGGAGTTCAGGGGAAGTATGAGGTAGAGCATGAAGAGTACTCTACCAAGTCTTCGATCCAGGGTGAATGAACCGTGGACAGCTCCTCTTCCTACTCCGTGCTTTTGGAGATCTGTGAATAAGATTTGATGAGCACATTACAGTCCAGCTTCGGTTTACGAAGGCATAGTTGAATATCCTGTTTAGTTCAATGAGAATGTGTCACGAGGTGTAACCGAATATCCACAATATCTACATGCCTTCCAGGGTCTCAATCCCGGCTTTAGTACAAAACAACATCATATTATGTCGAGTTTCTTGAATTTGTAGTCCCCTAGATACTTCCAAGGCTGGTCACAATATTGGAAAGCAGATGTCAAGTAGAATTCATGTACTTAACTTGGAAGTTTCTACGGAGAATTGACTACTTTGGAGATTCGGTATTCACAACCTTGGAGAAAGCGCGAGAGATGAGAGCCATAATTTTCTACTGCTCTACAGCATCGGTTGAATGAGGCATCGATCGTAAAGCCGCTGGAATTGGTCAAATAACGTACGGACCAACCTAAGGTGCATCGGTTTAAGGCCGGGGCTCCACCACGGCCTCGGGATAAGAGCCTATTCCGAAGCAGATAACCAAACCCATCCGGCGTCATACCAACTCCTCATGAGGGGACAACAAAAAGTGGATTGAATTATTTAAAAGGTAGGAATTTCTCGGGATCAATTGTTCTATCACCCCGACTTAACAACCAAGCACCTTCACCATGGCCGTCTCCGCCCTTGACTCTCGTATTTTCCGCAACTTGTTTGGAACACAGGAGATCCGTGATGTTTTCACAGACGAGGCATATGTGAGCTCTCTGATTGAGGTTGAAGCTGCTCTAGCTCGCGCCGAAGCTGCAGCTGGTGTCATTCCTCCCGAAGCAGGTACCGCGATCACCAGCACCTTTGCAAGCCTCAAGATCGAGTAGGTTGACTTCATGTCCCCGCATTCGAAGAAGTCACTGATGCAGTCTTCCTAGCTATGAGCGCCTCGCAAGGGACACAGATATCGTCGGCTATCCTGTCCTCCCCTTGGTTCTGCAATTGGTCGAGGGGACGCCCGAGGAGACGGCGAAGTACATCCACTGGGGAGCAACGACACAAGATATACAAGATGATGCTTCTATGCTTCAGATCAAACGGGGCGTGGCACTGGTGAAGAGAGAGCTCGAAACACTGAAGGAAGTTCTCAAGGGTCTCGCCGCCACCCACCGTGACACGTAAGTCCTCCTCCTCGCTTTCAAGGCTAAAGCTAATAGCATTCCCAGTCCAATGGCAGGCCGAACGCATTTACAGCACGCCCTCCCTTGCACATTCGGGTACAAGTGTGCCGTATATCTTTCCAGTGTTATCCGACACCTTGAGCGCATCGAAGAAATTGAGCAGCGGTGTCTGCTGGTTCAGTTCGGGGGCGCAGCAGGTACAATAGCTTCATTGGGCGAGGATGATACCGGTCTTCGAGTCCGCGAAAACCTCGCGGCAGAGCTCGGACTCAAGAATCCGGACATCACATGGCATGTTGCGAGAGATAACATTGCGGAGATTCTCAACTTTCTCGCACTTGTGGGTGGTACCTTGGGGAAGATTGCATTGGATGTGATGATTATGTCCTCCAATGAGTTTGACGAAGTCTCGGAGCCCTTTGTACCTCATAGAGGCGCCTCTTCTACAATGCCACAAAAGCGCAATCCGATCTCCAGTGAAGTCATTCTAGCTGCATCAAAGATGTTGCGTGCCAATGCATCGCTCGGACTGGATGCGATAGTCACAGATTTTGAGCGAGCATCCGGACCGTGGCATTTGGAATGGGTCGCGATTCCGGAGGCTTTCGTGACTGCAGTGGGTGCTTTGCACCAGACAAATTTCGCTCTTGGGGGTTTGGTCGTGAAGGTTGACTCGATGAAACGCAACTTGTACTCCACCAAGGGGTTGATTGTCGGCGAGGCTGTTATGATGGGACTGGCACGACAGCTAGGACGACAGGGGGCCCACGACTTGGTTTATGAAGCTTGCAAGTCGGCCATCGAACAAGACAAGACCTTGCTTGAGGTTCTTGAAGCGGTTCCCTCATTGAATGGAATCGTAACACGGGAACAGCTCGTCGGTTTCTGCGACCCATTGAAGTACATGGGGGCTAGCGGACTGATGGTCGATGAGATGGTGAAGCGTGCAGCCTAGTCAGTTCCTGTGATCAATACCCATGTAAATATATGAACAAATTAGAGAAAAATGTAAAGTTTTTCATCTGGCGCGGCATTGGGCTGTTCAAGATGCTAGGTGTGATAAGCAATCTCCGAAATCATCTGTTCCCAGGTTGAAAGGTCTGCAGCTTGTGGGAATGCGAAATTTGAGTCTTCCCAGACGGCAGGCCAGATCATGTCTGGCGAAGCTCCAAGTATATTGGGCTCAAGATTGATATCAGCCGCCATCATCGGCTCTCGCTCTCCATTGTGTGTCACAAGATCCGGTACGACCTCCGGCGGGCTCATGGCGGGCTGTTCATCTGATTGCCTCGCGGATTGGGCAAGTCCTGTGGTGCGTATGATACAGAGCTCTACCACTTTAACCTCAGCCAGCCCGAATTCATTCAGCCAGACATCCTTCCGTAGTCGCTCGCAGTATTCTTCGAGATCGTTGAGTATCGCCGCAGTCTGAGCGGCGTGAGGACGGCGCACTGCAATGATTCCCAGGATAAAGGCACTGTTGAACATATTATGCGTACCCAGTGTCCATCTCATGTTCTCGGCTGTTCCATAGCCCAGAGACTTCAATCGAACTTTTAGGTCTGCAGATGCCGATGAAATACATGCTTCGTGGCTCAGGCTGAAGCGATTAGTGATTGATTCGCGCAGTAGATAAGGCCGGTGTAGAGTGATTCTGGCGAAGTGAAACGCGGAGTGCAGATATAGGCGGTGCCATGGCAAAAATGTGTGCAGTTCATCAAGTGAGACTTCAGGATGCTCCACTGAAAAATAGGCGGGAAGTTGCTTTTTCCAGGAAAGGAGTTTATTGTCCATCTCAATCACTAGATCGTATGACGCAGGATATAACCCAAAGCAACGATCTTGAATTTCTCCAGCAATCTTGGCTAGTCCGTTTCCAAGCAGTGTCACTGTGCTCATTGTGGGGCGACTTAAGGGATGGGCCACCTCGAGAGCTGACTGCTCATCAGTCAGTCCATCCAGCCAAACGTTTTCAGGTGCTTTTATGAGGCACATGTGATCTGATATCGCGTAGGGTCTGCCGAGGGCAAGAGCGATAGTCTTGTCGAGTAAGTAGAGATTACTCCACAGCCGCCGTCTTGTTTCAGTTGCCTTCCTCGAGAGGCCCCACTTCTCTCCATCAATATGCATACCTTGTGCCTGGGCCATGCGCATCGCAAAGCTAATGGTGAGCCAGCTCTCTGCAGCCTGTCGGGTGTATAGCAGATACCGAGTGACCATCAACCCTGCTCTAACAAGGTCCAAGCTCTCACCGTGGAAAGAAGGAGATATCACGATTGCTCTTCTGGCAGCCCAGTAGAAACGAAGCGATGCCTCCTCGCTTTCTTTTCGTTTTTCGGGCGAGGTTGTGGACGAGCTATCCAAAAGCACACTATATGCTAGTATGATGAAGAGAAGTGCGAGCCATCTGAGATCCACTCCAGCAATCTCGTCGAAGCCAAATTTCCGTCCCCAAAACTCTGCAAACTGCGATCGAAATGTCGTCGGGTGAACTGTGTCGATCGCCCAATTGATCTCGGTGAGAAATCTTTCGATCAGTCTATCCACGGTGACTTTATTTCGTGGCAATAGACCCAGCAAGTCCCATACTTGGGAAAAGGGACCAGAGTCATTCCGGAATGATTGCAGCGAGTCTTTGCTGGATAGTAAACTCATAGGAGGGAGATCAGGGGCTGATTCCTGAATCATCCGTGCTGCCACTTGGTGGCCAAAGTAAGAATTGCCGAAGAAGCTGGGTGCGCCTCTAGCAATGTATAGCTGTCCCAGTTCTGTGCCCTGCGTATCCGCTATAACATGGCACAGTTAGCCTGAAGCTTGGGTTGAAGGAGTCAGCAGTACCTGTGCCCACTGCTTCATGTGCGGTTACTTCTATTTCTCTTTCAGGCCATCGACATAAATCAGGGACTCCACGCTGAACGCAGCGAGAGCAAGGTAACTCTCTGTCGCATTTCTGTTTCCTGGCATGGCATTGAGAACAGGAGGTCGTCTTCCTCCCACGCTTAGCTCCTGAGGTATGCGATAGTGAGCCTGGATTGCTTCTTTTCTTGTTGCTTGTACTCATTTCAAATTGCGTGGGGATGAAGTGTTACGCAAAACAACGCCGAGGGGGAGACGGGTGGAGGCTAGAATGCCGAGTGTCTCCGCCTGAGTAATTAGGCATCCAATGCCGGAAGACCCACCACTGCCACAGCCATATCCTGCTAGACGGTATGACTGTTCGCCTTGTGTTGCTGGATAAACCGCAGAATCTGGTCAAATCCCTCAGGCTCCTTGATCCAGTGTCCGTCTGCTTCTGCTCCCGTGAACTCATGTTGCTCAACATTCATGCCAATTGCCCTCAAAACTTGTGCTGCCTGTTGACCTAGACTGATGGAGACATAGGGATCATCACCCCCATGACTCAAAAACACGGGTGTTTCCAGGACAGACAAGCTATCGGTATCTTGCGTCAGTGGGGTCGTGGGGTCAGTGATTGTGTTGCGGAAGAATTCAGAAGTTAGACGCTTGCGATGGTTGCTGTCCAGCTGGGTACCAGAACAAGACATTAAGTGCTCTGCTTGATGGGAAAATGGTAGCCATCCACAGGATCCTAAAAATCCAGCGAGTGGTGTGGTGACTCGGCCAGGTGCACATAACAAAGCCCACAAGCTTGTTGCCATGCCTTGGCTGATGCCTCCCAGGAAGACTCGGTCGGAGCGCCCATCAAGTAATGATATTTCCGATTCCAGAATGCCGATGATGTGGTGGACAGATTCCCTAAGGCCCTCGATCTACAATTCTGAGTCTTTTTGTATGTCATCCAAGGAAGAGGCGTCGAACCAAGTACACATCTCTTCCTTGAAGACTGTGCTCTGTCGGATGCGTGAGGTTGGAAAAACCCATCGCAAGCTTGGAAGGCTGTCAGACAATGATATCCGTTGACTGGTCATGCCTGAGAGGAAATCCTCTGCCAATTCGGGCCCATCACTTCCCCGCCCGTGTAGTAAGATGACCGTGTGGGTATGCGCACTTCGGGGATCTTGAATGTGTGGTGGTGGATAATCCATTGTGCGTGTTTCTTATAAATTAGCCAACCAAGCTAGTGGCCAGTGTCCAGGTGGATTAGCCTCGGAATGCGAGAGTCCACGAGTTAAAGATGTGTTGGTGTTGGTCTTATTCTCGACCTCGGGATGTTTGTGTACGAACTCCTACTTGCTGCCTTAAGGCATCAACATCATAACGAATTAAATAACTCGGGGCTTCAAAAGTCAACTATTCATTTTAAGCATACTTTTGCCGAACTTAGACGAGTCTATCTAGTCAAGGATTGATATCTCCAATGTTATTTAGCCAGTAAGTGTACGCTGGAAAGCGAGAGAGCCTTGGAATTGCCCAGGTGCTGAGCATGATATACGCTGATGGCAAATTTACAGACCTTCAGGACTAACATCATAGATACAACCTTGGAATCAAAATATTTCGATATAGCTTCGGTCCTTGTACATAAAGTACATTATCACTGTGCCTACATGCCTCATTGGAGCTCAGCGACAAGACCACACAGCTTTGTAGCTGTCCATTGCCAGATCAATCACGCTTTTTTGTGTCGAGTTTGCGTGATGAACGCGGAAATGTTTGGCCGCGCTTCAATGGCCTCAACAAGCTTGTTGAGTGCTGGAGGGAGTGATTCCTGAGACCTTGGTAAGTACGAAGTCCAATTGGGCGGAACGCGTATGACATACCGGGATAGTACCTGTCCTGGTGTCATTGTCAACGGACTGGTACACAGCGAAGTCGACATAAGTGATCGTATCACCAAGAAGGTAGGGGCCCTCCGCATCGGAGTAGTACTGGGCGATCAAATCATAGTAGGTGGGTACATATTCTCTGTATGCGTCGGTCGCCCCTTTCAAGTTGGCCACCCATTGGGACTGTGAGTCCTGTTAGTGACATATTTCTGGAACTATGGATTGTGGAATACTTCGTACCCTCCAGTCCACGTAGATATCCGCCACTGCATCAACCAAGTATTTCTCCCAACTGGTCTTGCCGTCATATGCATTAAGCTCACGCGAGAGATAACGCAGAATCGGGATGTGCTGTGTTTTCTATTAACCAATGCTTGAGACCACACTCGGGTGCAAGCCTACCTGAGTGATCACCGAGCCACCATATTCCAGCGCGGGCAGGTGGCCGGTTCTCGTGAGTCCACTCTGGCGGAGCTTTTTGCTGGTTTCTGGCCAGGTGTTGTCGTATGGGTAGCGAACTTCTTTGAAGTCGATACCCGTATCCTTCAAGAACAAACTGCCAGTGGTCAGCTTTCGCGATGCCAAATAGTTGGTATAGAATCACTTACTTGACGACCTCTCCACGGCCTAGCCTGCCGATATCAAGATAGTGGTAGATTGTGGGTGGTGACGCCATTCTGTGAGTTAATTGCAAGACTAGAGAGTTGCAGAGAGTAAAAGAGGAAGCAGTGTCTTCACCCGGCAGTCTGGGGGATTTATCAGCTGATGCAGCGGGGAAGCTGAACCTTGGAAGTCCCGCAGGCTGAGCCTAGAATGGTGTAAACACCACGTCACACTCTCACTTGAGTCTCGACAAGTCCTTTCTCTCATTCATTCCCGGTCTCACATCTCGCCAAAAAATTCTTGTGGGGCATTCGACCGTGTGTAACATCACGACTATCGGTTGCGGGTTCTCACAATGTGTCTGGGATACGAACCCCGCGGCATCATTCTTTGGTGAAACGGCACAGAGCTCCGTCCAGGTCAAAGTCAGAGCCGGCAAAGAGGTTCTGACAATATATACGGCTGAAAATTTCAGCAACACTGGACGGCACCAAATGTGCTGTATGGGTCCCATCCTCGTCTCGACAAGTTGAGACGCTTCGATTCACTCAGAGCCCGAGGAATCATGCTGCATCGCCCTAAACAAGTCTGTCGGTGGCAGCATCTTGCTCGGTGGCTCCTCGATATTGCGGTCCCATCTTCGGTTATGGCTGACAGATGTCTGTACCACGAATCAATTCTTGTGGTGAGGAAACTGAAGGCTAAGCAGCTCGTCTCAGAATGCCTCTTTCAAACATGATCACACTTGAAGGGCTCGTCCAGATCTTCGCGGAAAAGTTTTCCCAATACCCCGCCATGGATGACTCGGTTCAATGCTTGAAATAAGCTCAGCCTCCAAAGGATCTACGAAAAGAGGCTCTGTACGAGATGGACTGAAGCGAAATTGCGATCAGCGCTGTCTTGAGAAATTTCTCATCTCTACGATCTATGTTTGGCAGCGAAAGTCGCTATGATTGGGTGGAAATATGAGGATACTGAACCGTCTTCATGAACCCCTTACTAAGTACCCTCCGTTGCTCGTGTTAAACTATCAGACCCTGCGCTAATTCCATCCGCGGCCTCGTATATCCTACCCCATCTCGTATTTGACTGGACCACAATAATTTTCCTATCATCATCGCCCTTGGCACTTCCTCTTGTGGGCAAGCTTTGAAGCAAGCTCATTGCGCTTTGTTTCGTTGAGCTGGAAAGAACCCTTAAACGATCCTGAACTAAATTTCACGATTTAGGTATAAAGCCTGGGAGCATAGGTGGGCCTACATGTTCATGTCCATATCTTATTCAAGCCATCCATTTCCATATCACAGCTTCCCTCTCAGATTCCACTTCCTGAACTACTCATATACATCAATCGCCACCATGCGTCTTTCCTCCGTCATCTTTCTTGGTCTGGCTTCTGTCGCCGTCGCTGATTTGAACTCCTGGAACGACGTGGTAGGAGATGTGCCCCAGTGCATCAAGACATGCCTCAACGACTTCTACAACACCGCCGGGCTTAAGTCCAAGTGTGGAAGCGCCGATACAGCCAGCTTGGACTGTCTCTGTGGTGTCAAGAGCTCTGTTGACGATGTTGCGGACGATGCCTCCGACCTGAGCAGCTGTATCCAGGATGGCTGCGACTCAAACGAAATTGCCGACGCTGCTTCAAAGCTCCAGGGCTTCATGGACCGATTCAACAGTCTTGAGGACCAGTGCTCTAAGAAGGGTAAGCACCTCTAACTCCCTGTCGACTTCCAAGGTTTTTAGACAGTTTTTACTTACTGAATATATCACAGGCTCTGCAAGCTCAACGATCCCCGGATACAATGCAATGCTCGCCTCAGGAGCCTTGCTTCTGGTGGGTGTAGCCCTGTGAAGCTCTACCACATCTCCTTCCAAGGCTCTTCAGGGGGTCTAGTGGCATGATATCGACCCAGGTATGAACCTGGGCAACTTAATTCATTATACGCTTTAATTCAACAAAAATCCAATATATGTCTCTTTTCGAAGCGCTCCTTGACTGAAGAATATGCTAGCACACTTTCATGCCTACTACTCGAAAAGATTCTGCTAGTACGGCTCCTTCACGGCTGGGATGAAATAGTCCAAGCGCCATTCATAGGCGTGAAATTCATTCAAGTATTGGCCGAATGACGGAGAGCCAGGGTATGCGTTGCAGTAAAATGAAGACCTCGGGGCTTCCAAGGTTGGTGCGTCGGCAGAAAATGCTTCGATGTTTTTCTGTGTCTAGCTCTATGATATGTGATACCCAAGATGTTAACGATCATAATGCATGTCTCGTCACTGGAGCCTCCAGGGCTCGTTGATATATACAGTCACAGGATTTATCGTCTCTCGTAACCCATTCCATCGTCATCATACACAAACAGCCGCAATATAGCCTTGGCAACCTCGACACCATCGTGTTCCAAGTGCGCCGTCTCAGCCGCCCGATCGGCATGCTCAAGATCCTTGATCCCGCCGCCGTCCACTCTGATTTGGATTTGTCGCTTTACCATTTGCTCATCAAACGCCAGGTGTGCCTGCGAAGTAAACAGACGGTTCGGGAGGTACAAGCCTTGAACAGATGTATGGGCGCTCTGGCCCCAGCACTCGACTTCGGTGCCTGCAGAGAGCAACTCGAGACCAGCAGACTCAGCGGTTGGCGGAGCGATCACTTGATCCTGGTGCATCTGGTGCAGATAGATGTGGTCATCGCGTGTGCGGAAGAGGCGCTGGCCCACTGGGGTGAGGTCGATGCGAGAGTGGCCGAGTTCCCAGTCCTGGGTGGGCGCGGGGGCAACCGTGGCTCCTAGAAGACGAGCTAGGAGCTGGTGGCCGAAGCAAACGCCCAGGAAGTGGAAGTCTGGACGCTGAATCCAGAGAGTTCTGAGCAGTTCGAGGAGGTCCAAAATCCATGGGTTGTTGGCGTGGGCATCGTACACGCTTCCGGTGATCACCAGGCCATCGAACCGGGCGAATTCCTCCACTGTTGGAACCCGGCCGCCTTGTTCAGCCACGACAAAGACTTGGTCCGTCTCAACACCAAGGGGTGGATGATGGGCGCTTCCAGCTTTGGAAAAGAAGCTATGCACAATTTGGCCAAATGAACCACGCTCCGAATACGTGTCTGGGTGAGGCTTGTCCGTTTCAAGAACCATGAGGCGAACGACAGGGGCTGTCGGGTTGGGTCTGAATGTCTGATCCATGGTGTGCTGCTTATCTGCTGCGATAGATTTTGCAAAGACTTCTGTGGAGCGAGAATTGGGCTTTAAAAAATCCGATCATGGCGAGCAACGTCATCACCTCTCCCATTGCCAAGCCGGCTCTTTTCGTCTCGATCGAATGTATCGATGACCTTCCAGATTGGCGCCAAGAGAGGAGCTCTTGGCCCCTGTCGATTCCCGGATATTCGACCTTGACGTCAGTGAGATCGGCCCCGATTGAGAGGGTTCCACCGCGACAGGGGAGGTCCTCGGGAATACATTCCGCATCAACTACATCTTGCGGCTTTTAATTTAGGCAGAAGTTATTTACTGGATCGTGCGTTATTTCATGGCTACTCTACAGTATTCTGTTGTTCGAAATACACTCAAAGGCCTGTACTCTGTACTGCACACCGCTATCTACTCCGTAGCCAGTAGGTTCTGCATCAATCGAGAGTGGAATGAAATGATGTTGGCTGATCACATTGAAGGTCATTACGACTTGCCCAATATTTCACCTCATATTGAGTGGTAAAGCGGTATATTACAGTTGCCAATATATTCGAGACACCCCAGGGTAGACTTCCGCGGGCCCAGCCCGGTAATGGGTTGGGTTTTGGGCCGGTCCTTGGGCCGAGTAGTGGGCTCCGGGCTCAGGGTCAGGGCCCAGTGGGCTCTTCCGGGGGCCCTGAAATTGATAAGGCTGAATCCCGAGGTCCACACTCTTTCAAATGAGTTTCAGCCTCATTATCTCCATAGCAGTGTCGATAGTACTAGTACCACTTTATCTGTCCACTCTATCTCCAGAGTTGATTTCCCTGCCCTCTAAATATGCTGTCAGTCACTACGCCCGCCCGGGCGCTGAGTTCCCTGTATTGGACCCGGCTGTCACTTGCCCTCTAGCATTAGAGCAGAGTCACCCAGTATCTGATTGTCAGAAAGAGTTTCGCTTGAAGGGAGATACATAGGTCTGCTAATCAATGATTTGTAGATCAGTATGGAGTAATCGAGAACAAACAATCCGGGGAGTCTTCGACATGATGAGTGTTTTCACAGTGTTCGTCGGAGCTGTCACCAGAGCAAGAAATGTGTTAGTTACAACGTGTTGGAGATAGAACCGAACAGCTTTTTCCAATACACCTGGGCAGGCACTGCACATCAACAGAGGAGTGCTGTGTATCATCTGTTGAGTAGTGCAAACAGTGCAAATATATAATCACATGCTGAGTCATCTGACGTCGTGTCGGTTTGTTTATGTCCACTTCGAGACGACTGATCTGCTTCCCCACGCAAGTCCTTACCGTGCAATTTTTCGTGTCATTCCTTACCTTTGAGCCATGGCGATCCGTCGGTCCGCGCGAATTCGTCGCGCTCAGGAATCTCCGGAGGTGAGTAGAGGATTGTGATCATTGACAATTGTCTTGGAGCTCACATCGCTCTTTTTCAGGTCGAGGAAAGCACTCCGCAACCCGAGCCAGTCGCCCCTTCCCAACTTGCCTCTGTTGCCGAGGGCGACGAAACCGAACTGCCTCACGTCCAAACGCCCCAAATCAAAACACCTTCACAAAAAACCCCCACCGCGTCTGCTAAACGATCATCTACCAACGCCATTACTCCTACCAGTACAATGGCGCGTCCGTCGCGAGCAGAGATGCATCCCAGCAAGGCTCACCAAAGCACAGCCAAGAAGGCCGACTCAGGTCTGATCCTTGGATTCAATCCGATCGCAAAAGATGCCGATGGCAAGGTGATCAGTAACAGCCTCAGCGACAACACTCCAACAAAATCGAAGCCGTCGCCCGCACCCAGTGGTTTTGGAACTCCAGGTTTCGAGTACAAATTCCAGTCTCAGGAAACCGACTTGAGCGATCAAGCCAAACTGCTCATGGACAGTGTCCGTGGCGATGTTGCTCGAATCAAGGCCGAAATGCTTGAACAGAAATCCAAGCAAGACCAGGAAGATGATAAAGCTGAGCACGCGCACGGAGACCGGAAGATCGCCATGCCCAAGGGCAAAGCTGGACGCTTCAGCGATGTCCACATGGCAGAGTTCAAGAAGATGGACTCGATCGCAGGACACGCCTCATCTTTCCGTGGAACCGCCGACCGTTTTGTGCCCTTGAACAAGTCCCTGAAGCGAACCAAGTCCAAAGCTCAGCTTGATGAGCCTGAGAACCAGAACTCGTCGCCTTCTCGATCTACCACCAAGGGCTCAAGCTTGCCCGCCCCTACTGGCGCCTCGACCGCTAAGCGTGCTAAGCATAGCCAGGCTGAAGATACTTCCACTCGCCCCCAACCCTCAGATGCCGATGTGCGGAAAGTCGAGACTCCTCGCCGGCCAGCGGGTCCACGCCCTCGTCCATCCGTCCGCAATTCCCTCATGACCCCCACACGCGCATCCCTCGCTCGCTCCACCGCCAGTGTCAAGGCGCCCAAGACCTCATTGATTCCATCTTTGAAGCTTTCCCCAGCCGCCAAAACAATTGCCTCGCCGCGAACTCCACAAACCGACTTCAACCCTCGCTTGAAAAGCAAGTTGCCTACACTTGGCAATATGAGATCCATTCTTCGTCGACGTCAGCCCCTATTTTCTCGTGATCCGTCCAAGATTGCGTCTGGGACTCACGTTGCTGCGCCTGATTTCAATCCGAAATCCCTTTTTGCAGGAGCTGGTGATGTTAGTGACGCGGCTCCGACTCCTTCGCCCAAGAAGCACGTTGAGTTCACTCCAAGTGTCAAGTCTCGTCACGAACTCTCTGTGGCATCGCCCTCTCCATCGAAGGCTCCATCCGCTAAGCGTCTCTCTGTTTCTGGGGATGTAAGCTATCCCACGCTTCCCACTCTCACGCCAGAAAAGAATTCGACTGTCACAGAGTCTACCACACCCACTTCCGCTCCCAAATCCATCCGCCCTGTTCGCAAATCGAACCCTGCTGGTGCCGCTGGTGCCCCAGAACTCCCTGTGGTGACTCACGGCATTTCCCATGGAATCAAGAACAAGAAGAGACATCGGGATGAATCCGATGATAACGATACACCTACCACCAACAGAACCAAGAACGTCTTGTCTGCTGATTCTCCCTCGGGTGAGCGCACCAGTAAGAGACTCAAGGCCACCCCAAGCCCCGTGAAGAAGCGGTCTATCAATACCCCTGTTCGACCCTCTACTGGTCGCGTTGGTACTCCTGTCACTGCCAGTGCAAAGCAAAAGAGCCGCGGTGTCCTTAGCATGAGCCGTCTCAACATGCTTTCCAAGCCTAAGGGACATGCTCAGCCGAAATAAATTCACAGGCTTGTCCCTGTGGTCAGCTGTGTCTCTTGATGAACCCTTTTGATTCTGTTTTCTTCAGCCTTATGATCATTCTGGTGCCTGGTTTCGGCTCCATGTTTCCCTTCTTTTCTTCACTTTCTACTCATTAACTCGCTGCAGTCATGATTCTCTGCAGCGTCAACGAACCACCATTTCCATTCTTGATTTGTATCTACACATACTTGGGGCTCTATCTTGTGACTCTTTTTCTCAAGGTCCACTCGCCCTTTGTTCCGGTTTCTTTCTTTGTGTGGCTACTTTCTTTTACTTCTCGCTCATATGAGCCCTTTATGGGATCTACGGCGTCTCAGGATATTTTCAGAGCTACATGCTCTATGTCATTTCAGGTAGTAAGGCGCACTGGTACCTTGTTTGGTGTACGTACTTATTGAAGAATCTATCTCTTTCAATGTTCAAACATGGCCCGTTCCAACATAGCAACCTCGCTAGACATTCCACCTGGGTCTTATTCCAAGCCTCAAAATCAAAGTCTGGTCCGGTAATCTACATGGAAACCAAATTGGATGGATCAAAATAATTTTTGGCTATGTACATACAGGAGGGTGATCCATCCATCCCTTGTAAGGAGATGAATAAAGCTAGGAATACACGAAGGGTTCGAAGAATCAGACGGAGTAAGAAACGCGCAGAGGATCGAGGCCATTCCAGCCCGTAAAGAAACAAGGAAATGGTGATTATTCTCCGGTCTTGCGGACAAGAGCCTCCATAAATGAGATAGTACAGGGGCATTAAGCATGAATCGTGCGTAGAGGTATTGGGAGTTCGGTATAGGTGAGGTGAAGGGATGCGTGTCGAGCGGGTAGAGCATAGAATGAGCGAGTGGCTCAATTCTTCATGGTTTCCAGGAACGAATCCAGGTTGTACTCTTCCTGGTATTGGCGATCGTCCCAGAGCTCGCCTAGGTCGTCTAGCCAGCCCTTTTTGCCCTTTTCTTTGACTTCGCCGTCAATGTCGACCATGTCGACTTCGTTGCCGGTGGCATCGAGTTTCTCGGCTGTGTCTGCTGTTTCGCCCAGATTGAAGAGATCCAGGAGTTGGTCTGTGTCCATGGTTCCTAGGCCGGCGTTTTGTTGATTGACTACCGTAGAAGCGACGTCGATCTTGAATCTTTGTAGGCTGTCGTGATTGTTAGTTTATGTGCATCTTTGTGGTTGGTACGGGCGGACTTACTTCAGAATTTTCTCTTCCAGAGTGCCTCTGGTAATCAGGCGGTAGACGTTGACGACCTTCTTTTGGCCGATACGGTGAGCACGGTCCATAGCCTGAATATCCTTCTGGGGATTCCAGTCATGTTCGACGAAAATGACGGTATCGGCTCCCGTGAGGTTCAGACCCAAGCCACCAACACTGGTGGTCAAGAGCAGGACATCGTAGCTAGGATCGGTGTTAAAGCGGTTGACAATGTCCTGACGCTTAGTTGCTTCCACGCCTCCATCGAGACGAAGATACTGTACAGATGGGAGGAGTTTCTTGAGAACGTCGTTCTGGACAATGTCCAACATCTCCTTCATCTGACAGAACACAAGAGCACGGTGGGGACTGACGTAGCTTGCGCCAGTGTCCAATTCACCCTCTGCTGTGTGGTCGAGGCCAATGCCACAGTCCACCAATAGGTCTTTGAGGGCGTTGAGCTTGGGCGCGTGGGAGACATCCCTGATATTGGATCGCTTAGAGGTGAGGAAAGTTTGAACCTCGTTATACTGCTTGTGTCCTTCCTTGACAACCAACGCAGGGGAGTTGCAAAGACGGCGCATGTATTGCAGTGCCTGGAAAATGTGCTCCTTGTCGCCGCGGTCGGCACTGCCAACCTTATCTGCCAGCTCCTTCTGCTCCTTCTTACTGAAGTCCTCAAAGAGTTTCTTCTGTAACTCACTGGGATCGCAGTAGTAGTTCTGGATGATCTTGGGTGGCAGGTCATTCAGCACCTCCTCCTTCAGACGACGAAGCAGGAAGGGCAGCACCTGTTTGTGCAGAGCTTCGATTGCCAAAGCACCGGCTTCCTGCTCTTTGGAAGAGGATTTGCTGAAGCGACTGGCTGCAATAGGCTTGGCAAATCGGTCCAGGAAGACCTTCTCTGTGCCAAGGAAGCCAGGCATCAAGAAATCAAACAGCGACCATAGCTCAAGTACATTGTTCTGGATCGGTGTACCGGACAAAATGAGACGATGATTACTCATGAGTTTCTTGACTGAAGAAGTGATCTTGGCTTTGGGGTTCTTGATGAGGTGACCTTCATCAAGAACACAGTAGTTCCAGTTGATAGGGCTGAGAACGTCGTTGTCGTTGCGGCACACATCATACGAAGTGACAATCACATCTGTGGTAGCCAGCATGGGCTGGAGTCTGGACCGTTCGGCAGGAGGACCGACATATGCGATACAACTTAAGAACGGAGCGTACTGCTTAACTTCTTGCTGCCAGTGTCCTGACAGAGATGGTGGGCAGACAATCAAAGAAGGAAGCTTGCGTGAATCAGTAGACTGGCTCTTGGCAAATTCTTCTGCGCGCATGTGGTGATCACTAGCAACAATGCAAATAGTCTGCAAGGTTTTTCCAAGACCCATGTCATCACAAAGAATACCGTGAAGATTGTAGCGATTGAGGAACGCAAGCCAGTTGACACCATCTTGCTGGTAGGGTCGAAGCTCCGCTTTGATAGCGACTGGAATGGAGAATTCCTCGACCTTCTTCGGATCCAGCATCTGAGACATGAACTTCCGCTCGCGGTCTCGGCCCTTGAGCAACTCTTCAGAGAAGCCAGGCGGATCTGGAATACCGGCCTCGAGGGGAACAAGCTTGACGAGAGTCGCGAATGAGGTCGTTGCCAAAAGTCGCACGTCATTGTCAGAATCGCTCATTCGGCCAAGAACGGGAACGACCAAGAAGATAACATAAGGAAGAATACCATCTTCCATCACGTGTATCAAGTGATAGATGCACTCAATTGCACCTTGGCGGTGGTGGACATCCAAACCATTGCTGATGATAGGCAAAACCTTCTCCACGAGCATGGTCATACCCTTCACTGTGATGACACTGCAAATGGTGGCAAAGCATTTTGCTGCTGCGTACCGGATGACAGAAAGACGACACTGGAGACCCTTGGCGATGATCGGCATGAGATCCAGAACCCATGGGTAGAGACCTGGATGAAATTTGGGCAGGAGAGCACGAAGTGTAGACAAACCGTCAACAATCTCTTGACCAAGCTCGTTCTCGGGGTTGGTGATATCTTCTGGAAGTTCATCGTTTACCAATGCATCTCGCAAAGGCCGTTCGACCAACTTGGCAAGGTTTGGAACCTTCTCCAAAAGTTCGGCGCCAAACTTCACAGTCAACTGTTCAAGGGCATCCTTGGCACCACGGCGCATGATCCTTGCTTCCTTGGCTTCTCTTTCAAACTTGGCTGCATCCGGGTGGTCGCGACGATCCTCCTCTTTGCGAAGGGACAGAATCGATTTCTCCAACTGGGCATTGTGTGGGAATTCAGGTGTCTCGGAGGTGTCGACACAACAGTATTTCACCAGGTTTCCAATGATCTTATCGACAGGACCACGCTTGGTCGCGGCAGTGTAATGTTCGATCAACCCGGCCACAGCCGTAGCTGAACGCTGTTGAAGTTCGAAGTTCTCCTCCTTCTTGATACTATCCATCATTCCCTTGATTATGTGACCAGGCTTCTTGGGAATATCCCGCAGAGCGACAAGAGCGCCAGCAGTGGCAGCCAGCACGCGCATATCACGCTGTTCTTTCATCAGTCGGGCCTCGTCAACTGCGGAGAGTGTGGTTGCGCGAGTATCTGTCAGAACTTGGGTGGCAGTGATTCGTTGAGCGGGTGTCAGGTTCTTCTTCAATCTGTCGAAGTCAGGACCAACGATCTTCTCAGCATCCGCCAAAGAGAACGCGTTGGGCCCGGCCTCCGAGTCACCTTGGACAACGACGGCCAATGTCGGCAGTCGGGAAGGTGCAACGTGCGCATGGTCGCGGAATGTGTTCAACAGCGAATGGCATTGGGCGCGCGCAACATGCAGGTAGCACGCAATGTCTGAGTACCATGGCGGGCGCTCGTTTTCGAGAACGTTTCGTAGATTGTCACAAAGATCGGAGTTGTACTTGCTATCAGGTCCGTATCGGCGAGCATACTCTTCGATGACCATGGACGAAGCAAGCTGGGTAGTTGAAGCAGAAACATTGAGACCCCCTAGAATGGAGGGCCAGAAGCTGGGTAGCTCATTCTTGTCCCAGAATGATAACAGTTCGCCCAGCGCCTTGGAGGCAAAGATCTTAGACCGTAGCATGGTATCGGCACCGACGAGATCAATATCACCAGATAACATGTGCCCGTCCACATTGTGTGCCGAAGGCGCCTGTGGCTCTTTTTCCTTCTTCTCCGACTTGCGTCTGCGGCCAGGTTTGGTCTCAGCGCCGCCGGGAGCTGGAGGAGAGGCTTTTGAGGGTGTCGGGGCTGGGGCAGCAATGGAGAATGGCAGTCCAGACGGCTTGATAAAGAGCGACGCATTCATAGGGATGGGGTATCGAGGGACACCAAAGGCACCTAGGGTCAGGGTAACGAGAGGTGAAACGGATTCAGATAACTCTTCTGCAGATTTGAATGAACCGCGCAGTTCAGCAACCTTGAGTAGCTCAGACCACACTTGACTGGAAAGCTTCAAAACGCCCTCGTTGCGCTCCACCAGAAGGTTTTGGAAGATCAAACGCAAAGCCTTGCCATCTACCCAGTCTGTTGAGCCTTCGCCTTCCAATTTGAGGAACGTCGTCAGAGCTCGAAGTACAGCTGAGCGGACACTGGTGATGGTATGGCGAAGGAACGGATAGAGACGAGGAACGAGCTTGCCAAATGAGGCTTCGGCATCATCCGCGGCGTTTGCCTTCATTGCGTCCAGAACTTGAGAGTAGGTGCACAACTTGGCCAGAAGGTCCATCACGGAACCTGTACTGGCGCTAAGATCATCCTGAAGGTTAGAGAGGCAGTCCCAGACGATATTCATCAATGGGCCGAGAGTGCCAGTCCGTGATGTGACGAACTCTTCTGCGATTGGCACAAGCGTTGCGGCACTGACGGCTCGGACATCGTCGTCGAAATCAGCAAGCCCTTTCATGACAGCCTCTAAAACGCCATCCATCATGTTCGAGTCCTTGATAAGCAAGTCTTTCCGGACCGCAACCAAATAGCGCAGGCCAATCATGCCACCATGGCAGACCTCCCAGACAGGACGTTCAAGTCCTAGGTCTGTTTGCATGATGATGCGGTAGAGGCATCGGTATACCGATCGAACTGATTTCGGATGAAGATGTGAGAGCAGCGCACCCAACGTCTGGCCCACGGTTTCACGGATGGGGGCGACAACATTGTCGGAAATGTAATCACCAAATCGATCAAGCATCAAGACGGATAGTAGTCTGCAGGCAAGGTCGTCTAGCCACTTGCGGTTGAGCGCGTCATTTTCAGTGCGAGTCTTTCCATCTTGGCGGCCAGCAGCCACGCCCTGGACTCGAATCACTTCACGCAGGGCCATAGCGGCACCATGTCGGACTTCCCAATTGGAGTCAAAGATGTCTATGGTGAGGAATTCGCACATGTGTTCCAAAGGCCATCCTCCACCCTGCTCCGAAATCTCAGGTTGCAGGTGAGGCCGCTCTGGGGCGACAACTCCTTTGAACTCAGAAACAACCTTAGAATCATCGTCTTCTTCGTTGCGTTCGAATGAAAAGTAATCAGTCTTCGTCTCGCCGTTGTGATCATCCCCATTCTCTGCTTTCACGGGATGAGGGGTCGTGGGCGTGGGCGTCGTCACGGCCTCAGATTGTCGACGCGCGGACAGATCTACCACGCGGACCTTGTTTGCTCCCATCTTGGCGTGCTGTTTGTTTTTGCGCTTGAGTTGATTAAGTTGTCGCTTGCTCAGCCCTCCATCCTCCTTGATCGCACTCTCGTTGGGCGAAGAGGGGCGGTGGGACGGGGCTTCGATTAAACTGTTCTGGCGCGAGATGGGCGCGATCTTGGGTTCATCCTTGGGGGCCGGTGTGACCACTTTGGGGGCCTTCTCAACATCCTCAATGAGGTCCTCTTCGAGATATTCACCTTTCAACCCGAGTCGCGAGGTGAGAGTCTTCTTCTGGTGCTGCAATCGGGCCGTTGGCTCCATCGATGCCAAAGAGTATTCATATTCTTTTCCTGCGCTACCAAGCAGGCGTTTACCAAATCTCAAAATTGACGCGAGGTCCAGGGTATCGAGCTTGAGGAATTCGTCAATCGAGAACGACTCTTCGGATTTGATCTCGGACTTGATCTCCACGTCATCCTCATCTGCGGCCGACTTGATCTGCAGCCCATCATCTTCATTGGGGTCATATGGATCTGCGTTCGCGACAATCAAGCCGATTGCCTTGGCCGAGGCCGTTCTGGTGTCCCAAGATTTGGATCTGAGGTAGGGCAAGATGCGCCCGAGCAGGTTGAACAGTTCATCTGGGTGCTGTTTCTGAACATCTGCCAGCTGCTGGGCGGCTGTATTGCGAATTAATTGCGTACTGCCCGTCTCGAGGAGCCTGTGTTATGCTGTTAGATGATATATGCCATCTGGGCCCTGGTCTTCTGTATCACTCACGTGACGAGTCTGTCTAATCTGCGGTGGTGGTTAGTCATCGGGTCACGTGTAGAGCTGTTGATAGTACTTACCGAGACCCCATCTCGAGTCGCGATCAAGTAAAAAATCTAAATGAGAATTCACAGAGGATCAGAGCAATTGCGCGCGACAAAGCGCGCAATTGAATTGGAGAGACGATAAGAAAAAAAAGATTAGATAGGAAAAGAGAAAAAAAAAAAAAAAAGAACCAAAGACCTAACGCCAGGCGATGCCAAGGAGAGAGAATTGGAGTGACTGGACGTAGCCCTTGAGAGCCTCTGGAACGCCAGGCCGACCTTATTATAGCAGAGGGCAGGCGCGGACTAATTTGCGCCTTTCCGTTTCGGGACTAGCGTACTGGTCTAGCGTTGGCGGTGAGAGCTCGGGACCACTCAGCGCGCGGCAAATTTTCACTGCGCCGGAATACGTGAATCCAACGGGAACGCGTGAAATCACTGGATGACATACTCTGTCCGTATCTGACCTTACTTCGTAGGACTTTCTGCACTGTAGATTCCAGCCTAATGTCTGAGATAGTCACTGATGCACTGTGTGATCAAATCCTCTTCCTTGAATGAAGGAGTGAATGCCAAGACATGCCAGATCGCCTCTTGAGAGTTCGAGGAATACCGATCAGCGGGACCTGTTGTCGATAATGCTGCAGTGTTGATGATTGATGTGTCTAATGGGAAAGCAAGGTGAAAGAGTCATCCTGCACGTGAAACACGGGGTTGCAAGAACTGCCAACCCTGAAAGGTTCATCTAATTCTGAAATAATTTTCAGTTAGCCCTCTTATATATATTCCAAGGTTTGCTGCCTGGGTGCGTGCTTCATTTGAATTTGAAGATCCATGGATTCCCCAGTTTAAGCAGCGTGTTCGGGTATTCAAGACAAACTTGGAAGCTTTCAAGCTTCCAAGTTTGATTAGCAAATTGAAGTTGAACAAACTTGGAATATTCAAACGCTTAGACATCGCTTCTTTTGATATTTGCAGGTTCCAGGGTCCAACCTAAATTCCACCTGGCTCATTGGACAATCGAAAACTCCCGGGGTCTTGAGCACGGAACATAACACACAGAGAACGCCAACCTTCCAAAGTTGGAACAACCCTAGAGTACAGGGTCATTGAGGGGAAGAAACACAGAGAGATCACTTAAATAGCTACGGAGTACTAGATACCATCTGGGGACCCGGCTCCGGGAGCATTCGATAAGTTTGCCCGCATCCAATCAGAACCCACCTTTATTCGTTAATCAGCCTTCTGGGGATTACTCGATGATCATACCGGCTATTGTATACGAGGTACTGTACTAGTATAAACCGACCACCTGGACCCAATTGAGAAGCAAATAATGAAGCACCGGGTGTCATCGAATTGGAGTATCATTTCGAACCAACAGACATGAAAGTCAACCAGTTAAGCGTTTCTATACAGTCACAAGCTCCGGGGGAAAGTCCCGGCGCGGAAACGCGGAATCAATCGCATTGAAAAAAAAGAGAACAAGCACCCCTAGTTTACCGCTGGGCCAGCACATTGGCTGCCTCTTCTTCCTTCCCAAGTAGACCCAGGCTGCGAATTTGCTCAGCCTTGGGGGCGTTCTCACGCGGGTGTGCGGCCTCGGCCTTCCGGTAGGCAGCTTGCATCTTCATGGTGCGGAGAGCCTGTTCCCAATTCCAATGGTTAGCAAGTGTATCATTCCAGGTTGCATAGGACATCGATCAGGTGGGGGGTTCCCGTACCTCTTTCCGGTGGTGAAGGCACTCGTGGTAATCTTCCAGGGCGGGCACACACTTCTTCTTGCCGCTCTCACCCTCGCCGGAGTTCACCACGTAGCAACCAAGGACCTCTTGCCAGAAGGGGTAGCAGCGGGAGCGACCTAGAAAAAGCGAAGGGTCAGCCGGGTTCACTCGCGGGGGAGACAACCATCTGCGCAAGCCATGATTCAAGGCTTCGCGCATTGAAGCAGGTCGCCCGGGGAGCCAGAATAGCACATACCGCCGTTGTTTCCATAACCGGAAGCCATTGTGATATGTCAAGGGGGGTGATTGAGCGAGGTGTAGGCACAGAGACCGCGAAAAAGGTGGTGATGAAGTGCCGGCGGACAACTCTTCTTGCCGTTACCGACTTGGACCTAGATGGTCCGTGCACCCACCCTATGCAAGTTGGCCACCAACTATGAGACCACCTCACTTCTCGACCCCTCTAGACCATGGCTTTCGAGTTATCCGATGCGCATGCCATTCTGCTTGCGACAAATATATGCGCTGGTGGTAGTGTAACGGACTTGCCTGCCCTACAGGCCCAATATCCTCATTGTTTTCCCTTTGAGCGTCTCCTGCGCATCGTCTTGACCTTCCTGCCCGAGAGCACGGAGCCTTCAAGCTACACCTCGGTGCTTCAAGAGCTGGAAAAAGGACCCACCTCGCCAATAGATCAACCTGTCGATACCTCCGCTGTTCAAGATCTGACAGAATCGGTCGCTCGAAAGCGCGTGCGGAAGCTTAATCTTCGCCCACTACAACGTCACGACGAGGAGGCCGAAGTCGCTTCAGCAGATCCCTTGACCCAATTCCTGATTCACCGGGCGTACTTGATCGACTCCGAGACAGCACTACAGCCTCTGGTCCTCGAACTCCTCCTACCCTTCTACGAACGTTCCTCAGTCATTCGAACATGGCTGATTTCCAGCCTATTACCACTGCTTCGACTCAACTACGAATTATACGCGAATCGGGAAGAGAACATATCATTTGAAGTTCTGGAGTCGATGGATGATCAGACCGCAATCAACATACTATTGTCCTTGATCAGTGACGAGGAAAACAACATGGATTTGGTCAATAATTTGAAAGGTCTCATTGGACCTTGGCTGTATGGTGGCAGCAGGTCCAAGCGGCGGAGACTGAATGAGGTCGCGCAACAGAATTCGGTCTCTTTTATCCAAGGGTCGGAGAAACCTCAACCCACTGAACTGGCGGGGTGGGAGCATGTCAATGAATGGCTAGTGTCGCGAAGCCTCGTGGATCATGAAAGTGTTGTTAATGCTTTCAAACACTGGGATGGTCCATCAGATGTCGATTTGGGGGGATACGACGACCCCGCAAAACGATTAGCGGACGACAAGGCGAGAGAATTGCAGGTCCGGTATGGTCAATCTGGTCTTGCCGTGGTGTATGCCCATGCAGATTCCTCGCCGGCTGTTCTTGATGGTTCGTTTGAAGTGCTGAACAGGGTCGCAAAGCTACTTGGCCTTGAAGATAGCCTGTACCTGAGCACCGACTCCGAACTCCACTCTGTGCACTATGACACCGAGCCAGTATCCTCGACTTCCAGAGCATCGCTTCTGCAGAACTCCCTTCTAAGACCGACAAATCCCCTCACCAAACCTTCGCCCTCATCCGTCTCGTTTCTCAGCGCTCTGCTCATCTCTCTGCGTATTTTGACAGAACTAGGTCACCTCGTGCCCTGTCGAGTTGCAGCAAACATATGCTTGCACAGCAGCCAGGAAATGCAATTGGCAGAACTCAAAAGTGTTGTCGAATCCACTGTGAAACAGCCAAGGCCATCTCAAGATTGGCCGATGGTCCGGCAAAGATTACTTTGGCTTCGAGACTGGCAGTCTGAGGAACCAGAAAGCGCGTGGGATGAAGGTTCTTCGCCCTATCACGGACTTTTCTGGAGAGTTCCGCGGGAGATCGTCGAAACAGAGATCTTAAAGGCCATGCTGGCAGCCAAAGGTAAGCTTCCGCGTTATCCAAAATACATTGCGGATACTAATTGTGACTCTAGAGTACCAGTTGGCTGTCGACTTATACAAGAATCCGCAAACAGCACCGCTCCATCCTTCTCAGGTAGAAGCGGCTGTCCAGGAGGCCATATTCACAGCATACGATAACGCAAGCAACGGCAACCGAACTCGTGGGGGAATGAAGAGAGCTTATGACATGTGAGGCAACTTATCAGAGAACGCGTGAGATTTGGCACTAACAATCTCTAGCCTGCAATCATTCCAACCGCACTTCCCGGAGTCTCTGTCATTCAAACAGATTCGCGCCCTTATAGCTGCCACGCACGCCCTCTCATACTACTCTCTAACCCTCCAGCATGGCGTTCCATTCCAGCCCGTGAGCATTCGAGTGCATCATGATCCTCTTCTGTTAATAGAGAAAGTTCTCGAACAAAACGCAAGAAGCTACACCAAGCTAGATGACCTCCTCTCTATTGGGCGCAACCTCGTCGCCGCAGGTGTGCCGGCAAAAGCCGCAACCCACGACACAGATGATGACGAGGCCTTTGATAATCCATCAGAGGAGCAAGTCTCACTTACCTCCGAACGCCGCATCACCAGCCTAGCAATCAACTCCGCTCTCTCCTCGAACGACTTTGGCACAGCCTACTCCTACATCCAAACCCGCCTATCACCCCCATCGCTCCTCTCACCTCCATCTTCGACGCCCACCACGCCAGACGATATTTCCTGGCGAGCCGTCTACAGCGCAGGTCGCTACCGCTCCACAACACCAGTAAACCCACCGCCAGCTCTAACCACACAAATCACCCATCTTTCCCAACGAATGGAACTCCTCAGCCTGGCCCTCGTCCTCACCCCATCACCAGACCCTCTCCCCGAGATTTTGGGCGCCTGGCGCCGCTGCGACGAAGAACTCTCTTCTCTCCGTGCTCGCGAACAGCAAGAAGAAGACCTCTGGGACCGCAAAGGCGATACTCTCTCGTCTGTACCGGGCGGTTTCGGACCATCTGATTCGGAACGCGACGCATTCGACACCGAACAGCAGCGCGCCGCACGGCGTGCTAGGGCCCGAGCTGCCTTGCCTAATTCCCATCGCCATGAGGCACCTATGGGTCTCTTTGAGGTTGCACGGGGTGCTGCAATGGCTCTTCATAAGAATGCCTTCCCCTTGCGAGGCAAGGAAGAGGTAGCCATAAGCGATGAGCGGCCTTTGTCCCCGGATAGTGAAGGCCGCGTGAGAAAGAGGGACATGGTCAGCAATATGGTGACGGGTGGTTTGGTCAGTGGTATTGGATGGGTAATTGGTGCACCCGCCAATAAGTAGACTAAGAAATGCCTAGGTATACCTACCTAGGTAAGCTTGTGCCGTCGCTTTTACGATAGAAACGAGATTTGATGATCCATCGGTATTTGTTGATCTATGCACCTACATGTTTCCTAGGTTATTCCGAGACTCAGATCTTCACATATTTTTTTAGTATGTGTTTATATATCCAACAACTGCATGCAATTGAAGCTAAAGACAAAATGCAATGGTATTAAGTACCCAAGCCCTCGACTTTCATGCATTGCATATACTCCCGCATCCAGTGCAAAACGGAAGCACACCCGAACTGAAAAAGAAAGAAGAGAAAAGAAAAGAGCTATACACTGTAAGTAAACGACGAAAAACCTAGGATCGATATGTCCAGGCGAGAGTAGTAGAGCAGAAAGGAGCGGGAATCCATCGTGCATAATGTAAAAGGAATGGGGAAGCGCTGTATCCAACAAAACATGAGAATGCCGGGCCATTAAGGATCGTAGGGGGTGAAAAAGCGTAGCCGAATTCATCGCTGGAAAGTATCTGCTATAATGGGTATGTCCCGAGTTCCTGCCCGGGAGGAAGACGGCAAAAAAAGGCAGAAATAGTCGTAAGGATTGATGTTGACAGCCAGGTCAATGGGGGTCCAGCCACTCGTAAGACGAAAATTTGAACGGAGAAAGCGTTGGGGGTTGGAAGATCTTTACTCCTTCCAATCCCATACTTGCTTCACGAAGTTGGCCATGTTGACCTTCTTGTTTTTCATGTCCTGCACCCAAGGATGTTCCAGCATCCGCCAGGGACTCGCGCGTCGAGGGGGTTCTTTTTCCAAGCTAGGGATCAAGTTAGGAAACGCAAACGAGCGATCTTGGAGGGGAACATACCAGCATTCGATGAAGTATTTAAAGTTGTCCGACCAGCGAATACCGTTTTCCGGCTCATCCTTCAATTTGGGAATAGGCTGGCGAACGATGTAGGTGAGAAGGTCTATTAGCCCTGCACGGGGTTGCATTTCTGTCCCGTCGGCAGGGAAGGGGAATCGATGTTGCGCAACTTCGAGCAAAGACACTCCGAGGGACCAGACGTCAGACGTGATGGTGTAAGATTGGCCAGTGATACGTTCTGGGGCCATGTAGTAAGATGTACCGATGAAGGTGTTGGCGTCGCCCTTGGTTCCGAATTCACCACTGACACCGAAGTCGCAAAGCTTGACCTTGCCGTCGCGACACAAGAGAATGTTGGAAGGTTTAATGTCTGCAAACCGTTAGTGATCACCCAAAGACAAATGACAGCGCGCGTTCGTACCTCGGTGGATGATCTTTCGGCTGTGAAGATAGGTCAACCCGTTCAATACGCCCTCTGCGACTTTTCCGAGCACCTTTTCTCCAGTCCGACCTCCAAGCTTCTTGACCTCCTTGTAGATGCTGTCGAGACTTCCACCTTCACAGAATTCCATAGCGATCGAGATTGTGCCGGTTGATTTGTCCATAAAGGCACCATAGTAACGACAGATGTGGTGCGAGGCGCAGTCCTTGTTGAAGTTGAGTTCTCGCACGATTTGCTTCTTGACATCAGGGTTGGGGTCCGTGGTGATGATCTAATATCCAAGTTAGTTGTGGAAATGGCGATCGTGGGGAACAGTGGCTGACCTTCAACGCGAACACGGTCTTCCCCTCCTTGAGTTGACATCGGGTGACAGCGCCGCCAGCGCCCTCACCTAGACTACCCAGCTCGACGATCTTGTTTTGTTCACTGGCTGCATGCCAGCCCTCGTCATCGAGATCATCCACGTCGAGGGGCCGGCCCTTCTCCAAGCTCAGCTTATCCAGATCCGGGAGAAGTCCGTTGACGCTGTTATCACGATCTCCGCCCTCGCGATCCGAGTAGACGGAGCTGATCGCCGACGACGGATCCGATGAGCCATCCGGCTGTCGCAGACCCATGACAAAGTTAGCTGTCGTATATGAGTTTGCCGATGCACCGTTCGTCTGCAAGGACAGTTTGGGCGCGCCGCCCAAGCCATTCGTGCTCAGCGGGGGCGGGGCTGGTCGACCGTTTGGCATGAGCGCTGGCTGCGACACGGCCTGTTGGCCACCTGACGGGGTGGCCAGCTGCAGTCGTGGGGGAGCTGGTCGACCCGAGGGGCGCTGGGGTTGCGGGGCTGGTTGGGTTTGGATCTGAGGGACCGTCTGAGGGACCAAAGCGGGGGGGTTGTCATTGACGGGTTTGGCGCTGGGGGAAGGGGGGATGCCCAAGGTGAGCTTGGGGGCTCGCGGGCTGCCAGTGTTGTTGCGGGAGCCGGGAATTGGAGGACGAAGGAGCGGCACGGAGGACGACATGGCGAGATTGCTTTGCCTTTCGCCAGGCAAGAACAACTCGTTGGGATCGGCGAGTGCAGCCACAGTGTCGACCTTGTGAATAAGAAACAAAGAGAGTGCGTCGGAGAGGACGAAGTGGAAGAGCAAAATGCAACGGGCCCCAAGGAAAAGGCAGAAGCGATAAGGCGTTGAACGAGTGGAGTTGCGAATGGGAAGTTGCCGAGAGCGAGAGGAGAGCAGGTGACCTGTTCTTCGCAACCAGGGTGTTTGTACCGATATATATCCAGATCTCTCGATTCCCGTATGATATCAATGATCGCAATTCAATATATTTTAGTTGTCAATCTGAATCAGAGTCTCTAAGAATACCATGAATATTAATAGAGCAACACAGCCCTGCCCAGCCAGATTCGGGTGTCGGGCAGTGGGGGGGCCCTATGTTTCAGAAAGCGCCCGAGCTGAAACACGCTGTTCTGCGTTTTCGAGTGCGTTTTCGAGTCTCCGTACAAACATTCACCTTTGTACAGTGTTTACAGTCTACAGTCTACAGTCTACAGTCTACAGTCTACTAGTACAGTCTACAATGCCTACAGAAGCAAAAACAGAGACTTCATTGCAACCATGGTTCGGCCCGAACTGCCCGTTTTTCAGCGAAAAATGTGAAGCGAGAGACACTTAAATCACAGGCATCTGGCTCGTCATAAGTTCCCTTATGCCTTCCAAGGTTGGAGCCGCAATCTTGGAATGGGCGATTTGCTGTGACCTATCACGGATATATTCACGTACAAGAACACTCTCTACATACTCCGTACAAGGTACTTAGTCGACGCACAGCTCAATCTTCTGTTACTACTCTGAAGCGATCTGTCAGATTAAAGATATGTCATTCAATGGATGGAAAACGGGGCTGTGGCTTAAACTGTGGCCGCGCAGGATGGGTCCGATGTCATCATATCCAATGTCACACTCGCCTCAATGGATCCTGCCGATCGTGAGATTCGGTTTGCCGATACAGTTGCAATCTCCAGTGCGTACTCCATGGATACAGCAATCATGTCTCGGGAGTGAATACCTATGCACTTCAAGGTTCGCCCGCTTCTTATAATTTCAACTGACAATCTACCACATGATAAGTATACTCGTCATCTGGGCAGCAAAAACGCTGAATATCTACTAGTACAAGGCATAACTTGCTCCTGAGAAACCCAAACTTAATACTGACCTAGGTACTCCGCAGAAGTGAGTCAGGATCTCGGAGTAAACTCAGAACCCGGCCCCTGCCCAGTGTAGCAACTTGGAATGGATGAGATATTACTCCGTACCCTGTCCACGATGGGTTACACCTGGCCCTGCTGGGAACGTCAACGTCCCAAGATTCGAGCCCTGGAGTGACCAAGAACCGAGTGACGACTATCGTGCACATTCAATTCCTCATTCTTGATTCCATAGCACACGCAAAACAATGTCAAGGCACGAGTGCTGACGTAGAACCAATCCCCTCGCACAATCTTGTATCCAACGTATCACGAAGTCGGAAAAAAGAACGCGTGTGCCTGAGTCAACCTCTCCATCAACCCAACCGCCTGAGTGAGCTGTTCCTTCAAGGATGTGGTCGCTTGCTTGTGTCATCGGCGCTAAACGTGACGCGTCATTGCCGATCAGGATTGGGTTGACAGATTGTTTCCGATGACGATCAAAGGGGATCAGCTGCGATGGTTGGTCAATTGATGTGATGAATTTTCAGACCCATCAGGATTGAGCCGACTTTCTCGCAAGGAGACTTGCAGCCTGAAATATCGATTTCATCGGAGTATTTTTCCAATCGAAGGGTGCAGGTCAAGGGCGACTACGGAGTAGATGTCCACTTCACAACCAGCACGCACATGTACATACAGTATGTACGTACGCATCCAGTGTGCAGACACCGCCACCCTTACCCGTCATATCCCATGATATTCCGTAGTACTCCGTGCATTGGCAGGGCCGTGACTCAAGGATCTCTCAGGAAGTCAAAGAGACCGGAACGCAGCATAGACTCCCACCTCGCGAGACGAGCGATGCGTTACGTAGCCCGTCTGAAAACCAAACACGAGCAGGGTTTGCAAAAGCAAGCCAGGGTGAACTTCGGCAAAAGGTCCGGTCCACACCGACTATAATTAACTCGCGAACACCCCTATTGCCCATGTTCTCCAGAGTGTGCTCCGTACGGAGTACATGCACACTATACTGTATTGGCCATGGACCAGAAACACTCCACCAATAATTATGTCCCAGAAACCTAAATTGGGCTAAAGATAGCATTCAATCAACTATGGGGTTGATAAGAGCACTGGTATACGTTGGAATCCAAGATAGCGGTCCGATCTATTGAAAAAAAGGGCCAGGATGCTCATCTGGTGGAGTCCGGGGGCGCCACGAGAACGAAAGCATAGAATGAACCCCTATCGTGGAGTCACAGTATTATCCCACGCCATGTCAAGAGACACATGATCATTGGCCCCTGAGACCCAAATTCGCACACGTAGGTGGTCGAGCCACTTCGATGATATGTTCCGAGGTCTCGACTTGGGTAACTGATGAAGATCGACATGCAGGTGCAGGTTTTCATGTTGTAAGCCAATACTCCGTACCGATGAGAGTACAAAGCGCAGTCAGCAATCAGCAAGGACAATCGGTATCATGTCAGGGACACCAATCAAGCGTCTAGACCCTGATCTTTTTTTGTCGAGTTGCGCTTGGGCTCTTCCCCATAGACCGGTGTGGCTCAGGGGTACGCCACGAGCAAGCTTCGTTAAGCACTTTACGCGGAAGTAACTTGATGCGGTCTAACCGTTATGGCGTGAAGCGCGTGAGACCTTCCCGTTGCGGGGGCAATTCGCTTGCAATGACGGCGTTCTCGGATTTATCGGGTATATTTCATCTCATGTGCTCAGGCAGATAGCATGGAGCATTCAAGAAGGGCTGTCTATAGTACGGTAGAGAGCTGGGTTGTTACTGCTGCAGTTTCGTACTCGTACTCCGTACTCAAAGTACATATAGTTCATGCTGCCATTGTCCAGCAGATAAACATCGGACGATGATATACCCAGGGGACCGGAGGATGCAGAACAGTCCCATTATTGCTCCACCGCAACACAAAGACGTAATAAACCAGTAATAATACCATGTCTCGGGGATTCACTCCGACACTCAGGGTCGAGTTTGGTTCAATGAGATGAACATCCGGAGTAAGGACCAGCCTCATTTCGCAGGTAGAGTGCACATCATCGTGAATTCGGCCCTTGCACAATACGTGATCTTGGCGAAATGAATCGCGGGCTGTTCAGGGGTAAGTGGAGTCAAGACCCACGGGGTGGTAACGCTGCAACTTGGACGCCAGGAACGGGTAGTGGATCGGCGGTCTGAAACATGGAACAAAGCGTATTCAGTATAAACAGAAAGCAAATGAGTTACTACTATAGTACTATATGTAAGTAGTACTCCATTTGAATACGTAACTGCTAGCATAGATGAGACTAGGCTCATGTCCTAAGTCGGACTCTTCGTTCTGGTCCCGGAGGATACGGACTCGGAGTATCTAAAGGCAAGGGTGGTCTAACGATCAGCGTTTAACGCTAAGAACACTAGCGGGTCAAAATTACCAGACGCTGGGTACTTCATTTACAAGTGAAAACAAAATGAAAACAAACCTACTCGTGGACCCAATCAGAATGGCTGTGCCATCATGGCGGTTCAATGACGAGGTTCTGGGTACATGTCAGGATGCGGTGTGGCTTAGTGGCGGACGAAGTACCCAGTACACACTCCGAATACAACACCCTCCCCGAATCGAGTCTCCCCTTTTTTTAGGGGCATTGAGTGGCTGCTGATCGCAAGTGGCCAATCTCCCCGTTCATACAAAGGCCCCCTACCTCCCCCGTGCTGTTCTTGTTCCTTTCCTTCTTCAAGTACAATCTTCGTTGCATAGCATCCAGTCACTCTCTCTCGACTTCGGTCTTCCACTCTTTCAACCACACTCTCTTTCACAACAAAAGCCTAGCTTTTTATAAATACCTTTTTGAACACCCACGGTTTCCGTACATAACATTCAAAATGCGTTTCACTGCCGCCACTGTTGCCTTCTTCGCCGGCCTTGCCGTTGCCGCCCCTGGCGCCGCTGACCAGACCGTCTACGAGACTGACGAGGTTACCATCACCTCCTGCGCTCCCACCGTCACCGACTGCCCCGGCCGCTCCACCGCCGAGCCCACCGGCACTCCCGCCGTCCCCTCCAGCGTCGGTGCCTCCGAGACCCCCGCCTGGTCCGAGACCCCTGCTGTCTCCTCCGAGACCCCTGCCTGGTCCTCCGAGACCCCCGCCTGGTCCGAGACCCCTGCTGTCTCCTCCGTCCCCACCTGGGCCCCTAGCGCCAGCGCTCCCTCCAGCGTCGGCGGCTGGGCTCCTAGCTCCAGCGCCCCTGCTCCCGCTCCCCCCGCGGTCACCTCCGCCTCTTACACCGTGACCGCCATCACCACCTGCATGCCCACCGTCGTCTACTCGACTGTCCCCGTTGGCCCTGCTCCCTCCGGTGTCTCCCCCACCGGCCCCGCTGGCGGCAACGGTGGTGGTGTTCCCCACGCTCCCTCTGGCACCAAGGGCGTTACCTCCGGTACCGCCGCTGCCTCTCCCTCCGCTTCCCCCGCCTTCAACGGCGCTGGTGCTCTCAGCGGCTCCCTCGGCTTCGCCGGTGCTGCCGCCGCCGCTGCCTTCTTCCTCGCATAAATCAGTCCTTTCGGATTGATTTTGTGAGGCCTCTATCTAGATCTTTTGGATCTGGCTAGTGGTCTTGAACCGCAGTGGATGAATTGGAAGTACGAGAAGAGGATTGTGTCATTTAGGGTTTCTGGTGATTTACTCTTAACAATTGTTGTTTTCTGACTGGATATTTCTATCCCTTTTTGCTATGCCATATATATTTCCTTTTATTTCTTCTTGGGCTCCCTGGATAGCTTCGGAGTTGTGCGAAGCTCGCTGGTGGCTTGAGCACGACCTTAATGTAAACCATGACAGCTTTTCACCTCCCTTCCAGCGCCCGTAACCTTTGGAATGTACGCCTTACTTTCTGTCTATAATTCCATAATTTCTATACGATCATGTCTTTGTACAGTAAACACTGAGTACATCTAGCCCATACTTTCTATCGGGGTTGTTGCCAGGAACCGTGCCCCTGCCCCTGACTCCGGGAACGTGGACCTCGTATTCCTTAGGGCTGAATACGCCACTGGCATTTCGAGTCCGACCGGCTTGTTTTTCCGGAATTGAAGTTCATCTGTTACGCCATAATTTTGAGGGCCAAAAAACCCTGGAAATGAGTTTGGATCGTGAAACTGCCAGTCGATATGCAGGTGTGTTTCTATAATGTTACATGTTACAGGTAACCTTAGAACAAAAGGATGATCGCCCGGGCGTATATTGCGTATCAAATCTCGAACCATGCATCTGGCGGTTCGAGATATGTTTCTACTAGACTGCATTTGATACATCACGTTGAAACGGCCATTATTGAGTGTAACCATACCCGTTGAGTTTCAGATATAAAGCGACCCCAATATTGTATTTTTTTCCCGAGCTGATCATACAGCCTTGGAATTAAGTTTCTTAGAACCTCGGGGTGAACTTCCAAGGTTTTGGAAAGCGTTGTGTTCTGCATTTCTAAATTTTACATTGTCCTCGCACATATAAATGTCACCTCATATGAAGGACCTAGGAACGCCTAGGTATCCCTTCAGACTCACGCGAGCAGTTGAGTATTGCTACGTGTATGATTGGCTATAGGGAGTCCACTCAAGGATCCGGTGGCTGAGTTGGACCCGGGGCCGTTGAGCGTGCGTCCATGCAGATAAGACGGATGGCCTTGCAAATCCTCTCAGATATATTGGAACGATCTACTAGCAAGTCTTCATGTCACTGCCGACCCCCGGAGTGTCCCTTGTTGTGTTAGCTGCCTCTCTACAGTACTAATATTTATCTTCCGTGACCCCAGTGTGAGCTTCCTTGGATTTTGTCCAAGCCCTAGGTGTGGGGCAGAATCACAGCCCCTTCTTGCAATCTATGGTGGTTTATTTCGGGACCTCGATCTTTTTAGTACGTTTGCTAGAATACTATTGTAGAACCACAGAGAAGAAAAATCTTGGAATGCACCCTCGGTATCGGAAACTAGTACTGAATCAAGCCACTCCACCGAATGTGAAATGGGGTCCTTCTCGAATGCCGAATTTGGACCCCAAGTTGCATCCCGAGCAACTAATCGATTTTAGGAATATGTCAGGCTTGCTTTCGACCATCGCTTCCTGTCATTGGTCAAGCAAGGTGGACTTTGCTTTGAATGAGTGGCTCTCTTTCGATTTCGGGAAATGGGTTCGCCAGCACGATTGGATGAACAGAGAGAAGGATTTTAGTGTTGAGCCCCAAGAACGCCTTGCGACGACATGGTGGAGCCCGATCGGGGAGAGCTTGCTTATATCTAGCCCACTGAACTGTCACCGGAATTCAAATGCGAGACTCGAAACTTCACGTTTGCAAGGTTCCAAATCTTATTTTGGCTTTGGATACGAGCGACGACGATCCGCCCTCTCAATACCAACGTCACTTCGTGTCTGGCGATACTGCTCGTCTATCCCAGTTCACATCTGCACTCCTTTAACGCGTTGAGAAATGAGACTCTGTTCTTTCTTACGAGATTCGAAGCACCATCCCCTTCAGCCAAACTTCGAGCTTCCAGCCATGGACTTGTCCTCCCTTGAAGGCCCGCAGATGGTAAACCCTAAATTCATTGTTCAACCAGACGTTCCGGCTCGTATCCATCACTCTCGCACACCGACTCATGTCCTGTTCTCAAAACCCCTACCACCAAGACCAGCTTCGGCAGACGCGACCTCTCCTCGACATGGCCAGAGCATACAGCAGGATTGGCCCTCCGAAAGACTGATGGACGGGAATCTCAGACGCAGCCCAGCACGCAGAAGGAGCCCGCAGTATGAAGGATTTTACGAGTATGATCCTCGTTCTCAACACGTTCCCACCTTGCGTATACCTCAACAGTACCCATCTGGGCATCACGTTCGACGGCCACGGAGCTGCAACCCCACCAATCTCATCTGGCTCGAGGACCAAAAGCTTTGGGTCGTTGGAAACAGCATTGCATCGCCACAGGACCGCTTTTATGAGAGACCGCCCTCCCACTCGACATCACCTGTTTCACCACTCTCTGGATACCATCCGATGACATTCCACAGGAATGAATATGATTTGCACTACTCGGCCCGAGCTGACTTGCCGGATCACCTACCGGTACATAACGACCACGGCTTCGGACCACCGCATATTGCACAAACGAGAGACGACCGAGTTTCTAGATGGATGTCGGTTGTCGAAAGAACGCACGCGAACAGAAGAGGCTGAGCAGGAGCGTGATAATAAAATTGACAAGATATGCTGGGTGTGGTGTTCACGACGTGGTCGTGGTCGTGGTCGTGGTCGTGGTCGTGGTCATGGCTGGACGCCCATGCTACACCGTTGGTCTGCCAAGACCCCACCCGTTGTCTGGATTATGAACCGGGCCATCCCCTGCAGATTTCCATAATCGCCGGCGGCTCCCTGGGCCGAGGACAGCATTAGCGCTTGTTCGGGGCTCGCGAACAGCGACTCCGGGGAGCCCGGTTCCCCAGCACGCATTCCTCGCCCTGCAGTGGGGATTCAAAATGTCACTGGAGGATGCTTCACCCGACCGGAGTATGCTGCACTCTGTACAGTGTACAGCACGGATTACCTCTGCGCCCGGAGAGAAGCTACCAAATGAATTATAAAAGGTAGATCACTGGTGTCTTCAGGTGATCGGGAAGCGATATCTTCCTTGATTTTTCATCCGAATGTATGACAACATAGGGGCTATGAACGGACCCCCTGGGCGATATGATATACCCTCAATGTAAGGTCAGAGACCCCCACCATCTCGATACCAATGTGATAATTGAAATGGCCCATCTCATAGCTCATGGCTCGGGATTGATAAGGCTTAGATCCGCTGCAAGGAGGTCAACATGGCGATGATATAGCGAGCGACGTAGATCGTAGTGGTCCCATCTGTTTCCGATGTGGAAGACCATGTGAGTATGGAGATACGAGGTAGATATCAGCAGGTCCAAATTAAGGGTGTGAAATGATGGGACGTTGTCATCGCCTTTTTAGGTTTTTAGAGTTTTGACTACACTAAACCCGAACCATTCAATCTTGGACTTCAACATCACCTGGGTAGTCAGAGCCATCGGATCGACTGGCTTCGATATGAGTCCATGGATACGACGGTTATGTTTTCATGTCTCGCGTAGAAGAGACATGTTTGAGAAACCACTGAAGCCATAAGTAGGCTATGCACGCGACAGGTCGGATGGGGAAACCAAAGTCCTCCCCGGGTACTATATAGGATTGGATCAGAGATGCTGGGTGTCAATAGTACGCAAAAAACCCAACGCAGGGGTTCCCCTCTCCAACACGCCAGTCACAGCGCTGCTGTATGCTTGTCACCTTCGTACAGTAGCAAACTGGCACATTGGATCCACTGCTCCACTACCATTTATCGGCGGCCTGGCACCCCTGCGGTATCCGTTGATGGGGTGATGGGAGTATCAAAAGAGGTTAATAAGAAGATGGAAGATTCTCGAATCGAAGGTCAGGCCAGGTTTTTTCGCTTTCGCGCTCTCTCACGGCTGGGAAGTCCCGGTCCAACGTCCTAGTGACTCCGTTGCTCCAATTCTTTTGCGCGCTAACACAGACCAGCAGCTCTCCAGCCTCTGGATTATTTGCCAGCCAGTAGCAAAGATTGGAGGGGGGGACACATAGAAATAGAGGGGAAAATTACATATACTATAAAGGAGCGGAGCGCCTTTTTCTCTTGTCCTTCCGGACCCAGTTAAGACCCCAAGAGAACCCCGGGCTTTCGAGGCATGTCTTAAAAAGAAAAGACATATTCAGAGCAGAGCTAAACGGCTAAACTACTTATATCTGTTTATATTGGCAGATTCACGGTTCCGTGGTTGAGGAATCTCTCTGATTCGATTTGGTTCCAAAGTCATCTCCACACACAAAAAAAAAAGGCCAATGGTTCAACTCGCCCACATCTTCAAGAAGGACAAGGACAAGGAGAAACCAGATCTTGACAGTTCGCGATCACCTAGAACTTCTTTCTCCGCCTCTCGCTCTCCCTCTACCAAGTCTCCGAAACCCAAGTCGCCTACCAAATCTCCCTCCAAATCCCCCTCCAAGTCTTCTAAACCTTCTTACTTCTCCCACAGTCGGTCTTCTTCCTCCGGGCCGACCAACTTCAAATTTTCCCGCTCTTCGCGTGACCAGGACACTCACCCGCTCAATCTTCCCCCCGACGAACTACGTCGACGATTGTCCGCCATGGCCGCTTCCAAGGAGGACCAGCGCAGCTCCATGGATATCGATCCCCAAGAACCGCAGAACGGCGTGAACGGCAAGGAGGAGCGGAGTCCTACCCCGCCACCTCACCGGCCGACCGCTGCCTCTGCGGATGAGGCAGATTCCTTCAAGTTGGCCGGTAACAAGTTCTTCAAGGATGGCAACTACCGACGAGCGATCGAGGAGTACAACAAGGGTAGGCTCACCCGGTGGCACATGGATTTGCCTTGGCATCCGCGAGATGAGTGGGATCACTAATGATTTTTTTTCTTCTATTGCAGCCATCGAGATTAACCCCAACTCATCCGCTTATCTGTCGAACCGCGCCGCGGCGTACATGTCCGCGAAGCAATACGTGAACGCGCTCGAGGACGTGCAGCGCTCCAACGAACTCGACCCCAACAACCCCAAGATCCTGCACCGATGGGCCAAGATCTTGACCAACCTGGGTCGTCCTCAAGACGCCTTGGACGTCCTGTCCCGCGTGCAACCCCCCGCGAGTGCGACCGATCGCGCCCCCGCCGAGAAGATGCTGCGTGCCGTCACGCAGGCCGAGGAGACATTAGCCGAGAACCGCGGTGTATCAATGGTCATTTTCTGTCTGGACCAGGCGCGACAGGGACTCGGACAGGGCGTCAGAGAGCCTCGCAAGTGGACACTTTTGGCCGCCGAGGCCCAGCTCAAGCTGAACAACCCCAACTCGCTGGGCAAGGCGCAGGATATTGCCATTTCCTTGCTTCGCGAGAACAGCCAGGACCCGGACGCCATGATGATCCGTGCCCGTGCCTTCTACGCCCTCGGTGAGTCCGAGCAGGCGCTCAAGCTTCTGAAGATGTGCCTCGGGCTGGACCCGGATATGAAGCAGGCCATCAAGCTGCTGCGGATTGTGCAGAAGTTGGCTCGTACTAAGGAGGAAGGCAACAACGCCTTCAAGGCCAAGGACTACCGTCGTGCCATCGACCTCTGGGCTCAGGCTCTCGAAGTTGATCCCTCCAACAAGGATATGAACTCCAAGATTCTTGGCAACCGTGCTCAGGCTTATATCAACCTGAAGGAGTACGACTCTGCTATTCAAGACTGTACCGAGGCTCTCCGTCTGGACCCTGGCTACGTCAAGGCCATGAAGGTTCGCGCCAAGGCGCACGGTGGTGCCGATAACTGGGAGGAGGCTGTTCGCGACTATAAGAGCGTTGCTGAGAACAACCCCGGCGAGGCGGGCATTGCGGAGGAGATCCGCCGTGCCGAGTTCGAGTTGAAGAAGTCTCAGCGCAAGGACTACTATAAGATTCTCGGGGTCGGCAAGGATGCTAGTGACCAGGAGATCAAGAAGGCCTACCGCAAGATGGCTATCCAATACCACCCCGATAAGAACCGTGACGGTGAAGCCGGTGACGAGAAGTTCAAGGAAGTTGGCGAGGCATATGAGACTTTGATTGATTCTCAGTGAGTTCCCCGTATTCGTCTTTCAGCTGCAACACATAAATAACAACTCTCTCAGAAAACGTGCTGCCTATGACAACGGTGATGATCTGGTTGATCCCAACGACATGTTTGGCGGCGGCGGCGGCTTCGGCGGTGGCTTCGGCGGCATGGGAGGCATGGGCGGTATGGGCGGTATGGGAGGAATGGGTGGCATGGGTGGTGGCGCCAGCCACGTTAACATCGACCCCAACATCCTCTTCAACATGATGAACGGTGGCGGCGGTGGTGGTTTCGCCCAAGCAGGCGGCAATCCCTTCGGCGGCCAATCTCGTGGCGGCGGCTTCCCCTTCTGAACCTGACCGTCCAAACAGTCCTTTCGTCTTTATACCACCACTCTTCTCTTGCTGGGGAGAAACAAAAGGAATTCGCATGTCTTCGACCGGAGTTGGAGTTTACACCTCGATATCCCATTCATTCGGACGTCGGGGCTTTTTGTTTTCCCACTGCCATGTCATGATGATTTTGACCATGTTTCTACGGAAACCTTCCATATGATTCCCGATCTGATAGATTCTTTTCTTATTATTATCTCTTTTTTTTTTCCTCTGCTGTTTTTTCCCACCCCGTTTCCTTTCGGACATCTTTGTACATGAGTTTGGCATTCTGGAACGAATGAACGAGAACAGTGCCTGGACGGCAGCTTGGGTCCTCAGGGCCAGCATCCATATTCGACAGAACATCCGAGGCGTTAAGATATCAAGTGTTTATTTCTTAGGGCTATCGAAAAGAATTCATATACTACATGAATGTATTTCACTCAACCACCCTCTCTTTCCAAGTCCTACCTCAACTTCGGTGTGTCTTGATTCCGAGGTCCGTTCGATAAACCGAGTGGTACCTACCTAGGTAGTAGACGTTCCGAGCCCTGGAGGTTCAAGGTTATCATAGTATGTAGATCATACCTAGTAGCCCTACTAGTACCTCAAGGTTCCAACATTGGACTCGGGAAGGCTGCATCTACCTAGATAGGTATGGGCGGCAGATTTTCTCTTGATCGGTGAAATCCATGGATGTCTTCGCCTAATGCTTCCACCTGGGCAGACTACAGGTATTTGAATTGAGCAGTCGCTGCGAGACATTATATGGCGCTTGTGGCTGTGACTTTGTGTGCAATCAAGACTCCTATGTCGCTAAGCTGGGTGGATAGAATCAATTAACTGTCGTGATATGTGGTGGTATGTACTTCTCAACATGCTGAACAATGTACTAATATAAATCATAAACATCAAAGGGGATAAGGGGAATCTCGGGAGAAAAACAAGGGGCATAACAAGATAACGAATGAATGTACCGGACAGATGAGCATGAAAGCCAACTCCGCCGCTTATGAAGGATGACGTTCAACTCAAATACAAGAAGGGGGATATATAGACGAACAATAAACAAGGGATATGCAACAAAACAACATGATGAACGCTCGCAAATGCTTCAATCAGGCATAGCCCAAGGAGCTAAGCATAGTTTTGCATTCAGGAGCCGGCAGCACCGAGACTCCAAGTGCACGAACTAGGGCTCCAGCCCGAAGCCGCTGCAAGCCAATTGCAACCTTCCAGGCTTCGGTGTCCTGTAAGACAAAGACGTATTTCTTGCCTTCTTGGTCACGCACACTGGCCCGGAGAATGTGGAGGCCGCTCTGACTGGCCGTTGCATTGCGAGGGGAAGCAAGACGACAAGTATTCTTGCAGACTTTCAAGAGATTCACAAGGAAAGCATCCGACTCCTCGCTGGTGGGGACGTTGTTTCCACGGCGGAATGAGAAAGGATTGCCAGAAGGTTGCTTGTTGGATGCTGTTGCGGCGGCCTGAGGACACCAGACTTCTGCCAGTTTGAGAGTCCAGGCTTTAACGTCCCATTCGCGTTGACCGATTCCACGGAGGTCATCGTCGACAAAGAGTCCTTCTGTTGTTATGCGAAGGACGAGTCCGTCTGTGATCATTCCCTGCCCGCAGACTAGCTGTGCGACGGGTGTGTTCGTGAAAGCGTTGTTGAAGGCGTAGACTCCTTGGATCACAATCTTGTCTGGATCCTTGGTGGAGTATGAGCTGCGATGAGAAGGTGGTGGGGTTGTGCGCGCAGTTGAGTGAGAAGGTGCATATGAAGATTCGGAGTATACGGAAGTCCCAGCCACGTACGGACGTCTTGGTCGGTCATACGGACGAAAGGAGTATGCATCGTCGTCGGCAGTTTTGGCTGCTGGGGGATTTGATTTCTTCGGCGAAGGTGTGCGAGGCAGGTTGGTAGTACTCGCGGGCTTGGGTGGTGGTGACTTGGCCGCAGCCTCTTTCTTTGCATCTTCGGCCTTTTTCTCGGCGTACTTCTTGTTTGCAGCCTCCTTGAGCGCCGCGAATTTGGCCATGGCCTCTTTCTGAGCGGTGGCCTTTGCAGCAGCCTCTTTCTCGGCTGCCTCTTTGGCAGCCCGTTCTTTGGCAGCTGCTTCCAGCCTTGCAGCCCTGGCTTTCGCCTCGGCTTCGACCTTTGCGCGCTTTTCACGAGCCTCAGCTGCTTCTTTTTCCGCCTTTTCGCGGGCCTCCTTCTCTGCTGCCGCTTTGGCGGCAGCCATTTCTTTCTCAAGTTGCTCGCGACGCTCCTGGAGTTCTTTCTCCATTGCTTCGCGTTCACGCTGCTTCTCTTTCTCTTTGGCTTCTGCTTCGCGTTTGCGCTTGAACTCTTCCATCTTGCGGCGCAGTTCCTCCTTGCGCCTTGTCTCTTCCTTCACTCGCTCGCGCTCGGCTTCTTCCTTTGCGCGTTCCTTTGCGCGCTCCTCTTTGGCACGTTCTTCCTTTGCGCGCTCTTGCCGGGCACGCTCCTCTCTTGCCTTTTCCTCCCGTGCTCGCTCTTCTCGAGCACGCTCCTCTCTCATACGGTCTTCTCGAGCTCTTTGCTCTCGAGCTCGCTCCTCCTTGGCCCGTTCCGCTCTAGCCCGCTCCGCCCTAGCCTCCTCCTCTTTGGCCTTTTCTCTGGCTCGCTGCTCCCTGGCCCTTTCTTCTTTCGCCCTCTCCTCCCTGGCGCGCTCTTCTGCTTTGGCCCTCTCCTCCGCTTTGGCCCTCTCTTCTCGGGCGCGTTGTTCAGCCTCCTCCTTTGCACGAGTGTTATTATCAGAACTTGGAGGAGGACCAGAGCCATGTTGATTACCGGAATATTGGTTACCGTAACTTTGTCCTCCACCATGGTTTCCACGTTGCTGTCGTTGCTGGCCCTCGCTGGGACCAGAGTCGGCGCCCGAGGACTGTTGATTGGTGTTTGATCCACCAGATCCACGGCCACCAGGGCCGCCAGAGCCGAAACGTCCCCGCGCGCCATTGCTTTTGTCCCCCGAGATGTTGGACTGCGTCGATCCAACAGCCCACCCAGCCAGGCCCATCCCGATCCCGAGGACAACCATACCTGTGCCACTGCCGCTAGCAACAGAGGCCAGGTACCATGTCTTCACAATCGGGGAGATCAACGACCATACCACGACGACCATGAATGAACTCGCGACGCCTGCTAAGAAGCTGTTGCGATTACATTCCAAGGACGGCAGGTAGAGGAAGCCAGAGCCGGCAGAGTGAGGGGGCACAACGAAGATATCGTAATTGCCATCTGGGAGGTCGGAGGATTTGCGGTATTCCCCGTGGGTCGTATTGGGGTTTTCGCCGTGCGGCGGTGGTGGGGGCGGCGGTCCGTCCATGATGGATCAAGTGTTGATTTGGTCGTAGTAAAATATGAGGTGCGACGACTAACGACCTGGATTGATCGCCGGATCAATCCCTAGATGGACAAGTTCTCGTTGAGCGTCAATTGCCAGGTCATATTAAATCTTGTGAGAGTTGCACTGAGGCCCCGCGGCACTCAGTGCTGGTATATATCGAATGCCAGCACAGCAACAGACAATCAAAAAAAGAACAAGAGATCCCGAGACAAAAAGTTCGGAACGGAGAGGCGCGTGCGAAGGGAAGAGTTGCTACGGAGGGTTTGTTTGGAAGAAGTGCCCAGGTGTGGGAGCCACTAAGGATCGGCGCCAATGCATTCGACGTGGCCACAAACACGCAAACGTACGAAGTCGGCAAATTCTGTGCTGTACATATTAATTTAAGATGCTCGCGATATATGACCCCGCCATTGCAGGAGTAACATGGGGGAATGGGATGAGGGTCAATGGGAATGTGGCTCTTTCATTACAATGCACTATGTATATGTGGACTCAAAGCCATTAGCGCTTGGACCTTGGTACAGAGTGATCTATCTGAAATTTGGCTATAAGCGCCTTCGAATCAAACATCCTAGTCACAAAAACATCAGTGCTTTGAGTCAAACAGCAGAGGTCGAAACATCAGCATGGCTGACTTGCTTTGTTTTGGTTTTCCCTGTTTGGGTAATCCGGAACAATGTTGTTCCTTTCCGATGAGGCTCCAAGGGCTGTGTGGCGACCGCGACAACGCATGGCTACGAGGCCCTGGAGGTCTACTTAGTCCTTTCCGACGATTGGTATCAACTGTTCTTGACCATGAATGTATCCTGATGTTGCCATCACGATGCGGGTTTCCAGTCCAGAGGTCCACCATTATGTACTAGTAGTGTATTGTATACTATAGGACCGAGGGTGGAGAGAACATCCGTGGTCGATATTGCGGTCAAGCGGTTGGGGCCAGATAGGGTGTCTGTTGTGGGTCCGAGGTGTTCGACTCGCGGAGAGTAATGTTGAGAACCCAGTGGAAGCGCAAGGTGACGGTCAGCAGCTCATGGCCATCATTGATGGAAGACTGTCTCCTGATCAGAGCATGAGACGCATATCCATGACAATCTGGGACCGGAGACTTCCAAGGTTGTATCGAGGCTCCTTGTTTACTCCCCAGCGAATTTCGACGTGCCAGACGCTTTCATGTGTAGTTTGATAAGATGAACGGACAGTGCAGAGTGAACATAATGCATTCATAGCAGGAGGATTCGGCAGAACGTGATCCGCAGCCGATGATTGGATAACCTTCGGCCTCGGATTCCAATCTCCAAGTTGATCATTTCCAAGGTTGCTTCTCTCATCTCAACTTCGACCTCCTGTTAATTCCATGATATTTTGGTAGTCAGGTACTACCCCGTGTCTCCGCCTCCCCACTGGTCTGTCCTTTAGCCCCCTCCCTGGCACCAAGAGATCCGCCAACCTTGTCCTCCTTCCCCTCCGATCCTCCTTCCCTACCTATGCCGCGTCGCTAGTCACCGAGGATTAGTTTACGACCTGCCCTTGAAGGGCATCCCGCCACCATGTCTACCCAATCCCATGGCCATTCCGCGACGTCTCGTGCGTTCCCCGCCTACAACCCCGTTGCCGCAGTCGCAGCTCCTGCGGGGACCTTGCTTCCGGGCACCAAGATCCAGGTTGGCAGCCACCGCGTGGTGGTTGAGAAGTATCTCTCGGAAGGTGGTTTTGCTCACGTGTATGTGGTGCGATTGCCCCAGCCTGTCAATGGCTCTGAGACCGCTGTCCTCAAGCGGGTCGCCGTCCCCGACAAGGCGGCTCTGGCCAACATGCGCACCGAGGTGGAAACCATGAAGAAACTCAAGGGTCACCGACATATTGTGAAGTACATTGATTCGCATGCCTCCCAGCTGCGCGGAGGGGGGTATGAGGTGTTCCTGGTCATGGAGTATTGCGCCGGTGGTGGGCTTATTGACTTCATGAACACCCGGCTTCAACATCGCTTGACGGAGCCGGAGATCGTCAAGATCTTCTCCGACGTTGCTGAGGGTGTTGCGTGTATGCATTATCTTAAGCCCCCGCTTCTTCACCGCGATCTCAAGGTCGAGAATGTCTTGATATCTGGCAAGGGGGCCTCCGCCACCTACAAACTGTGTGATTTCGGGTCATCAGCACCACCTCGCCCCGCGGCCACGTCTGCCGCGGAGGGCAGACTAATTGAGGATGATGTGCAGCGACATACAACACTGCAATACCGCAGTCCGGAGATGATTGATGTTTATCGGAAGCAACCCATTGACGAGAAGAGCGATATCTGGGCACTTGGTGTTTTCTTGTACAAGCTCTGCTACTACACAACACCCTTTGAAGAGGTAGGCCAGATGGCCATCTTGAACGCGACCTTCAAGTACCCCTCTTACCCCTCATTTTCCAGTCGATTGAAATTGCTTATTGGTAAGTGAGAGACCGTAGATCTTGCTGACACCCGACGCTAATTGATTGGTACAGGCTCGATGCTGAAAGAAGACCCGCGAAATCGCCCCAATATATATGAAGTCGTGCGCGAAGTGTGCAAAATGCAAGGGAAGGACGTTCCCATTAAAGACGTATGGCACTTTGCGCTTTTTTTGGCAACGGCATGAGACTGACCCGATTTAGATATATTCCAACCGCTCTCATTCCGAAGCGCGCAAATATCAAGAACTGCCTCCCACGCCCACAGAAGCTCCCGCACCCGGCGCAAAGTTCTCGCCACCAGTGCAAGAAACAGAGATCATCCCGGAAATCGCGCCCATGCGCCGTGGTCGACCAGGGAAGTCTCAAGCTTCTGAGCTTGGCTCTTCTCGGCCAAGCCCTTCACCGTTCAAAGGTGGCGCTGGCGGTTCCTCGAATGATCCATTCGCCGCTTTAGATGGTGATAGCTCTCGAAAGAAAGCTGCGGAGGAGGCTGCCAGACGGTTCCCTTCGCTGGATCAATTTGATATACTTCACGAAAAGGGTGACAAGTTCGAGTTCGAGCGAACAGTCGAGGCTAAAGCCGACGACGAAGACCTTTCGCAAAGGCTCACCAACGCCTTGGCCGATGATGCCTTTGCCCGACGTGCCTCGCCCGAACGTGCGCCGAATCCAGTATACAAGAGACCTTCACAAGCTTCTCCAGTGCGAGCACCCGTTTCCCGAGAAGCCACTCGACAGGCCACCCCTCTATACCAGCCGACTCCGCAGCGACCTACAATGGTATCGACAGGAACCATGACCTCACCCGCCCCGACGCCTCGGTTGCCTGAGCCCCAGATATCCAATCGCCCAATCTATCGGTTCCCCTCAGACAAGGAACAACGATCATCTAGTGAGCCTTGGACAGCCGATGAGGAACAGAGAGTGGCTAGGTCTCAACGCGCACGTTCACCTCCTGTATCCAACCTGAAGCCAGAAGGAGGCCCACGTTCGTCCGCCGAGCGGCTCTCTACTCACTCCAGCTCCGCTCGTCCCTCAATGGAAACCTTGAGACGGCCGTCAACCCTAGAGGTGGCTGATCACACTACCCGTTCCAAATCCGCTATTGGCAAAGGTCGACCTCTGTCGGTACAATCGGGAGCGAGATACGATATCCCTCGTGATTCCGAGAGCCCCCGTTCCTCGTTGGATATGTCTCGGATGCAGTATGAGGGCGGAGCTCCTTTGCGCTCAGTTCGCACGGAATTGGAACGTGAGGATCGCGCGAACATCTCGTCAGACATGGATTACCTGCGAGCAATGGAAGAAGAGGAGAGCAACCGCAAGCGCGAGAAGCGCTCCAGTGGCAGCCACAAGCACAACAAACGTGGTAGTCTGTCTACTTTGTCGCTCTCCGGGGGTAAGAACCTATTTGCTGGACGATTTGGCGATGCATTCCGCCGATTTGAGGCTGGGAATCAGGATAAGCCATCCACGCCGTCAGCGGAAGAGGCGCCTCAGCAGGCGCTTATTGGGGTGTCCGATTCAGGTGACGACTCAAACTCCCCCAAGGATGAAATTGCGCTTGAAGATGCGGACCGCGACGACATTTCCCCTGAGATGCGTCGGGAGCTAGAGCGTCGTCGACTCTCCCAGGAGGAGAAACGGGTGGCCAATGCCGCAGCTGAATACCGGCGCCGTGTTGCCGAAAAGGGCGATGGAGGCGGTAGAGCACCAGGCGATGGTCCTCGTTCCCGAACCATCCAAAACAAGATGCAGTCGCTGTTTGCCGATTCCGAAAAGCCCGCCGTCCCCAAGACTGCCACTGGGTACGGTCGATTCACAGAGACTTCCTCTCCTTTGCAGGCAAAGCAGAGTGAGGCGGCTTCTCAACCCGTTGCTGAAGTGCCAACTTCTCGAACTCCTGGTCCCATCTACAGTGCTCGTGAGAGCACAATGACTCCTCCAGACCGCCGAGACGGTGCCAGTGCTCCCGCAGGGCTTCAACAATCCGCCTCGACTGGCTATCAATCCACCCAACGCTCTGCTGCTCGCCCAGCTGCGCCTCCGAAGCCTAAGAATTTGCGAGTCGGTGGCGAGACCTCGCGACCCGGCACTGGCAATGACAATCGTTCGCCTTCCCAAGCAACCCCACAAAGCCCCGGGGAGGACTGGGAGGCCAACTTCAGCAAGCGATTCCCAAGCCTGTCCGGAATAGAGATGGAGACCGAGATTGAGATCTCGAAGTTCTCAAGTTTGAGAACACGGGAAGTGTAAAGTATGAGAGAGAAGCCTTGTTTCCCATGATGCGGTTTCAGCGTGTTAGTGTGTTCGCCCTGTGGGCGCAACTCTGGGGGATGACTGGTCCCTGTGAGCTATGCATATATAGACAGTGAAATATTGGACATGATATCAATTCTCATTATTCCCAGAATCTGTAGCTGTGAGCTTCGTAGCGGCCCACAGCCCTGGAGGTCCACGGGTATGTGTCGCGATAGCTGGAAGATAGCGTCACCGCCTTTGTTTCTCCCCGCAAGATCCAGAGAAATCTCGCGACTCCAAGCACATCTTTTCATTGTATCCAAGTCACAATGGCACCAGTGACGTTAAAGACCGTTGATGGTCAGAAATCCCCAAAGCAGCTTCAGGCGCATCTCGCTAACCTGCCACGCAGACGACCTCAAGGATGTCATCCAGCATCTATTCGAGATCCAAAGTGCTGTACATGGTTATCTAGGACCAGAGACACAGCAGGAGCTGGTGCGCAAAATGTAAGCCAGCCAGAAGGGACGCTATGGAGTTCACTTCAAGCCTTCGTGCTTCACTGCACGCGAGCACCGAGGCATCTGCGCCGACCTCAACCCTACCACAAGACCAAATCGCTGATCCAAGATCCCCTCAACAGAAAAAGCCTCACCCTCGCTCTTTCGACACTTTCGACAGATACCCAACTTCCCCAGTCTCAAGAACCCCTTCCAGAATCCGACCCCTCCAACCCCTTGCTCGCCAACATCCAGCTCCCTCCAGAGATTATCGACTACGTCGACTCAGCTCGAAATCCCGACATCTACACTCGTGAGTTTGTCGAACTTGTTCAGCGCGGAAACCAAGATTTGCGCGGCAAGCGCGAGGCATTCGCCAGTTTTAGGGACGTGCTGGCGCGTGAAATGCGCAGTGCTATGCCCGAGTGTCGCGGGGAGGTTGATCGCGCGGTCCAGGCCTCTGGGGGAAAGGTTGAGGATGGAGCTGGGAAATGAGATGTCGCTTTCGCACCTTTCAATATTGGAGAAAGGCTTTTCTGTTTGACTAGCTGAGTCGTGGATTTGACGCTTGGTGTAAAGATTTATGATTGGATTGCATTTTAGTTCGGCGCTTGTGGTGCATTTTGAGAATGGCGTTATTTTCCTTGTCTATCAGGGTCTTCAAAACTATTAATCACATCCAGTCTTTTGGTTGAGAATTGAGCTCTTTGATATGCATGCCATCCTCTATCGTCTATGGAATTCGGCATTGCACAGCATTGGCATTGCGTACAGTCTGCACCAAAGCTTCTAAACAGGCCCAATTCCTTTCGAGCCAAGGGGTAGCAAGTAAGAAACGTTGAGTCTGAGTACGTGATACATGACCCCGGGGACGATGTTGATACCTAGGTAGTGTATCGTCTGCATGCCTGAAGGGTCTACCGCCATTGCCATCAAGAGTCCTCTTTAATGACAACCACGCCTGGGGTATTGCTATATGCAATGCTTCACAGCATGGACAGAACGATTCTTAGATGAAACTGCTAGGTCGAATATAGTACATGAAGCAGGCCCGCTGGTTTACCGCTGACATCATCGGATGAAAACGCCGGGCGCCCTCGGAACGAGAGTTGCCGGGCATCATGAAACACCAGAAGCATGCCAGCTCGGAGAAACAGGTCCGCAGCGGCCTGTGTACACTGCCGACTCAAGAAGGTATGTGATACAACACTGAGTATCAAGTCAGCTCTGATCGCCTTTGGGAGCAGTTGAAGTGTGACGCCCAGAAACCACAGTGTGGTAACTGCCTCACCAAAGGTATTGATTGCCAGCTGGGAGTTGTCCAGCACAAACCAAGGTATGTCACAACAATATGGATGAGACATAGGGTGCTGAGGCCGTCTGCACAGGCCAACAAACCATCGAATCGCTGAATTAGAACAAGAGAATGAGGCTCTGAAAAAACAGTGTGCCCAGCTCAGGTCTGGAAATGTTGCTCCTCCTGGCAGACTCCAGTCAGAAACGGTTCACTCTGTCACAGCAGCTAGCACACCTAAAACCCCTTTGCCCCCCTCGAGGGCTGGGGGGATCGGCCTTGCCCGCAACGACTCATCCGATCTGGTGAGGGATGCATCGCACCCAGAACTACCGGAAAATGACCACCGAAATACATCTTTGTATCATGGTCCAACGAGTACAATGTATGATGATACAAGTCCAAACCACAGCGAACAGCACAGACTTGGTGGGGAATCCAACTCGGAGGGAGTTCGACATTTGCTCTTTTCTCAAACAGCCAGGCAAAGTGAGTGCGATCCGAGATAGTTCCCCAAAATACGAAGATACCAACTATACGATAATAGGACAATTAGAGCCTTTGAATTTTGCTACAGGGAAGCTTGACTTCGACGATGTCGATCCCGAGATCGGAATGCACTTGCTTTCGATCTACTGGAGCCGTCAGCTTTACACGGCACAGATCATATATCGTCCTGCATTTATGCGGGATATGGCCTGCCAGGGGCCGTACTTCTCCAAGTTGCTGCTGAATGCAATCTTCTTCGTCGTGTCGAAGCATTGTCCGCGACTTGAACTGCGTTCTGACCCAAACGACATAACTACTGCAGGCTGGAAATTCCGTCAACGCTTCACCCAACTGCTGCGGGATTGTTTTGATAAGAGTGAAATCACAACACTACAAGCGTTGCTTATAATGTCCAACGCATTATTTTCCAGGTGCGATGAGCGCAGTTTGTCGTGGCTATATGCTGGTAATGCATTCAATATGTTCATTGATCTTGGTCTGCATGTACTTCCCACCGCCGACAGCATTTCGGCCGAGGAACTAGAGATCAGGAAAAGAGTTCTTTGGGGAGCGTATCGTGAGCCGCAACGTTTCTTGTCTCACTAGGCATTGACTAACAATTCTCATGATTTGACAGTCATCGATAAAATTCAATGCCTTTTCCAGGGACGACCACCACTTCTAAGTCATGTCAACTTGAAAGCATCAATGGACTTTTTGGATGACTACGACGAGCTCGAACCATTCCAAGACATCTCATATATGACCATCAAGCCCCAATGTGTGGTTCCTTCACTCAACGTCTCTTTGCTCACCAAGCTGTGTGAGTTGACAACTATCGTGGAGCGAATTTGGCGCGAAATTTACTCTGAATCCCGGGAGTCCAATTCCGTCCACAGGGCCACGATATCAGAAGAGATAAAATCTCAACTTCGGATCTGGCGTGGAAGTCTTCCACCCCAGCTGGACTATCTCTCATCCTCGAATCAGGCTATTATCTTGCCTCAATCGACTTGTCTTTTGTAAGTTTCGCTTTGCTGAACCTGATAACGGGGGCTAATATCAGACAAGAGCTCTCTTCAATGTGCTCGTGATTCTTGTGCACCGACCATTAATTACCGGAGGCCATAGCGGCGTGATAAATCCAGCAACCGCTCATGAGTCGGTAAATGCCTGCACTGCAGCCGCCAACCAAATTATGCAAATCCTTCATGATTATTCACAACACTTCTCTCTCAGCACAGCGCCATACATGCTCTCATACGCCACCTATATCAGCGCTACGATCCACGCCCGGATTGTTGCACAAAAAGGAAGCAACTCGTCGGTGTTTCAATCCCTCGTTCTCTGTCGAAATATCTTGATTGAACATACCCGCCTATATGCAGCCGCTGAAAAAGCCAAAGAGAACCTCGACAAGCTGATCTCTCATCTTGGTATCAGCACCGAGGAAAATGAACAGTTTGGTGACTCTGTGCCAAGTGTTGCTAGAGAAAGTACTGTCTTGGAAGAACCGACGAGCTTTGCTGGAGAGATGGGCCCCACAGATCGCGCGCCTGAGTTTGCCTCGTCTTTCATGAATCTGGAGTTATCAGATCTTGACCTTGAAGCAATCGCCCAGGGCTTCCAAGTTGATGTTGAGTCTCATTCATTCTGGCATTCACTGGGAGCATGAAATACCGTGGTTTGGTGAATCATAGCGCAATGCACTATTGACCTGGTTGCGTACTTTATCAATCCCGATCACCTGGCAAGCGCGGGGTCCTGATGTTGTCTATATGGTTCGGGGTGAGTGCTTCCTCTGCATGATCTTTCAATGCACTAGAGCTCGGAGAGATGAGTGATCGAAGTAGGATCAATCATGCCAATTTGAATGCTTGTGCGCTCTTCAAATCTTTCACTGATGGCAGTTGTTTCTCAGTCTTGAATTTTCCTTGCGATCGGGTGATTGAAATGCAAATGCTGGACCGCATCAGGACGATTCTTGAGATGGAATGAATTTCTATTTTTTCTTCGTTTTATTCTTTTGCCAAGCCTCACTTCAGGACCTTAGCTACCATATGGGCCAGAGGCTGTCTTCCCTGCCTTCTGGGTCACAATCTCCATCTCACTCGCCAGCGAGCTTGTCAGAGCCCCAACATCTGTCACAACATTCACTAAATCATAACCCAAGTCGGCGTACTGCTTCGCCTGCTTTCCGTTTCCACAATAAATTCCGGCCTTCTTACCCGCATTATGCGCAGCCTTCATGATGGTCTCAATAGCCTGCTCCAATTCGGGTGCAAATGTCGCGCCTAGAACGGGATGGCCAATTCCATTGCCCAAATCGAACGGTCCGACGAACAATACGTCAAGTCCATCGACGGCAGCAATGGCGTCCACATTATCGAATGCTTCCTTTGTCTCGATTTGAACAGCGAGCAGTAAATTAGCGTTGGCCTCAGTGAGGTACTGCGCAGCTGATACATTGCGACCAAACCGATCCATTGGGAAGGGCGAGCCAAAGCCTCGCTTGCCCTGTGGAGGGAATTGACAGGCTTCAACGAACGCCTTGGTGTCTTCCACTGTCCGCACAAGGGGTGCTAGAACGCCGTGCGCACCTGCATCCAAGGCACCTACAATACACTCGTGAGCAGCTTATCATTCATGGAGAGATGTGTTCCATACGTTTGATCATCCAGGACTGGAAGTCCGGAACCCGCACGATCGGGCTCACTCCATATGACGTTATGGCGGGCACGGCTTCATGCATCGCAGCATCTGAGAAATGTCAGTCGTTGATATCCTCTACCAAGCCAATTGACTTACCGTCGATGTTTCCGTGCTCGCAGTCCACCAAAACCCAGTCATATCCAGCTCGTGCGAGAGTACGCGACATGTTGCTGCCGGGCAATAGCTGCCACACGCCCAAAGCGAGCTGACCCTTGTCGAGTACTGTCTTGACACGGTTAAGGCCTTGCATTTTGGCTGTGGTATTCAAACTATGATCGTGAATGATGTCGAAAAATATAGTACAAAGAACAAAACAAAAATTGGAGCTCCATAACAATAGCGAAGATGGTTGTATGGGAGATCCAATGATCCGAGATTCGGACTGAGACATCCCGAGAGGCAACCGATCTCGGCTGCTCTCCACCCCTGACCAATCACAGGGACGGTCTTCTATCAAGATATACTCACCCGGAAAATGGTTCGGAAAGTGTCTCCCGGCTGCACTCCGCATTTTCAGAGCACGAATGGAGACGCCTCCATATATAATCCGTAGTGACCCCCCACGTCAGTGCCACATCCCACATTCCACATCCCACATCATGGCGTGTTCCGACAAAAAGTCTTGCGAGGGCTGCTCATGCAGCAACGATGCTCAACCCCAATCTATCAACATTGAAGACTGTCTAAGCGAGCTGCAGGCTCTGCGTCGACGGAACCAAGAACTGGAGACTCGAATGGGCGTTGCAAATGGCGAGAATGCACCAGTCCCTGTCCGAGAGCCTGGAAGGACCCTTCGCTCTTCTGCCTGGTTCGACTGTCGCAGCAACCCCGGCATGACGGCTATTTATATGGAGCGATACTTCAATTATGGTATCACCAAAGATGAACTCATGTCAGGGAAGCCCATGATTGGAATTGCGCAGACAGGCTCTGACATTGCACCTTGCAACCGCCATCATATTGAGCTCTCCAAGCGTGTCCGTGAGGGTATCCGGACTGCGGGTGGAATTCCTTTCGAATTCCCCACACATCCTATCCAGGAAACCTCAAGACGACCTACTGCTACGCTTGATCGCAACCTGGCGTATCTTGGTCTCGTGGAAATCTTGACCGGTTATTTCTTGGATGGTGTGGTGTTGCTTACTGGGTGTGACAAGACCACGCCGGCTTGCTTGATGGCTGCAGCTACGATGGTGAGTCTTGTTTTGAAGTGTTCCGCGGATCATTAGCTAATTTTTGGTTTCAGAATATCCCGGCCATTTGTATGAACGTGGGGCCCATGCTCAATGGGTACTCCAAGGGAGCTTTAACTGGAGCAGGGTCCGTGTTATGGCACGGCCGAGAGCTATATGCCACCGGTGAGATCGATGACAACGAATTCATGGACTATATCGCGAGAGGGTAAGCTATCTCCCATCTGGATTTTCCTCCATGTCACTAACGAAGGCTCTAGAACACCCTCAGTAGGCCACTGCAACACAATGGGAACCGCATCTACAATGAACGCCCTTGCAGAATCCCTCGGAATGGCTCTTCCCGGCTCAGCCGCCATTCCTGCGGCCTATCGTCACAGAGCCCAATGTGCCTACGAAACAGGAAAGCGCATCGTGGAGATGGTAGAAGCGGACAGAAAACCATCCGATATTATGACGCGCGCGGCGTTCGAAAACGCAATTGTGGCCAATGCCGCGATTGGCGGAAGCACAAATGCCCCCATTCACATCAACGCTATAGCCCAGCACACCGGTGTAGAAGTCACCATGGATGATTGGGATGATCTTGGCTCGGGAATCCCCCTGCTTCTGAACATGCAGCCCTCTGGAGAGTATCTGGGCGAAGAATACTATCGTGCTGGAGGCTTGCCTGCAATCATGGCCGAGCTTTTGGACCAGGGTAAAATCAATGGGGATGCGATCACATGCAATGGCAAGACCATGGCGGAAAACGTTCGCGGAAAGCACACGTGGGACCGAAAGGTCATCAAGCCTTACGATGACCCTTTAATGAAGGATGCCGGATTTGCCCATCTCAAGGGCAATCTGTTCGATTCTGCAATTATGAAGACTTGTGTTATTTCACCGTCATTCCGCAAACGATACCTATCTAACCCCGATGATCCGGAGGCATTCGAGGGTTCGGTTGTTGTATTTGACGGTCCAGAAGACTACGAACATCGCCTGGAGAACTCACCGCACATCGATGCGAAGACCATCCTCGTTATGCGAGGCGTGGGCCCTATCGGCTATCCTGGCGCAGCAGAAGTCGTGAACATGCACCCACCAGGCCGTCTATTGAAAGAAGGTATTGATGGATTGTTCTGCATTGGCGATGGAAGACAGTCGGGAACATCTGGGTCGCCCTCTATTTTGAATGCCAGTCCTGAGGCTGCAGCCGGCGGAAACCTTGCAATCTTGAAGGATGGAGACAGACTCCGCATCGACCTGCGGAAGCGTCAAGTCAACATTCTCATCACAGATGAAGAAATCGCCGAGCGACGAAAAGTACTGGGTGTCGATGGCTTCTCCATTGCTCCGAGTGGTACCCCGTGGCAAGAGATCTTCCGTCAAGAAACAGATCAACTGAGTCAGGGTATGGTGTTACGGAAAGCAGTCAAGTTCCAGCGACTGGCACAGGAGGGCCCGCCCCTTCGTCACAACCATTGATAAATTGAACATATCTGTATCTAATTCATTTGCATCTATGAATATTATTCGAGAGGAATTTACGACATCTGCATATCCTTTTTTCTGCAAAGCTTGAACAGCCCGAGATATGAATCTCAATCATTAATTTGGATGAATATTTGAATATTATTACGTGCCATATACGGAGTAGCGAAGCGAATGTTTGTCCCCGGGGGTTTGACGCAACCCACTTCTGTCCCGTCTTCCAAGTTCTTGGGCTCGGATATAATCACTCAGAAGTGAACGCCGTGCACCTGCTGCTTCATCTTCTTGACATTGAGATCCTTCCAGAAGAAGCAAGAAGTCCAAGTGATCAGGTAAAGACACGTAGCGGTGATGAGCATAAGTCGCTGAGTGTCGCCATAGGCATGATCAATGGCATCACGAGTAGCTGACCCTTTGGCGTAAGATTGCTGAACGTCCAATTGACCGTATATGCTTGCGAAGTTTGCCTGTGCAGAATCAGGAAGGTAAGCCTTCAGTTTGACGGGGAAGATTCCAGTCCACATGGCGACAGCAACAGTACCACCGAGTGCGCTACCGATATTGGCAACAACGCCCTCAATGGCCAAGATGGCAGGAATATTCTTTTGGGCAGACACAGCCATCACGGTCATTTGCTCGCAGATGACGAGCGTGCCGCCGCCAAACGCGACGAAAATTTGGCACATCACGATGTAGCCGATGTTGCCATCTGGCTGGCGGAACTTGATCATGAGGCCGACTCCCAGAATAGTCAGTGGAACACCGAAGCAGATAGCCCATAGCTTGAGTCGACCATTGTAGCGGAGGATGGCACCGAAAACCAGACACCAGAAACAAGAGCCGATGGTGTAGATGTTTGAGATGTATGTGGCTTCTTGGACGGTCTGGTAGAACAGCACTTGCAGCAGAGAGTAGAAGTAGTTGTCCCAGATGTACCATGCAAGGTACAGGGACACAACCATAGAGTATGTGAAGAAGACGGTGCGGTTTTGGATGAGCTCCCACGGCATGAACTTCACGGGGGCAAAATACTTTTCCCAGATGACAAAAGAAGCGATCAGCACGACACCAAAGACAACGAAACATATGATCATCGGGGAAGCCCACTGTCCAGGCTGGTAGGAGTATAGGTTGAACGACAGAAGGAACAGCGAGAAGCCAGTGGCGATGATGAGCAAGCCAATAACATCAAATTCGATGCAATAGAAGACCACCGATTGAAAGAAGCTGCGTCCGCTGGGCTTCTTCTCTGTCAAATCCATCTTCTCGGCCTTCTTCTGGATATAGTACCACAAACCCCAGAGCGGGGCGCTGACAATCGGCATAATGATGGCGAAGACACCAAAGCCCCATCGGTAGCCAATACCGCCGGGCGCCAGGATCTCATCTGCAGCGTAACCGTAGATCCACGGGGTGATGAGGTAGGGGGAAGCAGCATAAGCGATCCAGAACGCACGGTTCTTCAGCGCTGTCGTATCGGCGATGAAAATCGTCATGGAGAAGTCAATCATGCTGAAACCAGTCTGGTAGAACACCTGGGCCGCACAGTATGTTTGCACATTCTTGCAAGCGGCCATCATGACAAGGCCCAGAGTCAAGAATCCCACGCCGAGCGCGAAAGCTTGCGGCCGTCCCCAGATATCCATGAGCTTTGCGTAAGGGAATTTGATCAGTGCGGATACCATCGAGGCGATGACGGTCGTCAGACCGGTCAAAGAGTGGAGTTGGAAGCTACTGTAGATGTAAGGCGATAGAGAGCCCAGCAGTCCGGAACTGAAGTACTCCAGGAAGTTGACGATCCACACACTTCAGAAAGTCAGACAGGGCGTTGGTAGAGTAGAAGACGACACTTACAGGATATAGGCTGCGATCAAAGTATTCCTTGTCCAGGCCTGGGTACTCGCCTGGGCCTTCTGGGTACCGGCCTGGGCAGTTTCGTCAATGACTTCTCCATCAGACGAAGCCCGATCGGTCTCCTGTGTTTTTTCAAACGGAGGCTTGGAATCGGGGCTTTCGATGTCGTGCGCGTCGGCCGGCGTTTGCTCAACGGATTCCGAGCGCGCAAAAGGGTTCATGAAGCGCTTTCTGATAGCCATGATGTCGAGGGTATTGTCAAAAGCGATGAAAACACGCCTTCCTCAAGCAAGCGGTCCTCTTCACAGACGTGGGTGCAGAGAGCAGGGGATCGGAGGCACAGCCGTTTGGCTGGATTTATATACTAACTGCTGCAACCTGCGGTATGACCCGCCAATGGAAAATTTCACACTCAATCTTATGACCATCAGAAGCTTACAGACGCTTAGAAGGCGGGGCTAGACAGAAACTGGGTTAAGTCCTCCATTCTGTTTCGGGGAATCACTGGTGATGATCCGTGCAATATGTCAAGTAGAGCCGGCAATTGGCACATCACGATCATTGGCCTGATCGTATTAGTGAGGTTAGTGCTGACGGGAAATTTGAAAACATCATGGCCCGTGTTATCTGATTGATTTGATCTTTGACTTTCCGGTTTCGGCCTCGGCTCCGAAATTGTTTTTATCGAGTCCCTTGGCCGCGAGAATTCAGGGAAAATGCAGATCCTTGATGATCTCAGAGACAGCCTTGGAAGTTCTGTAACAGATCGCATTCAGGAGCAGTGGACAGCCTGCGTCGCACTCTGTACAGAGTACACAATGCCAAGCTCGTGGCTCCATTTTGCAAAGTCAAAATTTGGCTGATGCTTAGCACCTGCTGATTCGGAGCTGGTCGGGAAAGTGGCCACTCCGATGTCGAAAATATATGGATTGTTGGGTGGTCACAGCCAATGCCTGTCGGCGGCCCCCATTCTGACCGGCATTTCCGGCCTTGTGGCTCGGTTCAGAGTGGCTGCACTGATTCCAACCTCGGACGGTTAGTGCCTTGGCAGGAAAAATCCAGACATCGGAGCAAATCTTCCTTGGGTGTTGGAACCGTGAATTTAAAGCGCTAGAAAACAAAAGTAGATGAATGGAGTAGTATTATTGAGGGGCTAAATTGAGCCCCAATAAGCACTCCAGGGCCGGTAGAATCGACCTCTTTTACTCCCCGAGAGACTCAAGATTGCCCCAAAAACCACCTATTGCACCGGATTGCATCAAGTTTGTCCAGGCCATTTCGTTGTAATCCATTTCAATCGAAGGAAGCACATCGTGCATGGGACCCGTAGGTTGATACGTCGAGGTAGGATTGAACAGTAAATCGGCAGTACCATTCATTTGGCACGGCCCAGGGCTGCACGGACGATTGCTTCCCTCGGTATCCTGGGCGCTGGGTTGCTTCGGTGCCTGCCCCGAACAGTGATCCACTAGGCTTATGCGAAGTGCAGCCACGAGGTCAGGCTGCTGTAATGAGCGACCTAGCTGCATCTCTGCATTTTGACGAGCATCCCAGGCTTTCAGTATCGCTTGACCTAGGCCAACATGCAACGGGCTCCGAAGGTTTCGACTAAGGCCTTGATGATAGGGGCTTTGCAGAATGGCGTCCCATGCACGCTGGCAATGGTCTCCTGTTGTGCGGTGGCACAGCTCATTGGCAAGGAACAAGTATCCGGGTAGCGGCATTTGCATCTGGCTATACCAGATAAAGCCATGGAGACTTTCGGTGTGGTGGATTTGATTGTCGGATTCTAGAAGATCGATGGCGGCTGAGAAAGCGGTTCCCCGTCGCTTATCATCGCCATCGGCGGAAGAATCATCGCGGCATATGAAGTCGAGAACACGTAGTTTGTATAGAGAGAAGCGTGTCATCAGGAATGTAAAGAGTTGAATTGGAATATTCAGGTTACATTTTTTGAGATAGGTCGAGTCCATATAGGCGCAATAGCGATCGAGGTGGTCGGTTTGTTCTCGGGGCGGCCTTTTGCTTAGTAGAGCAGAAGACCCATCGTGGGCTTGGAAACTCCTCGGCACTTTTGGATCAGGTCGGATCCCATCAGGGGCCGATGCAATCATTATTTCAATTCGAGTAAGGGGGAAAGTTGATTCGGTCACTGCGGTTGAAAGCGAAGGGGGCTCCTTTGCATCCGGATGGAGGTCTATATCGTTCACATTTAGTGGAAACCTACAATCCGTGCCCATCGAAGTAAGCGCACTGGTCGGTGACCCAGTGATATCAGCGATTCGTTTGTCAAGGACGACGATTTGCCACCAAAGTCGTCTGCGTTGCTCGGTCTCAAATGGGGATATTCCAAACTGGGCTCCATCCCGATGCAATCCCAGCCGGGTGGCTATGCGAACTGCAATTCCAATGTAGCAAAACTGTGACCGGGGGTCCACGTATAGCCTCAACCCGATCTACAAGTTCCATTAGCGTTTGGCCCAGCCTAGACAATTGAATGTGCATTAGGGAGCTCACCAGATATAAAACATAGGCCTGAAGTACCATAATGTCGTTGGATTTCATGAAACTAGCGCTGAGAAGAGCACGCTCGGTACCTTCTCGTGTCATGGCCATGAAGGCAGACTTGGTCTCACCAAATTTGGCTTGAACTTCGTCTTCTGTCATCGAGTTGACGGCTGTGAAATATATACCGAACATGAGGGCCCGCAAGGGCTCTGGTGCTTGAGAGAGATCTGTCGAAGCTTCGATAAATCGGGATTGTAGCGTGGGGATGTGGCTGATTCCCAATAGTGGGTTGATATTGTTGATATATATCTGCCACAATTGTATGCTTTGTATCGAAGATGGCAGTGAGAGCCCTGTACTCGTAGGCGAGTTCCCTGTGATGAACGGAAAGTCGATTGTCCCATCAAACATGGCGTCAAATGCACGGTGAACTGTTGGTCTATCCGACTCTTCATTTGAGCCAGAATGAAACATTTGATTTGTGGTTTGATACTAAAGGGCCAAATCAGTCTCGCATCCTGTTCAATCTCCTTTGCGGCCATACCTCGTTATAGTACGCAAACCATTTCGAGTTCCTGAAATATATAAGCGATTGCAGGTGAAACATTTCCTGCCGTATCTCACCTTTGATCATGCGTCCGCGATGGAAACCGGCTCGACGCACTTTGGATCGAAGGCGGGTTACCCGCGATGGAGGTCTCGGGATCATCGCGATCATGTGCATCGTCAAGATTGGAACTGAAGTCAATGCCATGTCGACTCATCAACTCCTCATACTTCTTCAACCTCTTTGCGAGGTCATTAACTGGTCTCGGGGTGTTCCTCTTTGTGCCAAGTCGTTGCGGAATGACGGTGCATTCGGCCTTTGCTTTCACGCAGTTGCCACATGGCTTTTGCTTATCACAGCGGACCTTGCGTCGCTGGCACAGTGTGCATGAGTGTCCTCTGGTTATGCCAGACATCGTTGGAGCTGAGAAGTCCGAGATCATCGGTGCCGAGATGTTCGGTCCCGAGGGGGCGCTAAACAACAAATGGTGTCAAATTCACGTGAAATCACTTGGCAATAAAATCGATTCTCATTTTCTCGCACCGCAACACCAAACAATGGATTTTTCTCTTTCAAGATCTTTGTCTGCTCGCAACACTGACTACGAACAAGCTTCATCAAAACAGCGAACAACACATCAACCAGCCAAGTGGCCGAGCAGTAACTCAGCCATCTCATCTTCCTTGGTCTAGTGGTGATGATTTCCGCTTGTCATTAACACCGATAAGCGCGGGAGACCGGGGTTCGATTCCCCGAGGGAGAGATTTCTTTTTTGTCCATTTCTTTTTGCTACGGAAAATGATCCCCTAACGAGCCAGTCCATCGCCATCATGGTTACAGACCGAATGGGTAGGTTTCTCCTTTTCCAAGCGGCGTGTCCGGCTGAATGACCTCAAGGGGATTTACAGCATGCGATACGTCAAACCAGACATACCCATCAAACTGCTTGTGAAGAAACGCCTGCGAGTAATGAGAAATCCGCTCTGTGTCTGGGCGGTAGATGACACCGATGAAACGCTGCAGACGCTGCTCAGCAGCAAGCGCAGAGCGCAGAGCAGGATCTATGTGATCACGACGCAGATCGAGCACAAAGCGAGGGATCCCGGTGTCATGAGCCACAATCTCCCAGCTGTCATCTCGAGACGGTCGAACATCCATAACCTCCATATCATCGTCCCACTCGTGAGCCGCAGCGACAGTTCCAGTGTGAGTTCCACAGCCAAGAATAGTTACGTTCTCGGCACCAAGTCGCTCACGGCAAAGCTGCCCGATGTTCAGTTCTCTGCGTCGGAAGCCCATGCTTGTATGGCGAGCATCGCCAACATGGGAATTGTGCGCCCACACAATCGCCTTTTGTCCCTCATTGTGCCGCAACAGGCGTTCCAAGGTTTCGAACATATGGATATCACGCATGTTCCATGAGCTCACGGAACTGTAGTACATGGCCTTGTAATACTTCTCGGCATCGCGGACAAGATGCGCATTCTGTTCGCCGCTGTGATACTCATCGCCATCACGAAGGCCCCGCTGTGCATATTCCAACCGCTTCTCCAAAAGATCTCTCAGAATCTTCAACACGCCAGCCTCGCAATCTTCAAGTCCACGCACGGAGGCCAATCCGTAGGATGTGGGATCGTCAATCCATGGTTCCAGACATCCATATCGCTGCCGTGCCTTTTTGCTTGCCTGGGGATCGACCCGGTCCAAGTAGTTGATTACCGCGCCGATCGATGCGCCCATGCTGTAGAGGTCAAGCCCGTAGAAGCCGGCCCTCTTTTCCGGCGGTAGCCTTTGATTGCGATCACGCATCCATTCCACGAGCTGTTGCATTTCAAAATTCCGCCACATCCAGGTTGGGAACCGATTGAATGGCTCGTACCCTCTCGCGATTCCTCCGATTTGTGCCTTTGGGCCTGGACGAAAGCGGACGTATCTATCGATAGCTTCTGCATCGGGCCAGTCTGCCTCGACAGCGACCATGGTGTAGCCGTGTCGTTCAATCAGCCGCTTTGTGATTTCTGCGCGAGCAGAGTAGAATTCGGAGGTGCCATGGCTACCGTCGCCAAGAAGAATGACCTGGTTTCCAGCAAAGGTATCAAAATGAGCTGCAAAGCCCTTGTCATTGATCTCAGGCAACGGCTCAACTGCTGCATTGAACAGTTGTTGCATCTTGGACATTGTTGACAGGTGTCGAGAGAAGGAATTGCGCATGTGTGCATGAACCGATGGTACTTTCACATCCCAATTCTCCACAGATTGCCGGTGAAAGGTCTATCAGAAGCCATCGATATCATTGCGAATGGCCTTTGAGAACCTAGTGGCACTTGCTGTTCGGAAAAACTTCCAGCGAGTTGTCTCGAGTTCCCTCTCAAATAGCCAGTCATCATGACCTCATCTGGAGGCAAAACAAAAGGGATGGAAGATCAACGAGATGGCGAAACCAATGACGAAGAAATATCGCTTGGACACAAAATTGTACAAGACCCATCATCAAACAGGGAGTTGGACATATGAGCAACCGGTTTGCAACAAGCGTACATACCTTCAAGATGGCCCTTCCAATCAGCAGTCCATCGCCACGTCTGGATAGGTTTGGACAAGCCATGGAATCACTCTATGGAAGCTTCACCGACATAGAAAACCCGGAAAAGTGGAAGCCACCCTTGATGTCAGGAGGCCACCGTGGAAGATACTTATGGACAGACGCCTTTGGGTTAATCAACCTGATCACGATGCATGGGCAGTATAGCAGATTTGGCAATGACACGGGAGACGAAAACCGTTATCTCATACTTGCAGACTCCCTCATCGACACTGTCCATGAAGTTCTGGGTAGGCAGCGAGATGGCCGTTCACGACTCCCCGGAGCAACAGACGAGAACCCCTTAGGTGGTGGATTGAGAATTGGCAAATCAGATGACCATGGATCAGATGCCGATGGGCAATATCACCATTACCTGACCGTGTGGATGTTCGCATTGAACCGGATGACTCGAGCATCGGGCGATGTGAAATATAATCGATTGGCTGTACAGTTGGCGAAAGCCATTCATCCAAAGTTCTTCATCGATCGGGCAGCGGCAGAACCGAGGATGATATGGAAGATGAATGTGAATCTTTCAGAGCCACTGGTAAAATCGGAGGGAAATCTTGACCCAATCGATGGTTATGTTGTTTTCCGACTCTTGCAAGCTTCAGCCACGGAGGCAGGAGATGGCGAGGTTTTGGCGGAGGAGATTGGGGACTATAAACGCACCATGGCTCGCAAGGGGGAACACTTTGTCTCGAGTGATACGCTGGACTTGGGAATGACACTTTGGACGGCGCATTGGTTCTGCACGACGGAGGACTGGGCTGCTGATTTGACAAAGAAGTGCTTCGACCAAATATGTCAGTCAGCCTCCTGCCGTTGAATTAGGAAGATTGCTGACTACCTGCTGTCAGACAACCTGTTCGAGGTCAATCAGTATTTGGAGCGCAATATAAAATTCAGGCTGGCCTTTCGTGAGTTTGGTACGTGCATGGGTATCCAGTGCCAGGCCGAGATGCACGCGGAGAAAGATCGTTCAGTCGATCTGAAGTGTTACTCCGATGCCATTATTGCTGCATGGGATCCATACATGGAGCTGTCAATATCTGATGGTCTGACACCGGAAGACCTGAGGCCAATTACAAGAGTGATGTATGCGGCCGCTTTGATCCCTGGTGGTGAGTGAATGTATCATGTCCCTGAGTTGGATAACCATGTTGAATTGACTGTTCGCCATTTCAGCATTTCGATCTGGGTACTTAGGACATGAGCCCACACCGTCACCCGAGAGTTCACACTGAAAAAGAAATAGCAAGTGCTTTCGTGCGTCGACTGTTTTCTAAGTGGAGAGCAATATCGTCGATTAATGAAAAGCAGCAATTCAGCAGAAGCTGTGCCTCGCTTCGAAACGAGACAGTCTATCATTATAATTCTTAATGTTCACATGTGATGGAGCAGCATGAAATCTATACCCCTGGTAGTCCGATCACATCTCTCAGCGAGTCCAAACGTCTCGGAAGGATGTAGATGGTGTACACGGCGGTGAGAGCAATGGTCAATCCTGACCACTAGATTGAGTGAAGTTAGCAAACGAAAAGGAAGGCTCCAATTGCGAAAGTGTACGAACCTTCTCTAACCAAGTGTGAAACCAAATAGCTGTCATGAAGAGCATCCACCAGCCCAGGCCGACCACACCCCAAACAAGGCGCAGCGCCCAAGTCCGTGCAAATGAGCTAGTTTCGGGTGATTCCAGTATCGGGTTGCTGTCGGCATCGCTGGCCTTGCGCTCACGTCCCGTGTCTGCAGTCACGCCAAAGCGAGCCAGCAAGGCAGGCGCACTAGCTCCAACGGCCTCAAACGAGAGAAGCGCCGTGGCCAGGACCAGCATCAAAACATGACCGCTAATATCATGTCCGCCTCTCCATGCCCCACCGGCAGTCTTGCAGGTTGCGGCTGTGAATAGTGTTTCAAGGTCGGTCGGATTGCTTCCCCCAGGCCCCATGTTCCCGACTTCCTGGAGAGCGCGCTCACATTTCCCGCCCGTGGCAACGAATCCACGATCTATGATCGCTGGACCAAAGAACCACTGAGTAGAGAGATACCAAACTATTGTGACGAGGGTGTAACGTAGAACGGCTTGGAGGGTGCGTCGGAAACGTGTTTCTTGCTGTGACGAGGACTGTGGACGGGACGAGGAGTAGAGGGGCGAGAAGACGAGTAGAGAGACAAAAGCAGCCGTAGTCCAAAGCCACCCGATCTTCACGAAATAGACGTTGAAGACATTATTCTTTCTGGCAAAATAGTTGACCGGATTCTCGGACAGGTGTAGGTCCGATGCTAGCGATGGGGCGAGTGGGCTCACTGGCTGAGCTGAGGAATCTCTTCCAGGCCGCGCTGTGGGTGAAAGTATCGAGAACAGGGATCCGAGTAATAAGGTTGCTGGGTATACAAGGAGGGCGACGGCGGGGAGCGAGGCCGGTCGCGAAGTGGCTGCGGCCATGATTGGGAGTGAGATTAAAGTTCAACAGGAAAAGTATGTAAGGAGTTGTGCAGATTAATCCCAATCGATCATTGAGGTGTGGTAAATGAGCATCGCCGTGGCAATTGAAGTGCAAGTTGAATAACCTGGAAGTTGAAGGTGACCTGGACAGATGACATCAGGCTCTGCCGAGGCTGCAGCCCTGAGGCCTCAGGCAGCATATTCTTCATGCACCAACGCCAAGACAGAAGAGAGACAATAGGATCCGAGCAACGTATTTCTCATTTCTTATATCACTTGAGATCTGTGGGCCTTATTGTTCAACGCTGTGTGGCTAGCATTGAAGTTATGCAATTTCGGACAGGGTGGCGGACTCTGACACGCTGGAGTTTAAGCCAAAGCATTCAAAGCGATGAGCATCATGAACAGCGCTAGCAGCGAAAGTTTGAGAGTAAAGAAGATACTTTTTTCTTCAGGGAAATTCTCGTGTGTACGAATGACAAGGTATGCGAGGAGAGCTGTTAGAAGACCTTGGAGAGTGAGCAGGCCTGGGAGATTGATGTTACTGTGGGCATTTTGCGATGGCATTATTGCGTGGGCTTCGATAATTGGCGATGCGAATATGTGAGTTAATTGTGTGTGAGCAAGGAAATCTAGAGAATGCTATGAGAGTTTTGCGGATGACTTCAACTTAGCGTCCTCCAATCACTATCAACCTGGCCAATATGGTGCACATAGTGCGCATGCCTGATATTCTGACTATTCGATGCAGAAAAACAGGTCTCAGACACCAGAAGAACCTTTGACTGTGACATGCACCAGCTGTGGGCTACCAGAGACATCCTCGCTAACCTCATCCTCCTCGTACTCTTCCACCTGCCACGCACTCCAAGTCGTTGTCGGAATCGCAGCCCAGAACAGGATCGAAGCCACAAGAATGTTCTTCAGCAGTGACACACTCTTTGATGCCCCGAGGGCGTATGATATCGTACTTGCTAGCGACTCGCTCGATCGCAGAACAGCAGCGGAAAACGTCAAGTTCTCGATCTTGTGATCGAAACAACCGAGAATCCAGTATCCCCACACAGCGAACGCGTTGTAGGGCACGAAGAAAATACAGTACACTGCAACTGCCCGCGCAAATCCCGGCGTCTCAATATCAAATACCGGGCTTGTCTTCTCATACTCTGCCTCCAGCACCAGGTTGTAAATATACGTGGCCGTGTACGTGATCACCAAGATGATCCATCCTGCTCGAGCCCGGGTAGCTCGACTCAACCGGTCATAATCCAAGAACCAACCGAAAAGGATGTTGATGACAAGCCCGAGAAAAGTGATGATGAATGATGCCAAAGCCCGGGATCGCACAGTGAAATACGTTGTCAGGTAGTTGCCTTCGTATGTCTGCGCCCATTGACTGGTTAAGAAAATCGGTATCAGGGCCGCGATTTCAGGACGTTTCATAATGCGCCAGAATCTTCGGAATCCTTCTGCGAATGTTGTGCGCTCGGGCTTCGCTGGCTTGGTTCCATCACTTCGGATGAGTTTGTCGACCGGGGAGATTAGAAGGGCTAGCGGCAGACCGAGACATTGCAAGGCAATGAGAATCAAGTAGGTCTCTGAGCTGATTGACCCCTGTTGGTCGTTCCCAAGGTTCAATGCTAGTTCAATTGATGATGCAATGATCGTGCCGATTTTGTTCAGACCGAACCAGATTGCGACTGGAAATCTTCGCGTCAGTAAAGGGAGAATGTTACGTGGGTGCAGCTTTACTCACTATACACCCCTTTCCTGTTTTCCTCTGGATAACCCACACCAATAGCAGCTTCGGAGACCCAGAGGGCCGCGGCCTTGTCCCTGTTAGTGCCGTCCAGATAGGAACAAGAGCGGAATGAATATACGAACCGATATTCCACACGTTGCTGCACCGAACAACATGAACCATTGCGTTCCATAAACGCTGTTTGTGTACAATGAGGCCGAATACGGAGCATATCCGATGGTGCCAATCACAAGGACCCATTTCAAGCTCCATCGATTACCCACGATAGCGAAAATGGGACTCAGCACGATCATGATAGCAAATGTGATCACATTTGCTGCATTGACAAAGAAAGGCGTTGCCAGACCGCCGGCCCCGAGCCCTAAATGGACGTCGTTAACCTCATACCATTATCTCAGAATGGAAACTTACCAGCTAAAGCACTCCATATACCCGGCTGGGTGAAGCTCACTAAACCAAGGATGATCGCATTGAAGAGTGGGCTTCGATAAAAAGTGTGAAGCTTGGTCTTCACCGAAGCGCTCTCAGCTTGTGACATTGTCCGAGACGTCGTGTCAAAGGTTATAATTAGCCTTTTTTAAACAATTACATGGATTCCCCATTCCGGGTGCTGGTTTTATATAAGCCCATATATCTTGGATTCATTTTATAGCTATCTGCGGGGTGGCATATTGCAAAAAGCCAAGGCAAATGTCGTGAGAGCGGCCTCATAAACGACATTTATGAGAGAAATGCACCAATATGTCGCGATTTCCCGATCTGGTTATTAAGCCGTTGTCTCCTCGGATTATCCAGGGGTTATAATTTCTGGCTATTTTGCGGCAAACGGTGCCCAGTTTATGGATTATCTTCAACCCGAATGCGCGAGGATGTTCTGTTTTGCTGACCTCTAGGAACCCGGAGCGGACGCCTCTGTGGATTTCCCACCTCCACAATCCTTGAAAAAGGCATTGACATCTCCCCCTAGACCTTGAGATAGATCCTTTCCCACTTTGATCCCTTTGCAAAGCGAACCTTCCGGATATCGCAACACGACTTTGGCCGCTGCTAGATCCTCATCCTCAGGTGCGCTGCTTTGCCTTTGCAACCTTTTAACGCTGCTGAGTGCGGTGACAGCGACAGTAGTAAAGTCCGTGGTCAAGTCCGCGGTCAAGTCCGCGTAATCGCCAGTGGGTTAACATAGACGTGGCCAGTTGCGCCCATTGTCATGAACGCCTGATTCATCGCCGTATTGCCGAATTTCGCCCGGCAGATAAAGTGATGTCAAAGCCTGACCGGCAGCGACTCCCCTATCGCGGGGTCTTCAAGTCTCACCAAAGATGAGGGAAAAGGGGAGGTTTGAACGCAATTTTCGAATTCCGCCTCAAAAGCCCGATCGACGGGTTTGAGCAACTAGATCCTCAGGGTATGCAAGGGACTTCAAGCACAAAAGATGTTTATCTTGATGAAGGGCATCACCTCCATTTTTGTACGCTCTGAGGACCTCGGAATTCCTATCCCGGATCATGTTGATCATGTACTCGCAGCCCTCTTTGGCAAGCTCGCCTAGAGGCCTATCGTCGGCTTCCTCGGCTTCTTCCTGGATCTGAACCAGCCTTTTCAACCAAAACATGTATCTCCATGGCGAAAACCCAACTGGCGACCGCTGCCCGAGTTCTGATTCCAGGAAATCCCTTCCACCTTTTCCAGTGTCACCGGAGCAATCGTTCCAATACACGTCTGAAAGAAGAATGATGTTATGGCCGGCTTCTTTCAACCAAGCGACAGCAGCAGGCAACAGATGAAACACTTCGAGATGCCTGGTACCACGGTGAAGGTCTTCTTCATCTGACTGTTCTCCTGTACGAAGGTCTCGGCCCACTTCAAAGAGATCACGGAAGATCAAAAGCGCGATTTGGCAAAGCTGATCTTTGGCAACACGAGCAGAAGCAAGCTTAGCCAGGAATGTTGCAAAGTTGAGACGGTGCGTGCCTGACATTGTAGCCCGGTTCTTGGCCCATAAAGCGGTCATATCACTGGTAAAGAAGGGAAGATCGTTCCAAAGTGTACCGTCGACGGTTCTTGCAATGTCAATACCCCGGCCTCCCGGTGCGGGCCTACTTAATGGACCCATTCCTTGGATGCGGAGTATATCAAGGACTATACCCTCATGCTCATGGTCTTCGCAGGAGATGTTTCGACCAAGCTCGTAGTACATGTACCACAGGGGGTGTATGGAGTCTTCAAGAGTATCCACACCATCTTCAACGCTGCAGTATCGACTGGTAATAACCCATGTTCGATTACTGAAGGCAATGTCCCGCACTTGCTTGAAGTCGTCTCGGGCGACGGATTGGCGTGCATCTTCCTGATCTCTGAGAACATAGTCGCCGGTCGGGGGAGCAGAAGAGTCTCTAGGCAGAGAGCTCAGTAGAGATTCACGGAGATGGTGCATTCTGCCAAGTTGTGTAATCTAGTTGATAGTTTGACTGAAGTTCGGAAACGAGAGAGGATAGTAAGAAAGTGAAGGCGCTAATATGCCGGAGGCTTGCGAGGAATGGAATCGCTGTACCCGTGTGATTGGACGGGGGGAGGCGGGAAACGGATCTGTTGAGCCATCTGGACTCTTGGGCTTGTGTGTGGATAAACCTCGTAGTTCGTACGCGCTGCTGGAGCGTGCTGTTTTCTTTGTTGCTGTCGATCAGTTGGCGGCCAAGACAGGAGTGCGCGTCGATCATGCGGCTACCCAGTCGCTCATACGTGACAGGTCACAAAATCGACGCCACTGCGAGACTGGAAAAATAATAGAACACAAATGTACGGATTGTGGGGGGATTGTGATGCAATGATATGGGTTTGGGCACAGACTATTGAAGTGTTTTGACGGGTAAGGAGTTGTCTTGATGATCTCGGGAGACCAGAGCGTGCAGAGTAGTGCGAAGTACTCCGTACGAATGAGGGTGATGCGCTTTGCCCAGGTGTTGATGTGGGAATTGAGCCCTCCAATCCCGGGTACTCCGTAGAATACGCCCTGTAGGTACCCGTGACGCCTATTCCGAGATCCTACTCATCCTCCGCTTTTACTTTGCGCAATTCACAAGGGCCATCTCCGCTAACAACACACTCTCACTTCATCATCACTCACCATCCGCACCGATTTTTACATATCTCAATTCATTTTGAGCGTCTACTAATGATTTCACTTTGCCTAATTACCACTTCGTTTTCTCACTCCCACACCCCAAACGGCGCTTTTATTAGGAATCATATGATGATCCCGTTCTTTGTACTCCGTAGCTCATGATGTTTGCTGCTTGCTACCTACCAGGTGATCCTGGATAGTCTTCTTTATTCTTCCTTCCTTCCCCAGCCTAGGAATTAAGTCAGTTTCTTCTCTCTCTCTTGGCCCTTGGTAGATCCAACAGCTTTTCAACGTTTTGCTTTTACTAAACACACGCAGATAAGCCTACCAGAACACCCGGGTTGACTTTTTCAATACCAAGCCATGCTCACGCTGGTCGGAGTTAGGATACCAGCCCAACCTGACGATCAATAACCTGGAAGATTGGGGGCTTAAAACGCGGGGCCAGGAACAGGAAACCACCTGGACAACCCAAGCCTTGTTGAATACAACTCTGAGAGTGCCAATAGGGAACCTGTTGCGCAGAAACCCGAATTGGGCGTGTTCCCATACCCGCTCATCAATGCCAAGCACCGACATATCCACGGAGATCGCAGCTCTTGAAATCCTACTTGTCATGGCGAGGGAAGAATTACTGCAACTTGATTGATTGAGGAATGGAAGAAGAGACAGAGCAACGGGGAAATAGAGATACACTGGGTGTTGTGAAGGCAGACCCACTTCTCCAAACACCCCCCCCACGAGCAGCACTTAGTGTAGCTCTATTTCCTCGTTCCTCTGTCTCTCTTCTTCCATTTCTCAATCAACCAAGGTACAGAGATCCTTCCCTCGCCATGACAAGTAGGATGTCAAGAGCTGCACCTTTCAATTCGCTTGGGATTCACTTTGTGGGCTCTCGCCCTTTCCAAACTCCATACCTTGGTGATGCAATGAACCAAACATGCCCCCAAACAGTCTCCATCTTGGATATAAATATGACTGGAAGTTCCTATTCGTCATCTACTCAAGGAGAGTTGCGAATCTCCACTCGCAAGATCAATTTTGACAGAGGCCGAAACACCGACCTTTTCAGCAAGTTCGAAGTGGAACGTGAAAGCTCCGGAAAATGCGGCGAAGCTGTCAAGGCAAGGAAAAGGAATCGGCTCGCCCTAGTCAATGCACGATGGCAACTCGACTGGGCGACCAGGTGGGCTATGGCCGAGACATTGAATGAACGACTACAACAACGCGCGGAGATTGAAGCTAGAGAGCGCCGAATCTCTTTGCAGGAATACGGGCTGTCAATATTCGCAGACAATCGTTAGCCAGAGGAGATGAATAACATGTGGCGAATGCTCAATGGGGCCCAGTTCGGAAACCGAGCGGAGATCGCGCGTCTGTCCGGGGTTCCATTACTCAAGAGTGCTCTGTGAGTCTGTCACTCATGCTCCTTCTACGCATAGCAGTCCGTCGAAATATCCAGAAATATCACTATATGCATCCGCTGCAGACTTTTTGAGACTCATCTTTTATCTCACAGTAACTCGATCTTGGTTTCATCGGGTAAAAGGCACCCGATTGTCAGATGCGCATTTTTATTCAATCAGTACCAACTTCTAAGTAACTTCCAAATTCACTGCGTGTTCAGTCTATGTGTCCGTGCATCACAGTCCACTTCTTTAAATCAAACTTTTGATAAATTCCGTCTTCCTACTCAAATATCCACTTTCTCGAGAAGCTTGGCAACGTTGTCATGGCGAGGCTTCAATCCAATGCGGAATGGAACTGGGGAACGTCCCGAGAGACCATCGTACTCTTTCAGATCGATGGGCTCGCCTGGAATTTCGTACATATCAAATGCCCAAAGCATTCGGGAGATGGTCAGCCAGATCTCACGCTCGGCGACCAGCATGCCAGGACAGATGCGACGACTAGAATAGTTTAGTAATGGATCCGCTTCAGAAAGGGTAGCAATCTTACCCGGCACCGAACATCCAGTGATCACGCTCCATGGGGTTGGCAACATTGGCGCTGTCAGCGGAGGTCAAGGGGTCATTGATGTAGCGGTCAGGCTGCCTGGTGTTAGTTTCTGATAAGGAAAGAAATCTCCAGGGCTCACATACGTTGAATTTCTCAGGGTTGGAGTGACGGGTGGAATCGTTGTGCATTGTCCACGTGTTGAGGACAACCACTGTGTCTTTAGGAATGTATTGACCCTTGTAGACAAAATCATCGGTAGCCACATGGGGTGTACCCAGCCAGAAGGGGTTGTGAACGCGCTCTACCTCCTTGATAATGGCATGGCAGTAGGGCAAGTTCTTCTCATCATCGACATCAGGAAGGCGGCCCCTGCCGACAACACGGTCAAGCTCCTCTTGGGCCTTCTTTTGAATCTCCGGGTAGGCAGGAATGAGTGCAGAGAACCATTGCATGATGGCCGCGGTCTATGAAAGTCAGGGGTGAGTTCATCATGGTCGATATGGATTGAGAGAACAAACCGTTTCAACACCACCGATCATGAAAGCAGATGCGAGAATTGCCATGTCCAAGTCATCCAAAGATTCCTTCTTGCGCACTTCAACCATCGTCTTGGCGAGACAGTCAGTGACTTGCTCTCCAGACTTCATTCTGCGTTCAATATCTTGGATAAATCCGCCATATGTGTCAACTAGACCCTTGTGGAGCTTCTTTCCGCGTTGGTGCATAGGTGTTGGGATGCGTTGCAGAAGTGGAACGAAATCAACCAGGTTTGACATGGGACCAGTGCAGTTCCTATCTATGTAAGCATAATTGCGACTGAGCTTGCATCGAAAATTCCACCTACATGAATTCACGACTGAGCTTCAAAGCCTGGGCCACGAGAGGATGTTCGATGCTGTCTGTCCGGAAGCCGAAAGTGATGGTAGTCATGTTGTTCAGAGAGCAACGGCCGGCGTGGGGCTGTAGTGGTAAGTACTTGAATCTTTGAAGGATTTATCCGACATACTTGGGGGTTGACAGGCACTAATCCGCCTTTGCTTTCCTCGAACAAGGCCTTGACCAAAGAAAGAGACTCGCGGTCTAAAGTGGGAGAGTAGGTGTCCACGGCGCGCTGGCTCAACCATGTAGTGGCAATGCGGCGGTGCTTGCGCCTGGTGAATATCTGTCGTTAGCAATACATCTGGTTGGAATTAATGAGATTTGCTTACCATCTGTCATTGTAAGGGGTTGCGGTAATACCTCTGCCGGCAAACACAGTCTGACTCTTGATATACATCTCCTTTCGGGACGAGAATACGTTGCCATTGGTGACCATGAGATCCTTTGCAACATTGGGATCAGAGACAATAACAAAGAGCTGGTTTCCGAGCCAAATAGAATACAAATCTCCAAACTTCTTGGCCCAGAAGTCCAGTGTCAGTTCAGGGAACCTTGTCAAGGCATAGAAAGAGCCTGGTAGCCTTGTTAGCTGGGCTCATCGGTGGGAGTAATCTCAAAGATATTTACCAACGATGGGAAGGCCTCTCGGACCTTTGGGAATGCTGTGACCTTTGCCATCATTCCATGGGGCTCGGAACCAAGCAAAAAGTGACACACTTGCAAGTGCAGAAATAGTCCAAATAGCCGTCGAGCTGGCTTCGAAAAGGCTCCCGGCTTTGACAGCTATCTCCAGAGGAGATGAGCTGGGAAAGGCGTACGTATTGTTGGAGATGAGATCCATCTTTTCGAAGATGGAGTGTTCTGATTCCAAAGAAGAGACTATGTAGCGGCCTCGAGCTTTTATACCTGAGCTGGTCGGGATTGCCTAGACTTTTCCGGGCCTCAATTCAACCTGTAGATAAGCTAGCCCGCTTGAATTTAGTCAGATCAAGAGTAGTCGATTACTGAAGCCTGCTAGGCAACTCGTGGTGGGTATGTTTCTTCCAATCCAAGCGATGAAAGAGCGGCACGGTTGCATAACCTCAATGTGTATGCATTTGGCCCCATTCGAGTAGCGGGATTCCGATGAACACTCTCTGCATGGTCAGCCTCAAAACCTGCTGTGCCTTGGTTTTGGCAAATGAAACTTGAGGGAATTGACCCTTCCCGTATTCCTCATCTATCCTCATTAGCTCTATATGTGTACCAATGAGGCAATTGAAGTCGGGCCGCTCAGTCACCAGCGCTCAAGATAAGATGTGCCCGGTAGAACATCCTAGAAAGTTCAATATGCAACCTTGCATTTTTATGATATGGCACTGAAGCGGACCCGCAGATCTGACAGAATTGTCCTCTGTGGAGAGAGAAGAGGAAAAGAGAGTTGTGATTGGCGTGAGTCTTGAATTCCAGGAGAGAACTTGGCCGATAGTGTCAAGATTGCCCCGGAAGGATTCCATTGGGCTCCGCAGAGAGGCATTCGGTCACAGTATGGCCAAGCATTCGAGTCGTTGAGCGTGAATACTCGCATGGCCCCCAAATCATCAACTCCGTGTGGCGTAAAGTAAGCGAATGTACTCCCCGGGCTGTGCAACTTAGGGATCTCTGTATCCCAATAATCAGAATAGGGACGATTTGCTAAAACATTGGAGATGACTGGGCTACAAAAGTGTCACCATAGTGCATCCAAGTCATATTTTGATTTCCGTCGTATGTCACGCGTGATCTTCTGCAGGGCTAATACTCCATATGTTACATGATGAATGCTAGACTAAAGATTCTTCATCCCACTAGTTCACCGCATCTTGTTTTATGCCGAATCCGTTAATGCTGATAATGTCACTCGTGAGCGGGACGGCCTAGTATGATTATTTGTTCAAGCTTTAGGTTATGCAAGCTCAGAACGTTCAAGGATCGGGCACCTGGGCAGTGTTTTAGTATGGTAGCGGTGCCCAAACTGGGACTAGTGCTGATAAAGCCGTCCACCGGAACCATGAAGCTATTTGCCCGTGTAGAAACTCGACTTCCCTCGAATTCCTGGCGTTGAGCTTTATGTCTTCTCCTATTAAGGTACGGAGTATTCACTCGTAGATAAACTCCGAGTCGTACCAGATGGATCTCTTAATAAAGTTAAAACCTAAGGGTTGTAAAAGCATTTTCATGCTTATCCTCTCTCAGCCGCTTATAGATGCCCAGGTTCAATACCACTAACGCTGCACGTGTGCCTTCAACCAGATTTGATAGCCTCACGATACCCCACTACCTGATAATATAATTGAACTACAACAGGATCTAGGTGCTCACATAAATCTGAAAACGTTCAGATAGCCGATTCCGAGGTTGATGTACAAAAGTACATGCAACCTCGGAAGGCCCCACTGGCGAGGTTCGGCCCCCAAGGCGGGCCGGCTCGTTTGTGGGGCCCTGACAGAATGCAAACTGAAGAAAATTGTGCCGAGCTACACTGCACGAAGCCAGCTCAAGTGCTGGCGTGTGCACTGCTTATTACTGTGGGGAGTTTCCAGGCACTGTGGCGCTTCTCACAAATTTGGCTTGATTTGGGATAGATCGACCGAGTTATATTGGTCCATCGGCCCTACCTAGGCGTCGCATCTGTGGATATTAGGACTAGCGTTCTGCTACTACTGTGCGAGCGAACCTCCAAATGACCCATCTCATGTATTTTGAATACGCTGACTGGGATGTGGAGCTTACCCACCAAGTTGAATCTTGGAAGCGGGTCTATACGAGACCTCGGGAGGCCTTGATGCTGTTTCAAATCCGCACATCCTATCTGGTGCTGAGGAATTTGCGGCCTCCCCGAGAGAGGCTAGCGTCCACGGGTGATTTACCTTTGGGTTCAAGCCAGTGAGCCCTGGAGAAACTTTCATTCCTGTGCTCCAATTGGGCTATACCTAGGTAGATGAGCCGCGCGATGGCACCTGGGAATTTATCTAGTGTCGTAAAATAGTTCATATTGTGGTACAGTTGCCATTAATTTGTCAGTACCAGGTAAAACCAGGCCTTGGTGAGGCCCCAGGGGCCCTTTTTTATTAGATAATGTGTGTACGGAGCAGCGATTCAATAACCAATTTACAATCAACCAACGCGTGCGAGAAATAATCCTCCTTTCATCGTAATTGAACCAGACCGGCGGTTTCCTTCTTTGTTCTCCATGCAAATTTGCCCACTGTCGCAGATATGGATCAGCGGTTATCTGACGGCAAAGCACTCTCCCTGATATAATCCAAATTAATTTGTTCACCGTCGTTGCCAGGCGTTGTCTCGTATTGTAACTATTTCCCATTAGGCTGAGGGAGGGTGGGCTGAGGCTTTGGTGGACTAATCCAGAACACAGGGTAGCGGCGCTGGATGTTGTTGACGACTAAGGCGACGGCGAGGATCATTGTCGAGGAAAGGAGTACCACTGGAAGGTAATACCAGGAGATATCCCACACCGCATCGTCAAGGGCAGGCAAAAGAGCAGTGGCACCAGCAGGCGGGTGGGTTGTCTCCGTGATCTGCATTACAACAATTGCAATTGCAGATGAGAGGGCGCCTGCCAGCCAGCGCAAAGAGTTGAAACGCGCTTCATTTGGCATCAAGCTGAACAGTTTGGTCACACAAATGCCAACCAGGGCACTCAGGAAATGACCAAAAATGAGAGCGCGGGGTTGAGCGAGCGGGCTTTCGAGTGCACCGTACACCAGTACAGCTGATGCGCCCTGGTTTCATCAGCGAGTCATTGACACCACGAGTAGAAAGAAACTTACATAGGAGGCAATCAGGCCAGGCACACCGCGGTCAGTGAAGTATTTCGAGTAATTGAAGATGGCCTGCACTGTGCAGAGACCCGCAAAGGCAGCGATGAATGACCAGAAGTGAACCAGATACTTTGCAGGTGGCTTTGGTGCCTCTGCGCGGTAGCCTAGGAAATGACTCACGGGCCTAGGAAGGCGAGCCAAGAATTCCCGCTCTGACAACATGTTCAAGAAGACTAGACACGTAGAAAGTGACGTTGAAAAGTGATTGTCTCTGAGAAAGAGGATGTGGAAAAGCGTATCGCATTGACTGAGGAGAGAGAGAGAGAGAGAGAGCAGAAGCTAGCCCTGGAGCCCTGGAGATCTAGGAACTGTCAGCTGACTTCCCTGGAGCAAAACCTCGAAGCCAACGTCAAGAAAATGCAAAGAACTTCTGGACAATTTCTGGACCTTGCGAGCGGGACCGGGATCGGGATCGACCTATAAGCTAAACCCACACCCCTGTAAGTCTTAGTCTATGAGGCTATTGCAAGCGAGTCCTGTTTTGCTGAATTTTTCTTTCACTCCTTTGCACCATTAATCTCTATTTCACCCACAGCTGATGAAGTAGAGTGATATTTTCTCCGGAATATACCAATTTCCTCTTTCGGTCCTTTGTTTTTCGCCGGGATTTGAGATGGTATTTCCCGGCCCCCACGTCCCTTCTTTTTGGGAGTCAAACAGTCCAATTTAGCCTGACCTGAGAATATATATACAGTGAGACTATATACCATACAATATCCATCATCCCTTTCCCTAATTACAAGCCCCTTACCAAAAAGCTTGGAAAGACTAGGATTTTCGTCGGTCAGATCCCGTCAGATCCCGTAACGGCCGGGATCGGGTGGGGTCCCGCGAGAAGCTTGACCGGGCAAGGTCCGTCGGAATGCCCGAGCGGAAGAATCTCGGTGATTGCCCGACGTACTTTAGACAAATCTGATATCTATTCTTCCAAGTTGAGGCTTTGAGAGACCCCCCATCACCCTTTGAAGCATCAAGGTTGGCAGTTGCAATCCTCACCTCACCGACAGCAATGGCCCCCAACAGCCCTGGGGTCCTCTAGATTGTTCTTATTTTTTATATCAATTATTGGAAATTTGATTTTTAAATGAATTGATTTATTATTCTTATCTTTTAAAAGGAAAATACTACAGAGTACATTCTCTTATTCTATGCCTGTTTCAGAGCATGGTGTATTTTTGTTGGACCCTGTAGGAAGCAGGGACTTCGGGCTACACCAACCACCTGCTGGGCAAACCACTCAGTGACCGCATCCTGTTTAACTCTTGGCGCCACTTGTACTGAAGACGCACACCGATGCGCCTTTGGACATACGGAATAGTATATGACCACTTCCAACGTTTTTGGGGGCTGAGACGACCCAGGTCTCCAGGACTTCATGGACGGATCTAGTTCTCTCTTTTCTTCCTTCTTATTTTGGTAGCCGGGTCAGCCAATACAGCGCATTCGTTGCGTTCTCGCTGTGATTCCATGCAAGCCTGTTCTACTAGCGATCTCATTGGCGATAGTCTAGAGGCATACATTTGATGCGTAAGAAATGAGGTATTTTCCAATAGGCCCCGAAACAGAAGTATTGGAGGATGCTCGGACTAATTTACATAAATATCGCCCCTATACCGACTTTGAGCGAAAGTGTCACCGGTGTTTTCATCTTCTTCTGCGAATACTAGAAGTCATTCGCGGTTTCATCGAGTCTCGTTCCTAGCTTCATTCAAGATATTCCCAGTATTCAAATCGAACTGTACCCAGCGAGTCCCAGCCCAGGCAAAATGACCTTCACGGATCATCAAGGTGAAGAGGATACCCGGAGTGAGTACACATTTGTCCCCATCTTGAATCTCACTAATGTTTAGCTAGTATCCGGCTTTGAGCCTCTACTTGCACCGGAATACATTCAACACGAGATACCTGCTGTGAACTTTTCTCATCATCCCCCAAAGGAATGAACGCAACTGACACCCTTCCAGTCAGCCACCTCCCTCGCAACCGTCTCATCCGGCCGCCAACAGGTGATTGATATCCTTGAACGACGAGACGACCGCCTCCTCGTAGTTGTGGGGCCATGTTCGATCCATAACCCCGAAGAGGCGCTCGAATTTGCATCTCGATTGCGCGACCTGTCCAAGAAGCTCTCCATGGATCTGTGCGTCGTCATGCGTGCTTACCTGGAGAAGCCGCGCACAACAGTCGGATGGAAGGGGCTTGTCAATGACCCCGATATGGATGAGACCTACAACATCAACAAGGGCCTCCGTATTTCCCGCCAACTCTACTCCGACCTCACAAACATGGGTCTTCCTATCGCCAGCGAGATGCTTGACACGATATCGCCCCAGTATCTGGCAGACTTCATATCATTTGGAGCCATCGGTGCTCGCACAACAGAATCCCAGCTCCACCGTGAGCTCGCCTCTGGCCTTAGTTTCCCCATTGGTTACAAGAATGGCACGTCGGGGAATGTGAACGTCGCAATCGACGCTATCGCCGCTGCTTCCAAGCCACACACATTCCTTGGTGTGACCAAGCAAGGGATGGCGGCCGTTACCCGCACCGCTGGAAATGAGCATGGTCTTGTGATTCTCCGGGGCGGCTCACACGGCCCCAACTACAGCAAAGAACATGTCTCCTCCGCGAAGCAAGTGTTGAGACAGAAGAATCAGCGCGATAACCTCCTGATTGATTGCTCACATGCCAACTCATCCAAAAATTTCCACAATCAGTCGCTAGTGGCTATGGACGTCGCAAGTCAGATGGTGAATGGTGAAACCGCTATTGTGGGCGTGATGATCGAAAGCAACCTCAACGAGGGAAACCAGAAAGTTCCCCCCGAAGGTCCTAGTGGTCTCCGACCTGGCGTTAGCATCACTGATGCGTGCATTAGCTGGGAAACCACTGTGGATGTTTTGCAAAATCTGGCCAGCGCCGTCAGGTCCAGGCGGGAGTACTTACAGTCGGTGGCTGAATGCACAAGCAAACCGACTTGGTTGGAGAGTCAATCTGCAGGCATTATGGCCTGAAAATTACATATGGCTCAATTATTTGATATTTGCTTTTTTTCTTTCAATGGGGGGGGGGGAATTGGAATGCCAATGTTTTGCTTTTATCCATTGGAGACCTCAAGTGCTCTGCGCTTGCCAGGATTCAATGATGACAGCACTGAAAACCTCGGGAGCCAGGGGCATGGATTTTTGGATGTATCCATATATTCAGGGGCGTACCCGTACCCCCTCGGGCTGTTTTGGGGGCGGGGCGGTACCTAAGCCCTTCCAAGTTGGGAGGGGGGGCCTATTGAAATGAAAATCACATCGCGCTCCACAGAACAGGATATTCAGGTGATTAGCTTTGAACAATTGTGATTTCGGCTTTCGTTGATTCCCCGATAGTTTCTACAGCCCGGAAAGGAAAACAATAACCAAAGCAAACAACTTCATTTCAATCAGGACTAAGCATGCCATTTGGAGCTCGCCTAAAGCTTGCTAGTGTAGGTGGCATTCTTGGGGATTCCGAACTTTGACAAATCTTCCGTACTCTTCCCATCGACAGCAAGCTCTGCCAGAACGCGACCAAAGGCTGGTGCAAATTTGAAAGCGTGAGCTGCACCCAGACCAACGATTATGTCTTTATGCTTCTCCAGTGGGCTGATGACAAATTGCCTATCTGGCGTGATAGAATATTGGCAAGTAACAGTCCGGAGTGCCTGGCGACCCTCATCAGGCATCACATTACCCATAAATGAAGATAGCTGCTCGAGCAGCTGGGGTGAGTGAACATAGGTCCGCTGCTCGGGTGTCATAAAATTGTTGGATGTATCTCGACCGGCCTTGATAGTTGGCTCGCCAAAGGATGGGAAACCGTAGAAGCAAGGATCGCCGCCCCAAATCCACACTGGAAAGTTACTTGGCTCCCAGGCTGCTTCCTCCGTCGGTTTGAAATATGTGACTTGCTCTTGCATCACTGATAGAGGAATATGCACACCAAGTGGAGCGAGAAGCTTGTTCGTCCAAGCATCAGCTGCAAGGATGACTTTGGCTGCGTGAACCTGTCCTTTGGAAGTTTCAATCAGGACACCCGATCCAGACTTTTTCGGTGTCACTCGGTCCACACGGGTATGCTCTCTTAGAACTGCGCCATGTGTTCGGGCTAGGCTTTGCATAGCAAGGACAGTCTTTGCAGCGTGGGCAATTCCCGTGTCCGCTGTGTACACTGTGTCGACTGAGTCGGGGATGTCGAATTGGGGCCATCGCTTGTTGACCTCCTTTGCGTTGAGAACCTCATATGGCACATTCTTGGCGTCAAGGCTTCTCGTGAAATCCCCGATTGGGGTGGGGGCATCTCTTGGAAGAAAGAAGACACCACCGGTGATCGTTAACAGCTTTTGGTCCGTAGCCTTTTCCAAATCAGCCCAGTCTTTGTATGCAGATTTGGCCAACGCAACATATTCGGGGGACGAATTTGTTGTTCTCACGATGCGAGAAGTATCGTGTGACGCGCCGTGTACATGTCCGAGTTCGAATTGTTCAAAGGCAATGACTTTCTTGCCCTTGAGGGCTGCGTGGTATGCCGCTGCACTTCCAATGACGCCAAGACCAACAACTGCGACGTCGTATTGTTCCATTATTTCTTCGAGTACTCCTTGCTGGGCTGCTTTTGGTTTGTGGAATATCTTTGACCCCCAGAAAAAACCGTGCTTTTAAGCTTACCGTCGTCGAGTACATGTGGGACGGTGAACGGCCCGCTCACGTGTCGTCCCCTCTCAGTCCACGGGTCCACGGGTGTCTGACTCCCCGCCAGTCGGGTTGAGCTTATCCATGAATATCGATGTCACTAGTACCCTCCGCAGTTGGCAGAGAGTTTAGTGTGGGGTCATTATATGGGAAATACTGGTGGCCAAGATCAAAGGCGGCATCTCTCCGTCTTCCCGGTCCCGAGATATTTGACGCGCTCGAATGAATGAGAGCTAAAACAAGCTCTTTGGGACGAAATAAGATAGTGTAGAATTATCAGACCATCAGTGCATCTTCAATTAGATATTTATGCTGAGAAGAATCTCAGCAAAGTGAGCAAAGGATTATGACTAGGAAGTCAAAAGTAGACTTCCACACCAGCCCAGAAAGCCCGGGCCCAACCCAGCCCAATGCGGAAGTTTAGTCAAAAGCGTCCCTTTAACCTCCTTTGAAGTCCCAAAATTTGGTGGGCCACATGAGATTTCCTAGGGAGCTCCCAGCTCATCCGGCCAGTGCATACCCCTTCGAGTCCACAAGTAAAGCGCGAACACTGCTTTGCGGCGACTCTTGGTATCACTGGCACTGACGGGCCGGCCCCACGATTGCGAAACTGCACTCCGCATCAGCTGACGCAGCCTTTTCTGATAATCTGTATTTCGAGTAACAAGACAAGCCTCGGTAGCCCGGATCATGACCTCGCAGGCATTCAGAACATCTTTGCCGCATTTCTCTTCAAGGCGCTCTACTATCAACAGCATCGGGAAGGATACCTGGAATAATTGAATGCCAAAGAAAAAAGGACAGAAACTGGCATCTGGATCAAAATGCAAAATCCTTCGAAGACAGGAGGCCGCATTAAGGGAAAATGAGATCGTGGAGGCAAAGGCGGGAGAAGTCCAACATTGCTCGTCCTCCACTAAAAACCCCCAGTTTCGTTTTCCCACTAGCATCATGCGAAGAGCCTGGACAAAGAATGACGCATAGATAACCGCAGTGTGATGCTGTTGGTCTGAAAGCTTGTTTGAATCCTTGCCTTCAGGACTTGGGGCTTCGACTGGTGTAATAAGAGTGGCCAAACTGGTTTGATACACATCGAGGTGTTGCGATATCTCAGAATTTGCAGTACCCTTGTCATGCTGCGGTTCTGAACGATCTTGGTTCTGGCGTAATATTTTCCCGGTGATGGTCATGAGGGGAAGCAGAAACCCAAAGAGCGATGAGTCGTTGAATCGGAAATCCGGGAATATTCGACCCCCTGATCGATTTTCTCGGCCGGGATCCAAATCTGTTTGTGAATGAGAATCGCGATGGACGGAATCGCCATTTTGCCAAGAAGTCTCATTCATCGGGAGGAGTACACCGGCACATTCGGCATCGAGGATCTCCAGCGGTATATTATGACGCAGCGCTAGATGGCGGTCCATAATGTACAATAGCCACCATGCTCGTCTTCGTTCTTCAAGACTCTCATATGAGAATGTAACAGAGCGAGAGTCAGGGTGTATATTGTTATCGAAATCCTCATTCGATTCAGGCACATCATGATACATGCATGTTGACTTTGCTGCGAATTCCAATGAGCCACGGCCACAGTATTCGCAGTAATTCGAGCTTGAACCGTCCGAGTCCAGAAGTATATCTGCCTTGGAAATGAGTTTCAATTTTTTTGCAAGATGAATCGCTGCTTTCCACCTGCAAGTTGTTAGAAAAGAAAAAAGCCGTACCTGGTGGATCGATTTACATACCACTTAAGACTTGACGGGTTCTCTTCAGCAGAGCAAATCGAGGCAATATGAATGTAAGTGATCACATCATCAAAATCACCGACAGGGTCGCCCATGCTCTGAGACGGCGTGGGTAAAAAAGACAAATCCGCCGATGATGACACATGTTGCCCCGAAAAGGCGTGCTCAGATAATTGCGGCAAGAGCGAGAATGTAAGTCGACCAAGTGACCGACAGAGATTGCTTTGTTGTACAGACGATGAAGAAAATGAAAAGTCCCGGTCGTTCACGGCAGCCATCCAAAGCATGCTCATCAAAAGCGCAGGCTTAGTAGGCCTATATCTGTCACCCAGGAGTGAGGACTTTCGTAAAAGAGAGCACTTCAATTGGCCGTAGACCATGTGCGGATTGGTGAAGAGATCTTCACAGAAATATCGCTCAATCAAATGGCACATCAGCTCAAAAGGCACATGGGGACCCAAAAAGCCCATCACCTCATTCAACACGGGATATCGCAGTGGGGGCTGCTGTGCCGGTGGATTCACTTCGTCCAAATTTGTATCCTCAAGATTAGTGAATATGGAAATAGGCTCATGCTCTGTGTTGTAATTCGTGTAACCCGAATCCCACGATACCGGCGGCGGTGGCACAGGGCTCTCAACTTGAAAGCTCGAATGGGGTAAGCCGTCGGATCTCTGGTCTATTGAGTGAAATGGATCTCTGGGGCTGAGTTCCGATATTTCCAAACCCTGTGAAGTATTCCCAGTAGTGTGATTTTCATCTTCAAGCAAAGCCAAAAGGCTGTCAATCTCGTTGGTCGCCGGCGGCCACGACTCAGCCACGGATTCCGGGGTGGTGGGACCCATTGAAGATGGCGAAGATGGTGAAGATGGCGAATGAGCAGAGGAGTGATTGTTTATCCACAACCTTGATTCACGTTGAGAGTGCTCGGTGGTTATGTTGCCTAGCTTGGATCGTGGTGTGCGGCCTCGTTTCCGTAGCGTGCGCGTGAATCCGCACTTGATGCCAGCGTGAGTGCAGCGTGAGCACGGTGATGGGGATATCAGATCACAGCGAACACGTCGCATGTGACACGGGTCACAGGCAACCTGATTACGTCTGAATCGTTGTTTGCGCTTTGGGACTTCATCCGCGCCAAAGTGTGGAGCTGGAAGTGATGACAAGTCCTCCAGATGGATTTCGATTTCAGAATGCATCGCGCGTACTTTGAAGATTCCCTGCAGGTGACGGGAGTTAGAGGCGATGGGGAACTCCGATCGTCCGACTCAAACAGTGCCCAGTTACTGACAGTGTGGCTGAGTAGGTAGTATCTCGATATTCCCTCATCATTCTTCCGGAGTGGCGGCTTTTTTCAGGGGCAAACTGGCATTGCAGGAGGCAGGCACCTATGATCGAGCAGCCGAGGAAACAATCAACACCCCTCCAAGCGAGCTACGCCATCCCCACACTATAGGCGGTTTGACTAACCCGCCGCAATCCTTTTCGGGTAAGCATCCCCGCGACACATACTTCGGGCCGATGGCAGTAGTTATTCCGGTGCAGCCGAAACAGTCATTGGCTGCTGGTGATTGTCTCCACTCGGGGAGCCAAGGTTCCAGGGTCGCTGGATACGGGTATTTGGTTCTGCGCTAACTACTTTTCGTTCGCCCTCATACATTCGCAGCAGACTTCCTTTGCCCAAGCAAGCAGAAATGCTTCGGCATACTAAATCTTTTGACCCAATAAGCATCTCACAATGTCCTCTCAAAGCAGCCCTGAAAGCGGCCGTATGAATCCGACCGAATATACTTTGACGATCCTACAATGCCGAAGCCCAGGAGGGCCAAGACAAGATATCCGGCGAAACTGGCGAAGTCTTGGAAGGTGACCACTCTTCAGATGGAGGACAAAATAGCCTTTGCCACGGTGAGACCCCCGCGGCTTGTCGCTGTTTCAACCCCATGGGGTCATGGTTTTCAGGTTCTAGTCTGCCCCGGAAACCATAACCAAAAGTCTATATAAAGCAGGCCACCCTCAGCTTTCGACAACGGCATGACTTTCAAAGCCTCTGTTCAACAGGAATTTACCTATCAGACTTTATCCGCATTGCAATGGCTCTTACAAAGGAGCCCTATTTTGGCCTCACTGGGGGATGGCTCACATTATGGCTTACAGTATGTCCCGGATCCCTCCAAGGTTCCTCATTGCGTGTCTCCTCAGCTACGGATAGACTAACATGATTGGGGAATAAGATAGCCTGTGCTACTGATATGATGTTGTTCGGATACGATCAGGGCGTTTTCAGTCTGTCCCATTATCATCCTGTTTCATCCTTTCACCTTCATACTGACGAACTATCTCCCCCAGGCGGCGTCGTGGTAACACCTAATTTCCTCGAAGTTCACGATTTGGTTGGCCCTACCAAGACAACAGTTCTCTCAACGGTTGCTGCAATTTACGACATTGGATGTTTCTTCGGCGCCATACTTGCGTTCACCGTGGGACAGAGACTAGGTCGGAAAAAGTCTATTCTCTTGGGGACAGTCATAATGGCAGTTGGCACAATTCTACAGGCGTCTTCTTACAGTCTTCCACAGATGTTCGTCGGTCGAATCGTGTTAGGGTGAGTGGGTTCCTAACCCCGGGTCACACACACCTGATGTTTATGCGTCTAGTCTCGGCAATGGTATCAATACTGCCACGGCTCCTATCTGGCAGACAGAAACAGCACAGGCAAAGTGGAGGGGCAAGCTCGTCATCTTGGATCTTGGGCTCAATGTTGGTGGCTACTGCATTGTGAACTGGATCAACTATGGCCTCAGCTTTCGCGGAGGTGCCATTGCATGGCGATTGCCAATTGCTCTGCAACTCATATTTGTGGTCATTTTGCTCGTCACAATTCCATGGCTACCTGAATCTCCAAGGTCTCATTCTTTCCCGAAGAATACTCGTTTGATGCTAACAAACACAGATGGCTTATGATGCAAGCCCGGGAAGAGGAAGCAATGGAAGTCCTTGCCTGCGTCGAAGCCAAAGCTACCGACGATCCACTCATTATAACTCAACGCGATGAGATTAAGTTCAGTATTACCTACGAGACTCAGAATGCGGTTCGATGGTGCGACCTTCTGCGCCCAAGCAAAAGCAACGACACTACCAAGACCCTTCGGCGGCTGCTTCTTGGAGCTGGAACACAGGCGATGCAGCAGTTCCAAGGTACCTCCCACGCTCTTTGTACATGAGTTTGTCGTAACCGGATTCACTAACCTAAGATTTTTCCAACAAAAGGCATCAACATCATGAGCTATTATCTACCCTTGGTCCTCATCAATTCGGTCGGACTCTCCGACACAATGGCTAGGCTTCTCACAGCTTGCAATGCCACATCTTATTTCGTTTTCTCATGCGCTGCTGCCTTGGTCGTCGAGCGCGTCGGCCGTCGTGGGCTGATGATGTTTTCTGGATTTGGCCAGTTCCTCTCCTTTTTGATCATTACAATTCTCCTCTACTTGGCCGAGACAAATCCCGTGTACGCTTCCGCCTCGGTCGCCTTTTTCTTCTTGTTCCATGTGGCATTCGGGATGGGTATGCTGGGAGTTCCATGGCTTTACCCAACTGAAATCAACTCACTTCCCATGAGAACAAAGGGCGTGGCGGTCTCGACAGCAATCAACTGGTGAGTTGATGAAGAGATTATCCCACTTGATTGAATTGTGATACTAAATTTTCGGACCACCAGGATCACGAACTTTGCGATCGTCGAAATCACGCCAATTGGTATCCAAAGTATCGGCTGGAAGTTTTGGATTGTGTGGACTGTTCTCAACGCTCTATTCTTGCCGATCATCTACTTATTTTACCCCGAGACAGGTTAGTTGACGAATCTGCTTTTGCCATCATATTTTTACATGCTGACTTTCTTCAGCGAACCGAACATTGGAAGATATGGATGCATACTACCGTTCCAACCCCCCACTCATCGTGGCGGGTGATGCAGACGCGATCTCGACAAAGAGACCACTTCAGTTCATCTATCATGAAGACGAAGAGGTCCAGAAGAATGCGAAGGAGGCTCTCTCTGATGACAGAGGATTCGCAGAACATTTGAACTAGATCCTTGGCTAGGTGCAAAAGCTCGATGATCTTTTTGACTATGCAGATAAATGGCCCCGGAGGGTGATCTGCGAAACGGTCAGCTGGAAAGATCTTGAGGGCTTAACTGAACCCAGAGTTTCGCCCAGGCGCACTAGCCCACAAAGCCCACCTGCAGAGCCCAACCGCGAAGCCTGACCCGACCCACTATTGGTTCCATCTGGGGCCCAGATCTCGGGCCCGTTGATGCCCAGGTGGGCTGGAAACATCACAAACATGCCAAGAATTTCCCGGGTGTAAAATTGAACTTCCTTTTTGGTATTTCCAAGCTGCTCTCTGTTTGAATGCCGTTTTGATCTCATTATTATAGAACAGGCTTTGAAATTGAATTTTCTTTTATACCAGCCGTCAGTAATTAGTTTTACACTAAGGAAACTTCAATACACGAAAAAAAAAACGCGTTCTAGGTACAGAAAGTTGAATTCTAACAGAAGTTGTGAATTTCGTGGTTCTCGATCAAGCCGATATGCATATCCACTGGGCAGTACCTGGACGTCAGAGGTCCTAACCCTTAAACTTTAACCTTCCAACCTTCGAAGGTTGGAACTTGCCAGGTGGAAGCTTCTTCGAATTACTACAGTGCTAGGTATTATGGGATTTATGAGGACCTCATGAGCCTCGGGTTGCCCGGGTATACTCCGTAAGCTGAGTTGGGCTCAAGGGGTAGAGCCCAGACCCCGGGAGGTCTGGGCCCAAGCCGGCCCGTTGCGGAGTCTAATGCCTTTGAAACCACACCCGTCAACCCTGGAGGACTTGGTCTAAAAATAAATTTGAGACAGATATTTCCTAGTAGCTTTCTTTCCCATAGAGCGTTTTGAAGTTCCACAGCCCATGGTATCCTGCCTCGAAGACGCTTGGGACAGTGGGCAGGTTGGGTGACTAGGCGGTTTCAGGGGTGCACGTATCAACCCGAAGAAGACGGCGACTTATCGGAAGGCAATTTCTCTCGAGGCCAGCATAATAGTGAAATCAAGGGTATTTGATCATGCTACACTCATTTCTTTGAGGGTAAAAACCGAAATGCAACGAGGTTGACTGTTTTGGCATCATTAACCTCAGTGAAGTCTCGGAAACGCTCGAATCCAGACTTGAGCAAGACGTTCTGACTAGCAGTGTTGATGGCATCAGTGATAGCAATCAAATGCTCGTCCACGTTCTTGTCGCCAATGACCATCTCCTTCTGAACGCGTACGTCGCGCTCAGATCGAGGTAGCTCGGACCAAAATCGCAGCCAGGCACCCAAGAACTCTGTCGCAAGCCCTTGCCCCCATGTCTCCTGCCGAAGTAGATATCCCAGCTCAGGCCAGCCATGCGATCCGGGGTACAGATGACATCCGCCAATGCCAATCAGCTCACCGGTATCCTTGAGGCAAATAGCGCAATTGCCGGTGACGAGATCGTGTGGTGGTAGGAAAGGGTCGAGTTTCGATTTCGTCGTCTCGATGCTTTCGTCGATGCAGCCGGCCCGAGTCCATTTCATTACATCTTCTTGCGTGCGCAACACGTGCAGCGCGTCTAGGTCGCTTGGTCGAAGAGGCCGGATTAGTAGGCGGCTCGTTGTGATTTCGGGTCTTGCATTGTTTGGGGGAAGCGGGAGTGTGGGCAAAGATGTCCTCACAGTGACGAAGCCGTCTGAATCCATGTTGTGGAAGGAAAAATTGAAGAGTTGAGTCACAGAAGTTGCCGGGCGGCTCAACCCGCGACCCCACAATGTGTCACGGAGGCCGGGGAAGTCGCCTCGCCGCTCCTGTTTGGGACGCGGGTCTTCACTACAAGATTCTTCATTCTCTTGCAGAAATCGACCTTCAAACATTTGCTCTCTTGGTTTACTAACTTTGGTACTCTCTTTGTATTGGCAATAATGACAATCTCCATACATCCTGACATTTCCTTTCAGTCATGCTCTACTGACAATCCTGAACGTTTCCAGATTGAGCGGACCCAGCCAAAAAGACCACTTTCACTATCCCTGCGACTTCTTCTCTCTTGCTGAGTCCTGGACTCACCACATCTCGCGGGATATCTTTCCAACGGATGGTTAGACACCTCCCTTTGAAGCCCCGAGTCCCACATAGTAGCGTCGGGATTTCCAATACTTGCTGAAGTGTATGAAGTGAGCGACGTGGTGGTAGCTGCATATTCATTGAAGGCCGAATGTATGAAGTTTTCCACTTTGCCACCCCACAACCGAATCAAATCTTGACAATTCGTGCAGGCATCAATTACTCTTTGCCATGCCTCGTCCGGATCATATCTCGTCTTTGAAAGCTGGGCGCCTCCCAGCGAAATCCCGAAGACATTCTCGTTTTTCAAGTCATGGCTCCTAAATTGGTCAGTTCAAAGTGGTCATATTTCTCTGCAACCCAGCTGGCGAAGAGAAAAAGGAGCTTACTTCAACATGTGAATCAGTGGGTAAGTTTCGGCACAGTCCCCAAAACGCGTCGGATCCTCAAATTTGATAAACGATCTCCTCTCAAATGTGAAACCAGTGGCTCTGACAGCGTCGTCGTTCAAAAGGTTGAATCTTGCACGCCTGACCATCTCAGACAAATCGATTTCGGGACTGGGTTGTGGCGTCTCTGCAAAACTGGCTCCAAGGTAAAACTGACCCGTCTCACGACCTCTTCCTACCCACAAGCATGAAAATATGCAAGGCGGTTTGGCGGCTATCGCAGCACACCACTGGCTGTACATCGCGGTCAAAGGAAGATAAAAGTTCGAGATCGTCGCATTCCTGGGGGCTGGTCCCATGAGTGAGAGGAAGCGACCTAGCAAGTCAAAGCTGCACCAATATGGAACACAGTCGTACACCCAGATCTCCAAGCTGAGCTGGTATTCGCTTGATGATTTGTGCATGCGACCTGGACCTATTGTGTCGCCAAACATCGGATCATTTCCGAGATACTTGATTGAATAGGTTCTGTTATTATCACTGTTACGGTGTTCAGCTGAGTTCAATAGACTCCTGGAAGGCCCATTCTCGATGCTTAACTCACATAATACCAGAAATGTGCATCAGTATCCGTTGAAGCTCTGGCGCAACGTGCAAACTCACCCCATAGGCATATGGGTCTCTCACAACATCAGCCATGAACCTTTTTATCTGCTTGGATCACCGATGTTATTTGATTTGTTCAGACATCGTCTTGCTGTTGTGGGAAGACTTACTTTACTTCGATCCCAGGAGTACGCCTCCATCAGATCTACCTTATCATTGAAGGCATTCAGATAAAAGGCAGGATTTTCGAGATCTGCTTTGGTTGATGTGGAAGCCACAGTGTGGAAAGTCGAAGAATCATTGTAGCTCGAGGTTCCTCTAGAGAACCGTACAGATGGCTCGAAACTCAGGCTTGACATCTTGAAGGTAATGTTTTTGTGCTTTCTGGAAACTATTCCAATCCTGGCGTACTCTTTATCGATAGAAAGAATAGTTGGGATTGTTTCGTCGATCTTAAGATATCCTGCTCGAAAATTGGTCAATGCGATGCGCTACTTGCAGAATTCCGAAAGAATTCCCCTTCTTATAATAATCCCGAAATATGTTGAAGTCTCAAATCCTACCTATATGCTTCCAAGTTGCGTCGTTATTGCATCAATGTACCATGCAAAAGCACATCCAGCTGCTTGCAATTCGGACTGAGCCGTATAAGCCCTGGAGTTCTTTTTTCCAATATGAAAAATACAATGAATGAAAGACTAGATTTGGTCTTGAAACTAGTGATACCTTTTAACGCGTCCAAGGTTCTTTCATTCAAGACTCAGGCAGTTTTCGATTTCAGTAATCCCGGAAAAAGCCTGAGACATGATAAAGACAACTGAAGCCCACCGTTAGACCAGTGTCTCTTCTAGTCTAAGCTTTAGCTTTAAACCTGACTGGAAATATAATCTCCAGGGCCTGCATTATACCTGAAGTTACCAAGTCCGCCTAAGACAAGCCAAACCAGTTGTCGCTGCCGTCTTCACAACATCACCCGTGGACTATAGCACGTATAATGGGATCCCTGTTTAGTATATTTTACAGAGAGGAAGAGCAAGTCGCCTTCGCTCAAGACATCCAAGATCAAGAAGAGATTTACCTGCATGAGACCTGCGGAACAAAAGCGGAGGTAAAAGCCCAGCCCAAATTTGCAATTTCGGCCCCATGAAATTTTTGTGCTCACTGCTGCATGCCCAGGTGCTGCAGATTCAGAATTGCGACGCCTCAAGCGAGATACCGAGCCCACGGCGATCAGCAAGGCTTGCCGGCCAGAGTCCCCAGTATCAAATTCCACAGACGCGGAAGCGTAGCCTACCAGATGACCCAGACCGCTATTTCGATCCACATGGTGCGGTATGCCCGGTGAGTACGGATTATTTGCCCTATCATTATGTTTCTCAATTGAAAATGCTGACAGATGTATAGTATGTCCCATCTGATCCTCGTGGCTGGTCAACAGATCCCAGGATGCTTGAGGATAACGAGTGGGTCCGAGAGGGAAGTGATGCCCAAAGGCTAACGGCTCGGTTTGGTCTCACTAATTGTCGTTCAGTATTGGCCAACAATTTGCTGACCATATTCAAGTCAAACGGTGACTTTTATCTGTGGGGTCGTCCAGTCAACTATATCCAACGGATATCTTCGGGAGACTTTGACGAGATCAAAACAATCTTGAATAATCATGGGATCGGCCTGCTTGACAGATATTTCATGAAGCAAGCAGGTTCTGGCGGCGAATACACGTTGCTGCCAAGGGGGAGATTCGACTGAAATTCGGCTTCCCGAAGTCCTGTTGAGTGAGGGACCATATGATAACCTTGGGACTCCTCACGATTTTTCCGCGATGGCGTGACTCAACATCAAGGGGAAAATTAATGAAAGAAAGAGAGCATTGAGGGTGCGAGCGCGTTCTAAGTGGTGACAAAATCTCTTTCAAAACTTGATCGCACTTTGATGAATCGTGACGATAGATATAAAGCAAGACTGTAAGAATGATATATCCAATATGATGCAGAAAGCTGTATTATCTCCGATGTTGGAAGCTCAGGCTTCAATGGAGTTGGTGATTCGAGGCATATCATGTGTTCGAGTGTATATTTCCATTGCTGCATAATAATCGCAATACCGTATGGCTCTCATTACCCCTTAAGATCCACTGGCCGGTAATTCATAGTAAACTGGTTGAATCTGCGTGGTTCGGCCTTCCAATTCTGCGCTTTGTTCGTTGGTAGTGCCACTTCCACTACTTCCACCCACATTGCTCCCGCTGGTATCCCCAAGGACCGCATCTGGGGACCAAAATCTTGGTCGCGGTATCAAATGATCGCTGTTCGTTGATTCTGTGGGAGGTGCATTGTGCACTGGTCCGGAGAGGACGGACTCATCTGACTCTGGTAGCGTTGCCTTATTTGCTGCCTTCTGGCGCTGACGACGGATGAAGAAGAACAAGACTGCTGCTAGAATGACTACTCCGCAAAGCGCTGCTATCGCGATGCCAGCTACAGCACCGTTGCTGAGTGAGGAGGAGCCGTCGCCATTGTCGGAATCTGACGAACAGTCCTCTCCGGAGCAGCTGGATGACTCTGTTGCTTTGGATGTGATCGTGACAACCTGCTGATCAGCATCGCCATCCCATTTACACGCTGAGACGTTGAATGTCATGCGCTCATAGTCGACTGAGAGGTAGCTATGCAGTGATTTACACTTAGCATGGTTGGTCAAAATCCGGAAAATTTGACTTACGCTTCTTGTAGGAAGGTCCGGCCCAAGGTGTATTGGGTAGAATTTGATGCACGCTTGAGCGGGAAATAGTAACTGCTATTGTTGACCAATGGAGACTTGGCAGTCAGGGCGAAAGCATCATAAGGTAGAGTGATCGACACAGCATCGCCTCCAGATTGCACATCGGAGAGTCGGAACGTCACCTGTGCGTTTGAATTGAGCAGCTCGGTGTTTTTTGTGTCATTGACTAGATATAATCCCGTATCGTTGTCGAGCGTCAGATCGAACGAGCTTTCAAAGGCGTTGCATACATCCTCCGGCAGCCAGATATTTGGTTCTGTTGAGTCGATGAAGATCGATATGGGCTCCGACAACAAAGTAGCCGAAGTTGAGCCGCTGTAGCTGATGGACTGTAGATAGACAACCAGGTCCCTGGTGATGTCGTCTGCCATTGTGAACGAGACGGAATTCGACTTGAAACGTGATTTGTCATAGCCCGAGAATATGAGTTGACCGTAGACCTGCTTCAGCCCTGTGGGAGAGTCAGCGCAATCCAGGATCGCTCGGTCAATCAGCATGGCTTTTGCGGCCGTACTCACGATACTTGGCGCCGGCCGTATAGCTCCAGCTTAGACTGGGGATGTGCTCTTTGTCCTTGAGAGTCTGAATGAAAGATATAGAAGAACTGTTTCCCAAAGAAGTGAGATTGACAGGTTGAGGGTTTAGACCAAATATTCCACTGTTCGTATGTTGAGTCAGTAGCTTCCCTCAGGCAGTCGTTGTGAGAATCCCGAGATTACAGATAAAAAGGTTCAGCAGTTGCGATTCCTGCGACGGTTTGATTCTTCAATTTGGGTCCACTAAGACCAACCCCCAGAGTGTCCTGAGCGAACTCTGCTCTTTGCTCATATCCAAGATTGGCCTCAAGGCCAACGCCATTCTCGTTGATTCCGTAAAGACCCAAGTCTTGCCAGCTTGAAGACTGGTTTTTCTGGAAGAGAGTTCCCCTCGATGTTGCACAATCTGACGGCACTGTCTCAAACACAGATTTAGAGCATCCATAATCTGATAAGACAACCATGGACTCCGGCGAGGCGGTCGAGACGAGCACTCGCACGGATTGTTCGGGGTTGCCGACTCGAAGATAGAATGTGCTCCATGGACCATCGTTACCTTCACTGAATTTTCAGTCAGCAAAACCCCAGCAATTCATCGATCAGGTGGTGGTGGATGGTCACAAATATTGGCTGGGAGAGACCTCTAAGGCCGACGGGGATCGTTTGGCAGGCGAGGATGCCAAGCATTGCAGCAACCAGTGTGAATGCAATGCTATCCAGAAGATAATCAACCTCATGTCATCTGTAAAGACCCAGAAAAAATCATCGGATGAAATTGCAAGTGAAATTGAAATCTATGCGATCTTGCGACCGGGAATTTGCTGGGTCATCACGGCGTGTTTCGCCAGTCATCATTTTTACTTCTGTAACCGGTTGAGAAGCAGAGCTAGTTGAATGCGATCGTCGTTGTCATTTAGTCGGGGGCAACAGGCGTCCCTGACAGGTCCACGTTGGGGTCTGCAAAACAGGATATGACGCTCGGTTGCGACAAAAACCTGCTCCGCTTTCAGGCCAGGAACAATCGCTGGGAATTTACAAGTGCACTCGATCTAAAAGTAGATTCTCCGCAGAATCTTTACCTTTCTGAGCAAGATAGTTGCTTGTCACTGCCGCTTCTGGTCAATACACCGGCTCTTGCGCGATGCCTAGACGCGATGATCTCCTATGTCATCGCGACTTCGACCGTGCAGTTCTCGCTCTCGCTCCGGTCTTCCATTACGTCTAATTGCTTCTTGCCATATATTTTCTCGTACTTCTCGGGTCGTTCAGTTTTAGCAATCACTGTGTAAATTTTTTGTTCCGATTGTTGGGCTCGTGATGCTATTCGAGCTTCGATTTTGGACGGCCCTTGGGCTGCTAACTGCTGAAGTAAATGCCTTCAGTGTTCCTGGTATGTACTAGTAGATGATATGGCCTGATCAATCGATCCAAGTACAATTGCTGAATCCGTGTAGTGATTCACTCCCCATCTCAGAATCCATCAACTGGGAGTAATGTCATCACTTCCTCTCCCGTTCCAGTAACATTCTCGTCTCAATCTACTATTTGGGACAGTGATGAAGTCACAGAGGAAGTCACAGAGACTGGTAGCACCACTGTGTGTACCACTGACCTCCCCATCCCTACGTTCTCGTCTTCGGTGCGATGGAGTGAGAGCAAAGTGTCGAGCTCTCCTCTTATTCCTGTTCCACCAAAAGTCATTTCGACAGTTTCGGTCTCATTGTGTCCCACAACTTCAGAATTCATCACCGTGACGACCAGAGCGACCCCCATACCCGTTACAACTACGACTTACGTGCCAACGACAATCACGCCGCCTCCAAGCCCGCCCCCGAACCCATGCCCAACAACTTGCAGCATGTAAGTCTTTCTGTCTTGTGGCATGCCAGCTTGGAATAAGTATCACTAACCATTGTCTCATAGCTCCGCCGGCACCGTCAATCTATTCTACTGGCCATCCGACGACAAAGTTTATCCCTCCACATATGTCAACACGCATCTCAACTGGACATTGTAAGATATATGACATCCCGATGTCCTCTTCAAGACTGACTCATATCCTTCCTCAGTACTTCCCCATCCGTATATATGGTCATCGACACCATCTACGGCTACAATACTGCAGGCCGCGCTGGACCGTCTGGCACCAGCGTCGTCTTCCCCTTGGATCTAGACCAGGTCTCGACCATCATTCCCGAGGGATCGATCACACAGCAGTTGACCCTGGGTGATCTGGGAACCAACTGTCCCCAGACAGAGGCTGAATCGGTCATCGCAACAGCCGCCCCCAATGGCCACTGTGATCCCATCCTCGCAGCTCCCAAACCTGTCAAATCCTGGGCATCTCCTTGCAACGCATGTGGTAACTTCGGGCTTTTCGATCCCCCATATGCCGTTTCACCGCTCACCGGGGGTCTCGTGCCGGAGACAACGACAATTTCAAAGACAGAATCTGAGGTGACAACAACTGCAGACACGTCTTCGGCGACGGATATCACAAAGACGTTCACTTCGGCAATTCCAGAAGCCACCTCCGATACGGTCTTCTCTTCTGAGACCGCCACGCCATCTGAGACAAGCTCTTTGTCTACATTGACTGACATTCAGTCGACATCGCTCACTGAAGACAAGGTCTCATCCGGTACGATTTCCACAGTCGTTCCTGTTCCCACCGTATCATCAACCACCAGCGAAATCATTCGGTCGTCGTCATCTTCTGGTATCCACCCTAGCATGAGTACACCTGCAGTTGCTGCAGGCACGAGGAAGAGTGCAGGAATACCTGCATGTTTGTTTTGGGGGTTTTCTGCAGTCGCAATTTTGTTATAGAGCAGCACTGTGTCTGCTCCGGGAAGCAGCGTTGCGCATAGCGATCAATTGATTCATTTCAAAGTCAAACTCTCCAAGTGGACAGCGAGCATGGGCCACCCGTTCTGATTTCAACAGCTGGGCACGTATATATACGACACCAGAGATTTAGTATCAAGACCAAACCGTCAAATACGGCGGGGAGAAGGAGTTCGAATATCCGGGCCAATCACGCAACAAGCTTCATGGCACCCTAGGGTCCCCTTTGACAACTTTTAGCAAGCCAAGAATCCCAGTGAGACTGGGCGGGCGTTGATTTCATGTCGGAGTTTGTTTGAGTTCTTTGCCGCAGACCTCAGGATGGCCCCATTTGGTGGGTTGAATTGAGGGGAAATGTTCCGGGAAACGTGAAAAGACGATCTGCAAGGGAGACAAGTCTTGGCTCATGCAGAAGCCCAAGATCCGGTCCTGGAGTGCAAGTTCTAGAGCTTCGATGATTGGCTTTCGACGTTCCATCGTGTTTTGCCTCCATGCGTGTCTTATCACATCCCAACCAACGGGGCACAAGGTAATCTCACCGTCACGAGACGGCGGAATTTAAATGGGGACACCCCGGTGGTGTACGGAATGACCATGAAAGGGACCAGACTGCCGGGACCGACGGCGTGCAAATTGCTGCGTGATCAGCACCGAATTGGACGATGTTTTGGTCAGAGAACCATTAGGCTGGGATTTGGAATCCCAGTTTGCCCCGCTCTAAGGAGGTGTGGTTGCGGTCGGACACCGAGTCGGATGTTGCGGCATTATACCCGCTGGGGCATTCACACTTTGAGTGGGAAATCGGGATCACCAGATCTTATATAGATGCCATCGACAGATATCAAGAGATCTTTCAACGATCGACCCCATGAAACATGGATTACTCGCAGGCCCGTTGTATCACTCAACCTTGGAATCTCGCCCGTGTCCACCTCAGAGAGAGTGCTGATTGGCCTGAGAAGGGCTCTCCTTTTGGCCCTGCGGATCTCCAATCAAAAAAAGCCAATCAAAGAGTCTTTCGTCGGACACTAGCGGGTACCCAACCCCTTAGACTCCACCCGCCGACCGTTCTGCCCGCGAAAGGCTTTGTACCGACCTCGTAACATCCAACCCGAGGAAGTGGTACCGCGAGAATTTCGCCAAAGCCTGGAGCAAACTGCAATAATCTTTGAAGGTCCCGGCGCTCCGGGACGCTAGATGTGAAGCTGGAGGGGTCATAAGACTCCAGTCGGTGTAGTGCTGACCCCTAAAAATTTATTCTCTTTTCCTTCCATCGTTCGAACGTGTTCTTAGCCTGTGTGCTAGAGGCTTAAACTTTGATTATTGGGGATGTATCACCAAGCCCAAGTGCCGGCACCCATCGAGCCGGATGTGAGTATTATATCTGACTTTCGAAATTCCCAGTGCTAACCGTGCATTTGTAGTCCAACTCTGACGACGAGTCGTTGTTTCTTGAATCGTGAGTGTATTCCTGATCAACGGGCACATCGACCATCCTAATAACAAATGGCAGCTTTGATGAAGCCACTTACACAACAAGCGTCACGTCAAATGCGTTGAACTATCGGTGAGTTCTTTCCAAACAATATGCAAAACCGTTGCTAACAACTCAGATATGAGGTATGTTGCTATGCTTCTTTGGTCGATGTGGGACAGCTCTGTTAATCATTAATAGAACGGTCGCAGGTACCATTCATATCACGAAGGAGAATATGTTTTGGTATGTGACCCAATTCCACTATCCGTCGCCATCTGACATTTGAGCAGCCCAACGATGAGAGGGAGCAAGATCGGCTCGATCTGGTTAGTCCTTACATCACAAGCTTGATCGACCCCTAACCAATCGCAGACGCATCACATTTACAATTTACTGTTGAAGGGAGAACTAATCCGAGCCCCGGTTACAAGCCCCCAAAGGGTATTAGATCTCGGTACAGGTACGGGCATATGGGCGATGGACTTTGCGGAGTAAGCTCTACAGTAAGCTCTCGACCTTCAAGATCTCACGCTAATTTATCGTCTAGTGCAAATCCAGGATCTGAGGTGATCGGTATGGATATCCATTGTTGATCGCGCCAATCAGAGCACGAACTGATCGAGCCAGGGATCGATCTAAGCCCCATCCAACCATCATGGTATTGCCTCCCTATTGCTCCGCACACTTGATGAGTCCCATAATATTGATCTGATTTCAGGGTGCCACCGAATTGTCGGTTCGAAGTTGATGACTTCGAACAATCATGGTCACATCACCAGCCTTTCGACTTCATCCACGGTCGTGAACTGGAAGGCTTCATTCGCGATCATAACCGATTTTTCGAACAAGTGCTAGATAATCTCAATCCCAACGGGTGGCTTGAAATGGCAACCTTCGAAACAACAACCTATTCAGATGATGGCACGCACCTTAAAGCAACCAACCTTCTGCATGCCATCAAGAAGCTCCATGAATCTTCCAAGCTCTTCGGCAAAGACATGGCGTCCTCACCGGCGTGGAAGTCGCGCATGGAGGAAGCCGGATTCGTGAATGTGACGGAGGAAGTCTACGTGGTTTGTTGTTTCCAGCCTGATAAACGAGTCATCAATCTGACTGCCATACAGCTACCTCAAAGCCCATGGCCGAAAGACCCCAAGCTCAAGGAATTGGGTCGGTACCACCAGCTGAACATGATGGAAGCCGTTCCCCCCTACCTATACGCGTTGTTCACAAGGATGCTCCGCTGGTCCCGTGTTGAGATTGAGGCGCTGTTAGCCGGAATCCGGAAAGAGCTGCGAAATACATCTTATCATTTGTACACCAAGGTACGAGTTGTGTATGGTCAGAAATCCGGGTGATTGGGATGCAACATATGTTTTTAGAAGCTTATACCCCATGAATGTTATCTTTTGTTTCCTTTCACTGGCAAGCCTATGCATGCATGAACTTTGAAACGGCACGGCTCAAGTAATTCCAAGTGAATGAACCCCTTTTTGGTTTGTTGGGTTCGGAACTCATTTCCACGGAGCAATCCAACTTGAAGGATATCGTTTCTAGCGCCTCGCTTGCGGAGTCCTGGTAAGATCAAACAAATATGAGATGAGGGGAGACTATGTTAAGTACCCCTCATGGGAATGAAAACATCACTTTGAGCCCCATTTCAGAATTGGAGAGCAGTGATAGACCAATCATCGGGATCTTTGTTTAAAATGCCGGGCAAAAGCGGCCGGGCCGCTCCCAAGCTTGATTCTTTTGGCTCTTAAAAGGCGTTAGCCGTCAGCCCTATGAGGGGAACGACCCACAATGGAAAAATTTCTCCCAAATGCCGTCCGCAGTGTTCGTGAAGAAAATTGGAGAAGTTTGCCCACCTAGGCAGGTGTGTTGGAATGTCTGGTGTGATCATACCCGAATCGGACCGTTGAGATCGGCGTTTCAGGAAGAAATTTTCGGGCGTTCCAAACATCGGGTAAACATTTATTTTTGGAAGAACAGAAACAGCACTGAGTATCAGCGCCTAGATCTCTTTCATGCCAAGGGTCTTGGGCTGGCAAGGACCGAATGTCCGTAAATCGGAAGTTGATGTGAGACGCACCAGTGACGCATCAAGCTCGTCGGGCTACAGGGACGGCAAGCCGACTTCGGGAATGCTCGCGTCCATGGATGTAAGCATATCATACCGGCAAATCAGAAACGAGTGCCTAGGGGAGAAATCGGCCTTGAGGGGAAAAGAACCCCTCGCGCGGAGTGCCCAGACGAAAATACTTCGGCGGTCATACTTCGGTCACCGATCGGCTGACGCTCGGTCAAAAATTTTAAGGAATGCCAAGCGCCGATGTCATCCTTCGGCATTTAGATATAAACCACTGTACTCGCCGGTCAAACTAACATTTTCCAGGCCAACTTTAATATTTCTAATACCCACATAATGTCTACTGCCATGGAGTCACACAGTTCTTCACCCAAGATGAGCACCTCGAGCTCTTCTTGCTCTGTTCCTGACATCACCACTACCCTCGAAACAGCCCATTCAACACCTATTTTGCGCCTGAAGAACCACTGGAAAAATGTGAAGAAGGAATGGGGTCCCTTGATGGCGGCCAAAGAGCATCTCTACGATGAATACACCTTCCCACCCGGTCGTTATGCAGGCCAGGGAATTCAAAAATAAATCAGTGATGGTAAGCCACTATCAACAAACATCAACTGTTGTGATATGACCACAAACTAACAGTTTCTTGAAGGCCAACAACCATGGTTTCAAGACCAAGACAACAAGAAGAATACCAAGTTGATTACACCTTTCACACCACACGCGAAACAGAATGAAAGGGACCAAATCCCATGCCAAACATCATCACACGCTGCCCGTTGTCAAGAGTTCCTCACCAAATGGACAACAATCCGCCGACCTGAATACCTTCAACACTACCCTTGAGCTGCTGCGAACGTCTCCCATTTAAACTCTCGAATTCCGACAAACCTGATAAGATGAGAAAACAGAGGCTCTGCGCGCCTGCAGAGGATTCCCGCCGTCGAATTCGACCGTGAAACATACTGCTGGGAAATATCAGGACGAAGTCTTCTTCGACCTTCATCAGCGCAATGCTAGACTAGATTCCGTTCAGTGATAATAATATTAATCTTGACGACCAAATTTTCTGAAAAAAACTGTTTCAAGTGGTACCATGGCCTGCATGTTCTAGGTGTTTCATACCTCCCACAGATGACTTACAAGTCATGCCTTTTAAGCAGAGACAATAGGGTCTCAACACGCGGGATTCGAGGAACTTAACAATAGAAATCAATTTTTAACCTCGTTGATTCCTTTTTCTCGTTTTTCTCAAACCAGCTGCATGGCATTGAAAAGACTACAGGATGGAGCTTTTCTATTTGCGCCAAGCTTTTCAATCCCGTGAAATGGCCCCACTACTGCGGAGGGCCATAGGTGCCAGAGTCGAAGTCTCGGCAATGCACTGTTTCCCTTTTTTGGAAACGAGAATTGACCGCCCTTTGCACCGCCTACCTAGGTAATACATTCTGCTGACTGGTAAATGCTCCGGTCGGACCTGAAGTTTTTCGCCCAGTACTTCTACATATTAATCTTAATTCCCATAGTGTGATGAGATACTCCGTACTCGATAATTTTCGATCCTAGGAATTAATCGATTTGATATGAGAAAGACAGTGCCCGTAGTATCAGAACAGAACCTTGCAAGTGTAGGAAGCGCGTATCGCGTAGCTTCCGTCCACGGGCCGCGGAATTTGCCGCGGCGGAAATGGCAAGTTGTAGTTCGGCCGCAAACGTTTTCAATAAAGTCCGGTACAACATATAATCAATTCCTTCGAAACTATTCACATATTCATGAGAAATATAGCACAACTGATAACATGAAGCACGACTCTGTTGTCATCGTCGGGTGAGTCCGCGGGTCTTTTCCAACGCTACATCCAGCACATGCAATAGGACATTAATACTGGTCACTTTCTAGTGCGGGCATCATTGGGCTCAATGTCGCATTGGTACTCGCTAAGAAAGGCCATGGACAGCATACCACAATCATCGCTGAGCATCTACCAGGTGACACGTCAATAGATTACACTTCACCATGGTCCGCAAACACTTTCTGGCACCCTGCCCAGGTGACTCAATGATCTGACTAAGACAGGGCCGGTGCCAATTTCTCTGCTATATCTGCAAGTGATGAAAATGCCTTGCGCTGGGATAAACTTGGATATGCACACCTCCTAGACCTCGCAGCCAAGGATGGGCGGAACGCATATGTGAAAGAAACATCCTCAATCGAATATTGGGATGAGGCTCCCTCGGCTGCAAAAATCGACTCTATGGCTAGATATCTCAAAGATGTGAGTTTGAAATTCCAGATTACCTCCAGTCCCTCCGGGATCCAGTGTGTGAGCATATTCTTATATTTCGCGCAGTTCAGCGAGATCCCCACGCAAGAGTTACCGGAAGGGGTTGCTTTTGGTGTCAGATTTACCACAATCACAGTCAATGCACCTTCGCACATTCAATATCTGCTCAGCAAACTTACTGAAGAGTACGGCGTTCGAGTTATTCGCCGCAAGATACCAAAAGTTTCATCTGCGTTTCTCAGCCAACACACCAAAGTCGTTTTCAACTGTACTGGAAATGCAGCAAGGCACTTGGAAGGAGTGAACGACTCAAAGTGCTTCCCCACTCGGGGCCAGATATTACTTACACGGGCTCCCCATATCAGCCAGAATACCATGAGACACGGTAAAGACTACGAGACATATGTGATACCCCGACCTTACTCAAACGGAAACGTGATCCTGGGTGGTTTCATGCAAAAAGGCATCAGGTGAGTCACAGCAATCGGAAATTTGATTTATCAACTTCTGACCTCCTGAACAGCACGGCCGATACCTTTGGAGACGAGACAAGATCAATTCTTAGCCGGACGAAAGCAATGCTTCCTGCCCTGGACTCACCAGACACTGAAATATTGATCGCACTATCTGGCTTGCGTCCATCTCGAGAGGGAGGCGCTCGTGTAGAAAGGGAGGATGCGTCATTGAAAGATAGGGGTCACCGAGGAGTGATTGTGCACAACTATGGGGCTGGTGGAACGGGGTTCCAGGCCGGATATGGAATGGCCGTTGAAGCGGTTAGCCTTGTATCTCAAGAGCTGCATGGTCTTGCCCCACAGGCTAGTCTGTGATACCATCCATGCATGAGCATCCCAGTACCTAGGTATACCTGCAGGGGCATGGTTTCAGTGAAGCCATGTCTGTTTCATATATATTCTATTGTTAAAGACGTTTCCGATAGAGAATTACCCATGATAGCAGCCAGACCACATGAGCTAATGGATCTAGAGCTAGTAGATGAAGAAGAAAAAGTTTTCATTCGTCATTCGTGAGGTTTCGTTATCATAATTTGCGCTACCCGGAAATCCGGTCTCGTGAAAATCAACTGAATTGGGCGAGGATCGTCGTTTCAGCGTATTTCGTGCACACCTTCCACTTCACTTATTTCGTAGCTTGGAGGAGAACTACGTCCCCTCATGGAGATATCATCATCCTCATCACCATCGTGCTGTGTCACGACGATCGTGGGGATCGCCATTGGTGAGGACAGCTCTGCGTAATTGTTCAGGACAGGCAGCGAGTCACCCGGAAGCTCAGCAACAGAGACCACTCGGGTGGTTGGCAATTCCGAAATACCGTGCAAGGCCAGAACTTCCACGTCTTTGAGCTCAGCACTGCTGATGTTCATTTCTGCGGGGAGGGATGCCAGGTGGCCGAAGACTGTTTCGACTTTGCTGTGGGCTTGGAGCATGCGCGACTCTTTCTTCAAGGCACGTTGAATGTCACGGCGAGTCCAGATCTTGCGCTCCAACGCTTCGTCATCTGCTTCTTTGCAATGGGCGACCCAGAAAGGTTGTATAAAGCTAGACAGGTTGTTGGATGTCTCGTCGGCCTCGGTGATGGTTGAATTAACCCAGTCGAGTTCAATCTCTCCCAAAATGTGGCTTCTGTCATCCCGCAATCTTCTTGTCTGGTCCACTAAGAGACTAGTGGCGGAAGCGGCGTTGTACAAGGCACCGATCTGTTCTTTGGGTGAGGCCGAAGACTTTACGGCTGATGCAGGCTGAATAGGTTGTGTTTTAGTGGGCACTTCCACCGCGGTAGTTGCAGAAGAAACTGTAGAGATGTTTGATTGGGCATAGAAACGAGATCTTGATTTTGTTGAGTCCGGTGAAGATGGCGACGAAGTAGTATCATTCGATTGTCTCGGTCGCATTTCGGGGTCCTCTGATCGTTTTACACGGATGGCTTGGTGCATCTGATCTGCTGACTCGTTCCATCTGGAGACCGACCGATCCACCATTGCTCTTGCAGATTGCTGAGCCCTGTCCTTGGAATTATACAATGAGTCCGCAGATTTGTGCCAGGCACCCATTGTCGTACGCTGACAGCGAGTCTTGGAACTGTTCCACGCCCCCATGGTGGATTGCTGTGCGCGGTTCTTGGAGTTGTTCCATGCGTCCATTGTTGACTGTTGGGCGCGGTTTTTGGACTTGTTGAAGGCAATGGTTGATCGGTCAATCCAATCTTGCTTTTGACGTTGCCACATTGTGACTGAGTTTTGGTATAGCTTGGGGCGGCTGGAGACTTCAGTAGAACCCATCTTGATGTCGCGAGGGAGATAATTCAGCTGGTGAATATTGAAGCCTCAAAAGAAAGAGATCAGGTCGTATATAAGTTTCACAACCCTCCAGTCACCGCTAATTGAACCTAATTTCATGCAGGGCTTAGCCAGCCTCTATTTGTGTTCCGATCGCCAGCCTCAAAACACGGGTTGCTAAACGATCGGCAGTGTCGGAGGGCTGTGTGCTGACAGGACCCCGCGCATCGGGTGGCCATTGGTTCACAGCATCGCTAAATTTGGGTGTGGGGAGGGGATGTTGGGGGCCAGTTCGCGTTTGATGCCTTGTACACCTGCTTATCCCACCCTAGGGCCACCTGGGCGCTCCACTGGATCTGACATCGTTCCCGTGTGGAGTGGGAATCAACGATGACAGGCAGAATTTCGACGCCTACGGGTTCCGGCAAAGGCTTAGGAATCTGCCTAGTGCCTGTTTGCGCCATGACCCGGCTGTGCTCCAGCAAATTGACGTGGTGAAGGTCGGGCCGTACTACCGAACTGTGCACCGCGGGATTGGCTGGCTCGTATGTAGCTGTGGAGAGCGACTGCCCAGGTGGTTGTCCAAGCACTCACGTCAACTCATACGTGATCTCATTGCAAAGCCAACATTTCCAAGGCTCCAAGGCTCCAAGATTCCAAGAAGCAATGTGACTAAGCATCCGGGCGGGTCAACGGCCTCACGATGAACATCAACGTCCTGGGAGTGTTATATGGATCGAAGCATGCAGTTCTAAGTCTCAGGAAGCACGGCAAGTCCAAGGGTAGTATCATCAATACTGCGAGCATGGTTTTAACTGTGGGATCTGCCGCGCCTAAGTTAGCATACACTGCTAGCAAGGGTGCTGTACTAGCGATTACTCGCGAACTGGCTGTGGTTCACGCGAAAGAAGGTAAGACCTTTATTCATTGACATCTTTCCATCCATGTGTGAGAGCGTCTTCAATAGGCTACCGGTTCGATTCGCTTTGCCCTGGTCCTCTGAAGCAAGCCACTCCTCCCAGCCACGATGATGTGAGGGATTCCGAGGCTGACATGAAGAAAACATTTCCAGCACCCCCATCCTTCAGGAATGGCTGGGGATGATCATGCAAAGAAGTTCCGTCGGACAGTGCACTTCCCATTAGGGCGATTCGGTGAGGCAATTGAGCAAGCCCATGCTGTTATTTTCCTTTCTAGTGACGAGAGCAGTTTTGTCGACGCCGCGGATTTCGTGGTCGATGGTGGTCTCACAAAGGCCTATGTCACTCTGAAAGGAGACGCTCTTGAAGGCCCCAACAATCTTGCTTCATGAGTACTGCCTTATACATACCTTTGGCTGGTTAAGAGAGAACCGTGGGCTCTGGGAAAATGTTGCGACCTTGTTTGATCTGGAAGTTTGAAACCCACCTACGGGGAATAAAAGCCAGAGACGATTGATTATTGCGAGAGATACCTAGGCTCAATTGTAAGAATCAAGAAAGTACCTATTCGTTTCAAGGTTGTCCACGGCCCCGGGGCCCCGGGGGTGAGCACCCAGTCAGATGACCCTGGCTGTTCCCCATCTGGGCAGATACCTACCTAGGTAGCCCTAGAGCTCACGCTCTCTCCTCCCTTTGCTTTTCCCTCCTTCGCCTCTCTCGGGGTAGAATCAATCTCTTCTTTGGCTTCTTGTCTCCACCAGTAGACCAATCAGGTCATGATCCCTTCCGCTTTGTTTGATAAAGCCATTTCATTTGAAGCCTTCGGGCCCCCCTGGGGCCCTATACTCTGGGGGTGCCCCACCGATCTAGCCCCCGTGGCACTTAGGCCCGTGGCGCCTACAGGCCCCTGCGGAATTTTTCTACTATCATTCAATCGACAAGCCATGGCATTGAATACCAACTTTCCGACTCATCACCGCTGGCGAGGGTTGCTTTCTTTCGATCTATCGCCTAAATTATGCGAGGATCTTTTTTTTTTCCCGATGATCTAACTACTGTCGGGGGCAAGAAGCCTGAGTAGGTACATGATCCATGAATGGACCCCGGGGACCACTGCTCGACGCCGGTCTAGCTCGTTAGGTATGGATATGATTTTCGTTGCGTTTATCTATCTTTTTCACGGCGTGGCGATGCAAGTAGGTCATGAAAGACCGGGACTCATTATTTTCTAAGTTTACTATTCCCTAGAGGTATGACATAAAAATAATTAAGAAAAAGCCCAGAGGCCGCGAAGGATGGGGTATGTACGAGAAGAGAAATGCGAAACAGAGCGCGTGCGACGACCATCGCCAGGCCCCATGCGGCCTCCATAGGTGGGCTGCTTCTGCACCAGTTGCCCATTGCGGTTGAGACGATTGGTTCGCCAGCGCTCATACCAGAACACGCGGCTGGCCTCCCGCAGCTCGGTGCGCCAGTCGGAAACCACGGACTCCTTCAACCGCACAAAGTCACAGTGTAAGTGTTGCTCTGTGAGGCTTCTCTGGTTATAGGAGCGGGGTAGACGGTAGACCGGGGGTATTTGTTCAGCTTCACATGTCGGCGGCTGCTGTCTGGCACTACGCAATACGGCCTCCCTCATCGGGGTTGGGCTGGAATGACCTAGGTAGCCAAGTCATTGATATCTCGGAACTGTGATGATTTGCTTTGAGTGCCCAGTGTCCTTCCAGGGTTGGCAAAATTCCAGGGTCTATTTGGTGACCAGCAGGCCCAGACCAATAGCTGCCGAGAATAGGGGTATTCTTTGGTCGCCAACATCTCGTATCATCACCTGATTATTGGGGGTTCAAGAACGAACTTCGATTTGCTATCCGCTAAGAGGGCGCTTCTCTGGACGAGGGATTTTGACTCGCCACCCACTTCTGAAAGCGTTTCACGGCCGCAAGCTCGCAGCTCGGCAATTTCACCTGCATCTGTGCGCAAACATGCACTAAAAAGGGGTCATTCGTTTAGTCAGGGTGTAAAGCCGACCTCGACGATCCCAGGGCTTTCTTCAATAAGACCACCAGTCTTGTTCCAAGGTCACAATTCATCCTACTGGGCCATCCTATTTTCGTCATATTGGGCGCAAGCAATCTCTCAGAATCAAGATACGATGACTTCGACCGTTCCTATCTGGGTAGCAATCCACGAAAATCCTGGCATCATGCATTGGAGCTTGTTCCTTGACACCAAAGAAGCAGCCGACAAGACAATTATCCAAATCCTTGGCGCACGCCAGAAATATTTCCCGAGCATAAGAACGCCCTCAAATCCACGCGACTTGAATTCCCTGATCGAACATTTGCCTCTTTGTCAAATTGATATGAGCAAAGTCGAAAGCATCAAAGGCATTGCAGACGCGACCACGATTCACAATGAGCTAGCAGACTGGAGCTGCCAGGACTATGTCCTTGAGCTTCTAGACAGGCTCGAAACTGCTGGAATTATTAGTGCAACTGATGAAGAGTATGCTAAGAACAAGAAGGCGGTTGCCGCGAAACGGGAGTCATGGGCGTGAAGTCTGGTGGAATCAGCGGCTCTCCCTGGAAGAGTCAGAATGGAATCAGGAGGGGGATGGGAAGGCATGAAATATTGTTGGAAATTGTTCCCTGTCAATATCAATCGAGAGGCTAGGTGCGCGGTTTCATCGCACCACATCAGTCATCCAATTCCATAAGAGGTTGCCCCAGAGTCGGTCAACCAGCCAGCGCACGGGGAAGCGCAAGGGCGAGATACAGTGCGGCGAATACAGATACCAATCATCGTCATGGTCGATGCTCTGTCCACTCGATAGCCTCGTGGCCTCGTAGTACTCCGGATAGAAACCGCTGTCTTCCCAGTCGATAATTCCGGTGATCACAAAATGGCCGGCATTTTCTGGATCTTCTTGCGCCATGATATTTGACTTCTTCAAATCCCCGTGGGTAAATACAGACCCCTGTAGGGTTTTGCAATCCTCCTCCAAGAAAGATCGAAGTAACTTCACGTAGAAGGGACTAGCGCGATGCTTTGCCGAGAACTGGAGCTTGTCGAAGTCCCTGGCCATGGTTATGCCTTTGCGTGAGAACATGTCCATGATGCGATCGTCTTTGACTCCTTCTCCTTGCGCATCACCTAGTTCGATTCCGTCGTCCTGGCGTATCTCTCTGATGCGGGAGAATATTTCCTCCAGCTGCTTTTGTATGGAGAGTTTCCCATCGGGTGATAAGCTCGGCCATACTTTCTGCAGGGTGGTGCCTGGAACATATGACATGAGCATGATACCGATACTATCAAGCATTATGAGACCATGTGGCTTGGGGATTGGTAGGTCGGGAGTCTTCTCGGCCAGGTACTGAAGATTGTGGTATTCAGTGAAGCCTCGGCTGCTAGGAAATGTTTTGATGATCAGGTCTTCGCTGCACTTCAAGACAGCACCTTTTCTGATGCTTAGTTCGAATATTATGTCGGATTTCAGGCACAAATCCTTCAGTGTTGAAGCCAGCGTTGATGTTCCAGACATGCCGTCCGCCGTCAAAGGTTGATTGAGTAGTTCCGACGCCCGGGTAGATAATGGGTACACTATGGTTGCAGTAGTGATGGGATCGATGATCTGGCGAAGCCAGTCAAGTGCTTCTCGCGCGGGTTGGGATGGTGCCTTTAGTTCCTCCTTCGGGTTGGCCCATCTATATAAGCGATCGTAGCTCGTGGGGATCATTTCGCGCAGGTTGGCTTCGGGTTGATAATGTAATAGGACTCCGATCTGGTCAACGGTTTTGCGATTTAGTCTCGCGGCCTCGGATAGCCCCGCATATTGACCCGAGCGATGTGCAGAGGTATATCTTGTGTCGACAACAGAGAGAAGATCCGCTGTGGGGTCTTTCTCCAGCGCCTGTCGGAAAGCTTCCATCAGGTCGCGATTCCAAGTTTCCGCATCCGCTCTGTCAATGACGAGTGTCCGTGGCATCTCCTTTGCTGCCATGATGGTGGAATAATTGCTGGCGAGTCAAAGGAGATCTGCAGACCTCAAATGAGGGGTCCACAAAAGTTTGCGATGTTTGTTCTGAGCCTTTTCGCCCATCACGTGTTCTCAACACCAGCCCTGGAGGACTGCCAGGTCCGAGTGGATGGATCCTGGGCGCGTACCTCTGGTGGATAATGCTCCCAGCCTACTCAGCCATCGGAAGGGAATACAGCTCATAACTTCTGCCATCACATTGACCTCCAGTGCGGAACGTGACCCTCTACGTGATATCCATAAATCCATGTTTGTGATCATGTATCCCAGCCGAGAATATCCTTGTAGCGAAGTCTCTCAGCTCTCTCCTAGGCAAGCCGAGAGTCTTTTGTAAACGCCCGATCAGCTGACCTTGTTTCTTGGATACCTGCTCCATCTCTCTTGCCCTCTCCGTCTCGTTTCATCTATCGCTTTCCACTGCTTCCCTCCATTCTCTTTTGCTCGGCCCCAAAGGAGATGATTTTCCTACCGATATCTTGCTTCTAAAGAGGAGGCTGATCAATGTGCACCGTATCTACACAAGATTCAACAAGATACGCGAATAACTGAGACCAAATTTCAGCAGCCTTAAGATGGGAGAGCCTTGAGGCGGCTTCCGATAGGGGCCGGAATGTTGCCATCAATTCTGACATCGATCACAGTTGGAGACTTCCACGAGATAGCGCGATGGAGTGCCTCATCTATGTCCTCGTCAACTTCCACACTCAGTCCCCTTGCCCCCAGCGCGGCTCCATACTTTGCGAAATCGACAAGCGGAATAGAACAATCGGGAACCTTCGCCCCATCGATATTGAACCCTTGCTCGCACATGTTGTACCGACTGTCATTCATCACGAGCCATATAATTGGTAGTCGATGCTGAACCGCCGTGCTCAGCTCATTCTGCATGATCATTGCGCCGTCGCCGACGATGGCAATGACCGGAGTATTGTTCGATCCAATCCCCAAAGCCCCACATGCAGCATGCGTCATTGTGGCATCGTGTGTGCTGACACGAAAGACCCCGGGCATGTTGAATTTGAGATAGCGGGTAGTCCAGCAGAGCGTGTTTCCAATATCCGCGATGACGAAGTAGCCGTGTTTGTCCACGGCGATTTTTTGAACCGCAGACATGACTGATACTGGATGAATCCCATCCGAAGAAGCCTTTTCCCGAAGAATGCTGTACGGCTTCAAAGAAAACTTCGGGAGTTTTGGGGCATTGACAGCACCGGCGAGACCGGAAAGAAGCGCAACAATATCTGTTTCGATGATCAGGGCGTTTGATGGCAAATTTCGCCTGATTCGTTGTGGCTCATTCGTCACAGCAATTATTTCCCGCTCGTTCCATCCTAGTTGAATGAATGACGAACTCATGTCCTCTAAGCGAGAGCCTAATACTATCACGCCCCAGTCACTTCCAGCATCCTGAAGATCCCCCTCAATGTTGCCGCCGATTCCAGTACAGCCCCATGACAATGGGTGTGCTTCTGGAAACACACCCTTCGCTCGTGGAGTGGTCATGACCGGTGTCTCGTAGGCTTCGGCTAGCTCAAGGAGATGGTTTGCCGATCTTTTTGCACCATAACCTGCCCAAATGACGAATTTCCGGCGTTGGAGCTTGGATCGAATCATTTGAATCCACCGGGGAAGATTCGGATCACTGGGGGATGAAACAATCCTATTCTGGCACAGGTTCTTATCCACTGTGATAAATGACAGCTGTGTCTTCTGTGAAAGAAAGACGCCCAGCGTGTTTGATTCGCCCGAGCAAAGAGTTTCCAGCTCATTTCGCAGCTTCTTAAAGTCATGGTGATTACGCATGACGAAGCTGCAACTGAACGGGAGTTGAGGGGACTCTCCGGTAACAGCCTTCACAAATGACGGTGACGTTTCTTGCATCTTGGTCGGGTCCTGCTCTGTTTCTGTCGTGATCGCGGACAAAAGAATGACCTTTGCTCCATCAGCACGGGCACTCCTGAGTGCTGTCAGGGCATTGGTGAGCCCCGGGCCACTTGTCACAAATACTGCTGCTGGGGTATTGGTGTGTAACGAGTGCTCCATCGCTGAAAATGTTGCACCGCCCTCACTGCGACAATGGTACACCTGGATCTCAGATGACTCCAAAGAATGCCATAGAGGGAATACATAGCCGCCTGAGACACCGAATGCCTTGGTGCATCCGAAATCTTCGAGGACTTGAACGATGTGGGTTGCAAATGTGCTCATTATGCGGTTTGCTAAAGGTACACAGGATTTGAAGTTGTTTTTGCTGACATGAGGAATACTTTCTGGGTTGGAAATATGATGGAAAGCAGAGGCAAGGTCTTATAGTTGCAGCTGTGGCGGTCATGAACTCACTGTTTAGCTCAATGGGGGCAAGCCTTCAACCCTCTTCGCTCTGTGGCGACGGTATGTCTTCCATTCTGAGGATATTGCGTCCCATCTGTGCTCAGCCAAAAGTTGGAATAGCATGCGACGCTATGCAACATCGTGCTGGAATGTGAACATCGATATCCCCGTTGCAGATCTCGAGGCTGGCATGGGAGGGTGAGTGTGACAGACTGAATCAGGACCTGTCCTGATCAATCGTGTAGTCACTTGACTTGGTTGTATTTGCATAAGCCCCAGTATCACCCGAGGCTCCTCTGAACCTGAGATGTATTCAGGCGCGGAGGGTTCTCATTCCGAAAGTACATGCCGCATTATGCAGTCCACGGGTGTAGCCCGAAAGAACTCCGTGGTGACAATTTGGACTACATTTCCAAGGTTCAAGCGCTGTCTGCTGTCTCTTATTGAGGTGCTCGTGGAACTTGGAATACATATCTTGATCATTGTAGTTCCCAAGGTCGTCTCTCAATTCACTAGTATCGATTTGAGTTTCTGTCTGTTCGTCAGATTACATCTCCGGGGCTGTTCCCACCTGGGCAGGGTTAGCCTCCAGGGCTGTTACAAGGTTCCAAATTCATGAAGTGATGTCATATAGAAGCCTAATATCTTAGGCCGAAAGAGTTATCACGTGCACGAGTGTTGACTAATCGTCCCTGCCAAGCGCCGGAGATCTCAGCCCCTCGTTTCCCCGGACTGTTTTCCCCAGCGCGATTGATGGAATTTCTTCAGTGGGATCTTGGCCTGACGAAATCACTTCAACTTAGTCCAAAATGAGGCCAACTCCGGCGGGATAACTCCGGAGTATCGTACGGTTCTCCATCCCAATCTATTTCACGATGTTGGCAAACGTATAAAAGCAGCTAGAGCGCTGTCCAGTAACTGTCAGGTAGCTCCGGGTTTCAATTGAACAATGAAGATTTCCAGTCTTATCGGGCTAGCCACCGCGGCTGCGGCAGTTTCTGTTCCGCGCTCCAAGCATTCTTCTCCCACCGCACTCAACAATGTGACCATTTTCTCCCCGCCCTCCGACTACATCGTCCCAAGGACCTTGTACCCTCGGAATGAACAGCTCCCCAATGGTGACATTCTAGCAACCTGGGAAAACTATTCGCCAGAGCCCCCACAGGTCTACTTCCCCATCTACCGCTCCAAGGATCACGGCAAGACTTGGAAGGAGATCTCCAAGGTCCACGATACCGCCAACGGGTACGGACTGCGCTATCAGCCATTCCTCTACTATCTCCCCGAGCGTGTCGGGTCATTCAAGAAGGGGACCTTGTTGTTGGCTGGTAGCAGTATTCCAACCGATCTCTCTTCCACGAACATTGATCTCTACGCATCAACCAATGATGGCAAGTCTTGGAAATTCGTCAGCCACATCGCCGCCGGCGGAAGAGCAGAGCCCATCAATGGACTCACCCCCGTCTGGGAGCCTTTCTTGCTTGCTCAGTATGTTCTATCTCTATCCGTCCTGGACAAGCCGCTAATATGACTGTAGCAAGGGAAAGCTCATCTGCTACTACTCTGATCAGAGAGACAATGCCACCTACGGACAGACTATGATTCACCAGACCTCTTCTGATCTGAAGAACTGGGGAGAGATCGTAGAGGACGTCACATACCCCACCTACACTGACCGACCCGGCATGCCGGTGGTGACCAAGGTAAGCATCCAATCATCATGAACCTTCGAGGCAAAATACTGACATGCATAGCTCCCTAACGGCAAATACTTCTACATCTACGAATATGGTTCTTTCTTCGGAACCTCGACCTACTCGTTCCCTCTTTACTACCGAATCACATCCGATCCCGAGAAGGTCGCCGAAGCTCCCCACCAGCGCCTGGTGGTATCAAGCGGAACTAAGCCCACTTCCTCTCCCTATGTTGTGTGGACACCATACGGTGGCAAGAACGGTACAATCATCGCAAGCTCCGGGACTCAGAGCACCCTTTTCATCAACAAGGCTCTTGGTGAGGGTGAATGGACTGAGATTCCATCTCCCGAGGAGCACGGTTACACCCGCGCTCTGAGGGTGTTGTCGGAGGATGGCGGCCGCTATCTGATGGTTCACTCTGCTGGTGTGTTGCTAGGAACCAACAACCGTGTGTCGGCTAGTGTGATGGACTTGAAGGATGTATTGTAAGCGATCTTACTTTAGAAGTAGAATATATGCTCAACCTTCCTGATGGAAAGGCTAGACGGTAGAGAAAAGGTGTATCCATTCAACCAGGGGAAAGAGAGCTACTTTATCCTACAAAGAACCGGTGAAGAGGGCTGTTTGGATGGTGATACAGTCAAACGGCGCGTTTGACTGTGAATCCCCAACGGCCGATTTCACAACACTTCCCTTTGGAGCCGATACCTTTGTCGACAAAATCCGGTGTGCATAAGCGACTCTAGTGTTCAATATACCAGGTTTTAAGAATGAAAGAGCTAACAATGTTCTGACTCCGTTAATTCTCTGCTCATGCTCGCTAAATACATCAATAAATCCAGGCCTTTCCCCGGCCAATTTTTCGTGATTATGCGTAATTTCCTTGTACCGTACTAATGCTGGGATGAGACCGGGCTATCCTGTCTACGTGTATCATGTGTGAATGTTGACTGAGAGCTTGGTGGTGAAACACTCCTTGTGGTGTTGCTCATTGATGGCTGGTAGCCGTGGGCTTGGTTGGAGTGGACGTATTCATTGGCAGGCATTTCATACACGCGATTGTGCTGGGCTTGATGGCCAGAATTCTGATGATTGGCGGGCATCTCGTATATTTGATGATGTTGATGGTGATTTTGAGGGTGGTGTGGGGGTGGGTGTTGATAGTATCCATTGGGGGGCATTTGATGCGCCTGATAGGGGTTTTGGTAATAGCCATTGGGAGACCCATTTGGGTTGGGGCCGTAGTTCATCCCAGGATCAACATTGTTGGGGTATTGCTGATGGCTACCACGCTGTTGTTTCTTCTCTTCGTGGCTATTGGCAGCTCTTACGATGTTGTTAGTCGCACGTTCCTCCGTACAAGTATCACGACGCTACTTACTTGGATGCCGCTTTTATAAGACCATAGCTGCCGGCCAGAGTAAGTCCGGTTTTGATCAGACCCATATTTAAATACTTTATTCGATTGAAAAGCCGACAGGGAAAGCAATGTAGAAGACGTTCTGTAGAAGTGTGGAGAAACGAAGAATCACGACAAGCTTTTATATCTGCCACAAGCCCACGATCACCCCTGACACGACAAAAAAAAGCTTAAGAATTTCACCTCGATCCACTTGGTCAGCAATCAACACGGCTGAGGAGGTATCTTTGTCGCAAGGCTGTGCTACGTGTATGTAAACTGCAAAAAGAACATATCCATGGATAGTGAGATCCGAGTCCGCGGGCCAATCAGATGCCCCCAAAGGGCCCCATCCCACGACGCTTGACTCAAAACAACACAGCGTCCCGAACCCGACGTGCGCCTTGTGGGGGCCGAAATCAACCTCTCTTAACGCTCTCCAGGGCTCCCGATACCGAAACCGAGATCATTTGCCTGTTTCTATGCCTCCTCGATTTACCCACCGAAAGTCCACCACCGGATGTCTCCGATGCAAAGCACGGAAGGTGAAGGTAAGGCTGCCATGCACCCGTTGGTTGGACGCCCACTGACTTGTTGACAGTGTGATGAGCAACGCCCAGACTGTGGCCACTGTACCCGGCATGGGGTAACCTGTGAATGGCCAACCTTAAAGCCTCGGATGTATAACCCGGACAAGCCAAAGGCTGTTACCAGGCGCCCGGTTCAACCGAGTCCGCGACCCAGCCTGCCATCCCCGGAGCTTGGGTCGATGCGCATCCTCGAGATGAGACTGGTGCATCAATGGGTCACGGAAACATGCAACACGATGAGTTCCGCAAAAATCCCCACCATGGCCCGGATGTGGGGGGTGTCAGTGCCACAGATGGCGTTCGAATACGAGCCACTTCTGCACACCCTGTTAGCGCTGGGAGCCGCCCATCGCTCAACGCTTTTACCCCAAGAAGCAAGCGCGCTGCGCCCCGTCTATCACGGCTATATTGATTCGGCGGTTCAGCGACACCGTCCCGTGACTGCTCAACTGGACGATACCACCACCGACGCAGTGTGCTTTAATACCGTTCTTTTATCCCTATACACTTTGTTCCTCCGGTCGGAACCCTCGAAACTACCGTACAACCCACCGGTAATGTGGCTCACTCTGGCTCAAGGCATTCGCACCGTCATCAAATCAGCCTATGTCCGCTTGGTGGAGAACAACTCCCCCCTGTGCCCGCTGCTTTTCGCCGCGCCGGACGTGTGGCGGAGCACCGATCGCAAAGAGCGGATCTATACCGGGCCAATGAAACCGCTGCAATTTCTGCTTCAATATCGCCCAGAGGATGACGCAATGGACCAGGAGACACTCGAGGTCTACGAGGAGGCTGTCGCATACATAGAAAGATTTTACATAGCTGTCCAAAAGGGCACAGAGGACTATCTGCTCCGCAGGATGTTCTGCGGTTTTCCCCCGGTAATCCCACAAGCTTACATTGCCTACGTGGCAGCCAGACGGCCCCGTGCCCTGGTGATTCTGGCGTACGCTTTTGCGCTGATCCACGAACATGATGATATTTGGTGGCTTCTTGGGATTCCAGCGCGAGAGGTGGAGGGAATCAACAGCCTTATTCCCCCCCAGTGGAAGTGGTTGATGATTTGGCCAACGCATGTTATATCTGTTGGGTCGGCACAGGGCCAGGAAGTACCCATCCCCCGAACGAGTACTGTCGTCACGGAGTCATTCACACCGTGATGGACCAATTCGCATTGAATAGAGCGAACACTAAAATAAAAAGATATCTTAGAGATAAACGCAAATAAGAAATTCTTCGGTTTAGTCCACTCCAAAAATTCTTTTAGTTTCTCCCGTTTGTGCAGGCATAGTAACAGATCAGCCTTCTACCTACCTAGGTACCTAGGTAGTAGAGAAAATTTTCAATGACTCAATACGAACCTGCAAATCATGAATATCTCAATCTACTCACTGAAAAAAGATGATTCCGTTCGAGTCAGCATGAGTCAAGGGTCCACGGGTTTAGGCAGCGATCTCCCGTACCCATTTTGACCCGCTCGACGCCCCTTATCAAAGCCGCAAGTCTGGTATCTCAAGGACTTCCAAGGATCTTCCATCGCCATGTTAGACCCTGCTTGTTCTGTGGAGCTAGAGAATGTTTTTGGCCCCATAGTTGCCTCATCATGTTTGCATGGCTTTGACTTCACTCTCCTCTTCGAAGAGACCATCCTGACTCTGCTACCACTTGGTCTGGTGTTGATAATTGCGTCAATTCGCATTTGGAAACTCCATGGAGTTACGGAAAAAGTGAACCGATCGTGGTCATATGCCGCGAAAGAGGTGATTGGCCAAGCTTTCAGAAATGCTGTCTTCACGCTAACCCGCACAGTTCTCTTGGCTGCTCTACTCCTCATGCCATCTGGGGTCGTTGGTTCTTTGGAGACATCCAGATGCTCCTAAAACCAGCGCAACTCTAGCCACCGAGGCTGTCACGATCTGTGCCTCGTTGGTTCTGCTCTACCTCTCCCATCTGGAGCATCTCCGCTCCATTCGTCCGTCCACCATTTTGAACTCATTCCTTGTCTTCACGTTGCTGTTAGATCTACCTCGCCTACGGACGTTGTATTTTATGCCTGAGACTCGGTCGGTGTTTTCGGTGCTCGCGATATCATGGACGATCAAGTCAATCACCCTCTTTTTAGAGGCGGCGGAGAAGCGACCCTTGCTGAAAAAGGCTTATGAGCAAAGTCCCATTGAGTCGACCAGTGGTGTGCTCAGCCGCGTTACCTTCTGGTGGTTAAATCCTGTCCTTTGGCTTGGATCGAAGTCCCAATTGACCGTGGAGAGCCTCCCTGCACTTGATCATGATATCCAAGCCGCATCGGATTCTACTATACTCTCGGAGAAATGGCGCAACGGTATGTTCTTCACCCAGGTCGATCAAAACACCTCAAATCCTTAACTGAATGTTGCAGCCAATCAATATAACTCGAATGCATTGTTGTGGATAATGATATCGCATTATAAATGGGCCTTCCTGCGGGGTGTTCTTCCCCGGCTTCTGCACACCGGCTTCTGTTTCGGCCAGCCCTTCCTCGTGGAGCGCGTGCTAAACTTCATGACCGAGCCGGAACATGTCAACTCGACGAACTACGCACGGGGGCTCGTTGCCGCTTATGCCATTGTGTACATCGGCATCGCGGTATGTGGTCTCTCACAGAGCAAAACGCGTCTACTGACCAATATCTAGATTTCTCGTTCCGCATACGAGCACCAGACGAACCGGATAATTGCTATGGTGCGAGGGAGCTTGGTAACGCTCATCTTTGAGAAGACTTTGCGAATGAGCACCTCTGCTGTTGCGGACTCCGGTGCGATCACTCTGATGAGTACAGATATTGAACGCATTAGCGGTTGCCTACGTGAGATTCACGAAGTATACTGCAGTCTCATCGAGATTGCCGTCGCATTGTGGTTGCTTGCACGGCTTTTGAAGCTGGCGGTCATCTCATCAACCGTCTTTGTGATCTGTAAGTCTTTCTGGTGTGATTTCCAAAATCTATGCTAATGGATGTCCGAATAGTATGTCTGATAGCGGGTGTGCCCCTGGCTGTCTCCTGTGGCGAGGCACAGGGGGTTTGGCTGGAAGCTGTCGAAGAACGCGTTGCAGTGACTTCTAGAGTTCTAGGTGTCATGAAAAGTGTCAAAATGACGGGCTTGACAGAAACCATTTCCAACAGTCTTCGAGATCTACGGTCAGCCGAGATTGATTCTTCGTTCAAATTCCGCCTTTACGAAGCATTGGGGGTCACACTTTGTATGGTTTCACTCCTGCTACAAGACTTTGGCTGACCTTTTAGCTTTTGCATCGTCGACACTCTCGCCGGTATTTGGATTCGGTGCCTATATCCTGATTGCGCGCGCAAATGATTCAAATACACTCACGAATGGGCTGGCTTTTTCCGCGCTGACACTTTTCTCGATATTGGATATGCCTATGGGCTCTATCGTCAATGGCTCGGAAGACTCCTTGGCGGTAGTAAATTGCTTCCAGCGAATTCAAAAGCACTTACTTGAGAAGGAAAAGACAGATTACAGGCTGAGCCATGGCTCTCAGCATCCACCATCGGTGCCACCGGCGACTGCGGCTCGTCTTGTTGACATTGATGTTACAACTGAGCAACATTCCATGGAGCCCTGTACAACCATGAGAAACCTCTCTGCCTCTTGGTCTGTCGATACCGAGTCAGTTCTCAAGGATCTCAATCTTGACATTCCTTCATCTGAAACCACAATGATCGTTGGACCTGTCGGTAGTGGGAAATCTTCTTTCCTTCGGGTTCTGCTTGGGGAAATTCCCGAATGCTCTGGCACAATATCTACCAACTTTACACATGCAGCTTACTGCAATCAGTCACCATGGATTACTTTTGGAACAATCCAGGAAAACATCATTGGCGGCTCATCATGGAACCAAGCGCTCTACAACCAGATCGTCAAAGTCTGCGCCCTTGAAACTGACTTCCAGCAACTTCCATCAGGGGACCAAACTAAAGTGGGTGTTCGCGGATCTAGACTCAGTGGTGGACAGCAAATGAGAGTGGTAAGTTTTGAGCATTGGATGTTTATGGGCTTTCGAATAACGCATGCTCATCTAGGCACTCGCGCGGGCGCTTTACTCCAAGGAGCAAGTTCTGATTCTGGATGATGCTCTTACTGGTCTGGACCGCGAGACCGAGAAGCTGATTTTGGAAAATGTCTTTGCTGCCAAAGGCATCATCAAAGAGTCTCGCCGAACAGTGATCATGGCAACAAATTCAGGTTAGTCTGACTCTACGACTTGATTACAATATCCACGAGTGCAGCACTTATACGATTCTCCGATAGCACATCATCTTCTCTACGCAGATAATATCATTGCACTTGATGCAAGTGGAAGAGTGATTGAGCAAGGACGCTATCAGGATCTCATGAATGCTGGCGGATATGTTAGCACCATTTCGGGAAGTTCCAAGGCGCCAAGTACCACTCGTGCTCCTGATATGACTATAGAGCAAGAAACTCTTCAGGGACTGAGCATCGAAGAAGATCAAGAGGGAGACTCTGGTCGCAGAACTGGCGACCTCACAGTCTACACCTTCTACTTCCAAAATATCGGCTGGCCACTTCTGCTGACCTTCATTGCATGCTGTGTTCTGTTTATTCTCGGATTGAGCTTCCCGCGTGAGTACTCTCTGTTGATAGAAACACATATCTTATCATCGCTGACCCAATCGAAAGAAATATGGCTTCAATGGTGGACTCGGGCCAACGAGCAGCATCCAAATCAGCATGTCTGGTACTGGCTTTCTGTTTATGCAGCACTTGGTCTGTTTTCTCTTTTCTCGGCCTTCTTAGGCTCATGGTACATTAATTCTGTCAATACTCCATTTGTTTTTCTTGCTGACTTGTTTCAGGGTTATCATCATGATCATCCAGCCCAAAGCATCTCGAAAATTCCATGAGATTCTTTTGCGGACTACAATGAGGTATGCTACGAAGTTCCCATTCGTATTTCTGTGCTAACATTTTATCTAGCGCCACAACCTCATTCTTGACCTCTACAGATGCAGGAACTACTACCAACAGGTCAGCAGAAGAATACTCCCTTGAGTTAGACAAATTGCTAACCCGGTTTACAATACAGATTCAGTCAAGACCTGGAGCTCATTGATGGGGAGCTCCCATGTGCTCTAGAGCTTACTATCAATGCGGCCCTCAGTTGTGTCATTGAGGGTTTCCTTGTATTCTTCGGCTCATCTTACCTCACAGCGGCGGCGATCCCATTCTGCGTTCTAGCAGTATACTATGTGGCAACCTTTTACGTTCAAACTTCACGCCAAATGCGACTTTTGGATATTGAGAAGAAGGCACCTTTGTTCTCCCAGTTCCTGGAGACTCTAGGCGGCTTGTCCAGTATTCGAGCCTACGGCTGGGAGGGCGATTACCAACGCCGCAATCAAATCGCACTCGAAGCCTCTCAACGCCCTTTCTATATGCTTTATTGCATCCAGCGGTGGATTACACTCGTTTTAGATTTGCTGGTGGCGGCCATTGCCGTTATTGTCATCTCTGTGGCCCTTTCCTTGAGAGGCAACGCATCTATGAACTTGTTGGGCATCGCCCTTTTCAACATTGTCAACTTCAGTGCCACATTGCAATCGCTTGTGAAGAATTGGATTGAACTAGAGACTTCTATTGGTGCTGTCTCTCGGATACGATCCTATGAGCAGCAAACTTTAACCGAGGATCTGGATTCTGAAACGCAGATTGTTGCCGAAGATTGGCCTCAAAAAGGCTGTGTTGAGATTCACAATCTATCAGCATCTTATGAGTGAGTTTCGCGGTGTCTTGGGCAACTATTGAACATATACTAACAGCTTTCAGGGTTACATCAGAGCCAGTACTGAAGGAGATAGATCTTAAAGTGTCTCATGGTGAAAAGGTTGCCCTGTGTGGCAGAACTGGCAGGTCAGTATCTCAACAACATGCATTGCGACTGTCTCTCAAGATGAAAAAGTACTAAATATCTCGCTAGTGGCAAATCGTCACTTGTGTCAGCATTACTTCGAATACTTGAGCCGAGTTGCGGCTCCATCTTTATTGACAACACAGACATTTCGAGGATGTCCAGAGCAAACGTTCGCTCAAAAATCAACACCATCCCACAGCAGCCATTTTTCCTCCGCGGATCGATACGACTCAACGCCAACCCAGAAGAAAATGTCACTGATGACACAATCATTGAGTGTCTCCAAATAGTCAAGCTATGGTCACTCATCGAGTCTAAAGGCGGACTGGATGCCGATTGGTCGGACGACCTTCTGTCCCATGGACAACAGCAGCTCTTCTGTCTTGCGCGTGCTATGTGCAAGTCTAGCAATCTCCTCGTCATGGATGAGGCTACCAGCAGGTACGCGAAGATATCCCAAAGTATTGAAACATATGCTGACGCTCCGCGAAGTGTGGACGCTGAAACAGATACCCTCATGCAACGTGTTATTCGGGAGCAATTCAAGGACCGGACTATCATTGCTATTGTGCATAAACTGCATACTGTTTTGGACTTTGACAAAATTGCCGTCATGGACAATGGTCGGATCGTGGAATTCGATTCACCGGCGGCGCTTCTTTCCAAAGAAGGCTCGGCTTTCAAATCATTGTATGAGAGCTTTCATCATGATGCTGATATCTAGATGGAATTATTGAGGGTCTACGGGGCTGGATGGAAATTTGGTTCGAGATGTTACTGGATATAGATGGCTTCAAATTTAATGGAAAATCAGGCGTTAGTAGTATATGAGACCTCAAGCTAATCCACAAGTATTGATTATTGCAACCTATTTACGTATAGAAAGAGGAGAGTAGACAAACAGAGCTCTCAATTGGCACAAGTCATTCTTACAGATACTCAGATCGTTACAACAACCTTGCCTCTCCCCTCGAATCGCCCATTTGCAAAATCATAAGCCGCCCTGATTCTTTCAAACTCGAACGAAGCAGCAACAAAAGACTTCAGAAGCCCGCGATCCACCAACTTTCTCAAGTCACCGAGAGCCTTCCCACCCTCAACGACAAAAAACAGTGCTTTCACGTTCTCCCTGCCAATACCACTCTTCAAATGCTCATTGACAAAGCCGAAGCTCCCAGAGTCAACTGAAATCAAGGCACCTCCATCTTTCACAACTCCCCAACAACTCTCCAATACCTCCCCACCAACACAATCAACCACAATATCAAACTCCCCTTCCAGGGCACCATACTCAACAACCTCATCAGCACCAAGACCCTTCAAAAACTCCCCATTCCTCCCATTCGAACCACTAGCCGCAACAACATGCGCTCCAACCAACGCACCAAGCTGCACCAAATAAACCCCAACTCCACCAGCGGCCCCAGTAACAAGAACACGCTTATCGACCTGCTGGCACTCACCTTCTTCCTGGCCCTGATCTTCTACACCGTGCACTACCGGCGACGCAAGCGACCCATGAACAAAAAGCGCCTCGTACGCCGTCTGCGCACTCAACGGTAAAGCAGCGGCCTCTTCCCATGAGACATCCGGCTTGCGTGCGACTTCATCTTCCTTGACGATGGCATACTGCGCCCATGTCGAGGCTCGGTCTGCGTGAGCCATGCCGAAGACTTCGTCGCCGATTTGGAACTTTGATTGTGGGGCTGTTGCTGCGACGAGGCCGGAGAAGTCGTGGCCTGGGACTGTGTAGGGTCTGATATAGGTTTCGGGCCATGTGAGCATGTCGCGGATTATGGTTGTTGCTTTGATTTGGATGAGGATTTCGCCTGCGCATGGTGTTGGGATGGGAATTGTGTCTATGTGCAGCGATGTTGTGGGCGCTGGGTTTTTCGGTGAATATGGGGTTGATGGTGATGGGTGGACGCGAATGGCTTGCATTTTGATATGACAGAATGAGTATTGACTTCGAGTCCAACCCCTTTACCCTTGGATACTCTTATACCGGTACTCGGGTACCACGGGTACCTGCGAGTAGGCTATTGTGGAGACTAGCGGGTACAGCCGTAAAGCTTGGGTGGCATCCATGGATTGAGCGTTTCATTAAATACGTCGTGTAGTGGTGGGGTATAATACCCGGGTAAAAGCTATGTACAAAAATGCAAAGGCGTTGCGCCTCGATGCTCAGCCACTGCAGTGTGGGATTAAGAATAACTTTACTGAAGAGCCGGCAGATCCGCCGACAAAGGCAGCTTGCGCGATGAGTTACCCACGTGCACCTTCTTGGGCGCCTCGGAGATAACCCAGTTCTGGGAGGAGACATCCCAGTTGGAGACATCACGGCGAGTGAGTGTGGTGGTCCACTGTAGGGTCTCGCCAGCAGCAATGGTAACACGATCGAAAGAACGAAGGACCTTGGCGGGATCGCCAGCGCCACCAAGTGAAACATACAACTGGGGAACCTCATCACCAGTCAGAGAGCCAGTGTTGGTGATAGTTGCTGTGATCTGGTAGATATCTTCAAAGAGACCGGGATTGCCACCAGAGTCTCCGCTGGAGGGGAGGAGGTCCTGGGGGGAGCCATCGGCGACACCCTCGGGAAGATATTCCTGGGCTTCCATGCCGTAGTCGGGGTCGCCGGATGATGCGCGCAGGTCGGTGGAGTTCAACCATGGGTAGAGGTACTGGCGGATGCGCTTGATGCCCTTGGGGAAAAGGTTTTCGGACACATCGCCAATCTCTCCCAGAACGGGGGCCTTCTTGGTCTGTCCAGTGGTGGGCGTGTAGGGGCTTGGGTTAAGAGGAGTGACTTTGAGGTCGGAGAACTCAAAGCTGGTGTAACTCAAGCCATATCCGAACTCGTAGATGGGCTCGATGTTGTCCTTGTCGAAGCGGCGGTAGTCGATGAAAACGCCATCGTCGAAGTTATCCTGGGGGGCGTCGGCGCCGTTGTTTGGCAGAGCGACGAGGTCGGGACCGTAGTCCTTGCGGGTCTTGCCCCAGGTGAAGGGGGTCTTAGCGCCGGGGTTGACGCGGCCATAGAGGACGTCAACGAGACTGCGACCACTCTCTTGGCCAGGGAGACCAGCCCAGAGAATAGCAGTGATGTTCTCGTTGTCGTACCAGTCGCCGATGAGGACGGCGGCTGTGCTGTGAATCACCACAATAGTATTGTTGCAGTTTTGGGTGGCTGTCTTGATGACTTCCTCCCCGTTGCCCCAAAGAGTCAGGTTCTTGCGGTCACCCTCGTTGCCATCAACGTTGATGAAGCCCTCACCAGAGTCGGCATTCACGAAGACAAGCGAAACATCGGCTTGGGCGGCGAGCGGAGCCATTTTGTCAGTGGCCCAGTCGTCGGTCACAGCGAAGACGTTGGTTCGGCCATCGGTGTATTCGAGGGCTTCGTTTTGAATGGCTTGCTCGGGGGTAATCAGGTATGGGTAGTTGGCAGTTCCACTTCCCCAGCCCATAGCGAGGGTTCCGTTGTCGCAGCCACGATCGTCACAACCGTTGGCACCGTAGGCGTTGGATCCTGCGTCCTGTCCCAGGATTGCGATGAATTTTTCGTCGTGGGTAAGAGGCAGTGCACCACGCGTGTTCTTCAGCAGAACGGTACTGTCGGACCCAACCTTGCGAATGACCTTGGCGTGGTCACGCTGAACGTTGACGCGCTCATTGACCTTCACCCAGTTTTCGCTCACCATGAAGTGCTGGAAGTTGAACTCGTCGCGAGTCCAAGAGCTGAAGTTGGGACGAGTTCGGTGGCGATCGCGGCCAACCTTGTAGTAAGCGGCCATGATACGGACAGCCATGTCATCGAGGCGCCACTCGGGGACTGTGCCGTTTAGCACGGAGACCGTCAAGTTGGTTCCCCAGTACGAGTAAGGGCTGCCGAGATAAACATCACCGGGCATGGACATGTCCAGACCAGCAAGAGCAGACTCAACACCGCTGTGGTGCGCACCCCAATCACTCATAACAAAGCCCTGGAAGCCAAGCTCTCCCTTGAGCAACTTGTTGAGTGTATAGCTGTTTGCGCAACCATAGCTGTTGTTGATCTGGTTGTAGGAGCACATGACAGATCCAACACCAGCCCGAATGGCATCCACAAAGGGCCATAGGTAGAGCTCGTGCATGGTCTTATCGTCAATATTTGAGCTGAGACTCTGAGTGACGTTGTATCCGTATCCTTGAGCCTCGCCGGACTGGCGGAAGTGCTCTTGCTCATTTCCGATGAAATGCTTCGCACAAGCAATGACACCAGCATCTTGCATACCCTTGATGGTCTCGGCCATCATCACACCAGTCAAAACGGGATCAGGCGCGAATCCCTCCCAGTTGCGACCACCGTCGGGATACTTGCCCAACGGGCCAGCAACGGGACCCAGTTGCACGTCCACACCTTTGTCGCGGTGCTCCTCACCCATCGCCACACCACGCATGTAAGCGAGTCGCTTGTCCCATGTTGCGGCGACGTTAACGCCAGAGGGGAAAGCGGAGTTGTAGTCACCTATGATCTGTTAGTCGCGGCCGGTTGAGAGTTAGGTGGTAGTCTTACTGAAGCGCAGGCCGAGGGGCGAGTCCTGCATGCACATTCCCCACATGCCCAAGCGGGGAATCCCACCAGTTTCTCCGACGCATCTCTCTTGCTCCCAGCCCGAGCCGGTTGTAAGGTTCACTTTTTCGGCGAGGGTGAGGTTGGAGACGAATTCCACGGCGCGCGTGTACGCCTCGGACCATTCACCCGCACCGGTCATCCATGGTGAGGGATAGTATGGAGGAGAATATTCCAACGGCTTCAAGTAAAGTAAATTAGCAACAGAGCTTAGAGGCTCGAGAAAAACACCAAGACCAAAATCACAGTGACGCGACTTACATTGGCGTGTGCCACGGAGGCAGCTGCCACAGCTACCTCGATCCACCGAATTCTCATTGTGGATATGAGGTTGGCGTTGTTAGTAGATCAAGATTGGAATTTGCTCTCCATCGATGGGGGGTCAGGCTGTTTAAATGTGTGGGTAGGACAGGGGCTTCCAATAGTGTACAGCTCCAGAGACAATGCGGAGAAAGGGATCGACAAAAATGCACTCTGCTACTAATCATATTTTCCCACTCCACACCCCCCATTGGCCACACTGCATTGGATATTCCCTTGAAAGGGGATAGGGGATACAGAGACATGGTGGCTGGCACAGGGAGTCAAGGGAGTAGAATCCCTTGGACACCACGCCACCTGAGCACGCTTTGCTCCCACGCCTTGCTTCGCTTGAACTTCGGCAATCCCTTCTTACATCTTCCGATTCCTCCGGTTCCTGCATCAGAAATCAATCGGTATGCCATTGTCAATCCGAAGCTCGATCCGAGATGCCAATCCTGCCGAATGGGGATATTCATTCGGGATGTGGAATAAAGGCACTGTCCTCCCGCGCCAGTATTGTGGATATGAACCTGTCATTCGAGCATCGCTGTGTTGACCTTTGAACCTCCACAGACTCCAGAATACCACTGCGCGATTAAATCCAATGCGGGGCACCAGAGCCCAATTCCCGAGTCGTCTCTTCGCTATGAACACACTCGCATGCAAGACTTGGCTGGACTGGGTATCGGCTCAGTTGAGTCTCATTGGTGATGCAACGTATCCTAGTCCAATGCACGGAGTTTGCATCATCCCACTTCGAACCCCAACTTCCACTTTACCCGACTTGGATCCCCCCACACTTATGCACTAAATCCCCGTTTCCCCGATTTTTCGGCTTATTACAAGTACAACTTATGATGCCGGTCTGTCCAGGCGCGCAATTTCCTGGATAATCAATCCATTGCAACTACGTCAGTACTCTGTACTCGGGAAATTATTACCTTCCGCACAGCCGCCACCGAAATGATGGAGACAGGCTACTAGGGGTCTTCAACTTGAGCTGGAGTGGGGCTGTCTCCACAGACGCGCCTGAAAATCGGGGTATCTCATTCTGAAAGCCGGACGTGTCGACGCCGGATATTCTCCGGATGACTATCTCGTTGCGATGTCGATCCCTGCCCAAAGGCATCTCTGGACCGTCATTTCCCTCTTGGCGGCTAAATATCGGCAAACTGAACTTATATCACCGCAACATTGCGGGTGCAGGTGGCTCGTGCGTTCATCGGCGCAGGGTTGAAGCACGCTGGAGGCCACATTGACGAGTGGGTTATACCCTTGTGGTAATGTGTCGCTGGAAATGTCCGACGCGGGGTATAAGCCGTGTGTTGGGACAGTTGCTCCTGATTTGCTTCGGCGAAAGCTGGGTGTTTTGATCGGGCCTTCGGCTTCTGCCGCAGAAGGTTCTCAAACGTGCCGCTCCCCGTGGTATCCGGCCGTGTAAGAATGCACGGCCTACCCACATACATTTTGCCTGCATCGTGGATGCAACATTGTTTTCCCACGATATTCCCGTTTGGGTACCGAAATGCCGGGTTGCCGGACTGAGCAGATTCCTTGGCATCGAGCAATTTTGGAATGTCGAGGCGTTCGCTTCGGGACGCTGGGCGAAGCTCGTTGACTTGGGGAATTCTTTTCTGTGGCCCCAGTCGCACTCAGCGCTGGATCAGACATCACTACTTATGTCGTCTAGGACTTGAAAGAGGACGTGATTCTGCACCCTGCAGCCAGTGCCATTCACACCAGCTCTGAACCCGGACCATATCCTCTGTCGGATCTCCCCGACATCGATCCCTTTGGTGTTGTACTGAGTTATCATCTCTTCGGCGATAGCACAAAGTGTCGAATTGAGCAAATCTTCATCACTTGTCGTGGCCTGCCTGTCCTCTCGGCATCCACAAAATGATGGATCCTTCTCTTCTTGCTTTGTGTTCTGAGCAGGTTCGCTGCTTTCTGTAGCAATGGACTCATTGACCGGTCCAGTAACTTGGCATTCAGCAACACGAGGTCTTGTCACGGTAAGCTCTGGATTGGAACCTTTGTTCGATCGCTGGATGGCAGGGATGGCAATCTTCCCCTTCATATCTGTGTTGACTTGCTGCAAATACTGCTCAGTGAAGCCTGCCGAGACGCCGAGCTTTCCAAGTAGATCTTTCAAGTGCCGGTTATCGGCTTCGACTTTTTGTATCGCGAGACGATGTGTGATATCTTGTTGGTGCGCTTTTTCTTCGCAAGCTGCTAAACGCTGTTCCAGCTCTCTCACATACTCTTGCTTTCGAGCTCGGCTGTTGCGCTGGTTGTTGCGCACCCGCGTAAGTCGGTCCACATTCTTCAAGACTGGTCAGACTTCTAGCATGGCTGGTCTGGGTGAGTAGCTACCTTCTGTCCTTTGAGGTCCATTGACATCCGAACAAACAGTGAAGATTTGAGGGCTGTCCGCGCTAGTATTAAGCGGGGCCTAAGCAATCGTGTTGTCTAGGGTTATGAGGTGAGCAGTTCCTGAGGTGAGGACAGGCGAGGCGATGCCTCCTTTCCAAGGTTCGTGCCTCGGGGTGGCCACAGATGATCACGTGTTTGAGGCAATGACCTCGGGACCGTTTGGAATTTCTGCCAACGAATTTTCTTCTACTCTAGAAGATTGTCTAAATTTCCCATCAGAGACATTGAGAATTTGCCAAAATAGACTTCATTCTTTCGCAGTGCAAACGTCAGATTCGCATTACACGCTTGGACATTTCATACCCATCGACATCTACCGCAGCAAAACAACACCCAAATAACTTGGGTTGACCATACTAGCTAGGTAGCCAAGTATTGAGAATAGAAATTTTGGGATCTATCATGTTCTAGAATTTACTGACTTCCAAGTTTAAATCCCATTGCAACCTATTTCCATACTGATATGCATACATCTCCCTCTTCGACATTCCAAGGTTCCTACTGCACAAGACCATCCCATCGATTCAGATCTTTCAATCCTAGGATTTGTGCAACATCTTGACCTTGAAGCCACTCTTCAAAGCCTTTGACCTGAACACGAGACTTCAACTGAGGTGGCTCGATGACGTTCTCCAAGCCGGCACAATAGCCAAACTCGTCAACAAACGCAGGCCCGCTCAGAACCTCAACTGGAATTGCCGTTTTCTCGTGCATTTCTTCAATAGTCATCTCAATCACCTTGATCGGCTTTCCAACAGCCCGAGACCAGATATTCATGATTTGCTCCACGGAAAGATAATCGTCATACGCAAGCAACTTTGTGCCAGCTTCCTCATCTTCTACCAAAGCCCTGACGAAAGGCCCAGTCGAAGTTGCAGTGTCGATGATGGGCATGCGCATCGATTTGGTTGCTGGGATGACTGAAACAAATTCTTCGTGTTCCGGCTGGAATTTCGGGTACAGGAAAGGATTGGAGACATAAGCCCCAATATAAATAAACGAAGCCTTCTCCGCTAAGCCGGGCATCTGCTCGATATAATCGGCAATGTGGGCTTTTGTTTCCCAGTGATAGGACGAGTCGTACTTTCCCCCAGAGGCCTTTTTCATCGGACCCAGAGCCGAGTAAATAAATCGCTCCAGAGTTGGGATTGACATAGCAGCATTGGCAGCATTCTTTCCGTGGGTAATCTCTTTTTTGTATCCGATTTTGGCACTGGCTGGAGCATCCGTGCCTGAAGATAGTGCGGCGCGATAGGGAAGCCAGAAATCGGTATTGACGAATATGGCGTGTGCACCGGCGAAGGCGCGTCGGAGGGAGATTTCGTCGTCCAAATCTGCTTGAACAAGTTGGGCACCGAGTTTAGAGAGCTCAAGGGCTTTTTCTGAGCTTGGGTCTCGGGTGAGGCATCGGACGTGCCAGTTGGGAAGAGTGAGGAATGTTCGGGCAACCGATGAGCCTTGGGTGCCGGTTGCACCAACGATGGCAATGACCTTTGGGGTGGACATTTTCCAAGATGAAATCGGTTCGTATCAAATGTTGAGACTGGTGAATGATTGTTTTAGGTGGCAGAAGCTCCCCTTTATACATTCACAGATATCATTCTCTTAGCAGAAAGAGTTCGATCTTGAGGGATATAGTTCGGGAATCCTGATTGGACCAGAATCGTAAGCCAGTGTCAGCCAGTAAGCCACAACTGGCCCACGGCTGTGGCTTACGACTCTCGGGCAAATCGGACTTAACAACTCATCTTGCGACACGCTTTGGCATTCTCAACTTTGTGCTGGCCCACTGTTTGATTTGACCTCGAGTCCCGGGGGTGTTGCTTGTATTACAAATATGTCCCTTTCGGTTACTGGGGGTGAATCGAGTGATCAGCATCCAGAAGATCATGTGGCTAAGCCGAAAAAGCGAGTCATCACGGCAGCTCGCCAGGAGCAAAACAGAGCTGCACAGCGAGCATATCGTATGGAAAGCCCTCTCAGAGTAAAACAAGATCTAACGTCTATTCAGGAGAACGACAGAAGGAGCGCAAGAAGAGTCTTGGCCATGACGGGAGAGTGAGGAGACTCGCTCCTCGGTCATCGACATTATCAAGCTCATCGCCACAATTTTCATCAGAGACTCAGGCAGAACAAACATCTTCATCGGCCATGGTCCGGTTATCACCCTCCAGTGGAAGACGTAGTACTTCGCCACTGCTCCTTGCTGATCCAATAAGCAATTCTTTACAAACCTCTGAAGATGCAATCAGGGTGGCACTGCTTCACAATGCAATCTGCTTGGGGTTTGATCTCAGTCAACTAATGAGCTGCGTTCAGCCATACATGTCCCCGTTTTATAGATGTATTTCTGAAGAAGATCGCCCCCAAGACGTTATCGCATCGACTTTCGATACCTCAATTCCGTTGCATCTCCAACCAACCATGGCGCAGATTCTTATTCCTCACCATGCCAGCTTGGACCTGATCCCAATGCCACTTCTGAGGGAGCGGGCCATCATGAAGGCCTTTGCGATGCCCAATGATTTCAACCTCTGGGATTTAAAGTTAGACATCTATACACGGCATGCGCTGGTGGTACGGCGGCACCGTGCTGCAGGAACTTCTCAGCCGTGGGATCCGACAAATTGGGAGGCAACGCCGTGGTTTTTGAGGAAATGGAGTATGACTTTCGAATAGGGGGTAATACTTTACATCATCATCTCTATTGAAATTCAGGGCTCCAGAACGATGCTGAACAGGGGCAGAGTGGTTGAATTGGTAGCTGCGAGCCAATGGCCTACAATGTGACGATGAAATGTACGAATATCATTGGATTTCAAAAGAAACTATCGAGATCCGCGCTCACTAGTTGAAGCCTGTCGCCAGGATGGTCAGGTTGCCAATCCAGCTCCACCCAGAGGCGAGTCGCCCAAAGCGGACGTGCGTTCGTACATGACGATCTCACGTCATTGGCCGTCACCTCCAGGGCTCCAAGAGCCTGGGGATTGTGCATTTCCCCCCATTCCTCTCCGATTGCTCAAACACCCTAAATACTCCGACCGAATTCCACGCCTGTTGGCATATACTATCCTCAGTTCAATCTTCCAGAATGGTCTCCACGCGACACCATCCCCGCGAATTCCCCTCACCGGACCGCGCCGCCAAAGAGCTTGTCAAATCACCTACTACCACTGCCAATTCGCGCAAATGGACCTATACACCCGCCGCCGCGCTGACGATCTGGCTTCTTGTGTCCGTTCCACTGGTGCTTTGGGACGCCAGCTATGTGTTGCTGCGACCGCATAGTATGCCCGGAGGACGATTCCACTCACCCGTCTTCACCCCCTACGCGTTGTATGGGACCATCGACTATATATACGGATGGCCGGCTTTCAAGGCGCGCAATGGCTTCACCGCCGCGCAAACCATCTTGAACCTCGTTGAAACAGCCGGTTATCTCTGGTATCTCGCGATTGTCTACGTGTATGGCACAACGGTCGTGAGCGGTCGCGGATCCCAGCAGCCCTCAAAGGGCTTGCTGTGGCTTTTGAAGGGAAATAAGGTGGTTGCCGGCCGTATTGGAGCGATCGCCCTTCTGGTCGCCTACACCGCGTCGGTCATGACTCTGAGCAAGACCGTTCTTTACTGCAAGTTCTATCCATTGGTTGAATGGTCGGTGCTAACGTGACAAAATAGGGCTCAATGAGTATTTCTCTGGCTATGACAATGTCGGCCACAACGACCTAGTCACTCTCGTCATCTACTGGATCATCCCCAAGTAAGGCCCCCCACAACTATTCATTCCTAAACATTACTGACTGGTCGAAGTGGCGCGTGGCTCGTATTCCCTAGCTACAACATTTACATTCTTGGGGGCGAAATCCTGAGCTCGATCGAGCTTGCCACGCCACGTCAGAAGGCTGGGCGACCCAAGTCCACCTAGATCTCACGGGGTTGACCCGGATGATAAGTGGGGGTTTCCCGCGAAAAGCTATCGAGAGATGTAATACATGCGACAATGACCGAAGAGACAGGATTCTGGCCTAATGATGTGATGTGTAGAGCGAGCATCACCCTATGAGCGATCAGCCGTTGGACCTGCGTGCATTCTTATGCGAATATCCCCGTCCCTCATCCCCGCAATAGTCCAATGGGTCAAGCTTTGAATGAGCTAGTCCAAATGTCAATCATCCGATTGCACGAGGGACGGAGTACTCCGTACGCTCGGCTGCATTCCGACTGGAGTAGTGCAGTAGTCTGTATGACCTAGTATAAATCCCCTGAGGCTTGCTAGCATCCCCGGCTTTTACGAACAGCTCTGGAATACGGGGTTCAAGCCATGCACCGGATGTAACCTCAAGTCGATTGCGTAGGTGCAGATCATCCTTACTCGAATAGGAGGAAATGGAAGAATAGAAGAAAAAAAGATAACTCTGTCTCTTGAGAAAGCAGAGATTTGTGGCCCGAAGTCTCCGTAATAAAGGCGCTGCCACTGGACGCATTTGCCAAGCCGCCATTCGCCGCTGAACCTTCCCCATATTCCTTCATTCTCCTCACTCGATTACTCCATTATCCCCAGCGCTACTCGTCCTCGCGATATCCGCTAAACCCCCCGATCTCCCGCCCGGGAAACTTCATTCATATCTTCCGACCGTGTCGAAGGATGCTTCGGGGCTGGGTCCTGGGGTATCCGCACCCGTCATGATCCAACCGGACGATGAGCCGCCATTGAATGCCTCCCCGAGCTTCAGCCTCGGCAAGGAAGAGGCCGCAGAAGCTATGGATGACTTCGATACGCAAAGCCGCACGAGTTCCCGCGATCCCGGTAGCACACAAACCGCCGACCCCGCGCTAGCCGACAACGCTGCACTAGACGCCCACCGTGACGATAACGCCGACCCGTCCAATTTCGATCCCGATGGCGATAAGCCAGCCTGGAGTGAAATGAAGACCAAGGCTGGCAAGGAGAGGAAGCGCTTACCGCTGGCTTGTATCGCATGTCGCCGCAAGAAGATTCGCTGCTCCGGCGAGAAGCCGGCATGCAAGCATTGCACTCGGTCTCGGATTCCGTGTGTTTACAAGGTCACTACCAGGAAAGCGGCGCCCCGCACTGATTACATGGCCATGCTGGACAAGCGACTGAAGCGAATGGAAGATCGCGTGATCAAAACAATACCCAAGGAGGAAACGAAGGATATGACCGCCATCGGTAGATCAACTGTGAAGCCCTCGACCGCCAGCCAACCGTCCAAGGCGCAAAAAAAGCGAAGTGCCGATGAGGCATTTGCAGCAGAAATGGATGGCTGGGCTCGCGGGGACAGGCGGGCGCCTCAAGACTCGTTCCCCATGAATCGCGAAGTGAAGTCCACCGACGGGAGTGGACTGTTAACCGAGGGAGCCGAGTTCCTGCCCTCATTAGAGATTCAAGAGCACCTTGCGGAGGTGTTCTTTGATTGTGTCTATGGGCAGTCTTACCTCCTACTACATAAGCCTAGTTTCATGCGGCGCCTAAAGGCGGGCACGATACCTCCTGTCTTGATTCTGGCCGTCTGTGCCGTGTCTGCCCGGTTCTCAACGCATCCGTTGCTCAATTCGGAGCCGCAGTTTTTGCGCGGAGAGAACTGGGCCAACCCTGCTGCGGCTATTGCCTTGAGTCGACACGACGAACCGAACATCACCATCTTGACTGTGTTTTTGCTTCTTGGCCTCCATGAGTTTGGGACCTGTCATGGTGGACGAAGTTGGTCTTTCGGGGGCCAAGCTTTAAGGATGGCATATGCCCTGCAGCTTCATCAGGAGCTTGAACAAGACCCTATCCTCGGCCAGAAGACTGGCAATGGCTCACAACTGAGCTTCACTGATCAGGAAATCCGCCGACGCACTATGTGGGCATGCTATCTGATGGATCGCTATAACTCGTCTGGTAGTCAGCGTCCACCGATCGGAAACGAAAAGTTCCTACAAATCCAGCTTCCTATACAAGAAAACCACTTCCAAATGGAGATTCCGGGCCCCACGGAAGACCTGGATGGTGACATCCTCAATCCCACACCCGAAGATTCAGGACAGCTATCTAATGCCAAAGACAACATGGGTGTTTCAGCGTACATCATCCGGGCAATCGTGATCTGGGGCCGCATTGTTGACTATCTCAATCTCGGCGGTAAAAGGAAAGATTTGCATCCACTATGGCATCCAGAGTCGGGTTACAGTCGTCTGAAGGGGCAGATTGAAGAATTCTCTGCCACTCTCCCCGCCCCTATGACATTCACATACGAAAATCTGCAGATCCATGCAGCTGATAAGATTGCAAATCAGTTCTTGTTTTTGCATATCATCATGCATCAAAACATGCTATTTTTGAATCAGTTTGCTATTCCGTTATCTCCGGGAGGACGTCCCCCAAGAGATATGCCCAGGCCTTTCCTCAGCAATGCAGGCCGAGCCGCGGTGGAAGCGGCGCATCATATCTCTGTGCTGTTCGATCGGGCTTCCGCGTATCCGCTCACTGTCCCATTTGCTGGCTATTGTGCCTACTCTGCCAGCACAGTCCATATTTGGGGGATTTTCTCGAAGAATCCACAACTAGAGGCACGTTCTAAGGAGAGTCTTCGTCACACCTACCGCTATCTTAACAAAATGAAGAAATATTGGGGGATGTTCCACTACATGGTCGAGAGTGCCAAGGATCGATATCGGCAATTCGCCGATGCAGCTATCAAGGGCTCTGTGGCCGTTCAGAATGGCACTTCGTTAGCACCAATGTTCCAATATGGAGACTGGTTTGCTAAGTACCCCCACGGTGTGTCGAGGGTACACTGGGAGGATCCTGACACCCGGCACAAGGAGACGGGCGAGGACGCAGTGATGGGCCAGAAGCCTGATCTCCAAAGCGTGGAGGATTTCTTTGCGAGCCTCTCCCCCACACCTCAGTCCAGTGTGCCGCGCAACTCCCGAGCTCGCAGAAATAGCAAATTATCAGACGGCGTCCCAAACATGGATCAAACCTCACCACAATCCATGATGGAAGTCACAATGGGTAACTCAGGTGTCCCAGGCAGTGCATTCCCACAGGCATCCACCTTTCACCAAGGCCGACAAATGCCTTTCGGCCAGCCACCATTTGACTTCACAATCCCAACCGACCAACTCCCACAACTGGACCGACAATTCGTCTATGGGTCGTTCTCCGAATTTGACCCTACCTCTTTCGTCCCAAACAACCCCTCCATTCCACAAGTCAATGGTGCCGAAGTCCCGAACGCCGGGCAAGAACCCGACCAAGCCCTCTTCACCGGCCAATTGGACCCAAGTGCACCCGCCGGAACGGGCGAGTTCTACCAGCCCAGCGCATGGTTCCTCCCCTTCAACCTCGACCCCATCGGTGGGAACCCACCTCCACAAGCCCCGCCCCCTGTTCCAGGCCCTAGCAACGGCGGAAATGCCCCTCCTGACATGCCCCCCGTGCCAGAGTTTGGCGCTGGCGGTATGCCCTTGAGCGCATATGATCTTGGACTTGGGCAAAACCAGCCACAGTGAATGTCGGGTGCTTCGGAACGACGATTGCTAACATGTTTTCCTGTATTACTTTAATGATTCCAAGTCTGATTCTGCGGGTGGGTGTTTGTTTGCTTGAAACCCCCGATGCGTTGCTTTGTCTGTATATCCACGGATTACCCTCTGTATATTTCTTTTTTCTTGGCAGGTTCTATGAAGATTTCAATTTTAGATTTTACTTCCATTCCAAGATCGAGTCTTCTTCATTCCACTGGGGCCATCTTATTATCCATCTAGTACATAAAAAAAGAACCTTAAGAGGAAGTAAGTGGGTCGAGGATTGGTGAATCACCAAAAAATTCAAAAAGATAGTGCATCATCCGTGAATCGAACACGGGCCTCGTCGATGGCAACGACGAATTCTACCACTAGACCAATGATGCCAGTTGTATGGTTGTCTGTGCGCAGTTGGATCCAAGTGCGAGACTTTCTTGACAGCACAGAAAGTGTACTTCCAAGGTTGGGCAGTCTATGCACGACACCATGAGGTCCTCATTTGATTATTTTCTCTCAAATTTTTTGATAATGGTCATCAAGCTCATATGAAGCTCATTTGACTAGGCGAAAATTCCCTAGATAATACCGAGAGTCCCTGGTTTCTCTTCTGTCGGATGTATATAAATGTTTATGGGCTGCCCGTTTAGAAACGACAAGCCCGTGGAATCCTGAATAGCCATCTCGGACCCTATCCATCTTCTACAACCTAGGTAGATATCAGGCACTTCGCATAAGATTTCGAGGTTATTTCCGATAAACTTTCCAAAGTTGTTAACCCCCAACCCTGGAATGGAAGCACTGCCCATGGACGCATTGAAACCTTCCAAGGTTAGGTTGCATAGAACATCTATGAATGTCCCGAGGTCTGATATCACAATATTGCCTAGGTAGAGCCCTAAGAACATCCATGGATCTGCCAAGGATGTGCCCAGGTACTGGAGCGGGAACTGCACTGTATATAGCCATGTAATGGAATGAAAACTGTATGTATGATCCAGTTCAGTCCGAGAACCTGGAATATTCAAGATCGCAAAATTTATGCAAGCCCCGGAGGGAGATTCGTATATTTAATCAGTGAATTCATTATATTACATGGACAAGCATGGCTCTTTTAATTTTCCTGACCCCGAGACAACGTCCGACTACTCGCGTTATCAATCTCCCGATAGTTCCTGGTTGAGAGCTTTGAGCCCAAATTAGACCCCCTCTTACTTGGATGATTCCTTTGCAGCTCAATAGGCTCATCATGAGGCTTCCTTTGGGTTCGCTGCCACGATGGCTGGGTCGAGCCGCTTGCTGAGGCGGCATCTCTGGACCTTTGTATCCGTCCCTTCAGGAGTCCGTAGACAACAGGAGCGTTTGCGACAATAGCGGCAGCAAGTTCTTCAATAGATGCCCATGTCGTTCTGTTCACTTGTGCAGTGGGATTCTTGGTGTTTTGTGGCAGCCTTGCAATAGTGATTGCAACTATGAAGAGTCCAACGGCAAAGAGGGCCGCTAGCTGAAGTTTTCTATAGTAAAGTGTCAGCATTATACCCACGCAACATTATTACCTGGACCGAGCTTACTCTGCGGTGGATCGTTTGACCAAAACTAGGATGGGGATCGGCAACGCGATCAGCATTACATCTGTGATGATATTGAGAACACCTGGGGTAGATCGACAGTTAAGGGTCAAAACTGAAACACTTTTCCACAACGAAGGGCATACCGAGAACAATCAATTGTAGCTGTGCCTGGCAGCAGATGCCTGATTCTGTTAATAAAACCACCCGAAACAAGTGCAAAAAGGAAAAACATACCTGGATCCGGCAATACGATCCAGTAATGGTTGAATGGATCGCACTCCGTGAAAGTCACAACCTGCACGGCCACGTATGTTGCCGCGAAGATAGATGTATACGATATCATTGTCGCCTTCTCCCATCGAAGATTCTTGAGTAACCTGCGGTAGGTATCAAGCAGGACCAGCTTCTGTAACCAAAGACTAAAGAGATATTATATGAGAAAAAAATGGTTCAAAAGACACTGAATTTCATTGCATAGAATACGTACTAGGAATTATAAAACACTCGATTGGCAAGCACAAACTTACTCGCGGTCTCTCTACGATGGATTTCCGCAGCGGTGAATTTCATCGTTTGCCTGAGCGCGGCAGGCATGTTGTTGGTTCCCCAGAGGAGAACAACATGGACCAGAGCGAGACGAATGAGCGCACAGAGAATGGCTGCCATTGAGAAATAATCACCCCAAACGAAATTGAGGCCTTTGATTTTCCGCAGGAGCAACCGAAAGGCTATCAAGCCGATCGTCACCCAGGTAAACACCCAAAGAAGGATGATTGTGGAATCCATGAGAGAGACCGTCCCCGGGGGCCCCAGAGGAGATGGGAGAGATGAGAGAAAGAATGAACAATGAGAGAAAGAGGCTGAAAATCCAACTATAACAAAAAATCCTTGGAAGGCAAGTCGTCAGGCCGTTAGTTGAACCAAAACGCACACGCCCACCCGCGACGAGCCGTGCGAGTAAAGGGTAGTGATCGGGCTTTGAGAGTGAAAATTAGTAATGATATCAATGGCTATATCAGATTTGATGGGCTTTTGAGTTTCTGGAAATCCGATACCGAGGTTGTGTCTTAGCCTGTTCGACGATCTAAATTTACTGTGAATCAAACAGTGGAAATGAGCTTGTGAAGCTGTGGAGTTGTATTGTATGCAAGTAGCCCTACGGGTAGGAGATTCGATTCCTCATTGGCGTTGTCTACAGTATTCGAGAAAACCCCTAAAGACACAAAATTTCTAACAACTTAGCGCGACAAGGTTAATATACTCAGGGACTGCCCGGAACAATGTCGTATGTTCAGACCTTAATTATCATTACTACTTCTAGTAATGTTACCTAGCTTTAATATAGTACTTATTAATGATTATTCATTAGATCGATCTACTGGTGTACCAGACACGAGGAGATTCGGCAAGTAATCCATCGGTAAATGTTCCTCCTAGCTGGCGGCTCAACCATTGCACCTCTCAGCTTTAAACATTATATTAGCACTGTCGACAACACCTGCATCTCGAGATGAACACATTTCGGTTCACGAGAAAGGGCCACGGGTTTCAAGCCTGACTTGGCAAAGTTTAGGGGCCATTCTTCCCGTGTTATACCCCATTATACTCCATCGAGGTGGAGACCGCCAAGATCGAAGTCCAGGACGACGGAGGAGTTCCGACAATGCCGCAGCGAAAAGCCGTTGATTTGGACCAATCCTACAATTTTACTTAGCGCCCTGACATAAATAAGGTTGTTCCCTGATGAACCTTGGGGCTTGCCTTTTTCGTTGCCTGAAGCAATATGCATGTTAAGAAAGCCTTCACGTTGATTGCTGGTGCAATTACGGCGGTCTCATGCTGGAGCAATGAGGTGCCCGCCCAGCGATCGTACATGTATGTCGGTGGACAGTACATGTTGAACAGTGCTGGTCAACATGTCTTCACGGATCAGATGTACGTGGAGAAACTGACGCCGTCCGCGGGTGCAACCAAGCCCCATCCCATTGTCTTCATTCACGGACAAGCCCAAACCGGTACTGTATGTTTCATGAGAGAGCTGCTTTCTTGGACTCGGGAGTTAACCACAATCATGGCAGAATTGGCTCAACAAGCCTGACGGAGGCGAAGGCTGGGCCTCGTACTTCATTTCTCAGGGATACGAATGCTACATTATCGACCAGACCTTCCGTGGCCGTAGTGCCTGGTTCCCCGGCAATGGAACGATGAGCACCTACAGCGCCGAGGTGTTGCAGCAGCGCTTCACTGCAGCAAAGCAGTACAACCTCTGGCCGCAGTCCTCCCTGCACACTCAGTGGAACGGCACGGGTGTCATGGGTGACCTCAACTTTGACACCTACTATGCTTCGACCGTGGAGTTCCTCGCTTCATCGACCTCTCAAGAATCGACTGTCCAAGCCGCCGGTGCGGCCTTGCTCGACATCATCGGTTCCCCGGCTATTCTCCTCTCCCACTCCCAGGGTGGTGTTATGCCCTGGCTCATTGCCGATGTGCGCCCGGAGCTTGTGCATTCCATCGTCTCGATTGAGCCTACCGGCCCTCCCTTCCAGGATGCCATCTTCAGCAACTCCACCACACGCCCCTACGGACTTACTGACATCCCGATGACCTTTGAGCCCGCCATCGCCAGCCCTAGCGAGCTTGTGAAGCACGTTATCCACTCCAACACGTCGATGAAATCCGACTGCGTGCTCCAGGCCGACTCTCCCGCCCCGAGAAAACTTGCCAATCTCGCCAAGGTGCCTGTTCTGGTCATGACAACTGAATCATCTTACCATGCGCCGTATGACTGGTGCACTGTTCAGTTCCTGAAGCAGGCTGGTGTCTCGACAGAACATCTCCAACTGGGCGATATCGGTATCCATGGCAATGGACACTTGGTGTTCATGGAGAAGAACAGCCAGGAAGTCGCTGCTGTTCTGCAGAAGTGGATGGAGAAGAAGTAATCAGCAGGATTATTTTGCCTGCTTAGATCTATCAACATTGTTTCACTCGCTGCGCTACCCTGCTTAGCTGGCCTATGTAACTGACCACGACCCTATGGTTTGTTGTAGAGCAATAAAACGTGATTTCCAACTGCGGTTCTTACGGATAACCCTGGGAGACATACTAAGCCTCGGGCTAGAGTTGGAAGTGAGATGAAGATCCGTAATAGACAAGGTCCACTGGTGAAGGCTGAAGGCCACCAAAGAACCCGTAGTCAGAACATGGCCACATAGCCTCATCACCCGTGGACACCTCGAAAGTCATCCAGAGCTACTTCGTGCAAAGGTGTGATCCAATGGAAATTGTCATATCTCAGATAATAAAACAACCCAATTTAACGTCTACATGAACGAAGACCCCAAGAAGATGACGGCTTCTGCCACTGAATCAGAATAAGAAAGGAGAAGGGGTCATAATGTACCGAAGATATGGAAGACCAGAAAAGCAAAAACTAGTCATCCCACTCTTCATCAAGCTGGTCTATGAGCCTGTTTTCAGCATCCACATCCCGGCCTCCTTGACCCCGGCCTCTTCCACCGATAGCGCCGATGAAACCGCCCCGGCCGCTGGAATCGGCACGGGTATAACCATTGCTTGAAGGTGAACCTCTGCACCGGAGAAGATTCCCAAGCGAAGAGAATATGATAATGAACATGTCCTGTCGGGCAGAGAAAGAAGAGGTCAGCGTCATTTTCTGAAGCTCGCAACCAAAATCAATCAAGTTCATCCAAGATACAACAAGATGGCAAAGAGTGTACAGCATGAAATGGCTGGGAAGCTCTCCTGATGACCCTGACCCTCAGCTGGGTCTGAAAAGACAGTCTTCAGAAGAACTCTACTTCCCAAACCACCAAAAGTGCGGCTGCGATCAACACAGACGAATGCAACAAATGCACATGCAAAAATAAATCAAAAAGGAAGGACAAAATGAAAGGCACGACTGCTCCCAGAGCAGTGTTTTTTTGCGGTTCAGCAAAAGGGGTTTCAATCCACTCTTGAAGAAGGCAATCCTCCATTTGATTCCCGGGACGCGTGTGATGCCGAATGGCCATGTCTAAAGCTGCGGCGGGACCAACATGGAATCAACGCAAAGATACTTACTTTGACAAAGTCGAAGAAACCAGCCCACAGACTGAAGTTCGGGCACTGGCGCCAGCCACGCTGGTGCATGACTGTGCGCTGGTAGGCGCAACCACCAATCAGGTATACCGCCACGGCAATAAGCATACTAGAAGTCGTCAGCATGGATTGATGCAGAGGTGCCAAGAACTCTTACATTACGCCAAACACGCCGCCCGGTCCCAGACCGCCAGCCTGGGGATCAACGGCGATTCCGCCGCATGCCGCGGAGCTGCGCACTTCAAAGAAATAGGTGCATGAGTCCATAGAGCCGACAAAAGAGGGTGTCGCCACGCTTGCTGGAGCGTCACGATCACAAAGGAAAGACATTATAGTTGATTTCCTCCGCGTAGAGGCATTGGTACTGGCCATGTTCAAGTCATCGGGGCACGGTGAGCCATTGGTGTAGTTGAGGACGAGTTTGCGACCACGGAAAAAGGGCTCGGAGGCTTGTTCTCTGCGGAGGATTAACATGCGCCTTGAACCTTGCCGCCGACGAAGGTCTTACCCGATGGAATATACTTTCTCATCCCGCTCGTAGTATGCACTGACGTTCTTCCACCTTGAAGAGTCGACTCCGACCACGTTGGTCACATTCTCGATGACAGGTGCGCAGATATTGAGTGTGAAGTTGGCCGGGTAGTCGTGACCCTTTGCATGCCAACTGTCATCCCGCGCTTCCTTCAAGACCTTCTTGCCATCTTTCATCTCGGGCGGGAATAGGGAGATCGCATTGAGGTCGAAGAATAGCCCTGTTGTTGGGGAGCGGGCGATACATGGGGCATCATCGTTGGGGGACTCTGCGCTGGACAGTCCAAGGATTGTTGATATAAGGAAAAGACAGTGAGAGCCGGTGAGCTTCATGTCGATCACCCAAAGAAGAGACTGTGGAGACGTGTAAGAAAGAGAGATACGGTTTGAACCCGATCTGGTTAAAGGAGACCGGTTGACGTGAAGAGCCCGGGGCAGAAACACGCTTACGTTGCATCGCGGCTACGTGATGCGGAGACAATCTGCGGATTTCCTCCATCCGACATCGTACGCGCAGTCCGCGGAGCCCGCAACTTTCTATTTAGCTGCTGCTTCCCCACTGCTGCTGGCTTACTTCTCCTCAATCTCCATTGGCTCTTCTTCGCGACTATGCCTAAAACTTCCAAAAGTTCCGTGCAGCCCGTGCCCGAGAAGCGCGGTTACGAGTTTGGTGGACCGTATGTTTGGAGCTCCCATTGCGCCGAAGAGAGCTAACATTCGATTAGACTGGGTGCCTTCGGAATCACCTTCGGTCTTCCAATTCTTGTCTACCTCATCACCTTCGTCTGCAACGATGTCACGGGCTGTCCTGCACCAGGCCTGCTGAACCCCTCGACCTTGACGCTCGAGCAATTGAAAGCTGAGGTGGGCTGGCCAGAGCAAGGCGTGGCGGCACTCTATGATACCAAGGTCACTCTGTGGGTTCTAAGCTATTATGCCTTCAGTTTGTTCCTGCAGGTCTTCCTTCCCGGCCAGGAGGCAGAGGGTGTTGAACTGGCCTGCGGAGGACGCTTGAAGTACAAATTCAATGGTACGAACCACACTTCAATTAACACAACCATTCGAAGACATTAGAAGCTAACAAAAGTTACTTAATAGCTTTCAATTCCGCCTTGATCATCCTCTCCGGCCTCGCGGGAGGCACCTACCTCTACGGGGCCGACTTCGTGGTCTGGACTTTCCTCTGGGACAACTATATCCAGGTCATCACTGCAAACCTAGTCATCTCATCATCGATTGCTCTGTTTGTCTACGCGAAGAGCTTCACGGTTCCGGCACCTGGAACGGCAAACGTTGGCCTACGCCAGCTCGCCCCAGGCGGCCATACGGGCAATGCTCTGTACGACTTCTTCATCGGCCGGGAGCTCAACCCGCGTGTCCGTCTGCCTATTCCCTTTGTCAGCGAGGCTTCGCGCACCCTCGACATCAAGGTCTTCATGGAAATGCGGCCAGGTCTTCTAGGATGGACAATTCTGAACCTGTCCAACGTGGCCCACCAGTACCGCACCTACGGCTACACCACCGACTCCATTGTGCTAGTGACTATTTTCCAGGGATTCTACATTCTGGACGCCCTCTACATGGAGCCAGCAATCATGACTACCATGGACGTCATCATGGATGGATTTGGCTTCATGCTCTCCTTCGGCGACGTGGTCTGGGTCCCGCATCTCTACAGCGTTCAGAGCCGTTACCTCTCTGTCTTCCCCTATGAGCTTGGCTTGAATGGCATGGCCGTCGTTCTGGGCGTTACCGCCGCTGGATACACCATTTTCCGTGGCGCCAATAACCAAAAGAACCGTTTCCGCACCAACCCCAATGACCCTCGTGTCAAGGACATCAAATACATTGAGACTGCCGCTGGATCCAAGCTCATGATCTCTGGCTGGTGGGGCTTGGCCCGCCATATCAACTACCTTGGCGATTGGGTCATGTCTTGGGCTTACTGTTTGCCCACCGGTGTTGCAGGCTACGTTCTGATTGAGAGCATCAACCCTGCCAGCGGTGCGGTCCAGAAGCAAGCTGTGCAGACACCCGAGGTCCGTGGCTTTGGTATGATCTTCACATACTTCTACATGCTGTACTTTGGGATTCTTCTGATCCATCGTGAGATGCGTGATGAGGAGAAGTGCGAGAAGAAGTACGGTGCGGATTGGAAGCGTTACACTTCAATTGTGCGCAGCCGCATCATCCCTGGAATCTACTAAATGATGTGATTCCATGGTTCAAAATACGCTTTTTTAATGTCCAGTTACTTCTACAACGATACTAATTCTGTTTGGAGGCTGTTACCCAGGCGCTGTACTCCCAGACTGTTCCAGGGCAAGAAGTTGTGATTGCGATGTTGGCCCGGGGATTTTCCGATGGACAGTTGTTACAATAATTTTGTTGTGACGTCTTCTCCATCTCGAAGACTGACCAGGACAGGGTGGCTGGCAGACTTTACTTTCTTTCTACATAATTCGCACATAGGTCTCGAGGTCGTTATTAGACCTTTTCATGGCCATTGGGCACAAAACGCTTATCTGTGATGGCTTAGCCTCATAACGAAAATGACGCAAAGAGCATTCCTCATAATCAACGTTTCCGTTTCTTAGTATCTACCAAGACATCCAAGCCCCAAGCTTCATCACCAGAATTGGTGATCCATCCCTTCAAGGCCCGTCGAGCATCACGTATGGCCTGCATACGGATACCTGACGGGTCTTCACAGCTGCTGGGTGCTTTGAAATCTTGATAAGTACTGGGTTGCGGGACTTGGGGAACTGGTTCCTTCAACTTTTTCTCAGGAACATCGCAAGTTTGAATCGGCGTGGGCACACAGGTGATGTTGTGAAAAAGAGCCCAAAGCTTGGCCCGCGAGAGAGCCGATGCCCCTTTAGCACCAGGTGCGGAAGCCCGATTGCCCTGCTTCACTCCATTGATGACGGTTTCGTACAATCCGGTCTTTGAGCGGCGGAGGGTTGGAACTGCCTTGCTACCTATTTCCAGAGTCGCAGATGGATCATGGTATGATGGCGCTAGTGTCCATATAGCGCTTGCATTTCCTGGTTTGCTCTTTTTTGGGGTGTGAGTTTGGGGATTTTCTTCAGTCTGCGAAGAAACCGCAGGGCATGGAATCGGTTTCGGCTTCGCGAAGCTCCACAACGCGGACACCTCCTCAGTCGGCACTGAGAGAATCTGGAACGGATGGAATCGGTAGCCCACTTCTGGTTGATGATTTGACGTTTGGGGCCAGGAGCGCCCTGTCAATGATTGCATTCGACCGTTCTCGCCAAAGGATCTGTCACAGGCAATTTGGCTGATCTCTTCCTCGGGGAGGATTAAGCCTGCAATGTATGCATTCTTGGTAGGAGCGACTAAACGGCTTGTCTCGCAGGACAACAAGGAAGATACTTGGCGCAGTGCAAGTTTGTCCGAGCAAGACTTGCTGCGAGTTGATTCAGCATCCGTGCGAGATGGTTTCCGACGGACGACCCCGAGAATAGAGAAGTGAGCACGGCCATCGAGGAATCGCTCTTCAGGAGGCGTTTCGTCGATTTCCTGGCTTGTTGAGGACCGTTGCTCTGGAACTTCCCACGGCGTTGCATCTTCTTGGGCGGCCATGCAGAGCTCCATACTCCCATCGCCGCACGGTGCACATGTACAGTACATGTATATGTTGACATCTGGCTGAATTTCAAATGGTGGCCATCCAGGGCGATTGGGAAGCCCATCTTCGTGTTCTGGTGTCCTTTTTCGTACAAAAGACGAGCCAGAGGATTCTTTAGCTTCGGACCTGGGAGAACCGGAGGTTACTGGCTTCTCTTGAGACAAAATACCGTTACATTCGGTAAGTAGCCAATAATTGAAGGCTCGTATAGCCAGAATCTCAGCATGGCAATCATGTAGTACAAGGCCATTACAGCGTGGGATATGCGATGCCGATAGGCATTTTGCGCCACTTCTGTAAAGATATCAGCTACCATTTACTTTTTCAAATATGGCATCAGGCATATCTCCCAACACTCACGTAACAGCAATGCAAGTCAGACTTTCTGAGGGCGTGTTCTCTCCTTTGACCTCGAAGACATGTTAGTATAGAGCATATCTGCCTGCCCAAACAGACGCAGCGCGGTAACCAGAGCCACACTACATATGCATAGCGGAATTACCTTTGACGGCTACGATGCCGGTCATAGGAATCCATTCCCTCGATCCATCCGGAAAAACCGATGGTTTACTACGTGCGGGCAAAGCATCGAAATGAGCGTGCACCAGCGACGCGATCCGGGAGGATAAGGGAGGTTCCGAATTCTCACTATCCATGTGATTCATTCATAGGAGTTCCGTATATAAAGATCCTAGCAGCGTCCAGCCAAACAAGAAGAAACGCCGAGTCCCAAATTGTTCGAGTCACGTGAATTTATATTTCAAGACTTTTGCCTGAGGCCAAAACTCCTCACTTCTCCCGACGTCTCAACCTGTCGTTCTCGCCACACTGTCTTTATACTCATCCACAATGGCCGACAAGCTCCGCACAATCCAGAACCTGGAGGCCCTCCAGTCCCGTTACATTGGTACTGGGCATGCCGATACCACCAAGTACGAATGGACCTCCAACATCCTCCGTGACAGCTACTCCTCCTACGTCGGCCACCCTCCACTGCTTTCCTACATGTCTGTCGGCATGGGTGAGCCAAAGGAGATTGTACGCGCAGCAATGCTTGAGAAAATGGCGCGAGGCGCCGGTAATCCGCCTGTGGTATGTTTCGCATTCAGTATCTGCACACCGAAAGAGCTGTAACTGACATTTTCTGTTCTCGCGCCAGACCCAAGAGTAAACCACATGTGGTCTCATTTCTGCCTTCTTGATACCCCCTGCCAAAAAAACAATATTCTCGATTGGCAACACGCTTTCTTTGACCTCCGCAAACTCGCGATGCGATCCCTCGCTATTTTCGTCCTGCGCTTGGGGACAGCCTAATTTCACGACTCATATACTGGGGCGAACACGATAAGAGCAGCATCCTGGATATCAATTTGCATTAGAGAAATATGTTACTGGGATTGGAAGACCTCCCATCTCACATACCTCGAAGACTTGTCAATATCCAGATTCCTCGGAGCCTGGTATACATTTTGATTCAATTCCAGCGAGACGAAAATACTGCAGCACCCAATGGCTTATTAGTTTACGGCGATTATTGACTCTCGGGAAAACAGCAAACTGCGAAGTTGTGCACGGTGTGATTGGACACAGGTTCTCCAAGTGTGTCCGGACATTATCTCTCTGAAACTCAATCGGAGTGTTGTTGAATTCAAACCAGACTATGGCACACAAAATATTACTATCTCAAACGGATGAAAGCAACTTATCAAGAACAACATACGTATGTGCACCAAGTATTTCCAAAAGATCATATATGAAACCAAAAAGAGGCCAAAAGCCCAGTGTACTATGTACAGTAGCAGAACGCGAAGTATCCTACAGTAGTTCTCATTTCTCCCCTTTAGCCACCAACCTCGAATTCTCGGCCTGGAGCGAGCCCACAAGATCGACATACTTCTGGCGGTCACTCCTGAGCTGCCTCACCTCCTTTTTGAGATCGTGAACTTCTTGTCTCAAGCTTTCAACCTCGGACTTGGACTTGGATTTCTCAGAACGCTCTACGTTCTTTCGCTGCTTTGTTTCGATCTTTGATGCAACCTTGACCTGACTAGCCTCAATCTTGCGCAGCTGTTTCAAGAGTTTGGTCTCCCCACTCAAAAGCTGGGTGGCAGCTTTGTGGTTGGCCACTGAATCAGGTGTGGCTGTCTGCGAAGACTTCTCGCTGCTGTCTTGAGGGCTCTGCTGTGTGGTACTGCTTGCAGGAGTGGAGGAGCGGTTGGTAGCCGCGCGTTTTCGTAGTCCGCTGGCATCGCTATCCGTCTCGTTGAGGCCTTTCAGCGGGGCCCCGGGATTTGTAGGTAGTTGCGTAACATTAAGTTTTTCAAGTTCTGCGCGGACTTCTTCGAGCTTGCCTTCAACTTCGCGTTTGCGAAGGGCTAGCTTTGCGAGCTCTTTCTCGTGAGACGTGAGCTTGCCGTTCTTTGTCATTTGGATCAATTCTTCTGGGCGCATATTGTTTTGTGCAAGGTCGTCAACGACTGGTACTGCACCGTCAGATTGAACAGACGTCATGGACGCGAGATCTGGCTCGCGAGATTTGGAAGACTCGACTTCGGAGGCTGGCTTCGCCCGTTGAGCACTCCCTGTGCTTAAGTGATCTTTGGCAGTTGCGTCACCTTGTGGGTGGCTTGGTTCACCAACACTTTGCGGTGCCTGTGTGCCGGATCCATATCCCAGAACCTGTGGACCATATCTTTCCAGACCCGAGCTTAGGAGGCCCGTGACACTGGCGATCAACCCGTGGTGAGAGTGCTCGCCGTCACTTTCGAGTGATTCGTAGTCTGAGTCTGAATCACCGGCCTCGTCGCAGTCGGATTCATTATTCACAGACTTCCCCGATTTAGCCTCGGGGGTGGAAGCGTTGGACTCCTCGGCGCCTGGACTGCTCTCCTTGGATGGCTTGTCATCCTGAATAGCCCAGTTGATGAATTTGGCAGCGTCCAGTCCCACACTTCTAGGCGTTCCCTTATCAACCATCCATCGTGGGATACTGCCACCTGGGTCACTTCTAGTGACCATAATCCACTCAACGGGATTCATCGTATCATCCTCATTGTATGAGTCCGATCCCTTCTTGTCAGACCCTTCACCGGCACGGTCCACACCAGAAGAAGAATCACTGCCCTTCTTATCCTTCTGGCTAGAGGAGCTGCTGCCACTATCGCTATTCCTCGGGATCTCGCGAATGAGCTCGACCGACTCATAATTGCCTCGGGTGTAGCCTTGCTTGGGTGGTACATCAGGGTGATCGATTGGCTTGGAAATCATCATCCAGCTGCGACCCGGTTGTTTAGTGCCTCCAATCTGCAACCCCGAATCAGAGTTGATGATCAGGGCCACGAAGTCGCGGGGTGCGGTAGGCTTAGGAAATTGGGCTGAGACGTGGTACACGATCAAATCACCCAGCACCGAGCCATCGTCATCTTTGATCTCGATCGACTCAAGTTTCTCCTCCGCGCCAATCCCACGAATACTTTTATCGGCCGTCTGTCCTTTCGCAAGTTTCTTTTGGTTGACTTTCAACGTCTCGTCGTATTCCGTCGAAATCTTCTCTCGCCACCGGTCAAAGGGAAGGCCCTCGTGTACACTCCTCCGTCCAAACCATGAGCCCCCACCGTCATTTGCAGAGAGCTTCCATACAGTCACGTCCAATGGATTGTCTCTCGGACCGCCCATCTTGAGTGGCTTCCCCCATTCTTTTTGTAATGCTGTAATTTCCGGGTCGGTTTCTTCGACCCGTGCATTTGATGGCGCGAACCGCGGGAACACAATATCGTCCGTATCTAGGTCCAGCCCAGGATATGTATCACTTTCGGTGGAGGGAGGGACCGGGAGCGATTCTGCTACCAGTCGGCTGTGCTTGAAGATTTCGCGTACGTATTTGCGCAGCTCGGCAGGTTCTTGGGGGACCTCATCCCATGATGTTGGCTTGAGGCATTGGAGCGCCTCGTGTAATGTGGCCATACTTTCAGCTGAGTGGGGTGTTCGGACTTTTATTTCGAGTTCATGGATGGCTCAGGGGAATCGTGTGGTCGGAGTGGGCTCGCAGTCGCGGAAACCGCGGGGTGAGATTCGTCAGCTCGTGATCGGGCTTAGCTCTAGATATCAGGCCACGAATCCAAGTTCAGCTATGAGTATCGTAGGGGTTTGGTCGGCTGAGCTGAACAATTTCTTGATTGAGCGGATTTCAGGTTGAGGTCGTAGGATGTAAACCGGTCCTGGGGTCAAGTGGTAAGGTCAAGTATATTTGATATGACTTAAGACACAAATGCGGCCTATTCACAGATTCATCGAAGAGAAACGATGCAAGAGAACCACAGTGTCCGATGTGTAGTTTTCGGGGAGTGGAAAAGGGGACATTGTTCGACCTTAGGCTCGGGCATTGGAGATCCATCTGACGTCATCCGTGATTTTGTGGGGTATAGAACTTGGCTATTCCTATCTTTACCCCTTAGGGCTTGCCGATCATGGTATTTTACTTGCAAGTATTTTTATGCATTTTTCAAAGCTAGATAAGGTACAAACAGGATTTGGAACTCAGATGCTGACGGATCAACAAAAGAACCAGGAGAAGTGAGGCAGCCAGCGCGAGGGACCAGCCCCTCGACCATGACAGACCAGCAAGGAATGAATCTGCCTAGTCGAGCATCTGATTCTCGGTGTCGGAAAAAAGAAAGAGGACGCCTTCATCCGGCGAAAGAGTCCCCCCGACGGTCCGAGCATATCCAGGATTTCCTAAACTTCCTGGACCATAGGAGATGAGCCTATGAGTGCCAACCACGGTTTCGGTGCGATCACAGCGCCCAGTGAAAAAGATAGCATGTCGCCGACTCGCGTTGCTGGGCGGGATAAGCGGTTTCCGGGTCACAGACCAAGGAATCCGGGGTTCATCGCCCTGCGCGCTCGGTCTCCGCCACAGGCGGAGGAGCTCGAGTCTGACGATAGTCGAAGACTTACTTCCTCCCACTAGGCTGCTTGATCTGCATCTCAAGCCGTAGTTGACCAAAAGAGTGTGGTCGAACGGACATCACGGATGTCAAGTAGGACACACACTGTCGCGTGTACATATCCCCCACGCTCAATTAAGAGCGTCGGCCGGCCCAGGTATCCCGTACCAGTAGGACCTCGAGATAGTTCAACAGAAGGGCAAGATCAAGATCGCAGCCATTGACCAGTCAACGAAAGCGCATGATTTCCCGTATCTGTCGACACGACGAAAGAATCGAAGGCGTAATGGACATTCCACATCCAAATTCATATCCTCCACATGCCGCGAGGCAGACCAGTCTTCATGACATATATGCGGACAAAAGAAAAGAAACATAACAAAGAGCCGACCCGCCGCTTCTTGATGCAAAGGAAAAAAGGAAAAAGAGAAAGTAACGACGCTGACGCTGGAATCGAAAAGAATATCAAAACAAGCGCACAAAAAGGACATTTCTGGTTATCATGCAAACGTAAAGCAGGGAGTATCACAATGCACAGTCAAATCGAGGGGAACGCCGTCAGGAATGCGAGTTGTCGTTTGGGTTCCCGGGAAAGAGAGAAAGAGAGGAAGAGGAGAGGTGGAGGAACCGAGATTTGCGCGCGCGCCCTGATCCAAGCAACGATCAACGTTCTATGAAAACCAGGTTGCAAATCTCGAGAAGCCGAATGGGTGGTCAACACCACAGTCGAGAAGCTAAGCAATGGTGCCGTAGGGCAAGGCATTGAAATCTCCCCAACCGAAGCCCATCATGTTGACAGAAGTGGCGCACGGTTGAATCAACGTGCTCGGCAACGGGAGGGCGCTGACTGCGGACGTGGCGGGCATGCAAGTTGGCATACAAGTTGACATACCGTCGTACCCGAAGGAAGTGGTGAAAGGCTGACTGTAGGACGGGGTCGGGGACAGCTGCGCATCACTGATATTGCAACTAGCCCAGAGATTCACATTAGAATCACCCGTTGTCGAGTTGGGGCTGGGCGGCAGTACTTTCCACGACTCGGGCGCGGGCACGTTCCACCAGGGTTCGGGCCCAGTTGAGCTGGGGAGAAGAGGGACGGGCCGCATGACTTCCACCATTGGAGGTGGTGGAGGAATCAGTGGCACGAAGAGGTTCCCGATGGCGTTCTTCACTTCTTCGCTGCGGCCGCACAGTAGTTCTCCGGCACCGTCTTCTTCCAGTCCCTCGAGGGCGTCGGCATCGGTGCGGTAGACGAACTTGTTGGCGGCTTGGACGAACTCCTCCTGCAGCTTCTTCAGCTGGGCGTGCTTTCCAGACCAGTTGTAGGTGTTGGCGACGGCATCCACGGAGTAGATTTCCTTGTGGAAGTCGACGAGAGATTCGATCGTCTCCGGGGTTAGTTTGAAGGCCACTTCATTCCGGGAGACCATGTCGACGTGGACGACATAGGCCTCGACATGGATGGTCTGGTAGTGATGGATCGATTCCCAAAGCAAATTTGTATCCTTCTCTAACTCGGCCTCGGGGGCTTTGGTGAACATCATGGAGCACAGCGTCCAGATGGCATTTGGCGACGACAAGGTCTCTGTCAGACACCGGGTATGTTGGGTGACATTGTTCAACGGACGTTTGACCCGGTTGACCCGCTTCAAGGTTGCGGTCAACCACGGTGCAACCTTGGTGGTCAACACGACATTCGGTGACGATCGTGGCGCGAAGGCGGCCGCGGAGGATGGCAGTAAGACTGTTGGCATTATGACTGGGTGATACGTCCTGCGTTGATGATATAAAAGAATGTAGATAGAATATAAATCATAAAGGCGACATTCGCCCACACAAAAAAATAGAACGGGGTTCTCTTTGTCGGGGGGATCAAATGGTCAGCATAGATTAATGTGCGGGCGAATGCGCGGAAGAAACAGAAATTAGAATATGGAAAAGAAAAGAGAGGACTGTGACAGTCAAGAGTGGTTATAGAAGAAAGAAGAAAAGAGATCGAGAGAGTAGAGGGGTGGAACCTGTGGAGATTACTATATTATTTTTTTCCCAACTACAAAGGGTTCGTATTATTTTCGTCGACTTGCATATAGATTCGGACTCCCCGTGCAGTGGCGACGAAACATACATACACAGTTTCATCGGAGTTGACGAGTTCCTCGCACAGTGCCTTGGAATTGCAGTCTCACACCTGTTGCACGTCCATCTGGCCAGAATCCAATGCACGAAGCCCTAAACTGCAAAAGCTAAGCCCCATTGATCCGCGCAACGGCACATCCATTACCCAAATCAAAACCTCCGACTATGGATTCCCTCCAAGATTGAGAACCAGTCGTCTCCTCCGTACTCCGTAGCGGGGAATCGAAACGCGCTTCTCAGCTGGGCGATGTGCATGGTATTTCCCGAGTAATCGCAGTGTGCGCCAAGATCTACATACTAAACTAGTCCTCCGGACTCCATACACCGCACGCTGAAGATTCTATTAAAATTTGGCTGCAGCCTGCAGGCCAAGCCTCGATCTAGTCTTTTGTACGGAGTGCTCCTGTACTCTATGAGAATCTGCAATTCCATGGACTTGAGAGAAATTCAAGTAACTCTTTCAGATCTCACACACGAAACACATTCCAAACGCGATTTTTCGGACTCATCGAACGCTTGGACATGTACGGAGTAGACCTCAGCTGATGGGTCGTGGGGCATAGTCTTGGGGCACATGGGATTCGCTGACGCGCGAGCCTGGCCGATGGCGCTGAGCGCCGAGATCCCTGTTCCGATAGCCTATTGGGCTGAGCCTCGATGGCCATACTTTGGGCCGGCGCCACTAGCATTACAGTAGTGTATTGAGTATTCTGCTACTACATACATAATACAGAGTGTCCATACATCGTATTTCATCCATACAGTATGTACGGAGTACGATGACTCCCATACCCTTCCCGGTACTAGTATGCCGATGATATCATCTCACGCCCACTGCCCTGAAATGGGATCCCTGCTGCATATGAGTTCGGTCACCTGTTCTGGGTGTGAGGGAGCTATTGGCTGTCGCAACGCTCGATACACAATTTGCATTGTTCTCGATCTTGTGGGTTCTCCGAAAAGAATAAAATCAAAAAGATCGAAATTCGAGAAGCGAAAAAATCGCCAAAATCGACTGGGGTGTGCGTTTTCCTAAAATAGATGGGGCGGTGCTTACACACGCCACACCATGTGGCGGACATCTCCGGCCCCACCGCTTCACTCTTTCGCTTCATTTTCTACCTACTATGGAGTATAGATATGGAGCATGTTTGACCCGGAACCGGTTGGGCATGATGTGTTGGCCGTCAAGAGCTGAAATCCGCGATAGGTCTCACCTTAACCATTTAGGCGGGTGCTGAAACTCTGCACCTATGTATGTACATGCAGCCCCGTTGACTGGGTCAAGCAATGCAATAGCCTGATTTTGACCGCGATGTACAATACTCGTACCTTAGAACGGCTACGGAAACCACTAGCTCCGCTTGCACATGTAGATCATTCTCCAGGGCGATTTGAAGAGATGACTCATGTAATTATCCGCCGATTCCAGGGCGATACTGGGAGAGAAAACTGGGTGTTATCCATCATCGTTACATGCGATTCTAACATGTTCCAACGCTCCCGAGGTCTGAGGCAATCCCTGTATTTATCACAGCATCTGACATATGATTAACCGCTGTATCACAGCGGTTCTTGGTTGACAAGGCAAGCCGATCCGGTGATCAATCGCCTACAGAATGAGGTATTCTCTATAGGCTGTGACCCGCACTCCGTAGCCATAGAATAGAGCGTCAGATCATGTTTCTATCTATTGACTGGATTGCGCATTCACTGGCAGGAGTTACAAAGACCCTGTCATTTCAAGGTCGGCACATTACACCCAGGTCAATTACTTGTGTTTTGGACAAGACCATGCAGCCACTGGGCAGGTTCTGATTTGACTTGCATCCACAGAATTTGATCCGGACAAGTCTTCAAATCTTCTACATACATATGAGAAACTTTAGGATCCACATCCGTTGAAACAAAATCAGACATCAACCGATCCCTAGATACGTGATGATTGATCTAGAGCAAGCCGTTCGGCATGTCGAGGCATATCTGCACACAGCCAGCGGCGCGGCAAAAAAATGATTGGTGCTGGTATGTTCTGAGGTAATTTTTGTCGTTACCTAGGTCTCTTACCGGGTGAAGTCCGGTTTCAAGGAGCGGGATTGGGTATGCGAAGACCCCATACCTACAGGTAGGCGGTTGGTCACGGAGTAAGTTTTCGCAGAAAAATGGCATATGATGCGCTATTCCGCGACTTCGTTTTGACCCTGGTGATGTCGACTGTGCTGGTGGCTCCAGGCACCAGGGTATTTTGATCCAAGAATGATATGTAGATGGCCAGTCCGTGCCAAAGAGGCAGTGAGAGGCAAGATATTGCGTAGCCTAGACAAACAACATGACTGAACCGATGCCACTACCCCGCTTCTCTTGGTCTTGGAGTCTTCGCAAACACAGCTACATACCCAGATGATTAAACATCGGTTGCCTGCCCACGCTAGTACTGTAATGCTCGAAGATTTTGGAGACTCGGGCCTGTGTAGTATGTACTAATAGGCTCCGGGGCTCAATTCTGATTTGATAGAACTTCCTCCAGATACCAACGCTGTCCAATCAGCCAGAGCCCCCGAGTCGTCCGAGGGGTGGGGTCTTTTTCCATGCGTACCCATATGCGGCAGCAGTAAAGTTATGGCATCCCGTGATAGTTAATGTATAACCGATTCTTGATAAAAGAATTAATGATGATTGAGAGGTAGCTCATAGCTTTCCAAGGTATTTGTATTGCGAAGCTGGTGGTGTGCTCTCTTATAGACTGTGACAGTATATGACATGCGCTGAAAGCTCGCTGATTGCCGAACATGGGCCCTACCATAGGACATGTGACTCGTTGGTCGGTCATGGAGTGACAGAGACGGGGAATTTCCATGTTTCCCATGCTTTTGGCGTATTTGCAGTTCCTTTGAATTGCCCACCAGGATCCGATGAGTTCCAACATGCCAGTAGAGCTTGTAGTGAGCGGAAACATGCGCGAAACTCGTGGCCTTGTCAGCCAAAGTCAACTCTCTTTGAACATCACTTCAAATTGATGCCAAAGCGGCCATTCGTAATAAGCAGATAGCTTTATTTGGAGGCGGCTTCGAGGGGGTTGTGTTGTAGGCCCCGAACAGCATGACTCCATCATCGGAATGATTTGGTCTTTGTGGCCGGCTCACCAGTCCGGGTATAGTTGTGGTAGCTCTCGGACTTGTCCCCCATCTCACGAGATGTCCATATCTGTGGCCTGAGCCTCTTGGAACTTGGAAACGACCTTCATCTCGGTGTCACGCTCTTTAACCTTCTTGTCCATAGCCTTTTGAATTTCTTCGCGCTTGCGCTGGGCAGTTTGAATTATGTCTTTCACCTCCTGGGCGGTTCGTTCCTGCGCGAGCAGTGCAGCTTCCTTCGTTGTGTACTCTTGCTCAAGCCGCCGTAACTCATCTGAATGGTCCTGAGCCTTGATGGGCTCGCATGTCACTGGGTGATAGCTGTGTGGCGGCAGTGGCCCCTCGGGGAGCTTGATCTCTGGGAGATCGGGGTGAATGGGAACGGCGCGCAATGGGGAATCCAAGGGTACGGAGGCCGAAGCTGTATCGCCTGTCGAGAATGGAGGTGTAGACTCGGCCTTCAGCATGACTGTAAGTTGAATCTATTGTGACAGTACCGTTGGGCTTCCAAGACGATGTTTCGGAAAGTGAGTGGAGGCTTGAGGATTGACAACGTGTAGGACTCGAGTCGCAGGCTGAAGACATTCTGCCAGACCTGTGTCCCTCACCGCCTAGAGGACCGGCGCATGCGGGGAGAAACTTAGCCAAACTGACAAGTGCATCACTACTTGGCATTTAATATTCATGCTTATTCGTCCTCTCGTATCCGAATTGAGACATAACCCTTGAGTCGGGCCTCATCTTGCCAACTGGCGTGTGTGATACCCAACTATCCGCCAAGCCCGGGGCCGGTGACGTTACTGCCATCATGCAAGCATTCGGTATGTCTCTTCTTTACTCTCTGAATTAGGATCATTGATTATGCTAACTACGACAGTCCCCAAGAACAGACGGGTAAGGTGCTCTCAGTAGCGCGGCGTTCTGATTAGGGGTATTGCATGCACTAACATCTTATCGCAGCCCAGATTTGAGCTTGTATTGAGGGTATGTATGATCAGCTCCTAGGAGACTATTTGGAAATGGATCTGACTATTTTAGATCATTGATATTAACAATGTTCCCCTGGGGAGTAGCACTGCATTCGTGCGATGGCGGCTACCCTCATCAAGTGCCACTGAACACCAGGGCCATACCGAGAAAGCACCCCTTTCTGATCACCGCGCCTATTGGACATATGAAAAGACCCTCCAAGTGAGGCTCACTATTGACAGAACATTAATGCTGCAGGAGTGTGAAATCAACTTTGAAGTCATCCAAGAATTCACATCGTCCCCCATTTCTGAAAAGAGTGTATTGGGCAAAATCAAGCTTAATCTTGCCGAATATGTGGACAAGGTTGAGGAAGACGAAGGGGTGATCAGACGGTATCTGATGCATGAGAGCAAAGTGAACAGCACCGTCAAAATCGGCATTGCTATGCGCCAGATAGAAGGCGATCGCAACTTTACCACGTGAGCTGAGGTCCGCGAAACCTTTGGAGGCCCCGGTTGCTGACCTCGAATAGGCCTCAGCTTAAATCAGCTACTGTCTTTGGAGGAATTGCTGGGGTGGTTCATTCTACTGAACAGCCAATCGATGATGACCTCGGCCACCTCCCATCTATCAACACTAAGACCCGAGAGATGGCAGATATGCAAGACATGTACCGGCGGACTCTGGCAGCGTCATGGTCGTCAAGGGCCTGCGATCTACCTGCCGATAAGTTGATCGAGGAACTATTCGCTGGAAGCTCTTGCTGGAACAATGACGCACACAATACGGATGTCCCCTCCACGGGAGGTCACCGAGAATCACTATTGAATACCGATGCAGCCGCAAGACAGAGTCGTACTGGGAAATACCTATCACCCAGCTTTGAGCGGCGCCCCAAGAGCTCTTCCAGTGCACATTCACAGAATAATGAGAAGGCACCCGATATCCTCGCTGGGCTAGGACATTCAAAAAAAGGAGGCAGCATCGAACAACAACTATACGATGGAGCCAAAGGTCGCGGCTGGAAGGCACCAAGTACAACTAATGAGCTCTCAGAGTTCGATGTGAGAGAGGACTTGCGCAGCTGGGAAGTAAAAGAATAAATATTACTTTCACCGGTCATGTCATGTAAGATTATGGGGTAGTTTGAAATATACCAACTACAAACTATTTTGGAGGCTACCCGTGGACCTATTGAATATTGTAAAATAGTCCTAAAAGTGAGTGTTTCGTGTCTTCCAAGGTTGTTCTGCTTGAGTCCTTGGAAGTTTATAGATAGATCTGGGCTGCGGCCTGAGGCAGCATTTGATTTCTTATCGTGGCCTAGCGCCGCGATTATCGCCGGAGAAAAGCGATTGCGGGAATATTTGTCTTTTGTACGTGCGCAATAGCATTGCTCTGCTGTCATGCTTCGACGTCCTGCCGGGAAAGGCCTAGGGTCTTTGAGGTTCCCATCCCTCGCATATCGGAGACCCAGCTTGACATACCCATGCACCGCCCTCCCCCGATACCAGAGTGACTGGAAGTCCGATAAACTCGAGCCCTTCGATAGGCAAAATTCCCAACCACGAGATAAGAGATGGCGACGAATAGCTGATGATGATGCGAAAGTCACGCTGGATGTTGACTCGCTTGGAAAACCTGGAGAAATCTTTGTCGTCTCTGGGCCTCGTCGTCCCCATCGCCGCAACGGCCGAGCCCTCAACCTCGAACCTCAACCCGAAATTCAGTCACACGATACGATTAGCTCCATCCTAGATGGCCTTGATGGCGAATCTTCGCCCCCAAGTGATACCTTGATCAACGAAAGTATCAATGCGATTCGTGGGAAGTACCCCGTGAAGGAGACGCTGCCGACTAGTGAATTCCGGGGAATGCTGTCTAAATTGAAGTCGTCCTTCTCTACGAAACAGCTATTGGATTACATATCGAAACATAAGCGAGATTCTGGCGCGCTCGAAGAGAGTCCCTGGACGTGGGTTTCTATACCCAAGAACAAACAATCCAAGCGAGTAGAGAGAAGCCCACAGGGCAAGCCTCGTCTTGCAGAAGCCATCGTGCGACATTGCTGGCAGATGGCCATTGAGGGAGAGGTTGGTCGACTAGACTTCCCCCTCTCGGCCCAGTCTATGGCTTTACTTGTCCATGCCAAGCACTTCTCATTCCACGAGCTCTCTAATCTACATGGCTGCGGTATTGATCTGACGCGATCTGCGGGTCTCGTATCGGTAACCGGCAAACAAAAAGATTGCGAAGCTGTTGTTGAAATCATTCTCGACGCAGCTGCCAGAGCCCGTGAAGAGGATGTCGGAATAAAGACTCACATCAACGATGATGGGAACCAAATATTCACCCCGGACTTTTTGGAATGGGTTAACACCACATATGGAGTTCTTGTTGAGCACCAGCCCAACGGGCCTCCGGCCAAAATCCTTTACCTCGCCGAGAATAAGATGGGCGCCGACAATGCTCGCCGAACATTGAATCTGGCGCTTTCCAACACAACCTCATCATCAACTCCTTTCTCTACCTACCTACCTGCTTCGGAACTCGCCACTGTGTATAGCTACAAACCCGAAGCACATGCCTCATGGTTTGAGCGGCAAAAATCATGGTTCCGGTGGGCTATGTCCTCTAATCAGAACGAAGAAGCGGAATCTCTCGACACTCCTTTCTTTGACAAACATCACACTCGACTTTCGGATGAGCTATTGAAACTCCTTCAAAGTTTCCCTGCCTCGAAAGTCAGCCCGGCGAATCATTTGCATGAGTCTGTCACAGCGACATTCGGAAAATCCCTATTTATGCAAAAGTCGTCCTTCGACGATGCGTCTACTATGAGTCCGGCTCAACTAGGGAAATTGTCCCTTCCAAGAGTCTTTACAAAAGATGGCCCGCCTGTGACTCAACTCATGAATGCACTTTGGCCTGATCTTCCCAGAAAGGACGCTGAAACATATCGATTGCGATTGATCCCGACATTCAATGCACATAATCTGCCTGAACTAGAGATTGAGGTAGCCATAGAATCCCAATTGGACGGTGAAGTCGCCATTGAAAGTGTCAAGGCTATTCAAAGCACCAACAGTGTCGACTATTTGCTCCCGGAGAACAGCTTGGACTTACGCTTTACACGCACAATTTCTCAAGAACTTTGGAAAGAGCCTCTTCCTGAAGCACAGGACGTGGAATATGCCCCTCGCAAGGCTCGTGTTGCACCGGATGTCGAGGAAATGCTTCAAAGCATCAAGCGGCCTCTCCAGGGTCTCTTTTCCGAGACCCTATCTTCGAGCAAAAATGCCCCGCTGCCTACGTTCTGTCAAATCTCTCTACCCGTGGAATTCGCTCAGCAATTCGGCCTCCAAGGCGACCCGAAGAACGCCAGTGGCACAAGCCCAGAGCAAAATGTCTCCGTGGAATACATGTTCCTTCCACTGAGTGACATTCGAGGAGCGATTGTTCAAAAGTACGACTTTGATGGGCGACCGCTCCACTACCAGCATTACGACAGCGGCCCATTCCTTGCCTCTCGCGCAAACGAAGTCTCACTGCTCATGCCTCTTTCGTCAAGTACTAGCACAGTCGCAGAGGCTGATGACTCCCAGGAGGCTCTCGATCAGCAATTCCATGAGTTTTACAATACTGCATGTGATATCGCATTCAAAGTCCATGCGAGCAGATATGCGGAGTAGAGGCTTGGGTCATCGTTATACAGATCTGTGCTCGTGACCAGGCGAAGAGCCTTGGAACGTGCATAAGATACTTTCATCTAGAATGAAGGCGTCAAGCGCTTTCTTTACTGTACATTATGGCAATATATACTTAATCATTCAAAACCTCCAGCTGTGACCATATATTCATCCCATTGGAAAGCTCTGCGACAACGGATACTAGTAGTAGGTATGTACCTATCACTCCATGAGCCAAGAAACTTATTGTTGGGCGATCGTTCCAAGGTTATTCTGACTAGTCTGGCATATCACCTGGGCAAAAAAAGCAAAGTTTGGAAGATTAAACTTGGAAAGACCGCAAAGAACCTTGAAAAACCCTCAATTCGACATTAGGATTTTGCATACCTGGGGCTTATAGGTGTACTCCGAACAGCGCGAAATAACAACCTTGGAATGAATGTCTAGCAGATGTCCGCTTCCCCAGTACTGCCGGTTACCTTCTCCCGCAGAAGAGGTCGCTGATTCGGCCTTCTACATCCTGCCGCAGATTAGCAGGCCAGTGTCCCCTTAGCTGATGTGGTGGAACTCGTGGAACCAAACTCCCTGAAAACATCAACACCCCAACCTGCGTATACTGCCAGAGTTTGTCAAAGCGCATCTGACCCACGGAGTCTCGCTCGCCGACGACAAACGCCTCCATATGCGATCGTATATTTGGTGGACGTTTAAAAGGAAACAGATCGCCAAGGACAAAATGTACGGATTGAAGTCTCAAGGACGCCCTGTCAAAAGATTCGATGAGGGCCCGACAAATGTTTTCGCTGAGGTTGGGAAAAGGCCAGGGCCGAGAATCACAGCGGGAAAGGTTTGGTAAGTTGAGTTCTAAATGTCGAAGACGAGTGTGTTGGACAATGTTGGCGAGGATATCATATGGCTATAGTGATATTAGCAACCACGAAGCCTCATATAATTAGAACAATGGCGTGGATACTCACTAGCTCGTATTCAGCTGTCCAGTCCAGGTTAATGCCGAGGGATAGAAGGTTGGGAAATTGAATAGCCAGGTCGATTATATCTAGAATGCTCGCGGCAGAGTGGCATTGGATTTCTGAACCTGTTGCCATTCCAAGATCGGAGCCTAGTGTAGTATACCGAAACCGAAGGTGATGAAGGGCTCCGGCGTGATATTTCGCCAGCACCCCCAGACTAGTTTGTGCAAACCCATACCCGATGAACATCTTCAAGCGTGGGAGCTCCTTCAGAAAAGCGTGGAATTGCCCAACTTGTCGGGTATATGTAGAACGATCTCTTTTGTGCGGAGAATGTAGGCTAGGGATGCTCATTTCCAGAGTTTCAAGCGCATGGAAGCAACCGGGAATAGTGATTTTGGGTAACAAGTGAGCCCAATCGACGCAGATCAAGGCTAGATGTTTGAGAGCTTGCCACTGTAGCCGTGCGGCCCATAGGGCGCTCTGATGCGGCTCAAATCTTATACTTTCGAAGTGGATGTTCTTGACTTGAGGAAGGACATTCTCTTTCTTCGCAGAAATTAGATCCCCCTGGTCTTTAGCTTGAACTTCGCTCCATTCATAGGGACCACCGCCAGAGATAACCGGTCTCCAATTCTGCGTGTTGACTAACGTAAGATTTTCGAGGCGTTCACTTCGATGGACAGCCGCTCTCAGTTTATCTGGATAGCCTCCAGCTGATCTTCGCCGGGTCAGTCCGTTATACTCTCCGATATCCCATTCTGCTTCGATTGAACGGATGCAAGAGAACTGAGGCGCCGATGAATATGTCTTGCTGGCTTCATTATAGAGCTTGAACTTTGAGCTGGCCATGTGGACGCTTGCCTGGGGGCGGTTTTTGTAAAAATGGCACAAAATCTCCTCTGGCATGTATATTTCATGCCACCAGCTAAAGGACATCAGTATTGTACCAAATTAAAGAAGAAGGTAACATACTGAAAGTTCTGAAGATTCGTTGCTGCCTTGAATAGGTATGATAGGCATTCCACAAACTTGTTGCAGAAGCCAAACTGGTCAGATACACCACGAGAACGCACCACGACGATGTTTTTGACATATAAGCAGAAGTGAATAGGGTGGATAAACCTCCCGCATGAAAGTGTTTTAGATGATAAATCCAACTCAGGCTCAAGATAGAGAGTCTCGAAGAGTATCGGAGCGGCGATTTGGTATATCAGGGAGCTGCAAAGCACGGCAGACTTTAGAGAGGAGCAGTCCAGCTGAATTTCCCCGGTGTGATGTTAGCTTGGCAATCTTTGCGATTTATTTTGATTTTCCAGGACGTACCATCCTTATAATGTGATGCCAGATCTCTGGAGGTAGTCCCCCGAGCAGTGGCCCCCGGGGCCTGGGCAGCGGTTGGTAAGGAAGATCCATTCTGTCTATCATCACCATAAGCTTCGATGATAGCGAGAGAGTAACGCGCTAGGAAGGATATTCCAGTGGCGTTCATTGGTGGTTGGGGAGGGAATAGTTGGTCTGTCATGGTTTCCCCATGAATCTCGCCAAAAGCCCTGGAGCCTGCCCACCTGGGCACAGGGCAACCCTTCCAAGGTTGAGAAGTAAAGACGGTGAGTCACCAGAGTATAACCCCTGGGGAATCCATGGAAGGAGCTGCCTGGCTAACCTCAGAACCTGTTAAGGTTGCAACCTTCCTCAAATTCATGCTCCATGGTTCAAGATGATCGCACAGTATTTAGGATCATTGCCCAAGTCTATGTCATAAACACCAGGCCACTCATGGGAGACTTTTTAGAATGATCATCAATTCTCATAGTCAGTTATCCCGGAAATTGCTAGAAGATGTCTCCTGTCATGTTTCTCTGGCTTTCAAGCCTCGTGGAACTCTCCCAAAATTCTCTTTTCTCTTACATTTCATCCCGCTCATCCCGATAACCCATTCACTTCCACCAGTTGATAACAATCGTAAGGATACAATTGAATCAACGAGCTGTTAAGCAAAATGCTTTTGATGTTGTAGATCTGGGTGCCGAATGAGCTTTGCCATTTCAGGGCATTTACTCCGCCAAGACTTGGATCCACGCATGATGATTGGACAGAGGTAGGAGCTACCCACCAGAATCCACTGCACTCCTACATCCGCCACCATCTTTTATCAACTCTTTTGCCCTTTCAGTTTTGCCTGACATGCGGACGAAGGACCAGGCTGTCTGTCAGACATGCAGGACCCGCAAGCTTGGGGTATGTCTTCTATCATCTTCGGTCAGACTCTGGTGCTAAGTGAGCTTAGTGTGACGGCAAACGACCCTGCTGTACCCAGTGTACCTTGAGAGGTCGAATCTGCGATTGGAATACTCCTGCGTGGACGTTTGTGGCCCCGAAACATTCTACTTCTATGAACTTGTATGGGCCACGTTATAGCCATGAATCCCCCAGTGACTCACGCAAGTCTATCGTCGAATCAATAACCAGAGCATATATTCCGCAGGAGGAATTATCTCATATATACCCAGCCTCAGGGGATGCTGCCAGAATATGCGGCGCATGGGTAGGTGTCCTGTCAACACTTGCTGATGGTACCTCCACGCGATATGACAGTGTTCTATCTCCAGCAGTCAGAGCTCTGAGTTCCTGCATAATGTCCAAACCGTATGCACAGAGTGTGCAAGACTACTCTCATGCTGTTGATGCTCTTCGTTCAGATGCCCAGGAGCTCAAATTTCTGGATGCTGAATTTGCTGCAGCAATCATGTGCCTGTTCCTAGCCGAGGTATGGCCTTTGACCAGTATTCCAGTCCGCCAAGCTAAGATTTTGCAGATCATGCTTCCTGATTCCCGCTTTGGTCTTGCCATGCATATCAACGGTGTTGCCCAGCTTTTCCAAGCTAGCGGCCCAAGCCTGTTCAAGTCGGGGGCTTTACAGAGCTTATTCGTGGGCTTCAGGCCTCTTTTGGTGGGTGCCCTCTGGAAATAAAACTAGCCAAGGTTTGACAAGTTTCAGATCATTGAAAGTGTCCAATCAAGGAAATCCTCCTTCATTGCATCGAAAGACTGGATTGACGTACCGTTCTCGACCTCCCCACCGTCCCTCATGCAACAGTTGATAAATGTGTCCCTCGTTTTACCATCACTTCTTGAACGCGTTGATCAGCTTTCTGACACACCGTCTGAGCTACGGGCTGCCGAAACAGCGGACCTACAGCAATCCCTCATTTCTTTATTCTCACGACTCCAAACCTGGGAGGAGTCGCTCCATGGGCAGTCAATGTGGAGTCAACCATTGGACTCAAATCCCAGACCCTTGCCCTTTGGGGCTGATATCTGGTTCACCAGTATCAGCATGGCAAACTTTTATATGCATATTTGGGCATTTCAAATCATTTGCTTGCTTGAACTTCGTCGTTTGCCAGACTTGCCAACTTTCGGGTCGCGGACTTTGCCAAAAAGCCCCAGTACCATACAGGTATCCTCTCGAAAGATATGCCTAAGCATGAACTATCTCTTACAGGACGACATGAAGCTTTTTGGACCGGGCTCAGCGATGCTTCCTTTGCAGACAGCCTACAAGGTGTTCAACGAGGACAGGTGCAAGTACAAGAGCGAGCTCAGATATCTCGAGAGGATTGTGGAGTGTTTAATCAAGAGAGGACTCCGATCCACGCCTGACTTTATTTATATTTAAACCGACCCAGATCATAAAACCCGAGACTGCACCAAACTTGGAGCCTTGGAGCCTGGCTTGCATCGGTCATTTGGCATAGTACATTCCATGTCCTCTCAAATGACCTTCATACGACCCACGAAAATCAACACTGTAGATTTTACTAGCACATATATTCATTTTCTTGCAGTCAAGTTTCAAATTAGGTATCGGCATACCATTTGTTTTAGAATACTCGTCCGGTGTATACCTAGGGATATCACCGAGGCCGAAAGTGCCGTCTGTCCAAGATCATATAGTTCCAAGGAGGCCGCGGTGAGGCCCCCACTCGTCACAGGCCCGTGACGTGTAACACCTCAAACCCTCCAACTCCGCGCTCCCCACGTTTCCTACTTTCAGATGGAATCGGCGCCTTGATTTAACGCTTTCATTCTGTCCCAGCTCCCTGACATCGCAACCTCCATTGTATCCCTCCGATTTCCACCAGTCTCCCACACTCAGCATGAAGATCACGCGCCAGTGATTTACAACGGAATGGAGAAAACACGAGTTGCTAAGGTTTGACCGGACAGTCTGAACCTGCATGCACATCTCACTCACTATGTTCTACCAGGTTGACAATGTGACCTTGACTCGCCGCGGTGAGCAGGTCGATGGTACTCTCCATCTCACCCCTCACCACCTCATATTTTCGCATACCCCCACGATCTCTCCCGAGGACCAGATCAAGGGCGTGACGACCAGACCGAGAGAGCTTTGGATCACGTACCCCATCATAGCCTTTTGTACGTTGCGACCGGCTCCCGCGATCTCCCGCCAGCTTTCCTCCATCCGCCTACGATGTCGAGACTTCACATTTGTCTGCTTCTACTTTGTAAATGAACACAAAGCCCGCGAAGTATTCGAAAGCATTAAACAGTGGACATGCAAATCGAGCCGCATTGATAAGCTGTACGCTTTTAGCTACCAGCCGCCCCCTCCCGAGAAGGAGTTCAATGGGTGGGATCTGTATGATGCGCGCAAGGAATGGGCGCGCCAGGGTGTCGTCAAGGATGATCAGTGGCGCTTATCAGAGATAAACATGAATTATGAGGTTTGTACAGGCGAGTGGTTGGGTGTGCTCCGCTAATCTCTCGCAGTTCTCTCCAACCTACCCTGCTATTATACCCGTGCCTTCTTCCATCTCCGACAATACACTCAATTACGCAGGGCGGTATCGATCTCGCGCAAGAATACCTACCTTGACGTACTTCCACCCCGTCAATAATTGCACCATCACCCGAAGTTCGCAGCCGCTGGTCGGTGTTCGTCAGAACCGAAGCATCCAAGATGAAAAGCTTATGTCTGCTATCTTCTTGACATCTCGCTCTGAGCGGCCCTTGGCTGCCTTTTCGCAGTATCCAGAAAAGGAAGCAGGCTCAAGCCGTGGAAGTCCAGAAACAAGTCAGGTGATGGTCCCAGAGTTGAACGCCGAGGAACTAGAGGATGACCTGATGGCCGCCGCCAGTGGGGACCCCGAAGAGAATCGCTCGGTTTATGGTGCCCAGCAATCAAATTTGATCGTAGATGCTCGACCTACCGTCAATGCATTTGCCATGCAAGCGGTTGGGCTTGGTTCTGAGAATATGGACAACTACAAGTTCGCTACCAAGGCCTATCTTGGTATTGATAACATCCACGTCATGCGAGATTCGCTGAACAAAGTGATTGATGCCCTCAAAGATTCAGATGTGACTCCACTTGGACCTAACCGTGACCAGCTCGCGCGCAGTGGCTGGCTGAAGCACATTGGCGGGATTTTGGAGGGGGCCCGGTTGATTACTAGGCAGGTCGGCCTTACTCATTCCCATGTTCTTATCCATTGCTCTGATGGTTGGGACCGCACGAGTCAGCTCAGTGCACTGAGCCAAATATGCCTGGACCCATACTTCCGAACGCTGGAAGGCTTCATGGTTCTCGTGGAGAAAGACTGGCTTTCGTTTGGACACATGTTCCGCCATCGCTCCGGTCATCTGAACAGCGAGAAGTGGTTCCAAATCGAGAACGAGCGCATCGGCGGTGACCCCAACCGCGCCTTTGGTGATGGCGGCGGTGCAGGAAAGGCCCTCGAAAATGCATTCCTCAGCGCCAAAGGATTCTTCAACCGGGATAACAACAGCAAGGACTCTTTGCCGGATTCCGATGGCGAGCTTCAAAATTACGAGTCTGACACGCCGAAGAAGCCCAGTGTACCTCGCTCTGGTCCTGAAAAAGAGGTCACCAAACCGAAAGAGACAAGTCCTGTGTTCCATCAGTTCTTAGACGCCACCTACCAGCTGCTCCATCAACACCCAACCCGCTTTGAGTTCAACGAGCGTTTCCTACGTCGTCTTTTATACCACCTTTACTCGTGTCAATTTGGCACGTTCTTGTTTAACAGCGAGAAAGAGCGAGTCGATTGCAGGGCTCGGGATCGCACCCGGAGTGTTTGGGACTATTTCCTTGCTCGTCGGGAGCAATTCACCAACCCTTTGTATGATCCTGTCATTGATGACCATCAGAGGGGGAAGGAACGACTTATATTCCCCCGGGTGAGCGAAACGCGATGGTGGAATGAGGTATTCGGCCGAACAGACGCCGAGATGAACGGGGTCGTGAACGGACCCCGTTCCCCTGCGACACCTCCTACTCAAAGCGAGAATCACACAGAAAGATCATCGGTCTTAACGGGGATAGAGACACCGACCCAGTCCAATGATGCTCCAGGCACATTCGTGCCTGATGTTGCGTCTGCAGGAATGGCTGCGGTGACGTCGGGAGTTTCTAAGCTTGCATTCGCACCAGAACGGGACACGAAGTCGAAGGAGGTGGAGGTTGAGATGCAATAAAGATGCTTCATATGAAGCAGTGATGAATTTGGAGCATTTACGATTCCTACATGTATGGCGTATTTCTGTGGTTGAATATCTATCATTGGATTCGGCCTTTCATTATCCACCTGCACTCTTCCAATATGACGTCGGTTACGGAAGTTCGTAGATAAAAACATTGGTGCCTTGGTGCCTGAAATAGTGCCCAGACTCTCCGCCTCAGGGCCGAATTGGGGTCCGTCTAGGCTCACGTGACGCTGTCTTTAGGGCTACGTAGCCCTATTCCCCACCAAAGAATTTGAAGTGTGTTCGAATTGAGTACCGATTGAAGCAACTTTCGACCTACGACTCCCCTCCCCCGACAACCCCCCTTCCACCACCAAAGGAACGTCAAAATGGCCGCAGTTCAAGGTGCTATCTCCAAGCGCAGAAAGTTCGTCGCCGACGGTGTCTTCTATGCCGAGCTGAACGAGTTCTTCCAGCGCGAGCTGGCCGAGGAGGGCTACTCCGGTGTTGAGGTCCGCGTGACTCCCACCGTCACCGACATCAGTACGTCGCAAGTCCCGATACAAACCCTTTCATATCCGTCTGATTGCTTGGTGAAAAACTTTGGGCTGGAACGAAGAGATTTGGACAAGGGCTCATCACGAAATCGACGGATATGGATTGGAAGTGAATGTTGGGATTGAATGCTAACGGGTGATTCCTTTCAGTTGTCCGTGCCACCCACACCCAGGAGGTTCTCGGTGAGCAGGGTCGCCGCATTCGCGAGCTCACCTCCCTCATCCAGAAGCGTTTCAAGTTCCCCGAGAACTCCGTTTCCCTCTACGCCGCCAAGGTCCAGAACCGCGGTCTCTCCGCTGTCGCTCAGTGCGAGTCCCTCCGCTACAAGCTCCTGAACGGTCTTGCCGTTCGTCGTGCCTGTTACGGTGTCCTCCGTTTCATCATGGAGTCCGGTGCTAAGGGTTGCGAGGTTGTTGTGTCCGGAAAGCTCCGTGCCGCCCGTGCCAAGTCCATGAAGTTCACTGTATGTCCAGGATCCGCCGCCAACACGATCTTTCAGATCTCGCATGAACACAGCTAACAATTGACAGGACGGTTTCATGATCCACTCCGGTCAGCCCGCCAAGGAGTTCATCGACTCCGCCACCCGTCACGTTCTCCTCCGCCAGGGTGTTCTCGGAATCAAGGTCAAGATCATGCGTGGCTCTGACCCCGAGGGCAAGGCCGGCCCCCAGAAGACTCTCCCCGACTCCGTTACCATCATCGAGCCCAAGGAGGAGCAGCCCGTTCTCCAGCCCGTTTCCCAGGACTACGGTGCCAAGGCCATCGCTGCCCAGCAGGCTGCTGAGCAGCAGCGTCTTGCTGAGCAGCAGGCCGCTGAGGCTGAGGGTCCCGCTGAGACTTTTGCTCAGGAGTAAATTTGTCCTTTACTACATTCCTAACCTATCCTGATACTCTACCTCACGCAATCAAAATTACATGAATGACCTTCAAGACCTTGATATTAAACTGTATTCACAAGCCAGAATGGTTTCTTTTCCAATTTGTTGGCTCTTACGACACATTAACTCGTCTGGTACTGCCTGGTGCGAATTGCCCAGGTGCTACCTTGTCCAAAGCTCAACATGAACCGCTCGATTGTTATCGAAGCCTGTCTTCCGTGGTTTAATGACAACATGTGTAGGTTCCCATCCAAATGATCCACATTGAGTAAACTGAGAGGCCATCTCGAAGATAGCCAAGCCATGCCTTGAGAGTGGATGAAAAGAATTCAATGAGCAGGCTTTCGTTAATGACACTCAGCGGGCGTGTTAAGACAGCCCCAGTATCGTCCAGATATCTAGATCGAATCTGAGCCAATCATTTCCAAGGTTGATTTTGGTCATCTAGATTTACCTGGCAGTGTTAGGCTCTCAGCAATTGTAGTGACCTAAGTCAGGAATAGCACCAGTTGACCTAGCAGGTCAGCCCGAGGAACTAAGAGTCAACCCCGGTGCTTTTAGTTCTCAAAGGGTTCCAATTTGACATTGCTCAAACTCTAGGCATTCTGTACAAAGCCAGTCCGACAGCTCCAGATGTGGTCAGGATACGAGGCAAATTTGACGTTGGAAGCTAGAGGTCCACGGACTCAAGCTCGCGCGAAAAGACAATGCAGTCGTCGATATATTCCAAAAACCAAATATCCACTATCATTAATATTTTCAAACATGTATCGAGAAATGCAATATGCAAATGCAAAAGACGTTGTACATCTCCCAAAGGCAAAAAGTGAAAAAAAGAATTCTCCAAGGAGATCACAAAAATATGAGAGAAATGAAATGACAAAAGCAATATCCAAGCCTCACATCCTCCCCAACCTCTTAAACAGCAGTTCCGGATCCCGGAAGACCTCTGCCTGCAACCGCCTCAGCTCCTCGAGCCTGGTCACCGGATTCTGTAGACCGCCACAATAAGTACGTTGCGCTAAGCAGGGAAGAAAACGCATCAACCGTGACACCCACCCAGTCTTCCTGGTCAGGGACCCCCTCTGCAGAAGGCAGAGAGGTACTATCTTCACCCAGGGTGCGGTGAATTGGCGCCGGCGTAACAGGTAGACTGGGGCGCTCGATCTCAGTCGGGAAGTCTGTTACTTTCGACGGCGATTTGCCAGGGCTGGAATGCGAGGAGCTGGATGGGGGTGCGGGCTTGCGGCGCGCTTGTTGTCGCTCGATGAAGCGCTGGATCTCGGGATCTTCGTCCCATGCGTTTGAGCGATCGTAGGTGTTGTATGTTGCGCTGGGTTCGTAGGGGACACGAGTGTACAAGGGTCCTGGGGTGGGTGCATCGTTGCGGAAGAGTCTCTGGGGCTCGGAGGAGAGCTCTCTCACGGGCTCAGAAGGAGGGTCGTGGAAATGTTCCTGGTATTCCTGGTGTTTCTGGTGTTCCTGATGCTGCTGGTGCTCCTGATGATTATGGTTCTCTTCGTGCTCCTCGTGGGCGGGTGGCTGGAAGGGCTTGTTACAGATAGATTGTTCGGCGAAGACACGGGTTGGTTTGGGGGCATGATGCTCCCAGGGGAAAACAGTAGTATGCGTTTGAGGCTCTGGTTTTGTGGTGGGAACTTGGTAGTACATGTTTTTCGGTGCCTCTGGATAGGACGATGGAGGCTGGAATAGTTGGGTGTCTTCGGACATGAAGTAGGTCTTTTCTTGAAGACTGAGTCCTTCAGGTTTTGTGTTGGCTGGTGGTGGCTCCCTGTAGATCGTAAGTACTGAGTCGAGCTATCGGAGCCGGGACATACCTTGCAGGGTTCCATTCGGATTGAGGTGCTTCGAATATCTCGGGTGATGGGGAGCGAGGTGGTTGGAAGGACTCGACAACCGAGGCAATCGGTGCCACTGGCTGTGGCTGGTGAATGTGACCACATTCGGACTGTTGATGATGCTCTTGTTCATGGCCGCCCTCATTGGGCGGCTCATGGTGCGCATGCGAGGTCTGGTATGTTTCGTGGCTCAGTGGGGGCGCAAAGGTGATTGGCGCTGTGCGAGGCAACGGCGGAACAAACGTCGACACATGTTCCTCTCCACGAACATACTGCGGGACCATACTGAGAGTAGGAGCCGGGGCCGGGTTATGGTGCGTGATGGGGGTGTGGTGGGACGGCTCAACGTGGTGCTGGTGCGGTGATTCTTCATGGATGGGCTCGAATGAAGGCGCAACCTGATGCAAATCCTCATGATAAGAGCTTCCAAGCCCTTCATCCTCTTGTGGAACAACGTGATACGGCTGTGGCCATGTCTCAGATGTCGCCGGTTGTTCGTAGTGGCCTTCGTGGAATGCTGCGACGTCATGAGATCCTTGTGGCTCGCTCGGCGATACCTACAGAAATCAGTAAGAATCCTTGAGATCATAGATCTCGACTTACGAAGGGCAAACGATAATGCTGGTCATATATGGCCCACCACCGACCAAGCAGCTGGTTGTACGGGGACTCCAGCGGTACAATCTGCCTTGGCATATTCCATGGCTTCTGTGAGCCAATGAAATGGATCAGACTGATGGTACTCTGAAAGTGTTTGTACGCAGGGATGTACTGGTAATTGGCACTTGGGGTGCAATTATACGTGAAGCTTAGCCTATGCCAGTCCTGGAAATGCATGTTCAGCAATCCCTGGTCGGCGCCATCAAAGCTAATGCCTCGCTGAGCGAGAGCCCGGAGCGCATAATAGTCCTGCAGGTTAGGTCGGAGGACCATCAGTCCACTATTAAAGCAATCCGGCCAGCCCACGTCGGGCGCGGCAGCAAAGTCCGCCTCCAACGATAACAACTCGTCGGGGGCTCGCAGAGCTACCACGTCGCAATCAATGTACACCACCCGCTGGTATTGTGTCAGACGCCAAAGTTCAATTTTGGTGAATGTGGCAATCAGGTCCGGGCGGTCCATCAGCCAGAGATTGGCCGGCGTGTCGTTCACCATGGAGCTCACTGGAATGAGCTCATCATAGACCGTCTGCCGGCATTGTTAGACCAAATTGTATTCCCCGGGCGGAGGTCTCATACCCTCAATTCATCAATTGTGGCTGATTGTAGTCTGTCGGGTGTGAACAGGGCCACCAGCTTTGCTTTTGTGCCATTGTCGCGGAGGGAATGGGCAAGGACCATAGCACCTAAACCGTCAGCAATTGTCATTCAACAAACCTCGGGTGACTCACCTGGCAGATAATGATCACTCAACAGGAGCTTCCTCACTGTTAGCGCTTTGCCATTGCGAAAAGAGGGGGAGAACCCACCGTGCAATAGACTGCATCCCCATGGGGATCCATGGTGCCAGACAACACGCGAGCCATGAAAGAGAAGCGTCACCCAGGCGATTCACAAAACAGCGAGAATGAAGAAACCAGGTTAAATTTAACCTGTCAATTGAAGAATGACAGTTCGGGCCGGGAGGGACCAATACACTGTGGTACCTGAACCGGACACGGGTGGGACGAAAACAGCCCTTCACTGCATAATCGTGCGCGATGCCCTCCCACTATTAAATAAAACAGGCAGGGGGAAAGAGTCCGAGTCAGAGTGCCGAGAGGCAAAAGGGCAGCGCGTAAGAAAAGACTAGAAGGACTAACGCCCCCCAAGGGCAAGTGGAGGTTCCCCCTCACCGGGTAAATCGTCGACGATCACCTCCGCTTTTCCCTAGCGGAAAAGCAGCTTAGTTTACGGGATTTCAATGGCTATTGGAACAAGCTGCTCTACTCGAAAAACAACTTGGAATGGAGAAAATCAACTTCTCAATTCTCGTGGAATTTACATGAAACCCATTGACCTCCTGCACCCTAACCACATACAGTTAAACCCCCCACGCCTGTACTCGGACGCGCATATAATACGAGGCACGTAAAACGGGCTACGACTAGCTGCATTATTTCGAAAACGTCACCTGCACACCGGGATATGAGGTCTGGAGAGCATCCCCGATATCCCCCTTCTCCCCCTGCACCGTCCACTCCACGGCCTTGAGAAGAGCAGCCCGACTCTCCGTCTCAACCGGAGTCCAGTGGCCCGTTCGAGGCAACAGGACGATCTGCGATCCCTGCACCAGGAAATCACTCATGCCGTCGAGACAGATTCTGCGATCGAGTGCGAGATCATTCTGGCCCCAGAACACGGTCGTGCTGGCCTTCAGAGCTCCTGGGGGTCCTTCATTGAAGAGACCCGCGCCACTGCTGGCGCGCCCAGCGCCGGGGGTGATACTGTGCAGACTGGCGACGGTTTGGGCGGACTTATTCCAGGGCGAAGTCGACGCCCGGTGGCGGTAATAGTTCGCCATGTGGATGATGTGCGCGAATGCGCGCTCGTCCTGCAAAGTGATAGGGTAAGAGTCACCACTGGCAGTCTTGGTCTTGGCTTCAGCAACTGATGGCCCCATGCTGCTCGCCATGCACTCAGAGATATCGTGGGCATTGTGCTCGGCCTTGCCACGAGATCTGATATGAATGGACCTCAAGAGTGAGAGGTTGCCTGCGGTCAGGAAGTGGTGGACGAGGGGAATGGGAAGCTGCATGGCAAAAATGTATCCCGAGAGGAAGATTTGGCGGAACAGTGGGGAGATAGTCCGTACTGCTTGCGTGAGGGGAACGCGAGCTTGAAGAGGGTTGCGCCAGGCGTTGCTGAGCATCTTCTTGGATGAGAACAGTATGCGGCGGACATTCGACTCCACCAATTTAACCTACACTATTAGCTTGGGTCAACTCCGAAGGAAGATGTCATGCATACCGAGGGTCCGTTGGACAAGATGAATCGATGGGCCAACGATGGAGCTTCAGCGGCAAGGCGCATCGACAAGACGCAGCCCCAGTCATGGGCGACAATCACGGTCTTCTTCTTGTTGCTCTCGGCATCCGTGTCCACACCATATTGCGTCCGAAGGGTGACGATAAGCTCAGTAAGCTTCTCCAGCACATTGGTTGCGGTATATTTCTCCAGGCTGTCGGTTCCTCCATATCCTGGCATGTCAATCGCGACGATCGATACAGCTTGCTGCAAAGCAGGGTTCTTGATAATGTGTCGCCATATAGCCCAACTATCGGGGAATCCGTGAATGAATATAACCAGTGGCTTGTCTGATGCAATAGTTTGCGCAGTATTGGGGGTATCGTTGCTCAGGAAATGAAACTTGAACCCGCTCTGCAAAGTCAAGAGGTGGTGGGAGAGGCCTTCGTAGTCCTTGGAGAGATTCCACAAGCGATCACGAGCTGCTCCGTTAGTGAGTTGTCACTCAAGCTAGACTGTGTAATTCTCACCGAGCTGTAACTCCAATTTTTCTTTCTCGGTGGGGCGTTTGAAATAGGTCCCCTTCGATATGGCGCTCAGTGCATAGAGGGCGATTGTGAATAGGCCGTAGGCAAACACAATGACCCCGGTCAACGTTCGAGATAGAGATTTGCCCATGATCAAGTTGCGGTCATACGGACCAGGTCAACAGAACAGTGTGAAACGAGGTTAAAAAGAAAGAACTCCACGCCGTACGATTGCTACAACAATCTAGCCGAGGTTGCGTCACCGGTTAGTCAGGTGAATGGATCCAGCAGGACTTTGCTGGAGGTGCGTAATTCTTATAATCCATGTTAAGAGCTGTAATAGTCAGGTTGCATATTTAAAGGTCTTACATTTCTCTTTCTTAGAGTTCGGACGACTAGTACGTGCAGGTGTCGGGTATGTGCAGAACATGTGAAACCGACTATCATTTCCAAATTAAGTAGGGCACTGGTGTCTCAGTGCAACGGATATAATTAGCTCCATGGCGTATTGTACAGTTTCTAGACTGTCTTTCTTCATGTGCATCCAACCATCTAGTCGGGGCAAGGTCGAAAATTGGAGGGTATTAACAGACAGATGCAAAACAACAAAAAAACAAAAAAGGGCCATGATCTCGTCGAAGAATATACAGGTCAAAGGGTGAATCCAAGTTGATCACGGTTATCGTCGACCAAACGACCATACCTGTACAAGTCAGTATGAGCCCCCTCTCTGCTGGCAAAGGAAAAGACTTACTCCAGGAGCAATCGGAAGAACCAAACCTCCAAATCTTCATTACGGAGTGTCTTCTGGGCCCAGCTTTGGCCCTGACTGGCGATTTGGCGAGCGGAGTCCGAGCCATCGTCGGAGGTAAAGTATCGCATGCTCTCGAGATACTCATTGCCCTTCAAGCTGAGAGGCACATAGTGCACCCAGGGCTTCAACCATTCGTCATGCCACTCGCGGAATATAGCGATCTTGTAGACGAAACTGTTGCTATGCAGGAAAGCGTGGAACCGGCCACTGAAGGCATTACCGTCAATATCGACCAGGTACTTATGTGCCCACGCATCCTGCTGCCCGGTCTGCTTGAAGACTCCAAAATACTCGGTCTGCGCATTACAGTCATCCGGATCACACTGTCCAATCAGTGTGAACTTGACATCAAACATGTCTTTGTAGTTAGCTCGCATGACATCTTGCGAGACCCAAGAATTCTCCTGGTGGCTTAGAATCTTGCTCGTGCCAAGAGCATTGACGTTGTCAACAAACTGCTGTCGGTGCTGTCTGCGCCAGCCCCCTGCGCGCGAGAATCCGCCCGTGGTCGACCCACGCCAGTACATCCGGTTTGTCTTCGCGTCCCACTCGTAGTCCTTCTTCTTATCGTAAGGTACTTTGTCGGCCCAGTACCAGGGACTCGGGTAGATGATGTCCTGGAAGCTGGAGATCTTGCTTTGCGAGAAGATGGGGAACAGGTCGTGAACAACATCGAACGCATTGGGCCGGTCGAAGAATCCGTAAGTGTAGCGGAGGGAGGGGGTGTGGCAGATGTCGGAGGCCGCCGTGGTGTTGTAGATGAAACCGAGCTCACCGTAAGCATAAGGATCAACGTCATCCGGCACGTCATCATCGAGGGAGCGCGCAGGGCTGTCAACGGGGCAGGAAATTCGGGAGTTTGTCCACGTCGGCTGGTGCGCGAACCTGTTAAAGCGAGTGGTGCGCACTTCGTCAATGCGATCGCCCTTGTTAACATCCGACGCACGAGCAGACCAAGCATTAGTCGGCGTTCTCTTGAACGCGGCAGGGATCACTTGGTCCCGGGCGGTCTGCACCAATCGCTGCAGGTCCGCACTAGGGAGAATCACACGAGGTTCATCGTGGGTATTGAAGACCAAGTCCATGTCCGGCAGGTACTTCACGAAGGCGTCCATCATTCCAGCAGTGGCATCTCGCTGCCACTTACGATCATCGCCTCCGCCGTCCGTTAAGGACACCTTGCCATCGCGGATCAAAACACCCAAAACCGCATTGTCAAAACCAAGGGTCTCACGTGCCCTCTCGCGAATCGTTTTCGGCTTGAGGCCCCAAAATGGTATCAAGGAATGATAGATGGAATCGAACTCGTCGATAAGCTGTACGTTTCTGGACTGTGCAAATTCGAACCACTTGTCGAAGTGTGGCGGCGGGTGCATGTTGTAGCGGCGCTTGTACTCCTCCACGGCCTGAGCCAGAGTCTTGGACTGCCGCGACTGCGCATGGTCAAAGGTCTGCTGGGCATTTCCGATCAGACGCGAAATCGGGTGTTCCTTCTCGGGGAGGTAGGTGTTCTGCCCCGCATGGAGTTGAGGGTGTTCGATCGGTTCGGGAGGAGGCAAGTCTATAGGCTTTTGGGGCGTACTTGGGGACCGCAGGAGTAGAAGAGAGAAAATGGCAAGCACACCAATGGCAAGTAATACAATCAACCGTTGGATTCGCATACTGCCATTGGACAGGGGCATGAAGGCTGGAGAGAGTCTCAGGGAGGGTTCTCCATCAATCTAGAGTCGAAACAATTGCCAAGACTTCTAACGTAATCGCGTACAATGCTCTTGTTTAGAAATCTTTCCAAGTGAAGAGTTGAGAGGACGTATATGTTGGATGCAAGCCCCTGTGCTCACTCGGGCCAATGATTTTGTGTCCACTCCAATGTGGCGTTTGTCGCGACCATCGGCATGTCGGTGCGAAGTACGGAGCTCTCCGTACGGAGTACACGTCGCCCATCTGCAGATAAAGGGACCACTTTTCAGATCTGAGATCAAACGCTCAGGGTCTGGGCGGAGATAAAATCTAAGCTTTTGTGGAGAGTAATATATCCCCATTCAACATAGGCAACAGCCATCTTAAAATATACATGGAGCCAACGTGGATACGAGATGTTCTACCCGAGACCTCGGGACTATTTAATTCCAATTTACTAGGTACCTAGTAACATTGGAATAACCTTGAAAGAACCCTGGAACTCAGGCTTCGACATATCGCAATATAACCCAAGAACAAACCCCATTCAGTATCGAGGCCCCCAAGGTCTGTATGATATACCTTTGCGCTTGCTTGACATGTGTGTAAGCTGCAACGCCCAACAAGATCACCAAAGACACATGGCCGAAGTAGAACATGCGGCGGCGCTCTTGTAATGGGCCCTGCATCAACCAGGACTGCAGTCCACTCTGTGCAGCACCCCGAGGCCGTGCGAAGAGGAAGAGAAGCACGACCGCGAGAAGGGCAACAATACCGCATTGGACATCTAAGTCTTGTACTCGCTTAGCGAGCAAAGTGCCAAACTCCGGATGACTAGACTGCACAAAGAAGAGCATGTAAAGCGAAGCGTGGGCTAGTAAGAGAGGCGAGATGACTATCCGGCCGAATAGACGGTGATACGGTGTCAAGGTTGACTGAGAGATGCCTGTTACGACGGAGAGAACAGAGGAGGTTGCTGGTTTCGATGAGATGTATGCCATGGGAGACATCAACACCTGCAGTGGTAGTTGAGACAGGCCAACCTGTCCTACAGCTTTTGTCAAATGGAGATAGTCTGCCGTACCAATTAGCCGAGGCACTCGTGGTTGACATGAAGCAGGACGGCCATTTACATACCCTCACCACTATTCCAGACTGACAGAGCGACCAGCCACGAAAGCCAAAGCCCGCAGATCAGATACTGTCGTCGCGTTTCGGCCCATCCGGAAACAAGCGGTCGATCCCAACTACTTGACGATCGCTTTGGTTGATTGCCTGAGCTGAATGTAGAGGAAGTTTTTATAGTCTTGACGATCAAGATAGCGAAGATGATGGACCATTGCGCATACTGACCCCGGAGATCGAGTAAAGCCCGGCGATGCGATTTGTCCTCTTCAGACAGCGAAACAAACTGATATGGCCACGGGGATGACATGACTTGAGGGCCACAGCAACGTCAAGGACACCGGGAATGCTCTTCGAATTGAAATTGCGCGTTGTCGGCTAGGTCGCGAGACCAGTTGACGGACTAGAACAATGAGCTCCGCAGGGAGAATCAGTAAGGATCAGTTGGTCGATTGATTGATCCCCTATAGACACTAATAGGGCGGAATTGCAAATGTTTTGACGCGCACAGGTGCACTTTCAGCCCCGCTGACAAATAGTCCAATTTAACTCGTCAACAGGTGGACTCGTTCTCTACTCCGAAGCCCATGTGTCTGCGTTTACATCTACACATCTATGAGTCGACCTATGCGCCAAGAGGATTGTTTGACATGCTTTTTTTGACACTACATAAGTCGAACGGTTGTGTATGGAAAACATCTACATTAAAAAACGCCGGGAACAAGATCTCATCCCAGTAGCGTGCTGGCTATTCTCTAACCTCACAGGATGCGCTGCACCCGGGTTGGCGGGTATTCTCTGCCTCGCGGGGCAAGTCTCCCAAGAGAAGGTATGTGGCCCACTTTTTAAGGCGAGGTTTGCATGACCTCATCCTGATTACCGCCAGCAGTCGTAGCAAAGTACCGGACATCCACATCTTCATCCTCCTGGAGCTTCGCCAGGCTAGGCACAACCCTTGACTGAATCAGCTCCTGGCTCTGAGGTGCTGGGGTGATGGTTTCCTCAGACTTCTCAACCTCAACCAGTGTCTTATCGGCCGGCAAACGTCGCAGCGTAGCGATGATAACGGCGTAAGACTTGGCAACATTGAAACGAATGTTAGGGATTTCATCTGTAACCAGGCGCTCCAGAATAGGAAGAAGGGAGCTTTCAATGATTTCGAGGTTGACAACGGGGGTGAGAGTCTGTCATAGTTAGCTTTAGAATCCAGAACATAGTCCGTCAAAAACTCACAGAGACAGCGAAACACGTGGTCATGCGGTATAGGTAATTGGGGTGTTGACCCATGGCCATAACCTTAGGAATAATAGAGGCTTTTGACCATTCGACACCGAAAACCTCTGTCAGCTTCTTCAAGTTCTCGGTAGCGGCCTCTCGGATTGAGAAGACAGTGTCTCCGAGCCAGCCCATGCAGAGATCGCTGAGCTGCTCATCGAAGAACTCCACTCCAAGCTGACTGGCGAGGAGAGGGATATATTCAATGATGGCAAGACGCACACGCCATTGCTTATCCTCAGCCAGCTGGACAATAGCGGGAAGGAGTGACTGAGAGAGAAGCTGGATGCCAATGACTAAGCAAAATTAGCCAAAGTCAACAGATTTCAAATAATTGTAAGTACCTTTGTTGACTTGCTCAAGCTTGGAGATGATGTGCAGACGGACATCGGGGAATTCATCCTTGAGCATCTGCAGGAACATGGGAAGAAGGTGGGCGATAGTTCTGAGACAGTCAATATTATTTCCGCCACAAGTATTGTTGATAACTTACTCCTCCTTTCCTAGGATCGGCGCGAGCCCGCTGATTTGAGTACCAAGGGAGGCTCGAACATGCTGAGAGGGGTCTGAGACCAGGTCCTCCACACTAGTCATGATTTCGTTGAGGAGAGTGTCGCGATCAATCAAATGGCAGAAGCCTATTGAAAGTTAGACATATTTCATCCGATGCACAATTGAACATACCGGGAATCTGGCCAGCAATGGCAGTGCGAACCTCAGCTTCGGTGTCCTTGAGGAGCTTCACAAAAGCGGGAACCATGTCCCGAGTGACGACCTCTTCGTGAACGGCCTTGGCAATCTGTGATAGGAGTTAGTAGTCCGATCTTACATTGAACCTGCCAGAACACGGAGCACATACCTTCTCATATCGATCGGCAACCATGTATCGGACTCTCCAGCTCTTATCCTCAAAGAGACTGCGCAGCGATGTCAACAAAACGCCATGGCTAGGCTGCTGCTCCTTAGGAATCTCCTCCGCAATCGCAATGAGAATGTCGACGGTAAGCAGGCGGACACTGTCCTGGTCATCGCTCGCCAAGTATTGGAAGAGAGGTATTATTTCTTCAATGACGGTTTTGCTGTCCATTTCCTTCACAAACTTGGCCAAGTTGTTCGCCGCCTGTCGTCGCACCATCGGGGTTTCATCGTGTACCAGAGCTCCGAAGTGCTGTCGGAGGGACTGCTGCAGGGCCAGTGTAGCCTTCTTGTATGGTGTGGAGTAAAGGCCAGTCGCGGAGACCTTCGAAGTGAACCAGTCCGCCTTGGACAGACGGAGGACGAGGGGGACAAAGTGCTCCTCGACCTGGCCTTCTGACAGCTGCTCGCAAACCTTGTTGAGGGACTCGACGGCCTGTGTATCGGGTACGATCAGTGGCTGGCCATCATCGGACATAGGTTGAACCTACCTTCTCTCTCACCAAGGGCTCCTCAATGGCCGCCAAATTCTCCAGCGGGGAGAGGAGCACGTGCGCGTGTTCTGGACCTCCAACATATTCTGTGAAATTTCCCAGCTCTTCACTGAGCGCAGTTAAGACCTCATCCTCGTCCTCAACGGAGTCTGTGATTGTTAGAGGGATCCAGTCATTCTGACGGAGGGCGGTGACAAACCATCAAGGAATGGAATGAGCTCCTCCCGGGTTCGATCGGGTCCGAGGGCAAGTGCGATCGTGGAGAGGCGGTGGATGGCATTGAGTCTGAGGAGCACATCGTCGTGCTAGTAAAGGTAGGAGGTGAGCTTCAAGTTTCCCGCCACATGTATGCCGGAACGGGGACAAATTTGTACCTTCAGCTCGTCAATGAGCACGGCGATAGGGTAGAGCTCATCATTCTCATTTTGACCTTCCATGGCGAGTGTTATGGTATTGGTTCAAGCTAGGCAAAAAACGGTGAGCCTAAACGGCGAATATGCGACAGGTCCCTGATCCTGAGGGAAGGGTCGGTCTCAGGTAGTTGTCGGACCTGACACGGTAGTCTGGTATATTGGCACTTCCAAAAGAAAGCGTGCGGTGCGAGGCGAGGTATTTCTGGAAAAGCACCTGGTTCCAATGGGGGATTAGTTCCGATTATGCGGGCGCGATGAGATGGCAAGGGGATGGTCAGTGGTAGAGGTAGACCGGAGTGAGGTTTCGTGGGGTGGTGTTGGGCCCGCATGAACACTAACAGAGACATACCTTCGACAATTGAGATAGCACTGTGGTCGATAGGCACAAACCGAAACAGTCGATTTAAAGGATAAAATTGAAGGGGAGAAGAAACAGAATGCTTCGATTTACTGCAAGGGCATCTGGAGCCAGTCGAGCTTTCGACTTTGTTGATGTAAATTACATACTGGCGGTGAAGGCGCAAACAAATGAGGGCAATGCCAAATGACCGTATCGATACTGCGTGTATGGACAGCCCAGGAGGGGCATTGATCTCATTTCGTCATGCGTGGTTAGGTATATCTACGAACACCTTGTGCTTTTTTTTCTCTTGAGTCTTTTGTTCTACATTGTTCGCAAAGCTGCTAATTTGTTGCTACTCTATCTACACCAAGACACTGTTCCCACATCATCTTAGTAGGGTCAAAGAAGAGAATACCTGGACGGAATAACGTCAATGTGTCTACATACCTATTTTCTTGCTGATGGTCTTGTGGTTCTTGGGTCACTTTTTGTTAGCCCTGGAGGGCATGGGGGCATGCCAAGGTATCCATGACCTATGACTGTGTTCATAGTTTGTTGCGGATTTGGCGGTAGGACAGGTAAGAACGAAGAGGTCCTTCTTGATGGCTGGAAAGAGGCCGACTGAGAGCACAACTATTTCTTCAATTTTCCCACCATGTAGCAAAGTGGCCAAGGAGGAGCAAATGCCGATGCGAAGTTTCAAGAGCAGTAGAACCTTGGGGTCAGTACTCTGCACCAGATTCACCTCGGCAGACGAGGGGTGTCACCGAAGCCCATAACCAAGGTTTCCATCTGTAGATACCTCCAGGTGTACCTGATGTATGTCAATATACATGATGTATGTGGTGTACCCAAAATATCATGGGCTGCGTGTGGAAGTCGAACAGGTCGCAGTCATTTGCCGGCAGTATACCCCTCCGTCCGATGCTCCAAAACTGTTATGCACGTGACCTGTACTTTTCCCGCCGGCAGAATTTCCAGATCGGAGTCATCAACGGCCTTCGTGCTTTTCTTGTGATCCCATCCCAACCGGAATTTTGTATGATATCTCTCCTTGGGGCCACTGAAAACATTCTGGGCCTCATTTCCCGCAAACTCAGAACCATCACTGACCGAAAGCTAGAATTGCGCCGCATCAACCCCCACCATGCCCACCATTTCGGTCGACAAGGCCGCTCTTTTCAAGGAGCTGGGCCGCGAGTAAGAATTTCAGGAACTTGATTGCAATTGGAGCGTGCTGATAGAAGGTTGCGCAATCTAGTTACACTACTGAGGAGTTTGATGAGTTGTGTTTCGAGTTCGGTGAGTCGCCTAGACATTCTTGCGGGGGCACAGGCTGATCATATACAGGAATTGAACTTGATGAGGATGTATGTAGACGTGCAACTCTACGTTTTGGTCAATACTAAACTATTCAGACAACCGACCAGGACCGTCCTATCGTCGACGGAGTCCAAGAGCCGCCTCAACTCAAGATCGAGATCCCCGCCAACCGGTATGTCTGGCACCAGAAAAGAAAATGAGGGGGATATGCTGAACTTTTGCAGATATGACTTATTGTGCTTCGAAGGCATTGCGCTCATGCTCAACATCTTCTTGGGCCGAGTCTCCCTTCCCGAATACAAGTTGACCAAGCCCGCAAAGATGGAGCAGATCATTGTCAAGGAGGATGTACGTTCACACACGCGAGCCCCATGGCAACGTCAATTGACAAGTGACAGACCACCAAAATCCGCCCCTACGTTTCAGGTGCTATTCTTCGAGGTGTCAAATTCGACCAGGCTCGTTATGAGTCCTTCATCGCCCTGCAGGACAAGCTTCACCAGAACTTGGCCCGCGCCCGAACCTTAGTCTCTATTGGTACCCATGACTATGATACTGTCCAAGGGCCCTTCACCTACGATGCACAGGCACCCAAGGACATCAAGTTCACTCCGTTGAACCAGACCCAGGAAATGAACGGCGAGGAGTTGATGAACTTCTACGAAAAGCACCAGCAGCTGGGCAAGTACCTGCACATCATTCGCGACTCCCCGGTCTACCCAGTCATCTATGACTCCAAAAAGACCGTTTGCTCCCTGCCTCCCATCATCAACAGCGACCACTCTAAGATCAGTCTGAACACCACGAATATCTTCATCGAAATTACAGCCCTCGACCGTACGAAGCTCGAGATTGTCAACAGAATGATGGTCACTATGTTCTCTCAATACACCTCGGAGCCTTTCACCATCGAGCCCGTTCAGATCGTGTCTGAGCACAACAACGAGACTCGTGTCACCCCCGATATCGCTCCCCGCATTGCCCAGGCGGAGGTTTCTTACATCAACCAGTGCTGTGGCCTGGAACTCAGCCCCGCGGAGATTTGCACCAAGCTCACAAAGATGTCTTACCGCGCCAAGCCCTCCTCTACTTCCGCCGACATCATTGACGTGGAAATCCCCCCAACCCGTGCCGATGTGCTTCACCAGTGTGATATCATGGAAGATGTGGCTATTGCCTATGGTTTCAACTCGCTTCCCCGTGATTTCCCTCAAATCTCCGGCACCATCGCCCAGCCCCTTCCCATCAACAAGCTCACCGATATCGTTCGCGTGGAAACTGCCATGGCTGGCTGGTCTGAGGTTATGCCCCTTATCCTGTGCTCGCACGACGAGAACTTCGGCTGGTTGAACCGCAAGGACGACGGAAACACCGCCGTCAAGCTGGCCAACCCCAAGACCACTGAGTTCCAGGTTGTTCGCACAAGCTTGCTTCCGGGTCTCCTGAAGACCATCCGAGAGAACAAGCACCATTCCGTTCCCATGAAGATCTTCGAGGTCAGCGATGTCGCCTTCAAGGATATGTCCATGGAGCGCAAGAGCCGTAACGAACGCCATTTCGCTGCTGCGTTCTACGGAAAGAGCGGTGGTTTCGAGATTGTCCACGGTCTTCTTGACCGTATCATGGCCATGCTCAAGACTGCCTTCATCACCGGCGAGGAGGGCCTTGAAAACCCCGCCGTCACCGACTCCCAGTATTATATCAAAGAGACTGATGGTAAGTTTGCATAACATGATTCAGGAAAAGGACAATGACTTACTAACTTGATAGACTCTACCTACTTCCCCGGTCATGCTGGTACCATCCACGTTCGCATCGGTGGCAAGGACCAGGTCATTGGTTCTTTCGGTGTTCTCCACCCAACGGTGCTGGAGAACTACGAGCTCAAGTACCCCGTCAGTGCTCTGGAGCTCAATGTTGAGGCTTTCCTGTAGGGTTACATTATATCCAAGAGTATGGAACAGATAAATGATGACACGAGGAGGATGATCATGTCCAGTTTGATAGAGCCATAAAGGCCAAAAGCAATGAAAAAAAAGTACATAAATCAAAACCAAGTGCATTTCTTTCAAAACCTTGGAACCACGGAATTTGGTATCGAAATTAATGGGTACTTAACGGCCAATATGACAACCCCAGGACCTTGGAAATCTCGTTCTTCCAACCTTGAACTTGGAAGTTGTAGCCAAAGCAGCCATAATGAGTCCATTTCCTTCTGCTCTCCTTCCAAATTATTGTTGAGGTTTCGAAGGTTCCTAGAGACTGACGAAATGAAAGAGGGCATGTTATCACTCAAAGCATTGATATATTTATACTTGGTAGGTCTATTAGACAGAACGTAGGCCAACGTGAGCCCGTTTTAGGAAGAGACGATGAAGACCGTTTTTGTAAGCAGAGGGTCGAAAGACCACCAGACAGTTTATGTACTATCTGAATCAGTTATAACAAACGAGAAGGGTATTCGATTCGAAAGAAAGAAAAGGAAAAGGAAAAGGAAAAGGAAAAGGAAAAGGAAAAGGAAAAGGAAAAGGAAAAGGAAAAGGAAAAGGAAAAGGAGAGCCCATGAGCGTGGCTGTGCCCTTCAAGTGCTGCTCACAGTGTCATGGATCGCAAAGAATGATTGCGATTGAACACAAAACCCCAAATGAGGTCGACATGATCTGAAAAGTTTCATTTGTGACCATCGTCTAGGCGCTTTCCACGGAACGAGTAGAAATTAGTTTGCTTGATGTGCCTTGCCTTGCCAGTCCGCTCGTCATAGATAGAAAATCCATGAATAGCAGCATTGGGTGGTGTGTAGACTATATGAGTTAGGACAATATTCGAAGGTTCTTCTCGAGTATAAACATACGATGCAGGGAGACGGCGAAGTCATTGAGATCAGGGTTGGAGATGCGATGCAAACCAAGCTTGTCGGACATATATGTGACTTGATCCTCGCCATAGATGGTTTGTTTGGCTAGTCGTGGTGGGCAATCCTGACCATTCTCGATCTGATTCTGATTGGGCCAGGAGTAGAGGTCTTCTTGGAGTTTGCCTTTGAGGATCTTTTCAAAAGTCAGGGTTGTGAGTCTCATCCACGAAGAGGTTTCAATTACCTTCATCACACAGTGTGCATTTGCATGATCGTGTATGGCGCTTCCTTTGCCAGGGCTCCATACGAGGATCAACTATTGATGTATGTTAGGCCATAGCTTGTAAGAAACGAGGCAACCAATGCCCAGGTGGTCGACATGACTTACCAGGTTGCTCTTGCCGTTCCCTTCATCGATGAGATTTCTTGTGTATGTCCTGCTCGCATCCTCCAAGGCATACGAAGACCACTCATCTAATTTCGACGTGTATTTCTCCATCAAAAGTTGTATTTGCATGGGGTCGACGTCGCTAGAATCAAGACCTGAGCTCGGACCGAGAGCAGCGCTCAAATCCTGCACGAGCTTCTCGAAGGCATCAAAGCCGCCCTCGACGCTTGGTGGTGTTTCAGTTTCAGTTCTGAGGAATGGCATTGTAGATATGCTGGTAGAAAGGAAAAAGCTGAGAACTAGAGATCTTCAGGGCCGCAATGTTGTCAGAGCGGTATCGGAAGTCGACGGTGCACTCGATACCCGAACAGCTCTCAACCTTGGAAGTGAATCCCACGAACTCCAAGTGAGAGATTAATATGAATAGTACCTATGTAGTTGATGTATGAATATGCGATCAAAATAAAATTGCCATTCGCGCTTCCCTTCTCACTTCTGCCTCAGGCAGCCTATGACATAATTGCCCTCGTTGCCTGAGGCGCACACCCCGCCCTGACTAAAAATGCGGTGCCACAATCCCGGGCAAAAGATTGTAAGTGCTTTCTTTCTCCGAAGTTGTCGCTCGACTACGCTGGTTCTTAGCGAGGGACATTGTCAATTCGTTGCATCCCTGGGGATTCCCATTCGTCTTGTCCGTGGTGTCTGTTTGACCGTAGGGTCCTCACGCCAAAATGTCGACCACGATTGAAAAGGTGAGTGCGGTCCCAGAATTTTAAGCATGGCGTCACAGCAACCGATGGACTGACAATGGATTTTTCCCACCACAGATTAAGGAGATCGAGTCCGAGATGGCTCGGACTCAAAAGAACAAGAACACCTCGTTCCATTTGGGTACGCGCACACCGACACCTCTTCGCCGATGACGTGCATCGCTGACAATTCGCAGGACAACTGAAGGCCAAGCTTGCTAAGCTCAAGCGTGAACTGTTGACCCCCAGTGGAGGAGGTGGTGGCGGTGGCTGTGAGTATCTTCAATCTAGGAGGCAGATTTTGCATGCGCTAACTCATCCCAGCTGGTTTCGATGTTGCGCGTACTGGTGTCGCCAGTGTGTAAGTTGTGCGAAGATAACCGTGAATGCAGTATGCTTATCCTCGCAGTGGTTTTATTGGTTTCCCGTCCGTCGGCAAGAGTACCCTGATGAATAAATTGACTGGCCAACACTCCGAAGGTTAGCATCGCAAGACGTTTGACAAGGACTTCACTGACCCTTTGCAGCCGCGGCCTACGAGTTCACAACCCTCACGACTGTCCCCGGTCAGGTGATGTACAACGGTGCTAAGATCCAGATTCTCGATCTTCCTGGTATTATTCAAGGTGCCAAAGACGGAAAGGGTCGTGGTCGTCAGGTCATTGCTGTGGCCAAGACTTGCAACCTCATTTTCATTGTCCTTGACGTGAACAAGCCTTTGGTTGATAAGCGAGTCATCGAGAACGAATTGGAGGGCTTCGGTATTCGAATCAATAAGAAGCCCCCCAACATTCTGTTCAAGAAGAAGGACAAGGGTGGTATTGCCATCACCAGCACCCAGCCTTTGACTCACATTGACAACGATGTAAGAGCTCAGCATAACTTGGAATCGCGTGAAGGAATACTAACGGTACCCAGGAAATTAAAGCTGTGATGAACGAATACAAGATTTCATCTGCTGATATCTCCATTCGATGCGATGCTACTATTGATGACCTGATTGATGTTCTGGAAGCGAAATCTCGCAGCTACATCCCCGTCGTTTATGCACTGAACAAGATCGATGCCATCTCCATCGAAGAGCTGGACTTGTTGTACAGAATTCCCAACGCCGTTCCCATCAGTTCAGAGCACGGATGGAACGTCGACGAGCTGATGGAAATGATGTGGGACAAGCTCAAATTGCGCCGAATCTACACCAAGCCCAAGGGCAGAGCGCCCGATTATTCGGCCCCTGTTGTGTTGCGTTCATACGCATGCACAGTCGAGAACTTCGTAAGCATTCATTGGTCCTTTCAAAGCTTCCAATCACTGACCATGACCGATCAAATAGTGTGACTCTATTCACCGAACCATCAAGGACGACTTCAAGCACGCCGTTGTGTATGGTCGCTCAGTGAAGCACCAACCGCAGCGCGTCGGTCTTTCGCACGAACTTGCTGATGAAGATATTGGTAAGTTCCAGCCCATCATCAGCTAGGATTCCCAAACTGACCAGGCACAGTGTCGATCGTCAAGCGGTAAAGGATTTTCGATCAAATCCTTAACCCCACAGCCCGTAAGCAGCGAGCTGATCCAAGCGCTGGGGGTGGCAGGTGGTCTGTGCAATGTTTCTGCGCCTTCGCGATCTGACAGGCACGGCGATGGGGACAGCTCCCCGTAAGACGCCACCGGACCCGACTGCAATGGACAGATTCAAGCACGGGCAAGATCAATGGGGAAATTGAGTCATGATTTTCTGGCATTCAATCAATCAGGCGCAAGTACCCGGATAGCTGCTTCTGATTGATTTTTTTTTTGGTTTGCGTCTCGTGGTTTAGTGCGATTTGGGATTCGATGAACTCAAGTTAGGCTTGCCAGGGGTTACACAGGCCCAGGGACACGAGGCGAGGGAAAAAAAAGAGACGTGGGTATCTTTGATATCCTTGGCACGCAGTCATTTCTTTGTTCATTTTGTGGCCCCTTGAAGCGACCAGTCCATATTGTTACGATTACCCTTTCTTGAGGCTCATTGTGCCTCTTTGTCCAGCGGAAAAGTTTTTGAAGATCTCTGACGAAATTCTCGCCCAATATATGAAGTAGAGGCTTGAAATTGTAGAATTGGAGAGACACGGAAAGCTTCTGCTTCGGTGCACTGCTTCTCCACGTAGTCCGCGTGAGAGCCCAAAGAAGCCACATATTGCCTTGTCGGTATGCAACTAAGGATGCGTGCGAGAAATTGATCCCGTCAGGCCAATGAATTGACAGACTGAAAATCGCATCATGCAACGCCATGCTCTTATCGTTCTATACAGACCCTACACAACCCTGGATTTTACCGAGGATTCCTGCATGGATTCTATCGAGGGCTATCCGATTGGCATGTTCCCCTTGCCATACTTCCCGTCCTGCACATCTCCCTGGCCAGTAATTTTCAACTTTGATATAGCTGCAGATGGCTTGGTTCCTGTGATCTTATTGCTTTTTTTCAATCCCGCCTGTCATTGATGCCGGGCTGACGAGTCAGGCACCGAGACTAGCAGCCCCAAAGTCTAGGCAGGTCTTTCATTTACGTCTGTCGATCACCTTTTTGGCTGTCAGGTCCAAAGCTCCGAAAAGAAATCGATAGCTTCGACGGAAGGGCCGGAAAGGTAATTATGGTGTGCATTGTGTGCAGAGAAGGGCCGCGACTCTACGCATTGACCTACGGGCTATAACTTCGGCAACGGTGATCATGGTCGCGTAGAACTGAGGCCCACGAGAGCTTCTGAGTTTTTTTATAAATTTTTACTTCGAATAAAGGGTAGAGCAGGCATCCGATAGGTCCAAACACACTAAATGATTACGATACTAAAAGGTATCGAGGCCCCCGCTTAGGCCATGCAAGGAATCAAAATGGGATCTGTCAACCGACTAGCACGTTTTCTGTCTTAGCTTCTGGCCATTTCCTTGGGCAGATACTCGGTACCAAAATCTAGGAGTAGAAAAAGTACAGATCTGCAGATTTGTATGCAAACTGCATGCCACACCCACTCAACAGTATCGAATCCCACCAAACAGAAAAAAGCAAAAAGTGAGGCAAACTAGGAGTTTCCTCCAACAAGCGGTGTATACGGAGGAGTGCACGGCGTTGAGGATATTGGTTGGATTGAGAACGTTTATCTGATCGACTCCACTAGGCGAACGTGCCTTTGGGGTTAGATCCATGCCTGTACCATTGACACTACTCGATGCATTCCTGGGCCATACCCAATGGCAGAGCCGAAGATACTAGTACACAACCCTTCTCATGAACCTGTCTGCGGAGACTTTCTTGAAGTGGAGTATCTCCCGCAAATCGCCGATCTAGTGCGATAATGAAACCATTGCACTAAGAAGGGGGCTGTTCACGATCTGGTCTGTTCTCAGATTGAAGATCGGCAAGCTATACCGTATGTTTACCGGCGTATAGTGGCCCTAGTATAGTGCATACATGTAACTTATTGAAGCTTCATCAGGTGACTGTCAGGACACCAATCCGCGGCAGACCTACATTCTATTCTCGTGGTCCCATCGGTCATCCCCGTCGCATTGCATTGCATGAAGCCATGCTCTTCCCCGGAGTCATGGCCCGAGGTACTAGAGTAGATTATGTCATGGAGTTGGAGTAAGCCCTTGAGTGTGCCCAGTGTACTCCGTGCCAGTAGGTTACTCTGCGTCTAGGGCTTTGCCTTCAAAAAGCAAATTCCAAATAGAAAGTAAACCACAGGCATCTCAATACTGGTTCGTATCTACCTAGTATCACCAAGTGCTTCCCGATTTTATCCACCACTGTCGCTCTTATAGGTTGACAGAAACAAGTCTTCACGACTCGCCGGAGATGGCCCGGGCAGGATTACAACGGCCTGAGGTCCGTCGATCGGTACCTGACTCGAGCTCGTACCCTTACGCTCAATCTATCTGTTCCTGCTTCTGTCCAACGGTAATTTGAGTCAGAGCTTGATTGATCTTGACAGCCAAGAAATGACGGTCCAAATGGAAAGAAGCAAATATACGACTTGGTCGGTCGACACAGTCCGGCGATTTCAATCCTGGCCGGTCTAGACTTCCTTGCTCCGAAATAGTGAGATGCAATTGTAAGATGGCTTCAAAGATCAACCGAAATTTCCCCCATCAATGGCGTCAGCCCATGATCGGCTTGCATTTCATACTGGGCTGACCTTGGAACTCGATTTATCTTTGGACATTGTGTGAGAAACATTGGTGAATCTCGGGTTCTAAACCAAGAGCGATTCTTACTTAATTTCAATTACGCTAATTCTGTTCCTTTTCCTCTTTCTTTTTTTTTATTTTCTTTTTTTCATTTCGGCCGATCTTACTGGCGCAAAGTAACTAAAACCGACGACAGTAAGCATGATGATTGGCACTGCGACCGAATCAGCCCCCTCGGCCGTCAAACATACTCCATGCCCCATACGGAGAACGGATTGCTCGTACGAAAAGCATTTGGAGTTCACTTTCAACTCAAGAGCAACCTTGTTTGCTTCTTGACTTTGCTTTTTTTTCTTTTTTTCTTCTTTCTATGATCCTTCTTTTTCTTTGTGGTTCAGACATGCATAACGAACCATATTTTGAGGACGCTTGACGGAGCAATAGCAGGCGCAGTCGACCGCTGTCTTCTCGTGGTTCGGCTAAGCGGGGGCTCTCGTATCGGATGCTTGGATTTGAAAACTTGGGTTGCACTGACTAGACCGCGTCCGAATAGGAATCCCGTTCGATAGGAGTATAGGACAAGGGATATAGCCCCTATTCCACGCCTCAACACCACAACGTCCTAGCACAGAGCCCCTATTGCTTCTCACAGACTCAATTGGCTCTACACATACTCTACAGAGTTCGCAGAAAGGCTACTTCAAGCAAATTACATCAACATGTTGAAGGTTGCCGGGCCGGAGGGGACCGCAGTGGGTCGGTGGAGCAAACGAGCGCTGAAAAGCGCCAGAGAAAGGGAAAGAAAACCCTCATTGGAGCTTCTTCCCCTCTTTTCCTGACTGCCTTCAAGAGCCCTTCGTGCCTTATGATAGGGCCGCCCGTCGACCTACTGTTCGGCCCTTGTATCTTTGGTATTAACGACAGGGCCATCTCTACAGCGGATTCGTCCATCCATAGTTGATCCATGTTGCTCCTCATTTGCTATTCTTGACCGTGTCGTCTCTCGTGGATTTCTGATGCGGTCTTAATGCTGAACTCAAGATCGGCACGTCCTTCACCTCCATAACCTCGCCCCAGTCTAGCAATAGTCCCATGGACGCAGTCTGTCCAATCTAGGGAGTTGCTCCCTGTCCTGCTCCATGATTTGTGTTTCCTGCGCAGACCTCGGACCCGTCCTATTTTCCCTCATTTCTTCACAGCCGTGCTCAATTCGTCACATGGACATGATGGCGATTGAATGTTGGGTCATCATTCGGCTCAACGGTTTGCCAGACGGCAAAGTGACTTTCGGCTGAAACCACGCTCGATGCTGCACTGTTGCCCTGCTCTCGGTCCACCCTGATCGCCCTAGATGCCCCCACGGATGTCATGCGGACTCAAGGTTCAGCGGTTTATCGATCCGCTCTCGTCGGGCAAATCAACTCCGATCTAGGCGGTGCTTTTCACCGAACCTCGTTCTTCCCCCGGATGATCGACCCTGATTTGACGGGGGTTTTCCTTGGGGGCCCCTCAGCAAGCCTCACCAAAGCGAGACGGAAGCGGCCAGCTACGGTGAAAGGCTCGATGACCATCAGAGTTTTCGACAAGCGGGAAACGTTGAGCAGTCACGCCGAATCCATGTCCGGTACATCTGTATAGTATGATGGGTACCCGTGGACCTACCCGTGGACTTTGGGTATCTACTTTATATTGCCAGTATCAATCCTACCTCTAAACTCACCTTCGCCGAAGAGACAGCCCCGAAGAGTCGAGAAGATAAGCAGAGCTTTAATTTTTTTAAAAAGAAAAAATTCAAAAAATACAGGAAAAATAAAAATAAGGGAAAAAGGAAAAAGACCAGCCAAGAGGATTTCATACCTTTACGATGTAATACGCAAAACGAATTAGGCCTGACGAGTGCAACCCCTGCCGCAATATATCGATGGGCAACCAACCAGAGGCTGTTCCACCCCCTCTCAAGTTACCTCTTTACAGGGATCTTTTTAAAATTGCAATTTCAAAATAATTAGAAAAATACACCAGAACAAGAAGGGTTGAAAAAGAGAGAGAAAAAAATCAAATCAACGTTATATTATGTATGATATAGGTACGGCGGACTCGTACGAGAACGATGGATTATTATATTTTCTGTTTTAGGGATTTTCTTGCTTTTTTTTAGAGACCAATCAACCTATGTAGGGATGCCTCTATCATGATTTCTCCGGACTGGCCCTCTTAGTTGCAATCAAGATTCAACTTCGATAATTTGATTTTCCTTTTTAACTCGCTTCGCCTCTTCTGCCATATATACTTTGGTGACGGCTGTTCTACTGCACCTTAGTAAAATAGCTTCCCTCATCTCGGGAGATTACTCTGCTACAATCGCACCGGTAATTTTATACAGGTCAACAGTGGACAGTGGAACATGCATCAGCTTTTATTGTCTCACTAGATTGTCTCATTGTTCCCCATTTCTTTTGTCCCGTTCTTTATTGCCTCCCGAGCCCTACAACCCCCCCCCCGCACAAAGACCTGCAGTATCTCGATGGACGATTCCTCCATGGAAACCGAGACTCATGCGCCGGATGGCGAATTCCCACACTCGCCATGGGTGGAAGTAGGCGCATTTGCTTCTCCGCAACACTCGCCGCCGATGCCAGAATATAGTGCGTTCGACTTCGGCCCGTCGTCGATGATGGTGGATTCTTCATATGGCATGTCGATACCGCCACCATATGCCACCATGCAGCTGCCTATGCCCTCGCATTCCTGGCCTAGCATGCTCGCAACGAATTCGCCTTTTCCCGAGACCGGAATGCATGTTTCCGCCCCGACTTGCGTTTCGCCTACCACGCCTATGCTACCAGTGCGGAAGACTTCTACGGGAGGCTCTACGCCGAGGAGGACTCTGACCGATGAAGACCGCCGACAGATGTGTCTATATCACGAGGAAAATAAAACTGCCAAGCAGACTGATATTGGAGGTAAGCACGTGGTCCTGGGGTGTCACGGGACATGGCTGACTGGCTACAGCATTGTTTGGAGTGGAACGAAGGTATTACGATATTTAACCTGTTTTGGATGAATCAACCTGACTGATTCTTCTTTTTAGCACCGTCTCCAAGGTTTTACGCCAGAAAGAGAAATATCTCAACCCGGAAGATGGGAGCCGATCTCCCATCAAACGTGCCAAAGGGAGAGTCCCTGATATCGAGAAAGCCCTATCCAACTGGGCAAAGAACTACCAAAACCATGGATATGCCTTAAACGACCAGCTGATCAAGGAAAAGGCGTTGTTCTTTGCCAGCACATGCGGCTGCCCAGAAGGAAAAGAAAAAGTCTGTACCACAGCATGGTTGGAAAAGTTCAAGCACAAAAACAACCTGCTCGGCGCCAAGGTGCGCAGGGGTTCTGCTCCACGCAGCAGCTCCAACAGCCCAACTAGGATCAACACCAATTTTGGATCTGCCTTGCAAAGTCCCACGGGCAATTCCCCAACATCCCCTGATGGATTTGGATCCCCATTATCTCCCAAGAGCCAAGAAAATATCAAGCGGGACATCACAGACGCACTACCCGATCTGACCGGCGGCTACCACGGATATTCCAAGAGCACCGCCTCACTCGATACTTCCTCCGTGGGCATGATAAGCCCAACTTCAACCCTGGTTTCAGACAGTCCCTTTACACCAACAAGCCAATCCCGCCTTCCCAACAACTCCAACCGACCACGCAGCCAGACTTTCCCCCTCCCAATCGACCCAACCCTACTCTCACCGGACGAGCACATGGAACAGCTCCACAAGAGCAAGGGCGAGCAACAGCCCCTCTCCATCGCTACCCTGGAGTCCCCCCTGGAAATGGACGATTCAAAACAAATGTTTGATTACCCTAGTGTCACCAAGCGCAACCACAGCAAGCCGGACATCAAAATCAAATCCATGCCTCCTCCACCCCCAATGTCCAACACCATTTCACCGATCAGCTCGCCCGGTTCTCCAACTCAAGACGAAGCTCGCCGTGCTCTCGAATTAGTCCTGAACTATTTCGACCACCAGCCTGCCGGCCTTGCCGCTCATGAGTATCTTACTATGGGTAAGCTGATGGAGAGACTGGATCTTACCAGAACTCAGGCTGGCATGCTGTTGAATGGCTTGCCGCGCATCGACGAGCACGAGGATATCCCCCGCGTGACCAAGAAGAGGAGCATTCACAATCTTGGATGAGCTCTCTGCGCGTTTCATATTTTTTTTTTGGAGTTTCCCCCTCGACGTTTTTGTGATTCCCCCTTCTCTTCTTTCTTTCATTCGGTCCACGGTGGTCACTTGTTCTAGGTTTCTTTTGATGCATGTCTTTGTACGAATTTTCCTATCTTTTTCTTTCCTGTCACTGCTGAAGAATATCCTGGTATACCCAGAAGGAAAAAAACACAAAAACACATACAGCAATATCCAGAGGGCAACCTCTATTTCTTCTTTGTCGTGGGGTTGAACCGGCGCACACTCAGGGATCTCAAGTCTCAACGAGGTCTATGCATTTGGGATGATGGGCACATGGCAATGTGGTACACGATTTGAGCCCTGGTTGAACGGGGAGTATATTGTCATCTTTTTCTTCGGGTCTTTGCTTTTTCTTGCTCTCTTTCCAAGTTCTGCTGTTGGTTTGCCACTTTCTCTGGCTTCTTTGCATACACCCCCCCTCTTGCAACGCCCCCTTGTACTGCATCTTCTTACACTCGCTTCCTTTCCATTCCCCCCTTTTCTCTTTTTTCCCCCTTCTCTTTTCTTTCTTTTTCTGAGTTCCCTAAACTGGACCGCTCGCGCGGAAAGAACATAATTTCGCGGGTACTCTTACACGAGCCTGCATGTCAGATTAGTCTCTTTACCCCCTTTCTGTTCCTACTTTCCTTTACCTCGACCTCTATTATACCCCGTTTCCCCTTTTGGTTTGCTTCATTTGAGAATCAACATGTTTTGGTATTTTGAACGTGGATCTTATGCTGGCCATAAGAGGGCATATCTCATTAAAATTTAAGTTTGCTAAGAACAAGTACGACAGAACAGTAATCTTTACAAGTCATCACTAGAAGGTATGAGGCGCAGATGATACTCCGCGATCCGCCATCAAGTCTTCCACAGTGTTTTCGGTCATCTCGGGGAGAACTTTGGCCAACACTACCTCGAGAATGGAGTACACCAGATGCTTGTTACAATACTCATCGGCAAAGACATCAAGCAGATCGGTCTCGATTATTTCCATGAGATAGACCGTCTCAAGATCGATCTCCACGGATTGGTCGTCTGTGCGCAGCCGCTCAGCGGGAATATGACCGCTCTCCGCGCCCGGATGGGTCGGTATCGCCGAGTGCGATGACGCATGCGGATCATTGCCCTGAGGCCAAGATCCATCCCCGCCGATAGAGGGTGGGGAAGTGGTGGCGATGTAGGGCGAGCTGTTGGTGCTGCAGGTACCATCACCGCTATAGGGCGACGGAGATGCCGGCGAGGGGACACCGAAGAAAGTTCGTGCGACGGTACGCGGCATCAAAGCGACCAGACTAGCTGCACATCTCCGCTTAATAGCGGCGATCTCTGTTTGCGATGGACGGGCCTTTTTTTCCGTTTCGGTCGGCTTGTCCAATGTTGAGTCGGCTGCGACAGAAGCAAGTGATGTTGGCGCTGTTGGTCCGCCATTATTGCCGCCAGTCCTGGGATTATTCTGACCAGTGGGATGACTACCCCTGACTCCTTCCGTAATAGGGACATCAAGTGCTGGCGCAACGGCTTTCTCACTGGACGTCTGCACGGACTGCGGAGCCGAAGCTCCAATATCCACGGGCTGAGATGGACGGGCATTGGCTGGGAACAGGGCTGTCCTTGTTGCGCGAAGAAGGTTGGGCAACAAAGTGGGGGTGAGCACGTACGCCTCAATGGTTTCCCGGAGGAATCTGTGGAGTTAGTAGTTAGCATTTCTCAAATCATGACGTCGTTGTAGAAATGAAAGAAAGAGTAAAAAATGATAATAAAAATAGCGAAAGGAAAATGCCTCTCGACTGTGGAGCTCTCGGGACGTTGTGCCTTTTTTTCGCGCATATTTTAGTTCGAAAATTTGAGGTCAAAGTCACCAAATAGAAACCGGCCGTATAGAGTGGGGGGGAGGCGGAGCAAGATCGGCTTAGGCATGAGATGCGAAAGGAGCTTGGGCCAGGTGCAGGGATCAAATTCTTCTTCTAAGGGACGTCAAAGAAAGTGACCCCCTCTTCAGCGGGTAGCATCCTGTGCCTGGCGCACAAGCGGGCTTCATGCACGAGCCTCGGTCGAATTGCGAATTTCCCAACCCCCCCGGGAAGAATTTCGCTCATTGGACCAAAGCCAGTAAATTCACTAGCCTCGGGGCTTCTTTTTGTTTTCTCATGCAAGCGCCGAAAGCCAGTGCAGTTCCACCGATGGGGTGATCGACATCAGTCCATTTTCCTGAATCATTTCGGTCGTGCACTTTTTAGCCCCCTATTCCTTGCCAAGGGAAGATTCGGTCCGCGATGATTTTCATTTGCGCTCCTTCGGCTGCAAATCAAATTCTTTGAAAAGTTGGCACATGTCGCAATTCCAAGATTCGCGCAGAAAAGTGGACGGCGCGGCACGGAAAGGCCCGGGCCCCGGCGCTATCACACACACAAGGGACTTCTCGTTTTTTTTCTCTCAAAGAGAACCAGGGCGACGGGGACAGGCAGCCCATCCCTGCTCGAAAACTGAGGTTCGCTCGGGCCAGGTCGACGGCAGCCAATCTGATGTCAGAATGGGCTAGTAAGCCTGACGGTAATAACCGTACAGTAAGAAGACGTCGTAAAGTGGTAAAATGACCGTACGGGCCAACGGTAATTTCCGCCTTTTCCCCAAGGTTACAGGCAGGTCAAGTGATCGATGCAGCATGCGAGCAAGAATGCTCAGTGTCACACCTTGAATCGCACAAGTGACACTTTGACCTGAAGATCATGATTCGGAAGATCGCACCGTTGCTCCACAGTCGAGCGTTCATTTCCCATGAAGGCCCGAGCCCTGAGGGGAAAGGCTTGGAGTTTGCAGGGCGAAGGCAGCGGAGATAAGGAATCATAGCAGAACTCACCTATCAAGAATCCCATCCGTTCCACCGACCCTGCCTGGGCCTGCCAGAATCAGGTGCTGAAAAAGTGCCAGGAATCCACTTAGCCATGGCATCCTCCGAGGAACCCCAAGTATCTGCGAAACCATGGAACAAATCCGATAGTCAAGCACTGGGCGCTTACGTGTGGCTCCCTTGCAATCGATCCCACCGTTCTTTTGGTTATTGACTGCCGTAGCGGCAACCGAGACACCGACACCGTGCGAGGGGCCTGGACTCGATGCGACACGGAAGAGGCCTACTACAATGAAACGCAAGGCGACGTAACCGACGTAGATGTGTTGCAAAAAATTCCATATCCAGGCCGTGGCTGGCACTGACGCCGGCTGGACCTCGTCATCGGTCGAAAGAAGGCCAAACTTCTCCAATCGGTTGATTTGAGACTCCGGGACGGACGTTGTGTCATCCGGTTGGCTCTTTTCACCTCGAACGGCGAGTTTGGTGATAGTCTCCCAAATGAACCACCCTTCGCATGCCCGGCCGCTGATTTGATTCCCCAATATGAGGTCAGCTATGACATCGACTACCAAAGCTCGGAGACTACTGTTCTCGAGATCTTCGGTAGGAAGCAAAACCGCCAGACTGCCATTGGCCAGAAGTCGTCGATGCGCTGATTCATTCTCACTCTGCTCGGTGATCGTATCTGGATCTGCCGCATCAGGGACTGGAGATAGACCAGGGTGTGGGTTGAGCTCATGATAGAGTACACGGTGTGACGTGGGTAAACCAGACAAATGTGACTGTCGCCTAGCCAGTCTGTACGCTACAAGGTAGCAAGTCAGTATAAAGTTTCCTTGCGGTTTCCCCTCTCTGCAGTATAACCAAGAACGCCGAAGGAAGGATTTTGGAACAGTCGAGTCTCACAGTGTACATGTGCTTCCACAAGCATTGGTATTTCGTCCAGGGCAAGTTGTGCAACGTCGATTTGGCGCAGTCTTTCTTCAAGTGCGCGTGTGCAATGCGCAATCACTTGTAGGACCTCATTCACAAGCGCCTGGTCAGATGTGATTTTGGAGTACCACGAGTACACGAACTCCTTTATTATAATGGCGAGGAGGGCGTAAAGCTGACGATCGATGTCATTGGAGCTCGTGAGAGGAGGTAACAGCTCTTCCGGAGACTGTGGAGAAGACGCCCCATAGCTGCCATTCTGAGGGCAGAGGACGCGTCTGATAAGGGCAACAGTAGCCTTTTCACCGGCTGCATCTACATCATCTTTGTTTGACACCCGCTTGGAGCGCAGTCGGGAGGGAGGACGCGACGGAGGCTGTGTCGAGGACGGCCGCGCGGTGGACCTTGAGCTAGAGGTTGTCGGCCCAGCCTTGAGATGAGAGAGCGGCTGCAAGCCGGCGCGGGATATATCGGTCATTTCATCGCATGGCAATATAATCAACAGGGGTTGAGTCTAGTAAACAAAGGGAATCACTGCTGTTAGAAGTAGTGTGAGGCCGGTGACATCAAAAGTTGATTCTTGGGTGAACGCCCGCGGGCAGCTTAGTAAGGTGGGTTCCGATAAGGCCTTATCGCGATAAACCCCGGGGCCGCGGGCCCTCCATCGATGCGGGGATTGTGTTCATAACACTTAGCAGGTTCATTTAGTCTCTTTTACTTCAGTAAACCTTTGATCAACCTCAGAAATACACAATGACAGTGCAAGCTCAGGAATACAATGCTACTCCTTTGTGGCTAGACTGTGATCCCGGTTGGTTGACAGATTTTTACCGCTGTACAGCTGCTAACTCTGATCAGGCCACGATGTAAGCCATGGAGACAGAGTGAGAACGTACATGTACTAATTTTCCAAGGATGCTTTTGCAATTTTGATAGCTGCTCATCATCCTGGGCTGAATCTTCTCGGCATCAGTACTATCCATGGAAATGCTTCCTTGGAGAAGACAACTGCCAACGCAGGCAGTGTTTTGACAGCCATTGGCAAGCCTGATGTCCCTGTCTACCCTGGTAGCCAGAAACCATTCTCTCGACCAGCCTTGCATGCACCTGATATCCACGGTAGGTCTGGGAACAACTTGATATACACACATTTAGTGACAATCTCCAAGGTGAATCGGGGCTCGATGGGACTGATCTCCTACCCAAGGCCGCCACACCTCCCATCACCGATAAGAACACCATCCTGGCTATGAGGGACGCTCTTCTGGCACAGCCAAAAGGTGCTCCCTGGGTTGTTGCTACAGGGACTTTGACTAATGTGGCCCTGCTGTTTGCGACCTTCCCCGAAGTCGTGGAGCACATTGCAGGGCTAAGTCTCATGGGTGGTGCCATCGGTGAGGGATTCACCGACGCTCCCATGAGTCGAATCCCCGGCGAACAATCCAGAATTGGGAATGTGACCCCATGGGCCGAATTCAATCTCTATGTTAGTTTCCCACGCCACGTCAATTTTGATCACACCTGATACAGACCATCACCAGTGCGACCCTGAGTCTTCGGAATCGATTTTCAGTAACCCGGTTCTCGCTGCTAAAACAACCATCATTGCTTTGGATCTTACACATCAGGTCTTGGCTTCGCAGGCAATTCAAACCCGTATCTTGCATGGCTCGATACACTCAGCCGAAGAGCCAACCGTCCTTCGACAGGTCTTACATGCCTTGCTGACTTTCTTTGCTGCAACATATGAGAAAGCGTTCGGCCTGACTACAGGCCCTCCTCTACATGATCCTCTTGCTGTAGCAGTGATCCTGTCGACTTTGAACCCAGCGTTTGCCACCAAGCACCCTAACCAGGCCCTTGCCTTTGACGATAAAGATGGAGAACGATTCGCCCTGAGTATTGTCACCGATGGGAAACACGGTAAGGATGTCTCTGTCACGGGACAGATGGGACGATCAATCGCTACTCCAGTCGATGGTCCGGGCGTTGCGATCCCAAGAGGGGTTGATCTGGAGGCATTTTGGAACATGATTTTGCAGTGTGTTCAGCTAGCTGACGATTGCAATGCGGCACGGCAAACTTGATTGCTTTGCATCGTCTGTATGGCCATCCGGATCGGGTTAAATCTAGAGCATTAGACTTCGAGTACATACTGCCACAACTATCCTGCAGTCTAACAGACTGCGCTAGAAACTTCTATACGATTGCATGGACTTTGATTTATATAGGTCAAATCTAATCTAACAGCGGAAGAGATCATCTTGCAAGCCTCTTGGGCTCTGGTGACATGTAGCTCCTGATCAGTTGAAAGTTATCACCACTCTCGGATAGAGCCGTCGGGGCCATAGAACTCTTTAGGCTGCCAGGCCGGTGTGTTTTCGGCAACACGACGCACAACATCCTCATCGATCTCGATACCCAATCCCGGTGCTTCCAAGGCCTCCACGTAGCCATCCTGGACATCAAAAACCTTGGGATCCTTCACATAACTCGTGATATCATATTCACCAGCTTCCAGATTGTAGTGCATTCCAATGCTCATCTCTTGAATGACAAAGTTCGGAATGGAAAGATCGACCTGCATACAGGCCGCCAAAGCAAGCGGTCCAAGCGGGCAGTGAGGCGCAATAGCAACGTCGTACGTTTCAGCCATGTTGGCGATGCGTCGGAGTTCAGAGATACCACCGCAGTGACTGATATCAGGCTGAAGAACGTCCACACTGCCATCCTCCAAGAATCGTTTCACATCCCAGCGACTGTAAAGCCTCTCACCGAGAGCAATGGGACACGAAACGTATTCAGAGAGCTGCTTAATAGCCTCCGGGTGTTCTGAAAGGAGTGGCTCCTCTAAGAACAGAGGACGGTGTGGCTCAAGTGCCTTGGCCAATTGCTTAGCCATGGGCTTGTGGAGACGGCCGTGGAAATCCAGTGCTGCATCCATGCCGAGGGCCTTTACGGTCTTCAGTCGCTCAACGCTGGAATCCAATACTGCTGGGGAATCAAGCCAGTTGACATCCTCTGTTGCATTCATCTTCACGGCTTTGAACCCTTGTGCTCGACGGGCCTCCGCCGCTGCTCCAACATCCGCTGGCCGATCACCGCCAATCCAAGCATAGACTGAGAGCTTGTTTCGCACTTTGCCTCCCAAGAGCTGGTAGACAGGCACACCCAGTCGGCGGCCCTTCAGATCCCAAAGCGCAATATCGATGCCAGAGATGGCAGACATGAACACAGGACCACCTCGATAAAAGCCGAGACGCCATGCCATTTGCCAGATGTGTTCGATGTTGCTGATGGAGGTCAGTCTGTGCTCAACCCTCGATATAGCCACAGGGCAGTCACCTACTCGGCTTCATAGCCCTCGAATCTCTTACATAGAGCGTTCAAGGTGCCCTCCACGGCCTCGGTATGGCCTTCAAGGGTGCTTTCGCCCCATCCAAACTTGCCTTCTTCATCAGTGATCTTGACGAAGAGCCATCGAGGCAACACTCGGAAGTATTCAATGCTCTTGATCTTGACCATGTTCACTTTTATCTTTCGAGCTTTGTGATTGGAATCTGTCGCCACTCAATTTTCAGAGACGATGGACGAGAATAAGCCCCGAGGACTGTAGACGAGGGGTAGGATTGCGAGCCGAGCATGCTCGGAGTTGCTCCGTTGCAACGAAGCGAGTGGATTGCCGACATGAAGTGTCAGAGACCGTTGAACATCTGAAACTTATGCTCCGCACCAATGGGGTGGATCAGTAAGGGCTCTTTGGATTGGCATATCTGCAGTGCATATACTCCGTATCCGCTTGGGGAGTATGTGCCTATACTATATAGTATGTAGGACTCCGTACAGTTTCCCTCATTCTGGCGGTGGCTGAAAACAAAGAGAAGTCTTGTCTCCACTAAGTATGCATATTGCAACAAGACTATTGCCCAGGTGCCCTTCGGCCCTATGGCCCTTGCGGAGTACTTATCTCAAGCACAGAGTACTCCGTACTTCTGGTAAGGAATCTAGGGGCTCGGAGCAAATTATACACTCATTACGGAGTACAGAGTACTCATGGAATTACATCTCAGGACCATCTATATACTATATACTCCTGAGTATAGGTTTCAGGCGTGTGCAAAACGGCGCCGATGCCCGATGGGAAGATCCCGGCTGAAAGGAAAAACGTCATACAAACTGTTTCCTCCGCGATATTCTTCTTCATTTCAATTTTGAGATCTTGAACAATTCTACTTGTATGGCGACCCACACTCCTTGACGGCTCCCATCATGCCTAATTCCGTACGTCGTCCTTCCCCCCCTGATCGAAACATTATTAAACTCGCATAGCAACCTATCTCTTCAGACCCTCGCCGATCGTCGATTCCCGCCCCTGTGGAGACCGATGCCCATGATGACAATGTGAACTTCTTGCGATCGCGACCTGCTCTTTACAACCCGTTACTACCCTCCTTGAGCCGACAGCGTCGCCGTCGGTATCCAGCCAACCCCCCACCCGAATCCGATCGCATGGAAGTGGACGACCCAAACAACCGCTCCGTCGAACTCAATCGTCGCATCCCTATCCGTCGAGAAGAAACCGCCATGCCAAATTACGAGGGTCAAGGGCCCAACTCCCGCTCCCTCTATGGCTGGGCGCCCGGATCAGATGACGAGGTCGCGCGAGAGGAATCGGAGGATGATCAAGTGCAGCCATTCCTCCATGCCGTCCCAGGCCGACCAGCCACACGACCCCCGCGACATGAACTCCCAGGTCCCGCGCAACTCGTCCCCCAGGATGCTGCAAACCCGCACGCAAGCAACCGGGCGCGAACGCCGATCTCCGCCATGGCGGCCTTATTACAATCAGCCAGACGCCAACCTCGACTGGCAAGAACTCGCACGCTCGAAAATTATCTCCTGGATCGCTATTCAGATCCCACAGACCAAAACCAAGAAGCGGATAATGAGCATGCGGTGGCGTCTGCATCTCGCGCATACCGCTATCGCCCCTCAAATCGGTCCGACTCACAACAAACCGCCCACACCCACAACGATCTCCGCGCTCGTGCTGCCGCTCACCGTCAGCTCCAGGCAGACGGGTATTCGAACGATATCCTGAAAGAAACGATAAACTATCTTGATCGCCTTCGATATTCAAATTCCCTCGAGGAGAGCATGCTCGCCGCGGCCGACAGCCGGTTGCCATTCTCGATGGATAACAATTCGTGGCACGACACCGATTTCATACTCTACACACCCAATATCGCGCCTCCGGCAGCCTGCTCATGGCTCCGATCTGGCATGGCCTTCGAGGGCTCCCAGCGAGCCGCGAGTGCGGGATCCTCCATACTCTCGCAGCGAGTCACGAGCCCGCCGGCACCCAGCGATCCCGTCATAGTAAATGACACCGAAAGCAACCCCCGGGCCCCCATTTCCAATTCGAGCAACCGACGGAATACCGTCACCCATCGCGATGAGAACTGGCCCGTCAAAGTCACCATCCACCATATCAATGAGGAGGAGATGACGCTGTCGGGAACGATGGAGGCCTACAACATCCCCGACAAGACCTCCCCTACACATGACGCACACATTGTGACATTCTTGGAGGGCGAGATCATCGATTTCAACAAGCACACGCTGGAGACTAAAAACTTCAAAGCAGATGCCGATATCGATAGTACATACTGGCGACAACTGCAGCCGTTCAAGGACCTGAGTGATGCAGAGATGGCGCGTAATCTCGTCAGCCGAAAATGGATAACGGAAGAATTGTCCAAGGGTTGGATTTTGATGAGATGGAAGGGTGAGTGAAATCCAAAATATTCCCGGCTTTGAACAGTCGCTAACATGACCAGAACGATGCTTTATTACGCCCACGGACGCCCGCCAAGGTTTGACCATCTCCGGATTCTACTACATATCTCTTCGCCGCGAAGACGGACATATCGAGGGTCTTTATTATGATCCCGGAAGTTCGCCATATCAGCAGCTATCACTCAAACCTGAGACGACGAAAATGGTCCGACCGGCTTATGACTTCCGCTGAACGCTTTTGTGTATATCTTCATCTTCTTTTTATCCCGGTCTTTGTTTTGGCCCAGAATCATCTTCTGGGCCCATTTCCCCTAGGCTGTCTTTACACGGTGTTTTGGGAAACCTCAGGCGGTCCTCGACCCAGCCTTTTGCATAGCTGATGGTGTTTATCTCGTCATGGACGAGTCTCTTCTTTGCATATTTTCCGCGAAATAAAACTGACGGTCGAGTCACCGGTTTTGTTTTGTATTGTGCCGAAGTTACACGTACTTTTTGATTCATTTGGTTTTCCAAAGTTGGGATATCAGCTGTCCCTGGCCCAATGTGGCTATCTTTCCGGGGACTGAGTATGGTGTTTTGCGAGGCAATTTGATACTCCCTTTCAGTTCCAATGGATACTTTGTTTATATTCAGGATTGCTCGGTCCATACATGCGTCGGAAGGTTGCGAGTAGCAGGTGAACAAACATTACAGGTTTGTACCCCTTATATCCTAAGGTTGATTGCGGAAGGCCTGCGCCCAAAGAGGAAGCTTACATTCAACATACTAACGAAAATTGCAGCATACTAACGAAGATCGAGCCAAGCCAAGCCCACGATGTACATCTACAGATCCACATAACGCGGGGCCCCGCAAATCGCACCCATGATGTCGCCTTCCGGATTGGAACTAAATCCCGATCTGAGTGCGGCGACTGAACCAATCCCTTTCTTCCGGGCGTGGGCCGTCGGGCTCAAGGTCCAATCCAGCACCAACGTCGGCTAGACCTGGTGATTTTGTCCTGAACTATACTGGCCTGGATGCGGCTCAGGGCTCATATAGTGGAGGTATGTTACACAGCATATCTATCGGCCATGGCCGACTAGAATTACACCGAGAAACGACTTCAGGAATCCGGTGACTTGACATAGAGAGTTTGATCGGGTGGATTGGGGTTCCGACCATGCATAGCAAAACTGAGACAGCAATGCTGAATATTGAAATGTGATAATAGATGGAAAGCCTTAATGCATGGATCATGCATCATAACCTGCTTGAGGTGTTATGAAGACTCGGGAAAGCCGTATTCGTAGAATGATAAGTGGCTTACAAGGCTAGGCAACCTTGGGGGATCGTCTTAACTCGGTTTGATCGGCGCTGCGTGGACTGGCAATAATCCACCTGAACAGTGCCATGTGCAATGAGATCAACATGCAGCGGTGACCCTTGAGGGACAATTGTTCCGCGGAGTATTCCGTACTAGTGATGCATATTGATGATTTTCAGCCCGCAACTGGACTTCAAAGAAGCAAAAAGAGCAAGTCCGGGAAAAGATAGCGAGCATCAATATTGCTCGCTTGCAGATACCGATTGTTCAGAGTGATGAGTAGATCAATCTTCAAAACGTAATGGGAAACAAGAGGATTAGAGTCGATAGGCAAAGACCAAGCTTGGGAATATCCCCGCATCTTCATTAGCTTCTTCGCTCTCCGCTTGTACTTACCAAATGCAGTATATAACCTCGGAGTTGAAGACTTCATTTGAATCCTTTTGGGCTTCTTATCTATACTCATAGCATGCTTCAGCTCTGGTGGGTTCCTGTGGGCGCCGGTGGGGCGATGCGACCAACTAGTATTTAGTCTCCTGCATTTCTTGAGTTTCTGGTGTTTCCCAATCTCTAGTCTTGCAATTGCTCAGCATGCATTGGCATCTCTCTCTGGTGGCAGCCCTAGCAGGCTGTGTTGTTCAGCCCGTTGTCGGCGTGCCTCACCCAACCCAGCAAGAAACATGCAAAAAGACTAAAGTTGCTATTCTGTAAGAGATGCATTGTATCTGCACCAAGTCCTACTTCTCACAAAATCACAGAGGTGGTGGTGTCGCTGGAATAACTGCTGCTGTAAGTTTGGCCCCTTTCTTTACCCCTTCGGCGGTTGCTAATAACCTCAAGCAAGCATTGACCAATGCATCCGTGCATGACTTCATGATCCTTGAGTACCGCGATACCCTCGGAGGCCGAGCCTGGCATAAGCCCTTTGGCAAGGACAAGGATGGAAAGCCATATAATATTGAAATGGGTGCCAATTGGGTGCGTGTACCTCAACCCCTTACGGAAGCCCGTATTAACCATCGCAGGTCCAAGGTCTGGGAAATCCAGGAGGAGCGCAGAATCCGATCTGGGTCTTGGTGGGTCTCGGAAATCTCTTCGATCAAGCTGCCGCTAACCCTGAAGACAGGCGCAAAAGTTCGGGCTGAAGACCCACTACTCTAACTACGATAATGTGTCCACTTACAATAAGGATGGCTACTCGGATTATAGCCATTTGCTGGACTTGTATGAGGATGCATATGATATAGCGAGTCAGAATGCCGGTGAGATTCTCACGCAGAATCTCCAGGATCAGAATGCCAAATCAGGCCTCGCCCTCGCGGGTTGGAATCCCAAGTCAACTGATATGGAAGCACAAGCGGTGGACTGGTGGTCGTGGGGTAAGAATACCATCTTTCGAACACAAGCGCTATGATGCTGACGGGTGAAAAAAGACTTTGAGGATGCTTATTCTCCTCTAGAGAGCTCTCTGGCTTTCGGCTGTGCAGGCGATAACTTGACCTCAAACTATTTCAGTGATCATGACAACTTTGTGCTTGATCAGCGCGGTTTCAATATGATTTTCAAGAAGATGGCCGCGACTTTCCTGCAGAAGAATGACCCTCGCCTTCACTTGAACACTCAAGTCACCAACATCACCTATTCAGACGACGGGGTGACAGTCCACAATAAAGATGGTAGCTGCGTAGAAGCAGACTATGCAATCGTCACATTCTCTCTGGGAGTTCTTCAGAACGATGCCGTCCAATTCTCCCCCAAGCTCCCCGACTGGAAGCAGGAGGCTATCCAGAAATTCACCATGGGAACCTATACCAAGATCTTCTTCCAGTTCAACGAGACATTCTGGCCCTCAGAAACCCAGTACCATCTCTATGCGGACCCCGTCACCCGTGGCTGGTACCCGATCTGGCAATCTCTTTCCACTCCAGGCTTCCTCCCAGACTCCAACATCATCTTCGTGACCGTGACCAACGAGTTCGCCTACCGTGCCGAACGCCAAACCGACGAAGAAACCAAAAAGGAAGCAATGGAAGTCTTACGCAAAATGTTCCCCGAGAAAGATATCCCGGAACCGACTGCCTTCATGTACCCACGCTGGACCCAAGAGCCTTGGGCCTACGGCAGTTACTCCAACTGGCCCCCCGCGACTTCTTTGGAGATGCACCAGAACCTGCGCGCCAATGCAGGCCGGCTTTGGTTTGCCGGTGAGGCGACTAGCCCGACATTCTTTGGTTTCTTGCATGGTGCATACTTTGAAGGTCTGGATGCCGGTCGACAAATCGCCGCTGTGATGCAGAACCGGTGTGTCAATGCCAACTCTACTAAGTTGAGAGAGTGTGGTCCTCGCAAGCACTATGAGACTCTTCATGGCACCTCGCCGTATTCTGACTATACCATGATCAATGGCTGGGCAGTCAACAGTTTCATCGACACTAACACTGACTGATATACACTGCGCAGTGCGCACCTACGTAGATAAGTCATCGACCTTTCACCTGTTCGTCATTATAGACATGGGGCCTTGACTGTTTCAATCCTGAAAGATTCACGAGGTCGAACATAAAACGATATGCTACTCCGTACATTATGCTACATGAATCAAGTCGAATTTCTTCTTGAGTCATTTGGAACTTCTCGTACTCTTCCAACCTTGGAAGATTGCTGCTCGATCTTGTAGGGTAACATAGTAATTAGCCCTCAGGGGAATGACTGGGGTTTGAAATTCAGAGAAGTGGCACTGGATTACTTGAAAACTTTGCTTCTGCCTCGCAGCATCGGCCCATAGGCTCTGAATACAAACGGGATTGGAATCATGATGGCAGCCAAGCATCCTAACAACGTTCCAGCCCACTGAATTCCCAGATTCTGAAACATTTGCCTGGAGAAAAGAGGGAACCCTGCAGCCACCGCCGATCGAAGCATGACATTTGCAGCAACAGCTGAAGCAGCGCTATACCAGGCCTTGTCAGACAATGCTTTCGAAAAGGCTAGCGAATGTACTCACATTGGTAGGTAAGAATCAACGATATAGTTGAAACATGGAAGGAAAATGCACACAACTCCAAACCCAATAAAGATGCCGGCTGTAGCGGGCGCGGCCCAATGTATACTGGGGGTGAAGCCCGTCCATCCAAACCTGACGAAAGAAGTTAGCAGGTGAAGCCCGAGAAACAATTGAATGAACTTACCAGAAAAGACCAATTGTAAACACAGGTGCTCCAAGCAGGGTAGGACCAAGACGCCACTCAGGCACTGGTACACCTTTGTTCTCCGCAAGCTTCTTTGCGTATGGGATTTGCAAAAGCACAATGAATGTACAAGCCAATCCTACACCAATGATCAAACCGATGAACATTAGCCCGGCAATACCTGGGCTCATCCCATACACGGTTTCGAAGACGTATGGATATGCTTCAAGAAGGGCGTAAACCAGGCCATAGATGAAGGACATGTAGAGAGAGACAACGAGGATGATCGGCTCCATGAACAGTAGTTTCAAAGGTCGCATGAAATACTTCTCTGCAAGATTCGAGAAATCAACCTCGACCTTCTCTTGTCTGGCATGTATGCCCCAGTTTCCAGACTCATTGCGAATGCGAACGGCCTTTGCGACGAGCAAGCAGGGAGGAAATGTCTCCTTCAGAAAGATAGCACTCACAGCCCCGTTCACCAAGCTCAGAATAGCAGGGATGTAAAGCGTCCACCGCCACCCAAGGTGGCTAGACGCAATAAACCCACCGACAAAGGGGGCCATGAACGGTCCGACAAATACCGACAAGGCGTAAACCGAGATGGCTATCCCGCGTGTCGAATTGTCGTACAAATCCGCCAGTACTCCGGGCACAACACTGAACTGGCTGGCGCCACATACTCCAGCGAAGAAACGGCAAATAATCAATGTTTGAGGATCTTTTGCGACTGCAGACGCAATGGTAAAGATCCCACCACCAATCAACGCAGCTGTCAATGGCCATTTCCTCCCTTTTAGCTCAGACGCCGGGGCCCATATCATGGGCCCGAAGGAAAAGCCCAAGACGTATAAGGTAGTTCCTAAGGTGGCGACAACGGTACTGATACCGAAATATTTGCTTGCTTTATCGATTCCCGGTGCGAAGATTGCGCTTGTAAGTGAAACTATGAAAGTTCCTGAACATACGAGGATTGAGATGAACAATCTATCATGCGTTAGTTGGCATTTCAGGTGTCATACTCCATTGAGGTGATTTACTTGGAAGAAAGTTTCCAGTTCTGTGGATGATCGGGATCATCAAGGCCATTGAAGTCTACCGCATAGTTTTCTGAGGCTGGCAGAGGTGCTGGAAATGGCTTGCTCAAACCGATGGGCGATTTCTCGTCCATTCTGAAACCACTTTGTTGGTGTATTATTTAGTTAGGTATATACTCGATAGAAATATTACTCTATTTAAGAGTCAATTGGAATGAAAAATGTGTAAAAAGTGTGTCACAGCAACTTACTAACCGATAGACTGCGGGAATTGCGGACGTCGCCCAGGCCGGATCTGACTTCTGTAGTAGCTCGGGTATTGCGGATCTCGGGTCGGGGAGATCAAGATACGGAGTCGACTTCCAATCTTGAGACTACCTAACACAAGCTCTTTGACTTGATCAAGAAACTGCTCCAGGCACCCAGGGCTGGTATATGTGCTGACCGAATTTCTTGTTTGGTCTCATCCATCTATAAAATCTGGACCATCCATCATATCCGCATTGAGAAATTGATCAAGGTCTACTTTTTGCAACCCAGGAAGGTCGGCAACAAGGGCACCCAACCAAGAGTACTCCTCAGCACTAGGAATATCTTGTGGGGACGGTCCCAAGGGAGGCTCTTGCAGTCCCAGATCGAGGGATTGGTTAAATATAGCTATGTCGTCTTTTCGGCGCTGTTGGTGAAGCATCACGAGCAAACGGGCAGCACTCCAGGCTTCTCGCATGCTGTCTGTGTCGTATGTGGATGCAACAAGTTTCAATGTCTGCATTGCTTCAGGAAGCATTGACAGTGATGGCCTTGTGTCCATGACAAGCAGAACACAGGTGATTTGAAATGGGACATTTGCCATCTGATGCCAGGGACTATAGCCCAACACCATGGTGCGTGCGCAATCCAGAGCCTTTTTCAGTAAGATTAAAACCCTGTCCGCAAGATGAGAGGGTATATCTAGACTTTGAGTGTGGATCCGTCTGAGTATGCAAAGAACAAGATTGCACTGTGCCATGATCGAGGGAGCCTCGACGTGATACCCATTGAGCGTGTTGGATAGTGTCGCTTCCAGATCTACTTCGTTTTCCTTCGAGTTTCCTGGGTCCAGGCTTGCAGATACAGGCAAGAGGCCCAGCACCTCGTGGGTGAAGTCCCCCGGCTGAACTGACGGGGGCAGTGGCAGGTCATCCTTTTGGAAAGATACCCTGGATAGACCAAGATCGTAAGAAGTCCACATATTGAGATGCTGGGCCACCCCGAACAATCTTCTTCTAATATCCGGGTCGCAGCTTGTGGTGCAGCTGCGTGGAAACACAGAATCCGCTGATTCTCGATGGAATCCCGCGGCCTCGATGAGGTGCATCAATTTTGAACTTTCCATCCACGTGGCATGGGGCAGGTCTGTGATCCGCATGTATATGACCCGCAGTGTCCATCCAGTTAGGAGATCTACTGGAGGCGTACCTGACAAGACTTGCCGTTCTAGCGTGGAGCACGCTGACGCGACCAGGTGCATTTCGGTCATAGTCATGTTGCGTTGGGAGAACAAACATCCTATTGCGGTAACACCACCGATCACACTGTCATATAGCTCATTCGTAAAGGATGACTTCCATCGAGCGGTTAGTCGCTCGAAAAATCGAGAGCGGTTGATGAATCCATAACAAGGGTGCACCTTCTCAAAGTAGACCTGGGCCAAACTTTTCATGTGTTCCAGAGACGTGATCTCAGTGATCGTGAGTGCCGAACCAACGCTTTCGAGCTGCGAGGAAAGATTTCGTTTGCCAATGTTCCAGCCGAAAAGACTCAATTTGGGAGCTTTAGCAGGGTCGATCTTCAGGCCCATCTTGCGCACAAACGCAGCCCCGGAATTAGCCTCCAGACGGCGGACTAGTCCATTCCCATCGGCCGGGCTCTTATACGGGGAGCTTGGCCCTGGAGCGACCTCTGTAGGAGTCTCTCGGTGTTGGGTGGTGCGCCTTCGTCGGGGCTGACGATCGTAGTAGCAATCATAGGCCCATTCGCGGCAGGTACTGCAAGGCTCATCACCATCGCATTTTCTTTTGCGTTCTCGGCATGGCTCGCATGCCATTCGCGCGCGTTTGCGCTTGACCTCCGATTGCGACATGGTTTGGAGATCTCGGGGGATAGCGCGGGTGTTGCGGAATTGGTGGAAAAGGGGGCGGACTCTGTATGGATGTTGACTCCCTGAAATGGAATTATCGAGTCAAGTGGGGGTTTTGCATCCTTTTGCTTGAATCTGACTCATCTGCAGATGCTTGGAAGTTCCCCAGTCAATCGAAGGGCGTGTGTCCCAGGACGTGTTTGCGTGGATATTGCGGGAATGGATGACGTCGATACCTCGGTTATAGTCTCTTTTCTTTTGAACTCACCTTTCGTATGATATTGTGATCATTTCACATTTCATTCTATCTACAGAGATACACACTCATGGCGCGAAACTTGCTCTCTCGCTATCCCTGGGTGGTCAGCCCATTCGTGGTCAGCGCCCCAATGAAAGTCATGTCTGGCCCAGCACTCGCTGTCGCAGTGTCTCACGCAGGTGGACTAGGATTCATCGGACCGGGTGCAAAGACACAAGACACGACTAACGACCTGGAGAAAGCATCAGTACTCATCAAGGGTGCCAATGCCATACCGACAACCAGTTCCGCGTTACCCGTTGGCGTAGGATACCAACTATGGGCCGATGACGTTGGAATTGCTGCTGCCGCCATTGAGAAATACAAGCCCTGTGCTGTTTGGTTATATGCGCCGAAGCAAGGATCCAAGGACTACAGCGATTGGTCTAGCAGGATCCGACAGGCTTCCCCCGAAACCCAGATCTGGATTCAAATCGGTACACTTCAGGAGGCAAAGCAGCTTCTCCAGCTTTCTGAGCAACCGGATGTCGTTGTGGTGCAGGGTGCTGAATCCGGTGGTCATGGTCGGGCAAATGATAGTATGGGTTTGATGTCGTTGTTCCCCGAGGTGGCAGATGCCATGGCAAGCAGCCGGATCCCTCTCTTTGCCGCTGGCGGCATTGCCGATGGAAGGGGTCTTGCTGCAGCGATGTGTCTGGGTGCTTCGGGCGAGGTGATGGGAACTCGATTCTTGGCCGCCAGTGAGGCGCGTATCAGTCGAGGCTATCAGGATGAGGTCGTGCGCGCGTCAGACGGTGCGGTCTCCACGACTCGTACGCTTCTTTACAACCATCTCCGAGGCACATTCGGGTGGCCCGAGGAGTACAGCCCCCGCACAATCGTGAATCAATCTTATGTTGAGCAGCAACAAGGGAAACCGTTCGAGGAACTTCAAAGTCTTCACGATGAGGCTGCCAAGGCGGGTGATAAGGGCTGGGGCCCCTCTGGAAGACTTGCGACTTATGCTGGCGCTTCAATTGGGCTCATACATGATGTCAGGAGCGCGGGTGATATTGTACGTGAGACTCAACACGAAGCTCTTGAAAGACTTCAGCAACTATTCCCCCACAAGAATTGAACCACTTCAGCTGGTTATACTTGTCAGGCAGGTTCTGTCAAGCTCTAAGGGTGACTGAAATCTTTCCTACGCAAAGACCTCGGAGATCATTCAAGAGGAAGCAGTTCAATCCAATGCATCTTTGTCGCACCTTCACACTCAATAGTAGCAATCAAATAAACAAAACTACCCATGCTATTGGCTCATATCGGACAAGAAATTGCTCAGAATGAGCGATCTTGATGAATTAGGATCCTATGGATCACAATACTTCAATTACCTGCAGAAGCCTGCACCAGACATTGGAACTTGGCTTTTTTTTTTTTTTTTTTTTTTCTTTCGACTTGACATCTGGAACATAACGACAACATTGCTTTTGGACCAGAAACGGGTCTGGTAAAGACAGCCAGACAACCCAGGGGTATCAAACATTATTCTAGACCATTAGCCGGCAGCGCACCTCATAGTGGAGTCTCAGGTAGCTCCGAGGAATTCCATCATCCAGGCTTCGTCAATCGGGTGCAAATAACCAGGAGGCAGTGCATTGGGCTGGATCAAGTTCTCGTCAATTTCGTTCGCAGGCATAGACATTCCCCAGAGATCGAACAATTTTGGCTCCCAGTTGGACTTCAATGCTTCCATCATTTTAAGTCCCTTCTCGAGCAGATTGATATCTCGTCCTTCTTCGGAATGGAGGTATTCCGGGTACTCTTTGACCGCTGCTATGGCGCTGTTCAAGAAGTCGAGAATGTTGGCCGTTTCTTGAACAAAAGACTTGCTCCAGGCGGGATCTTCCAGTGTGGTCAACCTGTAGAGATTGAGAATGGCTCGGGCCCACTGGAAGAAGACAACTGAGGACACTTGCATGTACTCAACTGCCTTCAAATCTAGCCAGACATCTAGCCAGGATTGCGTTGCTAGGAGAGAGGCATAGAGCCTCTCGATGCGTTCGAGATCAGGTAGATGGGGGGTAACGGAGGGGTCGAGTGCGAGCTCATTGATTGTAAACTCGGCACTGTAAAAGTACAACTGTATGGCCCCTGTATGATGTCAGAAACGCCGCCGGGCCGTCGGGTGCGAGGAACTTACTGTGAAGCTGAACATTGCCTGGAATTTCCTGCTTCACGGCGTCGAGTTGCATTTGGAACGTTTTCAAATAGAAGGAAGGGGGGTTGATGGTTTCGCCATCACGTCGAACATGATACATTCTGTCCAGGACCAAGTAAATCTTGACCATCGCCACCAGAATCTCATCTTCTAAGCACTCTTTCGCCTCGGTGAGTACTGACAGACTTTCTTCCATGTGTGGTGTCCACCGCATGGCGTCAATCCGAGACAAAGAAATTGCAGTACTAAAGGACCATGAGTTAGAAAATCTTTGTGGCAGGGTTATTGGTTCGAGTACTTACCTGGATGATATCAAGAAGCAGCCCAACACGGCTCGCCGCTCTTCAAGTGTCCTGATCCCGGATTCATTTCGCTTCATGCCGATGGCAAACTTGAAATCCTGCATGATAGAATTTGACCCCGACGCTGACTGATTGATCCCAAGTTCAGCGACCAACCCCATCAGCATGTGGACATAGGAGTTTAGGAAAGGCTTCTTCGAGTATGCACCCCTAGGTCATGATTAACGGTTGCTTCTCACCAGTGATTGGGGAATTCCTTTGTACATACCATGATATGAAGGTCATCATCCCAAGAAGAAGATCCATACTGGGTGCGGCATCGACCATGACTCTCTGGTGAATGTATTTGGCGATTCTTCCGAAGCAATCTCCCTTGCCCGCGTCTAGTGGAGTAAGCACTTCCATGATGCAAACCCAAAAGAACGGCAACTTATCCTGAAGTTGATCAGAGGTCATGTCGGGTGGGATGTAGGCGAAGGGGAGATATTGCAGGTGATGGGTGCGGAACTGATCGAGGTATTCCTGGGCCATGGCGGGTGGGACGTACAGCAGCGACAAGACTTCATTGCGGGCAGGTAGAAAAGGTGCTGCGAATATCTCTTTGTTGCCAGTAGAGGAAGATGATATGCTTGTGGGAGTTGGAGCCGCTCCTAACTTAGACTGGTCGAAGCCATCATATTGGGTCTGCGCAAGAGCCGTAGGATCCCAATTCGGCAGTCCCGGGGCTGTACTTCCTTGAAGCGTAGGCAAAGTAGCCAGAACATGATCCACCTTAGCCTCAAGTTTGGCGATTTTGGCAGCCGATGAACGCTGGTTGGGCCTCCGGACTCTCGGCGCCGGCTGGCAGTCTTTCTTTAGACGTTTGCATCTATACGATCGTCAGCTCGGTGTCGGCATACTTACCACCAAACATCACTCACCTTTCACAGGCACCGCCCGGTTCAAGCCGAGTACAACTGCACTTGGCACGTGCACAGTTCTGGCACGCATGGCCATACGGTGCAGGGGTCCCTGCCGGATGTCGAGCGGGATTCATCCCGATGTCCGTTAGGTAGGGTTCGGGACTAGGAAGGTGTAAACACTGGGCAACGAGGCCACTGAAGCGCAAAGTAAGATAGATGAGGGTGGATATTATCCCAGTCGCTTCAAATGAACGATGATCATGGATAGCCCTGGAGAGAGAGAAGCCTGCCCTCCTCAGGTGTCCTGGGTGTTCAAGAGACACGGACGGGGTTGGTGCCAAACCCGGTTCAATCCATGGATCCACCAATGGCATCTTGGCATGCTTATTTGGGTATCTCAGCCCTAACTGAACTTACGTGCCAACCTTGGAAGGGCAGTTGAACTCGAGACCAGACGTTCAGACAGAGCCAGGTATGATTTTTTGGCTTAGATGTAAACCATGCTGTGAGGGAAGTGGGAGTTGACAGCCATGGCCATGGTCTCATTTGCCTTGTCCTGCTAACCGGGCCCTGTGAGAGGTGAGTGATGTACAACTGTTCCTTTGTAGTAGCGGCCGCCACTCAACTGTCGTCAAGTTGGGTGCAGGTCGCAAAGAGCAGCCCTGGAGTGTTACAGGTCCTAAGATTACTTCAATAGAGAAATGGTTGTCAAGTAGACAAAATGCCATTGTTGTCGCACACCCGAGCAAACGGGGCACGACAAAAGACTAGGTATATCGCGGGATTCAAAGGGAGACATCACATTCCACCAAAAGTCAAACGATCCATCCCGATCCTCAATCCCAGCCACAAACCCATCACCCTGACACCTAACTACTCACAGCCTGCGTAGACAGAATCTACTGCTCGGTCTGGAAGTAGTTGAGGAGGACAGAGCGCTCCTGGGACTCCTCACCCCAGTCCTTGACAACGACGCAAGAGCAGTTGACAACCTTGCGGGCGTTACCCTCACGGTCGAGAGTGCCTAGGCGGGATTAGCAGTGCGGAAAGGTGGAAATCCATGGAGAAAACTTACAGAGACCGACCCACTCGCCGAGCATCTTTCCGTCGGGAACCTTGATGAGGGGGATCTTGTGCTCGGAGCAGAGAGCGACAACGAGCTTCTTGTAGGCCTCCTCCTCGCAACCCTCGTTCAGGACACACATGTGGGCCTCACGGCGGTCGAGAGCCTTGGCGGCCTCACGGAGACCACGGGCAAGACCGTCGTGGATGAGGGAGATGCGCAGAACACCCTTGAGGGCGTCCAGGACGGACATCTGGCCAGAGCCGGCATCGGCAGAGACCTCGACCTCGTCGGCAGGGGCGATGGGGGATGTGGGCTCTTCTCCGTCCGACTGTGATTGTTGGTTAGTATGATTTTTGGTGGGATAGACGTGAGGGGGCCATTCAGAGATTCAGATTCAACATGCAGCCGACGACAGCGAGCCCCGCGGGACTGTTACCGGCGTATGTTGAATCTGGTCTCAATTGTCGCGAATGGGGATGTGAAGGCATAGTAGGAGGTATATGGCGGTAGACATACCATTTTGATTGCTGTTTATGCTTGAATCGGATGATCCTCGAAGAGAAGCTGAGTTAGATGGAGGTTAAAAGGTGGTGCGGGCGGCGCAAAATTTCCCGCTATTTCTTGAATTTTTCGGCTGTGTGTGCCCTACTTATGTCATCGATCCTTTGTCGTTATGTAATCCGCTGGTGGTCATGTGACTTTGCCTCAAACGGCAGGTCCACGGGTCACAGTTGCTCAATCGTCGAGTGTAGACGGAGTACTTAGGAAATACTCTTACATTTTACTAAGGGCGTATGTTGAGTTTGAACTTCTTGTTGACGCTAAGAATACAAGATTCCATCAGCAACCACAGGGACCGCTAAAAAGGCCCGCGAACTATCAAGTGATAGTCGATTCGTCAGAGAAACGCAAGAGGTATCATAATCGTACAATCAGAATCCGCCTGTACACCTCGCAGCATGGCTGCCATCGCGGCTAGCGAAACGCTTGAAAAATAAAAAGTTAGACGTATGTACTCGACCGAGAATGGCCAAAGCCATTAATCGACCCGGTGCCGTTCGTTTCAGCAGAGTCCGGGCCGTGGCCGTTGGTGTGAGCGACTGGCGGCTCAGGGTCGACGTGCATGCTCAGGAACTGAAGCTCGAGACCGTGCAGATGAGGAATGTGAGGAACAAGATCGGTAAAATCAGAAAGCTAGGTAATTGTTAGTGGAATTCAAGTTGATTGTCGGTGGGAAACTCACTCTGATCCAAAAGACATGTTCCATCTCAAAGTACTTGGGTCTGGTTTCACAATCCTGTTGCATGACCTGCCCGATGCTCGAGTCGGCAAGTGATTCCGTGTAGTTCAGCATACGGCGGGTGACTCGCCATAGATTCACGCGCTGGGTTGGGGTTGCCCTGCGCTTCTCCCAGCTGGCATACTGTGAAAGCTGTAAATCGTTGGTAGCTAGAAGAGGTGCGACGAGGTAATTGGGTATCCATTTCTCGTCCGCCACATCCACAGCGCAGCCAGGGTCCAGTTGACGAGTGCGCGCAGTAACAAGAGGCATGAAGGACTGGAGCCAGTCATGGCTTTTGGCACGAGGGTCATGAGCGCCTACTAGGTCGGCCGCAACCCGAAGACGATCGGGAAGGGCTTCGCGGCGTTGTTTCTCTTGAGCTTCACGATCGCGGCGCACCTTGGCGATACGAGCGCGTTCTTGCTCCAGTCGCTTAATTCGATCGTCATCAGCTTGTTTGGCGCGTCTTTGATCGGCCTCCTTGCGCTTGCGGTCTTCTTCTTCGGCCTTCTCGCGGGCGATTTGGGCAGCTCGGTCGGCTTCCTCTTTGGCAAGTCGTTCTCGCTCGGCTTCGTCAGCGATCCGCTTGTCATCTGCGGCGCGCTTGTCGTCCGCAATGCGCTTATCATCGGCAGCTCGCTTCTCGTCAGCGATGCGCTTGTCCTCTGCAATACGCTTGTCCTCAGCAATGCGCTTATCTTCTGCAGCACGCTTGTCCTCAGCGATGCGCTTATCTTCCGCAACACGCTTTTCGTCGGCAATCCGCTTGTCGTCCGCAAGACGTTTCTCATCGGCAGCTCGCTTGTCATCTGCGATGCGCTTGTCTTCGGCGGCACGTTCGTCTTGTGCCTTCTTCTTAGCCTGTGCCCGACGCCGTTCCTCAGCCTCCTGCTCCGCACGCTTCGAATCCGCATCAACCGTTGTATGATCTGCGTCACTCATATGCACATCCTTTATAGAATCGTGAGCAGGTGAGGGAGGACGAGTGGAAGGTTTCTTAATTTCAGGTTTCTGAGAGTCTGGGCGCGTGGGTTCTTCTTGTCGACGGGGTTTCTGGTCATCCGACCGCGGGACGCCATTAGCAGCGTGGTCTTCCGACACGTTTCGTCTCTTCTTGGGGCGTGAATCGGGGGATAAGCGGCCACTTTCTGTGCCGCGGGAACGAGAGCGTTCTGGGGAGCGGTCGGGGCGGATACGCTTTAAGGAGAGGTTGTTGTCTGCTTCGCGTGGTCTGGGTGCTTCATCACGCCCAGATAAAGAGTCTGAAGAGAAAAGACTGGCTCTGCGTTCCTGCGGCCGACGGCCGGGGATGAGGCGGCGCTTTTTCACTTCGTCGTTTCGAGCCATCCCACTTGACTCACTGTCAGGTCTAGCTGATGTGGATGACTTTGTTTTGGAATCAGATGGTCGTGAAGGGTCGTCTTTTTGGCGCTTTTCTTTCATGTGATCGAGGTCTTTCAAGGGATCACGGTTGCGATTGATGGTGGGGCTGGTGTTGATCTTTTTGGTGCGGACGGGGGAAGAGGAACCTCTGCGCGCGGCACGTTTGTCGTCTTTCTCTTTACGTGCCCGGCGGGGTGAGTCGTCTTTCCTACTCTTTTCTCCCGGGAACTTCTCATACGCGTCTTTCAGGATTTGGTACTCGTCCTCCCAGTTTTCACCCATTCGACCTCGCGACAAATCAAAGTATGTTCGATCTTCGAAGAGCCGACGAGTGGGGTTGAAACCAGGCTGACTCAGAATCAACTGAATCACAGCACTGTTTCCTCGACCGATCGCAGCCAGCATGGGCGTGTTGTAACCTGGTTTTTGACCACGCAGTGGGTTTGGGTCGGCGTCGGCGTTCCCCATTGCGTACAGAAGAGAAAGCACGTCATGGTGACCGCCTTTCGCTGCAGCAATCAAAGATGCATTATCAGCCTTCTGCAAGATATTCAGAATGCTAACCACCCCAGCCTCATCGCCTTTTGCGGCAAATTCGCGAAGATTCTCAAATGTTGGTTTAGTCCACAACAAATCGTTTCTTGTGGCTTCGCCTCGTCCACCTTTTCGTCGATTGGCGGCAGAGCCTGCGGGGGGGGGACTGCGCATGGGAGGTGATTCTCGAGGGCTAGTCGCCGACCCTCTCGCTGCAGATGCCCGCCGTGAAGACGGTTCCTTGCTCTCTGGTCTCGTGTGTTCCTCAGAGCGCCTCCCGGGCCTCAAGTTGGCCTTGGCATCGGCCAACGCCTTTCGCATTTCTTCGTATTCATCATCGTCGACAAAAGATGGAACAAGCTCAAAGGGTTCGTCGCCTTCCGCATTTACAGTTCGTGGGTTGGCACCTGCATCAAGCAAGAGCTTCACGACCTCCACATTTCCGTTCTCCACAGCATCGATCAACGGGGTGTCTTTGTCGATGTTCTTCGTGTTGATCTCACATCCTGCCTCAAGCAGGAACTTGACGATCTCGGCTTCACCAGCAAGCGATGCTATTTGCAGGGGGGTGTTGCCTGCATTATCGGGAATATTAATATCTTCAGGTCGTTCCGCGTGTCGCATCATGACTTGATCATGCTTTCGATCTGCGCACGCTCGCGCAAGAGGAGTCCGGCCACTCTTGTCGCGCAACTTCTTTGGTCCCATCTGCTTGGCAGGCGATGCAGATGCGCCTGCTCCCGATCCAAGCTTGCGCAAGTGGGGAGCACCAGGAAGTGGTGAGCCACTCGTCGAAGAATCAGTCGACTGTCGATCTTCAGAGCTGTGTCGTCCGAATCCCGTGAGCAGGGGGGTCGGTGCTTTCTTCTTGCTTGGAAACTGGGAACCTGAAGCAGACCGTTGGTGAGATCGACGATTTGGTGACAGCGATCGTGTATTAGATGGCGGCCTGGACAGACGGGTGTTGTTATTGTGCTTCAGTTCCCGGGCGGGGTGGGCAGCATGAGAGTGAGCGCGACGGCGCTCTCTCTCTTCCTCGGCGCTATCGCTGAAGCTTCGCTTTCGGAAGGCGCGAGGCCTCGCATGATCGATTCCATTTACACCTTCCGTCCCGGGCAATGCATCATCGACCTTCTCGATCTTAACCATGGATGGCGAAATCTCTCGATGGGGCGAACGAGTGCGTTCTCGTTCGGTGAGAACTCGAGGTTTCGTCCGCTGTCCATCGATTCCATTGGTTTCTCGGCGACTCGGGTCGTGCTTTATGTGTTTCCTTTTCTTCTCTGGCGACAAAGACTCTCGGCCGGATTGGATGATGGTTTCCGCCTCCGAGTCCGCCCTGGGACTGGGAGGACCTTCCTGCACATTACCATTATTAGACCCCTCGTCTACCCGGTGGGAGTCTCCATCTCCCGATGAAAGCGCAACAGGATCGGGCTTCACCGGAGCAATGTTCTGACCGACGTCCAGGGCAGCTGGGAAAGAGATCGCCTCGACATCACTCATAGCGATAGCACTCGGAGATTTGAACTGCCGCTCGTCATTTTGGGGCAAACGCGACCGACAAAACGACCGGGGTCGACAACGCCAGATGTCGGACGCCGATCCTCGGCCACGGGGGGTCGCCAAAGGGAGAGAACGTGGGAAATATCGCTCGATCGGGGAGCGATAGTGTAATTTGAGGAATTACGGGTGGGGAGTGTGTAATTTAGGTGGTGAGTTATAGGTCTCAACCGAATAGGGAGGGAAGAAAGAGAAGGGAAGAAGGAAAAGCGGGAAGGGAAAGGAATGGGACTGGACTTTGGGGGGGTGGGCTCCTCACTGGGTCAAGAGTGGCCACAGGTGAATCATCGAGCTGCTCGAGTTTGAGCTGGAATTTACGACTGAAAACATACTACGCCGTATTAAGGAGAAACAGAGCTTGAAGGATTGAAATCTTAAAATTACTCGACAGCTCCAATCATCCGAAGTGAATACGGGAAATGCGAATAGACGACACCGTCGTCCCAACTGCGAACGAAAGGGCCTTGGGCCGCTAGTCCATTTCCAGCGGATGCAAAATTGGCAAACAGTGCAAACAGTGCAAATGCCACCATCCACTAGGGCCCAATCGGGACTAGAGTACCACTGTTTGGCCACTCAGAGCATCAGCCCATATCGGTCGACAGCTCGTACCTGTCGTGTGCTCTAGGCAGCTCTTTTTATGTGACATCTAGATTGAGTCGAACATCTTGCTTCGGACGCATTACATCGTGAGTGTGAATAGGAAGCCCCGTGGGTTCTATCATCCAATTCACCTCGGCCGAGCTAACTCCAGACAAAAAAAGGGCGGGGGCTGGCTGTCTCCACAACTGAAAACACCTCAAGATCGATCTCACATGGCCAACTTAACTGCGCGAGTCCTATAGTCCCATCATACCCCCCTTGCCATGTCTTTAAGCGCCTGGGTCGACCAGGCCCTGGAGGTCACCGGTATGGACGCGGTGGACGCTCTTCGCGCGTTCTTCCTGCTTGCCGCCGCCACCGTATGTCCTGCACCGTGATAGGGAACTGCAGTAACTAACGAACCTAGACGATCACAATCAGCATCCCAGCCTCTCTTCGCTCACGCTTCCTGGTCTACGGACCACGCGCAAGCTCGACACAGGCTTCCCCGCCGCAAAACAAGGGTCTCCTGGATACCCTGGCCACTTGGCAAGTCCCGCACAGCTACTTCACCCAATTCTATATTGCTTCTGTAGTTTCGTCCGTCTTCTGGGTCGCCCAGATCTCATTTCGGGGGGTGCTATTCCAGGCTATCGCCACGCGCGTTAGCGAGGAGCATCGGCCCAGCATGTCGATTACACAGCTGGTGATCTGCTGCGTCCTATTGTTTATGCAGGGTTCGCGCAGGCTCTGGGAATGTATTGCATTCTCAAAGCCCTCGTCCTCGCGCATGTGGTTCGTCCATTGGCTTCTTGGTCTGAGTTTCTATCTTGCTACTGGAGTGGCGATTTGGATTGAGGGGTCAGGCGTGCTGTTGACGAGAGATTTGTCGATTGCGCATTTCCAAATGACCAATGCGCCCAGCTTGAGAACTTTCGCGATCGTGCCGCTATTTCTGATCGCGTCCGGGCTGCAGCATGATTCTCATCACTATCTTTCCTCCCTGAAAAAGTACACGCTACCTGAGCACCCTATGTTCCGAGGTGTGGTCTGCCCCCACTACGGTGCCGAATGTGTGATCTATCTTTCTCTTGCGTTGGTGGCTGCCCCGCAAGGTGAATGGATTAACAAGACTATGCTGTCTTGTTTTGTCTTTGTGGCTGTAAACTTGGGTCTCACGGCGAGGAATACCAAGGAGTGGTATGCTTCAAAGTTTGGCAATGACTCGGTCAAAGACTGGTGGTTTATGGTCCCTTATGTCTACTGATTCAGACACGAGGTCGTCCCGAGTCGTGGGGCTGATCACCTCAAAAACTTCATAGTATTACCTATCTTTGCAACATGACGCACATCTCGATATGTGAGACTCGTCCTTGTCTCACGCTCACACCATCCACAACTGTAGGCTTCCTTGTCCCGTAGGAGGTCCCAATTGCAGATCAACTCTGGGCCGAGATTTTCGTCTCTTGCCGTTTCTGCAATGCCATGCAGCAGATCAGTGTACATCTGGTTTTTGGTAACAAGCAAGCTTCGCCTCTCTTGCAAGATGCTGTATTTTGGTCGATTGGTCGCGAGCTCGTTTGTTTCTTTGTCTTGACCAATGTGCTTGTCGTAAAATTCCAATACGATTGGTGCGCCCAGGCTCACTGTGGCGACGATAGGATGGTAGGCTGCACCATCTTCGTGTGGCATAATCCCCTGTCCAGGGCGGTACTCGTTTACGAGGACATGATTTGGTGTTTTGTGGGGTGACTCGTTGAATATGCCCAGTTCTTGGAAGCGAGGCTCAATGATGGGAGCTCTGAGCCAAGCTGGCAGTGGTGACGCCAGAAGGGCATTGCTTTTTGTTAGCGCTGATGGCCATGTCTGGAGTCTGCGGTGGGAGAGCTGGGTCCAGCGTGGAAGGGGCGCTGCTTTCACCTGTGTATCCCATGAGCAATCTATCTTGGTAGAATAATAGATGGAAATCTGGAATCATTCTTTTCTAAAACAGATTGATCACATGGATGTATATTTTTCCACGTATACGAGCTTTGAAACACGAGCCAATTCATGACCATATGTCGAAGCATCAAGCCAGATGAAAATGCATCCTTACATACCTTGCTAAGCAGCCAGTCTTCTTCGTCCTCCGTAATGAAGTCGGAAATATAGAAAGCTTCATCGGGCAATGCAGTGATGCGCGCACTCTCAAGGTTGAACGTCATCGGCTTTGTGTTCCCATATCAACACGTCTGGGTGGGTATGAGCTAACCGATGTTTCCTATCTTTCGATGGTACGGATGCTAGTAAAAATAGCAGACGAAGAGAGCACTCGGCGCAAGAGAACAAGGGGAAATGCCCAGTGCAGGTCCACGGGTGTAGATGTAGTACAAAGCGCGACCCCACGTCACTTTCCGCCTTACAGCCTGAGGCACTGGGCACCCACCCCACATCAATCCTCAAGAGAAAACAGCAACTTTCCACGTTACGATGGCTCCTAAGAACAACGCCAAAGCCGGCAAGGGCAAGGGGAAGGATGCCACCGAAGACAAGGGCAAGGGCGGGAAAGCGGCTGTGAAGGGCGCACAGTCGATTAACGTCCGCCATATTCTTGTATGTGGCTCTTCTGCATTTCTATGCTTGGGATTTGGTCTCTTGATCAAATTTAGTGGCGAAGGTTGCATAGGGAGTACTAATGAATTGAACGCAGTGCGAGAAACACGCTAAGAAGGAAGAGGCGCTGGAGAAACTTCGCAATGGAACCAAGTTCGACGAGGTTGCTCGTGAGTTCTCAGAGGATAAAGCTAGACAGGGTAAGTAAACTCCATTCTCATTCCTCGGCGATGTTGAGCTAGAAACGAAAACGAGGCCCGCTAACATCTATCTTGCAGGGGGCGCCCTCGGATGGAAGACCAAGGGCGGACTTGACCCGGCATTTGAAGCTGTTGCCTTTGAGCTGGAGACCAGTACAACGGGTAACCCCAAGTATGCCGAAGTCAAGACTGGCTTTGGGTATCATATCATGATGGTTGAGGGTCGGAAGTAAGCCATGAAAGGCAATCCAATCGAAATAGCCAGTTACTTTCACTTTTCTACAACTCCAAGAAAACTTATCGGGCTGAGACACCGCCGCGTCTATATTGGAAATCTAAATGCTATAAAAGCGCGATATGTTATCTTACAACTCTTTCTTGGCAGCCTCGATCTTAGATCGCTCTTTTGCCTTCTTCTCTGACCTCTGAACCACGGCCTCTGCACCAATACCGCCAAAGACCAGACCAATTCCCAGCCACTGGCCGCCAGACAGCGAGTGACCGAACCAGAAGACGCTGAGAAGCATAGTCAACATCTTCCGAGTGACGGTGACGGTAACGAGCAACAGCGAGGAAAAGCGGGAAAGAGTGTGGAAAATGAACAGCTGGCCGACAGCACCGCAAGCCGCAAACCCAAGGACGTGCTTGAGGGCTTCTGGGTGACGGGAGAGGAATGAAATCGCGCCATACAGCTCTGTTTCATTGGACGGAGGGATAGGGAATGGCAAGAGGTTGTGCAGCACGCCACTCTGGGAGAGATGCGGCATGACAAGAAGGAATGCAGCTGTCAGCGCGGTTGACAGCACATTTTGCGCGACCATCATCTGGGGTCCGGTGAAGCGCGTGTAGAGCTTCGGGGAGCTGAAGACATGGTCTTGTGTGGTGTTGGTCAGACCATCCAATAGGAGATTGATGGCCAGTAGGAAAATGCCCCAGCCTGAAGAGCCCGAATTTGCCGCAGCGACCTTCTTACTCGTACCAGGGTGGTGTAGGCTGAATGTCGCAACGCCGAGAGTGACCATCAACACGACACCATATTTGTACAAGGGGTATTTCTTCCGGAAGATTGTCAGGTGTAGGACCATAACAGGGAGGAGCTTGCATGATTTCGCGAGGATGAAGGTCAGGTAGTCGATGTGTTGAAGACTCGCGTAGCCGAAGGGGGAGGCAAGCGATGAGGAGATGGCGACTAGGATGAGAGGGAACAGGATGCGACGCGTTGGGAAGATGGATGGAGTGCTTTGGCCCTTGGGTGTCGAGATCAGAAGGTAGAAGAAGCCTGTTGTCGCAGCAAATGTAGATTGGATGGTGTTGAGGACAAGCGAATAGGTGAATCGCTCTGTGGGTGGCTCAGGTTCGGCAACAGACGGCGGGCGTACGGGATAGCTCGTTGTTGTAATTGCCTCTTGGAGAACACCCCACGAGAGGCTTGGTTCGTTAGTCTCAGGTGTTTGCACTGGCGAATGGGCTCGACTTACAATGCTGCGTAAATACCCAAGACGCAGATCACCAGCTGGGCCAACCCAGGAGTCTCGGCGACTGTCTCCAAGACTGCCGATGCTTTCTCAGATGCGCTGCCATTGGGAGTGGGATTGCCATTGGCGGGCTTGGACACGCCGGCATCGTCCAAGTGCATTACTTGAGATGAAGGGGCTCTCTGGAGAGGTGCTGCCTGCTTTTGACGTCCCATTTTGATATATGAAGTGCCAGATGGGAAACTGCAAATGCAAGGTAGTCAAACACCAAATGGACAGGAGAGATGAAAGAAATAGCGAGTTGGTCCGAGGTGAAACAGACCTAAGATGCCATGTGTTCAAATGCGCCTTATACAATGATCGCCGCTGCGCCCCACATAACCTTTTTTGCCCTGAACTTCGGACTGAAAGCCACCGTACCTAGTAGAGCATAGCAACAGGATAACCCCATAGACAATTCAATGCTTTCGAGGTGCACATTGACTCGATCACATCAACTTCTTACCCCAAGCAAGGAAAGCGGTGTCATCAAACAACAGTCTAATTAAGCAGGCGGTGAGGCGCAAATCCCCAAATTTTGCAGTTTCCAGCTCCTCGGCATCGCGAACTCTCTGAACACTCGCTCAAGTCCAAGCTCCTCTGACCAAAATGGCGCAAACAACTCGCCCCAATGCCTCGGCAATAACCTCTCATATGAGCACAAATAATGATTCCGCCCCGCACATCGCAACAGCTGCCCAAGTCCAACACAACCTTCAACATCAGCACCTCTGGACCTCATTAACGAGCTACACAATCCCAGCAAACACCACACAAACAGAACCCCTCAATGCACCGAAAGAGCCAATTCCTTTGATCTCGGGCTACCCGCCACACCGGGTATACACACACCCAGACGAGCAACTGTACATGTTAGAAAACAAGATCAAGGAAGACGATCTGCAACCAGAGCGCATGTTTGTCGTGCCGACTACGCAAGGGCAGTCATGGAGTCTGCGCCACATGGCCGTTGTCTTTGATAAGCTACCGGAGTTTGTGGAACAAGCAAGAGAGCAGGATGGTGGATCACTGGGCGTGAAGGCTGCGGATGATCCCGAGAAGCGGGAGCAGTTGGCCAGGTATTACGCCAAGAAGGAGGAGGTTTCGCGTACGGGAGAATGGGGCTCACAGCGTCTGCTGCTTGCTATGATCGATAAGGGGATGGGTGGAGATGGGACGGTGGCGTACTATGTTGTGCAGGAGGGAGAGGTGAAGCCCCGGCAGAATTGAGATGCTACTGGTGGCTACGACATGTATATACCCATTACAATCCTTCATGACTTAGGATATGATGCGATGATCCAAAAATTACAAATAGAGTACAGTCAGGTGTGTGAATCGAACTGTGGCATTCAATAATTACAACGCCAGGAGCCAAAGACAGCGTGAATTAGGACCTCCGAGACTGTACACAAAAGTGTCTGTAGACATTCAGACTGATCACCGGGTATAGTGAGGGACCGAACAGCAAAAAGTGCTAGAAAAAAAAAACTGTACAAAGGCTAGACGAGATGCAAGTATACTGGTAGCAAAAATCAAGGGATCAGGTCACCACGTTCGTTCAACGAGACTTGATCCTGCTCCAATCGACAACTCGAGCAGTATTCCTCATACCACTGCTTGACGTTCTCTGCGTGCTCAGCGAACACACGCTCCGCCTTAGCGTTTCGGTCTTGGGAGTCATCTTGCTGCTCGCCACCTAGGAGAACTTCGACCTGTCGACAGCGTCGGTTTTCTTCCCGAAGCCAGCGCTCCCATTCAGTCTGGATGACCTCTTTTTCGATGCTATTTACCACGCGCAGTGCAACGAGGAGATTGTACCGGTACATTCCGAGTCGCTCACGAGTCTGCTGAAAGCGTTTAATGGCGCTCTTCGTCAGGCTATCACGGGGACCTGACGAGCTGAGTGACAGCGGCATTTCCGCATAGCGCATGGTCTGCTCGTGGAAGGTAGCAAAGCAGTTGCTTGCATTGCTAGATGACGACCAGATGGTCGAGTTTGCGACTGCCTCATCGATGTCGTGCATGTAGATTGATTTGCTCATGACAAGGTTTGGCTGGACGCCAAGTCGCGCCATGAACTTACTTGCATGGCGTTCATGCCACCAGTCCCAGCTATCCCGGGATGAGTAGTATCCGTTCATAACCGCACTTGTGGCGAGCAGGACCAGAATGATTTTGTGTGCACTCAAGGTCTTCCAGCACCAGCGGACCATGCCGAAAAGCCACATCATCAGGAATGAGACGCTGGTCTCTAGGAACGAGAATATCGTTTCAAAGAGAAGCTCGTGCATGCTACGTGGCGTGCGAGGCTTGCGAGGCTCCAGTTTGAGATTGGATCCGGCGCCATTGAAGTGGGAAACGTGGTTCTGGCGTCCGACGTGGCCGAAAATTGTAATTGCCTTTTTCGTCCGACTGTGTGCCTCAAGCCGGCGTACTTGGTCACTGACCAGGTCCACAAGATCTAAGGCGTCTTGTTCCAAATCATCACTCGCTCTTTTGTCAATCACGTCTACGAATATTAGCGTAAGCACGGTGGTATTACACAGAGCAGATACTCACTTTTGAGTCCGTACGGAGACCACAGCCACTCGACCTTGGTGAAGATGGCGATCTTGCTCTTCGATTTGGCATGGAACGTGATCACCACTTTGCTGACCAACCTAAACGAGCGTCTGAATGGAAGATGCCATGGAGTCTTCTTATCCGTGACCACGTAGCACAGGTGGTCGTTCAGCACGTCAATGATCTGATAATCCGAGATCCCGTTTTCATGGTTGCGACCTAAATGAGTCAGTCAAAGTTTCGAACCCGACGCCTAAATCCACATACCAAGGATATCGGATGCTCCGATATTGTAATTGAAGTCACGCCTCAAATGTCGCGATTCCGTGGCAACCCACGGGCCTTGTTTGATATCTTGAAAATATTAGCAACCAGTTATGTAGTTAGAGTACCATATAGACTCACCGCGTGCTTGCCTTTCATGCAGCAAAAGCTGCCATACGGCACTTTTATCGCCAAACAAGATGTGGAACAAAGCTTTGGGGCTGATGTCAAGTACCTTTTCAGCAACCAAAGCTAGGTCACCCTGCGGAACATACTCCACGGGTTGTGTCGGAAGTCTGAATTTGGCGATATCTCGACCTCGGGGACCCTTGCTTGCCTCCAAGTCAAGATCCTTGTCAATGTAAATAGGAATTTTCATGTCTTGTTCACGACCTCGGTCAGCGTGTTTCCTATCGCCTTTGATGTCTGCGAGTCCAGACGAGAGATCTTCCCAGCTGTCTGCACTGGAATCTCGCGTTGGGGACACGGATTCCATTTTGATCAACGCTTTAATAAGAGATTCGAGGGATAATTGCTCCACGGCAATGGACCCTTGTATCAAGAAGTTAAGGCGTTTTTGAAGGACTCTCAATGGTTCAAGGAATGTTTTGATAGTGACTCGACCAGGAATGTCGCTTCCAAGTGGCGGGATCGTGTGGAGGAAAAGGAAGTCACAGTCTCGCCCAGGTGCTGCTGTCACTTCTTTAATACTCTCTAAAGAGACGCCGGTCGTCAAGACGAGTCCAAAGTGGTGGCTGTAGAAGTAAATACTTCTTGTAGTGACATAAGCTCGTCCAGGGAACTCTTGAGAATCATTTGGACTCCAGGTAGCCCTGAACACCAGGACCAATGCTTCCTCCCTCTTGACATCTGGGAACAGCAACCGGAACTGAGCATCCTGTATCCTTAATTGTTGGGGATAATAGCTGGGATATTCATGTCCGATTCCTAACGCAGCTTGTGTAAGCTTAACGTCATCGCCGTCAAGGCTGACCGTCTGTCTGTGGCGTGGCCCAGACTGCTTCTGGGTTCCAGGACTGTTTGTGACATCGGGTTGGGCAGCAATAGTCGCGGTTGAGCCATCGCTTATTGTAGAAGACGGGCGGCCCTCCGGGCCATTTGCTGCATCTATATCACGTTGTTCACGTTGGAGCTTGTTAAGGAATCCCCAGTTGGAACTGCCCCACAGGTTCGCCATCATGCCGCTAGGCATACCACCTGTGCTGTCAGAAACACCTAGTCCAATGCCTCTTTCATTGCTCACAACAACTGCGGCTTTGCTCATGCTTGTAGGCGCTGGGGGATTTGCAAGCGTGGCGGGCGCAAGGCTTGAGCCAGGCTCATCCACACTGCTCAAACTGCGACCCCGGGTAACGTTTTCATCATTTTGGTTCAATGGCATATTCGTGCTGTAAGGGAGGATATTGTGACTGGCAGATATGAGACTGGCTATCCCACCTGCTGGACCCGGAATAGAGGGAGATATCGGGGCCGCATTGTTCGATTTGCGGTGGAGATCCAACTTTTGAATAAGGCGAGAAGTATGCTCTCGGGCATGATCTCGAGTTGAACCCTCGCTATCCAAGCCCGTAGGTCTCCTGCCACTGGCAATGTCGGAGCTATTCCTAATGACATTTCCATCTCGATCTGGCACAGGCAGTGTCATACTGCGTTCTGTCGAGCTGAACTCATCACCCGAATGTGGAACGAGGGAGTCTGCAGGGTCCGCAGCAAATTCGGGGGCTGGGGGTTGAGAGATCGAAAACGCAGGGTCTTGTACCGTGTGTTTTCCAGAGACCGAAAGGTCAGTACTCGCAGGGTTCTCCAGCGCTTTTTGCTTGGCGGCCTCAAATGCACCGATCCACTCCATCAGATCCTTTTGATTGTCTGCCTGGAGGAGAATGGTGTTGTTCTTGGTCTTCACTTGGAAGCAGAATCGCCTTTCTTCTTGGAAAGCGGGGCGGATACTGCAAAGCAGTACACCGATGCGATCGCTTTCCTCGACGCCACCAGTGCGGGATCCTTGCACAAGGCACCCAAAGATGCCGTGCTTGAGGAAAGCCCACCGCTTAACCCAAACATGGCGAGTGGGCTTTCCCGACAGTGTGCGCAGGTACAACCAGCCTTGCTTCTCGGGCCGCGTCTCTTTGCTCACTGGGACAGTTGAAATTGGCCGCGAGCCTAGGTATGGAACAGTAGAGATGTTGTAGTCTTCCAGCTCTCGGGACGGGCGAGCCGTCGCCTCCGCTGTTTCCTCGATGTACTTTCTCGTAGAAAGCAACTCTTTCTTGGAAGACCGTTCACTAACTTCCATTTCATGGAGCCAGCCCTTGATGCGATCCATCTCATTGGACCATTTCGAGAAGGTGCCATTGTTATGGTTGTGGAAGCCCCGGAACTCCCGCCATTGATCACAGGATATCGTGACAAGAAGCCGATCCAGCGCATTGCGTACCTGGGGGCCATGGACCGAGTAGTCCATCGATGCTTTCAAGTATGCCTTGTGAGCCTCGTGCAACTGGAACGCTTCTTCTCTGAGAGCCGAGGCTTCCTTGGATTTTGACTGTGAGGCATAACGGGCCTGTAGGTAGTCATACTGCTTTTGAGCATGCTCGAGATTGCGACGAACTTCCTATTGTTGCGTCAAAGTGTCAGATAGAGCCCGAGCAATGTAGATCATGGGACCCGTACCTTGAATTGGCGCAGATCCTCGTGGATGAAGTCTCGGATGGGTTCGGAGATCAGCGACTCCAACTTCCTCATTGTTGTAACCAGTCCGCTCCAAAGATCTTTTGAGCTCTCTCCGCACCTCCTCATGGCCAGGAGTGTATAGTCATGGTCAACAACCGCCTCGGAGACCACAAGAGGGTGTGTCGAGTAGGACAGAAAATTGCTCACAACGCTCTCCAAACCAGTCAACTCAGATGAGAGCTTGGTTGCAGCCTTGGCATATCCATCCAGCCATTTCTCTATAAAGTCGACTTGATCGGAAAAGTGAAGTGTTGTGGCACGGAAGGTGGGCGAGTCGAGAGCAGCTTCTTTGAGACCGACCGGGCTGGATTTGAAGTGGGATATTAGCAAGCGGACAAACCACTTCTCTCCTGGGCGTACTCACACAACGCTCACAAGCTTCCCGACCTGGGGTAAAGGGGTATGTGCTGGATTCGACATCTAGTGTATGCCTCCAGCCATACAGTTGACGCGGGTAGAAAGCGACGCGACAGTACGAGCGGGGCCTCCTGTCGACGAAATTGAAGGATCAGTTTTGAGTGTCCAATCCAATCTCGAGGCCTGGAGCCAGCCCTCGTGTGTGATGTGCAGCGGTCTCGACTTCGTAGACGCTCAGCGACTGAGCCTCCGGGGATGGAATGATCTAATTGGCTACGTCAGTGATGGGCTTGCTGCCTCGGTGCCTGATGTTCGAGGCGGATCAGAGGCGGTGTGAGAGTTTTTTTTACTGCCATTTTACCATTTGCGGGTCTGCGCATTTTACGCAAAGTCCTCCAATCTCATAATTCATAATGGAGCCCCCTTCTAAGAAGATGCGCAAGCTCTTGGAGAACGACAGTGACAGCGACTCTGGGGATGAGTCTGGTGGGGTGCTTCTTGACAAGCAGTCGCCCGATGCCCCGTTCAAGATCAACGAAGATTACGCTCGACGATTCGAATACAACAAGAAGAGAGAGGAGGTTGCTCGATGTATGTGCTAGACTTCGGTCATGTCTATTTGCAATATGGCTAACGCAGCGGCGAATAGTGGAAGCAAAGTACGGTAAATCCTCCAGTCTCGGAAACCGCCAAGCTGGTGAAGACTCCGACGACTCGACCGATGAAGAAGAGGACGACGATGCTGAGCTTGCCACGGAAGCCCTGGATGCGGAGATTTCTGCGACCTTGAAGGCGATTCGTTCCAAGGATCCTCGCGTTTACGACAAAGATGTCACTTTCTACACCAAGTACGACCCCGAGGCTGCCAATGCTGCCAAAGAACCCAAAGAGAAGTCCATGACTCTACGGGATTACCACACCGAGAATCTCTTGAAGGGCGTGAACCCAGCCGAGGAGGAGAACACTCCGAAGACCTACGCTCAAGAGCAGGCCGACTTGAAGAACAACATTGTTAGGGAGATGCACGGAGCGGGAGCCAACTCTGACGATGAGATGGAAGATGCCGACGATTTCTTGATTCGCAAGCCCGGTCAGGATACCTCGCTTCCCAAGGAAGAAATCAAACTCGACATCGAAAATGCGGACAAGGACCCCGAAACTTTCCTGTCCAACTTCCTCTCATCACGCGCGTGGCTTCCCACCAACAAGCCCGAGATGCAACCATTTGATTCAGATGATGACGATGATTTCAATCGGGCGGATGCCTTTGAAGAGGCATACAACTTCCGGTTCGAGGATCCTAACAAGATGAACGAGGCGTTGGTCACTCATTCTCGTGATCTCACCAACCAGCAATCTGTTCGTCGTGATGAGAAGAGCTCTCGCAAGAAGATCCGTGATGCCGAGCGCCAGCAGAAGGAAGAAGAGAAGAAGCAGCGCGAGACTGAAAAGAACCGCCTGCGCAAGCTGAAGACCGAGGAACTCCAGAAGAAGGTCGATCAGATCAAGGAAGTTGCCGGCCTTCGAGCCTCCAACTTCACAGACGAGGATTGGTCTCGCTTCCTGGACGCTTCTTGGGACGACGAGAACTGGGAGTCAGAAATGCAAAAACGATTTGGAGAAGAGTATTACGATGAGGCTGAAGGCAGCGATGACGGTGACAAGAAGAAAAAGAAGCCCAAGAAGCCTACATGGGATGATGACATCGATATCAACGACTTGATCCCCGACTACGAGGATGAGGAACTCAAGCCCACAGTCGAGCAATCAGACGACGAGGGCGACGATGACGAGGCCTCTGGCTCCAAGAAGAAGAGTAAGGCCGAGGAAAAGCGTATCCAAAAACGGGAGGCCCGTAAGGACCGCATGCGCATTGATGATGCCGTTGAGCGGAATCTTGACCTCGACATTACCCTGCTTCCCGGAGCAACCAAGAAGAACGCGACTAAATTCCGTTACCGCGAGACCTCACCACAGAGCTTTGGTTTGACCGCACGGGACATCCTCATGGCAGACGACACTCAGCTGAACAAATTCGCTGGCCTGAAGAAGCTCGCTTCCTTCCGTGAGGAGGAGCAGAAGCAGCGTGATCTCAAGAAGCTCGGTAAGAAGGCCCGACTTCGTGAGTGGCGCAAGGATACCTTTGGAGACGAGAATGGGCCAGAGTTCAAGTTCGGTGGCGATGCCAAGCCTCAAACTAAGCCTGAGGAGAACGAGACCAAGCTTGATATCAGAGAAGGTGATGGCTCGAAGAAGAAGAGAAAGCGCTCGAAGAAGCACTAAGCGAGTCTCATCCATGGATTGCATTTCCGTTGTTTATAGATAGTACCCGATTGGATGAATAAAACAATTTCTGTATTTTCACAACCTTCCAAGGTTAACTTTGTGGTTCAAGGTTACATCTGAGCTATTCCAGGTCTCTTCCAGCCTTGAAAGGTTCAACAAGTTTGCGTCGTGTTTGTTTTCTCGATGGCTGGGAATTGGGCATTCTCATAGGTACCTAATACCTAGGTAGATATCGATTCCCGAGGTCTTCCAAGGTTCCAAGGTTCTGCAAAATGAAACAAGGCTTGGGTAGGTAGTAGTATGTCCACGGGCACTCCAGGGCTGTATTGTAGTTCACCTGGGCAACTTGGAAGCGCCTGAATTGGAGCCCCGGAGGGCTGGCGGTACGATCCCCGGGATCCATCCTGCCCACCTGGGCACCTGGCACCTGGGCACTGGGCAGGTGGCCATGAAATATATTTCACGAACCTCGGGCACCTGAACACCACATATATATTCACATCGATTGCCCCAATTGACCGAACAAGCTGCACTGGCCATGGATAGACCAAGCGCAGCGGAAGTGTCATTAAATCGCGATTGAAGCCTTCCAAGTTTTACTCCAAGTGCATTTCACAGTACAGTGCTAGTATCTATGGATGTATATCGTGAAAAACAGCTCAATGCGGAAAGCTGCCATGCGACCTCGGGACCCGGATCCACTGCCGTTGCTGGGGCGAAGAGACGGGTTGTTTTGACCGCAACGAAGCTAACGCGAACAGAGCTATCCACCTGGGTCCCGAGAGGTCCAATCTGATACCGAGGATTGACTTGTAGCCTGCAAGCTCTGGTTTTTTCCTTGAGATCCAGGACAAAAGTGGGTTGTGGGCACCCCGTCGCTGGGATTGTCATGTGAAGTACCTTGGTACATCGTCCATGCGGTGATCGATCACTCTAAACCTTGTATCCGCGACATATCCCAAGGGAAAAATGTCTCATATCCGCCCGGGTTATCCCTCACATCGATTGCCGCGCCAACAAGGACGCATGCGTACACTGTCGTATGCTCGAGCCGTGATGCAGGTGTAGCTAGAGCTGCAGCTATGGAGAATTGAGACGACCATACGGAGTAATTAGTACTTGGCGTGCAAGTGTCCGAGTCCTCGAGCTTTCAGCGTATTCCGAGCTCCATTCGGAGTGTCCTGTAGAGCCTTAAGGGAGGTTGGACCATGTTACTCTCTCACCCATCAGATTCAAGTCTACCCGTACTGTACTTAATGCCCCGATGAAGCTATCAAACCTGAATTATGCAAACTTAGCCAGTTCACCGGTTCGCTCTCGGATGCCCGGGCAGCAAAAAGGAGGCCGGGGAGTGGAGGCCCGGCATTGGGGGAAATTTACACCGTACCCCTACCGTACCGGCGGCGCTTGGACCGTAATTCGGATCAAAGACGAATTGCTCTTTGCTTGCTCCTCCACTGGTAGCAGTAGATTATACAAAGTAGGGAACACCGGGCTCCGAATCAGCCAATTGATCCAATCCAATCCAATCCCCATAACCCCGGAAAACGGATCAAGGGAAGGCCAAGGTGTAGGCCAGATTGCAGAATTTTCAGTGGATCGGGAGATATCGGCAGGAGGCAATTCGATACAGCCCAATACACCGTTATTTCCGTAATCTAGCCCCCTGGGCATTCTGATTGGCTGTTGTCGGCTTGCGTCCGCTTTCTTTCCGTTGTAATTTTTTTTTTCTGGCCCCCCTTCCCGCCTCTGCTCTTCCCTTTTCTTCTCTCTTTATCCCTGGGGTTTCTTCCTTCTTGACACTCTCCATCTCCTCTCTTTTTTTTTGCATCTTCTTTTTGCACTACATTCAAAATGGGTTCCGGTGACGTTAACCAGGCCGAGAAGTCGGTCTTCGGCATGCCCGTAAGTTGATTCCCTTGTGATGAGCTCGTTGATGTTTGGGAAGTTGGATTGTGAACGCGATCCAATGGCCCGGTCACGAAGCAAAGCACGATTCAAAAAAACCTTGAAGCACAAAGCTAACCTTGCATACAGGGCTTCGTTGTCGACTTCCTGAGTACGTGATCACTGCACAATGCAACCAACGGGCTTTTGAGCCTGCGACATTCAGAGAAACAGAGAAACAATACTAACAGTCTTCCAGTGGGTGGTGTCTCCGCCGCTGTCTCCAAGACCGCCGCTGCCCCCATCGAGCGTATTAAGCTCCTCATCCAGAACCAGGTTGGTCATCACCTCTCCTAGTCAAGTGAACGACAGGAAAATTTTTGCAATGGCACCGCGATCAATCGCACTCGAGATACTTAACTTCGTGTTTCGTCTGCACATGATTCGATGCAGTTGAGAAGAATTTTACTCTTCGTTCACTTGATTCAGCCACAATTTTGCAACAGTCTCTAACAACAAAAACAGGATGAGATGCTCAAGGCCGGCCGTCTCGACCGCAAGTACAACGGTATCGGTGACTGCTTCAAGCGTACCGCCGCCGCTGAGGGTGTCGTCTCTCTCTGGCGTGGAAACACCGCCAACGTCATCCGTTACTTCCCCACCCAGGCTCTTAACTTTGCCTTCCGTGACACCTACAAGTCCATGTTCGCCTACAAGAAGGACCGTGATGGATACGCCAAGTGGATGATGGGTAACCTTGCCTCCGGTGGTGTACGTATCTCTGAAAATCTCTGCGCGCTTGGACCATGCTAACAGATCACAGGCTGCCGGTGCCACTTCCCTCCTCTTCGTCTACTCCCTGGACTACGCCCGTACCCGTCTTGCCAACGACGCCAAGTCCGCCAAGGGTACCGGTGAGCGCCAGTTCAACGGTCTCGTTGACGTCTACCGCAAGACCCTCGCCTCCGACGGTCTCGCCGGTCTCTACCGTGGTTTCGGTCCCTCCGTTCTCGGAATCGTTGTCTACCGTGGTCTCTACTTCGGCATGTACGACTCCATCAAGCCCGTTCTCCTCGTCGGTCCTCTTGAGGGCTCTTTCCTCGCCTCCTTCCTGCTCGGCTGGACCGTCACCACCGGTGCCGGTGTTGCCTCTTACCCCCTTGACACCGTCCGCCGCCGCATGATGATGACCTCCGGTGAGGCCGTCAAGTACTCCTCCTCCATGGATGCTGCCCGCCAGATCATCGCCAAGGAGGGTGTCAAGTCTCTCTTCAAGGGTGCCGGTGCCAACATCCTCCGTGGTGTTGCCGGTGCTGGTGTCCTGTCCATCTACGACAAGGCTCAGCTCCTCCTTCTCGGAAAGAAGTTCTAAGTTATTCGCTGAAATGTGAATGCTTCCAGTGTCACTACATCGTGCCGGGGTAATCTCCCGGGCGTTGTCAGCATTGGGTGGAACCGACGAAGTGGTCGTCAAAAGATAGATGCGTCAAGAATGGGTTCAGGGGATCTTGAAGCATAGAATGGTGATTCTTCCTCTTATGTACCCAATGTACTTTACTGCCTGCAACTATTCCTTTTTCTTAATCATTCTCGAACACGATCACGATCACTCGTATCTCCAATAGTAGATTCCTTGAAAGTAAACGGTAGATTCATCTATGCCTCAGCAGATATCGTTGTGGTCACGGATATTTGCCCCTTGGTATTCATGGATGCCTTCAGCGGACGGATGACCAAAACGGATACTGACCTATCTTCTATGAACATGAACATAGACAAATCCTCGACCACTGACTGGAAATAGACCATATCGTACGGAGTCCATCGGAGTGCCCAAGCACACTCCCCCAGCATCCCAAAGCATCCCGAGCATCCCAAAGCGGCAGGGGCTCCACAGTAGCTGCCATGACGTCTTGAGCATCATCCCCTAGATCTCCAGGGCGCAACTGACTCTCCAACTACACAACTATACCCCAAACACACCAAAATGTCAGTCCAAACCTACACCAGCGCGCCCGTCAACGCGAACGCCAACCCAACAGACGAGGGCGAAAACCCCAATGCCTCAACCGCCACCGCGATGGAATCATCAGAACCATCCAGCACCACAGAACAACCAGCAACAAAAACCCAACCCAACCCACCAGCTGCGCAACAAGCCGCACCAAATCCAACACCAAACCCAAACCCAAACCCATCAACAACTTCATTCCCCGAGTCCGCAACCTCCATCACCCGCACGCCACCGGCGCCACAGCCCGTCTCTAGACCCCAGCATCCAACAAAGACAGGACCCGCTATCCCGGTTGCTCCACCACCCAAAGCAGGCGAGGCTGTGACCCCTGCGCCGGTGCCGGCTCCAGCTGCGTATACGCAGTCGTACTCGTTCTCACCTGCGCCTAATTCGACTTCCACGCCTTATGGCTCTGTTTATCCTACTTCGGCGGGACGGCCTCAGTTGCCTTTGCATGGGGGCAGTGCTGGGGCTGGGGGTGGAGCGGATAGTATCTTTCCGCCGGAGGAGGAGGAAGGGTTCATTGGGGCGGCGAAGGGGTGGATGCGGTGGGGTGGAGGAAAGCTTGTTGAGGTTGAGAAGGAGGTTTGGAAGAAGATTAATGATGTGCATGAGAAGTGAAGCAGATGAGGTTGGAGCAGTGTATTGAAATCTGTGTTTTGGGGCCGGACTAGGAGGTCAAGTTGGATTGATTTGGCGTTTGGGATCCATGGATGTATGTTTAGGGCTTGGGTTGGACTCGGCGAGGCTGCTATATGCATGCATCGATATTGTTTACTCTAAGCAAGGTACTGTCCACGGAAGATTATGTTGGAGTCTCGGCTTTGGCCGAAGCAAATGCAGCATATTACGCTACGATCAACAGGGAAGGATCGGTGTTATGGAGTAGAACCGTGCAGATTGCAACGGATAGTTTAACCTGGCAAACGACCTGGATCAATATGTACTTCCATCCCCGGCGAACATTTGTCCGCCTCAACCCGAATGATCAAATAGAATGCAAGATAATAAGACCTGCATGTACATGAATGTTGTGTGTTGAGCACATAGAACAAGATGGAAAAGAGAAGGTAGAAAAAAATAAAGAGACAGGATTCGACAATTCTCAGTGAGATCAGTGAAGATGACTGAGACAATCAAGCCAGGATATCCTAGAAGTGAAACCAGTGGGATCAACAAAGACGACCAGATCATTTCGTAAGATCCTGCGCAGATTGGTGGATTGCCGGGATGGTGCGCAAGGAAGAGCAGAAGTATTAAAATCCGTAAAGTATGAAAAGAAGAAGCAGCTGAGCCACGACCGATGCAATAATAACGCCGAAGAGAAGAGGGGGTATTGACTTGTCAGGAAAGGACTGTCAGGATGGTCGTTGGCGTCATAAAAAAGAAGAGAAACATCCGTCTCGAATACCACGCCACTGTGCACTGCACTTAGCAGCTTGCATTTTCTGGATCAAGAGCACACCAGCCAATCCAGACCAGCTGCGGCCATGTGAACATAAAGAGAGAAAAAAAAAAGAACCCAAGTCAAAACGCCAATTATGCAGAGACTACATGGAGCCCAGTCGGAGAAGTGCCTCCACAGCAGCACGTTCCTGGTGGTCGATGGTGCGGGGAATTTGAGAGGGACAGGTAGCAGGGAAGATGCCGGCAGGCTGAGGCTTTGTCCGGGCAGCATCATTCATGAAACTGCCGGTGTTCATGGAGCGAGCACGCAACGCATCTGCGCCGATCTGAGCCCAGTCTTCCTCGTCTGTGACATCGCCTTCATCCCATTCGTTCTCCTGGAGTTCATCCGGTGCCTCCGATGAAGAATAGTATTCCTCGCCATCCAAGGACATCTTGTCGGCCTCATGCTCGAGCACATCCAGGTCACCATGCATTCCGAAGTCATCGGTGTAGGAGAATGCCGTGGACTCAGCAAAGCTCATCCGGTAAGGATGGCGGTTGCCACCCTGCCAGCTGGACTGGCCTTGAATTTGGACACCACGCTGCAGAGAGCCTGACACACTGGAAGGAGGTGATGTAGATGCGAAATCGCGGGCCGGTTCGCCACGACGTCGTGCATCCCAGCGGCCCCAACCAATCTTCTCAAATACCACATCACTGCTGCTACCGCTTCGGCCCTCCAGGGCGGCCACAACCAGTCGGCGTGCTTTCGCAGGCGGGATACGCGAGAAACCAGGCACCGAGGTCGTCAGGTGGCCCATAACGTGGCGGATAGCGAGAGGGCCTTGCTGCAGAAGGATCTCAGGGAGATGATACTTGGCCAGCATGGCTGGAGTGATGGCGCCCGTGCTATCGAGATTGTCCCGGCCGGCGGAGTTATGCTCGACACCATCCTGCAGATCAATGTCCGAGTCCAGCTGAGGCACAGTGGACAGAGGAGAGCCCGGGGAGAGGGTAACCCGCTGGAACGTAGGAGGGAGAGTAGGAGAAATAGAGTTGGGTGGCGTGGGAAGCATGGCAGGCTGTCCGGGTCGCGTAGCGCGGCCCACACCTGCATGCGGGATATCAACAGAAGCAGTCTTGCCAGTTTTGCCAGCGAGAGCCATAGCAATACTGGAGGTTGTCTGAGGAGCCATGATGAGAGATGTATTGGTGAAAGGGGGAGACCTGCGCGTAATGTATATATGAGTCAGAAGACCTGATCCTAAACGCGACAAAGCCGTACCACGGCAGAGAACGGGTGGCAACGGGATCAAAGAGACCAAACAAAGAGGACTCACCTTTCACAGAGAGACAAAAGATTCACAGACGAAGAGTGAGAAGTTCGTCTGTTGCACTGTTTTGACTGCTTAGGGCTTTCCACGCAGGGGATGCGACGCGGTAAGGGGCGATAAGTCGAGATAAGTCGCGATAAGGACAGATCACTTAACGCGACCTGATCTATGAGACCAAAGGAAGTAATGGGAGGAGTATGGAGAAGAGTAGAATAGAGGGGTGCAGGGAGTACTCATACAAGTACAAGACAAGACCCCCCATGGAAGGTCCAGGTATGGCACTCCGCAGGCGCAGCGTCAGGAAAGCGCGTGGGCCTCGGGGCCGAATGATTGGCGCATCGTGACCGGGTGCTTCCGGCTTTCTATACAATTACTACATGATGATATTGTATTACTTGTGGAAGATACACTGACAGTGAATACCTAGTTCCTTTGTCCGATCTGAGTATTCTACCTCTCCTTGGACATGACTATTGATACTATGGCCAGACATCTCGCACTAAACACCTCCCTGAGTCGATCCGAAAATCCCGTTCACAGCAGAAAGGTACCTGACTAGACAAAAACCCCTCACTGCCAAGTTGCAACTTGTTATCAGCCAGTCATGAAGATCCCGAGTGCTCGTGCGCTTTGGAACGCTTATAGCGCTCCAGGGCGTAACCCTATCCCCATCGGCTGATAGCCGTCCTCCAAGGCACGTGGATCCTGTATGGAACGCCTATTAACTGGAATGATTTACATCTACTATTGACTTTTTTTTCTTTTTTTCCAGTCCGGATCAATCACTCACACTGTTTCGCCAATGTGACATGACCATGAGTGTTACTCGTTCATTCTAAGATCGGACTGCCCCTCCAACCCCTCTATTTCGTGTGTACTTTATCTTAGAGACGCTAAGTACTGGGTACATCCACTTCGCCTCGGGTCCCACTACCATCTGGACTTGGCCCCTTGACGTCAGTTGTACCGGTGACATACGCTTGGGCATCTAGTAGGGCATGTTCCCTTCCCTACAATTATAATAGACTTTATTATTGGCATAGAATGGCCAGCGCAGAGTCGCCACTATCAATGCGCAATTGGGAATCTCTGACTCAGATCATTGACCAAAGGGGGCCCTTTCATCGTACAGTCAGCACAGGAACCAACTTTGGAACTGGGAACGCTCCATTGGAATCTTCCAGGGCTAGGAACCCGAACTCGGCGTGGATGCCGCTGAGGGGTTATTCGCAGATGGACAGAACATGCAGGGGCTCACGGCTTCTCCGCATTGGGGGAATATCGTGTCCCGCTATCAACCCCCAACAAAAGGATACAAGTGGCTTGTATGTCGTACATTGACCTCGCACTAGGGGCTTGCATTCCTCGGAAGTCTACTGTGTGACGGGGCAACGCTCGGCCAAAGTGTCAAAATATGCAGCATTGCATTCTTTCCTTGGAACCCATCCCGCAACGCCTTGTTTGGGGACCTCGGAGCTGACTACGTCGGGATTTGATTACGTTGGAGCCTCGTAAAGTGGGCTATGAAACAGCCAAGCGGATCGTCATCATTATGGAAGTGGCATAATTTGTGGGACAGCCAGGTATACAGTACAACCGATGTACAAGCCTCGGAAGTCAATGTACTAGTAGTTGTCGGGGTTGCTGGTGAAGTGGGAATATTAGCGACCTCGGATGGGTTTCATGTGCGATAACGTGACCTGAGCATTAAAGTTGTCAGCCCTAGATTTGGTCAATTTTGGACGACCAAAAAAAAGGCAAAGAACAAGGGCTATCCCGGGGTCAATTTTCTGCGTGACGAGACTCTGTTTTCGATTGTTAGATGACAAAATTGTGGCGCTCAAATACCCTTAGTATAGGATGCGTGGACAAAAGGTACATCTTTAAACACCCGTCCGCGGGTGGACGCCTGAGCCCCAATATTCAGTGGAAATCCTATTTGATTTGTTCCGTGTCTCCAGGTCACCCATCAGCTTCAGCGTTCGCTGTGCGATTTGAAACATCGGGCATTGGCGCAAGTTGTCGGAATTTCAAAACGAATGCAAGTACCAGGGACTATCTACCAGAACTCGGCTTGAGGGCATGATCGGGCTAAAAACGATCAACCCGACATCTCCGGATTTTATGAAAAAATGTTATTGAGGTGGTCATTTATCATGAGGAAAGGTCGTTAGAACCATGAAAGCCAGCTAATATTACCCAGGTAGGTAGGTAGCATTGGGCATCAGGCAAACCAGAGGAATCGAGCTGGACCTCTATAATGTATATGCTTGGGCAAACAGTCTCCATCAGCTTAACCGCCAATTATGACCTTCCTTACCTCATAATAACTTGACCCGATAATGTAACCCCCAATAGTCGAGCTCAATATGTGACTTGTTCGCAAACCATTGGGTTTGCCTGCTCAGATAGGCCGCAAGCCTTACAACGTCTGGCATCTAGAATTACCACAGCGTTCACACCTGGACTGGCATTAACCGCTCTATTTTACCAATTGGGTAGAAGGCTGGTCAGTCAGATATTAAGGAAATCGTGAATTATGATTCAATGAGACCGGTCTTAGAACTCTCCGAGAGATCAGCAGCGAATACCAGAACAGACTGTTGACCAGAGTAAGGTCAACGGAGACATGCCTTTCTTCCACATACAGCTCATTTTATGCCCATCCTGAACTTTGGGGTCCTGGATACTATGAAACATTCCAAAGTTCGTACATTATGCTTAATCAGTAATTGTTTGATTGGCACTTAGTTAATAGCAGGCGTACCAAGGTCTGTGTGAAGGCAAAATAAACAGTGGAATGAGCAGCAGCAGCAATATCACGCTTGTTCTGGTGCCCAAGGATACTAGGTATGAGTATTATGATCGTCCAAAAGGTTCTGCTGGACCATTCGATGAATTCTGTACCACAATCCTTCTTCGACCGGTCTTCTCCAGAAACAGATAACTTCTGATAGAGTGGAGGTGATCATATTTCTGGCTGTTGAGAAATCACTGCGCGGAAGGAAATTGGATATAAAAACCACTAAATTTAGTTATCTTGGTCTCTTGATAAAGCGAAATACACAGAATCAAGTGCTTGCTTTGTCCATGGAGAACATATTGACATATCTCAATCTCGTATTGATGAAATATCATGTGTGGTGGTCGCATGGATCGTGATGCTGGCTACATGCAAGAGCGAAGCTGCCTCTAACCACTGGCATGCCGTCAACAACGGGGCGTCGACATCGGGAACTGTCCATTCCGTGATTCCTCTTTGGTCTTTAATTACTCCTCTGAACATTAGCAGTGAGTCGTTGATGATGACACTCAGATCTTTCAACTCCCTGTTGGCGACGACCTCGTCTATCTTCGGTGTTCGTTATTCAGTGCCAATTCCCCAGGACCCTTCGCGATTGCACCGGCGTCAGGCTTCATTCTTTCATCGAGCGTGATATGTTATTCGTGAGGTCGTTCAAGAAAGCCAAAGAGTTGCAATCGCGTCTGCCATCGAAACAGGGATCGGCCACGGGTAGGATGAGCCGTCACAAGGTGTTTCCATCAGGACCCTTTTTGATGTCTTGCTTTCTTGTTCTTCACACTGGGAATACTTAAGTCGCTTTCTATGCCCACAATCAGCCGTCAATTATCACTAGAGCTCGACATAAGCATACTTAGGGTTGGCCCCACACCTTATGCGCCGATCCGGGCATAAAGTTCATAAGCACCCTCAATTGAGATGGCAAGATTGAAGAGACGATGGAGTTGTTTGGCAGTGAACGCAACACCCGCGTTCGCTTTGTCTGTAGCCATTATCTCGAGGAGCCCTTCTGAAATCGTATATCACTACCGGTCTCTTCCTGCACATAATCCGGCCCGTCACCATCTCCCACGAATTGCGCAGCGATCAAAACCACTTAGAGAGATCCCTCTGGATGGTCCAATGACTGCAACAATATGCGTGGCTTGGCCAACTTGCCAGCCTGCTTAGCGAAGCAGACCCCGAGAGTGGGACTTGACTCTGACGGCGAAGTCGCTTCACCAGTATAGATTTGGCTTCACTTTTGGAGGGAGCCAGAGGGTGTGATTTGATCTAGATATTGAAGAACATCAGTGATCTAGTAGTATTCCTGGGGAAAGGAGTGCTCTCTTACTCCGGCCATCACGGCTGCCCGATTCAAAGCACCCAGCTCTTCAAAGCAATTGTCCACACAGCCTGCGCAATCGCAAAAGGTACACTTGCTCTAGGGCCTCCATAGGAAGCATTTGGGTGGTTGTGCCTTTGACACCGTTGAGTCGCTTCATCTTCCCAGGTTGAGTTGAGTGCCTGTCGCTGGCACATGTTGAATGACTCTGCCCGTCATTTGCAATGTTGGTAAGGAATGAATTCCCGGCAGGAAGTAGGAATAACTGCCATAAATGGAAACATTTTATCATGTGATACAGTCCTTCCTCCCGAGGTCTGGACGAACCTAAGCATCAATAGATGCCAAAAGAGAAAGTGAGTTAGAAGATTATTCAGTTCCAGATGAGATTTGTGATATGAGGAGTCGACGTTGGGATCAAGGCATTACTATACGGTTGTAAAACTATCATCGCTCCGTCCGAAAACCAACCGAGACCAATGTAAAAATAGTTTAATGCCTACAATGGCAGAGATTAGTATGACTACATCAAAGAGAGCTGGTAGTGAGACTAATTTCTTTGCGACTCAAGAGACAGCTCATCGAGAGCTAGTTATAAGTTCCAAGGTTCTAGTTTACGACCATCTCCCTCTCTCACTCCACTACCCGCCTCTTATGCCTTCGAAAATGGCATCCGAAGACCCCAAGAGGCCCTTAACTGATACCCACGGGCTTGATGAAGCCCTGGGTAGTGCAACCGCAAGACAGCATGATGGATTTGGACTTGGCGTGTGTTGATCACCTTCTCGCTGAAGAACGCAGACACCTGGACAGGGCTCATGACTGACGAGCAAGATACATAGTGCAATGAGACCGTCAATATCTGTTCTGAGAAGCCTTCAGAAAATCAAGATGCCCCCAAATTGGCTCCCATGGCGGGGCTCCCAGCCAGACCTGGAGCTTCGGGATCTCCGCTCTCCATCAGCACGTTGAAGCGCAAGCTACCAGAGGATTGTATGTTTCTCCACATTTAAAGCCCCTTGATCTTCTCGAATAATACTAACCGCCATCTGTATAATAGTCTCAAGCGGTGAATCGTCTGTTCATGAATCTGCAGTCGGCAATGAAGGTCTGTATCCCCAATCCCTCACCTGGCCCATCTCATCAATGAGGACTGACCGTGGAATCATCGCTTACAGACATTTTCGCAAAAGTAGATGACAGGGAGAACAGTATGCACGCATGATTTTAAGGCTGTTATCTCACATATGTTTTACTAACAATTATTCATACAGAAGCTCATCCTAGCTCCTGCGTCAAACTCGTCTATCCACACGGGCTTTGGAATGTGGATTAGAATCCCGGTGCTCGTGAGCCACACAGTCTCAGGATTTTCTTAGCATCTCGAAATTGAAATTGAAACCACTATTTTCCTCTCTCTTGGGCTAGAAAAATCTCTTACGGGGCTTTCTTTAGAAGGCGAAGCAATCGAACAATTGGACTGGCACCGGTGACTCCCATGCCCCAAATTTTAGGGCCGGCTACCTAAGTAAGTCAAAATGAAAACTCATAGATCCCACTCGGTTAGTCTGGTACTAGCAAGGCATCTCCTATGGTGACCGGGATCGTAAAATGTGCATGATTCCATCTGGGCCCATATGCCAGATAAAAGGCTTGCTGTCGGCAACTGAGGGATGTGCGCCTTTCCAATACCCCGGGGGCCAGCGTATTGATAAGTCAATTTCTTCAGACTTTTCCTTTCATCAAAGCTCTTTTCTCCGACCAGCTCGCCAAGTCAAATGACCCATCACTCAAGTCACGCGAATTTCCCACGAAAAGGAATGCATGCGCTTGTAGCGGTGCGTGAGGCTCACAATCGGTGTATTGCATTTCACATGGTATTGCTTGATAGCTGGGACCTTCGTAATGTGCCAGTCTCTCTGCGTGATTGACGCTTTGCACCATGTACACAGTTCCCTTCACTACATCATCTTGATTCCCGTTTAGAAAGGCAGGGTAAAAGCCCCAAAGTCTGCATTTGAAGCCTTTCAGATATGCTGGTCGGAGTTGTGGACAGCTTTTCAGCCCCAGGATATCGGCGAGTAAGCCCGGATCCTGCAGGGAGCCATAGAAAAAGTAGTGACCTGTAGGTGCCGGACCTGAGATTTCAGAGCGAGGAGTTTGAGGCGGGAAATACACGTTGGGGGAGAAAGTCCGCAGCTTCAAAACAGCGGGGGCTGTTTTAGAGCTCAGGTTCACTGGTGGAGGTGGAGGTGGAGGGTCTTTGCCTAGCATCGAACCGGGTATTTGACATGAGCTTCTCGGAGTCAAAGGTAAAGTAGGAAGTTCTCGGCGCTTGATGGTGGAAGTAAATGTGAAGTGGCTGAGAAGAGGATTGGCGGCACAAAACCTCCGTAGTGTGCGGGGTATCACTTATTTTGCTACAGATTGACAACTCATGGCTCTGCTTTATCCAATATATGTGGATGAAATGAAATTTCCCCCTTGAATGGTACTTGCTAGTGCTTAAAGAAGCTAGAGCATCCAATTCAATCAAGGGTATCTTCCCGCGGGGTGAACCTCATAAGTAAATATACAGACAGTAACTCCCGGTTCTCAATGAATAGGCCTGTGGATTTGTTGTTTTTGAATCCGACCTCGGAGAAATACGGCGAATCATGGTGAACTTTGCAGTGGCATTTCTGTTTCTTGCAATCACCAATGCTGCAGTCAGTCCAGTATCCCTCAACTCTGATATTTCCCTCATCATTCATAACGACCTGACGGGTAAATCCTCGCTGTCTTCATGTGCTTGTAAGAGACTGATATGAATATAGAAAACGAGAGTTCTTTGTCTGACTCCGGGATTTTGGTCCTTGACCCTCGCACATGGCAAGAAGCCACCGAAAGCTGTGTCAGACTGGGAGCAACTCTTTGGAGAAGTGAACCAGGCCCAGAAATCATCCAAAGTGGTCTGAAATACCTTTTGCATCTTGGCAGATATTCCTCCGGTCAGCGCTTTTGGGTCTCCCCCAAATATCAAAAGCCGTCGAGTTTAAACACCAATGGGCAGATCGAGGTTTCTTCAGCAGAGGAGAGATTACCTGTTCTATGCACACAGACTGCTCCTTATTCCAACAGCACGTTCCAGGATACAAGCGCACAGTGGCAGGTGACTGTCGAATCTAAGGATCAACGCTTTACTGGGCAAGTGCGCATCCAATGCGACAGGACTAAGCTAACGCTTGTTCAGATTTCGTGATCGTGTCAGCTTCAGATTTCTGGGTATCCGCTATGCGAGCCAACCGGAAAGATGGCGATACTCCCAAGTGTATGAAGGGGGCAATGAATCCACGTCGGCTCTCGACTACGGTCCCAGCTGCGTGCAAGGTACAACTGGCTCCGAGGATTGTCTTTTTCTCAATATCTGGACACCTTATATTCCCCACCCGTTGAGGACTCGAAAGAAAAAGCTCAAACCCGTGATGCTCTGGATACATGGCGGAGCGTTTACAGGTGGAACTTCCAGCGATCCAACATTCGATGGCGGGAATTTAGCCTCACGAGGCGATGTCGTTGTTGTTGCAATAAATTACCGACTAGGAACCTTTGGATTTCTCGCGCTGAACGATGGGGAGACTAATGGAAATTACGGACTGGCAGACCAGATCACAGCCCTAAAATGGGTCCGTCAAAATATCAAGGCGTTCGGCGGAGACCCGGACAGGATAACGATTTTCGGACAGTCCGCTGGCGCAGGCTCTGTAAGAGCCCTGCTTGCCTCTCCCAAGACACGCAATATGATTGCTGGGGCCATCATGCAGAGCAACCTAGGGGGCTTGGCTTATGGCACAACATACTCCAAATATTACACTATATCGCAGCAGATGGAAGTGGTTGGAAATGCCATTCTCAAAGAAACGAACTGCACGGAAGCAGCCTCGCCAGTTGGGTGCTTAAGAGAGCTTCCTACAGCAAGCATCTCGAATCTCGCCGACTCAGCACGTTATCTAGTCGTGGATGGCATTTACCTCCAAACAGCGGAGTTGGGTTTAACACGTTCTTCATCCACTGCCCACGTCCCACTTATGATCGGCACAATGAGAGATGACGGTGCTGCAATGATAGGATATCCTTCAGAGAAAGAAACATTGAGGTCCTTCCTCAATGATACTGGTCTGCCTGATTCGATCTCAGCAAGCCGATTGTTCCCGATTCCGTCAACTTCCAATGCCACCTTGGACATATTCAATACATCATCTCGCATAGCCACAGACGGAATGTTCCGCTGCATTGATGCAGCAACAGCCCATGCAGGTTTGAAGAACCGTATTTTCCCCGACATTTTTTACTACGAGTTCAACCGCTCTTATCAAATGCCTGACTGGTCACCCAATGCCCCGGTCTGTAATGCGCCCATCACAGAGGAGATGAAGCACGGTGATCCTAGCCAGGAGTACTTCAAGTGCCATTCTGGGGAGTTGTTCTACGTATTTGGAAGTTTCCGCCGGCAGGGATTGCCGTTCCGAGATGCGTTTGATCTCCCATTCGCACAATACGTGCTGGATTCTTGGGCAAGCTTTGCGAGAAATGCTACGCCTACCCCGGATTCCAGGCTCTTGAAGGCAAGAGGGTATAACAGCACTGCCCACCAAATTGGTACCCACGGTCCCTGGAAGTCTTTCGGGGACAATGGCCAGATGCAAGCTCTCCAGTGGCCTTCTGAGATGACGGGTTTGGCGGACTTGGAACAATGCCGCGAGCTGGAACTTCCTTTGGATTATTATGTTTAGTGAAATTGTACCTAGGTATATACTTCATCCTGATTCTTGCTTGAACCTTGGAAGATGAACTGGAATGGCTTGTCTGTTCCAAGAGGGCGTGGGTGCCGATTTAACTAGGATTTTTGCGATTGTAGACTTGAGAACATGCATGAATTGCTTCCAAGGCTCTAGTTAACCCTTTATCCAAGACCAAAGTTACAACCTTGAAAGCTGAACAGCACAGCACCTGCGCAGACAGCAAGTTCATCCTGCAACTTGGACAAATTGGTGCGCGGATATGGGTCTCCGCTTCCGATGCGCTGGCTTCCGAAATTCAGACCCAAGCAGTGTATCACAAGTACTGCCGAGTTTCAAGAAGTCCGCTACAGCAGGGAATGTGAATTCAAAGGCTTAAGTCTGGAGGGGCAAAAGTAAGGTTCAATGGAGGTTTGATAGCGCTGTTGTATATCTTTCCGGCGGCGAACCGATGGGTGCCCAGGTGGAGGTATATACTAGGTAATGTAGTACTGGTAAATATTTGGACTACTAACTGAGCCATCATACCTCAAAATATGAACCAATGAATATTTTTTATAGTCAATACCCATAACTGGACCCTGCAGCGAACCTTGGAAGGTAAAGACAACATGGCATCGATGTATAGTGATAAGATCGGATGTGCCTCTTCCGACGGTTCCCCTCATGATGAAATGGATCTGTACCGCCATTAGGACCCCATATCTTGTTCAATTCCTCTTTTTTTCACTTACAACTCTCCAAGTCACCTATTAAAAGCCCATAACTAAAGTCAACAAGAATGTCCTACCAAATCGCCTACGACACAGCCCGCGCACCTCCCCGCGGCGCTGCCCTCGTCGCATTCATGGAAGACTTCTACCGCACCAGCGATACAGAATCACAGCACGAGAAATACGTCCAGAGCTTCGTCGAGGACGCGACGCTCATCATGGGACCAAAGGAAGCGAAGGGCACAGCTGGTACGTTTTCGTTGCGTTGCCCCTCTACAGAACAAGATAAATTAGCTTGGCTCAATAGCATGTCATTTGCTCAAATGGACATGAGCTAACAATCTCCAGGAATTCTCAACCTTCGCCATGGGCTCTGGACGCACGTTGCATCGCGCCGACACACGCCTACGCGGATTTTCTTCAGCGGTGACGATGAGATCATGTTGTATGGTGGTGTGAACTATAGACTCAAGGCTAACCCCGATGAGGATGTCTATGTGCCTTGGGCTGGGCGTGTTGTCTTTGCGCCCCACAAGGAGGGCGAAGATATCAAGATGCAGTTCTACCAAGTGTACTTGGTAAGTGTGACATTCAGCCCTGGAGACACAAGGTTTGCGGCGCTGACTACGATTCTAGGATACTGCGGCTCAGTCGGGAAAGAAATAGTGCAGAAGTGGGCAGTAGATGTCCTTGGAATAAATTTGGGATTGTACATAAGAAATGCTAAGGACGAACAATTGCCAAGGCGCATAAACGATATCCAAAGCAATCTGAAGATCAGTCGGCCAAGACAAATAGAGTAGATCGACACAAGCACTACGTCTACGTCTACGAGAGATTGGGAACAGTTTTGAAGTGTTTAGACATGCTCTTTATTTCCAGGAGACCGCGAGAGAAAACGAGAACAAAGACGCCGTAGGGTGGTTCGGGGTCAAAGAGGTGAGGGAGATCATAAAAACATGTCAAAGGGAAAAAAGATCCCCTCCTGTCTACCGCACATGAGATGTGCCTCGACAGAAAAAGGAGGGGGGAAAACGTCTCGTCCGCTCTCTTCTCTCGTTCAAGTCTCCTGAAAGATGCCTCGTCCTCATGCACTCTCCACCGCCCAATCTCTCTCCGCTAGAAGCCCCGTCTGGTCGTCAGAAAAATATGAATTGGAATAAAAGAAACAAACGTAAAGTCGAGGGACCGCAAGCTCCGAATTTTTATTTGTGTCGTCATTTCGAATATGCCCCGCAAAGCAAAAGACAAAATTTAACGACTTATCCCCGAACTAGTAAAAGCCCATTGTTTGCGATACGTTTATTCCTCATCAGACTCCTCATCCTCGTCGACGGTGGTCTTGGCGATACGGTCAAGATCACGCTGGCCGGACTGGGTGATGCGGCGACCACCCTTGTCCTCGTCGGTCTCGAGAACACCGATCTTCTCGAGGGCCTGGAGGGCCTTGCGGTCAACGGAGCCGGAGGCATCGACGTGGTGGGCGGGGCGGGCACCACGGTTCTTGGTGGAGCCGTGGACCTTGCGAAGACGGCCGACACCGACGGTCTTGCGCATGTAGATGTGGCGGGCACAGGCGGCGGCGCGGACGTAGAACCTTTTGCTTCATGTCAATGTTTTGCTCAGTTTTCGTGGCGGGTGGTCGTACCAGTCAGCATCCTGGGGAGGAAGCTCGTTGGAGGCAGAGGTCTTGACAGTGTCAACCCATCCGGGGATGGGGAGCTTTCCCTGACGCTTCAGGAAAGCAGAGTAGGCAGAGATGAACTTCTGCGCCTGTATGGGAGAATTCATGTTAGTAGGAGCTCATGTGCGAAATTTGGTCCCAAGGTCTGCGATGGGTGCATCGGATTCGTTTCTGGAAGATATGCATCGGTCGTAGATTTCGCCAGTAGATAGCCTCGCCGATTGCCAGTACCAAGTTATCTAGTCGATATACTGGATCGATAGATCGACAATGACCCTTGTCCATTCAAATCAAGCATGTCCACCCTTCAATTGATAATGTGACGTTCCCAATGGCGATGTATTCACGGCCACTGATGGCCTTGTGTAGTCCGTGCAAAGTATTTCCACCCTGGCGAAGCTGACCGACCGATGTTGTAATATCCGTGCATCCAGAAACGAATCGTGCGCATCAAAGCAGACCTGGTGAGTGACCTGTAAAAATCGAGCAGGACACTTACGTCCACATCGCGAACGGTAACACCACCCATTTTGGCGACTTGTCGAGATGTCGAAGGGTAGGGATTAGAGAGAGAGAGGCGTTGGGCGTCGAGGTGGGCAGGGTCGAAGTCGAAGAGTCGCTCAAAATTTCAAGACACACACAACGCTGGGCGGGTTGGGTCTGTGGGCTGTTCGCTTGTGTCCATTTTGGGTTAGCCTCTCGGTTAAGCGAATTGATGCCTTATTGCCTCACCGATGGGTCAGCAACCACTGTCACGTGATAGCGAAACAAACTACGTCGACAGGTGCAAACATGAGGCTCAAACAGAACTAAAGAGCCATTGGCAACCTTGAAGTGTACGGAAGAGCACTCACAATGTGGGATGCCAAATTGGCCATTACAAGATTGGAAACGTACATGACCGAGAGCTGGTTATTGTGCTTATATCTTCGTAATAATTCTATCTCATGCAACTGTCATTATTCGTGATTTACCAGATAAAGTAAAGACCCTATTCCCAATGCTTTGCCCCATTAGCTTCCTATCATGTCATTGTAACGCCCGAAAGATTATCAAATTACAGCGTGGGCGCTCTCTTCAGCCCAACGCAATACCTTACAAACAATGTATCAACGAAGTGCCCGTGTCGTATACCGGGCGGCCGGCACCGATTGAACTCATCGATGGCATCCTGGACATTAAACCCAAGATGTTCGATCAAGTAACAAGTGATCAAGAATCCAGTGCGGTTGTAGCCATAGTGGCAATGGACTCCAACCAGCGGACGGGGCAAGGATTTCTCCTCGTCTGTTCGCTTCTCCATCTTTTGGTCGATCTCTTCTTGGAGACTGCCGACCAGGGCGATGAAGTCGCGCGTCTCATCCGGAGTCGGAGGAATTTTGGAAACGGTTGGGTGCTTGCAGTAGCGGATCCCACCCTTCTCCATTTCAGCCGGATTGTAGACCGGGCTTTCGTGACTGATGTCGATGACAGCATGAATCCGGTCGTGGTACTTGGCTGAGAACTTCACAGGGTTGTGTTCTTCGTCAACTTCACGGAGCATCTTCATTGCAGCGAAGGTGTTGGCAATGGGCTCTGAGACTGGCGCAACCTTCTGCCACTTGGCAAGGTTTTTGACATCCCACTTTCCAGAGGTGTTCATACATTGTAACTGCCAGCCCAGACCAAGACGCTTGTCGATGTTTGATGAGAAAAAGTCCTGCACAATGCCTGCAAGTGTGCGGTAGGTTGCTCGGTCGTACAGGAGCGCATGAGATGCGGGCGCCGGTAAGATTGCCGATTTGACCACTCGCTTGCGCTGAGAAGTCTCGAGGATTTTCTCAGAGACCTGAAGCCCGTATGCCTTTTCATTGGCTAGATCACTGACCGGAGCCGACATGTGATCATGAATGCGCGAGGCGTCGGGAATAATGCTGCTATCACTGGTGTTGATCGCGGTATGAACCGAAACGTCACCGAAGAATTTCAAAAGCTTCTGAACTTCGGCTGGTTTTGTAACAGCATCCGCCTCTCCCGCGACCAGGAGGACTGGCATGCGGATTCCCGCCCAGATCTTTTCACCAGGCATTCCACCAATTGCATCACCGTTCTCGTTGTATGTCGGAAGTGTGCCCCATGCCATGCGTCGCCACACGGGGGTTTTGCTCTGCTTGTTGAACCGAATTTGGAGGATTCGTGTCTCCGTGTCGGCATCATTGCCGACCATGCGCATGACACTTGCACTTTGCTCGCCGCCACGTCGATCCCACTGGCGCCAAAGGTCGAAGGCAAATCCAGGGACATAGAGTAGCTTCCGAAATTTGGAAGTTTCTTCTGCGGAGGGAGGGGATGCTCGTGGGCACACTGCGACTAGACCAATGATATGATCCTTCAGTTTTGCCCCGATCGAAGAGGTGGAGGAGGCCAAGAGGGCACACAAGGAAGCCCCGAGGCTGTGTCCCACCAGGATGACTTCTTGGCCGGCCTCACGGTCCCGGTGCTGTTCAATTGCCTCGACGAGTAGCTCTGATAAGGCCTCCACGGAGTATGCATCCCATTCCGTGGGCGAGAATTTGGAAAGTCCACAGCCGGGTAAGTCAATACCAAAGCATGATCCGATGTTGGACAGACTGGTCAGGAGGTGGTGGAACTGTGCGAGGGATCCACCAAGTCCATGAACAACCACAATCAGTGGTAGAGGTGTGGGTTTGGTGGGAAGTCGAGCTAGCTGGGGATGAGGGCTGTGGAAGGTTCTGATGGCGGGATATGTGGCCACTGAGGTTGTATATGAGTTATATGTCGTGAATTTCTTGAGAATGCCGGGATCCGTCTTGTGAGCTGCACGAAAGTTAGCGAGAGCCGGAACCAGGACCAGGAGCCTTACGTACCATCTGAGCTTTGCTTCTGAGGCTCGGAGAGCCAGTCTTCCTTGGGCTTGTAGTTGGGGTTGGTGCCATGGCGCAAAGATGCATTGCTGTCGTAGTCCTCGTCTTCATAGTCATCCTCCTCCGAGGAACTGAGAGCCTTGGAAGAAGACTTGGAGCTGTGGCGCGAAGTCCTCCGCGGAACAGATGAGCGCGACCACTTGCGCCTCACCAGCGATGACACAAGTCCACATCCAGTCATTGCGACGATACAGGTAGTCAGAAACACGACCTGTCCCCAATTCACTTTGTCATTGCGGTAAAGGCCGCAGAAGTAGCCGGAGAGGTCAGAGAGAGGTCCGGTAGTAGTAGCTGCACGGATCGAGCCCAAGAGTCGCGAGATAGTTGCGGTGCCCGAACGGGAGGGCGGATCGTACATGTCGAAGACCATTATATGTACAGCTTGGGGAGTTCTGGACTCTTGCAGAGCCCCCTAGAGCCAAGAACCACGCGAGGGGGCACCTGATACTGTTTGGACACAGCGTGCAGAGCGCCAAAGCCAATGAACACAGCAAGATCGACAACGTTGAAAGGAGTTGCAAGAAGAAGAAAAAGTAGTGCAAGAGCGGCTCAGCCACTCAGCGCCTCGGGACGGGCGGCGTGGGGGAAATGACTCACCGCCCGGAGTCCCACTTTCCCTGCAGCCTTAGAGGGGTACCTGGCTGATTATGGAGTACACTATGGGAGCCGAGGTACCATAGATCCAGTCTTAAGCATAAATTGGGTTCGAGGTGTCGCAAATCCCGGTTTTGGCTTTAGTTGTGACTAAATCGACTACGTCCCCAAGGTGTCGGATCGGACTCTCCCCGTTTCACAAGGCCCGGCATGGGGTGGTTCTTACTCACTACTGGTCAAATTCCGGCGGAGCCACGAAGATCATGTCATCGAATGTTTTCGCCTTCTAGAAACACGGTAGAATGCCAATTTGTAGATCATAACAACATTATCCCAATTCCTTCCCGAAACATGCTATGTTTTTAGACGCAGATCTCAATAAAATCAAAACAGATCAGTCATAGCTCCCTGAGACGCATCACTAACCAATCGGGCGTACTTGGCCAGCACACCACGGGTGATTTGCGGTGAAGGAGGAGTCCATTGGCGACGTCTCTCCGCGAGCTCTTCATCGGAGACATCCATCGATAGACTATTCGTCTCGGCATCGATGGTGATGATGTCATCGTCACGAACAAGGGCAATGGGACCACCGACCGCGGCTTCCGGCACAATGTGGCCAACAATGAAACCGTGACTGGCGCCGGAGTACCGGCCGTCGGTGATCAATGCCACGTTCGTCAGCTTGGCTCCCATCAGGGCGGCACTGGCCTTCAGTTGTTCCGGCATACCCGGTCCACCCTTGGGTCCCTCGTAGCGCACGATGATAACAAGGTTTTCGCCGCGAGGGATACGGCCCTCGTTTAGCGCATCATTGAGCTGGCGCTCCTTATCGAAGACGCGAGCTTTGCCGCTGAAGCGCAGTCCTTCCTTGCCGGTGATCTTGGCGACGGCTCCGCCAGGTGCCAGGTTGCCGCGTAAGATCTGCAAATGGCCGCTGGACTTGATTGGGTTGCTCAGGGGCCGGATCAGATCCTGGCCTTCCGGCAGGGAGGGGAACGAGGCCACGTTCTCGGCCAGCGTCTTACCTGTCACAGTAGGGATATCGCCGTCAAGCAGACCAGCCGCGATCAGCAGCTTCTGGACAGACGGGATACCTCCAATCTCGTACAGATCCGCCATGTAATACTTTCCACTGGGCGACAGGTTGGCAATGAAGGGGATTTTGTTGCTAACTCGTTGGATATCATCCAGGGTCAAGTCAACATCAGCTGTCCTGGCCATGGCCAGGAAATGAAGAACACCGTTGGTGCTACCGCCCAGCGCCATGGTCATGACGAGGGCGTTCTCGAAGGATCGTTTGGTCAAAAGATCCCGTGGCTTGATGTTCTTCTCCAAGCAGACCTTAATGGCGTCCGCGGCACGAACACACTCACGCATCTTGGACGGCGACTCAGCCGGTGTGGATGACGAACCGGGCAGTGACAGTCCCATTGATTCAATGGCCGTGGCCATGGTATTAGCCGTGAACATACCACCGCAAGCGCCAGCGCCGGGGCAAGCATGCTTCTCTAGGTCATCCATGATCTCGTCTTGGGTCTTGCTCGTGTCGCCGCCATCATCGGGCTGGCGCAGAGTACCGTAGGCGTAAGCACCTGCGGCCTCAAAGCATGTTGAGACATTGATAGGCTTGCGCAGGTGATCCGAGTATCCAATTCCAATAGTACCACCATAGATCATGATTGATGGGCGGTTGTGACGAGCCATACCCATGACCACACCGGGCATGTTCTTGTCGCAACCGGGGATTGCAATACAGGCATCATGGTATTGCGCACAGGTGACTGTCTCGATACTATCGGCGATGACCTCGCGGGTCTGGAGGGAGAATCGCATGCCTGCCAAGCTGTTAGCTATCGCGATCTTGAGAGAAACAGTACTCATCGAACCTACCCTCACTGCCCATGGTGATCGCATCCGAGACACCGATGGTGTTGTATTGCCATCCCAGCATGCCCAATTCTGTGACCGATTTCTTGACAGTCTTGGCCAAATCCATCAGGTGCATGTTGCAGGGGTTTCCTTCCCACCACACTGAAGCAACACCAACATGTGGGCTCTTAGCCATTGCTTCCTTGTCGGGGACACCGGCGGCGTAGAGCATAGCCTGGCATTGTCAGTATAGCTCCCCATGGGACCAAGATAGACTTACTCGTGCGCCGGGGAAGTCATGGCCCTTGGTTATAGTGTGGGAATGGCGATTGAGTGCGGGGGATCCATCCGGGTGCTTTGCATCTGTTGGCAAAGATGGAAAGTTGATGTACTTGGACTCGCTGACGGCGCTGGGCTCAATTGGATGGGAGGGACACATGATGAATTCTGCAATCAACGCTGAAGCAATTGAGAGTGCACAGCCAACATAAATAATGACCACATCCCACTGCCGAGGACTCGCACCGAAGACCGACCCCAGTGGACCCCGCGTTCCTCGGGCGTCGACCAGTTAAACGCGGCCGATTTAAGATCAAACTCGGAGTTGCGCCTATTCGGCTGATCCGGGGAACTTCCATGTCAGTGTTCTACCGTATGGCCCTGGAGAAATAGGTCAGTATGTTTCAAATCAGTGGAAAGGGCAGTCTGTTAAAATGCGAACCTTGGGGCTCCAGGGCCAGCTGCGTGAACAACCTCGGGGCCCCCAGATGGACCCACGTCATGGCACGGCCAGCTAACAGAGTCAAAGGTGGTCATTGAACATTCAGTCTTCTTGGAACAACATTAAGTATTGAATTGTGACCTTTCTTGATCACCACGGCAAGGAAAAGCTCAGAAAATATGGGTATCGTCAAATTTCTATAGGCTGCAAGCGGTCCTAAAGGGCTTGCAGAACCTGGGTGATAGTATGGCTTTATAAACAAGTTGAAGAAGAGAATTAGATCAATATGTACCCGGGGAGCCTGAGCTGAGATGTATGTCTGCAGCCGTCTCACAAGCAAATTCGTATGCTCATTAGTGCGACTAGGATTGCTCGACGCCGACGTCTTCCGCATCCTTTTCAATAGTGGACCATTGCTCTGAATGTTGCAAAGCTTCATCGCCACTGATCTCCTGTAGGGGACTAGACTTGTCGAGACCGTCCTGGTCACCACGGTTTTCATCGGGCTCACCATCCATGGCAAAGCCAACGATCTTGCCAGTACCTGGCTGAGAGCGCGCCTCTTCAAGGACATCTCCGTTCCAAGGTTGACACTTCTTGACAGTCTCCCCGCATCTTAAACAAGTCCAGCCTTGTCCTTCTTCTGCTTCTACCTTTTGCACGATGCAGACGAAGCAATAGATACAGCCACAAGGAACGGTCTCGTACGGGTTTGTAATATCGGTTTGCGCTGAGCCAGATATGCCACCGGATGCAGATGCCGCTAGTACGTCGGTCTCTGTCGTTGATGTAGGGTTCTGATCCCGATAACATATGGCACATGTGCGTTCGGGGAGGAAAGCCAATTCTCCTTGCTTCTCGGAAGGTTCGTCGCTTTCACCGCTCGACCGGACAGAATTCACCATTTTCCGCCATGCGCGAGAAATCCATCGCCGCCAGCGGCCGATTCCGACCAATGGAAGGAGGAAAAGTAGGAATTCCGTGAATGCGTGCCAAACCAGTTGCCGATTCAGGTATTCAAAAGATACTTCGCGGCTAGCTTGGGCGGAGGGAGGTGTGAGGCGGATGCGAAGGATACGGTCGACCAAGGTGCGGTATCGGCCGTTCACTAGGAATACGAGGAAAGAGACGAAGGCGGCGATTGAGTGTGAGGTCGAGATAAAGTCGGTGAGTCGTGATAGCATGCGAACATCCTGTGAAGGCTTTTGTATTGTCAGCATGGAGTTACCAACATCGAATGATGGCCGAGCAACTAACCTCTTCATAACCACCCTCTTGTGAAATCAACCAGCTCTCCCACTTGTCCCAGGCATAGCGTCCTCCGACCGTCAATAGGCCATAGATAGATTTCTGCCATTTGGTAGGGGTGGAAAAGACGGGTCCTTTGCTGCGACTATCGGTATATTGAAGACCTTGTAGCGCAGCACCATAGGAGGCATTGTGGTCCCAGATGGATAATTTGAAGAGAATAGCTCGAAGACCGAACAAAATCTCATGAGACCAATCTTCACGCATTTGAGGCTGTTATTTCGTCAGCTAGAGAAGCATTGGAATATTGCCAGCGAGACGAACCCCGAAGTATTTGAGAGCATCGCCAACCTGGCCCTTCATTAGGCCCAGTAGCTCCTCATCCAACAATTCAGCATCCACCTGACCGACGCGGAATGCAGGCCGTGTTCCATCCCGACCCTTGACAGAATTCCATATACGCCACCCGGAAGTGGGCAGTCGATTTAATGGATAAGGCAGGCGCTGAACAACGGCCGGGCTGATCGGGGAAGCCCGCTGCTGTGCGGTATGGCGGGCGCGGGCTTCGGCCTCGCGTAGGCGACGACGTTCAAGAACCCGCTCTTGTGCAGCGGCGAAGTTGGTTGAGCTCATCGTGAAATCATCGCGTGCATATGTGGATAGTTGCGGATTGTAAGAGCATGGGGAAATGGGTCCCGTTGCTTGCGGTCGGTTCCCCGGACGGGGAGCCGAGGTTGTTCCTCACGTGATGCGATTAATCTCCGCGCTTTTTCACCGTTGTTGGGCCTCAATTTGGATCTTAAAAGGAGACAAGCAATTAATAAGAGGTCTTCTTAGATGGAGATGCGGTGTACGATCAGCAACCAGATGTGGTTGGCTTAGGGGACCTTCGGAGGTAGGCTGATGATATCTTCAGAGTTTATCTATGTACCGAGGTTGCCCTGGACGTGACCACCTTGGAGGCTTTCTTTAAGACTGGTGATGCAATTAAACGGATGTATGATATGTGGATTACCGTTCATGAAATTCGTTGGATCGTACGTAGTATGTGTACTTAAGGGGCCACCATGTTCAGTCTTGAATCTTGATCAGTGGGTTCAAGGTTGTATCTAGGTAGAGTTTACCTTTCAAACCACCTGGGCAGGTATATGGAAAATTGTATGGCATTCCAGGGTTTCTCCGACAAGATGTGCAGGGAAGATGTGCAGAACAATGACCTTGCGCTGTATACGGAGTAGAGTACCTAGGTAGGTATACTCCACACATATTGAGATCCGGACGTCACCAGCCAGAACCTTGCATTTGTACGACCCGAAGGGCTACGGAGTATTGAAAGCCCTGTGTGATGCATACCTACCTAGGTAGGTTTTAATATAGGAATTCGAACATTGTTCTCAGCAGAGAGACAAACAAGCTCTTCAGGGCTGTCTTGGCCTTAGGGCGTTGTCGAATTGACCAATCAGAAGCCCGCCTGGCAGCACGCCCAGCCCTAACCATGGAACGCAGGGCAGGGCATCTCGGCTACTCCCGAGATACCTCGCGATCCGCGGTGGGAGGCTTATGAACCCCAGGTCCCTGTCATGTACTGCTTTCTTAGGGCTCGACCAGGATACTGGAACGGTGATGCCTTTGTCCATGGAATAAGCGAGATGCACTACCCTGCTTGTGTGTCTTTCTCTTTCTCCCCTTCTTGTTTCCTCTTTCCCCTCGACTCTCTAGAACGGTCACAACTTCTACTCCCCCAACTCTCATTTGATCTTCAAGATGAAAGTTAGCCTCTTGTGTGTGCTGGCCATGGCGGCTGTTGCCATCGGTCTGACTGCTACCACCTCGGAGCCTGCACTCGCGCAGATCTCCGAGGCAGCCGCTACGACCAAGCCAGAGATCACCACCTCTGGTGTAAAGGGACTGGCGTTCGATCGATTCTACCAAGTCTGGCTAGAGAACATTGTGAGTGATGAGAGCTCTAGCACCACACGAGACATGATGACTGACAAGCCCCTAGGACTTCGAGGACTCTGCTGCGGACACCAACATGCAGTGGCTCGCATCTCAGGGAATTCTCTTGTAAGTCAAACCCCCACATTCGATAAATTCAACTCGAAGCAATCCGCAACAAGACTTATGCTGACATTGATAACAGGACCAACTTCTACGCGGTTACTCATCCTTCTGAGCCCAACTACTGTGCTGCCGCTGGTGGTGACACCTTCGGAATGGACAATGATGACTTCAAGCAGATGCCTGAGAACATCTCCTCGATCGCGGATTTGCTTGACACCAAGAGCATCTCGTGGGCCGAGTATCAGGAGCACATTCCTCATGCCGGGTTCCAAGGTTTCAATTATTCAAACCAGCATACCTACAAGCCTGATTATGTCCGAAAGCACAACCCAATGGTCTTGTACAACTCGGTTGTTGGCAATGACTCCCGTGCACGCTCAATCAAAAGCTTCCAGGACTTCGAGAGCGATCTCAAGGCCAAACAGCTTCCTCAATGGGCATTCATCACTCCTAACATGACTAACGATGCTCATGATACGAACATTACTTTTGCTGCGAAGTGAGAACGGCCATGGATGGCCAACCTGTTCAAGGACGAGTACTTCATGAAAGACACTCTAGTCATGCTCACCTTTGACGAGGACTCAACTTACGTCAAGGACAATCGGATCTTCAGCATTCTGGTCGGTGGTGCCGTGCCTGAAAGCCTCCAGGGTACAAAGGACGACACCTTTTACACCCACTACTCCAGTATTGCAACTATCTCCGCTAACTGGGGCCTTCCATCTCTGGGCCGTTGGGACTGCGGTGCCAACATCTTCCAAATTGTCTCTAACAAGACCGGCTATGTCAACTACGAGGTCGACAAGACCCACTTGACTCTCAATCAGACCTATCCCGGCCCTATGTCGATTGGAGATAAGGAGACTGGAAACACCTCCAAGTTCATCCCAGACTGGCCTATTCCCCTCACGGATAGCAACGAGAAGTGCTCAGCTGGACATGGTATCTTGGAAATTGTCAAGAGCACCTATGGAAAGCTGCACCCAACCTACAATTACACCACCCCCTTCCCTTGGGACTCGCGCTACGGCTACAACGACAAAGTGACCTTCAAGCGCCCTGTCAACGGAACTCAAAAGAACACAACCGCTAGTGTCGACACTCAGCACCGCAGTACCGGAGCTATTCTCGATGCTCGTCTTCAACGTGCTTTGACGGGATGTCTTTTGATCGTTGTTGCTTCATTCTTCTAATTTGATGTATTTCCCCGCACTTATTCTTCAATCTGTGTCGCGGGTTAATGGTTTCTGTTCTTGACTTTGAACTCTTGCGGACACTGGCTCACGCCAAAAAGGGAGTCTTTTATGATGGCCCTCGATTTAAAACCTCAAAACATGCAGTCGCTCTCGTCCTGGGGGCCCTGAAATTCCACTATTAGCTCTTGAATCTAATCAATTTCGAGGTGAACTATTTATTCGCTCCTGACTGTAAGTCATTTGCATTTGTAAACTGGAATCCAGCTCTGAAGTGCAACGTGACCAACGAACCATAAAAACACATGGGCAGCCCTGGTGCTTAAAAGATAAAGCACAGACAGGATCCAATAGCTGGACCTACCTAGCGAGTGATTTCCCCGCAGTCTACAGGGACTATCCTCTTGGTACTTGCTTGCGAAACGGGGGTTTCCCCAGTGATTCTTATTCTGGACCGGGCCGGGCCGAGGTATGACCTGGATAGCAGATTTGCTCTCGTATGACTGGTACTGTCGATTTTCAGATGGGAATTCTTGCAGAAATATGTGGCTAACGCTGCTCAAACTATTACTCTCTACCCCGGCCTCCGGGGGCCCCGCACCAATTGGCCTGCCACAACACAAAAGCCCTGAAAACGGAGGTCACTTGGGTTACATCGGTTAGGTGGAGAAAAAGGAAAATTCCCGGCGGCACATTCCCGAGGTCTTGAGAAGGCTTGTGTCGAATCAAGCCTCACCAAGAGTCTAACCTTGAAAGGCGATGATCTGCCCCAAGGCTACAGTGTACACATCTGCGGGGTGCATTCGACACGGCTTAACCCCGGAGAAATGGGGTTTGAACGCCACATCTTCGGCGCCCCTCAACACAATATCTTGTATGAGGATACCTAGCTTGAATTCAGCTGGCCAGTCGGGCTAGAATGCCTGAAATTGAGATTCCAAGGTCGGAATCATACAATTAACCGACTGAGTGCCGAGCTGGGGGGCCGCAAGGTCGCATAGACCGTGAACCAATATCCACTCGATCAGTAGTTATTGGAGGAAAATCACCCAGGTGCCGGCTTCAGCAGCGCGTGAGCTCTTTATTCCAAAGTTTCTCTGAAGACCGGAAGTAATGAGGCAATTAAAGGAGAAGTATAAAAGCAAGCAGAGCAGGCACTCCCTTTTCTTTAACTGCGACTAATCAAACATGCTCTCAAGACCAAGTATCGAACGCGCTTGGGTATTCACCCTGGGCCTTTTGGCCGGAGGCTCACTCGTGGCCGCTGCACCCTGCGACATCTACGCTTCTGGAAACACACCCTGTATTGCCGCGCACAGCACGACTCGAGCCCTTTACAGCGCCTTCAGCGGTGCCTTATACCAAGTGAAGCGTGGCTCAGATGGTACAACAACGTCCATCTCGCCGCTCACTGCCGGTGGTGTTGCGAATGCAGCAGCACAAGATACCTTCTGTGCTGGCACAACTTGCCTGATGACAATCATCTATGATCAGTCTGGCCGTGGAAACCATCTCACACAGGCTCCGCCAGGTGGCTTCAAGGGCCCCGAAGCCAGTGGCTATGATAACCTGGCCAGTGCAATTGGCGCCCCGGTTACATTGAATGGCAAGAAGGCCTACGGAGTCTTCATGTCACCCGGCACGGGTTACAGCAACAACGCCGCCAGTGGTACTGCCACAGGCGATGAGGCGGAGGGCATGTACGCCGTGATTGACGGAACACATTACAACGGAGCCTGCTGCTTTGACTACGGCAATGCCGAGATCAGCAGCACCGACACGGGCAACGGCCACATGGAGGCTATATACTTCGGCGACAACACGGGCTGGGGATCTGGCGCTGGTAGCGGTCCATGGATCATGGCTGATCTGGAGAACGGGCTGTTCTCCGGTCAGGGTTCTGCGAACAATGCCGGTGACCCATCTATTTCCGACCGCTTCGTCAGTGCTGTCCTCAAGGGCGGAGCCAACAAGTGGGCTATTCGTGGTGGCAACGCTGCCTCTGGTAAACTATCGACTTACTACAGCGGCGCACGCCCAACTGCTTCGGGCTATAACCCTATGAGCAAAGAGGGTGCCATCATTCTCGGTATCGGCGGTGACAACAGCAATGGTGCCCAAGGAACCTTCTACGAAGGTGTCATGACGTCCGGATACCCGACAGACGCAACCGAGGACGCAGTCCAGGCAAATATCGTGGCTGCCAAATATGCCGTCGCATCTTTGACTAGTGGCACGGCTCTGACTGTTGGCTCTTCGATCTCATTGCGAGCCACCACGTCCGGCTACACTACGCGGTATATCTCACACACTGGCTCGACCATCGATACCCAGGTTGTCACTTCATCCAGCACAACTGCTCTCAAGCAACAGGCTAGCTGGACTGTTCGCACGGGTCTTGCGAACAGTGGTTGCTTCTCGTTCGAATCTAAGGATACCGCTGGAAGTTACATTCGTCACTCTGACTTCGGTCTGGTCCTTGGTGCTAGCGATGGTACCAAGCTGTTCAATGAAGACGCAACATTCTGTCCGCAGACCAGTCTTAATGGCCAAGGTATTTCGATCCGGTCCTGGAGCTACCCTACCCGCTTTTTCCGTCATTACACCAATACTCTCTATATTGCAAGCAACGGTGGTGTCCACACGTTTGATGCCACTGCTTCATTCAATGATGATGTTAGCTGGGTGGTCAGCACTGGTTTTGCTTGAGGTGCAGTCATATCCTGGATAAGGCAGAGACGTGAATGTCTCACAATTGGTAGGGTCTAGCTGGACAGACGGTCACGACTATTTATAGGCCAGAAATAGGAATTACGTTCAAACTTGGTATAATCGAAGATCATAAACATGTATTCATTGCATTCCCGTTATTCCTATTTCAACAAACCCACTCACAGCCGCGATGTCTTGATGACAATGCTTTTCGTCTCCAGGAAGCTATCAAGACTGTATAGAAGGCCTTCACGACCAGTTCCACTCATCTTGTAGCCACCGAAAGCGCCGTCCTTCGCACCTGTGGGACTAGTACAGTTCACACCAACCGTACCTGCGTCAAGGGCCTTTGCCAAGCGGACCGCCCGGTCAAGATCCTTCGTGAAGACAGAGGCATACAGACCAAACTCTGTATCGTTTGCCTTCTCAATAACTTCCGCCTCAGTAGAGAATGGTGTGATAGTCACGACAGGTCCGAAAACCTCCTCTCGCATCAATCGCGAATCTGTAGGGACGCCTTCGAAGATAGTAGGCTTGACAAAGTAGCCATCGTTTGCATCACCACCCAGCGTAAGCTTGCCATCCTTCTCTCCGATGGCCAGATACTCCTTAATCCGCTCGTACTGCTTAACATCAATCTGTGGACCGTGCGAAGTAGTAGGATCCAATGGATCGCCAATTGTAACAGCCCCGAACTTCTCACGGAACAACTTAGTAAACTCCTGTGCGACAGACTCATGCACATAGATCCGAGAGTTGGCGGTACAAATCTGACCGCTGTTGAACTGAATACTGAACTGTGTTTGAGCCGCGGCCGAGTCCAAATCCGCATCCCCGAAGACGATAGCGGGCGACTTGCCTCCAAGTTCCATGAGAACGTGCTTCAGATTCGACTTTGCGGCTGCGGCTTGGATCTTCTGGCCTGTGATTGATGATCCGGTGAAGCTGATACAGCGCACCTTCATGTGCGATGCGAGGGCTGTGCCCGCTGGCTCTCCGTGGCCGGAGATGATGTTGATGACACCGGGTGGGAAGCCGGCTTTCTTAATGAGCTTGGCTACATAGAGAGACTGTGACTTGATTAGCATGAGATAGTTGGAGATGAATGAAGAGACGTACCGTCAATGGCGCCTTCTCACTGCTTTTCAGGACAACGGTGTTACCGGCCGCGATCGCAGGAGCGATCTTTCCTGCGAACATGGCCAGTGGGAAATTCCAGGGGATGATCAGTCCCACCACGCCATATGGCTGTCTGACTGTCATGCTCAGTTGGTCCGGGGTATTCAAACTCGCTGTACCCTGTGCGCTCCAGGCAGCTGTAGAGAAGTAGCTGAAGTACTCAGCTGCCAGGCCGCCATCAAAGAATGCTGAGATCGGACGTCCGATCGACAATGTCTCAAGCTTTGCAAGTTCGGCATTTGACTCCAAAATCAGCTGGGAGAGGGTTTGCATGTATGAACCCCGCTTTTCGATGCTGAGATCGCGCCAGGCTGGGAAAGCTGCGCCGGCTGCTGCAACGGCATCGTCCACATCCTGTGCAGTAGCTTCTTGGACTGCGGTCCTGTTAGGATCTGATAAGGTTGTTCTGGATGCTTAGCTACGGACCTTGTGCGACGACTTCTTTGGTGTAAGGGTACACCACGTCAAAAGTTTGTTTATTAGATGAATCTCGGAACTAGGGTCATCAGCATAGACTCTTGAGCACTGTATGGTAAAGAATCATTATAGAATCAGGCTAGTCTCATACCTCGCCGTTGATGAAGAGTCGAGTTTCGATAGGTTCGGTGAGTGCAGATGCCATGCTGAAGGTGAAAGTTGACAGAGTCAAGTAGACAGGAAAGCTTTCAGGATGAAGGACGAAGCGGAAGTCGGCGGCCTTTTGAAGCTGTCGAGCAGAGGCCAGTGTTTTAAATAGGTCACCTTTTCACCAATGACCCTTTGCCCCCAGGGCCAAGAGCTGTGCCCCTTGCGACGTCAATATGCATAATCTGGATTGGTGGTGAGACTGGCGCTAGCATTGCGTATGAGCTGATTTGCCTAAAGACACATTAATTGGACATCTTGTTTGGGCCAAGTGTAACCATGCACTGTAAAGTGATTGGCCTGTTCGTTTGTGCTCTGGGCTAAAATATGCGGGGGTGTTGCAAGAGGGGCCGGACTGGGGGCGCTCGGGGAGATGTCGCTCCGCGGGATTCGTGGACGTTGTGCTGCCTATCTGGTTTGCGTGGGCCATTTGCTGCCTATTCAAACATCACATCCAAATTCAGTTTCACTACTTGCAATATCAAACTCGATCTCGGTATCACTGCTCGAGTTGTCCATAATGTTGTTGACAGCCTCATCAACCTGTTGGGAGTCATGTGATGATCCCATTGTTTGTGGCTCGTGATGTTTGCTGCTTGCCCAGGTGATCCTGGATAGTCTTCTTTCTTCTTCCTTCTTCCCCCAGTCTAGGAATTAAGTCAGTTTCTTCTCTCTCTCTTGGCCCTTGGTAGTTCCAACACAACCTCATCCGCTGCGGCCGTAGTGTTCATGTCAGCGGTGGTAAAATCACCAGTTACAGCATCAAATCCAACTCCAGCATCGCTAGTTGCGGTATCGAAATCACTCTCAGTATCGCAGGTCGCGACATTAATCTCCGTCTCCGTATCCGTCCCTGTTTCCGCGTTTATGCTGGACCGCAGTGGATGAGCTTGATGAGGCTAAGGCTATGGTCAACAACGTTATGGACAACTCGAGCAGTGATACCGAGCTCGAGTTTGATATCGCAACCAGTGAAACTGAAGTTGGATTTGATGCTGCAACTCGTGATTTTACCACCGCTGGCATGAACGCTACAACCCGGGGGACGGAGACATCCCTCTTTAAACGGTTGAAAACTGGCACTCATCAGCTTTACTCTGCGTATGCCGCCCCAACTAATCGGAAACCCAAAAATGTGGGCAGGCACTGCTCCGATTTCTCGGGACAGCATAAGCGAAGCCTACATGTATGCTGGCCTCGGTCCTAGGAGTAGCGTGGTGCCAGGTGGTTGAATGTGTGCGGAATACCGCCACTCCTAGGACAGAGACCGGCGTACACGTAGGCTTCGCTTATGCCAGCACCAGACACGATCTCGACGAACCTTGATATATAATAGAAGTGTGGTACTGATTTGAACGTTTCGCGAGTCATGAAAATTGTTCAACCATATAAATTATCATATAAGTCGTTAAGTATCATGCTAATGTACATTTTTATTGAGCAACTCCACGACGCTTCAGGTCTTGCAAGTTGGGGACTTCCTGGTCACCACCGCGGTTGCTGGACTCGGTCTTGATGTCGTCTTCGGGGCCGCCGGTGCCATTGAACTGACCAGCAGTTGGGAGGCTATGAGGAACATAGGTTAGCATCTGATGAGTCATAATTGTGAGAACATAGCAATTCATACCGGTCACGGTCATCACGGGTGCCACCCTCATCCTCGGGGATGACGCGGTGGTCACTGCCAGAGGCAGTTGAGCCGGGGCCGTACTTGAGGCCGGCGGGCTGCTCGAACTTCTTCTCGACCATCTCGTCGACACCGGACTCGAGAGCTAGGTGACTGTTAGTAGAGAAGACATGGAGTGATATCATAGGTAACATACTGGAGTCACTCTTCTTGCCGAGACCCTGCTTAGCCTGGTAGGAGTTGAGGTCCTTCTCAGCGTTGAAGGCGGTCTGCTTCAATTCTTCGACGGTAGGCATGGTGAATTTGTTTTGGGAGATTTGGAAAGAAGGAAAATGAGAGACTTCTGAAGTGTATATTGTAGAGAGATATCTGTCTGTAATTTGCACTTTATATACCCCTTCAGGTCGCTATCACCTATCTTTGCAAGTTGGTGGTTGCATCATGATACATCATAGGTATGTCACAAGTGGAGGAAGTTAGAAGCAATCTGAAGTGAAGTGATAGATTTTTTGCACGAAAACAAGGTTGGTGATCCATTTCGAGAAGACCCTGGAGACAAGTTAGTGGTCGCTGACTTCATAGTTCTCCACCATGCTCTTAAAAGTTGACTGGCCAATCAGGAGCGGCTAGGCGGAACAACACATAATCCGAGTCTCGAAGTACCCCGCCGGGCGGTGAGATTATTGCCGCGATGCGAGCTCGATTCGATGAATTACACGGAGTTGATCGAGTCAACATCGCCAGATACCTCTTTGAGTATCATCTGATGAATGATCAGTGATCCAAGGGCTGGACTTCTGAACTGAAGCCTTACTCGGAACAGACTGAGCTATCCAAAGTCTTTCTTACACAAGTCGATCATCACCGCCATTCGCCATGGGCTTTACCATTGAATCACAGGGCGGGACCAGCCCACTGAGCCCTCAAGGTGTGCTCAGCACACTGGTGCTTGCGGCGAGCTCAAATCAGCACCAGGTTCGAGCAGGTACCGAGCAGCTCCAAAACTGGGAGAAGCAGGGCATGTACCACTCTTTTCTACAGGTATCGTTAGCCAATTATAGTTGTTCCAAACCAACGCGCTCACGCCGTTCGAAATTTAGGATGTCTTTCTTGACCACTCAGTCCCAAACGAAGTCCGGTACCTTGCAATCATCCAGCTGAAAAATGGCATTGATAAATATTGGCGCAAGACAGCAGCAAAGTATGTTCCAGCAATTGTTATCAGACGACATTCACTGATGGCAGTCGAAGTGCAATCAAGCAGGAAGAGAAGCATCACATCAAGACGAGGGCTTTGGAGGCAGGGATCGTCGAGCCTGCTCCGCTCCTGGCTCTTCACAACTCGTTGATGATTGCCAAGATCATGCGCTTCGAGTTTCCCCAGGACTGGTATGGCTGAAACCCCCAGCATCTCAATACTGAAACTCACATGACATAGGCCCGATGCTATCTCGTCGATCATATCTTCCCTGCGATCCTCAACCCAGCCAGAGGTCAACCCGCTACAACTGCCTCGAACCCTTCTCATTCTCTTGCAAATTATCAAGGAACTATCAACAGCACGGATCCAGCGAACTAGACACAACCTACAGGCCGTGTCACCCGAGATATTCCAGCTGTTGGGGGGCATCTATGTGGAGAAGATCAACCTATGGGGCTCGGTATTGGAGCAGGGTGGTGCCGGCGGGGAGGAACTGCTTCATACGCTCGAATTGAGCTTGGTGTCGCTCAAGGTCCTTCGGCGCTTGATTATCGCGGGCTTTGAGCACCCAAGTCGCAGCCAAGAGGTGCAAAACTTCTGGGTACTCACCCATTCGCATTTCAGCAAATTTTTGTCCTTTGTGAATGGACCCACCAATCTCCCTGAGCCAGTCCACAAAGCTATCGAGAAGCATCTGCTGCAAATGTCCAAACTGCACGTTGAAATGGCCAAAACCCACCCCGCATCGTTTGCGCTGTTGCCCGATAGTATTCCGCTTGTCCACTCGTATTGGTCATTAGTTGTCAAGCTCGGAGAAACGTATGACAGCCTCGGCGCCGGTGGCGAGGACGAGGACAAGCCGTTGATCGAGAAAACGGGCCTCCGGGCTCTGCTCTTGATCCGGGCATGCGCGAAAATGGCCTTCAACCCTGCGCAAACCTTCAAGTACCAAACACCTGAAGACAAGGAGGAACGAAAACGATCAGTCGAGCTGATCAAATCACAACTCTTCACGCATGAATTCGTTGTCAATGTGATGGAGCTGCTTGTGACGCAATTCTTCCGCTTCCGCAAGATCGATTTCCAAGAATGGGAAGAAGAACCAGAAGACTGGGAAAAGCGAGAGGAAGAGAATGTTGACGCCTGGGAGTTCTCTATCCGCTCTTGCTCTGAAAGACTCTTCCTTGACCTTGTCATCCACTTTAAGGATCTTCTCATTCCTCGGCTGTTGACCGTCTTCTATTCCTTTGCAAGTAAGTTGATGATTCCATATGGACGATTGAAGATGCTTACCTAGAGATCAGATACCGACAATCATGAGGTTGCCTTGAAAGACTCGTTATACTCCGCCATCGGTCTAGCTGCGGCCAGCCTGGAACAACACCTGGACTTCAATTCTTTCTTGGAGCAGACCATGGTTCCTGAAGTCCAGTCCCAAGAACAAGAGTACAGGCTTCTGAGAAGGAGAATTGCGCTTGTGCTGGGCCAGTGGGTGCCAGTAAAACCCGGCGAGCTGAACATGAACGCAGTTTACCAAATCTTCCAACATTTGCTCAACAGCAGTGATCCTTTGAACGATCTTGTTGTGCGCATCACTGCTGGACGTCAACTCAGGAATGTGCTCGACCCATACCTATTTGCACCTGAAGTCTTCCTGCCATTTGCGCCCGCAATTCTTGGAAGCCTTATGTCTCTTGTTCAAGAGACTGAGAGCTCTGAAACGAAAATGGGCCTTCTGGAGACAGTTCGCACGGTGGTGGTCAAGCTTGAAGACCATGTAAGCTGCATTCCCGGTTGTTGGTTGTTGCTGAGCTGACATATTTAGATTGCCCCCTTCTCCGACCAAATCATTTCTCTGCTTCCTCCGCTGTGGGAGAGCTCAGGAGAAGAACACCTCATGAAGCAAGCCATCCTGACGTTGCTCTCGTCTCTTATCGGCTCGCTCAAAAAAGAGTCTGTTAGATACCACTCTCTCATTCTTCCACTGATTCAAAGCTCAGTGGAACCTGGCTCGGTAGGTTTCTTAATTCCTGCATTTCGACCGCATATTAACTGACACTTGAAAGGAAACCATTGTGTATCTTCTGGATGAAGCTTTGGATCTCTGGCACGCAATCATCCAGGCCACACCCAGCCCTGCATCACCCGACATCATATCACTTCTGCCCTGTCTTTTCCCCATTATGGAGGCTGCGACAGACAACACACCACAGGCTCTTCACATACTCGAATCATACGCCTACCTTGCGCCCCAGGATATTCTGAGTGACCGTTTCAGGTTCCAACTGTTACAGATTCTCGAATCACTCCTCAAGTCCACCACCAAGCAGCGGCTTGGTGTGATCCCTCGCGTCGTCGAACTCATCATCAGAGGCGCCGAGGCTGTCGATGGTGGTAGTGAAGCAACTTACCGCATCGTTTCGCAATCTCTGGTAGAATCATCTTTCCTTGCATCATTGCTCGAAGGACTATACTCCGCTCATGAGGCCAGTCAGACTTCTGGGCCCAACCGAAAAACCTCCCCTGTGGTCGGCGTTGTCGAGACCGACTACTACTCTGTGTTAGCGCGTCTGGCGCTGGCCAATCCTGCTATATTTGCTTCATCGGTCGCCGCAGCGACAAACTCATCCCAAGAACAGTCCCTCTCTTGGATCGTGACCGAATGGTTCTCGCATTACGATAACATCGGCAGTGTCAGCCAAAAGAAACTCCATGCCCTCGCCCTTACCCAGCTTCTTGCCCTACAGGATGCTCCTCTAGATCCCTCTCTACCCCCTCCTCCCCCGGCATACATGCTTTCCCACTTGCAGTCCTACCTTAGCATGTGGACCGACCTCGTCACCGAGCTCGCAGACGGTGGAACCGACGCAAATGCCGACTACTTGGTATGCTGGAATGCGCCTGCCGGATCCGAATATGCTCAGCCGGAAACCAACCAGGAGGCTGACTCGCCCGAGACTATCCGACGCAGCGAATGGCAGTCGGGAGATGTGATCCATCGTTTCATGATCCGAGACTTTGTTCGCCACCGCTTACAGGAAGTCATTTCGGGCTGCGGTGGGGCCCAGCGATTCCAGGACGAATGGCTAGTCAACATTGACTCGGATGTGGTCTCTGCATTTGGAGCTTTGGGCTTGCTTTGAACTTATTATCATTCTATTTACACCGACATGATTGCATTTGCATAAGATGAACATTTCTATCACTTTAGACGTGTGGTTTGGCCGATTTACAATCGGACATTTTGACTATATCCTTCCAGTTACATACCCATATCATAAGTCTATTCCAAGTCCACTACCTAGCTAGTATAGCTGACGTACATCTCAATCTCGTAAGGCCAGGCTCGCCTAGGCACTTTGGCTTGAACATTGAGTACATTCTCAAGGTCTATCCACAACACATCATTCGGTTGGAAAAAATGTGATGGATATCTGGGGTAAGGAATGCTTGCCACATGGCTCAGCTGGCCAACTATATTGTCGCTGATTCTGCCAGCCCTGGGGTCAGACCATGTAGACACTAAGATGGCATTATCCATAACATCTCCAGACTCTCTACTAGTATAGTACTGTGCTGTAGGGCTGGGCAAGGAACGAGAAGAACCTTGGATCCAGTCTCCGGACTGGATACCATGTGGGGCCATGTGGGGCACTGGATCCCCCAACCTTAATCCGTGAGACACTTGTCAGACACCTTAGCAAGTTAACACACTCTCTAGATCGCGTGAGCGAACAAGGGACAAGAGATGGGGGGAAACGCACAGCTACTATCCAAAAGCTCTTTGACATTCACGGGCAAATGGATGCAAATCCCAAAGTGAGTATAGGTTCAATTTGCCACCGACACATTCAGTCCCATTAACTTTCTCTACGATCATCGCGCCTATAGTCCAGTGGTAGGATGCCGCTTTCCCATCATCGAGAACAAGCGGTGGCCCGGGTTCGAACCCCGGTGGGCGCATCATCATTTTTTTTTTTGTTTCTCACAGAGGCGGTGAGCATGGTCCTCGAAAACAACAATATACTACGGAGTACTTGTTCTATAATTATGGATCAAGGAATTGTTGCACCTGTATTCCGTAGGCAAAGTGATGGTGATCTCTTATGCAGCGTTTTCAGAGACTGCTAGCTTGGACCACTCCTAAAGTCCGCTCGGTGTCAAAATCAATGGATACGGCAAGGCCGAGATGAAAACCCCTGGTGTTTGTTCGAATCTCAAGCATCAAATGAAACATTAAATAAACACAGCATACGGAGGATACGGAATAGCTTGCTTGGTTTATACCTAAAGCGATGATATTGTCGTCCAAGCGGAAAAGCCGACCAACGCTCCGCATCGCATTGATATCGGTGTGTGGGGAAGGAAAATGGTGTCATAAGCAATTTTTCGTTCTCATCTCCTCTCACCTTGAGCTATTTCCACATTCGCAAAGTACGGTTACCAGTTTTCCTGGGATCTACAATCATCCTCATCGCCTTGCAATCATTCACTGTACGGAGTACGCTCGCGTGACAGGCTTCCAAGCCAAGGCGTTTGTTGATGGGGACCTCTCCGCACGCCCAGGAACCGGGTCAAAGTCACCCAAGTGACCGAGCGGATACTCGGCTTTCTGGCTTCCCTGCATTTACAGAAAATGAGGACTTGCCAAGTATTAGCGACGACAGCGATTTCGATAGCGATGATACTATCTCCGAGGGCGGTTCCCCGCCCCTGAGGGTATTGGAGGCCGCACCGCTGATCACTGATCATCGACGTTTTTCTTCCGCCGGCGAGGGAAGCGAATATGATGCCGAAGGTATTCTTGGGCAACCTGAGGAGGAAAAGCCTGTGACTTGGGGCTCGCTTCCTAAGAAGGGCCAGTTGGCTATTCTGACTTTTGCACGGCTATCGGAGCCTCTGACCCAGACCTCCTTGCAGGCGTACATGTTCTATCAGCTCAAGTCTTTCGACCCATCGCTGCCGGACTCTAAAGTATCTGCGCAGGCAGGCCTTCTCCAAGGTAGCTTTACAGCCGCGCAGTTCATCACGGCGGTCTGGTGGGGCCGACTCGCAGATGCCGACTGGATGGGTCGGAAAAGAGTGCTTTTGATCGGGTTGATGGGCACTTGCCTATCATGTATCGGCTTTGGGTTCTCTCGTAGCTTTGTGTCTGCCATGATCTTTCGGACGCTTGGTGGGGTGCTGAACAGCAACATCGGAGTGATGAGAACGTTGATCGCAGAAATCGTCTGTGAAAAGAAGTGAGTCTTCCTATCTTGGAATTCCAGCCTTCGGCCTTAACACTTACGATGAAGGTATCAATCCCGAGCATTCTTGCTTTTACCGATGTGCTTCAACATTGGGGTGATCATTGGCCCGATCCTAGGCGGTTCCTTGGCCGATCCAGTCAACAGCTTCCCACAGATATTCGGTCCCGGGTCATTGATTGGAGGCAAAGAGGGCGTCTGGTGGATGCAGCGCTGGCCATATGCGCTTCCCAACGTGCTTAGCGCAATCTTTATATTCGCATCAGTACTTGCAGTGTTCCTCGGACTCGATGAGGTGAGTTTCTGTTGCTGTCCTTTTTGAAACCATACTCATAATAAATTCCAGACACATGAGACTGCACGCTACAAAAAGGACTGGGGCCGGAAACTTGGGAAGCGGCTCACAAGAGCCTTCAGGAGAAGACCAAGACACTACCGCCCTCTCACACGCTCTAGAGACGATGATTCTGTCTACCTAGACGGCAGTGTGGAAACCTGTTCTGCGCCATCAAGTCCGACTCGACCGCGCGTGCAGCCCCGAGCACATAAAAGGCCAGGATTCCGCCAAATCTGGACTCGTAACGTCCTCTTGACTCTGCTGGCTAATTTCTTACTGGCTTTCCACACGAGTGCCTTCAATTCCATGACGTTCGTATTCTTGCCTGCACCTCGTGCTCCTGAGGACTCTCGACAAGGTTTCTTCCACTTCGGAGGTGGGCTTGGTCTTCCTTCCTCACGGGTTGGTCTCGCAACTGCTATCATCGGGTTCATTGGTCTGCCGCTCCAGATTTTCTTGTATCCGCAGATACAGACCAAACTCGGGACTCTCACCTCGTTCCGCACTTTCCTTCCTTTCTCGCCTCTCTCTTACATGCTGATGCCTTTCCTGGTGATTCTTCCGCGCATCCCTTCGATCGTCTGGCCATGTTTCACTTTCGTTGTGAGCTTACAGGTCATATCTCGGACATTTATCCTACCAGCTGCTATCATTCTAGTCAACAACTGTGTGACTGATGCATCCGTTCTTGGTACAGTTCACGGTGTGGCGCAGAGTGTCTCCAGTGCAGGCCGCACCCTTGGTCCACTCCTCGGCGGATGGGGTCTTGGACTGGGGCTCGAGTATAACATGATCGGGGCTGTTTGGTGGGCGCTAGCTGCCCAAGCTTTAGTTGGGTGGGCTATGCTGTGGAGTATTTATGAGGGCAAGGGCATAGAGCAAAAGAAAGACGAGGATGAGGATTGATCTGTCTGTCTGACGGTATAGTCATCGAGTACCCGTGGCCTGATACAATAGGCTTTACGACCAACTAGACATCATGCGTCCATGGATGAGTATATGTCTGATGCCAACCTTGAAGATTCACATCCAAGGTTCCAAGCCCTGGAGGTTGTGAATACTTCAAGGTTGATCAAAAAGGGAAACGACTTTTGATATGATACCAGGGCAAACCTTGGAATATTTTAAATTATTTTAGTGACATGATGCTGCATGGCTATTGACCTAACGCTGTACCTAGGTATATGATTATCATCTATGCACGTAAACGAGTCACTCAACCAGAGAGAGCGTAAAAGTCGATCACCCCGTGTACCTATGCTGATACCAATGTCATTATTGTTATGGACGCCCGACCAGGTGGATTTGAGGGGGCTCGTTCGCTCCGCCTCTGAAGGTCGTAGGGAACATAGATCGTCTTGACTAGTCCGAGTCTACAGTTCCCGCGGGGTAGTCTCCTCACTTTATTTGGGGAGGCGGGGCAATGAAAGCCTTCATCGCTTTCAAGGCATCACCGTCATGTACTTTCAATAGCTCTGTAGCTTTGAGTTTGCTCAAATCAAGCTGATCCACCTGTTCGAAGTTCGATCAAGATGGTAAGCCCGTGCAAAGTATAGTAAAAGTGGCATAAATCTCACCAGCAAGGCGACGTCGGCAGCAGCAATCTTAGCCACCCTCTTCTTCGCCGCTTCTCCGGACTTCTGTACTGATGCTCCTTTCTTGTTTGGGCCTTGACCAGCCGCTATATCGAGCCGGCTCATTGCTTTTCCCAAGGCGTCTTGGTTGGCCGTTCCTGGGGCTCCATCGGAGACACCGTCCGTCGCGATTTCATTCACATTCAGAGAGGAGAGGGCGGCAGCGGCTTTGCGGTCTTCGGCGTTTAAGGGGGCCGTATGATCCAGAGAGCCGGGATCAGCGGATGCAGATGGGATAGGGTCAGACATGATCGCTTTGAGGGAGTCCAGCAGTCCAGGGCAATGTTGTGTTTTGACGTCATGTCGATTTGACAAGGCGCTGACATAATTGTTTGCCTCGCTGGCTGCCTCAGGTACCAGCTCTGCTTTTGGAAAAAGGAAACATGAAAAAAGCAACAGGAAATGGAGAATACGGTGGTCTTTGCTGTGTGAACAGTTTATGATCTACGCCCTGGAACTTCGAGCTGATCGCGCATACTACATCTCCACTTCGGAACTCCCGAGGCCCACTTACATTCTCAAGGCATTCATTGAAGCTCTCCAAATGAAATATCGAGCCAGATAGCATAGAGCGTGACTTCGTTATTTCCGTGAGTCTTTGATGCCTCTGCAGCAAGTTCTGCAACCTCGAAATTAAGGCCTGTGCCGTTTGAACTCACAATGTCCTTTATAATCTGCTTGCTTTGTCTCAGTAAAACATTACATGTATTTTGTTTGTCGAGTCCTTGTTATCCCTCGGTCATTGTTGCGGACAAGCTATTTCAGGACCTCGAAAGAAAGGAACAAAGACCAGCAACAATGCCATTTGATCTCCAGCCAGGCTCTAAGAAAGAACAATTAAAAGACCATATCATTGATGCAATTGTCTATAAAGTCTGGCTGTGTTCACTCGAGTATCTATTATCTTCACACAACACACTCAGCACTTCAAACACTTCTCTATCAAACGCATAACAAGCCCCTGAAAGCCTTACACATCCCACTGATCAAACGTAAAAGGTCATTCAGCCCCGATCTCCCATCCCAAAATGTCTTCCGCCAGGCTCCACCCCCAGTCGAACGCCGTCTCCATCTTCGAGATGGCTTACCACGACGCATGGAAGCGTTATCTGACCATGTACCAGAAAATGCTTGACACGATAAACAAGCCCGGTTTCTCCTTGGCAGACCACGAATCGGTCATTGGCGATCTAGGTCTCATCAAGTTGCAGATTCACACAATCCACGAGAGAGGAATGGATATGTGGGAGAAGCATCCCCAGTGCCAGACTGTTCGCCACGAGTGTATTGGGTACTTCTCTACTACCTTCAGCGGACAATGCCACAATCTCCTTATGACATTGGACTCACTTGTGAAACTGCTTATGACTGACAAGAGTGTTAAAAATATCCAGGAAGTCCACAGTGCCCTTCGCCTGATTCAGCTTTAAGAGGCCACCGAATCATATCATGGGAACTATCTATTCGATTATCTGGGTAGCATCTTACAGGTTGAAGTCAACTCCGGACCAAAATGCGGGGTTTATCGCTAACTATAGGGAAACCCCAGATACTCGAGGAATTGATGGTAGCTCAGACACTATTGTAAGTCTCAAGCCGGATCTTGGGACATTTTAGAAAAGCACATCTTTTATCACTGAATTGAAAATTTGATTTCTAAGATAGCTTTTACTGTATTTTCATAAAATCTGGGACTTCATACCCCCATCCATGGATCGTGGCTCTTCTCGCTTCAATAGATAATTGCTTCAAAGTTTCACAAAGTGGAAAACATCATCGATACAATTTGTATGTTTTTAGGTACTCAAATTTGACTTAAGCTCGAGTCAAAACAGCTTTGGAAATAACCAGTCCCAAATTTGGGGCAAAAAGGGTACAATCTAACCCATCTGTGGTGCATGATAAGTGCGGTCATCCTATGGCATTGATCACACGGCTGCATCACGCTTTTTCATAGAAGCCCTCTGTTTATGAGAGCGATTGAAGAAGAAGGCAATAAGCGACCAACCCGCGGTGATCATGAATAGAAGCCATTCAAGCGCACCGAGAACTATCGCTGTTATGAGCAACCCACATGACTTTTCTCCCGCCGGGCATGTGTTGGTCGAAATTTGTACAGCCACAGCAATAAAACCGGCAAGCCATGAGAGAACAGCCACGGACTCAAAGGCGACACGAATGTAGCTAGTCAGCACGCGATCCGGGTAGACGATTTTGGTAACGAGGTTGAAGATGACGGCCAAAATGGTCCAGCCTGCGCAGAACATCAGGAAACCCCAGGCATTGGGGACGCCTTCGTAGGCGTAGAAGTCGCCGAACTCAAAATGCTCGTGGACAGTGCGACCTTGGAACACGCTTATAGCTAGGCAATGGAGTCAGAATCAACGGTGCGTCCATATAGAAAGATGTGTCAATGCTGCATACCGTAACCGTCAGTTCCCATGACAATGATGGCAAAAATGACCTGCACGGCTCGCAAGACATAATTGAATGTTTTGTTCTCCGCACTTGTTATTGTCATGATGTGTAGCGATATATGACAGTTTTCGGGAGTGTTCACTGCACTTTTAGTGGATAGTGAGCCTCAGAGGTGGGGGGCCTGAGCAGTGTGGTGTGGAAGGAAAGGAATGAGTGTAGGTAGGCAAAGAAAATATACGGGATACGGGTATTCATATACACAAGGGGAAGTGGATAGAGACCATGCATCTTCTTAGCATCGAGAGCCACTAATGAGCCCTTCAAAGCAAACCCTTAAGGCTTTGCCCAAACACAGCGATCGAACGAAGTGTCGACATCCATAGTTCAAAAACACTAATCCCCTTCGGGTTAGGCAGTTACGAGGTTATATTTGGTGAGAATCTCAGCCAATCAGATGTCTTCACCAAGACGGGCTTGGCTACTCTCGGTTTCCCTAGCCTCTCGCTGCATGGATCAGCATTGCTGGAAGATATGCCTGCTTATCTGTTAGCTGCCCGGCTCCAAGGTTGCAAGGTTTTCCCTAGCTCAGCCTATCACCAGGTACAAACTTCGTGTCTCGGCTGTGCAAGTCATGCATATGGCCCTGAGGAGTGAGGCGGGACCACTCGACGGTGCTTGCTCGTAAGTATCTAACCGCTTTTGGACTGAATTTGTGATTTGTGGTATACTCTGAGTGTTGTCACCCCGTTGGATATAACTAGACTAAGGTGGCTTAGTCGATGGAGTAGTTCAAAAGCAAGGCTGCTTTGCCCCGGTCAGCATGGGCTGGAGAGCCCTGTAGGTATATCATGAACAACGCTTCCCAATGTTAGAGAAAAGAAAAAACAGCTGACCACTATATCATAGGTTGATATACTCCGTGAGTGTTTGCCACTCCCCCAATGGCCCCCACGGTTTGGTGTGAAACTCAGCCTTGAGCATGCCTGGATATTGCGGGCTAGGTATGACAGTGTAATTCGACTTCCAAGGGTCAAAGGGCATTTTATCCATGTGGTACACCCGTGACTCGTCATCGGGTAGTATGAGACCATACAGCCTCGAAGTCTCAATTGGCAATCCTTGCTCGTTGAGATGTCTTTCTTCGAGTTCAATCACTCTTTTCCCCGTTACGTATGCATAACGTGCGTTCCAGAGTCCTTCCCGGCGAGGCGCAAATGGCAGCAATTCCAGTGCGCGTCTTCTTGTTGCGGGATAACGGCATTTCAACACGGCATAGTAGAGCGGTCCCAGGATTTGAATATCGAAGGACAGCGGTTGAGGTGCTACCATTCCCCCTCCTGATTTGACGAATTTCTCCGCGTATTGAACAAGCTCTTCAAAGTCAGCGTGGTAGGAGTCCGAGGCCATTTCTCCAGCTGTGGTGCAGACCCGCACCCATATGTAGATAACTTTGTAATGTACTAAAAGCAGATTGAGTGCCTCTTCGTTCACCGATCTTCCGGCAGTATGCATTCGTTCAATGAGCTCATGCAACTGGTCGTGCCATGCATCTAGTCTTGTTTGAAGTTCAACCTGTTCGATCAAATTGTCGAGGTCGTTTTGGAGCATGGCCGCGCTGGAACTGACCTTGCCAATAAAGCGAATGCAGGTATCTAAGAGCTCGACGAGGATTTGTCTTGAGTGATCAAGGTCTTCTTGTGAGGAGGTCTCTCTAGTTGTAAGGGTGTATATTGGCGGAGTATTTCTCCCAGCGAGAGAACAGAGTACATTCAAACTTGAGAACATCGGAACAAGGTGCTCTTCGATGGCTGTGGAATCATTTGACGGGATAATGGTGCCTAGTACCGAGCCATCGCCGTTGAGACGGAGTGCAGCTAGAATGTTGAACCCGCTTTGGACATGCAGTAAGGAACATTCAATATTGCCTCTGAGGAGCTCGGCACATGTGAATAGAAGGCAGCAGGTCAATGGTACCAAGCTTGAGCCAGGTTGCTCTTGTATTCGTGTAGATAGGCTCTTCATTGCGCTTTCCCACTGCCGTTGGGTCTCAGGGTTGGCATCTACATAACCAGCCGGATGCCGTAATGACAATTCGATGTCTTGATAAAGAATGCTGACGGCTGATATGGCATGTCGGATCGATGGTTCCGAGTGCGAGAGTTGTAATACAAGCCTGCTCCAAAAGTTCGATGTAAATTGCCCGTCCAACTTCTCAGCAAGTTTGTGGTGGAAGAAATCGAGGCTGCGGTCTTTCGCAAAAAGGGTTGGTTGAGCTTGAATAGGTGGCAGATATACCGTGACAATATTCCGAGGTGGTGAAACTGTACGTGGGGTATTGTACTCGCAACTTCGACCTCCAATGGTGCAACGTCGGCAGAAAGGTTTTGTCTCGTCGCACTTCACTCGACGATGGTTGCAAATAATGCAACCAGTCCGAGCCTTCGACGCACTTTGTCGTGTTCTTTTTGGCGCAAATCCTAGTCCAGAGGTCATGATCTTGAATGGTGCGACAACAGTCAGACTTGGTATACAAGAAAGAAAGAACGAAAGGAAAGGAGGTAGAGATGCCGAAGCAGATGGGCCAAAGACAGCCGACGAGAGGAGCAATACAAGTTGAAAATGGTCAACAAAATACAGAGGCTTGAGGACACAAGACAACCTTGGAAGGTCGGGTGTATTCCGTAGCGCCCCAGGCTCCAGGGCTGTGGCCTAGGCCCGTGACCCCCTATGGACCGCCTAGCCTCCTGTCACATTTTCTGCCAATTTCAGGCTGTCCACGACTTTTTAGGGTCTATACCAGGATTGAATTGAATGTCTGTTGAAGATCTTGGAAATTAAGGCTCTCTAGCTCAAAGATTTTGAATCCGGAGTATGGTTTGACGTTATATGAAGAAAAAGAGATATTATATTATGTTAGGAAACAAACAAGTAGTGCGCTCGGATTTTTCGTATACCAGGTATGCAATATAAGACAAATGAAGTGTTTGACAATCCTCTACAGAGCGAGGGCCAGAGCCAAGACACCGGCGGCACCAGCGACACCCATGGCAACACCACCGGTAGCCGCAGGGGCACCACCAGTAGACTCAGTGGGAGAGGCAGAAGCCGAGGCGGAGCTGGAAGCAGAGTCGGAGCTAGAGTCTGAGGAAGATGAAGAGGTCGCATCGCTGGAGGAGGTCTCGCTAGCGGCGGAGGAAGTCTGGCTAGCGGTGGAGGTGACACCAGCAGAGCTGGAGGCAGAGCTCGAGCCGGTTTCGCTAGCACTGCTGGACCCAGTCTCGGTCACGGAGCTACTGGCAGACCCGGTCTGGGTGGCACTGCTGTCGATGGTGGAGGAGGCACCGATGAACTCATCGTCAAAGTTGGAGGTGGCCCAGGCCTTGACGCTGTTGGGCAGAGAGTTGTACCAAGCAGGGTAGGTGCCAGCCGCGGCGGCACTGATAATGGAGGATCGGGAAGAGTCGTCCATGATATCGCTGTACCATGAGTCGGGAATAGCGGTTGCCAGGACGGTCAGGATAGAGTTGGGGACATCGTCGATATCGAAAGAGTCATCACTGGAGCTCGTATCATAAAGGTCGGAGTAATCATCGGAGCTGCTATCCGTGGCAGGGGCAGCCAGGGCAGTGGCAGCGAAGAGAAGAGCGGCAAGAGATTTGTACTGCATTTTGAAATTGTTGTGAGATGTAGAAAAAGAAAACAACTGGGTGAGTAAGGAGGTAAATAAATACTCAGCGCAGAATTGGGGCTCTTCACGATAGCCACGTTCGGGGCCTCACTAGGCAAAACAAGCAAACTGTAAACTGGCTGCGCCGCCGTTTAGCTCTGAGACATGGCCAATCACCCCCGACAGTCCCGGGGCTAGGGCTTACCCACGCAGGCACTAGTCCGATGGGGGCCAATTGCTTTGGGAGTTGGCCAATCCCCAATACTCAGCCTTGCCGCCACTTTCGACACAGCGCCCGATCTCGCTTTTGCCTTGTCAGCAGCAGAGTTGCAAGCCCCTTTTGTCTTGTCCGTGGTCCGATATACCAAAATTAGACCCTTGATGCCAAGTCTGGGGTCCTGCATCTCTGCTCGCAGAATGGCACTCACCGAAGAAAAATCTGAATGGCCCCCAAACTTTATGATATCCGAACTCTCCAAGGGCAACCCAAACATTCGCAATTAATCTATCTTGGCATTACTGTTGCCAATTCATGCAGTCCTCCTGCCTATTTGGTTCATTTGGATCAAGCACGTTGGAGTGTATTGACTGCTCACTTTTCCTCTGTGGTGTCCATGCCCTTGATCCGTTGCCTCAAGCATACCCCTATTGGATAAAATCTCGTATTCCTGCTTACTCTGGGCTTTTGACCGCACGATCAGCTACGTAGTCACATAGAGACCAAAACATGATCTTGATAATTCTTGTATACTCCGTACACTGCTGGGGATCCACCTCTCAGGCTTTAGGCAGACACGGGCCTGTGCCCACAGTAGGATGGAGGCTGAAATGATCATATCGCACTCGCATCCGTGGATCAAGCCTTACTGTGCTATTCCTGTACATGCTGGACATTACAGGTGAGCTTGTACCATAATATTCCTCACAGACTAGAATATGGAGTAGAGAATACTCCTTGGGCCTTGACAAACACGGAGCCCAACGGGACCAGTGAACAAAGAAGCACTGAGACCATTCAATACGAGGTCTGAGATCGTGAACTACCTGGAAATATTATAGCACATTGTCATCACTATGAATAAGGAGAGGAGTGCTTTATTAGAGTTGCTATCTATTGAAAATGAAATCAGATCGCTGAAGAACCATGATTTCCACGCTCAAATCCGAGCTAGTGCTAACTAGGCAGGCCCACAATATTGGACCCTCAAAGTCAAGACACTGTCAACTTGACGGATCACGGATTTCCGTGCTCTGAACTTAGTGTATACAGATACTCTGGAAAACTTACTATATCGTTCCAATTTCTGTCAAAATCGTTTGCATTTGACTTGATTGTTTCTCAAACTTTAGGGTGCTATGGCCAGAGCAATTGATAACGCCCAATTGCAACCTTGGAAGGTTTTCTATCTCGCAACAGAGCCCAGGCCATGGGAGAGCTCAGATCTGGGTATACTGTAGCTGTGTTTGCGCACTTATCCGTATGTAGACATAATTCCAATGTTGACTGTTCATGCCCCAGGAACCAGGCACCAACGTGAGTCATCTAAATGCCGCGACTAAGCGGGATACCCCTTCAGGGCTCGAGTGCTTCAGCTGTTCGTTCTTTTGCTCAAATTAATTTGTGCGCAAATATTATCATCCCTTCGCTATTCATTGTACAAAGTACATCATTCTTCCGTGCTATCGCTGGAACTCTGACAGCTGTCCCGCCTAGCTGCTGATCAGCTTACCCCATAAATCACCCCACCTTTCGGCCTCATCATGGCGGAATGGAGTCCGAGCTGTAAGAACCAAAGCCACCTCCAATCGAATGCATGTATTAATCCGACTCGATTGCAGCTTGGACTCAAAAGCCCATTAAGCAAGATGTGATCTACGAGGATCTCGCAGGGCTGAAAGACTCCCTACAAAAATTGCAGAAGCTACCCCCATTAGTGACAACACGAGAAGTATGCACGAAAGTTGGATCCAACACCTGCCCGTGTACTAAATATCTCTAGATCACCAACCTCAAAAGCAGCCTCCGAAATGTTGCTTTGGGCAAAGCATTCGTGCTTCAGGGTGGTATGTCTCGAGCCAACATCCTTCTGGTGTCACACTAACGACCCCAGGTGACTGTGCCGAGCTCTTCGACTACTGCAATCAAGACATGATCGAAGCCAAAGTGAAGCTCCTATTGCAAATGAGTTTGGTCCTAATTTGGGGTACGTCACAATTCCCAAGCGCGCAAACAAACACACCCAACTAACCAGCAACTAGGCGCCAACAAGCCCGTCATCCGTATTGCCCGGATTGCAGGCCAATTCGCCAAGTACGCAACCCCATCCTCCAACCCAGACCTCCAAGCTAACCCACAACCAGACCCCGATCAAGCCCAACAGAAACCATCAATGGAGTCGAAATGCCCTCCTTCCGCGGCGACAACATCAACGGCTTCGCAGCGGACCCCCAATCCCGCCAACCAGACCCATCCCGACTCGTCTCAGCATACTTCCACTCCGCCGCAACCCTAAACTATCTCCGCGCCTCTCTCTCCTCAGGCCTAGCCGACCTCCACTCCCCCCTAGACTGGGGTCTCGGCCACGTAATCACCCCCTCCATCAAAGAGCAATACGCCAAGACCGTCAACGCCGTAAAAGACGCTCTGCGCTTCATGCGCACCGTCGGAATCGACAAGGACCGCGGCGTCGAAACAGCCGATATCTTCACCAGTCACGAGGGTCTGTCCCTGGAATACGAACAGAGTCTCACCCGTCACCTGCGCCACCCGGCCACCGCGGAGACAGGCTACTATGCGACATCGAGCCATTTCCTGTGGATTGGCGATCGGACGAGACAGCTCGATGGTGCGCATGTGGAGTTCTTCAGGGGGATTGCGAATCCAGTCGGTATCAAGATTGGTCCGAGTATGGCTCCTGATGAGCTGGTGCGGTTGTTGGATGTTGTTAATCCGGATCGGGAGATCGGGAAGGTTACTCTGATTTCGCGGTACGGAGCTGCGAAGATTGCGGACTTCTTGCCGGCTCATATTGGTGCTGTGCAGGCTTCGGGTCATATTCCTGTCTGGCAATGTGATCCTATGCATGGGAACACGCAGAGCACGCCGTCTGGTGTGAAGACGCGCCACTTCACGGACATTCTGTCTGAGTTGAAGCAGGCTTTGGAGATTCATCGTGCTGCTGGGTCTTTCTTGGGTGGTATGCACCTGGAACTCACTGGTGAGGCTGTCACTGAATGTGTGGGTGGTGCGGCTGGGTTGACAGAGGATGGACTTGGGGAACGGTACACGACTTTCTGTGACCCTAGACTCAACGAGAAGCAGGCTCTTGAGTTGGCGTTTTTGGTTGCTGGGTTCTATCGTGAGGAGTCAGATGATTAGTGTCATCGTCATTCGGTTGCCGAGATTCAAGGATCATCGAGCTGCGGCCGCATGTTCAACACATTCTCGACTTTGATGTCAACCTAACAATTTTTCGGGGTTTCTCAAATGTTTCATTTGACGCAAAATGGTCATGGTTTGACTTATAAGAGAGAAAGCATGGAATAAAAGAATCAAGATGGTGGCATGTGCCATTGTTGTGTTGTAATTCGGCTGAGATGTGCAGATATTACAATCCTCGATCACACATTAACCCACACCAATGTAATTGGTAGTCACCTGGCAAGGTCGAAGCCACAAAAAACAACAATTTCTCATATATACAACGATTGTGGGGGTATTTACAAAAACAAGAGAGTAAACCGCAATGCAACGCAACGCAAAAATCAAGGAGCAAGCGGGCTAGCAACAGCGGGCTTGTAGACAAGGCTCTTTCGCCGGGCAGCCTCCATACGGAAGCGTCGCTGGCGCCTAGATTCTTCATCATCTCCGTCATCCCGTGAGATTTTTGATGGCTTGGCACTCGGGAAAAGACCTCGGTTGCTTTGCTTTGGCGGACAGGATTGCTGAACCAGCTTGTATCGATTTCCAAGGAATCCCGGCGTGGCGGGAGACATGCCAATAGCGTCAAGGTTGGCGAAGTTGTAACCAGGTGTAGCAGGGAACTGGTATTTGGAAGAGGAAGATTGATTGGTAGGAGTAGATGGCACTTCCGGCTGGTGGGTAGGAGGGGTGATTTTGCGGAACCCATCGACGGCACCTTGTCCGGCGCCGCTACGACGACCACTGGCTGATGGCGCTGGAGATTCGGAGATGCGAACCAGAGTTCCGTTGACGTTGCTGAGGGCTCGAGGCTCCATGCTCTTGCGGCGCTTGGCACCGCCGCGAGGAATGATGGAACTGTCAACCGCGTAGGGTGTTTCGTCGAGCCATTGACTTTCCCGCTCACAGCTAGAAAGTTGGTTAGAAGACTGTCATCATCCAATTAAATCAATGAACAACTTACTCAAGAACCCATCCGACACCAACACATTTCACAAGGCCTCTTGCCTTCTTGACTTTTTCCAATGTGCGCAAGCCACCGTCTTTGTAAACAACATGGGTAATACCAACTCGCGAGTCCTTTGGATCGGCGCCTTCAACCGGGGAGAGGCTAGAGCCAGGATTCCAAGACCAGGACTTGACACATCTAGCACCCATTTGCTGCAGAAGCTCGACGAAGATCCCAGATGCATCTTCGCCTTCAGTGGTGTGGACATCGACGTGCACGACCGCACCGTGCAGGGCCTTTTGCTCGGCGCTGATGCTGCGACGAGCCTTCTTGGCAGGGCTGGCAGTAGGTGCAGAAGTACTAGGTGGAGCCATCACCGGTCCTCGGCCGCTGCTGCGTCTACCCGTGATCGAACGTCGCTTGGGTGTCGGGCTACCGCCACTAACACGTGGGGCCTTCCGTGGAGGGGGTAGGACGGGCACACTGTCATTGAGAGCCATAACGGTAGGCTTGCGAACACGGGGAGAGGAGCGGGTTGGGGATGTCGCCGAAAGAGAAAGTCCTCGCTTGCGGGATACCTTCAAAGGTGAGATTTCACCTTCGCCCTTCAGTGGGACTTTGGATACAGTATGAACCGTGCGCAGCTCTTCGATTTGAGGTCGCGATTTGATCGGTGTCACTGGTAGATTCTCGGGCTCACAATTCTCCTTATCGTCAGTCTCTTGATCCTGCAAGGGTTGAGCGGCAGGGATAGGTTGCTTGTTTAAGCTTCGGCGATTGTTTGGGGGTTGGGTTTTCTCCGAGATAGGATCCTCAAAGATCTCTGCGTGCTTGGTTGACGAAACAGAGCTCCGACGGCGTTCGTGTCCTGTAGATGTTCGTGGTTTCTGACTGTGCCCGGGTCTCATAGTTGTATCCTCACTCTGCAGTTGATGAGGTAATTCGGCAAACAGCGAGGAGTTGTTTGCCAGGGGGCTTTTTGATAAGTCGGGATACGATACACCGTTTTGGGTGGCGGGGGCTTCAACCGAGGTTCGATCTAGCGGGCCAACCAGGGAGAAAACTCCACGGCGACGGGGCCGGAGTGATCTTCTCTGCGAGGGGGTGTCTTGTTCCCAGCGGCCAAATCTTTGTGCCAATGGTGTAAAGCCGACGTCGCTTTGGGTGGGTGTTTTGTGCTGATCGGGAGCAATTGATGAATTGGATGACATAGGCACCATTAACGCAGGGCTGCTTGCCTGGGCGTCCGGCGTGTAGCTCACTTGGTCCTCAGAGGGGCTGGGACTGGGGCTGGGGGTAGCAGTGGCAGGGACATTCTTCATGCGTGGAGTGGGGTCATTGTCATTCTCGGTGTCGCCTGGGCGATTTGTGGAGACTGGGGTGGTTTCCCGGGTTCTTGGAGAGCTCATAGTTGGAGTAACCGCGGGGTGAGTCCTTGAAACCGAGCTTGGGGCATCCTCTAGTTGGCTGTCTTGGCGTGGAGAAAGCGGGTAGCAACCAGTTTCAGAGATCGGCTCACTTTCTTCAGCTTGGATGTCATCGCTCATGACCTCATCAGCGAGTTGATCTTCAACATCCAGTTCGTCTGACTCAATGTGCTGCAGTGGTGCCGAACTCCGATCGGGAGATTCATATGCAGTTGAACCGTGGGTATGTTCGTCCAGCTGAGTTTCTTGGTCAGAGTCCTCGTATCCGAGACCATCCATATCTTCAGCTTCTGAGTCAACCGTTTCGATGCTTGGGTGAAGCATGTCGTCATCTGCAAGGTATTCGTCTTCCATAATGTCAAAGCAGAGCGTCTCAGCTTCTTCATATTCAAATGGGACGTCTTGAATGAAACTTTCTGACTCGGACACCAATTCTTCCGGCATGTCCTGGGAACGTGTGCCAGCCATTTCCATTTCTGCGTCTTCCATGGCATCGAAGCATAACGACTCGGGCTCTTCATATTCGTAATGATCCCGTTCGTTGTCTCCTTGCTCATGCTCAAACTCTGAGTCTGTCTGTGTGGCTTGGTCATCAGATTCCTCAGGGGCCAGAATAGCTTCTTCCATTTCGTCGAAGCAGAGCGTCTCAGGTTCTTCGTATTCGTAAAGCACCTCATGCTCAAGCTCTGCGTTTCGTGGGTTCTCGGAATCTGTGAACTCCTCGGCCTCTGTCTCAACAGCAGCATCGTCCAGGTCCTGACCGTCGTCTGACTGGGGTGCAGCTGTCTCTTGCTGAGCGGGTGGAGGGGATGATGATTTTTCATCCCCAGACAACTCAATATCAATGTTAAAGATGTCTCGAGCTACATCCTGAGCCAAATCACATTCTTCTTCGTATGTATCCTCGGGCTGCTGTCTTTGCAGTGGTGACGACTTGGGCGTGGTTGTTTCCTCGACTTCCAGATCCTTTGTCGGGGTACCATCGCTGTCTGTAATCTTAGACTGACCGAATGAGGCATGGGTAGAGAAAATCGAGCTTTTGAATGGAGAGGCGATTCTCTTTGCTGGGCTTTGGAACAAAGGAGTCCGGGCGAGTACTGGTGCATCGGATGGCTTTTGTGTTGACTGTGAGAAAGACGCTCCAAGGTTTGCCTTCTTTGGGGACATCTTGAGTGGGGAGGCATTTGCAGGTGCGAAGTCTGGGGCAGAGACAGAGTTCACATTGTCCAGGAAGAGCGAGCCCGCACGATTCGGGGTTTCTCTCAGGCTAAATTTGAAAGGAGACGATGTCGGAGCCCGTCGAGCAGGGCTGCCCATAAACTTGGACTCCCCGAGGTTGATTGAGTTACCAGGTGGGAGAGCAAGGTGACCGTTATCGGCAGCAGAATGTTGACTGCGATTTGGTGTGAAGTTAATCTTCCTGACTGGAGAGCCAAGGCCGATTCCTGATGATCCGTGTTTCGGTGTAGGTAATTTGGGTTCGCCATTCTCGTCGATGAGACTGGCGGCTTTCTTCGGTGTAAAGTTGACTCTGCGCACAGGAGAGCTCAATCCGGTGTTTTCCAAATTTTGCTTGGCAGGAGAATGAACAACAAGTCTGACAGGACTTGAGCTCTCGGCCTTGATCGTGTTAAGTTCATCTTCGTCATCGGAGCTAACATAGCTTGATAGAGATTTGGCCACTTGCTTGTCTTTCTTTGGAGACAATGGTTTGGCCGCACCCTTCTTGGTTGCAGCCGGCTTCCGTCCACGAGTGCCACTCGCTGCAGGCTTGCGAACAGGCGTCGCGCGAAGGCCAGCCTTTGCAGAGCCCGCAGCCTTGGGCGCTGCCCTTTTGCGACCGGCAGCTGGAGCTTCGGGCACACCCAGTTCCTCCTCCTCCTCCTCCTCATCCTCCTCGGACGCAGAAAGTTCCTGGAACGTTACTGTTTTCTTTTTGGCAGGTCCACGGAGGATGTTTGAGCGCATGATGGAGCTTGTCGAAATTTTGATGTTGGTCGGTTTCATCTCCTCCGCAGCCTCACTTGCCATTCGTGTTCTCCGGGTGTTGACGGGAGCCACAGCCTTGGGCGCTGTTGTTGTCGCTTTGGGCCGCCCCCGCGTTTTACCAGCAGTCTCGGGCTTTGGTGCAGTTTTCTCCTCTGGAATCGGAGTTTTTCTTGGTCTTCCGACGCGTTTCTTCGGTGTCTCGATGTCCGAAGGCGCGATCTTTGCTGGAGTGTCGACGCGCTCAGTTTTAACAGTCTTGCTGCGAGAGGCCGCAGGGGCTTTGGGCTTCGTTGCTGGGCGGGCAGCCGGACGAGCGCGGGGTTTCGCGCTACTTGTGACAAAGCCGAGCTCGTCGTCTGTGTCGTCAGAGTCGACATTAAGGGCGGGCGTCGCGGTTCGTGGAGCTGGAGTCGCCTTGCGAGGTACTTTCCTCTTCGCGTCGGCAGCAGCTGTTGACTGTGTCGAGGTTCGTCCCGTCCGCTTGGCGGGGGACTGTGGAATCACTGCGGCGCGCGCCATGTTGTCGTTATAGGTTCGCAGTTAGTGATACGCGGCACTCATGTCGAGATTGGAGGTCGAAATTGGATATCGGCCTGTCGCAGGATTTGTCGAATTGGTTGCATGGAAGAAGAAGCAAGGCGAATCATCCACTGTGGAGGTGTCGATCCGAGGTGCTTGTTGTGGCGTTGTTTCCACGGCAACTGCGACCCGCCACGTGATGTTATTTCCGCTTTTGGACATTGTTTATCTTTGCAACGCAGCACTGGAGTATCAAGGACTGTGTTTCTGCACAATGATACTTTGCCTGGGAGTCGTTTTCTTTCAAAAAGTGTCACATTCACCAACTTTGGAAGTTCTCCCACAAATTAACCTTGAACAGTGAAAGGTTCCAGTTTTGTAGGTCCCGAAGTCATATGTATATGTCTCAAGGTTCCAATCCTCGCACCGACATGATGCAATAGCTTCAACCTTGAAATACATACATGGACGGATTCTTCTGAGGGTCGAAAACTTGGAATGATTTAATCTTGGAATCTATGAAGCATGACAGATTCATTATAAAGGCGTTAAAAAAGTTCAAAGAATAGATACATTATTACGATGACGGCTCAGCACCACACCGTATGTTTAAGAAGCAAAGTACATGGCGTCTTGAAAGTCTATATTCAGATCGAAATACAGGGCCGAAAAAAGCTCTACCCAATTAAACGAGGGTAAAGAGAGCCACACCGGCCGCGACAGCCGCAGAAAGCATGGTGGGCACCAGTGCCGAGCCGGCACTGTCAGCCTCAGCCAGGTAGGTTGTGGGGTTATAGTTTGCGGGGGTGGTGGCGTTCAGAGTGCCGTTCCAGCAGTAGCGGTCGAAGCAGGTATTGCAAATATCGGGAAGAGTGGTACCAGTGCGCTCAAACGAGCGACTCAAGATGGCGCAGCCGACACAGGAGGTCCAGTTGCCATCCAGGGTGCTGTTGGCCATAGTGGCGACTTCGTAACCGTTGAGAATGATGTTATCACGCTCCTTGTCTTCCGTGCTCAGCTGGAAGGTCGACACGTTGGAGTGGAAAGAGTAAGGGGCGTTGGGGACGTAGACGACCAGAGGAGCAGGACCGCTGATGTTGGAGCTGTCACAGCCGAAGAAAGTTGGGCGAGTGTTCAGACCAAGGTTGACAAAGGTGTTGACGTCTGGAATGGCGGGGAAGGCAGTGCCGTTGCCAATACCAGTGTTGTTCAGACTACGCTCATAGGTTGCGACCAGAGATGTGCCGTTCGGCCAGTAATAGTCGGTATCAGCCGAGGAGTCGACGGCGAAGATGACATCGACGTGACGCTCGGGCTGGATGAGAGGGTGCAAGGGGACATTCTGTCCATCCTCACCACCGTCAACAACATCCAACGCAGTCTGACGAGCATATGGCGAGGAGTGGTTGTTGTAGTGGTAGAAGGGGTTGGGCTCGTACGCCGCAATGTCATCGTCGGCTCTGTCCAGCTTCTCAAGAATGCTGGTGAAAACATTTTTCACAAAGTTGGGAAGCGAGGTGGTGTTAATCTGCAGCAGGAACTGATTGAAAAGGGTGGACGAGGTTCCAATCACGAAACCAGCGCTGTCATATCCGCTGATGCAGCTCTCATTGCTAGGAAGAGAGCCGGCCTCGAAGCGGGAGCCCAGATACTTGAGCGGCACGAAACCAAAGATTGTTGGGTCGAATGTACCAAACTCCCAAGGGTTGAATTCATAGACGGTCGAATTGCTTCCGACCACCAGCTCACCGGGGTTGCGGCCATCTGCGACCACCATTGGCATGGGGTAGTTTCCATCCTTGAACTCGGTGGTGTCGGCGATGGATGACCAGGTGTAGCTGAGTCCACCGTTAGAAGCGTTGAACATCTGGTAGGCAAGTGCGCGACCCCAGATGTCAGTGAGAGAGGTGTCAAAACCGGCCTTCTTCTTCGACTCGACGGCCTCTGCAAGGTCCTTGAAGTAGCTGGCCGAATCCAAGATTTGAATACCACCAGTATCAGGACCCTCGATGATCGAGTTTCCGAACTGCCACACGTCGCCATCCTTATGCGTCTGCAGCTTATCGATGGTGGTGAAGTTGTTGATGTAGATGGATCCAAGTAGCCAACTGCCTCCACTCAGACCGGAAAGATAGGTAGCAGACTGCAGCAGACCACCCAAGTGCCCGCTGGTCGACGCGTTATATGTCCGGCTGTCGTAGGCCTTGATGGCACCGGCGCCGTTCATCAGCGCACGGTATCCACCACCCGACACGGCGATACCGATGTTAGGGACATTCGAGATATTGGAGGAGTGCTTGTCGAGGTAGGAGACCACATCATAGTCCCCAACCTTCACATGCCCAAAGAAATCCTTCAGGCTCGTCAAGGCCTTCTCACGACGAGTCTTCAGCCATGATGTCTCGTTGGAGGAGAGCTTCGCTGCACTGCGAATGGTCGGTCGGCTCGCGGGGCAGCTGACTGAAGTAGGCACGTATCCGTCGGGCGCGTCAGGGAGCGCACGTTGGGCGAATACGACATTGTCGGGGTTGAAACCACCGGGGGAAGCAATTGCGCCTGCGTCAAGTCGGTTAGCGTTTCAGGTCGGAGATAATAAATTGGGGATCGGCAAAATCACGAACGCGACCGAGGGTGGAGTACTTACCCGGCAATAAGCCCAGAGCAATGGTGCCGATCAGAGCAGTCTTCATGGTGAAGTTGAGGAGAAGACAAAGACGATCATGGAAGGACTAGGGCGACTCTTATGCACCGGGCCCGCCGGAAGCTTGGCCAAGTGATGGAGAAAGGAGTTCTCGGCATGTTCTTAGTACAGTCGCATAGTGCAGATTTGGGACCCGAGGATCGCCAATGAAGGGACAGCGAGTGGACTTCGACCTAGTGGGGAGTGGTGATGTCAAATGGTCGGACACCGAGGGCTCCGGTACATTGAATAATAAGACATTCCATTGGAGTACACTGTGATCTGGGTGGTCCTGCATTCCAGCCGCAGCCCTGCGCCTTGTTAGGGCTGGATAGGGGTGTCTGTGCCAGCACTTCTACAGTAAGAACCATTGGTGTACACATTTTGCTCACGTCCCAAGTTCTTAGTTGTCAGCAATATGATTATGTCCAATTATAGAAGCTCAAAACACAGATGCCTGGGCGCAATTAACTGCCCAATTCTCACGGGGAAAACTCAATCGGGCATATCGTGTTCGTATAGCAGACTAGTATTGTACTGATCAGGCCCACCATAATGCAAGCGCATAAAACAATCGAAGCAGCCTAGCGGTGGGGCGCCGGTTGCTCCGGGGTGGACCCGATATTTGGGTCTTCATTTCGTTTCGTTTTAGTATACATGTCGACCGGAGCATAGCGGTGTGAATTTGACCACGTTCCTTAACGAGATGTAACAGTACAGAATATGTCGTCGTAGCCCTGGAATCGATTGGGTCACGTCGAATTTCTTTTAGTCGGATTTCTACTATAGTAGAGTCAGCAGGTGCTTGTCGAGGGGTGTGAAACAACCATAGAAGTGCATTCTGTCCCAACGGCGCTAGAGCATCCCTCTTTGGCGGTTGAGGCAGTTTGCTCTGAAATTGAGTGAGCAGCGAGGGTCCATCAATTTTGAAGTCACTAATTCAGTGGATGACCTGTAAACGAGGCCCAGTTCTCCCACAAACCCTGTCGTACTTTCCATCGCTTCGTATTTTCCAAGGACCATAGCGACAACGTTACATATCATTCACCAAGGCATTGTTGGGTTGATGCTCGAGGGCTATGTTCCGATGTCCCCACAAGAAAAGATATCCATTTTACTGAGTTTCGGCGTCTCGCTAGCCTCTGCCGATGATCCGTTGAGGCTCTGGACACTCGTAAATGATATCACTGATACCAACGTGATACCTAGTATAGGTCGAATTCCAAGGTTTCCAGGTTCCACCACAAACCAAAATTTATTGATAACAACCTTGGAACTTGAGGATTCAGTGTTTACCCTGTTCGTGGATTTTTTGATATCCTTCAACGTCATCAAATTTCAGTGTTCTTATGTATATGGGCCGATGTCTAGAATCAACAATCAATGATCTTTCCAGCGTGACAGAGAAGACGAAGGCGAAAAGGACCTCCGATGTTCCATTAGCACATGATTTTTCTCTCCATCCGCTGTGCACCAATTCCCGTGGATGGTTCTTGATTCTTCAACGTTGACCCATCGCCATTTACAAGTAAATGATTTCCAAAGTTTCCGCACACTGTGTCTCTACGGCAGATAATTTTAGTACAGACTACCCAGGTGTCAAGTCTAGTGATTTCTTTGAGATATAAAACCAAGAGGAACGGAGAGGCTAGCCGCTCGTATATCCGGCGTTATCCATGGCTAAGCAGCCCGACAGACCGTTACAAAAACGATGATTGGATTTCAAACCTGCAAGCAACCTTGATCCCCCATCCCCCGCATTCTCTCCCGGCTGTCAGTTCTAGTCAGTTCCGTAGGGATGGACAAGACAACCAGAATAAGCTTCGGATTATTCTAGATTGCGATGATGACGAATACAATGCACATCACGCGATAGATGTTTTACACGGTTTACTACATTTGGTACTCATTGCATCCGAGGATATCCCTTTAAACAAGTCTTGGCCTATAGCTAAGGGTAATTATCTGGCGGTCAATCCTCGTTTGGGGGTCAGATGGTGTCGCTCACTATGTGGAACATTTCGACTGGATGGATAAATGAGGGGCTGGGATTCGGATCTTCCATGCCGGTCAACACATTGTTATCAGACACGAGAATGAAACATACATCAAACAAATAGACAAGGGCAAATTCAAAGAACAAGAGTTCGTATAGAATAAAATATGGGGCCGATCTGTCAAGATCGGGGTGGGGTCAGATCTACACGACTACATCTACATACGTCGAGCACCACACCTCAACATAATAGAACCGGATTATTATTCAAGAGATAGTCTAACGTTATCGAAACCCATCCAATTATTGCCGTCCAAGCCAAGCAAGGATCGAGTTCTCCAAATAAAACCACGCGTCGCTAGACGTTCCAATCAACCAGAAAACAGAACGCCACGCAATGGGAGACAAGAGCAGAATAATCACGCGCAGTTTGCCCCAAGGACTGAATTTCCAAATCCAGACGAAGATCAAATCAGATCCATAGAAACGCATCTACCATGCAGTGTGGCCACCGTCCATGCGAAGGTCGCTACCAGTCATGAAGCTGCTCGCATCGCTAAGCAGGAAGACTGCAGCACCACGATATTCTTCCGGGCGGGATAGACGACCAAGCATATTCTCCTTGGGCCACTGCTCGCGACGCTCAGGGAATTCCACAAAGAGCTTCTCAACCATGGAAGTAACAATGTATCCCGGGGAGATGGTGTTGACGCGGATATTGTAGGTTCCCCATTCAGCCGCAAGATTGCGAGCGAGTTGAAGGACGGCGGCCTTACTAGCGTTGTAGGCGGGGCAAATGAGACCCTGTCAGAATATGTCAGATCGAAGATCGAAAGCGAGTCAAATTAGAGGACGCGGCATGAAAGCGGGGAATCCTAGCACGAGGCCCAGATACATGGATAGAGTCCGGAGGGAACACCAACGACTTATGCGCCGCAAGTAATACGCCAAGATATCTTTCAAAAAGGGATAATCTTGCCACCGAATAGGGGGATGGGAAGTATGGAGGGGGGTTGGGGAACGTACCCGATTGGCAACGGTGCCACTCATAGAGGCGATCATGGCAATGCTACCCCCATTCCCGAAGCGAATCATCTGTTTAGCCACGGCTTGAGAAGTCATGAAAACGCCTGTGACATTGACCTCGAACATGGTGTTACTGTCCTTTGCGGAATAGTCGAGTGCAGAGGTCTCTTGCTGGATTCCCGCTGCGGCAACAAGGCCATCCATGCGACCTTCGTCGTTGGCGATGGATTCGATCACGCTGTTGAGAAGCTCTGTGTCACGTACATCGATGCGACGGTAGTGCAGTTCTGTGCCGAGATCTTTTGCCTTTTGTTGAATCTGCTCAAACTCGGGGGCCTGGTGTTCCGTTAGGTAGGGTCGAGCTTCGGGATTGATGAAGGACATACTGGTTCTTCCAAACGGTCAAGTGCATAGACCTTGGCACCGGCTTCTAGAAGAGCTTCGGCCTGGGTCAGACCTAGGCCGCGAGCAGCACCAGAGACTAGCACGACTTTTCCAGCGAGACTGAATTCGGGCATTCTGGTCTTCTGGCCCATCAAGACAGGCTGGTCGGACTTGGGAGCAGTTGGAACGTCGGTGACTTCGATTGAGACAGACATTGTGTGATATATGGGGACGAAAAGAAATATCCAAAGGAGATACTATGTATGTTGCTTGTCTTCAAAGCAGATAAAGAAGAATGAACTTTGGTTGATCCATGGACCGGCGAGATCCACCACGTTTAAATAAGGAGGGATGGCCGGCAAGATCAAGCCGGTGGCATTGAATGCACCCGTTGAAAGAGTCTCGTGAGCAGGAAGATGCTGGGATTCCCAAAGAGGACATCCAGATTTGGGCCAAGGGTGCAGCCCAGATTGGGTCCAGGCCTCTCAAGATCCTGACAATGCACAGGCTAAACGGCTGTGGCAATGTATAACACCGAAGTTCTATAATCCATGTCGAGAAACATGAACAATAATACGTGGATTCAAGATCCTTGACTGAGATTTCTTGATCTTTCTAAAATTCTTCATCATTCTCGCATCATCCTGGTTCTCATCCTTGTCCAGATTTGCCTCCCAAACGACCAGTCTCAACTGTACGAATGGAGCCGAATTGAGAAAGATGCAAAATAAAATAAGTGAAATTTCCCCATCACTGTACAGGTCACCAGACGAAGCCACGATAGTTCGCAGTTCGGAAGCTAAGAGTCCGGATTCCTAGATCGGGAAACCCGTCTGGGGAACCCAACGCCACTTATTTGTCGACTTTGGGGTTTTTCTTCAACTTCAGGTGACCGAGTGATCTCTCCTTACACACCGCCAAGACGACACGTCTTCTAGAAGTCAGAGAGGTTGTCAGGTGGTCCGTTGCAGATTGACTCTCTTTGCCGACAAAGCGCATCGGTTCCTGATCGTCCAAGAAATACCTAAAGAAGCAAAAGTCCAGTTGATTGGTCAATTCAACATCCATGAATATTTGCTTTTTCTTTCTGTGCTTGCTTTTGGACCATGAGACCAGCGCAGACGGCCTTCAAAAATGAAGTCGGAGACCTCCATAGCCCTAGCTATCCCATCAATGCCAGCTTATGCGGGGAGCGCTAAAATTAGTGGCAGAGCCCAGACTCCTGCGGCCGAGATGAACAGTTGAACAGTCGGTTTCCCCAGCTTTGATTGCCATTGCCGCATCCCGTGACCGGGTCTCCTATTCCCTTACTCAATCGGGCGATTCCGAGCCTATTTCCACAGGAATCAGTTTTTTCCATTCTTTGATCCCTGGCCTTAAAACAGTGCTTTTTCTGATCTGGCTACTTTCTAGTCTGGGGCTATTTGTCGACCTCACGGGCTCTACACCATAGGACTAACTCCCAAGGTCGATTGCCAACCCGACTGGCTTGTTCCAATATGGATCAATTTGCTGGATATGAGAGCACAGAAATAAGTTCAAACTCGAGATTAGATTATATTCATCAAGATACCCGATGCAGAAACACAATACCCCCAAACCAAATCCCTGCTATGTACAATGATCTTCCCCTTCCCTACAAGTACAGCGGAAATGCGAGCCTGAATCGAGAGCGGGAGCAAAGAAGACAAAAAGCACTCCGACATTGCGATGCAAAGTGACAGTGATCAAGAATGGCAGTGTAGCCAGAGAAGAGAAATGCAAGGGGCAGTTCAGATAGGACGGGATAGAAAACTCCATATGAGCGCCATTCCGAGATATTGTAGATATCATAACATGTCAGAGAAGAGAAAAAACCGGAAAAGAGAAGAAAGTAGTAGGTATTGAAAATGGTCGCGGTGAAAGTCGACCGATGACTTTTTGTTTTTTGTTCGTCAAGTTTAGGCTTCGCGGTAGCCCCAGATGCGTTTCTGCTCGGTGACCCACCACTTGCCAACGTTCTCGGCATCTTCGAGCCAGTCGGCCGCTTCCTTGCCGTGTTTGGGAACCACCTCCTTGATGAGCTCGGGTAGAGTCCATGCTTTGGTGAGGTGGGTTTCACCAGGGTCTTCACCAAGGTGAGTGAAGGTATACTCGAATTCCTCTTTCAGAGGCAGGATCAAGCGGTAGGGTATGCCGGCCGTTGTGACAGCGAGCATGGACCCACCTGCATTGATGAGACCCATGTTCCAGACTGAGCGCCTAGGCGGGCCATCTGGGTGAGAGCGAGCTTCAGGCTGCGAGACGTCACGCTCAGGGGGAGGAGGTGGCGGTGGGTGACCATGGTGGGGTGAGTCAACCACGGTGGAGAGGAAAGGTCGCAAGAGAGATTGGCCTTGGTATTCGGGGAGGAGCGCTGAGGCGATTTCAGTGTCTCGCTCGTCAAGAGAGTTGGACTCGACGAGGAGATCGAGGATGGTGGGGATGATGGAGAGAGCCGTTGCGTTGGCGGTGATGTCAACGCGAGGCATTTGTGGGTGGTGGAAGACCAGGGGAACGCGGTAGTTGCTGATATGGCCGTTTTCGTAAGTTCCGGTCATATCTTTGTTGTCTTCACCGAAAGCCTGGCCGTGGTCTCCAACGACAACAACAAGGGTCTCGTTGGCAATGCCGGTTTCCTCGAGCATATTCATGATATCACCGAGCCAGATATCGACGAAGCGTGCGGCGTTGAGGTAGTTATTCATCAGATCGTGGTTGATATTTCCTTGGTCACTCATGTATGGCTCCTTGTCAAAGTCGTCCGGCGTGCTCCATGGGTGATGCGTCGTGCTGGTGACGTGGGAGAGGAACATGCGGGTCTTGTTGTTTGCAGCCTCCTCGAAAAGATCACGCACATAAGGTCGCAGCTCAGTCTCGGCATATCCAAAGTAGTTGATTTCCTTGCCTTTGGCTCTGTACTTTGAGTGCGAGCTTTCCAGATCACTCTTAACGACCTTGTGCTTGAAGCCCATGTTTTCATTGAGGACGTCTTGGCGGTCATAGTCATCAGTGATTGACTGCATGAAGACTGACTTCCAAGGGTTCTTGACAGCCTCGGAAATACCCCGAGAGGCTTGGCTTTGGTTTCCCCTCTGGGCTTTACCCATGTTGAACAAGTCGAGAATCTGAGGCAAGCATGGCTGGTAAATTTCAAGCTGGGACTCTTCCAAAAGATCCACAGGCAATGGGTGAACACCGCAATGGCTCCCCAAAATGCTCTTGAAAGTCAAAGAGCTTCCTGTCATGGCCCCGCGGACGTTAAGACCACCCATTCCTTCGTTAGGTGGGTGTTCCCATGTAGAATTGCTCAGGTCAACCTTGTTGCCCTTGCTGTCAGTCGCGTATTCACCGGTCAGCTGCTGGGCAGTTGGGGTCATAGTGACCAGTCGATCAATAGCTTCCTCGACATCCTTCTTCTTGTGAGAAGCGAGAAGAGCATCGAACAGGGGGGTTCCCTGCTGCGCAGGGAACAGCTCTTTGCGGCCACTTTCAAGGGTCAGTAGCACCACATGGTTGACATCAACAGAGTGCTCTCTGAACGCCTTTTGCAGGGGCTCGTAAATTTCACCACCCAGATTTGAAATCTTGAGGGGATCAGACTTCGGGTTGAAGAACCCGCCTTCGTCACTACCACAAACAAAAGAGAAGTGGTTGTCCTTCTCAGCTCGGTCGTGCGGGCTGACGTCCCAGCGGCTGAATCCTGCTGGTGGGTTTTCGGGCAGCCATGTCGCTCGGGACCACTGTTCCACAAAAGCCCCATCCGGTTGGAACAGAGGGCCCGAGGTCTTCAACTCAGGGAAAGGCACCACCGGCTCCCGGCATCCCTCCACCGTAGCCGTCTTCTTGTGAAATGCCTCCAGCAATGTCAAGGGCAGAGCGCCGGACAGATGGTCATAAGGGATCGACGGACGAGTGATTTCCAAAAAGACGAGGGAGACCGTGATGGCGACTGCGGGGATGATGCGGCGGAGCGACCGGAGATCCATGGAGGCCATGCATGACTGCTTCGGGGCCGCGATCAATGTATAGCGCGCTCTATAACTGCCCACGCACAGATCTCGGATTGCCTGCAACCCAAGTCCGGTGAGGTTGTACAAATGCGAGTGGATCAACCAGGCGACCAGGCCGAGGACGGTGGCCGCAGCGGAGACGGTGGAGATGCCACTGAGGAGGATTTTCATGGCGGCCGGATCGCTGAGGAAACTACCACCAGCTGCCCAGGCGACCTCGGCACCAGTCTGCATGAAGAATCCAAACTGGATGGAGGAGGCGCCCCATGTGATCAGGCTGGGTTTCTTGTTAGCAAGGGTCTCACAGTTATCTTCCAACGCGGGAGACATACGATAGCGCCCCACCCAGCGCGGTCGAGAGCCATTGCCATCGGCCTTCCGGCGCATGGAAGCGCAACAGCACTCGGGCACATATGATGACGAGAACATCGGGTAGAATGAGCGTCGGCGAATAAAGAACGAAGTAGAGGAACGGTAATGAGCGAATGTGTAGTGCGATATGTAAAGCTTTCGAGGCGAGGCCGCTCACGACGAGGGCCGAGAAAAGGAAGGGCGCGAGTGGTGGAAGAAAGGTGAGGATTGACATGTTGGAATCATGTCATGATACTCTACAGACAATGTACAAGGGTAGGAACAGAAGAGAGAGGGAAGAGAGAGAGAGGATGTATCGAGAAATACCAGTGGAGCGAAAACAAGACCAATGAGGTAATCCCTTGGATGGAAATTGTGCACGCGACTAGGCGCCGATTCTCCAATGCTTGTTTCTTCTATCCTTGTTGCATTCTATTTCTGTCTACTTCTAGTAACTACTTTCATTCTTCTATTCATTCACAGTCCTGCTCAACACCTACTGGTACTGTAGGCTGTCTCGGATGTGACGGAGATTGAAAAGCAAAAAAAAAAGCGCAAGGCTGTGTCAGCCCCAATCCAGGGCTCAAGACTCCGACGGAGCAGATTATTTGTGCAGGTGGACCCTCACGCTATGTCTTAGCCAGAGTTTTGGGGGCTTCGCAGAGTCGCCACCGTGATTCGTCCCTCGGGCCTGACTGAGACAACTTTGGACCCCAATTGCATAATTTTGCAGGAAAGGGGCAATGTCCTCTCGTATACCTGTTATAATCCGGGGAAGACCGCGTTGTGACGCTGCAACCGGAGAGCAGTTACGCCCGTCCCCCGTCTCCACAACCTCGAGACCTTTTTTTGGTGGTCATGACCGTGGTACCGTTGTTCACCTGGGCGTCGGATCTCCTTGATCGTCGGGGTTCCCGTGTTGCCCTGCGAGAGACAGCCTTGTGGATACGCGTTGATCCCACAGGGTCCAGGGGGGCTGAACATGTGTCGTTAGGAGTATCAGTACGGAGCAACAGTACTCTGCACGAAAACTCCGTACTCCATACAATACGGAGTATAGGAAAGGATTCCTTCGATTTCCAAGCCTTTGCCCAGACATGGACAGAGATAGGGGTCCAAAGCTAGCCCAGGCTTGGCGGACCCTGCATGCTGCGACCTGTTCAGGTTACGTATCCTAATATACTATCCCGTACGCGCGGTTGATCTAGTAGATCTGGACATGTGCGGCCCCCTCATTGCTTGACATGTGTCCAATGCGTCCAAGCTGGAGGTTAAAATCTCACCTTGGGGTCAACTAGCCCAACACTTGGTGGGCAGATGTCATCCCGATCCCTGTAAATTACTCCGCATCACCTGGGCAATACATCGTATTCCCTACAGCTCGTGCAGAAAGTTTACACCCAAAACGCATCACGGTTCCTGGCCACATCATTTGTAGTTGTTACCCTGGATTCTTGGCGCCCAGAGCCATCAAAATGGCATCCCCGGGCCGGTTATATATAGAGTGGAACAAGCTTCTCACTAACCTGAAACAACTGCTGGGATTTGCACATTCGAATGTAACCCATCTAAATCACGGCTGCCTATTGACTGGGATTATTGGGGTTTGGCTGTGTGTCAGCCTGTATTTCCCTACTTACGGAGTAGGTAGACACGAGCCCAAGGACCTCGGAAGCAGTGCATCGGGATCTCGATGACGACTCCCGAGGTTGATTCATTGGCACCTTTATTCGCATTGATCTGACATCAGATATCTGCTTAACTTCGGGATCTCCACGTTTGTTTCACATCCTTCTAGGGGAATTCCACGGAAGACATGACCAGATAGCGCCCAAGACCACCTGGCACTCGTCCTACTTTAGCTTTCGACCATACACAAGCCCAATTCACAACGCTGGAGCAACGTTGGAGCCAAATTCCGCCAAAATACCAATAGCTGTACACTTTCATGAGTAGGGATTACAAAAGCAGAATAATATACAGATGCAAGATGCAATATAACGCCAACCCAGCACCAGACGCCCTCCAAACCCTTTCAAGCACAGCAAAGCCCCATCAAGCAATGCGCGAGACAATGTCATCCTTCCCCAACCGATCCAGTATCCCCTTCCTAAGCCCCAAAAAGCGCTCGATGTCGCGAGGTTGTTGTTTCTGCTTATCGCGCATAGTCAAGACCTGTTGAATGGTCAGAGCATCGAGGAACGATCGACCAGGATGGCCTGCGCGACCGAAATGCTCGGCCTCTTCTTCGGCGGCTTTGTTGAGGCGCTGGCGGGCTGTGACGACGAGCAGGGCCGGGTTGGAGGACTGGGGGAAGATGGACTGCGCGGGGCCCTTGTAGGTGCTTGAGTTGGAGAAGGTGGGGGATGGGTCAACGGGGCCGATGGAGCGGAGGGAGGCGGCGAAGTCGGGGTCTCGACCGTCCATGTCAATGGCTAGTCTGGTTAGTATTGCGACAAGCTGGTCACGGGGCTGCCGGGGGACATACCATCGGATTTCACACTTGACGCTTTTTCCTTGGAATGATATGTAGGACCTTGGGATGTAGGGCCTTGTGATGGAGGAGCAGGAGCGGGGGCTCGAGGAGGTGGGCTGGCTTTGGGCTTGGGTGCCGGCGGAGGCGTTGAGGCTTCTTTGGGAGCTTTGCGCGAGACTCGGGGCGGGGGTGCTGCCTGCTTGGGATACTGACGAGCGGCTGCACCAGCAGCTGACTTTGCGGGCTTAGAAGCGGCAGAGCCCATTGTGATAGTTGGTGGGGGGATGTTGTGAGGGTTGAAGCTTTTTTTGCGGCGGAGGTCGGGGGAAAATCGCGGAGGCAGTCTTGGCATCAAAGGTGGTTTCGAGGTGACGTCAAAACAGTCCGTGGATGTCAACAAACAACTTATTTGGCATACAAGGCTACTGAGTACAAGAATCATAGCTAATAGCAGGTTATCCAGTGATGTTATGCTGCCATAGGCAGTTGAGTTAGAAATCTTGGACAGTCCGTGGACAGTACTTGGGCAACCTAATCAGGCGATGAGTTACTTCAACAACTAGAGGAAGTTGCTTTTAGAACTTCTTCACGAGCGGTAGGCTGAAAAGAGTGTTGTTTGGGATTTGATTGGAAACGCTTTGATTTTGTATAAATTTGCTGGATGCTGCCAGCTAAGATACAATGCAGCGGGAGCCATAGGCCTCACAGCAGCTTGGGTGTACCGCAACAGCACACTCGCGAGCAGGGTCCTGAAACATTTCCATGCCTGAAAATATTTAACGGCGACCAGCGAGACGTCGGCCCTGAACCTCACCCAGCGCGCGGCTACCGCTGACGAATGCGATCGTGCCGATAACTCCTGCCGCGGGAAGGAAGGCGAACAGGCTCCACGAGGTGTAGTAAAGGAACAGGATTCCTTCAAACGCAATCAATGATCCGAGGAAGGTAGCGTGGGAGAGAGGGGCGGCTTGGAATGCAGTAGGGAGGTGGCTGACGTTGGCGCCGAGAAGGAGCCACTAGAGAATGGGTTAGCTGTGTTCGCGTCGATACAGATGGCATTGGCGCGTCTTACCAGGCCAGCAAGGACCGGAATAGCAGCACCGACCATGGCCACGAAGGCCAAAGTGATGACGATTGGGGGGCTGGACGCAGAGTCCTTGAAAATGTGGTGGATCTCTGCCTTCTTGCCATAGCGCTCGGTTTCGACGGTCGGGACGGCTTCCTCGGGGTTGCGGTCAATTGACAGCTGGAAGGCAGAACCATCGTGAGCCGCGGAATCCCCGAATCCACCAAGAACAATGCGCGCATCCACCGGCTTGGATAGGGAGAGGAATTGAATCGGGAGGTCTTTCTGGGTCTGCGATACAGTTAGTTGCGCCGCGGGGTGGTTAGGTTCGAGGCCTTCATACCAATTCCACCCTTGACTTTCCATTGTCCTTGACACTGAATGGGTAAGAGATATCAAGTCCAGTCTGGCCATCCTTCAATAGGAGGAATGCCTGGTGTGGTCGCTTCGCAGAGCTTCCCTCTTGAGCTGTCAGAGTGACACGTAAGGTGTCGGCGCCGATGAGAGAAACGGGTTTGGCAAGGGGCTTTGAGGCGGTGAATCTATAGGCAATCCTAGATTAGTTCTATACTGTGTCATCCGACTTGCCATACTTACTGGTCCTTGTAACCTCCATTGATACCAGCACCTTTAGGTTGAACGGCCACGGTGGCATCAGTAAAGCTCCAAGCAGTGGCGGTGACGCCAGGCACTGCAGTGGCTGCCAGAAGACAGAATGAAACGGTGGCCTGCCACAGATGCATTGTGAAAAACAAAAGCTGAAATCAATAGGACAGACAAATGTAGAGCTGTGAACTAATTAGGTGGTTGCTGAGGACTGCAGAATGAAGGCGGAAGGGTCAAGCCGATAAGCGCCGATCGTTGATCAACCAAGCCCTAACCCGTGGACTTTATCTTTTCTGTCAACGACCTTCGTCATTAGCCTGCGTGCCGTCGTCCGCAAATCAGCCTCACCCTCCTGGATTCTCCAATATAGTCCTCAAAGTATTTGAAACATCTTTGCGAATGGGTGTGCCTCTGGTCCCGTGAGTTCTGTGCCTATGTGATGCTGCCCTATCCCCCAATTCCTCCCCTTCCAGCGCAGCCTGCCCTATTGTGACCAACCCCCATATACCCTTCGTTCTGCACTATCAATGCCTTTCATACCCTATTTCACACGAAATCCTTCGTATATGAATTTGGCTTTATTAGTTACTGCCTATATATCCATATGAATAGCTTAACTGACCATTTGACGCCCCCATTCAGTTCTCCCTCACGATGCCTCCCAAAAAGGGCCCGCGTAAATCGATGCCTGCGCGCATCAATAGAGCGCCTACGCTGACACCTTCCCGGCGCTCCGCACGAGCGCCTCCCCCGCATAAAAGCCCTGGGGAGAGCTCCCCACCCTCCAAAACGCTGAACATCGCAACCGCCTCCCCGCAAGACACTTCAATCAACTTTCGTTTCTACACCCCAAAATCAGCCCCAAAGAGTACCGTCATGGCGGAACCTCCTCCAGAAACACCTTCCTCACGCCGGCGGGCCTTTAAATTACGCCCATCACGTCTGTCGACCGTTCATACTCCCGCCGCAGAAACCCCGGCTACCAACAACAACAGTCGGCGTACCAGGAGATCCGCTGCACTTGAGACACCCAAAATGGAAGCCAAAGCAGCCTCCGACCTCGAAATCCCAGATAGTGTTGAGAGTTCCGAGTCAAACTTCGAACTGTTCGCGGGAAATGTTGGGACGAAAGGAAATAATCTTGGGACGAAAGGATACACCGACGCACTATCAAGTCCTACTTCCACACCAGACATGCGCAACTCATCTCGGGTTCGCAAGCCCACCAGAAGAGCCATCGAGTCTCTGGAAACATCCAAGAAGGGACCTCGTCGCAAAAATACACCTGCTATTGTTCCGACCGTGGAAGAGGGCGCCAAAGCTGTGAAGAACAATGTCCCCAAGAAGCCTGCTCAAAAGACCAGAACCTCCAAGAGGATGGCCAACTCTAACTTGCGAAAGGACGATGAATCTGCTGACCCGGAAGCTGAGATTCGGGCCGTTGCAAAACTCATGTATGATCTCGTTGTCAAAGCCCACAGTCCCGACTTTGTTCTTCGTCCCGACTACCCAGAGTTCATCGCCAAACTCCGCGCCGACTACTACCGCAGCCGAGACCAAGACAAGCTTGTTGCCGCTGCGTCGACGGATCAGTCCACTGGTTCCAATGACATCGACATGGTAGATCAGGATACTTCAGATGTGCCTGATATCACTCTCACTCCGTTCGCCCGATCTCTCACTGACACAACTGATGCGGGAATATTTGGCTTCAAGAAGCGATCTGAAGCGAAGGTCACTGACGATGGCTGGGTCGAAAGCGGTCACTTCAATCATCTAGGCGAGGAGATCTCCATCATCCCTCCCGATTATCACCCCCACGTCGCTGTCCACTCTTACGGCTACGAGGGCTTGCCCTGGCCACCAGTGCGGGCACGATCCACTGGACAGGCCACAAATGAGTACTCTCACGGTTTCCCCCCTCTTCTGGGTAACCGCAACATCCCTGCTATGGGCCTAGGCCCTTTCGTCCTTGAAAATGTCAAGGAAGAGCAAGCTAAAATACTTGCAAATGCTCCTCCTGCAGCTCCGGCTGCCAAGGATAAGAAACCCCGGGCGCGCAAGCGCCGCCACACCGAGGCCATCTCGGGTGGCACAAACAGCGAAGAGGCTTCTGCCTCCGCCCCAGCCCAAACCCCTGCCGCCCCCGGCGAGCGCAAGTCACAGCGCCGCCGCCGCCAAACTGCCCCGGCTCCCGCCAACAAGGCCGAGCCATCCTCTACTCTCCTGGTTGCCGCCGCCGAGCCTGCCGCCGCCGAGCCTGCCACCAAAAGCGACAAGCCCAAGGTGCAGCAGCGTCTGCGACTGACTCTCAAGCCGGCAAAGGCCGATTCCCCCGCGGGCGCCTCTGTTTCCGTCGAGGCCCCCGCCGAGCAGCCTGCCTCCCCCGCCCCTTCCAGCGCCGCCTCGCCCGCGAAGCGCCGTCGGCGCCGGGGCTAAGTTCCCCGAGTGAGAGAGGGGTAACGCCCAAGTGAGGGCAAAGTGCGAGCCCCCCGCACTTGGTTCTTTTTTCTGTGTATGATTAAAAGCGAATAGCATATCAGGGAGTTTCCAGGTTCGAGTTTCAATTTTTTCGCACTTCTCCGGTAGTTCATTGTTAGTTCTATAAGCGTAGCTTTCGATTATATTTCGAATTAACGTCACTGTCCGCTTAGTTGTATATATGTAGATTTCGATTATTTTTCGAATTATCGTTACTGTATGTGAATCTAATATCGCATAGCTCTAGATCATCTGCATCGAATTAACGCCACTGCCCGCTTAGTTAGTTCTATATGTGTATGTTTCAATTATATTTCGAATTATCGTTACTGTATATGACTCAGATCACATTCATCCATGGATAGATATGTAGCTTTAGGTCATCCGTACCTAGGTATCGAGTTCATGTCACTGTCTGCTTAGTTCTATAGATATGTTTAGATTTCGATTATCTTTCGAACTATCGTTACTGTATGTGAGTCTAATATCGCATAGCTTTAGGTCATCTGTATCGAATTAACGCCACTGCCCGCTTAGTTAGTTCTATATTCGTATCTTTTGATTATATTTCAAATTATCGTCACTGTATGTTAATCTAAGATCGCATAGCTTTAGGTCATCTGCATCGAACCAACGTCACTGCCCACTTCCCTGGGTACTAGTCCTACTTTCCAGGGTTGCGTGATGTGATATGTTTGATTTTCTATTCCATACCTACATAGGTAGGTAAATTCTAACCTGTCTATCCCATGTACCTAGGTACCTTGTCCTCCATGGAGTGGATAACTAACTAGACCGGTTGGAATGAAGTTTGGTTCTGCCCAGGTGGGCAAATTGTGTCACGTCCACTCCGATGGAGCAACCCAAACCCCCTGCCCAGCCGTCAGTTCCCATGGATGCAACCTTCTGTATGGGGTCCCCATACGCCCTGCAGTATCCTATGCTCCGGACCTTCGCCATCAGTCTGGCTACACTGGCGTCCGGCATAGATGAAAGCCCCGAGATAACGGCCCATGCGGCGCATTGTGTTGCGTGAGAGTTCACCTTGAAAGCGGCCGCTCGGCCTCAAATTAGAATCAACTCTTTTCTCCCTCGCTTTGCGTACCCATGGAGGCTGAAACGTCCGGTTCGCACCTTACAGACTGTCCTTAAAACCTTGAAAGACTTATGTTTCCCTTTTTCATGCAGTATGTAGGTATATAGGTAGACTCTTAATCTGCATCCCTAGGTTGCTCTTAGATAGCTGCCAAAATTGTTTACCATGATATCTTCTTCGTCAGTGTCAAACGATATACTTCTTGATGCTTGCCCTCTCTCTCTTCCGAAGTACTTCCAGGGCTCCCGAGATCGTCCTACTCTCTCTCTCTCTCTCTCTCTCCCAAGCTTATGACCAGTCCGTGTTTTCGTTTTTTTGAATAGTTATCAGGCTCGTTGGGTGCAAGTACCAGTGAAAAATTGCAAAGGCAGCTAGTTAGAGGTTCCGCTATAAAAGGATGCCTCAGGCGTCAACGCCAACCAAATCTTCCCTCACGGAATCTACGTCCCCCAAGCCTCCAAGCCAGGTAAGGACAACCTTCGGCGATCTCAAAACAAGCTAACGATCAACAAGAATGACATCCCTCAAAGATCAACAGAGATTCAGGTCTGTAGACCCTCATAACCGCCCTCCACGCCCGGGTCCGCAGCAACCGCGGATTCCCAAGGGGGTCGCGGATATTCGGCAGACCAAAGAGTACAAGACCGCTGCACGCAGGTGAGGCCCCCTCGACAGTGTCATTTGCGCGGACTTAACATCTCTAGGTGGATCTCGGTTATCGTTGCGCTGCCCATTCTGATGGTTTCTTCCTATACCCTCTATGAGCGCCGTAAGTTCATTGTTTGGATTTGAGGCCATAGAATTTGGAAACTGACAGTTTTCTCTCTCGCTAGTCTATGCCAATAAGAGCCCCAAGCGACTCGATGACCGGCCTCAAAAGGAATAAGACCATTTCGTTGTCTAGCGTCGGCTCAACCTTGGACGAGCAAATTTGCATGTACGATTAACTGGGAGTCTCTGCTTCGCTGTAAATAAACTCTACATCTATTTCATATCATCTCGCTTGAGAACTTGAAATCAGTACTGGGTAACTTGTATCTATTCTGAATATGCATCGACTGTGAAGCTCCGACACCGGAGTCTTGGTATGTTTCCATAACAATGTGCTAACAATTCAACGAACAATGATGAACAAAGGAAAGCAATGGACTTGCATCTTGAAAGCCAACTCCTAGAATCTTCCCACCTTGCCAGCCTGCTGGGGTGAAAAGCAAGAAAAGAAAAAAAAGGTATGTTTAAATGCGGACGAGTATTTAGAAGGGGATCATCCAAAAGGCGAGATGGCCAAGAAACAGGAGTCAAATGAGCCGTCATTTGAATCAGCTAGCAACGCCCTGGATTGGAATGTAATGTTCACCGGAAACAGCCGATGCAGGCATAGAAGTCGAAGCACTACTAGTACTAGCGGGCTTTGTGCTGCGCTCACGCATCCGACGGCCCTCCATGAGACCACGCAGACCACGCTTCTGAAGACCAATGACACTGCTCAGATCGCCGGTCCAGAGTTCACGCTGCGGGCGATGCAGATCTGTATCTGTACCACGGCGATGGTGCCGAGATTGTGAACGGCCTTCATCACCGCTGACCCACTCCGAGTCCGACTGGCTGAGGCTAGCACTCGATACGGAGGTTGCCGCGCTAGAGTTGCTGATGGAGTCTTCGCGGTCACGGTGGCTGCGCTGGCGCGAGCTTTGAGAGACACTGGTGTCGATTCGGAGAGAGGGGAGGCCACGAGAAGAGTTTGTGAGGTCATCTAAGCTGCTCTTTGCTGATGCTCCGTGCTCGGTATCAGATGAGTTCGATGCCAGAGGACCGTGAGAATTGCTGTTTTCGCCATTCGTGTGGGTAGAGCCGTTGCGGCCGGCATATGCGCCGTTCAGGGCTTCCAGCGTACCGCCTGGTCCGCCGGTGAATCCGGTCCCTCGCCCGCCACCGGCTGCCATGGCGGCTGCGTTGAAGACAGCAGCGGCATTACGTCCGTCCAAGACTTGGTGGAGCCTTTCGACGGTGGCTTCCAGGAGCCCATCAATTTGATAAGGACGGGCTAGCTGGAGGAGCGAGCAGAGGATTTGCGGCGTGCACAGTGAGGAGCCTGGTGCTGGGAGAGCCGCTGTATACAGATATTGCACGAGAACTTGGAGAGTCAAGATAGTGTGGGGGAGGTATAGCACGCGAGGTCGGGAGGTTGGGGCGAGGGAGTGAGCTGAGGGAGCTTCAAGGTTCTCAAGCAGGGACTTGGAAGGCACGCCTTGGTTGACAAGTGTCGTGGCATCCGAGTATGTACTGTTGTGGCCTACTGAAGGCGTGATGGTGATACTGGAGTTGCGACTCGGGTGGATGAGAGCCGGACGAAGAGTTGCAGCATCTGCAATGCCCCCCTCTGATGATTCACGCAGAAGCTGAATGAAATAAGGACCCCATCTTCGGGTCAATACTCGAGAGTTGACAGAGATGCGCTCCCCTCCCATTGCCTGCAGCTCCATATCGGCCATCTCCGGCAAAGATTGAGCAAGTCTGCCCAGCTCATCAGATGCAGCAGACAGTGGTCTTCCTCCTGATGTCAAATGCATAAGCTTCTTCTGGAGAGAGGCCGGAACAGTAGAAGAGCTATAAGACTTATACCCGGAGGTCGGAGAAGTACGGCAGGGATTGTTGTACAGTCCAAAGGCCTCGAGCTCAACCAAACAGACGTGCGAAAAATTGATACGTCGATGGTTGTAATCATCGACAAGGCTCCTCTTCCGGTGTCCGAGAATTACGAATGAGTTACGACGAGGCCAGAGCACTCCTCGATTCCAACTGCCCTGCCCAAAGACCGAGCCTCCAGCATCGATACGGCCCCAGGTTAAGGTTTTCAGGTCAAGAGCCCACAGTGCATATTCCTGCTTCGAGGAAGTCAGGTAGGTACCACTAACAACAAAGTGACCATTAATGATACCTCCATTCGGGAAACGCAATCCTGGGGGTGAAGCCTGGCTCTGCATAGGTCGCTCGACAAGGCGCCCGTCCGGCAGGCGCACCTGCAGCTCCAGCTTGACATCCAAGAAGTTGTAGTTGGAATAAATCAGCATAGGACATCCAGGTGAATCACCGCTGTCCTGGATTGGCTCATGCAAGTCGCGATCTGGGGCAGAGGATCCAATTTCGGACACGTCCATGCCAACCAAGGGAGCCACGACACTCCGATAAGCACCGCAGCTTCTTCCCAGAGGGCTAGTGTTGGTCCACTTGAGACTTCGCAGGTTGAAGACACTGATTTGTTCAATGTAGTGGTTGGAACTGTCCTGACCACCGACAACTACCATCTCGGCGCCCCCAAAGCCATCAATGTCCACGCCAAGAGTCCCTTGGTGAGACGATGATTCTGGATTGTGGTGGATGGCAGATAGAGGTGCGCTGGCCGAGGTGAAGCAAGCACTTGACGGAAGTATCGTAGCACAGTGTGCGTATCGCCCCTGCGGAGACTCATGGGCAGCGACGCGGGTCCAGGCACGCGATGGCACATCAAAAATATGGATGTCTGACATAACCACGACCTCGGATTGTGTCTGCGAGTCAGGATTTTCCGGATCCTTAGGCGCACTTGGCGCAGGCGACATGCCGCCATAGCATACCAGCTTGTTGTCACCTAGAGCGCACACACTGTGGAAGTAGCGTGGGGGAGGAACATCTCCCGCGGGCTCGATTTTTGTCCAATGGCGCCTAATCAAGTCCAACTCGTATAAGTCCGACGTTAACTGCGGGCGGCTGCGTGAGAGGATCCGGCCTCCGAATACGTATAGCTTATCGCCCAGGATTGTCGTCGTCGCACCCACTAGGGGGTGAGGCTCCTTGCCGGTGGTTCGTCGCACGTTGCACACTAGGCCTGAAAGGTTGATAGGCCCCGAGGCGGATTGCTGGTTCATGGATGGGGAGACACCTGGAGCCGAATCCTCTCGGCCACTGTCCAGGTAGCCCAGACTCGACTGGCTTCGCGACATCATGGTGGGTGAGATACCGGTCCCCACTCAACGGTTTCGATCGTTTTGGCAGCCGTTGACGCCACCTAGTTTCGCCCACTCGATCTCGCTCGCATGTGATAATTCGATGGTCCGATACCGATGTGTTCGGGGAATATTCCGGGCGCTGATCGCGAGGGTGCCGCGGTGGAATGCTGGAGGTTTTGGAAAAGGAGGTTCCCCGCGAGATCGACGGTGTCAGGTTTCACAATGCGGGCAAAAGGGAGCAACCGGACGGGCTGGAGAGCATCGGCATGAGGTGACAGAATAACAAAAGATGTCAAAAGTGGACGACGAAGATCGGCACAAAAAAAAAGGCGGTCTCAACCTTCCCTAGGCCAAGATGGGTATGGGTGCAATGCCAAGTATTCGGGATGTTTCTCCACGCTCTCCTTTCTCGAATGTCTCCATATTCTTTAAATTCCCTCAAATTTGGGCAAACCGTTAGGCCAGCGACTCCAATTTTTCCTCGACTGGCACAAATTAGAACATAGGTCCAATTTGGTACATATGCGGAGTATATAGGGACCAAAAACCCTTCAGTCCTATGCTCACCTGCATGGATACAGAGCACAGTACAGTACTTTTGTCTACTTTTCGGGTGAGATACCCCGGCTAAATCCTTGGACCTTGGGCGTATGGAAGAGCCGCTGTGTGCCCTTGACATTAATACAGGAATAATGAGAATACCAAAAGTCAGAACACTGCGCAGAGATCGTATCACATTGGTATCAATTAGAGCTTTTCACCCGAGCTGAATAATCTCGGCATACTCAGTATCTATTTTACGTCTAGTCATGAGGTCGCCATTTACTCCTTGAGGCTGGTGAAGCGAAGGTAACTGTGATGTGTCAGGATCCTGATCTTTGCTGGCCAATGGCCGGGGCACGGGATGGAATAACTTACGGCTTGACTTCACGGATCTCGCCGAACTTGGCCTTAGCATCAGCAGTGCTGACGGTAGGGGGGATGACAACGTCATCACCGGGCAGCCAGTTGATGGGGGTGGTGAGACCGTGCTTCTCGGTGGTCTTGAGAGCGTCGAGAACACGGAGGACCTCTGTGAGAGCGAAGTTAGCCAATCAATTCCGGATTTCAAGATATGCCATGGCCACGGGGTTGACCAGGGGAAAACTTACCAGCAGTGTTGCGGCCAGTGGAGGCAGGGTAGGTCATGATCAGGCGAATCTTCTTCGCGGGGTCGATGATGAAGACCGAGCGGATAGTCAGAGCCAGACCCTTGGAGTCGACGTTGGTGGTGTCCTGGTAGTCCACCATGTCGTAGGCGTAAGCGACCTTGCGCTCGGGGTCGGAGATGATGGGGAACTTCAGGCTAGAGCCGGAAACCTCATCGATATCCTTGATCCAGCGGTGGTGGCTCTCAGTGTTGTTGGCACTCAGACCGATGAGCTGAGTGTTGCGAGCAGTGAACTCAGGCTCGAGCTTAGCGAAAGCACCAAGCTCAGTGGTACAAATCTAAGGCATTGTCAACCATTGTCCAGCCCAAGCAAATGTATGGTGGTACTCACGGGAGTGAAGTCATCGGGGTGGGAGAAGAGGATGGTCCACTTGTCACCAATGAACTTGTGGAAGTTGATGGGACCGTTGGAGGTCTCGGCATCAAAGTCGGGGGCAGTAGAGCCAAGACGGAGGCTGCAGAAGGGTCAGTATACTGTAGATGAAGTCCGAGAGGCACGACTTACGGAGGAGCGCGGTCAGCCATTGTGTATGTATTGAGGATGAGAGAATTGGGAGAACAAAAGAGGACGGAGGACACGTTCAAATACGAAGCCCGGCAGCCCCTCCATCGAACTATACCTATGATCGGCTCATGACTGCTCCATGGCGTGATTGGGTCACCGCCCTGGCAGAACCCCAATCATTGGTAGACCCCAATGAGGGGTCAACTGCCCAGGTGTTCGCTCTGTTGCTTCTCCGCGCTTCCAGATTAAACCGTGGATGTCGTACTACAGAGTATAGCCTAAAAGGTTCAATTGGGGGTGTTCTGCTGAAGGGGCTCGTCTTTTTACAGTGACTGTCTACGAGTTGAATGATGCACAGCTCTTCTTTCAACTTTTCGCTCCCCCACGACAACAAATGGCGCAATCCTATATCGGCATGAGGAATACCCTATCAGGCACAGGAGCCGAGTGCGGACTGTATGCAGATCTATCCTCTTTAAGATGCTGATTTTCTGGACACATGTACCTACTGTAGGTACCACGGGGACTGAGATGACGAGCAATTGACCCACATGGTGGGGTACACCTATAAGGTTGCCAGATGAAACTCGTGTTGAAGGGCTTCCCCAGCTACCCAGGCATCCAAGATTGCATGTACAGTACCTAGGTACCTATCTAGGTAGGTATTTTGTATCTTTCATCTGTTGGGTTATTAGGTACCCAGCTTCCAAGCCCTGGAGGTTGGAGGTTCTCGGGCCCCCAGAGTACTAGTACTACCCGTGGACATAGGTACCTATGTACATATGAAGCTACCTAGGTGCCGACCTCGGGAGGTACTTCAAGGTTACAACGTGGGAGCTCCATCCTGCTGTATCTGCATCTAGGCATCGTGGGGGTATTCAGTAAAGTGCAACTTACTGAACAGTAAAGTGCAACTTACTGAACAGTAAAGTGCAACTTACTGAAGCGCGTCAAACCTGAGACCTCGGGTGGAGCAATCACCTGGCATGGATGCCAGGCATGAACACATAGGCATACATACCTAGGTACCTATGTACTAAGTAGGCACCCTTCCATGGACCACGGATGCTATCGATTCCAACCTTGAAGATTGGAAGGTTCCAAGATTCCAAGTTGCCATTGAATTTGCATATATGTTGTTTTGCCCGGGTGTTCATGAGCTTATGGCGATACTCGTCGGCCTATCATAAGTAAAGCGTGACTTCGAGGGTGTTTCAAACATTGGAACCTTGAAGTCAGGATGATCCTTGAGCAGTATCCATCCGGGCAAATATATATGTTGGATGTCACCTACGCTGGGTTGGAAAAATGATTACCCTCCAGGGTTGTTTGGTGGGTACACACTGGAGCAATTGTGTCTACCTGATACCCAGGTGAAAATCTGGAATCTTGAAAGTCAACAGATGGAGGCGTGCGGTCAGAATACGAATGGTGAATCCCCTGAGAACCTTGGAATGACTTCCACATCTGATCATCGCGAATCAAAATAGCTTCCTGGAAATATTAGGGCTCAGTTGTCCAGTCCTTACGAAAGGTTATGAGCATGTCTAAAGTTATAGTCTTAATTGACTACCAGAAGGTCAGGAGAACATCTCAAGGAGCCAATCCGATGGGTTTGATGAACGGCCCCAGAACCACCTGGGCACGGAGCTTGATCAAATGATCGACCGGGTCACGTGCCGAGATGACCCACACCCGTGTCGCTCCGTCTCGGCGTAAACAATGCCTCACGCCAGTCGACCAGGTGCTGAACTCTTTCGTGAGCTTAAGCGATAGAGCAGATCAGCGGCGTCGGACTGCACAGACAGGAGTTGAATCAAAAACCACAACTTTCTTCCAACCCGATCATACCTTGCATTAACTATCAATTGGTCGCCATGCCTCCTAAGCGCAAACCCGAGAGCGCGTCGAGCCCGAACGAAACTGCTGCAACCCCAGCAAAGAAGATCCGGACCACTGCTGCCGGTACTCCGGGCTCTGCAGGTGCTGCTTCTGCAGTGAGTAATTCGCGCGCAGGGGCTGATCGTCGCGGTCCCAGTCGATGCTCCACTCCATCCTGCTTGAATCGTGCTGATATGCCCCGAATAGCCCGGAGCAACCCCCCAGACGACTGAGAAGAGAGGTCGTGGTCGCCCACGCAAGAACCCTGAGGACTTGACCCCCAAACCAGCTTACGATGGTCCCAAGCGTGGCCGCGGTCGTCCGCGTAAAGTCGTTTCTGAGACCGACGCGGAAGCTGTAACACCTTCTGGCCCCAAGAAAGGACGCGGCCGTCCCCGCAAGGAGTCCGGTATGGTAACATGGCTAGTACACACCGGGCAAATGGGCTGATTTGGCTATACCGCTAGGCGAACCCGCAATATCTACCCCTCAAGCGAAGAAGAAGGATGGTCGTGGACGTCCCCGCAAGGATGCAGGTACGGCACCGTGACATACATGCTGCAGATGGTTTATGCTGATTGGATATTGCTCTTAGACGGAGCTAAACCCGATACTCCCGTCACGAAGAAGAAGGATGGCCGAGGAAGACCTCGCAAGTCTTTGCCAAATAAAGAAGTCGAGCCAAAGGCCGAAGCAGAATCGAAGTCGCAAACGCCCCCATCGGCCGTGCTCCCTCCCGTCAACATTGACACCAACCGTTCTTTTTGGCTGATGAAAGCGGAGCCCGAATCACGCATGGAGAAGGGCAAAGACGTTAAGTTCTCAATTGATGACTTGGCTGCTGCAGAGAAACCAGAGCCCTGGGATGGTGCGTTCATTGACCCACGCCCCATTTGTAATCTACACTGCTCACCTGTAACTAGGTGTGCGCAACCACGTCGGTAAGCATTCACAACGCTATCTCGGACCCGTCCTCTGAACACCATGCTTACAATTTACTAGCCAAAAACCTCATGCGGGACATGAAGAAAGGAGACTACGCGTTCTTCTACCACTCTAACTGCAAAGTTCCCGGCATCGTCGGAGTGATGGAGATCGTTCAAGAGCATTCCCCTGACGGTGCGTGATATCCATGCGTCTCACCTTCACCACCTTGCTAACGTGCCCGTCCAAATAGAGTCTGCCTTTGACCCCGAGCACCCATACTACGACCCCAAGTCCCAACGTTCCGACCCGCGATGGGTCGCCGTGCACGTGGAGTTCCGTCGCAAGCTTCAGAAACAGGTCACTCTTCAGGATCTGAAGTCTCACAGCGAGGCTGGCAAGCCGCTTGAGAGCCTGCAAATGATCAAGCAGGGACGACTTAGCGTGTCTTCCGTGACCCCGGCACAATGGCAATACATCCTTGGGCTGGCAGGCGAGAAGCCGCAGACGGAGTTCACCAAGGTGGAGGAGTCTAGTGAAAAGGCCGCCGACCAGGAGGCTGCTAACGAGAAGACCGCCAACGAGGAGCCCGCCAATGAGAAGCCCGCCAACGATGAGCCCACTAATGAGGAGCCCACTAAGGAGGAGCCCGCTAAGGAGGAGGTGCTGCCCCTTTTGGAGTCTAGTGACCAAGAGTGAGCGCAGGCCTGAACATTGATGGCTTGACGTATTGAGCCCAGCGTGTGATAGGTGGGAGTGTGAGATAATTCACTCGACGGCGTTGCCGGTCAAATATGGGTTATTTAGCGAATCGAAATATTTTGTTTAGCATTCCAATGTTGTTCTTTTCTATTTCTCCGTACATATACATCGCGGAAATTGAACACCTACCGGCAGCCTGGAGAACCTTCCAAGGTTGAATTGCACTGTCCTACCTAGTTACTAGGTAGTGCAGACATCCCAGGGCAAACCCCAGCCTTGGAGTGCGTTCCACCGCAGTAGCACAGGCCCTGTGATGAACCAGTACAGCATTTGTTCCACCGGCTACGTTGACTACTTTGACTACCTACTATGTACGGAGTATGTGCTTCCTATCTATCACATTGCCTGCTTCTCCTCGCTTCATCGAATCACCCTCACAGGCGATACGGTGAAGGGAGTACTCCGTATGATATGTGGCGCTGCTCAGAGCAGCTTTTGACTCCCATTTGGTCGACCATTAACTTCATCGGGACGAGCTGTCAGAAACCAAATTGACTCCAACGCTCGCAGATCGGCACTGCATGATATATATGCAAGGAGTCGCGGGACCAGGTATTGACATCCGCTGCATAGGATAGGTCAAATGGTGATGTGTCGGGGCCCCGGGGCCGGGGAAGACCTCGCCCCGGGGATCATCCAAGCTGAATAAGCATATAGGGATTTTTGTCGAGCACATGAGGCAGACATTCGGGCTTCAAGGTAAATGAGGCTATTTGCCCTTGGAAGTCTATACCTACAACCCGTGGACCCGGTAGGAAAGACCTCGCCGAACGCGGCCAACAATAGCCAACCAACGTAGATGAAGGATGTTCCGGCTCCGGAGTCCAGATGCCTCGGAAGAGTAAGTCTATGCGATAATTGTGGAGCGTCTTTATCGTTATCAGGCGGGGGAGCTCTGGGTATTCCTCCTTCTAACCTCGATCCCCCCCATGTCCGGTTTTCTGTTTCGACCCTTGCGTTTGTGCAGAAGTTTTACGTTTCCTCGCTTCACTCGTGCATTTCACAGTACTCCGTGCATCATGTCGGACATCTCGGTGCAGTTGACCGCCCCCAACGGGCGCAGCTACACCCAGCCCATTGGCCTCTTCATCAACAATGAGTTTGTCGCTGCCAAGTCGGGCGAGAAGTTCGCTACCGTGAACCCTTCGTAAGTATCCTGCCCCAAGGGAGAATCCACAAGCTGACTGTGGCAGTGATGAGTCCGAGATCACCTCGGTGTACGCCGCCGGCGAGGAGGATATCGATATCGCCGTCAAGGCTGCCCGCAAGGCCTTGAAGGATCCTTCTTGGAAGCAGCTGCCTGCTACTGACCGTGGGGTTCTGATGCTCAAGCTGGCCGACTTGATTGAGCAACATAAGGAGACTTTGGCCACCATTGAAACTTGGGACAACGGTCAGTGACGAGGCAATGGTTATGAACAAGGAGCAAAGCTGATCCCTCTATCAGGCAAGCCATACCAGGTCTCTTTGAACGACGATCTCGGCGAGGTCACCAACACTCTTCGCTACTTTGCCGGCTGGGCCGACAAGGTGTTTGGCCAGACCATCGGCACCACCCCGGCCAAGTTCGCCTACACCCTCCGCCAGCCCATTGGCGTTGTTGGCCAGATTATTCCTTGGAACTTCCCTCTTGCTATGGCAGCCTGGAAGCTGGGTCCCGCTCTTGCCTGCGGTAACACTATCGTCCTGAAGCCTGCCGAGCAGACCCCTCTTAGTATTCTTTACCTGGCAGGTCTTATCAAGGAGGCTGGATTCCCTCCTGGTGTGATCAACGTTGTCAACGGCCATGGTCGCGTTGCTGGTGGTGCCCTAGTGAACCACCCCGATGTTGACAAGGTCGCCTTTACTGGTTCTACCATCACCGGCCGTGAGATCATGAAAATGGCCGCCAGCACTCTTAAGAATGTGACCCTCGAGACCGGTGGCAAGTCTCCACTTGTTGTGTTCGAGGACGCAGACCTCGAGCAGGCCGCCAAGTGGGCACACATTGGTATCATGTACAACCAGGGTCAGGTCTGTACCGCCACTTCACGTATTCTCGTCCACGACTCTGTGTATGACAAGTTCGTCGAGCTCTTCAAGGAGGTCGTCCGAACCACTAGCAAGGTTGGCGATCCCTTCGCCGACGACACTTTCCAGGGCCCTCAGGTCACCAAGGCCCAATACGAACGTATCCTCTCCTACATTGAGGCCGGTAAGTCCGAGGGCGCAACCCTCGCGTCTGGAGGCGTGCCGCACAAGAACGTCGGTGACGGCCGTGGCTTCTTCATCGAGCCTACCATCTTCACCAATGTGAAGGATAACATGCGTATCTACCGCGAGGAGGTTTTCGGTCCTTTCGTTGCTATCGCCAGCTTCACCACTGAAGAGGAGGCTGTCACCCGTGCCAACGATACCACCTACGGACTCGGTGCCGCTCTCTTCACTCGTGACATTGAGCGCGCACACCGCGTCGCCTCAGATATCGAGGCCGGTATGGTCTGGATCAACAGCAGCAACGACAGTGATTTCCGTGTACCATTCGGTGGTGTCAAGCAGAGTGGAATTGGCCGCGAGCTTGGTGAAGCTGGCTTGGATGCCTACTCACAGATCAAGGCCGTTCACGTGAACATGGGCACTAAGCTTTAAACGCGCTACCTGGATGTTTACAAGTAGCATTCCTATGTATTCAATTTCATCATGTCTTAACGATCAAAATTTGGGAGTTGTGTTGACCAACCTTAGTAACCATGTCTCGTCCCCCGGACCTCTGATATACTGTAGATCTTCAGTGATCTTCGTGATCTTCTGGACAATCTCAAAGCCATTATTCCAATCTCGCTTTCGCTTTTGCCATACCCACTCCTATCCACTTATACGAGAGGATCCCCCGCAAGAACGGAAAAATGGAAAAACGGGGCAATCTCGAAGTCTCCAGCCGACTGCAGATCGCAGCAAGTACGGAGTACGTGCATTGCACTGACATGGCCAACTTAGCATCCAATGAAAAATTGTCGCCATTCGAATTTTTTGATTCCTTTGTGATTTTCGTCAAATTTTATTTTCCATTTTTGCTTTTTTTGAGTTCTCCCCCCTGCTCTCCTTTTTACTATCACCGTATGGAGCACGATCCGTACTCCGTACTGCCAAACCGGACCCGAACACAATATTGATGCCCAACTTTCTCTCCGCGTATCTGCACGCAAGCCTTGCCTCAATGGGAAGTTGCAGATCTACGAAAGCTCTTTGGTGCAGTTGAGAGCCGTGCGCTCGAAACCTGTCCGCATGCCATCACATCCATTTCAACACCCAAGACATGGGCTCGAGTATGATTGGAATTTACTGAGGCTAGGGATCTACCGCAGATTGCAATCTGCATTAAGTTTCACGTGTGTCGGATCACTGTGACACAGGCATCGCATGCATAGCGCCCAATTTTCGAGTCAGGCAGGAATGAGGAGAAACAGTCTGGGATTGGTAGTCGAGGTTAGGACCCAGGAGCCAGGATCCAGGTCTAAGCGCCAGCACACACACATCTCTTGCATCTGCATGCAGTGTTGGTCATGTGAAAACAAAAGCCACGGTCTAGGATGCCATTGGCGTGTGGGCTGATGCACGACTTGCCCCAAAGTCAATCACACGTAAGTCCGTAACGATGGTGAGTTGGGAATTGAGGATTGGAGTGAAGAGAGAATTAATTTTCGATGGTTTGCATTACTGCAAGTAATCGGACCTGTCCTACCGGTTCGTGGCAGTTGTACAAACCAGCGTGGGGTCTTGGCAGTTATATCCTCCCGTCTCCATAAACTATCGACTTTACATCTCCTCCCCTCCGGATTGACGGAACGACCACCACTCCGACATTGGGGTTTTACTTTGGCTATTTTACCTTCTAGGTTCCGGGTCGGGTGAATTCCGCGATCTGCGCTGCCATTTCATCTCAGGGGGATTTCGAACCGTTGCGTGCCTAAAATCTCACCCCTCTTTTCAGCTCAAAGAGCGGTGTCCACTCACCGATCGGCATGTCTGAAATCCAGAGGTGGACGGTCAATGAGGTGAGTTGATCGTGTGCTGTGCATGCAATTCGCCGGCCATCCTTGATTTGCCTTTGCCTTGTTATTGCTTTTCCCTCGGCTTCTCGTGTTGGTCTCAGTCGTTCGTCCGAGCCTCTCACAACCAAGGAAAATAAAAAAAAAGACCCCAAAAGGCCAACAGCCAGTGCTGGCACCAATCAAAAATCCTAGAAAGAGGGGGCAAAGCCAAACCCAATGGCTGCCAATGATGCAAGCTGTAACTAACGATCGTGCTTCATCAGCCGTACCTCGATATACCGGGAACTCTACTTGAAGGCCCCTTTCACGATGCAGCAAAGAACGAATTTCGTTTCGTTGATATCTGGGATCAGAAACTCTATCGTCTCGATCTGGAAAAGGGCCCTGAATCCTTGAAAGTCATTGACACCGCCGCTTCTGTTGGGTGGGTTTCAACCGTTCCAGTGGGAAAGTAGCTCGTCTTCCTTGCTGACAAGCAAATCCATGTGGGTATTTTAGTGTTACCGCAAACATCACCGACTCAAGCGGGTTGCACGAGGATCAGCTGATCGTTGCTGCCAAGTATGGATTCGCTCGGCTGAATCAGACTACTGGGGAGCTATCCTATATTCAACAGGCCTGGGGCGAGGAAGATGGGCCGGGAAAAGCGGAGAGGTAAGCACAACCCCCCGAGCCCAAGCAAGAAAAAACAAGATCCCCGAAAAATCCCTTCCCAAAAATCAAAACATAAAGTGAAGATGCCGAAAAGAGAGGGAAAAAAAGAAATAAAAATTACTGGAAATAAATTCCTAGTGACGCCAGCCCCCCGAGAAATGCCGAGTTTACTAAATATGCCGCAGAATGCGTTTCAATGACGGCGCAGTCGACAGCCAGGGCCGGTTCTGGGCTGGAGCGATGAACGACCCCAAGATCAAGAATCCCGAGGCAGAGGGTGTTCTCTTCCGACTGGATCCAGACCAAAGTCTGCATCGCATGCTTGCACCGGTGACGATCCCTAATGGGATTGGATGGAACCTCACCGACGACGTGATGTACCTGACGGACTCGCCAACAGGCAAGATCTTTGCATTCGACTTTGATGCGTCGACTGGCGCGATCACCAACCGGCGCGTGCACTTCGATATCGGTGAGGCACTGGAGCCAGACGGCTTCGCTATTGATGTGGAAGGATGCATCTGGAGTGCCGTATACGGCGGTGGAAAAGTCCTGCGCATCTCCCCTGCCGGAAAGGTTATCGGTCAGATCGATCTCCCCACGCGTAACGTGACCTGTCCAGCCTTCGTTGGCACTGAGTTGTTCATCACTACCGCCAAGGACGATACTGATGATGACCGGTTGCCTCACTCGGTGAGGTATGGAGGCCGGCTCTACAGGGTTGACGTTGGAGTCCGGGGCAAACCCAAGAACGAGTTTCGGTTTCAGGGCTAGGCGCTGACTCCCATGTTTCGGGGCCACAGGGATTGCACTCTTGCGTGCAGTACTGTACATACCTAGATAGCCCACAGCCCTCGATGCATTTCAATATACGGAGCACATCCTATCCATTACTCACATTGAAGGCCCATTGAATCTATTTCTGTTTATAGACTGCCTAGGCTGTATATACTTCACATGTGAGTCTAGATGGATCGACCATGCATCTCGGGTTCTCGCTTCAAAAATTGGCCCAAAAGGCGGTATTGGTACCAAGGTCGCAGCCTTATTCGATCCGGATATGCAATGTGGAAGTGGATGCAGCGAAATAGTGGAGGCAACGTCGGTGATCAACAAACGGGCGAAGACGGCCCACCATGTCACCGGAAATGTGAAGTCGGAGCCAAAGTTCGTTTTTGGAGACAGTACTTTCGATACTGCAGGCAACGCAAGGGGCGGGGAAGATACCATACTCCCAGATGAGCACTGCATATCGATCTCACATCATGTAGACCATACTACCTACCTTGTTTCCTGCCTTTCCCGCTCTTTGTTCGGTCCGATTCTAAACTCGGCCGGATCGGGGTCAGGGCTGGACAATGCGTGGGCAGAAGCACTATCACTTTTTGGAATTTTATTTCTGGGTCTTTGCAGGGCGTCGGCAAGTGATAGGTGTGCGCATTGTTACGGTGTGCAATGTACACGGAGTACTCATACGTTGTACTTTTTTGCTGCGCTAATGGAAAATCAGGGCAGCGATGGTGGAGAGGGTGGAGAGCGCGCGATGGATCTTTCATAGTCTATCTACCTGCTTAAGTGGGATATTGGTAGTTTAGTGGGTTGGATTTCGGAAGTGCCAGTCGTCTCCATTGCCACAGTAGTACAATGCCATTCTCACTGCGGAGACTCCGTATGCCACCATAGAGATGTACTAGTACGATGGATCGTAGCTTGTGAACGCGGTTGCAGCGGACACGAGTTAAGCGAAGATCCCTGCGAAGAACAGGCCCCTAGAAGCCGAGGAAAAAGAAAGGGGAAGTTCGAAGCATCCAAATCGTCAGACTACTTGAGTAAAAGGTAAAGGTAAAGTGGAGATCATGCATCCTGACAAGAGACTATTGATTATCGAAAGAGTTAGAAATAAAAAAAGTACCTATGCGGTGAACCCCTGTGCGAGGACTGGATAGACACCTATGGGGAAGTGTCCACATATTTTGAATAGCGCGATGACACGCATCCGGGCCGGGGGGTTCTCGGGGATATGGGAAAAATCATCTGTCTAGAACAAGGGCACCCGACAGTTTGGAGACGGTGGTTTGAGAATGCAAGCCACACGACACTAAATAGCGTCGAAAAATAAAACAGAGACGGAATTCTCGTGGAGAATTCAACCCCTGTTCAAACCAGTCACAATCCATGGATCTATCAGACCGCAATTACGATGCCAGTGAGCCCCATGATTCGCTCTGGAAGCCATTAAATAGGGCGTTTGACAGCTCCTCTTCAAACTCTGTCGGTCTGATCCTGCAGGTGCCGACTCCATGATCCATAGCGACCCATACTTCTTTTTTTTTTGCCTTGATTATGTTGGGGCTTGTTTTCTTTTTATTGTTTTGCTTTCTTTTTTTTCCCGGTTTTGCTTTTTAAGTGGGAACATAGCTGTCACCCGGGGAAGATTTCCGGTGAAAAGAATAAATGGCCTACTTGGGATTGATGATCATTGACGCCAACCGAACTAGCTCACTGCAAGTGCAACAAGCGCTTCAGCTGCGCCTCTCAGTATCCCCATTTCCACATCGAACCCACATTGACCTGGTGGAACATTTTCGAGAGACTAGGTCGATCTATATTGTTTATTTGACGATTACCTTCCGGAGTCTTTATCCCCCGGTTGCGATCTCAGGAGACGGCAACCGAACTAGCTAGCTGAGGACCTCGTACATCCAGAACTATCTATCCACAATCGCGTGGATGCACTGAGGCTGGAATCGGAACCGGATGCCTTTCCGTATGGCCGATCGTAGAGCATCAATTTCCAGGGTGATCGAGATGGCCAGCGTTTACGTTTCACCTCATTGTTGACATCATCGCGATTATCCCTTGGCCGTCAAGCCTCCGCCACTCTGGGCTTTACCCGAGTGACACGAGTAAGGGTATCGGGGGAACATTTAGATTCTTGCTAGATTCTGCCTCTTCCACGGATGTCGGTTGTGTTCTGTCTGCGTTACCTGGCCCAATGACGTAGAGGCAAAAGTCCCATTTAACTCTATCGGGCGACTCTATCATTTTCCCGTTTTCCAACAACCGCGTAAATGGCAGCTCAGAGCTCTCCCCACTATTGACTCGTTAGTGTGGACTAAGTCTACTACCGAGGGAACCCAATGGACTCCCGAGGTCCCAGCCTCCCCCTAACGGTCAACCACAACGGCCCCTTTCATATCGGGACGGGGAACAGTTGGATGTGTTGAAAGCTGCACAACATCTGGGAGGGTTCACTCTGATGACGGCAGATCGATGAGATGTGTGCGTTGGAAGCTCGGGAGACTATTTTTGGGGACTTTTGGCGTGAACGCAACAGGAAACACTTTAATCTTCGCGCCAAGGTGCCCTGTCGTACCATGCCATTGCCTTGTTCTAGTTTACCTTCTAACGGGGATCTCAAGCTTAGTGGTATACTTCGAGTTTAGTCTCTCCAAGCACCAAACTCTCGGAAATTGACAGGACCAGACTGACTAGGCAACTATCGGGGCGTTGCCTCACCCGCTATACCCGAGACGGTATAGATCAGACGGGCGAGGGGGAAATTAAGTACAGTCCTCCGTCCTCCGTAGTTCGGTATTCATTCGGGGGCCTTCAGATGTTCACAATGAAAGGAATCATAGTTCGGGCTACTAGAGTAACGGTTACGGAGTAGAGTTCTGCACTTCTTCGGTGACGTATTACTTCTGATGCCCTATTTCACAGCCCAAACCTTCCGAGTCCAACTATATCTTCCCTTTTTTGGTCATGGATTACCACGAATCCAGGTGGGAGAAATCCAATAAGGCGGAGAACAGAGACCAACAATAGACGAGCACTCGAAAGCAGAGCATGTCCAGGGCCAGGGCCACGCCAAAACCCAGCAAAAACACCAAAACAAAAAACAAAAACACCGGTCTCCACTCGTCCCTGTCCATGACCATGGTGACGGTGCGCACTTGCAGAGTGCTGTGCATGACGATCGCTTTTCCCCAGGTAGTGAAATCACTAAGATACTATAATAGGGGAATATTTGGGATTTTTCTTTTTTTTCTTTTCTTTTTCTCGTCATTTTTATTCCCAATTTCGATTTTTATCAAAAACCCACCCCCATATGGCATTATTATTCTTTTCTATTAACGATTTTCTCAGCTATTTATTGTCATACCCACAAAAAAGCAAAAAATAAAATCAAAAAAAAATCAAAAAAGGCCCAACTGGCAGTTTCCCGGGGGTTAGACACTATATCCTGCCCAACGCTAATCCGACAGAATGGGTCGGACAGAGAGATAACTTACTTGTCTTGGGGCCATCCAGACCAGGTGATGGATCACTCTCTCACCGCTGCTCAACGGCTCTTAATAGAGCTTGTCTTCCCCATTTTTCCCCTTTGACTTTCTCTATCTTGACTTCCTTTCTGGCTCTAGTCTTCTTTAGGCATCTAAACCTTGATTACATTGACCTCCTCAGCTGTAGGAGGACCTCAAGCTCAGTCTTTTTCTTGTACATACCTTCACCGTGGCTGCTCTAGGAATAAGCGTATTGAACGCTCCTTATTCCGGCTCGCTGCATTCACCGAATCTGTCACTTTACTCGGATCATCGTTATCCATCACCCGCACCCTCCCTCTCTCATACTCTTCGAGACACCGACGACGAAGAGAGAGGGGGGGCTCGGCCATGCCCTAATCTCCGGTCTGTCGTGGGATATTCGGATTCCATGTCGCAGGATTCTCAGCGAGCAGGTTCCTCGTCGAGAGAATCACCTCAAACCGATGACCGGGCAATTGAAAACGATCGAGGACTGGCCAACAACCGCAATACATCCCGCCGCCCCCCGCTGCGGACTAGGCCCCAGTCATGGCATCCATATGGGCCCGTGGAGCCGCCGTTAGAATCAGTCTCCTCCCGACCCATTGGGGTTCATTCCATCTTAAACCCACCTTCACAGACATCCAAAGAATTGGCTACGTCCGGCAATCGTGAACCACTCGCTTTATCGGGGCAAGCACCTTCGCCTCGACTCCAAGCCGCCTCACCCACAACCCGCTCATCACGTCCCTTGGTGCCACATCCATTATCTCCTCGATCCCATGCACGCCCACCTATGAATCCAGCTTCTCCTTCGGCACGGTTTGTTGGTGGGGGTGGGAGGACTTCTGGACAATCGAGCGTCGCACAGTCACCGCTAGTTCCTCAGGAACATATGATGGGCCCACGACTTCCCACCTCCAGCTCGCCTTTGCCACTAGAGGCGGGTCTACGCCCAATAGCATCACTCGCAGGCACACAGCCTCCTGTGTCGGTCTCGCTGCATTCTACACCTAGCCTACACTCTCGACGAACAAGCGCTGGCCCTGGACCTCTCACCAACCCGAGTTCCCAAGAAACAAGTCCCAGCACACCCCATTCAACCTTTAGTCCATTTACTCGTGTATCCCCAGCTGTGACAACTGCCTCCCTCCCACATACCGCTGCATCATATCCCACTGCACATCCCCCATATATGACTATGGAGCCAGTGAACAGGGCGGCTCCCGCCCCCAAAGCGCCCATAAGCCAAGATGAAAACCCCACTCGAGCGGGAACACCTCAAAGCAGCTCTTTCCCCCCGGGGATGATTCCCTGTGTGTTAGACATGCGATCTGGCTCGAGCAGCCAAGCGGAAAAACGCAAGGCGAACAGCGACGCATCACGACGATTCCGCAACCGCAAACGCAACGAGATGCAACTCGAGCAGCGCCTCTCTGCACAACAGGATGAAATCACTCGCAGCGTGGAAACAGTTCGCCGCCAAGGTGAAGAGATCCGCATCCTCCTGAAACAAAGAGATCACTACCGCTCCGAGCGCGATTTCTACCGTGACCATCTTGACCGCACAATGTCTCTTGGCGCCCTTCCACCAAGACCGCCATCTCCCGGCTCTGCCCAACCCGGTCTCCTCGCGTCTGAAGGCGCTACATCCACTTGGTCGGGCGCTGATGCTGCCCGATCTGTTTCAGGCACACAGGCCTCCAATGCTTCCAAGGGAAGATTGGATTCAGCTCACACCCAACCTGGCTGGCCTGCAAACCCACCATACTCCGCGGGTCCCATAAAGCCCACTGCACGGAGTGCTGTCACCCCTGCTGCCTCGCCTTCTTTGTCTGGAGGACCCTTGCCCCCACTGCAGGGTTCTTGGTCACGCCCTTAACTTGCTATACATACTCGGCAACCCTTTTATGTTCTCCCTTGTCATTTGTTTGATACCTTATTACTCTCTTCATTCCCTTGTCGTGGTTCCCTGGGGAAGGGGGGAAAAATTAAGCGGTCACTGGTTTGACCGCTCACCAACGGTGTATACACTAGTGATGTGATCCACTTGGAAAGCACTCTTTTCCTCCCCCACAGGCTGGGCCTAATGCTCTCCATCTACATTGTTATCGGAACCACCAGAATGTCTCTGGGTCAAAAATGTGCAATTTGTCAAACTTATACTCTTCCTTACCTCATGACCTGTCTCCCTATCTCTTCTTTATCCTTTTCCGTGCATTGCATATCGGTGATACCTCCATTGGCGACGCATTGAGATCTTTTTTTTTCTTTTTTTTTTTTTTGGAGGACGTTTTGAAAATGATTGGTATGATCTGTAAACCAAGAATAATCCTGAAATCAAACATCAATGCCTTCAAGCCAGATTCCGTTAAATTCAATAATCTCGACCATCTAGGTTTCCAGATGTGACTGTCGAGGGTTACTTTGCCTCGGCCGTGTAAGTCCAAGACAGTCCTCGGATCCGAGGGGCCCGGAAAAGCTTAGCATTTGCGTTTGTTTTGAGAGATGCTTTGTTGGTAGTGATTGGCTGACTGGAAGACCCAGAACAAAAGCAGGGGGGTGAAGTCCCAAATCTGCAGTGTCACAGCACAGTTTGTATGACATCACACAGTTTTCTGTCGTTGCATATCATTGAGATCGAGATGATTCTGATATTTGCAAATCCTGTAAATCCCTGCGTGTCATTCTTTGGTATGAACCTAAATTTAGGTGCTTATATTGATTTTCAAAACTGCCCACCTGGGCAGGTGTTACAGATCGATAGGCTTAAGCCATAAGATGCTCGCGAAAGGTGAGCCTTCTTAGCTAATGGCGGTAGAACCTTGGAAGAAACCTACAATATCCGTGCGTGGTTGGCTTAGGTTCATACCTACCTAGGTAGATACCCCTCGGTTGTTATTTTGGATGAGATAACACCATGGGCTTAGCATGTACACAGCTGCAATTGACAAGAGTGTATCTGTCCACTGTAAAGTCGGATTTCATCTACGAGATTCTTCCGGAAATCGGATTTGTACCAGTACTTCTATGAAAACCCTGGAAGGCGCTGTGTTCTTCGAAGGTGATCCGAGCGTCATTTGACCATGGTTGAGCAAATGTTATTTTGACCACCAAAGACCTACAGCCATAGCCCTGAAGGGCAGTGTAGTTGAGGGCGAGCGTTAACCATTCATAGCCCGGCAAATGCATGGCTGTTCGCAACCGGGTTGAAAGCCGAATGGACCAGGCGACGGTTACTATGATGACAATCCATATGCAAAAGCGGCTGCAAGGTGGCAGTGTAACTGTCTTCACGGTCTGCCATGGTGTGGCACAGTTTGGCCCAATGAGGATTAGACTGCAGCTGGTGCAGATCTGGGTATGAAGTACTCCGTAGAGACTGGCGGTCTGGTTATATATTGGGGTCCGGTCGAAGAATGCCGGTTATTAATCTTAGCGCGAGGCACAGAGAGGCTGACTGTCATTGGAGGACTGAAAACGAAACCAGGTTCTTTCATAACTTTGCGCAGGTCCAATGCACAGGATTGTGCAGAAAAGCAGAGCTTCTGAAGTCTTATGTATAAACTCGACGTTCGACTGATCCGATTGGTCGGCTAACTTCCGGTGGATATTCCGTTTGATCCGGCGGAAGATCGTTGGCCACTCACCCGCGGCAATTTGGACCGGAGGCGACCTGGGGATCCCCAGAAGGGCCTGGACGCAGTTCTGTCAACGAATCACAGTCAATACTTGTCAGACCCGTTGAACGGGGAAACGCGGGGTCTGGGCTTGGGGGTCCCCCCATCATAGATGGTGGTTTGCGTATCCCCCTTTTGCTCATATTGACCTCAGATCTCCCAGGGGAGCGAGAAAGACCCGAGAAAAAAGCCATGAAGCGAGTGACCCAGCGAGCATCACAGGCGTGTCTCAAGTGCAGGAAATCGAAGCTCAAGTGCGAAAGAGATCCCGGCTCACGGGTCTGCCGCAGGTGTTTGTTGACTTCATCTTCTTGTAGTCACAGAGAAAACGAGTGTGTTGTGACTTATGCCCTAGCAAAGGAGCTTTATGAAAGATCAACTGACACTAATTCTCATACCAGACCCGAACAGGAATTGGAGTCCGTCTCAATGGATTTACCGTACTCGGTCAATAGCCTCCTCGAGGCCTTCTCCAATGCCGAGGATGTAGATTGGCTAAAGGAAAGCGGGGGTGATATGGGTAAGACCTTTGCCAAGTGGACCACAAACCTGATTTCTGTGAATTCTGGCTGATGATACAAGGTCCTTTCGCGCAAATTGTCGCGGCTGGGAGTAAGCCGATATCTGATCAACCTCACGTGTCCCTGACGCGCGATGTGGCTCAAACATATCCCCTCGACAGCTACCTCACAACAATCAATGAACTTCTTTCACCGCAGACCCCGGATATGATCCTGGGAGAGTGCAACCAGCCCCTAGAATTACAAAGGACGTTCAAAACCCGCCTGCCCAATGTCTCTGCGGAGACGGAGGAGTATTTGAGTCTCAAAGGAGCATTGAGGATTGTTCCTATTGAGCTTCGAAATCAACTGATTGGTGGGTACATCAAATATGTGCACCCACTACTTCCCATCATCGACCTGCAAAAGTTCCTGTCGGATGTCATGATTGAGGATGAGTCGCAGTTTTCGAGCCCACTTCTTCACCAGTCAGTGATGCTAGCGGGCAGTGCATTCATTGAACAAGATGATGCCATAAAAGCCGGATTTTCATCACGCAAAGCCCTACGCAGGACACTATTCGGCCGTGCGAAAGTCAGTCCCCGAAAGCAAACTCCATCCTTGACAGTTCTTGAGCTAATATGAATTGCCAAGCAGATTCTGTATGAGTTCGAAACCGAGCCCGACGCATACATACAAATCCAAGCGTTGTTACTGATGATGCAATGGCATGGAAGTGGAACAGGCCACAAAGATCCGACATACTGGTTCGATCTTGCATATTCAACAGCAGAGCGTGTGGGCCTGCTCAAGAGTCTCGAGCCAGGGAGCTTTTCTCACAAGCATAGAATATGGTGGTGTCTTTACGTACGAGATCGCATCCTTTCCCTCGGCTTTCGCCGCCCACTTCGCATTTCCAACGGAGATGTCACGATGTCACTGCTAGACTCCACCAAGTACTATTCATCTGAACCCTATCACGACCTCATTCTGGCCATGCTTGGTGAATCATCCGCTATGCTCACCTGGGAGAATCAAGAAAGGATGATGTTGTTGTTCATCCAAGAGATCAAATTAGTCCATTGCGTCGGACTTATTGTAGAGCACTTCTACCAAGACGTTTGGTCAATCTCGCCATCTGGGTGCTCGCAATATTCTCTCGTCCCAAGATCAAAAGTATCACAGGCGGCCATGGTAGGATGTGAGCAGCTCCTCAAGACCTGGATACAGAGTCTCCCTGCTCCAGCACACTATTTTCCACCATCATTATTGCAGGAGTATCACCCAGGCTCTCCGGATATCGTCCTCCTTGTTCATCAATCCTTCCTATATCTTCTTCATCTCACTACAATGTCGATTCTCTGTCAAGTCGCGCCGGATGAGGCAGATGGTCTCCGCACCTCCATCATGCCAGATATGGGTCAATTAACATCACGGGTTATTGAGACTCTGCATGAGCTTCACGACTGTAGTATGCTTCATCTTCTTCCTGGAAGCACAGTCACCATCCTGTTGATCATTCTTGAGGCAAGCTTGCCGGGCCTCAAGGTCTCCGACAACATCGTGCGTATGCAGGCGATGTCTAACCTGTATGGGTGCGAAGAAGCAGCCAGTCATTTATTACAAACATATCCGGCCGCTGAGATTGTTCTTTCCCAGGCCCAGACTGCACGAGGGCATCTTTTGGGGTTGATAGCCACCTAGAGGCAAGAAAAGTAAATAAGTTAGCATGTTCAGAATGAATATGATCAGTAGATCACAAATGTTTCGATGCATTCCTCACGCTGAGCTCATAACAAGAGTCATGCAAAAAATTCACTCGTCTGAAGTAAAATCGCGGTGAAAGTTCAACGGGAACCTTCGAAGGCATGAAGCTCGGCTCCCGGGTATTCGGTCATCGCCCCGGCATAATTTGCGGGGACCCCAGCTGTGACCTAGACCTTGCAAATCTCGCCCTCCAATGCCCTAAGCTTGGCTTCAACTTCAAGACCCGAAGCTACTGAGGTATCATGGAATCTGATTCTCCAGATTTTGCCAAACCAACACGCACCCCGCAGGCATGTGACAGGTGTCGCCGACAAAAGCTGAAGGTGGGTGAATCCTCCAAGACAGCCATGAGTTCAAACTCATTATTTGATGAATAGTGTGACCGCTCTAGACCGTGTGTACTGTGCACTCATGCTGGGCATAAATGCGAAACAAGCCAACGCATGACACGCCGAACCCGTCGGCGAAACACAGGCAGAGCCCAACCCACACGTCTTGTGACAAACAAACCAATCGCACCGGCAATCCAAGCAGCCCGTAGTACTCTGCATTCTATCGGATCAACAGCTGAGACATCTCACGGCGCGGATGACTCAAACTTATATGCAGGGAAATCCCCAAAGGAGCCGCAATCAGGCGCCAATGCTTCTGCGATCGACTTCGCTAGACGGGTATTCAACGAAGAAGAAGCCGGTCGGACACTGACCGGGGCCTCGATACCTGGTGATACGGGGGTGACTACATTTGACAATTCCTTGTGGCATTTAACCGACGTGGAACTTCCCCCGGAGGATGTCATGCTCGCCTTGATCGACGTCTATTTCGAGCGAATGCAGTGGTTTGTGATGTTGTTTCACGAGCCGTCATTCCGACAGACTGTTCGGAGAATAATCTCCGGCAATGCGTGGCGGCGCCAAGATCTCAGTCCTACTATGGCTGTGTTGGCAGTGGCTATGATAGGGCTGCAGTCTGTGCTACCCGATCAAAATTGGCCTGGACATGAGATTCTGCGGAAACATTCCATTGATGGAACGAGGCTCATGCATGGGTTTATCAATGAGATTCGCCGGAACCTGCTCGACATCTCGGTTGATTGTCGGATTGAGGCTGTCCAAGTCTGTTTCCTGGTATCTTCATATTATGTCTATCACAACTCGCCGAGTATTGCTTGGACTGTCTCCGGTATGGCTGTGAGATCCGCATATGCCCTCGACTTGTACACGAAGTCATCACAATATGAGAATCCCGTTGTCGATGAGATCCGGTCCCGTTGTTGGAACCATGCCATTGTCGCCGACACGTTTACGTCAATCATCTACGGAAGACCTTCTTCAATAGACACAGGACTCGTTGCTCTACATTCAATACGAGACATGGATGACTTGGTCCTCGACCCGCTGCTTTTGAGGAATGAATGGATCTCGGCAACTGGGAGCCCGGTAACCTCGGCTGGTTTCTTTAGCATGAAATACGAGCTTTACGACATCATACGACACATTCTTTCACGCCTTCGACGTCTCCAGGTGAAGAGCGAGAGCACAGAAGATGATTTACGGGCTGTTGCAGAAGCTTCGCAAGAGTCAGAGGACCAGCTAAACTCATGGCGGAAACGGGTGCCTCAATTGTTCGATTTCGAGTATTGGGGCTATGATGACCGACTTCAACAGTTCGAGCAACAAATCGAGGGATTGCCAGTGCGTGCAAAGCGCCAGGCGGAAACCATTATTCTACAAGCTGCCTGTCTCCAATTGACATATGATGGAGCGTTGATCCAAGCCCGTCGTCCTCTACTGGAACAGAGGATTACCAGTGCATGCTCACGCTCTGTCGCGGACGCCATTCATGAATCATTGAAGGTGGCCACGGCTGCTGCGCTTCGAATCTCCCGCATACCAGTCCTCCGCTTCAAACATCATTTTGCTGAATCTTTTGTCTCCCTACAGCAGTTTACTGCCGGGGTTATTCTGTGCATTCCGCCAACTAGTCAGCCGTTCACAACTGTAGCGCACGAGGCCAAGGCGGGTATTATGAAGATCATTCACGCCAGCACGGCCTTCGGGTCGCACAATCGAATAGCAAAACAGACCGCACAGCTGCTTACAGATTTATTGAAAGTGACTGCCGAGCGGGAGATCACCGGTGCACTGAGAAGGGGAGTTGGATTTGGCTATCAAGAGCTAACTGGGAGACCGGAGCGACAAACAGGCACAAAACCCACGCCTGATAATATTGGGTTTCCGCAGATCCATGATAGTCTTGGGATCTCAAATGACGCCCCTAACATAGTCTCTCATGCGAAGGCCGCGAACAATGAGACGGCTATGCCGGGGCGGGCGTCGGCCGTATCGTTCGAAGATTCTCCAGAGTCAATGTTCGAATACCTCGACGACGCTTTCGGGACGTTCGGTGAGAGTGAGTCCTCTGCATTCCTGTCTTATAGGTTATAATCAGCACTTTGGACTAACGCATCTTAGTGATGTTCAATCTCATACCCGAGGATCACAATTCGATTTGGACGTGGGGAAGAAACTCCTAGTTGGCTGGGCCAGACCATGGACTGAACCACCATCCGGCGGCCATCATGCGGCGGCGCCGGTCGTGCACCCGCGGGTGATGTAAACCGCAATTAAGAATGAGGAGAGAGGTGATTTGAAGTGCAGATGTTGTGAGCACCCGGTCAGGTAACCATGTTTCCCCAGATCCATAACCCAATCGTTTTGATGTCTCCTCCGCCATCTCTCTGAGATAGGAACACGTCACTTCTCTCCGGCTTGTTGCTTCCATCAGTACCTGTCTCATAAGAATACGAGACGGTCATAGATGGTCAAGTCAAGCGCGGTGTACCCGATCGCGTAGCAAGCGCTGTCAGCGAGGAATTGGAACGGATTGAGGTGTTGGGCGATCGGCTTGGTTTTCGGCGGCGCCGCCGCCCCCAAGTCCAGGGTCAGACTCGCTAGAGCGTGCCGAGGACATTCTGAGGATGGATAGCGGAGTTCAAGGTGGTCTTTGAAAAAAGAGGTAGAGAGTCGACGAGGTTAAGAGATTTCAGAAAGAAAATGAGCTTTTAAAGTGGCCCGTCCCGGCCAACGACTCATCATTTTCCACGTGCTCTCTCTTGTGTTTAGTATGGGGATATACATCGTGAGATTCTGCCGCTCGATCCCGCCTTGCAACCTTGGGACGAAACATTCTGTGGGGTGCCCCCGAGCCCTACCCTGGGGTACTTGGCCTACCTAGGCAAAGGCGCCATACTTTAACCCAAACCCCTCTTCTGCGTTTCATGAATAGCCATGTATACTAGGATTAGGGTATACGGGTAAGGTCAGTGCTTTGGTAAAGGCTGCAGTGCGTGTGGAAGATTGATGCAATTTCCACACCAACCTTGCAAGCCAAGACAACGGGCAATGAAGGCTATACTGTATCCAACCAAGATATGGGCACGGATTGGAATTTCTTCAGATGATATCCATTCACTGAAGATAACATTTGAAAAGTTTACGGCCGAGAAGTAACAGATGTCATATAGGTGGAGCATTGCGTGCTCTACACTTCAATCTGCCATAGGATAACGGTCCGGACCTGGCACCTGGGCAGGAAAGCCAAAACCAGATCTCGCGATTCATATGGGTCCTGGCGTGCCACCTGAGATAGAAACTAACATTGCAGCATAAATACGTGAACCTGAGACCAACACAGAGCACAGCCAATTTGCAATCTTCAGCCACGATGGCCCTACAGCGTATTACACGTCTTTACCGATCATGCCTACTGCAAATTATTCTTGTTGGCTTGGTCGCGTTTTGTGAACCTGGTATCTGGACTGCGTTGAACAACCTTGGCGCAGGAGGAAATGCCAAAGTCAGTCACGCATCTCGTTCATGCCTGGTGGCTATCAACTGACTGTCTAGCCTTTCTTGAACAACGCTGCCAATGCCTTAACCTATGGGCTTATGTCAATTGGATGCTTCCTCGCCGGAGGTGTCACCAACAAGATCACTGCGAAATGGACCCTATTCATCGGAGCCGCCTTCTACACTCCCTACGCAGCTGGCCTTTACTGCAACAACAGATATGGCAATGAATGGTTCCTGTTGCTGGGTGCTGCCCTTTGTGGGATTGGCGCATCACTTCTTTGGGCAAGCGAAGCTGCGATTGCAGTTGGATATCCAGAGGAGGAGAAAAGAGGACGGTAAGCTGATTATTCCCATCTCTCACAGCCTAAGCATGCGCTGACAGGATGATAGATATGTCGGAATCTGGATGGGCATTCGGCAGATGGGACCACTAGTTGGCGGAGCGATATCTCTTGCCCTCAACGTTGGCACTGCGGAAACAGGCAAGGTCACATACACCACATACCTGGGATTGGTAGCCATTTCGGCTCTGGGAGCCCCGTTTGCGCTGCTGCTTTCTCAGCCACAGGATGTTGTCAGAAGCAACGGAACCAAGATCCCTTACATGAAGAAAACCAGCTTTGCTATTGAGGCCCGCGCAATTTGGAAGCAGCTTTCCAACAAGTATATGCTGCTACTTATCCCTGTCTTTTTGGCAGGACAGTTTGGTTCAACCTACCAGGGAAACTACTTGACCAGTAAGTCTTTGACGGTTTATCCAGGCTGGTTTTGAATGGTGTTACTAACAAACGGCCTCAGCATACTTCACTGTCCGCTCAAGGGCACTTGCATCATTCCTGACTGCAGTTGTGGGCGCTGCAGCCAACATCATCACAGGTCTCATTCTGGATGTCAAATCTGTTTCTCGTGAGAACAGGTCCAAGGGTGTGTATATCTTCGTTCTCATCTTTGTTACGGCGGCGTGGACATGGAATGCCATTGTCGAAACCAAGCTTTCCCGCATGGCTGATCCACCAGCCTTCGACTTGGGCGATGGCCCCTTCTTCAACTCGGCCTTCACTGTCTACATGGTCTTCAAGTTCTTCTACGAGGTTCTGCAGACTTACATCTATTGGTTGATGGCGGAGATCAAGGGCGCACAGGCTGATGGCGACATTGCACGAACTACTGGCATTCTGAGGTCCTGGGAGTCAATTGGCAGTACCATTGCTTATGCTGTCGGTGCTACCCATTGGCCCAACTTGAATCAAATGATATTGGGCTTTGCGCTGTGGGGTTTCACGATTCCATTCACCATTCTGGCGGTCTTTGGTGATTGGAATCAACCGGCTGCAGTGGAGGAGGATCAAACAGACAGTAGTAGCTTGGAGGCACAGAGAGTGGTTGTCAATGCTGACGGGAAGGACTGATTCCGAGGTTGTTTGCGTTACTTGATGTTGATATGGTAGATCAGGCATGCAATCTGCCTCCCATCTGATGGATAATGGTCAGGATAAACAAAATCCAAAGCTTTATATCTTTAGGCTATTACGCAGTGTATCATACAAGAGCCCTGACTGGCCAGCCTTGGGAGCAATCAAAGTATTGAAAGAAAAGCCCATAGAGAACCAACTAGATACTGATTCAGGCCAAACGCCTCCCCGATATTTACTAGTGAACTACAGGGGAATGAGACATAAAGACATGAACTTCATATTACACAATAGCTGAAGTGGACGCAAGCATCGGAAGGAGACATGGTATAAGCTACACTGTTCGCAAACAGTGCAATCAAAATATCAAAGTAAAAGATTAAGCCTGCAAGCAGGCATTATTCCAGTGAGAAAGAAAAGAAGTTAAGCACTGGGAAGCACTTAGATAGCGAAAGCAACGAGGAGACCAGCGAAGACAGCGCCGAGGCTGAAGGTGTTGGAGGCAGCGCCGTTGAAGACGGGAGAGGAAGCCGCAGGGGAAGCAGAGGCGGTTCCGGAGGGAGCAACGGAGGAGACGCGGGCAGAGGAGGTCCAGGCCTTGGTGGTGACGGGAGAGACGCCGGTGGGGACAACCACGGGGATGGAGGTGGCGGAGGCAGTCTCAGTCTCGGGGCAGATGGTGGTGGTCACCTCGGAGCTGGGGATGATGGTGGACCAGGCGGGGGTGGAGACAGCGGAGGCAGTCTCGGACTCCGGGCAGAAGGTGGTGGTCTCGGTGGTCTCAGCAACAACGGTAGAGGGCTTGGCGGTGGCGGTAGGGCCAGCGGTCTCAGTCTCGGGGCAGATGGTGGTGCTCTCGGTGACCTCGATGGTGGAGGCGCCGGAGCCGGAGCTGGCGCCAGCGGCGGCACCGAGACCGAACTGGGTGGAGTACTGGTACTGACCAGTACCCTCGACAACGAGAAGGAGACCGTAGTGGGTGGTGTCGGGGGTCAGCTCAGAGCCAGGAGTCCACTTGAACTCGCCGGAGTTGGGGATACTCTCAGCGAGGGTCTTGAGAGGCTGGACGTTGGTGGAAGGGCCGCGGAGCAGGACCAGGGAGATGGGACCCTCGGTGGTGGGGGTCCACTTGATGGTGTACTGCTTGCCCTCGGGGACGATCTCGTTGAGACCGGGGGAGGTAATGGCATTGCCAGTGGGGTTCTGGCTGTAGTCAGGAGTGGTGTAGGCGGCAGCCAGGGCCACGAAGGCGGAGAAAGAGGTAGCGACGGAGAAACGCATGGTGTCTTTAAGAAAGAGTGACTGTGGGTAAGATTGAAAAAAAAGAGTGACTATCGTTGAAGAACGAAATGAGTTGATAAAAAGGAGCGGACTGGGAGAGAGAAGAAGGAAAGGTTATGAGGGGAGGCGAAAGCGCATTTCTACGATCCTCAGTGGGTCCCGCAAAGTGCCTCAAAAGCCAAGGCTGCGTACCTGCATGGACCAACCACATCACGTCACATCACTGGAAGCGAGTGGCTTTGGACGTCTGACACTAGTATTGTACATAGTATTGTAGTATATTACTGATACTGACAGATATTACAATTCCCTCCTTGACAGCATACATATGTTTACATGTTATACTATATCCTAACATCCATGAAGCCAAGGACCCTCGTGGGCGAAGGGGAAAACAAGCACGCAGAAAAACAAAAGAAAAAACAAAAAGCAACGGTGGGAACTCAAAAAACAACACATCGGTACGGCCGCTGATTGGTGCACAGCCCTTTAATCTTACATCGCCCCATGTATATGTAGAGAATGCTCCGGTAAATTACCACTAACCTGGGAGATTGGAAGGACTGGAAGGAATGTTAGTGGTGTCCTGTGCTCTTCTCTTTGATTTCCCTATGAAGTCGCAGACTCCAGTCTTCTGAGTAGCACATACGAATTCATCGTATGGAGTACTTCGTACAGAATCGCCGTTATCCTGTTTGTCGGGGTCCTCTTGGCACTCGCGGAAGCTACCCGCTCATTTCCACCGAGTCGAACAGTCTCATCTATTAATACATTCCTCATAGATCCATTGTGCATTATCATATTTCGAGAACCCCCTATTCACTGCTCCGTTCTCCGTACGGGGTATGTACTCTATTCAGCAATCTATTCGGCATATATCTTAAGATTGATCATCTTATTTGCGCCACTTCCAAGGTCGGGGTTAACAGAGAGCCACGATTTGTCGGTCAACTCGGTCCCTGTTACAAGTGTGATACGGTACTGTCACCACAAACTCAAAAATCAGCAGCCAAACAGGCCCTGCATGCAGGTACAGCCCCGGGGGCCAGCACATGGACGCGGGACGGGAATGATAAACCCAGGTAAATTTTGATGTGAGGTCAAATCTACCGTTGAGGGGGGCCGTTGCGACGATCCCACCCGTTCATCAACCTAACTTGATATTCAGGGGTCAATGTCAGATATTCCCAGGTTCGTACCTGAATATGAAGGAGTATGCCCCAATTTACACAAACTTAGTCTCAGGTGCCCAAAGGGACAAAGTAGGGGCTAGACGTACAAATCGTATACGCCGTACGAGTAACAAAAAATGTCTCACTTGCATCGAGATTATGTGCATACGACTTCGGAGCACAAGAGGGGCCGGCAGAAGTCGCCTCAAACTACTAGTCCGGAGTGGCTAATCACTAAGGCTGAGTCGACTTTTTACGAACTATATTTACATTCAGTACGGAGTAGTTCGACGCTGAAATCTTTGCAATTTTGCGCCTGGGATCTCGGAGTTGACTGGATCTAGTTAGCCAAGCAAATTCTTTCAGCCGCATAAGGTCCGAAGCGAGGCGGAGGCCCTCCGAGCAAAACAAGAGAGTATACTCCGTACCCTGTACCCTGTATCCCGTACGAAGCATATGCATTAGACCGGAGTCGCAACTCTAGTTTGGTTTAGAGCGGGTATCAGCGCCAATGGTAAGACTGCGAGAGTTTCCAAAAACCTCCGCCATTGGCGAAGCGACCCAAGCCAGATCAAGCCTCTCAACAAGCCCCCCGGTCAAAGACCGCCAAAGACCGGTCTAGGACGCACCCAAGGTTCGGCAAATCACACGGGGGCCAAATCATGCACGACCTAAGAGTGCTAGGTCTACTCTTGCCAAGTCACAGTCTTGGTCTGGAGGAACTCGTCGTATCCCGAGGTTCCTCCGAAACGACCAAATCCACTGCTCTTCCACCCACCATGGGGCAAGACCGGCTCATCGTGAACCGTCATTGCGTTAATGTGCACGGCGCTAGGAAACTCAGTCAGCTGGCATACTTTGAACTTGCGATGGGAGAAACTCACCCCGAGTCAATCTGCTTCGCCACCCGCAACCCACGGAATAGGTTGCTAGTGAACACCGATGCGGTCAGTCCGTATTCCGTGTCATTGGCCAGTGCGATCGCCTCGTCTTCCGTGTCAACCGTAATGAGGGACACGGTCGGACCAAACGACTCGGTCGCATACAGGTCCATCTCCTTGGTCACATTTTCGACAATCACGGGTCGCATGCCCGTGTCAATGGATTCGTTTGCGTTCGCATCGCCAAACAAAACATCGGCGCCGCGCGAGACCGCGTCGCCAACCAACTTCTTATTCTTGGCAACGGCTGCAGCGTTGACCAGCACCAGCGCGGGCGCGTCCTTGCCGAAAAGCTTCTCTGCTGTCTCGGCAAGCTTCTGTCGGAAGGCGTCTGCAATTCCGCGCTGCACAACAATTCGCTCGGTCGACATGCAGATTTGTCCGGACTGATAGAAGGTCAGTATTGGTCCCAATGTGGTACGAGGGTACACTGCTCTGTGAGATACATACGTGCATGAATGATCCAATGGCGCAATTCATGGCAGCCTTGTCCAGGTCCGCATCGTCCAGAACAACCGCCGACGCCTTACCGCCCAACTCCAGCAGCACAGGCTTGATATATTTACCCGCCGTAGAAGCAATGATCGAGCCGACCATGGTGCTCCCGGTGAAGTTGACCTTGCGCACGGACGGGTGAGCAATGAGCGCATTGGTCACCGCCGGAGCGTCAGCGGTCTGGTTGAAAATGACATTCAAACATCCGGCAGGAAGACCAGCCTGACGGAAGATATCACCAAGGACCCAGAAGCACTTGGGGGAGAGCTCTGAGCCCTTGAAGACAACGGTGTTACCGGCGGCAAGGGGCAATGCCACGGCGCGGACACCGAGGATATAAGGCGCGTTCCTGGCAAAGTGCCGAGTCAGCTGACCTGCAGCAGATAGATCCGATATGCAAACTCACCATGGTGCAATGGACAAAATGACACCGTAAGGCTCTTTGTATACGATAGCGCCCTCGCCCTCGCGGTTGATGTTGGGGACCACGCCTTCGATGGTAGGGATTCGGCCCGCGAAATCCTTAATAAAGTTGACACCCATGTTGAATGTATGCTCGGTGAAGGGACGTCCGGCGCCGGTCTCTTCGCGCTGGTACTGGATCAGCTCCTCCTTCCGGGAGGACATGATGTCGGCGGCCTTGAGGAGGAGGTCGCGGCGCTCGTAGGGTTTCGTCTTGCTCCATGCTGGGAATGCGGCCTGCGCATTGTCTACGGCGCGCTTGGCGTCTTCGACAGATGCGCCTGCACAGTAGCTGCCCAGCTCACCGGTGGCAGGGTGGTGGACCTCGAACTTGATATCGGTCTCAACGGACTCATTGTTGATGATGAGGGGGGTTGTGGACACCATTGTGTAAGCGACGAAGAGTTAACTGAAAGGAAAAAGTAATTCCAATGGAGGGGCTTTGTTATTTCAATGGGAGCTGGGACTGCCCTTGACCAAATCCAGAGGGGCGGACAGTTGTGGGGGGCAGGTTCAAAGAGCGGTCATGGCTCGTAGATCGTGACTTATCTCCGGCCCTTTACCAAGGTTCTCTTCCCCTTGCTTCCCCTTCGTCCAACGGACTCTCATGGCAACGCTCAGTATTCCGTATCTCCGGCCTGTTCTGTTTGTTTCTCGGATATAACTCCATCAACTGCCATGTTCTCAAGCCATGTGGGGAATCGACTCTACCGGCATCCTTAGCACGCGGGATGACAGCCCGGAGATATTCCGCAATCCCGGTCTCGGCAATCCCAGCTCACTGGCTTTACTTGACTTTACTCCGGTGCAAGTGGGCACAAAGTGAAGATCCTTTCTGAATGAAACTCGATTATTGAACACCATCTATGCTGGTCCGAAGAGGTATTCCCATAAGCCCGCAAATCCCAAGCGCCTTCAAATGCAAAGATGTACCCCCTAGTTTGCCCAAATCTTGGTCTCCGTGGAATTTTGCTTGCCCATCTCCGCGAATGGACAGCCAGATGGTTTGGCCTCGCCCCTTGGCGGTATCGATGATGGTGCCGCGCTATGCGTGGAGGGTGCCACACCACTTGAGATGCTGGATCGGTCATCGTCATTGGAGCTGCCGGAGGTGCTGCCGAGGATCTTCTTATCGCCAATGTACCCCTCCTGATCTTCGAAGCTCATGAACGACATGTCATCCCAGAACTCATCACCGTCACTGCAGTGATACCGGGCGAACAGATCATTCTGGATCCAGAGGATTTTATTCACGGCGCGCACGAGCGCAATCTTTCGACGCAGCGATAAATGCGGGTGCGACATCATCGCTTCGATCCAAATGTCCTGGATGTAACCCATGCAGGCGCCAAGATGAATGTACTCGATATTGAGGGGAGATCTACGCACTTGGCCGCTGTGCATCATGCTGTGCAACCGTTAGCGTTGTACCACGATGAAAAGGAAGCCTGAACCTACCCAACCTTGTTCAGGTAGCGCCAAAAGTCCATTGTTGTGGGATCCTGGCACAGTCGAGTCAGGTACCAGCGCAAGAACATCTTGCGACGCTGGATCTGGGGTGTCTCTTCGTGGAGGTAGTCTGCCTCGGGCTCGGTCTCATCGGCTGTGTTACGTGTGTGGAAGGCGCGTGATGTGATATCACATTCGAGGAGCTTCTTGTACACCAGATTGACCACTGCCGGGATCAGTTGCTTGATGTACTTGTGACCGTTCATCAGCGCTTCGACATCGGCTGTGAAACGTTAGATCCTGGTTCCGAGAGATGAGGCGTCATGGAACTCACCAGCTCCGAAGTCAAGCATGTGGTGCAAGTACTTGATTCGCTCTTCCAGGTTGACATATAGCAGCTTGCGGTCGACATGCTTAGGCTCGGGGGGCATGCGGTAGTCCATGGTGCGGATGGAAAGGTATGATGCGGCTTGATAAATACTTGAAGTCAAGCGTACGAACACCTGGGGTATCTAGTTGAGATTGATGCAAGATGCAGGAGATCCAGGGATCGTGAGAAGAAAGAACATAAAACTGGGCCGCCTCGTGGCAAACTCGTGGCAGATCGAGTATTTATACACTCGATGCACGATCCCTCCCTGCTCACCGTTCTTCCACACAAAACAAGTGCAAGCCATGAAACCGCAGCCACCAGCCTATCGGGGATCCGCTCTTTGCCCTGGCAGTAGACAGCCAGTGGGACTTTTTCCCAGAAAAGCGATCGCATCCGGCTTAGGTCAGTGCATGCACGAACCAAGGCCGGGATTATTCCTGAGATATCATTTTCGCCAATATCTTGACTATATATGGTCGAATCAGAACGCAATACTCTACGGGCGGAGTCCGTAGCCGCGGTGGAGCCATATATTGATGTACAGAGGCATGTGTGGGCTGATCCCTGTAATCTCCTCCACCAGGTTACGAAAGTTGCGAGAAACACCAAAAGCCACAGGATCCATGACGCCGAGCCTGTCACGCTCGGCAACGTGAAACAAGCGACCTAGAGGCGCGGACATAGGCCGGAACTCGTCTCTGACAGGCTGAGGTGTATGCCATCAGACCTCTCCATTCATCTACTGTTTCAATATAGACTTTAGAGGCATGTCTCCTCCCGGACGCCCTTAGTCTCACACCCCAGACTTTCGAATCCGTCACTCGGACAGGTCAGACCATAACCCGTCAGCTGTCACTATATGTGGACCGCCAGCGGTGCAAATTAGATTGCATTAATGCCTGGCCTTTGGATTTGGATTTCGCTCTCGCTCACTGGCCGTACTGGTGTTCGAATCTCCGCTGCGGTCCCAACGGTTTCACTCGAGTTCCGAGATGAAGTGGATTCCGTTCGGGTCCGAAGCGGCTGCGGGTCCAGCTGTTGGTTTTTGAGTTAAGTTGGATTAATACCCCTACTCACGGATATGCATGACACCCGTTGACTATTCAGTGCTTAATTCTGAAGAAACGAAAATTCTGCTTTTGAAGTCACGCTTGCCGTAGTACTATTCCCTCCGGTGGTTGCGCATCCCAAAATTTCTCGAGTGGGTAATTTCTTCTCATCTCGATATTCCTCGCTTGGAGTAATCCTCCGATCAAACTGGTGGTGCAGTGGGTCTGAATGAGGAAGAAAAAAGTGCTTACTGGTAAGAGGACTCTGCATGTGGGTGATTCATCGGGGCCAAGGGGCAATAGCGTGGAAAAATCAGGAAACACTTGCATAAGAAGACACGCTAGAACATCGGGAAGTGGTCTATACGGATGACTAGCACTCGTATTCCGTACTCCGTGTCATCCACCCATAAGGATCGGATCGATCAAAGGAAACTCCTATCCGTATCCAATCGTGTGATGGCGTGGCCTGATGCCCTGATTAGGAAAACGTGCCCACTGCTGTGGAGATGGCATGATCAAATTGAACAATTCCGATTTCAAGCGTTAGGCAGATACTCTCTCTCAATAAAGGGGGTCAAAGAGGCGAACAATCCCATTATAGTTTTTTTTTCCTTCCCCCGGATAGCAGACCAAGGTGACAGATCAGAATTAACTCGTGTTTCGGCTGCCAACTTCGGGTGCGGCTTGATTTCTCAAACAGCCGCGTTAGACGATCACTACCGCCTTCGTGAATTTTCCGCATCCGAAGGCCTAGATTAGGGGTCCGACGACTATTTTAAAAGTCTTCAGGAATTCGGTGTCAGAGATCCTCATCAAACCTGCCGCCTTTGCGGAGTCGATGCCAACGACAGCGTTGGTTCCGTGGATACGTCATGCCAAGCTCATCTAATTGAGTTTCTGGGGACATTTGACAGCGGCTCGACAGCCTCTGTCAACGAGTGAGAGCCCTTACCACTGTGATGGGCGGTGGCAATAGAACAAAAATATGACCTGTGTCGCGGGGAGAATCTATAGTTTCCAAGGTTGGATCCAATATATTTAGGTTATCGGCCTCGATGACAGGTCAAGTGGTGGACCTGTCGGTGAGTTTGATATCGAAATGAAACAATATAAAATTATCTACGGGGTGCCAAAGGACTTGTCAAACTCATCCTGTGGCTGGCCGGCATTCTCCTTCCAAGGTTCCGGTACCTAGGCATGCACCCCTAAAGGCCTTCCTTGGTTGAGTTGCTGCCCCGTGCGGCGGCAGCGTCGTAAAGTGCCTGAATGTCCGCCTTCCACTGCTTCTCGTCTACTCTCGAGACCCGTCGGTCATAGGTGATCAACCCATTGACCTCGCCCTCGACATCGGTAGTCTGAGTCCAGACCCCTCCACTGCATGCAAACAGGCGGATCTGATCTTCCAGCTCACCGAGAAGAAGGTGACTGCGGTAATTCCATGCTTCAATGGTGGTGTCAATCTCGTAGGTCTGATTGATAGTGTCGATAGCCGCTTGGTTGTTCCAGAGACTGTGTATAGAACTTAGCAAAGTACTCCGTACTAGTGCAAAGAGTTCTGGACTTACTGCTCAATAGAGACGTTGTTTCCGATGCCGCCAAATTCGCCTTGGAAGCCAATTCGGCTAGAATCGTAGGGACTCGACGCGGTGGAGTAGAATGGTGTGCCACACTGGGGATTGGCGTAATGGTGGTTGTCCTGTAACATCCTAGTCAGCCACATGGCGGGCCCTATCGACTGCATGCAATGAACGTACACTAAAGTCTCCGGCACCGTGGTCGACCCAACCGGTGGTAGAGTCCACAAGCCGAGTGGGGTCAAGCTGTCTCACTCGATCGGTCAGTTCGAACTCGGGGTATGTGTCAGTGATCTGGCCCCAGCCCTCGTTGTAAATGACCTGCAAGATGTTTCAGTGTTTCATCCTCCTCCTTAATCTCGGACCAACATACCCAAATTGCGATACTGGGGTAGCTCTTGAATTGATTGACCAGCACATCCAATTGTCGAGCGAACTCAGCTTGCTGCGCGGCATCTGGAAGGACTGACTGCAGTGGACGCAGCGAAGGCATATCTTGGATAACAAGAAGGCCAATTTCATCACATGCTCGGTAGAACAGATCGGTTTCGACTTTGATCTATTCATCAGGTGAGCATATGTTGCACGCACGAAGATCTTGGATTTGAATACTCACATGCTTGCGAACCATGTTGAATCCCAGGTCTTTCAACATCTTGAGATCATAAACCATTGCCTCGTGGTTCGGCGGCGTATACAATCCATCGGGCCAGTACCCCTGGTCCAATGTGCCAAACATGAAGATGAATTCGCCATTGAGCAGTGGTCGCTCAACTCCGTCGATAACACCCCTAGAAACAGTGCGGAAGCCAATGTAACTTTCCACTTCATCTTTCTCCAGACTGACAGTGACGTTATAAAGATTAGGCGAATCGGGAGACCAAAGTTTTGGCGAGGAAACCGTGAATTGGAATGGCTTGTTGGTAGGCCCATTGTGAGTTGCAACAGTCTTGCCGTCTTTGTGGACCGTGACCTTGGCTTCTGCAGATGTCCCATTTGCAGAGCTGTGTACAGTGATGTTGACTATTTATCGTTAGGATATTCCAGACACCTTTCATTCCACCAGGACTAACCTTGGCCATCCATGTTTGCATCAAGGTCTAGCTGAGTGATGTAATTTGTCGGTGCAGCCTCAAGCCAGACGCTTTGCCAGATACCGCTACACGGCGTGTAAAATATATGGCTGGGGCGTAGGGTTTGTTTTCCAATTGGGATAACATAGTCACCATCATCAGTGGGATCGTGGACAAAGACTAGCCTGTGGCTTTCGTTAGCATCTCATGTCATCCTCGTATGCCCTGGTGTCGGATTACGCACAGTTCATTCTGCTGATCAAATTCCAGGTATTCTGTGACATCCAGAGCGAATCTGTAATATCCACCGCGGTGGAACCCGGCCTTTTTACCATTCACAAAAATTGTGGCTTCATAGTCCACAGCTCCGAAGTTGAGCAGAACCTTCTCATCCTTCCACTCGGAGGAAACTTCAAAAGATGTTGAGAACCATGAGTAGAGACCCCAGTCGGTTTGAATACCTGTCAGATGAATTAGCTTTCCATGATTGATAGACATTATAGGACAATGCAGACTCACCAGATAGGCCACTTTCGATGCACGAGGGAATCAGGACTTCCTGTGCAAGGTCTTTTCCGAATGGTGGAGAATCAACAGCATTCAGATCAGAGGCATTCTGATACTTCCATATACCGTTCAGATTTTTCCAATCAGACCGCTGCAGCAACGGCCGTGGGTATTCCGGCCAAGGTTTGGTCCCGACTTTATCGGTCCAAGGGGTTGTCAAGGGCGGCTCTTTGAGTGCGTACTTCTCACTTCGAGCCATATTTTGATGACTCTTGACGCCTTCATTGCTAGGAAGTGCTAAACCAGTGATGGCCAGCAGTGAAACCACAAAACCCCGAGCCAAAAACATATTGGCTGAATGTCCTCTGATTTTCAGAGTAAACAATGACAGTACTGGCCCCTCGGAACAAAGGGAGTCACATTAGTGATTTCGATGGGCCCATCCCTGAATTTAAATCTATTGGGCCAGCCTGTGCACGCAAAATAGGCAGTATTTTCCCCTGCAGGCAGAGCAGAAGCAAAAATTAGAAAATGATCCGACACTCAGGCCCCTTTGTCTTAACCTAACGGCACCTTTCAAGGTATGAGCCTGGGCACTTGGCAGAGCCATCTCCACAAAGACTGGATCACCCCGCATGGAGCACGCAGGATGCCCAGAAAATATCGATCTAAGACCGCGAGGGTGTCGGCCATGGCCTGCTGCCCGATCACAGGGACAATGGGCCACGGCTTGGCATTGTTGGCAATGGAATCACCGCCAAGAGCCGACAAACAGCAATGATGTCGACCTACATATAATCAAAACAAAACAGCCCTAGCATATCGTGACTATTGTCGTGCATGATTTTTTTCTCCGATCGCCTTTTGCTATGTCTACCCAGAGACACGCCGGAACTATAGCAAAATTGCCGACGCCAGAATGTGCATCGGCAATATCAAATTTAACTCCGAATTCCCGTCCACGGGTTCGAGACTGGCAAATCACGGCGGCTCAAAGATCGTCCTTCGACGGACTATCCTGATTCAGCGAATCGAGCTCAAACCCCGAATCAGGCATTCACTCACGCGATGGTATGCTCGGCCTGAGCCGACTATGTAGTGTATACTCGCATGTGCATAACACTGCGGAAAATCACCAGCGATCGCAATATTCCCACTCGCAAACGATGCCCAGGTCTATATATTTTGCAGGCCCAAGGTACATTGTGCAGCGAAAATATTGCAAGGCCGCTGTTGTCTCACCCACGAGTGTTGAAAGATGCAGCCCAGCTGCATGGGGGAGCCAACCTTGGCAATGAAGTCACCTTGACCAGGGATCAATCCTGCATTGTTGGCTTACCCCAGCAAGGGTTGCGTTTCGCGGTCCAATCCCTTGCTTTTCCCTGGGCGATGGGGTCTTTGTGCCGACCAAATTTCAAGAAACGGTATGTGTGTAGAAAGTTTGTTTAAAACATCTCAATAAGGGACTCAAGTCGCAAGATCCCGCCATATGCGCTGGCGTGGTATATTGATGTTGTATCGAAGGCCGAAAATAAGAGTACAAGAGCCCGCCCTTCCCCTCAGAGGCTGACTTGGCGCGATGATCGCTCATTGGTGATTGGTGGGTGGTTTGTGGGCTGTTGTCTCCGGTTTCGCCTGGGGTGATGACCGGCCGATTGCACTTAACAGTCTTGGGGGCTCTCCAGGGCTGCAGCCCGCCGTCCCCCGCGCGGGGCTCATGCTGGACGGTGTCAACTTTTTGATGGATGCTGAGTCCAAGCCCGGGCTCAGCGCTAGAAAAGCTTTTCAGAAAGGGGTGAGTCCCGAGTCAAGAAAAACAACTTGGAAGAGGTGTTGAATGGAGTGGGCTTGGGTTGCTTGGGTTGCTTGGTCTCCTTGTCTCCGGCAACATCCCGGGTGACTGCATCAAACTTTGGAGCATGTGCCCACCCGCTCAGCCACCCGGGCAGATACCTAGGTATTGGGGGTTTGGCCTCCAATCCAGCCCTGGGCTTTATGTACAAGAAACCTGAGGCTGTAAACTCCACAGGTACGACTAGTAGTGCTCATATTATCTGAATAGAACAGAGCATGTTGAAGGGCAGCGAGTCTCTCAATTTTTCGATGGGCTGCATATCTCGCTTTGTGATTAATTAGCATTATATTCCATTCCGACTCAGGACCCGCGGGTTTTGACCTTCGGACCCAGGCTGTGTGTGGAAATATATATGTGCACCCGTGACGTTCGCCAACCATTTTTCAGTTGGAATGTACTAGGTATCCCAAGCTTCCAAGTCCCCAGGGTTCTCTGCCACTCCCCAGTCATAGAGGGTTGAATCTTGGAAGTAATCCACAGGTGCCTTTTTCCAGGTTCTTCTACCTTCTTTCTATCTTTCCTCCTTCTTCTTGGCAGCAAAGTTCGATGTCCATCGAAAAGTACTTCAAAGCTAACTGCCGGCATGACTCGAGAAAGTAACTCAAATATGCTCTGAGGTCCACCGGGGCACGGGTTGGCTTATCGCCCACGTGGATACCCGTGGACGGATGCAAAGACATCACCTGGGCAAACATTGCTTCTGAATTGCAAGCTATGTGCTCCCTAGGCCTGATTTTGGGAGGCTTGGTTGCTGGATTTTGGCTACTGGGCTGGATCATATATTCTTTGCGGGGACATCTAAGGATGGTTGTTAGAAACATAGTGGCCCCTGTACATCATGGATATTTACTCCCAAGACTCCAACCTTGGAAGACTCGGGACTACTTATTGCCTTGGTATTTGAAAGCAGTTAGTGAAAGAGAGCGGGCTCCACCCCAGAAGCTTTAGTGGGAAAAACCCCAAGGTTGTTCCGAAGGTTGGTACGGTCCTCGATCATTCTCTTAGACCGAACGCCCCCATTTCCGTCCAGATCTTAGCCCAGCGAGTGAAGCAGTCCTTCGTGGGAAGACCTTTTGCTGCGTAATACACTTGGAGGTCGTAAAGGCGCAGGTTATTAGCCGGCCGATGGGATCCAACGGTCGTTGACGATCTCTGGGTGGGTAGATAACTCGGTGTCCGATGTGCGTGGAGCTCGGAGGAGCTTCTCGACGGCCCTGGCGTGTATGACCAGTCGGTTTTGCTGTGAAGTCTCACCCGTCTGTGCTCCCAGGCAAACGGGCGCCGTTTTGCTTTGGAGTCACCATCCAAAGGGGCGATCCAGGCGCTTCTGTAGGATGAAGTAGCTCTCTTGTTCCCTATGAATGGAACACGCTCTTCATCAATTCTTTCGAATAACCGTTCCAACAGGTTGTTCAGTTCTTCCGCGAACGTCTCCTTCTCATCCGTTCAGCGCCGCTTGGTCCACTCATCTGGTTCTTTCTTCTTCGTCATGTCATCATCAAGTATCAAATGGACATGATGTAAAGGTATGAAGCAGAGTTGATCTGCAGATGAAGGAGGTTGTAGGAAGAAATATGCACATGACATCACAAAGGCCAGACCAAGAGCATTGTAAGAAGAAAGATCAAATCTCCGGGTTCCAATAGTTGTTCCTAGTTTTTGATGAACTCGGTTAGAAGTCTTTGTACCTCATGGATAAATGCATTCATGGATGCCGTTAAGTTTGACGCAGAATGGCAATGATTGTGTTTCAGAGATTCCGATAACAAGATTGACCTCAATTGGCCCAAGAAGAGAAAAGATACGAGCCAGAAAATATGAAATAGATGCCCGTGTCTACTATCGGCTGTGTTAACATTTGTACCCGGTCCAAGTTGACTCACGTGGCTGTCTGGGATTTGTTCTTCGGCCTCGGATGATTGTATGATTTCGCGCGGAAGGTTATGGAACGGGATTATGGGCGTGGTGATGTTTCAAGTTGTTCATGCTGTTTGGTTGGGGTTGGGTCGGGATTTGAGTCGATTCCGAAAGGTGTATAAGCTCGGGATTCGCAATGCGGAGTAAAAGTTGAAGACCGGAGACACCACTTCAAGCGCATCGCATGGCGTGATCTAAAAATTAAGCAAACCCCACCAGACCCCGCAACTAGATTATTCAGTCCATATCTGGCATGGCCTTGCAAATCATTCGCCCGGGATCCAAGAGATCACCCGTGGCCTGACACTCCAAAGCAGATCCCGGCCTCAAGCTCTAACGGCGGCCGTTGACTCTTCAGCCCTGATAGCTGATTACGAGGGGATTTTGAATAGAGACCCCGAATCCGAGCCCATCCGAGTCTCATGGCGCTTTGAGCAAGTTATCTCGGGATCTGGGACACGGATGAGTGACACAGTCAACCTCACCTCTGGGGGCATCGTGAAAGCTATAAGTATGCCCTAATTCCTGGCTTGTGATACGAATCATCACTCTACATCTTCATTCCAAATCACCAACAAAGGCATTCAACAAGCCCAAGAATCTCTCAAAATGGTTCAAGTTCTCAAGAAGTACAAGGCCGCTGCTGTCAACGCCGAGCCCGGCTGGTTTGACTTGCAGGAGTCTGTTCGTCGCACCATTCATTGGATTGACGAGGCTGGAAAGAATGGATGCAAGCTCATTGCTTTCCCTGAGCTCTGTGGGTTTCTTCTCCTCGATGCATCTAGCAATACGTACTAACAGGGTTGGTCAGGGATTCCCGGATACCCATACTGGATGTGGAAGGTCACCTATCAGGAGAGCCTGCCTCTTCTGAAGAAGTACCGCGAGAACTCTCTCGCCTCCAACTCCGAGGAGATGCGCCGCATCCGCGAGGCAGCTCGCGCCAACAAGATCTGGGTCTCCCTCGGATACTCCGAGCTCGATCTTTCCAGCCTGTACACCACTCAGGTTATGATCACCCCAACCGGCGATGTCATCAACCACCGCCGCAAGATCCGCGCCACTCACGTCGAGCGTCTGGTCTTCGGTGATGGCACCGGCGATACAACCGAGTCTGTGATGGAGACCGAGATTGGTCGTATTGGCCACCTCAACTGCTGGGAAAACATGAACCCCTTCCTCAAGTCGTACGCCGCCTCCCTCGGCGAGCAAGTCCACGTTGCCGCGTGGCCTCTGTACCCTGGCGAGGAGACCCTCAAGTACCCCGATCCCCGCACCAACATTGCTGAGGCCAACGCCGATGTAAGAATCCCTCCCGGCAAATTGGAGATTTGATCTGATCACTGACAAGACCGCTATTCAGCTTGTGACGCCTGCTTACGCCGTCGAGACTGGCACTTTCACCCTTGCACCATGGCAGACTATCACCGCCGAAGGTATCAAGCTCAACACTCCCCCCGGAAAGGAGCTCGAGGACCCCAACATCTACAACGGAAATGGCCGCATCTTCGGCCCCGATGGACAGAACTTGGTTCCTCACCCATCCAAGGATTTCCAGGGTCTTCTCTACGTCGATGTAAGTCTTGACCTTCCTTTCTGATCTTGAGAATTAATCCATCCGTGATACTGACAAAACCTTTCAAGATTGACCTCGACGAGATCCACCTCAGCAAGGCTCTGGCCGACTTCGGTGGCCATTACATGCGCCCCGACTTGATCCGCCTTCTCGTCGACACCAACCGCAAGGATTTGGTTGTCCACGAAGACCGCATCAATGGCGGAGTTGTCTACACCAAGACTGCTGATCGTGTAGGACTCTCTACCCCTCTGGATGCCGCCGCTCCTGAGACTCCCGCCGAAAGCGACTAAGGGCTTCACGGGTCTCCTAAGTCCCACTTTGGCATGTACAATAGCTGCTATGTAGCAAATCTCAACTTTATCGCGCAATATTCAACCCCGTCTGTTCTAATATCTACTCGAGAATACCGAAATTCAGTTGGTATATTAGTGACGTCATTGGAACACAATCGTGGAAGGGCATATAGGGCCCGCATGCAAAACAGGACTTCACTCTAATTGAATGGCTTTCAAGAACAAGTTAACATAGGGCTAAGTCGGGAGGAGACCTGGGACATCCAGGGGAGAGATAGAAAGTGCCCTTGATGGGTGGAAAATGGCATCCCTTGTTGGAAGTGAACACCGGGTGCGTGAAACGATCACTCTTTGATACGACTGGAAGTATATGTTATGAGATTCGCGCACTATTGGATCTGTACCTAGGTAAACTCAACCATTTCCTGTTTGGATTACCTAGACAGAAAATCCTACTCACAATTTAGTGACCAGATTGATGGAGTTATAATTTTAGACCCAAGGTTGAGGGCCGAGACCCGTGAAACGTGAAGGCATGCATTCCGATCTCCCGAAATATTTTCACATTCCAGGTCATTGTTTTGTCTTATAGTAAGGCTTACGAGTCAAATGTTGCATATTCCCAGTCCAAGCCCTCTAGGCCAACAGCAAACTGTGCCTAGACCCTCTTCGACCTGGCCCATCAAGGTAGTCTCAAATGTGGAAGTGTTGTGGATTTTGAGCTCCAAGCCTGACATATGAGAGTCGGCGAGGGACAGTGTAACTGTGACCCTGGTGGATAATTAGCATGCGCCACCACAGTCGAGGCACCTGTCAGAAGTGCCGGGTTGGACAAAGCGCTTGTTGTCGGGAACGGAAGGAGCCCCATGGGCCTCAAAATCCACGAAGTGGGTTCGTAAACGGGTCCTGGACTCGTACACCTATGAAGGAACTGGAATTTGACGCCTGAGACCACGTATACAAATCCTGGGCGACTTTATTGTTGGAACGGGGTTTTATTCTGAATACGCCCTGCTTACAGCACATTACACTCTACCTTCTGCATCAGCTTCGTGCGAAACTATCAAGATGCCACGGAAGTTATATCGATACCCCAGCTTATATTCCCTACGAGGTATAAAGACTGCAGTTTCCTGCCAAGGGATGGCATTCCGAAAAAGGAATCGGCCACGTGCCGATCAGGAATGTGACTGCAAACAGTATGCGAAATAGCGATTAGAATTCTGTGAGTACGTGGTCAAGGGAATATGTGGCTCCAAGAGTTGTGCTATGTGATCTGATCCAAGGTCTCAAAAAGTTATCAGTGCCAAGTACTGCCAAAGGTGCCCACTTTTTCTCAGTCGAGTTAGGAATACCTTGGTTCGGGTTAAAATAGGGTTGAGAAGACAGTTTGGGCGTCCAGAGTTTCCAAAGACTTTAATCGGACCAGCCTTTGGTCGCAGCTTCCTGGAGAACAGAGTGACGACATCACAGTCAAACTCCGTCGTGACCGCAGAGTTGTCTTTCTCTCTCTTTTTCTCTCTCTCCTCGGTATCCTATTGTCTTGTTCTGGACGTCCCGTTTGTCCCGACCCACTGCCCGGAGTCAGTTTGACAGTTTCTCTCTCTTTTAAGAAGATCATTTGCCAGCTCTGCCCCCGGGCCTCTGCAGACCAGAAACCACACCGTTTTCAGTCACTTAGATTTCCTCCGTGTGGCTAACGAGCTCACACCGGCCGCGACAAGGAAGATCGGCGTTTAAGGTATGTGGAGATAGCTTCGAATCGCATGGGGATCTCCACGGCTACACAAGTAACCTCGCGTTTGCCTGCATCCGGACACTCGAATTCACATTCATCCACTAGAGTATACTTATAGCAGCTGATCTCCATATCAGTCGGTTCATCATTCCTCATTCCTCAATCCCAGCCTCCTCAAATTCGACATTTGACACCGGGTTGGATTTTCAATATGCCTTCTATGTCCAAATTCGCACGGCAGTCCGTGCTTGGTCTGTCCATGCTGGCAGCCTTGGTGCAAGCCAAACCGTGAGTGGCGCATGACCATCAAACGCTGGTCTCCCCCATTTCTGCATTGCAAATAATACTGACTCCCCAAAAGTAGCTTTGACTACGGCGCCAACAAGGTCCGTGGTGTCAACCTCGGAGGGTGGCTAGTGTTGGAGCCTTGGATCACTCCCTCTGTCTTTGATGCAGCTGGTAATGCAGCTGTGGACGAGTGGTCTCTTTGTCAGACCCTGGGACAGGACAAATGCCGTACAGTTCTAGCAGACCACTGGGAGAAGTTTATCACTGCCGACGATTTCAAGCAGATTGCTGGTGCTGGAATGAACCATGTTAGAATCCCAGTTGGATACTGGGCCATCGAGCACCTTTCAGGTGATCAATATGTTGACGGCCAACTGGAATACCTGGACAAGGCCATCGGCTGGGCCCGTTCCTCCGGTCTGAAAGTCATTCTTGATCTGCATGGCGGTACGTTCTTTGAATCTCCTGTCCACTCACCATGCTGATCAAATAATAGCTCCCGGCTCCCAAAACGGCTTTGATAACAGTGGAAAGCGCGGTGCAATCAATTGGCAGAAAGGAAACACCGTCGACGACACAAAGTCTGCTCTGAAGGCCCTTGCAGCCCGCTACGGCGGAGACAGAGATGTTGTGACTGCTATCGAGGCTTTGAATGAGCCCAACATCCCAGGAGGAGTCAATCAGGATGGTCTCAAACAATATTACTATGATGCATGGGGTGTCATTCGCGAGGCTAGCCAAGATACCACACTTGTCATGCACGATGGTTTCATGCCCACCGAATCATGGAACGGATTTATGGGCGCGTCATCTGGTGTATTCTACGTGATGATGGACACCCACCACTACGAGGTCTTCGACAGTGGTGTGCTCGCCCAAGATACCAAGGCCCACGTCAAGAACGTCTGCGATTTCTCCAAGCAACACATCCAGACTGGTGATAAGTGGGCTGTTGTCGGTGAGTGGACTGGTGCCATGACCGACTGTGCCAAGTATCTCAACGGAAAGGGTCTTGGTGCTCGCTACGATGGCACCTTCCCCAACACCTCAAAGATTGGTAGCTGTGCCGGAAAGTCTACCGGCACTGTGGCTGCACTGCCCCAGGCCGACCGAGACAATCTGCGTCGTTTCATTGAGGCACAACTCGATGCCTATGAGAAGGGTACCGGCTGGCTCTACTGGACATGGAAGACCGAGGGTGCTCCCGAGTGGGACATGCAGCAGCAGATTGCTGGCGGTGTCTTCCCCAACCCTGTCACTGACCGAAAATACCCTGGCCAATGTTAATTTAAGCCTTCCTTGTATGTAGCCTGTCGCTCGTTCTTTTTCCTTTTCGCGGATCTGCTCCATGGCATGATCCTGTCTCGGGCCAAAATTCTTTGCAAATTGGTTGCTGAGAAATGGAGGGTGGTAGCAAGTCGCTTTCACTCGGCGTTATGGAGTATACTTTCCCCCGGCTCAGCTGATTGGGTTGATTGACCATTCAATTCATATCATTATAATACTTGCTGAAATCTTTTCAAATAAGCCTCAATCCAGTGCTTTTGTGGGTATCTGGTGACACGAGGGAGCTCAGCGGAAGGAGAAGAAGCTCTACGTCTTCATACTAGGTTTTAAGATCAGCTAGAATCATTGCAGAGGCTCGAAAACAACTCTGATGAAGCTCACGAGACAAAAGAACAACTATTATGTAGAGCTTGTGAGGGGCACAGGTAGGTAGGTACCTAGGCCCCCGGGGGTTGTGACAGATCACATGGTCTGTTTCGTTTGCGCCCAAAGCCCTGGAGGCATTTTGTCTGCTTCCTACTACTCCGTACTCGGAGTACGGAGTATGTGCTTCTTGATGATAAGTACGGAGTACGGTGTAGGAGCCAGGCAAACATAGTCGGCAAGGAAGAATGGCCGAGTTTTTGAAAGGAAGAGCTTCCCCTACTTCGTAGCGGTGTTTTCTTGCTTGTGTCCTTACTCCCAGTACTTGAGATCTACCGCAGTGTTTCCAAGGTTATCTTCGCAGTCCGGACATGCGAAATTACCACTCTCTTGCAACCGGCATAGAATTTTCCTTCTCTTCAGGTGATTTTGTTTAAAGTGTCAACCCATTCCATTGGGTTTCGCTCGGAGAGCAACGTCTTGCCTATTGCATTGTGGCACCTGAAGAATCCGAATAAAGTTCTTCAAGTGAGGCGCAGCTCAAGCCATTTGAGAGCGTCTGGTATGACTCTGCCCTTACACTTTCTTCAGCTCGGATATTGCGCGAGTCTACGGAGTATTTCGTTGACTATCAATGAACTTACCTGGAGCTATTGAGACAGGGCTTGAATCACCTTGCAGATCAGCCCCACGCAATGTCCAATCAGGTCAAACTACCCGAGTCCATCGCATCCACTATGGAATCTGACCTGTCACTCAGTTTGCTGTCAAGATTGGCTCGAAGATCACCAACTATCGGCATCGTGCAGGCAGCCTGACAGACTCAGAGCAAAATTCAGGCCTGGCGATCAAATATGCGAATCAGGTTGGGTTGCACTAATTTCGCTTAAACCATCCTCTTGCAGGCTGCATACCTGCGTGGGCTCACCGAGTCCAAGTTGCACAATGCCAATCCTCTGAACCCTAGCACCGCAAGGATGGCTCTTCGGACGGCGTTAATGAGCCGAAGGCACTCCAAGACAAACGGGTTGGACATGATCGGAAAGACCTCTTGAACCAGGATCTACATTCCGAAGTCAACTGCCATGAGCCTCGGCGCTTAGAGAAAATCCCTTGCATTTCTCCTAATCTTTCCTTGCTTGTCGGTCAACCCTTCAGCCTGACACTGACATTTCACAGGCTCGGACGCATGACGCGCCATGTCCTCGGCTCGCAAAAATATCCCAAAGTGCCTACTGATAAGTGGAATCCCCTCACCGTCTACAAAGTATACGGCATTATCGCTTTTGTCGGCGCTGCGTCCCATTCTTAATATTCATTCTTCTTTACAACCCAGACTCGCGGTCGACTAGACACGCTATGGCGCTTAACTTATTCACCCACTGAGGTTCTTCGCCAACTGGACACTGGGGATCCTCACTTGTGCTGTGATTCATAACCCCATGCATGGTCACGTCGGTTTAAGATACTCGATAATCTGACATTTGCTTGTCTGAGGCAAGGGTTACCCTTTCAAACATCATGGGGAACGTGTCTCCTTCTCCGCGGCAGCTCTTCACGGAAGCTATAATCTTCTGGGCCATCGGGCTTGTGATTTATGTTGGCAGGATGTGAGACTTAGCGAGCCTCAAAAATCGATACAAAGCTGATTACGGAGCAGTGTCGCTCGGATAATTGCTAATGGATCAATTAAGCGTCTCTTCGGTATGGATTCTTCCAACTCTCTGTGCTTGCGTCTGCTTACAAATGATGGCGTTTGTTAGTGGACGACTATGTTATGACAGCAACATTTGTGAGTCTCAGCGTGCACGAAGTACCAATTTCTTTCTTTGGCTGACCTCGGCTTGATGTAGGCAATCTATACCACCCTCCTGGTCTTGATTCAAATTTCAGCGCGTTATGCAACAAACCTGATGGACCCCAAAGACTACGATCAGGTGCTGTCAGATCCCAAACAAGTCAGCGATCGGATCTATGGAAGCAAGATTGTTATCGGGTTGGAGCAATGCATGTTGATCTCAACATGGGGGGTCAAGACATGCATGCTGATGCTGTATTGGCGAATTACACAAAACCTCAAATCCAACCTATACATCAAGATTCTTTCTATATACGTTGCAGTTGGCTTTGTCGTCATCATGGTCACATACTATGCGGCATACTGCCGACCATTTTCGCAATACTGGGCCATGCCGGTGGACAATATGCAATGCGCGACATACCAGCACTACTCTATAACGCAAGCCGTCTTCAACATCTCCTCCGACGCTGTGATGTTCGCGATCCCAATTCCCCTCCTTATCAAGGCCCAGCTTAAACGCCGCAGGAAAGTGGTCCTCATTGGCGTCATGAGCTTGGGCCTGTTCACGATCATCGCTGCTATCTTGAACAAGTACTTCAATTTTGCCTCCCCGCTTACGACACAGTACCAAATTTGGTACATTCGCGAAGCCAGCACCGCCATATATGTCGCCAATCTCATGTGCTGGTGGCCACTCCTCCGCAAGCTCTTCGGCCTCAAGGCTTTCCAGTACAACAGCAACCGGGGTCAACGGGCTGGGAATCAAAACAACCAAAACAAAAACATCAGCGAAGACAACTCCAACAATTCGCAGTCCCGGCCCTCTTTTGCCTTCCCTAGCTCTTGGAGACCCCCTTACCGTCGAGGCTTCAAAGGTGCATGGGTTGGGCGGCATCGGGCGCGGCGCTCCAGCACTGAAGCTATCAATCGATCCGACAATGATTTTGTCGGCGATGTGCATCGGATCGAAGCTGTCCCGCTAGACAATTGGGATAAAACACAAGATTCTGTGCACCGCTCTATGGCACAAGAGCCTCTTGGCTCTCATACGGAACCGGATGCACAGGCGCTCCGACAGGATATGATATACTCCGAGGATGAATTTGATTCCCGGCCGAACCGTAGGTATCAGACGCATTCACCCTGTTGATTCACAAATAAGCACATGTTCTCTTATAACTGTTGCAACCTCTCTTTATCAAAATCTCTCTCTTCTGTATTTCCCATCATGTCATACTAGTCTTGATAATCTAAATCACATACACAATCCTAACTTTCAGGACTGTAGTGTCCTGTGCCATCCTTGGAACTGGGATATGAGTAGGTCAATCACAATGTGGAGCTCCGAGAACATTCAAACTCGACTCAAAGTCCGGGAGAGTCGGTCACAAGAACCTTGGAATGGGGTTGGCACTAGACTATCTGTTTCGCTATTGCAGTCGGGATGTCGACAAAATCATACCTTGCGAATGCTCAGATGATCAGTGGACTGCAAATCCTCTGAAATCGGTTTAAGGAGATTTCAGACATCAAGTTCCACGTTGAGGTCCCCGTCGTTTTCGATGAGCTGCGCGCATTCGGCGTAATATCTGCACTCTTAGCCTCGCTTCGCGCGCTTGGTTGTTTCTTCCTTTTCTTTCAAGCTTTTGAATAGGAAGTCTAGAAGTGTTCTACTCTGTACTCCGTAGGCCGAGAGATCTTAGCCTCTGTGATCTATCAGAGAAATAACCCGGCCTATATGTAGCTGCATCGATACCGTCCAGGGCTCGCGCTCTCAGTTGTCACAGTCATCGGAGAGGTTCTCGATCGTTGTGGGCCCATCCCAATCGGGAATGACAAGCACGACTCTCCACCCAAGTCAGTTTGATACTTCCCGAGGTCGGATATACACCGCAGAGGGATATGGGTTTGAATGCGAGAAACAGGCACAACTGGAAGAGCTGTGACCAGGGGTTCTGGTTTTCTAATATAAGATAGTTTACGTGCTTCTGAGCCTGGGCAGAATCTAAAGAGTTGTCGTGCCCCGAAGATAAACAATGGATAAATAAGGAGTACAGAGTACATCTGTGTCGATGAATGTATCATTTCAACAACCCCTTTTCAATCCATCACCCATAACTAATAAACGGAAAAGGGGTCTGCTTGGCACGGGTTGTGATGTCAGCTGATTTGATTGTTCAGCGAAGAATTTAATTTTGTCGAAAACCTTTCGGTAGGGGCATTGGGATGCATTTTATGTACGGAGTACTGGTACGGAGTAGTACTCCGTAGTGGACCAAGGGCCATGGCTCATGGGAAAACCATGAAGAGGGGCACAGGAAACAGAGAAAGAGGGGTCCATGCGCAGATGTCCGATCACTCCTGGCGATCTCAAATCACCATGCCCTCTCTTCATCGTATGGCGCACTGGCTCTCAAACAGGTCAATCGAAGCCCAAAACCTGTTCCGGCCGGCTTCTTTTGCATTTCTGGGAAATAAGCTGCATGTCTATCTATAAATGATCGATCACAGGGTGGGCTAACAGGGAAATCTCGATTCCATGCATGGCGCAGATTAGATGTCATGCAGCCAACCCCTGACAACGCTGGAATGTACGGAGGACGGAGTCCTCCGTCCCAACAGCTACAATATACACCGAAACTGTCTGATGACACACCGTTTAGCCAAATGATGACTTGTTAGCATGGCAGCTTCACGGGTTGAGTTCTGGAAATGAACTTAGTGCCCGCGAGATGACCGAAGAGGGGCCGGCCTCGCCCCGGTGTTTCAATGCTCGTATTACCCGATCGACGCCCAACCCTAACGGGAACATCAATGCCCCTTGCGTTGAGATGCATCAACCAAATCTTGATCTTTCGGGAAGGTGATGGGAGAGATTGATCGAATCGATCGAATCAAAATCCCAAGATCCTCTCGGTTTAGGATGCGGCTGCGCGCAGAGTCATGATCATTATTGACAATAACCCAAACAGCATTGAGCCCAGTGAAGCCAGACTGCCGTGTCGGAGAAAAATTGACGACGAGTCATTTTCGCGTAAATTTTCCACTGCAGATCTCTTTTACACGTGGCGGCCATGAGTATCCTAGCATCTCACATTCCTGCGTGGGTTTCGTCCTTGTGCGCCCTGTACTTTTACGTCCCGAGGGTGACACTCCTTTCTTGCTTCCCACTCTCTGTGTGTTTGCCATGATCCCAGGCATATTTTAAAATCGACTTCACTCATGAAAGACGAAAAAATGGCCGTGACCGCGAGTCAGGTCCCCATGGATCGCGCAAAGACCCCCGAAAAGGCCGGGATGGATGAGATGCGCCTGGAAACCGCACTGGGCCATAAACAGGAGCTGTCGCGACATTTCGGGCTGTGGAGCTTGACCAGCCTAGGTATAATTATTGCCAAGTATGTATACCTCCGCAGACACAGTATCACTCTGCTAATACCACCAAGCTCATGGGCTTCCACAGGGGGCACAATCGTGGCCGCTCTCCAGAATGGAGGCCCAATGGCGGTTCTATATGGACTGATCTTGGTCAGCGTCTTCTACACAGCCATCTCAGCTTCTCTTGCTGAGCTTGCCTCTTCAATGCCTTCAGCAGGTGGTGTTTACTACTGGTCTTCGGTGTTGAGTCCTACCAAAGGCCGCAAGACCGGCTTTTTTACGGGATACCTGAATGCTTGCGCATGGCTACTGTCTGCTTCCTCCATGAGCTCGATTTTGGGCAACGAGGCTATAGCGATGTATTTATTGAAGCATCCGACTATCGAGTGGCACTCCTGGCAGGTTTTCATTGTATTTCAAATTGTCAATTGGACATGTTGCGCCATCGTCTGTTTAGGGAATCGGTTTATTCCATTGATCAACCGTATCGCTCTGATCTTATCCATGTGTGGACTACTCACAACGGTGATAGTCCTCGCGGTGATGCCTAAAAAGCATGCCACCAGCTCTCAAGTCTGGACGCAATACCACAACATGACGGGCGGATGGTCTGATGGGATCTGTTTCATGACCGGTTTGTTGAATGCTGCATTTGCAGTGGGTGTACCGGATTGTATCAGTCATCTGTCAGAAGAAGGTTGGTTGATTGTGAACAAGAAGAGGGAAAGGTGCTAATGTGTTGTTCAGTGCCCAAACCAGAGGTCAAGGTCCCACAAGGCATCATGCTACAAATGCTCACGGCCTTCACCACCTCATTCGTCTACCTGATCGCCCTTTTCTACTCAATCCAAGACCTGGACGCCGTTTTCGCAAGCAATATCGGATTCTTCCCAACAGCAGAGATCTACCGACAAGCAACTGGATCCAACGCAGGCGCCATTGGACTTATCGCCGTCCTCTTCCTTGCAACGTTCCCAACATTGATCGGCACATTCATGACCGGCGGGCGAATGTGGTGGAGTTTAGCGCGGGACAACGCGACCCCGTTCGCAAGGTATTTCGCCCATGTCCATCCAACACTCAACTGTCCCGTGCGAGCAACAGTTGCCATGAGCGCGCTCGTCACCTGTTTGGGGTGTATCTACATTGGCAGCACAACAGCGTTCCAAGCACTCATCTCCTCATTCATTGTACTGAGCTCGTTGTCCTATTTTGGCGCCATATGCCCACATGTCCTGTCAGGCCGTCGGAACATGGTCCCTGGTCCATTCTACATGGGCCAAAACCTTGGAATGGTGGTCAATATCGTGTCCCTGGTTTACATTCTGGTCACTGTCGTTTTCTTCTGCTTCCCCTTCGTGCTGCCGGTCACAGTGGATAATATGAACTACACCAGCGTCATTACCGTGGGCTTGATGGCCCTGACTGCCGTGTGGTGGGTGGCCCGTGGAAGACGCCAGTTCAAGGGTCCTCGGTATAGTTTTGCAGCTGCTGAACGGTTGGCTACATTCCAAGAAGGCAAACAGGGCCGTCAATCATTTATCCATGTCACAGGTGATGCACCTGTTGCTTCTCTCGAGCATCAAAATACATAATTAACTTGCTAGTTTAACCTTGGAACGCCTGAAAATACGCAAACAGGCGGAATTACGATTTTCTTCCTTCGATGTTCATAGTATGGTCAAAAGTGCAAGAAATTAGCGATTATTGAATTCAAAGTGCCGTTTTGGCATTCAAGAGGCATCATTGTCATCACCATGAGCTAAGAGAGTACAGCAAGACGAAGACAGGCACACCCGGAGTTACAAAGCTAACATTGAAACCAAGGGAGCGATGACTCCATGAACAGATACATTCAATGGCATTTGCATTCAAAGTGCTGTCTTAAGGTCATAAACTAATCCGCTTCATAGAAGTCCAGGGTATCCCAGTCTCTACCTTCACAGCCGAGACTTGATGCTCTGGCCACCCTCCCAAGCCTCCCCAGCCTCGAGGGTCTGCCAGCTAGACACGGAGCCAGCCTCCACACAGATCATGTTTTTATAAGCCTCGTCTGGGCCGAAATCGGCCATGCCCTTGGCCTTCTCGATCCAGGGGTTCCAAACGACAACATCACCCAAGGCCTCTCGTGTAATCGAGAACAAAGGCTGGTTATCCTTTGCCGAGGCGACCTCAATTGGAACGGCGGGGTCAAGATTTTGGTACACGCGGTCGGTCTCCTGGGTAATGGGGAGTGCTGCAGATGTTTCGACGTGGGAAGTTCCCTGGAGAGTCTTGTCAAGGTAGGTCTTCGATTCAAGACCCTTGACACGGACATCGGAGATATCCTATAGGTTGAAAGTCATGTCAGCGCTAATCCAAACATGGACTCGTGACAGAGTACTTACCGCAATGTTCAAGTACGTGTGCATCAGAACCTGGAACTCGAAGTTCTGCTTGCCCTCATTGCGCACCTGCAGAGAAGTCTCCAATGTATCCTTCGTGAGTGTAACACTGTACACCAGTCCAAACTCGTACGGCCATGTCTCACGGAACTCATCGGTCAGCATGGAGTGAGACAGCCCAAAGTCAAGCTTCACGGTGAGATCGGCCTTGCTATCCTTCCCGGGCGCATCGGAAGAGGACTTGCCCAGGAACTCCCAGTTGGAGTTGCGCGCGAAGCCATGTTGTGGTAGTGAGGAGGTAGCGTGGTTCTGGGGCGGGGGTCCGAAAACCTGGATAAACATGGGCGGTTAGCTATATCTCAAGACGCGCGGTGACAGAAGACCTACCGGGAAGACAAGCGGAATACCACCGCGGATAGGCTTGGAGCCGTCCAGATGAGCTTTCTCGCTAACGAACAGCTGCTCCTTGCCGTTGGCCTTCCACGAGGTCACGGTGGCGCCATAGAGGTGGACTTGGACGGATTGACCGGTAGGCAATGAAGCTTCGATGACATTGTCCTTGATGGACAATGAAGGCTGGGGGAGTGAAGCACCCACCCCAATGGCAGCAGGCTTGTTAGATCGGTCCATCGTGAAGTGTGTAGAGAGGAAGAGAGGAAAAGGAGCTGCACGTATGGCGGGGAATCTTATCGGCCCCGCCCTGATCGACTCGGATGTCCACTATGCGAAACAGGAATATGATCTGCTCAATTGTTGCTATGCATGAACCTCGATTTCTGCCCAATGCTGACTTCCTCGATTCGTTCGATCTCATCCACCGACAACCGCCACCCAAGCGCCTGCATGTCTTGCTCGGCCTGGTCGTCGCGCACCCCGACCACAGGTAGAACCCCTTTAACAATGGAGTAATTCAGCGCAATCGCAGGTACGGACACCCGTCGCTCTTCAGAACCACTCTTTAATACAGAGAAGTCAGGGGAATAGACCTGAATATCGCAGAGTGGCACTCTGCGTCATTGCGACATTCCAAGCAGTGAACACAGGGGTTATTTCCTAGTGACTAGAAGAATAGCTAGAGCAAGTATGCTAACAGCTCACTGGGGCCTCAGTAAGAGGTTAATACCTAAATTGGCCCTACAATGCCGTTTCTTAGTTTCATGAAAATGTTCAATGCTGAATTCCATCATACCGCAGAAGACCCTTAAGAGCACGCAAAAAATCAAGTACCAAGGTACATCAGAATGGAAAGGGAAATAGCAGAAGCGATGCAATAAGGGGTGTGCTGTAAGTAATGCACAGAGTAAGATGCAGGGGAATAAGGATGCGTAGGGTTCTCATATGAAAAATGAAATCGTATGTAACAAAAGGTCTCGCTATAAACGCCGTTCGCTATGCTTAAGTATTGTGTCGCCGTGATGCATCATGTGCGTGGACACGGATGTTGAAGAGGAGATCATCGATCTCGCGGAGGGCCTCCGGCCCCAGTGTCGCTGATTGCATGTCACCCAGAATATTCTTCAGTGACTGGGTGATGCCAGTTTCGGTGACAACTGGTTGGAGTTGAGGGGGTGATGGCTCATGAGACTGTGTCTCAATGAGAGGGGCTACAGCTTGCTCGAGAATGCCATCGCTAGGTTCGGCTTTAGCTTCTCCAGCAGTGTTCAGCCCCAAGTCCATTTCAGTGTCTGGCTCGACAAGGCCATGACCGTTCTGGATCGATTGCTCGGGCTCAGAAACCTGTGAATCGGTTGCTTCTTCGGTTGAAACCGGAATATCTTGTACTGATGTGTTCTCGTCTACTATGAGACTCTCTGGAACCATTTCCACATCCACGCTCTGATGTGAAAGGGCGTCAATCTCAGAGTTATTCTCCGTCGGCAGAGAAGAGAATTGAGGTTGAGGCAGGGGGTTGGGATTGACAGCCTCTTGCTGAGATCGGGTTTTGCGTGAGCTAGTAGCCCGTGAAGCACTTGGAGGCTCGCTTCCGCCAATAGCCCCTGGTACAGACTGGTCTCCAACACGAGCAGATTTGCGCGATCTCTTGGATGGTCGAGGGGTCTCATCATTGGCGATCACTGTGGCAGGAGAGTCCTGGACGACAGGAATGGGCTCAGAAAGAGGGTTAGTGCTTTCTCTTCTTTGCGAATTACGAGCGGACCGACGCGTCGCAGCAGGCGATATCGATTTGACAGGTGAGACGCTTTGACTGACGTGAGAAACAGCAGGACTCAGCGCACGCGTTCCATCCAATTCTGGAAGCTCAACGCTGAGACCATCTTTGACCGTAGACAACCGTGTTGAGCGACGCCTGTCAGTTTTCGGGGCAGTTGCCTGGGGCTTATCTTCCTCATCTCTCTTTCTCTTTCGCAAAGAAGGCTCATCAACCGGTTTGGTGGGTGTGATATGAGCTTTATCGTCTACTTCAACGGCGAGTTCCAGATCAAGGCCAAGTTGAGATGCGATCTGTGTCTCAGTTTCCTCGCTCGAATCCATGACACTGTCGGTTTGGGCGTCAGAGGGCGTGTCCATGGCTTGCACAGATGGCTCCGGTGCAGGCTTGTGGCTGTTTTGCTTTCTCTTGGCACTGGAACCCGGGCCAGACTTGCTGTTGCGGGACTTCGGAACAGGCGTTCGGTCAGGGGAGTTAACTTGTGGCGCTGGCGAACGCCCTGTGACAGGTCCTGGCTCCTTGCCCCTTGCAGATCGAAGGCGCCTGCCAGGAGTTTCCCCGTTTGGCTGAGGGGTTGAGTTGGCATTCTCTTTGTTGTTACTCCCGTCAATGACATCGTCCATGCCAGTGCTTGCAGTGTCATTTTCAGTGGCAAGGCGAGAAGTGGCCGGGCTGTTGACCGTTGATTTCGCGCCCAAATTGCCGACAAGTGCCTTTCTTGCCTTCGCTGCCTTTCGCCGCACGTTTCGAGTGTGATTCCTGCCCTTTTGGGGGCTTGGGCTTTGAGAGCTAATTTCAGGTGGCGAGGAAGGAGGATCGACTTCCTGGCTGCTTGGGACATCTTGAGAGACTTGAATGGACACGTTGGACTTCGTAGCCGGGGTGGGATCTCTTGTTCCTGGCGTGGGAGATGAGCCGAAAAATCCATCTTCATTCTCAGCGGGCGCTAAAGAAGGCGTCAAGAGAAGTTCCGGGGCCGATTCACCAGATTGAAGTCTGCGGAGATGGGGAGGTGTATTGAAGCCCAGCTTACGAGGGGTGGTTGCTGGCGACGACGATTGAATAGATTCAATCATGGAGAACATCTCCCGACGGGTGAGCCGCCTACGAGATGTCGTTATAGCGTTTCCAGTTTGCGTGTCGGCTGCTTCGGACTGTAAGTTGCTCGGCAACTGAGGTTCATTGACTTCTTCGGTTCCCTTGGAGATGTTTGTCTCAATCTTCTCCACAGGAGATGAGCTAGGTTCTGAATCATATGGCTGTTGAGCCATATGATGAGAGCCATTGGCAAGGCCCGTGGAGCTGTGTGGAAGGGGTGGAGGCACGGCCTCAATTTCCATAGCGTCATCTTGGAGAGGTGAAGCTTGACTGCGAAGCCTGGACTCGGCATTTTGCGCAGCTTGCGTAAGAGTATCATCCTTCGAGGCAAAGGTTGGTTTCCAAAAATCGAGGAATCCCTTGATAATAAAGTTGTGTGACGATTCAAAACCAGCCAAGACAATAGGTTCAAAGGTCTTTAAAGACGGCGGGTCATGAGGGGCAGATTTATGTAGGACGTGGAGGGTAGCCGAAGAGAGGGCACGGAATACGCTGAAAAGTGTAGTTGCGGCGGCGCTGCCCAAACCGACACCGTTGGTTTTGTGAGATTCATCTCTCAACCAAATGCCAATCGAAGGTTGGAGGATTTGAAGCACCTGGCACTGGAGCTGCGGGACACCAGTTCCCAAGAACGAGGTCAATGCCTCGATGAATTCTGCAAAGCCCTCGCATCCGGATGCGTCGAACCCGGCATATGTGTCTTCAAGTGTTCGGGAGACTGATTTGAGGAGCGTATTGGGCAAAATAGCGGCGCTGGTTGGCTGGGAACCCCCAGCATGGATCCCTAGCCCGGTACCTTGGAGGAAAGGTATCGACGACGAGTGGATAAGCAATGATCTTGAAGGCAGGTATGTAGTTGGGACATGCAGGTGCATGATGCATTCAGCCATCGGTTCCAAAATGATCGAAGCAACGGCATGGACACCCTTCTCGGTTCGCACCACGCGCACAAATGATTCAAGCAAATTGGACCACTCTTGGAAGGCATCTGGAAGGTCAACCCCGGACGAGAGGATCTTGGTAACATTGTCATAGTCACGGGACACTGACCCATCACGCTCACGCGCAGATTCTATGGGGAATGATTGTAGAGCGTTCGATGCCGCCTGGGCGGTGGCAGCCCAAAGAAGGTCTGACAGTTCGAGGTCTCGCATAAGAGCGCCGGTATCCGCGGTGCACAATTCTGCACATTGGTGTAAAAGCTCGAGACGGGAACCTCTGAAAAGTTTGCTCTTGCAAGCAGCCTCAATGATGCCTATCGCCAAGTCTTTGTATAATTGACTGGCTGATATAGACCCACCAGTGCTGCCAATGGTCCGAATCAGGTGCAGAACGGGGCTTTCCGGGCTTGTGCCTGGGGGTCGATGGGGGTCGATTGAAACACCAGTAGCAACAGACTGTTCATCTGCATACTTCAAGAACAGTTTTTCAGTGACCGAAATGCTCCCAATCGATGAAATCATGACAGTAGATAGATATCGGAACCTTTCAAGGAAAATATCTTGACTGCTCGCATTAACCGAAGAGGGTCCAGTGAGCCAAAGACGATGCAGCAGGCCGAGAATCCCGGCCACAGCCTGCATTGACTCTCCAGAGGATGTGATCTCTTTGCTCGATGCCAGCGAAATCGCACTACACAGACTGCTCCATGCCAGTGCCACGTTGGATGTTGCCAAGGCACCATCGACCCATGTTGAAGACTTGAAAAGATTCTCGAACACTCTCAGGATGTTTGAACACCTTGATCGAACCCATTTACTATCAGCTGATGGGAGTTCATCAGCTTCCATCTTGTTCGCATCATCAATGCGACCCTCGGTGAAGAGCTTAGCTTGCGGACTCCACAGCAAGTTGGATACAACGCGAGAGAGGCAGTCACTGAGAGCCGGTATTGATGAAAAGATGCCCGAGGATGGAGTCAGGACATACTCTTCCCATATGAAGTCCAGGTGTTGGTAGGTTGCCGAAGGTCTGAAGGTGTAGTACAGCAAGATATGGTAGCTATTAAGGGCGAGTTGGCTTGGCGGTGATGCTGACTTTTCGGATTTCCTGCGGTCAAATTGGGAAAGTACTGGTTTTCCAAGCATCTTGAGTAGCGAGCGACTCGTACATTCCTCGGGTCCAACAACGGAAACGAATCGGCTCCATCCAATGATTGCCTCGGCCTTTATCAAGGGCTCACTGCAGTTGAAACATTTTTGGAGCACGAGCAGCCACTCCTTGTAATGATGCCAATGCTCCAGGTTCCATCTTTTATTCCGCAAGAGAAGAATAGTGACGCTCCATATTTGGGGGACATGTATGCCGCTTTCGGTGAAGGTCATCATTCGCGTCATGCGTTCACGGATTTCTGCAACAATTTTGCGATCGTGCTCGAGTGGATGATCAAAGAACTCGCGGACGCTCTTCGAAATCGTTGCATTTGGGCCCACCTCAGCAGCGATTCGAAAGCCAAAAGCGATTGCTTTATCCCTGGTGTCCTTGACATGATGAAGCATCCCACGAAACAAGTTCTCGATCCACAAATTGGGCTGGGAGAGAAATACTGGTTTGGCCTGCACCCAAAGGCGCTGGTACGCATTCAATCGATGCGAAATGATACCATTGCCAGATATACGACTCCCGATGTGTTGCAGTACCTTCAATAGGCGGTTGACCCGGGCGTTTGTCATGACTTTGGGCGAGAAGTTTTGCGTAGATAATATGGACATGTAATGCGTCAAGACAGATTTAGGCGCCTTGATCTCGTCGAGAGTAGTTGTGGCATGGTCAACCAAAAATGTCTTGAAATCGTCGGGTATTCTCGTGGAGATCTGGGGGTGCCAGATGAATGCCGCTGTTAATTTCAAAGCCTGGTTGGCAAGGTTTGTATCTTGGATTCCGGCATTCGTCAAATCCCGGTTCACGTCTCGTTGAATGAACTCGGTGATGAGGTTCAATTTATCCCCAATTTCCTGGCCAGCTGGTATTCCGTCGTAGGTTCGAAGCGCGCCAAAGAATTGCATGTAGGCATCCAGCCGCGAGGTCGTTGACTCGCCTGCCAATTGTTGTATGACCGATTCGAGTAGCATGGCGAGCGATTCTGCGGTAAAGGTATTGACATTTGGCGACCACACAGGGATGGGCGACTGGGTTGTCTTGAGGATGGATTTCGCGGGCTTTGAATCTGTGGAAGGGATGTTCTTGATGTCGCTGTCTGGTTGTGAGGCGCTAGTAAAAGTTGGCGGTTTGATGTACTTGGGCCATGGCGAGAAATTGACACGTTTTGAGCTGCGACTTAAAGTCTCGGAGCCTGCTTCTATCGTTTCAAACGGCGAGGCTTTGGGCGTTGAAACAATCAATGGCGATGCGATCTGGTTCTCATCAATCACGGTGCGCGAAGCTGTCCTGGGAGGCGTGGGCGGACGAGCAGAGGGTATCTCCACCATGATTAAGCTGAAACGCAGATAGAGAAGCAAAAGAGAAAGCAGTCAAAGGTCATTGCTCGATGTTCAGGTGAACCAAGACAGCCGAGAAAACTAAGTTCCGACGCGCGATGCGCGTAAAGTGTCACCGCCTGAGGCGACGAGGCATCCACACGCGAAGTCCTTTTCGTTTCGTTTGCTGTGCTTCTGGGCCTGCTGGGTTTCAATGCGAATTGCTCCCACTGTTGACCATTATCTCAAACCAAATCGAACTAGAATGACATCCTTGGATGCTTCGAGCTTAGCCTACGATCCAATCCCTCTAGATGTACCCTAAAATCGATGGTATGTACACTACAAGGTATATTACCTTCAAGAATTTTATCTTTGCTCGTTGAGATATTCTCATGCTCTCTGTTTGCTACGATGACTAGAAAAAGTACTCAGTGCAGAGCTGTAAGCATTGAAGACCACCTGGGCAAAGAGGCTTATGTGGGGACATTGACTGCCGCATAACTGAATGACGATGCGCGCCTAATTTTCCCCGCGTCGCTTCTCCTTTTTTTTGGGGTTCATCTTCTGTCTCTCTCTTGGACATCGCGCGCTATTACATTGTCACAATCGCCTGCCATATAATCGCGAAGCGCGTCGCAGCCTCAGTTCTGGTCTAAACTGCTACCCCTCAGCCCACGCGAGCCGATCCAGCATGGACTTTCTTCAGATGCAAGGAACAGGTACATCGTGGCACCTGGCGGTCAAAATGCCCGACATGACAGCGAGCAGCTAGGCTAACCCGATCCTTGCTTGAATGAAGCAAAGCTGCAGCAGGTGACGCAATTGCTAAAGAGTCTAGAAAAAGACCTTGAGGAGCACAATCTCACCTCGGCAGGTAAGTCTGATCCCGTTTCACTAAACGAAAAGAATGGTAACTGACAAGCGCATTCCCACAGAGAGAGTACAAACCCTTCTTCAGCTCCGACAGCACGGTACGAATCCTACGAATGCGGGACCGATCTATTCACAAAAGGTAGGGGGCATTGCTGCACATACCTGCCAGAGAGGCGAACCGCGTTCTGATTACTTCCCAGGGAATCACCACCTTGGCTCGGTATGGAGTCGAAGGCGAAACTCCCGATGTGCGGCGGGCAGCCCTGCGCTGCGTTGCGAATGCGCTTTTGCTCGATGGTAAAATGCGTCAAGTTTTCGTGGACACAGGATACGGGAGCAAGCTATCAGATATGCTCAAAGTTTGTCTTCTATGCAATCTCACTTACTCCAAGACTGACAGTGTCAAGCAGGCCGAGGATTCGGAAGATGAGATGGTAGCAAGCCGCATCCTATTCTACACTACTTACGACACCACAATGGACTTTGGAGACTTGATCAAGAGCTATCAGCTGGCGGATAATGTTGCCTATGTGAGTCTGATGCCATATCTTCAGCTATTCAATATACTCATTTTTACAGCAACTGGGCCGCCACGCGAAACAGTTCCCGAAAACGGGACGGAAGCCATTATCACAAATGGACGAATTGGCACTGACCGACACCCTCAAGCTGATATATAATGTTTCGAAGATTTACCCAGATCTCGCCGTCTCTTTCTCGTCCTCGATTCCCCATATTTTCAAGATTGTTAGCCGCATTGATATCCCTGATAAACCACTGGAGGGTATTCTTGGGGCTTTACTCAATGCATTGTCCATTCTCGATCTGGACGGAAAGCAGAGCAAAGTCGTTGAAATCAGCCCACTGTTCCCTGACTTTGATCCGAATTGCAATGTGGCCAAGCTAGTCAGTATCTTGGACCAATCTGTGTCTCGATACAGCTCAGAAGAGCTGGACGCGAAGGCAATTCCTTTGCTGTACACATTGATCACCGTCTACGATGTAGCACCGGAGGGTCCTCAAAAGCTCATGCAAGAGCTTCTTTTGCCCGAGAGTGGCGATCGCAGCTTGCCCATCGGTCAATCCGACACTCTACCCTCGAAGCTTCTCAAGCTCTCAACCAGTCACTTCGCCAATCTCAAGGTCGCAATTTCCGAACTAATGTTCGTTCTTTCTGGCAAGGATGCCGAGGCTCTCACCAAGAACATCGGTTATGGCTTTGCTGCTGGGTTCCTAGCGGCTCGCGGCATTGAAATGCCCCAGAGTGCTAGCGAGACATACCCAGCCACTGCAAGCCCTGAGTCTCTGGTCAATCCAATCACCGGACAAAGGCTGACCGCCGAGCCGAGTGATAATCTCCCTCCAATGACACAGGAAGAGAAGGAGCGTGAGGCAGAGAGACTCTTCGTCTTGTTTGAGAGGTTAGTGTCTTGCTACTTCTCATAAAGTTCAAAGGCTAACAAAGCACACAGGGCGAAAGCGAATGGAATGCTCAACGTCGAGAATCCCGTCACGCAAGCTCTACACGAAGGAAGGTTTGAAGAGCTGCAAGACGATGCGGATAGCGACTGATTCTGAATTGGACATACATGGATGAGCCTTAGAACATGTACTCCGTATATACTCCGTACAATCGATACCCTTATTTCTGTGGACCCACTGGATATCCCTTCATGATTTATCATATGCGGATATCCCACCAGTCTATCTAGGTACGATATCAAATAATTGACAATGGACTCTAGCGCTGTACTGTGCTCGTAGATCGAGAATGTTGAACGTGCAGTATGAGCATGGGGCCTTAATGCAGAGTGGGCCAAATGACGTTGCGCCGACCGCCCGAAAAAAATTAGGGCGGGGCAATCGAATTTCCACCACTTCACTTCTTCTCCAATTCACTATTCCCTTGTACTCATTTCAAAGTTGATTCTTTGTACAAAACCGCCAACATGTCCAAGCCATTCAACCCGGAGGAGGCCGAGAACCTGGAGGATGTAAGACCTTGCGTCCCTTCAACTACAAGATGATCGCTAACACCCGCCATAGATGGAGAAGCAGTTTGCTGTGAAAGGTCAGTCAGGAATCGATTTCCATGAACGCCTGCGAAGGACTCCGTGGGATCACGCTGTATGGGAATTACGCTGACGTTACGTCTATATTTCAGCTGTGGAACACCTCATGACATACTGGGCCATTCTGGAGAAGGTCAAGGGCTCTCAGCTGCGCCTGACCAAGCAGGATAACGAGATCTACGAGTCATTCATGGAAGCGTTCCCCGACTTCGACCCTGCCGCGACCATCATCGAGGACGACATGAAGAGCAAGGCGGGCAAGGAGAAGTGGCGCAACTGGATGAACAAGTGGCAGAAGGTCGAGGATTACAACTTCGGTACCATCATCCGCACCCGCGCGGATGCCGAATACGACCAGGACACCACTGTTTTCGGTGTGCGCATGCAGTTCTACGCTATTGAGATCGCCAGGTATGTGTTGAGTGGAGCCAGTTGAGTCATGATCGCATGGAAACTGATCGGACGTTCTAGAAACCGCGCCGGTCTGAACGATTGGATTTACGAAAAGGCTTCCAAGGCCAGCTCTTGATTTCAAATCACATATATTGCTGCTGCTCTTCAAGTCAAGAACAGTCTCACATCCGGGCTGATTGGCCGACGGCATTTGCTTGCTGCTTGGTGACGCGGATATTGGATACATCTCGCCTCAGACTCTGATTGAAAGGCTGGTATCACGTCTTTGGTTGTTACGATACATGAGTGGTTATTCGTCATAGACATATCGGCTTCGATTCACCATCGAGCCATCGCGACTTGAATGTGGGTCAGAGAAGCTGTCACCACAAGTCACAATATACCCAGAACAAATTGTTCATCCTTCATATTTTCTCAATCACTAGTCATATTTTCTCTAACAGCCAGGTTTTGTCGGTTGGTTAGTGTGGTGCTATCTGAGCCTTTAGCTATATCAATGCCCATCGCACACAGTAAGTCCTCCGTATGATCGGCTTCATGCTTCCAAGGTTCAAACGGGATCATTTACCAAGCGCACTGATATTAAATGACAATCTAGCCCTGGAAGTATTTAAGATGCATTTCCCCCACGTGATCGAGAACAATGTAAGAGCAGTCTTTGTTCTGTCCACGGGTGGCTTCAATGATACTCCATTCGGTAATTTCTTAATATTGTTCTCTAGATCATTGTCTCACGGACCATATCATCCAATACGGTTTTTCCTGTCCGTTCCAGATCATCGATCCTCTTGCTTCAAAGTTGCAATGCTATGCTAGCGTCGGAAGAAGCGTCATTACAACTTAGAGGAAACCTCTCACTCGAGGTTCGAGTCTCAGGTCACGACGATGAAACAAGACAACTCTACTCCGGATGAAACCGACCAAAATGATTCACCCGTCACAAACTCAAGCTGGAAGTCTTTATTCGGTTTCACATCGCGAAGACATGTACCGACTCTCATATTAGGATCCGTCCTCGCCCTCGTCGCTAGCTGTGTGACACCTGCCCTGGCCATTTTCCTCGGAAATGTCTTCGACTCATTTACCTCTTTCGGGGCAGGAAGAATCGAGCCGGACCGACTGCAAGGATCTGTCATCAAGAACTGCCTCGGGATGATCGGGCTAGGGGCTGCAGGCTGGTTGTTGAACGGAGCATACTATGCATTCTTTGTTGCATTCGGTGAAATGCAGGCCTCTGCAATCCGGAGTGACGTCTTTATCGAACTGTTGAAGCGGGATGTCCAGTGGTTTGAAGCCCAAAGCGAAGGTTCCGGTGCTTTTCTATCAAGAGTTCAAGCGTGAGGATATGCCCTAACCCAGGATGTCGAAATTGACTAACGCCGTTGTAGAAATATCCACGAGATGCAAATGGCGACCTCCCAGCCTCTTGGGCTGCTCTTGCAGTACTCGGGCCGGTCACTGGCATCCCTAGTCCTTGGTCTCTATACATCATGGAGCCTGTCCCTGGTTACTCTTGCAGGATTCCCCGTTTTCTCATCAATCATCGCATTTCTTTCATCGAAAATGAAATACAGCATTCAAGCACAGCATGATGAGCTCACCGCAGCTTCGAAGGTTGCAAACAATGCTATCACCAATATTGATACGGTCAAGTACCTTAATGGCCAAGCATTGGAGCATCGGAATTTCCATGAGCGCATCGAAGCTTCTGCCATACATTATCTCCGACAAGCCCGGCTCAACTCGCTCCAAATTGCGTTCATTCGATGGATGATGTTTGGAATGTTCGTTCAGGGTTTCTGGTACGGAAGCTCACTTGCTCGATCCGACAAACTTACATCTGGTGAGGTTCTCAGGACGTTCTGGGCATGCTTGACAGCGGCCCAGTCCATTGAACAGGTCTTACCACAGATGATTGTGATGGAAAAGGGGAAGGCCGCTGGTGCTGCTCTCAAATCAATCATTGAAAGAACAAAGAACAGACCTGTGAGCGACATCAGAGGGCGATATCCACTGCACTGTGAGGGTGATATAGAGGTCAAAAATGTGAGTTCATGGTGTCCGGGGGTATTCTCTTCCAAACGAATTCGAGGCTAACGGACAGCCGCGAAGGTCTCATTTGCGTATCCTAGCCAACCGGACCACCTGGTCCTCAAGCCATCTACCTTCTTCTTCCCAGCTGGCGAAACGACATTTGTCATAGGGAAAAGCGGATCTGGCAAAAGCACACTCAGCCAATTGCTAATGCGGTTTTATTTACCCACATCAGGCGAGATCACGATAGATGGTACTCCGATGCAAGAACTTGACGTCAACTGGATCCGAAACAATGTCACACTCCTGGAACAGAAGAGTGTGTTATTTAACGAGTCTATGCTGACGAACATTGGGTTTGGTCGTCAGGATTATGAGACCGTCACAAAAGACGACGTCCAAAACTCCATTGATCTCGCTATGCTTCAAAACACCATAGATGGTCTCCCTCTGGGCATTGACACTAGTCTTGGCCCGGGTGGGAGCTTCTTGAGCGGCGGTCAGAGACAGAGGGTTGCCATCGCCAGAGCAAAGCTACGAGACACACCTATCTTGATACTGGATGAACCGACAAGTGCACTTGATCATACCAATCGAGTCGCAGTGATGAAAGCGATTCGTGAATGGCGGAAAGGAAAGACCACCATAATAATCACGCACGACATGTCGCAAATCTCGGAGACTGACTTCCTATACATTCTCGAACAAGGCTTGATTGTCACTTCGGGCTACAGGCACGCGGTCGAGATGAGCCCGGGGAGCGAGAAGTATTTTCACTCTAAACCGAGCGGTGGCTTTGAAAAAAGAGGTCAACGATCTAAAAGAGCACTCGATGATCTCGATGTTGGGTTAGGCATGTCTTCCGACAGTATGGAGACGCTACTTCCCCCGATGGCGCTGCGTGGGCATCGTCGTTCCAGGACCTCCTGGGCCCAAGGTCACATTCCACCCACTCTCCGCTCCAGCTCACTAGACTTGACGTCGAGATCCAGAAGTAGCTCAGATACTATGGTCAGGCCGAGAGTGTTTGAGGCGCTACCCGCGCGTGATTGGAGCCAACGTGTGTCTTTCTTGGCAGAGGGCCTCAGTCCCACTTCTGACTCGAATGAAAGCATGGCGAAGTTCACAACGGAAGAGGTTGAAATGAAATCAATCGAAACAAAAAGCACACCGTTCAATTCAGGCTATCATGAACATGATCATGCGGCAAATGATCCGGCCCACGTTAAGAATCATCGAAAAAGTCGACGCCGTTCCAAGAAGCCAAAAGAGCTGTCGTCCATGCAAGATGGTATGACACCACTCTCGCATATCATGAAAACCATCATACCAAGCCTCAATCTCAAGCAGCGAGTGCTGCTTCTCCTGGGCCTCTCGGCATCATTGGCTCATGCCAGCGCTACCCCAATATTCTCGTACTGTTTATCGCAGCTGTTCGGCACCTTCTACGCAGGAGGCGATAGTGAATACATGACAATGAAATGGTCTCTCGCCGTACTCGGCGTCTCCTTCGGGGATGGTGCCGCGTCTTTCTTCATGCACTACTTCCTCGAACTATGCGGTGAGGCTTGGATGGATAGCTTCCGGAAACGCGCGTTTGAGCGAATTCTCGATCAAACAAAAGCCTGGTTTGAGAAGGCTGGCAACGGATCCCTTCGGCTCACTTCGGCACTTGATCAGAATGGAGAGGACATGCGGAACTTGTTGGGTCGGTTTGCCGGCTTTGTCGTCGTCGCTGCAGCAATTACTGTGATGTCGATCATCTGGAGTTTGATAGTCTGCTGGAAGCTGACACTTGTCGCCCTATCATGCGGCCCGGTGATTTACATCATCACACGAGGCTTTGAGGGAACCAACGGCCTCTGGGAAAGGCGGTGCAACGACGCAAACAGTGTTGCAGCCGATGTGTTCACAGAGACATTCTCTGAGATTCGTACAGTAAGAACATTGACGCTCGAAGGCCACTTTCACCGAAAGCAAGCAAATGCCATCGCCCAATGCCTGTTGCTCGGACTGAAACGTGCCATGTACACGGGCATGTTGTTTGGAATGGTAGAATCGACTGTCATCTTCTCTACCGGTGAGTATCTTTCGGTCCCTGGATTTAGTTCCAAACTTGCTGACTCGTCTCAACAGCCCTGATATTCTACTATGGAGCCGTGCTTGCGGCAGCCGGAGAATTCAAAGTGAACGACGTGATGATGGTGTTTTCTATGCTGCTATTTAGCATCGGTTATGCGGCACAGATATTGTCATGGAGTATGTGCAATTTGAGCTCGCTGGTATATGAAAGCCTACTGACCTTGTTCTAGTTCCACAAATCAACACTGCTCGTGAGACGGCGACGCAGCTCATTCGTCTTGCAAGACTCCCTCGCGATGGGTCGCATGAGCACATTGGCTCTGTGACAGTCTCAAGTCTCACTCCGATCAAGCTCACCAATGTGGATTTCAAATATCCATCCCGTCCCAACACACTTGTGTTGAGAAACGTTTCTCTTGAGATCCCACGCAACTCCTGCACGGCACTCGTAGGACGGTCGGGATCTGGAAAGTCCACCATCGCATCACTCATCCTAGCACTCTATGAAGCGCCACCTACTGCGACGGGGCGACCTGCTGTCACACTCGGCGGCGCGGACATCCTTCGTTTGCATGTTCCGACCCTTCGATCCCAGATATCCGTAGTGTCACAACAGCCAACGATCTTTCCCGGGACAATCCACGAGAACATCACATACGGTCTGGATCAACACTCTCCCCTCTCCACGTCGCATAGTGTCCGCGCTGCGGCAGAAGGGGCCGGTATTGATGACTTCATCTCATCCCTTCCGCGAGGCTACAATACCATCATCGGAGATGGCGGAGTTGGCCTTTCGGGCGGACAAAAGCAGCGCGTGGTCATTGCCCGGGCGCTCTTGCGTCAGCCTCAAATCTTGATCCTCGACGAGGCCACGTCCAGTCTCGATCCTGCTGGTGCCGAAATCGTGCGTCACACCGTCCAGCATTTGGTCGCGACGCGTCGGGGCCTCACAGTCATCATCATCACACACGCCAAGGAGATGATCGAAATTGCCAATCAGGTCGTAGTCCTTGACCAGGGGGTCGTAGTCGAAGATGGACCGTATGCACAACTGTCGAAGATGACTGGAGGAAAATTGCATGCTTTACTCAGTGACCCGGAGGAAGTCGCATAGTGAGTCGCCTGACAGTCGGACCTGCAGGCTCCCTCAAGGGACAGTGTTGTGAATAGAAGCTTCTTGTTGTGTGTTATTTACCCCCTAATTTATTCCGCCTGTTCCCAGGATCACAATAATCCATGAATGAAGCCAAGCTGTCGGCGATCACAGCGTCAAAAAAAGTCTTGGCCCGCAATACCGTGGCCCGCTTCCCAACCGACAACTCCTCAGCCTTACAGCCTTACATAGCAAGGCACCTGTGGGATTCATCTGATCCCTCGACCTCAAAGAGCACAATACAATGTCAAAACCAACTCTGATTTTCGCTGCGGGCGCGTGGTTCCCGCAAACCGCCTTCGACCCAATCATTGAGAAGCTCGACTTCCGCTGCCACAGCGTTGCATTTCCCTCCATCCATGAGGCAAGTTTAGCCGTCGACCTCCAGCCAGACATTGAAGCCGTCCGATCTTTGGTGCAGCAGGAGGCAGATGCAGGCAATGAGGTCGTCATTATCGCACATGGCTGGGCTGGGTTACCCGTCAGCAGTGCATTGGATGGTTTGAGCAAGTCGGAACGTGAACAGGCCGGCCAAAAGGGCGGTGTTGTGAAGCTCATATTCATCACTGCTTTCTTGCCTAATGTGGGCGAGAGTCTCATCGGAGCCTTTGGTGGAATGCCTCCACCGTGGTATGAGCTCGATGTAAGTCACTTTTCCTTTGATTGAACTCGCTTTGTGCGGGAGTCCCTGCGTTTAAATTGGCTCACAATCATCACAGGAAGAAGATGGGACAGTAATTGCGAGTGATCCGCTTGTGCTGTTCCTCCATGATGTTCCTGATGGCGCGGAATGGGTGAAATCGCTCAAGCCCCATGCGTGGGCGACCCAGATTGCACCTGCTACTGGGGCGGCGTATTACAATATCCCCACTGCCTATCTGCTATGTGAAGACGATCGCGCCACTCCCTTGCCAGTGCAGCAGGTTCTCGTCGAGCGCGCCCGTCGAAAGGGGGCAGCGATTGAGACGGACAAGATTAAATCTGGACATGCACCGTGGCTGGCTTTGCCCGATCAGTTTATCGCTTATATTAGAAAACATGCCGGAGATTAGGCTTCCAGCTTTCTGTTACGATGGCGCAGAATGTTCTTTTCGGGATTGATCTCAATTTCCACTATCCGACGTTAGGAATACATACCCTATCAAATAACTCTCATCGAAGAATAAATATCCCAGCTTTCCAATATTTACACAAACGGGGATACATGCTGAATTCCTAGAGTGCCCAATGAAAGGTATCATCCTAGACACCGCGGTCTGCTTCCTCCCGAGGTCGGTAACCTCAGTTGCTTGAACCACCAACAGTGACAGTCAACAGACTAGGATTGCCATCATAAACACTTCCAGACTGGTCCGGTCCACCATTTGGTGCCACATCATCATAGGGGAAGGCATATCCACGTGTATCAATACTCACTGAGTGACAGATGCGCGAGTAATGGTTGGTGGGCGAGGCATTGTAGTATTGAGAAACGCTCTCTCCGTTGGGCTGGCTCTTGTTCAGCAACAGGGTCGTACGATTGAAAGCAGCAGCGAGGCGCGCAGTAATAGCATCCCGTGTAGAGTTCCCAGTGGCGGCAAAGGGCCCCGAGCTATTACTGAAGATGTCGGCAGTCGATGGTTTGGCATAGGAGATGCCTGGAACTGAGAAGTACATCACTCCCCCGGCACACTTTGCAGTGACATCACCCGCTGCGGCTTGGGTGTTTATGGTTAAGATGTTGCTTGTGTTATTGTCATAGTACCCCCACACTTGGTTGACATAGTTGTCATAATAATTATTGAACAAAGAGTTGTTCAAAATCTTTCCAAGGTTGGGAGATAGGGCGCGAAGATTGACACCGTTGCGTTGAATCACGAGCTGATCCCAGCCAGCATGGTCTCTGTCGTTCTGAGCCTTCAAAGCGTTGCAGATCTGGTCGAGTCCGTTGGCAGGCAGGCCATGAACAGTCTGGGTCCCACCGGAAGCATTTGTCAAGGTCATGGAGATGGGAAGTGACACAAAATCGACATAGCTCAGGTTGGCGTAAAGCTGGGCATTGTTCCATGTGAACTCACAAAATGCCCAGTTGAGGTTGTAATTGGGGTCCGAGGGATTGGAGACCGAAGGCTCAACCAGTGCAGCGCCCGTGGGGGTGGGGTTGAGATAAAAGGTCAGCTTGTTGTCTCGCACAAACCACAGCCGAGCACCCGCGAGATGTGGGATCGTGATGTAAGTGGTACTGCCGGGGGCACCCAAGTAGATTCCACAGTCATATTCAAGGTTGCTCAAGATCCCAGGGGGCTTGGAAGGATAGTAGCCCGTCCTACCATCGGATCGCAGAATGAAGAGCGCATTGTTTTGGTCAAGTGCCAAGCCCGTGACGTAGGCGAAGGTGTTATTCGACCCGGACTCGTTTCTCAAAGCGAAATTCAAAGTTGCCATTGCGATCAGACAACGGTGTGGATCAGCACAGGTGCAAGCTGAAACGGTTGAAGCTGGGACACTGAATGGGGGCTAAAAGTGGTTGCCGAAGAAGGTCGAAGACGGCAAGGGTAGCCTAAGACGACCTCGGAAGACTGGGGAATCGATGAAAACTCGATCAAAGAATTGAAACGAATCAGGATTAGAATCGCACCAAGAGGCCAAGGTCAAAGCGAAGAATATCCAAGATATTTAGCAAATACTGAGTGAGATTGTAAATGGTGCCAAGTTCCAATGAGAAGCTCGTATGAGGCCCACAAATTCAAAGGTCATTGATCTAATGCAGCGTACTGTGCAGAATACTTCAATATATAGATCTCGAACGGCCGAGAAAATCAAAATCGAGGTAGGGCAGGGTGACCGGACCCTGTGATGTGATGTGTCGGTCCTTGAATCTTCGACTCTGGCCTTGGGACAAACCCTGAAGCCCGATCATCATTGATGTCCAGTGTGAGTATAGAGCAGAAAGTCACAATTAACCTCAAAGTAATGCGGAACGGCGCGATCATGCTGTGTCTTCAGGTGATCGCATGGCTGATCTTGTCCATGTGCGGGGGCGCTAGCGAAGTAGGTCCGGGGTTTCTAATCCATATGTGGATGCAGAATAGGCCGGTAGCAATCTAGAGGCAAGATACTACTCACTACTTGGGGTATCAGGGGACTTCTGTTGGCATCTGTCCATCCAAACTGAGGTATTGCACCGTTGGATACACCATCCACAACCTTCGGAAATCCTTTAGGAATCGATGCAGACTTTGGTGCTTACCTATTACATCGCCTAGGGAATAACTCAACTGTTAAGAATGCGTATACAACTGCGGATCCTGAGGCTGAAGAAACTCATGGGGTACTGCAGACGCCGCACGTCCAACGGGTCAGGCAGTGTTACACCAAAGGCCTTAAAATCAATGACATCGGCAATAATAAAGCCACCTTCCCATCCAATAGGTCAGGTCAAGTGCTCTGCATCATCCGATACAGTTGAATATCTGACTTAATATATACTCCTAAATTCTATACGGAGATACTAGGTACACACTCCCTGCCACTGGGCATCAAGAAGTTCCAAGCTTGTATCTCAAGATCACCACGTTTCTAAGTAATATATGAGAGATCTCGGGACCTCAGGGAAATCATGCTCGAGCGGATGAGCCCCAGGAAATACCTAGGCATCAAATACCGGAAGCTTTAAGTCCATGGATAGAGCCAGAGCCCATCATGGGATTTTCTTTGACGACCTCAAGAGTCGTAAAGCGGTTTTGAAACCTGAGGCCTTTCTTACAACATCATTCATGGAGACTATACCTAGTTACTATCTTTCCCGTTCAGCCTTCAGACCACTTAACTTACCACAATCCCAGGAGAACCTGGTCTATAATAAGTGAGTGACAAACTCCTGTCCCTTGAATGGAAACCTTCCGAAACCCTAAACCTGCAATGCCAACTTGGAGGGGCATGTTTGCTCAAAACAGCATCATAACTTAATGATTAGCATCGGCTCTGATTGTTGAACCTTGAAAGCTACCGATGCATGTTAGCGGAAATCAAACGCCACGGTAAAATTATTTGTAATGTATTTGTTCCAAGATATGGATTATGCTGCCGTGGAGTAGTTTGTCAGGATTTGTCACCGGGCGTGCAACTATAGGTATCACCAGTTGACCCTCGGACCGTGGACGCCGATTACTATCGCAAGGCTTATGATCACGCCCTTCTGGGTGTCAATTGCGCGGAGGCATCAATATGTGAAGATCTTCGGTTGTCGGCGCCGACTCCCGTAGCAACATATCGCCATCACCTCCAACTATGAGGAATCCACGCCTTGTTTGGCTTAGTGGGCCCACTTCAGATACATATGCGATTTAGCTGGGACGACACGACGACCTCGGGAAGATGAATAAGATAATACAGCGTAGGAACGGCTTGAGAATCTCTCTAATGATTGAAATTGACATGGATTGAAAATTACTAGGCGTCAAATAGCTGACATGGTACTCCGCACGTCGAAATAATTTCGCTGGGGGGCCAAAGGTGGCTGAACTCGAGACATTTCTGGAGGTTCTTTCTAGTACTCGTCACGATCAGACTTTGGTTAGTTCTTGCTTGATATCAGTTGACACTGAGTCGTCATCGGTGTCACTCATTTTCCATGCTAAATGTATCAGTTAGTCAAATTCGTTTGTTAAGTTTTTCACCAGGAAACATCGGGAACATACTTCGAAACTGACGTGCGGGGACTTTTTTGGTCCACATGATCTCCAACTCCTCTAAAGACCGCCCTGACATGTCTGGAAGACAGAAATATGCCCATATAAGTCCAATAATGCCAAATCCGCCATAAATAAAGCCAACCTTCGATTGAAGATTGGCGTATCCTGCCTTCAGAAGATATGGCAGGGTGTAGGTCACAACAAAGTCACAGATAAATTGGGTCCAGTAAACGACCATTGAGCTTTTGTCTCGCAACTGCAGATGTGGAACTTCTGCGGCAGTGACAGCACCACTCGAGCAGTATGTTAGTAGGTTGGAGGTCCAAGAAATCTTCTCACACTCACATAGCCCCGAAAGACATGATATAGAACCAACCAAATAGCACGCATACTGTCAAGATCCCAGTTTTGTCGCCAGAAGTGACATGGCCGGTTCCCAACCCACCGCAGATCAGAAGCACGGCCGTACAGGCACTTCCTGCAGTCAAGTAGAATTTCCGTCGGCCAACGACATCGACGAATGAAAAGGTTATGATAGGACCAAGGCATGTAACCGCGGAGGATATGACTTTGAAAGTAAAGGGGCTCATCGTTTCAAGACTTTTGATGAAGATGGCCCCATACTGGCTCATGAAGCTTTGTCCAGTAAGTTGATTGAACATCGCCACTCCCATGGCGATTCCAAGTCGTCTCTGATGAAAATAATGGTCAGTAATGATACAGCATAGATATTGAGGGAGTTGGTTTGATGCTCACTCTATTTGAACCTTTCAAAAAGTCCTTCCAATGCCCCTTTGTCTCCAAGTCCGAGTGAATACTTTCATGGAGATTCTCGACTTCGTTGACTGCCTCCTGTTCCGAGCAAGAAGCTCCCTGTAGCCAGCGCAGGTGCTTGGCAGCTTGCTCATTCCGGCCTTTCCGCACCAGCCAGCGAGGACTTTCGGGGATGAACCAGAAGAAGACTAAAACAAACAGCGGGAATGCAAACATGGAAGCCAATGGTATCTGCCATGATGAATCACCCTCATATGATGATGTTGCGAGAGTCACGAAGGAACAAATCAATGAGCCAAGAATGTGTGCAAAAACATAGACAACAACGATACCACCTCGGAGAGCCGTTGGGCTGATCTCGGCTAGGAACATCGGTGCCAGGAAGTTGTCCCATCCCACAAAGCATTGAACAATGATCCTACCACCAAGTGCCTGTCCGAATGTCTCTGCACTATAGCTGACTGCGATGCCGGCAATCACAATAAACTGCATTGCAATGTAAGAGGGTCTTCTCCCGAACCTCTCTGCTATCAGTAAGCCCATCACGGCACCGAGACACTTTGCAGGAAGGCCAAATGAGTTGAGGAACGACAGGTGCTCAGCAGTAAAGCCCCATGTCTGGTTAGAAGGATCGTAGGTGCCGAATCGCTTTTCATAAGCTGCAAAAAATGGTATCAGAGTAGTGTCCAACGGGATGTCAAGGGATCAAGTACCGTCCATTGCTTGAATTGTTGAGAAGACACTTTGATCAAATCCAAAGCTGAACACGCTGGTATTTATGACGATGACCGCCAGTAAAAGATTCCAAGAGGCTTGGCTAAAGGACCGCAAGTCCTTGAGGTTTGCCATGATGTGGTAAGATTGTCGCCTGGGCACCTGGAGAGAAGTAAATCAAATCCCTCGGACTCACTAGACCTGAAGCTCCCCATTCTCATGGAGCTATTTATACAAATATTCTTCATATTTCTCAATATATCCCTGTTATGTCGTGACTGGGGTCAGATCCACTATCAAATGTGGCTTGTAAGTTGTAACACACATGTGCATACTTTTCAAAATTTCAACGTCAATACAGATCAAGCAGAAGGCTTCAAGTCGTCTGCCGAAAATGAGGGAGCCAAATGCCTATGGGCAAGGTGGACCTCCTAATGGCTATTGGGTTGGATCATCGGGAGACTAGTTATTTTCAATGTATGAAACAGATACTGGTTTACCACCACAGGAGACATCCTCGACCTAGTTTTCCTACTCGTGCACAAGAATGTCTTTTTCTTGTTTTTCCAAGGACATGAAGCTGCCCGAGCGCCCGGGTGATGGTTCATCCCATTGAAAGAAGTATGGTTGGAGGAAAACAAGGAGAAAAGACGCCTGTCTTCTAGGAGAATGGCGAGGCCGAGCGTCTAGTCAGCTTAGGTCTGTTCATTCCACCAAATCCTAGACTCAGAGTAATCACTCAAAGCTCATGCATTGGTTTTATTCGACCATTTGTGGGATATACAGTCAGTCCTGTCTAGTATGAAGCTCCTACAAGACTCTCGTCTCGACACTAGGTCCCAGTCTTGTTGCACATTAAGACACATCCGGGTAGTATCCTACCAGAGGCACGGGACTCAGGATATTCAAGCTAACATAGCATGCTCCTTTCAGCTCTGTGAGGCATGACCAGTACAGCATAGTAGCCGAAGCAACTGTCGCGTGTACCAGCTGTGCGAAGTCACTCAGCACTCCAGGGCCAAAAAGCCGCTGACTCAGCGGTGATAAGGCCAAAGAAAAAGGACTCAAGGGGAGCTTTGACTCCTATACAAATTGAAAAAATCACCAGCCATTGCAACAGATCCTACGGGATCGTCGTCAAAGTGCAATACTTCAGGTGCCTATTGCGGGCCCGACTACCAACCCCGCGCCAATCGTTGACACAGATCCGTGCCCCTCGATTTTCTTTTCTTCCACCAACCCCTCCACGCGCATTCACCATGGCGACTGCAGCAGCTCCCGAGTCTTCTCTCCTCTCCCTCCTCTACAGGTCCTACCCGAACGTCATCTCTCCCGATGCGACCGAGGCCGACTACCTTCACGCCTCCGCCAAGGTTTTCCCTCAGGCTACCTTCGGCGAGGCTGAAGAAGCAGACATCAAGCAATGGCTGCACACTGCTGACGGTCTGAAGACTGCCTTCGCCAACGGCCAGAAGGATGTCTCCGACGGCATTCTCGGCCAGCTGAACATCCACCTGGCCACCCGCACAACCCTGCTCGGCGCAAAGCCCTCGGTCGCCGATATTGCCGTCTACGCTCTCCTTGCCCCCGTCGTGGAGAAGTGGACTCCCGAAGAGCGCACCGGCGAGAAGGGATACCACCACATCGTTCGTCACACCGATTTCGTCCAGAACTCCCGCCTGTTCTCCCTTCAGATCCCCGAGGAGGAGAAGATCGCCATTGACGTGACCGACGTCAAGTTCGTGCCCAAGCCCGTCGACCCCAAGGAAGAGAAGGAGCGCAAGAAGCGCGAGAAGGCCAGCGCCGCCAACCCCGATGCCAACCCCGAGACCAAGCCTCTGGTTGTCGGTCAGGGCAAGGCCGACAAGGCCGCTAAGGCTCAGAACCAAGCTGGTGCCGATCCCGCCGCCGGCCACAAGACCACCAAGAAGGAAAAGAAGGAGAAGGCCCCTAAGGCCCCCAAGCCTGCTCCTGCTCCTGCCGCTCCTCCCGCCCCCTCACTCATCGACCTGCGCGTCGGCCACATCCTGCGCGCCGTCAACCACCCCAACGCCGACTCGCTCTACGTTTCCACCATCGACTGCGGCGATGCCCCTGGATCCGACAACACCTCCCTGGATGAGGAGACCGGCAAGACCGTCCGTACTGTTTGCTCCGGTCTGAACGGCCTGGTCCCTCTGGAGGAGATGCAAGGCCGCAAGATCGTTGCCGTCTGCAACCTCAAGCCCGTGACCATGCGTGGCGTCAAGTCCTGCGCCATGGTTCTCGCTGCCTCCCCTCGTGTCGCTGAGGGTGAGGACTCCCACGCCGGCCCCGTCGAGCTGGTCACCCCTCCTGCGGCTGCTCCCGCTGGTGAGCGTATCAGCTTCGAGGGCTGGAATGAAGGCCAGCCTGAGAAGCAGCTCAACCCCAAGAAGAAGGTCTGGGAGACTTTCCAGCCTGGCTTCACCACCACTGCCGATCTTGAGGTTGCTTTCGACAGCAGTGCCGTTCCTTCTGTGCACGGCCAGGAGGGCAAGCCTGCCCTTGGAAAATTGGTTGCTGCCTCCGGTGGCATCTGTACTGTTAAGAGCTTGGCCAACGCCACCGTGCGGTAAGCGCTAGACGGTAGCGGGTTTTGGTTGTTATCTTTGAAAATAAAATGGACTAAACGCATACCCATGAGAATATGAAGAAATCAAAATTTTCGAGTTTCGGTATTATTGATATTATTGTGCAATCCAAAAGACATGGGATTTCTTTGCATCCTCGTCTATTGAGTACAAAGGCTAATGATTTGGTCTAAATTTGTACATGTCACACATGGTGCAAGAGTGACCTCGGGATACATCTCACATATTTTGTTTTACACAGGGGCTGCGAATCCCAGAGAAGGTCCGCGGTGATCGAAGACCACGAAGAGGGCCTTCAAGAACACATCACCGTAGATGGCAAGGCTTGAGCCTGCATTCGACTGAATACCGCCAAAGCACACTGCGAGAAGGTTAGTCAAAGGCCTCGCCAACAGGAAAGATAATTACTCACCAGTCTCACCAGTGGTGGTGTTGGTTCCAACCTCGGAGAAGTTGACCAGCGAACCAGGCACAGTAGCCGAATAAGCGGTGCCAACTGCAACGGCCAGGCTGGGCAACTTGGCAGTGCAGGGGTAGATATAGCCGCCAGCGTTGTTGGCATAGATGGCGCCATCAACCTGCTTATAATACTCCTTGGCAACGTCAGGGCTCACCAGCATGAGCGAAGTGCCTGTGTCGGCAATTGCCTCAGGAACTTCCTTGATGGGATTGAAGGTACCACCCCCGACAGAGTACTGTGCTGAGCCGAACTGCCAGAAACCCTTGGAGGAATCGACGCTGACGTTGGCAAGAACGCCCTTATACTTGGAATGATCGATGGTGCCGAACTCGTATTCTCCCACGCCATCAGCGAGCAGACGAACGGAGAAAACGGGCTCGTCGAGGGTAGAAACGACGTTGTCGAAGAAAGTCTTTTGTGGGCCTGGGTCGATGGTGTTGATCGACGAGAAACCGAGTCCGACTAGTCCATTGGAGTCCTCGTCATCGGTGAATGTCTCAGACACATGTGTTGGAATACCGATCATTTGGTTTTCAACTTCCACGCCGCCAATTGAGACGGTGTCCGTGCCAACACCACCCGAAGCGGAAGAGGAATCTCCGTAGTGAATCTTGAAGGTGCTGCCTTTGACGTCTTTGTATGTCTTGGACTTGCTGGGCTCGAAGACAGTGCGGTTCTTTCGCTCGGACTCTGGGAGTCTGGAGTTCAACACCCAGCTATATGGAGTTGGTCAGTTGTTCATGCATGGCAATGGCTAATAACCTTGGAAGGTCCCACACGAAGACTTACAAATCAGCAGATCCAGTATCAAAGTCCATGTCCAGAGTCTGACCACCAATGGTGACAGGTGAGATGAATTCGACGTCCCCTTGAACCGAAGTTGCCGTGACAGAGCCCGTCTGGTCAAATTCCACCGCATCCTCCTTGACGTTCTTCCCAGAAGTAGTCGTCTTGGTGTCGAAAGGCTTGAAGTCACTCACATCAACACCAGTGAGAGTAGTCGTATCGATACCGAACTTGCGATACGCTTTGCGCAGAGCCGCGGGACCGTGGACGGCATAGTCACCGCGTTTGGCATGTTCAACCTTGAACGACCGGCGTCCAAGGCGATTGCCAGATGCCACTGGAATGGCGAGAGCATTGAAGCTCAAGGAAATCAACATAACAATGAAGAGAAAGGACTGCATCTTGTCCAAAGTCCCAGTCGGGAAGGTCAATTTCGGAAAAAGAGCGATTAGGTCAGGACCAGCCTGAAAGTTGATACCAAAGTGCGATGTCAAGAAGCACGATGAAGAAAAGAAAGAAAGTCAAGATTATGACCAAGCCTTAGGGGCAAGCTTGAAGGATCTCGACACTGCCAATGAAATGAATGCCAAAAATGAATGTCAGGTAGTACTCCGTAGTCCTGACTCGAATACCTGCAGCCAAGAATTGAAGAGAAGAAAGGAGAATAGGACAAAAGAATGAGACAATAGACAATAGAAAAGAACTGAATTGCACAATGAAAGGAATCTCAAAAGCAGAAAACGTAAACAATGGGGTCGTCGATCTATATGGCAAGCTCAATCCGCACAAAAGTAGCCACTGAAGAAAAAAAAAAAGAAAGACACTCCTTTATTTTGAACCTATCGGAGTCGATACTCCAGTGCAAAGACCTTGGCCCATGCTGGGCATGCTTCACAATAGACGCCATCGGGCCAAGACCAGACTGGCCTACGAGTGGATAAGTCACTAAACCCAGCGCAGGGAGAGGGCCGGAAGGACGGGTCTACGTAAGTATATTATGCAGAGACGACCAAGGCCCCTCTTCATCTGTCTGCGACTGCGCGGCGTCTTAGTTGGGTGGGGGGGCTGGCCCCTGAGCGCGTGGGTTTGACAGCTGAGACTACACCAGTCGGTCTTGGGCGTAGTTGGACGATCATGAAACAATGCCGAGCGGGTAAGGGACCAATCATTGCGGTGACTCCTTGAAACGCGGTGCAAAAAAAGGCTCTTCGTTCTGATGTGTTGCCTGTGAGGGCTGGGTCACTTGCACTCTTCTTAGGCAATGGACAATTCCATTACGTTGACGCTGGCGTAGGGAGATGGTGGTACGGAGAGCGCGAGTACGCAAAGTCCGTGGAGGGTGGCTGAGATGACCCCCTCACATTGATCTTCCGACGATCAAACCGTTGCAAGTGACCAATGCGAGATGTTGATCCGATCAAACCATATGTTTAGTCTCATGGCTGGGGGTTATTGGTTCTTAGCGACCTGAGCTGCGGTTCGAAAGCCAGCCATCTTCTTCCTTATATCCCCCCTCGCTGCCCCAGCTTCCAATATTCGAAAATTCTTCCTGCGTATTTGGAAAGCACAGTGGTTGTGGAACCTCAACCCCTGGACCAGCGGTAGGAGGCGCCTGAAGATACCTGGTGTTTCATGATAGCTCCAAATTTTCAGAGACGAACCTTGATTACCTGCGCTTCAATGTGTTCTCAGATCGCAGTTTTGAGGGGCAACCGGGGTAGCGTATCTTGCACTACGGAGTGCAGCAGATCTGAGAGTAGATACGTAGAGTAGAGGTGGGTGCCCAGTGTAGCTGAAAGATCTGACCTCCGCTCGGCTTCTCGCAGTTTATGAGCCGGGGTACGTCACTCGCGTGGGCAAAGAACTCATCGACCTGAGCCGGATATACGGAGTACAGATGAAAAGAGAGTAACAATAAACGAAGCCGTTGTAAGTGCATATTTGGTCTAAACTCGTACAAGCGAGAGACCCCCAAGGATATCGATTTCAAACAGAAACAACTCCGCATCCCATGGTTTCGCTCGCAACCCAACCCAACCAGCCACATACCAGTGGCAGGGAGGCGCGGTGTTCACCATTCCCCGAATCCGATGTACAGAGAAAACAAATCCGTAAAAAGAGGAAAAAATAGACGGAGAAGATAACCAGCAATAATAAACAACCCAAGATATTCAACAGTGCCCAAGCAATGCAGACGTGTATCGTTTCCGCCTCTAGATCCTTGAAAATGATATCCAGTCCCGCCCCGGTAAAAAGAAAAAGCCCAAAAGAAATCATAGAAAATGAAAAGGAAAAAAATGAGAGTCAGGTGTATCTGGCAAAGTCGTTTGCAAAAACCTCCCAAAAAAGGAAAATCAACTCCAAAAGGTCATAGACATGCAACATCAAGTAGCCATGTCACTTCACATGTTCTGTACATCATCGGTGGCCCGACCGGGATAAAAGAAAACATAGGCCGAAGAAAGTATTCGTCCCTCCCTGAGAGACGAAAGAGGTATCGTAGAAGGATGCAAGGTATTGAATCGCAGGCGCCGTCGCTCGCAACAAGCCAAAAGTATCGCAAGGGATCTAGAATGTGAGGCGAAGGTGGTCGTAATCGGCGAGAGAGAGGAGGAAGGTGGTATATACAGGTCGGTTTTTTGTTTTCGGGTTTTCAAAGTTTTTTTGTCGCCGTGTTCTGAGAACAATAGGTTTTCCAAAAAGTTATGTCGTGTCGAATGCAATATGGCGTATCAGACAAGAATGCAATGAAAAGGAATGATTATGACCTGCGATTAAGGGACCCCCGGATGATGCAGAACAGCTGTGACGGACGTGCAAAGAACAGATGGAGACGTAGGGAGCCAGCCTACGACTTTGGCAGACGACTTTACCATCGGCGTTGAGCAGTCTGCATCATCGCGGGGGAGATCGATGAGGGCGGGCTGGTCATCGTCATTCCGGTGGATGGGTTGACGATGGGGATGACTTTGCGAGTCCGGTTTGCAGGCTGCTGCTGCTGGTAGTTGACATGATTAGGGTTGCCGGCAACACCAGGGTGAACGTATGAGTTGGTTTGAGCGGGAGACAAAGAGATGGACGGCGTCACCTGCTGCACCGGTTGAATCTGGTGCTGCAGAGGCGACGTGTCCGGCGAGCCACTGGAGAGGGAAGAGCGGTCGGAGGCGGAGTGAATGGAGTGAAGCTGGAAGAGAACAGTCAACAATCCGTTCGACGGTTTCGCAGACGATCTTCGGCCAGGGGAGGCTGAAGATTTCGCCGATCACAACATACATCATCCTCGGTCAGGAGACCGGGGCAGAATTCGAGGTCGTCATCCAGATCAAAGGAGCGACCGGCCTCGAATCTTGCCCTGAACGCGGTCACTGCCGGTGCTTCCGCCAATTCCCGCATGGACTTGACTCCTCGGAACTGACGAGCGTTCTGAGAGGCCATCTTTGGGGCACGACGAGAGCGGCCGTGGTTTGCGGATTGCATGTGGGCACCGTGGTGCTGCTGGTTGTAGAAGTAGGCGGACATGATGTGAATTAACGTGAAAGTGAGAAGAAGAATACAAGAAGATATAGATTCAGAATGAAGATTGTGTGGAAGGGAAGAGGCGAGGGCAAAAAGAGGGGAGTATTTTGGTGGGCCGTTTAAGCTCCATTTTGTCTCTGGTTCCCTCCATTTTGGGCGGATCTGCGCTCGGTGATTGGCTGCTTTGCCTTGCCACTTCGTTAGCGCTGGACGTTGGTTGGTGCGAGCCGCTAGTGCCTGTCCACTGACAATACCTGACCGTATCGCCCATTTCCGGTCTTGACTCTGCGCTCCTTTGTCCCCGAGTCTAGGGAGGAGTCCCTTGGTATGGTAACAGTACGGTAATCAAACGTGACGTCGTCGATAATTCCACTTTACATACCAAGGGGACTCATTCTACTACTTACATAGTACAGGCATTCTAAGGATATACTGTTATACAGTACTAGTACAGTACATATCCTGACTCTGTAGGAATTCTTCTAAAAGCATCACACACATATGTACCTAAGTACGGAGTAGCCGTAGAGTCACTCAACCCGGAATCGGCCATCTTGATGGGACCGGCTGAAATTTTCCCTATGGGTCCCCTTAACTGCAGGCTGTGCAGGACAGCCTTTCCAGGCACATTCCCCCCCAGTCCCCTATAGGGTCCCCGAATCGGGAGTGGCTGCTGATCTTACTTGGATCGGCTCCTGCGAATTCCCCAATCCTTCCACACGCAGTGAGAAAAATGAAAACCTTGTTGGTCGCGAGACACCCATATTCTGAGCTGCAGCTTAGCTGCATCTGAGCCCCTCCCTGATTGGCAGCGCATCTTGAGATCTTGCCTTATCGGCACAAGCCTCGCGAGTTCGGCCCTGCGAATGCCGGAGGGGGTTAGGCCTAAGGGGCGCTGGGTAGCATTGCCTACCCGTGACTCACGGACTCTGAGATCCGGTGTCCACTCCAAAATGTGTGGCGGATTCCCGTAGGTGGATGCCCCATGTTTGTTGTTTTCTTTGTGCACGGTGGTTGCTCGGCTTCGATGTCGCTGTCGGCGCTTACTGGAACATATCTTGCATCTTGCTCTTCCAGTCAAAGCTTCGCGTGCATTGTACGCAAAACTTACCTCCAAACTCTACCACTCGTACTTTGTGCATGCAGAGGCGTCTCCAAATATGGCTTCACCGCCCCTTTGTGGACTCACGAGGCGCAGTCGCACGGGCTTCGGACATATCACAAAACACGTTGGAACTTGCAGATGATCCAGCACTTGTGCACAATGTACAAGATGGTGCATGCGTCTGAATTTACCCACAGGGAATCCATAATCTGTGAGGGACTGCAATTCAATCGTCATCTATAAATTCTCAAGCAAGGGACCACCAGGGCACGATCTGTTGGTCTTGATGCCATTCAACGTCAAACTATCATCCTGATCCATGCAGTCGTGTCAACGTTGTGTTCCAAATCGGAGTCCGGTCTCAGATTTCGGGCGGCTTCCGAATCATCGTGAGATCGAGTATAGTCCACGAAGCACGTAGATATTTCTCCTTTGCCTAGGATGCTTCCTATTCAAGTGAGGACAAACATGCAAATACTACCTAGTAGCGGGCACAAAATTGGTTTCGGAAGGTTTTCAGATATTGGGCTCTGGCCGTACATAGGTCTCCAGATGCTCCGACAATAACGGAACTACCTAGGTATAGAACCTTTGACACATCCCCTATTGAGCATATCAATCATCGGAGTCATACTCCGTACCTACCTAGGTAGGTACTTAGGTAGAGGTCCCGAGGTCTGGAAGCTCGGGTCCTTCCAAGTTGAGCTTCATTGTGATATATAACCTTGAGAGAAACCTTGAGACTATTGGGCACTACCTAGATAGCTTCCAAGCTTATTCCCGAGGTCCTCAACTTGAAAGTTACTGATTGAAGATCGCTGAAATACAATTGTACAAACACATAGTCTCCAAGGTTTCATACATACCAATTTATATTCAAGATTTCAATGTTAAGGCGCCGCTATGAAGTAACTGGTACCTAGGTAGATAATCAAGACGAAGATCAAGTGCCCAGGTGGCCAACATGCTTGCAAATACATAGTACATAAAATATTATGCAACGAACATGCCTCCGGAGGTCTCTTCTAGTCATGACGTCATTGTAGTTGCCCGTTGCTTTTCTTGCGGAATTACTCCGTACTACCTAGGTACTGATATATCATTTGAATAATATGTATATTCTGACACCCGTAATGGTAAAAGCTCCTTACAAGGTTTTGTTTGTGCCTGCCCAGGTGATGTTCGATAAGTGGATGGAAACCCAACCTTGGAACCCCAAGGCGAGATATATATACACCTGGCAGCACCCCCAGCACGACTTCAGATGAAACCTGCCTGGGCGGCTTGAAATACCCGTGACCTAGGTAATTCCTAAAATTGTCAATTTTTAATCCATTGAGGCTCTTGAGATCTGGCATGATTCCAAGGTTGGTGCCCGGGTGGCAATTAGTCTGTCAGCCATCCAGCCCCGGAGGCTGGGGACATCAGTAGCTGACTGTTAACAGTAGCACATTCTAAGTTAACATGTTAGATGTGGCCCACAAGGCCTATACACTATTTTGATAACATTCGGGGGACTATTTGACCTCTTGACCTTTAACATGGCCATTCTAACCTTGGAAGCGCATACGTCTGAGGGTCGGCTACTCATGTGGGGTAAGAGAACGACTGTGAATGGAGTGTAGCGCTCAAGGGTAATACAAAGACACCCAAAAGAACCTTGGAATGTGTTTACCTTGGAAGCTATTTCGTATGTGAGACTGCACACGTCGCACATGTCTCACAAATGAGTTATATATCCATGGAAGATCTAAATGAAAAGCCGCAAGTGTCGTCTCGCTTGTTGGTTCGTCCCGAGGTCATACCAGCCATTCCAAGGTTGTCCCGTGTGCCTAAGGGAAGAAGATATGATCAATGTCCCTAGTAGCTTGCTGATGCTGAAATGAGTGCGGGCGCATGGACGCTATATGCATAACTATGATCATCATTTGTCCAAATTCTTGCTCTTGACCATCCTTCCTATCAGTTCTTTGCATGTTTTCTCGCTGTATTGCTCCCAAACCTCGTACAACGAGACCAGCTCTTGAGTACATTCAATTACAGCTTTGATGTCAATTTCGCTTTCCGCGAGCCAGCTCACCAGCTTCGTGATCTTGGGAGGAGGAGCTGTTCCTGACTTATCTGACAGAGCGGCTAGCATCTGCATGCCTCCTCCATCTCGCATGGAGGCTGCTATGGCGGATTGCCCAGAGCTAGTGAAAGCGGTTGGGTGGGTAGGCTTGAAGACCACTGCGACAATGATTGCCATGATGGCGATGACGTGGGGCGGATGCAGTAGTGGCAGGTCGGTTAGATAGTGATCGTTGATCACCGACCATGCAAGGGCGACTTCATCAGATGTGAGCTGGAGTTCGGTTTGCAGTTCTGACAAAGTACGGTAAGGATGATGCACGATCAGCTGTGAGCTCATTTCAGAGATCAGGGCAAACTCGCATTCTCCTAGTTTTGCGACGTCTGGGGTAATGAATTCTGGGGGTGGTCAGTCGTGTGCCAGTAGCTTATGGAGCAGCCCATACCTGGCCATAGACCGCGCGCCTCGCCAACCACGAATCGGATATGCTGTGGGCACTCTTCCATCTTGCAGGCCAAATAAAAGGCGGTGGTGAGCACAAGATATGGATTCGTCTGCCGAATCTCATTTTTGGTGTAAAATCTCTTCAGATACACCTGTGCTGTGGCAATCGCTTGCTGTCGAGTGGACATGCGCTTTCCAAGCTTGATGAGTTCTGGGGGCTTCCATTAGTCCTTGATGATCCAGATATACCCCGCAAGACTTACGTTGATTGAAGTAGATATTCAGCAGGCGTTGATCCGGCAACGGGAATTGTGAGTGGGCCACCTTGTCCTTCTCCCATAAACCATCACGAATATCTGCGAGTTTCTCTCTGGAGAATAGCCAGTGTCGACGCTGGGACGATGCCCAATAGTTGGCGGCCATGGTAATGTTGATGGTTCAAGTCGACGGCCAGTCATGACATGGTCGGCCCCGACCGGATGTGATAGACGCGCCTATTGCACCACAACCTTGAATAGGGAATAACAATAGAAACAATCGAAGCTATCAATGTCAAGCGGTACAATGAAGTCGGATTGTAAGTCCCAATAAGGGATAGTAGGGCTTGGCCCTGCCGAAAGATAATCCGGAGGTTGAGGTCAAATCGCCGGGCGTCTATTAATCATTAGCTCCTCCCGACGAAGGCTCCATAACCTCGCATCCCAACGTCATTTTATGCTGCTCCGACTCCTTCGACTTGCTGGTTTCTCCCGACTTTCCCGAATATCGCGGAACTATTGACGCTCCTGGATTCTTCGACCTCGTCGACTCTCGTCTTGACCTTCACATAAACAATGAATGGAGCTCGGTAACAATTTTCACCATGGCACCGGAGTCAAAGGACGAACGCGACAAGAGAGTTGCTAAACTCTGGGAAACACTGGATACTCGGCGAGAAGGACACATCGACCTACATGGCTTGAAGAAAGGTCTCAAAAAAATCGACCATCGTGAGTCCGGAGGTCCTGCGTTCTCCGAACCAACTAACGTTTTTCTCGCAAGCACTCAAAAACGCAGATGAGATGGTTGTCAGTGTTGTCAAACAAGTTGACACAAATGGCGACGGCCGTATAGATCAAGCTGGTAAGCCCCTCGAGAACTACTGAATCAAGCCGAGCCTTGAGGAAACATGTTAGCCGCGCGCCAGTACTCCGATCCTAACTACCACCAGAATTCCGCGCATTTCTCAACCACACCGAGGACGGCCTATGGAAGATGTTCCAGAGCATCGATCGCAACCACAACGGAGAAATCGACAAGGCGGAACTGCGGAACGCATTTTCAAGTTCTGGGGTCACGGTCTCTGGGGCCAAGCTCGACCGGTTTTTCGCCGAGGTGGATAAGAACAATGACGGGGTGATTTCTTACACCGAGTGGAGGTATGATCATTCGCGCTCTATGAGAGATTAAAATAACTGGGCTAACATGCTTTCCCTTTGTTACTAGAGATTTTCTCCTGTTCCTACCCCTCCATTCCCCGACCGACCTCCACGCAGTCCTCTCATACTACACGGCCACGGGTAATCTAAACCCGGAAGGAGATGTCCACATCAATGACCTGCAGGGTTTAGGTACAGACCATCCGTTTCTTAGACCTCTTTTGGCCATCCAGCACCTCATGTACAACATTATATCACTCCCCGTCTTGGCCTTACTCCTTCCTTCAGCCCACGCGGAAGCCATCCAGATCTCAAAATTGGGTCCTGTCCTCGAGAATGACCATGTCTCGTTAGACGGCGACTTCGAAATGGAGTGGTTGACCGTCCCCCAGACTACCGCCATGCGGATGTTTTTCCGATATTATGGACGGAAGTTGACCGAAAATACCCCTCAATTAGGCTACTTCTTCGCCGGTGGAATCGCGGGCGCTGTGTCTAGGACGGCTACTGCACCGCTCGATCGTCTCAAAGTATACCTGATTGCCCAAACCGGGGTGAAAGAATCAACCGTTCGTGCGGCGAAAGAGGGGGCCCCACTTGCTGCTGCAGGCAATGCTTCCAAAACACTGTTCGATGCGCTCAAGGAATTATGGCGTGCTGGTGGAATCCGGAGTCTGTTCGCAGGTTTGTTGGAGACACCTTTTCCCCTCGAAGCAGCTTCTGACTGAACAGGCAACGGATTGAATGTGGTAAAAGTTATGCCCGAATCAGCCATCAAATTTGGTGCCTACGAGGTTTGTGACTCGAAAGAGTTGTTCCTTGCTGGGTGAATGCTAATTTCTACATAGTCCGCCAAACGGATGTTTGCCCGGCTCGAGGGACACAATGACCCCAAAAGGCTTCTTCCTACTTCCCAATTCATGTCAGGTGGCTTTGGTGGAATGGTTGCACAGTATGTCACGGGCAGCTTGCTCATCAAGCGCTTCTACTAACAACTGTCTAGATGCTTTGTCTATCCGCTCGACACCCTCAAGTTGTAAGTACAGCGACGTATTTCTCTGATGGTACTGGGCTAATTTCCCCCAACAGTCGTATGCAATGCGAGACAGTCAAAGGCGGCCCGAAAGGGAACCAATTGATCGCAGCCACCGCGAAGAAGGTGTGGAACAAGAACGGTATCCTAGGCTTTTTCCGAGGCCTCCCTCTCGGTCTTGTGGGCATGTTCCCATATGCAGCAATCGATCTATCAACATTCGAATACCTCAAACGCACCCTGCTTGCAAAAAAGGCTCGTGAGCACGGCTGCCATGAGGATGATGTTCCCCTCGGAAACTTTGCGACAGGCGCCATCGGTGCGACAAGCGGAGGATTCAGTGCTTCCATCGTCTACCCCCTCAATGTTCTCCGCACTCGACTCCAAACTCAGGGTACCTTCATGCATCCGCCTACATACACAGGCATCGGCGAAGTTCTCAGCACTACTTTGAAAGCCGAGGGGCTACGAGGCCTCTACAAAGGTCTCACGCCCAACCTGTTGAAGGTGGCCCCGGCCATGTCAATCAGTTACGTGGTATATGAGAATGCGAAGCGCACTCTTGGTCTCCGCTGATCAGCCCATCCCTCAATCCTCCCCCTGAATCCTCCTTGCATGCCTCTGCGCACGTATCCCGTTGCGTACGCACCTCAGCGGCACATGACATCCGTGCCCTGGGGCTGATCGTCGCAACCGATCTCTGATACATTGCCTCGCTTGTCATTCAAAAGCGTCTTTAAGATACCCACAGAAGCCATCATCTGACCGGCTCATACCTCATTCAAGGCTGTATTTGCGTGAGTCATCGTCTGATGTCTATTTGACAAAGTAAGATTTTGTCTTATTTCTTGCCATTTCTTGCATTTGCCTTGTTTGTCTACCTGGCTTCCAATCTGTAATTTTTATTTGATTTTCACTATATATGATGCTCTCATATGAGACAGCTGTGCCTCTCACTTTCTTTTGACATCACTTCTCAGGGCACTGGAAACCATAACCACAACAGCATGACACGGCGTCGATATAATACCACGGGACATCTGAATTTATTTTGTCAATATCTACGCAGCTAGAGCATTTCCAATATCGGATAAAAAGATATGTTTCAATTTTCACTTGACTTAGATCATTTCATTCTGGAAACTTGACATTAAGTTCGCAACTCTCGGTTCGGGAACGCGACACGGTGATCGTTCCCACTGGGCACTTCATTAACAATTCGCTAGTCGTTTATTTGGCTGCCTGCACAGCGGCCACCTCCTCTTCCTTGGGAAGGATATCGGGAACCGGCCCCAGGGGAGTGATACCGAAGGGGTTAATTTGCTTGTGGCTCTTGGTATAGTGGAACTTGATATGCTCGAATTGAGTGGTATCATGGAAAGCAGGCACATCCCAGTAGAGCTTTCGGACCCAACGATGGATAGCCGGGAATCCAGAGCGGATGTCACGGAGGTTGCACTTGAAGTGTTGCACGTAAACAGGGTCGAAGCGAATGATAGTAGTGAACAGTCTGATATCAGCCTCGGTGATCTCATCACCGAAGAAGTAGGGCTTGGAGGCAGCCTGCTGTTTGGCAAGGTGGGCCTCGACCTTGTCTAGGGAGCTGAAGAGCGTCGTCACGGCCTTCTCATATGCTTCTTGGGTGGTTGCAAAGCCGGACTTGTAAACGCCGTTGTTGACGTCATTATAGATCCAGTCGTTGGAGGCATCAATATCGGCCTGAAGGGCCTTCGGGAAGAGGTCCACATTCTTGAATTGCTCTGGGAGAAGATCATCGAACTCATGGTAGAGCATGCGGATGATTTCAGCACTCTGTTTGTGTTAGCACTGGCAGTGGCCATTCGAGTCGGCATTTCTAACCTCGTTGCTGACGATCAGCTTGGTCTTCTTATCAAACAGGACTGGGACGGTGAACCGTCCGGTGTAGTCAGGATCATTGGAGAAATAGACCTGGCGAATGTGGGTAAACTCCGGGTGCAGAGGATCAGGGATGGTGTTCTCTCCTGGAATCTTCTCCTCAGCAGTAGCGAATCGCCAGCCTGGATAGATTAGCATTTCGTCATTTGCATATGAACAGAGGCTCTCACCATTTTCGCCGAGGTGCCAATGCACGGATGAGAAAGTGATGAAGTCCTCGAGACCCTTGAGCTTCCGAGTAATCAAAGTCCGGTGAGCTAGATGAATGTTTAGCCAGGATCAGATATGCGGAAGGGTAAACCATACCCCATGGACAAGCGTATGAGACATAGAGATGGTAGCGGCCTTTCTCGGGAGGGAACTGGGCACCAGCCTCTCTAGAGATCCAGTTGCGGAAGACGGATTGCTGGCGTTTGAACTCGCCCGACTTGTCTGCGGGGTTCACCCAGTCAGTGATTTTGGCTGAATTACCGGTCTTGCAACATGTTAGCGGGAAAAAGTAGCCGACGGGTTGACTTGCTTACAGCCATGTTTCGCGTAGAGATCACGGTGCTTTGGTGAGCCGTGGGAAAGGTTCTTCGAAGAATTGCTGGACGTGGAAGGTGCTTCAACGTCTGGGATCTGAGCAAAAAGAACATTAGGACAGTGGCGGAGGTAGTCTTTATAGTTAAATCCACTTAAGGCATGTCCCGGGCGGATGAAATTGCTGAGTAAGGCTTATGGAGATCTCGATCAGCTTTGACAAACCTATCGTTTACGAGTGTTCGGCCAGAAAGTATTACTCCGTACACCATTTCCCCAATTCAGATGATACCCCTCTATTCTGGTGTAGTGTTATGGGGCATGATCTCGATTTGTGTACCTACTTTACCTAACAACAAGAATAGATTGGAAATCATCCAACTAAGCACAAAACTAACCAATCCGGACGATCCCGGACTATTGCCATTGCTGCATTCTACCAGGCCGTGTGTCAGGCCTGATTAATGCCTGTCTCATATTGGCCACGAAGCAAAAAGTGAAGACCGAAAAAAAAGATTCCTCTCACGCGGGATCGAACCGCGGACCTCAAGATGTCAGATTCCTGACAGAAACAATTACAGTCTTGCGCTCTTCCAGCTGAGCTATAAGAGGATTATTGAAAGTAACCAGGACATATTGGCCCAAAGTACCCGGTGGACATAGATAGCGTTATCACATAGAAAGCCCACTAGTTGACGAGTGCCCCCGGCCATGCCCTTGTTGACTGAGGAGTGTCGTTGTTTCGAGGGAGCTGTCAATTGGACCTAGAAGTCTAGAAATTTACACTGACTCCATACAATACAATGATAAAAGTGGAATTCTAGCTACTGTACGGTGTACTAGCAACATTTTGTAGTTGTCCGGTTTTTCATAAATCCTTTAGGCCTTATTTGTCGAGCTTGACCATCACGTAAGGGACCTCGACATCCTCTTCTGTCTGGTCTTCAGCAGTGACCTCGAAGATAATGTTCTTTTGGTGGGCAGGGACAGGCTTCTTGCTGACGTGCTCCACCAGCTTACTCATGCTATAGATTATTAGGTTAGTGACTTGATCGGGTTGGAACGGTGGAGAGAAACTTACGGAAGAGGCAGGCGATCCTTGACCTTAGACGGAGGGTAGAAGCTTGCATACAACAAACTGACCCCGGAGCTGACCATGGTAATGTCCAAGCCCTTCTCGGCGAAGTAGTTGAGGAATTCCTGGAGAGGAATGTCGTCCACCTCGAACCGGTCCCAGAGATTGTCAATGGTGACTTCGCCTTCCTTGCCCTGGTACTTGCTCTTCGCACTTTGAATAGGCTCACTGAAGCTGAAGAAGGGTAGGGCAAGGTTGACAAAGCCGTTCTTGTATTTCTCAATGTCGTCCTGGCCATCAACCACCTTGTAAAGCTCGAGAGCAACAAGACCGGTGACCAAAGCGGTGGTTGTCGCAATGGCGGGAATGATCTTTCCAGCAATGAACTTGGTCTTATGGCGATCAGACTGAGGAATATCATAGTTCTCCGCACGGAGATTGCTGGCAGCTGTGATGAAGTCGATATGGTGGTTGGTGTCGTCATCCTTTTCGAACTCAACAGGCTGCAAGCGGAATCCAGCGAGAGACTTGGGCGATGGGAGAGAAGAGACAAGCTGCTTGATCTCATCTTCGTCGGAAGAGCCCCCAGCGGGCTGAGCATTGGGGTCGGGATCATTGTCATTGGCCTGAATCTTGACGTTGGAGCTCGGGGTGAACTCAGGAATGATCATGTCGTCGACTACTCTGCGGTAGTAGCCCTTGTCTGCACCGGGGTTTTTGATTCCGTAGTTGAAGGCGTGGAGATTGGCACCAGCAATGACAAATCCAAGATGGGTCGGGCTAGTACTGTCAAATTTGAGAGGGGTGGGAGCACGCTTAGGTCCAGACCAAAAGAGCTGACCGGAAGATGTCTTGGAATCCCGGGGGAAGTTGTAGAGGAGTTGTTGGATCGCGTTATTGTACTGCGCTTCGAATTGCTGGCGAGCCCAGACAATACAATCGTCAAAAGTCAGAGGCTTCTCCGTGACCAAGAAGTCTCGCAGATGCTCCAATGTTTGCTTCTCGTTGCCCGCCTGCTTGAGGGTCTGCTGAATGTAGTCGGGCTGGGAGAGGTACAGGTTGACCGATTCAGGTGGGCCAACGAAGTAAGTTTGGAAGATATCACGAGCCCAGGCAATGGTGTGCTCGATGCGGTTGGGGAAACTCTTGAGAGTGCACATGGGGAAGGACTTCTCAGGAGGGTCCTGGGAGCTAGAGTAGGACTCTGTGATGAAGGGAAGAACAACTTGGATGTTGCCCTTGGTACCAAGCGTGCCACTCTCGAGCAGAGGCTTGCGGAAGAATACACAGCGCCGATCGACATATGTACGCGCTTCGACGTTGTCTAGTGCGTTGGTCACACCGTCCAAACCGTTCCAGAATTCCTCGTTGAACACATGCTCAGTATCCGCACCAACACGGTCCCGAAGAGTGACGATTTTACCGTTCAGCTCGGGGTTCATGGCCTGAACTGCCGCGGAGGCACATTCACTCTTCAGCTTACCAACATCCTTGGTGCGGAATAGGAATTGGCGGTTCAGGTTGCTCTTCTCAATCTGATCCATATCAGTGACCAAGATCTTTCCCTTCGGGCCTGTGCCTAGTCCAATCATGGCCCAATTCTTAAGTGTCTCGCAACCAATAGCACCGGCGCCGACCAAAAATTGAGTGACATTAGCAATCTTATCTTGGTACTCCTTGCCAAACACGGCAATCTGGCCATCATAGCGGGTACCAAGCGGCTGGCAACTTTCCTCAGATCGAGTGACAGACGAAGGCAATGACTCCAAAGAGTCAAAGTACATCCACTGTTGAACAGGGCCGAACTTTCCGGAAACAGCCTTGAGGACCTCTTGGGCAGCGATACCACCGAAGAAAGCGGCCAGCGGGTTCAAGTCACCACGGGCCTGGTAGCTGAGCTCCTTGATAATCTTCTCATCAAGTTCAACCTTATCTTCACCAGCCGCAGCGAGATCGTTAGAGATCTTCAGCACCTCCTCCGCGTCACTGTCATTGTGGGGACGAGGGAGTTGACCATCGTGAGTCTCCGCAAACTTGTGAAGAGCCTGGATACCGATGTGCATTTGTTGAGGGCGATCAAACTTGGCCCAGTCTGAAATTAAAAGCTCGGGGTTCTTAAGTTGCTCCTCCAGAGGCTGGAAGTCAATGAACTTAGGCATCTTGACCTGTTTGAAGATACCACCTCGCTTGTAGGTGCCCAGGCCGGAGACATCACCGATGGTGAAAGTGTAGGGGCCTTTTACGGTGATCTTCCGGGGATCACTGTCATTGAGACCATCCATACCTTCAACTTCAGTGAATGAGACAAAGTCACCATCCTCGAGGCCGTGTCGTGACTCGTCGAGCGCTGATACCAGTCCCTCGTCATTGATATCGGCAACAATTCCCTCGGCAGGGTCTTCACCAGTGGGGTCACCAACAGTGAAGTTCTTTCCAAAGTCATTGAAGATATAACCAAACAGACCGAATGTGTCAGTAATGGTGAGATAGATGCCGTTCTTGTGGCAGAAATTGGCAATAAGAAGTTGCTCCTTCAGAGGGGTCTGTGTGAGAACCACTGCTTGATAGCGCTTGAGCTGTTCCAGATCTTCCACGAGATTCCGTCCCTCATGAATTGTAGTTGGAACGTATGAGTTCAATTCAGCAACTCGAGGGGCGGTGACTTCGGCGCGAGGTTTGCCGACATCCTCTGGTTGAAGGAAGAATTGGGAAGACAGGTCCGAGATGGCGACAGGTGCGGGATCGTAGAGAGTGAGAGACTTCACACCGGCGAGGGCAATGTTCTTGGCTGCAACAAATTAGATCAAGGAACACAAGTCTTCAATGACGAGCCCACCCACCGATTTCGACACCGAGGCCTTTGAGACCTACAACTAGAACATTTGAAGAGCCCATACGCTTCATGGCCTCATGACCAAGAACGTACCTCGAAGGCGTCAGCATGTACCCGAAGACTCAAACGCAGCGGAAGTTGAGAGGAAACTCACAGCTGTCGACTATATAGGGATTCATCGATTTCGCCGCTCTTGATCGCCTCGACGGTCTCTTGTGGGTTCTCGACCTGCATCTTTGCGTCCTAGAATGGGATGCCTTAGTGGCAAGCTTGCGGGGAGAGCTTAGATTGTCCATACCGCCATAGTTCGTTTCTCTGGCCGAGCTCCGACGGGTTCTTCAGAGGCTCTACGCTTTTCCGGCTTAGCCGCGTTTCGAACAGGAATGTTTGAAGAAATGATGGAAATCGGGAGGTGAAAGCCTCGCGAGAAGCAAGACCTTCGATAGTGATGATAAAGCAAGTAGTAACGGCTAGCGTACCAGGTACCTAGCTCAACGAGCACAGAAGTAGCAAACCGAACGCAGTCGGTTGTAATCGAGAGGTCCGGGAAGGAGGTGGAGAGTGAGAAATAGTGAAGCGTGAGAAATGAAACAGGAAGTATTGAATTACAAGAGAGAGGTCGAGGAACGACGTAAGAGGGGACCAGCGGGCGCCGGGCGGACAGCTACGATGACTAATGAGCGGTGAAGATTAGCCCCGCGATATTCCCGAGGTCTGTGATCAACACTTCCGTAGTTCTGCGCTTGGTCGCGTCTGGACTTGAATACTTTCTAGATATGACTGAGAATACTACACAATGAACCTTTTTCTCTCTTGCCCATCTTGAAATATTTCCTTTTACGTTCACGATATCGGACGCGTCTCAAAACCTACGCGATCCCTAGCTCCGCCGACTCGACTTGACTTCACATGTGTCGCTTTGAATTCGTGGGGCGTGGTCTACTGTACTGGAATCGCCGTCAGTATCCAGTGGAGAGATCCCGGTTTTCAAGGTGAGCCGTTCACCGACATATCTGCGAGTGGCACGTCATTGATATCCGATAGCCAGCTTCCGTCAGAATGCTCCACGAGATCCTCCTCTCCCTCTCCGGCCAACCCTCGCCCCTGTTCAATGCCCACAAAGGGGAAGAGAATGAAGTTGAAGATGATTTCGCCCTTCTCTCACCTCCGGAAAAAGCTCTCCTCGCCTCCGTTGGCCATCTGAGCCGAGTGCACGCGCAGCTACGAAAACGAGCCACCGAAACGTCTTCTACGAATCCTTCGGTCATATGCCGCTCGGTTTCTACGGCGATCCTAGGGGCACACCTAGGGGAATTCCAAAAGAAAATTTTGGAAGTAGAGCGGGCGATCCTTGCTGAAGACAGTGGGTATGTCGGGGGCTATGGTATCGTTCCGCTGTCGACTATCGTGGGGGAATTTGGACCATGGACGCGGCGCATGGATTGGCTCTGGGGGATAATACGATTTATTCAGCCTGAGCAACGAAGCAGCGAACGCTCGCGTGGAGCCTCGGGGGCAGCGCTTATCGATCATCTACGGGTTGAAGCTCAAACGGGATATCTTGATATCAAAGAGATGGCACTGAGCCTCGCAAAAGCCGCTGAAACCGCATGGATGAAGCAGCTATCGATGTGGCTCCTCTATGGGAAACTTCCAATGTATGGCAAAGAGGACTTCTTCATTCAGGAAGACCTTGGTAATACGGACGAAGAGACTCAATTCAGCATGCATTCGAAATTTCTCCCAAAATTTGTGACATTGCAGACCGCAAGCTCCATACTCTTCATAGGCAAGTCGCTCAACCACATAAGGGCAAAAAGGAAGACTTCGATCGCAGGAGCCTCGACTGCCCCGGTGACTCTGTACCAGGAGCACATACAGCAACTTGCAAGCCTGCAATCTCCAATGTCAGCTTCGAAGCTGACTGCTGCTATTGACTGCATTCGCCTATCACTCTCTCAATCGACTTTATCCAAATTATTACCGCTTCCCAAGATCCTCGAAATCCTCGCTTTGCTTCACAACTTCTTACTGTTGAGACGAGGCGAGTTTGCAGTGGCTCTAGTGGTACATGCCGACTCTCGAGTGAATGAGAGTCGATCGCGCGGCCCAATAATGGGCACTGGAGCTGATGGAAAACTTGAAGGCCTCACCATCAAGGAAGGAGATGTCACAGCTGCCTTGACCCAAACATGGGCAGAACTTTCTTCGCTGCAAAAAGAAGAAGACCCTACAGATGAAGAGCTCGAACTTGCCCGAGCCCTTATCTTTCTCTCTGTCAGCAATGGGAAAGTCGGGCGACCTATGACCCCTGCCCAAAATCCCGGCCTCATATCAGATATCTCGAGCGTTTCGTTCGAAGATCTCCTCTTCCCAATACCAACATCACTTAATGCGCAAATCCGCGCTCCTCTGGATCTATTCATATCCGGCTCCGACATCACTATATATTCGAAAATCCACTCCTACCTATTGGGCATAAGGCGGGCTCAGATCAGGCTTGGTGATCTTTGGAAACGCACTCCACTGCGCAGAACGCACCCTACTCCTTGGGGACCACCGAAAAGCAATAGTCCCTTCGGACAGGCTAGGCTCAAAGCAGGCAGAGAGAGAGAAAATGCTCGCGTCCGTCAAATGCGTCCTGTGTGGGCTTCAGGCAGCGCTTGTTTATTTGTACTGTCGGAGATTGGCGGATTTTTCCAAGGTGATGTGGTTAATGAGTCGTGGCAACACCTTCAGCAATGGATTGAGGGACACTCCTCTGCGCCATCTGCGCCAAGTTCCCGACCTGGAACTTCCTCATCTTCTAAACAGCAAATGAATTCGGCCACTAAAGACTCCTTCGAAAGTGGCCAAGAAACGATGGGGCGTCACGATCCGGAGGCCCTGACTGTCGCTCACCGCCGACACTTGTCATCCCTCGTACATTCTCTTCTTCTCAGCGAGATCCCATTCACCAAAACACTCAGAAGCCTTCTCGCCAATGTTGACCGCTTTGCCGCACTCGTGATCCGACTGGAGACTATTCAACGCAACATGGACCTTGAGGCAGACGAAGGTGTTGAGGATGCCTTAGTAGACTATGTCTCAGAAGAACGCGAGGTGTGGGAAGAATTAAGCGTCACTCGAAACAGTGTCGACACTGGCATTAAGAACCTTGTCACCAGCCTTAGGGACATTGACGATGGTCGCTCAGGAGATGGCAGGGGGCAAGTGGACCTGACACCAAACTTTGGTCAAATGTGGACTGGGTCCCGGAACGAACACAACATTCCAGGATTTCAACACTATGTGCCTCTCAAACCGGCGGGCGTGGATCGCTTGCTTATGAAATTGGACTTCGGCAACCTTTGAAGTGGTTTCCGGTCCGATGCTATTCGTGGCCCGGGACATCTGATGCTTCTCGTCCTTTTAACCGTGAATGACCTTTCTATCTTGATTTTAGCTTTTTGTTTGGCTACCCAGCGAGGAATTGGCGTTTTATTCCCAAGGAAACAGGTGAAACGGATTGGTTCAGTGGAGTTTGAACACTATGCGCAATATGTTCTATTTCTTGTTTCCTTATTATTAGTATCAACTTGAAGATCGGTTCCAACCAAACTCGTTCCAAGGTTTATTGTACTAGGTAGAACACGAGAAGTCAATTCTTCGAAGACCTCAAGATGGGTCGCGTGCATACTTCAAGGTTTGATGTAGTTCAACCGTGGACAGATGAGAGCCCTCGACTCGGAAGTACTTGGGTAGTGTTTTGGTGGAATATATTTCCAAGACTTCCTTGAATGGATAGTATAGTCCTCTCAACACAGAGATTGCAGGATTCAGCCAGGTAAACATAAAGCCAACAATCCTTTGCTTAACCGCGATTGCCTTTGATCTGTCTCGCCACCGCTCTGTACAGACTTGAGCCAAGGGAGCAGTCGATGGTTGAATGAATCGGGAGGACGGTCCAGACTGCGGGGAGTAGCTCGGGCTCCTTACGCCACAAAGAAATACGGGACACAGACTAGTCCTGCATATGTGCCGCGGGTCATCTGCCTTCTAACACATTTCCCTTCCGGCAGATGGCGGAAGCTTGATACCAGTCGGATTTGAGTTCTGGAGATATCAATATGGTGTTTACAAGCGAAAGTCCCAAGAAGCCACTTTGACCACAAGAAACGACCGACAAGGCATGTTATAGAATTGTGGTGTCCATGGGAGATCGGAGTCGGTGTGAGTGAGAAAAAGGATTACCCAATTAGGAAGTCCCGAGCTTCGATGTACAGGGTAGGTCAATCGATTCCGCATACATGGCCCCTTCCACCCCCTACTAAAAATAAAAATAAATAGAAGAAATTCAAGCTCGGGACCGGGGAAGCTGCGCGTCTATGGGGTTCGGGTGGATTCAAGGTGGAACTCGGCGTTCTGGTCCTGTGAAGACCGGGACACCGAGAAAGGAGAAGACGAGTAACCACATCAAGTGACCCGTTGCGTGAATTTTTTTCTTCCTCTGGGTATCTCTGGACTCGGGAGCACAAGATACTTGCCAAGTTCCAATAATAGAGGAACATGTATGACTCTTCCAACTGGCAATGCCGAGCGTCCTATTGGAGACGGCATGCCACGTCTGCACGGGGAGCTTCGATCTAGCGGGATGTTCTGACATTTCTCCCTATGTAGCAATACTACATACATAAATTGATCTAGAAGTAATAGATCGACATGGAAAACACTTTCACGGTTCCCCGTGCCAATCAGATTGTGTCCGAGCCTGTGTATTCACCTGTGCATACCTAATGTACCTTAGTTAAAGTAGTCTTATGAGGATCATCCGATCGAAGCTCTGATCGAAGGATTGCTAGAGGTTACGATGTTCCACCTTGGCCATGCAAGCCCCTTCCCCGACATACCTGACAATGTGGCTAGTCAGAGTCCCCATGACCAGCGTGGAAATAGCTACCGTGGATGTTCTCGGGCAATGAAAGTGCCTGGGCCGAACTGGATCACGGTGAAAGCACCTGGAGCTGGCCCACCAGGTCACACGCACAATCTTTATTGATTATCATGCGTGGATCCTAATGCCAGATGTGATATTGCTCGGAAATCCCTCCAAGGAAGTGCCGCTCCAGCTGCTCAGACATATAAAGATATCCACCGCCGGTGAGAGCACAACTGATTCATCGTGACGTTTCTCTCGTTCTACTATCGAAATCTTGTGATTCCAGGTCTATCGACTACTAATATCACGCACTAAAGCTATTCGGTCGTTCTTTTTGTCTTGTATACCCCACCCGCCCCAGTCATGTCTTTTACCCGGGCGTTGGCTCCTGCGCGCATTCGACTGGCTAGTGCTACGATTGCCACACCTCGTATTCTCTCATCCTCATCTCGACTGTACTCCAGCTCTAGGAGCTCATTCAATCCACATGACATTCACAATGTCTACCATAGCCCGGAGCACATACAGACAAAGCTGCCAGAGACAAAGCTATTGAAGAACCACCACCGATTCAGCGAGTTTGATCTCGAGGGCCGGGTGTATGCCATCACCGGCGGTGGCGGAGGATTGGGGCTATCGATGGCGGAAGCGCTGATTGAGGCTGGGGCAAAAGGTACATTCATGATCTTCCGGGCTTCCGTGAACCCTCGAAGTGAGAAGAAATTGACACAGAATCGACACCTTAGTATATTGTTTGGACCGCCTCGAAACTCCACACCCAGACTTCATGGTTGCCAAGGAGAAAGCGGAGAAAGAATATGGCGGAAGCCTGGAATACATCCGCATCGATGTACGAAACGTCACAGACGTCAACAACGTCTTTTCAGCGATTGCAGAACAGCATGAGCGACTGGACGGCCTGATCGCCGCGGCTGGGATCAACCACCTTCAGAGTGCCCTGGAGCACACCCAGCAAGCATTGGATGATGTGATGACTATCAATTTCAACGGTGTATTCAATGCAGCAACTGCCGCCGCCCGCCAAATGTTCAACTATCAGCAGAAGGGCTCGATCCTACTGGTGGCTAGTATGAGCGGTCTCATTGCCAACAAAGGAATGACCTCACCGGTTTACAATTCATCAAAGGCCGCTGTCATTCAGCTTGCTCGCTCACTTGCGATGGAATGGGGTCGTCATGGCATCCGTGTCAACAGCTTGTGCCCGGGCCATATCATTACTCCCATGGTCGACAAGGTGTTCCAGCAGAACCCCGCTGCTCGAGCCACTTGGGAGGCAGAGAATATGCTTGGTCGCTTGGCTTTGCCTGAGGAGTTCCGTGGCACCGCGCTGTTCTGTCTCTCTGACGCTAGCAGCTTCATGACTGGAAGCACATTGCTCATAGATGGTGGTCACACCGCATGGTAAGCGGAACGACAAAGCCAGCACTGGCGCCCTTGGAAATTGAGCCGCTGCTTCCCCAGGTGTGGGTCCTGACACTAGTCCCAAGTGGGACTAGTGTGACTACTTTGGGAAACGTCAAAACATCAGGAGTATACACGCAGAGCCAGAAACACTTCAATTTCACTTCAATTTCACTTCAATTTCTCTCCAACAGACATTTCTGTCATTAAGGGCCCTACTGTATTAAAAGGGTGTGTAAAAAAAAATAAAATTCGTCGGAGTCTCACTACTTCAGATAAAAAAAAATATCACAATCCCAGCCGGGGAAATGGCGAAACATCTGCCCAGCGACTTCCGGTCCTAGGGAATCGAACCCGTGGCTCGGCAATCTAGAAGGTCAGGGTGCAGATATGGCTCCCTGTGCGACCAACTAGACCACCGCAGGTTTGGTGAAATATAATACCTTTCTGTTCAATATATCTTCACTCCCGCTCCTCTTATGTCACGTGACCCACAGTACTCTCCAGGCCCCGGGGGCTGGCTCCAGGGCTCAGATTTTAGGGCGACGGGTAGAGTTTGATCTACGATGCCACTGCAAGGGACAACACTGCACATGTTTCTCGCACGAGCCTGCCATTGAACTCCACGCATGGAAAGTGCATCTCAGTTAAAACTTCGCCAATGAATTCAAAGTTAAGAACTCGTGTGAACCTAATTTAGGGGAGCTAGCCGAGTTGATTCGTCCAGCGACGCCTATAGAGCTGGGGTCTCTGCACTCCACGCCCCAAACTTAGTCACACGTTTGCCTAGAGCTGTATTTGACATCACACGTATTCCCCTTGCTTGGTCATATAGTCGATAAAATAACTCAACCTCGAAGGCCAGCATTCACTTTGGAATCTAACCCTGCTATACAGGCTCTATTCAGCTAGCATGACGATGGATTCATTCTCGATCACTTTGTGCAGGTCCAAGTTTGTACCAATATAAGATCTTTGAAGATTTATTTTTCAGTCAAAGCATCGCAATACTTGAGTGCTGATACTAAATCTTACAATTGTATCTGCAATCAGGGGTCTTTAAACCCAAATTTAGTATCGATTCGTTCCGCTTGGCAGCAGCAATGGGGGTCAAAGCATAGCATCAATGCACTATGACTTCGACAAACTTAACTTTCGCTTGGATCAAGCGTAAAAAAAAAGTAAGGAGACTTGGAAGCTCTTTCCTTTTCCTTGTTATGTGACTTAGAAGGAGCTCGAAAGGAGTTGATCTATGGAAGTTGGGGAATCCAGATTTCTATAAGACCGATGCCATTCCTCATCTGTTGATACAATTCTCATCTCAACGAACAAGTGACCATTTCAGCAGAAGAATTTGCAACCAAGTTTCAAGAAAACAATTGCCATTCCATCAGAACAGTGAAAATGCTCTTCTCTAAGGCTCTTGGACTTTTGCCCTTCGTGGCCATGGCGCTGGCTGGCAGCTCCAAGTTCGCCAACACCTGCCAGGACATTGACGGCGAAGGAACTACCCTTCACGCACAATGCCGCGAGAGAGAGAACGGCCAGCTGCAATCCACCACATTGGACTTGAATCGGTGCCTCAGGAACGACAAGGGCAAGCTCAAGGTATGTAAATCCTCGGTATCGAATCTGACACAGCTGACGCCATGTTAGTGCGGAAAAAAGTGAGTTACCAGGACGTAAGAAGAATTCTCATAGACAGAGAATCTAACCGATTAGTGGCAATTACTCTGGTTCGTGCATCAACTGCACACTTCGTGGAACTGCCGAGTTCTCCTGCCAGTGCCGCAACTCGGAGCGCAACCATGACTATGTCAGTACTATTATTGATTTGAGTGAGTCCATCCCCAATATTAAGGTCTACACTAGAGCTAACAAATTGCCATCTCCAGACAAATGTGTGGCCAACAATCACGGCGAGCTTCGTTGCTAGATTACCAGATGCACAATCATGCCGGTGGAACAGTACAAGATGAATGCACTAGAAACGCGCTATGGGATCAATATTTATGATGTGATGAAATTGCCGCAACAAGGTATCAATTGATGGGAAGCATCCATTTCAAGTGCCTGTCGAGTGCAGAATTGAACAACCTTGAAAAGTATGTCTTTTATCATGTAACTGGATCTTCCAAGCACCTGGGCCTGGGACCACGAGTGATTCAAGACGAGTGGGATAATGTGATACTATGTCCTTGAATTTCTAAGGTTATTATCCTGTAACTAGATTATATACACAAGAGCCTTCTCGCCACTAGATCGCTCTAAGCCGTTTCTTCTACCACCGCCCATGAGCTCATCTCGCTCCTCGTCCCCGTCTACGGGACCGCCTTGCTGAACAATGGTATAGGTAGTTTCTGCAGCGGCACGGTTCATGCGCTGGAGCATGACTCGCAAGCCTACAGCCAGCACCGCAGTAACAATCATGAAGAACGAACATGTGGCCATCCCACGGACATACCACGGACCGTCAGACTCGGGATAAAGTCTTGTCCCAAGGAGCGGTCCACATTGACCGATGATGTTGAGGATGGCAATACTTGCGCCTTTGCCCTCCTTCTCGACCCGGTTGTCCATTGACCATGTGATTACAATCGTGATCGCCGAGAAGAAGCCGGCCGTAGCGGGGTAGACGCAGAGATAACGAATGAGTGTTTGGAGCCACGGTGGTAGATGTGAATGGTAATAACCCGTGAGTGCAATGGTCAAGTATGACAGTGAGGAGACCAATGCATGCCCAATTAGATACGGGCTTCGCGAGCGGCTGCGATCCGAGGCGTATGCGGTGATGAGCACCACGACAAAAGCGAAAAGATATGGAGGCGCAGAGAGGGCCTGGGCGTGTAATGACGAATATCCCATACTGCAGCATGGTGTTAGATGGGGTCCGGCTTTGTAGCACGAAGGGGCACATACTCTTGAATGATAGTTGGTAGGAAGACGGGCATCGAACTAAAGGCAACGTTGCAGCTGAAGAACATGAGCTGTAAAAGTGGTTAGAGAATGAGAGTCGTATACAATTAGGGATATATCTTACAGCAGCCATATAAGCCTTTGAATCGGATGCAGTCTTGAGGATTTCTCGCCAGTTGAATCGACTGCCACGAGATTGCCGATGATCGTCCATGCTTCCCTCAAGGCGCTGCCGAGCTACCATCCTCTGCCTGCGAGTAAGGAATGCCGCACGGTCAGGAGAGTCAGGTATCAGATACCAAGCGAAGACAGCCACAATCACACTGGGGAAGCCCTCGACGAGAAACAAGGTACGCCACGGCGAGATTGGGCCATCGCGGCTGAACTTGACAATCAGATAAGCCAAACTGCTAGCAAACGACGTTGCAAGCGGTGCTGCGGAGATGAAGAGTCCATTCCGGAACGCCAACTCATGGCGCTGGTAAAATAATGACAGGTAAAATGGAACGCCCGGGCCGAAAGCAGCTTCAGTGATTCCAAGTAAAGCCCGCAAAACAACCAACCCCTCGAAAGAAGTTGCCAGACACTGGAACGATGCAACGAGGCCCCATCCACAGACACACAGAGAGATATAGATATGCGGCGGAACGACGCGATACATCAGCGTCATCCATTCAAACAGGATGTAAGTAATATAAAATGCGGTAAGAAGCCATTCATATTGTGGGGATGAGAGTTGAAGATCTTCTTTAAGCCCCGCGATCTTTGCGTTCCCAATATCTGAATACATGGTCAGCAAGCCTTTCGATAAAGCGCCACAGTTGGGGTAGGCGTACTTGAGCGATCCAGGAAGGACAGCAAGTAGAGAAGAGCCAAAAACGGAACCAGCCGTCGATCGAACCTCTTCACAACCTCGCTCTCCTCCTCCGGTGTGAATTTCAGCGCCGATCCAACATTCGGCAGCTTGCCTTCAGGCTCCTCGCCATCATTGTACGCGTCTTCGTTCTCGATGTCGGAAAGTGGATCGCCGACGTCCGGATAGTCTTCAAAGTTGGTTTTCAAAGGGAACGGGATATTCGGTGACTTCGCAGGGCCGGCTTCTGACCGCTCCTCTTCGGACCCGTAGGAAACTGGGGTAAAGCGCGGATTCGAGGACGTGGTCGAGCTCGAGGACGGGTGCCCTGCCGGGGATGGGTGAAGGCCTGCCATGCCAGAAGAAGCACGGCGCAGTCGTTTCAAGGGTAAATCCTAAGGGACAGTCTCTCCATCTGGCCAGGGATCGTGAGAATATATACTCAATGTATAGCTGAAATCCCCCTCGATTCCCAGGTTCGCAGGTGACCGCTGTTGATCACCCGCGTTATGTCAGCGCACGTGGTCATATGCGCTACACCGGAAGTGGTTTAACGTCAAGCTCGGATCAGGTTGAGTGGGCCGCGACTCTATACTTCGGGGCTTTCACATCAACGGTCTCTTCTACACAATACATGGGTAAATTTGAATATCATTTTGACTGTCATGACTATGTGAGCATTCAGATTCTCCATCTAGCTCAAAGATCTCACTGGCTCCAAAGGAACCCCTTCGCCGATTCTGAATAAATCCCATCAACAAAGCAGGCACACGATGAAATCTATCTAAGGACGGTAGATGTCTGGTGCACGACCCCGTGAGGTCTGCGGAACATAGCGATCCACGTATCTCTCCCGCTCCCATCCATCGTTGTACTCTCCATAGTATCCGCTGGGTCGGTAGGGACTGGGGCTAGGACTGTACCCGTCTCGATAGTCGCTTCGTTCGTATTCAAACTTACGTTTGCGTCCACCAGCGAGCTTGGTCGCGCGAGCCTGGCTGGACCTCACGGTATCCAGAAGTTCTTCGATCAGAGGATGATCCTTGTCTTCATGCTGCAGGAAACGCAAGAGGTTCTCGGCAGTATCGCGAAGGAAGCGGACGTTTTCGGTTTGCTTGTAGTGGCTGTCGTCCATCTTGAGAACGTCGTAGTCATCCTTGGCCTTTTGGTAAACGTCGATCAGCTTGTCAAGGTGAGGGTTTGGGGCGGCTGAGCGTTGAACTGAGCCACCGCTCTGTTCGTTTTGATTGCAGTTGCAGGATTTCGTTTCCTTTTGAATGGTATCGGAGTCCGAAACAAGGGGAATTCGGTCAATCGGGCCTGATTGGTGATATTAGATGGGACATCAATTGATGTGGGATGATGCTTGCGGGTCAACTTGCCTTCCTCCAAGATACGCTGGGCTGCGAGTTGAGCTGCGAGGACAGCCTTGATCTCACCATCTGTTTTGCATCTCTTCGTTCCGAGGAACTCGGCCATGTAGAATTCAAACAGACCGTAATGCTGCATGCTGTGCCCATGATCATAGAGACGGAGAAGTGCAGAATCATAGATGTTGACTTGGCCATCCTCGGGCTTCTGGGACCGCTTGCGGATCGCTCTGAGCTGGCGTCTCAGGCTATGGAACAAGGCGCGGGAGTTATCTTTGTCTTGGAGGAGCTCCCCCAAGGCATCACTTGGATCCACAACTTCGCTCCACTCGGCAAACAAGCTGTCTATCTTGTCATGAAGATCGAGCGCCATGACGATCAGACTATAAGGACAGAGAGTTTAGCAGAGCGTGAGAGAGGCGGTATCTGACAGGGGGCATGGGTAGATGACCCTAGGTAGATGATCCTAGATAGATGAAGGCATGTGAATCTTACCTTTGATGGATCGGAGATGGGAGTAACGGAGCCACAGTGCGTTAAAGCCTTGGAAGACCGTAAGACCAGACGAAGGTGAGGCTGCAAATTCGAAGCAATAAGTAAGAAGCAGGAAGCAAGGCGCGGGGAAAAGAGAGAAGAAGGTGAGAGAGAACGGACTTCAAAAGAGCTCGATCGGACTTCAAAAGAGCTCGGCCGAACTCTTTGGAGATATCACCGGCAAAGGGCACGTACCTAAACAGGGAGACCAAGGCGATACCACCCGTGAATACCCAGGACCTAACGATGTTCGACCAGCATGACTTAATTTGGCCTACGGTCACGGCGATGGCAGATCAAATATCAAGGCTTTGAAGGGACCATTACCTAGGACAATCACGGCTGAAAAGTGACATGATGCACTCAATGCACCGCTAAGATGAAGGTAACCTCGGAAGGGTGAATCTCGTGAGCAATCGTCAGTGGAATTGAGTATTATGTCCTATGGTATGGATATGGGCAGAAAGACCATTTGAAGGCCTCAGTTTCTCTCCTTGTAAAGCTTCTCCACTTGATCAATGAGAGCCGAAGGTTGGCTGTTGGAGCTGGCCTGGCCGCAATCTTTCCATTCGCCGTCATCGCGAACACACCAAACAGTGTCGTCCAGGCGCACAGTGCAGCTGGTGTGAACACCAAGGCCTTCACTGCGACCAGCGCTCTCACGCAACAAGGCAATGCCGCTGAGGGGCGGGCCACCGTTTCCTCCATTATCTGGGTCATCGTTCTGTTGGCTTGCACATTTGTTCAAAGCCTCAAAGTCGATTCCGAACTCCATGGCGCATTGGTGCACAAATTCCCGCTCGGGTATCTGGTCGAAATCGTTGATTAGGCAATTTGCGAATCCCAGTGAACGGACAATCGGGGTCCGAGGGTACTGGGGTGGGAGGAGTGCTTCGTCGCCGATCGCAGGGAACGGTAGGTTGGCTGCACAGAGTAGAAGCATGTCACCGATACATTCCCCAGGACCGTGCTTGCATTCTATCTCTTCGTTGTTGGGGGAAACACTAGTGATGATCATTAGCCAAAGGTCGTGGGTGGAGGGTGGTGTAATGGAGTTTGAATCAGTCTTGCTGCATAGTATCACGTACCTAGCGATGAAGTTAAGCCTGAAATCCACTTTTTCGCTGATCTGCTCCATAGTGGGGAGGACCAGCTGCTGTAAGCAAGCTTTGGCATCGGGGCATTTGCTCATGATGTGAGCTTCCAGCGGTATCCTGGTTTGCTCCAGTGTTTTCTGTGTGCTCTGGCTAGCATCCAGAGTGGACTGCTCATATTCTTCGATATCCACAGCTTTGTTGATTTCTGGCTGAAGACGCGTGTTGTGGCCGTCGCATGCGGGGGATGGCTTCAGAAGCAGCAGGTAGTAACCGATGAGGAACACCACGGCGATGCCCAAGCGGCGCACAAATGTGGCCGTGGTAGGCCGTGTTCGACGCTCATGCTGATCGACTGAGCCGTCTACTTCCTGAGAGTGGATGGGGAGCTTCTCCATGTTGTTCTGGTGGTTGGTGTCTTTGATGACGTTTGATAAGATCGGGTGGAGCTTGGGCACGGGACCCATTACATAAGATCTCCCAAAGCTGAAGAGCTAATGGGAAGGGCTTGGGACATTACCACCCTGATGATTGGAGTACACTTGACACCCGGTTCCCTCCTAAATGCCTAAATCTGTGGAGTCATCGACATGTTTTTTTCACGGTCTCCGGTGTCGGAGATGCAGGCTCTTGTTTCAACCTCACCAAATGACTTGGCTGTGCAAATGGCCCGTTGACCAAGCCACACAAGGTTAGAATGGCGTGCCCGGAAACATTCATCGTTACAGGTTCCAGGAACCACCTGCCAAGTCACTCTACAAACCATTGCCAGATCTAAATTCGGTTTGCCTGGGCACGGGGAGCAGGTGACGAAGTCCGGAACGGTAAGCAAAGGCGAATCTCACCAGGCTCAAGTCAACTTCGGTAGTTTTTGGCTTCCAATGAATGATCGGGGGCCAAACGAGTCAGTGCTCTTATGTCCGCCAGATCGCTGTTTCGCAAAATGTTTCTCTGTCTGGATACGGGCATGTCCGGCCCCATCACCACGCGAGCGCCACGAGTGTATATCGAACGAGGCGACCTTCCTATCGAGCGAATGATATTGAAGCCCATCGTTGAGCTTGGTGCCTAGCCCGGGGATCCTGGGACCCCGCCATTCGGTTCCTTGTCGTATAGGACTCTGACCCTTCACTCGTGCATTTTCCAACATCTCGCAGCCTCGTCTCATTTAATCCGCCAAGAATGGCGTCTAGGCCAGAAGATCACGGACTAGGCAGAGGCCTGTACTAAGTAGTCGTCTCAAGTACATCTGGTAGGGTTACATAGTGTGTGAAACACCACACCGCGGCTGGAAATGATTTAGCTAGAGAGCTAAAGCGGGGAGATGAGATTCAGAAAATGTAAAGTTTCCCAAAAGACAACCGGGATTTCCAACCTGTCCCGCGCAAAATGAACAGCGTCGCATCGCTTCGTCTCTTCCGATGGTCGCATCTCGCTCATCTTACTTCCCTTAAATCACTTTCCTCCCTATCTTTGATATCATGACTATTATTCGGTCCATCTGATACCCTGGGCTGCTCCACTTCTGTTCTCGTCCCGATCAGCACATAACTCAGTTTAAGCTAAAAAGGTACTGATTTAATTATTCTGTTAGAGCCCCCGTTTGATTCTTTCTTTTTTTTCTTCGGATCCTGTCTTAAGCAGGGAGCTCTACACACCCATTCTTGAGCAACGCTCCCAGGGCATCTAGGGATATTTCCCGCTTATATAGTCCTCACACCCCCGTCAGATCCATTATTTGTTTCTGCACGATCAGCGCATACCAAAATTCCAGGGTACGTAAAGGCCGAGATGGCAGATTGGCATGATCAGCGTGTTTTCTGTTTTCCCCCGCAGCCGGATTATCGCCCTGCAGACCGCGTCACCGAAATGTTCCTTTTACCCTTTATTGCAACCTCACTAACACAGGACCCAGTTGCGGCTTTAGCTTAGGCGTTATAGTGGCCCTAGCCTCCAGTCTCCACAATTGAAGGATTTTAAGGATATGCCTGTGCCCTGTCGGTCCTAAGCATTCCAAAGCTTCCACGTCACTATTGAAAACATAGCGGCTCTGTCCGCAAGGGAAGACCAGCCAGTTCGACTTTTGGAGATCGAACCACCATTCGAAAAAAACACATCTCTGATCAATCCCTTCTTCATCATGGCGTCTGTCAATTCCAAATCATCAAGGAAGGATGAGGACGAGGAGCCTGATGTGGTACACGAAGACTTAATTGAGGACGACGAGCATGAACATTTTAGCTCGGAGTTGGATGCCGCGCAACAAGAATACCTAGCGCATCATCAGCAATTGGAGGACTTCTTATCGCCACTTGCTCTGGATGAGAGTGTGCTATACCAGCTGGCTCGGCGGTTTTCCACCACCTATCGAAACCTGGCCTTGACATCAGACCAACAATTCCTACCGACCCCCGTCACGCAGTTACCGACTGGCCGGGAGACGGGTCGCTACCTGGCGATTGATGTTGGAGGAAGCAATCTCCGGGTTGCATTTATTGAGTTGCTGGGAGACGCTGTGGACTCTGATGTTCGTCCGACAGATGCAACCGAAAGGTCGCACGACACGATTCGCAAGGCTCAACGTCAGCGAGTGAAGCGAACCTTAGAGAAAGCATGGCCTATCCAGGAACATTTGAAGATGGATAAAGCGGAGGATCTATTTTCTTGGATCGGTGATTGCATCGCGGAGGTGGTGGCTGAAAGTCTATCATCAGATGCCACTAAGAAAGACATTCCCGCCGAATTAGACATGGGAATCACATTCAGTTTCCCTATAATGTACGTTGCACGTTACTTTCCCCTTGTGTGGTCCCATATGCTGATCTACGCACAGGCAAGAGTCACTCGCAGAAGCTACGTTGATGCCTATGGGCAAGGGCTTTGCCATCTCTTCGAATCTCAATCTTGGCAACATTCTCTTGAATGGCTATGAAAAACACACAAAGCGACTAGACGACGATGATGAACCATCCTCGAAGCGTCGCAAGCTGTTTGCACTTCCTAAGCTGAAGATCCAGGCCATCACTAATGACGCGGTGGCGACGTTGGCCTCACTGGCATACAAAGTCAAATCCCTGCCGAACAGTCGAGTTGCCATGGGAATTATTGTTGGCACTGGCTGCAATGCAACCATACCGATGAAACTCAACTCATTGCACGAGTCGAAAGCAAAGAGTGTCAACGCAATGGAGCCCAATGCAGTCGAGACAGTCGTCAACACAGAATGGACCATTTCAGGTGCTGCGCCACCATTGCAGGAGCTCAAAGTGACCACAAAATGGGATGATGAGCTGGACAAAGCTTGTGCGCGTCCTGGCTTCCAGCCTTTTGAATACCTGACCGGAGGTCGTTATATTGGAGAACTGGTTCGATTGATTTTGTTCGACTATCTCACCACAGTCGCCGGGTTATCGAGACGCACCTTGCCCGCCAACCTCATCCAGGAATACGCTCTGACAACGACTTACATTTCCGACAATGTCGCAAAGGCCCGATCCGACCCCGAGCTCGCTAAAACCCTCAATGAGACGCTCCCTCCCCCAGAGAGCAGCGACTGGCGCTGGAATGCCCGAACAGCCGGGGCTTTCCGCAAAATCGCACGCACGGTGCAGAGACGATCAGCCGGACTGATTGCCGCTGCGGTCGTCGGGCTACTTGCATGCGCTCGCGAAATCGAGCTCAAGGAAGATAGCAACACAAATACCCCTGACGTTGTTGCGTCGCCCAAAATTGAAGAAATCGGTAGCTCTCAGTCCATTGGGGCACTGGACGCTGCTGCTGCCAGTCTCAATTCCGCTGCCAGACATGCGGGCCAAGAATATGTTGTCCCAGTCATTGAACCTATCAAGGTCGACTGGCATTCTGGGCCGGAGGAGCTGGTTGTGGCATACACTGGTGGCATTATACAGCACTATCCTCAATTCAAGGAGATGTGCCAACAATACATTGATCGCTTGATCATGCGGACGGGTCCACAGCGTGGTGCGAAATCTGTTTTCCTACGGGAGGCTTCAGATGGCGGTGTCATTGGAGCCGGAGTTTTGGCTGGCATGGTCGTACGCAAGTAAGTGATATTTCAGCTTTTTGGGTGGAAGCGTTGGAAGAGAACATGTTTCAGTTTCTGGCGTCAGTGGGTAATTCCGACTCGTGAATACAATTTGGGGCTCGTGGCATAGAAATGAAAGTTTAACCTAACCCATTTTCACCATCCAAGAATCTGCTCTGCGCTTCATCCAATTTACCATATTACTCACTTGCCATCGTAATGATCGATGTGAATTGGCTAGGTAAATCATTTCCAAACATGGCCAGTCATAAACCTCGCGGAACGGCACGCCTGGAACTCAAGGTTCCGCGAAGGACAAGGGGTGCTTTGATAGACGTGTTGACATCATCTCAGTCCCCTCGATCACCGAGATTTGCAGAAGGAAGAACGTCGCGTCTGATTGCGCGGCTCCGATCAAGCTGCCGTAATCGGGGAATGAAGAAATCCCATGAAGAAATCCCATGAAGGGGGATGAACCTGAGCACGGACAGATTCCCATGGGAGTCAAGGCAACAGCAACATCAGATGGCGTGTCTCATGCCCTAGATGTCTCTTACGCGCGTTGGGTTGGACGGGCGAGGAACTTCCCCTTCGCCCAGGAAACCAGGCCAAGTTGCCACCATGGGAGAGACGCTGAACTCTTTCGCGCGGCATGTCGGCGGGCAACAGGTCGACATCAAAGGCTCCATGCTGTAGTATCCTTACGATACAAATCTGAGAGATGTTGTGGCAGTCAAGAATGTTGTGATTCTTCTGCCCAACAAGCTGCTTCAGATCAATCGGAACATGTTGTTTCGCACACCACGCTTCATGGCATTGGGTTTGCCGTCTTCGTATTCAATTCCAGAAGCTCCTCCTTCCCCAGACATTTGTTCCAGTCGTTCGCGGAGCTCAGCATCGGCTTGAGAAACCGTTTTGGCTTTGACGGGGGTGGAGTGGCGTTGATTGTCATGGTTGGAAGTGCCATTGTCCTGCCGGTCATGCTTTAGGTGCGTTTCGGATTTGGAATTATCTGCCAATTCTACTAATACTGTTAGCCTCGGATTTTATCTGCAGGAAGTCAACTTACCATGCGTCTTCAATAGCTGGGGCGAAGTAGTATGCAAAGGCCGCCCAATTGCAATGGACCATGGTCGATATAATGAATGGGTTCCGATGGTCCGAAGTATGGTGTGTCTGGTAATCATCTTGGTTTGAAATATGGTCTTTGGTATGAGTATACTAGCTGTCTTCGGGGTGGTCTATTATGCTCTGACGCCATTCACCTGGCTGATGGGTTGCGCACGTGACTAATCACGTGAGGATATGCGCCCCCGCGATTTCACGGGGATCGGTGAACTTACCATCAGCACTTCTTTCGCTTTTCCTTCAACAAGCCAGCCATTCATATTCCTCACGATGGCATCTGTGGCTTACTACGAGCTCTACCGCGGGAGCAGGTAACTTGCCATATGAAGCAAACTCAAGGTTCTGGAGCTAACTCAAGGATCCACCAGCCTCGGGCTGTCTCTGACCGACACGCTTGATGACTTGATCAACGAAGGACGTATCGAGCCGCAGCTTGCGATGAAGATCCTGGGAACCTTTGACAAGGTCGTTACTGAAGTCCTTGCAGACAAGGTTCGGGCGAGACTGACCTTCAAGGTAATAATGGCATCTCAACGGATCATCTGTTCCAAGCTTGAAAGCACATTTTGTCTCGTTGTCAGTAAGCTAACCTTGGAAATCATCGTCTGTTTATAGGGCCACCTCGATACCTACCGATTCTGCGACGAAGTGTGGACTTTCTTGATCAAGGACGTCTCGTTCAAGTTGGACAATCAGACAACTGTTACTGCGGAGAAAGTCAAGATCGTGAGTTGCAACAGCAAGCGACCTGGAGAGGTATGAGCGTGTCAAATATGGATATGGATACAGGCGTTCTATTGTTTTCCTCGGCTGGTCGCATGGGCGTTGTTCTGGCTGTACCATCTTTGATTTCTGGGACAGGCGTTGGTGGTGACTCCAGCTTTAATTTCGCATTGAATTGCCATTGGCAAAGTCAGATACCCAAAAGAACGAGGTTTCTACTCCAAAACTGTGCCGCTGTAGTTGACCTTGCACCCTGCAGGAACGTCAAGTTGTAAGCGGGATGACCTCACACTAGACGCTTATCTCCCGATCTGCACTCCGTTTTTCGGTGGACTCTGGAGTTTCACTCAACAACGATCTGTCTGCTGTTGCCCTTCAATCCTCAGGGGCTTTCTAGTGATGCCCCGAAAACTACCTTGGCAACGCACACCCAATGAGCCTGTCAAGAACGAAGAAACCCCAAGAAAGCGCGTCAAGATCGAATCCAAGCCTGATCGCGATATCAAACCCGGAAGTCTTACGAGCTCGCCAACGAAGCGCGATTTCTTCAAATCTTGTACGAATACTGCTATGACATTCCAAATCCACTTCTAACTCTCAATCGCTTTGCGCAGCCCAGTCCCCGCCAACAAGCCCCGCGAAACAGTGTCCTCCCGAAGAGTACGGTCGCGATCATATTCACCCACCAAGATTCCAACTGACATATCCTAGATTTCTACTACCAGGACTTGATCGCGATGATGGATGGGTCATGGTCGAGGACGAGTTCTACGCGGTTGCACAAACTTACACCCAACACCTACACTATGCAGAATACATCAGACGAAGAAAGGAAGTGAAAGAGAACCATGGATCCCTTTCCGAAGACATAGAGAGGCCTACAGACGACCGGACTCTGCTCCCAAAGAGTGTTGAAAGGCAAAGAGAGCTTGAGGCTCTCCGGAAGCGACAAAATGCCGGGCTGGCGCAGCTTGCGGATGAACGGTCGAATGAAGTTGTTGAGGACGACGATGATCTATGGGCTGGTACGCACCTGCATGATCTTATGACAAGCCCTCGCAAATCCCGCTCTCTGGCTGGCATTCAAAATCTCAGATCATCTAGTCGAGCCGCGGCAGGGTTCGGACAAGCTCTTGGGACGCGAGCCCGTGTCAACAGCATTGGCAGCTTCACGACGGAAAAGAAGCGCCCGGAGACTGAGACGATTGAAATAGACGAAGAAACGGCATCGGACTCAGATGATGATCTAGACCTTGAGGGGCCCTCCCCCATGGCACCACCTCCCAAGAAGGCTCAAGCCACGATGATCTCCGGAGAAACGCCTCGAGTTTGCCATAAATCGCAGCTACGAACTACGCCTACTCCAAAAGTCGAGCCTACATCACCCAGGGGACGGTCCGGTCAAACACCGGCGTTCAGATCAAGAATTCAATCGCTTTTTGATGATCTCGATGACCTACCAGAGACATCGCAAATCAATGACCATACCGTGAAATCCCAAAAGACCCCCACGAACCAGCGACCGGGCACATACAATAGAAACAATGCGGATCCAAACAAATCCAGACACAACGAAGTGCCCATATTCCTGGGATAGAGATCCAACACAGCGATATTTGGCGGCACAGACCCCTCCCATCTGGTTCCTCCTAGCCAGACTGGTTCCTTTCCATCGAGACCATATCGGCCTCTGTCTCCTGTTCACGACGGATTGTCGGAGTCGAGTTCCACCACCGAGAAACATTCATACGCCTCCGGATGCGCTTTGGGACAGTCTCGCGCTCATCCTGCGGACATGACCTTGAACCTTGCTCCTTGTCGACGATGATAGCGGCATCATCTCGATCGTTGTTTCGTCTTTCTCCTCGGTCGCCGTGTGACTGTCTTGCGAGGTCAGGGTCCTGTGATTGAGTTGTCAGATCTGATCGCTCGGTCGTGTTGTGGTAAGGCGAAAGAACTGACTCGGCATCAGAGAAGCAGACAGGCATTTTCTTGAAGTCAGTTGGATGACCCTAATGCGACGTGATGATTAGCAGGTGGCTCCATGTCGCTCTAATTCTCGGGGTTTGGATTGCTCACAATTTCAATAATCCTTCCTTTCTCGCGTTTGAAGGGTGCACTTAGGCACCTGAACATTTGTCGGAAGCATCCCATATTTAATCGTGATTCTTCGAACCGTTTGATGGTATCCTGCGAGGCTTTCGTCTTATATAGAGGTCGGTAACAGCACCGATTTCGCCCGGCGCTTCGGTGGAGGCAAATGAGGAATCTCGACAAGACAAAGGTGACGCCCTTTGTGAAACCAATATTATACAACGAGTGACTATGCAAAAAGAACGAATAGGGAGGAGAACACCCCAAAAGAAGCAAATAAGAAATGGAGTCGTCTTTGATACTTTACACCATGAAGGCGTGTTGGGGGAATGAAAGAGCCAAAGAAGAGGCCGGGCAAGAATACATATATGAATGTCCGTCAATATACCGGCAGCCGCAGTATGCATATCAAACTATTCCCGGCGCGCCAAGGATTGGACGATCCACAGTCTCGCCCAGGTCTAACTAGGCGACAGCCGGGCCTTTGGCATGGACAGGATTGACAGGCTCGGCAGCATTGGTTACCTCACTCCCTTCTCAGGCCGTGACACATTCCAATCGGATAGTTCGCTCCTTCGGCACCTGTGGGTCATCCCCTGGACGACTGAGCCACCTTTCATTGGCTACGGGCGAGATTCGTTGGCGTTCAAAGGCTTGCAGTCCTCATTTAACCTATTCCGGCTTCGAAGAAGCATGCTATTCCGGATCAATTTGGTCTTCCCTGCAGGTCCGGAGTACTTTTGGTGGATCCACCACATCGCAGCACCACGATCCCCTGCAAAGCAACGGCTGGAACACGACAGATGGAGATCCGAATTACACAGCCTGCAGCATGCAGGGAAGAAATTGTTGGTGTTGGAACATGCATACGAGGTACGAGGCACTTGAACCTCCGTCAAGTGAGCGGGGCGCGCTAGACGAAAGGGGCAAAAGGAACTGCTTGACGAAGCCCCACGAGTACAGTATAGTCTTCATTCCTTTGGTCCCTTACGAGAAACTAACCTAGCGCATGATACTCTTCACTTCGCGAACATGACATAGACTCAAATCTTGCCGCGGTGATCGACCGCCGATCTGAGCAATGCCCGTTTGACGGGTCGGGAATATGCACAACAACCCTGCGAAGCTCGGGGGGAAGAAATCGTCTCCCCCTGTCCTTCTGGGGCGAAAATCTATTTCCTTCCTTTCATGCAAGCCACTGCATGTACATTTGAACGCCTCTTTGCCTCGTTCCTGATCTCTTTGTCTCGGAACATGGGCGCTGAATGGAACACGGTTCCCGGCGGAGTAATTTTAGATATTTCCCCAAGTGGCTCCATCGGCGATCCTTAATCCTAAAGCCGTGCCGATCGATCATGGACGTGTCGCTGACAGGGATGATCTCAAGGGCGATCTCATAAATTACGCTGGTGGAAGTATGTAGACACGGATCATTCATTCAACACCAACTTGGAAAAATTCCGCTGCCGTAGGGAACAACTCTCTATGGACCCTTATTCACGAGCTGTGAGACTGTTTCTCAAACAATTGAATTGAATGTGCTGGCAACATCACTAGTGAATTACTAGTATCGATCTCCCCAGTGAATTGTGGTATAGTTGTGACACATATTCCGGCCTCATTGACAATTCCGAGAAGCCTTGGAAACGGACGGCTCGACTCCGGAATTACTTCCCTTGTCACTCTGCAAGACCTCATTCCAAAAGCTCAGAGGGCTTACAAAACATAAATGAAACCTTGCGGGTGCCTGCGAAGCCCAGGAATGGCTCATGGCCTCCCTTGCATCGGAGTAATGCTGAGTCAATAGATCGGCTGCAAAACGGTAGTTCGGTTTTGACGCCTATGTTTCACATATGGACCCATTCCAGTGAGCAGGGGGTAGATAAGAAGAATTGACTCGCAATCAAGCCTGGAGCGAGACCGATGTTCATCATTCAAACAGTTTCCGGAAATATGTCTCCGTCTGGTAACTCGCATCAATTGGTCAATTCAGCCCGGGCCCTAACTTCGCTCAAAGGGATAAAGAATTCGACAATATTTTTCCCAGTCAACGTTTGTTCTGGGCTTGTCGTAGTACCTAGTAGCTTCAACCTTGGAACTGGAACCTCATACCTGGTGGATATTGCATTACCTTTTAGGAGCGTGGTCCCGTACGTGCTCGAATACATACATGCCCAGGTGCTTAATTACTTGGCCTCAACCCCTACAATCCACGGGTGGTACTTCCCATGCAGTAAACCGAATTGTGAGGCCCGCGAGAATTCCCTGCTTCGTAAATTGCATCGAAACTCATTTCCTGAACCAACCTTGGAATGACTTGGAGCCTTGTTCAAGATTTCTTCGTTGATCCAGGAGTACGTCCAGGGCTCGTGCTTGATCGTCCCACTCCTCTGAACATCGGTTCACTCCTTATGTCCCGACTGGGCAGTTCTATCAAGCTAAAAAGGGAATTAGGTAGTACAGTCCCCAGCCAGAGATCGTACTATGTACCTAGGTACTTCCAAGGTTAGCACCTACCTTGGTGCGCAGCGACAGGATCAACCCTTCAAAGTTCGATTATCCAGGTAGGTACCTAGGTGTGTAGTACCCGTCACCTGGGCAGGGCTCGCGACCTCGGGAGTTCTAACCTTGAAGGTTGTGTACTACCTAGTAGGTACCTAGGTCCACGGTAGAAACCTTGGAAGGTTGCGTCCACAGAAGCAACCTTGAAATATATATTCTTCCAATGTTGAGGTCCCACCAGAGCACTGTCTGCCTAATACTAGGTAGGTATATGGAAAGTTCCAAGGTTGGAACGGTCCGAGGTCTGAGCCTTGGAGTCATGACCTCGGGAGCTCACTGATGCAGAATATATACATTCAAACAGACTGCTCTATTGAGTACATATACATTCCAATGTTATTAATCCATGGATACCTACTGCAGGTATTTGTTTTTCCGAGTCAGAGTTGGATCCATCTACCAAGTTGGGAACTCCATCTTTGTCCATATGCCATGATTATCAGCACCACCCGCGATTTCCTCGGGGCTCGCAGGTCGATGATACCACACACTGCCCTTCAATTTGTCAGTCGTGGGGTAAACAAACATCATGTCGATGCGGGAATGTATTGGAATTATATCATCAGGACCCAGGCCGGTGGACTCGACGTCTATGAAGTATGACAAGACAGCACTGGCTCCGGCAGAAGCCCAGAAGCCTTCTCGCCGACGTGAAGAGGAAATGAGGCGCAATGATTCCCGGCGAGTGTACCAGTCACGACACCTATGCGCGCAGAAATAAACTGGCGGCAAAAACATAACTTTGGCGCAGAACATCCCAGTTTGGTGTTCTGCTTTTAGAAAGAGTGCCGACAATTTATTGATTCGTTGGAAGTTAGGAAGATAAGCATCATAAAGCATCTCGTCTTGATGGCTGTTGGCGTAGATAGCCATGAGATAAATGAACTCCGTCCATATCTCAATGAGTATCAGCGGAGTGAGTTCTGCTGCCGAGAGTTGGCCTTCAGTAGCCAAAACAAAGTTATCCAGCTGGATCCTCCAAATAAGCAGTCTCCCCATTGCTGTATCCGGTACAAAATCCTTGGATCCAGCTAGTATCTCGGTAGCGGTATCAACCAAGGGATTTAGTTTCGACATTTTCCCGTTGTGGAGTTTGCGCGGCAAATTTGCTGAAACCATCGAGGAAAGAATTACCAGAAGCTCACTTGCAGTTCCCTTTTCCGCATACCCGCGCGAGTATGACTCGCAGGCTTTCGTGAAATTCTGCCAAATGGGTATGTGTGCTTGGCCTATACTGGTTTTGCGACTCGAGAATGTCATTCGATGAAGCTGCAAGTCTTCGAATACGCGCATAAGGATGGGTCCGGACGAGTTCCCGTTATAATCGTCCTTTTGCCACTCCAGGAGCAGCCGGTGACCTGATACGAGGTGCTTCATGACGGCTTTGACATCCTCTTGGAAGAGAGCAAGAGTCACTAATGCGGCACATGTAACAAGCACGGCCTCGCGATGCGCACTGCTAGTCACATGTGCACCAACTTTTGTGAGGTTTTCTCGAAGAGAGATGATGGCCTTGTTACATTGCTGAATAGGGAACGAGAAATCGACATCAAGTAGTAAATATGATTCAGGCCCAGACTTTGGCGACGCGGGCTTTGTCAAAGAGTATGACGCGGATGACTGGGACGAAGATGACGAAGAAACACTTGGGTCGCGCAAAAAGTGCCCATGGATCGCACTGATGGCAATTGCTGCATGCTGCACAGCGGGTTCTGCCTCACTCACCCGGTGAATGAGTCGTTGCCAAAACTCATCAACAATATTCCCAGCGCACTGGCCAGACGTTGCAACGCGGAAAAGTTGAAGATAGTGACGCTCCGCGGGCGTCAGATCAGCTTGACTTGGATCGACGAGCCTTGGTGCAATAGCATCGGGTGTCAGGGTTCGCGCGCCACGCGTCCGCCGGTCAGGGGTCTCTTTATATTCGCAGACTCGACCAACTTTAATGCACATCAAACAGATCGGTCGAGATTCATCGCACTTTTTGCGACGGGCCCTTCAGAACGCAATACGACATCAGCCATTGCTCCAGGGTTCCACCATTGCTCGGGGGTTCATCCTGGGCACATACTTGCATGTCTGACAGCCCGTGCGCACCTTCGGGTGGCTAGCCCTTCTCCCAACTTCCGTCATCCCTGTATACTTCCGAGCCTTGCGAACTGAGGGGGTGGACTCGGAAATGCAAGTTTCACCCAGTTGATTGTAGGTGGGGGGCTCACCGCCTGTGCTTTCGGGATTGCCCGTTTGTGTACGGACTGACAGACCAGTTCACTCCAGGGCTTGTCGCGAAGATTGGGTTAGCTCCCTTCGCTTAATCAAAGCATCATTTTCAGCGGGCCATCGGATCGAGATCCACAACGAAAAGGGTATGAGCGGGATTCGATATCTCTCAATTTGGTCATACGGAGCTCCAGAAGCAGTGGGCAAGGGCCTGAGCTCAAGGATCAGCCCAGTCTAACGCGGATAAGAATAGCCAAGCTTATGACTTACCCGGCCCCAGGTCCCGGCCCCAGGGGGCCGTCGGGCAATCATGAGTTCGGACGCAAATCTCGCTCGAAAGCTGGGAACATTGGCAGATAAAAAAATATTAATTTAATTTGTCTTATAGGTGGAAATACTATCTCGCTAATCATCCTCGTGAATTGTCTCATTTCTTCGCTTTTGCTTCTCGTTCGAGGCGTCGCTCGTATCGGAAATGGCAGATCCATGGCGTGCCCGACGTGTATCCTCTGTACTTTCAAAAGTTTCGTGGAAATGCGACGTCCGGCCAGTCACAATATCATCAATTGAAGACGAGCCTCCGAGGGAGAGTGAAGATGGTCGCCGGTGGTGCCCCACAGGCCACGACCACTCGGAATCGGTTTCGGGGGTCATTGGCGAAACTGGGTTTAGGGAGCCCCGTTTGGGGCTGAGCTGGGGAGTCATGTTGGGGGCAAAATATGAGACGTTGAAAGCAGTTGGTAGCTCGACCGGCGATGAATCTGAGAGAGGACCGTTAATATATAACGGTGGGAAACAGTGCTGTTAGGAAAAGCATGGGCACTCATACCGTGCATCTCATACACCTCGTCACCTCCAGACTCCACTGTACCGGGCGTGATTGGCGAAACAATGGAATCTTGTACAGTTGAAGGCGCCGTCACCGAAGAAGGTGCCACCGAACCCATTGCTACTGAAGGTTGGACCGTCGACGGTTGTGTCCTCGAAGTTTCGGTTGTCTCCACGCCTGTAGATGTTGATACAGGGCCTGGTCCCGGAGAAGTCGGACCACCACCATACATAAATTCCGGCGAAGGTTTGCTGTCATCCTCCTTTTCTTTCCCCTTTTCTGTCTCTCTGGCCAGGCGCTGGTTCCGACGTCGGCGATAGAGCCAAAATCCGATTATGAACGCAATGATGAGAAGACCCAGGACCACGCCGATGATTGCACCAGCCCATCCAGGGAATCCGCCCCCTCCATTATCCTCCTCTGTAGAGGTGGTAGTAGTGTTGTTGTAAGGCCAATAGCTATCCATCTTCTTGGTATATTTCTTCTCAAAAACCCCGGCAAGAGAGCTGTTGGTCCAAGAGGATGGAGCCGAGGTAGTTGCACCTCCATCAGAGCTATGAATGTATCAGCAAAGGCCGGCTGTCTCCATAGTTACCATATTGTACTTACTTGCCACCAATCTGAGCTGTAACCAAGTCTGGAACTTTGTACTCACTCCATTTGGTAGGGTCATACTCATCCTGGAACTTCAAGGTGTTGAGATTGAAGTCCACGATAATGCCTCCCTCCAGGCAGTGGCTTTGGTCCACATGCAGTCCCCCAACTGCGAGCATCTGATCGGGGTATACCTTGAGGCACCGATGACCTCTGCGACTGTGTGTACTTGACCCACTGTACGCTTTGATCCATTTGAAGGAAGGCAGGGACAATATGTATACATCGTCCGAAGCATTGGCAGTCGCCTTCAGACCATCGTACCCTCCATAGATGTAAATGTTGTGAGATGAACCGTCCGGAGCACTTGCGAGAACAGAACAAAACTCTGTCAACTGTGGGGGCGTGTCTCCTGTCGTGTTCTGGAGGTACCAGGTCTTACTTTCGACATCGAACAGAGAGACCGTGTCCATGAAAGTTGGACTGGTAGCTTTGCTTTCGTCCGTCCTTGTCGAGTTTGATTTCTCATTCTTGAAGATACTAATCGGGTTAATGACTCCACCGATTGCCACTAAGACCCCGGATTCCGAAACAGGCACCCAGACTAGCTCAGCGCTAGCGCGACCAGGAACATAGCTTGGTAGCGTGGTGTTGCTCCACTCCCCCGAGCGCATCACCGAAGTATCCACGGTGATGAGAGTATTGGCTGTCTTGTTCGCATCTGAGTCATCTGCGGTAAAATCGCCCCAATCTGATGCGTGCATCCCACTGAAATAGAAAGCTAGATTCTCACTCGGAGCAGATGCCGCAGCTCCGCTGGTGATACGTTGCGTCACATTTTCTGAGAGTTGCTCTTGGGTCCAGCCCGCAGCCCAAAGGGTTTTGTGCGCACCATACTGATAGGCATTGTATGAAAGAACTCGATCCTCTGGAGGGGGGTCGCTCGTATCGGTATTGCGCCTCATGCCTCTGGGGTTGTCCAATAAAGTAAGCAGTCTATTTTTACCCGAGGAAGAGGAGGAGCACCAACCCGTAGAGATAAAACTCATTGTCATTAGACAGCATCGCGCCGCTGACATAGTTTGGCGCTATGTTACTGGCAGCGCCGCCGGCGATGGACATATTGTTGAGAGTTGTCATGAAATCCGAGCTCGTGTTGAAGGGAGTGGAAAGGTTGAGGTAATAGAGATTGGCGATTAATTCTAGGGCTGATTAGTTTTCCTATGTCTGAGATTCTTCCGGGTTGGCATACCTTGATCTGGCATAGGAGTCGTACAGCCATCGTCGTATCCTCTGAATCAGTTAGAGCAAATCGCGAACAAAGATGATCGCCTCGTACCGTGTATACCAAAGATTCCCTCCATCCAGATACAACGTATCGCGCAAGACAGTGGCTACGAGAATCAGCGGAAGAACTCAGCGCGAAAGGCAGAACCCTCAAGAGGACCTGGAATGAGTGCTCACCACGAAGTCCCTGCCAGTTGCACATGGAGACATTGATCTGGGTTTGAAATGTACTGCATTGTCCCACTGCGCCGTCGACCACCAGGGTCAGCACAGTCAGAGCTGTCACCAGGAAAAAGAGCATGTTGAGAGCGACCAGCTTGCGACTGCATTCATCACCAAGTGCTCAGAATGAGAGGACGAAATGTCGCATCGGCGACAATGCCCAGCCCTGACAGATGCAACCGAGTCCTATGAACCGGGGGCCAGGCCGAGTCATCAGAGTTCAGGCCAAGGCTGCGGCTTTGTCCCACGTTATTGATGTCCCGTTCTTTGTTGTCACTGCGGCACGCACGCCCCGTGCGAGTACGAGACCAACGAGGAAAGAGAACAAATCCACATCTGACAATGAGCATGCTAGGCTAATGCTCTGATCATTGCCATAACTGCTTAAGCTGCATAAAATATTCGGCAAATCGATGCGGTCAAGGATAATCGGAGGGGGAAAACTGACGATCCGCTGAGGGGTTCTATTGTGCGGCTGAAAAGAGCCCGATGTCACGAACAAAAGGCCCAACACGCGGAACGGAAGATGCAGGCGATGCGGGATATGCACGGCGATGGCAGTGCGTGGTTGAACGCTTCGCCCCATTTTCTTTCATGGGGGTGTTTTTTTTATTCTTTTCTTAACCCTATATTGGATGTCCTCTCGTTGGCCCCCCTGAGCTCGATTATTTCTCTTTGTTTGGCTTGCTAGCCTCCTCAAGTCTGCAAGCTTCTCCTCTGTGAAGAAAAAAAAAATTATATCGCAATGAGGAATTCAGTCGTTTGGGCAGCGCTGTTGGCAACGTCGGCCTTGGGCCTGGCGACAACAAGTTGCGCGGAGACTGATAATATCATCCCACCTGTTCCTGCAATAACGAAGGGTCCAGAACCAGTGGGGGCAGCATTGACCGTCACGATCACTGTTGGAGTCACTCTCTGGCTTGGTGACGGAGAGACTTGTACACCAGAAGCGGCTGACACCGTCACTCAAACTGTTACCGACACCAAAACAAGCACGGTCAATGCCTCTCCAAGTCCAGCAGTCACCGTGACTGTCACGAATGTCAGCACTCAGACTGTGAGCGGCTCTGCAAGTGCCATTGCAACCACTGTCACCGAGACAGTGACGGCCTCGGGGAGTGGCATAACGCACACCGTCACAGCTTCTGGGACGAAGGTCACGGAGATTTCCACAAGCACTGTGACAATTGGACCGTCAACGTGCACGGGGGGCTCGACAGTCACGGTCAGTGATGGTCAAGCAACCGTTACAGAGACATCGACTGTGCCGACGACTCTGAGCGGTTCGACTGTCACTCTACCTTGCACGACCGAGACGGAAACTATTTCGCCTACTCCGATTGAGACGGCTACAGACACTGTGACCGTTCCTGTGACCGTTCCTGGAACCACAGTCACGGAAATATCAACTGCAACAGCTAGTGTGTCAGTGACTCTTCCAGGCACCACTGAAGTGACGACTGTTTCGGAGCCTGGATCTGTGACCACAGTCACAGATGTGTCGACAGCTACAGCCACCTTGCCAGGCACTACTGTCCCAGGCACGACAGAAGTAACAACTGTTTCGGAGCCTGGATCTGTGACCACAGTTACAGATGTGTCGACAGAGACGGCCACCTTGCCTGGCACCACTCTCCCAGGCACCACCGAAGTGACGACTGTTTCGGAGCCTGGATCTGTGACCACAGTAACAGATGTCTCGACAGCAACAGCCACCTTGCCAGGCACTACTCTGCCAGGCACCACTGAAGTAACGACTGTTCCAGAACCTGGAACTGTGACTACCCTTCCAGGTACCACTGTTGTGACCACTCTTCCAGAGAATACCGTGACCGATGTTTCCACTGCCACGGTCAGTGCTCCTGGGACTACTCTTCCGGGTACTACTGTCGTCACAACCATCCCAGGAGAAATTACTACTCTACCCGGAACAACGCCGCCGGGCACAAGCGTGGTGACAAGTGTCTCTGTTTCCGAATCTGTGGTGACCATACCTGGAACAACCGTCATTATCCCAGGAACTACACTTCCCGGAACCACTGTTGTTACAACTATTCCTGGATCTGGCGCTATCACCACGATCACTCTTCCGGCCTCCACGCTTCCTGGTACCACTGTGGTGTCTACCCTTCCAGGGTCGACTGTTACTCTTCCAGGAACAACACTTCCGGGAAGTACTATCGTGACAACAAGGACTGTGTCTATTCCCGGGTCTGTGACTACTGTGCCAGCATCAACAATCACAAGTGTCATTACCGTGTCTGCCACCACACTCACCCTGCCGGACACCACAAGCACTATACCAGCCTCAACTATCACCACAGTGATCACTGAGCCAGGTAGCACGGTGATGGTCGGTGGATCAAGCACAGTGGTTGAAACCATCACAATTCCAGGTAAGTTTAGAATTAGGGCAGCCTAGTATGACACCCGCTAATATTTCACCAGGATCCGAAACGACCGAAACAGTCGACACAACGAGCACTGCCATAGTGACTGACAGTCCCAGTGGCACGACTATAACTTCTGTTTCTGTGTGTTCCTCTCTTATCACCAACCCAACATATACTCCAGCAACCGCTTTGCCGAATGACTACACGTGGGGTTGTCCTCCAGGATATCTTTGCAAGCCTGCTCACACAGGCGATCGCGCAAACTGTAACGTCGAAGCCGGTCTTCCTGATGTTGGATATGTCTGTTCACCCTCAGACTGCATTCCTTCCCCGCCGCTCGCGTTCAGCAATATTAGCGGTTACAACGTCTCCAAGAACTACTACAACTTGAACCCAACAGACTTCGGGTTGAACTACTCGATCTTCCAGTTCCCAGAAGACTTGGCCGGATCTCCTCAAAAGCGTGGCATGTCTCTTCGGGACTTCATCGCAGGACGCAAGGCCAAGCGAGTGGACATCACGAACATCCCTCCCATTTGCTGGGATGATTGTGAACATGCAGGAGTGGAGCCACAGATGTTGGGCAAGACATCAGATCTATGCAAGAGCGATTCCGCGTTCATGAAAAATCTCGATAATTGTGAAGCATGTGTCACAACCAACAGCGACTCTGACTCTGGATCGGGTGATTTCTCCTCCAAATTGTTGCCGACCTTTACGCAGTGGTTGAACTTCTGTTCTGATATGACCACTTCTACAAGTACCACTACGAGCAAGACTTCTACTAGCACGGAGACTCGGGCCACTACAACGAGTACTTCCAAAGACACTGAAACCACGACGACTAGCAGTGAAGTGCCAGCAAGAGCTACAGTCACAAGTAGCCAGGCGACCAGCACTGCCGAAGCGAGTGCAACCACGGAGACTGAAACTGAGTCTTCCACTTCCACTTCTACTTCCACTTCCGCTGACGCCGAATCCACCGATAAGGCCGAAACAACTAGTTCAAGTGAAGAGTCTTCGGAATCGACGGAGACCGCCTCCTCCAGTGGCTCGTCTACGACTTCGGTCCCTGGCTTGATTGTGACAACATCAGTCTCAGGGTCTCTTATTACAACCACCCTACCAGGCTCAGTTGCAACTAGTCTCGATTCATCAGCCTCTGACTCGCCCGTAACAACATCCGTGTCGGGATCTCTTGTGACTACTTCAGTGTCTGGTTCTCTCTTGACGACTTCCATATCAGGAACACTTGTGACCACCTCGGTGTCCGGGTCCTTTGTCACCACCTCTATACCTGGCTCGGTCACTACTAGTCATGGAGCCTCTGGTGCAGGGCAGGACGGAAGTTCCTCTTCTGCGGCACCCGGTGATGATTCCAATGGTTCATCGGGCTCATCGGGCTCACTGAATGGAAGCCGCACTGGGTCAGCGACACCTTCATCTTCTTCCCCGGCCTTCAACATGGCTGTTTCTATGAATGCTCCTCGATTAGGTGCTTTGTCTTTGTGTTGGGCTGCCGTTGCTGCTCTTTTCTAGAATAATTAATTTCCCGGAGGATTAATATTGCTGTGCAAGGTTTTGGGTTCAATTGTTATACGCTGGTAATGAATATTTCGGTTCGCTTCTTCCAAGTTTACTTAGTCCAAAGGTTCCCAGTAGATCATTGTTCCAGTATGAGGAACCTTTCGAGGTTTCAAGGTTCCAAGCCCTTAGAGGTTGAATGCACCTGGGCAGAAGCCAATCCCAATGGAATCTGGAAGTGGTCGACTTATATACCAAGATGAATTTCCAAGGTTAAATACAGTTCCAATGTTAAGCATGTAGCACAGTCCAACGGAGACATCCATCCGGTCCACGTCAGGGTATATCATCCTCGTCAAAATTGAGGTATCCACGAATGTCACATCCCTCCTATATCATATCGTAGCTCGATCGGAAAGCACTCTAGAACTGACTGCAGGTCTGTAATGTTTGTTAGCCTCGTTGGGTTGGCCAAAAAAGATGCGACGGCCGGATACTCCAAGGTTGAGCCTTGGTATGACACTTACGCCATTGGATGAACAAGTAAGCCCCTCGCAGCAGCACCCTGCACCGGCACAGCTATCAGAGGTGCATGTCATAGTTTCCTTTTGTTGACGTCAGCAATTAGCTCGCCGCACAATCTAGAAATCGAAAGCTCCGATTTGACTCACGGATTGACATGAGATCGCAGCCTCGGGACGTGGTTCGGGGAGTGCGACGGTGAGGGTGGCAAGGAAGCCAAGGATGATAACGGAGGCGCGCATATTGATATGATGTATGTTGGTGAAATCAAGCGGGAATGGGGTATCTAAAGAGAGAAAAACCAATGTTAGCGACCGAGTCAGGAAAAAGGGTTCAGGTGATTGCTGGAAGCGCAGCACAACGAAGATCAAGCACTTGGGTAAACGCAAGGGCAGAAGACCGGTGTGGAAGAAACCAACCTCAGGCGATAAGAGCAAAAAATCGTAAGATACGATGAAGCGAAATGGCAGAATTAGACGGGGTATCGTGGTATCAAAAGCAGAAATGCAAAAGCACTCGCATATCAGGCTCCATCGCAGGTCTTATAGCTTCCCAGTCATGGCTCGGTGGAGCAGCGCAATGACATAAACGACGACCCAGCGCGAGGATCTATCGTAGCATCCATTGCCTCGCCTGAAACAGGGCCGGAGGATCTACAGGGGCAACGAGGATGGATCGACACTGATTGGATGATGGCTGGGCATATGTGGATATGCCTTATAGCGGGGTGAGCTCGCGTCGAGTTCGAGTACGGAGTCCAATCTCCAGTCTGAGGTTGCTGGATCGAAGTCAGGGCGAATTGGAGCCAAAGGAAGCCCTGGAGAGGAGGGGCCTATATTGATATTGCGTCAGTGGCTCAATCAAGCCTTCAGTTGCACGACGCGACCGGTTCTGTAAGCCATGATTCAATATGTCCTGTGAAATAAATCGAGCTCATTGTGTCACCTGGGTGTCGTCTGCAAGGCCGTTCGAGGCACGGCGTACAGATAGCGCCCTAGCCGTGGCCAAGTGGAATGTTGTACGCGACACGGTGAGGCCAAGATCTTGGCATTGATGGGCACGGTCCAGCGCGATGCACAGGGCGACACACTGAGCTTGCGTGGACTGCGAAAAGACATGCTGTGGGTCTGTGAGGGCCTCTCGACAAGTCCTGGTTGCACAGAGAAGTGAGGTGTCAATGTTTCGCACACTTCAGAGACCCCAGACAAGAGGCGGTTGTTAAGCGTGACATCCCTGGTGTCAAAGGGGCAATTGACAGCGATTATCTCCAGGAACATCATGACTTCATGATGTGCGACATGGTCAATATGAAGTTTCTGATTCTACCACCGCAGAGAGTGGTAAAATAATACCAGACTGAAGAAAAAACAAAGTCTACACAGATGTAGAGTGAGAATCAGATGGATTTCAGAGCCCCCAAGCTACGTGTGCATCTATCCAGATGACTGCTCGCCAGCAGCAGCGTCCACACTAGAGCCTTGGTCATACTTCTCTCTCAGCCCCTTCAGAACGACCTTCACCAAACCCCCCAAGTTACCCGCTCGGTTGATCTCCACCGTGGGAAGCTCCACACCCAGCGACCTGCGCAGCCAGTTCCTCACTTCTATGGCCATCAAGGAGTCTACGGCAATTTCTGCCATGGCATCGGCATAGCCGGAGTCATCAGCGCCGTCCTGAGATGTTTCTTGTGTTTGTCCTGTGAGATTTTGGCTCACGAAGCGACCGAGTTCCTTGATCAGTGCGATTTCTGTCTCCCTTTTCCCTGTCAGCGAGGGGTCGCGCTGGATCTCACCCAGCAAAGCTTTCAGTGCGTTCACTTGACTCGATTGATCTCCACCAATCGCCCCACTGGATGTCTCGAGATTCGGATAGATGGCGAATCGAGCATCACGGCCTCCCAGGAATATCTCCTTGGATAGATCGGCGCGACGTTTCTTGTGAGAAAGCCCAACAGCTATCGCCCCTGTGGCACTGGCAGAATTCGCAGGTGATATATTGATGGCCGCTGCCAGTCCATCAATAACCTCGGGTTCATTTAGAATATGTAGCCCGATCGACTGTATCCTCTGCAGGAAGCGAGCGTTCCGGCTGGCAGCGCCCGCGTCCCCAACCACTCCCAGGTGCAACACAGAGCAAGGCAACCCTCTTTGCCGTCGGTATTGTGTGAATGCCTCCAGGAATGTAGTAGCGGACGCGTAATTCGCCTGTCCAGTGTTACCACAAACACCCGCGACAGATCCAAACACGACAAAGAAGTCAAGAGAGTGCTGCATCGTGGCGCAGTGCAGATTCCAGGTGCCGTCAAGCTTTGGAGCAAGTGCGGCCGTCCATTCTTCAAAACTCATTTGCAAGAACAACCGATCCTAAGGTACGAGACAGAGTAAGACTTGGATGGCCGCGCTTGGGGCTAATGTCAACTTACCTTGAGATCAACTGCCATTTGCAGCACTCCAGCCAGGGGACGAGTTCGCCTTCCGACCGCCTCCTCTACATCTTCTTTGCTTGTGACATCGCCTTTCACGCAGATAACGTGGCAGCCCTGCGTCTCAAGCTCCTTGATGAAGGCTTGATCATTATTCGATGAACCGGCTGAACGGGATAGGAACACAACCTCCCTTGCACCCCGTTCAACCAGCCATGATGACACCGACCGTCCGATACCACCAAGCCCACCGACAAGCAAGTAGCTTGCATCTGCTCGGAAAGATGGGAACTTTTTGATGACCGGTAGAGGTAAAACGTCTAGATTGATGGGTAGGCGAATAATAATCTTACCAAGATGAGTACCGGCTTGCATATACCGGAATGCACTGACAATGTCGACTGCTTCGAATACTTTCACGGGATGGATAGGATGGATCGAACCCCGACGATACCAGTCGGAAAATATTGTTAACATGCTGCCAATTGTCAGTGTGTGTGGGTACAGCGCCACTCGAAACCAACCTCTTGAGAACCTGGGGTGCTTCTCTACCCACTTGGGCAAGATCAACACCGATGAACGATCGGTTAGATTCAAAGATGCTCATATCAAGAACACCATGGCTGATGAAGTCTCTCTTGCCAAGTTCGATCATTCTGCCGAATTTGGCCACGCACTGCCACGAGGCGTGAAGAAGATTACCAGACAGTGAATTAAGCACAATGTCCACGCCGCGGCCTGCAGTTGCCTGCATCAGATCGGTTTGGAAGGACGTGTTGCGAGAGTGATATATGCGGTCTCGTGCCAAGCCGTATGTCTCCATCAGGTAGTTCACTTTCGTTTCGTTTCCCACGGTAGCATAGATCTGACTAAGGGTGAGCCGCAGTGTCGCGGTCATTGGTCGTTATGGAAACTCACCTCGGCACCAACCGCCTGGCATACTTGAACGGCGGCGAGACCAACACCACCACACGCAGAGTGGATGAGGACAGACTGGACTTTGTGAATCATAGCCAACACGAGCAAGGGCAAGGATCAACTCACCTGACCCTTCTTCAGAGATCCTACTTCTAGAAGGGAGTACATCACAGTGACATATGCGGTTAGCATTGTGGCGGCATCGGCCATTGACAATTTCTCTGGAAGGTGGATGCACGCGTCTTGGGGCACCGTCACCTTGGATGCAAGCGTTCCAGTGTGCATAAGTGCAACACGATCACCGACGGCAAACCCTTTCACTTCGGATCCAATTCGATGAACGATTCCACTACCCTCGAGACCGAGATCTTCCTTGCTTCCGAAAAAGCCCATGGAAACCATCATGTCCTGATCATTCTGTTAGCAAAGCCATGATTGGGACTTGAGCCGACGCCAACCTTGAAGTTCAACCCCACATATTCCATCTCGACCTCTATGAATCCAGCAGCTAGCTCGGTACTTTCTTTTTCGGCCCATTGAAGCGTGTCGAGCAGCCCATATACCGTGAGATCGAGTTTCCGGGCTGCATTTTGAGTAGGTTGACCGGCAAGCTCATCCATCAGCGGCGTCCAGTGATACCGGCCAACTTTGATCTCCCCATCCTCGAACGCGAATTCATACTCCGGATCCGGGAGAGACCTTGCTCTGGACAATTGAATCTTCTCTGAGACATCTGCCACTGCCTTGGCAGTGTCAGAATTGAATACAGGGACTTCAAGGACCGAGATATCAAGCAGTAACTCTGTTCGCAGAGTACGGGCAAATCCATGGACCAGGCCATGAGACGGTTCCGAGCAACTGAGAGAGGTTGACTCCGCAATCCAGAGAATTTGGCACTCCTCTGCCTTCTCTACATAATGCTGGAGCAAGGAATAGGTTTCCTCGCTGAAATTGAGCAGAGGACTGCACTCGGAATCAAGCAGAGAGATTATGAATTTGCCTTTTGGTGGTGGCTCATCCAGTGTGTTCTTGTTGATCTTGTAGCCTTTATCGATGAGCGCTAACTCAACGGCATATACCCACTCAGAGGTATTTTTAGTTCGTGTAAGCAACCAGACCTCGCGATCGATCGATATCTGCTCCACTGGGCGTGAGATATAACTCGCCGCGATGTTAAATGGTGGTTTCATATCGAAGGCCGAGACGTCTGCTCCACTAAATCCTGCAGATTGCAGTTCCCGATGCCATCTGGCAGGTGACACCCAAGGCTTGTATATTCGATCATCCTCTTCACCGAGCCACCAGCCTGGGAATGGTCCCTTGTCGAAGTAAGTATTTGTCTTGGATGCGCATTCTCGGAATTGATCTCACCATTGTCAGTTCCGCAATTGCGAGTTCTATGACCAATGATGAGCTTGACCTGCCGAGATCCATGGGCATGACATACCTGGACAGATTTCGTGAAGTAAGAACCAGCCTGTAGGCTTGAGAAGGCTGTGAACATGGCGTAGTGATGACTGAAGGCTTGGGGTTGCGTGTATGACCTGTTGGCAATGGTTAGCAGACTTCCCCAGATAGATGAGAGATTGCTCACATTTGAGGCAATGACCAGGTCAAAGCTATGAGCTTCAAAGCCTTGTTGCATCGGATCTAAGCTTATATCAAGGACTCTATACTCTATGCGGTGCTCATGAAGGAATCGCTCCTTGGCCGCAGCCATAAAGCCAGAGGAGATATCCGTGAAGAAGTACTCCCCATACATCCGAGAGCCGTCCTTCGATCTGAGATGCTCCAGGGCCATCGCTGTCGCAGAGCCGGTTCCGGCACCAATCTCAAGGACGCGCAGACCCGGTATTGAATGGGCCAATAAGGGCAGGAAAGGGGTCCAATCTGCGTATTGCGTATGTGCGCCATGGAACTCGAGTAGCAGGTTGTCTTGCATAAGAATGTCTAGAGGATCACTTTTCCCGGAGATGAAATCCTCGCAATTCTCATAAAGAATTTGCATGTAATGCGCGATTGGAGCATCAAAGGTAAATTTGGCTTCAGCAAGAATATCTTTGATTAGCGATTGCCGCTTGTCCGAGTTTAGGTATGCCCATTCGCTTGCATTTGGGTAGATTTTATTGTGGACCTTTGTCTTGATGTCGGAGGCCTCGACCAGCATGGAATTTTTCCATTTGGTCAGAGGGACTGATGCTGGATCAACGCTTCGGATCCGGTCTGCTGTCTCCAGTATATAAAGTTCAGACAGCTGACCCAGTACTCTCACACTTTCCGCATTTCGAGTAAAGGTTTGAGGTGTAGACAGCAGTGAAGATGGCGACACGAGTTCAATATCGGAATTCCATTCAACGTGGCTTACCAAGCCAGCTGGTCCGCCTCCAGATTCCATCTGGTCTCCGTCGAGGGGGAACAGGTAAGCATTCTCTATATTGAGAATGGCCTGATCATCAATCATCGCAATGGCGCTGCCCAATTGACCATCTCGGACACTGAGCTGTGTTTGGGCAGTGGCCAGCAGGCTTGGACCCCCTGGCTTGACGGACATGTAATCTATTGCTGCTGGGACATAGATCGTGGTGAGATTCCTTAGGAGACCTCGAGCACCGGCAACTCCCATTAACTGAAGACACTGGTCAATGACAGTGGGATGCAAGGAGTACTTGCTTCCAGGCAGTCCACGATTGCCCATAATCGTAGCAGTCGCCCTCGGGTCAGTAGGGTCAGTAGATATGCTCTCAAGACCCCGGAACTGAGGTCCATACTCTATACCACTTCGTTGAAGGGCCCGGTATACCCCTTCCGATGGCACCAACCTTGTATAAGGGCATATCGGTGGCACTTTAGAAACAGTCTCGACGCCAGCTCTGACTTGACCTTCACAGTTGCAATGTCCATCGTTCACCATCATGAGTCATGATCTTGAACCGATACCAGCCGGATGGAAGCCTATCAGCCACATCAATCGGACTAAGACTGGTAATGGCTTCAATTTGATCGCCTTCGTGGAATAGCATTGGCACAATGAACGACACATGGCGCACAGAATAGCCTTCCTTGGTTGCTTCAAGCTGTTGCACAGCTTCACCTGCCATTGTAATGAACCCGGCTCCGGGGAATGTGACAGTCCCCTGAATCACATGGTCCAAAAGCCATGGCACATTGTCTATATTTAAAAGATTGCGCCAAGAAGAATCATTATCAGTTGTTTCAACAACGCGGGAACCCAGGATTTCATGGTGTGGGTATTTTCGTTGCCTCCAATCTCGACTGATTCGGCTCTCCCTCCAAAAGGGACGATCGTGCTGCCAGGGATATGGAGGAATATCGGTTAATGTCCTTCCTCTTCCAATTATGGTAGATAGGTCGAAAGGAACTCCGCTAGCAAAGGCTTGTCCAGCAGTCCTGAGCAGCTGAATCTTTGTGTCTTCTTCATAACGGAAGATCGTAGGAATATATATTGGGGATTTGGTCGCCAGCATTCGGAATATTTGTCGAAGAGGGGCGGCAAGGGCTGAGTGTGGGCCAATCTCTAGGAAAACAGAGGCCCCACTGGCAGGGAGGCTTTGTATAGCCTCGGTGAATAACACTGGTGATTCCAAATTCCGGCGCCAGTACAGTGCATCGAGCTTTTTGGGATCGGTGATTGTCTGGCCAGTGACGCTTGAGCAGAATGGCAGCATATCGCGTTCATGATCAATCTGACTAGAGATGGAGAGCTGGTACTCCAATCCAATATGCTTCATGTGGTCTGTGAAACTAGTTAGTCTACGTTTGTCATGCGGGAGGCAGGAGATGTACCTGAGTGATACGCAGTTTGAACTGGCAATTGCCGGCAAAGCGTATCTGAGCTTGCGGCCTTGATTTTCGTGACTGCTTCATTCACTGACTCTTTGTCCCCAGAGAGGGTCACGCTGTGAGGGCTGTTGTGGCAGGCAACGACCACTCCCGGGGTGAGGTACGGGAGCACTTCATCCGGAGAAAGCCCAACCGCTACCATAGCCCCTAATCCCTCTAATGACTTGGCGACTTTGCCTCGATAGTATGCCAGGATTATTGCCGTTCTCATAGAAATAGCACGAGCGGCATAAGCAGCCACGATCTCCCCGCTAGAATGCCCGACCACAGAGGAGGGGCATATTCCCCAGCTGGTAAGGATTTTGACGATGCCTATCTGAAGGGCGACACAGAGTGGCTGGGAGAATTCGGCCTCATGAATCCTTGACTCCGAGCCCTCCTTGGCCAGCTCATCTAGAATATGTACGGGTCAGTATATTCGCTTCGGATGTTTCATCATTCAGGGAAATCGTAGCCTTACCATATAAAAGCCAGCTTGGGTAATCGTGCAGCTGTTGCAAAGCTTCATCCATTGCTTTGATAGCTTGTTTAAATTTTGGAAAGTTGTTCAAAAGCCCCTTTCCCATTCCCGGCCACTGGGCCCCTTGGCCAGTAAACACAAATGTGACATTTGGCGCCGTTGTGTTGAAACTCGTGAGGGCTGTCTCTTCCAAGGCTGGGGTATTCGGCTGCACAACTGCAAAAGCACGATGTGCTAGGTGTTCTCTCCGACATCCTAGGGTATGCGCAAGGTCACACAAGCGGTCTGGATGAGTGTTAGTGTACGCGGTGACCTGTCGAATCCGTTTGCGAAGGGTATCAGCAGTATGCGCAGATACAACCAAGAGCTGGGGGTCATGACGACAGTCTACCGACACAGGTATCGGCTTTGAGATAATTGTTGAGGCAGATTCTAATATGACATGGGCATTTGAGCCACCTATCCCGAATGAGTTGACGCTGATTCTTTGCGGTCGGTGGTCGGGCCATGGTGTTGGCTCCAAGGGTACATGCAGCTTTCCGTCGGCGAATGGAATCTTCGGATTTGGCGTGTTGAAGTGAATGTTCGGTGGAATTGTTTTGTGTTCAAGTGATAGAATGGCTTTGATTATGCTGGTGATGCCGGATGCACCCTCTGAGTGGCCGACATTTGGTTTGACCTGGTAGAGTGAAAGGGTAAGCAAAGGGTGAAGGGATGGGTGTGACTCGCTCAAAGTGCACATATGACCGTGGGGAGCGCAACTTACTGCCGCGATGTATGTTTCCTTTTCTTTCGTCAACGTTGCAACTACCGATGCTTCGATCACATCGCCGATCGCAGTCCCAGTCCCATGGCATTCAAACAAGGGGGTTTGATCGATATCATCAATTCTTGCTATTTGGTACGCATGGCGAATCAACTTTTCCTGTGATATCGGACACGGATTAGTGAAGTTAGGCGTCTTGCCATCGTGGTTGGTGACTGTTGAGCGAATGACAGCGCGAATCGGATCATTATCACGAAGCGCATCCTTCAGTGGCTTGAGGTAAATGCAGTTGATCGCTTCGCCTCGGCCATACCCATCAGCATCAGCATCAAACGTGTGAGAGATCCCACTTGGGGAAAGGACCAAGCTTTTGTTGAGAGAATCGGTCATCGTGGGACTCCATATCAGACTTGTCCCACCCACTAGGGCTGTTGAACATTCCTTAGACAGGAGTGCCTGACAAGCCTCGTGGAGGCTGACCAAGGACGATGAACACGCCGTTTGAATGGTCATGCTTGAACTGGTCAGAGCTTTCACTCGCGGTTTAGCATAAAGGCAGCCATCTGCACTCACCTCGGGCCGTGCAAATCGAATCGATACGAGATCTGATTTGCAAGCGCAAATCCACCGGTTGCAATGGGATAAATCTGACCCACATCCTGCAGGTCTTTATGCGACATTTCCAACCAATCTTCACCAAAAACACCAACAAAGCAACCCACTTTCTCGTCGCGCCATTTGGTCTCCCCGGCATTCTCTAGACACTCTCGGACAACCTCCATCAAGAGCCTCTGCTGGGGATCGAGTCTCGCCACCTCTTGAGGAGGGACAGAAAAAAACCCAGCGTCAAAATAAGCGGGATCTTCTTGCAAGAAGAAGCCTTTCATTTCTTCGCTTGGGTTCCCGCGATCTGGATTACTAGACGCCTCCCTCGAGCAGCGCGAGGGAGGCGCCTCACAGAAACCATCACGTTTTCCAACCAGCATTTCCCAAAACTCTTCACCACTCCGTACCCCTCCCGGCAATCGCATGGCCATCCCGATGACTGCGATTGGCTGGTATGAGTTGTCATCTCCGCAGCTTCTGCACGATGTTTGCCCTTGTCCAGTTGTTGAATTCATTTTTGGTCGAATGATGCGAAGACAGATACTGGATCAAGCTGGCGGCAGAATATGCGACGGAAGTGAGGCTGATCTGATTACTGGTGATATGATCTGTGGTTTTTTGGTAAAATCCTGAGGGTAGTGCTATGCCGACACCCGGATTCAATCCACGCACCATATGTACCTAAAGTCGCTCGACTAACAACGCGCAAGGAGTGAATTCTCTCCGATATGTTTCATTTATTCACTACAACGAGTGAACTTGAGCGATTTATCGATCCCGGGTTTAGAGAGATTGATTAGAGGTAGCTCAGATGTAGCTTGAAGCCCCGTCATCATCTTCGGGACTTTGCCTTACGCTACTCCAACCCAGACCTGCATATGTGTAACTGTAACGCACTCGATAATGCCGCTTTGAGCAAGAGCTTTCTTGCCGAGACACATGCGGATATAGTGTCTTTATGAATTTACCCATTTTTTCTTACTATGACCATTTTTCACACCACATGAAAACCTGGAAGCTACCTAGGTAGGGATCAACTATTCCCAGGATTTGGTTTTATTTTCTTCCTTCTGGATCATCAGCAGATTCGCATTGATAAAGGAGACCACCGTGTCATCGCATAGAATCTGTCAAGGTGCCTAGTGCCACTCAGACCGCGCGGTCCAAGTTCTCATACTCTCCGGGTGTTACCTCCACCATCTGAGCCTGTGGTCACACCGATAAGATTGGGCGCTAGAGTTTCCAACTTTTCCAATAATCGAGCAAGATCTCAGCCGACATGGGGGAGCTTGCTTGGTCCGAAGAACGGAGCTCTTTGCTTGTCGTCTTCAGTTTCACTCAAACTTTGCCGGTGTGCGATCCTTGTCGATGTAGCGATCGACAGATCTAGGCTCATGATGTCCTGCAAAGCTGAATTCTAAGATTCCTACCAATACGCCGTCTTCTTATCTGTGTTTTATCGATGGTACTTTGGCGCTAGCCATGTCCACACCGGAACCGTTGAAGGTTGCACTGACACCGTGATGGACTTTTGTGGATTCTTAACATATGGCACCGGTTCCTAGCAGGTTAGACAGCACCTTCCCGCCATTTTGACGACCCCGAAATACTGCTTCATTACAACATGGATGTGAAGTGGTTTGAAAACCATGTGGTCCTCCTTACGGGGGCAACCGGCAACCTGGGCAGCTGTCTATTATACAAACTAGCCCTACAGCTTCCTACGTCCAAGATATTCGTGCTGATCAGAGGGTCTGTTCAAAAGGCGATCGAGTCATGGGAGCAATCAATTCCAGAGCAAGTGGATAATATCATTGCCACTAGAAAGTTGCAGTTCATTCTAGGTGACATGACCCAACCCAACCTTGGTCTATCCTCATCGAATCTACTGCGCCTACAGAATGAGGTCACGCTGGTAATAAATTCTGCAGGAGATATCTCTCTATCCCGGGATCTCGCAGAAACACTGCCAGTCAACTGTAGCGCTCATCTCACACTTATTGGTCTGGCAGACAGTTTCACTCACTTGAAACACTTTCTGCATGTATCAACTACCTTTGTATCGAGCTTTCTGCCGGATGGTGCTGTGAAAGAAAAGATTTACTCCTTGATTGACGACCCAAAAGAAGAATTGGCCACTATTCTTGCCACAGGACAGTCATCTTATACCAAACAATTCGCCGCACCCTACGCACTGGCCAAATACCTAGCCGAGTGCTTACTGCTCGAGGGCACTCATACCTTTTCTGTGCTTGTTCTCCGGCCATGTCTCATCTCGCCGGCGATTGAAGAACCATTTCCATTCTACGGCAGTGATGGCGCAATACCCGTACATTCATTTTTCCAACTTTTGTTAGAGGACTCGGAGTACGGGCCATTCAAGCTTGAGAAGATGCTACCCAGACACGTGGCATGCAATGAGATTCCAGTTGATCTCGTAGCGCGCACCTGCCTTGCTCATATTGCAAAAGACACGAAGGGTGTGGTCCATGCCAGTGCGGATTTGTACCTTACCCGGACTGTTGGGGAGCTTTTTGACCACATGCGTTACTATGCCCCCGAGGGGGTTGTCGAAACCATCAGAAAAGCAGGCATAGATCATGGAGAGGTTACCGCTTCCGAGGTCTTCAGAATGATTAACCAGTTTGCCCGTGATTGGAGAATCGAATGCACGAGATCTGAAGAGTTGAAGCAAGTGGCGGGGCCTTTGGGGCTTTCACTCCCTGATCATGACCCAGATGCATTCTTCAAACGTCGGATTGAGAGACTTGCGAAATCTCTCCTGGACAAGCTGGGTAGTTTCGATTTTTCCAACAAAGTCTACCAAAGTCAAGCAATCTGAAATTTTCCGGGGCTTAAGCTCAGATAGTGAGTTGTTTTGCTTAGATTTGACTGGAGTGGAGTTGCCTAGCAGCAAGAAAGAGAGCACGATAATACCACAACTTTGAAGTCTCAAAACTTTCTAATGTATAAATGAAAAAAAAAAAAACAAAACAAAAAACAAAACAAAAACGACTCAGATATCGGTCTAATCGTTGACTTCATGGGTTGAAAGAATCATATTTGATTCCGTCAATCCTGACATGATCGTAATTGTCGTCAAAGGCAGCTCGAGGCATAGGCGAGAAACTTTCAGGCGGTCCTCTGGTCGGGACTAAATTGAGGCTTCTGAAGAACGCAAATTGAGCCTCATTTGGGATATTCAAAAATTTGTTCTTGATAAGAAGACGAATTACCTGCGATCTAATTCATGAATAATTTATGAGTTAGTATATCTCGCCATTAAAAGGTGTTGAAAAACGAATCAACTCACACGAAGTCTCTGCTTCCAAACAGAAAGTTGTTGATGCAAATTAATCGACAAGTATTGAGTCCATTTGTGTCGATAATATCCAGAAAGTCCTTGACGGTCCTCGTTTCATTCACTGGTAGATCAACTACCTTCATCACTTTCGGGTGATTCCCTTCCTGCTGACACGCCTGTATGATCATCTTCACTGGCCTCCATTCGACTAAATGGAGCTTATGGCGTGGGAAAACTTCAATGAGATCCAGAACTAGGCTTTGTGTGTCAATAGGAGCAAATGAAGCTCCACCTGCCAATGGATGTTTCAAGTGGAGCCTCAGAATGCAATGGATCAGTCTTTCGGGGCATTCTGGGGTGTATCTGAGAAGAGGCCCGCAGTCGACAAACTCGAGTGAGCACTTGGATATAGGTTGCCATCCAAGGGATTGTGGGAAGACTGATTTCCTGTCCACGACCCACGTTTGGCCCCCCAGACCAGCTATACCAAGTGTTATTTCACCGAATTTGTTGACAGTACCGATATAGTCCATGCTTCAATCTTGAAGCACTCTTTTCCTTTCTGGGATGATAGATTTGGGGGTATTTTGATAGGTATGTCCCAAGGCTCTATATGCTGGATTCTCTGTAATGGATGCACGGGCTGCTTATATACTGAGGCACGTTAACGTTGGCTCTCAATTTGAAAGGCTGAAACAACTTTGAAATGCCTTTGAGCCCTCCACATGGCTTTTTCACATCAATTCACGATTTATCAAAGGTTAGCGTGAAACCGAATGAGAGGCTTTCGAGCCTTGATATGCGAAGAACAAAGAAATTTCCCAGCAACACAAGCTTTGACTGTATACCAAAATAGCGACATTTCGTCACCGAGACAGCCTTGATGATTAAAGGGTTGACATTTAGGGTGCCTGGAGACAATCTTTGACCCGGGAAAATAAACTGTTAACACAAGGCGAGTCTGGTGGCAACCTTGGAGAAGAGGCAAAATCCCCCAATCCGATCCACACCTACCCGGGGGCCGTGACTAAGTCCAGCCGGGGCTCCGGGGCTCCGGTTGTCTCCTCCCGGCGCCTCTCCGCGTTTCTTCCCTCCTTTTTACCCCAAACCCACCCCAAATCGCAAGATGGAAGAACCAGTGCTCCTGTCCGAAAGGATAGAGCCTTTCAGCCCCCTGATCGAAGAAGAGGCCTTTTTATCACCGGGGACATTTTCCAGCGCAGACGAATACGCTGCCAATCCCCGATTCCTGGAACTGCAGGAAGAGCTTCGCTGCGTACTCTTTTCTGCCGTTGCAAGCCTTGAGCCAGCGAACAAACCGCTGCCTTTGGAGCCTGAAGGCCCCCAACCCCGCGCCCGACAAAGCCTAGACTTCACGCGCGTGATCTCAATTCCAAAAATCAAACTAATTTTCTACTTGAAAAATTGGATTACCGAATGTGCTCCTTACCTTGATAAGTTTGACGAGGCGCGCCACTTTGGCGTCCACATCCCCATCTTGGCCCAAGGTTCTCCGGCCCTCTTTTACGCCATTTTGGCGTTTTCGGCCCGCCAAACGGAGCGCAAGGCCTGTCTTGACAAGGCATACGACAGCCTCGAATTATATCAGGAATCTATTCGGCTCCTGGCCCCTTGTCTCCAAGCAAAAGATCCCAATGTGCTAGTCACAGTTTGCATTCTGGCTGTGATGGAACTCATGTCCGTCAGCCCGCGCGACTGGCGACGGCATGTTGAAGGCTGCGCGGCATTATTTGACTCCTTCAATGTCAACGGCCTTTCAGGTGGTCATCTTCAAGCTGTGTTTTGGTGCTACGCGCGAATGGAGCTCTGCGGAGCGATTATCTCGAACGGCACAGAGAGTACAGTCCTCCCATTGGAAAAATGGGTCCCTGCAATGCCACAGGCCACGTCGAAGGAGGCTGAAGATGACATGATCCGAGACCTGTTCTGTAAGAAAGGTCGCGCCTCTGCTGATATGCATGCCAATTGGGCTGTTTATCTGTGTGCGAAGGCGTGTGATCTTTCTTGTCGGCGAACGCGCTATCTAGAGCTTGGCGAAACGGCAGGCGATCCTCGGCCTTTCTCAGAGCAGTGGAATCGACTCTGGGACGAGCTACAGTATTGGATCGAGACGCGACCCCCAGCTATGCTGCCGATCAAGACGACGGGAATGGGCAGCGGTCAGATTTTCCCGGAGATCCTTTTTGCACACTGGGCCGCTATCTCCGGGAATCAACTGTATCATGCGGCTTCTATAATGATGCTGGATATGCGTCCTGTCGAGCGGGGGCCTCCGGCGGCCAAGCCCCATTTCTCGGCTATTTGGCATGCTCGTCGGGTTTGTGGAATTTCTCTGACGAATCCCCACTCGGGGAATTTGATCAATGCCATCCAACCCCTTTACATTGCCGGCAAGTTGCTCAGTCATCACAGTGAGCATGTTGAAGTTGCGAAGTTATTCAAGATCATCGAGCACACGACCGGGTGGGGTGCGCTTTGGCGACTGAAAGATCTGGAGCGTGCTTGGGGGTATGAACCTGGAGAAATCCTGGGAGTGATTTGAAATTCTTAATCAGACGTTCTACTGCGGTCAACGAAACTTCCACCTCTACAAACATCAAGGCAGGACTCCAAAACTTTGAAACTGTTCATACACATCGGTTTCTATATACACACACGATCCGATGACCTGTCTACCGGATTCAAGCCAAAATGTCGACAAAAATGTCGGGGACTCCTCGCAACTCGACTCACTTGAAATTAGCGCATGATTTGGGATATTGCAAAGCGTGTTTGATTCGCTTTGTGAGCTTCTCGGCATCCACTTCGAAGACATAATTCACCTCCCGGATACCAGAAGGCGCAAGTGCCTTTTGGTACACGTGAATGTTGCCGTAGTTGGGGCTGCCATATGAAGTGTCGACATCCAAGAACACTGGTAGTGTCAGCGATTTCCATATCAAATCGAACGCTCATCACTCAGTGACATACCTGAGGTCTGGTTGACAGAGAGCGAGGGATCGACCATCAACGCAGCGGCAGTCTCATCCCAAAATGGGAAGGACAGGTCGTAATAATTATAGAAGAGCTCGCTATACGGGTTTGGAACAGAGTGAACCTCTTCCATGAATTCCTTGGTCGGGAAGACCTGGTTAGCAACGTTACCAGCAATGGTAATATTCGGGAAATCCGCAGTCAAGGCGATCTTTGACGCCTCGGGGTCAATCATGAGATTGATCTTCAGAGTCAGCTGGCGAAGTGATATTCAATATATTCCAGACAAACTCACATCCGATTGATAATCTGCCAGCATGATACTCCCAGTGGCTTCAAGCATGTTCAGATCAACATATCCACCCATAATCACGAGATCCTTGGCAAGGGACGCAAACTGCGGGTCCATACGCACCGCAAGCGCAATATTGGTCAATGCGCCGGCCGAGTAAATGGAGACCTGGCCAGGATACTTGTGCACCATCTCAACCATGAAGTTAGCGGCCGAGGTGGAGTTCTCCGGTCGGCCCTTGGGGAATCCCTCTTTGAAGGCTTCCTTGACAATCCGATTCGGGTCCCCAGAGGTAGGATCATTGCCTGCAGCTTCTGCGGTCTTGTTCTCGGGAGCGAATGCGCCCTCCCAAGGCAGCTTGCCGTGGATGGTCTCCCACGCCTGGAAACGCTCGGGGGTGTTGATCAGCGGCCATGTGGCGCCCGGGTAAACTGGAATGCAGCTCAAATTTCCCGCTTCCAGTGTCGCGACTGCATGCAATGCACCCTGCGGCTGCCAGCTGTTGGCGGTATCTAGAATTCTTGTTTAGTGCCCAGTGTTGGCGATGCAGAATGAGGTCAGTACCCACCCGAGGCCAACCCGAGGATCTCCACATCACCATCCAGAGCAACAAGGTAAGGCACAAACCCCGCTGTATACCAGTCGTTATCCATGATGGCGTAGTGCTTATCCGCCCGCTGCAACGCAAGCGCGCCCGTGACGAAAGTAAGCATTGAGCTGCAGAGCAGCGGAACCGAGGCCGACCAATGCATTGCAGGGATGAGGGGTGATATTGCCGAATTCAGAGAGCACCAAGTATACAATTGAGTATATACAAAGTAGAGTCAAACAAAATGTCCTCGTTCACTCACCGGTCCCTTTATACTTCGCCATGCATCTGAACCCCAGACTTCCCCCAGAAACCCCTCTGTCTGAATACCACCTGAAGAATTTCTTTACGTCAATCGTGATCCTTTCCAGGTCTCCCCGCTGGTTGTAGCCTTCGATCAGCATGGACCTCGCCAAGTCAGCGAAGCAGTGGCTACGATTTCCCGAAATGGACGCAGTGCCTGGACCACCCCACAACCCCAGCTGCAGAGTTTAGTGTCTCGCGAGGAACTGAAACCAATTGAGCCCTATCATCGTCGGCCTAAGCCGTTCAGGGACCCATTTCTCTCCCGTTTCCCCTCCGAAGAGTGGTGGAGCCATCTTTTTGTCCCGAAAACCCCACACCTTTCCGATCCTGTGGCCGCGTCCACCCGTTCTGGGGAGTCGTAGGCTACGCAGCTCCCAAAGGGGCTTAGTGGTCGGGTTCCTCCACAGTTTCGCCTCCACAAATTCAAGACTTTGGGGTTCCGGGGCTTCGTAGCGAGTCGGGACGCCGAAAAACTGGGGTGAGGTTGAGTTTTTTTCCCTCACGTGGTGCCACTCCGGCGATGAAGTATGACAGAACTAATGCAGTAGTTGGTCTAACGCCGTCGTCTATATATGGGACCCTCCCCCATGTTTGTCTTCCCCAGATTTCACCCTTGACTATCGCCCGGCATGACGGACTCCGACGTTGAAGCGCGTGTGCACATCGCAAAGAAGTCCATGTGGCAGTCTATCTTTGCCAACCCTAAAGTCCTCTTCATTGCCTTTTTTGCTTCGTATGTTTATATTTCCCAATCAGCAGGCAACCTTTATACTAATCTTCTCAGATTCGGTGGTTTTGAATATGGCTACCAACAAGGTGTCCTCGGCCAATCGCTGGTCATGACCCGGTTCACAGAAAACTTCCCCACGGTGGTCGCTTCATCAACCGCGACGGGATGGTTGACTTCCATCCTTCAATTGGGTGGTGTGGTGGGTTCGCTCACAGCTGGTGTCCTGGGAGAGATCATTTCCCGCAAGTACACCATGTTCATCGCCTGTTGCTGGGTCATTCTCGGCAGCTACCTCTACATCGGCGCAACTGTCGGCAACCCATCACTCCTCTACGCTGGTCGATTCTTCACCGGTATCGGTGTTGGCTTGTTCAGTGGTGTCGGTCCCTTGTACAACGCCGAACTTGCAGCTCCTGAGATGCGCGGACTGCTAGTTTCTTTCTATCAGTTCGCGACCATTCTCGGAATCATGATCTCCTTCTGGGTCGGCTATGGAAGTAACAACATTGGCGGAACTGGCGAGACTCAGACCGATCTCGCATGGCGTTTGCCTTCCATCATCCAGGGTATTCCCGCTGTTGCACTTGCGTGCGGAATTTGGTTCATGCCCTTCTCTCCGAGATGGCTCGTTAAGCAGGGTCGCGACCAGGAAGCTCAGGATACTCTTGCTTGGATGCGCAAGCTTCCCGTCGAGCATGAGCTCGTGCAGGTTGAATATCTTGAGATTAAGGCCGAGGCTGTCTTCGAACAGCGTGCTTTCGCGATCGCTTCCCCCAAGCTTGCTGATCGTGAGAAGAAGAGTGTGTTCATGAACCAGATTGCACAGTACACCAACTGCTTCCGCAGTATGGATAACTTCAAGCGTGTCTGCATTGCTTGGTTGGTCATGTTCTTCCAGCAGTGGAGTGGTGTTGATGCCAGTAAGTCATTCGATGAAAATCCCAATTTTGGGCCACTGCTAACATGTTTGCTTCAGTTATCTACTACGCCTCTAATGTGTTTGTCAGTCTCGGTCTGACCGGTGGTACGATCGCTTTACTTGCAACCGGTGTGACCGGTGTTGTTTTTCTCGTCAGCACCATCCCCGCAATGTTGGTGATTGATAAGATTGGCCGTAAGCCTATGCTCCTGGGTGGATCCCTTGTCATGCTTGCTAGCATGGTTATTGTCGGTGTGATTGTCGCCAAGTTCCAGCATGACTGGCCAAACCATGTGGCTGCTGGCTGGACCGCTGTCGCTCTGATCTGGCTGTACATTGCCGGTTTCGGTGCCACCTGGGGCCCTGTTTCATGGACACTGGTCTCCGAGATCTTCCCCCTCTCCATCCGTGCCAAGGGTGCCTCAATCGGTGCCTTCAGCAACTGGATCAACAACTTCGCCATCGCTTTCTTCGTCCCTCCCATGCTCAAGAACTGGCAATGGGGAACCTATATCTTCTTCGCTGCCTTCCTCGCTGTCGGCATTGTCTGGGTCTGGATCTTCCTCCCCGAGACCAAGGGTGCATCCTTGGAAGATATGGACCGGGTGTTCAACAGCAAGGCTGGTGAGCAAGATGCGGAACTTCTCCGCGAGGCCCAGCGGGACGTTGGATTGACTGCATTCCTTGATAGAATGGGATCCGCCACTGGGCGGGATATGGAGAAGGAGAAGCTCGAAGACTCGCACTATATTGAGAAGGTTTGAGGGGGTTTTACGTTTGAAAACCCATCAGGGATAGTATAGGTCTCTTATCAAAACACATTTAATTTATTCCAAGGTTATGAAATGTCATGAAATGTCGTCTCGACTCTTTCTTCACTATTGATATCCACTGGATCCACCCTGTTTCCCCATAATCGGCCTACGTTCGCCATGCATTGCCCCGTTTATGTTTAAATCTCGGAGTCTCGGGTGGCGTCCGATCGCTGTCCTAGCAGCTAAGGCGGCTCGAAGCGCTGAGGCAATAATGACATTGCACGTCGGCCCAGTAACTTTGAGAATAATGGCCGTCAAGGCAACCTTTGAAGCACGCCCTCTGGCCTTTCAAGGTTTCAGAACCTTGCATTTCCTCACTATGGTAAGAATTGTTTCAGTCTGGGTTTGAGTAAAGGTTCCGTCTAGAATATCTACGGAGTAGCATGGTGTCTAACGCTAGCACTTTGCATCCATTTCCGACACCTGGCAGTTTATAGATCTTTCAACACACTGATAATAAAAGATACACACAATGAATATTCCTATAGAACCTCTGCATAAGGTGATTTAGTTGGGACATGAGGTGGTTATCCATGTTGATGGTCACGGCAAGAAAGCCCCAACCCCCGCATTTCACTTCTCAGGCGATTGACCATCTTAGTCCAAGCACCTCAACGCCAGACCAGATCAAGTTCATTGCAAGTTGATACCTTGATGGGGAAATGACCAAGCGGCCGGAATCGCCCACCATTCGGGTCGACTCTCCCGATTGGAATGGCCCCACGACGGACCCGAAGCAGCGGCCGCCTCCGGGAGTTGACCACACATCGGGTCTGCAGAGCCTCCGATCATTCTTTTCTAGCATCCTGTCCGTCTGCTGTAAGACTCAACATCATGCCCCGAAAGCCCACGCCAGCAGCCAAGCAGCGCGTGAGGACTGGCTGTTTGACGTGTCGAAAACGACGGCGAAAATGTACGTGTCACGTGTGATTTTTTTCTCGATCAATATCTAACCGTGGTGTTGCAGGTGATGAGCAAAAGCCAAGCTGTGCGAACTGTGAAGTGAAAGGATTCACTTGTAAATATGGCTCTGATCTAGCGTTCGTGCCACCGCGCTCGGGGGCAGTTCTCGGTGCACGGCACGGTTATAGCAACATCACTGTGGGTGCATGTCCAACGCCGTACCTCCTCATTCATGTACTGACAGGATCTAGTTTGTGGACGACTCACCAGTGGCAGCTACCAAAGACAAAAAAGACCAGAAGCCAGATGAGTCGCAAAGCAATACAGACTTCTCCTTGGACGGCTTGCAGTCTTCAGCCGAGAGTCATGATGATCCTTCAGAGCCATCTCGGCCGTTCGGGTTTCAAAGTATACATTCGTCCGGGTTGCCCAGTGTTGATTTCTCTGATTCCCCAATTCCATTTATCAGTGGTCGAGGGGCACCGAACACTTCCTATATGAGCACTGTCTCCTACTTTGGAAATTCTATATCAACTTCCAGTGACCAAGCACCCGATCGGCGGGTGCAGCTTGCAAGCAGCAATCAGGAAACAGATTTACTTCGTCATTTCAGATACCACCTTGGGCCGTGGATTGACATTGGAGACCCTGAGCTACCGTTTGGGTTGCAGGTTCTTCTCCTCTCTCGGACAAACAGAGCTCTCCAAGCTGCGGTTCTTGCCGTCTCTGCTGGGCAGAGAAAGCTGATGGCATTTCCGTGCACAGTGGATTCTGAATCCAGTCGGGTATTTAGACGCGAAGCAGAAGGCACTCTTGCGCTTGAATGTGATTTAGCCCGGCATGCGGGTCAAGCCCTGATCATGCTCCAGGATGCTCTTCCTTCGGGCCCTCAACAATGGAGGGCTTTGCTTGCTCCCACAATCAAACAGGCTTGTGATTTTGCATCACGGGAAGGGCAAGCAGAGGATGTGGGGGAAGCATTACTGTGGCTCTATTTCCGACTCGGTAAGGCAACTTGAACTCCCCAATCAACACCGGGAGCCTTTTTGACTAACCCTTTCTTTAGATCTTGCCGGATGTATTCTCCTTTCAAAAGCACCACTCACGCCCTTCCGATCATTACTGCAGCGCGATGGCACGTTTGTTCTTCACCCACAACCTCAAAATCAGCCTCAAACCGTTCATCGCGCCTACAAACACATACTGTGTCTACTCGGTCACTGTCTAGCCCTTATATACGGGGATCCGGAACTACCGTCGCCGCAAACAATCTCCTCCCCTGAACTGGCAGCATTTCCATCCTTACGGCAGTCACATTTCCTCTCCCAGTGGACGTTCCTCTGGTCAGACTGTCAGAAGTGGTATGATGATCGACCTGTGAATGTCCAGCAAATTGTGGATATCCGCGGTGGCGAGGCCGATCACATTGACCCGGATCATGACTCTTCATTCCCCATCCTTATCTATACAACACCAATGGCGCTGGTCGCCAACGCGGTCTACCACACTATCTCTCTTCTGATGTTGACCCACAAGCCGCGGCTTTTGAAATCACTGCCTGGGCCCCGGTCTGTCACTTCTCACATTTGGCATGCGCAATCCATAGCCGGTATTGCGGCAAGCAATGACTCTCCCGAGCAATGGGACCCGGTACTGGTTGCGGGTCTTCTTCTCATTGCTAAGGAAATGACGCATGAGTCACAGCAGACGGTAATACTGCAACGTCTAGCAAAAATCACAGCCACCACTGGAATCAAACTTGATCAGGAAACGGAAGCGCTACAAGCGACGTGGAATCTGGCGCGTTACGAGGAGGAATTTGAAGATGAACCTGATACTCTAATTTCATGAATATATACCCAAAACGCCGGTCTAGCTTTTTGTCAGACATATTTACATCTCATCATTACAAATCGTAGGCAAATGGAATGCTCTGCATGGCACCCTGTCTCTGCACGCACATCGCAGCAGCGGCATTGGCCTTCTCAACAGCAACCTGGACATCATCGAACGCCTCCAGACTCTTGCCAGTTGCTAGAAGACGCGCCACAGCAGTCGCAAAGTACCCAACAAACGTGTCTCCAGCGGCAGTAGTGTCCAGCACCTTCGCAACCTTCACACCAGGAACAAGCCCTTTCTTTCCAGATCGGGTAGAGTAGTATACTCCCTGCGCACCAAGTGTGATCAAGACAATCTCCACGCCAGCGCGGTCGTGGAAAGCCTGAGCCGCCTTTTCAGGAACCAGCTCTCCCTCAATACTGTTTCCAATGAACTCCGTCATCTGCACAACCTCCGTCTCATTCATAATCAAGACACCAGTCCCCTGCAGCGCAGAAAGCGGAATGCCATCTGGGAACACAGGCGCCGGGTTGAAAACAACCTGAGCCTTATCTCCTGCATTGAAATGCTCCAGTAGTCCGATCGTGGTACTGCGCGGGATCTCGCCCTGCAGAACAACAACATCTGGCTGTGCGTTCTCAAGCGCGGATAGAATTGGCGCAACGCCAGTCATCATTCCAGCGTGGTTTGCGCCCGGAACAAAAAGGATTCGATTCTCGCCATTTATCTCTTCAACGATGATGCTTGCTGAGCCAGTTTGGGTCTTGGATTTCTCAATAGCCGTTGTGTTGACGCCTGAGTTCTCAAGAGCGGGCTTGAGAAGCGAGTCATAGTATGGGTCTTCGGCGCCGACGGCACCGATCATGCTCACGGAGACATCTTGGGTTGATTTGGACGTGAAGGAGGAGCGACCACAGGCAACAGCTTGGTTACCACCCTTTCCGCCAGCTGACACGGACAAAGATGTGGCTGTCAGGGTCTCGCCCGGTGCCGGGCAGCGAGGTGTGGTTGTTACGAAGTCGATGTTGAGGGAGCCGATGATGCTGATTTGGGGGGTTTTGGTTCCGGCCATGGTGTCTGTTGTGTCGGAGCGGGTTCCGGGGTAGTTCGTCAAAGTCGGTTCGCGTCGTTTGGGTCAATTGAGAGAGTTGGGGCCGTGTGTTTAATGTACCTTTGGTTTCTCGGGATCCCGGCGAACTTGCTACATGGTTTTCCTGATGCGGGGGACGGAGGCTACGCTCGGCTCAATGCAGTTAGCGTCTTGGCATCCCACCTTCTCGATGAAGAGCGCTGGACCTGATTTGGAAACTGGGGAAATGGCATCAGCTGAGCTGGGTTCCAACATTGAGACTCTCCATTTTCTTACTCTTCTGATCTCAGGGAATTCTCAATTGCGGTACAACACAGATCGTCCTCGATCGCCAACCCTCCCAGTCTCCACCTGGCCAAGCCTGTGCAGTTATGCAGGTACGAGGTACAGGTCATGGGGTTCACATCCAGCTCTGTTGAATCGGTGTCTGAGGCTGTGGCTACAGTGTGCTCACCTACTAGCCTTCCAAAGTTGAAACATAATGTCGACGACCATGGAGCATCATGACCTGCAAAAGTTTGGTATGTTTGTGTTGGGACCGGTCCTGCGAAGGGTTCAGTGGTGCCTTAGGCCTAATTTTTGACTGGCAGAATGAAATTTATTCCGAATTACCAAAACATGCTTTTTGGTCCGCGGTGCCCCAATTGGAATATTCAAGTCCAATCTTTCGCCCCGGGGGCGATATTCAACTCCGTCATACACTCAATACTGCAGGTTTGTGAGGAGCGAATAGCTTCACGTCCAACCGGAGTGGGCTCGAGGTATGGGCTTAGGCTTACAAAGTAGGCGACCAGGGTTCAGCGCCTAAAAAGTGATGATACTGCAGGTTTGTGGGGAGCGAATTGCTTCAGGCCCCGGGTAGTTTCAGTACAGGGTATTAGGCGCTGCAAAGAGCGGTCAATTTCTATCACCCAATTGGGGAATTAGGGGGCCATTATGCATCACTGAACCCATTGCGTCTATGCCCCTTCCGAGGTCGCACCGGTCCGTCAGTTGACCAGTCTCTCTCATCCGTACCTACCTAGGTAAACGTCCATTTTCTCCGGCCTTTGCCTTCCATTTCCATCCATGGATAACAGCTTGTTCTGACTGAGTTTTCCTCCAAAGTTTTCCACAGACGTATTGAGCTATCAGGTGTCTTCCAACTCGTACACGAAGCCCATCCCTGTGGGAATAAAAGTGCAGTGTTTTTCATATTGTCCTTCACATATATTATTGGCTAGAGCTCGCTGTCGCGGCAGTTATGAGCCCGAAATTCGACGCCTCGATAGTCAAAATAACCACTGAGACCTACTAGATCTGATTTTTAGTATCAATCTAGCCCTCATTATCGAATTCGGACCTTCCTTAGGCCCGAATCCGACGGTCAAAGCACTTCCTGTCGGCATCCGATAGTGCTTTTGGAGCTTGTTGCCTCGAATCTGACCACTTCAAGGTGTCAAACACCGTGGAGATGGATTCAACGATCCCCATCCCTTCCCCTTCTAGGGATGGAAAGCTGAGAACCGTTGCCGACTGGAACGAGTGGTATGCAATGGCCAAAGAACGAGCCCATTCTCTGAATATATGGGAATGGTGCAACCCCGACACCCCACTCGATCAGGTGCCTGAATACAAAACAGCGCCTATTGCAGAGGATATGCCAGGAGATGAGGCCACTGCCGAAATCAAAAATAGGTATTGTCTTGTGGAGATGGCTGTCTACAAATTGGAAAATGCAGCCTTTGAAAAATGGGCCGAGGCAATATTTGATATGAGCCATTACATCTCTATTACCGTCGACCCGATCCATTTCCCTGCGATTAAGGCTCATTCCGATCTACACATGAAATTCAGAGCCCTCAAGGCCATCTTCGGTAACCAAACGGCCTACAAACAAGACCTACGATCCAAGTGGCATCAAACAACCTCCAAGGAACCGACTACCAAAGATATCATTGGTTGGACTGAGCAATGGATGGCCCTCTATAACCAGATGTCCTCAGCGGGCATGGCGATCTCAGACGAAGAAGCAATTTTCCTCTTCATGAACGCGGCATATTCAATTAATCCCATGTGGTGGAATTGCATGAATATCCGAATTACCCTGGATGATCGCAAAGACAATATCCAAGACGTGGTCACAAGCTTCCGGAGAAGCTACGATCAAATTCTGATACACGACGTGAATCCATCAAACACACCGAACAAAGGTGCTTCTCGACCCTCCAAGGGTAATCGGAAGCGCAACAAACAGAATGAGCCCCTTGTTTCTTTTTAGTCGGTTTCTTGGAGGCTGTTAGGGTCCATTTGTTTCGTAGGCCTTGTCTGTAGTAACATGGCTTATGTATCCTGTGGGAGTTTGCGTACCTATCTAATAGACTAGTTGACCCAATGACTAGAGTCTGCTAGACATCCACATTCGTGTTTGAGCCCATTATGGAGTAGCCCTGGAGTTATTGATACCTAGTATGGCTTTCTCGTTGCAAAATTCTAGCCGATGAGCATGGAAACCGAAAGCGGTGCGTTTAATATTCAATCAAAATACCACCAAGCAAAGCTAGCCATTGGATGTATCAATTGGTTTGACCCCGGGGCCAATCATTCTTGCATAAATTCCCTCAATGTATCATCAAGCAACTTTGTAGGGAAAAAAAGGAATCCAATCTAATACGATATGGGGAACCAATTTGGGTTATAATCTATGGCCTGATTGTGTACACATATGGCTCTATCGCACACCCGACCACCTGGTTTCGAGGAGAGATCAAGAACTACCTAGGTATGATCTCACATATCGTAACAGTGTCCACATCTCATTACAATGCCTCTTTGTCCAAGCCCCTCACACGGGAAGATGTACGTCATGTGCCTTACGGCGATCATGCGGTGCCTTCCCCGCGCCAAATGTCGGGGTAAGCTCCACTCTCAAAACACATCTCTCTCTCTTCCTTCTCTTCTCTTCTCTCCCACTCTTCAAACCACCATCATGACAAAAGGATTCGCAGCATTTTCTCCTCAAGTCGAGGAAGTCTTTGACCAGATCAAAGAAACCGACACTGCCGACTACGTCTTCTACGAAGCCTCCGCACACGACAAGAAGATCTCCGTCGCTGAGTCTGGCAAGTACAAAGACTACGCTGACTTCACTGCTCAATTCAAGAATGACACCCCACGGTATGCGATCGTGAAGGTCAAGTACCCCGCTCCAACCGGTGGTGAAGAGCGACATAAGATTGTTCTTATCACATGGTACGTCTTGTGTCCCCACGACGCTGCGTGCAATGCTAATCTCTTGACTGTTTGTGATAGGGTCCCCGAAGGCGCCGGTACTCATGATAAGTCCTACTACACTGCCAATAAAGATCATCTCTACTACTCTCTCGAGGGTATCAGCCTTCATGTCCAGGCACATAACCTGGAGGAAGTGGCACACGCGACCAGTATGAACCCACAATATATATCCAGTGATACAAGCTAACCGCCGACCCTACGCAGTCCTGAAGCAGTTCAAGGTTCTTTAAACCCCCAATAACTAGTCATAGCCCCTGGGAATGGGATCCCTGGGGTGTCAGGGTTGTTCCTATCGACCCCGATCTCCATGGTTTATCGTATGACAGTGGCGTGATAAGTCTATGCACAAGGCAATGCATCCTGACTCTGTACCAAGAAACATGACGAATAATCTAGTTTATTCAATACTCAATATGTACCGAAACCAATTGGTTACACGGAGTACCCCGTTCTCTGTAGGATTAAAGTATGAGATGTAAAATGTGATGTGTAAACGACCTGTGAATTACGGGATGCGGTTAGTTCAGTTACAGAGTGGAAAGAAGAGGCGTCTTGTAGGCACCCGACCAGGGGAGACGAAAAGCGAGGGCATCTGGACGGGGCCTCAACCTTGGAAGGGGCGATATTTTGGACATTGAGTCCACAGCTCATATTTTGTGGTAAAACAGGTCGGTGTTGAGACGCGACCCCACAAAAAGGGTGTGCTGCCTGACGCTAAGCCAGGCAACAGCCAACTGGGTGCCATATTCCTCAGGCCACAACATCTTCTCAGTGACGGTGTACACATTTAAAAGGGAACGGCCTCTGGCCTCAATGCTTGATTCTTTTCCTCAAATCTCACACACGAAGCATTGCAATCATCCCGGCATTGGACGTGGTAATCCACTCGATCTCGCACTCTCTCCCTCTCATCCCCTCCTCATCTTGGGCTTTCATCTCACATCTGCTCCATCCAAACTTCCATCATGCCAACATCCTTCAAAAATGTCGTCATCGCAGTAAGCGGGACATTTCCCAACTTGCGACAAGGTACGGATACTTGGTGTTGAGGCTGATCTGGCCCCACTCCTGAATCGCGCTGACTTCGGGACACACCACAGCCGACGTGAGGGCCCTTGTTGAAAACAACAGCGCCAGATTCAGCACGTCAGTCACAGAAGAATGCACTCATCTTGTGACTACACAAGCCGACGTTGATAAGCAATCGACAAAATGTGAGTTCGCTAGAATCACTGTGAGGTTTCATGGTCGACTAACATATCGATCAGACAAAAAGGCCAACGGCCTTCCCAATTGTCAGATTGTCTCACTCTCTTGGCTTCTCGAATCAGTGCAGGCCAAAAAGCCTCTGCCAGAGTCAAAATATACTTTTGACGACGAGGAGCAAACGCCACAGACAAGCACAACGAAGCAAGAAAATGGCGATGGCGATGGCGATGCCACCGATACGGTTGCCGAGACAAAGTCAAAAGCCAGAAAGCGAAGCGCAAGCGGGGAAGAGACAGGAGCGTCAAAGAAGAAAGCCAAAGATATTCAAAAGGCTACAGCAAAGTCCCTGAATATCCCCATCGATGAGGGGTTTAACAAGCGGGGCGGCCCATTCATGCGTAAGTGAATGCTGATGCTTACTTGCACGAGATATTCTTCGAAATCTTTTGCTGACATGTATCTATAGAGCCAACGGTTTACGTTGATGACGCAGGTTTAATTTGGGACGCAACTTTGAGTCAAACAGTGGCATCAGACAATGCCAACAAATTTTATCGCATCCAGCTGTTGGCCGGCACCAAGGGAAACTTCATGACTTGGACACGATGGGGCCGAGTTGGCGAGAATGGCCAGTCTGCTGCCCAGAACTTCACAGATCTGCAAGGTGCTATCGCGCTGTTTGAGAAGAAGTTCAAAGACAAGTCGGGCTTGGCCTGGGAAAACCGGCTTGGTACCCCCAAGAACAAGAAGTACACCTTCCTTGAGCGCAACTATGAAGAAGATGAAGAGGAGGAAGAAAAAGCACCCAAGGTTAAGAAAGAAGACAACAGTTCCGCGGTCGAAAGTCTTTTATCGAAACCTTTGCAAGACCTGATGTCTTTCATTTTCAACCTCGATCACGTTCTGCAGGCACTTGCATCCATGTCCTACGACGTGCATAAGCTTCCGCTGGGCAAGCTTAGTGACCGAACTTTGAAGAGTGGATTCTCCGTTCTAAAGGAACTGTCTGAGGCTATCTCTGATCCAGCCTCGGTGCCAGCCAAATATGGCACAGCTTATGGTCCAACAATTGAGCACCTGACCAACCGGTACTTTACACTCATCCCTCACGTCTTCGGACGTAACAGACCTCCTATCCTGGGCACCGATGCCCAAATCAAAAAGGAGGTCGAATTGCTTGAAGCCCTGACCGACATGGACGTCGCCAACGAGATCATGACCGAGTCAAAGGAGAGCGACCAAATCCACGAACTGGATCGACAGTTCCAAGGTCTAGGAATGGAAGAAATGGTGGAATGTGAGTACCAAAACGAAACGAAGACCCTTGTGTGCAAAAAACTAACAATCCATAGTGGACCATTCGTCACAAGAATTCGAGGAACTCGAAAGCTATCTCCAAAACTCCCGTGGCAGCACACATCGCATGGACTACAAAGTGATCAACATCTTCCGCATTGAGCGCCAAGGCGAAAACGACCGCTTCAATTCTTCCAAATACGCCAATATCCAAAACAGCGATCGCCGTCTCCTCTGGCACGGCTCCCGCAGTACCAACTTCGGTGGTATCCTCAGCCAAGGTCTTCGCATCGCACCCCCAGAAGCTCCAGTCAACGGGTACATGTTCGGCAAAGGCGTCTACCTAGCCGATACTTCCAGCAAGTCTGCAAACTACTGCTGTCCCTACAACAGCGGTGGCATGGGTCTGCTGCTTCTTTGCGATGCTGAAGTAGGTGCGCCCATGCTTGAGCTTGAGAACAGTAACTACAACGCTGGGGAGGATGCTCTCAAGGCTGGCAAAATTGCTACCCTTGGAAAAGGCCACATCGTGCCTGGTGGATGGAAAGATGCCGGTTGTGTTAATCCTGCTCTGGCGGGCGTGAAAATGCCGGATGTTACTGCTAAGAAGTCCAATACTAACCGGCATGTTGGGCTCTGCTACAATGAGTACATCGTCTACGATGTCGCGCAGATTCGCCAGCGATATCTATTCCAGGTTCGCATGAACTAAGTCGGATTGAATGGACTTACGGGGTAGCTGGTGACGGTCACTAAGCGGGCGTTCAACAATGTATCTTAATCTTATGCTCACCTGGGCATACATCTTAGTTGGGTTTCAAGGCTCAAAAGCTTTCGGCTATGGAAAATATGGCGTTAGGAAAAATAGTTGTTGGTTCCAAGGTGTCTTGAATACGTCCTCTGGGCCGATGGTATGCAAACTTGCACTTTCAAGGCTCCACGGAGTTTCTTTACTAAAACTACTATCACTGGATAAGGAATGAATTTTTCTCCTAAGCAAGCATTATGTGATTTCGAGGTCTTCTAATGTATCGGTCTATTTCAAGGCTGGGTCATTGGCACGCATAACATGGCGTGACTGTACAATTACTACTAGGAGTAGTAACAAATGACTTTTGTGTTCAACAGAGAGTGAAAAAAGTATGAAGTAGCCAAGCGAGGGTCGGTATCATCTGGAAGTTGAAGTGCCCTAACTAGCGTGAATGAATTTTTAGAACCCCATAGCCTACACTAGCTATAAGTCCACTGGAATTTCACCTGTTGAATGTGATACAGCCGCCTTACTACCAGAGATCTTGGTGGAGATGGTATCCCATCCCGGCACCCCTGAGAGTTCGCGCGATTGAGTTTATGCGAGGAACTTTGGGACTCGAAGTGGCTGCACAACCGAACTCTGCTCTGCGGGGAGCTAGTGAGAAAAAGTCAAAAGCACACCTGGGCATTGAGACCGCTACCGGCAGTGTCGCAAGCTCGCGTGAACTTCTGTCCTATTGGACCTCGCAAATCAATATGGCTACGCGGTGTCCTCTGTCTGTGGGTTTTGTGGGGCTCGTAGGGATGGGCTGGGTCTTGCACCATCCATCCCACGCTGAATTGTTGGGAGCAAAATGTGATCTCAGCTCAGCGCGTGTTTCAAGTTCTTGTCTCGCCTAGAAAAGAGTACTTGCTCAGATGACATTGTGGGATCTACCGGGCTGGTATGGATCGCCTTAGAAGATTGATTAGGGTGGTTGTCGACGCAAGAGGCATTTGACTAGGATGATATTCTCCAGCCCCTCGACATCTCAATTACAGCGGTATGTAGACAGATTTCTTTCCATGTCAAACGAATGGTCCCGGGTTTAGTCTATCTATAGAGTAGATTCTTGGCCGAGGACTAGCCTTTCAGTTTTTCAAGCAGAGTGAGACAAGCCGACATAGTCCCTTTCTCTTCTTTTCTTCTCGCCCCTACATCTCGAATGCCAATCCTGCGACGTCACAAACCCAAGAGTCTACCATGGTTTCGAGATCTTCAAACGATGGCTGGAACGATTGTGTTTGAGTTAAGGGGAAATACTAGTCGATTGGCCCACTCTAGTTGGCCCTTCATGCCCAGGAGACGAGACAACTCTGAAAATCTCTCGGGACTTGGGTCAGCCAATCCAACGGCCAACCTTAAGCCGCCCCCACGTTTACACCGCACCATGATGGAATATTCACCATGGAAAAGTGGGATCTTCGCGTCTCAACTACGGGCAGCGGGTGGGGTTCAGACACTATGGGTAAAACCATAAGCCTCATGCTGATTCCGCTTCTCAGATATCGTGTCATCATCGGCTTCCCTGTTTGTGCCTAGTCTCGGCAATCCCACCTCGTCATTCGCATATATTGCCCAGATTTTGACGGAAGGTTTGGGGAGTTTTAGTGTATTCAGCCAATCATTAGGGCCAATATAAAGAGCATTGGGGTGATCATCCCTATAACCCACCCACGGCCAGCCGTCACCCAAATGTCTCGGACCAGGGTATTTGCGGGATGTTGCCCGAGCCGTGATAGTACTTCTCCCGAATGACATCCCTACCGGCCCCGATGCTGGGGTTTTGTTTGCTAATCCCGATCAATCCTTCGGTCAAGTTCCGGCAATTGGCTGGAGGTCTCCCCTGTGGCTTGGTAAATGACACCTTATTGGCGCAGAGTCCCGGGTCAAAACCTTAGAAACTACCCCAGAAGGAATGGAAGCAGAATGGATGGGGGGGGAAACCTTAAATTACTCTTGGCCATGGAACGGGTCAGGAGCAGAAGGACGTCTACATTAATCCATACTGCATTACAGGATCTCTAAAAAAAAGGAGGGGGAAGCAGGGAAAAACAGAAAAAATAGGCGAGAAAAAGTATGGGGAAACTAGCACCCCGGAAAACCCCGATTTCCCCAGTTTCGGAACACGCGACGCAAGCCTGACGGAGAAACTCCGACAAAATATCGGCGAATATTTCGTTTCGGGATAGGGCTTGGCGGCGGCCCGATCTCACTGGCCGAAATCTCTGCTGCGATTTATCGGCTGCGAAGTCGGTTTCGCTGGTCTGAGTCGATTTTTGAACAGTTCAAAATCGGGATCCACTCGGAATGACATCCTGAGAGAGATTTCGTCGTCGTTGATGACTCGAGATGGTCTTCGAGACGTTCTCGGGGAAACCTCGCCTGTCATCGCCCATATGCGCGAATAACCCAGACCCACTTCTCGGGCAAATGTGACTTGGCTAGAGTGCTGATTGGACAATCTAAGGAGATGGGGCCATGGGTCATAGAATGGAACCTTGGAAACCTTGCAGATGGCTCGACTCCGTTCTCCATACCCCGTGGAGAGTTTACCCCGACTTGTGTTGGGTTTTGGCTCTCGGCTATAAAGATGTCTTTTCCCCCACTGTTTGCTCACTCGACACTGTCCTGCTTACTGTCTACGGGCTAATCAGTCCTATAACTCTATCAAATTATATTCAGTTTAGCCCAACATGGCAGGTCTAGACCTCAATGTCGACTGGAAGTCGAATCGATGGGCCATCGCCTATTGTCTCGTGGCCGCCATCGGTGCCCTCTGCTACGGATACGATACGATCTACTACACTGGAATTCAGGGCATGGCATACTTTGCTAAGGACTATGGTGTGAAGACTGCAGATGGCTGGGAGCTGTCAACGACATTCCTGTCGCTGTCTGCCAGTATCATCTACGTGGGCGAGCTGGTCGGAGCCATTGGTGCTGCTCCAATCAACGACTTCTTCGGACGCCGCATTGTGTTCTTGTCGGCTTCTCTTTGCATCATTGTCGGAGCCATCGTGCAAGTGTGCTCGTTCGGCTCTGACCCCGTCTTCTACGTCAGCCGTGTCCTGATCGGTCTGGGTATTGGTCAGTTCACCGCTACCTGTTTGATGTACATTGGAGAAGTGGCACCCTCTGCCATCAGAGGTCCTGCTCTCATGTCCTTCCAGTTCATGCAGTCCATCTCGCAACTGGTTGGAGCCTGTGTCAACCAAGGCACAGAGAAGATCCAGAGCGCCGAGTCTTACCGCATTCCCATGTGTCTGCTGGTTGTTCTTCCCGGCATCATGCTCCTGTGTCTTCCTTTCACCCCCGAAAGTCCTGTCTGGTACATGTACAAGGACAAGCGTGACAAGGCCATCAAGGCCCTCCGCAAGATCAACCGCAGCGCCCGCGACTATGATCCCTCAATGGACCTCCAGACGATTGATGACCAAGTTCAGATGGAGCGCGAGATGGCCAAGGACGCTACCTGGATGTCCCTCATCACCGACCCCGTTGAGCGCCGCAAGCTCTTCTACGCCTGCGGTGTCATGTTTGTCCAGCAGATCAACGGCATCCAGTTCTGGTACACCTACGGTGTTGTCTTCGCCCAGTCAATTGGTGTTGCCGACCCCTTCACCATCAACACTATCATCTACGTCCTTCAGATCATCACCGTCGGTGTATCAGTCGTCTTCGGAAACAAGATCAAGCGCCGCACCAATCTCCTCGTCTGCTCAGCCGGCATCTTCGTCTCCCTCATCGCCGTCGGTGGTCTCGGCACCACCCGCGCCGCCGATGGCTCCTTCACCCGTGGCGTTGGCATTGGCATCGTCGTCCTTGCCTACCTGAACATCATCTTCTACAACTTCTCCATCGGTACCCTCTCCTACTCCATCGCCTCGGAAGTCTCCGTCGGCCGTAACCGAAACAAAATCACCTCCTGCGCCATGGGCGTCTTCTTCCTCACTGTCTGGCTCATGGTCTTCACCAGTCCTTACATGTACTACACCGGCGACCTTGGTCCCAAGATCGGCTTCGTCTACGGAGGAACAACCCTTCTCCTGCTCGCCTTCTCCTGGTTCTGTGTCGGCGAGACCGCCGGCCGCAGCAACGCGGACATCGAGAGACTCTTCCAGGACCGTGTCCCTGTCCGCGAATGGGCTACCTATGTCATTCCTACGGATGATGTGACCTATGTCAAGAACAAGGGCACTGAGGATGAGCAGATTGAGATGGCATGAGTTACGTTATATGAACATCAATGAATGATACACTGCATTGCATGACCACCTTTTTAATTCTCTGTAAATCTCTTAGAAATTGCTGTCTCCAGTGGACTTATGAATAAAACGACAAAACTTCTTCCACGTTTAATTCTTCATGCCACATTAGCTTAGGTTATTCTTGGACGCCTACACTAGCGTGGAGTCACACTCTAGCTAAACCCCTTCATACGTATCACGGATTTCCTACACAGCCTAAACTTGCAGTGTCGCTGATTTGATTACTGTGAGAGGCTGGAGCACCACCGGAAGCAATGCATTGTTGCTCTCGAGTGGGTGGACACTCCTATGTAGGCCCATCGCTTGACGCAGTGCTTAGTAGTCAAAGGCGATGCTCCTTTCGTTCAATCTGATCTCTCGGCACACGGTGCAAGAGGTACATTGCCTGTATGGCCAAGAAATAACGATTCTGCTTCGCTTGCGGACGAAGCCCTCCTTTAAACCTCCAGGGCCGCGATTTCCCAGATCCCTCTCAGCTGAGCTCCTTGCGGTTCCATGCAGAGATGGGCACTTGGTAACTGCGCCTTGGTCAGGCTGTCTCCGCAAATACATAGGTATGAATCTTGAGATATCGGGCCTCATCTCGCGGTGGCGTAGGTTGGCCTCGTGGGTTGCATCTTTAGAGGGGAGTTGGATTTCGTGAGAAGAGATTTGGTGGGAAATAAAATATCAAACATAGGTCCGCCCGACGAAAGACTTGTGCAGACGTAGAGATCGGCTTCAAGCCAGAGTAACTTGGCCAGAGGCCCAGACGGGTAAAAATATGATCAAACATCAATGTAGTTGCTGAAACACGAATAGAAAAGAAGTGATTAGATAGGTGAGAATAAAGTGATAAAAAGAAGAAGACGACAAAATGGGAGGCACTGCTCAACCCAGGCTACACAGCCTGTTCGTAAAGGGGGGCGGGTGGCACCGCTAGAATAGGCGTACTTTGCTCACTCGATGAGCGTGGGGACATGATTTCCGTTATCATTGGATGTTCGAACAGCTCCACGTCAGCTGCGTCCGGTACAACAAGATCTGAGTAGTGATCGATATAGGCCGGTGGTGGACTTTGGTTATTCTGCATATGCTGCATGTCCTGCCCGTGAGCCGAGGCACCATCACTGGTTACATGCGGCGTCATGTATATCTTGAAAGGCATGACCGACTTGATCTGGACTCGTGTTAGGCAATTTTCTTGAACTGGGACGGGGCGCATACCTGGCTTGCGTTCTGCTCGGCTCCATTGCTGAACTGTGCCGTGACCACCAGCTCATGCGTGATCTTGATGAACTTGTTTGAAATGCTTTGTGAGCAGGCATTCAAGCTTTTCGGCAGAGAGACTGGCTTTGTGAATCGCCATTCGATATCGGAGTCATCCTCCGGGTTTTGAGCCTCGTGGGTAAAATCAAAACTGTTGGCGAATACAGTTTGACTATGCGCCTCGGTCAGGAAGTGGATGTTATGCCGCACTGATTCTGCGGCAGTAGCCTCCAATCGCACAGTCTGCTTCTCGATCACTTTGATCGTTACAGTAGTGAGCTTGGTCTCCTTGGACAACGGTGCAAACCAGCATTCCACGGGGAATGAACACCCGAAAGGTAAATTTCGATCATTGATCGAAACGCAGTACTGGACACCTTTGTCCGTATGTCCCTCAAGAGTCTACAAATATAAGTCTGTGGTCCTTCAAAATGCCGAACATAACATACCAATGGGCAGAACTGTCTCTGATAGCTCGAGTTGAAATCGGAGACATGGTAGATCCTAATAGGCTGCGATATCACCAAATCACTTTTCAGGCGTCGCTCGATGACAACTTCTACCTGGTAAGTGTGGAATTGGTGTTTCGGGCCGGTGACTGTATCCAGCAGTTTACATGGAAGTGGGATATCGAACAGGAATGCATGGTCACCCGACGGCATTCGGAAGTTGGTTTTTGATGATGCCAGCGCCTGTTGTTGGTCAAATGTGATTTGCTCTCGATTCTCTGTGCCCAATATTCCTTCGATGGCACTATAGACTAAGTGAGAAAGAAAGTCAACGTGAAGAGTAAAAGAAATCAACCCCTACATTGCCATGGTTCCCCGCAGTCTCACCTTGATGCTCTTGAAGGAGGTTTCATGAGCGAGTGAGAGATTGAATTTCCCCGATACCGAGCATGGGTTTCTCTCTTCTGTGATGAAGATACATGCTTGATCAAGACTATAGCTCTGGTTAGTTGGACATTCTTGCGGCGCCGAGTCAACCTTACCTCAAATCAGAACCAGCGATCTGCTTTCGGAACATCGTCAAAGCTTCAACGGGCATCTGGAAAGACATTTCAGTAGTAAATAAGTTAATTAATCGGCGGATTGATTTCGGGGAATAAATCATGGCGCATTGTTCTCTTTATACTTCGCGTGGGCGCGTTGGAGCGGACATTCTTAACTGGGGTCGGGATGGGGATTTCAAGGAAGCAGACCCCATCAACGTAACTCTTGTCCCCGGGAGGAAATACCGACATTCTTGTGTTCCTATCATGCGTACACATCATCAAGATGGTCTGTTATGATGGGCTGCTCAAGACGCGTTACAACGAGCATTCCGCTGGAGCTTGGCTTTTTCCTAAGCTCTATTCTGTAGATACAGACGCGTTCTCGTTTGTTTCTGTCCCTCAAGCTCTATTTAGTGCGAGTGTGAGCTATTTGAATGGATCCTCAATCCGGCTGATAGTTTTAGAAAAACAAATGTATAATTCAACATCTTCTGCGCTTTGGGGGTGTTAGACAAGGGCTGAAATCTCCCCACCAAGGCTGTATGTTAGACTCAGCTGGACCAAAGTAAGATTTGAACTTGCTGCATGACTTTATCGTGCATCAAGTTAGCCGATCAAGGATCAATTGATATTCCAGCGCTTTGATCAGAGTCTGTCATTGACAAACTCGAAGCCGGTGACGTCAAGGTCCGACAACAACTGATCATTCGAATAGCTTGAAAAATTGAGATCAGGGAAATTGCCGAAGAATAGATCAAATTCCTCCAAGTCCGCTGATGATAGAGAGTCGCTATCCACTTCATTCCAATGTGAAAGCTGATTTGGTCCACAATAGGTACTGTTGAGATGGTGTACACGGTCCGACTTGGGCTCTGTTCGCCCCGATGCTTCCTCAAACTCAACGTTCGAGTACGACTGTAGGTTGGCACTTGTATCGGGTGGATGGTTCGGTAGATGGTGCAACTCGGGTCGAGAGTTCAATCGGGTGATATCGGTTTCATGGTTTGTGGAACGTTCCTGATCTATGGTGGGTTGGATGTTGCTCAACACTCGATGGCCTAATCTAGCCATTACCGCAGCCTGCCACCACGTGGTACTTAATTTCTGGAGACACTGGTGAAAGAAACGGAGTCTGGGGAGTGCCGTGTGGCGAGCTGACGGTAATTTGCTTCCTCGTGTCTGCTTGTATGCGACCGAGAAGGAAAGCGATATGGTGTAACTTATCATTGGAAGTGGCAGGAACTTCCTGATGTCTCTATTGCAGAAGAGACTTGCAAGTGACAATATTGAATGGTCTTGTCGGATGTTGGATATCCGGGGCCGCAGACGCCCCTGTAGACCATTCGAATGGGTCGACAGAATGATAACGGAATGATAAATGAGATCAAGCCATTCTATCGGCTTGGGGGTCAGACAACTTCATGATATAGGCCTTTCCAGAGTTGAAGTTTCATACCTAGGATATCTGGGGCTACATCCCAACCCTCACACTGCTCAACAATCTCCTCAAACGAGGGGATGTCGAGTTCCCCCTGCTCTGCGCCTTTTTGGATCGGTCGGTAACAGTTGATAACCTCGCCCAACTTGTCGGCAATTCGCAACCAGATCCGAAATGCTGGCTGGAATAATGGAGCAACATCATTGACCCCTTGGCTTCGATCTGCATCGTGTATCATCAACGGCCTCCCATTCATGGCAGCGTTCCATCGGTCCAGGCTCCATAAACACCAAAATAGTGCCTTGGGAGACTGGAGGGTATTCTGATCAGGTCTCATCAAATGTAACCCCAGGGTTTGCGTATGATGGATGGCCTGTGCTAGGTTCAAGGAACAGTCTTCAGATCCAGTGGCCCCCCATTCGTGAAGTGATAACAAAGCGAGGACCTGGATTGTGAGGACCTTTCTCTCGGAGCGCCGTGGGATCTTTTGCAAGATATCATCATAGAGAATCCTGCTGAATTCCCTCAAAGGGAGTGGCACTGCATGATTATCAAGGTACAGAGAGCCAGCGGCAGTTGAATCTTTCGCAGCAACGAGACATATTGCTTGGATAAGAGGCATAGGTAGCTTTCCTCCTTGGTATTGGTTCCTAGTCGATTCCTCGTCAAGGATGGGCAATATTGGATGGATCCGTCGAAAATAGATATCAACCAAAAGATCCTGAGTCTTTTGATGTGGCATGTTTTCCCAAACAACACCACTTGGGTGGTGCTCCGTCCGATCGCCACGGCCAGAGTACGGAATATAGCTTGGATTTGCTTCTGCTTGCTCAGCAGAGCACTCCTCTGGACACAACCACGCACCAACATCGCCCCTTTGATATTTGCCTTTCCCCAGCCTTGACTCTTCTTTGTCAACAAGTGCCGCCATTGGATTTGAGTCACAGGCAAATCGACGAGGCTCTTCTAGAACCTCTGTACTCAGCCTGTTGTGATAGGTGTTGGGCGATGCTCTGCGCTCAACCCTCATGTCTTGGGGTGAAGAACCACTCGTTGATATGTGTAGAGGGGATGCAGATCTACTGCGTCCAACTGGATCACGTCTTGACCTCTGTGAAGATGGGCTCTCAGTGTTCGAAACTGTGGAGCTGTCCATCGAGCGCGCTGGGCGGGGTATACCCTCGACTTCGTTGTGAAAGCATCTTTTCTACTCCTGTCAGTTCGAGCTCCAGTCTGCAGTAGGTCTAGCCATTCGGGAGCTCTGACCCTACCTTTTTGTGGCGGCAGGCGTCACAAGCACGCCGAGCTTGGCCTCTCTTTACATTTGCGCCGTCTGAGCCGACCAAGAATGTCAGTTCCATTGTGAATGGCTTTGAAGGCTGAGTCCATCTTTCAAATGAGTAGCTCGGGCGGGGCTCTTTCGCTTCGGGGGCGGAACATGCAGTCGCCACCGGAGCGGCAACTGTCCCAATGCGGAAAGTCCGACATGAAGTAGACCTGGCGAAGGACAACCACGAACTACCGTTGTATATTGTCGCTCTTGTGATGCACTTGTATTTCCTTCAAGTGCTCTCTTTAACACTGGAATCAAGCAATGTCTGAATCAAATGCCATCAATCATACGTTTTTTTTTCCTCGTTTATCTCGGCGTGCTTGAAAACCAGAGAAATCTCATGAGTCATGACACATATTCGGCATACAGAGATTAGACATGCGTCGTCCCGATGTCGCTTATTCCGCCGATACAAGTGCGAGAGGTCCACGGGTAGTTCCAGGAAGGATTGACAAATACAGAGCGATGCAATTTTCAAAAAGTGTAGCTAGAGAAATCCCCACGAGGAAAATTCGCAGATTGGCATACATGGCCACCGAAAACAAGAAGCAGAGGATGAGTGAAGTAAGCGCCAGATGAGATCAATTGTAAAGATAATGACAAGTTGGTGAAGCAGATGACCAACAGCAAGGATCACGAGCCGTCGATGGACCTTATCCGTGCAGTGGTTGTAAAATGCAGAAGTGCGAAAGGAGTGGTATCAGCAAGCTCGCCATAAGGAGAGGAAACGATGCTAGAAATATCAGGGTGCAGGTGAAAATATCAGGCGCTTGTAGAATTGTAGTCCGCGGAACTTCGCGGATGTATGCAGGGGTGTTTGAATTATGTATGTATTAACGTCGTGGCCTGTAGCAGGGTTCGAGGTTGACGGGCAAGGAAGAGATCGCAAGGGAATTGGAGGTCTGAGCATGCATGAGGATTCCACGGATCAAATTAGAAAATGACGAATCGCTTCTGTTTGGGCTTGTCGTCTGTCGTAGAGGTTAGCGGTGCGGCTTGAGTGACGAAAGAGGGGAACTCACGTTGGTCATCATCCTGACTCGGAGATTGATCTTTGCGGTCGGTTTTCTTGAGCCGAGCTCCTTTCCTTGTGGCTCCACCGCGAGGAGTCGTGGAATGAGTGGCATCAGCCGCTGCGCGGATGGTGGCAATGCGATGCTTGGCGCGCTCGTCGCCTTGGTCTGCTGCCTTCACATACCACACATTTGACTCGAGAGGATCACGACGGCACCCGATTCCCATTTCAGTGAAATATCCAACGGCGTACTGTGCCTTTGCAAGGCCCAGATTACCGGCCTGCAGCGCCCACTCGTATGCCTCGTTTTCGTCCTTCTCCAAGACGGGCTCTGCTCCAACTAGATACCAGGCACAAAGCGCCATCATGGCGAGTGGATGGCCATTTTGTGCGGCGGTGGTATAGAAATGAATACTGAGAGCTGGATCTCGCGGGCAATTTAGTCGGCCATGCTCATACGCATCGCCAAGTCTGTAAGCTGCCTCGACGTGACCCAGCTCTGCAGACTTGGTGAACAATTGTGCGGCGTAGGTTTCGTCGGGGAAGACGTCTTCTCCAAAGCCTCTCTCGTGCATAATTCCGAGTTCATAGGGTCCGGAATTGTACTGCGCGTCTGCAGATTCCGTCGCACGCTTCATCCACTTGACACCCTCACGGTAACGCTTGCCGAGTCCCATATCGCCAGCGATACAGGCCTTGGCCATGCGCATCATGGCGCCCGGGTGGTTCTTCGACGCCGCCTGGCGATAGAATTGCACTGCGCGCCCACCGTCCACGCGAGATCCCCAGCCAAACTCGTAGCACAGGGCTGTTCGGTAGCATGCTTCGACGTGACCGTGTTTACTGGCTGCTAGGAATAGTGGGAACGCTCGATCGTGGTCTTCGCGGCCTTTGCTGAAGAGCCCTGACGCGTAACCATCACCGAGGTAATACTGAGCGAAGGGGTAACTGCGGTCTGCGAGGCGCTGCAGAATTGACTTCGATTCACGAAGGAGGCGGGCTCTGGTGATGGGGCTTGCGTCCTCGAGGTCCACGCTTGGCATCTCACGCATCGAGTTTATCATGAATACAGCGAATTCATAAAGCACCGTTGGCTCGTCTGTTTTCTTGACATTCGCTAGGTACATCTCAAAGGTTTCTTTGTGGCTAAGGAGGGAGGCATTGTTGCCCACGGAGGCTTGCAGGCGTGAGTTGTCAAATTGAGCTGCCGTCGGGCCGGGTTGGGGGTACGATGTATTGAGCAAGTCAAGGAACGAGGATGACCGGTTGTCGGGTGATGCGTTGGAGTTGTGGGATGAGGATCTGGCATGTAAGTAAGGCGACGCAGAGAGATTGCGCCGATGGCCTCCATGTTCTGAGGTTGAAGAGTACGCAGACAAAGGTCGCGATAATCTCGACCGGACCGCAAGCTTGTCCGTCGACCCAGATCGAGCATCTGCATTGGCCATTGGTTTCCCGGGCGATTTTGGAGTCGAGTTCTGTTGGTGGTGGTACGCTAGAGGCTCATAATTGTCCGAAGTCTGCACCACGCTGTCCAAGCTGCCCCTGGAAGAGCTATGATAGCTCTGGCCATCGCGCTCTAGTGAGGAGGCGCTCTTCTGGGGGTTTCCATGGCCGTCGTCCTTCTGGTGTGGCTCCACCACTGACCACGAGCCACTGCTGGCGGGAGTGTGCCCGTAAGGATGCGATCGTGCATAATGTGGGGCGTGCGACGAGTCACGTCGCGGAGGGTAGGAGGGATTCCAACTCTGCTCTGGCGGTTGCACAGCACCATCGATGGACATGTCTGCAAACTCCGGGAGCTCTAATTGCGGCGTCACAGGACCATCGTCAGAGTGTTCAATGGGGACAGACGAGGCCTGGATGTCTGCCCCATAGTCGATCTTAACGGGCGAGCGCGGCGAATTCTGAAGAACGGGCGAGAGTTCGGGATGTGACGTGTGGATTGGAACGGGTTTTCGGTTAATGTTCAGGCTCTGTGGGGGCGTGGTGATCGTGCGTGGTGTTGACTCGTCCGAGGGATATGGGGGAGATGATCGGAGATAGGCCGGCGGAGGTGTCGGCAGCGCCTGGCGGTAGCCTGGGGCAGTAGCCATCATGAAGATGAAGATGAGACCACAAGTTCCAACGCAAATTCTCCTATCGAGCGATGCTTATCGCATATATGTCAGGAAGAAGTGGTCTCAAGAGTGGAGTAGAATAACAACGATCTACTCCAAAAAAGAAGCGAGGGGCGAGGAGTTCCCAAGGGAAGTCCCATTTTCGTATTTCCCCCACTCGCTAGTTCTGGTCAAATTGTGAGAGAATTCGTATAGTCGAGTAAAATACTCCGTACCTACTTCTTACAGGATTCCTTTGTTACGCGCCTTACAACAATCTATTCTTACACCTGGGCATAGCGACATAAGCATCTCCGGTGCATCTGATCCGTACAGAACTCCTATAACCGTCCATTGGCCTTGTCCCACGGGTCTGACATCTCCACAAAGGGCCCTGGGGCGAAACCGGTCTCCCGTCCGAGACATTCTAAGAATAAGTCTGCTGGATGACCTGGCACGCATTGGGGAATTTTCCTAGCTTGGCAATGAAACTGAAATTCAGTTATGTACACATACGCGCATAATACTCTACAAAGTACGTACTACTAGTACTACTACTACTGCTGGAATTGATAGTGGAGACGACGCTGGGGCATAACTCTAACTCCCCGTTTCGTTAGGGCCATTCCGCGTGCGTGGCAACTATTGAACCCTGGCACTGCCCGGTCTCATCTCTATGCAATGAGCAACAATGTTAAGTGCCTAGCTCGTGATTTGAGTCAATTTCTGAGTACTTCGTGCCTAGTATTCACCTGGCACCTGGACACCTGACACATGGGCCTTGGGGGTTCGAGCTTAACGCACCGTAGTAGGTATTTTGTAACCGAGATGGAAATATATCTCCGGGCCATACTCTGTACCTAGGTACGGAGCATATTACCTCCATTTAGTGACCCCCTACGCGAACCTTGGAACCCTGGAATTCAATGGTTTGTCCAAGAGATTCAGATAAATAAAAACCTGCGATTGAGTTCGTACCTTGTTTCAATGCCCCAGGGAACCTTCGCACGGCCCGTATCGATCCCATGGATGGCGCTTTCATGAACTCCTTGCGCCGGCGCACGCGCCCAGGCAAGCCCACCACATTTTAAGTGCGGAAACAATGTACGGAATCCTTTGGACATCCGTGGATGACCTACGACTCGCAAAAGTGGCATTGCATATTCACCTACTGTGTATGGAGAATTGATCAAGGGGCTATCCTCGGAGCCGACTGTGGCCTGATTTTGGATGGTCGAGTTTCTGGCAAGACTGAAGGAAACGTCAGCATTCCAGTAAGAGCCGGAGAGCGTGGCCCGACCTGGGCAGAAGAGTCTATAGGCTGCTGAAGAGCTTGAGATGCATCCGCTAGCTCCGTTAGATTCCAGGCAGATCCGTGCCAGTTTGCTTCAGGTGGAAGGCAAGGACGGGATAGGAGTTATCCAGGACGGCTGTGATACCTGATGTTTATCTTTTCTGCAATGGCTTGAAAAGGCTTAAAAGGCTGGAATTGGCGTGGGAAGATGAACACAACTGAAATAGGCTCTGGACTATGTATGTTGCTTGACCTCCGTCCCGTACGGGGCTACTCGTCAGTGCCGACCAGGTTGATTCTGGGGGTGGGATCGGCCGCCAAATGCCGATCATTTTGGTCAGGTTTGAGATCTGTTTTACTTTTCAGCTTGGTTGCCGTATGAGGCAGTTAAGTAAGATTCAAGTATCTTTCATGGCCATCCTGCTTTCTACACTGAGTATATGAAGTCGTCATTAGATCTCCTGTTGAGACAGATCGGCCAGGTCACACAATTTTCACGCCACTGAAACGATTCTCCAGAATTCGGCCACTGTGTATGTCAGTACAGGTTTTGGAGAGCTGGGGTTCCCAAAGGGGTAGAATTAGCCTTTCACCGACTCGCACGCTATGTCCTGTGTGTAAACAAATAGAGATCTCGATCCCGATACATCATAAAGCGTGCTTAAGTTCAGGGATTCCGGGGTATAAGAGAGCGTGGCATTAAAGATCCACAGAAGCCTAAGCCCAAACAGTCTAGCCCCACGAGAGCCCCGTGACCTCGGCTGCTCTTCCCTTTCATTTTGGGGTCACATCGTACCATGGCCGTGTTAGGGGATTCCATGGGTTTCTGGCCATTTTTGAGTGGTTTGGGAGTAAGATAAAATACACCAACCGTGGCACTAAATGGTATTGGGTACGGAGTACCATACTAAACATAAGACATCTCCGTTACCCAGTGACGGTTCACATATTAATCAAAACAAGCCTAACCGTTTCAAGCAAAGGCAAGGCCTAGAGGCGCTGTAGTCCGTACTCGGGGAGACTTTGTTGTCTCTTGATCCCTTTGCATTTCTCACCTTACTCTTCATTTTGCTGAGAGAGAGAGATCGAGAGGCCTGGAATTACCCTGTGTTGTTCCACTGCCGATCATTTATCTGCGTTAGTGACGTTTGGGTGGGACTTTGTTTATTCTCCACCTCCAAATCTCGTTGCACAGGCCGACCGAGGCGCTTTTGCTGCATCTCATCCTCAGATCAACCAATTTTGCTCCAGTTGCTGGTCAATCGAGCCGCAGGATCGGAACCATACTGAATCGAAAGTCTCGCCCCGGTAGATCTCTAAAATCGCATCGCTTTATTCAGAGTTCGGAACGGCGCATTTGGCATGTTTCACTGCGCAAACGACAGCTCGAGAATTTAATCATTCCGAATCGATTGATGACCAGTGTTTTTCTGAACTGTGAGTGCGTTTATTGTGCCAACAAAGGAAATCCGGCGAAGGCAAAAACAAAGCAGTTGAGGCATGGCAATAGGTTTGGCTGACTATAAACGTTCTGTAGATGTCATTGCCGCAGAGGCCAGGCAAAGCGTCACCTCGTCGTGAGGAAACCCGCGCATTTCGTGAATCATCCCGTCGCCGCCGCCGAGATACCGACTCGGGAGCCCACAGCGACGACCCCACTTCTCCTTCCCACCGACACCGCCGCCGACACTCTCATAGCCACCGGAGAGGCATGGATACCGACGAAGAGCGCATGGAGCGCGGCGCCGACGTGCGGCGCAAAAAAAGCATGGTCAAACCAGAGCGCCGACGAGAGGACCGCGATCACCCAAACTACCACTACCGTGAGCGATCGCATAATATGACAACCTACCCCTCCACCACGGGTAATGACCCGCTGCTGGATCACCGAGAGGGCGAGGCAGAGACCAATAGCTCTCGCAGCATGGAATCGAAGAAAGATGGACTGTACGGAGCGCGAGGAAATGTCAACAAACCGATGGAGCGGGTGCCCAGCCGGCATCGCTCCAAGAAGAAGAAGAGAGGGTCGCGACGATCTTCGAGAGGTGTCTCAGCGGACGAGAAGAGGCGCCGAAAAGCGATTGAGGAGAGTGGCCCACCGGAGCTGTGGCCGACCTATTGCGCAGTGCTCACTTGCTTCATCCCGGACTTTGTCCTGAAGTGCTTTGGCATGCCGCAGAAAGAGCAGCGCACTGCCTGGCGAGAGAAGATTGGTTTGATCAGTATCATTCTCATGATCGCTGCCTTCGTTGGTTTCCTGACCTTTGGTTTCACGGCTACCGTCTGTGGCTCGCCTCCGGTTCGTCTGAAGGTCAACAAAGTCAACTCCAACTACATGATCTTCCACGGGAAGGCATATGATTTGACTGGATCCACTCACCCGTCTGCGGAGGGTATTCCATCTGGTACGAATGTTCTTTATGATCTGCCACACAAGTACGGCGGTCAAGACGGCAGCTTCTTCTTCCAGCAGGTCAATGGCGCTTGCAAAGGTTTGATTACTGCCAAGTCCGACGGAGGAGTTCCTACCAACTCTAATGGAGATCTGGGTTGGTATTTCCCATGTGTGCCCTTCAACCAGGACGGCTCATCAAAGCCGAATTTGACCGTTGAAAATTACCTGGGCTGGGCTTGCCACACCAGCAAATCGGCGCGTAACCCATTCTACACTCTGTCCAGTGATGGTGATGTGTACTACACCTGGGAAGACACCAAGAACAAGAGCCGAAACCTCGCAGTGTACTCCGGAAATGTACTCGACTTGGATCTTTTGGCTTGGTTCAACAGCAGCCAGGTCTCGTGGCCGTCTCAATTCGACGAACTTCGCAAGAACCCGCATGTTCGGGGTGTTGACCTTACCTACTACCTTCAGAGTGGAGAGGACAAGAAGGTCGGAAAGTGTTTGACCCAAATAGTCAAGGTGGGCAGTATCGACACCGACACCGTTGGCTGCATCGCCTCCAAGGTCGTACTTTACGTGTCCTTGATCTTTATCCTGTCCATTGTGGTCGTCAAATTCGCCTTCGCCCTGCTGTTCCAGTGGTTCTTGGCTCCCAGGTTCGCCGCGCAGAGCACGAGTATGGCCTCTGATGCCAGAACCCGTAACCAACAGATCGAAGACTGGTCCAACGATATCTACCGACCCGCTCCCCGCATCGCTGATCCAGTTGCTTCTGATCGAATGAGCAAGCGTGCCAGTTTCTTGCCTACCACATCACGTTTCTCGAGCCCGTACAATGTAAGCAGCAGCAGCGGCAGCAAGCAGAGGCCAGTGTATGTCACAATGGCCAGCCAGAACTCGACCTCCCGTCTCATGCCCAGCTCCGCCCCTGGAACCATGTACAAGTTGAGTCAAAATGGTAGCGGTGGCACTCTGAGCGCTGAAAACTTGCGGAACCCGCATACCGCCAGTCGGACAAGTCTGCTCCCTCCGGGTCAGGACCAAGGTTATGCGACTGTTACGACCGACCAAGAAGGCTCCGGGCCTGCTGGTTTCATCCACGAGGCTGTCGTGCCCCAGCCACCTCCTGAATGGCAGCCATTTGGATATCCTCTTGCGCACTCGCTCTGCCTGGTTACTTGCTATTCCGAAGGCGAGGAGGGCATTCGATCGACTTTGGATTCACTTGCAATGACGGACTATCCGAACAGTCACAAGACGCTTCTGGTCATTTGCGACGGTATCATCAAGGGCAAAGGAGAGGAATTTTCTACCCCGGATATTGTGCTGGGCATGATGAAGGATTTCGTTGTTGCCAAGGACGATGTCCAGCCCTACTCCTACGTGGCCGTGGCGACTGGTTCCAAGCGACACAACATGGCCAAGGTTTACACAGGATTTTACGATTATGGCGACACCTCGATTATTCCCACCGAAAAACAACAGCGTGTTCCAATGATGGTCGTTGTCAAGTGTGGAACTCCCCAGGAATCCACTCAGTCCAAACCCGGTAATCGAGGCAAGCGCGACAGTCAGATTATCCTCATGTCATTCCTTCAGAAGGTGATGTTTGACGAACGTATGACGGAACTCGAGTTCGAGATGTTTAATGGCATGTGGAACGTCACGGGCATCCCGCCAGACTTCTATGAGGTCGTTCTGATGGTCGACGCCGATACAAAAGTCTTCCCCGACAGTCTGACCCACATGGTCTCGGCCATGGTGAAGGACCCCGAAATCATGGGTCTCTGTGGAGAAACCAAGATTGCCAACAAGACCGACAGCTGGGTAACCATGATCCAGGTTTTCGAGTAAGCTCAGCTCCCCCGTGTAACCAGTCCCTCCAACTCACCAAAAGCAGGTACTTCATCTCTCATCATCAAGCTAAATCCTTCGAGTCAATCTTCGGTGGTGTGACATGCCTTCCGGGATGCTTCACCATGTATCGCATCAAAGCTCCGAAGGGCGGCCAAAACTACTGGGTACCCATTCTCGCAAATCCAGACATTGTCGAGCACTACTCCGAGAATGTAGTTGACACGCTGCACAAGAAGAATTTGCTTCTTCTCGGCGAGGATCGCTATCTCACAACCCTCATGCTCAAAACCTTCCCCAAGCGCAAGCAGATCTTCGTCCCGCAGGCTGTCTGCAAGACTGTTGTTCCCGATGCATTCATGGTCCTCCTCTCCCAGCGTCGCCGCTGGATCAACAGTACCGTGCACAATCTCTTCGAGCTAGTCCTCGTTCGTGATCTGTGTGGAACGTTCTGCTTCAGCATGCAGTTTGTCATCTTTATTGAACTCGTCGGCACCCTGGTCCTCCCTGCCGCCATTTCCTTTACTATCTACGTCGTCATCTCCTCCATCGTCAAAAAGCCCGTCCAGGTCATCCCGCTGGTCCTGCTCGGTCTGATCCTGGGTCTACCCGGTGTACTGATTGTCGTCACGGCGCACAAACTGGTCTACGTTCTTTGGATGCTGATCTACCTGATCTCACTTCCAATTTGGAACTTCGTTCTTCCGATGTATGCGTTCTGGAAATTCGATGACTTCAGTTGGGGCGATACACGTAAGACCGCAGGCGAGAAAGACAAGGGCCATGGCGACGCGGAGGGTGAGTTCGATAGTACCAAGATTACGATGAAGAGGTGGCGTGATTTCGAAAAAGGTAAGGCGCCCGCTTGCACCGCTTCAACGTTCTGTTCTAATCTCTTCCAGAACGCCGCTTGCGCAAAACGTGGGCACAGCCCCATGCGTCGGATTACCCGTCGCACTACGAGACGTACTCCCATTATTAACGAAAGCGACCCAGCGTTGAATTTTAACTCTTGATCTTTTGTTCTTTGTCTCCATCTGTTTTCCTGGAGTTGCATCTGGCTTCGATGTGATTTATTTCACCATTACATACGGGCGTTCAGATATTTTAATATTGTGCGGAGGCATAACGGCGTTCCACGACTGACGAGTGTTTATGCTTACGTTCTTAGCCTTCCAAGTTGAAACCTTGGAAGGTTTACTTCTTTTTTTTAATCGGCACTTTCATTCAAGGTTGGACTTTGATGTTGTCATTTTTTGGCGATAAAATAGTGTAGCTCATGCAAATCGTCGATATCAATCTAAAACATCAGCCGCAGCTTCATCCCTGAAATATGTATGGAGTCAGAAGCCGGAATAAGCGATGATATATGCGGAGACCAGGATTTCACATGCTGCATTGGCTGCCCCTTGTTGCTGATTCGGGGCCATCAGGCCAGCGCAGGATCAAAGCGCAGGTCACCGGGCTTGTCCGGTTGGATCTGCAGCACATCCCTGCACTATCATTTACATATGCGAGGTTGAATCTATAGATCAGCTTTGAGGGGGGTATATAACGGACGTAGTGACAGTAGTCAGTACACTGGATGGCACATCTCATGGATGATCCATGGACCCGATGGGGCAGAGCTGACTAAAGAAACAAAAGTCCCCTTTCCCCCTCAAAGGTGATTCTGTTAGGACCCCTCTTGCTTTCGGTTTCGGATATTGAAGAGTCGCCTGCAGCCCTTCCACCGCTTCTCGGCCTCGTTGCTTATAGTGACGTTCTCCACGTTCTCACTGACCACGTTCGGGGAATCCCTTCCACTTCGGTCATTCCTTGCGTCCGACCATTTATTTCCCTGGCGCGGATACCTGTACCGCGCATTGTTCGCTTGATGTCCCATCACCTTTGGGACTAACGATCAGCCCGCATTTCATCCAACGTTTCCGCCAAATCTTTCTTTCTATTCACCTCCTTCCCCCCCGGTCGCCCTTAACTTGACCTCCCCGCGGTTGAATCGGCATTGCTGTTTCGCCCGCGTCCCGCATACCTCTCAGCGGGCACCCAGTGCGCCACCTCTGCAGTGTGGTTACCCCCCACATTGCGAGTCAGCAGTCAGCTGCGAGGCGACCGAAGACCTGCCGCGAAGTCTAGTAGCCAGGATCAGTGGTTCTTCATTATAGGTGGAAGCACTGCAGCCCCTCCCCGTGGTAACTGGACCGTTCCCTCAGTGTTGTACGACCGCCGCTGCCTGCCATCCCTGCCACCCACCCGTTTGGGACGTGATCATCCGTCGACTCGCTGCACGGTGCCTGGAGCGGAACACTAGAACCGAAACTGGTACTTTGGGTCTCACGACCTCGGACTGATCTTTTTGTGGCTCGGGTTGACGGTCCATGGCGGGCGATGCTTCATTTCAGTGACTGTCACGCCGCCTCGAATAGTCCGTCCGACTGCGCTGCGCACTGTCGAGATCCCGCATCGCCGCGCCATGTGTCATGTGATATCGACCCTACGTCAGCTCAACCGCGAGTTATGAACCCTCAACCTTCTTCTGTGGAAAGATCATCCGCTCGGGAAGACGATGGGTCTACCCTGAACTCGACCCCACGTTCGGAAATCTTTTCCAGCGACGACAGCTCTACTCCGGCTTCAACCAATATGGCTTCCGATGTCGATCGCCGGTTACATGATGTGGGTGTCGCAGCACTGGCAGCTGTGTCACAGTATCCACATGCTGTGAATAACCATAGTGGTTCATTCCTGGTGTCGGAAATAGTCAACGCCGTGACGAGCGCTGGAAGCCCGCCCGACTATCGCCTTTTGAACACGCCTTCTCTACTGCCAGGGCGAGGCTATCTTAATACGCAACCTGGATCGCATAATTCGGCTGGACCGGATGTCGCCTTCAGCCACGGGCCACTCCCGGGTGGCGATGTGGATGTCGAGCTGGCTGTACAGAATTTGTTTCATCGCACCGCAGGACGGCAGGGTATCTCCATCGCGCCAGACAGCGATCTTGAATCTCAGAGGGACATGGTCATGGATTATGATCCCACGCCCATGGAATTCATCTCAACGCCCTCATCCGAATCAGATGACGAAATTGAGGATTTTATCCGATTTTACCCGGACGAAGAACAATACTACCATCAACACAAGCAACGCCCGACACAGCCCGATTCCGAAATGGCGGACTATGATCTGGACGACTTTTACAAGACCATCAATTATGAGGATATTGATGTGGATCTACCTCCGTCACTTGGGGTTGCAGTTACCGAACCTGCTGAGAACCACGTTGCCGAACAACCAGAGGCTGTGCCACACCCAGCGTCTATAATACACACGTCCAGTAAGACACTCCCATCATGCGACAAAGCTTCCCATGTTGACTGACCATGTTAGCCTATGAACGAAATCTCACAGTCGATGAATTTATCCAACGATGGATGGTCCAGACAAACGTCATTCCTCGAGGATTTCACTCTGAAAGTCGTATTCCACCACAGCTTCGTCCACTGTCAAAGATGATTAGTTGGGAACCCCCACGGGAAACTGTGCGCCCGCATGACTGGAGACGCAATTTCTATGATCTCCAGCAGATTCCGTGGACAGAAACCCTTCGGGTGAGACGATCCGACGCGAGGGCGCTACGCGACGCCTGGTATACCTCTTACCACAACCTGGATTACTCGCACCTTAGCCATGCCAAACGTCTCCCGCTTACAGAATCCGCTTTCCGTGAACATTCTATGCACACCTCCCACAGGGCGTCTATTGAGCACTTCCAGCTCCGCAACCTCATGTCAACCCCTGCTTATAACACCGTGCACTTCGCCTCCCGTTCGAAATTGATGTCTTGGACCCCGAGTACCGGAGACGCAAAATGTCTCATTGACCTCAGTCAAGCAGATCCAGAGTCGGGTTTCCTCGGCCCAGTCAAGATCTCAACAATGAAGACTGCACACGGCCTTACAATTGCGGGCGGGTTTTGTGGCGAATACGCCTTACACAGTTCAGCAGGTGGCGCTGGCATCAAGGGACTCGTGACACCCGACTTCAACGACGGTATCACAAATCATGTCGACGTAGTCCCTAATCGCACCGGCCCGTCGCCTACCGGCGTCTTCGCCTCAAACGACAAGCATCTCCGCATTCTCGACACAGAAACCAATGTGTTTACTTCCGACCAAGAACTGTCCCAGCCCATAAACTGCACCGCCACCTCCCCCGACTCACGCCTCCGTGTAGTCATAGGAGACTCCCCAGACGCTTGGGTCATTGAATCCGACACCGGCCGCCCCGTTCAACCCCTCCGCGGCCACCGTGACTTCGGGTTCGCCTGTGCTTGGTCCCGAGACATGCGCCACATCGCAACCTCAAACCAAGACAAGACCGTCATCATCTGGGACGCGCGCACTTGGCGACCACTCGAGACGATCGATTCCGATGTCGCCGGGTACCGCTCGCTGCGCTTCTCTCCTGTCGGCGGTGGTCCCCGGACCTTACTCTGCACCGAACCTGCGGACCGGATTTCTATCGTCGATGCGCAGCTCTTCCGCTCTCGCCAAGTCCATGATTTCTTCGGTGAAGTCGGTGGAGCGGATTACTCCCCCTGCGGTAGTAATATCTGGGTCGCTAATACTGATTGCCATTTCGGTGGCTTCATGCAATATCAACGTCGACAGTGGGGCCAGCGCATTGGGTTGACGGATCTTCCGAATGAGTGGCTTTCGGAAGATGGACTAGAAGATGACTCTAAGTGTCTGCTGACTAGGAAGGAGCGCGGGTTGAGATATTTGAGGAACTTATCGGATGAAGAGCATGATTCTTTGATTCTCTAGTTTGCTTTAGTGCTTTCTTTCGTTCTCGGGATCTCTTTTCATGTTTTGTTCATTTGCGTCTTTTTTTTTTTCATCTTTCGATCTGTTTTCCAAGCTTTGCTTTGGGTTGGTATTCTTTGCGCATTTTTCATCTGCATCTGATACCCTGGGTTCTGGCGTTGGTGGTTTCTATACGCACTTGTTTACAATAGTATCAAATCTTCTTTCACGGTTCAATCCTTCAAGTATTATCTACGCTCTATTCCCAGGTGGGTATCAAGCTCGGTTTTGAAATATTTAGCCCTACCTAGTACTAGTAGTGTCCGTTGAATGAACTCATCAAGAAGTCGGTCCAACCAAGAAAGGAATTTCAGTAAGTGCCTACAAAATAGACGGTATTGTGGCCTACAGAGGTCAAAGATTTGTCTACAATGTCAGCGGATCAACTCCTCAAATACTGAAGAGTGATCATGCTAAACAAAAACATCCAGGGTCACGCAGTGCACACTGTTGTACGTTCATCTTAAAGACAGACGACCAACTTAGTCCACGAGTCAACCAAAGAGGTAAGGAAACTTCGAGAAAAGGCGCAAAATCGACATTTCCCAAGTGTTCGCCATGGAGAACGATGTACCGGGGCCTGAGAACCAACCGCAGGGCTTCTTGTGTATCAAGCTAGTTCTTAGCGCAGTCTGAACCAGCAATTTCGACCGACGCTTAACCGGTAGAGCGCAGCGATCGCCTCCATGTACATAAGAACACACGATTGGACCTTGTACTAGTGCACGTATAGCGAGGCAGTGGGCGCACAATGGTAGATCGGAAAATCATTGTGATGCCATTTGGCTCCGAGGTACTTGGGAAGACAATTTCCTTTTGTCCATCAGAGGAACACTCGCTTTGTTTTTCTTTTCTGGAATGCGACAGCTTGGATCTCAAGACAGTGCGACACCATCGCTGCCGACGCCATCCGACGTGAACCTACCGAGAATACCGTTGCAGATGCCTCTGCTTGTCTGAGACTGGCCGTTGGTGAGAACGACTCGACTCGCGAACGTTCTATAGAGGGTCAGCAAAGGGTCTACGGCTGGTATGAGTACGGACGCATCCACATTGATTGGTACCTGTAACAAAGGATCCAGTCGAGCGCCGGTCAAGCTCTGCGGGTCCCTAGTAGTCTGTAGATAGCTAGCTCACTCTTTCTCTACGGCTTTTCTCAGGTTGTATGCCTCAAAATGGATCCTGTAAGTAACTAGCTGAGGCGAGATGCGATACCAGTTATCTAATGCGGATTTGAAGGCTCCCATTGTGGAAAATGCGGTGTTTCCGTCTGGTGTTGCTGTTGTGTTTTGGTCGTGGGAAGATGTAGGGCTATGAAAGCGGGCGATGCTTGCTGACCTAGGGCAAACGAGCGTTGCGAATCAAGAAAATTGCTGGAATTGCTGGCAAAGGACCTATGTGTAGCATCCAAACTTGCTCCGACCTGGGGACATCGTGGATGCTCAGATGCTGGGCTGATGGATCCCGAGGTCATGCCAGCCAGTAGGGAAGTGCAGGGCTCGCCAAGGTTGCCTCCGCTGTTGTTGTAGCGAGAGCAAACAAGGCAAACAGGGCAAAAGAGGCAAACACGACATCTGGGATGTGACATTAGGATGTTTGCACTGTTTACATCCGTGAAAGCAACGTAGACTGTACTCTGTACTCTACCCCGTATGGCAGAGCAGAAGAGCTGGCCATTCTGAATCGCGCCGAAGTTGCGGTCAGCAAAAAAGGACCGACATGGAACCTGTCACCTTTGCGAGCCACGTTGTCAAAATTGCGAATCTACCGGTTAGGCTTGGCTCTGGGCGGCAGCCAAGCAGCTGACGGACTATGGCCGAATTGGCCAGGCCACCGCGGGCATACTTTGCAACGGGGCTTTAATGATAGCTCACGCGATCTACATGGATCAAGTTGTGTTTGCAGCTTCGGAGCCCGATCTCCTGCCTGTTTCTACGTGCTGGGCCGACACATCTCAAAATCTGGAAATCTACCAGGGTTGTTTGAATGTCCCGTTTTCACAATGACATACATCCGAATCCATGCAGGTGTTTCATTCCGATATTTAGAACTGTCCATGTTGACAAATCTTGAGACAGAAACATGCCAAGGGATTAAAGGCATGGCATGTCGGAGCCCTTGCTTGCTTTGACACTGTCACCTACAGTACTCGTACGTCGTAGATCAGTGAGCTAAATCGGGAGAATGAGCTGTCTCGATGGCGACTTCGCACCTGTTACTCGGAAACTCCCCTACTGTACACTCTGCCTGCCCAGCGCGCTCGGAACAGCCACACGGTCCTCACTCTACGGGGTATGTGATGATCACTTGAAGGTGACGTTAGTCAGTCTGAATAATCGGAACAAGGCCATTGAAACATCGGAATGAGATCCCTCATTCACCATGACATGGCATCGTTGTCAAACTTGGGGTAGCTGGCGACGCCTTCGCGAGTGTGTCAATCCATGGGGATCGACTTACTAGCGGTCAAACTGAGTTGCCACAGAGTGATGAATTGACACAGGGGGGAATCCTACCTTGCCTCCATGCGACCCTTTTCGCAACCTTGCACTAGTGGAAATGATATCGCTCTGAATATTGTCACTTCTCTGGTCATGAAGCTCTGCTACTAGGTATATACTCGGCGACCATGTTGCTAGAGTTCGGGCCTTGGGGCAGCTAGGAGCAGAAGCTTTTGAAACCTTGCCTTGCTCATGATCAACGGCCCGTTTGTCGCCATCGCCAGAGGTATAGGTGATGTCATGGTTATAGTCGGGAGATGGCGATGCAAACACCGGCAATTACATACATGTGGTGACTACACTACTTGAGGCTCCAAGGACAACCCTGTCGCGGACAAACGTAACTAACACATTACCTAGGTAGTTATTTAGTGCCTAAGTACTCCCTGTTACATGGAGAGAAAAGCCGATAGTTAAGTAGTTCCACCTGAGTGTAACGGTCCTGGGGCCCGACTACCACCGTTGCACCCAAGGGGGTCATTGGGTATGTACCGGTACATACCACTCCCGGAATGTCTGTATTGTATTTCTCCCTTATCGCATTTAAGCTACTGTGTATACTCTTGGGATTTTCAACACTGCATCTCGGGTGGCATGGAGTTGAAATTGGCCTGCTATTGAGCCATTCGCCTGTTTCAATTCAGCATATGTAACTGTAACTCCGGAATCGCAGAGGTATGACAGTCCACATCGCGAATACCGAATGTTCCTGCAGCAGATCTAAATCTGTACTCCGGACTCCCTCCGTGCGGAGACTTCGCCCCGGACGGTAAAATACCGTATGTGACGATACACGCATTGCGACACCGCAAGGGCTTCCAGTCGCAGTCGCGGTGACACTGTCGATTCAAGAATGGATGTTGATCCATCGCTATTTTTCCCTTCCCTTCTCTCTCCTCTCAGTGGAACTGCGTCTGCTACACTCCCATCCAGACACGACTCTGGGAGTGTCACATCACCGCCCCTTATAACCTTCAATTATTTCCTCTTTAGTCTTATCTGCCCATGAGCCGATAATTCGTCTACTCTCTCACCATGTCGGCCCCGTTGGTCAAGGTCCTCCACCGACTCCGGGAACTCTTCCACAACGTCGTCGCTACCCTCGAAAGAATGATCCTCTTCCCCTCCCTCTTCCGCGGCTTCTCACGCCGCCGCCGGAAGCCCTTCCTCGGCGCCCATTGGAAACGCCGCTCCCTGGAGGACTTCGCCGACGAAGTCGAATCCGCCTGCTCGACCCCCTTGACCACTCGCAATATGGCCGATATGTCCGAGAAGATTCGTGCGCAGTTCCGCACGTGCCTCCAGGACAGCCCGTGCTGCATGCTCCCATCCTACGACACGACCCTCCCCGCTGGCACGGAGAAAGGCACATATCTGGCGTTGGATGTGGGAGGCTCCACGTTCCGCGTGTCCTTGATCGAGTTGAATGGGCGAGATGAGGAAGTGCGGATCCTGAAAGTCTCCTCGGCGCAGATCGATAATAGCGTGAAGCTGTTGGAAGGAACACAATTCTTCGATTGGATGGCCGGGCAGATCGAGGTGGTGCTCAGGGAGGTGGGAGTCGACTATGGGCGTAGTGAGGTGCCGTTGGCGATGGGTCTGTCCTGGTCTTTCCCGATCGAGCAGACCTCGCACGGAAGTGGATTGGTGGTTCAGATGGGCAAGGGATTCAAGGCTTCAGACGGCACAGTAGGTCTGGAGCTGGGCGATCTGATTGTCCAGTCATGTCGCAAGCGCAATCTCAACGTAGAGGTCGCCGCCATTGTGAACGACGGGTCAGCGGCTCTTTTGTCCCGCGCCTACGTCGACCCCAAGACTCGCATGTCCCTCATCCTGGGTACCGGCACCAACATGGCCATTCACTTCCCCGTCCACGAGATTGGGATGTCCAAATTTGGCGTCCGTCCCGAGGGCTGGTTCGACTATGCCAAACACGTCATCATAAACAGCGAAATGAGCATGTTCGGTGGAGGCGTGTTGCCCATGACTCGCTGGGATGAGTACCTGAACCGAACCCACCTGCGTCCCGACTACCAACCTCTCGAGTACATGATCACGGGCCGGTACCTGGGCGAGATCGTCCGCCTTATTATCGTCGAAGCCGTCGAGACGGCCCGTCTATTCCACGGAGAGTTGCCGCACTCCATGCGAGAACCCTACTCCCTCGACACCAGCATCGTCGCCTTCATCGAAGAGGACTCTTCGCTCTCTCTTTCCGCCTCTGCAGCCCTTCTCCAAAAGCAGCATACCTTCCCCACTCTCCCATCCGTTGAAGACCTACGCTTCCTCCGCCGCATCTGCCAATCCGTCTCTCACCGTGCAGCCGGCTACCTGGCCACAGCCATTCACAGTATGTGGTGTTTGCGCAACGAGGTTGAATTCCCCACCACGCCCATCACAGAGTCCCCTAACAAGGAATCCCCCGAAATCACCGTCGTCGAGAGCGAGGATTCCTCCAAGAATCTCTCCATCGCTTGCGACGGAACAGTCATCAACAAATACCCTGGATTCCAAGACGTCTGCCAGGCCTACCTGAACAAATTGACCGAGGAGACGCACCCCGGGACCGGGGCCTCAATCCGATTGAATCCTGCGCCTGAGAGCGCGATCCTGGGTGCTGCCGTCGCCGTGGCCGTGGCCGTGGCTGAAAAGTCCGCTCTCAAGTGATTTCTTTCCTGATACGATTGACGCATAAATAATTCGAGTTGGGTGCTCGAACTGTCTTCTTGTGATTTTCTTTGTTCTTCGTCATCGGTCATCGGCGCATGGTGTGTGACGGCCCTTTGGGCTTCGTTTTTCGTCATGAGCATCCCCGGACTTGTGTTGCCGGGTGGGCATCTTCTCTTTTATCTTCACATCATTCTACCAACTAGCATCTGTAAGGAGTTTTTGTCTCGGGTTCGGTGTGCTATGGGTTTGACTCTGGTCGGATGGAGTTTGGTTGGTTTTTATCATTCTGCTTCTCGAATTTCACTCATATTTCTTCTTTGGAATTCAAGCAGACATTTTGATTCGTCCATGCACTTCTTTTATCCATTAAGCTAATGTATTGTGACCTGGCTCTCGTTCCTTTCCCGTGCTGTTCTATCAATGCGTTGACTTGCAACCGGTCCATTGCTTCTACTGATGATTTCTCGAGTTCTACGACAATTAAATCTCTAGGTAGGGTCTTGATCCCTGGGGTTTTCATCCATTGTCTATGCCAGGCGTATATGTTACACACATCCCATTGCTGTCGATTCTCGCCCCCCAACACGGATACGGGAATTACTCCACCTTGGTCTTATCAACACCAATTGTAATATATCCGATCATACCCTTGGTGACATCGTTGCCATCGACCGGAATGACAGAGACAACGGGGTTGTATCCGTTGTCGGTATCGCCCTCAAACACACTATCCACAGCATTGGTAGTGCGGTTGATCTGGGTGTGAGAAACATAAGGTTCCTGCGCCATGATCTTCTGAGACAGAGGCTCATCGAAGTAGATCTGACCAGTGCTAACAGTATCGCCATAGGCCATAGTGCCATTACCACGGACGGTCCAGTCAGTGTGCACCTGGACATGAATATGGATGGCACGCTCGACATAGAAGCCTGAGTCGTCAGTTCGGTTCAAACACCTTGGCTTCAAGTTCCAAGTTGGGGATACTCACCTGGGAAGATAGTCTTCATCTCCATCATGCCGTTCTTGTCAGTTGGCCACATTCCACGAAGCCAGGTGGTGTCATCAGTATGCAAGTCCAGATCACCGGACATGGTGACATTGAGATCCTCCAGCAGTTCGGCAAAGGGAGTGTTAGGCGACAACCCCGTGAACGAAGAGTACGAGCCTGTGGCATTGCAGTGCCAGAAATCAACGAGCACGCCCTCGAGAGGCTCGCAGGTCTCCATGTCCAACACGCCGACGTCCAGCCACAGTGGAATTCCGGGTTGGTCTTCCGTCATGTCTTGACGGAGAGTCTGGGATTGGGGCCAGATGTAGGGCCCCTCTGTGACCTCGGGCGTGAGCACGCAGGTGTCATTTTGTATGGTTTCGTAGTATGGGGCCTCGGCTTGGATTTGGTATGTGGTGTTTGCTGAGCCGGGGAAGCGCTTGGCGATGTTGCGCTTGACTCGCCTGGAGTTGAATGAAGCGACGTTGGAGGCACAGCGAGAGGAGAGCTCGTGGCGTCTGGTCAATTCGCGCTTGCTGGGCTGGTGGTGAGGGCCTGGGTGGGCTGCTGCCAGGGTGACCAGGCCTGCTGCAAGAAGTTTAGAGAGCTGCATGATTGGATTGGAAGAATTGGGGCTTGGGGGGTTGGAATTGGAGGGGTGGGCATTGATTTTATATTCTTCCGGGGAATTCTTAGAGTCTCCATCTGTCCTTTAGACCATGCTTCTTGTCGTGGTCTTTTGCGTAAGCTGTGGGTGATAGAGGCCTTGGCATCATCTAGTTTGAGGCCTTGGATTCATAGTTCCGGTCTGAAGACAGGCATTTCGGTATCATTAAGGGGGTGTGGATAGCCCCCAGAAAGTTGCTGAAGGGATCCACTGAGGGGATACGACTCAATCAGAAGAATCAAGGCGTAACAAGCCTGACCTCATTGGGCGGCAGTCAAGGCCATGGCTTTCTGGAAACATGCGTATTTGTGGAGTATTCATATCGCATTGACGAAGGACCTTCGGGGTTTCACATATTACATGGATGACAATTGGCTGGTGCCTGGTAGAAGTGCGAGGCTAGTGACTGCAGTCGCAGAACTGGGTTAGAGTGAGCAATTCGGAGCCCTATATCCGCTGACTGATCTCGTCGGACCGAAGATGAGCGCCGATCATCTCGTTTCAGTCGTTAGCACCGTTGGTTGCGTGGCTTGCTTGGCAATTTTCTGCAGTCGAGTTTATTTGAAGTTTACTTGAAGGAAATGAGCATAAAAATCAGGTATATCGAAGTCATTCTGCGCATAACATGACATAGTAAATATACAAATCTAACGGCCCGTGTACTGCCGCGCCTAACATCCTACTCAGGAAGAGTGTATGCCTGAGACTTGTTCAAAATAATCTCCGCCAGGGCCATCAAGGTACCACTGGAAAGTAGTTCCAAGACCTGAACGTTGGCATCAGCCTCACGAGCAATCCAGTTCCGGATCTCAATAGCCACCAGCGAATCAAGACCGAGCGAGGAGACCGTAATCGAGGGATCCATATCCTCCAGAGACAGAACAAGTACTTGAGCTAATTTGGCGGCCAGCGCTTCGTAGCACACTTGCAATGCGTCTTCCTTAGAAGACGCCCCTTGTAGAGTTACTTGCAATGGGACGGATGGGTCGTCGCGCTGAGAGTTGCTTCCCAAGCTGCCCTTGGCGGACTCAAACAGGACACTGAACTTCGCGTCTTGAACCCAGAAATTGTTTTCTAGGGACTCAAGTTCCAGACCGGTGACGCACTGTCCTGAGCAGGATTGATCGAGAGCACCGGTCACGGCGGCCGCTACGAGAGCCAGCACTTCCGATTCGTCAATTGTCTGGTTGCCGATATTCTTCAACACCTCCTGTCGTCGTTGGGCGTCGGTATCGGCTAGATAACCGACGTCGCTTACTGCTGCAAGGTCGATCGATGTTCCAGGAAGACCAATAGATTGGCGATACTCCATGAATCCGTCCAGGAACACGTTGGCCGCAGAGTAAGCTGCCTGTCCTCGGTTTCCGACAATGCCAGCAACAGATGAAAGTGCAATGAAGAAGTCCAGAGGAGAATTGATCAAAGTGTTATGCAGATTCCAGGTTCCTTCAACCTTGCTGGAAGCCACGGCTGTGAAATCTTCAAGCGACATGTTTTCGAAGAGCATATCCTGAAAGAGGTCAGATTTTGGGATTTCTTATGAAAAGAAGCAGTGTGGGAGTGATGATGAACTTACACGAAGAACCATTGCACCCTGGACAACACCTCGCACAGGGGGAAGATCTTTCATCTCCTGGTTAATCAGATTCTCGACCGATTGCTGGCTGCTGACATCACAAGCCTTGACGATAATCTTCACTCCCAAGGGAGCCAAGTTATCAATCAAAGCTTGCACCTTGTCATTGATCGCGGCTCGACGAGACACGAGAACAATGTTCTTCGCGCCCTTCAAGGCCATCCACTTGGCCATGCTTCGACCCAGGCCACCAGTGCCACCAATCAGAATGTACGACGCATCTGAGCGAAGCAAAGTCGCACTAGTCTTAGGAGCCACAGCCTAGAAAAGACAGTTTCATTAGTTCTGTGCATCGCTTCGCATACATGAGAACTTGCTTACCTGGACTTGGTCACCCTCACGGGGAACAACAACGATTTTGCCCTTGCTCTTACCCGTCTGCAGGGTGCGGAACGCCTTCTCAATGTCGGAGATAGGGTAAACTGAAATGGGCAAGATGGGATGAACGTGACCCTCAGTGAGCAATCGAGAGACATCTGCCAAAAGGCGCTTCATGAGCTGTGGCTTGAACTTGGCGACCTTGGTCATGTCAACCGATGAGAAAGTAACATTGTATTCAAAAGGTTGCATGTCAAGACGAGTGTTCTTGGTGATATCGGCCTTTCCAATTTCAATGAAGCGACCGAATGGAGCCAGAGTCTCCCAAGTCTCACGCAGGAGATCTCCTGCCAATGAATTGACCACAACGTCCACACCTGCCTCGCCAGTTGCTCTGCGGATACCGCGAGCAAATGAAGCATCACGACTGTAGAAAATACGGTCTTCTGGTATTCCGTACTGGGTCATGAGGAATTGCTTCTTTTCGACACTGCCGACCGTGACAAAAATGTCCGCACCGATCATTTGAGCCACCATGATAGCAGCCTGGCCGACACCACCAGCACCAGCATGGATCAAAACACGCTCGCCGGGTTGAAGCTGACCAAGGTCAAACAGTGAGTAGTATGCTGTGCTGAACACGACAGGAACGGTGGCAGCAACCTCGAATGTCATATCTGCAGGAATCTCGGTGGCACTGGTGGCAGCGCAGCGAGCATATGTCGAGAAACTGCCTTCTGGGAAGGCCATGACTCTTTGTCCAACCTTGATGTCTGTCACATTTGAGCCCACACTGGAGACAATACCACTGCACTCGATTCCAATATAAGGCTGGGCAAGCTGGCCCATGGTGACCACAATATCCTTGAAATTGAGACCGGTTGCCTTGACTTCAAGCTCGATCTGGTTCTCGCCCAAGGGTGGTGGACTGTCATCAACAAAGTAAAGAGAGTCCAGAGCGCCCAAATGGCCGATCTCAAGCTTGAAACGCCGCCCAGGCTGAACAAATGGCTGGGTGGAGATGACAACCTCATTTGTCTCGTTGTGAACAAAGCTATTAGCAGCTTTGTCCTCAACCAGACGTTGAACAGACAGCTCTGAGCCTTTGGCCTTGAATTCAAAGTCTTTTGATGGCTCGGCTCCATCAGACGGCCATAAGGCGTCAATTGCTGCCTGAATTGGCGTCTCAGGGGCACCGAGGTCTGCGGCAGCGATTCCAACAGTAGCAATCTTAGCCAGAGTCTCCGAGCGCAGAGTACGTGCCAAACCAACACTCATTTGGCCATCAGGAGAGTCAGTTCGATAGACCCAGAGCACAGTTTGAGCATTGAGCAAGGCCTTCTTGAGACTGTCGAAGACATCCTCAGTGATGTTGCGAAGCGAACTATCACCAGTTTGTAGCAGAAGAAAATGCTTGTGATTGAAGTCAGTCTCGCTGAATGAGTTCACAGAAGGCTGCCAGCTCGTCGTCTTCGACAGCGCCTGACTCAGGCGATCGGCGATGCCATCGGGTTCACCAAAGTGGGAAATAATGATATCACGCTTGGATTTGATGGCTTCCACACTTGCATGCTCGTGGCCATTGCTTTCCGCCTTGTCGTGCGCGGCTGCATCGCCGTTTGTTTGAGAGGTGCCATTCACTTGCGCTGGCTCAGAGGGCTCCTGATCATCTGCCTCGCTTGGACTATTGACTTTATCCAAAGAATGCCAGTCAAGCTTGTAGCAAATCTTGCGGACATCCCCACGGCGAGGGTCAGCGTCTCTGAGGGGTGTCATAATGAGTCCCTCCATGTAGATCAAGGGCTCGGCAGATCCTTCCTGCGTAGCGAAAAGATCAAACTTGGTGGGCTCGGGTGAAGGCAAGCTAGGGCTGCCGTTGCAGTAGGCTTTGGCGAATTCACCGGCCTTCGTTGGAACATTGATATTAACTGTGACGCGCTTGATCATGGTTGGCATGTAAAGCGTGTCCAAATCCATGCGGCCCAGACCCTGGCCAAGAATTGGCCATACTAGATGAAGTAGTCCATCGAGGAATGAGGGGTGCACGGTGAGTGAAGGCTCGAAGTTCTTCGGCATGACACTAGCTGTGTCTCTGACATATAGATCGGAGAGTGAGTGATGCGGGCTTGCATAGCAGTTCTCGAGAGGCTGGAAGATGGGCCCGTATCCGGCTCCTAGGTCACTCAGAACCTGGTACATGTGCTGGACCTCTGTGCGATTTGTAGCAGCGGCTTGGATCTTGGCGATTTGAGCTTTGGTGTAATTGAGCTGAGTTTCGAAGGGACTTGCGATTGAAGCCGCCTGTTGCTTTGGGTCTGAACGAACTCGTATTTGACCAGTACAGTGCTCTGTCCATCCACGCTTTGTAGTCCACGAACAGACGCGGAACTCATCCCAGACATCGGATGATCCACGCGTGCCTTCAGTGTAAGGTCGAAGCGTGATTGTGGTTTCCGCATCCGTGTCGTCGGTGAGCACCAGGGCTGCGCCTACAATGACTTCACGCAACTCAAATTGCGAGATTTGGAGGTCAAGTTGCTCTGCACGTCTCCGCGCAGCCTCGATTGCCATTACCAACTATAAAAAAGGTCAGCGATCCAAATATTGACAGGATTATCGTCGGAGAGTACTCACATAACCCGCGAGGGGATAAACCGCCATTCCCTGCATCTTATGGTCGCGAAGATATGGAATCTCATCCAATCGAACGATGTTTCGCCATGTAGGCTCCAGATCATTCGAGTAATTCGCGAGGACTCCCAGAACATCGTTCCTAGCACAGTCTCTGAAGAGGTGCTTCCGGGCCATTCTACCATCATGCCAATAGCGGGTACCGTGCTGCCAAGGGTAACGAGGCAGATTGCTCAAGAAATAGCGGTTTACCGCGCCAGTCTTGGGGAAATTGATTTCTGTCATGTTCAAAGATGCTCCACGCGTGTAAGCAGCGGCAGCAGTCGACAAAATTGCTTCGGCCGCCTCAACATTGCGAAGGATGGTAGGAGTGTATCCAATTTTGGAGACCGTGGGACCCAGACTCTTCAGTGTATCCAAGATAGGGCCCTTCATTGCAGAGTGCGGACCGAGTTCCACAAACAGGTTTGGTCTTGTCTCATCATCTGACACGATCTTGCTCAGCGCATCAGGGAACAATACTGGGGAGGTCAGATTGGCAACCCAGTATGCAGGGCCCAGCTCAGCCGGCTCTGCAAGACGACCAAACACCGATGAATAGAAGGCAGATGTTCCCGTGGAGGAGGGCAGGATGGACTGGATTGCCTCAAGATATGCCTCTGCAACATTCTTCATGTGATCAGAGTGGTAGGCAACATCGATCTTCAACTTTCGGTTGAAGAGTTGATTTTCTTGTAGAATCTGTTCCAGTTCATCGATTGCCGTCTCGTCTCCCGAGACTGTCACACTGGAAGGGCTATTGACACAGGCGACAGTAGCGTATGCAGACAGAGTCTTCAGCATAGGTTGAACAGCCTCACGGCTAGCTCCCACTGCAATCATGGTACCCTTCAGGGCTGGGAACCTGGCCTTGAGCAAAGAGGTCATTTGGCCTCGACGGTATGCTAAAGCCATAGCTCCTTCCAAATCATAAATACCTGCAGCATATGCCGCACTGATCTCACCAGAGCTGTGACCAACAACGGAGGATGGGTGAATGTCCCAGGATGCCAGGAGATCCACAAGCGCGATTTGAAGTGCTGTACAAGCAGGCTGGCTCAGATGAGGAGAGTTGATGTCAGAAGTGGCATTGTCTTTCTTCAGCTCCTCAATAAGTGAGAAATCAGCACCGAGGTCTCTCAAGCACTTGTCGGCTCGTGTGATGGCCGACTTGAAGATTGGGTAGTCTTCCATGAGTGGCATACCCATCTGTGCCCATTGAGCGCCTTGTCCTGTGAAGACAAACGAGTAGATTGGGGCTCCGAGGACGCGCAGAGGGTTGATCTTGAGCTGAGCAAGACGAATACCGAGCTCATCGAGAGAACTGGCGGGGATGCCGACACGATAAGACAGTTGCGACATCTTGTTTCCAACAGTATAGGCGAAGTTGGCAAAGAGAGACTTCTCGAATACTTCAGGGTGTTGTTCAAAGTAAATACCGAAATCCTTGATCCTATTTCGCAAGGACTCCTTATCATTGGCGGAAATCAAGAACAGCTTGACTTTCGGATCAACTTCGACATCCTCGACGGCCGAATCGGGCGCCTTGGAGCTAAGGGGCGCCTTTGCGAGAACCACATGTGCATTGGTTCCACCGAACCCATAGTTGGAAACACTCGCGTAGTTCTTGCGGGCAGGCCAGGGTCGAGTTGTCGTTAAAACCTTCATATTCCACTCATTAAGTGGAATGTTGGGATTTGGCTTCTTAAACTCAGCATTTGGAAGCATAAGCTCTTTTTCGAGCATCATGGCAGCCTTGATAATAGCAATGATACCACTGGCACCTTCCAAATGGCCAATATTAGATTTGACTGATCCAATATACAGCGGATTTCTTGGAGTTCGGCCTCCTCCGAGAGCTGCATGTACCGCGGCAGCTTCGATGGGGTCACCAGCCTTGGTTCCGGTACCGTGCATTTCGGCGAAGCCGCAGTCTTCGGGGTTGAGATTGGCGTCTCTGTAGACTCGTCGAATAAGCTCCTCCTGGGCTTGTCCATTGGGCAAAGTGATGCCCTTTGTGCGACCATCCTGGTTGACGCCTGAGTTGGCAATCACAGCTCGGACAGGATCCTTGTCACGCAGGGCGGCATCGAGAGGTTTGAGGATGACGACGCCAGCGCCTTCACCTCGCGCAAACCCGGAGTTTGCTCTTTCATCAAAGGAGAATGTTTTGCCATCGTCATTAAGCAGCCTGTAGGATTCGACGTCAGATACGAGTACGAAACAATCAGTAGGATATGGAGGGTACTGACTGTGACATGGACGTTGAGACAAAAAGATCGGGCACAAGATTGAGGTGGCAACCAACGACAAGAGCTTCCTCTGCCTCTCCATTTCGCATACTTTGAACTGCGTAGTGAAGTGCAACAAGAGAGGAAGAGCAAGCTGTGTCCACTGTGATACTTGGTCCCCGGAGATCGAAGAAGTAGGAGAGGCGGTTGGATTGGAGGGAAGGCGCACAGCCAGTAGCTTGATACATAGGAATTGTATCCATATCACGAACATTGTTTAGTTCATAGTCGGAAAAGTTGCTTCCGGCGAAGACACCAATCTTTCGACGAGCAAGTCTCTCCTTGGGAATGCCAGCACTCTCCAAGGCTTCGTACGAACATTCTAACAACATGCGCTGCTGGGGGTCCATGGAAGTAGCTTCCTGGACAGAAAGATTGAAGAAGGGCGCATCGAAGCGGGCAAGATCCTCGTCTAGGAAGTAGCCTCCCTTCGGGTTGAAGCATCCAACCTTGGACGGGTTAGGGTGGTGGAATGCGTCAACAGAGAATCGGTCCTTCGGGATTGGTGACCATCCACTTCGGGCTCGAGTACATAGTTCCCATAGGTCTGAGGGAGATGTGACTTGGCCTGGCAGTCGGCAGGCATACCCAATGATGGCAATAGGCTGGGGGGTATCGTGTTCCTGGCGAGGCGCCGCTGAATCCGCGCCGCTCGTGTTGGTCATAACGAATAGTGTGGGTATAAGAGAAGGGAAGGGGAGTCTTAGGAACTTCTAGGAGGGTCGCAGAGATATCGGGGAAAGCAACAGGCTATGGAGGGTTATATAGCGTTGCAACTGACTTAACTCCCTCGGTCCTTCTTCTGTCGATTTTTGGGGAAACACAATTCCCTGGAGCTGTCTTTTCTTCGGGAAATCCAGGTCTAGACGAGAACCAGAAGGGATCATCACCCTCTGCTCCCCTCCAGTGGCACGATAAGGGTACTTGACCGGCATTGGGTGATCGGGGGTTATTCGTGACTTTGACTGAAATGTTGTACTGTCCCACATCTTGTTGACACCAAATTAGGGATCTCTTTCACATGTCCCACACGTGGAAGCAAGAGGGCATTCGATCCAGATGTTACGAGTGCTCATGAATTGAGTTGAATCTAAGTTTGGTGTCTTGGACTTGAGAGATGCTGATCTTCGGTGGAAATCCCGACACTTCTCGTTTTTGGTGTTCGGACTTTTGTTTCATATGCCGTATTTCATTACACCCCTTGTACAGCCCGAGCGGTAATTTATTCCCCCAGACCATATAATTTTCCCTATTTCTTATACCCTTGCCCTCTTCTTGCCTTTTCTCGCTCCTTTTTTGACGATTCAACGATCCGTTGCTTTGGGTTTCTATCAACTAACTCTCCACTATGAAGTTCCTTTGTCTTCACGGTGCCATCGGCAACGTCGACGTAAGTGTTCGGAGATATCTAGATCCCCAGACCCAATACTGACTTTCTTCTCGCAGAATATTAGCATCCAGCTTGGTAATTACCCTTTGAATTTGACCCGTTGAGAGAAGCAGTCACTCATCAATTCTTGTACGGCAGCTCCCTTGGTGAAAGAATTGAGCGCGGATGGCTCCGCCGATTTCCACTACATCAACGGCCCGGTCTCTGTAAAGCCTCCGGATGGTACGTTGCGCCTGATTCATTGTATGGGAGATCAAGGATTCACAGCCCAATCTAGGCTTTGCAGAGTATTTTGGCGTGGGACCTCATTACCGGTGGTTAGAAGACGGTGGAGCAGCGGAGGAATCTATGATCTCTCGCGTACGAAAGGCTCCGCATGGCTCAAGCCCCGAAGACGTTATGAGAGCATTGGGCAAGGACTGGGATGGCCACTGGATCAATCATCAACAAGTCATGGATTACCTCTATGATACGCTGGAGAAGAACCCCGATATCGACGGTATCATAGGGTATAGCGAGGGTGCTGTCATGGCTGCCAGTCTCATCATGGACGAAGAAAGGAAAGCTCAAGAGACCGGACGCCCCCGTCGGATCAAATGCGCGGTTTTCATCACTGGGTGGCCCCCTCTGTCCCCTGAAGAAAACATGGTTCTGGCGGACGAGAGCGACTATATCCTGGATGTTCCTACCCTCCATGTTGTCGGTGCAAATGGTAAGTTTGATATATATCTCCCTTGTATCAACATTTACTTACCAGTGAAACACAGATCCTTATCGATATGGCGCACTAGCTTTGTTCAACGTTTGTGATCCCGATACCGCAGCTATGTTTGATACCGGGCGAGGTCACACCATCCCGCGGTCCGGCCAGGTTATATTGGAGCTCGGAAACGCCGTGCGGGACCTGGTGGACAAAGCGTACGAAGCCTAAATCCTAAAAGGGTGGGAATCAACAAGCCCTGAGGCCGTCGTCACTGCAGTGCGACGACACAAGGTTCGTTGCGCAATACACAAACCCGGAGCCGGGGGGTTCCAGATTGTCCAACAGCTACATGCTGGAGATAGAATTGACCTTTCCATACATAGTACATTATTGAATTGTTTTCTAGCGTTGCCTCTGTTCTTCATGGAGTGAAGCTCACCTAGGATCCATTATATCGCCCGATAGACATAGCACACCACCCGCCAATCGGAGCACAAGTGATGTTCATCCAAGTGATATCGTCGGATAAAAAGCAGTGCATAGCTACCACTGTCCTATCGCTGCTGTACGACTGTTCTGGAAATTCTGGCTCGGCGCATAGATCTCCAGGGCGAACTCCGGACCGGAGTTCTCAATCGACGCCCCAAAGATCGGCCGAGCTGATAGGCTTGGGCAGTGCACCACCTGGAAGCTATAATTATGGATTTCGGATCTGAATCTTGGGGTTCTGACTGTAAGGTTGTATGCTTTTAGAGTCCTGTATGTACCCTTCCCATACCTAGACTACACCGAGCACGGTAGTGATCCTTAGATAGTCATCCAGAACATTCCCTGCGCAATTTAATATGGAAACTTTACCTATCGCGCAATAGAAGAGGAGTCTTTGGCTCAAACGGGACGGTGGTACATGGGTGGTTTCGGGGGGTTAAAAAAGCAACGCTCGACAGAGTCGATCCTTTCCTCCCTTCAAGCAGCGCGGGAATTACATTCTCTAACAGACCAACATCAAACAACCCTTCCCATCAAGTGGCACTCGCTGGCTGGCAAATCAACACCGACCCTCGGATCTTTTTCAGCATCTAAGCCGTCTGGGCAAGATGTATGACGTGATAGCGAAGATCATTTGGCTACTAGCTGTCATTTCAAACCTGTTACTGGGATCTCAGGCACAGCTAGTGTCAGAGAATGAATGTGCGACCAGTGTCCACGCGATCATTGCCAGGGGTCAAGGAGGGGGCGATGATCTTAACGTGATGAGTACCCTTTCAGACTTGATATTACAACAGATCCCCGGATCGACAACCCTCGGCCTACCTTACGATCACCGGAATGTTTTGACCGATGATGCCAAGCGGGACACGGTCCACGATGCGGCCGTGTTGATGCAGGAGTTCGTACAGGAATACGCCGCGTCCTGTCCCGAGGCTAAGATTGTGGTCGTGGGATATTCAATGGTGAGTGCTGAACTCAACTCATGATAATTTCGCATGACACCGTAGCATGCCAGCTGCTAAGGTTCCGTATCATCTAGGGCGCAGTTGCCATGATGGATGCTCTGTGCGGAACCAGTGAGGTTGGGTTCATCTTCGTCCCTCCTCTTCCACGGAGTTACAGCAAAACGAGTACATGACCCCGGGGTCAGGTGTCAAGCTCTGGCGCTGATGAAACATCTAGTTATCGCGGCGATCGCATACGGGGATGAGACTTACAATCCCGGGATGCCCTGGAATGTGGGGAATTGTACACTCGGTATTGGGGTGAGTTCTTGTGGAAAATCACTTCAAGCTCGCTGTGGAATAACTCAAATGTTCTCAAAGGTCACTCCTCGGATGAACTCGGCCTTATGCGGTCCTTTCGGCGATTCGATTCATAGCTATTGCGACTACGGTGATAATCAATGCTGCTCGCCCTATCCTGAGGATGGCAACGCAGCACACCACAACTACGTCAAGAAATACAACCAAAATGTGGTTGATTTCATCAAGCAACGTCTGGGTACAGCGGTACAGTAATATTACACAAGTAATTAGGGTGACAAATTGGAGTTCGAAATTATAGAAAGTCGCAGACGACTGGATTCCACATGGTGCTCCCTAGAAACCTGGATATTAGCGTATACCATCGCACCATGCATATTCGGTAACCAACTTGGCATGATCATCAAAACTTGATCGTTTTGAGCTCGACCTCGGGAGTAAACCGTTGCAGGTGGATGTCAATGCTCAGTAATTAGGTTGATGTGGAGACATCCAGGGCCCGGTGGAGAGCAGATCACCGATCAAGGCCCGTTCTACCTGCGTTATGTTAGTTTTACTAGGACTATGTTTTTCCAAAAAAAATTGAGTAAATCGAACCAGTAAAGATTCAAATGGATTGACAGTGTATTATTCCCTCCCATTTTGACGTCCTCACTTTTCACACCAACCTCGGAAGTATCAAATCCCTGGCGCGAGAAAAGTCCCCAACTGACCAAAGTACTCTCCGGGCCTAGTGATGCAACACATTTCTGGGGTCTGGACAGGCCCAGCCGCTTGTCCGGTGTCGAAAATTCCTCCAGCGTCGGAAATGCATTGTACAGCTTGAGACTGCTGCTCGAATCAATGGAAATATCGTCCATAGAATCCCTGCCAAGGTGTAGCCCTAAAATTAGGGGCTGGAAATATGGGTCTTGAGCTCCAGCCCTGGAGGGCTGGCCGAGGCTGAATAAAATACTGGTTATGCCGTTGATGTCTCAGAGATGTTGATCAATGATCACCAGGGCGAGTACTCCGTACGATATGTCCAATTGGTATTATTGAAGGGGGCCGAAAGTATATTGCTATCCGCGGACCACAGATGCTGCATTGGAGTCTCATAGGTTGACCCCTGCATCCTGATCTATTTCAGATGTAGCTTTCCCTGGTCTTGCGAGATCAAATAATTAGACCATGTGGATGACTTGAGGCCGATTGGTTTGACTCAGTACATATTCAAGAAGGAACGCATATGCCAGGTTTTTGAGCTTAATCAAAATAGACTATATCCCCGTTTGGTGAAACGGCCGCTATTCGACTCAATTTTGAGGTATCCTGAATCGAAGCCCCATTTTGGGTATTTGGGGTACATGGTGTCCTCAATGTTGAAGCATATGACACATCATATGTGCTATGGATGATATATCTGTCGCCCTGGACGTGCTCCGTACTCCATAGGAGGTTGAGGTATGTGAGATGCTTCCCATGGTGCCCAGGTGATATTAAGGAGTTCAATATGTGCCCAGAATGGTACTACCTAGGTATGTAGGTATACGGAGCGCACCGTACCTACCTAGTAGTATTAAGGAGTTACCTAGGTACTGTACTTCCAAGGGTCAACGACCTCGGGATCAATATAGCCCAGTTAGTCGGGTAACTTCCAAGGCTCACCATCGTATTTTCCCTTTCCATTTCGCATGGTAGGAACAAAGTCGGATCCGGGTTCGTTGTCTTCCAGGTTTTTCGTACCGCGACCTCATCGCCATATCGGTCGAAGATTTGCGTATTTCTAGAGATGACTAGGTAGCAATTCTTCCAAGGTTGTCTCCCTGGGACTTACCTACCTAGGTAACGACCTCGGGGATGTCTGGGCACGAGGCTTTTCTTCCCTTCTCCCGATTCGGATGTGTCAATCGAGAGTAAATATATTACAATAGCTAGATCATGGCTCAAGGTGGATATTGGGAATTTCCAGCAACCTCGGGCTCCAGCGCTGTATATATCTGACCTCGGGACGACCTCGGGAGGCGGAACACGCATAATGTTACCAACGTACACTTACCCGTATCTAGTAGGCCCATATAACTGCACTTTCTTACCGGAGGTACTGAATAGGCAACATCCATGGGTGTAAATACGAACTTTGGAAGTGCCCGCAGTGGTTCATCTGCAGTGGCATGATATCCAAAACATTCTGAAAGCGCTCCCGGTCACTCATATGTTTTTTTTGGAAAAACAGCGCGTAGATGTATAAGCGTCGATCCCGGGAAGTCATCATGTCTAGCCCATCACCTTTGCCCGTGTATCTCAAACAAATGCGGCCAATCTTGGAATATCGACCTCGCCGTTGACCGAAGACGGGAGCATCAATATACGGGATCAGCAGCTAATCCCGTTTCGGCGCCCCAACTCCTTTTTTTCTTCAACACCTCCCCCAATCCTCGTCCTCTCCATGTTCTCACCAGCTACCCGTCAAATCCCAGGAGTAATCTCCACCCGTGTCACTCAATTAGTCCGACCGACCCACCGCCAGTACTCGACTCGCCCGCCACGCACCCCTGCCCCTCAAAGCCGCTCTAACTTCCCCATCATCCCCATCGTCATCCTCATAGCCATCAGCTCCGGCTCCTACGCTCTCCTCGTGAAGTCCCGCACCGGCCAACCCACCACCCGCTCCAACTAAACCGTACGCAAACCCCGCCACCTCACCCAACACTATCTAACAACACCCGCAGACCAAAATGACCACCCCCCGCTTCTCCTCCAACGACGTAACCGTCGTCTTCTTCCTCGGCGGCCCAGGCAGCGGCAAAGGAACTCAATCCGCCAACCTCGTCAAATCCTACGGCTTCGTCCACCTCTCCGCCGGCGATCTCCTGCGCGCCGAACAAGAGCGCGCCGGCAGCCAATACGGCGATATGATCCGCGAATACATCCGTGAAGGCAAGATCGTGCCTATGGAAGTGACCGTTGCGCTTCTGTCGAATGCGATGGCCGACTCGCTTGCGTCCTCGCCTCCCCCCGCTGGAACCAAGGCGCGATTCCTCATCGACGGTTTCCCCCGCAAGTTGGACCAGGCCCACTTCTTCGAGGATACTGTCTGTCCGTCTGAGCTGGTTCTGTTCCTCGATTGCCCGGAGGATGTGATGGAGTCGCGGTTGTTGAAGCGTGGTGAGACTAGTGGTCGTGCGGATGATAATGCGGAGTCTATTCGCAAGCGCTTCAGGACTTTTGTTGAGACTTCTATGCCTGTTGTTGAGTACTTCCGGGGTAAGGATCGGGTTGTTGAGGTTAAGGCTGATATTCCTGTTGAGGAGGTCTTTGCTAAGGTTAAGGCTGGTATTGAGGCTCGTAACATTCACCCTCGTTAGGGCTGTATAGTGAGAGATACATATGTTTGGATTGTTCATGAGCTCAAGTTGCACATAGATTATAGAGAAGCTAGCATTTCCAAGGCTGACTACGTGTTCACTTACGCCCCGTGGTAGTATGCAATTTCGCATTTGTACGCTGTCCTCCAGGGCTAGTCGAGACCCCTCCACGGGTCTACAATTCAGACCTCTACCTAGAGGCCTACTAAATAGAGGCCTTCAGAACAGTCGATCCTAGCGATGATAGTTTGAAGTGCCCAGGTAACCGCTTTCAGATACTCAAACCCAGGGCCAGTCTAAAGAAGTATGATATTCTTTATAGGGTTAAAAAAATAGAACAAAAGAAAAGTCATCCATCCGGAAAACATAAACAAGACTAAGATTGACATGACATGACTCGTGGGGTCTCAAACAACCGACTGGGGGCCAGAGGATCCAACCCTACAAAATGGTTAAAAAAAAATGCATGAGGAAAAGAAGCAAGAATTCCCCTCTATTAATCCAAAGAATTTTTGAGTGAGCTTTTCTCATAAAACAAGCGCATTTACTCGGCAGCCTCGACCTCCCGAGCCTGGGTCCGTCGACGGTCACCGTTGGCGTTGCGGTTCTTGTTGGCCTCCTGGTCAATGGCAGCCTGGGCACCCTCACGGGCGAAGCGCTCACGCTCGGAGCGGATGACGCTCAGAACGCTCTCGAGGGACCGGCGCCAGACCATCAGACGACCCTGGACCTCGGACCATTGCTTCTCGCCGAAGACGCGGTAGGTGGCGCGGTGAACGAGGAACTCGGACTTGAGCTGGGACAGCTTGCCCTCAACGAGACCGGCACGGATGGTGTCGATCACCCACATCTCAACGTCGGAGGCGGGGACGCGCAGGGCAGAGGCGATGGCGGCGTAGGGGAGCGAGCGCGAGGGAGTGGCAGAGGCCAGCGAGGTGAGGGTGAGGAGACGGATCTTGCTCTGCAGGGCATCGGCGGACTCGGCGAGAACACCACCGGAGATGGAGGAGAGAGGGGTGGCAGCCACGAAGGTCTCGTAGGCCTCAAGGGTGTCCGAGGTGAAGATCTCGAGCAGCTCGAAGAGAGTGCTGTCGCTGGTGCGGAGGGCCTGGACGGCGTCGGAGGCAGTCAGGGAAGTGAAGTCGAAGACGGTGGGGCGGCGCAGAGCGGTGGCGAGAGCGCGAACGGCGAGGTCGCGGGATTCAGGCTTGCTGACGTCCGCGGCGTCGATGGTGGCCAGAGCTTGGATGACGTGGGACTGGGCGAGATCCTCGTCACCGGCAGCGGTGGCAGCTTCGGCGATGGCGACGTGCAGCTTGCGGGCGTCGTCGCTCTCGAGGCCCCAGGATGCGAGCCATGTGGGGAGCTGGGAGGCCAGCTGGGGCTTGAGGGCCTCGAAGGCAATGCCGGAGCCAGACTGACGGATCACGGCAACGATGGCCAGGAGAACGTGGTAACGGCTGGAGTCGGTGGAGGAGAGAGTGTTGAAAATGGTGGTGAGGATAGAGATGGCGAGTGTAGGGCCGAACTGGGGGGAGGTGGTGATCGGCTTGGCGAGGTAAGTGCAGATGCGAGGAAGGAAAACATCGGCATCAGAGGACTGGTGAACAAGGTGAACCAGCAGGTTGTAGGCGGATGTGATCTCTGCAATGTGACAGTCTGGGTTAGTTTTTATGCACCGAAGCGATCCCACCAAATATTCCCGATTAGATCCCATTGTCACGACTCACCCTTCTCGGGGGCACTGCTCAGAGCAGTAGCGGACGAGACCAGCTTCTTCAGGACTTCATCGCGCTGCTTCAGGTCGGCTTCGCCCTCAGACTGTTCCTGCTGGCGGAGAGGCTCGAGGAGCGGGGCGATCTCGGATTGGAGGCTGCCCTCTTTGCGGAGGGCGTCGATGTACTGGGCGAACTCGTCGGCGAGCTCGGAGAAGGAACCCTCGATGAGCAGGGTGTTGGAGGGGGCGGGCATGATGGCGGTGGTGTGGTGAAAGGAGAGGAAGAGAGACCGTGAAGTTCTTGGTGGTGGAGTCTATCGATAAGTTGAGAAATTTCAGTGTGTGCCAAAAAAAAGTCTTGGCGAAGAGAACACCAACATCTCGACTCGATTGTTTTCCCTTTGACCTTCAATTCTGCGAACCCTCCAGTTTCTTTCTACATGGAACGGCTACTGGATGAAAGGCTCACCATAGTTGGTTGCATTACTTTTTAATGGAATAAGGGCGCGGAGTCAACCAGCGCAGATATCACAACTCCAACCCAACTCAAGAAAGGACAGGCGCCACGTTCATAGACATGTGGAACAAAACATCAGCGCAAAACGTTCATCATATGGGGAATCGAACGTGCTGGTAAAAGAATAAAAAACAGGGCAGATGGCATCGCGATGCGAGAAACAACAAAACAAGGTAAGGAGGACGCTATGCGACCCAACACAGAGGGCTCAGCCCAAACACTATTCTTGGGTTCCTTTACAGGACCATGCGAGCAGCCACGAACATGAGGCCGGCCATGAGACCAGTGGAGTACTGGGTCACGTCGCCAAACGCAGCAGCGGCGTTGGCGGCGGTGGAGCTCGAGGCAGCCACGGAGGAGGTTGCGGAGGCGGAAGAGTCAGTAGAGGTGGACACGGCCAGAGTTGTAGAAGCGCTGGCGGACGCAGATGAAGAGGTGGTGCTGCTCTCGCTGGCGTTCTTGGTACCGCAGTTCATGGCCTTCTTGCAAGCGCGCTGACCCTCGGCATCATCGGGGTGCGATCTGATGCACTGGCCGTAGGCATCCTGGCACACGTAGAAGGGAACGGTCTGGATGTACTCCGACACGTCGGGGGTGGAGTCGTCGCTGCAGACACAGCTGAACTTCAAAGTAGCCTGGCTCAATTGTTAGTCATTTGCGCGCGGGCACACTGAGGAAGCCATGACTTACGGGATCACATGAGTTGAGCTTGGTGCCCTTGCAAATCTCGGGGCAGGTGTTGCGCTGAGCAGAACACCAGGCGCCTGTTTATGTCAGTCCAGCTTCGACGGCATTCAGATGTTTGGGAACTTACTCAGGTCACCCTTCTCAACCTGCGCGATGTCCCAACCAGCGGGGAAGGTGTAAGAGTATGTTGAGTTCGCGCCAAGGGCAGCGGTGGCAAGAGCCGAGATAGCGACGATGGAGGAACGCATGATTAGAGAATTAGAGTACTGTAGTGGAGAGTACGTGTAGAAGATGTGGAAGAGGGAAAAAGGGACAAAGGAATGGGCGGTTTCTTATTTCAGTTTATTTTGCCTTTCTAATCCAACTGGGGTAAGTACGAGCTGCATCCAGGGTAACACCGGCTTTGGTCAATTTCCAAGGTTTTTGTTTTTTTCCTTCGCATACCGAGGTGGATATTTGTTTTTTAGTGCCTCCTTGACTACTTCCTACTAGTGGCGAGGGTGAGCAATTATTCCTGCACCAGATCGTGCACGCTTCACTCCTTAATTTCAATTCCTTTGGACGGTGGCGTGGGCTTGATTTGTTTCTTGCTTTTTTTTTTCGGTTGGGTATTTCCAGCAGATAAACAAGGTCCAATCAAGAAGAAACCTGGTTGTTCTGCAAAGATACCTGCCAAGGTGGTTAAGGGTCCTTGGCTGCGTGCCACTAATCCTATCCCGGTAATCCTGCCCTTGCTGCGCTTCGCTCCGCGCAAATCACAGGGCCCCAGATGGGTTCCTATGGAGATAGTCCGTCGCTTACATTTGGTGTGTTTACAGACTTCCGCCGCACTCCGTACCCCTTCGCATTCTGCTCCCTTTCTGCTCCACATGCCGAAGACTGTCTGTGCTCATTGGACTCGGTATTCAAGACATTGAACACATGGGAGTGAGAACGGTGGAAGCTTCTTGTCTTTTTAGCTTCTTAGCATGGCAGCCCAGCCTCCTTCTTACCCCATTGCCTGATGCAGAGGAACTGATGTTCAGTCGGTTCCACATTCGAGCATGGACCGTGCTAGCCCCGTGATCTTCTCTTCACGCCTTGCCTGATTCGGCTATCCACTCTGCCGAGGTTGATTGTATACTGATAGCGATGCCGATGCCATCTACGAGTACTCACTTCTAGCCCACCCTCAATCGAAAACATGGCCGATCCAGAACCTGCCATCGCGCATCTTCGCTCTAACCCATGGGCAAACAATCTCATCTCCTCTCCAGACTACAAGGCAATCCAGACCGACTCTCGGCGCCTGAAGCCTACCACGGGCGAAGACGGCTACTTCGCACAAACGCTCAACACTCCCACGACAATTCCCCATTGCCTCACTCTCCAGCGGAACACCATCCCAGTAGCCCCAGCCGAGACCCCGACCTGGCTCCCTGCAACCAAGCAGGATGCCACAAAGCCCCCCACTCCCACTCCGAATCCCGCGGATATTGTGATGATCTTCGATCTCGGCAGCCCTGGTCTCTCGGGACACCCGTCCACTGTCCACGGCGGGATTGTGGCGACGTTGATCGACGAGGCCATGTCGCTGGCCGTAGCAGCGCATACGAATGCCCCTAATACGGGCGCTGACGATAATCCACGGGGAAAGATCTTTACCGCCCAGCTGGATGTGCGGTATAAGAAAAGAGTGGTCACGCCTGCTTTATTGGTCATCAAGGCGAGGGTTGTTGGGAGGGTTGGCAGGAAGTTTTGGGTTAGAGCCCAGGCTTTGCAGGAGGATGAAGACAACGGGGGGCATCTGGAGTGGGCGAAACGGAAGGTCGTGAAGGCTGATGCCATGGCCTTCTGGATTGTCACCTCTGACTCCAAGCTATGATATACCTATCTATGGGCTCTGTACATTTCAACAACACCCCACATCGGTCAGTCTACACCAGGTCTACTGCACAGTGATCTATGCGATCAAGGGCTATTGGCGCGACACCACTACCATATCTCCGTATATAGTCATACCGCACAAATATCTCTAGAATTGAATTGGGGTGCTCCGAGCTACAGCTAGGTCAGGGCTATCGGCACTCTCGTCTGTTCAGCAGTCTCCCTCACGCATATCGACGATCGATTGATTGACAAAAGTTCTGGCGTTACTGATCTCACCCGGCAATCTCCCGAGGCCCTGAAGCCCCACTGCCCAAGTGTCCCGGGCTGCTTAGGTGTAATGCTTAGCATGACCCCTGCAGTAATCCACATCAAGATTCCTGCTAGGGAGGTGGAAAAGATTAGTGACTGAAAGTCCCGAAATCTAACCTTACTTGTAACCAAGGAGTTTTCAATCCGACTTGATTCGCCAATCGTTTCATAGTTGCTTCAGGTGCTTGATTTTTCACCACACTGATACGCTAGGGCAACTTCTAGCTCCGAGGTATGAAACGCCTCTAATGCACTGACCAGGATGTGGTTTTGACATGGATCTTACGCAGTAAATGAATGGCTATCAACTCATCTCCCCGAGATTTGATCATTTCGTGCACATTGCGTTGCAGACTAAGGGCCGAAGTAATCACAGTGATATCCCGAGGTCCACTTAGGTAGGCGCCGAGTTGAAGTAAGCTTCCCGCGTCATAACCCTTGGATGCAAGGGTATCATGTTGTGCCGTATTCCTGTATGACATCTGGCTGTAGAATAGTGCATGTGAAAACCTCGACACAACCTTGGAGAGCTTTAATGAATTGTTACAACACAGTATTGCCTTCTTTTCAGACCAGGAAACAATGATATCGTCTATGTTGAAATCTTAGAAATATGAACATCTTCCACAGCGCGAGCCAGTCAAACTAATACCCGGTTCATCGCCTGAGTCTATAGTTTCCCCATCTTCCTCGTTCCGACATTTCGACTCGCACTGAGTGCCAATCCAACCTGCGTACTCAACGCAACAATCTCTCCGTTCTCATCGAGAACCGTCACCTCCAAATCCGTCCGCCCATCCTTCACAACCTTCGTAACAACACGACTATAAAGCCACTCCACCCCCTCGACCGGAAGACGTTTCTTCATATCCACATTCAGCGTAACAGTCGGATACCAATTCTTAGCCTTCAACTTATCAACAGGGCCACCACTCTCCTTAGCCGCCGCCTCCGCAGACATGGTATCAAACCCATCCAGCGCGGAAGGAAACATATCAATCAAATAAGCAACAGCAGCATCCGTCCAGCGCCCATTCACATCCCCACCCGGCCGAAACCGCGCCCACTGATCAATCGACAACCCCCCACCCTGTTCCTGCAACGACTTCCCACCCCCAGGCCCAAACAACTCCAGCTGCGCGCCCGCCTTCCGGAACTCAGGGAACGGAGGATTCAACTTCACCCAAGAGCCGTCAGACCCTGTGCTGCCCAGCGCCGAGAGATCGACGGATCCGTCTGCGCGTGATCCAGACGCTGGCGCAGGCTGCGGCTTCCATCCTGTCTTGGCGCTTATGCCTACTTCGGCATCTGCTGGGCTGACGGTGATGTAGCCTACGACCATGGTTTCGAGTGTGCCGGGCTTCTTCTCGGATGGTTGCAGGAGCTTGATGTGGATTGTGCTTGTGCGGGCGCCGATTTTGACATCTTCCACTTCAAAGGTTGCGGGGCCTGAGGCTGTGCGCCGGAGGAAGGAGAGTTGGATTGAAATTGGGGTCGCTGGGCTCTTGTATTGCTTTGAGTGGGCGTGCGCGAAATGCGCCAGGGCCAGGTTGTAGATTACGGCTGTTGTGTAGCCGCCGTGGGGGACTGGATTTGGTTGTTAGCTTTATTGGGGATGTTGTCTTTGCCGTTGCTATACCGGTTCCAATGCACCATTCTGGTCGGAGGTGGGCGCTGTATTTGTTTGCGCCTTGTGGGGTGACCTTGATAGCCTGTTCGAAAGAGGAATTGGGAGTCATTGTGAGGGTGTTATTTACAGATGGATGTAGCTGGGAGACCTCCAGGGCTCAGGAGAATGGTGTAAACGGCGGACCTGTGAATTACTGTATCCGGTTAGTTTTGCCCTTTCCGGTTTAGCGCCACAATACACTGTCCCGAGGTCTAGTAGCCTCCCGAGGTCCCTTCGATGCCCTCCAACATAAAAGACCCGATACCGCTCCATCCGACGACTACTTGTTTCGATATGCCATGACCTTGTGTATATTATCCAGGCTCTAATAACTTGTGCGGGAATGACTCCGAGCCCAGCAAAAGCGAGGATCATAAATGAAGAAAATCAAGCTCTGCGTTGCTCCTGTCGTTTAATGGTCAACAAATTATACCAAAAAGGAAGGCAGCTAGTCAAAAGTACCGAAAAAGCTATCGAAAATAATAGAATGGCAACTGTTCCTACAAACAATAAGGTAGATACGATATGGGCGAATTAGTGTTGTAAAGTAGAACCTTCAAACAGGTCAGTGTTGCTAGCCTTCTGTTTTCACTATTCTCACCTCATTTAGAATGAGCAAAAGAAGCACACTATCAACTTCCAGCTGTAGCGTCCGCTGTGGCAGATCTGAAATGTGATTAACGAGGAAATTGATTTTAGCATAGTAAGTAACTTGCGGTATTTTGGGTCTGCTGCCAACAGTGCCAGCAAAATTGAAGCGATTGATCCCAGAAACACGAAACCACCTATCACAGTTTGACTAGAGACCTCGGGATGATTGCTTCCTTGCTCAGCTTTTGCAAGCTCATAGCGTCGATCGACAGGAGCCAGAAGGCAAGACTCACGTGGTGTGACGGGCGAACAAGCTCTTGAAATTCAACAACTTTGGCCCACGCCACGACATTTGATCGAGGCATATGCAGCCTTGGGACCCAAGGAGCGGGAGACGATGGTAACGACCAGGATGGCGGAGGTTGTTGGACGCCGAGTCTACCGTGAACAAGCCGAAAGGAAATCAGGCCCAAGTCGCGGCTAATATTCGAGAAAAATATGGCAAAGGCCGCCGGCATTCCAATACCCCTGCTCAGACTTTGCTCCGATCAAATGGTCTTTCTGATTACCTGGCTTTCGGCAGTGGCACCGATGAGCCACAAAGCAATGAGACTGCTCGGCGGGATCTTCAAAAGCGGGCTGCTCCTTCTGAGTATTGGATGGCCAGTATGGAGCAAAATGGCCTCAGTCCGTTTGCCCCAAGTGGATATAAGGTACGTTCTATATTTGACTTCCAGCTGTTGCTCTTTTCATTTCTATTTGCTGTTATTAAGTGATAGAGTTCTAACCAGTTTACAGGTCTGGCGAAATGTTCGCGATTACGGTGCTGTAGGGGATGGAGTCACAGACGACACAGAGGCTATCAATAAAGCCATCTCTGACGGAGGCCGCTGTGGTGCTAACTGTGGCTCGAGTACAATCTATCCTGCCACAGTATGGTTCCCAGCCGGTACTTATCTTGTCAGCTCTCCGATCATTCAATACTATAATACGGAGTTTTTAGGTGACGTGAGTACTACTTTCCATGATCCAACTATGTCCCCTCTAATATCCTATATAGCCATTGAACGTACCAACAATTCTAGCAGCTTCTAGCTTCGTCGGATTGGGTGTCATAACCTCGGACGTGTATACAAGTGATGGAGGTGAATGGTACATCAACCAGAACAACTTCCTGCGCAGCGTCAGGAATTTCAAGATTGACATTCGCCCAACGGACCCTTCGGCTTATATTTGTGGTATTCACTGGCAGGTGGCCCAAGGAACCTCCCTGGAGAACATTGAGTTCTACATGTTGTATAATTCCGATGTTCCCACGAACACGCAGCAGGGAATTTATATGGAGAACGGATCGGGGGGCTTCTTGGCGGATCTGACCTTTGTAGGAGGCAACTTTGGGTAAGCCGGTCCTCCTAAGTCTTATAGGTTTGAAATCGGTTGCTTACCATTTAACAGTGCCTATTTCGGAAATCAGCAGTTTACTTCCAGCCAGCTCGTGTTTGTGCAGTGTAATACAGCCGTTCAGGTTCACTGGGATTGGGCATGGACTATGCAGGACTATGTCATTGAATCTTGCACGAATGGGTTGACAATTGTTGGAGGAGTAGGTGCCCACCGCCGTCTTGAAATCAACTGCCACTAACGCTGAACAGGCTGGCGGGGCCCTGAGTACCGGACAAGGAGTCGGCTCGCTCGTCCTTGCTGATGCTATTATTGCGAACACGCCAAATGGTATCATTACCTCTCTCTACGCAGAAAATTCCACATCTCTCCTCCTGCAGAATGTGGGATTCTTCAATGTCAAAACTGCTATCACGGACTCTGAAAAGAACCAAATCCTCTTGGCTGGTGGAGACGAGGTACTCAAGGATTCTTGGGGCTTCGGCATGATCAGCGATGCGACAGGTAAAGGATCCTTCGTTTCTGGTCAAGATGTTCCTGCCATGAACCGTACAGATGCTATCACGGGGACTCAATCCTACGTGAAGTCCAATCTGTTTACCCGTCGGCGACCTCAATATGAGAGTCTTCAGCTAGCGGACATTGTCAATGTGAAAAGGTTTGGAGCGAAGGGTGATGGAAGCACCGACGATACGGCAGTTCTCAACTATGCCTTTTCTTACGCTGCTAATCTGTCTGCGATCGTATATATTCCTTTTGGGGTGTACAAGATTCACAATACGCTGAATATTCCTGTCGGCTCGCGCATTATCGGGCAGGCTTGGTCTCAAATCATGGCCACAGGCGATAAGTTTGGAGACGTCGATAATCCTCGTGTGGCCGTTAAGGTGGGAGTCGCTGGTGATGTAGGCATTGTCGAGATTCAGAACATGCTTTTCACTGTTTCCGGTCCTACTGCGGGTGCCATTCTCGTTGAGTGGAACGTGGAGCAGTCTCTGAAAGGATCTGCTGCTATGTGGGATTCACACATTCGAATTGGCGGCGCCATTGGTTCAAAGCTGCAGAAGGCACAGTGTCCAAAGGGTACTGGCAAGGTCAATCCTGACTGTATTGCAGCATCTCTTTTACTCCATCTCACGCCTTCTTCGACCGCGTATATGGAGAATATTTGGGTCTGGGTCGCAGATCATGACCTAGATGTCAGCACCCAGGATCAAATCGATATCTTCGCAGCTCGTGGCATTCTGATTGAGAACCAACTGTCATGGCTATACGGTACCGCGTCGGAGCATTGCACCCTTTATCAGTACCAGCTTTCAGGTGCAAAGAACATCTTAATGGCAATGATCCAAACAGAGTCACCTTACTACCAGCCTGTTCCCTTGGCACCCAACCCTTTCACACCAGGATTCTTCCCCAACGATCCTTTGTTTGAAGACTGCGAGTCAAATTCAATTTCCTGTGCCTTATCCTGGGCAGTGCGCATCATTGATTCTTCCTCTATCTGGATTCTTGGAAGTGGTCTCTATAGCTGGTACTCAGGCTACTCACAGGACTGTCTTGAGACCAACAGCTGTCAGCAACGAGGTCTCGAAGTTGAAGAAAGCAATGACCTTTGGATTTACAACCTCTGTACCAGGGCTATAGTGGAAATGGTCACCCCATTCCAGGGAGTTCCTACGTACGCGAAGGACAACATGAATGGACTCCTTTCATCGATTCTAGTCTGGCTGGGCGGTGCAAAGCAGACTGCGGGTAAAAGACAGTTTCCCGGCTGGTCTATATACACTTCGTCTACCCTCGATGAGCTTGACCTTCCTCTGGGCTGCCAAACAGCTCTCTCAGAAAAAGTCAAATGTGACCCATACGTCAGACAGATGATGCCACGCTCTTATCATGGGTCGCTAGGCAACGATACGCTCACTGAGTTGGTCTGCGATGATAGTTGTGGAGCAAGCTTACGGCAATGGGTCTCGTCAGTGCAGCAGACTTGTACCGGTTACAATATCAGCGGTGCTCCTCCAGAGTTGTTCGGAGGTCGAATGTGGGCTGGCTACAATGAGACATGCAGCAAGGATGAGGACACGGGAAAATACTGCAACGGTACATGAGCCCCATATCTTCCATCTTCAGTTACAAAAGCTAACATTCCTTTCCACAACAAGATGTCATTGATGCCTTCACCTTGGTCGATTCCACTGAAGATATGCCCGATAACGAGATCTGCTCCTACTGCTATACCTCACGTCTGCAAATGATGCAGCAAACCCCCTATTCTATGTACGATGACTACTATCAAGGGGTTCTTGAGACGATCAACAAGCGCTGTGGCCTCTCTGGGCCAACCGACATTCTTGAAATATCCTACAATCAACAGGAAGGTGATTCCACCTGTGTATTCGACGAAACCTACACAACGGCAAAAGGAGACACCTGCAGCTCCATTGCGGAGGCCAAAAGCATTTCCTCTGCAGCACTATACATGGGTAACCAAAAGCAAATTTTAGACTGCTCAACCCTTACTGAAGGCTTGAAGCTCTGTCTCCCCCTCTCCTGTGAAAGTACATACTCGATCGAATCGACAGACAACTGTACAATGATTGAATACGCCTTTGGGCTTTCGTCTGGAGATCTCCGCCGTTATAACCCCTGGATTTCATACGACTGTGATAACTTGCAGGTAGCGAGTCAAATCTACGGAACAAATATTTGTCTATCGCCGCAAGGTGGTACATACACGAACGCGACAGCTGGGACTGGCTCGACAACGCCTTCAATATCAAATGGCTACGTTCCCATATATTTGGCTCCGCCTGCCAATGCCTCTTTGGCTCAAGACACGACCCCCAATTGTGGAAGGTGGCACGAGGCCGCTGCGGGTGAAACCTGCGTCGGTATTTGTGGACAGGAAGGTATCACACATGATTTATTTGTGACGGTCAATCCGTCACTGGATTCCACGCATTGCTCGGATAGTTTGCAGACTGGAAAGACATATTGTGCTGGTCCACTGTATACTTGGAATGACACCGAGCCTGTGACTGAGACTACCACTGGTTTGGCGGCTTCAGCAACTCTGTCTGTATAGGCTGCAGATCTGCTTTGGGCGATCATGGATAATGGAAGGGGTGGTTTGAAAGTTGTGGAGGGAAGGATATGAGGCAGTGACGTCGGATTTGCGTGTAAAGTAGCATTTCCCGTTTATTCTCTCCGTCGTTTTTGAAGTTTATTGAATCAATCTGGTATCTTGATCATTATGTGCAGAAGCGTAGCTTCTGCTGTCGTCCTCCAGGTTTCTTTTCCAGTCTCCATCTATATAGATCAATAAAAGACGTGGACTGCATCTCCTCGATTGGCACACTGGAGGACTTAACGGACGCTACTGAAGAACCATCCCAAGCGGACAATCTTAGTGACTACTAGGTATCGCCAGGGCGAAGGCTATCATTTCAAAGGACTGGAACCTTGGAATTTGTCACTCTATCGAGAATGGGAAGCTCAATACACATCCTCATTCGCCGGGATCATACACTGAGTCAACGATAGAGAATCGCCAGTCTGCATCATGGGCCATAGACTCCATATAAGCAGCAACGAACATTTCATCCACCCCTTAAATCGTTCATCCACTTCCGGCCAAGCTTCAACAAGCTTCACAAAGTGATCCCGGTGTTTCTCAGAGTCTGCCTCCTCCACAGACGGCGCATTCAATAACGACTGGAAAGATTCCTCATCCACCATAATAAACATCCGATAGCTAGGGAAACTATCTCGCATATCCCATTCTTCAACCCAAGACTCAAAATGGGAACGGACTGTGTCGAGGGATGCACCATCAAATTGGGGGTCTTCGATGATGCGCGGTTGGTACGCGCCCCACATTTCATCGAACAGGGCTATGTCTGCCTGCTTTGGTCTTTTTCTCTGCACATCTGGGAACTGCTGGTAAAATCTTTCTTTGATGTATGTGGTGATTAGATCCACTATGCGTGAAAATTCAGCATCGGATTGTGGAGTGTAGGTGGTCCGGTAGATGGTAAAGCCCCAGGTTGGTTCTGTGCGCTCGATGTGGGCGTAGAGAGAGCGTAAGTACGGTGGTAGCCATGAGTAATGTAACCCCATGTTGACCTCGGGAGGAGACTGCAGTTGAGATATAGGAGGTGTAAATGGGAAGTTGAAATGGGGGATCCTTTTTTTTTTGGATGTATTTTATAGGTATTAGGGGATTCTTGCTGCGCCCTTCGCCTCTTGAGAGCTACTGAGTATTGAAAATTTCAGCACTCCAAAAGCCCTGTATTTTTATTTAGGACTAAGGGAGTCATCAAATACCACCAGGACCCTTCGGGAAAGGCTTCTCGGGGACATAGCGTTGTGGAGTGGAAGGGCGACTTCTCTGCCAGTAGTATTACTCCATGGATACGAGAAAGTGAGTCACGTGATACGGCTCGATCCATGGATATCTCAACCTTGGGACAAACCTTGGAAGCCGTGCAACATTCACTGGGAGTGAGATCCTTAAATGCTCCTCAACCTTGGAATGGACCAAACTCAGCTAGTCCTTAAGAGTGTTCAGCCTGGAGGATAAGATCTGAGTCTGCAAAGAGGGTGATTATTGGAAATGGTATCTTGGAATTTCAGGCTTCAATGCAGTTATATGTCTCATGCAATGTATCTACTGTACTCCGTACGGAGGACCATGTTGAAATTGAATAAAAAGGCACCGTGAGAAATGCATACTGGCATCAAGTCATAGTTCCAACAAGAAGTCTCCGGTTCTTTTCGACATGTCTTCGTCTTCGCATTCAAATCTTCAACATTTCATGAAATCATAGAAAATGATCTATCACTGCCGCAGGGGCAATGCTGTTGCTGTTTTGTCCTGGGAAGCAGCCAGTTGTTGTAGACAAGAGAGTACACCTGAACAGGGTTAGCCGATGCAAGGTTAGAGGTGTCATGGGAACTTACCCGTCACTCCCTGTGTCAAAGTAGCTTTGGCCTCTGTGCTGCGTGAACCAAGTGTAACTGTTATGACATGCTCGACAGCCTTGGCCGTCTGGAGCTTGTTGGCCCAACGGAAGACAGGTTCATCTTCACGGTTATCGCCAACAATCAGCAGGAAATCGGGTTTGATGACCTCCTCTTCGTTCTCGGCATGTGTCGAGAACCATTTCCACACCAATTCGGCAGCGGATGCCTTGTTGGTATGGGTGGTTTCCACCACCAATGCGCCTTCGACCGGAATAGCGTGCACACCTTGGTCAGCACAAGCATCATTGATGTTGCCAGCACACTCAGCAGCAAGTCGTGCTGCAATGTGGCGGTCTTCAGCAGATCCGTGGTGGAAAACCAGAGAACAATGACGCTCTTCAATCCAGCTACCCTCGATACGAGCATTGAAGTAGGCCAGGATATGGGAAACAGATGACTTCCATGCTTTGACGTGAACTTTGTCTGCAAGATGGGTCCATGAATCACATTGTGGTTCGCGAGCAAAACATCCGTTCTCGGCTATCAGTCCCAGGTTGGGGACCTGTCGGAATAGTCGTTCCATTTCTTCAGGCATGCGGGAACTCATTACGTAGACAACATTGGCCGGATCGTCAGTCAGTTCCGTCAGAGTCGTGATTGCACGTTGGGGCGTGGTCAGAATGATGCTACGAGGCGAGCCCCATGAGGCAAGCGTACCCTCATAATCGAGGATCATGAGTCGTCGCTTTGACTTGCGGTAGCGATCGGTCAGTCGGGAAACAGACAGTCTGGGTACTGCCATGATCTCCCGCGATGATTGTTCGTTCCAAACCCGGGTCAGAGTTTCACTGAATGACTTAACCCAATTGGCTGTTGAATTCTGCAACACTGCGCGAAGCATCTGCTCCCAGACCTCCTTTCTCTCCTTCTCATCACGCGTCAACGCGGTATGAATAGCTTCGGCGCATTGGCGGTAGTCCCAGGGATTGACCAGAAGGGCATGGTCTCCAAAGACAGATGCACTGCCGGTGAACTCACTGAGGATCAAAGAGCCATAAGCCTTGTCGCCGTAGCTACCATCCTGGCAATAAACAAACTCGTGGCTTGTTAGGTTCATACCTTCGCGCAAGCTCGTAATCATGAGGGCGTCTGCCACAGTGATAAGGGCAAGGTACTGCGAAAAGGCCAAGTCTTGCTTGAGGAAGACTAAAGGCTGGTGGGCGAGAGTGGAGTGAGTGGAGTTGATACGCATGGCGATGTCAGAGAGTGTGGCTTCAAGTTCGGGTTGTTCTGTGGTGCTTGTTGCAACCTGAATCAAAACGACCTTATCTGCCCACTCCGGATTGCTGTTTAGGAACAGCTCATAGCTCAGAAGCTTCTGGCGAATGCCCCTGACTGAATCAATTTTGTCGCGCGAGACAATAAGGCGTTTTGCTCGGTAGCGCTCTGAGATCGTGTCGACCCATCGCTCCACATCCGTCAACTGGCGACGTTTATCCCATGAGGTTGGGTCGATACCGATCGGGAACGTGCCAACGTTCACAAACCGATCTTCCAGTTGAATTCCTTCAGGTGTTGCCTCAACACAGAGAATTCGACTGCACGTCTGCAGGAAATGGCGACAGTATTCGTCAGTCTGGAAGCCGATCAAGTTGGCGCCCAGAATTCCCTCGAGAAGTTCTTTGCGGGGTGCCAAGCACTTGAACACCTCGGATGACGGGAACGCAATGTGCAAAAAGAATCCAATCTGCGCGTCGGGTATCAACTTGCGCAGCATCGCTGGGACAAGAAGGAGATGATAATCCTGGACCCATATCGAATCGCCTCGTTTCCAATGTTTAGCGATGCGATCCGCAAATTCCTGGTTGAGTTTAACATAGTAGATCCATGAGTGATCCTCGTATGCTTTGCTCTTGGGGTTATCAGGAATCTGATAATGAAATACTGGCCAAAGAATGGTCTTGCAGAAATGCGTATAGTGGCCGTCGAAGTCGCCGTCATTTACAAACACCGTCAATGACTCGAACTCATCCTCCAACTTCTCTGAGATGTCTCGACGAGTCCACTTCGCAAGAGCATCAGTTGGCATGCCCAGGGTGCCTACCCACATCATTTCTTCCAAGACCCCCGCGTCCGTCGCAGAACGGACCGCATTGCGCAGGCCACCATTTCCTTGCTCCGCAGTCTCGATGGTCCATTCGGCCTTGGAAAATGAAACCTTGCGATTCGCTACACTGCCTTTTCTCAGGCCGGTGTAGGGCGCAGCAGGCTGGGCAGGGGGAACCCGCTGCGGCACGGATTCCTTGGCGGGATGGGGATCTTGGTGCTTGAGGATAGAAGGATCCGGCGACAGAGTTGTTTGGGGCTTCGGTTGATTCAGTGAAGTTGTGGCTCCCCATGCGGGTGAGTGGCCCTCACTCTCAGTCAGCAGTCGGTTGTCATCGACAGAAGGTGGGAATGGATATCCGGTTTTCTCTTGCTCCGCCTGAGCTACGTTGGACGCAAAAATGCGCTCATGGTCTGTGGTGGCCCCGGGAGTAAGACCAGTTGATTTTCCGGGTTTTGACTGCCCGAACAGGCTGGCAGCAGCTTGAGGAGCTGGGACAATGGGGGTGATCCCTTCTACAGTCGGGTTTGCAGATGGGGGGCCTGCCGGGGTGTGGCCGGCGCGTGAATTATGGACATGGAAGTTCACTGTATAAGGAAGAAATCTGGTGTGCTAGTTCAGCAGGGGCTCGAGGGCTAAAATCCAGCAGGGACATACAAAGACGCAATGAATACCGTCATTGTGATCGACAGAGCCCAGTCTCAGGGTAGACGGATAGGCAAAAGTCCAAACACAAATAGAGAGAGTTTGGGGCCCAAGATTTGGTAACCAAATAGGACTGTGACTTGAGTGGCAGCTGAGGGCTGGAATTGAAGCAAGCTGAAGGGGAAAAAGGTCAGTTACACGATTTCAGGTGGTTTCTCATGACTACGTCATGTGAAAGCGCAAAGTGGGCTGAAGAAGCAAGTTTCGCCCAATGGCTCTCCCAGAGTACCCAATATGACACGGGAAGATCTGGATATTTAGCTTCGTCTGACAAGGCATTTTGCATTGGAATATTTTTTTGGAATCAGGTTAGAATGGAGCCATCTTCAATCATGGTCTCGACGCAGTACCGGATCTTACGGTTTTTACCCCACACCGGCGGGTATTCACCGCATATCTAAGTTCAAATACGGTAATTATGTGACAGAACTATGACCCTGGGCCTGTGATTGGCGGAAACTCTAAGACTCGAGATCACATGACATGGCTCATGTTTCCGGCCGAATTCGTAGTCGCCATGATATAGCTCATCTACTAATGCCATGACATTGCGCCTCACGTCTGCTCCGGTATCAGGCGTCAAGAAACGAAAGTCCGCTGCACCGAAACCCCGAGCCTCGCCCTTTGCCGGCCATGCGCGCCGCAAACCCACCTCGAGTGCCACCAGCTTGAAGTCCGTGGATTTTGGGCAGGACGATCCGCTGCCAGATGTAGGTGGGTCGCACTACATATCGGAGACATCACCGGTGCAGAACGTACTTCAGGCCATTCAATACATCCGCGATGGCATGTTCGAAGAGCTCCCGGCACGAGCGGGAATGAACAGTACGCGAATTGCGGAACTCCTCAATCTTCGTCGGTCGTTACCCCCGCTGGCTTCGGTCGCCCATGTCCATACCTTGTTGGAGGCTCCCACGCAGGTGGAAAGGGAGATCGTCGAGTTGGTCAAAACTGGTCAGATTCGGCGACTCATCATCCCGGGTCGCGGTAACGATGCAGCGGGGCTCGGCGATTGCTTGGTGCTGGCAGAGGACTGGGAAAAACTAGTGCAGGAAAGCCCTGCTCTGGAGGAACCAGTGAAACGTGAGTACATGAGAGCGCTCGGGGTAGGATCGTTGCTGATTTGCTTGCAGAGAAATTCCTCGACATCCTCAAGCGGATGGGGACCTCCTCGGCGATATCGCAGGGGGTCTTTACCACCGATGAGTACAGAGCTTTGCTGCGTGCTGGATTCATAGTTTCTTCGTCGTCTTTCACGCAAGGCTCCCTCAGCGTCGCCTCGCTCCCCAATTTACCTACAATGGCAGCTTCATCAGCAAGTCGGGGTGGATCGAATCGCTCGCCCTCCAACCCTGAGCGTAGTGTACAATCAGATGCTCAGGCTCGTGCTGCGACTCTCTTCTTGTCTCTTCCAAACACGGGGTCTTATCTTCGCTTGCTGGGATCAGGTCGCGCTCATCTTCTGGCGCTGCTCAAGCGATCCGCCTCTGGCGAAGCGCCTGTGGGATTACTAAAAGACCGGTGGGATGGGGCCGTTGAAACCGAGAAAAGCTTTCATTTAGCCAAGCGAGCTCGCGGGGAGTTTGCAGGAGTGCTCCCTGGAAAAACCAAAAAGTGGAAAGACTTGAATGGAATGCATTTCCGGTGGGTGCTTGAAGAAGCCTTGGGAGCGGGGCTTGTTGAGATGTTTGAGACTGGCAGCGTGGGACCTGGAATCCGCTGTCTATAGTGTCCTTGTCTCTGGGGCTCTCTATGCTAACTTTGAGGGCATTTCTGACGCTCGATCACAAGAAATCCAACAAGATTCCGAATATAACCCGAATTAAGTAGTAGATGCATGAATTTTCCCGCCCATCGTTAGAATCTGATTGAAAATCCGTTAGCGCGACATATTGTAGGTATGTCTGTGGTACGAAGTACAGTAGAGAAGCGCAAGTAAAATGCAGTGTCTAAGTGGACTATTCCCAGGTTGGAATGTCACCCCAAACAAGCTTTGTCGATCCGCAAACATGAACCTCACACTTCACAATGCCGTTCATTAGGCTAGACCCCCATCCATTCAAGGATCTCCCCCCGGTAGATTCCCAACCGGATACCAAAACGCTTAATTCATTGATACACTCGATCCTACGAGATGAAGCCGAGCCCCTTTTAAAGAATCTCCAAACAGGCCTCCAAAAGGACTCCAAACTCCGCCCCTCCCCACCCTCCACCGCACAGGTCAAATTGTCCCAAGGATGACACCAACAAGAATTTTGGGTCTGCCGCCAAAGTGACCACCAAGACTCAGCTATTGACGGGACCGGGTCGTGGGGCGAATTCGAGAACGGCCTTCGACACGACCATGCCGAGCATGAAATGGAGTACACGCCCAGCGTGACGAAAGTAAAGCAACTATTAAATTGGAATCAAGACCAAAGTTGGGATCCTGAAATGCGCATTGAGGTCTCTGATACTAGGTATCAGGATTTCATGGTCGAGCGTATGGATATAAACTCCCTTGCAATTGGAATATCTAGCTGACACATCTTCGCTTGAAAGTTAATCTGATAGTTCATACGTTTCATCCACAGGCCCTGATTCGTCCGCGGGCTTTTATCTCCTGGACTGTATCGGCAGCCATGGGCAAGATTGTGGAAGATAAATTGGAGCCCAGGGGCTTCATCACCATCCAGGTCCCATTCCGTCTATCAAGTCCCGCCGAAGAGCCAGGGTATGAGCAGCTCAGTACAGAGATTCGACAGTCTGTGCCGCCGCGTACGATCTTCGCTCACTATGCGAGTATCGAGCTTGTGGAGCTACTTCCTCCGTCGGAATCTTCTGACCGGGTCATCAGGTGGACGATGGCGACGACATCGGAAGCTGGGGGCAAGATTCCCCAGTGGGTTCAGCGAAATTGGACGCTGGGTGGAGTTCCCAAAGCTGTTGTTGCTGATGTAGGTTTGTTTATCGGATGGATTATGAAACAGAGGGAACGAAGGGAGACTCAATTGCAGGAGTAAAGATCTCGATATTTGCACAGTACGTTTTGTCTACAGCCTGGTACTAGGTATTTGGCACATTTTGACAATTCCAGGTCGCCCCAAATACAATATCTATCGATACAGTCGTAGAACAAAGATATCTAAGCCTTGGTGACAGCCCAAGCCTGCAATGTAGCGCACAATCCCACAACGGAAGCAGTGTCGTTGATGCCATTCTTAGCATACCACACCGTGCTAGCCCAGAGGAGAACATTGATAAGGCCAGCAATGGCTTTGGTCGATGCGTCCTGCAGTAGACTAGGGTTGCGCGACCATTGCCAGTGAAGCAAGGCTATGAACGTTAGGAAAAAATCCAAAAAAGAATCAGAATACACTCACCAGCCACCAGCATGAATCCACTCCCCTGATCAGAATTCGATTAGCGTCCAAAGTACTCAGTTCGCATCGAGATTCAAAGGTTACGTCTCGGACTGATTACGCACCTGATACCAACCCACTGTTCCACAGGCCCATGGCTTGGATCCTGCAATTGCCTTGAATCTGGGGTCGGAGGTCCACTGTTTGCCCGAGAGCTAAGGAGAGATCAGCAATTGGTAATGGGTTGGCAATGTGTGTAGTACCGTGTGGCCAATGGAAAGGAACACGAATGAGCCGGCGGCAATCTGCAAAAGAGAAGGCATTGTTGAATGAAGTCTAGAAAGGTGGGAAATGGCCCGACGTTGCAGAAGTTATGATTTAAAGCCTCGGTACATGGGCCGTGCGAGGGTGGGGAAGTCCGAGGTTTGGTTCGTGTGAATATTTACGCTTATCATGTCGATCTTCAGTTGAGAGGGTATATATTATCACTATAAGAGAACATTCATAAGAGACAACTCCAAAGCCAGCGTAGCCCCATGCACATGCACTTGGATCCATGGAGACATCGAAGAGACGACAAAAGACAGGGTCGATTGCTCATTGCTGAGATTGGATTCTCCCGCCTGAGACCAATTTTGAATTTTGGTGCGCCAAACTCCTTCGGCCAGTCCAATAGAAAGAGAAAAAAAAAAAACGTGGCGCAGCTCGCCTCATGTATAGAAAGTAGGCTAGAACGAAAAGGTTGTCCCTGGGATGGGGCAAGGAAAGTGGGAGAGAGTAAGGGAAAAAGGAGAGGTACCGACGCCGGCAAACTGTCGGGTGATCATGAAGGGCATCAGTCTGATGCCCAGAGTAGAATCGGACATTCAAAACGTATCGACAAAGTGGAGAAAGGGGGCGTTCCTGCCTCGCAAGGCTGATAGATCCGCCATATCGTACACACAGCCCAATCTTGGAACAGATTATCGCCCTGAGTTGGTGAGGTTCACTTCGACCGGAGCCGGGGGCGCGGATGAGTTGGTTGATGCGATGTGCGCCCGTAAAGCGGCAACTTCAGAGCGAAGACCCGTCATCTCTTCGTGCATGGTTCGCACATGTGCCCAAAGTTTGTCGATCTGGTTTGCGTCGTTTGAATTGGCATCAGGCGCGCCTGCCTCGGGACCTTTGAAGGCGGAGAGACTGTGAGTGCTGGAGTGGCTGTGCGAAGGCGTATGCTTGGTTGCTGCCTGTATGCCGAATCGGGCATCAGGGGAGGTCATACCAGGCGGCAGAGGCAGTTGAGGGACGCCTGGCTGAGGGAGTGGCAGGCCGAGGGTCGGAGGGGCGTGATTAGTCGATGAATTGGCCCGCCCAAATGAAGCCTGCGGATGTGGCAGAGACTGTCCCATGCTGGGGGAGTGTGCGCGATGTGGCGGTGCATTATCATGTTGCGACGACAAAGCATTCGGAGACAGAGGTTTCGGACTGTCACTGATGTTATTGGATGGGAATGCGGATGTTCCAGACGTAATTCCTGCGGGCGGGAAAGTCATGTTGCCAGGCTGCGAAGATGATGCCGATGGAGTTCCCCCATGGTTGGCGGGAGGTGGGAAGAGGTGGCTAGGACGACCAGCCGCTATCGGTGGATAGGTGCTAGACTGACGTGAGGTGATAGAATCGGATCGAGCGACCGGGTCGGATTCATGCTTGCGAATGCTCGGCATGAGTCGTCGCTCGTCCTCCTCATCCATACGCTCGGGCTCTGCGGTGTACATCAGGCCATCCATGTCATCTGGTCCTCCAGCCCCGCCGTCACCGTACTCCTCATCCGCAGCAAAGCTGCCCATGCTAGAGCGTCGGCCCGCGCAGCCTGCTTGTCCCTTGTTGTGTCGAGCAAGCGCATCACCGCGGGCAAAGCGACGTCCACATCTCGGGCAAATGTGCGGTCGCTCCCCCGTGTGAAGCTTTGTGTGACGCTTCAAATCATGCAGTCTTCGGAAGCGCGACTGGCAGGTTTGGCACACGAAAGGCTTCTCCTGACTATGAGTGAGCAGATGGCTCTTGAGATTATGTTGGCGCGTGAATTCGGTCGCACAGTAGGGACAACGGTGTTTTTTGGCGGATGGGGAGCGAGGGCTTCCCCGATTGTAGCCTGTATTAGGTAGGCTCAACCCACGACGCGGGTCGTTCATGGTCGGCATCGGATACGAGAATGCTTTGCCGTCATGGTCGATCTCTGAATCATCGCGAGGCCGTCGATCCCCATCTTGAGAAGTCGATTCCTCAATGGGACCGGGGCTTGCGACAGTCGAGGTGTGCATCAATGAGCCGTGATGATCGTTTGATCCGTAAGGGTCTGACGGTGATCCGTTCGCGTGGTCGATTTGCATTTGCTCGGGGGATGCGTGGACCGAGGATTCGTGAATTGTGGCACCCGGTGACTTTTCGCTTGCACCTAATGCCTCGCGGGCTACCTGCGAACTGTTTTGTTCCGCATCCTTTTCCTGCTCCGGACGATCCGCCGGAACTGAAATCGGGCTCGTCATCAGAGGTTGTTGATCGCTGGATCGCGAGACGTGTAGGCCAGCACTGGCAATGGAGCTCAGGCTGTCGGGCTTGGGCTGAGGCTTGAATAGAGATAAAGGGTCGGGACTGGGATTAGAGGTTGCAGATCGCGGATTGGAAACGGCGATGGGTTCATTCGACATCAACGTCGCCATGGAGAAGGAAGGTTTCGCGCCAGCCTCGAAGGGTGGACGAGTATAGGCGACAGCTACTTTGGCCATGTTAGAGAGAAATGGGGATCAGAGGGGAAAATTCGACTGACGTTCATCCAGGGTTTTTGTCACAGATGTCAAGCAGGCCAGGTTTGGGGGGAGGAGAGAGCGAGGGCCAGGGCGTGTGGGGCGTTTCTCACCCCGAGTGTGGCGCAAGCTGACGAGTGGTTTCAGCTTTCGAACTTGTCCAGGCAAAAAACGATCCACCCGACTGATCCCAAGAATGGCTTGGGCCTCGCGTTAGAACGAGTGAGAATCGATCTGCAGTTGAGAACAGGAGGCAGAAGCTGAAAGGTGGATGGAATCAGTAATACACATCGCAGATCGAGAGAAACCTGACAAGGGGGACTTGTAGTGGGGACTGACAGAGTCGAGGCTCCGGGAAAAATGAACCCTGAGGCAGCCAGGTACCGGGTACTTCCCTTGACTACAGTGTGGCTCATATAATGGCTAGTACCTGGTACCCGATTAAGATTGAGGCTGTGTACAAGTTCCAGTGGGGGCACGAGGTTGCGGCTCCCTCTTCATTTCTCAGCGCTACGCTTCTACTGTTCAGTACTGTACTACTAGTAGTAAGTGGAATTGATTGAAAGGAGATGCTCGTATATACAACAATGAGGTCATGTCTCAAACCGGTTCCCAATTGTGATGTCACAGTCTTCGAGGAGTACTCGTACATATAGTATAGTAGACAGTAGTACTACTGTCGACTCCCAGTTGAGAGATTACGTTGCGCCATGGCTCTCTGATGGGGCCCTGGCGGCTAGAGGATCTACGCGGAGCCCCATCTTCACGAAATCTGTTCCCGATGGGTTCCGTACCTACGGAGTACTACGATGCATGTCCATTGCAGATATAGCCCTGGAGGAATTGCACACTGGTACACTCCATTCTCAACTCATGTTAGTACCTAGTACGACTCTGTTCTAACCCCAACCCCTCCCACCGCCACAGCATTGCCACCACATCCACGCGAAACAAGGGACCCCGTGGATATTCTCAATCCAATCCCCTTACTTGCTCCACTTCCAAAAATAATTGTGGCTGATTGCAGGCGGTTTCTTACTCCGTACAAATCAATCCATTGGATAGAAGTACTGTATCTTCCTTCTCATACAGTAAAAAGACAGGCCCCGCTGCTCCGATTCCTTGCAATTGGCCTGAAGCACCGCCCCCGTTACTCTCTTCGAAAATTTCACACCATGTTTTCCTCAAGTGACTGGCTACTCTTTCGCAAAATTGCGCCACTTCTATTCCAACCTCAGAAGGGTGGTGATTTAGGAATTCTCTTATAGGATAGGTGGCAATATGTAGACCTCGGGAGCATCAATGGAATGCATAACCATACCAATTGCCCCCAGGTACTGAACTTTTATGTGACTTTCCCTCTACTTGCCCGAGCGCGTTCCATCGTGGTTTCTTTTCTTTTGCGATGTCTCTTGTCGACTATCATCGCATGATCCCTACGGAGTACTGTAGTATCAACGCAAGCCTAGGCCCTAGGGCCCTTTCAACGCGTGGACAGACAGGTCTACAGGTCCACATTCCGATATCCACAGGGCCCACCATCCTTTTACTTGACTGAGAAATCTTTCCTTCGTGTGTTCTGGATGCTGATTGTGCTTGGTGTATTGGAAGGATATCCCGAGTCTAGCTAGACATGTCTACAGAGTACTGGAGGGAGTTTTGACCAGGAGCAAAATTAAATAATACCTTGGTAGTCATAGGCCACTTGGCTTTCATAGGATCAAGAGACATAGTATCTATGGATCCTGGTATCATTTGTAAGATGGAGTGAGTGAGCCCGAAGCAACACAGAACGTTTCAAAGACGGCATGCCCAGGTGGTGGGTATCATTCCAACCTTGGAAGGTTCAAGTTCCAATCGGGCTCCTGGTTTTCTCGACTTGTATTTACAGATACATACAACGATAGCTGGATATATTGTTCAAGGATTTCCAACCTTGAAGGGTTGACGGACTTCTCTTGAAAGCTCCAGCCGGGAACTTTGTCCATTTTCGGGATCACAAATTTGTCGGATCGGACCCGGTGCTCGAGGGTGAGAGAGAAAGAAATGAAATACCTAAGACTACAAGCGATTGTGTGAGGGGGAAGTACTGGGTATGCCCATCAAGGTACCTGTCAAATCTGGGAAGATGGTAAGTACATCTGACCTGGCATGGACTTATCAACTGGTCGAAGACCTCTTTCATTATAATGACTTCGATTAGAATACATCTAAGACTTGATTGATATATCATGTGTTATCAATGCCTCCAGGGGATTTGCAGCTCTCATACCTAGGTGTATACCCGTGGACAGCTCTATGCGCATGGGAAGAACGGCATCCTGGTTAGATGTGCAATATGGGTCTCTCAAAGAATACCTAGTTTTTACGTATACGGAGTACGCACAATCAAACCATACACCTGGGCAGATGGCTAGAGTAAAGGACTAGGCTTTGGATGTAGACAAGCTATTGGCCTACCTCGCCTTCGGGCATCAACGCAGTCTGAGATACTAGTTACCGTTGATTAAAGGGGCTAGATTCCACAGTCGTTCATGCCGAAATAAACTTTGCTGCACATCTGCACTTGCTACGGCTCCCTATGCGGCTAAGCTTTGCAGGCCTAAGGGACGACGGAAATCAGCCCTATATGAGCCAAATCCGTGCAGTTTTGGTAGGCTATAGTGTGTTCTTGCTATGGGATTTAAACTTTATGAAAGGAGTGGCACGGAGTATGTGGAACCGAACAGGTCAGTGTCTATTTTCCGACATTCCCTTTCGACACCATTGTCCACGGGTATGATCTGTTCTGCACAAAAGCCCCACCAGGGCACTCCCCCTTGCGTCTTGTGCCAAATAGATTCAGGCCTCACTCAATGCAGTTTGCATTGTGTCACCACGGAGTACTCTTCCTCTGATAGTCAGCTCTGATAGTTATGAAGCCCCTAGCATTCCCCTTTAGATCGCCCAACTCTAGGTATCTCGCTTGGATTACTTGGATAATCGAATGTTTTTGTCTCAGTTGCAACCAGCTCAAACTCAAGACTTGCGATTTTCCTTCATTGGAGCTATAGCTACAGAGTGCTATAACGATCATTCGATCTTCCATATTGAGCAACTGTACCAAAATGTCAGCCCCTGAGAAGTCCAATTCCCGACTTCGCATTCCGCTACATCAGCTAGTGCTCTCCCAAAACACAATCACAGACGACATCCTTCATCACCAATGGGAAGGCAGTGGCACAGAAGAAGATCCATATCTGGTTGAATGGCTCGTTGAAGATCCCAGAGATCCCCATCAGATGCAAGACTGGCTTAAAATGACGATCACCTTACTACAAGGAGTCTCTTTCTTTTCCATCACATTCGCTTCCTCTGCGCTTTCAGCAGCCAATCCCCAAATTCGGAAGGAATTTGGGACCAGCGCTGAGTTGATCGTTGCAGACACCTCACTTTTTGTTCTTGCTTTCGCAATCGGACCGGCAATATGGGCCCCCTTGTCTGAGATATTCGGTCGTCAGATTATCTATTTTATCACTTATGGCTTGACTACAGTGCTGGCCGGAGCAACAATTGCGAGCCCAAACATCGCCACACTGCTTGTTCTCCGTTTCCTCACGAGTGCGTTCGGCTCTTCGGCAATTTCCAATACTGGCGCTGTGATTTCGGATATGTATGTGGCCCGGGACAGAGGGATAGCTACGATCGCCTATGTTGGAGCTCCGCTTTTTGGTCCCAGCCTTGGGCCGATCACTTGTGACTTCCTCGCTGTGTCTCAAGGCTGGAGATGGGTCCAGGGCCTTATTACAATTTTCAGCGGAGTGGTATTCCTAGCAGGCAGTACCTGCATTCCGGAAACCTTTGCGCCAGTTCTGTTGCGGAAAAGAGCCGCGAAGCTTACCAAAATCACCGGAGCTGTGCACAAGAGTCGGCTTGATGTGAGTGATGCTCATCGAACACCTCGTCAGATCTTCGCCAAAACCATGGTCCGGCCATGGGTCTTGCTCTTCTTCGTACCCATCGTTCTGCTACTGTCTATCTACATGGCAATCAGTAAGTTCTTGTGTCTCGAGACTCCAACAGAAGGCTAACGCAAGAATTCAGTTTATGGAACCATGTACATGCAGTTCGCCGCTTTCCCAATTGTCTTTGAAGATAACCTCAAATGGCCACAGAGCATCTCTGGCCTTTCATTCGTTGGAATGCTGACTGGGCAACTTCTTGGCTGTGTCTACTCAAGCTTCGATGACATCCGCTATAAGAAAGTAGCTGATAGCGACCCATACGGCCGACCACCTCCAGAAGCTCGATTGATCCCAGGTATGGTTGGCTCGATTACCCTTCCAGTCGGACTATTTTGGTTTGCTTGGACCAACTTCCCGCATATACATTGGATTGTATGTGAGATCGGAACAGTTCTCTTTGGATTCTCGCACGTTTCTATCTTTTTGAGCATTTTGAACTACCTGGTGGATGGCTATACTATTTACGCTGCATCCGCTCTCGCGGGGAACGCTGTTATGCGAGCGGTATTTGGCGCAGTATTGTATGATATGACGTTCATCCTTTTGGAAATAAAGTTACTGATCAACACCTCGGGCAGTCCTCTATTTACGACTCCAATGTACAAAAGTCTTGGAGTACATTGGGCGTCCTCAATCTCTGCTTTTCTTGCCGCTGCGTGTCTCCCATTCCCCTGGATCTTTTACAAATATGGACCTTCAATCCGTCGACGATGCCGATATGCTGCTGAATCCTCGCGTCAGCTGGATGCCATTGCCGATCGAAAGCGAGAACAAGCCGAGTTGAAGGCCAATGCCGAAATGAGGCTGGGAAGTGAAGCCGTTTCTGTGTCTAGCTCAAATGAGCAATCTGATAACAAGGAATCTACGGAACATTGACCACAGGCAGTGGTATCACTTTCAAGGCTCTACTACTAGGTAGCTTTATTTTGTCGACGCCTACCTGAGTTCCACTTCAAATAGCCCTGGTCGGTATCCAATTTCGGGCTTCTAGAGCTAAGTGAACAGCCGTCTAACTTTCAGCCCTGGAGATACGCCATAATTTCGGGCGAGAGGACGTTTACAACAGCTACTCCGTTCTTCAAGATCAATTGGCAAATTATATGGGGAACAGCCATGTTCAACAAAATACCACGACGAAGGCTTTTTGGAATAAGCACTAAACGGTGCCAACCAAACCCGAAAGCAGTTATCCCACGAAATAATATTCAACCACTTAGAACAAATATTGATATCACGCGAGTCATTGGCTCCGTGTCTTGAAGTTCACCATGTTCTGTAGAAAGACTACAGAGTCCTGAACACCCGAGCTTCTCAAACCGACCAAAATATCAGTACGGACTCGCCAAGACAATAAGCCTGCCCAGGTGGCTTCTGACGCGCGAGGTACCGCCTATCACGGGTGTGATCAGTCCTATAATTCCCGCAGGTGCACTGTCCCTCTCTCGTTGCATGACTGAAAATAATCTGACCTGGTACCCAGTCATTCCAAACCCCCCATGCTCCAGCGGTTCTGCAATGCGTGTGGTTGGTCGGACGATCGGCGGGTTAGCGCCGGTTGGGGTGACAGGAGGTGCATCGTGAGGAGCAGAACTGGCCATTCCTCGATCTGACTGGCCCACTGCTCCACTGTGACAAGCTTGGCTGATCACTCCCGCCGTCCAGTCACACCCTTTCCCCTCAACGCCTCGAGGTGCAGTGCACTTGAACGGCCTCGACGGTTCGGGCATCTCCCAATCATGGCCCTGGTCGCTGTCGCAAATCACCCCGGGCGCTTACTCGAACCCGGCTCGAGTGATGAGAGCCAAAAGCCTGCATTTTGCGTTCCCGCCTCTGGGACCGAACATTATTGATATCCAAAGGTGCCCGGATTTTTCTATTCCTTTGCTGCATTTTTTTGTCTGTCCAAGGTCACCTTCTCCTCAATATACCCGTGTACGCAGGCTTCGCACACGGCATTGGTGATCTATTACACAACTTGCCACACCTCGATCATTGTCCTACCTTGTTGATTTTCGTGGGAAATCAGCTCAGCTCAGAGTTGCCTTTTCCAACGAAGTCCTGTGGGCTAAAATTCAAGAGCTGGCTCTCTTGAACTAATTGCACGAGTCTGTTACCGGGAACTATCGCTTCAATGTTGGACCACAACGACAGCCGCAATTACTCTCCTCAGACCTACGAACCCGTTGTTCCGGAGGATCTCACCCGTTCCTCCTATCACAGTGCAATGGGTCCCCCACCACAGCACACCGTGCAGGAGCGCAGCTCATCGGAGACAAGCAATGCGTCATTAAAGAGCCCACGTACCGCCAGATTCGCCGAAGCTACATCAATTCACTCACCGATTGAACAAGCTCAACGATCACCTTTCGCTGACCCTCCCAAGTCTCAATCCAAAGGAGATGTTGGCGATGTTGGCTTCGGCTATGTGGGGGCGAACAGCCACCATGCAGACGATCAGGTCCCGATGTCACCCTTCAGACCGGACCTGAAGGTGCCCCAGACGGCGAAGTCGTTGAACCCGCTCAGCCCGACATTCCGTGAGGAATATATGCTCGAGAAGCAAGAGAAAAAAGCAGAAGTCGAAAACGCTCGAGACATTGTGAGAAATCCTCCGTGACCCTGATACATGCAGTACTAACTATTCCCAGAGAATCAAACTTCGTGTCCGTATCGCCAAGGTCTTCCTGCGCTTTGTCAACTTTGGCTGCAGTCTGATTGTTCTCTCTCTTCTGGCTGTCACATTGACCGTCTTCAATGCAACCAAAAACCTGCCTACTCGCAACAGCCTTCCCGCCTGGGCGGAGGGAACCAACCCATGGGCCCAGTACCTCCTTCTATCTATGGCCTGTGTCTCCCTCGCGGCCTGCCTACTTGTCTTCTGGGCCTACCGAAAGGGTGGCCACAGACGTGCCGAAAAAGCCGCAGTCTACTACACCGGGTTCTCCATTGCCTTCTTTGCCTTCAATCTCATTATGTGGATTGTCGGCGCAGCAGTCTACCAACACTCAAAATCCAGCGGGAACAACAAAGACATGTGGGGATGGTCTTGCGCCCAGAACACTCGCGAGCAAATCTACCACAACAGCGTTGACTACGCCCTCCTCTGTCGCCTCCAAGACTGGGGGCTCGTCTGCGCCATCATTGAAGTCGTCATTGAAGTCCTCGTCATCGCAATCTACGTCGTAGTCTTCTACCGCGTGTGGAGCAAGCGCAAGCTCATGAAATCAATGGACACTCGCGACAACGCTCGCTCAGACCTCTACCTTGCTCAGCTGCGTCTTCAGTCTGCCCCCAACACCCCAGGCTTCGCAGGCTTCAGCTCCTACCCACCCAAGTCCCCCTTCCACGCCACCACTTCGGTAGACCCCTACTCAGCCGCCGAGAAGGGCCAGTCTGTCCCAACGCAGTATGCGTCACCGCGTTCTCCTACCCGTCCTACCCCATCGTTCCAGCTCCAACCTCCACCCATCAAAGTTCAACAGCCAACTCCGAAGTCTGCACAGGAGGAGTTCACACCTTACTCGCATTCTCCATCACCGCCACCTCCTACTCAGCGCGTGAGTCCGCCTGTACACGCCATCAGTCCTCCTGGTGAGCAAACTTACGATGCTGTGCCAATTCCCGGTGCTTACGGGAGCCCCATGGGGCCTACCTTCCCAGCTCCTGTACACCGGTGAAAATGACAGGATGTTTCGTGCTTGATGATTGACCTTTGGAGATCATTTCCACTTGAACAACGTTTCATGAAAAGAGAAATCACAAATCTCGAAAAGAAACAAAAATCCGGAAAAAAATTTGAAAATGCTAAAAACCGAGATTCTGGCCATTGTGTTCAATGGCCTGCATCAGAATTGGATGAAAATCCCGTTCTCCTTTTTTTTTTTTTTACCTCCCTCATATGGAGTTTAATGTACACACACCTGGGCGTTTGGGATGAGACACAGATACCTATTTGGGCTTTGGTGCATGTTCATGTATTTACTTTCCTTGATTTCTTGGTCCTAGCCCAATGAACACAACGTTATATACCACGCTCAACTATTTACCCACGTATCCTCGCCGCTACCTAGTAGATAGACTTAAGCCGCCACCTGAGCACTGACCAGCTACGACGTTGTACGGAGAGTGCTACTCAAAGCTAACGGAGTGTATAGAATCAAAATTTGACGTGAGAATATTTGAATTCATGAGAAAACCTTGGAAAAAGGGTGCCAACCCGCAAAGACCCTAGAACACCATTCACTGCGAACAGGAGAAAGCAAACCCCAACCTTGGAACGCCGCAAGGATCTGCCAAGTCACAAATGCCCTGTCCATCACTCGTGACCAACATGCATACCGTAGTTTTCTACTCCGTAGCATTAAGAACTGTACATGCAACTAAATCGACTGTTCACATCCCACCCTCTTCAAGGATGGCGTGCACATCCCTGGAGACAAAGATCTCTTCGAGGGTGGCTGCATCAGCACCAACCTTGCTGAGATCACTCTCAAGGACAAGACCCTGTTCATTGGCGAGATGGAGCAAGCAAATAAATCCAAATGACGTACTGATATCCCGTAATGTTTCAGCGGGATAGACAGCCTTGAGATTGTTCATGATTTGCGTGAACTTCAGTCGACCAGAGTCCTTGCTGTCGACAGGCTGCTGTGGACTTTCGGCCTTCGGTGTCGCAGGGACGGGGGTTTCCGCTCCACTTTCGGGCTCTGGTTCTGATGGGGGTTCGCTGGAAACAGCACCAGGCTGCGAAGCCGAGGCAAAGTCAACAGCATCAACCAATCGCTCGCCCATACCCTTCCACATCTCTGTCTTGAGGCGACGAACATCCACCTTCTTCGCCACACGCGCATATGCCACGTAGTCGGGTCTTGCGCGGCGGCCACCTTGTGTGACCAGTTGTGATCCATAACCGCCCTTGCTTGGCGTGGCGCCAACCATGTTCAAGAGCGCACTCAGTCCAGTCTGACCGCCTGGTTCGCCGGATGAAGCGCCTGCGCCACCATCTGGCGCTGGGGACAACATCTCCCGAGCATCCGCAAATGGCAGGTTGTCGTCTTCATCGTCGAGGTCCATGCCGTTGGGGAAGGCGAGGCCATCATCATCGGCGAAGAAGTTGGCATCATAAGCACCAGCAGCACCTTCCTCGCCAGCGTTCTCTTCTGGCTTGCGGTTGGCCCAAAATGCCTCATCCATGTCACCGTTGCCAGCTGTCAAATCTGGCCGGCGACGTTTGCCTAGGACCTTCCTTGATCCGAGTCTAGCCTTGGGCTTGAGGAAGAGAGTGAGGAGGTTGCGAGAGTTAAAGTGCTTGTCGTCGGGGAGCAGGTTGCGACCCTTTGTTTTCCATTGTGTCTTTGGCATTGAAACGGCCGAGTTGGAGCTCGCCGGGGTGTAGATCAATTCTGCAACGGCAGGGTCTAGAGGTGCCGCGAAATCAATTTCGAAGGGCTCTTTCTCTTTGCGCTGTTTGGGGGCGGCAGTAGTGGCTGTTGCGTGGTCTTTGATTCTCCGGATCTTCCAGTGTTCTGGACCAGCCCAATTCTTCTGTAGCGCATTGTCGAAGTAGCTGAGGATGTTCTCGTGGTCCTGATTATTCGGCTGGTGTGACATCGAGATGGCATATGGATCTTCATCGTCCTCCTCGCCTTCTCCCTCGTTGTCCCCGGCGTGGGCAACACGATGGACGTTCAGCATGGGCTCTAGGGCTGCTTCCCGGGCCCATACCTCACCACCTTCACCAAACCCAGCGTCACCACTGAGGTCAAAGCCGCCCAGGGTACCGTCATCATCATCGAATCCGACCGCATTGTCGTCATCGAGCATGATGCCGGATGGGTCATCATGTGCTCTCCCTTCTTCATCCATCTTGTCCTGTCGCCAGTCCTCCGGCGCCTTCAGGAGAGGGATATCTAGCGATCCACTTGGATCACCTAGGTCGAGGTTCTTCAGCGAGGGACAGATATCTTGTTCGCCCAGACGGTCCAAATCTGGGAAGAATTGACTTGCAAGCGAGCCGAGGTCAATTTCCTTGTTGTCTTCGAATGTCTCGCTTGCCTGTTGGGACGTGGGTTTCGATTGGTCTTCGGTTTCTTGGTCGGGCTCCGTAGATTCTTGACGGTCATCTTCGGCTGTCTTAGCACTGTCATCCACAGCGTCGTCGCTGCTATCAAACACAATTCTTCCATGGCTATCAATAGCGAGGTGGTTCAATAGCAAACCCTTTGCGCCTCCTTCGTCGAAGTCTGCGGACGCCTTCTTAAAAAGTGGATCCACGGCAAACTCGAGCTCGAACTTCTTCAGTTGTAGGGATGAAAACGAGGGTGCGAGAGTGGCCTCGTGGGAGCGAGTCTAGAGTCAACACTGTCAGCAGAGATCTAGATCACTAAACTCCGTTGGCCATACCTTCTTGCGCGTCTTGCGAGGCTGACCATCTTCACCCTCTTCGTCGTCTTCCCCATCTTCGGCCTCCTCTTCGCCACGTCCTCTTTTGTCGCGGCTATCGGCCAGACCGCTCAGAAGTTTGCCCGTCTCTGTTGCGACACTGTCCACTCGACTGGTGTAGATCTTCACGCAACCATCAAGGGTGCAACTGGCCTTTTGGAAATTCACACCGTCGCCCTCCTTCAGCAAGGACATATCGTGGAAGTAATCGATGAGCGCAAAATTCCAGGAGTTGTTCGCATTGATCTTGTTATCAGTCGCCATCTTCATCCACTCTTCAAAATTGGCCAAAATGGGCACGCGCTTCATCGGCGTCACGGCACGGCCATTCACATCACTGACTCGGCCCCGATGGCTCGAGCCTCGAGGGGTTGCCGGACTGTCGCTTCCTTCACGATCGTATGTAGTAAACCGACGGGGCGGCAGAGGTGTTTTGACTGCGGCCTTGATTTGGCTCATTTGGCGATCATGAAGCGCTTGACGAGCCTCCATGCGCGCTGCCTTCTCCCCTTCATCATCGTTGAGCGGTATTCTGTTCCGGTTAGTCGCCCGTCCGCGGAACGTCTCAAATAACGTACTTGACTGGAGAGTTCTTGTGAGGGGTCGAATTGCCGTTGGAGCGGCGGTGCACCTTGTTTGCGACGCGGGGCATGGTTGCGACTGCCCCCGATAGGGGATGACGATAACGGCGTATGGAAGGTTTGATGGAGAGGGGCGATGAAGCAAAACAAATGGGGAAGTCAACAAACATACGGTTCCCGATACGACCCAATGACGCAGATGAGGTTATGTAATGATATGTGGTCTTGTGGCCTGATAAATAAGGCATAGACACCAAGCCTCTCACGTGCCACCTGCAGCCACATCCACGGATATCTGTTTCTTGTACTTCGTACTTCGTGTGGACCTCGGGAGTATTCAACTGCATGGGTTCAACGGCTTCAGTGGTATGCACACTACCTTCCATGCTTTTTTAGAGATGACCCATGTCTTAGATCCTAGTCTCCTCGACTATTCGCATCATACAAGTAGCCAACTCACCCCAGAGCCAAATTGGGCTTGAAAGTTGCATTTCAGAGGCGTTGCATTGGGCTATCACAACTGCAAGGTTGGCACGAGATCAGTCTCAAAGCCTGACCTATGTATGTAGCTTGATAGGATCACATTACTTTATGCTAGCCCCGCCCTTAATCATTGAAAACACTCTACGTTTGGCACTGATCATAGTATCTTGCCTAGGTGGAAACGAGGCAGAAAGGGCAGGCGGTAGCTAGCTTCCTCAACCCAAGGGATGAACACACGGTTGCCTTCACCTTTTGTCTAAGACTCTTATATCTCTCCGTACTTCACGCTCCGGACATTGTTCTTGTGCCGCCCCTCTATTGCTTAGCGGATCTTGCAGCGATCGGCACGCATTGGCCTCTCCCGAGGTCACTGCACCGGCTGACATCACCGCCCTCACCGCACTAGCGTCTTGACATCTGGTGCTGGTGCTGGTGCTTTCAATGCTGGTGCTTGCTAAATGCTGATATATAACCTGTTCGTTCAGCCCGCCATGCCACTGGGTCTCTCGTCGCAATGATCCAGCTGCCGAAATTCCTGCAGCCTGCCGGCCGCCGGCAGCCCCGATATTCAATTCGACCGTTCTACACCTCGTTGATCGTGCTCTCCGTTCTCGCCACTGCGAGCTGGCTCCTGAGTACTACGGGGGATGACCATGTTCAATTCACGCAGATGGGGCCCGCCGGAGGCATCGGCTTATTCAAGCGAGGAAGCGAACCGGAGGTATCATTTTCCCACCCCTGTGAGATGTGCAAAGACTAATCTATGCCCTGTCCTACCCTGATATAGTGTCGCTTAGTTCGCAAGGCCCATGACAAGTGTGCATACGTCCGCGCGAACTGCCCCGACCACGAGGATGGGTTGATTTCATACCTTCAGTTTTACTACTGTGGACTGGCCGACGCGAAACCGGTAGCGTTCATAATCTTGATCGTCTGGTTGTCGCTACTCTTCAGTACAATTGGGATTGCAGCCAGCGATTTCTTGTGTATTGATCTGAGTACGTTGGCCAGCATACTGGGGATGAGTGAAAGCCTTACAGGCGTCACTTTTCTTGCCTTTGGCAATGGAAGTCCAGATGTTTTCTCTACATTCGCTGCCATGCGCTCAAACAGTGGAAGCCTAGCGATTGGTGAGCTGATCGGGGCCGCTACTTTCATCACCTCCGTGGTTGCGGGCTCCATGGCCTTGGTTCGGCCATTCAAGGTTGCGCGCAGAAGCTTTGTTAGAGACGTGGGCTTCTTCATCGTGGCTGTTGTCTTCAGCATGTTCATGCTGGCAGATGGAAAACTCCATGCGTGGGAATCAGCTACCATGGTAGGCTTCTATGCTTTCTATGTCATGACGGTGGTGACCTGGCATTGGTACCTCGTTCGACGACGCCGAAGGGCTGAAAGAGATCTCGCGGCTCGGGCTCATTTCCATATTCCCGAAAACCAAGAGTTGGAGATTGAAGACACAGTCGAGGAGGACGACCCTGGTGTAGCATCGGAGTCTCGAAGCCTGCTTCGCGGCGCATCAACTGAAGACTTCGATCTTCTAGAACGCATTGAGGCCGCACCTGTTTGGAAAGAAGAAGACGACAACGAGGATGACGAGACTCGAAACCGATACCTGGCCGAGATCCGTGATAACATGCACCTTCATCGGCCCATGCGATCGAGACGTAATACCATGAACCCTATCAGACCAAGTCTGGTCGGTGCATTGGAGTTCCAGTCCGTGCTTCATTCGCTGCAGAAATCAAGAAGTTCACACCACAACCCATCAATAAGCTTGAACAGCTATTCTGATGATGGCGAGCCTGAGTTCGATAGACGCTCGATAGCGTCACATCCTCGCGCCAGTCGGCCGACTGGTACCAACGACAGACTTTCGCCTTCGAGCGCAGCAGGTTCTTCCCGAGTGCGAGCTGTATCGGCTAACGATGCCGAGGGCTTGAAACTAGACGCCAGTGTCTTAGAGCCTCGACCAACCCAAGGCCCCCTTCTTACTGTAAGCAAGCCCTCTTTTGAGGATACCCCAGGACAAGACGCCATGCAGGCGCGCCAGCTTCCCCGCCTTGATACTACCGGTGCCCTGGCTGTGTCTCAATCACCTTCGGCCCCCCAGTCGCCAAGTGCGAGCCCCGTCGTCGCAAATCCTCAGACTCCAGATCGGCTTGCCCCATCCGACGCTTTTATATCCCCCAATTACCAATCCCTAGGAGCACAGGAACGTTCACCGATGTCAGTCTCACCCCGAGGTACTGCAAGCCGTCGGCATTCTGGATATGGCCTGGAAAGCCCCTCGATTCCTTTCCCATCATACACAGATATACCCTCCCTCGCATCCTCGCGAGCACCCAGCATTCGACTCCCATTTCCTGCCAGTCCGTTGGAAAGGCTCCACGTCCAGGACGACTATGATAGCTTTGCTCATGTAGGCTCTCCTCTCTGGCATCTTCTGAGGAACAGGTGGCCTGACTCAATCCCCTCCCCCAAACAGATTGGCTGCACACTTTTCCCAACTTTGGCCGGCTGGAAGTCCAAAAGCGTCTGGGAGCGTTTCCTCGGTATCATCGCGGCCCCCAGCGTGCTGCTTCTTACTATAACAGTTCCAGTCATTGAGCCACAGCCACCGGAGCCCATGGAAGCGGACCCAATCCCCGCTGTTGTCATACAAGACGTCGGTGATGGACAAAACCCTCCCCCTCTCGTCAGACTTCCAGCCGATAGCCCAGTGATTTTGGCTCATGAAAACGAGACCGGCAGCCATATCTCTCCTAACCTGCTACCCGCAGCACACCTTCACCGCAAATCCTCATATGAGCCCACCGGACGTCCCCGCTGGGATTCCGAACTACCGCCTGTGCCTGTCTCTGATTCAACAGATCCCACGGTCTCCAAAGACTGGAATCGCTGGCTAGTCACAATTCAACTTTTCACGGGTCCTTTCTTCGCCGTGCTGATCGCCTGGACAACACTAGATGAGGACCTCAATCTTCGGAACCTCATTCTACCCACCTTGTTCTCCCTCCTCTTCTCATCCATCTGCCTTACTTTCCTTATGATCAGCACCCGTCGGCATCAAACCCGCCGATCAAGTGCGGAGTTCTCCCTGCTTCACGATCCCCAACCTCACACCCCATCTCTCCCACCTCAATGGCGACCCTTCCTCTCCCTTCTCGGCTTCCTCGTCGCAATCTCATGGATCGCCACGATCGCCACGGAAGTCGTCTCCCTCCTCAAAACCCTAGGCGTCATTCTAAACATCTCCGATTCCTTACTGGGATTGACCGTGTTCGCAGTCGGCAACTCTCTCGGTGACCTCGTTGCCGACATCACCGTTGCTCGCCTAGGTTTCCCCGTCATGGCCCTAAGCGCTTGCTTCGGTGGTCCAATGCTCAATATCTTACTAGGCATTGGACTGGGTGGTCTTTACATGACCCTCAACGGCAACCAGCACCAAGATCAGGCCGTGCAGACCCGAGACTCTGTTGGCGCGGTTCAGGTTCCTTATGAGATTGCTATCTCTAAAGTGCTTGTTATCAGTGGCGCCACACTTCTAGCTATTCTTGTGGGTCTATTGGTTGTTGTTCCATTAAACAACTGGAAAATGGACCGCAGGATTGGTTGGGGTCTTGTTGGCGTGTGGTGTGTCAGTACTCTGGGCAATGTGATTGCCGAGGTTGTCACTTGAGGTTCTTGAATTCGAAAATAAATTGAAGGGATGCTTTGTACAGATCTCCAGAGCCTGGTGTTTGGGTCTATGTTGGCGTTTTTTTCGAGGGGTTTAAATTGCTGTCTTTATTGTATAGTTCGTCGCATGCTAAGACGTTATACAGTCTCTTTGCATTTGGAGGTATCAGAAGACTCATGATATACGAATGCATTGTTTCACTCTATCTCAAGTTTAACCAACACTCAAGTTCATAACAGATGTAGTCTACGCTTCGATTTGATAGCCCTTGTCTGCTGGAGTACTGGGATGGCTCATAAAATCCATAGACCCATCCAAGCAGACTCACAACAGCATGATCAATGTAATAAACAAAAAGGGATGAGTATTGGAAGACAAGGCACAGAAACAACTAACTAAAGAGACCGCACAATTATCGATTATCAATTGACCTCAATCATCCACGTCGTCTCGTTTTTTTCATCTCGCATCTGTACAATATGTACTCTCAACGTAAACCAAAAACAACGACGTCTCCCCCCTCAACTCATAGCACGCGGCCGGCAGAAGAGCTCGTGCTACGGTCGTTGACCTGGGTCTTCTTCAGAGTCATGCCTTGTTGAATGGATGCGAGAAGGGCACCGCGACCGCCGGCACCACCTGCAGGTGCTGGTGGAGGGGGAATGCCAGCAGGGGGTGGTGGAGGTGGAGCAGATGGGGCTCCGCCTGGAGGCGGGGGCGGCGGGGGGATAGATGGAGCGCCCGCTCCTGGAGGAGGAGGGGGAGGGGGAGGGGGCGGCACTGCGGATGGTGGAGGAGGGGTTGCACCATCACTCGGGATAGCAGGAAGTGGGGGCAGAGCTGCTGGGGGAGGTGGTGGGGGCGCAATGGGGCTATCTTGCACTGGAGTGGCAGACTTGGAGGCAGACTTGTCCTCGTCCATGGCGCTCAGAGGGCGGGGCGGAGCCATGGTGCCAAACAGAATACTAGCAAGCTGCTTTGCGCTTCCGCCACCTGGGCGATCATCGTCGTCGTCATCCGACGAATCGGCGTCGGACCCAGCGGCGGACCAGTCGTCATCCGCTTCGGGACGAGCACGAGTCTTGCGTTCCAGGGGAGCAGCACCAGTAAAGCTGGGCTTAATGGGTTCCTGTTGCGTCAAGCGGTGGAAGGGGTTTGTGGACTGGGCTGAAGCTGGAGGCGAGGCCACTTGCTCAGACGAATGGCCCATAGTCTTGAAGTAAGGGTTCTTAGACTCGGCATCAGGGGTAGCAGCGGGCATGGCACGGCTGCTCTCAGGTGAGCTAGCTTCGCTGGGCACCCTTTCAGGCTCAGGCACAGCTATAGTAGGCACCGGAGGCGGCGTAGGCAGAACTTGGCTTTGTGTAGGAGTGCTGTGCTGAGGTGTGACATCGGCAGGACCTTCGTCATCCGACGAGCTTTCATCGTCAAGACCCTCGAGCTCACGCTGGAGCTGTCGCTCACGCTCCTGAGCTGCTTCGAGCTCTGCGCGCTGAGCGGCGAGACTAGCCTCCTGTTCCTTAGACTGTCGGCTTGCCTCCTCCCTACGACGCTTTTCTTCCTGCTTCTTGATCTTGCCTTGACGGACCTGCTCCTCAAGGGCTTGAAGGCGAGCTGCTTGTGCTTCCTTCTCCTTCTGGAACTCTAGTTCGCGCTGGTTCGCCTCGGTCCTGCAGATGGATTAGCCGTAGTTAACTCATGATGTGGCTCGAAACTTACTGAAGACGCTGTGTTTCAACCTCTTGCGCCTCTTGCTCTTCCTTGATGGCCTGCTCGCGAGCAGCTTGTTCCAGCTTAGCAGAATCGTCCGCCTTCTTAGCATCAGCCTGGCCGGCGCTATCTGTTCGGGCTCGGCGCGTTGGTGGCGCTGGTGGAGGCTTCTTGCCTGCTGGCTTAGGAGCTGCAGCACTGGGGCCACCTCGCTCTTCAGCCAACCGACGCTGTCTCTCCTCCTCACGCTTGGCATCTTCTTCTTCGGCGCGGCGAACACGATCTTCTCGTTCTTTCCGCTCGCGCTCCTGTCGCTGCATCAAAGTCTCACTCGAGTCGTTGGGTTTCAGACCAGCAGCGGCCATGCGTTCAGCAATGCGCTTCTGAGCACGCTCTCGGGCAGCGGCCACACGGTCGTCGTGTGTGTTTCCAGGAAGGGAGCCCGACGAATCCACAGAAGCAGGCATGGGAGGGCGGGCCGCCGGGGATTCGGCCGCTGGAGATCCACGGGAATGCACTTCGGGGGAAGGTCGTGCGCGCCTATACTTTGTTAGCGGGTGATCATTTGGTAAATTGGCAATGGCGACATACTCCTCCTTGCGGATGCTTGCAGTCCGAGCATTACGGCTAAGGTCATAGATGAAATCACGGATGACGTCCTCGACACCCAATGCATCTTCCCAGCGACGCTTTTCATGCTCACGGGTGGAGTTGTGACCTTGGTCTCGGAGACTGTCCTCCAGACTGCGAGCGAAATCACGAACACTCTCCTCGACGTCACGCGTCATGGTGTCGTTGCGTTCGCGCTCGCTCTTGACGTTAGTGCTCTCGGACTCTAAGCGACGAGCGGCTTGGCCATCGTCGTCCTCTGATGCGGGGGCGGGTCGGCCAGCGAGCTCTGCAGCGCGGGCTTGCATACGAGCACGAGCACGAGCCTTGATACGGTCCGATTCGGTCACGGTGCCACCAGGTCCAGTACCAACGATGTTGGAAGCACCGCCGGGGTGTGCCTTGGCATCCTTGAGGCGGAACAGTTCAAGCTTCGCATCAGCGATATCACGCTCAAGGCGACGCACGTCAGAGGCAACCTGAGGAACTTGATCCTCGAAAGACTGCAATTGACGGCGAAGAGCCCTCCGGTCCGCTCCGCTGTCCACTTGACGGAATGCAGCGTTGGGGTGAGTATCAAGATCGTCCTGGACGCGGCGAATTCGTTCCATGAGACTCTCTGCCTCGCGGCGGTCTTGGCGATCCATGGAGTCATCATCCTCGGCCCGGTTTTCATCCTGGAAATCGGCGGCATCCAGCATGATCTTGGTCTCACGGATCTTCTTGTGAAGCTGGTCCACAGAATACTCTTCGTCTGACGCACCAGAGGCAGCGGGGGATGGGGTGCGAGCTTCGTTTCCAACACGGCGGCGCGCACTTGAGCGATAACCTCCAGCAGAGTCATTGTTCTTGAACATAGTCGCGTCCTTGCGGTTGGCACCTGATGAACCACCTGCGCCGCCCCGGAAGGAATGGTCCTTCAGGTAACTAACACCAGTCTTCTGAGGCTGCAGGAACGCACCAGTGGCCTTGCGTGTCTCTGCATCCTGGGAAAGGAGCGATTTGACTGTACCGATCGAGTCGTTCAAGTGGCGTGTCGAGGGAGGAACAAGCTCAGGTGGCAGACGGTTTGGAACGGGGTACCCATTCAGGGCACGATAGATCATATGCATAGCCACGGCAAACTCATCCATGTTCAAACGGCCACGATTGTGAGGATCAGCCAATGTCCAGATTCGTTCCAAATCCAATCGGTTCAAACCACTCTGGCCCATGATTTCAATGGCAGTCTCGCCACTAACAAAGCCCTTGCGAAGACCATCCCAAGCACGGAAGAGATCATCGTAAATTTTCTTCTCCTCCTTGGTAATGGCCCAAGCAACAGTGGCGTTTCCAGACAGACCAGCGGCACTGAAGCCGCCCTCGCGACCCGGCTGCGGCATAAGCTGCTGCTTCATGGCGTCGATGTTAGGCAGGCCCTGGGCCGGGGTGTTGATAAAGCCCCACTGACCGGGCATACCAGTAGGCTGGGCAGTTAAGCCAGTTGGCTGCACACCCAAGCCCTGGACTCCACCAGTGTGGCCAGGGCTCAGGCTAGAGCCGAACCCGGTGGGCATAGGCGGCATTGGAGGCCGAGGACCAGTGTATCCAGTTGCCTGTGGGTTGCTCATGAATCCTGTCTGTTGGGGCTGAAGGAATTGGGACTGGTTCTGTCCTGGGAAGCCTGTCGCCTGGGGTTGCTGGATAGCGGGCGGCTGGATGCCCGTCTGCTGGGGGAAGAATCCGGTAGGCTGTGCTGTCAACTGAGACAGGAGCTGTGCGTTATTAGGTTGCTGGGGAACAGGCTGCTGAACAACCGGAGGAGTGGCGCTGTTTTCCATGAGAGGGGCATCAAAGTTGGGTACGTTGGTCCTCTGTTGGGGCGCCTGTGGCTGTGTGTCGGGAACATCGAAGGAGATAATGTCGACCATGCTGGAAACCTCGTTCTTGATTGTCTCGGGCAAAGATGACGGAAGCTCGCGGCCGGTGATCCGGAGGTTGCAAAGATACATCGCCAATGCGAATTCGGGGAAGAACAGCTGTCCGGACTTGGTTGAATCACTCAGCACCCAGATCTTGGAAAGGTCAGCTCCCCCGAGCTTCGAGCGCATGAGAAGATCTCGTGCTTTGTCGCCTAATTTGGGTTTAGTATACGGATGGCATTTAGGGCGGATATCACGCAGGCTCACCATCCATTGTTTTGCTGTCGCCTACAGCAGACTTGAAGAGCTGTTCGAACCTCGCCTGATCCTGCGCAGTGATAAAGGAAAGACGAATGCTTGGGATCTTTGATCCTGTCTTCGGGGGCACCTGGGGAGGCGCACCAGAGCCAGCATCTTGGAAGGAGTTCGCGATATCGGTGGAGGTCTTGAATCGGGTTGGGATCTGAGGCACGGGTGGTGCCTGCTGCGCCTGGTTCTGGGGTGGGTATCCAGTATATTGCGGTTGGAAGCTCTGCGCTTGTTGTTGTTGAGGCTGCTGGGGGGCGGCGCCGGGGAATCCGGTATATTGCTGTTGGAGTTGTCCCGCGGGGAATCCGGTGGCTTGAGGCTGAAGCTGCGAGTTATTGAACGGCGAGGGCTGACCAGCAAAGCCAGTCGCCTGCGGAACAAGACCAGTCGGCTGTGGAGCAAATCCAGTGGGCTGAGGTTGTTGGATTGATGGCTGCTGGCCTTGGGGGAATTGCGAGTAGGGGGGTTGTTGCTGCTGCTGCATGAATGGTGCCTGGCCGGGACGGCCAGTGGCACCACCCCCGAGGAAATTATTCGACGAGGAGTACATCACAAATTCACGCTCGCATTAGCAAATCAAATGCAAAAGCCTGAGAAATTGGCGAGCAAAGACAAATGCAAAGTGGTCAGTGAGTTGGGGTCTCAGGAGGATGCGAATGACGCCGATGGACGCGGCCCCGGGTCCACGCTAGCCTCAACTGGTGCTTAGTAACACCGTTCCGGCCCCGGGCCTCTGCAGGTATCCGTGGCTGTTAGGAACTATGGAGCAGTCGAACTACGAATAAGGTGAGATCTGAGATGGCAGCATGGTTATTGGTTTAATGTTATCAATTCCCAGGTGGGAACTCCGACGGCGGGAAATCCGCCAAAGCCAGTTCTGGGGAGTTATGGCTGCGCAAGAGAAATAGGCTATCCATAATATCAAAACGAAAACGAAGACAAAACGCAAAGCATAACTTCATTACTGCTCCGTACACCAAAGGTCTAGACCCACGTTTAGACTCAAGAAAGATGTAGGAAATGGCTAAAAATCGATGGCCGTTTACTCGGTGTGTTGTTGATTGGCGGCGTTGGCCATCTTGCGAAGCTCGTACTCCTTGGTGAACTCGCGAGACAGAGTTCCAAGGTCCTTGATGAGAGCCTCGGAGGCGTTGATGACTGCCTGTCGTGGAGTAATTTCGCCATCAGTCTGAACCCGCAGCTGGAACTCGGGGGTGAGGGGGTGAGGGACCTAAAGTTGTTTATTTGAGCATCTTTCTCTGAAGCATGGTGTAGGTGTACTTACCCGGTAGGCGGCAAAGATGACGTGAGCAGTCTTCAAAAGACGGGTGCGGAGCATGTTACCCAGGGTGTGATCTTCCTTGTGGAAAGTGAAGATACATGCTGAGGGAAGGCCTGAAGGTTGTTTGTCAATGGAAAAGCGCACAGCTTGACATGTGTAACATTGTACTCACGAGTGTCAACTTCGACGTCGATCTTGTTCTCGCCGGGGCCGAGCAGGATCGCCTCGTAGCTGTTTGCGAGATCGTGGTTAGCTGAGGAAGATAGGGTTCTTGGGACTCAAAACATAGCGTGTGAAACAACAGGCAAGAAGCAAGAGGCCAGTGGTCCAACTGACATATCTGGAACATTGTCCGGGACCAAAGAACGTGCATGGCGAGGAGCAGGGCCCGAGCCCCGCCGACCCGCACGATCACGAGCAATGGCCTCGCTGGCAGTCATGAAGCCGGTAGGCATCATGACCGATGGTGAAGCAGGGAAAGAGGTGGTATTAAAAGGGAGAGCCACAAAATAAGACGAAACAAATGCTTGACAGCCAAGCGAAAGGAAGATGTTGGGCAGAGGAAATCATAGCCCTGGAGGTGATATCACAGATGAAAACCAGCAGGTCGAGACAGCATCAAGAAGGAACGATGCATACTGAATCGTTCCTGTCTGATTCGATGCAATCCAAAAATGGCAGGAAGGACACACTGGAACCTCAAAAGATCCCGTGATCATTTCCGTTCACGTAGATCTCAGTTCTGAGTAGACCATCAAGATCCATCGCTTCCTCCAGCCAGCTCATTGAGGCAGCTCATTGAGGCACATCGTGAACTTTGGAACCCCATCCAGCTAGTGACATGGAACCCTCAAATGGTTGAGGCAGAGATTGGGCGAAAAGAGACAACACAACGCATATTCAAAGCATTGGTAGATGACAAAAACACGCATTTTCACATACCGATCTGGTGCGTTCATCGTGTAAACGTGATGTTGAACGTGTGTTGGTGTTGAGTGCAAGAAACCTTGAATTCACGTGGGAGCACGTGGAGAAAGAGAGAGATTACGAGACTAGATCCGGATGGCCTGGCCCTGGGTCTCTTAAATGAGTCAGACTCTGAGTGCAGCGAGTCAGCGCAGGCTTCCAGGGTCGTCGGCCTTAGGACACGACCCACGACAGTGACCTCTAGTATCGGCTCTAGGGGAGCTCTGAGATCTTGAAAAGATCAAAGGATCGGTATGTGAAGGTTCAATCAGGCACCTCACCTTAAATAATTAATGAGTATTGATACCAATTCTGCCCGTTGTCTTCTTCGATGAAAAGCGCTCCGCGATGCCTCGCCGATGCAGATCTGATATCAGTCATGTGATATTCTTATCGCCACGTGATGCTTGGCTTAACTCAATTGGGACATCGGCCCTCGATGTGTGATCCACGGTTCACCCCGGAACCTCCAGCCTATCGAGTTCAATAGACCCGTGGGCCTCGGGAGCTACCCATGGATAGCTTCTATGTACATAACAGCACTACAACCCCTGGAGCTCCATGCCCTGACACCCTCGGGGACACTTCCAGCCCTGGAGGTCTTGCACCCTTCTATATACCGCACGAGTATATGTTGAGCTCACAAACAGCTCAATCTCAGAGCTTGAAAATAAATTTGGAACCTTGGAAGCATCCGTGATGTACTACTTTGACCAAGTATCCGTAACTAGATAGTAATACTAGGGTCTTCGTGATTCCCACCTGGCACCTGGCAGAAGAGCCAACCTTGGAAAAAGCCGACTACTCTGCACCTAGGCATAGATGGATATAAACCTTGGAAGAGCCTACGCCCAAGCTCGAACTTTGAAAGAGACTCGAGATGAATAGAAGCATACGAAACGTGGGAGAAAAGAGCCGATGTAACGGCCCCAAGGACCGAAAATGATATTATGGCCGAGTAGCGCTCAGGCAAGATGCAACTCAACGAAATAAGGTTAAAAAAAAAGATGAGGGAAAAACAAACGCCTCTTCCCGCGCCGATGCCATAACGAAAATGAGAGATCCAAAACGCGTGCATAAGAAAAACAAAACCAAAACCCAAAGGAGGCATATGTATTCATACTTGTCAATGTCGAAGACAAAGATCCCATCCAGATGCATGAATGCAAATATCGAGGATGACAAGTGGGGGCGTCTAAGACAAGCCCGGTGATGATATGTGCGTGAGATTTCGTGCAAATATTAGAGTGAGAAGGCAAGAAAGGACAAAAGGAGAAGGACTATACAGCGTGACGCTAAGATGTGGAATGGAATACAGGACTCGAGGTAAGGTTGGTGATCTCAGTGCACGGCACTGAGCAGATCACCGAGTGGACCATTACCCCGCTTCATCTTCCAGTTTGACTTCTTCTTGTCACGCTTCTTCATCATGTCGGCCCAGGCTTCATCGTCATCTTCGTCGTCAGATCCGGCCTTGTGTCCCGGTCCGGAACCTTGACGGCTGTCCTGGGAGACAGGACGAACGGTCACGGTGGCGAGGTGTGATTTCGGCAGGTTATGCGGTTGCGAATTCAGGACAGAGGGAGGAAGATTCTCATCGCCCCATTTGTTTCCAGAGCCCGCAGAGTGGCTGGTGTCGGGGGGCAACACGGACACCGGACGGTAGCGGGGCGCCATTCCGGCATTGCTACGCTCGGAGGGCGCAATGGAGGCCGCATAAGCGGTCTGGGGGCGGAAACCGTTGCCAGAGAGGTTTGGCATTGGCGAGCCAGTGCGGCGGGTGGAGATGTTAGGGTCGAGCATGCTCATCGTGCGCTGATCGGGGTGTGATGAAGTTGGAACATTCAGCATAGAACCGACAGGCATAGACATAGGGCGTATATTCGAGTTGCCACTGATGGAAGGAGGTCCTCCTGAGGGTGAGCCCATCGGGGGCATTTGACCACCGGGCATCATCATGGGGGGCATTGGCATACCCTGCATCATGGCCTGGCCTTGCCCATTTTGCATTTGCATCATTTGTTGCATCCACTGCATCTGCATCTGCATCATGTTTGTCATCTGCTGTGACAGCTGGATCGATGCTTGCTCTCCTGGGGTCACAGGAGGGACTGGGCCAGGCATCTGTGACATCTGAGGCATCATCGAGTGAGGCCGAGGAACGTTATGCATAGCTTGGGTGTTCGGGCTTCCCCTGCGCATTGCGCGTTGGCGCTCTTCATTCGCTATGACACCAACCAATCCGCCTGGGGTAGGAGGGGCTGGGGACGGAGGCCCTCCATGTACCGAGCCGGAACCACCTCCAAATGCGAGTGATTCGCGGTTGGGGTTGTTCACTAACCCGGCACCAAAGTAAGGATCTTGTGGCAGGTTCCTTGCAAAGGCAGGCAAACTGCCACGGTTTGCGCCATTTTCGGCACCCGAAAGAGAGCTAGACGATGATATATACGGGGGCTGCATAGAAGCCCGAAGGTTGGGGTTGGAGCTGACGTTGTTGAGGCGAGTGGGAGGGCGGTTCTGTCCAGGGAATCCGTGCGCTGCTAGAATGCCAAGAGGCACATCGTCGTCCTCTTCCTCACTGCTCTTGCCACTGTTAGACTTGTCACCCATGACAGACAAACGACTCGGTAGCAAGTTAGGCGTGCTGTTACTGGCACCAGTCATAGCCGGGCGCATCGAGTGCAGGGGCGCCTGCTGGCCGGTGATCTTCATCATCTGCTGACGGTACACCGAGAGATGAGCCTCCTGCTTTCGCCGTTGTCTTTCAGTCTCGCGCTGCTTTTCCACCTCATCTTCTTCGTCCTCGAACTCATCATTTTCAGACTCCGCGTCGCTCTTGGACGCATTGCTGTTAGACCGTCGAAGTTCTTGTTGTTGGCGATAGTGCTCGAACTGAGACGGTGTCATAACCTTGTTACCCGGCGAAGTCGACTTGGGCAGCCTCTCCGCGTATCTAGCCGCCAACCGCGCATTGGCTGCAATACCGGGATCCGGTCGTTCGGCGGGAGGCGGCGAGCGACGGTACTGGAACATATTATCAGGCTCTGGGTTGGTGTTCCCAGACTGAACGGGTGCTTTACCCTTGTCCATGTATGAGCCACCTGCGGTTGCGCCCTCAGCCCAAGGCGACGTATCCTTGCTCCACATGAGCGACTGGCGAACCATTTTGGCATCTTCATCGTCGAAAGGTAAGGCGTCACCCGAGGGCGAGTATATCCCGCTCCGACGCAATCCTCCGCGATCAGACTTCTCCCTCAAAGGTCGTTCCAGGGAGCGGTGCGACGTTGTAGCAGCTTCCGAGAGGTGGTTCGGACCCGGCGAGGGTCTTCGGAAGCCGATTGTATCGAGGGAAGGATCGCGATTGTGCAGCAGACCTTCCTCAGATGGACGACGACCCCAGGAGTAGGGAGGAGACTCGACGGCAGTCGATCGATCGGTATTAATTGGAGCAGGCACCCCGGTCCTGCTCCCCTGGAACTCAGGCACAGCATGGGAGGCTGGCGGGGACGAATACTTCAAGTCGTCAGAGTGACCTCTTGGAGGAGAAGCAGGAACCACAAGACTTACCTTATTCGGCTGCGGGGACCTATCACGCTCGGAAGAGCCACCCAGGTTCTCAAACATCTTATTGAAGTCATCCTGAGACTCCATGGCAAAATTGGTATCAGGCAGCTTGGGTGGAGTAGCTGTGCTGTCGGTACTGCCCGTCATCGGGCGGTTTTTCGAAGCGTCCGGGGTCTGCTGGCGAGGAACGGCCGGCGAGGACTTTCCAAAACGTCCACCAAAAGAGAATGTCCGACCTGCGGCTTGCCGCAGGGCACTGGAGAGCGGTGGTGGAGCGGGCACATCCTGGATTCTCGAATGCGGGGACTGGTTCTCTTCGGGCACCTCTGTGGAGGATGGAATAGTCGACGAGGAACTAAGCCGGGTTGACGTCGAACTTTCGTAGTTGCCGCTTTCATGGTTGCCCGTCAGCCGTCTCCTGAGAGAATCCATGGTTGAGGGACGTTCATACCGCTTGTCCAGGGGTCGCTCAGCAAATATGTTGTCGTCTTCCAGCGCCGAGGGCACCGCATTGCCTTCGCTGTGATGCTTAGAGAGGGCAGCGCCGTCGGTCATGGATCGATGGGGGCCCGGGCGCTCGAAGACTCGGAAGGAGGACTGAGGGGCTTCGACGTCTTCCAGCACGTTGCCGGACGACTTTCGCCGAGCGAAGCTCTTAGGTAGTTTGATGGGCATCGCTGTTGAAGGAGCCAAGCACTTCACTGGAGAGAAATTATGGACCCCTTTGGAAAGCGCGAGTCAGCTCTCATTAAGGTTTGGATGGTTCTGGGATGATCTGGCCGCACGCCTGACGTGTCGACTGCACCGGGCGGGATAAGCGACTAGTCCAAATAGACAGGTAGCGAATAATGCTTCTCGGTAACCCGATAGTTGATCAGGGGGGAGGGGAAGAAGACTGGAAGAATTGAACCGAGTCAGTGAGGGAAGCAACACGGATGGTCTAGCGGCCGATCAGAGACCGGCAGGAATCCACAGAGTGGGTTGTCCTGCGTCTGCGCGATCGATGGCACCTCACAACAGATTTGGAGAATAATTCCCAAAATTCCTTGCAGGCACGACAGAATGGGTCACGGTGTTGATTTTCCACCCCCTGGAAACAGCAGAAAAGGACAGAAAAAACGATTGAACCCACATGTGAAACCAGCGTGAAAAAAGGATCGGCTTGTTTCGGTTTGGGCTCCGCTGGGATTTCAAAGAAACAGTTTAAAAATGGATACCCTGCGGGGAGTGGAGAGTGTCGGAGGGACCCTGTCTGCCAAGGGAAGGTTGAGGATTGTACAGAAGATCAAAGAGACAAGAATGACAGACACCGGAAAGGAATGGAAGAAAAGGCAAAATTTCCACGCTATGGGATGGTCTGAGGTCTAGTGTATTTGATACCTGGAGTACGGAGTACACCCAAATACCCATTTAGCTGAACAGGTCCCATTCCTCATATGTAGCTGCGCCCTAGCAGCATATGATCTCATCAGTTTGGCTTCTAATCTAGACTGTGAAGAATGTGAAACCTCTTACTATACATAGTAAGTGGCTCTGGATGTACGGGCTAAAAATAACACCGGAACTACAATGTGGGAGAACAGAGGGAAACGGTGGAAGATTAGAAAGGGGGATATAATTTGTAAAATAGTAAAATACCAGGAATGAAAAGGAAAAAAACAAAAAGGTCTAGAGCCACAAAGCATGCAGTTATTGAAATTGAAAATGTGGCTATTTACCTATTACCCAGTGCGTCCGAGAATGCTGATCACGTGGGTGTCGGACCTCGGGTCCACGGTTCCAATATCTTGAATTGATAGCATTATACTTCTTCACTCCAGATTCCCCTCTCACATTGCCACTTCTAGATCGTATCTTACATGGAATGCACTCAATTTCATTCCGGCCTACACCCAGTCCGTCGCCCAAGCTTATTTGGCAAAGTGCAGATCGTAGTTCAGCCACTTGCGGGCCGTGACGCCCGCCACGTCGAGACCAGGGGTGCCATAAGTCAGCGGCGCATAGAAGACAAAGCCCCAGATGGTAGCGCCCAGGATGACGAGGGTGGCGATCCACCCAGCGATGAGGGACTTGCAGCCCATGCGCTCACGGGCGGTAACGAAACGGCCCAGGCGGCTGACGGACTGGGCCTTGGACTTGCCGGTGGGGTCATCGACGGGCGGGAGGGCAGTGCGGGGGTCGAGGGGCTGCAGGTTGAAAATGAACTCAATCAGAGCTCCGCAGACCATCGTAGATGCCAGGTGAGAGGGCAGGTAGTGGTGCAGGAAGCGCTGACGGCCCATCAGCCAGAAGGGGAAGAAGTGCGCGGCCCAGCACAGGAACAAGAATCCGGTGCTGTTGTACAGACGCGAGCGGGTGCCAGGGCCCCAGACTAGAAGGAAATGTTAGGTGTCTGATCGGAAAGGGTTCAGATGCAGGGTGGCACTTACTTTCTTCCAATGCATCAACGCCACGACGAAGCGAGAGCTGATCGGCACCGACGATACCGGCGAACACGGCCAGAATACTGCTAGCAATCCACCAGCCAATGGGGTTACCCAGGAAGTAGATCTGCTCGCGAGTATCATTCTTGGTCCAGAAGCTCACACCACGGAGCAGGAACGGCCATTGGAAGGGCTCGGTAGCGTAGGGGTGGCTGCTCGTCAGAGCGTTGTTGTGGTGGAACATGGCTCCTTGGAGCTCAAAGTACTTGCGCAGGAAAGGCAGTGTCTTAACCTTGCGCTCTTCCTTGACCAAACGAGGGCTGTCCTCGGGCAAGTTCTCAATGTTCTCGACATACCACGCATTGCTGGACTGGAGGATGTTCTTGTTACCGTTGATCTCAGCCTGCTTGTAGCCCCACTCGGGGAGCGGAGTGGTGTGTGTCCACAGAGCCACTCGGGTGGGAACGTGAATCAGCTTGAACAAACTAGCCAGAGTTCGGAACTCTTGGTTGGCCTTGCCAGACTCGATCTTGAGCTCGAACAAGGTGTCGTTGTGGCGCTCGCCATCAGCCAGCTCCTGAGACACGGTGGTGAACTCTTGGTTAGTGGGGAAGAAGGGAGAGGCAACATCGTGAGTCAAGAGATAGCTCTCGGTTCCAAGGTGACGAAGCTGGATGATATCGCCATTCCGCACACTCTGGGGCGTGGAGGGGTCGGCGAGAGGCACGCCAGGCACGATCTGCCACTGGTTGTTGGTGTCATTGTGAGGGTAGCCAGTAACCTGCTGGCCCTGGCTGGAAATACGGCCATCATCATAACGCAGAGGGTACTTGTCCCAGTGGCTGTGCAAGAACACCTTGGTGTCCTTGTGGCGCATGGTGATGGTGTCGAAGTACTGGATACCAACAGACTGTGCGCTCATCTGGTTGTCACTCAGAGTCTCCTGGAATTCAGGAGTCATGAAGTCGTCACCGGGGCCAGATCGAGTCAAAATGGCAAAGTGTACCTGGAACCAAAACAGGTAGAAAAGGAGAGGAACGATGACGAGTCCAACAGCGCGGGCAACAAAGTGCTTACCCCAGCTGATCATGCTGAGCGCTCCCTGTTCGCGCTTGATGTCAAGGAGGTTCCACAAGTCAATCATAACGGCGGCGCCAATGGTCACGAAAGTGAAGACACCAACGTATTTGGTGGAAAGAACGCAGCTCAGACAGAAGCCGGTCAACAGCAGCCACTTCCACCACTTCCGTCCGAACGGCTCGTGACGCAGCTTGTAGAACCGAACGTAGCACAGAACACTGAGCGCCATGGAGAGTACGAGTGTAGCATCCAAGAGGATCAGTCGGTCCTCACCCACGTGAGCATTGTCGAAGACCATCAGACCCGCAGAGAGAACACAGGCAGGCAGAGAGTAGCCGGACTCCCACATGATGAGGAACACCACAGGGATTGTCAGGGTACCCAAAGTGGCCGGGAGCGCGCGCAGAGCGAGGTAAGGCACATTGTTCTCGATGTAGGAGTCGCCAATGTTTTCAAAAAGGAAACTTCCATCGAAGCCAATCAGCCAGCCCACGAGAGCAAACAGCAGTTTTCCAAAGGGAGGGTGGACATCGAAGAAATAGGTACGTTGGAGGTAGTAGGAAGCGAACTAGCAATCGTGCGTGTCAGCCAGGAATCCCCTTTCCAAAATTTCCGCGACTGTCCCAGAGCCGTTGAACCTCCTACCTTTCCAAAGTGAACTTCGTCAAAAACAACCTCATTAGGGTAGTCAATGCGATAGAATCGCGTCGCGAACGCCAGAACGGTAAGGATGACTATGGCCAGCCAATAGTCCCATTCCGACTTTTTGACCGGTGCGACGGGAATAAAAGAACCGTCATCGGAAGGCAATGCGGTGTAAGCCTCCTTCTTTCCGCCTCTTTTCCGCAAAGAGGGCGAAGGAGAAGACATATCGAGATGCGAATGAACGATAGTGAGCGACCGAGAGACTACCTATAGCTAAATAGACTAGGCTGCGTCAGCACCCGAATCAAGGCAGGAGAGGGGAACAAAGAGAATCCTTACCAGAATCACCAATAGAGCATGGCACCAAACGAGGCCAAGAAATTTGAGGGAAAGGAAAGGAGATGTGGAGGGGGCAGGCGTTGCGTGTCTTCTTTCGGGGCGGTGGCCAAAGCGGATCTACGTATACAAATCCACCCAAAGGGAGCTCGGGAGTATATTCTGAAACAACAACCTCCTTGTTTGAGGTGAAATTTGGCCGTTCGAAAATTGAGTGTGCTGTGGGTATATGATTTTATCGAGACTGGTAAGCACTGTTCGAAGGATTACATGTGATGTGAGATGGATTGTTTGTCTAAGGTTTCGTCGCATACCTGCCCGGGTGCTTCAGGCCCGTCGAGGATATATAACAGTCCTAAGGTCACCTTGGCAAATATCGGGAGTGACCTTGAAAGAAAGCCTGGAAGTCGGCTTATTGAATTCTATAATTTTGATGCAGTTCGAGAGCCAATACTACCATAGCTAGGTAAGCATTAGAGATTGATCTTCTATCCATAATGTAAACAGTTCGAGGTTGTATCTAAATTAAACATTATGCCCAGGTCCTGGTCGAGCACGCCCTGATCTCGGACATCAGTGTCTTTCTTCGGGCTCAATCTCTCGAATCACAAGCCACAAAGCCTTGCGGAAAGACTCCTGGTCATCAGTATTGGTCTCCGTATCACCAGAGCCATCCCGCCCCCTTCTTTCCCTTCGCTCCTTCCTTTCGTACTCCTTTGGGTCATTCCTCTTCTTTAAAGCGGCATTGAACCTCGTCAACTTAGACCTAGAAGACCAAGGCAAGACCTCAATCTCCAAATCTGCAATCCAAGGCTGCAGAGTCCTGATCCTACGCTGGATCTCTAACTCCACTTGGCGCTCATCGGCAGCTCCGACAACTGGTTCATTCTGCAGCTGCAGCAGAAGAGGGGCCTGTCTATTGATCTTCCCTTGAGGATCCAGAATTGGGATCTTGGCAAGATGAGCCAGCGCATCCAGCTTGGCAACCTCGACTTTCAAACCGCGAGGGCCAAAGATATCCCTATTAGCCGTTTTGAGGGATGAGTCGGTGCGGCTTTTGGACATGCCCTGGCTGCCTAGATTGGCGAGTCCGCTGACAGCACTTCCAATCCAATGAAGTGGGAAGAGAATAGGCACTGAGTTGAGGATCCCGCCTGTTGCGTCCAAAACTTGCAGGGGTGGGCTGCTGGCTATGTCTTTGTTCAACTGGTCGAGGAAGCTGAGGAAGGATTCTTTGGGGAGCTTGTGCGATTGGAGAACTGGTGGATAGGCGCGAATGAAAGGGGAATCAGAGGAGCTGGCGATAGCCGGGATGGCAATTGGTCTTCGAGGCGAAGAGGGTCCCGGAGGACGTCCTGGAACGGATGGGCCAGGCTGTATTGAGGGCTCGATTGAGCGCGCTGACCCTGCAGCCGTGTACGCTGGAGGATGGTCTGCCTCTTCCTGGGAGGACCCCAAGGCCTCAAAGGGGTTCTGTTTCTTTTCGTCTGCCATAATGTGAGAGTGTGGGCTTTGTGCCGTCTTACATGGGGGCCAAAGGGCTTTTAAATCCTGGGTGGGGTGAGCTCAGCCTCAAATACTCGCGATGGTGACTTTTTTGGGTCAGATAAGCCTCGACTTAGCCACAGTCTAGATAGACATAAAGTATGCCCGGAGTGACGTTTCTCAGCCCTAGTGCTCAGGTGGGTTATAAGATGAATGTCTGCAGTGGCGCCAAGACGTCCTTATCGGGTATCCTTTGCGATATGTCGTCATCAAAATTTTTACTTTGAATGGCTTCATTGGTTTAATGGAAACATATCGACTCCCAAAATGCTCCCAACATATATGCAAGAAAACAACGATGAGCCAAACCAGATCTTGCGGCTCATGGGTATCAAACATGGCTTTACTCGTCATCCGTAATGTCCAAAAGCTCCAACTCCGTCGAGACCAGCGACTGGAACTCTGCGCGAGGCATTCCGGTGGCCTTGGCCAGGCGGAACAGACTCTTGATACTGGTACCAATGTGCTGCTTCACACCAACTTCGTATGTCGATTGGCTCTCTGCCTCCTTTTCCAGTCTGGCCACTGAGCTGCCAGAAGAGATTGAGCCCGGTCGAGGATGATTCAAAGCCTGCGCAGCACTTTCCGGGACTTGGCCCGCAGAGTATCCGTTAGTCCGGGCCTCCTCTGTCGAATCTCCATTGACCTGTCGGCGCAGCAAGTTTGCCAGCATATCCCCATTGAGAGAGGACGGACCGACCTCCGGTTGTTCCTCGCCGGGATCATGATTGTCCATGGCAGGCTGGACGTCACCATACTGTGAGAAGTACGACTGCTCAGACAGGCCCGAGGGACCCAGCTTCGAGGAGCCGGCAGGCTGCGCCGGGGTCTTGGACCCGGGTGTAGCATCGTACTGAGCCCAGTAGTCATCATCATCATCATCGTCCTCCATGCCGTTGTCTTGGACTTTGTCATCTAAGACACTGGCCCCGGACTGATCCTTGGCCTGGAAGTTGGCCTCGCCAATAGAGATCGCCCAGGTGTTGTCATCATCCGCTGGGCCTTCGCGCGGCAGAAGCTCGGCGACCCGCCAGCCACGACCGCCTCCCTCCTCGTCCGTCGGGCACCAGAGGTAGACTACTGTAATGCTATAATCATGCAGAGGCACCTGGGCCTTGAGTGTCTCGTCATCCACCCGCTTGTATGTCACGGGGAGCTCATCGGGGAGCTCGATCTCGCCTGAAACGGGGTGGGGTTCGAATGTGGCACCGTCGATGATCGCCCGCAGGCGCTCCGCTTTATCGGTATCCCAGCAGAGTAGTTGTAGCCATGATTCGGTGGCGGATGTGGAGAGTGAGCTGAGGACACCGACTCTTTGGCGTAGAATGGGGGAGAGGAGTGGGAGCAGAGCTGGGGGTGCACGTGGCGAGACGAAGGCGAGAGGCAGGCACGCAAGGAGGGGAGGGAGCAGTTGACGAGTCTCCGGGGGGTTGATGAGTTCGACCATGATTAGTTTGGAGAAAATGCGGAGAGAGGAGAGGTGTTTTGTTTCTGCGGGCTCTCCATTCGACCGAACGTGGGGCACCCAAACACCCAAGCTTCCATGGGTCCGTCTAGGGCTTAATCTGCTAATTTCCACTCTGCAGGTAGTTGGCTGCTATTCGCTACATTATCCCCTGTATGACTTTCGTTTGGTCTCTTTTCTTCCAACCTTGGAAGGTTGCAGGGGTTTGTAGCTCTCTTGTCAGCACTCCGATTGGCCATCTCAGACCAAGCTCGATTCTCAGTCAGAGCGGAGTACCACTCCGTACGGGGTAATGTAATACACCTGGTCACTACATATCGTCGGGCCGACACACTTCGGAGTAGAATTCAATTTCCGACCGGATAGAAACCATTGCGGTACTATTGGATTGGGCGGCATGGTCGACAAAAGCAAAGGGTGTAAGGAACGGGCTACCATAAGACTAGATCGATATCATAGAATGAGTGGATACCATTTCTCAATATATTGCCTTTCAGAATGCATAAGCTTCACCCAGAAAGGCCTACTTGGTGCGGAGGACATGCCCACTACGGCGTGCTCCGCGCCTACGGAGAAGTGATGAACCTACTGCACGGAGTACCTTGGAAAGAGCTTGCTCCTTTCGGTCTACTGGCATACCGCTCAGACTTACTATGTGAAGTAGACTTCTCATAGTTCTATGCAGTCTACTCCATAAGGAACAAGGCTTAGCTGGCGGCTAAAATGCTTGGTTTTTGCTATATCTGGTACTCCATACGGAGAACTGCACATACACAGCGAGGAATGTGATCATCGAGATATTGGGGATGCTCAAGGGTTGATTGCAAGCGCGCATGTGACAAAACTTGGTGAACACCATCTCATGGAGGCATACGGAGTACTCCGTATGGAGCCTGATCCAAAGCCAAATCTTCACGCGCTCACTGGACACAAAGTATGCTGTATCACCCGAGAAATTGGGGGCAGCAATGCTTGTACTTTTACTGAATTCGCCCAAAGAAAAGAAAAGGCGGTGTTTGTACGGAGTACTTCGAACAGAGACGGATTTCGGGAACTCGGGATCTCGGAACCTCGGGACTCCACTGTGCCTAAAGTAGGCATTGGTTCAACCCCGTTACTTATCTCGCATCGTTTCCCCTCTGACTCAGTTCAGCATGCGATTCTGATCCTGAACATGGACGACCTGGCAAAGGGCCAATTCTTGTCGACGGCCTCGCCACAGGCTCCGTCTACTATTGTGTCTACCCAACAAAACAGATTAGGAAGCGGCGAGTTTCCGTCCGAGCACACTCTAGAAAACGAGGCAAGCGAGTCTCTAGGCGAGAGAGCCGTGCTTGAGAAACAGATACGATGGAAAATCGATCTGCGCCTATGTAGCATCGCAGGCCTGCTGTGCAGTCTCAACCTGCTCGATTCAGGAATTCTGTCCTCTGCATCGGTGACAACCATGCTTGAGGACCTGGAATTGAACCACGGCAACCGATATTCCGTGTCTATTTTCATTTTCACAATCGCCAATGTCGCATTCCAGCTACCATGTACACTGGCAGTGCGGTTTGTTGGACCTCGCATATGGTTCGCTATGATCACCTTTCTCTTCGGGCTGTTGACGATGTGTACCGCTTTCATCCACACCTGGGGCCAGATGATCGCGTTGCGGGTGCTACTTGGAATCGCCATGTCGGGCATCTACCCGGGCCTAACCTACCTGATCAGCACCTGGTATACGCGACGGGAGCAGCAGCTCCGATACGCGTACGTGCAGTCCGGTGAAGTCTTGGTCTTTGCTACAGGGAACATTGTCAATTTCGGATTGAATCACCTAGACGGGAAGGCTGGTCTGGCTGGATGGCGCTGGATGTACCTGGTTCAAGGCCTCATCACCTGTGTCTTGGGCGCCGTCACCTACTGGTGGATGGTCGACTTTCCTGAGAATGCACAAAACAGCTTTTGCTTTTTGACGGCAAAGGAAGCGCAATTCGCGTCGTGCCGGATCCAAGATGATCGTGGAGATCTTATGCCCGAGCCGTTCTCGTGGGGCAAGTTGTTGTCTGCCTTTAAGGATCTGAAGATCTACGGATTTGCATGCATGTTCTTCTTGCTGAATTCCATCACGACCGCTTTGGCATATTTCCTGCCAATCATTTTACAATCTGGGATGGGCTTCAGTTCGAATGAATCCATCTTGCTCGCCACGCCCGTAAGTTAATCCCGCACATCACATCCCTCATTTTCTGACTTGAGCAGCCTTACTATTACGCCGTGATTCCCGTTGTCATCAGCTCATTTGTTGGAGATCACTATGGCGTTCGAGGTCCACTCATTACGTTCAATGCCCTCACGCTGATCGCTGGGTTTTTGATGTTCGGTCTTCCGGCATCCTCACATGTAGCTGTGCGGTATACTGGGACGTTCCTTGCAACCGGTGCCTATGTTTCGAACTGGGCGGCCCTCAATGCTTTCCAAGCTAACAATATCGTTGGCCAGTGGAAGCGGGTGGCAACTGCAGCGACTATCACTGCTATGAATGGCTTGGGTGGGGTAGCAGGTAGCTACATTGTGCGTCAACAAGAAGCACCACAATATTTAACCGCAGTTTGGGTATCGATTGGGTAGGTCAATCTGTGATTCTTGTGTCACCGCACTGGATTTGGTACTCACCGTTTTCAGCTCTCATATCCTGCTTATTGGTATACTGGGTGTATTCACGATCTACTTCTATATCGCCAATCGACAGCAAGCAAGTGGCGCAAAAATACTTGAGGGTTTGGTATGTATCTTTTGTCCAACCTGGAATTTGATGGCAACTAATCTATGGGGTGCAGCCTGGCTTTCGATACACGTTCTGATCTTGGACCCGACAAATTGTTGGCTCCCAGTACACCCGTCTTGCTTGAAACTTTATCCTCAATTCTTCATCAAAAGAAGCATTAGCCATGCTGATGAAAAGGACTATATGGTTATGATGCCGAGCGATATATGCCTAGTGCACTTCATATATACCACCTTGGCAATACCCAGACGCTATGACTCTTAATGATTGATATCACCACTTGCATCTCATTTTAGAAACATCAAATACACAACTATTGACCTTTCTCTCAGATGCTGTTCTTCAGTATTACAACCATGGGCCAATCATAGAAACAGGCGAAGAATTATGGAATTAATGCGATTAAGTAAATTATACAGTACTCTTGATAGAACACTGCTTCCCGTCGCTCATACAAGTTTCAATGGTTGTGTCATTAAGGATAGACAACCTTTGATCCTCCAAGTCCGCCAACGAGCAAGGGGAAGACGGAGAGCCATTCCAAGGCTCCTCTCTGATCAAATGAACTTCCTTATGACGCTCATTTCGCTCAGTGCTTTTGGTATTTGCACTCGTATCCCTGAGGTACCAAGTCCGGTGCTCCTCTCGCGGCGTGCGAGAGAACGAGGCATGGAGACGCCGAGGTATCAACCTGGTGAATAAAGGCCAAATGCTCACGAGACAAGCCGCAACAATGATGATGCCGCTCTCGAGGATTACCAGAATGCCTAGTTCGACGGAGAATCCCACTTTGCACAGTGTCAGTGGTCGTAGCATTGTAGAATGCACAAGGTATTTCTTACATTTAGGCTCATCCATAGCCACTGTTCCCAAGCTGAAAAAAATCACCATGGTCAGGATGCTGGCCACAGTTCCTCTATTGTCTATTAGCATCACTTTCGGATGGCCGTGGTAAACGGAATCAGGTAACTTACACTCCACCTAACAGGAAAACGCCTGTCAGTGCCAACTTCTGCCCTCTGGGCGCATGCAGTTTCCAAACTGTCGGAATAGGCAGGATGATAATCAAGATCCCTGTGATACAGTTGATCGGCGATAGGATTCGGTAGACCTGCAGTCTCCAAACGCATTTGCCACCGGGGATTGTCCTATCCCAGATATACTCCAAAGGCCGGCATTGGAAGAAGAATCCGAAGAGGGCGGCTAGGCCATATGCAAGCACCAATAATCCTACCACGTAGGCTGCGATTCGGAATTTGCGAATCGTGAAGATGCGTGCGTAGAATATCAGCAGAGCTATTTTGGCAGGTACCACGCTGAGGGGGTAGTCTAGGATTTGGAGGGCGAAGATGCACTAACTTATCCGTTAGCTTGGAGTGAAATTAATATTCGATGCTCAAAACGTACCTTTTTCAAGGATTCAAAAGTTCCAGAGGTCTGAGACAAGCTCGTTATATGGTATCCGACCCCGACACCTTTGGCCACTGTATATGGTATGAGCTTTTGTCTTTGAATTGTACCTAGGTAGATCATGGATGTGATGACCTCGGGAAACGTCGCACGTACGGTAGATGTATATCGAGCATTTCCCTAGACTTGCCACCTAATAATGTCACATCAGCACCTTTCCACGACATCCACGCGTTTGATATGACATACCAAGGCAAGGAGAATGAGATAGTCATCGATGCCAACCTTGACCTTCTGCATGAACCGAGTATAGAACCTTGCAGCGACAAATAATATCTGTATGACTGCAATGCTTATAGCAGCTCCCACCAGGATATTAGCACCATAGGGCTCTTTGTCCCCCGAGATCCAATTTATGCCCATGGTGACGGGAAAGAAGATCTGCCCATCCTCATCGGTAGAAGAGCCTTGAGAAATTGCAATGAAAGGTCAAAGAGACCGCGAACTGGGCATTATATGAGCCAAGCTCAATCGAATCCGCCCCCCTCCCCCTCCAGCGAAGCGGCGGACATATTCTAGGAGATCCCAAGCGATAAGCCCTTTAGCCGACTCCCGGAAAGAGACCTAGGAGAGCCGGTACAAAGAGACAAGCCGTGGACCCCGAGACAAAGAAACAGGTCCACTTTGATTGGGTGGTCAAACGCCAGATGGAAGTCTATCACATTAAAGTTGGGCTATCCGTGGAACATGATCGACGGACTCGGTGGCGGCGATCAAGCCCCAGAGCCCCAGGTGTTCGCTATTCCCCGAGCTCTACGGGGACTGACATCACCATCGCAAAAGTAAGGTTTCTTTGAGAGCATCGTATACTCGGACATCTTCGGCGGACTCCGTCTCGATAATCCGGTTCGCTATATCTCCTAGAAGACAGATGCAGTGTGCTCTAGGCCCTACCTAACGGAATAGTCCGAATGGAAGAGCACGATGACGGTCAGACTTCGCAGACACCAGGGCAGGACGACGGGGAACATGACTCGTAGGATTGAGATAGTGGACGCATGATTTCTAAGAAATTACGATAGAGAAGTATACGTGCTAAACTCGGAATAGTGCGTGGTGACCCTTACCCTGGATCGAGATACTCGCGGATCTCATGCCCAGGTGTTTCCGAGGCATCGTACACGCGCTGCGGCTATCCTAATCTACAAGAAATTTATAGAATTTGATGCGAAGGGCATTCACCACCACCTAGGTAGTTAAATGCCGAGGCAAACGGCAATAGGTGGTCGCCTGCATGGTTTCCACGTTCGATTGATCTTGGTTCAGCGGAGTAAACTTCCATACTTTCGGACCTTGAAGCTAAATTGGCCATCTGCTATCGGTGACTTCGGATCAATCGCGTAAATATCTTTCATATGAATACATTCCTCATTTTGTTGGCCGCGACACTGGAGATAGGCCCATGTAATCTTGGGGGTCGATGGAGGCCAGACCATACAATTAAGTTCACATTGTTTAGTTGGGACAAGGTCCACGGGCCTTCACAAAAAGGGCGAGGCAATCTTAGATCACGAGGTTATTCCGTTCACATTTGCCCTACACTAGGCCACAATGAACATTCCAAGGTTGCCTTACCGACCGGGCGTCACCTACCGCGATACTGATGAACCACAATGACATTGACGATGAGGTACATACACATGCACAAATTATGTGACTAAAGGGAAAGGGGTATATGGCAAACAAGACGGTACGCCTTCCAGAGAAAAAAAGGTAGACGGGGAAGTCGGCCGGAAGAAAACTACATCGACAAATCATTGGAACAGGATCGGGGAGTGGGAGATTCAAGCCACTCGGTCCTTATCCTTTTGTTCCAGCTTCCCAACCAACCTCTTCATACCAGTCCACTCGTCTGCGGGAACCTCTTCGGGCAGACCGCAGAGACCCTTGCCAACCTCATAGACCGTAACAACGCCATTGAGTCCACCAGTCGCCAAGCGTCGGCCCTCGCGCTCATCCCATGCAACCTTATTAAGGCTGCGCGACATAATATTGCCATGTGTGTTGTCGGCAACTTCCCGTGCAATGGGGACCTCGGTATCCGACGCGAGATCCCAGACTTCGACATTACCAGCACCGTCGACGAGAGAGAATACACCCGGTTTGGTTGGGTGCCAGCGCGCATCGTAGACCACATCATCACGCGTGATATCGAGGATTGGCGAAATGACTTGAGGAGCTGAGATGGATGTGGCTGATGCGGTGGTCGCTGGGGGCCGCACACGCCAGAGCTTGACACTCCAGTCCAGACTGGAGCTCAGCATGAGGTCTCCTAGATCGACGGGACCACGGCCAGGGTGGAATGCGGTAGACATGATCGGTGCCGTGTGGCCCTTGTAGGCTAGACGATGATCTGTGCCACCCTTGGCTCCTGCTCGGTCGTACCGATGGCAGGGGTAAATGACACCTTCTTCAGTACCGACGACGAAGAAGGTAGGGTCGGTGTGAGGGAATGACATTGTGGTCGGAGCAAGATCCTCCGTTTTGGAGGGAGGTGGTGTAGTCAGCTCCACGCGATCCTGCGGGTGAGAAAGCATGTCCATAGTCCAGCCACAGACCACACCATCTGTAGAGGCAGTCATGATGTTGTGTGCATTCTGCGTACCAACAATCGAGATGCTATAGACAGGATGGGCGTGTCCGGTGCCCGTCAGAGGGGTCTTTTGTACAGGGGAGCCTCCGCCAGCGCGAGAGGATCGTGTATCCCACACGAGTACTTGTCCCGAATAGGAACCTCCGACAACTAGGTTTGGGTGATAGGGAGAGAATTTGGCAGTGAGGATATCAGAGGTGGAGTGGAACACATATTCCGGACGAGATTGCAAATGCTGGTTCCAGATCTGGACCAGGCCATCAGGTTCATGAGGTGCTGATGTATTTTTAGTGTATGATGCCAGCAATAATTCAGGGAACTAAGATGGGTGTTAGCATGGATCCCAGAAATGAATCGGACCGGACCGCTCACTTTTGGAGAGAAGCTCAGGTCACTGATTATGCGGTTCTTGCTCCATCTTTCATCCCAGAAATGGGCCACTTCTTGCATGCCTCTCTTCTTCTTGCCGCTCTCCTCGTCTTCTTGCAAGTTCCCATCAGTCCCACCTAGCTCATAGTCTGCCAAAACATCATAGTCCTCATCCAAAGCCCTTTCGATAACCTTGGAAGACCGCTCCACAAAGTCCAGGAAATCGTCAGAGGATGTGACTGCTTTCAGCTCGTCGTCATCCAGTGTGCGCAGAGGGTACCGTAGCTTGGCTTGCGCGGTTGAGTTGTCGTTATCGTCTTCATGGTTGGCAGCACGTAGTTCCTCTTCAATTTCCTTGCGAAGCTTCTGCAGGATCTCCTCATCTCGTTCCTTTTCACGTCGACTGAATCGCTTGCTGGATCGTGTGGTACCAGGGGCATCCTCGCTGTCCGAAGCAACAGATCCCTCGGGTGTCTCAGTTTGTACGTCCAGTCCATCCGTTTGCACTGCCTTGCTGTATGTGACGACTTCTGGCTTAGGCTTGGAGGCGGGTTCAAGCTCAGGGGGCGGCGGGGCTTCGGTTGAGGTGTAGGTGTAAGGCTCCTCGCCCATAGTCTGAACGGCAATGGACTGGGATTGTGGTCGCGAGGGGGACGTGTATGCGTCGGCATTTTCTCCACTCAATTGGCTTGCGCTCAAAACGGAGGTTGGTCGGCTTCCTCGCCGCGACTGACCATCGGCACCTTGGCTGAGTGAGGCCGACGCTGGACGGTCGACCAAGCGTGCGATCAGGTCATCAAGCTCGTGTCGATTGCCTGAGTGACTTGGCACTGGCGAAACAATCTGATCGTGTTGTTAGAATCGAGCTCTATCGCCGATTAATGCACTGTTGTTTACCTCTGAGGCATCCCCGACGCTAGTCCGAGAAGTGAACTCCTTTTGACGAAGCTCTCGCTGTTTTTTTAGTTCGGCGAGTTTTGCCCGTTTGGCAAGAATCTCATCCTTTCGCTGCTGCATCGACATCTTGATCTTGAACCGAGGAGACGCAAGCTGTCGCGCTTCTAGTATCGCCCACCTGGGCACTATTTATCGGGATGACTAAGAGCTCTCCGTCCTGATGGCCTGAGGTGTCCTTTTCTCGGAAGTTGGGGAGCGGCCCGGAAAAACTCGCGCGCGCAGAACATGAACTGAACCTCGCCATTACCATCTCGGAGACTCATTGCCATTGACGGTTGACACCTGTTAAACGGACCCTCCTTATCCCGCCATTTGATCTCTACTCTAATTCCTCTCTTTCACAAACCTTTCACAATGGCTTCTCAGGGTGTTAATGTGAGTCTCGGCCTAAGGGTCACCGTCTCTCCCGACGACCGCTAACCAGGTCTACCCACCCCTAGGTCTTCCGTTACTCGGCTCTCGTTGCCGGTCTCGTCTACGGTGTCTACCACCAGTCCTCTCTCAACTCCGTCACCAAGCGCGCAGAGATCGAGCACGAGTACACTCGCAAGGAGCGTCTCATCGAGCAGGCCAAGGCCGAGTACAAGAAGAAGACCCAGCCCCAGCAGGAGACCAAGACACAATCTAGCGGACGTACGTTTACCCCCCAGGATCATGCGACTCGAATGATTGCGAAGATACCCGGACCAGCCGCATCACCCCCAGGACTCTTGCATTTCTAACCGGCTCTCTAGTCATCACGAATTTCGAGGACCCTAAGTTCGACCTCGAGGCTTTCCTGAAGGCCAACGAATAAATTGACCGAGCCTGTTGAGGAGGAATCTTACGCAATGATCTATTTGCGGGAATCGCACCTCCCCCAGGGTATAAGACGCGATTTGTTCGACTCCACACCATTTTTCTGTACGATTGTTTGGGTTTAATATGCCCCCGAGCCGTGGCATTGCGAGCGAAAGATGGAATGATTATTGTTTCTCATTTTTAGACGTTTTATCTGGGTCCTGTACATACCCTGGGCTGTCGTGCGCCTGTACACTACAGTTGGACCAAAGCAAGAGCAAAAGATCGTGTTATGCATTCCGGCGTTATGGATGTCCCTTGTATGTGCCGGTTTATTCCAGCTCCTGGCTTTGCCTGCCCTTGCATTCCCGCATCCAGGGCGGGAGATGTAGCCGCGTAGCCTGAGGGAGGGGATCGGGTCTATCGACATGTGTTTCGTAGTATTTCCATAGCGCTTCAACTTGCGCGAGACCCGAGCATTCCCATCGCCTCGCGGATGCCGTTGTTGGGTTGGGTTGCCGCGGGGCGTACCATGATAGGCTTCGGGTGCAGCAACTTCGTGTCCAGGTCCCATTTCCAACCGCAGTTTGTGAAGTTTGCTATAATATTTGGGTCCTCTTGCTCCACTAATTGTTGATCTAGGCCGAGGTAGCCTGCAGCAACGGGCAACCGAATTGTTTCGTAAGACCTGCTCACTGAGATCAAGGTCTTGTCTTGGAAGAAACCTAACCAATAACCCTGTTAGCTTCCACAACGCCCAGCTCAATAAGTGTAGAGGACGTACTTTCATATCTTTTTATTAAAGGCTGTAGCCTTTCTGGCCATGGTGATCCCCGAAGAATTTGGTAGACCTGGCCATGTTCAGTCTGCCATACTGCTCGCAAGAGGGTCATGCAGTTCTGGAGAGCGATATCTTGTTGTGTGAGGCTTTTGGGCATTCGTTTCGTCAGGGCGCGAGCTTCGGGTCTATTGGAGAATGTCAGTATTTTAGCTGTCGTATTGATAAGCTACCAAGGAGTGACTGACACTTGGTCAGTGAGGAGATGAACAAAGAAGAAGCTCGAGTAGAACAAGCTCAGTAGCTGTATATCGCCTCTGATCACTTCTTTCTTCCCACCGGTCTCTGTCATAAGACATGCCTCTTGCTCATATTCCGTCAAGGCCTCAAACAGCTGTGAAGGTGGGGAATTGGAGGCCACCAGCATTGAGAGCTGCTCCATCGTCAGCGGAGGTAGCTCCATGATGTCTTTGAAGGTCAGAATCAGTTGAAGATATTGCTTCCAAAGGGATGTATTGATGCGGTAAGAAAACAAAATAATCTGGACCGGGCGTCAACAAAGAAAAGAGCACTGGGATAAGGGAGGAATGATTCGCAGTATTGCGGGGAGCAGTCGGAGGTGGCGCCTCTCGCCGGTGCCAAGACCTTCAGAAGTGACCACCTTGCGCAGCTCTCGCTCTTTCACTCTCAACTCACGGCGCTCACCATTGGCATCTCGGCCCAATTAGTTTCTTGATTTCATGTTTCTTTCTTGATTTCTGATCTTGGACTTTGCTCCCTTTGGCCATTATGGCCCCGTCTTCCCTTGATGTTCTGCTCAAAGGCAGCTCCGGCCGGAACACGCGCGGTCTATTGCGGGTGATCATTCTCGTTACCATTGCCGCCGCTGCAGTGTCCAGCCGACTGTTCAGTGTTATTCGTACGTTTGAATTGACACTTTTGGGAATTGGCATGCTAACTATTTTCCAGGCTTTGAAAGCATTATCCACGAATGTACGATTGCCTTACCCTGAATCAGATGCGGCAGCACTCGACCATCGAACATATGCATGAGATATTAACACCTCCCTTCTAGTCGATCCGTGGTTCAACTTCCGTGCAACAAAATACTTGGTCGAAAATGGCTTCTACAGCTTCTGGGACTGGTTTGATGACCGTACGTCCCCTCCTGATTGCGCGTCCTCGGAGCGGTTGTATATTGTGCATAATGCTGATGAGGTTTCGACTATATAGGAACATGGCATCCTCTGGGTCGTGTCACTGGTGGCACATTGTACCCTGGTCTTATGGTGACCAGTGGAATTATCTACCACATCCTTCGTCTCCTTACGATTCCCGTCGACATTCGCAACGTCTGTGTGCTGCTCGCCCCCGGCTTCTCCGGGCTAACAGCCCTGGCCATGTATCTCCTGACCTCTGAGATGTCTACCTCCCCTTCGGCAGGTCTTTTGGCCGCTGCCTTCATGGGAATCACCCCCGGTTACATCTCCCGTTCCGTCGCAGGAAGTTACGATAACGAGGCCATCGCCATTTTCCTTTTGGTGTTCACATTCTACCTTTGGATCAAGGCTGTTAAGAATGGTTCTATCATGTGGGGAGCTTTGACTGCGCTGTTCTATGGATACATGGTCTCAGCTTGGGGTGGATATGTTTTCATTACCAACCTGATTCCTCTCCATGTCTTCGTGCTTCTTTGCATGGGCCGATACAGCACCCGTGTCTACATCAGCTACACGACATGGTACGCTCTGGGTACACTGGGTAGCATGCAGATTCCTTTCGTTGGGTTCTTGCCCATCCGTAACAGTGACCACATGTCCGCCCTTGGTGTCTTTGGGCTGATCCAGCTGGTGGCATTTGCGGAGTTTATCCGCAGCTACTTGCCCGGCAAGCAGTTCCAGAAGCTTTTGACTTCTATGATTCTTCTTACCGTCGGTCTCGGACTCGGTGGCCTCGTCCTGTTGTCTGTCTCCGGAGTGATTGCCCCCTGGAGTGGTCGTTTCTACTCCCTGTGGGACACTGGTTACGCCAAGGTTCACATCCCTATTATCGCTTCCGTCTCTGAGCACCAGCCTACTGCCTGGCCCGCCTTCTTCTTTGACTTGAACTTCCTGATCTGGCTCTTCCCCGCAGGTGTGTTCATGTGCTTCCAAAAGCTCAAGGATGAGCACGTTTTCGTGGTTATCTACTCCGTTCTGGCTAGTTACTTCGCGGGTGTTATGGTTCGTCTGATGTTGACCTTGACCCCAATTGTTTGTGTTGCCGCTGCTCTGGCCTTGTCGGCAATTCTTGACAATTTCTTGGTTGCATCGACCCCCTCCCCCACCACCGAAAGCAAGGCCAAGGCAAGCACAGAGGACAAATCACTTCGCTCCACTCGGGAACCCGTGATTGGTATCTACTCATACCTATCCAAGGCTGTTGTCACTGGATCGATCACCCTTTACTTGCTTCTCTTCGTTGCACACTGCACCTGGGTTACTTCCAACGCGTACTCGTCGCCATCCGTTGTCCTGGCCAGCAAGCTTCCCGATGGAAGTCAGTTCATCATTGACGATTACCGTGAGGCCTACTACTGGCTCCGCCAGAACACCCCTGACAACGCTAAGATCATGTCCTGGTGGGATTACGGATACCAGATTGGTGGCATGGCTGATCGCCCCACTCTGGTCGATAACAACACCTGGAACAACACTCACATTGCCACTGTCGGTAAGGCTATGAGCTCCCGTGAGGAAGTCAGCTACCCGATCCTCCGCCAACATGATGTCGACTATGTCTTGGTCGTGTTTGGTGGACTCCTGGGTTACTCCGGTGATGACCTGAACAAGTTCCTTTGGATGGTTCGTATTGCTGAGGGTATCTGGCCCGATGAGGTGAAGGAGCGTGACTACTTCACTGCTCGTGGCGAGTACCGTGTTGACGAGGAGGCCACTCCTGCCATGAAGAACAGCTTGATGTAAGCATTCCCACTCCGCATCTCGAGCCCATTCTAACCCATTGAACAGGTACAAGATGTCTTACCACAACTACCAGAGCCTCTTCCCAGCAGGCCAAGCCATGGACCGTGTCCGTGGCACAAAGCTGCCCAAGGAAAGCCCCCAGCTCAACACTTTGGAGGAGGCCTTCACCAGTGAGAACTGGATCGTTCGTCTCTACAAGGTCAAGGACCTTGACAACCTCGGCCGTGATCACAGCCATGCTGTTGCCTTTGACAAGGGTCTTAAGCGCAAGCGTGCTACCAAACACAAGGGTCCTCGTGTTCTGCGAACCGAGTAGGCCTTTGTCTTCTAGACTCGCTTTGCATTTTTCTTGTACTTTTGGTCTTCATGATTTCTCCATGGGGTGCCAGTGTTTGTATTCTGCGCTGAATCACCATCAAATATACTATAGGCACCGTTGCCTTGATTCATATCCAAAAATTGCCATGCTAAGGTCTGCTCTGGACCCTTCAATCACTAGCTCTTCCGACAAGGATCACTTGCTCGTAATGCTCCTAGAGTCGTAAGTTCCCTCATAAGTTGCCTCCTTCAAATCACGCGCCGAGTGAGAACCTTGAATGTCCACCGGATTGATAATTTCATCTTTCATTCTTCTACCTACAAGCTTCCCAAATTTGAAGCCTTGCAATTCCAAGGTTTCTTTGAAAGCTAATCCACCACCGGAGACTGCTGCTGCTTTGAACAGAGTTTCTAGTTTTTGAATACTTTGGCTCCAATATAAGACATTTCCGTAAAATTTACATACCAATGTTAGAAGGTCATACTGTGACGCTCCAAAAGTTTGACCCCCCTTGCTCACCGTGATCACTCTGCCACAAGTTCTGCCGATCTAAAACCTCATGAGCATTGGATATTTAGTGCAACACTCATTTGACTCAATACTGGACTAGTATCCTTGCTCTCACGTGTGGTGGCATAGTCCAGTAACACCTGTATAGCACGAGCGTGCTTCTATGCACCAACCGTTTTAGGGCTAGTCTATATCGGGAAGGCGGAGTATCCCGTGATCTTGCTTCGGTTCCCGCGGGACCTCGGGAGCGCAGCCGGGATGACGTAAAGGAACGGCGCGGTTTTTTGTCTTCTGAATGTTGACACTGCTCATCCCACACAACCATGGCTTTGCGGCAGAGCGTATCGTGTCTCAATGGCCCAGTAGGGTCTCTGACAAGGGCTGCACTGTTACCATCCAGTCAACATGCCCGGCGTCAGCTACCATTGCAAGCTAGCCTTCGCCAGCAACCAAACACCCAAATAAGTGCCCGGTACGCCTCCACGAAGTCCTCGAGCCAGCCAAGCGGACCTGTTCTCGCCGGTGCACCCGATATCACAAACTACTACACAATCTTTGCCAAAACGCTACCTAGCGGCCCTCCACCAGGGTCCCCTTTCACCATCTCCACCGCAGATCTCAAGCGCGAATTCCTGCAGCTGCAAAGCCTGGTACACCCGGACAAATATCCCAACGGGACCGAAAAGCAACATGCAGAGGGTCTCTCTGCTCGAATCAATGAAGCTTACCGTACCTTGCTTGACCCGCTCCAGCGCGCGCAGTACGTTCTTCGCGAATGGCATGGAATCGACGTGACGGCGGAAGATGCGGCGACCAAGCATGCGCTCGACCCTGAGACTTTGATGGAGGTCATGGAGGTGCAGGAGACTATTGAGGAGGTTGGGGCGACCGCTGAAGGGGAGGGACAAATTAATGCGTTGAAGAAGGAGAATGAAAGTCGAGTGTTGGAGTGTGTGGAGTCCTTAGGCAAAGCCTTTGAGAGTGGAAACCTTGAGGCTGCACGGAAGGAGTGTATTCGGCTTCGCTTTTGGTACAGTGTTGGCGAAGGGCTGCGGGAGTGGGAGCCTGGGAACACAGAGATTCGATTGATGCATACCAGCTGATCGATTGCGTGTCTGTACTATTACATATTGAACCGAGATATCCAAAAAGACTCTACTCTGTTGATCAAGTCATATTGGCGATGTTTTCTGCATGCAACAAACATCGGCGGTAGGGGATGGCGGGTATGAGGTACGGAGTACGGAGTATAGACCTCAATGTGGGCATGTACACCATAAGAGCCCGAAGATAAATAACCAGTCAGAGAGAAGTGTTGGACTGTGTACCTGAAATCAGTCGCAATCCCAATGCCCTTGGCAATTCAGATACACGATGTCCTCAAAACCGACCTACAGTATAGTCCACCGTATAGACCACCGGCCCAGGGTTGGGACAGCTGTTGACCGCCACATTCAAAACTCCACAAATTCAAAAAATGAAGCTCCAAAAATCCCAGCACACAGAAACGTTATGGAGCCCGAGAGCAAATCACCCAGTGAGGCCGCAGATTGGGTTGTTGACAGGCTGGGATTGGGCACAAATGACTATCAGCCGACGTCCCCACGCGTCCACTGGTGTATAGCTGCATGGAAGTTGATTTATCTCGGCGATAGCGGATGCGAGAATCCCTCACATGTGGCTATCTTTGAATAGAAGGTGAGAGTGCAATAGGAACTACAAGGGCTGGGATGGCTGGGATATCAGAGTCCTGTCTGAGCTACCGCCTATCTTGTGTTAGTGTAGGTCGACGGGGCGTCAATCCGTTCCCCATAGGAGATGCACACGTAGCGGTGATACCCTTCAAATGGTTTATTTAACGGCGAGCTTTCGCTGAGAGTGTTTTCCCACTCTCTCGTAGCAACCATGGCCGCCGTTCGCGACTACAGCAGGTATCGTATCCCGCCATCCTGAACCAGAGCGCCGCTGATAGCTACAGTATCATCCATTCACCGTCATTTACCTTTCTCGTCGGTCCAAAGCATACCAAGCTGACCATCCAGTCGGGTCTTGCCCAGCATGTCTCCAAGCCCCTGCATAATTTAATGAACGGTCACACGAGAGAATCAAAACACCGTATCGCCGTTCTGGAGGATGAAGATGTCGAGACGTTTGTTGCGTTCTGCGAATATGCATACACCGGCGACTACAGTGTCCCTCAAACCGAAGAAGAGGAAGAAGAACATAAGTCTGGGTTCGCAGAGAATGCATTCAGCCCCAACACTTGGAGGGACCCGTACCGTACTGGCTCGGTTGCCTCCACCATACCTCCGCCTGCTCCCTCGCCGCCTCCAGAGCACCGTCGCGGCCGTAGTTCAGTTGCAGGATCTGCATACCAGGAGTCGCAGCCCGATACACTTGTACCAGGATGTGCTACCCCTGTGCCGGAGCCTGCATCCGAGCCCGCGGGGGTGAATGATGGGGAAGCTCAATCTCCAGAGCAAGAGCCGGTGGCGGTACCCGAGCATGAAGATGAGATTGCCGTGTTCGAGGAAGCCGAGGCGGCACCAGAGGCATCGCCGGGGCCCGAGGCCCATCCCGAGGAGTTTCCTGAAGTGACAGAGGAGCCTGTGCAGTGGGAGTCAGAGAATGCCCCCAGCGCGCCGAAGAAGTTAAAGAAAGGGAAGAAGGGCAAGAAAGGGCGAAAGCAAACAAGTTATGAGTCTGAAATGCCTGCAGTCGAAGCTCCCCCATGCGAGCCAGTCAATCTGACACCGCCATCCACACCTTCTCCGGTAGAAAGGGTTGCTGCAGAGCCCGAGCCAGAAGTAGAAGCGGAGTGGCCTGCAGAGCCAGCGCCAGCGCCAGAGCCAGAGCCAGAGGAACAAGCAGAGCCCGAGCCCGAGCCCGAGCCAGAGACGGAAGACTGGCAGCCCGAGCCTTCGCCAAAGACAGCAACAGCGGAAGATCCATGGGCCCAAGACCGAGCCAACCGCCAAAGACCAATGCTTGACATGTCTTTCGCCCAACAGCAAGGCGCCATTTCACCTTGTGAGCCCGGCGTCAGCCTATGGGACGAATTCACCTCCCTCCAGTACAATGACGAAAGCGACCCCGAGCCGCCCACGTTCCCAACACTCCCCTACCTCACCTTCCACGCGAAGGTCTACGTCTTCGCCACTCGCTACCTGATCCCGGCCCTAGCGCAGCTCTGTCTCCGCAAGCTCCACGCCGACCTCCTCACGCTCCCGGAAGAGCCCGTCGCGCAGGCCCAGATCATTCTCGACCTGGTGCACTATGCCTACACGAAAACGGCCCGGCTGGAGCCCATCTCACCGACGTCCGCAACGCAGCTCCGCGAGAACGAGCTCCGCAGATTGGTGGTCCACTATGCTGCGTGCAAGGTCAAGGAATTGGCACGGTATCGGGCTGACTCTGGGTCGGCCACACCAGGGCTTCGGCCTGCGGATAAAGTGGGGGGTGAAACGCCAAAGAGTCTCCGCTCCCTGCTCGACATGACGACGGAGTTGGCGTCGGATCTGGTTTATCGCATGATGTGAGACGAAGGTGTGTGATTGGGTGTGTTGGAGGAGTGCCCAGAAATTTGCTGCAGAAGTTTGTTTTCCTGCATTGCTACCCTCTGAGTTCTTGCATAAGTTGAATTTGTCATTTCCGAGGCGCATAATCTTGTTGAGTGTTTCCTGAGTCCGGCTGAGCGTTCTTCCCTAGTTTCTGCAATGATAATCTTCATCTTCATCCCCGGACTGTCTGTACACCATACTAGTGCCCATATACCCCATACCCATAGCACTAGCTATGGGACTAGCGTAGGCTCGAGCTCAGAGTGTCGAGTGGGGATGTTCAAGGTGACATTGATTCGAAATTGTGATCGGGCCCCATCTTTGAGATGTTTCAGCGGATTAATTGAAGAGCATCACAATCAAGTCTGGGCATCTTGGCAACGAGCCGAGGGGTAAATCACATCATTGTGAGAGGGCCAATGTCGAGTGCCCAAGCCCCGATAAAACTAGAGAAATGATACAGATCGACCAAGTGCACAGGTAACTTGGCAGAGACCCAGTGTCAATAGTCCTGAATTGGCGGAGGCTGTGAAAAAGGGAAAAGATAAGGGCTCAGGGGAAGTGCCAAGAAATCCATCCCTTCTGGACTTCCCAAAAATCGAAGTCGTCTTCTATTCTGAACTTCTTCGCCACCATTGCGTGGATACGTTGCATAAACCCTAGGATTCGATTGACAAACCAGCTTCCACGCAATGGTGTAACCTGGCGATCTACGTCAATCCGCTGCTTGCGCCCTCACAGCCACCAAATCGAAGCTTGGCAGCGGACCGTCAATGATGCGCTGTCGATCATAACGTCTTGGCGTTTGGCGTATTAGACTTTCCTCTGTCTCCTATCGGGAGCTCTCGGGCTGGTTCACCATTGCTTGGAAGACCAAGTCGGCCCGAATGACGGCGCGATGCCGTTGAACCAGGGAATGGCGTCCACGACATGCGATGAGGTACATGGACATGAGATCTCGATCATATCTCACATTCCCAACCGGTCCTGTGTATCGCCATAGCAGATCACATCCAGTGCGGCACAGCCAGAGGGTTACGCATCGCTCCAACCCTCGGTCTTGGCGAAATGTCCACGTACTTGAGTTCAGGCATCGCAGTTTTCTGAATGCCACATCCGCCTAGAATCACAGTGGATCACCGTTCTCCCGCGGATCCCTCCCCCCCTGGTGCTTGACCCCTGATGCAGTCTTCCATCGTCCCCGACACCCTGGGCCGATCTATTCTTGTGGATTTTGCCGAAATATGGGTCTCTGATAACGCTCAGGGCCCTGGTAGGTCCAATCGAAAGCGCTCGTCAGGTCCATATCCTGAGTCTGCCTTCTTTCAAGTGCGGTGGTCTTGGAACTTTCTTGGCTGGTTGATCTTCAAGCATGCTACGCATTGGCGAATTTGAAACTCTGATGTTATTGCTACCCATCTGAACTATATTAACATCTCCTGTCTTCTCCTTCTGGATCTTCTCCTATTCATTCTACAGCTTCATTCTAGCTTTGACTACTCCAATTCGTTCAGACCGACAGGTCCATTCAATAATACTGTCATTCTGTACATTTTTGCCCTAGGGCGTCCACCCATTGCATTCGATCATGTCCAACCCTATCCTACTAGAGGCCTATCCCAATGGCTATCAGACACCACCTCCCAACTCCTCTCATTCCGAAACTCCCTTCATGGACTCGAAAAAGTCCGAAAAGCATGTCCCCTTGGACTTCCGTCAGCGCCTCCGTCACTTCACCTGGGCATGGTACACTCTCACCATGAGTGCAGGAGGTCTGGCTCTCCTGATAGCCAACCAACCCAACTCTTTCAAAGGCTTACTAGAGATTGGCCTTGCCGTCTACCTGATCAACATCCTTCTCTTCGCACTAGTATGCTCTCTGATGGCTGCTCGATTCATCATCCATGGTGGAATGATGGACTCGCTGGCCCACGACCGTGAGGGCTTGTTCTTCCCAACCTTCTGGCTATCAGTCGCAACCATCATCACCGGTCTCGAGAAATACTTCGGCGACAACCCTGAGACAGCCTTCTCCACCACCCTCGAAGTTTTATTCTGGATCTACTGTGCCTGTACCTTCACCGTCGCCGTGGTCCAATACTCCTTCGTCTTCTCCGCCCACACATACCGTCTCCAGACCATGATGCCCTCGTGGATTCTCCCCGCCTTCCCCGTCATGCTCAGCGGTACAATTGCCTCCGTCATCGCCGAACGTCAACCAGACCGCTCCGCCATCCCCATCGTCACAGCCGGCATCACCTTCCAAGGTCTTGGCTTCTGCATCTCCTTCATGATGTACTCCCACTACATCGGCCGTCTGATGGAATCAGGCCTTCCCAACCGTGAACACCGTCCCGGAATGTTCATCTGTGTTGGCCCGCCCGCTTTCACGGCTCTTGCTCTCGTCGGTATGGCGCGTGGTCTGCCCTCCACATTCTCTGTTATGGACAGTGAAGACAGTGTGGCTGATGGACGTATGTTGGAAGTTCTCGCTCTTGCCGCTGGTGCCTTCCTATGGGCTTTGAGTTTGTGGTTCTTCTGCATTGCGGCAATTGCTGTCATCCGCTCACCACCAACATCTTTCCACCTTAGCTGGTGGGCTATGGTTTTCCCCAACACTGGTTTCACTCTCGCCACTATCACTCTTGGTAATGCGTTCTCCAGTACCGCTATCAAAGGTTTTGGGACGGCTATGTCTATTTGCATCCTCTGCATGTTCCTCTTTGTCTTCGTCAATCATATCCTGGCTGTCTATCGCCAGGATATCATGTATCCTGGAAAGGATGAGGACGTTTCTGACTAAGTCCCTTTCCTTTTTTATCTTGATTGCATTGCCTTGTTAGGCTTATACTACGCTTCCCATCTTTCCTTCTTGCACATTATGTTCTGATTCTTCTGGGTTTCTTTCCTGCATATTCTTTCCTCCATTTTTTACCCCTGTGGTCTCTGGGTTTTGACTTGGGTTTTGACTGAAAAGCGTTCAAGCATTTTTCCCTTCTTGTTGATACTCTGACTGCGATTGGCACTTTCACTCATCCTCATTTTCTTTCTTCGCATCGCTGGCGTTTGGTTTGCCAACATCTTTGTGCCAATTTCGGTTTTAGAGATCCATAGACTTAGACTCGAAACATTATCCATCAGTTATATTTTTATCACCAGTTCTTATTGAAAAATAGATGAGAAGTTAGAAACTTGGAAACCCCATATATTGCTAGACAGACCTTACCTAGGTATGATCCAGGCCCACAAAATGTTACTTGTCTTGGGGAACGCCTTGCATGAGATCGACCGTTATTTATGCGGTTTGCTTTATGAATGCAAGTCTTGTGCTACAGGAAATGACAGGGGGCAACTAAGTACCTCTGGAAGAAATAGATTTGGTTCATGTGAAAAGCGCTCGATAAATCCCGAAAATGAGGTTGCTCGGGAATAACTAGTAGCCCGATTTCCAGCTACCCATACAATGGCAATGAGCAATGGACACTTTGAAATCGAACCCATATTGGCAGACAGTCTTCCAAAAATGTTGGAAATATCCAGTTCCAACTCTGGTAGCACTGAGCTTGATGAGTTCAGGCGCATGTATCATAGACATCGGGAGTACGGAGTACCACGACCTAGTTAGTAGCCATTCCGGTGTTGTAATTCCGATCTCTGCTAGCTCATTCAATGACTCTCGAGGGTTCTCCAGACCACGACATCCGTAGAAGGCCGATTACCCGGACGCCTGATAGCCTGGGCTGATGTCAATTCATGTTTGCTCCATCCCTCAAATGCGATCATCATATCAGGCATCAGGAATCCCTTGAGGAACTTAATAAGGTTTCTAGTCTTTTTTCGCCGAAGCTCAATAGCATGCCGTATTGGAGAACAACATGAATAAAAGCTCTTCGCCTCCAGGAAATCACAGTGGTAACCATCAATCAACAAGCGAGCATAGATGGAAGTCCGAATTTGGTTCTTGATGCCGTAGATTTGATATTCACATTTGTGCTCAACTGAGGTTGTAGGATGAGCGGGATCATCGCGAAGAATCCATTCTGGCATACGTTGGTCATCAACGTAATTGGCTTTTCGAAATGAACAGATGAATTTGACCAAGCGATTTATATCTTTGACCGGGAGACTGAAGCAAGGACAAATATCGATGACATGATTTGCCACGCGTGGGCACCAGATCTGTCTGAAAATTGCACACGGCGCTTTGTATCGATTTTTTCGCTTTGAACGTGGATGCAGACTTGCGCAAGCATCACAGCGTCTCCAGCGGTTTAACTTGAGGCGACTGAGCAGTCTTTTCCGCTCCCGTCTCTCGAGTCTGCATTCGAGTATTGATGACGGGTCGCGCTTTGGGAGTTTGAGAGGATATGCGGATCTGGTGAGAGACTTCAGATGCGCATAGCTATGTCTATTGATCAGGGCAAGGCAGATTTGATCTACCATACTGAGTCATTCGGATATCATATCCATTAGCTCTGGTGGAAGATTCTCAAACGCGAATGGCTTTTTGTGCCGTCCCGGCCAGATGTTGAGAGGATTCATGGCGAGCAAGAACCAAGTGTTATACATATGATGGCATTGGGAGTTCCAGGTTGTTGCCCAGGTGGCCTCTGAGTTTCTATCGAGCCCTGGAGATGCCTAAGATTTCTTTAGCTTCCAAGCTTCCAAGGTTTTCCGATTCATCAGGGCAGTGTCACACTCACATAATGGAGCTTCCAAACTTGGAGTTGTTGGAAGTTTAGACTCCAGGCTATATTGGACGCTGGAAAAACAACATAAGGGATGACCCCCTCGATAATTTGGATGCCGTTGTCGGTTTTCTATAGAGTCCTAGTCTATGCAGTGAATCATGATGTTGCACCACCTGGGCATGTACAGGCTGTTGGGTACCTCCTGCCTCTCCCGGACACAATGGGTAGTAAAGCCCTCGGGCTCTTATGCAGACTGAGTTGGTTGGATTTGAGAAGGTAATTGGGGTATTCCAATGTATTCGAAGGGACTATCAGTCGCGTTATGGAGATAGAGATTACTGGGGGCACGGGCAAACAGTGACACGAGGGTTGGTGCGCAGGATAGAAAGATACACATGGGCAGCAAGTATTCAAGAGCAAAGACAGGCGATAACTGAGATGTATTCCGCACATAGATCGGATTTAGGGCTGTCGGAGTGGGTCTCGACTCTCGAGTACGGAGTATTTGGTCGGTATGCGACACGCGAACGGCGCGTATACAAGCGACCAACGAACATATCTATAAATATTCTTGATGCCTTGGTGTCTATTTTATTCCTTTTGTTCTCGATTCCAACCTTTCATCTCACTAAGTTGTTAGGTTACATACTTCAAGAGACTAAGAGCAAAAAATGCAAGATGCAAGACAGGTACGGCACGAAATGAATGGAGTATCATTGAGGGGGGGTGGAAGAGGATTCACGATACGGGAACATAACGAGAGCAAGAGCTTCGAAATGGGAATACATACAGTGGACCTAGGGAGACAAGTAAAGTTAAAGCAACGGCGATATATACAACTACGACTACGACTACACTACGAACAAGAAGAAAGGAATTTAAAACTACAACTACAACTACAACTACAACTACAACTACAACTACAACTACAAATGCTACAAGAGTTACAAGACTACTACTACGATACAAGCTCAGTGGGTAGATGGCAAAAATATTCAAGCTGGTCTTAGCTTCATCCCGTAGGATTACTAGGCCCCAACACCACGTCGAGGTGCCAGCTTTGCTGGGGTGATAAGGCGGCAAGATATATTGCAAGAAGTATCGCACAAAACGAAATGGCCCCAAGCCAGGACATGGAGACCATGCCCCGACAAGAGATAGATGGGCCAGTGGCCACGGCTAGAAGGAGAAATGGCAGAGGGGAGATGAGAGGGGAGATCGAGAAGAGAAGATGACTGAGATGAAAGCGGACAGGGAAGCTAAGCTAGAGGGCTACAAGGGGTAGGGCAGAAAAAAGAGAAAGAAGAGAGATGTAGGAGGAAGAAAAAAAGTGAAGAGGACAGGGGCCTCGACGGGTTTATATACCTGTGAGCAGGTGACGTGAGCCAATTGCCTGGGAACGCGACAACAATTAGTTCACGATGACCTCTGTTTACCTCGTAGTTGCTGAATTGGGACGTCGTGTACAGGCAAAATACCCAAACTGGAGGGCCTGAGGCGTTGAGAAGGGCCATGACGACACGCCTGGGACGGTTGATTTGGGTGAAACGTCTGAAATGGCGCTGGATACTGCTCAAAAGGGAGTGGAATCGATCATATGGGGTACTTCATAGCCCTAAACCCACGAATATAGCCGTTGAGAGGTAGGGTAGGCGTGAGGTGACGCGGCGGACTTCAAGAGTTGTTGTCAAGCAGTGGACCATGTGAAACTGGATAATGCGGCATGGAGGGCGTACTTGTACAGTAGAAGTAGCATAAGGGCGAGAAATAAGTCCTTTTCAGGGAGGTTAGCGGGTTGTATAGATGGAAAGAGGCCGGGGTGATCAGTTCCAAGGTTGCCTCTGCGGGCAAAACACGTCTGGAATCAAGGAAATACGCCGGTCTTGCTTCAGAACTGTCCTCTTTGAGAAACAAGAAGTGAAATATCCAAGGATATATTGGGAACAAACGTGAATTCTCGTGGTCCAGAAGCGCACCAGCATAGAACATCTTGAACGACCAGAACGACATCTCGGGTCCACGGGTATGGTAAAGGCCAACGAGCCTCTCGCCGACCATGTCTAGGTACCTAAGCAGTATGAGAAATATATTGTCGAGGTGGAGTAACCCATGTCTACTGTACTGCTACTAGGATTCGCAACTGGATGAAAATGATAAGATCGAGAGAATGCATTCATTTGAAAACTCGCCATGACGGGCAAAACGTAACAGAATGCAAATTTTGTGGATTGGGTATCACGATGTTGACAGAAAAAGTAATGTACAACATGCCTGGTGGCGCAGGTGGAGCTCGGTCGCTATATATGAGCGACGGATCAGGGTCGAGCACGGTGCCGTAGCCATGCTTATGAAGCGCACTGGGCAAACGGCCAGGAGCCTGCTGACGGCATCTGATCTGTCTACGTGAGCCTAGACCATGTATGCCCTCAGTGGAGGAGGAAGTGGCCAAGACACTTCCGAGATGTTTGGCGAGAACCCCTTTGCAGAAACGGGGTGGGGGATGGAGGAGCAGCTTAAGCGACCTTTCGGCCGACATTGCCAATTCCACGGCCGACGACACTGACGATAACATCGCCGTGCTCGTTTTCGCCCGCGGCATCCCGAATGCCCCAGCCAGGAGCACCGAACTTGGACAAGTCGCGGGCAAGCTGGATCACACTGGGGTCCGCAATCACCTCGCGGCCGACCTGCAGACGACCCACGTCTTCAGAGCCCATGGTCATGAGAGTAAACATGGTAGCAGCGGCAGCCGGGGCGACGCAACCTCCCTTGGCGACATTCTCCAAAAGTTGGTATGCGCACTGCTTTCCAATATCCTCGGGGGCGGTGCCACCGGATGGCGGGGAGGCAACATCAGCCGAGAACAGACAGCCTGTGGACGACTCTGCTACCAAAGAGAGACCAAATCCAAGACCAATCTTCCTCTTTGCTTGAGGGTTGGTCTTATCGGGAGCTGGAACCAACGGTGCGTTTGCGACGTCGGAGAAGATATAAGTATCCGGGCTGAGAGGGTTGAGAATACCACGGGCAGTCTCAATCATGCGAGCGTTGTTGGAGCCCGACACACCGACGGAGTATACCACACCGCGAATACGCTTGATGCGACCAGCGTTCATCAAGTGCAGAGTCTTCGGCAGGCGGACCTGGTGACCGAACACGAGCTGCACTTCACCACCACCTCCCCTACCAGTTGGGCCGGGGTTTGATCGCTTGAGAATACGGAGCTCAATGTTGTTGAAGATACCAAATTGGTTGTACAGAGGGAGGATGGCGGTTCGGACGCTGTCGACGGACATATCACCGGTCGGGGTGGAGGAGGTGATCACGCCGGGTCCGGAGAAGAAGACTTTCATGGGTGCCTTGGCGAATGGCGCCATCAAACAGAGGGGAATGAGGTAGTAGCTGAGGCCGCGGTTGCAGTTCGAGGGAAGCTCATAGTTGATCATGCCGCCGGAGGCTCCAGTGCCGGAGGTGCTGCCTGTGATCAAACCCGGTTTGTATACCAGGATTGTACCTGTGTAAGAGATCTCCACCTGAGATCCATTGGTAACTGCGTCCAAGAGACGAATGAAAGAAATTTCATGAGGTGCAAGACCTGGGTTCGTGGGCGACGATGACCGAATTTGCGAGATATGAATGGTGCGTCCGGTGAGGGTTGACAATACCAGACGGTATACCAGGTTGTGATGGCCTGTAAACCGTAGAGGGGGTTGTGAGGTAGCCATGGTGTCTTGCGCAACTTGCTCTGGATCTTGCCCTCTGGTCTCGGCTTGATGAAAAAGAAAAATTGGCGCGATAAGGTTGTTCCGGTCCCGATTCTTAAGTCCGGGTTGCAGCTGATATCTCCGGGCATCAGATCATCGCTCGGATTTCTAAGGGTCCATTTAACCTCACGCAACGACTCACCACTTTTTTTTCAGTAAAATACCAGAACCACTCGGTCGCTGAATCACCAGAACCCTCGCGATGCTTCCTCCAGCACTCAATATTCCAAAATGGTCAGTGGTCAGCTCACAATATATTTCGAATCCCACCATGATTCACCGCGGGGACCATGACACATCCTGCATACAAAGTATCTGGACAGCCAACTAACTGATACAGGCTGGAAGAGAACTCTCACCTCCTACAGCCACCAGTCAACAACTATTGTGTTTACCATCCTTCAACGCCGGCAACAGCCGGGTATACAGTAATGATAGTGGGAGGGCCAAATGCGCGAACGGATTTCCACATCAACAGTACTCCTGAGTTCTTCTACCAGTACCGAGGCTCAATGCTGTTGAAGACAGTCGATACCACAACCATACCTCCGACTTTCCAGGACATCCCTATTCAGGAGGGCTCGATCTTCCTGTTACCCGCCAACACACCACATTGCCCCGTGCGGTTCAAGGACACGGTTGGCGTGGTGATGGAGCAGCCCCGAGCGGCAGGTGCGGTGGATTCTATGCGGTGGTATTGCCGAAACTGCAAGGAGATTGTGTGGGAGAAGGAATTTGTCTGCGTTGACTTGGGAACGCAGGTGAAGGCCGTCGTTGAGGAATTCGCGGCTGACGAGGAGAAGCGCAAGTGTAAGGGCTGTGGTGAGGTCGCAGCTTCACGATATGCAGATGGTGAAATAGTGCAGCCGCCAAATGTGCTGGCATAGCAGTTGATAGAACTGGGATTGTAAAATATCTTGACATTGGGTGATGACTATGAGTGACGAATCGAACATCGGGCATGAAATTAGGTCCAGGCACAATTTCACAAGCAAAAGGTTTGATGTATACTAGGTATACTGCTCCTTGGCCATTGAGTAGAAGAATGCCCATCAGCCTTGGAACAATCAGTGCTGCAGTCGATCCAGCTGCTATTGGGCACTTTCCTTTTTGGGAAGAAATCAGAAAACCGTGGGCTTTTCTAGGTGTACGTTCAACCTTGGAAGCTTAGATGCGAATGTGAAATTCTTCCCACAGGAAAATATATGTCAGATTGATGAATACGGACTGTATACATGTTGTGATTACCGAGGAACCTATTTATTACAGTGTGCAGTGTACAAGAACCACCTCCGAGCCGAAAGAGAAACACCCCCAACCCACTTATGCGTCGCCATGATCGTATATCCACAATTTACTCATCAAGAGGGCAATCAATACTTTCGTGGCCATCTCGCTCACAGAGAGCACACCACTTAGACTCGTCAATGACACCGGACGACTTGCCCGCAATAGGGGCCATAGAAGAGCCAAGTCCACCGATTCCCTTCAGCCCTTCCATGACCACGTCCTTTCCAGTCTTTTGTGGTTCATCGTGATCCCTAGGGTGGAGCGGCTCTGTCTTTTCAATGGGCTCCTCGTGCTCATCGACAGGCTCCTCTGTGGGCTTGTGCTCGGCATTCTGGCCAGAACCGAACATGCTAGTACAGTTCAAGATATCGTGGCCACCTGTTTCGCAAATCTCGCACCACAGAGCGTCGTCGTCAGAGGACCGCTCGTATTCGTGCATGGTTTCCAGGCGGGATTGAGAGGTGTTGGAGATGCCGCGGTTGTGACGGGGCTCCGAGGGCGCATCGTGCCAGTCTGGAGGAACAACTGTGCGATCTGAGAGACGGTGAGGATTGTTGTTAGAATGATTGGAGATGTTGCCCGCAGAGTGAGTGGGCTTGTGTTGCTTGGGTGAAAGAGTGACGGTAGAGCTGCGGTTTCGGCCGGATTGGAGGTGCATTTCTTGTAATTCACGCTCAAGCTCTTCAATCCGGGTGTCTTTGTGATCCGCTGTCTCTTCGAAATCGCGGACGCGCTGCTCCAGCTGAGCGAGCTGCTCCGAGTGGTCCTCAGAGTCATGGTGATCTGACTCCGACGCAGGGTTCCCTCGACTTAGAGAATGAATAATGGCTTTAAGCCCTCGGATTTCATCATCCTTCTGATCCAGGTCGCTGCTGTTCCGAGGCCCATCCGAAGTGGCATGGGCATCTTTGAGCGCAGCGGCCGAAGAATCACGCTCCTTCTTCAATTCCAGTTTCGTGCGCTCGACTTCGCCACGCAGGAACTCGACTTCGGCTCTTGCCTCGGCTTCTCCGCGCCGGGCGTCTTCAAGCCCCTCCTCCAATTCGGAGACTAGCTCTTCAAGTTGCTTAAGCTGCTGCGCGACGATCTCGACATCCTCGCCACGGTCTTGGAATTCCTTGTTCTGCTGCATCAGCTCATCGAGTCGCTGCTCGTAGACGCGCTCGGTCTCAGAGGCGGCGATCTCCAATGTATCGAGAGTGCTCCGGAAGTCTGCGCGGTGACCATCGAACTCGGCCGTGAGCTGGGTGATTCGCTCGTTGCGTTCCCGTAACTGGGTACGCAAGGACACGCCCTCCGATCCCTCCATTTCCTCCAATGTCTTCTGGAATTCATTCAATGTCCCCGTCTGCTCATCTAGCTGCCTGTCGCGATCGAGCAGTTGCTTTTCAAGATTCTTAATTTGATCCTTGAGCTCCTGGTTTCCCGATGAGCTCGGCCGACGGAAATCGGAGGGTCGGCCATATGAAGAGTCATCATCGGCGGTGCTGATCCGGGACGACGGTCTGTCAGAAAGTCGAGAAGGGGCCTTGACTGGGCTTCGTTGGGCACTGGTCAATCCACTCCGCGATGCTGCGGATGGTGTGCGCAAGCCACTGAGGCTCAACTTTGGCGGGGGCACGCGCGGCGATTCAGGTCGAGGGAGCGAGGGTCGTCGAACGCGGGGACGAGGTGTTGTTAGAGCCGGTCCAACTGATTTGCTGAAATTGACGGGCCCTCCCCGCCCCGGGGTTGTTGGGTTCGAGATGTTCGAGGTCGATCGTCGGGTGACATACTTGCTGTTGTTCATAGGCACAAAGATGCCCGAACCGGGTATCGAGGTGGTGAAGTACTTTCGACCCTCCACATCACCACTGTTCTTTCCCCTCGGCGCGTGCTCGGAGCTCAATTCGACGCCTGCAAATCGACCTGGCTTCCCCGCCACTGATCCCAAGAATTTGATCGTCCCATACATGCCACCAGGGACATTCACCACATCCCCGACCTGCACATCGTCAAAAGGCGCCATTGGGACGAATGTAAATGTAGATATGAGCGTCAAAGGGCGAAATGGCGAAATGGGTATTTAAATGAAAGCTTCGGCGAATATGAATAGCCCCTGGAAGGATCAAAGGGCGAAATGAGGGTCTAATGCAAGGACGAGAAGTAGCCAACTCCCATGACGAACAGGCAAAGTGAGACACAGATGGAGATCTCGATTCAAGGAGATCTCGCAGAGAGTGGGATGTCACGTCGAGATCGGGAGGGAAAGGGGGACAACAAATAAATGTGAGCTCCACCCGTGCGTAATCGACCACTCGACTTCATCTCCGCATATTGCCCTTCACACGGAGACTGTCATACACGCCTTGCCGTTTGCTTCTCGGTATCGCTTCGGTGTTCGATTGCGCTCATCTCGACTCCGTACAGCGGCTCTCACAGCCGACTACGCATCCTGCAGATCGCTGTATCCGCATCCGCATTCACATCCACCTCCTCCACGTTCGCACTGCATCGTTCATCATGGCGCAATATTTCTTCGATCTCTTATACAACTTCACGGATTGCATGTGTTGCTTTCCTAGCTCTCCACAGCTTAAGATCAACAATCGGAGTTTCAAGCTCATGCGGCTGCTTGGCGAGGTAAGGCCTCAACCCCAATGCCAGCTGGCCCGACTGACACCACCCAGGGCGGATTTTCCTACGTCTACCTCGTCCAGGATAAAGCCACTTCCGAATTGTTTGCGCTGAAAAAGATTCGCTGTCCATTCGGCCAGGAATCCGTATCGCAAGCTCTGAAGGAAGTGGAGGCCTACAACCTATTCAACTCCCAATCGAACATCATCCACTCGATCGACCACTGCGTCTCCACAGAATCCGGCTCCAAGTTCCGATCGGACGGCGGCGATCCAGGGTCCAAAACTGTCTACATCTTGCTCCCATACTACCAGCGCGGCAACCTGCAAGATGCCATCAATGCCAACCTGGTCAACCACACCAAATTCCCCGAGAAGCGGCTGATGGCGTTGATACTTGGTGTCGCGGACGCACTTCGCGCGATGCACCAGTACCGCGTGAAGAGTGGAGCTTCATCTACCCGCAAGGCTAAGGGTGTGAGGAGAGAAGGGGAGGAGGCAGATGCCGAACGGACGATGCAGATGAAGCCAAAACGGCGGGCGAGTCATCGCGCTGACGACGAGGATGAGGAGAATGAACCTCTCATGGACGATGAGGTTACTCGCAGTCAGGAGGGTGTGGAAGATGGGGACCTGCGTCCCTATGCGCACCGAGATGTGAAGCCTGGTAAGCTACCAGATAATATAGAAGATGCATGTACTGTGTACGAGCTAACGTGTGACAGGAAACATCATGATCGCAGACAATGGTCAAACCCCTATTTTGATGGATCTCGGCTCATTGGCGCCCAGCCCTATCGCTATTACCTCTCGCTCGCTCGCGCTGGCAGTCCAAGATACCGCGGCTGAACACTCAACGATGCCATACCGTGCACCTGAGCTCTTCGACGTGAAGACCGGCTCTATCATCGACACTAAGGTCGATGTCTGGTCGCTAGGTTGTACCTTGTACGCCTGTTTGGTCGGAAAGAGTCCCTTCGAGGCACGTAGCGAAGAGACAGGCGGTAGTTTGAGTATGTGTGTTCTCGGTGGTGATTGGCGCTTCCCCGATGAGAAGTCCGGCGCTTCAAAGGGGAAGGCCAAGTCCGGCGAAGGCGAGGCATCCAAGAATGATGACCCGGCGATCAGCGAGGCTGTCAAGGATGTGGTTCGCAAGTGTCTCACCGTCGAACCTTCCGAACGACCCGACATTGATGAGCTGATCGATCTCATGAAGGGCGTGATTGCGCAAATGCCCGAGGACGACGTCGCAGGTCCCTCTCACTAGTTACATTCATCGGCAGGCTCCGTATTGTGTTTTGTATAGTAAAATGGCGAAGGCAACCCATATCGATCAATTCCTCAGCGCCATATCGATTCTTCTATTTAATCAAGTCTGATTACTTTGACTCGATTACTTTTGTATATCAGACCAGTTGGCCAGTTGACGTTCCTCACCTCTTGGATGACTTCATCATTACGGCAGCCCGTGGATTTACCTACGGGCTCCAGATGTCCAGGCCTCTAGAGCTACATGTATAACCTGAACATCTTCAATGCGACAGACGTCGATCTTCACGATGAATCAAGCATTCAATGACGAAACCCTCGGGGCAGATATAACACGTCTCTTTTCGGAACGGATTCGGGGCAAGAACTGTACATACTCATCGTCCGCTTCCTAGAGCCGGCAACTAACCCTGGCAGTCATTTTAGCGGGTCTCAAGAGAGGTGACCTAGCCGCCGCCACTGCTGATGCCCTCGCTGCAGCGCAAGCCTCCACCATCATATGCACCGGCCACTGCCAACCCGAGCTTCAGCCAGTCATTGACCACATCAATCGCAAGTTCAAGAATGCCAATATGATCTTTGTCACCGCGGACTCGAGCAGTCTGGCCTCGATGCGCGAAGCCGGCCATGTAATCAAGAGAATAGGCCTTCCCATAGATGGATTCATAGGCTTCCCATCCGTCATGGCTGTGCCATGGGAGATGACGGCGGATGGGCACGAGTCGCACTTTCAGAAGAACTATCTGTCCTATTTCTTGCTCGTGAATGTGATTCTCGATCTCATGGTGCCGAAGTCCAGAATTGTCCTGGTCACGTCTAGTATGCGAGTCGAAGCGCCGGCACCGACGTGGAGGGATATTCGGTTTTCGGTGAGCTGAAAGAATTTTTTCTTAGCCTTGCTGACCAGTGCAGAATGGAGAAGATTATCACTGTCTCGATGGATATGCACAATCCATGCAGGCGATCATTCTATTCATCAAGTCTCTCGCGAAGAAGTATGAAAGCCGCTCGATCACTGCTTTTTCAGCCAACCCGGGAAGTAAGTATTACTCTGTATCAGTCAACAGTGCTGACTTTGATAGATACCAAGACCAATGTGCGGACGTATGTTACGACAGAGCAGATAGAGACATGGCTGCAGCGGAAGGCGATAAGTAAGCCCCTTGATTGCACCAGTTGACTCGCCAATCCTAACTCGGGAAACCTCCTATCAGAGGGCGAAGAGATCCCGGTGCTTCTTCAGCAGTCACCCAAATCACTTGCACAGGGAAGCGCGACTGTCCTGCGGGGACTACTCGATCCAGACCTCGAAGGTGAGTTGGCGATGATAAGGACTTCCAATGATATTGCCAAAAAAGTGAGCTGATATGTGATACAGAACACTCTGGGTCATTTCTGGATCACTGTCAGACCCTTGCATTGCCCCATCTTGACTTCCCAGCGGGTGAAGATAGTGCTGCGGCGTTGTGGGAGCGTAGCCAAGGGTTTGTCAAGGAGTTTCTCTGAAAGACCGAATGAGGAAGGGAATCTATTGGCATTAGTGGGATTTGGAGTAACTCCAAAGAACTAATAGGCCCGGGTCAGTAGACGGGTAACCTGCGAAGATAAGACAGCGGAATCAACGCCGCCAGCTTCTCCGCATGTCCGCATTGACCTCTATTTACTTCGGCATCGATTTCATGTCTTTGGTATGAGTCTGTAGTTAGGCGTAGAAAGAGCTGATCTGGTCTTATGCCCAAGTCTATGCCAGTTCTACTAGCAGACTCGTCACTACATAGTATCCAATAGTCACCTCAAATTGTCCAGACTCAGATATCAGAGTCAACAAGATAAATTGCGGGGAAACAGCCAAGCCGGCAGTGGAGCTTATCTTGCTCGTACTGGTCGTTTTAGTTCATTCTTGCCTTCAGGCCGATTGGTGTCTCCTCACTGTGCCGGGACAATGACTTCATATAAACCCATCTGGCCTCCAACTAATCGGACTGGACCCTCCCTACATTCCTGGGAACCGTGCAGCTTATTATCCGTCGCCCTTCCCAGCCAGTGTGGCACTTGTATAAAGGCACTTTCTTGAATATAAACGGCAAATATTCTGACTGATGGCGCCCATCATCAATAGCGCAGCCACTCCTGGGACTGTGACTCTGGTCGACGTAGACCATGTCTTGGAGACACGGCATTTGGCCCGTGGGGACCGCGATATCGTCCTGGTTCCTACGCCCTCAAATGACCCAGATGATCCTCTCAATTGGAGCCCGAGGAGGAAACTTATGTCTACAATTTGCGTGAGCGTGTAAGTGCCCTCTTCAAATTTGAAATCCAGCATGGCTTATTGCGATCAGAATCCACTGACTGGCTCAGCTATACATTGTTTTCTGGAATTGCTTGCTCAGTTGTTTATTCTGTTCTTACCCCACTCCATGAGGCCACCGGACTGCCAGTGAGCACATTGAATGAGGGCACGGGGTACATGTTCCTACTGGCTGGCTGGGGGTTGCTGTTCTGGCAGCCATTTGCGATGCAATATGGCAAGCGGCCAACCTATATTTTGTCATTGATTGGGATCTTGGTAAGAACAGCCAAACTGTGTCTCAATTGGCTCTAAACTAACTATCCATAGGGGGTGACCATGTGGGGGTAAGAATAGCCCAGCAATGAGACCTGAGTGAAGGGATACTAATACCAAAGAAAGGCCATATGCAGGCACAAATGGACAATGGATCGCAAGAAACATCGTGTCTGGATTCTTCACGGCGCCAGTTGAAGCTCTTCCCGAGATATCTGTCACCGACGTGGTGAGTGGGCCCTAATCCTGGACGAGCCTCATGCTAACGTGCACAAGTACTTCACACACGAACGAGGGACATACATGGGCCTGTACGCCTGCTTTTTGGCAGGAAGCAACTATCTAGCACCGGTGATTTGTGGCTTCATTGCCGAATATCAAGGTTGGCGATGGGTTTTCTACTGGCCTAGCATCTTCGTTGGTTGTGCCGCCATCTTTTTATTCTTCTGTTGTGAAGAAACCAACTACGCACGCGAACATGTCGACCCGCCGGTGACTGCAGTTGTCGAGTCATCGGCCACGAGCGAGCATAGCGGCGAAAACGAGAAATCGGTCCCAGCTGATACTGAGGCTGCGGAAGTTGGTACGGTTTATACGAAGAAGTCCTACGCGAAGAAGTTGTCACTTTTGGGACCTCGTCAGAAACAAAATACAGTGTTTCGAAGATTTTGGCAGATCTTATATTATCTTTCCTGGCCTGTCATTTTCTATGCTGGGTATGTTCTTTCTCGCGGGCTGCTCTGCTTCAACTAATACCGGCCAGTTTCTCTTACGGATCCTACTTGGTCTTCTTCAACATTCTCAATGGCACTGCGTCAATTATTCTTGGTGGAACGCCTTACGACTTCAAGTGAGTATCCCCCGAAACAAAATTATTCAGACTGACTCGTCAAGGTCGTCCATGGTGGGTCTCAGCTACCTCGCGTGCTGCCTCGGTGTTATTCTAGGATCGATCTTCACTGGCCGCTTTAGTGACTGGCTAACAGTCAAACTTGCCCGGCGGAACAATGGAGTCATGGAAGCTGAACACCGTCTTTGGCCATTCCTCGCATGTCTCTTCCTTGTGCCTGCTTCTCTCCTCTTGTGGGGAGTTGGAGCCGCCCACGAAGTTCACTGGTTTGGACTGATTGTTGCCATGTGCATGCTCGCTTTCACCAATACCTGTGGAATCACACTGAGTGTCAATTACTTCATCGACAGCTACCGAGAGCTGAGTGGGGTTGCCATGGCCAGCGTCATCCTGGTGCGAAATACCATGTCTTTCGCCATTGGGTATGGGATCACGCCCTGGATTGACAACATGGGTTACCAGAACTGCTTTATATCTGCTGCATTCATTGGCATGGCATGCGCATCCGTTTTCCTGTTCATGATCAAGTTTGGCAAAACTTTCCGGGAACGTTCTCGCGAGAAGTACTGGAAGCTCGTGCAAGAAAACTGGGAGAAGGGAATGGGCCATTAATTGCTGATCCACAAGAAGCTCATATTCAATATACAATTATAATCACTCTTTAAGATGAATATCCCCCTCCTCGTCGTAAACAATCTCTCTCATCTTCACAGATCTGAGATGATCAACTCCCTTTGAGAGCTCACAATCATGATAGAATAACCACCATTTGCCCCCAAACTCCGCAATGGAATGATGCGTCGTCCACCCAAGAACAGGATCCAGTATTCTCCCCCGATACGTGAACGGACCCAAAGGCGAAGTGCCCGTCGCATAAGCCAGGAAATGCGTATCACCCGTCGAATACGAGAAATAGTACGTGCCCCGATACTTGTGCATCCACGCAGCTTCAAAGAACCTCCTTTCATGATCATCTGCCAGCAGTGGCTCGCCAGTTTCCGGAGCCAACAATTTGATCTCTTGGACCGGCGAAGCAAGACTCAACATATCTTCACTTAGCAGCGCCACACGAGGACCGAGGGCTCGTACGCCCTCCCCAGAAGGCTCGTGGGGACCAGAAAGCGATTCATCAAAAGCGAGCTGTCTCTCATTTCCATCCATGTCGATCTCGGTTCGTCCCTCTCCTTCAACCCAGCATTGTAGCTGCCCGCCCCAGATGCCGCCCGTATACAGGTAAGCTTCATTTCCGGCATCTGTGTTGACAAAGACAGCGGGGTCAATACTGTAAGAGCCCGGAATGAAGTTCTCTTCTGGAGAGAATGGTCCCTCGGGCTTATCTGATACAGCAACACCGATGCGGAAGATATTCTCTTTGTCTCGGGCTGGGAAGAACAGGTAGAATTTTCCATTCTTTGTCGCTGCATCTGGTGCCCAGAGTTGCTTGGAGACCCAGGGGACATCGCTGTCGCGGAGAGCGATGCCGTGGTCGGTTACGGGACCTCCTGGTGTGTCCATTGAGAGAACGTGGTAGTCTGCCATGTCGTACTGGTCGCCATTGTCGTTGAATGCGATTGTTGTCTCGCGATCGTGAGATGGATAGATGTATAACTTGTCGTTGAAGACGTGGGCCGAGGGGTCCGCCGTGTATATGTGGGAGACGAGAGGCTGAGGCATGATTTCGTATGTTTTTCTCTTCCTTTTTAATTGAGTATTTTAGCTGGAGCCTCGGATTGTATTTATGTTCTTGTGTTCTATTTAGCCTATGGTACCTACAGACTTGAGCGGCTAAAGTAGCTCGGCGTCAGCTCCGTATTAGCCTGATCTGGAGAAGCAATGGCAATGAAACTGTTCTTTGTCTATGATTTCTTTTATGATTTTATATTTATCATGAAACTCGATCATTTTTGGCTCCAGCGGTGTCCCTCGTCCCTCGAGGCCCGGTCCAAGGCCTCATCCCACTCCTCCTGCATCACCTGCAGTGTCTCAGTCATTTCATAATCCATTTCCATCTCTGGGTCAATCTCGTCTACATGGAGATCCTCCCAGGCCTCGTATACGGGTGACTCGCACCCGCTGAGGCCGATAAACTGCCCGATTCGTCGGCGCTTTGTATCGAGATCCATTAAAACCTCGAACTGCGATCCAATCCAGGGCCGGATGAGGATGGGGTAATCACCGGTTTCCTTGACAGGAGGCCAAACTTGGTGGAAGTGGCGGCATAGTGCGTCACATTGTTCATGGGTGAGTAGGTTATAGGCGAGCATTGTTGCTGGGAAGTCAGGGTGGGTTTCACCTGTTACACAGTTCACCAGGGGGGTTAGACGGGACTCGAGGTGTCGTAGCAGGGGGATGAAGTCTGGGTGGAATTTTGTAGATGGAGTAAAGGTTGGAGCTCGGCCTGATTGAGTGTACTCTGACAGATTCTGAGTGGAAATGGACAGAGTTCGCTCGGCAATAGAACTTGAGAGACTTTGGGTTGGGGAGATGGGGCTTGTTGGGCTGAGGGGGTTGGTGTTCTTCTGCATTGTGAAGAGTAATTGCAACTGTATAGTATTGAGATGGTGATATTGAGTTGGTATTCGTAAAGATGGAAGCTTGATGATAGAGTATCGAGGAGAAGGGGACAGGCTTATATATCCGAAAAGTATGCAATTGTTAGAACAAAAGACCGTCGACACTAACATGAAACCTTTGTTTCTTGACACCAGACAATGCTCTGTAACCATTGTTGCTATGTTTCGAAAATAACCAGTCATTGTCTAAAGCTCAAAGAAAATGTGATCAAAGCGACATATTATTCACTTCCCCAGCCAAGTCAGGTTCCTCGAAGGCCGGGGGAAGACCCACATACTTGTTGATCCAGTTCAAGACGGTACGGTGCCACAAGAGGGAGTTCTCAGGGTTAAGGACCCAGTGGTTCTCATCTGGGAACGTCAAGAACGCACTGTCGATGCCTCGGAGCTGAAGCACGTTGAACGCAGCCAGACCCTCTGCAATAGTAAGGCGGTAGTCCAACTCATTGTGGATGATCAGATGAGGCGTCCTCCAGTGTTCAGTGAATCGTGATGGATCCCACTTCGCCCAGTTCTCGGGGACCTTCCAGATAGGACCCTTCAGATCATGAAGAGGGAAGTACTGCTCTTCACTGGCAAGTTGACCGGTCATGCTGAATACACCATCATGAGTGACCAGTGCCTTGAACTTTCGTCCAAGCAGGTTGCCCTGGATCCAGTTCATCATATAGCCACCATAAGAGGCACCAAGTGCCACCGCGCGCGTAACATCCACGTAGTTGAGGTGCTGCTCGATGTAGTCAAAGCCTCGAACGAGATCTTCGTAGGGCTTACCGCCCCATTCTCCTTTGATTGCGTCCGTGAAGGGCTGGCCGTAGCCGGTACTTCCCGTTGGGTTGGGTGTGATCACGACGTAGCCCTGCTCAGCGAATACAGCGGGGTTCCAGCGAGTACTCCACTGATCATTCCACGCGCCCTGGGGACCACCGTGGATCATGTAGGCAAGCGGGTACTTCTCGCCCGGCTTGAAATTAGACGGCTTCACAACCCAAGCGTGGACCGGGTGGTCCTCAGCTCCCTTGAACCAGATCTCGTCGACCTGCGACGAAGAGAGGCCAAAGGCACTGCCACCGCGACCGTTGGATGAGACCATCTGGACGTCATCCGGATGGGAAGGATCAATGATGGTCCATAGGCTGTTGTCGACGAGGCTGCTGCTGGACACGAAGAGCTTGGGAGAGTTGGCCGCTGCGGGAACGGCGTCATTGACGTATCCCGAGCGAGTCAGTCTCTTCAAAGAATCAGGCTTGACCTTCTCAGGGTTCTCCAGAGGAAGCTGGTATAGAACACCACGACCTGCTTCTTCCACATGGAGCAAGAGTGACTTATCATCGTGTGCGAATGCCACCGATGAGGGGCTAAGATCCCAGAGACCATCTCCGTTGTCCGACTCGAAAATCTCGATCATGTTTCCATCCCATGGGTTAGGGACGTACAGAATACGGTTCTTATCAGACTCGTAGCCGTCCTCGCGCATAGCCAGCAGCGCGATGGAGCTACCGTCGGAGTTCAGGACTGGAGATGACATCGCTCCCTGAAGACCTGTAACTTTACAGATCTTCGCATCCGGCTCACTCATACTCGTCCAAGAGAACATTGGAGCATAGTAGCACGAGCAAGAGGTATGGGTTGCGGGATTAAGGGCAGGGTCTTTGGCAATGAACACAATTGCCGACGGGCTGATGTCAAAATCACCACTACCACCAAATGGAGGGATGGGCGACTCGACACCAGCCAGTCCCGAGACCTGGATCAGGTTCGTCAGCCCGGAGAGGGAGTATTTCCCCGCACGCCTGCGAGCTGGAGAAAGAGGCGCCTGCTCCAGCAATCCATACCAGATGGCGTTCTTCTGGGGCTCAACATACGAGTCCCAGTGGCGGACAAACAGTGATGTATAGAGTTTACCAGTAGTGTATGGTTTCTTTGCATCGTGGGGGTTGTACAGCGACCCGTCCGTGTTGGCCTTGCCCGTCACAGCGAAGCCAACCTTTCCAGGCTCGATGGTAGTGACCTTAAGGTCCGAGACTGGACCGGGAACAGTTCCAGCGGTGTATGTGTTATCGGCCTGGCGAGAATCACCAATGATGAAACTGGTGTTTCCATTGCCTTTGGTCTTCAGCCAGACAAGCTGGTCGCTGTCCTCTACCCATTGCGGATTGCTGGCGCCCGGGTCATTGGTGATCAGGGCTGAGCGGCCGGATTCAATTTCAATGACACGAATCTCATTGGTCTTGGAGTGTGACTCAAACGAGTAGGAGGTCTGGGTGTAAACGGCGAGGGTGCCGGCTGCATTGGGGATGGCCGAGGACCGCCTGGGGGCGCCGAGCAAGATCCTAAAGGGTGTTTGTTAGTTGGACTGCGAAGCATCGATTGTCAAGCTATTTGAGGGAACAAAGATGCCACGTACTCGGGCGTGAACTTCATGGAGCGAATGGCCATGGCAGATGAGATCGTCAGATAAGATAAAGAGCTCCAAGGAGCTGTTGTAAGGGTCCAGTTGAGCTAAGTTGAAAGATCGTCAGGAACTCAACGGGGTAGATACAATATGAGTATTCAGAGAGGGGGGTTGAGATGTAAAGAGAGGAGTTGGAGAAGGGGCTGGGCGTGTTCTCTCATGCGGGGGACCCTGATGGGGCTAGTAATCAGCTCACATGAGGTCACTCGGGCATGCAGGGCGGTTTCTTGGCATCGACAGTACGAAGCCCTGATAATACAGATGGAATTATGGAACATTGGAATATATTGCGTGTCCAGAAACTGAAGTATTATTACAAATTGGAAGGCATTCACTCTTCTTCCTCACTCTCATCCTCCTCCATACCCTCTGCTGCGTTCACACTGAAGGTGGGGGCCTGATCAACACCAACATAACTGTCGCTCATCAAGTAGAGCGTCAATTCGTGCTCGCCAGGCGTAGGAACAACGTACTCCAGGCGGAGCTCCAGCTTGCGACCGATGGTGACACGCTTGATAGCCAACAGACTCTTAGTCTTCTCATCGCCAACAACCAACCACCAGTTCTCCATCTTCTGGTTGGGGTAGAAGGGCGCGTGGACTGTGGTGTCGGGCTCTTCATCCTCCTCGAGTTCTCGCTCAATCTTGACCTTGAGATACGAGGGGTCGCCAGAGGTGATGTTCTTGGGGTCCTCAACCTCGAAGTCAAGCTCAATGTTCGGGTACTTGTCATTGGTGAAGGACGCGACCTGCTTCAATTGGGTCGCGTCAAGACCAAGGCGCTTGACCAAGGCAGCATGATTCTTGTTCTCCGAAGGGTCCATAGCTTCCATGAACTCGAAGATATCGTTAATCCTGCACGAAGAGTGGTTAGTATTGATCGGCAGATGCAAAGGATGGAATGCTACATACTTGAATTCATTGGCCACCTTGATGACCTCAGGGGAGAAGTGAGGGATCTGCTTCAGAGGGCTGTCCCGATCCCACATGGATTGAACCACCATCTGGGATAGCTCCATTGCGTTCATTGCGTTGAGATGACCCTCGGAGGATAGAACGTCAACACAGGCGCTGAGAAGGTTGAGGACCTTTCCAACAATGTCTTCCTGGTCCTTGGCAAGATCAAGAGGGAGTTGCATGCGAGAGAAGTGGGCTTGGAGAAGAACGAACGCCTTGAAATGGGGCGAGTCGTACGAAACCTCGGCCATCTTAACCGGACAGCGATCGTACACCCGGCGGAGGATGTGACTCTCGTGACGGCGGATCTGGATAGACTCGAATTCGGTCGCTGACGTGACGATTTCAAGGATTCCCTTGAGCTTAGTTCGCGACGAAAGCGACAGAAGGAAGGTCTGCATCGTGATGAAAGAGATGTTGTAGTAGGCACCGATCATGGCCGGGTTCAGAGGCGAGACGCTGTCGTCTTCCTCGTCGAGGTCAATGATCTTCGCTTCGGACAACTCCTTCAATGTGTTCTCTACCAGCTCAGACAGGAATGTGCTGAGACCCTCGTGGCTGATGTCACTCAGACCGTAGAAACTGGGGTTGGCCAGAAGACGACGGTAGAAATAGGTGTAGGTCATCCAATCGACAGCATCCTGAGTCGATGTAAGAGTCCTCGTGCTGGCTTCGGTCACAAAGGCATCGTGCAGGTAAACCTGCAGGTGACTCTCCACCGGTAGAGCTTCGTTCAAGAACTTCTTGTAGTAGTCACGCTTGACTGCGGGTACCATGAGTACACCACGGCCGACCTTGTCTTGACCAGGGCGGGAGGCCTTGCCGAACATCTGCAAGATATCGCTGATGGGGTAATCGATGTAGCGATGCTCACGGCCGTCAAAGAACTGGGTGTTCATAACAATGACCAGGTGGGCTGTGATATCCAATTCCCAACAAACATCTCTGGAGGCCAGCATGACCTGAATCGCACCAAGGCGGAAGAGATAAGTGACGATGCGCTTATCGCTGGCGTTGAGAGCTTCGTGGTAATAGCCAATACCGTGAGAAAGCGACTGGGCAAGAGTCTGCTCGTGAATGCGCCCGAGGAGGGGTGCAAGTTGTTCGACGTCGGCATTCAAGAAACGATCATCGTCGTTGTCGATGGCACATGCCGAAAGCAGATCCATGGCAGTGGCGCGAACTTGCTTACGGCTTGGCACGAAGACAAGAGCGGGCTTGTCAGGCGATAGCTGGAGGATGGACTGGTATGCGGGCCGAGCCATTGCGAGCATCAAGGAGGGGAAATGAGGGATGGTGAAGGATTGGAGGTGTAGCTCCAATGGCACAGGGCGAGCGTGTGGGCTAAAGTTGAAGATAGTGTGCTTGTTGGCGCCAATCCACTCTCCAATGTCACGAGCGTTGGAAAGAGGCACACTAAGACCAATGATGCGCATCTCATTTTCGGTCTGGAGAGCAACGTAGTGCATGCGGGATACAACAACTTCGTAGATGTATCCGGCGAAGCCGCCCAGAAGATGCAACTCATCCGCAATGAAAAGCTGCACTGTTTGAATATTCTTACGTCGCTGCCACTGGCGGGACAAGACATCCCATTGGGTGGGGGTTGCAAGAATAAGATCAGCCTGCTCCAGGAGCTTGAGATCGGCGGTGGTTTCGCCTGTGAGCTTGAGGATTGTCTTGCCGCCATCCAGCCCAGCGAAACGCTCCTTCCAATCAGCGAGCCTGAGGTCTACCAGTTCCTGGAAGGGAGCGATGTAGACCGCACGGCCGCCCTCCCTGGTTGCCCAGTGCCGAAGCAAAGCCAACTCAGCACAAACGGTCTTGCCACTGCCTGTAGGAGCACCGATGAAGATATTGTCATCGCTGTCGAAGACTGACTTGAAGACCTGGGACTGGATCTTGTTGAAGTGTTGCCAGTCGGGGTACAGTGCCTGGTAATCTTCGCGCTTCAATGCTTTGACTGGTGCGCGCTGCATATCCAGCAAAGGGGTGTGGGGAGGGAAGCGCTCGGGAAGAATCAGCTTCTGGAAAGAGACTGCAATCTTCGTTTCAGAGTGCATCCATCTGTCGGATACCAGTGAGATGAAGTAGTTGGGGGGCATCGGCTCGGTGACGGGAACAGTGAACTCAACGAGATGCTCGTTCATCTCAGACTTGGCAAATTCACTGCGAAGCAAGAATCGGTCATGGAACAGAATTTCCTCGCCGTCACAGTCTTCGACCAAGATCCAGAAGTCTTGAGCACCGCCGTGCACATTGTCATCCCAGACAAAGTTTGGCGAAATTGTCAGCTCAACCCGCAGCATCGACCGTGTGATGGGTTGCACTTGAGCTTGAACATCGAGTCTAGGGAACTTGGATACCAGATCACACACAACACGACCAGCCTTGGGCATTCCAAGAAGCTCGCCCATGCGGGGGGGATCCAAATCAAAGTAGCTGTTCCAGGGAACATCGATTCGCTCGGCCTTCTGCAGCACATCTCTTGGGCAGTGTGAGAATTGACGAAGGGGAGACATGGTAGGCCACATGCGCTTCTCTGCCATTTTGCAGAGATCGAGTGCGGTTTTGGCAACGGAGGACCAGCCCTTCTTCAAGCAAATTTCGAAAAGCGCTCGGATGATACGACCAGCCGACTGAGTAACGTAGACCATATCAGCCATCAGAGCAAGACCGTCGAGCTTGAGTCTCGAGATGTAGGCTTGCAGAAGGACGTTGATCTTCGCGTGAGGCTCATCGATAGTTTCCTTGACAGGCACGGGAACACGGCCAAGGAGCTTCCCGAGCTCCAGCTTCTCATCCTGGCGGACTGGGATGTACTTGAACTCGTCACTGAGAGCAAAGATGCGGAACAGCTCGATGGTTGTGATGGAGGGTTGAAGGTGTTGGGAGTAGGTCAACATCGAGTTGTGACCAATGTAGTAGTGTGAGGAAATGCGGCCAAGCTCGGTCGATTGGAGACGTCCAGTCTTTTTCTCATACTTGACGAGGCCGGCCTTTTCAAGAACAGCAGCAGCAGAATGGATCAGGTCAACGCGCTTTTGTTCCAAAGCCTCGTCATCCTGGTAGTCCGCTCCGACACTGTATAAGCCAGGCGACCGGAGCATACGCACATAGAGGTACGTGTAGCCTAGCCACTCCACGCCATCATCGCGAGTACGGACATTGCCAAGAACAATTTCAGCATTCAAATTATCTGCCAACTTGCTCATCAGTTGGGATTCGATGGGCAATTGCTGATTGAGCAACGAGAGATAATATTGAATTTCGGCTTGAGACGTGATGATAATACCCTCACCAAACGTATCATATTGGGGTCGACCAGCACGTCCCAGCATTTGCAGAACGTCCTGAGGGCTCAGCTCGACCCAAGCGCCCTTCTCGGGCGAATAGACTTGTGTACCCTTGATAATGACGGTGTGGGCGGGAAGGTTAACACCCCAAGCCAGAGTCGATGTACACACAAGTACCTGGATGCTGCCATCTGCGAACAGTGCTTGGACGGAGTCACGATCAGCCAGACTAAGACCAGCATGATGAACTCCAAATCCGTAGGGCATAACATCCTTCAGACCGGCATCATCCACAGAATCGGCTTCTTCCGCAAGAATGGCACGGCTAGCAGCGTCACTGCGCAAGATCTGACCAATCGTTTCATTTTCAAGAGCCTTGTCCCTGATGTACTTGGCCGTTTTCACGGTCTCTTTGCGCGAATGCACGAAGATAAGCATCTGGTTTCGGCGCTGGCCGACTTGCTCCATCACTTTGGTGTAGCAAATGTCGTTCATCGTCTTCAGCTGCTTGATTGCCTTCTTGTCGGTGACACCAATGAACTCCTGCTTGAGAGGACAAGGGCGATAAGTGCCATCGAAATGGAACATACCCTTGACAGGATCGGCGCGCAAAAAGCTTCCAACATCTTTATAGTTGGGAAGCGTTGCACTCAGACCAACGATTCTGACCGGCTCGCCGGTCTGCTCTGATCTGCGGATGGTTCGGCTGACGATGCTCTCAATGACGGGACCACGGTCATCGTGAAGAAGATGGATCTCGTCGATAACGACGAGGCGGACGAGCTTCGTGTAGCTGGTCTCGGAGGCCTTTCTTGTGATAACGTCGTACTTCTCGGGTGTCGTGACAATAACCTGTGTATCGGCAATTTGCTGTTTGGTGAGCTGGCGATCACCAGTAAGTTCAGCCACGCGGATACCATAAGGCTCGAGGCGCTTTCCAAGATTGCCAACTTGTTCCTGGACCAAAGCTTTCAATGGAGAAATATAAACGATTTTGAAGTCATCCAACATGATCTCGCCGGTCTCGGGGTTGCGGTTTTTACCGATTTCCCGAAGAAGTGTAAGCATGGCAACGTTGGTCTTTCCAGATCCCGTTGGGGCACAAACGAGCATATTGCCGTCATCGTGGAAGGCCGAAGGATAACACTTCGACTGGATTCGGTTCAATTCCTTGGCAGTTCCGAATCCAACACGCGCCCATTCTGGCAGTTCGGTAGCGGGAATGAGCTTCTCACCAGCTTCCTTCTTGGCCTTAGGTGGCGGTACGTGGATCTCTTCGTATCCCTTGAATGTGCGTTTGCTAGAGCCTTGTGGTAACTTGACGTTGGGGTTGGTCATGAGATGGTTGCCCTGGTGGAAGACGAGGTTCTCCAGGTTGATGGTTCTCTTCGGTTGAAGGGGGCCGGTCTGTGCTGCAGGCTTCCCGTCCTCGGTTGCACCTGAAGGAACATCGACGTCCATCAAGTCAAACTTCATTTTCTTTTCGGGGCGCTCTGCAAGGTCGTCGCCGGTCTCTTTTCCACGAATCTCATCCAGAATTGCGCGGTGGCCAGCTTCAACCATCTCAATCTCGACTAGATTGCGGGCATCGGCCTCCTCTGCAACCCTTCGCCAGCGGGTCACCCACACGGCCTTATCGCGGTTAGTGACCAGTTTCGCAACCAGGTCAGGATGATCGTAGTCGAAGAGTTCCATCAAATCGTTCTCAACATCGCGCAAGGGCTTCGGTGTTCCATCCTCCTCCTTGCCGCCGAGAATTGCAAGAGCCTCATCGGTCTTCTCTTGTTGGGTATGGGCATCAGAATATAGGGAGCCTATTTGGCGCTGCAGCCAGTAGGCGTCAATTTCGCGGGCCGAAACTCTCAGGCCGGTCTTGTCTGCAACTTGATCGTTTCCACCAAGACCTCCATCAAGAACCATTTCGTCCCCATCCTCGTCTTTGGGGGCGGGAGCGTCGTCGGATTGTGGTTTGTCTTCATCAGCTTCGTCGTCGTCGTCGCTGAGGTCGTCGTCATCGCGGACTTCGTCGACAGTGCCCATACGATCGTCGTCGTCTTCCTCGTCGAATACAACAGCGACACCTTGACGCTGATCGAGTTCGCCGTTGGTATCGTCGAGGTCGTCGTTCATTTCTTCGTCCTCATCCTGGGCATCGTAGTCCGTAATCTTTTTGCCTAGGTTGACAAGCTCGTTGAATTCCTTTGGGTTCATTGAACTTCCCAAAAGATCGTCGATCTCCTTCTTTTTATCAAAGTCCTTCATTTCTTCGTCTTTGAGGAGCTCCAACACCGCGTCTGCGGCACTTCGAACGACTTCGTGGGGGACATCGCCCAAAGCGCCTCCGGTGATTGTGAGAATGAGATCGTATGTAGCTCGTGTAGCGGGTGTCCGAGGACGGTATTTGAGGCCTTCGACGAAAGCATCGGCTGCTGATAGAATACCCTGTCCCCGCAGTTGTGCTGGTTGTCCGCGTGTGCGCTTTTTCTGTTCGCGTTGCAACACGTCCTCGCCCTCGCCGATACTGCCCCGCTCGAGGCCAGAAGGAGCTGTCTTCTTCGATTTGGGAGCTGTATCACGCGCCACTTGTGCACCCATCTCCCGGATACCAATGCGACCCGCCAGAGACTCCGGGTCTCCCGTTGGCTCGTCATGCGTGCGACTGATGAAACGACGGTCCGCCTGGAGAACCAGGTTGGACATCGCCGAGTACTTGTACTGTGAAATATTTTGGTCCGCCATTTTGGTGGTGGTTGTATGGCTGTGAAAAAAAAAGGATGAAAAAGAATGAGTTGCGACAAGACTGTTCCTGCGGAGGTCAAGACTCAGGCCGCGCCGAGACACGAAATCGGCAATTGATCAGGTTCAAATGGTCTCACAAACCTGGCTCATCCTCCTATCGTGAACGTCAAGAGAAACAAAGATATTGGCCAACGCTAGTGCAGATGGAGTGAAGCCAAGGAGAGCAGCTCGGGAAGATTTCGGTGGCGAAGGCGGAAGGAGGGGAGCTTTAGTGGTTCTGCCGGTTCAATCGTGAGAGCGCGTCGCAACTATGCGCCTTCGGGGACTGCCTTCGCAGCTCACACTTGGTCCAGCAACCAATCTTTCCTCATCGATTCGGCCATCTCATAGCTGTGGCATACATCGGACTCTCTGCCATCATGCGCTCCGAACCTCAATACCTCGAGTGTCCTCAAAGGTCCACATACGGGGCGCCAAGACCAAAACGACAGTCAAACTAAAGGACCTACCTCAAGGTGTTTTGAAATTAGAACCTTATGATGGTGGTATGGACAATGCACCGCGGTACCCAACGGTGGTGCAGGGGCATCGAAACAACATGCAGACGTTCCAAAATTGCGTCGTGCTAACACGCGTGGGGGGCTTTTACGAGGTTCGAAAGAGCATCCATCTGTGCCGATACGAAAGAGATACCTGGCTAACACTCCTTTTTGCAGCTATATTTTGAACAAGCAGAGGAGCTGGCACCCTTACTTGGCCTCAAACTTGCGACCAAAAAGACCAATGGTGGGCCGGTGTCTATGGCTGGCTTCCCCTACTTCCAACTGGATCGTTTTCTCAAAATGCTTGTCCAAGATCTCAGTAAGTATGTGGCTATCAGTGAAGAATTCGCTGTCAAATCGGAGGACAAAACAGGCTCCGGGGGCCTTTTGTTTGATCGGAAGGTAGCGAGGATAATCACCCCTGGCACGCTGATAGATGAAAAGTTCATCGACCCTTCTCAGCACAACTTCCTCCTGGCGATCTATTTAGATATTCCCGCGCTAGAAGCTCAGTTGAAATTGCATGCCGAGCGGGATGGAGAATCATCTAAGCAACATGTGCTGTCTTCAGTGCCCCAGCAAGTAGGGTTATCTTGGTTAGATCTTTCAACGGGTGATTTCTATACTCAGTTGACGACGACCCAAATGCTACCGTCTGCGATTGCTCGCATCGGAGCTCGCGAGATACTGGTGGATCGCAATGTGCAGGATATCATTGGTCACGAACTGCAAATGCTGGTTGGACACGATCACCGTCTTGTCACCTTCTTTCAATTTCCAAAAGAATTTGATCCAGTATCTAAATGGGGACCAATGCTTGAAGCCCCCGTTCCCGAACATTCGCGCGCGTCGTTCACACCGGAAGAAGTCGCAGCTGGATTCAGCCTGCTCGAGTACACCCGTGTACAATTACAAGGAACCAACATCAAGCTCCAGCCTCCTCTTCGGAAACATCCAGAAGAGTCAATGAGCATTGATCGCAACAGCCTGAGTGGCCTCGAAATTTTGGAAACCTCGAGAGATGGGTTTGGGAAAGGAAGTCTCCTCCATGCTGTCCGAAGGACGTCAACCAAAAGTGGAGCAAGGCTTTTGCGAGATCGACTTAGTATGTTGGACTGTTTTGAACCCAGAAGTCATTTACTTTACTAACATCTCGAACGTAGCTTCGCCCTCAACGTCATTACAGGTCATCAACGATCGACTGGAACTCGTCGCAATCTTCATCGAACATACAGAGCTTCGAGATAGTGTCATTCAGCTGCTCAAGCGCAGCTATGACTCTCAACGCTTGGTTCAAAAGTTTGCTTTCGGTAAAGGCGACCCTGACGATCTGATATGTCTCTCTAGGGCGATCGAAGCGTCGAAAGAGGTCAAACAAGTCCTTTCAAATCATAGCAGACTGGTGTCTTCGACTAATACACCTGACTCTGATCAAAGTATCTCTTCTATGATCGCACGTTTGTATCTTGATGGCCCCTCTGCCCTGGCAGATAATATAACTTCGGCAATCGATGAACAGGGTTTATTGCAAAAGCAGCGAATTGATGATAGTACTGCTGCGGAGGCTGCCAGTTTGGCACAAAAGGTCACACTAGATGAAGGCACATCAAGTGATCTCGAAGCACTTCCCAAAAAGGTCCGGGCAAAGAAAGCCGACCAAGCTGCTGCGGCTGACATTGATTCTGGCCCCCTTGATACTTGGATCATGAGACGTGAGGCAAGTCGAAGCTTGAGTGATTTCCACGCCAAATTGGAAGACCTCGGTGAACAAAAGATATCTCTTACCCAGCGCCTTCGTGAGTCAGTGGATTCAACAGCCCTCAGCCTGAAATGGACTCCTGGGCTGGGTCATATCTGCCATGTCAAGGGAGCAAAAATTTCACAGCAAGCTTTAGAGGATCTGGGGGTCACTCGGAATGTTTCCTCGACAAAATCTACGCGTTCATTCTACCTACCGGCCTGGACGGAACTCGGGGCCAAAATGGACCACGTGAAAATTCAGATTCGTCAAGAAGAGCAGGCAATCTTTGAGCGTCTTCGTCGTGAAGTGATTCTCAACTTGGTCAAGATCCGCCGAAACGCAGCGGTCATGGATGAGCTAGACGTTGCTTGTTCGTTTGCCGTTCTAGCGCAAGAACAACAGATGGTGCGCCCCATAGTCAACGATGGCACTCAGCACAAAATCGTTGCCGGAAGACATCCTACCGTCAAGTTGGGGCTCGAAGAGCAAGGACGCTCATTTGTGAGCAACGATTGCTTCCTTGGTGACTCCCAGCGAATCTGGCTCATCACTGGGCCAAACATGGCGGGCAAAAGCACTTTCTTACGACAGAATGCCTTGATCACCATCCTCGCGCAGGTGGGATCATTCGTTCCTGCAGCTTATGCCGAGATCGGTATCGTTGATCAAATATTCAGTCGCATCGGCGCGGCTGACGACCTCTTCCGTGACCAATCAACCTTCATGGTAGAAATGCTAGAAACTGCCACCATCCTAAAACAGGCTACACACAAATCTTTCGTGATCATGGATGAAGTGGGCCGAGGCACAACGCCGGAGGATGGCACTGCCATTAGCTTTGCTTGCCTTCACCATTTACACTATTACAATCAGTCTCGTGTCCTTTTTGCGACTCATTTCCATGGGCTAGCAGACATGACGCAGAACTTTGAGAAGCTGGAAAGATACTGTACTGACGTCAAGGATCTGCCTTCGGGTGCCTTCTCCTTTGTTCATAAACTACGCAAAGGTGTCAATCGCCAGTCTCATGCTCTGAAGGTCGCTCAGCTGGCTGGATTGCCCAAGGAAACCCTGGAGCTAGCCCAGCAAGTTCGGGAACAGATTCAAAGCGAGATGGATCCTCGAGTTCCCAGCGAAGAAACACCCTAGCTGGTGGTGTTCAGGCATCTTCCGAGGGGAGATTCATCAATACATCATTCGGATGGCAGTTCAAGCGATTGCTCTGGCAGATTTCTTCCACGCATCGTGGTCACGTCATTTCCCTCGCCTCTGGCTCCAAGGTCCTCCTTGTCGATCTTCGCAGTCTCCAAGATGCATTTCACTCACCCTTATTTGCCACGCATTCAAAGAACTCCACTATGGGGCCAGTCAGATTGAAAAGTGTATCAGGTTTGTCCTAACCTCTGATTTGTATGATATATGTACAACATTTCGGCATTTCCAATATCAAGATGCCGCGCAAGCGTGGCAATTTGCCCACATGTTTTGCCATTCCAAAAATGCTTTACAGATAGGCATTTGTTGTTCATAGCTTAGCTGGCCACAACCTGGGCTGATTCTCAACCCGACCAAGCTGCCCTTTCTTACCAAGATCAACCACAACACCTTCCCCAAAAGCGACCTCTTGACAATCCTCTTCACCGATCCCGTTGACAAATTGCACAACAACAAAATCGACCCGTCTCTTGCCCAAAACAACCATGGGCGCATGCCAAGTCCCTACCCCATACGTCACGGCCTGGCCGCCGCGCGCAACGAATGCCTTGACGTTCTTCAAGTCGGGAGGATCCTGAATGGACACTGTCTCTCCCTTCTCATTTTTGGCCGTCGCAGTTTGGCCCTTCAACGTAGGTGCCACAACCACCAAAAATAGTGGCTCTTCCTCTCCCTCTCCCACTTTAGAATGCGCCGACAGATCGACCGGGATGAACGTCTGATTGGTGAATGGGTGACGCTCCAAAATGCGAACATCAAATGCCTCCTTCTCTAATTGGCCAGATTGGACACTCCGTAATTTGCGCGGGAAACAGCAAAACATGGTCATGCGTGCTTCGGAGGGCTGCCCGCTTGGACTGCCATTGTATCGGTCGAGGAGCGGGGAGATGGGACTGTACTTCAAAGCGGAGTTTTGATTTGCTAGGACTGGGGTCGGATTGTGCGATGGGAGGGAAGACGGCGCTGTGGCGACATTCAATTCTCGCGGTAGGGGGGAGACCACTGCTGTGCCGAATTGGGCGAAGTTCGCCGGTGTAAGCGGCTCTGGGGTGAGTGTCACTGTGGGGTTGGTGGTGAGGATCGGCGCCATGATAGGCTTTCTTGGGTACCGACAGGTGTGTTGGTCTATGTCTCAGTAGGCCCTCCCTTGACAGTTATCGCAAAGAAGAGATGAGGTTGGACTGCCCAGGTGGTTATAGGAAAACCAATGCGGAGATGTCGGCGGCCTCCGTGATGGTTTGCCGATAAGATAAGCGGCCGGGGCCGAACCGCGGAGCATTTGGGACCGAAGTATAGCTGTCCAGGACTTAATAACAACATTGTCTCTTATTCTTTGTTAGTTGTCTATGAATTATGAGAAACTATGATCTCCCGTATACTGCCTGGTACTCAGTTCTCGGAGCCAAGGCTGAGATAAAATGTTGGACGCAAGCGCCATGCGCTAATTCCGATGGGAATTAAGATTGGTCCTTGCAACACACCCGATTGGCAGCAGAACATTGGGAATCTTTTGGAGTGACTCCGAGAACCGGGCCTGGGAGCTAGAGAGACGGGAAGGTCGATGCCCAACGAGGCTGCAGATACAAATCCTTCGGTGCGGGGAATCCAATCTATCATCTACTTCCGAACACACATGGATTGGATGCCAGCGCTACAAAGCTCGGGCTGGAGATGAAGGGGCGTTGAGTACACTAGGTATGCATGGTTTCTACTCGGCAAGCCCGGATAGATCTAATCCCGGAACCTGAAACAGTAATATAAAAGGACAGCGAGGTGTGTTGGTTCGCACGCTAGCCGACAAGGCAACCCCGTTGATCACAGTATAAGTCGTGCATGTTTGCTTCCTATGAGGCTCTAGGGACCGCGAAAAAATATCTTGGGCAGATATTGACATGCACATGCTTAACCTTGGACCTATGATACAACTTGCCCCTCCCACATTGATGACCCGCATTGAATGATGGCGCTACTGTCGACTGTCCGTGTTTTCTATTGGATCCGATGTGCCGGGTACACTCCCTGATCGTGGGAGGTTATAGCGCTCAAAATGCACGATCTTGACTCCAAGTCGCCGGTGGTGGGTCAACGCCGTTCTCATTAGATGTTTCGAGAAGATCGCAGATATAAAGTGGTGATGAGGCCTTTGAGTTGGCCTGGGGCTTTTCATCAATGATACCGCGCTGGCACGCATTCTCTCGAGCAGTATATTGCATATTGCCTTCTTGATTCATACAACCCGCCATAATGAGCTCTGCGCCCAACCAAAGCTCACAGCAAGTTAACGGATTCTCTTCGCCCGCCAATGGCGGCGGTGCCAGTTCAAGCTACTCAAACACTTCGATTATAAGGTATGTGGAGTACTCTCTTTGAGCTGTCATAGAGTGCATCTCTACCTATCGCTTTAACAAATTGTTGTATGCAACCTTGAAGCTAACATCCAAAGTTTCCCCAATTCATCCAGTGAAGATACCAAGCACTACTTGGACCATATGGGCAGCTGGATAAATCATAGCGACGTCAATTCTGCACTCAGTTCACCATCCGGAAACGAGCTCAGTGAATTTGACAAAGCGCCGGCGCCCTCTAAGTGATGAGGTCCGGATGAGTCCGAGGGAGGGACATGCAGCACATGGTGAGTTGGTTCACCAATGCATAGGAGCTCTGAAGTAAACGAGTCATTCAAGTCCGACCGCACCCCAGATGTGTACAGATACGACTATGACGTTTGGATATTGGGAAAAGAGGCTCGGCTATTCCCATTCGAGGATAATTATCATGTCTCGCAGACCAACATGTGATAGGAAGATTGCGGAGGCAATGTCGTGCTGCAGGGAATTGGCAAATGGCGTATCGCAACGTTTCCTGCAGTCCCGGATGGAAGAATTGGATTATTTTAACCGACACGTAGTGTGCTTTCCCCTCTTTTCCCTTTGGCGTACGTCTCTAGTACTTGTAGATCTTTGTATAGCGCGCGTGCCATTTGGAACAAAATCTTTGGCCGGAAAGGGGAATTTGACAAAGCGAACGGCTTAACCTTGGAAGTCGTGTGCACGCCTGGGCAGGTGAGTGTAGCTTAGCACAAATCGGCCCCTTCAAGCTGGCCCCCGGGGGGAAGTTCCACGGGTGGATACCAAGGTTGGGCTAAGCTTGTACGTAGTCCACTCCACGGGTACTCAATAACGTGAGAGAAGCCAAGAAACAAGAGTTAGCTTTCCACTTCAAGGTTCATCTTGTAGGGCTGACCTCATTGCTTTGCAGTGTTGGACCTCGGCATGCAAGTAAACGCATTTTCCATTCCAGCCTTCGAAAACACATGTTCATTAACACTTTGCAAGGCTCCTCATTCCATACCGAATGTTCTCACGGAGTCTCCGTTTCATCAAACTGGCATGTTGATTAACATCCAATACGAGTCGTCCCAGAGAAGTAATTGCCAAAATGACACCCATGGCACTGAAGCATCCAGGCTTCCAGGCTGGAATCACGATAGTCCCTCGTGGTGAATGTCTGATGTTTCCATGCCCAGGTGATTTCATTTAATCTCACCTGTGATACCCTACTTGCATTGCACCGCTGGCAGAAAGATTTGAGGCGTCAAGTTGATGAAATCAAAGTGTATATCCTCGAAGGAAGAGGGGACTCTAATTTTGAATGGTAGGCTTGGAGATTCCTTTTGTGGCAGAATATAGATGCTGCAAAACACCTAGGTAGTGTCGTCAGTATCTGCCTGAAGTACTGCGCGTGGCCTTGACTCTTGTGCCTGAAGTATTTCTTAAAATCTACGGGCCTCGGGAGAATGACCTCGGGAGTGGCTTACCTAGTATCAGAAACTGCTAATGCCAGAGGAAACTATCTTTGAGTAGTTCGGTGCCCAGGTGAGCTTCTCCTTATACTAGGTACTTCTAGTGTCCAGGTATGGAGGATTATTTCACTAGGTATAAAACCACCATACCAGTGTCTCCTTAAATGCGATGGCAGCTTAGAAAAGAGAACTTCACCCTGAAGAGGAATTCAAATATATGTAGCATTCTGGGTAGGTGGGGCCATTGTACATCTGTACCTAGTAAAAGTCCTTGTGTTCTTGTTCATGGGGTGGAAGCCCTCAAACCTTGGAAGCTTAGAAGGCAGAGTCTCCAACCACCTAGCAAGTTTCAAGTACCAGTATATTATGTCAAATCACATATCCACAGGGAAACATTTTCGGCTTTTCTATTTTAGATAATTCCTGTTTTCTAAGGTAGCTCCGCGGTCTCAAGTGGGATAGAAAAGAAAAGATCCTTAACATTCGCCCGCAGGCTTTGATGGCATATTGGAAACATATTAGCCCAAGTTGTCACGGATGAATTACCTAGGTACGGTGACTTCTTTTTTTCTCAACGTGATTCCAGGGCGTTCCGCCGCTGCGTGCCATTTGACATTCTCTCCCCATGGTTGCAATATATTCTGACAATGACGACCCTTAGTTAAGCAATAAGGATAGTGTGGGTGAAAATTATTGACCATGGTGCAGATACCCGAGGTACTCATGCCATCAAGGGACGTGGAGGTAAGTTTGATCGGTAATTCTCTGAATGGTACCAAACGAAAGAAGATGTTGTGGCGTGCCAGATATTGGGTCACTAATCCCACGTATGCTGCCTGACATTGATCAGTGCAAAGACCCTTCGCTGATACCATCTTAATCAGATTGGTCTCAATTCCACATAAAACTCGTTGCAGGTATTCTTCCCTGCGCTGGTCTATGTCTTCTATGGTGATGATCAGAATGGTTTTCGACTTAGTAGCTTCCATGGGAGAGTTACCTTTGATGTATGCCGGAATTGGTAAGTTCTGAATCTGTAATGGACCAGTGCCTGTGCTTAGGGCGATTTTGGTAATCCTCGTGAAGGCAGCTTCGACCCCGAAGAGGGCACAGACCATGATCCATCGAGGAATATCTGGGGTCCACTCTATCGACGGCTCATTTGCCCTGAGGCCATCGATCCACCTGAGAGCAAATATTTCGATAAGATCAATGCAGTCGAAAAAGTCTGCTGCCAGAGCAACATCAACCAGTTTCTGGAAAGATATTACTCGAGGAACCTTGGGGAATTGTCCATGGATAATCCTCAATATGAGCAGAAGCGTGTCCGGCTCACAGTCAGTAATGGCCACCCGGGCAACTCCATTGGCTGTCAAGGCCCTGCCACTAGACCAGCGCTCTGACAGCAAGGTCTTGAAATAGGAAGAAACCATTTTGAGGTGCTTTGATGAAACCAGAAAACTGGCCTCGGCGGTAGCGGGTTCGCCCTTGTCGTTTTTGAGAAAACGTTCGGGTGTGTAGAGGATAATATCTCCGTCTGGATCAATTTGCAGTGAGGTGCTTGGGTCAAAGTCGAGAGTGGATGAATCCATTTTGGATTTTTTGTTTCCTGGCTTGGCTTTTTGACTTGAGGAGCTGTTGGATCTCTTTTTTGCGGGTGCCATGGTAGAGTATGAAGCCAATAGCGGTGAACTCAAAGTAGGGACCTCGGAAAATGACTCAATCGAGAAAGACGGACTTTCGTGGTCTTGTCAAGTGTTTCTCGGCCTCTAGGGTAATTTTTGTGACAAGGATGTGAGAAGATTGGATGACTAGAATGATCTGCAGTCAGCGAGGTGTCCGGCTCAGGGAAAGCAAATAAGTCAATAGAGTGACACTAATCCACGAGATTCTGTTTGGCTTGCCTTGGCTTGTAATGCAATTGTTGCGGCGAGAAAGTGAGAAGTTTGTGAGATAGTGCAGTTGCAAAGCACAAAGCTTAGAGACTCGGTTTAGACCAAATAAACCTTGCACTATTCGGTGACTGTGGGATGATTGAGAAAAGAAAAGAGAAGATCACAGTATATCAACTCAGTATGAGCAGTAACTGTGGAAGTTGACAATCCCAGAAGAGACGGAGAGATGGAGAAGAGACAAAAAAAAAAAGATTTATGAAAGAGTCCTCGGGAGAGCTACCTGCCCAGGCAGGTAATCTACAGGCAGGTACCCGTGTATGGCCGTCTGTTGACGTGAAGTGGCCCTTTGCTTTTCTGTCCGGGTGCCCACGGTGCCCCGGTCCAGACCTCGGGAGGTCCCCCGCCCGGGGCCACATAGGCATTATATGTCATAATTGTAGTTACCCGTGGACTATGGATTGATCAATTGACAGACGACGATACCCGTGGACCACATGAGTAGAAGTATGCAAGGGAAAACAATCATGGGAACGAAATCGCCAACATGGCCCTCACCAAATGAACACCCCTTATCTTCCTCTTCAAATGTACCTAGATTACCAGTGCATTTGGAGATGAATGATATCAAAAGGAACATTAGAACAAGATCTTTGAAAGGTACTCGAAAGGTACTCCGTACCAGTTTGCACATGGAAGAGCGGACCCTATGGATTAAGCAACATTGGAAGATGAATGCATGAATGTGTGCAAGTGTTGAGTGTTCCACGGCAATGATGGAAACCCAGTGTCATTCATGTATGATAACCGTCGAGCTCTCGATTGAACAGCTTTTCATATTAGATCAGGATACGAAGTATGAGATAATCATCAATGTGGCCGCACTGACCAGGCTGGATTCGTTGTATGGTTGTCTAATGAACGTTTCTTCGGGATTCACTATCAGGAATGAGACAGGGCTGGACCTCGTGTCTTGAACCCCCGCGAGCATGGTTCGACTTGCCAACTAGAAGATACTTTACTCCGGGCAATGTCACACTTATCAGTACCCAAAGCCGCTCTTTGTAGGCGTGAAACCCGTTGGGTTGAGGTTGCGGCCAAATTAGCGATACTTGCCTGTGACATGGTATTTTGGGACACTGCCCCAGGCGTTCACGAGCTTAGCTCCGACCTCACTCTCAAGTTGCTGAAGAAACAACTGTGTGTGTTGTGACTGGTATCCGGGTGTCTTGTCTCAAACAAGAAAGTTGTGCAGAGGCGCTGGTGATCGGCGACCCGTGTTCATGGTTGAGGCCGAGGACAATACGCGCTTCATTCAAGGAGAGATTTCTCCCTTGGCATCGAACTTCGCCTTCTTAGCTCTTCTCTTGATTTCTCTCTTCGAAAGAGGTTTGTTCGGGTCCTCAGCGACCGGCTCCGAACTGATAGAAGCTTTTCTCTTGAGATTGTCTGCCCCGGTATCGGATTGCGCAAGCTCTTCTTGTTTCTTCACTGGGGCCTTAGGTGTGTTTTTGGACTTTTGAGCTGTTTCTGCGGGCTTGGGCTTCTCGCCGCCATGAACGACGTCCACGATGCCTCGCCAGCTGGTCCGCTTCAATTTGGCTAATGCGGTCACCTTTCTCGCCTCTTCGCAAATTGCTTCCTTGCCCCGCTCTTGTGGCAGACCCCAGACACAGGCAAGATTGATCACGTCCCACGGAGCCCGTAAACCTAATGCCCGGCGTGCTTCGCTCGATATGATGATACCTCGGCCCCGTGTCGCGCGGATCAGGGAAGTCGCATTCCCGATGAGGTTTCTCCGCGCGTCAAGCCCACTCCCGGTGACTCCAGTTCCATAGCAAATCTCAATTCGCACTCCACGTGAAATGGCAGCGGACAGCATTTTAAATTTGAAGTGGTATGGGAGTCGCACCGAAAGATCGAGGGAAATCACGTCGCATTCCAGATTGGTGCACGCATTCAGAAGCAACTTCTCATTTGTGGGACGGAGGGCGACAATATCATAAGCTTGGCTCAGCGCAGCTAGGCGCTGATTTTGCGCGGGATCGGCCAAGGTCAGGTTTAACCTGGTCAGCAGTTGAAGGGATTTCGGCGCATTTGACGGAAGAGGAGGTGGAGCGATGGATGGCGGAAGCTTGCCATTGATTGTCTGAGACAACGCAACGGTGGTGTAACCAACTTTAAGAAGTCAGGTTAGCTCATCATGTGCTCGAGCGCGCGCATCTTGTGTTGAAGGCGAGAATGAATGACTTACGTTCGGCAAGGAAATTCAAGGTGTGGGGCGCCTCCGGGTCATCGGGGCTGTAAGGGACATTTAGATCGAAGAACATGGTATATTAAAGAGAAAGGGTTCCCCGACAAGTGATTGTCTTCAACGGATTTCCTGGGTCCCGAACTGTCCCAAACAGGCAACTCAGAAAATCTTGAGGGGAAACTATTTATCCGAAGTCTCTAACTGCATTTGATCGGCTCCCCACAACCCTTGTCCCGTGACCGTAGGCGGAACGGATCTCATTCTATCATCACCACAGTATTCCCCCTCCACTCCATTGCTCCAGGGTCCCTTGTGAGCACTGTATCTGGGCTGTGTCGCTGGCCTGTTACTGTCTCCTACGAGAATACCCCTCCCGGCCCCTCGATCCGTCACACGGCACCCCTCGTGACCCCGCTGCATATCTCTCAATTGTGGGCGCACTCGCAAGCCGCCTGTCAGCTTCAAGATGGCGCGTGTTTATGCTGATGTCAACGAGCATATGCCTCGGTCCTACTGGGACTATGATAGTGTAAACATCTCATGGGGTGTCCTTGAAAATTACGAAATCGTGCGCAAGATAGGTGAGCAGATCATATTCGCCCAGATCTCCACTTCGGCTGCACTTGCAGGACAATGAGTGGGCTTTAGGACCGGATTTACTGACTTTTTCTATTTCGCAGGCCGAGGAAAGTACTCCGAGGTTTTCGAGGGCATCAATGTCGTCAACTACCAAAAGTGTGTTATCAAGGTTCTCAAGCCTGTCAAGAAGAAGAAGATCAAGCGTGAGATCAAGATTCTTCAGAATCTCGCTGGTGGTCCCAACGTTGTCGCCTTGTTGGATGTTGTTCGCGACAATCAGAGCAAGACTCCCAGCCTGGTCTTCGAGGCCATCAACAACACCGATTTCCGGACCCTATACCCCCGCTTTTCCGACTACGATGTTCGCTTCTACGTTTTCGAGCTACTCAAGGCACTTGACTTCTGTCACAGCAAGGGCATCATGCACCGTGATGTGAAGCCGCACAACGTCATGATTGATCACGAGAAGCGCAAGGTACGCAAATTAAAGTGTGTTGGGGAATTCTGAAGCTGACTCTTTTTCCTCCTAGCTTCGTCTGATTGATTGGGGTTTGGCCGAATTCTACCACAAGGGCACGGAATACAATGTCCGTGTCGCTTCTCGCTATTTCAAGGGTCCCGAGCTGCTGGTGGATTTCCAGGAATACGACTACTCCCTGGACATGTGGTCCCTTGGTGCCATGTTCGCCTCGATGATTTTCCGCAAGGAGCCTTTCTTCCACGGTAACAGCAACTCCGACCAGCTGGTCAAGATTGCCAAGGTCCTTGGTACCGAAGAGCTTTTCGAGTACTTGGACAAGTACGACATTGAGCTGGATCCCCAATACGACGACATTCTCTCACGCTTCCCCCGCAAACCCTGGCACTCGTTCGTCAACGCTGAGAACCAGCGATTCGTCAGTGATGAGGCGATCGACTTCCTTGACAAGCTTCTGCGATACGACCATGCCGTATGTCCCTCCTCGGTCCCCGCTAGCAGGCCCAAATTGACTAACCTACCTTCCCAGGAACGTTTGACTGCCCAGGAAGCCATGGCCCATGCATACTTCGACCCTGTTCGTGCGGACGCTCAGGCCCTCAGCCACAACAATGTGACCCTGCCTTGAATCTCTCTCTGCATGTCTTGATGATCATGGCTTTAATCTACCTATTGCGATGCCCGGGTTTCCAAATTCCCCGCAAATTGTCAAGATCGCGGTGGGCATCACGACAATTTCCCTTTGCATTTGAACCCTGCCAACATGAACGGTACGACAATCGACAGTATGAACCGAGCCTGGTCTTCGTAATCGCCCTTTTTTTCCTCATGAGTCCCCCGAAGCATGGGCTGCGGCAAACAAGCCAAATTTGAATGAAGACGACTTTGATGACAAGAGATCATGATATCTAATCCGGGTTTCCGACCCTCTTATCGCCTAGGTCGTTTGGCGTGTCAGTGAGCGTGATAAATCAGCGACTTAGATGGGGAATCTCTGCTCTTTGATCTCTTCTATTTGTATAGCGTTGGGTTCCCAATTGATTTCTTGATAGTTGATTTGGTGTTTCAGGTCTGCTGTGTTCTTAGGGTTTCCGAAGACTACGCATTGCATCTTAACGCTTTCTGCCTTACGAATTAAACGGATGAAACAAAAAAAAAATTATAATCTTGTTCTCCCTAACAGACCTAGGTAATCTTGAACGTAGGCCATATGCTGTATACCTAATAAAACCTTGGGGGTCTTTCAAGGTTAAACATAGCCGTGCCCATGGAGGCGTGGATTCATGGATCTTAACTTGGAACGGGTGCGAGGCTCAATGGCAACCTTGGAAGGTTCGTATTCGCTATGCTCACGGTAGGGACACTGGGATCTACGGGTATATATAAACACCCATCAAGAAGATCACCGAGATTGTTTGATCTGAAAGCCGAACCAGACTCAATATCTCGACATTCAAAGTGTATATAATCAAGCACTGCAATAACAATCTCACTAATAGCCAGCACATACACCAAATGAAAAGAAAATCGTTGACTCTGCGGCTTGTATTCATATAGTTCGTCGATTTAGACTGTCAGATCACCCGCTGGCTCCAGCGTATCACGTGAAGGTTATCGCAACGTCCTGAGCGAAGGGCAATATCGAAATCTAAACACATGAAATTATTGATATTCAGTAAAACACATCTGCAGTCGACGTGAGAGATTCAATGCAAGGTGACTAGAATCCGCGCCTGAATTGACTCCACCGAGCCTCCCACCGAGTCCCGCGCTCTCATTCGTTCATCCAGCGTGGGAAATTTAATTGCCCGCATTTCGCACAACCACCCCTCCTTTGTATCCCCTCATCCCTCAAGATACTTATCAGGCGGTTCGTGGCGCGATCGGCGCCTTGGAGATTGACTCCCAACTATCGTGCATTCACAAGGATGGCTCAAAACTCTGCCTCCCAAAACCCTAGTGAGTAATGACTCATGACTACCATGTCCACCATGCTAATGACTTGACAGCGGGTGAGCCTACGGCTCCCCTGACCAGCGCACCCCCGCAGGTCGACGACCAGACTCGCAGCAAGATTGCTGATGCCGCCGCAAAGGACCCAACGGGTCAACACCAGGGAGACGGCGCTCCCAAGGTGAAGACCGAGAAGGAGTGTATGTGATCGCCCACATGGAGACCATTTCAACTGTGCACAATAGGACACCAGCTGATTTTCTTGGAACACTAGTGGAGAAGGAGCGCAAGAAGGCTGAAAAGCAGAAGAAGTTCGAGGAGAAGCAGGCGGCCAAGGCCCAAGCTGCTGCCGCGAAGGCCGCCGCTCCCAAGGCCGAGAAGAAGGCCAAGGTCGAGAAGGAGAAGACCACCGATGCATACGACCCTATCGCTATTGAGGCCGGCCGTCTTGACTGGTGGGAAGAGCGCGATCTCTTCAAGCCAGAGTTCGGTCCCGATGGCAAGGTCAAGCCGGAAGGCTCCTTTGTCATTCCCATCCCCCCTCCCAATGTCACCGGATCTCTTCACATGGGCCATGCCCTCACCAACGCTCTTCAAGATACCATGATTCGTTGGCAAAGAATGAAGGGTAAGACTACCTTGTGGCTTCCTGGAATGGACCACGCCGGTATCTCGACCCAGAGTGTTGTGGAGAAGATGCTGTGGAAGAAGGAGCAGAAGACCCGCCATGACATCGGCCGTGAGGCCATGGTTAACTTGATTTGGGACTGGAAGGACGAGTACCACAAGAACATCAAGAACGCCCTGCGCAGACTCGGTGGTTCCTTCGACTGGAGCCGTGAGGCCTTCACCATGGACCCTAACCTGTCCGCCGCTGTTACCGAGACTTTCGTTCGTCTCCACGAGGAGGGTATTATCTACCGTGCCAACCGCCTGGTCAACTGGTGTGTGGCTTTGAACACCTCTCTTTCCAACCTTGAGGTCGATAACAAAGAGATTGAGGGCCGCACTCTGCTTGATGTGCCTGGATACGACAAGAAGGTCGAATTCGGTGTCCTTACTCACTTCTGCTACGAGATGGATGGCACTAAGGAGCGCATTGAGATCGCTACTACCCGTCCCGAGACCATGGTTGGTGATACCGGTATCGCCGTCCACCCCGATGACAAGCGCTACCAGCACCTGATTGGCAAGAACGCCCGTCACCCCTTCCTGGACCGCCTGCTTCCCATCGTTGCTGACTCCGAGGTTGACCCTGAATTCGGTACTGGTGCCGTCAAGATCACCCCTGCTCACGATTTCAACGATTTCAACCGTGGTAAGGCCCACAACCTTAAGTTCATCTCCGTTATGAACGACGATGGTACCTTCAACAAGAACGGTGGTCCATTCGCCGGTATGAAGCGTTTCGATGCCCGTTACAAGGTCATTGATGCTCTCAAGGAGGCTGGTCTCTATGTCAAATGGGAGCACAACCCCATGAAGGTGCCTCGCTGCTCCAAGTCCAACGATGTCATCGAGCCTATCATGAAGCCTCAATGGTGGATGGCCATGGAGACCCTGGTTGGCCCCGCCATCGAGGCTGTTGAGAAGGGCGACATCATCATTCGCCCCGAGAGCGCCGAGAAGAACTACTTCCGCTGGATGCGGAACCTCAACGATTGGTGCTTGTCCCGTCAGCTCTGGTGGGGCCACCAAGCTCCCGCGTACTTCGTGGAGATCGAAGGCGAGGAGAACGATGATAGCGACGGCAACCTGTGGGTTACCGGCCGCACCGAAGAGGATGCTCGCAAGAAGGCCGAGGAGAAGTTCCCCGGCAAGAAGTTCAACCTCATCCGGGATCCCGATGTCCTTGACACCTGGTTCTCCTCCGGTTTGTGGCCCTTCTCTACTCTGGGCTGGCCCCGCAAGACACAGGACTTCGAGAACCTGTACCCCACGTCCGTCCTCGAGACCGGTTGGGATATTCTCTTCTTCTGGGTTGCCCGTATGATCATGCTGGGCATCAAGATGACCGGCCAGATTCCTTTCCGTGAAGTCTACTGCCACTCCCTTATCAGAGATTCTGATGGTCGTAAGATGTCTAAGTCTCTCGGCAACGTTATTGACCCTCTCGATGTCATGGAGGGTATCCAACTGCAGGCTCTTCACGACAAGCTGCAGCTCGGTAACATCGTCGAAAAGGAGATCGCCGCTGCTACCAAATACCAGAAGAAGGCATTCCCCAAGGGAATCCCCGAGTGCGGTGCCGATGCTCTCCGCTTTGCTCTTGTCTCTTACACCACTGGTGGTATGTTGATGCGATTAATCGACTTATTTTTACTTGCTAACGTTCTATTCCAGGTGGTGACATTGCTTTCGATATCCAGGTCATTCACGGATACCGTAAGTTCTGTAACAAGATCTACCAGGCCACCAAGTTCGTCCTTGGAAAGCTTGGCGACGACTTCAAGCCCCAGGCTGGCGTCAAGAAGACTGGCCATGAGTCCCTCTCCGAGCGCTGGATTCTGCACAAGCTCAACCAGGCCGCCAAGGAGATGAACGAGGCCCTCGAGCAGCGTGAATTCTCCAACACTGCTCAGATCTCCTACCAATACTGGTACTCTCAGCTGTGCGATGTGTTCCTCGAGAACTCCAAGTACCTCCTTGCGGATGAGGCTTCCGCCGAGACCAAAGAGTCTGCCAAGCAGACCCTCTACACTGCCCTTGACGGTGCCCTGACCATGATCCACCCCATCATGCCATTCGTCACCGAGCACCTCTGGCAGCGCCTGCCCCGCCGCGCTGGCGATGAGACCATCTCGATCATGAAGGCCAAGTACCCCGAGTACATCGCCGAATTTGACGACGCAGCTGCCGCCAATGCCTACGAGCTCATTCTCAACACCTCCAAGGCCATCCGTTCCATCCTGTCACAGTACGATGTCAAGACCCAGGGCGACATCATCATCCAGACCTACGACGCTACCAGCCAAGCCACTATCTCCGAGGAGATGACCACCATCAAGTCCCTGGGTGGTAAGACCCTGGGTGAGCTGTCCCACCTCGGTCCCGAGAACAAGAACCCTCCCTCCGGCTGCGTTGTCGCTGCCGTTGGTGCCGAGGCCGCTGTCTACCTTCGTGTCTCTAAGGAAGTTGCCCTTGAGCAAGAGGAGAAGGCCAAGGCCAGCCTTGAGAAGGCCCGCGAGAGCGTGCGCCGCTCCCAGGGTATCATGGCCGGCCCCGGCTGGGCCGATAAGGTCAAGCCCGAGGTGCGCGAGCAGGAGGAGAAGCGTCTCCGTGATTCCGAGAGCGAGGCTGCTCGTCTTGAAGAGCAGGTCAAGGAGTTTGAGAAGCTCCGCCTGGAGTAAATCATTCGTACTAGATTAAACAAAATATAACTATTGATTTCCTTCTCTTCATCCCGAGATTATACCCCATCGCAGTAAACTGGCTAGAGAGACATGGAGATGCATGCTGTGAGAGGTGTAGCAATGCATCGCCTGGCATCCATATGATGGGAATGATATCAAAGCATGACCAGCGAGTCTACGATGCGAGCTTGGATGTATGAGTGATGGATATTGCAAGGTCCTACGAAGACAAAAACAAACTTAAATCCAAGCATCTGGAGTCACAAAATATGAGGCAACCATACTCTAGGAAGAGACAAAAAATTAGTTTCGCTGGGAATCGAACCCAGAACCTTTCCGGAACTATCGCTTGTAAAGCAATTGTTAACGGAAAATCATAACCGCTAGACCACGAAACTGTTTGATGGAGACCGAGGCTGTTGTTGGGATCAAGATCCTGAAGATCTATTACTTCTGTCGCAAAGAATCCCTTTGTTTGTCACGAGGCTAGGATGGAACTGAATTGATATGGAAAGCCTCAGATCAATCTCTAAGAGTACTCCCAGGGCCGTACACTATACTCCGTACAGCGAAGAGAAGTTGGGGTGAATTTGTAGATATTTCAATCACGTGGTCTGTGTCTTATCGATAAGCGCGCCAAGCCATCAATCCAAAACTTTTTCGCTCTCGTGAGAATCTACCCCAAGTATTTCTGTCGTTCAGGTTCTACAATATGCTGAGAGAAGTGTAAGCTATGCCTGTTCCTTCAGATTGAAGTACTCAATTAACCCTCCATTTTCCAGGAAAGCAAAGAACCCGCGCACTGCGCGTATCCTGAAATCTCGGGAGCCGCAACTCATCGAAGGCCCTAAGAAGACGCTGATTTTCCACGGCGCAAAATGCCCTCAGCCCTTGGATACCGTCCTCAAGACCTTCCACGCCTTGACGAAGCCCCACAACATCCTTTTCCACAAGAAGAACGAGAACCTGCACCCATATGAGAACGCGGAGAGCCTTGAGTTCTTGGCCAACAAGAACGAGTGTGGTCTTGTAGCATTCGGAAGTCACAACAAGAAGCGCCCCAACTGTGTCACCCTCGCCCGTGTTTTCAACTCAGAGCTGCTCGATCTCGTCGAGCTCCTCCTGCTCCCCCCGAGGGACGGCGAGGTCATTCCCCCCATCAACGAACTTGTCATGGATGTTGGTCTCGGCCTACGACCCATGATGCTCTTCACCGGTAGCCCCTGGGATGACCCCACATCGACCGCGCACATCATTCTTAAGAGCACGCTTCTTGATATGTTCAAGGGTGAAGAGACCACCCAGATTGACGTTGAGGGTCTCCAGTACGTCCTGATGGTTGGTGCCGAGGAGCCCCAGGATGGTCTCTCGCCAGTCATCCACATGCGCTGGTACAGAGTTGTCACCAAGCGCAGTGGACACAAGCTGCCCCGCGTGGAGTTGCAGGAGGTTGGTCCCAAGTTCGACTTCAAGGTCGGCCGCACACGCCAGGCCGCTCCCGAGGTGCAGAAGGAGGCCATGAAGCAAGGCAAGCGTCCCAATGAGGAGGCTCGCACCAAGAAGAACGTCATCACCGATTCTATGGGTGACAAGATTGGTCGCGTTCACCTCGGCAAGCAGGATCTTTCTGACTTGCAGACCCGTAAGATGAAGGGTCTCAAGCGCCGGGCAGGTATGGAGTCTGATGACGAGGAGCCTACCATGGAGGACATGATGGAGGATGATGTGATTTCTGATTCTGATGAAGTGGAGGAGCTGGAGGAGCTTGAGGAGAAGAAGTCAAGCAACAAGAAGGCACGGAAGAACTAAGATATTTGCATGATTTCTATTAGGCGTTTGGGCCGGACGGGATTTCGTTTTCTGCGCCTGTATGAGTTGTCTTACCGGTACATGAAAAGTTATTTGAACTCTTTAATCGAGCCATCTACATAAGCAGCTATCATATCACAGTATTGAACATGGAACACATCGTGGAACCATAAAGACTTCAGGGCATATACTTCGAACAGAGCCCTCGAGAGCGCAAATGATATATCCACGTGACCGTGACGTCGGCTTCTCACATGCCGAGGCCCTTCGCATTGCGGAAACCGATAAAAGTGCCGTCCCCTCACTCCTCTTATTCCGAGTCTTCTAGCTTCTGTTCTGCTCTCCAGGATCACTTTCGTCGTTACATTCAACACTTCCGGTGCATTCTCGCTATAATCACCCCCGACCCAAGTCAAACCTCATACCGAGGTTCAGCATGGATGCCCTGCTGGTAAGCTCCTCAGGCCCACCGTACAAACACGCCTAACAAGCATAGTCCCAACTCGATGCGCTCGTCCTCAAGCCCGAACTAGCCCCCCTCCTCTCCTTAGTCAAGGGCGCACGAAATGGAATCGTCTACGGATCGAAAGTGCGCTTTCCACATGCGCTGGTGTACGTTGGCCGACAATATAAGCAAGAAACCGAGGCTAACCGACAATCTCGAATTTCAGAATGATATTCCTATTCAGATCCGGAACGTAGGTGATCTCACACCCCGAACCGCCGAACAAAACTGATCGCAGTATAGGATACGCGAAAAGACCAAGCTCGTTTTCAAAGCTACACGCCAGCATGCGCGCAATCTCTCAACATTCGCAATCATCTGGAAAGCATCCATGATCCTCCTCCGGAATGTCCCTGGTGGAACCGGGAAGGAGGGTCGATACGATAGTTTCTTTGCAGGCCTGCTGGGCGGGTACGCAGTCTTCGGACGACAGCCGGGCAGTATCAGCCAACAGGTATGTTCCCGGTTGAGAATGGCAGTGTATTGGGAGGATTGCGGCTAATATCCATTAGATTGTCATTTATGTTTTCGCGCGTGTGATGCTCGCTCTCGCCAAATTGGCCATCCAACCGAATATGCACCCGCTTTCCTCCCTCATCACACCCGAGGCGCGCGAGAAAATGACGAATAATGCATACCCCGTCTTTGCCAGTATGACTTGGGCAATGGTTATGTATATCTGGCGGTGGTACCCCGAGACTCTGGCGTCGAGTTTGCGGAGTAGTATGGTTTACATGTATGCTTCGCTGGCGTGGACTGAAGATGATCTCGCTGACCTTGATTTAGTTATGGCGACTCGGATAATTGGGATTCCTTGCGTACGCTCTTGTTGCATAACAAATGAGGCGGTTCTTCTTTGGGTTTCGGCGTATAGAGCGGGATGTTCGGTGTTTTCAAGATTTAACATGCATCATTCCAGGCCCAGCTCATTGGTTTTTCATTTGCCCTGTATGATGAGGCATGGGACTTCTTCGTATCTACTTTTTATTACAACATATAGGGGTGTATATATAACTTTGAGAATACCTACTCCGCACTTGGTATCGGGGTCGCCGGGCCAAATACCCGAAATGTTCACATTCAACGGCCAAGCAACTCACAAATATCGTGAGCCACATCCCGGGAGTTTTTCTCATAAGAATACATAAGTTGAATTACAAAGCAAGGGGGATATCGAAAAGAGCAGTAACGCCAAAAACGACCTCTAATCAGTCTCAATGAGAACCTTCAAGTCCCCATCCATCCAATCAACAGTATCAGCCGAAAGCAGCGCAATAGTCCAATCCTTTTGGTTCACTACTGGAATCAAGCCGTCCGGTAGCCAAACTTTCACCTTCCAGGACGCAGTGACAGCAGACTCACGGGCTTCTTGTGCGGCGGCGTTCCCTTCCTGGTTGAACAACCCGGGAATCTGGCCTGGATACCGACGAAGAATAGCCTGCTTGAGAGTTTCTATATTAGGGTATTGACCGGCCGGTAGGTCGAATCTGGGGAGAATGCGTTTTCCGCCTTGAATGATGTTGACGCGGAGGGAAGTTTGGTGTTGGGATTGAGATTGAGGGTTTTCGGGCGGTGTGAATGGCATATGATGGAAGTGATTCTCTGGCTGGGGTTGGCCATGGCGGGCCGCGATGTTCTCGCGGATAACGCGGGAGACATCACGGGTAATGCTGCTAGCGCTGTGGGGGTTGTCAGTGTGTTGTTGTGGAAAAGGGAAAGTGGAACATACAATTCATCGCGCGCTGGGGATTGACGGCCTCCGCCAATCCGCCACATGAGAGATGATGTCGCATCGTCGTGAATGATGCGGTTGATATTTTCATCCTCACAGGCAGGAGGACACTCGTAGCCATCGTTGTGAACCACATGGTAATGGCTATCAACCGCAGCAACTAGACCTCGCCAATCGGGCTGCTGGAGACCGGAAAGAGACCATAGATTATCGAGTTCGAAGCTTTGGTTGTATGCTTCGTAGTGACGGGCGATCTCTTCCCAGTCCACTGTGTATCCGTCCAGAAGGAGATTCGTAAGACTCAAGTTGATAGATTGGGTCGGGTCGATTGGTTGTTGGAGGGGATGTGAAGGCATCGATTGCGACATCTCCTCACGATGTGTCTGTTCTTGCATAAGAGACTGATCAGGCGAAAAGCGAGAGCTGTTTAAATTCGGGAATTCCTCTGTTTTGCGGCGTTTTCGATCTTCAGTACCGCCGCCTTTGCGAGTCTCAATGGCGTATTGACGTTGTCTCTCGTTTGTGACCATTCTTCGAAGCAATGGGATGACCAACGAGATGATCTTCTGCTGGTCGCGGGGCCAAATGTATTCTCTGGGGCCAACTCCCTCGTTGGCGACATTTTCTCCAAAAAAGCGCTCACCGTTACCTTCGGCTTCAAGGAACTGACGGACACAATTCCAGAGGCGGAGTTTGACCATTTCTATGTCTCCCTTGCCTCGTTGACCAACGCAGTCACGTCTTTCCGGGTGGTCATCGTCCAACATGTAGTTCTTTGCAGCTGCCTGAAGATGCAAGAAATTCTCTGGTGATATCTCCAGCGAGGAGAACATCTTCGAGATTGGAGGCCGGGTGTACTTCTTATTGCTAGATGGCTGGCGGAACAATGCAGCAGCCGAATGAACACCAACAGCACGAGCATCAGACAGCGATTGAGGTTGCTCGGCACGGATGTCCATACCCTCGGCGGTATATCCATGCGGGGTTTGCTGAGACTGCGCTTGGTGCTGAGCAGAAGCCAGACCAGCACCCGCCAATGCGGGGTCGAGGTTATCATCATTACGCTTGCGCTTCTTTGTTGCCGTGCGTGTGAGGCCAGGAGATTGGTGATCGGTGTGACTGGGTGTTCTCATCTGCCTCGCGTTTCCCATAGGGTTTGCGAAGTTCGCATTGGAAAAGCCGTCGTCACCAAGATGCATGTCGGCTCCGTATGCTTCAAGCTGATGGTGATGGCCAGCCGCGCCGGCAGCTGTGGCGATTGCTTCCGCTGTAGCCCATTGTGAAACATCTTGGTCTGCTGCCGCAGTTGCTGCTTCGACTAACCCAGCAAGCTGCTTGTCATTCGGTGCGTATCCATTGTTCCCGAGTTGCGCATTCGAGTCAGAGTGAGGAGCTGTGGCAGAAGGACCAGGGAGACCCGAAGAGGACGAGCTGGGAGGATGTTGATTGCTGGGGCTCATAGTGGATGTATGGAATTGTTTTTGATAAGGCGATAAGAGTGGAGGGTAGGTATGGCGCTCGGTGGCTGCAAAGTGCAACGCCGGATGATTTCACACAGATGAAGTGTTCCAGTGTGCTGCTCTGGAGTATCAACTCGAGCTATAGGGTTAATAATTTGGGGTGGTCTTTTGAAGATTCCAAGCTCTTATCAAAGCTAAGGTTTGCGGTTGAGATTCGCGGTGAATGGCAAGGACGCACACACGTTTATGGTGTAGAGGAAGCCAGCAGCGCGTCACACCCGAGAGGGCGAAAAGCACGACTCGCGAGTGGGCGAAACGCAAATTGAGCCGCGAAGCTAAGTTCGAAGCTGCTGGTGTATGGCTGATAAGAGGCGCGACTGGTGTTTGCGTGGTTTGAAGGAACGACAGACAGTGCAAACTCGGGAGTTGGTGTTGGTCACGTGGTATATGAGGAAGGATCCGCTTTGGGACTATCAAAGTGCAGGTATGTGACATTCGATCCACTTTAGTATGACATGCACACAATTGAGAGTTTGTTACTATTATTCGGCACGTCTATTCATTTCAGGACTATACTAAAAGTCTAACATCTAGCTGGCTGTAGGAGTGGAAGCATAAGTATACACGTATGGGAAGTAGAAAGCTCACAGAGAGAAGAGGCAGCAAGGGAAGAGATGTCAAAAAAACCAACTTGAGATATTTCAAGAAAAGGCCTCACAAATGAATGGCAGATGGGTGTCATAGATCATCCTCATAGATGCAGAGTGCAAATAGGTTCCCTTGATCCAGTCAAGTTCAGAACCCGTCACCCTCTTTCCAAGGCCGACCAGCCTCTTGAGCACGGATCTGAGGATCCTTGCCACGCTGATTGGCATTGTACAATGCCTCAGTCGCTTGCTTCTGCTTATTCTGCAGCTGCGCGTGAATGTCAGCACCCTCCTCGGGTTTGGAAAGGTCCAATTCGCCTTTGCCGGCGAATTCATCATCAGCAAACCAGACCCAAGCATCAAACAGCTCCTGAAGTTCGTGCTTCTCAGCTCCGAGTTGTTGATACGCCCTGTACTCCTCGTCACCTCCGAAACAGAACCCATACCCATCACACAGACAAACGCTCTCATCAACACAGAGAACCGCTTCTCCCGTGAAGATATACTGCCACAGGTACTCCCAGATACGTCCAGTGATGTAATCACTCAGATCAGTCGACAGCAGCCAATCCCGATAGAATACATATCGCGCCCTCGGAATCGAGCGGATGCGGTCCCGCGATAGCGCAAATTGCGCACAGCACGGTTGCGCCAGGACAGACGGGATAGGCTGGTCGGGGAAGAGCTCGCCCCACGCCCGCGCAAGCATGATCTCCTCCTGTTTCGACTCGTCCTCTTCCACAGCGCCGGGGTGCATCCATGCTGGACAACCGGGTCCGTACCCGCAGCGGGTATTCATGTAGCCCTCGCGGATGACTCGGTTGAGGTTCAGCCGGCGAAGGAGCTGGGCAGCATCACCTTCGACAAGCTCGTCGTTGTGCCAAGCATTTTGGTGGGAGTGCATAAAGACTGCAACGTCCGGCAGGTTGTCATAATGGTCGACGAGGTAGGTCAGGTAGACCATGACCTCGTGGCCTTTATTCTTGGGTGGATGGAGGGGCGCGGATGGGTCGTCCGCGACGTAGATGGCTGTACCCCAGTCTGGAAGCTGTTCGGCGATCCAATCCGTGTCTTCCTCTTTGGTCCGCGTCACTACCATGACTTTGGAGTACTGGTAGCCCGGGGGCTTGGGTACCCCCGGCACGAAGTGCGGCGGCGGCGCGTAGAGATCATTATTGGTGTGACCGCGCGTAATATTCCAGGTCGTGTCGTTCAGACTAGGGACCAGATCGCCCAGACCAATCACTTGGGGGACCTGATTCCATGGCCTGGAGAGGGCTCGGGCTGTGAAGAAGAGGATGAGGAAAAAGCAGACGCCGAGGAAGATGACCGCTCGCCGTGGGAGAAGCATGGACGGTAGGACAATGGGTATAGTAGTCTGTCACACGATACGTTAGCGACCTCGGAAGATTTCTTGTGAGACTGACATTGCAGGGATTGATCGAGATCTGGGCTGTCAAGGGGAACTCCTTACATATCTCAAAATATCACCCGTGGACCATTGTCTTCCAATGCCAAGGGGTATGTAGAAAATTGCACCCCGGGACTTGTAATTGTCTTAAGAACAGAGTAGCATATCGGCATGTTGAAAAGGCGAGTCGAAACACGGGTGGAGTGTGGCTGCGCACTGTATGACGAAAGTGCAGATCGGACGTTGTTAGACTCGATTTCATGCTATGTACGCCACTACCCCGGACACTGAGAGGCGCTGAGACGTTTGATCGCAATTGATATTCTACATAGTACGGAGTACACGCATCTGATTTCACAGCAATTGCAAGAGTATTTCGTACATCGGGTTTATACTACACACTATTACTCGTAACCCGCGACGATCCCCCTGATTCAGACTTGGCCCACTTTGGACCCCTAACCATATCGGACGAGCAGAGCCCATGAGCAGAGGATAAAATATCCGACATCCTCTACGAGCACTTAGTGTGCTGGTACAGTCCTGTACACTGAGTCAAGGTTCGTAAACCGTGGAATAAGCATCAACATAAACCCTGCTAGTACGGAGAAGTCGTCACACTGGCAATCATCATTGACACCATGCTACGTGTATACATTTCCATTGGGGTATGTAACCTGGAGCATGGAATTCATCCGTATAAAAATCGTAAGAAATCTGGGTATGATCTTTTGCTCGCGAACGCCATGCAACGCTGGGGTAAAAAAGGGCTGACCAGGCCCAAAAAAGTACAAGTGAAAAGCCAAAGAGGTCAAGAGCTGCATCCACTAAGACGCCTCTTCATCTGCGGTCTCCTCGACAGTGACAGCCCGACCTTTTCCTTTAGATGGGGTCTCGGACTGATCATCTGTGGATGCCGGTGCTGTGGAAGATTCTCCACTACCCCAGGTTGTGGGGATGGTGGACCCGACATCCGATGACTCCTTAGGGGCTAAGTCGGTCCATTCTTGAGATGGAGAATCTGCGCGAGTCTCTGGGACAGGCCCAGTAGAACCAAGCTGAGGATTTGACACAATATCGGCGCTGATTGTGGGTTGTTCGGGGGTGACTTGCGCTTCTGCTCCATTCCCGGTCGACTGCTCAGGGACCGAAGGGGTCTGGGCGCCAGCATTATTTACAGCGGATGCAGAAGAGGGTGATTCTGTAATGATGGGGGTAGACTGTACTGGCTGCACTTGCTGTACTGGCTGTGCTGACCCGGTGCTGTTTTCCCTGCGCTGGAGGGGAAGTAAGGTCCAGCCAGGGGGAAGAGTCAATCCCTCGGGAAGACGACTATCACCTGAATTCATGATAGAACCCGGGAGTCCCGCGAACTGATTACGTGGAGTGAATGTCGATGCTCCAGGTCCTGAGGTTGGCGATGGAACATTGGGAGGTGGGCTTGGCTGGGCGCCGGATGTTGGTTGATGGCGCAATCGATCCAACTCCAACTGCAAGTGACGCACCCGATATAGTTGCTCTGTGGCAGCCCGGAGGGTCTGGAGTTCAAGGGTGAGTCTTTCTTCGATCTGGGACAACTGTGCACTTATGTCAGAGGCGGTGGACAATCCCGCGGTTGTGGCCTGTGGGTGTGTGGGCGCAGGGGTTTGCGGACGGCGCCCGAGCCCTAATCCAAATCCAATCTGACCGGCGGGTACGTTTGCCTGCAGGTTCACCGCAGGCTGTGGTGGATTGCCCTGCGGGATTTGGCGGTGCAGATTATTAAAGACATCTCCACGCACGGCTCCGAAGCCAATCCTGAGCGGCCCAAATTGATAGACCCGGGCCCGAGGCTGTCCTTCGGCACCTTGTTGTCCTGCTTGATTGCCGTTTTGCTGGCCAGGTTGATTATGACCGCCAGTAGCCGCTGCGCCCGCTGTTCTAGACGGCGCGAGAACAGGGCGACGGCAGGTGGGACAATTCTGTTGCCTCTCAAGCCAACTACGTAGACATGCGAAATGCAGGATATGACCGCAAGGAAGCTTCTTTGGGCGCAGACGTTCGGGAACCCGCCGGGTTTCGGTGGCAGGAGGGTTCGCTGGGGCTCCATTGGCTCCAGCTGCAGGCTGTGCAGGCTGCGCTGGAGTCATTTCCTCTCGACAGATGATACAAACATCTTCCCGAGAGATCTCCTCGGCAGTTGCATCTGGATATCTCTCATTCATGTCTCTGGTAGCGTTTCGGTAGCGCATGAAATCCATAATACGACGAGCGAACGAGCGGATAGTTACCACGACGTCCCGTAGAATATGGATGGGCAGGCCGTAGAAAGTAAGCAGTATGCCGAAGAAGGTGAGATAAATCACGAGTTTCAGCAGGTCGGTCAGAAGATCCAAGTAGAAAACCCAGCGGCCTTTTTCCTCCCATCCGGGTACGTCAATTTCCATTTCATTCACATCATTCTCATCGGGGAGATCGGCAGGTGGGGAGCTTGCGCCTGCGCGGGCGGATTCTCGGATAGCCTCATCCCGGGCAATGCGAATCTCAGCCCTGCGCTCCTCAACCCTTGCTTTCACTTGTTGGCGAGTGATAGATATCTCTGTCAGGGCGATCACATATCGTAGAAGGGTCGAGGACGACAAGATCGCGAGAATGGCGAACTCAAATCCGAACATCACCATCATGTCCGGGCGTGCCTGTGTAATAACAGTGTGTACGCAGTATCGGAGCATGAAGAAGTCGAATATGACCGTCAGGGCCAGAGAAGCTGCTAGACGAATATGGAACAACTTTGGATTGGCTGGAGGCTGTTGTTCCAAGAACTCGACACGGCCTTCACCAATCCAACCCCAAACTTTACCCACTAAAAGCGATATGAACATGACCAAAAACCAGGCCCCGAGTTCTCCCCGGAATATAGTCATGGCCAAACATGTCTCCGTGACCGCAAACCAAGCGCGCTCATATAATTGCTCCGTCTCGATTGGTCGCAATGGTCCGTAGAGGAGGCGCTGGAGCCAGAAAAGGAGGAATCCGGTGACGAGAAGGCAGAGGTTCGTAAGAATCTGGAATTGGGATTAATTTGGGACGGGCGACTCGGTGCGGCTGGGAAGGACAACTCACCATTAGATTCGCACTACTTTGGGATAGGTAGACGCATGCTGAGTAGAAATTGGACCTCTGGTGAAGCGCTTTGAGAAGAACACCAGTGGCTAGGGCCACTGAGGCCTGCAAGTGGTGTTAGTGAATGTTTCCCCCCGAATCGGCTGTAATACTTACCCCAGCATAAGCGGCCAGTCTCATGGCTATCGACTGGATCGGGCTAGCCGAAGGTCACGGACCGAAAGGAGCACGAGGAAGGCCAGTGTATCAATGTAGCATTTGGCGCAGAAAGCAAGTGGACGTTGAAGAGGTGTAAGTAGCTTGATCTGGACAGCTTTCCATAATAGCCCGTTGACGCCTCTCCGCATCTTACGTCAGCGGCACGTGCCATCCGGGCTGGGGCTCTCCCAAATTCAATTTTCCTTCCTCGGAGCTTGCAAAGTTCACTATGAGCCCATTGCCAGGTTTTGATTATGCGACTTCTCGGGTGTGCGGTGATCAAAAGCCGTATTGTGGAAAACAATCATGGTGACTCCGCAAGCCCCAATTGGACGGGCTCAGTACCTAAATGCATTGGATCCCAAGACTCCAACTCATACTGTAGTTGTATCTAGGTGGAACCGGCCAGCCATATCATGGTGTGGCACTATGTGTATATTGTTATTTTCTTGAAACTAGGCATCCATGGATACTTGGGCACTTGGACAGTACTACATTTCTAGGAGCAGATTTTCAAGGTGAGTAGTAGCTCAGCATTGCGGGGTAAATAATTTGGAAGTGATATATCTGACATCTGGAGATCCGTGATCTCCTTAGAACAAAATCGAAAACAATTCAGCCGGCTCAACACTCAAAAGTTGTCAGGCTAACATGCGTAAAGAAATCATTTGCATAGACATCTAATATCAATATTGGAGGTAGAATTACGCGAAGTAAACACTTGTAACGCCAAGAATTTGGTTCACACCACGAGGCCTTGTGCGGAGTAATTGGCCTATCCAAAATGAAGTTTGCGGTGGTCACATACAGCAACCTTGAACTTGAGCTCGGTGAGAGGTATTGAAAATATAGCCACGGATTCAGGTACCATACCAGTAAACAAGCCGGGAGGCAGAGAAGAGTCGCGGGCAGACAGGGGCACTAGACCCGTGAACAGTTGTGGAGTCCATCCGATCCGATGTTTATCTGATCGTCATGTGACCGTTGTCCGCCTTGATCTGCGCAACTGCGTAACCACCTGGACCTCACTCCTCTTCGATAGTGGATCGTCATTGCTTCGACACATTCCACCAAAGGCAATGAATATTCGATGATGGCACCACCAGCATTGTTTACTGCTTCACGCAGCCAGACACTCACCTACCTCCTAGCGGTGTGCCCGTTCTCCATCGCCTTCCTAGTTTTCATCAATTCATCCATCTCCTTCGTCGTAACAGATCTGATTGGGCTTCAACACGGAGAGGGGGATGCTGTTGGAACCTTGGGGTTTGCAGATGAACTTCTTGCGCTGGTCGCCTGCCCACTCTGGGGTGTTCTCTCAGACCGAATTGGTGTTCGACATGTAAGCTCCTCATTGGTCCACGCAGCAGTCTCATTCCAGCACCCACAATTCAACATCCATACTTGCCTCTTTATCGAAGCGTTATCAATGGTTGACATACTCTCTAGGTTTGTACAGCGGGCTACGCTATCCTAGCGCTTGCGCTAGTCGTATTCGTGCAGGCCACGAACGTGTACCCCCAGCTTCTACTGGGCAGACTGCTTTTCAGTGTCGGTGGATCGGCCGTATCGACCATGGTCACCGCGGTCCTGCCCACTGTCACCGGCAGAGCCGACCCTCAAACAAACCGGGAATCGGTTTCTTCGGACCTGACCATCACGCCAGAGCGAGCCAGGAACGGACAGCATGCCCCTGGAACGAGTGCATCCCCATCTGCCCGGCTATCTGGATTTGTTGGCACCTGCGCTGGCTGTGGCGCACTCGTGGCATTAAGTGTGTTCTTGCCACTTGCGGCGCGGTTTGAGAAGATAGGACTTTCTCCTGCGCAGGCGATCCAACGCAGCTATTATGTAGTAGCTGCTGTAGCCCTGATCATCAGTTTAGTCTGCTTTGTCGGACTGCGCGATCTACCTGGCGAAAGGAGTAAAAGCTGGAGCGCATTGTGGAAATCTGATTCATGCGAAGATGACGAGGACGAGGATTCATTTGTGGACTACCCAAAACTGTCCTATTGGAAGCAACTCTCGACTGCCTTGACATTGGGCTTCCGAAATCGCAGCATTGGATTGGGTTATATTGGAGGCTTCGTGGCGCGCGCTTCGTCGGTCGGGATATCTTTGTTCATCCCCCTCGCTGTCAACCATTACTACCGAACATCCGGCCTATGCCACGAAGAGCGTGAACCTCTACCCGGGTCCGGCCTGGGGGACATCAAGAAAGCTTGTCCGCGTGCATACATTGTCGCATCCATATTGACGGGATCATCACAACTGGTTGCATTAATTGCAGCACCAGCATTCGGCTACCTGACTGACAAGTCGCGTCGATATAACTTCCCACTTTTGTCCGCCGCATTGGTCGGAATTATCGGATACGTTATCTTCGCATGTCTTCCGAGCCCCCAATTCGAAAAACCAGACGGTAGCCTATGGGTGTTCATGGTGATGGCTCTGCTCGGGATTAGCCAGATTGGAGCCATTGTGTGTAGCTTGGCGGTGCTGAGCAACGGAATTCTGCGGGTCAGCATCGATGACGAGGCACTCAGAAAACTACACGAAGAGCGATGCGCCAACGGGGACGAGAACGAGCCCGACGAGGACCAGTCACTTCTGGGCGGGTCCGTCAATCGGAGATTAGAGCATCTGTCCCACCTCAAGGGCTCCATTGCCGGGGTTTACTCCTTGTACGGTGGGGTGGGTATCTTACTGCTGACCAAAGTGGGCGGGCTGCTCTTTGACGTGCTATCATCGAGCACACCATTCTTCATCATGGCTGGCTTCAATGGGGTCTTGCTCACCACGGGGATCATTTGTGGGAGCATGAATCATTTCGGGTTTGAGATAAGTCGATGACTGTTTCACGGTAAACATGTAACCTTGGAACGGGCCAAGTTTGCGTCTTAATTATGGATAGCCTTTCTTTCAGCCTCTACGGAAACGCCCGCTGTATGATTGGCGTCGCAAACCTTGAGAGAGTTTGATGCAATATAATTCCAAGGTTGCTCTACATACATTGAACGCGTCCACGTGAACTAGTGGGTAACAGAATCTTGGAAATTAATATAAATGATGAATGGTTCGTGGTATTAATTAAAAGGTAGCGTCGCAATTTTATGAACTCGGTTAGAAGACTGGCTGCTCGTGGGCGCTAGTAAGGGCCGGTCTGGGGAAGATAACGCCCAAGGATATCTTACAAGGGAAATGAGCCCCCGACCGTCCATCTCGCGCATGAGAACGCGAAGGTGGACTTTATATGTACCTAGTACTCCGTACTATAGCACTCCTACCCGTAGTATGGATAGTTGAGCAGAGTACTCAAGTTTCGTAGATGCAAGACTGAATTTTCCAAATTGCTTTGTTGATCTCATCTCGCTAGTCGCAGCCTAATGAAGAGCACCAAACAACCTTCCACATGCGGCGAGTGACCCAGGGGTCTGTTCGGCCCCTAGGCCCGGATCAGCCTAGCCCTGTAGTAGACTTCCACTAACGGAGTCTGATCAGGGCCTAAAGGGGACTAGCGTGTCTACTCTACTACTCAATGTGCCGAGTACCAAACTCCCCTTTTCGAAACACGAACCCTTTCAAACCCCTGGTGTTCCTGTGCCCAGCCGCTTGGACCAAAGGCCTTGGCGTGTACGGAGTACTGTACGAAATGTACGCTAATGCCAAGTGTGATGGCCATCCAGCGCGCTTAAACCCCGGGTGTCTCGCTCTGACACGTCCTTCTTTCTTTCTTCTCTTCAGGCTCAAGCGGTCCATATACACTCTTTTCGTCAATTGACAGTCTTTCGTTAACTCCAGTCCTTCTTTATCGAGTGTTCTACTCTACCGTGTACTATCACTTTTGTGCGATTCCAACCTGATTATTTTTCAATATCACCACCGGTTATCCACCAAATTTCCAACATGCGTTTCCACTCTGTCGCTGTTTTGACCGGCGCTACCGCTGTCGCTGCTGGCAACACTGCCAACCTTTTGCTGCCCGGCTTCGGTGGCCAGGATCTGCAGGCTGGTATTGTCGAGACCGTGAGTGAAGATATGCGCGCACGGCGCGCATTTTACCATGGGTCAACCGATATACTAATAAAATGTAGAACGGTGATGCGACTACCTACAAGATCACTTGCCCCCAGACTGTCTCTGCTGGTGCCTGCGGTATTGCTGGCGAGGGCCTGACTGCTGTCGCTGCCCCGACCTCCATGCAACTGCAGAACATCAACCTGCAGGGAACGTAAGGGTTCCCATACCACTACTTTGCGCGCATCTGCTCACATTTCCTAGCACTGGAACCCTGTCCTGCAACATTGCTGGCACCACCTACGCCTCTTGCCAGGCTTCTGCTGGCACTGCGACTCCCTCGGGAACCCTCGGCTCTGCTGATATGAACTGGATGCCGGTGACCATCACCGGTCCTTGCTCCACCAGCACCCCGACCCCTACGTCGACTCCCACGCCGACTTCCACTGCTACCCCCACTAGCACGAGCACTGTCACCTCCACCTCTTCCACCATCACGTCCAGCGCGATCTCTACCCCCAAGAAGTCGTCCTCGTTCGTCGCTTCTTCTTCTTCCCACCTGATCACCTCCACCCCTCTGGTGGCAGCTGCTACCACTGGGGCCGTGATCTCCGGCACCGGCGCCCCTGCCGCTTCCTCCACTGCCTTCAACGCTGCCGGCCAGATTGCCAGCAGCTTCTGGACTGTCGGTGGTGCCTTTGCGGCTCTGGCTTGTGCTTTCGCTTAGACGCTTCGGTGTAGAACCGATACTGCTATGCCCTTCACGGGACTCGAATACTTCTACGGATACATCTACCACATGTGTTCATCTAATATTTTTTAATGTTTGATACCTTTCTACACGACAGACTACGATCTAGCGTCTTTTACTACTTGTATCTTCAGCTTTGAATATACCTTTTTGTCCTTTTTCTCAAATCTTCCTAATTAAGGTAAAGCCAGATCTGTTCCCCGGATTTTCGACTGTATTGATTTCCAGCCCTATCACATTCTCCACCCCTGAATATCACGCACAGATGTCTCAGCCCCCGATTTTGAGTGTACCCACCCAGCACGGCCCTCGGCATTGAAATGACCTCCTGACTACACCGTACTCCGTACTTATGTCTGCAAAGACAAGATAATTCTGCAAGGGCATGTCGATCAGTAGATCCGATCGACTTGTCTGCGATTGAGCCGCTGCGATGGTACATGCATATGGTGTGAATACTGCAAGGGCGAGCTTTGGGGTTCATGCTCCGATAACGCCAGAATCATGCCTGACATATGATAGATCAGAACTCTTGAAAGGTAAAATGGCCATGGAGTACAAAGACCACCATAGATCATTGAAGAGATACTCCGGAAGATGTAAGGAGTACTTCACCCCAATAGCACCGGAAATTACTCATTGGGCTTACTTGGTCGGCCATAGTTTGCAAACTATTACCCAACGATGCAGTGAGAATTAACAAAAATGCCAGAAAGCCACCAAAACGAATCAAAGTGACCAGCCCCGAGAAAAGTACACGCAATTGCCGAAAAAGCCGAAGTCGAGGGAATGCCATCCGAATTCGTAAAAAAAAAAAAAAAAAAAAAAACATCAGAGATCCCATGATGCAAGAGGCGGTTGTCGAATACCAGCACCTCTAAATAGATCCCATAGTCTCGGGCGAGACTTCTGCAGATGAAAGTCTATCTTTCAGTAAAACCACGAGTGGTGGTTTGCTCCAAAGATAGTAGACCTTTTGACTAGGCCAATCGATGCTCTCGGGCTGAAGTTGGAGATCAAAGTTGAAGAGCAACTTGCAAAGAATTAGGCGTATCTCGCAAATGGCGAGACTTAGAGTAGTAGATTAGCGAACCGAGTCTGCAACTAGAAGCCAGATAGAAAGGGACGGAGAAAGTACTTCTTTCCAAGACAACCGCGTGGACCTAGACTGAATGGCTGCAAGACGTTTCTCTGATCGTTCTTGAATACTGGGTCATCTAGCCAACGTTCAGGAATGAACTGTTCCGGATAGCTGAAATTGGACTCTGAGTGGTAGGAGGCATAGTGATGGCATGCGACGATTGTCTATCAGCCAGAGTCAGGGTTTCATTTGAATAAAATCTTGCTTAGTAGTATAAGACATACATGCTCAGGAACAAAATGGCCATCCACAAGCGCGCCGCCAGTAGGCACAAGACGTGCCAGACTTGTAGCGAAGGGCGGATACATGCGTAGAGATTCTTTAATCACGGCGGCTAGATATGTCAAGTTCTCCAGAGCACGGAATGTCATATTGCTATCTTGGGTGAAAGCTGATCGAATATCTGCGGTGAGTCTTGCCATCACGCGTGGTGTTGTACATAAGGTACATAAGTAGTAGATGCAGCCGGATAGCAGGGTTGCAGATGTTTCACTACCGGCAACGATGAGGCTGATGAGAGTAAGCGCAGTCTTTAACAGAGCATTCAATTGAAACATCTTCACCAGCATGGAGCAGATACATACATGAAACCATTAGAATGGAGCTCTGCCCTGGTCATGACACGCTCACTGGCATCATACTGACCAACCTTCTCACTCAAACCATTCTGCAACATTGCAGACATGAAGTCAGGACGAGAAACATTAGCCCTTAATCGACGATCGACTTTCTGTGCGGTGAGATCGAAATGATCTTGGCCAGTACGCTTCAATCCACGAGGAAGGAACTTATTCAAAAGCCATTTCAGAGCCGGAAACTGGTTCACAACACCAACAAAAGCAATGGCCTTCATCGAGTCGAATACCATTTCAATCCAAGGGTGCAATGTCTTATCCTTCAAGCAATCAAAGGACTCGCCAAACACTAGATCACCAGTTATGTCGAAAGTGGTAAAGTTCATCCATGCTTTGATGTCAACCACTGACCTTCCTTCTCGAATAGTATTTCTCAATTTGGTGATCAGTGTATCAAAGTAGCCACAAATCAGGCCTTCCTGTTCTCTCAACGCCTTGGTTGAGAAAGCATGCGCAATAAGGCGTCTCTGCCTCGCATGACTGGCATCGTCGACCGCAGAGACCAAATGATCAACACCATTCGCCGGAGGCTCATAATGGCTTCGATCCTTGGGAAAGCAGCTTCCATCTAAGTTTGCGCCGTAGGTATCATGAAATGCCTGTGGAGTATTGAAAGCGAGTTCGTTGGGGCCGATACGCACAATTGGCCCATACCTCCTATGCAGGGCCAAGACATCGAGGTGATTTGTGCCGCGGAGGACGGATATGCTTGACGGGATACGAGAGATAGACCATAGAAACGGACCCGGAAATTGGCGCAAGGGCGAGCAGAAAGCGTGGGCAATACTGTATGTAAGCCAGAAGAATGGCTGCTGATGATCAACACTAGGAAGACGTTGTGTGGCGGACCGACGCGGACGAGGGTGGACAGATGCAACTAACCAGGCATGCAGGAGCTATGCACCAGTGGTCTGAGACCCAAGGCACTGTCTTCATAGTATCAAAGTCCTGTAGGGCCATAGGCTCCCCGGAAGACATGGTTCATTTAGTGTAGCCGATATCTGGGTTCTGGTTGTGTATGACTGGCTGAAGACCGCAGGAGAAAAGCCAAGTGAGGCTTAAAGAGAAATAATGAAGCAAACAAATCCCAAACAATGCATAGTGGCTAGAAGTGAAGGAAATCTGAAAGACCATAGTGTGGTACAACAACATTCAATGACCGTCTATACACAATCGAAAAGCCTCCGCTCAGATTCGGGAACATCATGGTCGAGTTTGGGATTTGACTGACCTACTGGTGAGACGGCTTGCGACCGTAGACGACATGCAGGGTACAATAACTACGAACATTGGGGTTCTTGAGCTCCCGGCGTACCCCAGCAAGAAACACCTGGGTTCGCTCGTTTGACCATCCTAGGACACGAGTGAAGAGAGCCAGCGAATAAGACTCAACTGCCAGCAAAAGAGAGCACAGGTTGTATTTGCCAATCTCTTTGTTCAAAGGATCTGTAGGCCATGTACTCGATGGTACCTTGTGGAACAAGTTAGTAATAGGTCAAGGTGCAGAGAGCCCTGGAGAGGGGATAATACCTTGAAAGTATCATCGTGAACTTCTTCAAAGCCAGCTTCTATCAGCTGTCGTCGATGATGCCTCGCAATATTCATTGGTCGATTGAAGCGTGCACTAGCCTGGTCTAAATGATCAAGGAACTCACACAGTGTTGGTGCAAGCAATATCGAATCATCGTCCGATTTTAGCATAACTTCAAACTCACACAGCTCGATCCAGCCACCAGGACGTAGATGCTGAAAACTTTGGGCCAGCAATCTTGCCCAGTCAGAGATTGAGCCACCCATATCGCGGGAATGAATATAGTCAAATGGTTGAGATCTGCTATACAGCCAATCTGCCTCAGCGTCATCGACTATAAATCGACAGTTCGGTGGAACCCATGCGGGTTGAATGGGACTCAGATCGATCCCTATTACCTGGGCACTGGGAAAGACGTCTGCAAAGTCGATGGCCCAGATCCCGGTTCCTGTGCCTATATCTAGGACTCGTTGGATATTCTTATCCAAGGGGGCGTGAAAGAGCCTGCCACGGAGAACTAGGTTCCGGACATGGTGGAGTAGATCTTGTCGATCTTGTTCGGGTTCGTCGTTTGGAAGTACATATGTGCCTTCACGGTACGAATGATACCGTCTTCCATTTTCGTAAGTGAAGTTCTCTGCCTCGGAAAGTAGTGAGGCTGTGTAGTCTGATGTGAAATCCTCTTCGAACACCGAGGAGCTTTCAGTGGATGATGAATCAACATCGGGAGTCTCACTGTCCAAGTCGTCGATGTCATCTGGCGGAATAGACGGGGGAGACTGGGTTGATGTGTCTGATGCAGAATTGAGCGTTGGTTGAGTATCTTCAAGTAAGCCCGGGGAATTCAAGACATGACTGGTCACGCTGGGGACGTGGGCACTTGGAGATGTTGACAGTAGCAGAGGATTGCTGCTACCGAGTACGTTTTCACGCGAAATGAGGATTGCATCTGGTTCGTGATCTCCAGTCCGAGAGTCCGACATCTTAACCCTCTTTGGATCGGAGATATCATTAGCCTCTTCTCGGATGGGGCTTAGGTGGGATTGCCGTGAGGACTCATTGATGGCGTCGAGAGAGTTGGGATTTGTTTGAACATTCGCCAGAGGCGGAGGTGGCTTTGGAGCACTGAAATCCCAGACAAGCCTCCGAGATGCATCAGACAATCCGATGGCCTCGGAGGTTGAAGGCACTTCGGAAGTTGCTTGGTTGGAAGGAACACATGAAGGCAAGAATTGAAGGTTTGATGCCATGACGCCCACTGCCGCTGAGACCTACGAACGATGTCAAGTGCTGCGTCTCTGTTCTGTCTTTCTGTCTTTCTGGAAAGAGGCTAGGCTACAATTTGACAACCTCGGGATTACCTCGAGATGACAAGCATACTGAGTTTACACATCAGGTACAAAGATGTTTTAAAGGCAAACATCCCTTTGGCAAGGTTTTTCTTTCGGTTTCCAAATAGTAATATCGTGTAACACATAGGGTTGAGCCAAGAGAGCCGGGGTATAGACACAGCAGGATATAGCGACCAATCGAACAACATCCAAGGCTGTCTTCAGGCGTTACCATGTTCCAACTCAATCACGAGTTCTGAACTGCCCAAGACTGGGGTCTCAGTTCGGGGAGAATATCCAGAAAGCAATGGGTAGGGAGCACCCAGATTCCAACAGTAGCATCACGGGTTGGTGACCTCGGGTTCTGATGGGAATGTCTCCCAACACGGTACTATACCCGGCCGTACAAACGGAGGAGAGAGGAGACTGGCTATGCAGGAAGCCGAATTCTAATCCCTGTCGATCTGTACACATTTCTCCGAAGGCACTGGACAAGACGCACAGTAAATACCGTGACCGGCTCAACTAAAGCCTTTGGATGACCTTTCAGCCAGCCCATTGGTTAATCGGTGTCCAACAGCACTACTGTCTAAAGCGTTCCACTACGTCGAAAGACTGAATTGGACCGGAGGGATTGTGACCCCGTGGAAGGTCGGACAGGCGTTTCGCCATACCAGCCCCGGGAGTGAGTGAAGTGTAGACCGGGGAGCCTGCAGTTAGGCCCGGATAGAGTTTTACAAGTCGGAACTGTGCAGATCATTCCATACGATATTTTGCATTGGAGTGGGGTATTATCTTAATTCATCATTCATAGCCGTGCAGCTGGAACTCAGTCAAACATAGTGCTGTCGCGACTGAATCCTCCCTTGCCCATTCCAGGACCGGCACTCCTGTCAGCCCCCACGATTAATCCGTGGGCGATGCAATTAGCCCGCATAACTCGCCAATAAGCTTCTTGGTTGAACTCCCGAATGTTTTCCAAGGCGTTTCGTTGCACCTCGGACCGGAGGTCAATTTTGTTGGAGACGAGGAGTCCTCGCTCAAGATCGATGCGCGCGTCCAGAACCTCATCCTGAATAAGGCCAATGATCTCTTGGACAAATGGCGAGGAAATATCAGTGGGTCGGGCTTCACCGCCAATGACTTCAGGGGCGAATATCTTAGCCATGGAGTCGAGGGTAACAGTGCTGAAAGGAATCATGTATTGTTTCATGGATTTGGTGCGAATAAGCTTGTAGATCTGGGGGAGGAAGCGTTGCAAATGGATATCGAGGAGATAATCAGGTCGGTAGGCCTCCAGGATGTCAAGGCAGGCTCGGAACTTGAAGTTGCAGAAGAAAGCGATGGCGCGACGGATGTGAGGTTCAAGTTCGAGGAAGTTTCTGAAATTCTGGTTGTCAAGCACCTGGCTCTGCAGTTCCTCCCGGTTCATCGATGCAAGGGCACAAAGGCCGCCGTAGACGGCAACGTCATTGGGGGTGATCACTTCATTGAAGCTGTCGCCCAGGTCTGCTGGGATGGTCAAGAAAGTGTTGGCTGCTTCGAGGAACTGGCCTTGATGCATTTGTGAGAGCGCATAAGTAGCTCCGATCTTTGGTTCATTTCGAGCGGCATCATCGGGCTTGGATTGAGAGTTGCGCAGGCGGTGGACGTTGGTCTGGACGGATAGCCAGTCCCCTCGCTCAATGCAGACATTGACCATCTTGAATAGCATAGAAGTGATGTGGTTGGGTGTAGTGCAGACGTCTCTCACGCGCGCGTAGGCCTTGGACGCGGCGGCGAGATCTCCGATTTCGTAGTAATGGTTTCCTAGATCCTCGTTGCCCATCTGGGGATGTCAACGTGAAATGTCTCACTGCGGCCACCGTTGATCACTTACCCGAATGCTCTCTTTGATCAGATTGTTCTTGTATCCCCTCAGCTCAGTATCCAATCGCTCAGTCTGAGCCGTCACAGACCGCTGAGTTTCCTGAACCCACGCGGAGTTGAGAGAAGCTTCAGGGTCGTTTGGTGCTACCTCAGCTAGTGCGCGAACTGCCTTTTCATACCTCACAATATCCCTGCTGGCTTTGGCCTCGGAGATAGCTGCCTTGAGGGCGTCGTTGGCGAGCAATGGAGAACACGTGCCGATGAGGTAGAGACGGTCGTAGCGGGTGCGGCCTGTCGGGGTTAGATTCAAGAAGAAAACAGAGAGAAAGAAAGGAATACCCACCAGTGTAGTTCGCGATGTACGTGTCTAGGTCAAACTTTGGAGCTTCTTTAAAACGGAACGTGTCAGCGTTGCCTGGGCGCGAGCACTTCCATGCGGAGACAACCCCACGGGGATATGGACATACCTTCTACTCGCACCGGAGCTTTCGACCGGGATTTGGCCATCGCAGCTGCAGCCTCTGGTGTTCCACTGGCCCGAGATGCCTCTCCGTCCATTTGAGATGAACCAACGGAATCCGGAAGTGTGTCCATGGTGCCGTATCGGACAGACAGTCGGGGAGGGGTAGCGAGAGGTGAGTTTAGACTCCCGAAAGCTGTGACCAGATCACAGGGATACTTTGAAGAGATCAGAAGTAATGATTTGAACTTGCCAGACGAGTGCGTCCAGTGAACTGAGCACAGAGGTGGGATACCAGTTGTGATGGTCAGTGTCCTGCAGAATCCGACCGCCTGATAGCCTCACCGCCTACTATATACATCACGATAACAGCGCACGGACCAACCGGCTTGACCATGAATTACGTTATCAGAATCCAATCAGGTGACCAGGTGCCCAGGTGGGAAACCAAACACCTGGACACCCATGTGCACCATGTTTGAGGATTTAAGACCATGTCTCCAATGACTGGCAATACTACATCAAGTGCTACAGGCCTTCCAAAGTTATACGTTGCTTAGGCAAAAGCTCGCCCACGAGGAGATACCTAAGGGGCGACTAGGCTGGTTCCGAGGCCGAAGCATGAACTGCCTCGGGACTTGAGTAATCAAGAAATTAACCGTTGACCAAGGGGCTCCAGGTCCCCCCAGAGGATACTCTGATTAACAAATCTGTCATGCCAATGTTCACCTAAACAACCAATTTCGAAAATCAAGCTCGGCTATAGCTGGAGCATATATCAACCGGCCAAATCCGGGGAAGAGGGAAAATCGAAACCCAACTCGTCTTCGACTCGCATATCTATACCCCACAATATTGAACTCCCAAGATGTCTTCAGCTCAAGTTGCACTAGTAATGGGCGCCTCTCGAGGCATTGGCCGTCAAATTGCCATCGACCTAGCTCGAGAAAAATACATTGGTATATCAAACGAACAGCCCACGAGCCCCAGCCCCGAACTAACCAGAACCAGTAATGCTAGCAGCGAAAACAACGTCAGACGAAAACACAACACCATTTCCGCCTGATCCCAACTCATCGCTATCAACAATCAACACTGTAGCGCGCGAGATCCGCGAAGCAGGCGGCCAGGCCGGCACTGTAGCCGTGGACGTTCGAGACGCAGCACAGATCCAGCATGCCGTAGAAGAGACGATCCGGGTTTTCGGCAAGCTAGATGTGCTGATCTACAACTCAGGTGCGATCTGGTGGTCTTCCGTCGAAGATACGCCGCTCAAGCGGTTCAAACTCATGCAGCAGGTCAACCCGGAGGGTCTTTATGCGACTGTTCAGGCTGTGTTGCCTGTCTTCGCAAAGAACGGGTGGAAGGGGAGGATCATAGTTGTCTCTCCGCCGATTTATTCGCGCTTCTTTAGGGGAAAGACGGCTTATGCTATGGGTGAGTTTATTTCGCGTTTGCCAAGTGAACTTTGTGCTGATGTGATGTGTATGTAGGCAAGGTTGGCATGAGTGTCTTGGTGAAAGGTCTCGCCATGGACTTTGTGCGTCAAGGCCGGAATGAAATGGCGGTGACGAGCATTTGGCCGGCATCGGTAGGTGAATTGATTCTGAAGCAGAGGGCGAACCTGACGATACTCGCTAGTCGATTGAGTCTGCAGCAACGGAGCATAACAAAGCATCTGACAAGTCTTATAAGAACGACTTGCGCAAACCAGTATGCATATTGATACGTCATCGCCTTGAAGCTCTACTAACGTGCCGCAGGCAATCTTCTCGGATGCCATTCTGGCTATGCTTAGAGCTCCCCCTCATGAAGTGAATGGGCTGCTGGATACGGACGAGGATTTCCTTCGGGAGAAGTGCGGCGTCTCTGATTTTTCCAAGTATTCTGTTATTCCAGGGTCCACGCCCCGCCGGATCATGCCGAGTCAGTTCCCGGTACTTGAGGTTGCAGAGCAGGATGACGAGGGGCAGCGCATGGATAGCACGAAATTGCGGGCTAAGATCTAGATATCCCGGCACGCAGATCACCCATTCTTCTAGAAAGACTATTTATTTATACCAGAAGCATGCAGGCCCATTTGATTGCATTGTCATGCATAAACGGGATAATTAAAAAGGCTTTCAAAACGAGAGGGAGAAGCAAAAAAGACATTGGCCATAGACAATTACTCCATTACCCATAGACGGAAAACCCAAAATGTACGCTCAATGCTAATGCAACTCCAAAATCCCAGAGGCAACGAGACCGACAAGACATCAGAGTAGGCAGGGCGCTACTCTGAGCTTCCCAGCCCCCCAGCCCCGTAAAAAAAAAAAAAAAAAAAAAAAAAAAGAACAATAAAGAAAAACCCACTCCCCAGCCATTTTCATTTCACCCGTTGCAGCAACGGAGCCCAACTCACTACAGAAGGGTAGCCATGCCGGCCACGACTCCACCGACAACAACGCATAGCCCGTAGACATGGCTCATATCAGCCATCCGTGATCCGGCACCGGTTGAGCCCGTATTGAGCGGTGTTTGTGTCGCAGTAGTTGCCGCAGCCGTGGCGGTCGTATTGGTCGCATTGACCCTCTTGGGGTCTTGAGCTCCGCAGGGGTTCTTTGTGCGGCAATCATATTGACAGTTGGAATCACCACTGCATTTGGAGACACATTGGTTGTTGGCCTCGGTGCAGGTGTAGTAGGGGATCGTTTGAGAGTATTCTGTGGCATTGGGAGTTATGCCATTGCTACATAAGCAGTCGTAGTCAAGTGTGGTCTGTATTGAGCTATTAGCTTGTTTCGAGAGTGTGATTGTGAGGGTTGGCTTACAGCTGAGCAGTTGTTGGATGTTGGCGACCCGGATGCTCCTGATATCTGGAGGCAAAGCAGGGGACACGCAGATGTTTGAGAGTTACACCAAGCCTCTGTGACCTGTTAGCATGGGTCGGATACTGGCCTGTATCATGATTATCACTGACCTCTGGTGGCATAGGGGACCGATGACGGGTCGAATTGGCAGCTAGCCAGTGTGGCAGAAGCGATGATGAATAAAGTTTTGGACAGCATTGTGAAGGTTGAGAGGCTGAAAGTTGATGGGAGGCTATTAGATCAGTTAGCTGTGAGAATTCCAGCAGCTTTGTATATAACATCCAGGCCCCATATCGCCCAGGAGGACAGTGACTGGAATGAAGGGGGGAGGTAGGACAATAATGTCTTAGCACCTACCGAGCTTGATGCCCTGGACTCTTTCTAGAGGTCAGGAATGAAGGATGTCAAGTCTATCGAGATGTGCTATAATGTAAATAGCCAAAACCAATAAAGGGTTGAGCGAGTGTCAAGAGAGAAAACGAGCGTAGCAAGGGAGGAGAGAGTTCATAAAGGAAAAAGCAATGATCACAGGACTATGTATGCTCTATGTATAGAATGTACTAGTTAGTTTGCATGGTGGCACGCACTAGTGCCACTTGTACATCTGCTCTGTTTTCTGCCCTTGATCTGTCGCAATTGATTCCGGTGCCGAGTGCCCAGCCTTGAACGCGAGGTGTGTGGTTCCGCTATAGGGGCAACTCTCTTGAGATCGGTCGATCCGGGGAGATCAGTGGAACTGATGAGATTTTCTTTCATTCATTTTTTGAGCAACGTTTGTCTGACATGCCACCTGTCATTCGATTGCCGACTGGTCTCCGCTGCAATTGGAGCAACATGACTGGGCTTGATACAGATACATGAAAATGTCTCAGACAGCGGAAAGCCGGAGGAACGCCGATCAGCGACGCTTACCGTATGGAGACTAGTGCCCAAGGAAATCAGAGAGAGACTTTACACTATTCCTTCCAGTGGAGGGGCAATAGACTGGAGTTGGTATAGTTGAAGTACAGTACAAAGAAAGGAGAGATAGATGTTCAACGGTCAAATAAGAACCTTGGAAGGGTGGAACATTCGAACCGTGGATCCCTTTTTTGGAACCTTGGAAACTGAAGACAATTAGCTAAGCCAACCTCTCCGCACATGACAACATTCACATCTTGGAATTGCCGTTTTTGCCTGGATAGAAATACCCCGCGTGCTTTTGTCTCACTTTGCCTCTCGACCTTGCCACACCCTGCATTGAACGAACAGGACCCAGCAGCCTTGCCTGAAACCTAATGGATGGAGCCACAACCTGAGGCCGGAGCGGCATCGCCGCACTCCGAATCCAACCCCGAACCTTCCCCCGCACGCGACCCAGAGACCGACACGCAAAGTACGACCTCGACGGCATCACGCCCAGTCTCCGGAGTTGTTCCGCCCTACTGGCGTCGCCACGACCGCAACGTATCCCACGCCTCACACTCCTCCCTCCGAGGCATCACGCTCGAGGACCACACCGCGGATCCCGACTCGGAGACTACACGTGGGCTATGGGCACGCAGTGTCGCAATTGATGACCATGTCGTCGTGCGTGGAATGACGGGTGTCGGCTCGTATGTGGTTTGGAACTGCACCATACAAACGCTGGATGTGAGTGAGATATCGAGTGTCGGGATGCTTCCTTGGAATGCTAATATCATGACAGGGTGGACCGATTGTGATTCGGATGAGGTGAGTTGATGCTGGGCTACTCCGTGACCTCAGGACTGTGGCTAATGATGACTAGATACTCCGAATTTGATGATTTGCGCCAGAGACTCGTTGCCTCTTTCCCACATGCAAGAAATGCGTTGCCCGCACTGCCGCCGAAGAGCGTTCTTTGTATGCCGATGATCCCCTGTCTCAAAGTCCTCGTGGCTAATATCTCCTAGTCAAATTTCGACCCAAGTTCCTGGAGTCAAGGCGTGTGGGTTTGGAGTATTTCCTCAAGTGAGTGTTACCTCATATTCCGTGCAAGCTGATCCTAACCTTATGCTAGCTGTATACTATTGAATCCAGAGTTTTCAGGCTCACCCATTGTGAAAGACTTTTTGTTTGGTCGTATCTGCTAGCATTGGTCCTGTTCTTTTAGCTTGATGGGGTTTGGCGTTCCTTGAACATGACATTGGCATTGTATCACACCACAATGATATGAATGGTTTTGATACCACTTAACGATATGCAGATTCGGTGTCTGTAGATGGCCCCGAAATGTGGCCCGATACGCTTTAGTGAATGGGGTATAAATCGTCTGTGTCATACTGTACACACTGCCCTTGCTTCCCAGGTTATACCAAGGGCAAGAGGATAATCTATTAAGAGCCTGGTTGCAAGAAGTTACAGAAGTGAGGATAAACCAAAGCCACTCGGCCCAAGCCTAAGCTTAAGCAAAAGCCAGGACATCACCTTGGAATGCTCCGACAAGTAGCCCGGTAGTGGGAAGTGTCATTCACCTGCGGCCCACACAGGGCTGACGTGTCAGGGTTGTTGAGGGCCCACGCCCCCGATTTGACGCCCGGAACCCTCCTTAGTCCCTTCTGCCTCCTTCCTCCCCACCCATCCCCTCACATCTGCCCAGAAAATCTTCCTCAAGCTAATATTCGCCATATGCGTCATGGCCATCAAGACCCTGGGCCCAGGGAACCCCGAAGGAAAAACCAGATAAAGCCCTTGATCCAGGTTCAGATCAGGTCGAAACTTATCATGATAAGCCTTCTTTCCACCAATCGGCAACCGCTGAAATGCATGTCCGTAGAGCTCGCGCGTGAAGCTCCGCATCGGGCCCGGCATGCCGACAATATCGTCCCGAGAAAGTGCATGCAACGGCTCGAAGCCGAATCCCAAATATGAGACGCCTGCCCGGTTAAGCAACGCCATTGCCGCGACGAGTAATAGATCGCTAATTCCCTTGCTTGAGCCAGGTGATGCAATGCACGGATCGACGTGGTATCCGTCTGAGCCTAGGCGGCGCAGTGCTGCAAAGCCGTTGACAACATTGTTGCTGTCGCGTGTGTATATGAACGTCATGAGCGAGGGGAGGGCGAATGGGTCGTAGACTGTTATGAAAGCTTGGGGGGATGCGGCCTCGTTTCTGTGGGCGCGCCACGTATCGTAGATGGAGATCAGGGTTGATTGGAGGTGGTGGTCTGTCCCGTGGACGGCTGGAGCGTAGACATGTAATGTGATGCCGCCCTTGGACTTGTTGAGCAGCTGGCGGTTCTGCGTTGTTATACGTTTCCCGCTGGATTCGAGGAGGACTTCGTTGGTTTTGGGGTTTAGGACGCGCTCTGTGCCGAAGCGGATAGTTGTCCAGTTATTCGGTCGGGCATAGTCTTGCAAGAAAGCCTCACTGACGCTCATGAATGCGATCCCCCAGTGATGTCGCTTTCGGTATTTCGTGAATTCGGCGAGGAGCTCCGGGACGGAGGAGGGAGGACAGAGAGGATCGCCGGCAACTATGGCGACGGAGTTCTGGATTTTGAAGGAGATAGCTGCCGTTCGGGATTTGTTCACGAAAAACCGGTAGCTTCGGTCGAGGATGCCCATGTGAGCCACCCGGCCGTATTTCGCGGCGAGGTACTCGATTGCCGTCATTGTGGCGAAGTCATCCAGGCTAAATACATCTGCTTGGTTTCCGTGGTCTTGAGACACGAGTGTGGGTTCTGAATTTGGATGCGGAGATTCGAGTTTTGTTGTTTCGCTAGTAAAGTGTATTGGTTCGTGGCCGTCGAAACTCGTAGTTGGAGTTGAAGTTGAAGTTGAAGTCGATTGGGCTGTTTGGGAGCTGTAATTTGATGAGCTGGCCGACGAAGAAACATGATCATCTTTGACATCGCTGCGCAAGTGATCTATAACTGAAACACATGAAAGATGGCAGCCGTTCATGTGGTCACTGTGTATAGAGGTTGCGTATAGCTGTCCGATCAAGTCATCTCCAATCTCCTCGAGGAGTAACCTCTTGCGAGGCTTTCCAGTCTCAAAGGTCTTTCGTCTCCGTGCAGGCCGGGATGTTGGACTCGAGTCTCCACCTGGCTTGTTCATGGTGAGTTTGAAGCCCAAGCCTGGCAAGTGTGAGTAGAAAAGAAGAGGAAGGCCCAGTGACGGATGGGATCTACTGATGACATTCGGATGTCACTAAATACCGCGTTTGCCTGGAGCCAAATTACGGGCAGTTACAGCACCTCAGGTACATAGGTACGGTTTATAACCCCCTTATCCATGTACAGTATGTTTACGGCCATGGTTGTCAACGGAGGGTAGACGAGGAGGCCAATCATATTGAGGGTCTAGAACAAGCCTCAAGCCATTGGCGGTAGATCTCACACTAACTGTTGCCAAAACGTTGGTGCCTACCACTGTTTCAAGCCCATAAGCTTTGCCCAGGGTCTCTGCCCTACGGGCCCGTTTTCTTGACTCGGAATTTCCCGTTCTGTTCTCGGAATATCGACCTGTTCCATAACTTCTGCCTGGACGCTGTCCGCGGACCCCGTCCTAAATTTGTCCATACCTGTCGTATAATATAATATCTCGCTTAGACATCGGGTTGAAACACTGATTTTAATGTCAGTGCCGAGGCTACTTGCACTCATTCAGCCTTATCCCCCGTGCCGAACTGCAAAGATTTTAGAATTGCTGGTCCCGCTTCGCAACGGAGGTACTAGGTACTAGGTACATATTCTGTGAAGCCATGTACCCCTTGATACTACCTAGGTACCTAACAATTACACCTGGGTACCTGTCCTGTCACTTATAAAATACCCGGAGCTACGTACCTATTCCACAGTTGATTTGAGATTTGAGCGGAGATACAGGCACCAAGTGACTACCAATATCGCTACTACAATAACTCAGAGCTCGAAGAATTAATAATTCATTGAACAACAGACAGCGCCATCATCCATGGATGGAAACCACAACGTCAAAGCCGCTCAGCATAGGAACACAGGGACCGGGTGATGGTGAGTCCACGAACACACATCGAAAGGGTCCCAGGATGCAATCCACAAAAGCAGATCATTGAAAATAAGCTCAAGAGCCAAGAGCAATCCAGGAGAGATATGCTGAGGCTACAATTGGGTACCTCAGTCCATCGATCAACATGGCAAAATCAAGTGCGTAAGTCCTCGGTCACCTCGAGGCTCGTCAGCCGTCGCATTTTGCATCCATGTATGATGTATCCCCATCTTCATTCGACTATTCAGTGATAAAGCCTTCAGTCACTTGTCAGCCGTCGCATCTTGCATCAATGGATGGAATCCTTCTCACCATCATCTTCACTCCACTCTTCAGAGTTACAATTCTCCAGAAGTTTGTCCAGCCTGCGATTGATTGCTCTCATCTTCTCGAGTAGTTTCTCCTGTTTGCTCACAAGCTTTTTGGCACGGCGTAGGACTCGGTCGATATTCAAGAGAGGGGGCACCGGTTCCGGCTTTTCGATTTCCTCGACAAGCTCAGGCAAAGGCTCGCCATTCTTGACCTTGTGTTAGCCATATTCCAGATTCAAAAGAGCCAATAACAATATTTACGATGTATTTGGTCCAATATCGGACCTCAGGAGTATCTGGGTTGATCCAGACCTTGTTGAATGGGAGTCGGTTGAACTTGGATTTCTTGATGCGCGGCTTGCCGTCACTGGGAGCTGAAAGTGAAGACACGTTCAGCAGGCGGGAAAAACAGTTCTCATTTGCCGGGATAAAGACTGCGAGATTAAATGGAGGGAGAGGGGGTTTCTCGCCTTTGATATCGTCCGCATTGGACGCATGGGTAGGACTATCCGCCTTGTTTTGGGTTGTCTGTTCCTCAGATACCGGGCTTTGGACAGCCTCACCTTGGGCAGCTCTGATTGGGGAGAAGCCGCGTGCTGATGACCAGTCTTGACCTGCCTCGTCTTGATGTTCATCGGATAGGGGCATCCTCCTGTAGGCAGCTTCCCAGGCTGCCTTGAATTGGGCGACCCGTTCTAGAAACAATCTGAATCGGCGTTTCCCGGGTCGCTCTCTAATTTCCTGGGCTGCCCGTTTTTGGGCTATCCGTTCTCGAGTCGACCTCCATTGGACTGTCCTGTGGCGGAATACCTTGCGATGGAGTGTCTTGTTCCGGACTTTCATGTCTTGGGCTGCTCGGTTTCGGGATGCCATGCCAGTGATGAATGAGCGAGTACGAGTGCAAGTATGATTTGTGTCGGTTTGTATGGGAAAGAGATCAGAGAGAAACGAGAAAGATCAGAGAGTGAGAGATGCGAGCGCGCAGAAAGAAGGCAACTCCTGACCACTTGAAGCAGGAACCTCTTTGTAAAACGCAATTGTATCCATTTGATTTATTCCATGTCTAGAAATCGCAACGCTTTCGCAAATATCAATCAATTCACGATTTTCATACTTCCACAGTACCAAGGTTTCCATTAGCGCTTGGGCCAACGCTAAATTCATCTGGTTAGCGTCCACGGTGCATGCACAACGCTAATCCAAAAGAGGAAACTGTCATCCCATCCTGTGGACATCACTTCGTCAGAGCCACGCTTATACACTACCTCCGCTTTTGTGTCGTCGCTCGACCATGATCACCTCTCGCCCCGCTACCCTGGCTGATATTCCACAGGTGCGCGATATCAACCACTGGTACATTGTGAACACATGTTCAACTTTCACAACTACCCCACCACCGGTGTCCCACTATGAAGACATACTGCGGGATCTCAACAGACGACTACTTCCATTCTACGTGGTGGTTTCCGATACTCGAAAGTCGGCAGACGGTGCGGATTTGATCCTCGGATATGCTTATTTCTCCCCATTCCGAGGCGATTTGCTGGCCTTTGCGCACACCGTGGAACTGTCAATCTTTATGCGTACTGACCAACGGAGCTTCGGCTACGGAACCATTCTGTTAAAGAAGTTGTTGGGACTAGCTGCTTCAGGTGGCATTCAGCATCGCTGCGAGGAGCGGGTTGGTGATCTTGCCCGTATTGGGGCTGGTAGTATATTCGGAGTCATGAATACCTCACCCGTTCGGAGTATCCTTGCTACCATGGCATTCAATCCAAACAATCCTGCCGATGGAATCAGACTAAGGGATTGGTTTACCAGGTTGGGATTTGTGCAGAAGGGGCGACTGGATGGTGTTGGGAAGAAGATGGGTCATTGGTAAGTTAGCGATTTCTCATTCACCGCCACAACAAGAAGGCCGCATTTACTGACAAAGAGTCAAGGATTGACACTGTGTTCCTGCAATGTACATTCCAATGGCCCCATGCACAGATACAAGATGGTAACTAGGAGAGTTACTCTTGTCTAATGGGCACATGTGCCCAGGTGGGCACCAGATGATCATTGAATGGACTGAATCGTGACGGGGAGTTCATTTTGTTAGAGATATGTATTCAATATGACCAAGAGGAGCGAGGTCCTTGTTTCGGTCAATAGTACATTGATTGTCCCAAGCCAGAAAATATTGCATTCAAGAAGAAGCCCGGAAGGAATAAGAGGTCCTGAAACCAACCTTTGTCGATAGGACAGAGGCGGGAAAAGAAAAAGAGAAGGTCAAGATCAAAGAAACGGTGGTAGCCCTTTTCGGATTCAGATGGGGGGCTTCCAACTTTCCTTCTGCACTGCTCTGATTATTCCATGGACAATGTCGTTGAATTGATTGTAAGTCAGTTGTCCAGGAGATGTGTGATCCTTGCTCTCAACCTGCACATGGATGAACTTGACCAAAACCGGCAATTCTGCTTCTATCTCATGCAACATGATCAGAGTAGCAGAGAGATAGTTGAAGCCGACGGTGAGGCCCTGGCAAGCGAGGACCTGATCGCGCCATGCGTCCACATAATCATCGACACCGGTGAAATTGTGACGACGCGTATTCCAAAGTCGGACGAGGGCTTTGGACATGTAGTGCTCTTTGGCGGTTTTGGGGATATTCAAGCCTTCGATTGCCCTGAAGGTAGAGTCTGCGAACTCAAGCTCCGGTTGTATGTTTTTGAAATGGGTTGTGAACTTCTCATCGACGTTCTGAACGAGCCACTTGCTGACCAGGCGTGACCATTTGGTCCAGGTTTTGTAGCGAGGGTGATCGGGGTCGGGACGAGGGATTGTACGAGAGATCAGATCGGTAAGGCGACGTCCACCGAGAGACACGTGAATGCAGCTCCCCCAGAAGTAAATGTCATTGGCAGCGGAAAGTTTCTTGATACCGGGAATAACGATCTGTTTGAATTCAGGGAGTCGATCGGCCTGGGTTTGAGTCGGCCTATCAGGGACCGTGCTTGAAGCCGTTGGGGTAGACATTGCTCGTGAGGCTGGATCGAGCGAGAGCAGAAGTAGATGGATGCTCCAGGCAAAAGAAGAGATCTGCGAGGGAATGATAGAGACGAGAGAAAGGAAATGATCGGGTTGCTGCCCCCAGAGACCTCAGGCCCCCAATTTAGTTCTCTCGTGCTTTCTCTCTCTCTCCAACTATCAGTTCTCACTGGACCGTCTATCAGAATAAAACCAACACAGCTCCTGTCGATTTATTCGAAGATCTCAATTCAACGAGTCAGTGTGGGGTCACGAGCTCGGATGGTCTTTTCCCCCAACAATAACTGCGTCGTGGTTTTGCTCTTCTCGGGCTCGCTGAACTGTCACCGAATATTGTTTCCCTGCGATGATCCACCATACAAGTTCAATTATCAGGAACCCACCGACTACCACGCAGGTATAGTTCATGTTGGATGCTGCAAGATTGCATGAGTCGCTATTGACCCTCTTCAAAGACAAAATCCACGTACCTGTTACCGGCATCTCATACGGAAATGAGAAGAATATAATGGCGAAAATCAACCAAGCTACGGCCACGGTATTCACCGTCATTCCAATGGCCTGGCCCATGAAGAAAGGACCGCGATGCATCGTTCGACGTCGAAGCAGAACGTTGGTGAGGATTGGTACAAGGTATGCGCAGTTGTTGATCGTGCTATTTGAACATTAGTGACGAGAGACCAGTTGCGCAAGGCGACATACACTGCAGAGCCCATCATCGCATTGAATGCTGTACTTGATCCCAAGTATATACACCCCAAAAGACCCACAATCACGGCTACACATAACTGGGCGTTGAATGGCGAGCCGAGTCGGCGATTGACCCGGGCCCATACCTTTGACAGCGGAAGGCCTTCGTCACGCGCGAAGGCCCAGAAAACTCGCCCCGTGCCTTTCAAGGTTAGATCAATCTGGCAAGACTCGTTGGGTCACTTACTCAGCTGAGAGCCTATAACACATGGGCCCAGAGCTATCCAGACCATGAATACGAGACCGAAGGCCCCTCCTCTAGTCGAGGTTGCCTGCCAGAAAAGCTCAGCCAGTGGAAGTCCGGTGCTGGTATCAGCCAAGGTACTGTAGTCCTGTACGGAGAACATGAGACTGAGAAGGTAAGAAAGTCCTGTGACAAAGGCAATGGAGAGTGTGATGGCTAAAGCCACGATCAGCTTTGGCTCGCCGAAGAACCGTGGATGACTTACCTAGACCCAACGGCGCATTTCTTCCCGGCTGCGAGAAAATGTCAACATATATTCCAGTGAAAACTACCATCCTCACTCACATTTGGCATCTCTTCTGTGATGTGCTAATGCTATAGTCAGCGGCGAGTTTGTCACACTATGGGAAACACGCACCGAAATTCCGTCCAAACCACCAAGTGAGTATAGCGGATTCACCAAACCGGTGATGAAGCATATCACATTGTTCTCCCAACCGGTCTTGTTGATCCATGTGCGAAACACGAATTTGCTGTCGTTATGAACTGGCGCCGATGCAGCGACAACAATCATGGTGATAAACCACGCCAATTGCAGGTAAACCACTATTCCGGCAAGTCAGTCAGGCGGGATAATTCCCAGAAAGCATTACTCACAGGAGAATTTGTTGATCAAAGGGATAAATCTATTCCCAAACATGACGACCCCCGAAGTGAAGATGTTCAGGATCTGATATGCCACAAATATCATCCAAGGTTTGACGACGAGATCGTCATGATAAAGAGCGATCAAGGCGATGACGGTTGTGGCATAAATCAAGTTGGTCGATGCAGTCGTGAATATCCCTGATCAAGGTCAGCCATAACTTGGCACACCCTCAGTGAAATAGCTCACATCCGAATACAGTACACCACCCTGTCGCAAAGCTCAGAAGACTGTTATATCTTTTTGGGGCGATTGCGGCGATCCAGTGGTACATTCCACCCTCAGTGGGATACGCAGATACAAATTCTGCCAAAGATGCGCCAACAAAGCATTGGAGGATGAAAACAAGAATGAAGCCATATATGACTGAGACCTGATCAGTATGGATGCTTGGCTAACGTTCATGATATAGACAGGGTTCTCACGTGCACCAGGTCCACCGGCATTGATAGCAGTAATCAACCCCAACCCAAGACCTGTGATTGTTAAATATTACGAACAGTCCGGCTAATCCATAGAGATCACTCGACACAACCTACCAGTCCATGAGATTGTGCAATTCGCCGCCAGCCCAATCAAGCTCCATACGGAGAAGTGTCGCTTCAGTTCTTGTTTATGCCCTGGGCTATCATTAGAATCCACCGAGGCCATATCACTGCCAAAGGCCGAAGTCCAAAACTAACCCATTTGAGCCAATCGCAACTCATCCTCATTCTGGAACTTGATACCCCCCGCATCGTGGGGGTGTTCCGTGGAGACAGAGGTGATTTCGCCCATAATGCGTGAAAGTTCGATGTTTTCAAAAGCGAGGGGCCGAACGAGCCAGCTGCCCGACATTAAGTACATCGTGCCATCGGCCCCGGGGGCCATCAGTCTGGCATGCAGCTCTTATCGTGTTTCGGACATTCTGGACACATTTCCGTGTCTACCGGCCAGATAGCCGGGGTTGCGGGTGAAGTAACGTATCAGGATGCGGAATGCTTCAACGCTAGGGATGCTGTGCCGCCCCCGCACCGACGATCGTGTGCTTCGACACAAGACAACGTTGTATTGGCGTTGTGCTGTAACGTCCCAAGGTTGTACTTAATGTGATAAGCTCTTAAAGCTGACAATTTCTAGCTTGGCATGCGCATTATTCTTGGGCAGAAGCTAGAATGCCAATTTCATATCATGTCCAATCCCCTCCAGATACGCACGATATATGTTGCATCAGAGGTCGTGACGGAAGATATATTTCCATGGAAGATTCCACCACCTTTGTCCCGCAAAATTGCCCGGCTCTTCGGGCTGCCATACACAAAGAAACTCCACTATCTGCACGTTTCCAAACCTTGGAAGTTACTGATCCAACGAGTCTGACGATGAATCTCAGCATCTAGTCTACTGCAATGGAAGAAAGATATAGCGAGGAAAATTTTTCGAGGCCTTCAAAGTTGAAATGAAAATCGAGCAATGATCTATCAACAGAAGGAGCATCTGCAGAGCCTGATCATACCCAGGCGCTCATTGAATCCCAGCAAAACGCTAGGGCATGGCGAGCGAGAAAGACTTGCGAGGCCTTGGAACAAAGATTGAGCAATTATTTATCAACAGAAGAATCATCTACAGAGCCTGATCATACACACATGCTCACTGAGTCTCAGAAGGATGATATGGCTAGGCGGACGGAAGTTCCCAAGCGCTAGACCGGCGAGGAGACTCAGGGTGCTGCGCCTCCCTGCGGCGAACCATGACGTTAAGCATTGCCATCGCTTGTCGCAATTGAAGAGGATCCCACGGACGCTGAAAACCATAGCGATCGACGAAGCAGGTCCACCCGCCATACGATTCGCAGACCTCCCATTGTGCGTGCGTGAGCATAGGACCTGCGTGGGTTAATCCCTAGACTGATAAGTGGCGCTTCGGAGAAGTCTTACGCGTAAAGTCAAATCGTCGATTGTACTCCATGTTCCTGACGATCAACTGGAAGTCATTTGCACGCGCCTCCATGACACCATGTATTAGGTCCTGCGCCCGGGTGAACATTCCCAGCAGTCCTGGCGATCTTTCGATGAATAGTTGCAGCTGAGACATATTGACGGTCTTCGGGGCTGGAATCAGCTGGTAGATCTGATGGATTTGAGTGGGAGGACAGAGGCAGAGGCAGAGGCAGAGAAAGAGCGTGAGCGGGAGCGAGGAAGAGGAAGAGGAAGAGGAAGAGGAAGAGGAAGAGGAAGAGGAAGAGGAAGAGGAAGAGGAAGAGGAAGAGGAAGAGAAAAAGAAAGAGAGAGAGAGAGAATCCAGGGGAGGGATAAATACGGCGGTTTTCCCATGTAGACATCTGAGGACAGCGCAGATGCAGGTGGTGACCATGAGATGCAAATGTTTTGGACAATAACAGACAACACACGAGTTGCTGCGTTCAAACATCCCGAGGTCAGCTACCTAATGCGATCAACAAGTACTCTGATGTGACGACATTTTAAGCCTTGAGGCATGAATGATTTCGAGTGGTATTTCCCATTATACAGTTATGATCTGAATCTACTGAATCGACCAAGTTGATCTCAAACAGCTCGGTCCATCACCAGAGAGAGTACTGGGGCACTAGCATGGATTCTGATCAAACTGGGCATTCAGGTCTTTGTTGATAATGCCGGCCTCGACAGCCTCTGGTAAAGATATCAGCATCTCTTCCTCCAATTGCAATAGGTTACTCAATAACTTACTTTGGTAGTTCCACTGCTCAACGTTAGGCAAATTCTCATCCGTCTTCCAAGTCCAAAACACCCATCCACCCAAAGCTTCGTACTGTCTCTGCTGTGCCGAAAACCACTTCGAGTACGATGAAGCATGATTGCCAGTCATTGGCAGGAAGTTGTCACCTTGATTATTGAATGCCAGACTCCACTCTCCGACAATCTTGGGATCCACATCAGACTGACGATTATCCCCACAGGCATCTGAGATCATGTCCCCCTTAGATCCGGCATCGCGCACGAGATAAATCTCGTAGTTGTGGTCATCGAAAAGAAGCTTCTTCTTTTGACTGTCATTAAGAGAGCGGGTAGGGTTGCCACCAGAGTCCCATTTATCATCCTTCGGTTCCTGTCAATATTCGACCATAAGATGAGACCGAATCAAACTTACCATGACTGTGATATGTAACGCATCATCATCCGAAACCCCCAGCGATGACTCCTTGGCACGAATCCGGTCAATTGCCGACGGATAGAAGTGTTCTACCATCCAGTTTGTGTTCCCATTCTCGGTGTTTTGTAAAGGCTCGTTGACAAGTTCGAGAGCACCGACGGTCTTGAACGCATCACTGCTTGAGATTTGTTCAACCATCCACTCATAAAACTTGTATGCGCGTTCGGCGTTCCCGTCGTTCTGGTAGAACTCCGGAGAGCTGGCATACTGAGTAACATTAGTTGAAGAAGACCCAGGGAGACGATGATACTGAGACTTACACGTCCAGTAAATGGCTGCTGAGCTTGTTGTGCACCGGGCAAGCCATGGGTATCAATAATGACATACATGCCCGCATCAGCAGCCCATTGGCAGATATTGGTGAGATCCTCGAGAGCATTGTTACGCGGGTAGTATTCGTTATCCGCGATGAGGTCTTCATTCATCCAAAATCCAATCGGGATCTAGGTGTGTCAGAATGGCTTTCGGACCAAAGGTATGCATGTATGCAAGGCTGCAATGCTTACCCGGATGGTATTCAGATCATATGACACCATCTTGGTGATGTCGTCTTTGGTGATCCAGGACTGCCAGTGCTTTTTGAACGCCTTGTTGGCTGCATCTTGACCAATACCTTGCACACAACCCCATTCACTGTTATACTCTCCACAGCCCATATCGTTCCATTCGCCATTCGCCATCCATTTCTCGATAATGAAGGACGAACCTAGGTTCACCCCCCGAATCTTGGAGGTGCCAGACTTGCTGAAAGTTGAAAGGTCTCGGCCTTCATCCGTCGGGAGCCATGCTGATGCTAGCGGTATACTACCCAGAAGTGGGATGAGCGACTGGGGCTTCATGATAGATGGGTGACTGGAAATAAACCGGAATGAGGGACTTGGACATCGAGAGAGACCAGGCGGAAGTCCCTTTCTTAAATCAAGACCGATGCTGCGTACTAATGCTTAACAATCGTCGCGACCTCGGGATACCACCTGCAGCTCGCAGTGCCGCACCCCATTCGATATGCGATCGCCAGTAATTTGGCGGGACCCATCAGCGGATCCGCCGATCATCACCCTATGCTGATAAGTTGTGCGAGCCTAAATGCTTACATCTTTAGATCAAGCACAGAGTAGACAGACTAAGAGCGGATACTGCAGATGCCGAAAATGCAATTGCAGCCAGGAAAGAGAACAGAGATGTCTGAAGATGAAGGATACACCCAACGTCGAGACATTGGATACTCGGAGTCGCTTTTATTCAGGCCCTGAAACCGAATATCATCACCGAGTTTCATCTCTTTAATCCTGGGGAATGTTATTGCGGTCCAAGGCCATTTTCCGTCCTCCGTCCTCCGAATGTTCCGCCCCCACGGAGTCAATTATGCAGGACCCTGCAGGGGTTGAAACAAGCATGGGCCTATTTTAGCCCCTGAGAGATGCTTAAGGTGGTATTCTCATAGGCTGTGACTAACGATCGCCCCCACGGGACTTGCATTGCTTCCTTTTGCCCTCACACACTTACCCAAAAGGCGATATGGTCTCTGTGGATGTAACATTTGCTCCATTTCGCATTGGATGCAGGTATACAACAAGACGATCATTGCCGTTACCTCCCATCGCGTTTTACCTAAAGTGAACATACACAGTCTTCGAACCCCATTTTCTGAATTGGGCAAGGCAGTGCGAGGTCATGGATGGAAGATAGCTATATAAGCTCCTACCAAGAGCCCTCAAGGTAGAAGTTCAAGTCACAATTGTCACCATGCATCTCATTGCCGCAACACTCCTCTCTCTGGGCCTTGCCTCAGCCTACGACCTCCCAGACAACCTCAAGCAAATCTACGATAACCACAAGGTACTACCCACTTCGTATCTTGATCCCGTTGTCCAATCACTGACAATATAGTCTGGAAAATGCAACAACAAGCTTGCGGGTGGCTTTAGTGACGGGATCAACGGTGCCCACACTTTTGCCTATTGTGGGGACATCGACAACGCCATCTACCTGCACAGCTCTGCCAATGGCGGCCAGTACGACAACATGGACATCGATTGCGACGGATTGAACGATAAAGGCGGTGATTGCGGTGCCGACGAGACTGGCCAGGGTCAGACTGCATTCAAGGACCAACTCAGCCAGTATGGCATCGAGGATCTGGATGCCAATCTGCACCCCTATGTCGTATTCGGTAATACGGACTTCGACCCACAGAAGTATGGCATGGAGCCGCTCAGCGTCATGGCTGTGGTTTGCAACAACCAGGTGGTAGGTTTACCCCCTGATCTACATGGGCCGAGGCTGATCGACCTAGTTGTACGGAATCTGGGGTGACACTAACGGCGAGGACTCGACTGGTGAGGCTTCAATCTCGTTGGCTCAGATGTGTTTCCCCGACGATGGAATCAATGGCAACAATGGCCATGGCGAGGAGGATGTCCTATATATTGGATTCATCGGCAAGAATACTACCCCTGGCAGTGACGCGGACTGGACGGCTGGAGATCGCAACGCGTTCGAGGAGAGTATCAAGGAGTTGGGTGACAAACTTGTTGCTGGTCTTAAGAGCTAAGAGAATGTCCTGAATTTGGTATCTGGTCTTCCCATTTGCATGTAGGGGGTTTTCCGAAGCCCGAGAGGTTGAAGGAAGAGACTATTGGAAGATTGACACATTAGAAGACAATGAAATCATCCAATAGAGCCTAAAGACAAATTGTAAAAGACAATCCAATTACAAAAAAAGAGAGACATCGTCATATTAAGGAGTAAACTCGGCGATCTCTCGATTGGCGGACACTTGGACCTCGCATCCTTCGACTGTGAACATTTTTCCGACTGTCACTGTCCCCAAAAAAGGATTTCACCGGAGGATTAAACTATTGACTGGTCGAGGCTTTTGCAGATCGGAAACTCCGAATCGAATTCAAATCTCAGTTTGCTCCACTGCAGTGGATGTTGTTACATCATCGCCGGGTTGCAAGTTCTGATCGCCCGCAGCCACCACTGCCGGGGCCTGGCGATCGACCGATCGATCGCGCTCCTCGCCCGCAAAGTGCGAGCCCATGTCGATCGATGCTCAGCTCCCGGGTCAGCAACGGATTCAACTGGCTCGGGAGATGTCCAGTTGGGCAGCTTCAGGTCAGATTCATGGTTCATTCGCTCGCGTTTCATGAGGAACCATGGACTATTGGACTATTGGCAACAGCACATTCGGTTAGCCTCGTGGAATCCCAGATGACTTCATGCTATTAAATGGGGTCCGAGCCCGACTAGCTGTTGATCTCGCGACTTGAGCGCATCAGTCATATACTGCAATGGATCCTCCAAGCATTCCCGACCATCGTCCTCACAAATACGCCATGCCGCACACAATGAACGACATAGACGGTCCGACCTTGAGAGGCTCGGCGCAGAATTCGTTGCGATCACATTCACCGGCTGGACAGGCCTTTGAACCCCAGGCCTTTGGTCAACCCGCGATCGGGAGACCGCCAATGGCCCCGCGGCAGCGATCCGTACAATCGAGAAACCAGTCACGCCCGCACAGCTCGCTCAGCGCCTACCACGTCGCGAACGGCAGCAATGGCTCTAATGGCAATGGCAATGGATACGAAGGTGATCGCTTGGACCGGAAGCAGTCCATTGATCAGGCGTCCGTCGCGGACTCAAACGCAACCCTGGACCTCGGCCACCACTCCATCGGGCAGCCACGCCCACCACCGCGCAGCGAAAAACGTCTCTCGGTCTCGAGCAACAACTTCGACCAAAGGTCACTCAGCGCACTCTCTCTTGACCAGGAGTCGATTGGAAACCAATCTCTTGGCCATCACTCCATCGGCGGCCCACCGGGCGGTTACTACTCGTACGGAGACCTCCCAATTTGCTTTTTCTCCAATTTGCTTTTTTGCCGGAAAACTCACACTTTGCTAATGACGCAGATCTCCAACATCCCCCAACGGCCTTCATCCGACCCACTCCAGCAGATCACTCCGACGAAACTTTGTGGTGAATGAACTCCCTGTCCTACAGCAAACGAATCCGAACGAGGGATCCGACCAATTCAATCCCATCATCGAAGAAAATGAAGAAGCATCCTACGACTTGGTTGCGCCGTATGAGGGCGATGCAACCCCTCTCCACACACTGGAACGCCAGGCGGACTTGATGTTTTGCGCAGAGCATATGCTAGCCATTCTGAACAACCCTCGGTATCTGGCAAGGTTCCGTGAATTCCTCGCACAAGAGCGCCCGGCATCCTTTTCGACGTTGACCTACTACCTCAATGCTTCGAAATCCCTGAAAGCCATTGAATACGCAAATGCGCTGATCAGATTGGCCGTTGATGTGCCAACTGCTGGGATTGAGACCGCAGAGCAGCCCGTCGGCCCGACGGTGAACATGGCGCTGGAAAAGCGTGTCCAGGCTGCGCTGGACGCCCTGACTGCGGAAGAACTACCGGCATTTATCACGGCAACTTGTATCAATATCACTGGCAGGGTGGTCGAGGAGCGGGTGCGCGGCACCCTTCCCGACAAATTCCAGGGAACGGCGGACGCGCTGGCAGAGGTCTTCTGCTTGACAGATCCCTCCAGACCGGACAACCCTATCATCTTTGCTTCTCAGGGTATGTGCTCAGTGGATAAATACCCGGCTGGTTACTTACATTACCAGAATTCCATCGCACGACGCAATACGGCATGGACTATGTCCTAGGCCGAAACTGTCGCTTCTTGCAAGGCCCGAAAACGAACCCCAACAGTGTGCGGCGCATTCGCGAAGCACTGAAAGCGGGACGCCATCACTCCGAGCTATTCCTTAACTAGTAAGATCTATCACGCCTCACTTTATTCACAGCTAACCATATCAGTCGCCGTGACGGATCCCCATTCATGAACCTTCTCCAGATGGCCCCCCTCTGCGACAGCCGTGGCAACATCCGCTACTTCATCGGTGCCCAAGTCGACGTCTCAGGTCTCGCGATGGAAGGTGCCCAGATGGAATCCCTGCAAAATATCCAAGCGCAAAAGGAGAACCCCGACATGGAAGATCTTGTTCCCAAGGAGTCCAAGTCTGAGTTCCAGGAGCTCGGCGAGCTCTTCAGTCCCCGCGAACTACAAAATGTCCGCGAACATGGTGGAAATCTCTTCCAGCCCATCGTCAACGAAGATCCGAACCACCGTCTCTTCTTGCAAGATTCGGACACAGAAAGTGAACACCATGCGCCCTCATCGCACAGGCAAACAACTGTGCCTGAACCTAGCCCTGGCCTGTCTTTGACAGGCGTTTATAAAAACGTGAGTCCCTTCCGTTCTACTGATATTGTGAAACTAACAGTCCCAGTATCTTCTCGTTCGCCCTTATCCATCCCTTCGCATTCTGTTCACGTCTCCCACCCTTCAAATCCCTGGCATGCTCCAATCCTCTTTCCTGAATCGCATCGGAGAGTCGGGCGTAAAGCGCGACAACATTCTCAACGCTATGATGGCCGGTCGCAGTGTCACTGCGCGTATCAAATGGGTTACGAAGTTCAGTAGTGATCAGGGCCGGAACCGGTGGATCCACTGCACGCCGCTGATGGCGAACAATGGGGAGATCGGTGTTTGGATGGTGGTTGTTATTGATGATGATGAACATGAGTCTATTAGGTGGCATGGCAATTACCCAGCCACTTATTAGCCGTATATAAAATAGTTTGTGTTGTACAGAGTGCATGTAATTCAATCTGGAGATCCATGGATGCTTGTACGTAGGGTTTGGGGCTAAGACTGTTCCGGATAACCTTGAAGTGTATCCCAAGCTAGCAGGAAGGCTTCACATGTGGTCCCTTTAATCGAGACTATCACATAGAATGCTGTTATTGCATCGGGAGTACGAGGTATGGATGTTAAGTTGACCTCTTGGAGTTTCATCTACTGTATGCCTGGGAACACTAACTGCAGCATCCCGAGGTCGAGTTTAACGGCGATTGGGTCACGATTAACAACATGTCATTTTAGACTTTCCGAGGCTCAAACCCACGGATCGATGTATCTTGATGTCATGAGATTGGAATCAACATAAATGCAATTCCATTTCACCTCGACTGTCACCATTATACCATTCAACATGATTACCTGGCGCTCCCTAGCTCGTACCTCCCAGGTGCACTGCCTTGAAACCCATGGACCACACCATATTAATCAATATTAGAAGTATGGTTTACTCAAAACCCACGTGCGGCGACTCAGCCTACTGGAACACCACTCACACCAACTGTTGAAAGACGTAGGGTGGCATCCTTTCCTTACGTTCAACACTGACAAGATCTAGTTCAATCTTCCAGTCCCGAAAGGCTATCTCGTAACCACACCAGAAGAAGCCGAAGATGTTGTCTTCAACATCAGTAAGTCTCCCTCAAACTCCGCACAACTCCAAGCCAACAAACAGATGCACCCTCCGTGGTCAAGGCCCAAATCCTAGCCGGTGGCCGCGGCAAAGGAACCTTCGACAGCGACCAGAAAGGTGGTGTCCGCATAGTGAAATCGTTCGTATCCCCTCTCTCACCTGTCCAGCTCAATACTAACGTCTCAGACCACGCGAAGCCTACCAATCAGCCCTAAACATGCTAAACCACAACCTAACCACAAAGCAAACCCCACCAGCCGGCCTCCCAGTCCACAAACTCTACATCTACAAAGCAGTCGACATAACCCACGAGTACTACCTAGCCATAACCTTCGACCGACGCCGCAGCTCCCCAATCATCCTAATTTCCGATTCCGGCGGCGTAGACATCGAAACCAGCGACAGACTGCACCAGCTATGGTTCCAGCTTGAGACTGGCATCACGCCAGAAATCGACGCCTATATCCAGGCTGAGCTGGGATTCTCGGACTCAGAGATGAAGGTCATTCACAAGCTTCTTTGTGATATGGTTCGACTGTTTCGGGAAAAGGATGCGACTTTGCTGGAGTTGAATCCGCTGGTCAAGACTGCTGATGGGTTCGTTTGTCTTGATGCCAAGTTCGAGTTTGATAACTCTGCTAGGTTCAGACAGGGTGATATCTTTGCTTGTGAGGAGGGTGGTGATGAGCAGGAGGTGAGGGATGCTGAGAAGTTGGGGCTTTCGTATGTCAAGTTGGATGGAAATATTGGGAATATTGTTAATGGGGCCGGGCTTGCGATGGCGACTAATGATTTGATTACGCTGGTGGGTGGACGGTGTGCGAACTTCTTGGATGTTGGGGGAGGCGCAACTAGGGATGGCTTGGTCAAGGCATTTAAGATCTTGTGGGGAGATGAAAGGGTGAAGGGGGTGTTGATCAATATTTATGGAGGTGAGTGTCACTCTCGAGATGGAGATACGTTGCTGAGACTGATGTTTCCAGGAATTGTGCGTTGTGATATGATCGCCGAGTCAATTATCGCTGCTGCAAAAGACATCGGGGGGTTCAAAATGCCTGTAGTTGTCAGATTGCAGGGTACGAATTCTGAGAAAGGGCTCAAGTTGGTCAGTTGGCAGGAATCTGGAATTTCCAAGGTGAACTGACAACCTGGATAGATCGAAGAATCTGGATTGGACCACTTGTTGGTCGAGGCCGACTTTGAAAAAGCCGCTCAGTCCATTGTTGACCAGACCCCTAAGTTTAAATGATCAACGCCACAGAGTACATAGCGGTTATTTTTTCAAATGGGGTATGTTCTGAACAATGATTGATGAGCTGACTGTCGACTGTGTTGCATCTTCATCTGAAATTGACTACCTAGGTAGGCGTTAAGTGCGGGCTCTGTGTGATCAGGTACTAGGTATGCATTTCTTCATATATGCACAAAAGTGTACTCTGAAGTTTGAGTGAAGTCTGAGTGCCACACGTCGCGTAGAGTATTTGCGAGTCTTCAATATCCTGAGCCTTTGGGTGTCAGAGTGTCACAAAGCCAATTGGCTTGGATGGCGCCATACTTTTTGAATTCACGCCATTATCGGATGCTTTTACAGAAGATGCCAAATTCATTCTCCATATCAGCAAATTTCCGGTCGAGCCTTTTCAATTGAAACGATGCAGTATTGGCAGAAGACTGAGTCATTAATGCAGCGTTCTATGCCATTTGCCAACTTACGACTCTGGGCGCCAAGAGACGCCTGTCTAGTTTCGACATGTTATTTTTCTCGTTCTCCCCTTTTCTTTCCGGCTCAAAACCGCAAGACTCAATAGTATGGACTCGTGCGTTCGGGAAAACTAGTTCCAATAAACGGAGCAAGGTCGGGCAGGATAACGCACTGTGCAACCGAAACCCCGATAATCAACCACGTCGCTTAAAGCCGGACTTTGTGCTTATGTTACTTTTGGATTAATTTCTCGAATACGGACTGAGCGAATCGCATATAGTAAGTAACCGGGGTGTCTAGATGCCCAGTTTATCAACATCGCCCAAACCGGCATAGTGGGGCGTATCTCAAGCAATTCCGACGATTCCGCGAGCTCACCGTGCAATGAGTTCTATCGCGACTTAACGCGACCGTGAGGATTGGGCTGGAGCGACTAAAACTTCGGAGGATCGCCAGGCACCGAGCTTATCAGTGGTTGTCAGCTCGGCTTCGATCGATCGAGTCCCGCCCCCTGAGTGCTGGGGAGAAATTACCCACCGGGGCACCTGGGCACCACCGTCGAATCACATCAGCCGGAGAGCACACTCCTATGCCCACTTCTGACGGGCTTGGTCGAACGTTGATACAAAGGTCATGGGGATCCCCGTTTCTCCATTAAACCCCAAAACATGAGGCATTCGGCGCCCACTCACTGGGTCGTCTGGGCCTGTCTGATTTGGCTGGCCGTGGTGGCCACTGCAGCCTCACTCGGGGATTCGGATACAACAGATGCCAATGAAGTTACGAGCACATTTCAGGCACGCGGCACCAAGCCATTCATGCTTCGGGTCCTGCCACTCGGCGCGTCAATCACTCAAGGATATAAATCTCAAGACGGCAATGGATATCGGAAATGGCTTCGACAACAGCTGCGCTATGCGGGCTGGGAGGTTGATATGATCGGCAGTAGGAAAACAGGCACCATGCACGATAATGTATGTGATGGTCGTTGATATGCAATTATGGTTGTTGGGTCGCAATCTGACTGTCGCCTAGGATCACGAGGGCCACGTTGGTTACAGGATCGACCAAGTGGCCAAGATTGCAAAGAAGAGTCTCAAGCAAAAGCCCAATCTGATTTTGATCAAGTAAGTTGATAGACAGAGAAATTACTCATCGTTTCACTGACTCACTTCCACCAGTGCCGGTACCAATGATGGCTTGCAAAACTACAAAGTAGGCACCGCGGGAGAGCGAATGGACTCCCTCCTGACCGAGCTGTACGACGCAGTCCCGGGAACCACTATCATTCTATCGACTCTGATTCCGAACGGCAAAAAGCCCGTCCCTATCAGCAGTATCAGCCAGCAATACCGTGATCTTGCTGCCAAACGACGCGCTCAGAATGACAGCCTAGTTCTCGCCGAGATGAGCACATTCATCAAGTCGACGCAATTGGTTGATGGTATCCACCCAACAGCCGATGGATATGAGGAGATGGCGGCCGTGTGGTGGGCAGCAATCCAGGAGGCGGATACAGAAGGGTTTCTGAGGGCACCGGCATCGACAGCCACGAGTAATGGGACGATCAGCAAGGCCCGTGAAAAGGCCCTTGATGACAGTACTGATGACCCCGACTTGCCTGCTTATACTGCCCCGGCTCAGCCTACTGGTTCAAGCAATGGTCAAGTAAAGGCTGCCCAGATGGATTGTTTATTCTTGGCCCTTCCGGCTGTACTCGGTAGGTTGACATCACGCACACCATACCCACAGCTTGCTAACCATGCGCAGTCAGTTTTACATTAGCCTTGTTGGCATGATACCCATGATCGCTCATTTTGTCGGCGACGGAGCGTAACATTGCGATTTAGCGGCCGTTTTTTTCCCAAGATTTGCCCTTACAAGTCTTTTCTGGCCAAAGATGAACTCAACCTTGGAATATTTGTACATGAGTCATATGGACATAACATATGGAATGAGAGTGATGTTAATAAATTCACCACGAAAACAAGGACCAAACAGTCCGCTATCGAGTGCCATCTGTAGACGGCCAGGAACGAACACAAAAACCCAATATCTGCAAACCTACATTAAGTATTTCGGCACATATCTCCAGCCAAACCACAGCACACCTCCAAGTGCAGCCCAACTGACCAACCCCTTCACAACCAGAATTCTTCTGACCAAAGCAAACGTCGCCCTCTCATTCACCTTTGGAAATGGTTTATCAGGAACTTCTTTTCCAAGATACGCACACAGCGGTGCCCAGCCATCCTCAGCGCGGAATTCCAGAACCTCACCACCACTCGCCGTGACAACCTCCCTAACACGCTGATCATACCTTACCGCAAATTCAGCCGAGAAAATATCGCCCTCCCCAATCTTCTCCCGACACCACTCGATAATTCGCATATTCAACTTATACCAGAGACGGTCGGTGCGCCACAAAAGACCAATCCAGTAAAAGCGCCTCGAGAAGAAAAAGCTCATACTATCCCGGACGCTCTGTGCCCATATTTCAGGATCCGGCCGACTGCTCAGCACCACCTTCGCCTCTGGGTAGAGATGCATGAGGTCCTCGAGGAAGAAAATTGCCGGCATGTCGACGACGGCGCCATGGCCATCGACCAGCTTGTGGATTTGCTTGTGCCGTCTTGCAGTGTCTGTTTCACGAGACGCATCTATGAGGAGACTCTGGCGCTCTGCGTGGGGGATGATGTGTGCCATGTGCAAGCATGGGCCGCAACCTAGGTCTTCTAGTGCGGCCTGGAGTGAGGAGGTTGCGGTCCGCGGTAGACCCGCCCCAATCACCAAGAGGGATTGGTTTTTCACAGGCGATTTACGAGTATCTGCGATGAAGCGTACCATGGTGGTGGTTGTGGGATGTTAGTGGGGGAATACGAGCTCTTTATTGTCCTGCAGACTGATGGCTGATGTCAGCCTATGTGCACGGGGATCCAGGGGGCTTGCTCTGCAGCGGGTTGCTAATAGGGTAGTTCAACTGTTGTAAAGAATCGCGTTTGGTGCCCAGGTGTGTTCCAGATGCCCTCACAGCTGATTTCCGAATTAAGCAGGTTGCCGATTCGGCCTCATGACGTCATCTCAAACAGCTTTCCAGGACTCGGTTCCTTGATGTTTTCCTCTCTTTTCTTCTTTGCTTCTTCTGTCCACACTCCCAATTGATCACCATGTCCGAATCATTTGCTTTCCTTCGCCAGCGTCGCTCTGACGAGCTCGCCAAGCTTGCCGACGAGCACATCCAGCATGACCTCCAAGCCGGGGATCGCGATACACTCAAAGCAGCTGCCTCCTCAATTTCATTGTGGACAACGGTTGGATCGGCAGTTGGTGTTAGCATTGGGTTATTCGCAGCTATGCGACTACGCAGCACGCGCCGGGCGTTCTTTTCGGCGATTCGGGCCCAGGAACGTCCCACCAAGGTTGTCTTTGAGGATGGAAGGACCGGTACGTTTGAACGAGATTCAAGGATGAGAAGGAGATGCTAACTCATACAGAGTCTATCCCGGACCTCACACCATTGCTGAAACCAACCACTCTTGGAGACTTTGCAACCTACTTCTTCGCTTCGGCCGGCGGACTACTTTTGGGTGGAGAACTTGGTAAGATATACCGCTGAGGGCATTGGGCTGATTGGAGGGACATGATGCTGACTTGGTTTTCCGTGTAGGATTTGCTGGTGGTGCGGCAAACGCAACCCGGGGCATCTCGGCTGACCCGGAAAGCAAGAAGAGAATCGAAACCGCCTTCAAGAGGTTCCGCTCAGACTTGCTCCGAAAGCAGGCTGATGCTATTGATAAGGGCGACAATGACTCTGGTCTTTTATAGATTGACCCTTTCATGATAGAACCCCTTTGGACCTCTCCTCGGTGCAGCGGTTTTAATTCGAACTACCATTGGGCATTGCAAACCAAGCCGATATCGTACCAGCTCAGAGTGATTGAGCTATACCTCATATCGGCATTTGCACAGCATCAGATCCACAAAGAGCCGCCACTTGAAGCTACATAACCTAACTCTGAGCTGGAATCTTGGATCGACGTCCGAGGTATCGCTCGCGAATGACATGTACGATAATTTGTTTGTTTCATTATTCGAATTTATCAATACAAAATCAGGCTTCAACTGCCTTGAGGAATGAAGGGCTCTCATAGCCCTGGACAACCTTCGAGATCGGCGTAAGATGGGCGTCGGAAGACTGCTCGCTCTCTTGAATCTTCCGAACATAGAATTGGGCAACTCTGAGCCACATCGCCTTCTCGCTGGCGCTTGCCTCGGATCCCTGCCAAACCCAAAGTCTGTTACCGACATCATACAAGAACACATCGTTGCCATTGAAGTCAGACCGGCTGACACGTTGTCCATCCTTCACAAGATCGAAGGACAGGTTTCCAGAGGCATCGCTGAGTCGGAACAACTTGCGTGGGCGGGTAGGCTGTTCATCACCCCTCTTAGCAAACCGGCCAGGTCGAGCCGCCTCCAATGTTGGCCCAGCCTCCTCTTTCCCGCCCAACAGATCAACGATGATTCTGGATCGTGATTCGAGTTGTGACAGCACCTCGACATCGACATGCTTGGCAAGAGTCATATCATTCACCACCTGGGCAGCCTTGGCCTTCTCCATCGGGCTGCACTTCTTGCCCTGCCATACCCAGATCTTATCACCCTTGTCCAAGACAAAGACATCATTCTCATCAAGACTCTTCCATGTAGGCTCCACCTCATGAACAATAAGAGAATCAATCCGAGCAATTCCAGGGTGTTTGAAGATCCGCAAAAGAGTGAGAATCTCCTCCCGCTCCTCAGGCTCAACATGCGTGAATCCAGACCTCACACCGCCAGATCTGATGGCGTAGTGACGGAACAGAGCGAGGAACTCATCAGAGGGCTGCGCCTGGACCTCGCGGTGCTGTGTTGCAGCACCGTGCAGGAACTCATCTAGCTCGACGGTCTTGTAGGCAGCTGTCCCGGCTTCATCCTGAGTCGTTTTGCTGCCCAGCCAGAAGAAGATGTCATGGCCGAGCTTGTCGCCCAGCTTGTATGAGTGCAGGACGATGAAGCTGTCCCCGTCATAGAATTGGCCGTATTTCTCCTTCGGCCAGGGAATGACTTGGAAGTTCTCAATGCGCCAAATGAAGAGACCGGCTTCCTGGCCGATCTTGCCGTTGTTCCAGGCGGGCTCGGTAACGGCGGAGTTGTATTTGACGCGGTGGTCGAGGTCGGAGCCGATTAGCTCCACGTTGCTGTCTTTGATGTCGTACTCCTTGGGGTGTACGAGTTCTTCGTGAGGTGGCATGTTTGCGGCTGTGATTTGAGAAAGGGTGTATGCGGTAGATGACAGGAAGTAAGTGCTGAGCTCTGGAGATCGAAGGATAGCCACAATGTGGCGGTGGGTCCGCGGGGCACTGCATGGAACAGATACTTACCAATAGGAGAACATCTTACGGTCCTATTTTTAGGCCGGACTAGCAGGGATACCTGGCTAAAGAATGTACGGAGATCTATCACAGAGCCTCCCATGTCTGTTGCTGCACAATGAAGATAAGGGACAAGGCCTAGGCATGGTTCTTCACTTGTGATGCAGGGGTGAGATCGAAAGACGACCACAAGACGCGACAGTGAATGACAACTCCCGAGGCGTGTCAACGTGATACTATGTCGCTTAATTGACTCGGGCGGCCATTAGATAGTTGATTACCGAGGAATTATCGGACAAAGAGAGGGAAATGGATTTACGGGAAAGAAAGGTAATCAGCGCACGATTCAATCGGCTGTGAAATAATATTCCAAATGTCGTCAAGGTATATGAAACACTGTAGTAAACACTCATTACTCGAAGGTAGTCTGATAGCTGCCTGTGACTGATTTCTCAGGGCTGCACAAGACATTCTCATTAACGCTAAGCATCAAGATATCACGTATTCCTCGTCCCGCATTATCATCGCGCACCATTGTCGGGTATCTACCAGCGGCCCTGAGTGGGACGGGGGTTGGCGATGTTGACGGTGATGCGGCGGCCGTCGATCCTAGAAAAGGGTTAGCAAAAGAACTTTTGTCATCACTGAGACGAAATGGCCACGTACTCGCTCTCGTTCATGGCGGCGATGGCAGCCTCGGCCTCCTCGGGAGCAGAGAAGGTGACGAAGCCGAAGCCACGGGAGCGGCCGGTCTCACGGTCGACCATGACAATCTGAGGAACAATTAGTATCACACAGGGTGGAGATTGGGGGTTGGAATCATGCATACGTGGTCAGTGATCTGGCCGAACTCGGCGAAAGCCTCACGGAGGCTGTCGTTGGAGGTGCTCCAGGGCAGGTTACTGCACAATTCATTAGCTCAATGGACACGGAGGAGAATTAGACCAGCAGAATGCACATACCCGACGTAGATCTTGGACATTTTGAGAGATGAAGATTTGACAAAAAAGTTGAAGAAACTTCAGCACAATGCGGGGCACCAGAAAAGAGATATAAAGGCTTGGTGGCGGTGAGAAAGTCGACTGCCCCGCTGAAATTTCCCTCAGGACCTTGGAGTTGTCTTCAATACTGGTATTGACCAGCCCGATACTGGGCTACACTATGATGAGAATCCCGCCAGAGAAGACAATTACCAATACCGGACGCTACTGCATGCCAAGCAAAATGGTCCCGAGGGCATTTCTTCCATTCTGCATTGTACCGGTATTTTCAGGACAGCTGGACCAGACGAGAAGAGAAGACATCTGCATTTTCCAGGAATTTGTTGCTCCAATTGACGATGAGGCCCAATTATGATTCTAAAAGACTGACAATGGCGCCATCCAGTGTGAGAATTGACGATAATCGTGGTATGTACGGAGTAAGCTGCGAAATTGTTGCGTACACTCTCTCGTAAAAAGATCAAAATGAAATTAAATGGGAATGGTATCTTCAAATTTGGCAAACGAGTACCAAACATACAATTAGATAGGTTCTACAAGTGGCTGCGACGGAAGAAGCAAAGGTCGGACTGCATGAACTATCGAACTGGGCCGCAAACTCAAAGGAACCACACGCCTGGGTATGAGAGCAGAACGGTAAGCAAAAAGAAAAGATAGACTAGAGAGCTGGAGAAAAGGTAAGAGAGGAAAGGCGGAGGTATACAGATGTACCTCCAGGGCTGCCCATAGACAACCTAGGGACTGTGGATGTGATCCCTAAGACAGGGAATATTTCGATACTGCAAGCCTATTAACGCCGAGCAGATGGTGGAGCGTGATTCAAAAGGTCAACTGGAACAGGGTTAGCTATTTTCCAATTGGCATTGATGGAAGTGAAGGGAACAACCTTAGGAGCTTGAGGATGAGGCGGTCCCACCACTTCCCGTGGTGGCTATGGCAGAGGCTCTCGCCAGCTGAGATCGGTGAATCGATAGTATCTCAGCACATCAAAGAGGTAGAGACCAACATCGCGCTCAGGGACGAACTGTACCGACATAGGCATGTGAGGGTGAATGTCACGCAACTTTTCCTCCATTTCCCTGCAGTTCACCCTACCGGCAAATTGTCTGTTCCACTCATTGGCTGGGTCAGAAAGGTACTTAATCAGTTCGGGTTCGTAGGCCCATCGAATCATGTCCAGGATGATTGCCCGATCTTCGGCCTGGTCTTTGTCCTCGAGGTCACCGAGATCAAGCGGTGTCCAGAGTTTCTTCAAACTATCATCGTTTGCTGGCATGCAGGCTGAAAACTTGAGATTAGCTCTTTGGGGCATGATGGCTGACTATGAATATTTCCAAATATTGTTTTTATTTTGTCGGTTGATGGGTTGGATGGAGGTATAGAGCATTATTGAAGGGATAGTCTACCATTTATATGGACATACTATAACGTATTCCCGAGGCTGTATTTGATATTCCTTGAAGAAGAACGTCAGAAATGAATCTTGGGGCCTCTTTGAACAATTTCGTGAAGACCTCTTTTAAGCTTCTTTCAGCAGCAGTTTTTAGAACACGGGGTATGGACTTCATTCAATGTTGTGACAAAGGCATTTCAAAGTGCTATATCGACAGCCTATAGGCACGCGCTAAAAGTGAATAAATAGAGTTCAGTCTAAGGGGCTCTTAGAGCCCCAAAACGCCGAGTCCAGGGACTCTTCATAGATACGAAGTGACAAAAAGTGTTTAGTATGGATGCTGTAGTCTACCTCTCTATCTCATTTGCACATACATGCATAAGAATCTTACTTCCAAGTTCGTAGATGATGCTATTGGGTTCGATGGTTTGCTTCACACCACATATTCAAATATAGAGGAAGTATACAGTAAACTGGCAGAGAAGCATAGTGAGATGCCCCAACAAAGCGAGAGACTGATAAAAGAAGTGGCAAGGGTTATTTAATCTCATTTCATCTGCTCGCTTGGCAGAACTTCGTCCCTTAGGGCCGTTGTTTCAAGTCGTTGTTGATCATAGCTCTCTTTTTGCACAGCAGCCACATGACCGAAAGTCTCGAGAGTCTTGGCATCTCATTCGTGAGAAGATATTGTTGACTGGTCATTAGCTCTGATTGATCTATATAGAGGCTGCACGCAAAATGTTGGAAACGAGCAAGCCTGGTACCCATCTGGCATCTGACGGTGGTAACTAGATGCCCAGGTGCGAATCTAGGCTGGAGTGACTCGCTGAATGCATTTCTTTTCCTGAATAAGTTTTCAAACCTCGACGGATGAATCATCTTATCAGTCTTAGGAAAACTGAGCGTGATGAAACGTATGGGAAGATTAACTTTGAGCTTCAAATGTCTTGATTGTTCTGTCCTCGCACATCGCGGTCTTCCGCATGGATCTAATAGAATGTTGGGCAGAGTAATCTACAGAGTAGTCTAGTTATATACAAATCAATGTAAGATGAACCAGGGACATCCCCAATACCTCTAAGACTCAGGAGCGCCATCGCCGACCTGGCTTCCACCGTCGTATTTACCAAAGCAAGCCTTCTGATATTGCGCCTTGCGCTTCATGGCAGGGACACCACGCAGGAACTTCTCGACGTGACAGAAACCATTCTTCGAACCCTCACATTCCGCAAGTCCATCAAGTGGGAGGGGTGCGTTGTTCAGCACGAACCGAATGTAGTCCTTAGTGTCCGCAGTCGATTTGAGACTAGGGTTGCTGTAGAGAACAGGGTCCAAAGACTCAAATGAGGTATCACTTGGGCAGGTCCAGATCTCAGACATGAGCCGGGCACCGAAGGGAGTCATCTGGCTGAGAGAGAATGTACGCTCGGGCGCATGGTCAATGTCACCTGGCAGACCCTTGGGACCATAGTTGAAGTACTCAAGACCGAGAGCGCTGACCACGGACAGAATGATGTCGTCATGAGACATGTCCATGTAGAAGGGCTGTCCGAGTGGGAACTGCGCAGTGTTGTCGGTGTAGGTGTAGTTGATGCTTGTATCACTGGAGGTGATAAGCTTGTTTTGGAGACGAGCTGCGAGCTCCAACACGTATCCGATACCTTGGGCTCGGCCACTAGGGGCGCCGAAGGCATAATCTCCGTAGTACTGCACGTCAATGTTGTACTCGAAGTCCTTCCACTCCTGCTCAGTGAATAGAGAGCAGAACGACGAGCCACCGAGACTGGTGTACTCGTACACGCAGAGATTTTGCATGGCGAGCACATCCATGGTCGTCAGGTTGAAGTCAGGGGGGAAGTAGGAAGACAAGCGAGAGCGAGCATCCTTGGTGTACCGAGAGATGAAAATCTCAGCAGCATTGTCACTAAACAATTTGTCAGTTCGACTCCCAAATTGACAAAGATCCAAATATAATACCCAGCGTATCCCTCTTCCACATCGCCGACACATGCTTCATATGAAGCAAGTGTGTTGTTGAAGCCGCCCTCTTCGGGAATCACAACAAGGTCATACTGACTGTAAGAGCTGTTGGCGCCACTGTTGCCAAAGAAGCCGCCTGGTAGAGGATTAGCATTTCGCTAAGCTGCACGAAGTGAAAGGTACGACTCACTAAGCCACCAGCGCGCGCTTTCGAGAATGCGGGCTTGAGAGGTTGTGCGGAAAACGGGCTTGGGGCGGTCGGTCCCGTTTGTATAAACATTGAGAGAGGAGCTCCAAGCAGCCACATTTTCGCGACCAGCGCGGTACAGCAGTCTTCCGTATTTAATCCAGAAGTTGGCACCGGATGTAGCCTCGGTGGCTGCACCGTTCTCCATCAGGGTGTCCTCGCCAATGACATATTCCCAGTTGTTCAAGAACTTCAAAGGGCCGACAGTCACAGGCTTGTCCGGGTTAGCCTTGCTGTAGTTGGTCAACTTTGCTGCAAAGTCGGTCATCCCTTCGCCATCGAGCGGATAATTTGTAGGGAAGCGCTGAGCATGGCGATGCAGCACGTGGACTTGAGACAGTTCACATCCTTGTGGTACGCCCTTGGGGACACCGAAGCTGTCTGCGTCCTTGTAGGGGCTAAGATTGGCCCAGCTCTTGGTCATGTCAAAGCCAGAGGCATAGCTGGCTCCAGTTGGCCCCGCTGCAGGAGCAGATGTGCTAGTTGCTGTAGCTGTGGCAGCAACTGTCACCAGAGTAGCTCCGACGAGGTTCTTCATGATTGATCACCGCAATCTGTTGTGGGGTCCTTCCACAGTTGGCTCCACGGGAACTTGATTGTCGCGTTACCCGATGTCGGCGTTGAGGCTCAGTCGCGACCGGTATACCTAGGTACTACTGTAGTACGGAGTACACGACGGCTTTCTGGAGACCAGTGAGTATTCAAGATATCGCGTGGTTTCGAGGAAATTAATCTTGCAAATTGACTTTTCGGGGGATCGTTGTTCCTTGGGAGTTGGACAGGCCGCGATCGGCATCATTTCTTGTTCCGGCCGTTCGATGTTGGACGACAGTGCTCCGTGCCCCTTACCTTGGAGGGAACGCTCTTCACCACACCGGGTTATCTGCTTCAACGACTTTTCCTTGCGGAGTATCAGTCCTGAATTCTTTATGAAAATTCAAGATCGCACTCTGCAAAAGGAACATCAATAGAACAAGGAGATACACTTCGAAAGCTCTGCATGCAACACCCCTTGTATTTTTGTTTCCGTGGGAGATGGTGAGAATCGGTTGGAAAGCTTCAGAAAGCTTCCGGAGATGGCGAGAATTGGCCAGAAAGCTTCTCATAGCTTCTTCAATTCAGACCATCTCCAGAAGCTTTCTGAAGCTTTCTGACCAATTCTTACCATCTCCGAAAGCTTTTTGAAGCTTTCTGACCAATTCTATAAAAGATGCCATTTCTATAAAAGATGCCATTGATGCATGTATTCATGAGGAAATGTTGAAAATTTTGGGCAAAGAACCTTTGGCTGTGCAGGGTTGAAGAGTTCGAGATGATGGACCTTCCAAGGTTGGAAGCAAATGCTGCTTAGACAATCTCTCAATGAGTGCATAATTTCTAGGGATAAATGTCCGTCTTTGATACCCAAAAAGCGATTTCCTTCGAGAATGCCTCACATCATCAGATGTATGCGACCTTTCGGAGGATCGGTTGGGTAGAACCTAGCGACCAAATTGCAGTTTGATCTTCCGGGCTTCGAAGGAGTGGCAAAACTAGGCTCTCGCTTCGAGGACTGGGTGTATATTTCGATCTAATATTGGATCGGTTCTCTTCCCCCAGCGATTCGCTCGCTGTCAGTAGAATGACACATTTCAGGGTCGGCGAGGTTGAGTCCAGGTTGGGGGCCTGAGGTCCCGACGTCCCCCGCTTGCCGTGGAACCCCCGGCTGTCCTGAACAACCTATACTTCCAAGGTTCCCCCCAAGAGAGACTTATACTACCTAGGTAGGCAAGAAGAGGTATAGCATTATGTCTCTCCCCGATTTGATCTCCCGTGTCAAAGATTTGATGGCTCAGTACCATGTTCCTGGTGTTTCTATTGCCGTGGTGAGAAATGATCAAGTGTCATCTGCGAGCTTTGGAAGTGCATCTATCGAGCCCCCAATACCTTGCACAGCGGATACACTTTTCGACATTGCATCTTGCGCAAAGTCAATGACTGCGGCTTCAGTTGGGATACTTGTGGAAGACGAGAAATACCCCGACATCAAATACGACTCCATCATGTCCAGCCTCCTACCAGAAGACTTCATGATGTCAAGTTCTATACACAGTGAAGGCGTGATGGTTGAAGACTTGCTGAGCCACAGGTCCGGTATGGCGGCGTAAGCACCAGTGTCATTCTCAAGACGGGAGGGTTGACCTAATCCCATTCAGGCATGATAACTCTTACTTTGGCCCTCGGGCGGAGTGTCCAGATAACGCAAAATCCATCACCCGAAACCTGCGAAATCTTACCGTGGCGGCTCCTGTACGGTCTCGGTACCTGTACTGCAATATGATGTATACAGTCCTAACACACCTCGTCGAAGTCAAAACCGAGAAACCATTCGCGGAGTTCCTAGAAGAGAAGATCTTCATTCCCCTCGCGATGACCTCGAGTAATCTGCAGCCTGCAAATGCTCGTGCGAAGGGTCTGGGCAGCAGCATCGCCACTGGCTATATATGGGACAAAGCCAGCGGTTACCGCGAATGTCCATGCGCTGATTGCCCCGAAGGCCAGGGAGCAGGGTCTGTGATCACAAGTGCCAACGACCTCATCAAGTGGGTGAAGGCATTAGTGAACCAAGAGGGTCCAATCACTCCTCAACTCTATCGGGGACTGGTCAGACCGCGTAGCTTTCCCAATCATCATCCCGCGAGGCTGAGACCGTTTACGTCTCCGCCTGTCTATGCAGCGGGGATGGAGATCTATTACTATAGAGGCCACATGATTGTCGGGCATGACGGCGTTGTCCCTGGGTTTGGGGGCCGCTTTGCCTTCATCCCTGAAATCAAATTCGGTGCCGTGGTTCTGGGAAATTCTTCAGAAGCCGGTATCGTTGCCGGGATATTGATTCGCGAGTTGATCGATGATGCCCTTGGTGTTCCCGAGGCAGAGCGGAGAGGCGGTGTTCGAAGTAAGAAAATCAATACGGCTGTCCCAGTTCAGACCGAGAAGAAAGAGAAGCGAAAAGGCAAGAAAGATCGGAGCCCGAAACCCAACCAAGTTGATGGTAAAAGGCATGACGTGCAGAAAGTGAATGCAGACCAAAGCCAACCTGATATTTCAGCGGAGCCACAAACCAAGCCTCTTGATCAGTATACTGGCCAGTACTGGAATGATGGATATCGTGGGATGAACGTTCAGATACGCAACGATCGACTGTTTATTGATGCCTCGGACCGTGCGATGGGATTTCATCTCACATTCCATCATATCTCCGGCCAGACCAAATATATCGCGATGTTGGTTGATGTTGTAGAGGGGGGCAGCGATCGGATTGAGGCCGAGTTCTTGTTCAGGTGTGATCAGGTCATTGGGATGGGTCTTCGCTTGGAGAGATCGCTGGAGGATTTGATCTGGTTCGGGAGAGTTGATGAACGGCGAAACCTGATAAAAGATGAAGAATGAGTTGGTGAGTTTGTTTGCCCACAAGTCAACTACCTATGTAGTGTCTTTGCTCTTCTCGCTGCTGAAGCATCTTGGGGCCTTCCTAATTAGTCGATTGACCTTTTCCAATATTTAAGCGTTCTGCCGCGGGCATTCATAGTCTGTTCAATCCAAGACTGCTCCACTTTCTCGCACTGACTGCTCTGGAGTGGTCCGGTGTGTTCCAAATGAAGAATCGGGTCTCCAACTATCCACTGCTCCTAGGTGGCATCTCCAGGGTCTTCCGTGCACTCCACAGGTATCTGACCCGAACACACAATCGTGGGCCCGGGCCCCGTAGATTATGTGGGTTGGAGTCCTGGTATTCGTCCATGGCCTGTGTCGGTATCAAATCAAGTGCCCCGTAGCCACGAGTGAACCCGCCAAGAAAGTATGTCCACCTCCGCCGGGACTGCCCCGGAGTTGAGTGTTTCGTATGTCCATCGTACCTAAGTGACAGCCGACGGGACGTAGCTCGACTGGCCGAATGATGATTGGCCATTGTCTGAATCATTCATTTCGCGTCATTATCGCCAAGATTGCAGGATTCTCTCGCGGCATGTACCGCGCTGCAGTTCCACTCGTACTCACGGAGTTCTGTCCCCCGACAACCATCCAATTGGCAGGGAGACTTGGGCAGTCAAGACTTCGGGGAAATCGCATTCGTGGGAACGTGACGATCCGGGACCGGGTGTGTTTTTCCGAGAAAGTGGGACTGGGAGAAAGTCAAGTTGTTTATCTCGGCAGATCGACCGTCTCCATCTAGTCTGCACCACACTCGGACATGTCTCAGTGGGACTATGGCAAAAGAGAGTTGTCTTTCCCTAACAAGAGTCAGAATTCGCCGGCTCTCGTCAAATTTGCCAACTTTGGATTAGCTGGGACATCCGGGGAGATTGTTGCGGGGAATCTCCATCTCGGCTCTTTTGTCTCGCACAATGCTGACACCCACTAGACCGTTTGACCCAAACGCCCGCCGCGCCACAAACGAGCTCCAGGAAAATGAGGGTCTCCAGACGAACTTTCTTCTCTGCCTCCGAGCGCCACATTCTCTCGGCTCGATGTATATCTTCGTACAAGAGACGCTGCCTCCAAGTTGACGGAACTCCCTCTATCTTCGCCTAACAAACTCGTACGACAAGTGCCACCACAATGGCAGATCATGAAGAAGCTTCGCAAGGAGGTTATCACGATCGCAACGCCACTAGCCCCGATGGATGGAACCTGCAGAATGTGTTACCCATATCGGGTAAGCCATGGTACAAACAGCGTCACCTGGTGCTTCTGAATCTCGGAATGATCATTCCTTACTTGTCCTCCACAACCAACGGATACGATGGATCGATGTTGAACGGACTACAGTCCATGAGTCAATGGCAGAATTTCTTTGGCTCCCCGACAGGCACCAAACTGGGTTCGCTCTCAAATGGAGTGATCTTCGGCCAGATCTTGGCCTTTCCCATTGCACCATGGCTTTGCGATCACACCGGTCGTCGATTCCCCATATTTCTGGGATCCTCGCTTCTTGTTGTCGGTGCGGTTCTGCAGTGTGCTGCACAGAACTACGCCATGTTTTTGATCTCTCGCATGGTCATTGGCTTTGGGGGTCTGATTGCAGTCGAAGCATCACCCATGTTGGTCAGTGAGCTGGCATATCCACTACATCGTCCCGTTCTGGTGGGATACTACAACAACCTCTGGTACCTGGGAGCATTGCTCGCGGCTTGGGTTACATATGGGACCTACTTCATGGGTTTACACACATCGTGGGCGTGGCGCATTCCATCCTTACTTCAAGGGTTCTTCCCTCTTGTACAAGTTGCTTTTGTCTATTTACTTCCCGAATCGCCGAGATATCTTGTACAAATGGATCGCCATGACGAGGCCCGAGAAGTACTAACCAAGTATCATGCGGGAGGTGATGAAACCTCGCCTCTGGTTGATTTTGAGATGCAAGAAATCATCCTTCAGATCCAGACTGCCAAGGCTGTGTCCAAGACTGGATATCGCGAGTTCCTGAGCACCCCCGGAAACATGCATCGTCTGTTCATCATCATCGCAGTCCCGTGCATGATGCAGCTTTCGGGAAACGGCCTCATCGCATACTACTTACACCTCATTCTCAACTCTATCGGACTCACATCTGATCCCGACCAACTGCGCATCAATGGCGGTCTCATGGTCTTCAACCTGGTTGTGTCTGTCATACTAGCATCTTTCATGGAGCTGGCTGGGAGGCGACGGCTGTTCTTATCGTCAACAATTGGCATGCTGATCTGCTATGTTGTCTGGACTGTGCTATCAGCAATCAATGAACAACGTCACTTCAAAGATAGCTCACTCGGCGCTGGTGTGGTTGTGATGATCTTCCTCTACCAGCTGTGCTACAACGCTGGTCTCAATGGGCCACCGTGGGTGTATGTCACCGAAGTCCTCCCCACTCACCTCCGAGCCAAAGGGACAAATATTATGCAGATTGCCTCAACCTGCGTGCTGATTTTCAACGGATACGCGAACCCAGTAGCGATGGATGCAATTGGTTGGAGGTACTATATTGTCTATTGCTGTGTATTGGCCATTGAAATTGGTATTGTATACTTTGGATTTCCCGAAACAAAGGGCCACAGCTTGGAAGAAGTGGCATTAATATTCGATGGGGACGAGGCCTTCGGCGATAGATTGTCGAAGGGATTCGGAATTTGATTATTGTCAACAAGCCTGGGATTCCGGCAGTTTCGGTCATGGTGCTTTCCAGGTGCTGATTCTTTATTTGAGAGACTTTGCCTTCAGGCCAAGATGCCGAGCTCTATATAGTTTGGTTGAGCTTACATGCCGTTTGACTCGTAATCGACGTTTCAATTTTTGTTACTGGGTCTCTCTGTCGAATGACAAACGTGGTCAAAATCGCGTCAGAGAGTGATGAAACCTTTATAGGATTCACAGGGGGTTCACCCTTTGCTGGTTTTCGGGATACTTGGCCTCTAAATTCTATGTGGCTGCGACCATCAAAATGAGTTTCGGTGGAAATATCTTCCAAGGGTGGCCTGCTTGATTTTTGCTTTTTTCCCTCCTTTCCCATCCTTTTTCTCGCTGAGTACTCCGTACTGGGGACTAATCGCTTGGCCCAGGGACAGGCGCAAAGCACGCAGTGAGCTACGAAATCGCTTCCCATGGAACATTGACTGCCGAGAATCTTTGTACAACTCGGTCTCTAGGTGGGGGACGGCAGACATTGTGGCAAGTGAATGCACCCAAGAGACCGGGCCAGTTGGCATCAGCTAATCCCGATTAATCACGGGCCGGAGTCATCGACCTCCATCGCACCCCTGTTGTCTCCTGGATTGACGAGGCCATTATTTTTATCACTTATACTGCTCTACTTCGCACTTCGTGCAAGGATCTGTGTGCTTTCCTGCCACTTTTCAATTTCTGAGACAGACAGCCCAGTTCGTTCCGCAGGAGCAGATCAAACACACGAAAGTGCGGAGGTTGACAAAGTCTGCAGATCTGCGGGGTCGAAGACATCCAGACATTAGGTTCAATTGTTTCTGCCCCTGTTTTCCTGCATTCCGCGACTCAGCCGGACCAACCAGGGTCATTCATGCGAGGCCTGAGAGCACCATCGCTCCTGCATCTTCACCAGCGTCACAATGCAACGGTGTGTTACTTCGCCGTGCTCCTGTGCCTTATTAGCCAGACCCAGGGCCGATTGAGCTACCTGATCATGGGATACGCATCAAACCTGGCATTTTGCATGGCGCCCAGCCCGCCATCGGAGATCAAGCCAAAGAATCTCTGTCTTTGAAACTCGCTCCCCATTACCCCATAGAAGGGGGTTATAAAGAGCTTCCCCGCGCCCACATCCCGAGGCGCGCTTCATCCGGGGATCATTCGTCGTGACACAATGCATAATCTCCTTCTAGCTTTGGCACTCAGCGCTGCTGCGGATGGATATGTGGCTGGGAGCGCGGGCTGGGATGCCGCCTACGCCAAGGCCCAAATTGCTCTGCAGAAGCTAAACCAAACAGAAAAGGTCGGCCTTGCTACCGGCGTGACATGGGAGGGAGGACCCTGCGTGGGAAACACCTATGCGCCCGAATCCATTGACTATCCCTCCTTGTGTCTTCAAGACGGGCCTTTAGGTATTCGATTTGCCAATCCCGTGACGGCGTTCCCTGCAGGTATCAATGCCGGCGCAACCTGGGACCGTGATCTCCTGTATGCGCGGGGAGCTGCTATGGGGAGGGAATCCAAGGGCCTGGGTATCCATGTGCAACTGGGCCCTGCTTCTGGTCCATTGGGAAAGAACCCCGATGGGGGTCGGAATTGGGAAGGCTTCTCGGTTGACCCATATTTGAGTGGTGTTGGCATGGAGGAGACCATTCAGGGTATGCAAGACTCTGGTGTGCAAGCCTGCGCCAAGGTATGTGCTCGAATATATGGCCATGTTCACCCGAAACATTGTCTGACATCGTGAATAGCACTGGCTTGGTAATGAGCAGGAGCACCATCGGGAGACCATGAGCTCCAACATCGGCGACCGAGCGACCCATGAGCTTTATCTCTGGCCTTTCATGAATGCGGTGAAAGCGAATGTTGCATCAGTCATGTGCTCGTACAACAAGTTCAATCAGACCTGGGCATGCGAGAGCGACGCAATTCTCAACAAGCTCCTGAAAGATGAGCTGGGTTTCAAAGGCTATGTCGTGAGTGATTGGAACGCGCAACATACCGGCGTCGATAGTGCATTGGCTGGACTTGATATGACAATGCCAGGAAGTGACTTCAACACTCCTCGTGGCAACATTTTCTGGGATTCAAATCTTGTTCAAGCAGTGGGCAACGGGTCTGTACCACAATCCCGGTTAGATGACATGGTAACCCGAATTTTGGCATCTTGGTACCTACTAGGTCAAGATCAGGGCTATCCCGAAGTGACTTTCAGCTCCTGGGATGGAGGCAAGGCCACTGTCGACGTCACGGCCGACCATGGCTCTCTGGTTCGCACCGTGGCTCGTGATTCCATCGTTCTGCTCAAGAACGAAGATGATATTCTGCCTTTGCAAGAACCTCAGATACTTGCAATCATTGGATCGGACGCTGCGGTCAATCCGGATGGCCCTAACGCATGCACCGACCGTGGATGCAACAATGGAACGTTGGCCATGGGATGGGGAAGCGGGACGTCTGAGTACCCGGTAAGCTCAGGTGGAATAGCGGGAAGCTCGCGAGACCAAGCTAACAGTATCATTCTAGTACCTTATTGATCCACTCAGTGCCATCAAAGCTCAAGCTGAAAGCGATGGCACACAGATCATCCAAAGCACTACCGACAGCGCCACTGCTGGTGCCGAAGCAGCTGCAGCCGCAGATACAGCTGTCGTATTCATCACCTCGGATGCAGGCGAAGGGTGAGTGGAGCTTCTTCCGTGCCCTCAATGCTTCTAGCTAGAATATCGTATGCTAACAAATGACCCAGCTACATCACAGTGGAGGGCAATGCCGGAGATAGAAACAACCTTGATCCATGGCACAACGGGAACGAGCTTGTCAAGGCTGTTGCGGCTAAAAGCGACAATGTAATCGTTGTTGTACACAGCGTTGGCCCCATCATTCTCGAGACTATCCTCGCCCAGCCATCAGTGAAAGCGATCGTCTGGGCCGGGCTACCCGGCCAAGAAAGTGGAAATGCTCTGGTAGATGTGCTTTACGGTAGCACTTCTCCAAGTGGCAAGCTTCCCTACACAATTGCCAAACAATTCGCAGACTACGGAGCTGGCTGGACCGCTGCGCTGGATGACAACTTCGCAGAAGACTTGCTTGTGGACTACCGACACTTCGACCAGAATGGTATTTCACCCCGATATGAGTTCGGTTTCGGACTTTCCTACACATCATTCGAATACAGCAGGCTTGCAATCAATGTCGCAGCGACAGCTGGACCCTCGAACGGACCCGTCGTTCCTGGTGGAGCGGAGCAACTATTTGAGTCGGTCGGTACTATCTCCGTTCTTGTCCAAAACACCGGAGAGGTTCCTGGCGCGGAGGTTGCTCAACTTTACATCGGTCTTCCTGATTCTGCTCCCAGCACGCCACCAAAGCAGCTCCGAGGATTTGATAAGCTGCTTCTTGAGCCTGAGCAATCGGGCATGGCTACTTTCGAGCTCACTCGTCGTGATCTCAGCTACTGGGATGTTCAGGAACAGAAGTGGATTATCCCAGCTGGTGAATTTACTGTTTATGTTGGAAGCTCCAGCCGGGATATCCGCCAACACGGGGAATTTTCTATTGTCAATTCTTGAGATCAACTGCAAGGGCGCTGAATTTCCAGGGTTGTGATTTGTTTGGAGATATTTGACTGAGATCCTTCGAATGACACGTTTTTTACATATCCCACTGCCAATTCCTGAGGCTCCTTTATCGAGAGACCAGAGAATCTAACTCAATACCTAGCACAGCCAGTCCTGGAGAGTATTCACTGTGAAAATTCTATCTTCCAAGGTTTCAAGGTTCTCGTTGGATCCAGAGCTGATCGCTAGGTGTGTACTCGGGATTGAGGCGCCCAGTGAGCCTTAGAAATGGTGCCAAGGACGGGCCTCGGGGGGCGGGGCACTGCACCCAGGCACAAGCCTAGAACTATGAGTTCAAGATTCTAAGGCCCCCGGTGCTGTGGTAAATTATTTGTAGATGGTAATTAATACACGGTCGCGTGCAGGATCAATATTGGATTCGTCAACATACCCTGTCCTTTACATTGAATTCAACCTTGAAAGCATCCACCACTTGATTGCCTAGGGAGGTGAATTATCAATGTACTCCCGAAGTTCTGGACAATCTATTCGTATCCCGGGTTTATTTTAAATCTATTCCTTGCAATAATTGACCTGAAAAGAGGCTCAGGAATAAGAAATGCCTGTGATTGATGTGATACAGCCCCTGAGAATCTGGCGGCCTCGGGAGTAACCCAGCCCCAGCCAGTCATGCTTGAGGATGGCCGGGGAATTCGTAGACGTGACGAGAGCCATTTTGGCGCGCCAAAATATAATTCATAGGATTCTTCTCTCTTGAAGGCGATAGATTCCATTTCTCGTGTAAAATTCCCCAGGCGATAATTCGTATAGGGGCTGGTGGTGCGGAGTACAGCCCGGGGGTACGGGGCAGAGCACCTCGTATCTACCACAAATTGATCAACCAGTCGCATGGGGATTGAATCGTATGTACTACATAAGCGGCAAATATGCAAGGCGCCAGCCCAATGCAAGATTTACATAGCTCTGAGTACATCCATGGATATTACCCCGTATCTTGACATGTACCTCGTAAACAGGGGCAATCAAGTATCCGGGCGCCTTTGCCTGGAATCTGAAATATTGATTCGGGATGCCATTGGTCACATATGTGCGTTTGGCTGGAGGTATAACTGGGGGCGAGGTCTTTCGTTTTACACGAGATATCCTCCTAAGCATTGTTTTGCTGGACCAGGAACTTTCAAATAAATCTTTCGTCCTGCTCAGGAACAGTGTTTCAGCAATCCTCGAAACATCCAAAAATGCAGGTGTTTTCCACCCTTTTGGGGCTGGCTACGCTTTCTTGTATTTCTACTGTCTCGGCCACAGCAACCAACACTCTGGCGAAACCTGCTTTCACCTATGACCAACTTTGGAATTTTCAGATTGCCTTCTGGGACTCTTTCCTGTACCCTGAAAACGTCAAGCAGGTCAAAGGAAACGAGTCTACGGTCTTTACCCCAGAGGTGGGCTTTTTTCACCGCGAATTCCGATGTAAAGCTCTAAGCTGACTCGATGTATAGACTCAAGGACGTGTCGATATCACCCGCACTTTTGACGGCGACGAGCTGAACCGCGAATATATCTACGGCCTATTCTCGGACCCTTCGACAGTCAGTCTCGTGGGAGTTCCAATCGCATACCACATCACCCAGTTTGTGGGAAATGACAACATCACATCTGCCACCACCGTCGTGACCTTCAATTCGACTACATTTGGCGTCACTTTGCCCGTGACGATCGACACCTGGATTCAGTACAATGCGGATGGCAAGATCGCCAGCTACGATGCCACATTCCGGTGGTTTGGATATTTGTTGGACACTTTGCTCGAGGGGGTGGCTGAAAAGATAAACGGAACCTCTGAAAAGGCCCTCGCGTACGTGACCGATACCCTTGCCAAAAGCATCTGTGCGACATCTACATCGCATTGCAAGGTTGAAAACCAGCAGTACGACGATAGCGACGCCTGCTATAAATACTTGACCGAGAAGACTCGATTCGGTCAGCCCCACGAGCTGGGACGCAACACATTACTGTGCCGCTCCATTCACGAGCATATGGTCCAGTATAGGCCCGAGGTCCACTGTGAACACATTGGCCCCACTGGTGGAGGATATTGTGTCGATGATATGACCTACGGGCAGACGGTGCTGCAGAAATATTTCAATCACTCGTGGATTCCGTATGGATATGGCCAGGACCAGAACATTTGGGTTGCCAACTGATCTGATCAACCTGCTGCTTCACCTTGAAATACCTCGCTCTTTCGGTGGCCTAACGGCCAAAATTCTTCTGTCTATATTTTAATGGATCGACACAGAATGCAAATATCAAATACGCTAGCTTTTTGAGAAACATTATTTCTCATCTCAAGGTAGCTCAGAGACTTCTTTCTACACTTCGCGTCGCAGCCAGTCCTGGGCTGAATTAATCTGGATCTTAACCCATAGCCATACGCATATCATTGCCTCCAATGCAAGAGCTTTTCACCTTTCTTCTCAGGAGACTAGAGACCGCTGTGGGAAATCTGACCGGATCAGCATCCTGGGGCTACGGGGGATAACTAGCAAGAAAGCAAAGTGAAGCGCCAGATGACAGGATCTCTTTCGCTTCGTATCTCTCAGTACTTCAAGGTTGGTTTGTTATGTTTTCTTCTCCTCTTCCTTTCTCTTTTCTTTCTTCTTCCTCGCCCTCTACTCCGTACACGATTTTAGCTTCACCTCGGGTTCCTTTGGAGATGACCGGCCCACTAATTTGATGATACGGTGTTCACATGGAGTTTCCTACAATTCCGAGCCTAAGTTCCCTCCCCGCCACCGCTCCATATTTGCGGTGACAAGATCATACATGATTCGGGGGGCTTGCCGAGAACTGCCGAGAGCTGCCTGGAGTTTGATTCAAGTTTTTTTTTTTCTCCGAAAGGAATGTGACTACAGCCACGAGCGATGCACTTTCAAGCAGGTATGGATGTCATGTCGCCTCCAAAGCAACGCCCAAAGCAAGAGGGTGGAATTTACCATTGACCCTGTGATCTTACGTGCTAGGTTGCACCGAAGTCCAGCGTCCTTGATTATGGATTATGATAGCCAAGACGGGATCTGCTCTATGTAGACCAACGCGACAGTATGCGGGGTGAGCCCATACCCAAGGGGGTTGAAAGCTGGCCGAGCTCCAAGCTCCAAGCTCCAGCAGTGATATCACTTGACCCACCTCACGAGAAAAAGTCTCCGATTGTTCTATCCATATTGGGCAATGATCGAGCTATGCATTCCAATCCCCTTGGGAGACCGCCCCTAGCCGTTTGTGTGCTATTCCAGCTCACAATCCTCCGTCGCAGGCCGAGCGAGCTTTCAATTTCACACGCGAAGCACGTCAGTTTTGGCCGTTCATATTCATCATGTACATGGGGGTTCAAAAGAAGGGTCACTCTCCATGTCCAAATATGATCGGTGTGATCTCATCGCTCGCAACCCGAGTTCATGACTGATGAACAGCATGCCTGCTCTTGGACAAGCAGGCACGGGCTTTGCTGAGCTACCAATGTCGGCTAACGTTGATGCTCAAGTGGCGATTATACCGCTCGGTCTTCAACAGTTGCATGCCAGCCCTACAATAACCTCCGCGCGGAAATTCCTTCCGTCACCTGGCTGACCTTTAGAAAGCTTTTTTCTCATCCCTTCCGACGTTTTATCTCCCTTGGCAGAAATCAAACAATGTGACTAGCAAGAGCCCTTTGGTTATAATGAAGAAACAGCTCGTTCCGGTTTTTCGTGGTCCCAAATGACACTCTCAGTTTATCCTACATCATACAGCCGACATGGAGACTAGACGTTCCTCTTACAGCAATTCGCAGCCAGAAAGTGAAGCCCAGATACAACTATGCCCCGAGAAGTTCGAGGTTGCCCCTACTGCGGAGCAGAAATTGCCCCCCGTCGATGGAGGATTCCAAGCATGGATGTTTCTAGGAGCTTGTGTGATGCTAGAGGCACTGATATGGGGTAAAGTCCGAATAAGACAGTGGATGTATCAGGATAGTGGCTAATGATACTACAGGATTTGCCTTCGCATTCGGAGTCTTCCAAAAATACTATCATGCGCGTGAGGCCTTCCAGGGCTCGAGTATGGTTGCCTTTATTGGGACATGTGCCACGGTGAGAAATTAGAGTCTTTCCTGGTTCTTTCGTTAAGTCACTAAAACGGTCTAGGGTATCTCCTACTTAAGCTGCCCACTGGTCCTTATCGCTATGATCCTACTTCCCACTATGGGCCGGTGGTTCTCAACAATCGGATTGACCATGATGTGTCTCTCGCTGGCCCTGGGCTCATTCTCTCAGAATGTCACCCATCTCGTCCTCTCGCAAGGAGTCGGGTTTGGCATTGGCGGATGCATCGCCTACAGCCCATCCATCATGTACATGGACGAATGGTTTGTCAACAGAAAGGGACTGGCCTTTGGTATCACCTGGGCCGGCTCAGGGGTATCTGGCCTCATTTTCCCGATCGGACTCGAGAAGCTACTTGATCGATTTGGATTTGAGACGACCCTCAGGGTCGTTTCGGTCATCATGTTTGTTCTCGCGGCTCCGTTCATATACTTTCACAGGCCCCGTCTGCCAGCTTCAAAGTCAGTGGCTTACAGTCGGCTCAATCTGCGATTCGTATACAACAAAATGTTTATTTTCTACCAGATCAGCAACATCATGGAGGCGATTGCGTACTTTTTGCCCGGAATCTATCTTCCTTCTCATGCGCGCAGTGTGGGTGCTTCGGACTTCGTCTCGTCACTCACTGTGACACTCTTGAATCTAGCATCGGTATTTGGAAGCGTGACTATGGGACATTTGGCAGATCGTTATCACCCAATCACATGCATTACGATATCGACAGTTGGAAGCACGTTGTCTTTGTTCTTCTTATGGGGATTCGCATCCACTATACCAACCTTGTTGGTGTTCTCGTTCGCCTACGGCTTGTTCGCAGGGTGTTATTCAGCTACATGGTCTGGTATAACCAGGGAGGTTGGCCGTGTGAATCCTAAGGCTGATGCGACTGTAATCTTTGGCCTTATTGCTTTCGGTCGAGGTATCGGAAATGTTGTCAGTGGACCGTTCAGCGAGGCTTTGTTGACTGCCGACCCGTTCAAGGGCTCTGCGATTGGCGGCTATGGCAGCGGGTACGGTCTTGTCATATTGTGCGCTGGGATTACTACTTTCATGAGTGGGCTATGTATATTCGCCCATCATTTGAAGATTATATAGCCAGACTTGGTGCGTGCCCACGAGGATGTATATTTTGCGACTGTTTTTCTGAAATGTACATTTCTCTTACACACAGCTTGGATTTTTCGAAAAAAGCAGAAACGAGTATATGCACCTCAGTATATTGGACCCGGGCAAGTTCCAACTGTTTGATTACCTAGGCATGAAATAATTTCCAAGCTGTTGTGTCCGAGATTTTCAGGTAGATGACAAGGTCGCACTTGATCCATACCACGGATGAATCACTCCCAAGGGTGGTTTCCAGCCCAGCACGTGTGTTTACGAGATATTCCAAGGCAAAATTGTTGACCCAAGGTCTGGAACATGTAATTTGTGCGAAATGAGACAGGCTATGTTGTGGGTAAAAGACAGTGGATTAGAGTCGGCATCCAAGTTGTGGCTCTGCGACGGCACGATGCAATCCCAGCCGGTGAGCCCAAACGCGTAGGATTCGCACAGCCTTGATCTTTCAAACTTTATCTGTGTCGAACTTCATAGAATTGATCTCGAATATACAGTTGTGGCCAACGAGTGTTGAATGGTAGACGTCATGGGTGGAAGTCATAGAAATGTGGATCTCCGGATGTCCCGCAGAGCCCTAATTTTATGCTCTATGACGCCAGTACTAAGAGCATTACTGGTTTTTTTGCTCTTGGCTATGGCATATCTCTAATTTCTCTACCGCATGCGTTTGACTCGTGGTCATGACTCAAGTAGGATCCGAAGATTGCGTGTCTCTAGGGATTTAAAGGCCCGGAATCGCCGCTGGGCGCTGAGCGGAGCCCACCTATTCTCACCTCTTCTCAATATAACCAACTTCACATAGCCCGCAGCCTACAAAATCAAAATGAAGTTCTTCAGTCTGGCTGGTCTTCTTTTGACCGCAGTCACTGCCTCGGCAGCGAACTCAAACTGCGCGCCCACATCGTCCGATGCGTCCGTTCTCGAGTTTGCCTGGGGTCTGTCTGACTTCATCGGCGGATACTACAACTCAACTGTCAACTCTACTTTCTCTTCCAACTCCAACGCCACCATTGCCGCCTACAAGAAGGTCCTCTGGGGTGTCGAGAAAGAGAACACCCTCGGCAGCGAAGCCATCGAGCTCCTCAGCAGGAAGGTTACCGAATTCTCGGAACCTGATTGCCAGTTCAACTACCCCAAGGTCAACACAACTCAGGCGTGGGCTTGGTATGCCTACCACTTCGAGGCAACTGTTACCGGAGCTTTCATCGGCCTTGCTGGATACACCCAGTCACCCGAAGTGTCCTTCCTCATGGCGCGTCTGGCTGCGTCGCACAGCGCTCACGCTACCCTGATCGGAAACAAGGTCAACTCAACCCTGTTTGCGCAGAACGCCACTTCTCTTGTTGGAGCCTATTCGCCTGCTCAGATTCTCTCTACCCGCAACCAGACTGGCAGTCTGGGTCTTTACCTTGGAGAATGCCTCACGGCCCCTAGCAGCCCCTGTGGCTCTTTGAGAATCGGACCTTTGGCTGCGACACCGACTTCTTCTGTCGTTGCAGGTACCTCTTCGGCATCCGGCTCCAGCAGCTCTGCTGCTGCTAAGAAGTACTACTGATCGACTCGGATCATGTGAAGGGGGAGAAGCTTGAAGCAACCAGACCTGAAATTTGGCTTGGCTGTTATGATGTTTGCGAAATAATTAATGGTAATTTTGATGTATCTTAGGACTCAATTAAGGCTCGATGATAATTTTGGGGCTATAACTGGCTGTGCAGCCATCCATCTATTGAAGGTTCGTTGTAAGGAGAGTTCACTGTACGTGTCAAGGGCTAGGTATGGGCACCAAAGCAGGAGAGAAGAGATTGATTGAAAGTGCCAGGCCCGAAGGCCACTATTTCTGTCTGGGGACCGCTTTCTTCCTAGGCACTGGTGCAGGCGGCGTCCCGCTCTTCACCAGCGCCTCGTCTAAAAATCCGTGTTGTGACAAGCGACATCGTCAACCTGGAAGAGCTCTCCGATTCTGTCATCCCTCCTGATTTTTCGGGGAACGTTGTCATTGTCGGTAACCTGGACGCTAGTGAAGTTCGCGTCCACGATTTATGATTGAACGACTCCGTGTGACAGCCCTGGAGGTCGGGTTGGAACAAGTAAGGTCAACCATCACCGCACAAGCTCATTTGCGCTTCAGCCATGCGCTTTCGAAGGCCGTGAATTTGTTCATTTCAGGAATCAAGTTTCTGTCCATGGGTGCTGACAGATTCTCAATGGCAGACGTGTCAACTGCCCTCGCCCTCCCCGCTCTGGAACCACCATATCCGGGAGAAACGAGAAGAGAACAGAAAGAGACCCAGTACGCAGCCTCTGTGACATCCCCCCTAAAAGCCTGAAAGGTCGGGGAGAAGTACTCAAAGAGAACCAAAGAGCGAGATGACTCAAGTTTTGACTCAAGAGTCGTTCTACCATTTCCCTCTCGTCGATAGAGACTAATCCAACCTCTCCTGCTTCCGGGGGAGTGCTGCTGGTGATAACAGTTACTTTTTCTGATTTGAGAAGATTCAGTGGTTATAATAATCTCTTGGATTGATCCTGCCACCCGTTTGAACGTCATATCACAAGCAAAGTATTTAGCTTTCGCGAGATGTTGTGCTTGTTCGACAGTCATGCAGACTATCCGAAGATTCATTCCATCTTGGAAGAATTCTTGAATGTAAGCATCCGGTTTATCTTGATGATGTATCAGATACTCGAAAAGTGCCCCTAGTAATTATCAGTAACTACTAGTAGCTTCTAGAAGTATTATACTTACCGCGAAGTCCAACATCAAACTTGTTGACAATGATCTTTTCCTTTGCGGCCCTTCCCAGTTGCTTTGCTTTGTATTTGTCTTTCTTTTTCATGAATGGTTTGGGCCCAAGCGAACTGATTCCTGAGGAATCTTCCGAGCAGTTCGTATCTCTCCAGGCTGAGAACCTTGGAAAGAAGCAAAAATGACCCGAAATCCCAGAGGCAATCCACAAGAAATAGTATGTGGCTTCCCTCATCGATCTTGGCCCAACTTCCTTCTACTCCAATGTTTCAACGCTGTTTTCTCCAGGTGAAGAAAAGGGCGAAACAACAGAGGAATGATACCCATTCCTGACCAGTTCACTTTTCAGCAAGACTCCCTCTCTTGCTCTCCTTCCTCGTTCTTTTGTTTAGACCACAGCTTCGGCTTTTCCCTTCTCTTGAGCAACCTCGAACCATGGATGGATGGCGGTGTTGCGGCTTCAACTGGAGGAAGGACATCAAACCAGACCTTCGGCATCGTTAGACACACACGGCCGTTCAAAAGAATCCCACGAAGTCGGTAACAACAAATTTCAAGATAACCATGTACGTGCAGGGCCCAGGAATCTCATGCTCACAAGTCGCGGGGGCCGCTTGGGTGAGCATGTGCGGCGCTCTTTCGATTATTGCCAAGCATCCACAGCGCTATCGTTTGGTGCTAGTGATAGAAATCATGTGATGGATTTCTCTCTGTACCTAGATCTTCTTGCTTTCCTTTCTCTTTCTTTCCTTCTTTGTGCAATAGAACTCTCGTTTTCGTATGCCAATCCTTTTACCTAGCTTTATGAGGTTATGAGCCCGAGGTCGACAAAGCAGCTTCCGAATGCGGTCCCGCCCAATCGGCGTCACTGTATCCATGGAGAACGCCTTCATGGCCTTTCTCGTAAAGGATGCATAATGCCTTGGTGCCCGCTAGATATCGAAAGACTCTCTTGATCGCTGCATCGTGTTGAGGGCCAGGATTCGTCGCAAAACGTGCCAATCCTTTTGCCTAGCTTTATGAGCTAGGTTTCTCCCGGCATTTTTGGAAAGGAAATTCAGACCCAGCACGGCCATCACGGGAGCCGTATCCACCTCACCGAGACTTCAGTATAGGATGTTAGCCAAACACTTTCTGTTGCGGTCTTCATTAATATTCACTTACGTATCTCGCCCCTTGCTGGGCATTCACAGTGTCCTTCGTTTCCTGCTGTAACCCTTGTCCACGAAAGTCAAGGCAGAGTGATTCCAAGGTTAATGGAAGCTCAAAGCCTGAGATGTTTGCCGGTCCAATGGCTGGAATCATCCGAGGTAAGCTTCGTATTGAAAGCACCAGCTAAGGCAGTTGGGATGAGTGTCGCTTTCCAAACTGACTGAAATGAAACTGATTATTCTGTGGCATCATGGTTAGGAACAACTAGCCTCTGCTCATTCCTCGGTGTAGAAATAATACACCCTCGACTCAGGATCGTACCTGCTATTGTTGGGAGTCATGTGCCCAGCACATGGTCCCGTCTTTGGTAGCTCGTTTAGTTCTCTGTCAGTAGCAGATAGTCTTGCTTCTTCCCTTCCCGTCAGTGAATTCAGTAAACTGGTTGAATTCACTGACGGGAAGGGAAGAAGCAAGACTATCTGCTGCTGAGATGAGTGGAGCACTCAAAACAATTCCAATGATATCTTCCCCGGTACAACCTCCGTCGATGAAATTGTCGACAAATGCTCGCGGGGGAAAATCGCGAGCCACCAGCAGGCTGCAAAGGGGCGCTTCGCAATGTCTGCCTTCACTTTCTACCCAAATAGCTTTCAGCATATACACAACACAACACGATACTGCCTTCAAGAGAGTGTTTCGTTATCTCGCTGGCACCAAAACATTGTGCATTCTCTATGAGAAGGGCCATCAAGGTGTTCCTCGTGGATATAGTGATGCTGATTGGGCAGGGCCCCATTCAGAAGCAGCCTTGTCCACCTCAGGGAGTCAGGATACATATTTTACCTGGCTGGCGGTGCCATCTCATGGGCTTCGAAACAGCAGACTTGTGTCGCACTCTCTACAACTTGGAACGGAATCGGAATACGTCGCGGCTTCTCTTACGGCACAGGAGGCAGTCTGGTTGCTTCGCTTGTTGCAAGAACTGGATCAATCTATCCCGCAACCGATGGATATCCATGTTGATAACACTGGAGCCATGGCGTTAGCAGTGAATCCTGCATTTTGTTCCCGAATTAAACACATGGCGATTCGATATCATATTATGAGAGATCTCATAAAAAATGGAAAGATTCTGCTACGGCAGACGCCATCGGAAGACATGCTGGCTGACGGCTTAACAAAGCCACTTGCCAAGCCCTGGAGACCAAATTCCTCCATGCAATAGTTGAAAATTTGACATATCTATGTATTGACTTGGTCATTTAAATGGAACTCACTTCTGCATCCTTTCAAAGGTTTTAGTTCTGAGGTTTGACAAACGAGAGTGCAAACATTTAGTTCCTATCCCATAATGCTGTTCAGTACGTTCAATTATCCAGAATTTATAGGTTTACGCATACTAGAGAAACCATTAAGAAAGAATTCCCGAGTTCGTAAGAGAAGGAATGACTGAAGCAGGAGATGTAGGAGTCTCAATACTTCAAGTCAAGGATATGTCCTGAGAAATCTGACCTTGTTCCGAGCACACATCTAAAGGGCAGTATAGTTTCCCTTCTGCTGGAGACTGTCAATCCTACCCAACAAGAACTCCAGCTGTCTGTACGCCGCACCAGGAACATACTGAGGAATCTCATGTCCAGACCCGTACACAGAGCTAAATGTCAGACCACGCTCCGTGTGGGCGGTTCCAAGAATTCCAGCGCCAGCATCAGCAGTCCAGGGAATCTTTGTTGCACCATTGGCAATCTGGTCCAGTTCATCCGTGTATGGAACAATCAATGGCTCGATAGGTGGCTTTTGGAAACCCTGTGCGCCATTCCAGGTCATATTCTGGATCGTGGCGAGGCTGCCATTCATGAAGAGCAGGAAGTCATACCATCCATGACCAATGAGAACATTATTTGTGCGCTCAATGACGCCGGGTAAGGGGCCCAGAGCGCTTGGTGGAGATTGATCACCGTCGGGGAAGATACTGCCGCCACAAACAGCGTAGTTGGTTGGTGGGACGTGAAGCGCTTTTTGGACGGCGGTTTCGTTGAAGTAGTTATTTGGTCCACCTGCTAGTGATGGGAAGCCCATTTCGCTCCATAGGAATGGACAGAAGTCTGTTAGGTGGTACATGTTGAAGCATGGGTTGATGTAGGTGGCTGCTTTGACGACCTGGTCCCATACATCGCAGCCAGGCTTTGTGTAGTCTGGGGCAACTGGGAAATGCTTTGGGGGTGGATATTGCAATGCAGAGTCGAGGAACTTGGTGTATCCGCATTTGTCGGAGCGCTCGTTGATCTCTGTCATGAATGTGTCGTTCAAGCCGAAGACTGACGAATAATGATTCAATGCCGCTACGGTTGGAGCTGTGAATATTTGTTAGCATGATGATTGTCGTTCTCGATCTTGAACTGACCGTAAATCATGACATTATCCTCATTGATGGAAGGATCGTTGATCTGGATACCCTTGAGGTTGTAATGCGTGGTGTCGTTGCGATCTAGCATGCCAGCGGCCAGATATGGAATATACTGGCCTGCATAGCTCTCTCCAGTGATGTAGACCTTGTATCCCTGCATGCTGAAAGTCTCAATGAACCCCTTCCAGAAGTCATTGAATTGATTGGCGACATCGATTTCATCTTGGACTGTAGCCGGTCCGGGAGAGAAGCCAGTGCCAGCGGGTTGGTCAATGTAGACAAGATTTGTCAATTTTGTCCACGAGTAAGGGTTTCGGACGGGCTCGTAAACGCCCGATTGCCAAAGAAATGGACCGTTTTCTTGTAGGAGACCATCCAGAGAACTGCACCCGGGGCCTCCATTCAACCAGATTGTAATCTTAAGCACGGTTAGGATGAGGGCAGCAAACCATTGGGATACAACTCACTTCTTTATCCGCGGCTGGATTTGTGGATGGAAAAAACCAGAAGAACAGACTTGAGTTCCCACTGGGGGTGTTGGGAAGTAGACCAGCATAGCTTTCGCCGATGTCGAACGGGACGTGAGGGAAATGGGTTCCGTTGACTTGGAATTCTAAAACGAGTTAGTTCTTTCTTTGAATTAATTTCACTCTTATTTCACTCATACTCGCGGTGTGGTTGTTCAGGTATTGATGCTCGCGACCGGATGGGAGCTCTCGCTTTCGCAAAGCTCTAGCAGGCGGTTTCACAGATGCAGCCCTGCGATGTGGGCTTTGGAGTGCAGCTGCAGTGGCAACCAAAAGCGTGAAAGGGCCCCAAAACTGCATGATGGTTTGGAGGTGAGACAGGTGATCTCTAGGTCAACTTGAAGAGCAGCAGGCTTCTCATTTATGAACTGCGATTGATCGTCAGGGAGGCTGCAGCTTGTCGACACTATATTCTCGTGGAGATTACCAGGGACCAAGCTTTGCCAATGCGGTTGCCAGCCGCCTCTAGCTGCCCTTAGTGGGACCCGCTGGCCAGCGTCCATTCGTTCAAGTGGGCGGGGAACCACGAGAGCCGAAGGAGATTGCAACGTCGCAAGTGAACTTGGTGATATTCAAGGCCCATGTCGTCATGTCCCGTTGAGGGCTGTGGGGCGATGGGTTTTACTCCGTCGGAGTCCCTCGCTGTGCCGTATCGTGGCTCCACAACTACTCGTGCTCGGCTATGTGGTGATGTTGATTTGAAATGCTGTTGCCTGCATACGATTTCTTAATTTGTTGGTTCAAATCCTCATAGAGTGTCGTTCTTTGTCCGTAGATAATTTCCTCGTCAGGGCGGAGGGAGTCCGAAGTACTCGTAGCACGTCTCGTTTGAATCACCGAAATATGCAATAAAAGTGAGGGTGGGACGATATTGCAGATGAACAGCCGAGATTCATCACATCGCATTTGTACTGTAGACCGATTGTCATAGTTTCCTAAGCAGCAAAATATGCCGAAAGAACTCCGGGGCTCATGGTGCTTAAGCCAAGTCGACTCGCGGATAGTCTCGGCTCGGTGGGCCTGATCGGCGATGACTCTACTTGGGAGCCACACGCCCCAGGCCCCGGGAGGAACACGCTGGTTTCCGATATTAACATGAGCACGGAGTAATTAATTCCTCACTTCGCAACAGGAAATATCCTCGAAGGTGGGGGTAACCATGTTGCTCGGAATCGCCAAAGGACGAAACCACGATAATGTCGGGCTAGGCCCCAAAGCGGTATATGCCCAAGGTCGTTTGTTCCCTCTTACAACGTTTTTGCCCATGCAACGCTGTCTTGGGATATTTGCTCCGCTCAGAACCTCTGTCTAAGCCATGATGTGAATCCTTCTTCCGAAGCAGACCGAGAGATGTTCACCACACTTCAAATAGAGGAAGATTCAAACTGGCGATATTTCCAAGGTTGCAATCCTCGATGCCGGCAAACGACGACTCGAAATGTCTTCCCATCGCTGTCAGAGGCAGCCCGGGCTTCCCGTAACTTATTCCGAAGTACCTGAAGTTGATGTCTTATTTGTACCTAAAGCAGTCGCTATCTTTTCGGGCAACACTGGCGCGTGAGTACCTTGCGATTCCCTCAACTTTCCTCCAGAAGCACAGGATGGATCACGATATTACGATTTAAACGAGTCAAGGTGGCATTCCTCCACACCCGAGCTGGCATTTTTGAGTGAATCTGGGGGTGACATGGAAAGCTCGTGATCTGCATCTGCGAGGGGGTGTACTCCGTACTGCGGTGCCGATCGGCACTGTACAACAGGTGACATTTCTCGTACTCGTAACGCCAAGGTCGGGGATTCTGGTGAAAGTGAGCGAAATATTCTTCCTGAACCGAGGGTGTGCTGGATCATATCGGCCCAAGCGAATCAAAAATAAATCCAAAAATAATAGGTGTCTGTTATTGCCAAGGTACATGCAGTAGTAAGTAGTATACAAGAAAAAGAAAAGAAAGCCCAATATTCAACGCCCGGAACCCATCAGGTCACCGTCTCTAGTGGCGCAAAGTCAGAAGACCCCCGGAAAAAGAAAAAGAAAAAAAGATACAAACACCAAAGAATGTATCTAACCCGGAACCCCGAACCCCAAGTGTCTTACAGACATTATCCAACCAAAACAATTAACGTCAAAGGTCATAAAAGGCATATCGTTAGGTCGTGAAGAGAGTGATCAAAGAGGCTGGCTTAGGCGGTGCCGCGTCGTTTCTTGAAGCGCATACTGATGCTCTTGCGAAGTTGGGAGAATGGGTTGACTACCGGGCGATTGTAGAATGGGTCATTCTTGAAGTCTTCGTCGGTAAATTTCTAACCTGGAATTAGTGCATGTGACACAAGATTTCGAAGCATGAGTCTTACCGTGCCAGGAAGGCGCATGAAGTTGCCGGCGAAGTCATTCATCATGTTTGAGCCTTCTTCATAACAGTATTCTTGGCCATTGCGGTCCGTCGTGCCAGGGGGGTAGAAGGCGACACCATCCAACGGTCTGTGACTGTTGACAGCATCCGCAATTTTGTGCTGGGGAGTTGCGCGCAGCGCCTCGGCGTTGGATTCTCTAACAGCTTCCAGTGGGCTGGATTGACTGAACCGGTTCCGCTCGGGCCGAGCGGCATCATACGGACCTTCGTGGTGATATGAGAAGGCAGTCACGTTGTCCAGTTGGTCGATAATGTCCGGCTGTACAAGCTGTGAGTGCCGAAGGGATTTGTGAGAAGTAGATCGGCGGCGGCGGGTCGACGGATGACGTCTCGGCTCCACCGGATGATGCTCGGGGGTGCCGGAATACCAGATGGAAGGCGCGGAGCTCACAGATTCACAGCGCGACCGCCGAGAGCAAGTCGAGGGCGCAGGGGACATGTGTCTGGCGTAAGGGTTGTTGCTGCCCACGTTTGACACCCCGCTTGAGTGATTCAAACTAGGATTGTTGAAGGGATGGTGGGGATGGTGGCGTGAAGCCATGGAAATGCAATCGACCGTCATCGTTGAGCTGTACCTCACTATTGCAATGCAGAAGGATTCGAGGCGAAGAGAACTCTCGAAGATCGGGTTGAGGATCAAGTATAAATACTAGATCAACACGTGGGGCTGAGCAGTGATGCAGGGTAAGCTAGTACGAGAATATAAGAGTCAAGTGGGCAGCCCTGGAGTTATGCGGCGATAGGTCAGCTTAATAGAGGGCAGCTGCGGCCGTGACGTGACGACTTGCGTACGCCATGACCTAAATACGGGGATTGGCAGACTTTTGCCAATGAGCGCTTAGACACTTTTCTTAGACGCCCCGGATTCCGTGGATTCGGCGATCCACTGGAAGCCCTGGAAGCCCTGGACCCTGGGTCTACAGGGCTTAGGGTCCTATGTCATCTCTGTGATGTAGTATAACCTCACTGTGTAGGCTAGACCGTCTGATGTAGTAGATTCAAACATCTACCGAGTTCCTTGAACCCCACTTGGAAAATTTCTCCACGATGTGCCATGAAAATGTAAATATGCAAGGCCGATGTTGCATCCACATCCGAGACTTCCACGCATGGATCGACCCCTATGACGATATTTGCTTTTTATCACCTCCACTCTGGCTTGGCTAGGAATATTTTGCTCTCTTAATGTTTGGATTCTTAAAACTCTATGAGATTCACACGGTTCCTTTGATAATCGGCAATGACTCGCTCATATTTAAGCTCATCAACTAGGGGTAGCGCCCGCCGATTTCACCTAGTGTCGCGATGGCGTCTAACCTAACTGGCACCCCTGACTTGGTCTAGATCATTCAAAAAACTATAACTCCTTACTCGGTAGACTTCTCCATATTCCGACACCCTCGTTCCCTCGGGTACATTTTCTTTCACCGCTTCATGCTGGTTGTTACTAGATTGATTTAGCGTCTGTTAAACTCCCACTCTCATCAAGGAGTACGGAGTACAGTATCGCTAACACAGGTCGCTTTGTCTGTGTCTCATGCACAGCGATACGTACCCCGTAAATTGTTGAATCTAGGGTTGAGGGCCCAAAAGTCATAATTTTGTCCGTACCTACATTTGAGACGGGTAGGGCGATCCATCCTCGGTCCGGATGTAACTCTTGACCTACAACGTCCATTGCGAAAAGTCTTCTTCTCGCTTGATAGCCCCAATTGAACCAGGGGTTTCTATCAGCCTCGATTTTTCGTTTCTTTCCCTTTACCCCAGGTGTCGTACGGAGTACATGGTTTTCCTGTACCCCGTACATAGTACCTGTCACGTGTCACGGCAAAGGCTCCAATGCATGTGAACTGTACTCCATGACATTTTTAGTATTCGGGACAACTGATGTATCAAGTTGAAATAGGCGATTCCAACCTTCGTACTCCGTATGGGGTATTGAATACGGGGTGCAGTAGACAGCGCCTTCCAGGGGAGTATCCCGGCCAGACAGGTTTCTCCCCGATTGCCTGGGTAGTTAATATCTTGATGAAAATCCAAATGGAGGATGTCGGTGTCCATGTTCGTCCAAAACCTGAGTGGTTCCGGAGTACTGAAAAGCAGAGGTCAGATTTGCGAAGAAACGGAGGGCTACTCGTAGTCATTATGCCTTTGCGAGGTGTTGTATGGAGTACCGTAGCTTCGAACAATGGTTGGCGCAAATATCATGCATGACAACCTTGGATTGACATCTGGAAGAATTATGGGCGACCGTAGCTGGTCAGCTTGCTCGGCATGATCTCAGACGGGAGAGCAGATCCGCTAATATGAATAGGCCCTCGAACCTGCCCAGGTGAACTGTGTCCGATCTGTAATGTTGGGAAGTGTTAAGCTTGGAGCCCTGGCGTCCGTTGGAGTAGGCACCCCGCGGTGATTGGTGAATCCGCCCCCACTATCAGCTATCCGAGAAAGTCATTCGGTTTGCTTCCCAAACAACCAGTCTAATGAGATGCCCCTTGTCAATTATTCTGACTCGGAGTCCGAATCAGAGACACCACCTCGCCCGGTCAAAAAGTCTTGCCATAGCAGTTCCCAATCAGCGCTGCCGCCTCTCCCTGCGGCGTTCCACGACCTCTATGCATCAACGACTCGCGTGAGCGTTCAAGATGATCCTAGTCTACATGGTGGCCGAAAACGCGTCATCCCCCATGTCGAAGGGAACTGGCCAACACATCTCTACCTAGAATGTAGGTTCCTGACCTTCTGTCATTTGGCCTAGGCGGCAGCTGAGTTTCCATGGCAGGGTACCCGGTGAAAGAAGATTTGTCACTCCTCGCAAGCCTGATTCCTCGGTCTGTGACTACTCCTGATGATAGCTCGACTCAAGTGCATAGTCTATTGCATAGCGACCTCGGTGCGCAGCTACCACTTCATATCAGCTTGTCTCGACCGGTGGTTCTTCGTACCGAGCAGCGCACTTCGTTCACGGAGAAGTTGCAAAATTCTATCAAGGAATCACATATACCCCCGTTCGTATTGAATGCTTCATCTTGAATTGAATGTGTGATCTCATGCTTCGACTAGGTTCAAAACGCGGCCCAATGTCCTCTACTGGGCGTCGAATTATGAGAAGACACGCTGGTTCCTCGTCTTCAGTGTCCAAAGACCTCTACAAAACCATTTGAATCGCCTGCTTAAACTATCAAATGATGCGCTGGGTCAGTTCGACCAGCCGCCGCTCTACGCAGGCTCTCGTGCCCACGGGCAACAGCAGCAAGCGTCATCTATTGACGAAGATAACGACACTAACACCGGAGATTTCTCTGGGTGCTTCCATATCTCCCTGGCTTGGAGCTTGTCGGAGCCTAGCTCCAGAGATCGTGATAGACTTGCCCGTATTGATCTGCAAGCTTTGAGAGATATCCAAATCGGATTCGACAGTATGAAAGCAAAGATTGGCAACAATGTCACAAGCATACCATTGGATAGTAGCCTGAATTGAACCTCTCGATTTAAGATCTTGCAATATTTCTCCAAGTGATCCCTGAGGCCTCGGTGGGTAGCCTTACTCGGAAATTGGCGTGATTTTACCGTCAATATTCAAAGGCACGCTGACAGAAGATGGAGTAATCTCGATTAGTAGTCACTATTATCTACCTTGCCCCCAAATACATGGCAGTTACTGCAGATTTCATTTCGCATACATAGAAGTAGATTGTTCTGAATAGAAAAGTGACTGGCTGGCCAAGATACCGTAACGTAATTACGTTAGCGTGACCAACGCGACCGCGTCTCCAAATGTTCAGTTTCCCCAGCTCAACTTTCTTCTTCCTCACCTGCTCACGATGCAGGTTCCCAACGTAACTTTGGTGAGTTTTGCCGGATTTTCTCTTCGGAGTTTCATTTTATTAATCACTCATAGCAGGAGGATCTCCAGGCTTTCCAAAGAAAGCACTTCCCCAGCGACCAGACACACCAGCCATCGATCCTAGAAACCGACGTGGCCACAGATGAAGATCTCGGGTGCTATCCAGACGGGGTGAAACGAACGCTCACAGATGAGCAGATTGAAATGTTCAGACACAGCGAGATTCATACCTTGCTTCGCAAGAGGCAGCTGCAGGATGACAACGCAGAGTACGAGGCTCGGACAAAGATGGCTGCGCAGGATATGAAAGAGTCCCAAGAAGACACGGTGCCAGAGAGTCAACATGTGGACTCAGAAGCAGCTACTAGACCTAGCAGCGATCACCAAGGACAACTGGAGCATCAACAGGGAAACAACACCCAGCGCGCTGGTGCTGTCACTGCCACTACAGAGCCCTTAGACTATGGGGATGCAAGTTCGACTGCTCAAGCCCCGGCAGAAAACCCACAGATCTCTCGGTCACAATACCGAGGTCGCAAGATTATCTCCTATGATGACTGATTACCTCGCGACATGTGCCATGTCACAATTATCTCCCCCATCCAACAAGCACCGCTTACACTTCAACGCCTCCCATGAACCTCTGTGTGATCAATGGCGACTCAGCTCTCCGCTCTGTCCCAGCCATCAAAACTGTGAGTTCCCTCCTTTCTACACCCCTTGCCTGTTTATGATGAATACCTATCGTATATCATCCTTAGCCGGAAAGCCACACCATCTGCGGATGTGCGAGGCATTGCCGACCATAATCTTCTCTCTGAGGCCTACTTGAAACCCTACAAATCTCTGCACAACGGTTGGGTTATATATTAACGAATCGTCAGAATTGCAGGCTCGGTAATCAATCTCACGCTTGAGCTTGGCTCGCACGGCCCACCGTTTCCTCGCCAGCCTGTCAAAGGTAAGCAAGTCCCCAGCTTCTAGGTCCCCGCATATCTCATTTCCACCTTGCTATGCCCGCGTGATGTTTGCAATAAACGTATTTGCTACTTCAGAGCCTCTCGGGCCATGAGACAATCTTCACCATTTGCCTGATGGGTATAGCATCGTGACAAGTATACACTTTGGAACAGGATGCTGACGTACTATCAGGATTGTAGGTTTCTTGCTGTTTGGCTCAGCCAAACTGCTTCAATTCGGCTTGATTGGCTCAATACCCGCAGCAAGGTGAGTGGTCAAAGCCCTGTGCTTGCCCAACACCCCGAGTTCGTTGCTGTGCCCGCGTGATGCTTGCAATAAACGTATTTGCTACTTCAGAGCCTTTCGGGGCCATGAGACAATCTTCACCTTTTGCCTGATGGGCACAGCAACATCTCTTGGTGTTTCCACGCTTGGAAATAAACCAAACATGTCGACTTGAAAGCATGTCTCTTGTGACCTTTACTGACAAGGCACCTACCAGTCCCGAGGTCTCGAAGCCTACTTCGTGTCATCACCCCGAGGCGCGAGGGCTTTTCTTGATTGATCTTCGACTTGACATCTTCTACCTGGATGGGTTGTCCTATGCAGGACTCACTATCAACGTGGTTTATTCCGTGTCAGTGCTGGCTGACCATGGCTCTTCAAATGCCATATGCCGACGAATGTCACTATTTTCTACCTTTCACAATGCACACGGAGCTAGTCGTGGCCCAGGCCGAAGATCTGGCTGTGCACCAGCCAACCTCGTATATACGGTTGCATCCGAGGCGCCGCCATATAACGCAGGTCGGCGAGGGTTACAGCCAAATCTTTGGACTGGGTCGCTCGTAGTCTCGTGACCCAGACGAAGGATCGCCTATAGCTTCATATGTCCCTATACCCTCCGGGGGGTCTTGGGGATAGGGGCTTTGTGGTGATCGGTCAGTTGGACGTTAATTAAAACAACAAGAACATCAACAACATTGCGCGGTTTCCCCACTACACTAGGTACCTCCGTGCTGCTGCTGCTGCTGTTGTTGTTGTTGTTGTTTTAATTACCCTCCAACGGCAGGATCAGTACAGAGCCCCTCTCCCTGAGACCTCCCTGGGAATATGGGAACGTGCCAAGCCATGGAGTGCGCAGTGTGATAGATCAACAGGCGGTCTATGGATAATTCAGCATTATGGCTATACCTAGGTACAACCTGACTCCGCGCGGGTTTAGCAATTCAGAGACCTTCGGCTTCTTTACCACCCCATGCTCTCCTCTCCCTAGCCCTGGGCTTTGGCCCTCTCATCGTCCTGTCTGCGTCATACCGCCAGCGCCCTCTTCACATTTCACTAGGTAGTTATGTAGGTGTCATTTGGGCACTGTATCCCATGGTCGCTGACATCCTCGTTTGAACTTGGAAGGCTCTTCTGAATGTTCTTAGCCTCTGTGGTGCTGCCTAGATTCAAGCAAATAGACTCTAGACATGATCTATGATCTTCGAAGCTTTTGTTGAGGGCAGTACTTTTACGGTCAGCTTGTGCGCCTGTGATGTATGGAAATGTTGTATGTGCATTTTATCTCCCGTAGCTCCGCTGTGGTGTGGTCTATGTTAAATGGTATATGTATGCAAAGCAATAAATGCAAGTCCCAAGTCGAAGCTCAGGAATGGTGAATATTAAGACAAGTGCTCAAGATGCAAAAACGCCGAAGGCCCCTTTTATGCCCAATATGTGCAAACCAAGTTAAATCTTGGTGAATGATTATGTGCAATGAAATCAAGCATTGTTCGCGCAAGAGAAACTTGCGGAGCTGTTGTCGGCGCTGAGTGCTTTCCCAGAAACCCAGAGACCGAGGCCACACTAGTGAGATGTTAGTGCTGATCAGATATAGGGGATGAGTTGACTTACCAGCACAGCAGCGATGGCAACGATAGTCACGTTCAAGGCAGTCAGAGCAATCTTTTTGGGGGAAGAGAACCAAAGGCCCTTGTTCATGTACAGCCAGAAGATACCGCTGAAGCCGTATGTGAACCAACTAGCGAACAGGGCAGTCTAGATGTCGTTAGCGGCGAACTTTAAGGTTTCGATACCAGGGCACACATACGATCAAAGTGAGGAGGTTGCTGAACACCGGGATGGCGGTGGAAACAATCCAGGCAAGAACCCACATGGCGAGGGCAATGCCAACCCACGAACCCCAGGCGATCCAGTCACGCTTGTGCATGCGGTCTGTACCCGAGAAGATGCGGAGGTAGACGGACTTGAAGGCGACGTGGCCGTTGATGACACCGGCGATGATGATCTAAACATGTCAGTCTTCCAAGGCTCGATGGTTGATGTACGTATGGCAACTTACAGTAGGCAAGGCGATACCGTATGCAACCTTGGCTACAACTGGTGAAGCTGAACCCAGTGCTGGGGAAGTAACATCGCTTCCGGCATAGCGGTAGATGACCAGAGAAGCGGTGATGTACAGGCCCATATCGATACCCTGCAGCAGGCAGAGGGACTTGGTGAAGTCCTTGGGGTTCTTCAACTCGGCCATCAAGCCGAAGAATGCGGCGTGGCCGCAGAAGGCGAAGACAATGTTGCACACGGCAGAGAAGCCATGGTACAGGTCTGTGTCGACGACTGCGACGACGCCGCTACCAGGCTTGGTGATACCGACCGCGATCATGACGATAATGACTGAGGCCATGATACTTCCGAATGCTGCCGATTCTGTTAGTGTATGACTGGTGGGGTGCATTGGAAACACATACAAACTAGAGACAGCCATGACATCTTGACGAGGGTGCGAGGCAGTGACAAGATAAAGGAAATGAGCATGCCAACGATACCGAAGACAACGGAGCAAGTTCCGTGATCGGTGATGGTGTTCATGGCAACGGTGAACGTCAACAGATGGCTGGACATGATGAAGACAAAGAAGATAGTCCAGGCACCGCCGACGAGTTCTCGACCCCATTTGCCTCCAATCACCTCACCGGCGTCTGCCATTGTCGAGATATGAGGGTATTTCAACTTCATCTGCCCAATCACGTAGCCGGTGTATGTGGCCAGAGAGCCTAAGAAAAGTAGGACGAGAATCGCACTAGAAGCTATTAGTACAATCCATCCATAGAGATGACCGGCAACGTACGGGACAAGACCCAGACCCGCGACGGCGGCGGGCAGCGAAAGCACGCCTAGCGACACGGTTTCGGCGACCATCACTGGGAAGAAGTTAGATTATATTCGGGAGAGGTTATATTGTTGACGACATACACAGTCCGCATTGCCTAGACACAAAACCGATTAGTTCGAAAGCTATCGCAGATCAGGGTTATAGAGACATACCACCACTTCAGCACTTTATATTTGACCTCGGCGAACTCTTCGTCACCGAAAGCATCTTGCCTATTCTGAGGGATCTCCAGAGACTTCTCAGAGTCGATGGCCTCATTGGCATCGAGGCTCTTCCTTACAGAAGGGGAGCTCATGGCGGAAAGGGATATGGACAATGGGTCTATACTTCAAGATGTATGACGTCGAACCAGCCGAACAAGACCAAAAGTTTAAAAGCACGCGAAAGATGTTGAGATCTTCGCAAAGAATGCCTATGACAAAGTCACAAAGAAAAAAAAAGATAAAACACTCTAAGCTATGAAGCCCAAATCTCTCAGGATTAAAGAATCCGCCACCCTAAAGGGAAGTGGGCCGCCGAGTCGCGGACCGAGACGACGAATCACCACGACGCGACGTAATAAAAATCTGAAAACGGTCTTAGTTAACTGGGTCTTTTGCGTCAAGTTTGCTGTGAAAAACTGGGGAAATTGAAAACTTCGCTCCGATGCCGGCCTCCTATATAGTAATCCTATACAACTTATGATGCTGCTGAGTTAGGGGGTATGGGAAGAGACTGCGCTCGAAATTTCTAGAGGTGCTGAGCTCCATACAGATTGTACTCTATAAAGTGGATTCTACTCACCAGATAGCTAATTTTGTCAAGCTAACCTCTTTTTGATCTGCAGGGTTGATGGCGTGCATGATGTTAGGGCCCATGGCGCCTAAATGAAGGCCCGGCTCAATCGGGTCGGAGCCGGAGAGGCAGCTCCGGTTCTCAATTGGTACATGTTGGTCATTCTGCTGGATTCGATCTACTAGTACTAGTGTGTATGCTTGATCTGTGTCTCCGCGTTCGATTGTAGTAGTCGGCATACTAGTTAACTATGTAATGGCGCTGCGAACTAGACATTTACCTAGGTATGGATGTTGTCGCGGTCCTCGCCACGTCATTCGACCTCCTTGGGCGGATGATATCATGTCAATATCAACAATGCACTAGAATATCATGCTAATACTCCTCGGCAGTTCTAGTACATCTAATGAACATTGTGGGACACGTCTGTTGCCCTTTGGTTCGCATAGCCTTGTTGGGCATACAGCACCCGGGCATCAAGTCCATGCAATGTCATGGAGCTGACATCGATTCATTCAGTCTACGCAGGTTTGCTGGGACCAGATTCAGATACAGAAAGGTAATAGGTTTCCTCTGTGCTCATATGAGGTATGGCTTGAAAAAAATGTCTATTCATAAACCCATCCACAGACAGGTCATTGTACAAGGCCTCAGCCTGTTCCCCCAACGCCAGGACTTGTCAGCCCAAATAACACAAATAACGCCATGCCACCATATGCTATCATACAAGGTATCAAAAAGAATGCTCGCCGCAGTCCATCATCCCTGGCTTTTCCTCTTCAGCCTTCTTCTCTTCCGCTGTGACTGAAGAATAGCCTCTTCGGTCAGTATTTCCCCAGGTAACTCGAACTCCACCTCAGGTACCTCAGGCACCGGATGTCCAAATGCCAGCGACGAACGCGATCCACTGCGTCGGATCCCTTTTGCTGCAGCTATCGCTGCATCGCGGACATGGCGCTGGCGAAAGAAGGACGTAAAGGGGCCTTCGCGGGGTGCTGGGGCCCAGAACAGGGAGAGGGAGGCTTGTTTGAGGTTCTTCGGGGGAACTGGAGCCGCGGGAGGCTTTGACTCAGTGGTCGTGTCTGGCTTTTTGCGCTTTGGACTTGGTTTGGGCTCCTCCTCGGCGGCCGTCGACTTTGTCGACTTTCGCTTCCGCGATTTTGCCCCAGCCGAGCGTGCCTCCTGATGCAATTGCCTAGCAGCTAGGGCATCCACGTCGTTGGGGTCAGGAGTACTTTGCAGGTCAGCGGGTGCCGGTGAACTATCATCTTCCACGCGGGAATGTTTGCGGGGCCCGGACTCATCCGGTTTCTCTTTGTCGAGCCGGCGGCGTCTTTCTTCATCCTTCCAGGCCTGGAATTTGTTGACTAGCGTGACTAGCTCTTGGATGAGGATCTCACGCTTGGGCTCGTAGTTCTTCTTCTCTGGCTCGTGTACGTTCGGGAGGCCCATGGTGCGTAGCCATTCGTGGCCTCGAAGCTCGTCCAGCAGACGCTCCAGAACTTGTTGCTCATGTTGCGCACGATTACGCTCGATGTTGCGCAATTGCTTTTCTTGCCTTTCGAATTTTCGGTGGGCACGGAAATACGTCTCTTCTGAGAGGGGATCTGTGGCGGAAGGATCGGGGGGAGGGTTGGGGAGTGCGAGCTTTTCACAGCCGTAGGGGTTGAGAAGTGGATTTCCGAAGGGTGTGGGATTATGCGGAGGAGTTGGGAGGGGTCGAGGGAGGTCGTCTATGAGGGTGAGGGTGGTTTTTGCTGCGAGAAATTCTATGCGGTGTTAGACATGCGGTTCGATGTGGCAGGTCAGCACTTACCAGGCTCAGGGTCCGACAGACTGATGATCTGTTCGTAGTTATGGAAGTACTGCGCGAGCTCGCTTTTGCATCGCGATCCAGTATCGGTCGAACGGAGCGACCGTCGTCCAGTGCTCTTCTCGCCAGTCTGTTCCGCGTCACTTTTGTGATCTGGCGTGGCGGACGCGCCGTCCCCGCGCGGCAGATCGTTGCGACGAGGGCGTTTCACTGGGGAAGCAGGGGGCCGGACATCGTCAGGGATCGCAGGAGCGAGATTGCGCTGCTTTGGCGCAGGAGATATTGTATCAAGCGGGTCAGGCGACTCATGAACCCCACGTAGTAGGTCCGCGGTGGGCGTTGTGGTATCGCGATGGGCGCGACTCTTGCCATTTCCGTTCCGGGTGGCTGGGGTTGCCAATTGTCCCACGGATGCGATGGTGTTGATAGAGGAGGAGGAAGTACGTCGTTGAGTGCGTCGCGACTTCAGAGGACTGGTCCGGGCTTGTTCATCGACGGTGGTGTCCAGACAGTCTGGGGAGCTCTTGCGACGGTCTCTGGTGGGTTTCAGGGGACTGTCGGCCCGTCGCACAGAGCCGCGGAGGGAGGGCCGCGACAGAAGGGCCATTGTTTGAAGAGATTCAGTCGGTCATCGTGTGGTGACTAGCACCTTTCTGGTAGGGATAACGTCGAGTGCGGAGTTGGCGATGCGAAAGGGTTCTTGGCGGGAATACCACCCTTCTGTCTCGACTCTCTCGACAATGTATTCTCTATTCTACTTTCTTTTTTTGCTCAATTGTTCTCTATTTTGTATTTTTAGGTCTCTGGTATTTCGTTATGGTGACGGTTGTATTTCCAATCTGGAACCTCACGTCTATGTATTGACATCGATCATAGACCTCGATGTATATATCGTCTACGCATACCGTCAACATTTGTACGTTCTGGATCTCACACCCCATCGACTTCACGTGAAACCCTCGGACGCTCGAGACTGGCCTACAAGCAGAAGGGATCTAGCGATCATCAAATTGAACCGGAAAATGACATGCGTCGCCCCCCACGGAGACCAGTGGGGTCTCGGAAGTTCCATTGACACCGAATACAACGTAGGCAATTGACGCATCTACACCCGGACTACGATGCTGAGATACATCATATACAGAGGTCCGATATCTCGGCCTGAGCAATTGGCTACTCCGCACACGCAAAGGTCCCGGGCCAGGATAGGTAGATCCAGGAGTGTACCTTCAGATCGTCGCACAACACCTCACACAAGGAGATCTCTCCGACGCTGTACTTCCGACCAGGATGTCCCCGGCTCTCTTCAAGGGATTTCCGAACCCCGCATGGACGTGGGGGACTCCCACGCGGGGTCTCGCCGGAGAAGAGCTATGGGTGTTGGTGGGGGACGTGGGGGTGACGATCATCGACTCTCCGTTATTTAGTTGCTGCCCGGGGACACTTTGTGGATTCTTTGAAATCCCCAAACGACAAGATGACTGCAGACGGCACTAAACGCAATCCCCTCCCTCACGGAGTCTACGTCCCCACTGTGGCGTTCTTCAAGCCAGACGAAGAGGTCGACCTGCCCACAGTCGAGAAGCACGCCGCTTATCTCGCCCGCAGCGGCGTGACAGGCCTAGTCACCCAAGGCAGCAATGGCGAAGCAGTCCATCTCGACCGCGATGAGCGAAAGGCCATCACAGCCGCGACTCGTCGCGCTGTCGACGCAGCTGGTTACCCCAACATGCCCGTCATCGCAGGCTGCGGCGCCGCATCGACCCGCGAAACCATCCAATTCTGTCAGGACTCGGGCGCTGCTGGTGCGGATGCTGTCCTCGTCCTCCCTCCCAGCTACTACAAGGCGCTTGTCAGCACTGAGTCGATGCACGCGCACTTCCGCGCGGTGGCTGACGCCTCGCCCGTCCCCGTCTTGATCTACAACTTCCCCGGTGTGCAATCGGGCCTGGATCTTAGCTCCGATGACATCCTCGCCCTGGCAGAGCATCCTAACATTATTGGATGTAAGCTCACATGCGGCAACACGGGCAAGTTGGCTCGTGTGGCTGCCGGGAAGCCCGAGTTCCTTACCTTTGGAGGCTCGGCGGACTTCACCCTCCAGACGCTGGTCGCTGGTGGAGCAGGCATCATTGGTGGAGTGGCCAACATGATCCCTAGGTCATGTGTACGGGTGATGGAACTGTACCGGGCTGGGAAGGTCGCCGAGGCACAGAAGCTGCAGGGTGTTGTTGCTCGTGCAGACTGGGCGGCAATTCATGGGGGGTTCATTGCGGTCAAGAGTGGGTTGCAGTCCTATCGCGGGTACGGTGGACTCCCCCGACGGCCTTGCGTGGTTCCTTCGGCCAAGGAGGCGGCGGCCATTCACGAGGAATTCCGCGAAGGTATGGAGTTGGAGACATCCTTGGAGGCTTAATACCGATACCCAGATCCCTGTGTCCAAGTCAAACACGGGTATAGAATACAAAGACGTGTCAAGATGCCCAAGACGCTATGCCAAGGCAATACGAAAATACGCAGTGACAAGAAAGTATCCTGTAGTCCATACGGTAGTATTCTGGAGTATATGAGGGTAACTATCGTATAACAGACCGTGGAGTGTGATATCAGATGTAACACCCCCGATGAAACAAGGGGGATTGTTTGTTCCCAGGTTGCATTGGGGCCATTCCTGATCGGCTGTCGATCGCTGAACATAAATAAAACATGTCAGTTCCCACCTGTCTCTCCATCACAGCATCATGAAGTTCTCCGTACTAACGACCCTCGGGGCCCTGACGGTGGCCTCGGCGGTGCAAGTGAATCCACTCCCCGCGCCCCGAAACATCACCTGGGGATCGTCCGGTCCGATTCGCGTCCAAGAGTTGAAGCTCGAGCACCAAAGCGCCATTGTCACCAGTGCCTGGAACCGGGCATGGAAGTCTATTACCACCCTGCAGTGGGTTCCGGCCGCAGTGGAAGCCCCTATTTCCTCGTACCCAGCTTTCCCCACGTCCACCCCCAACGCGAAACGCGCGACCCCAGAGGCCCCAGCGGTTCGCTCCGTCCAGGTCCACATTGCCGACCACCACGCGGATCTCCAGCACGGAGTCGATGAATCCTACACTTTGGAGGTCTCCCAACATGTCCCCGCAATCCGAATCACCGCGAAAACCCCCTGGGGCGCTCTCCACGCCTTCACCACTCTCCAGCAACTCGTCATCTCGGACGGTAAAGGTGGTCTCATCATCGAACAACCCGTCAAGATCCAAGATGCGCCTCTTTACCCTCACCGCGGAATCATGATCGACACGGGTCGAAACTTCATCTCCGTGCGCAAGATCCTCGAGCAGATCGACGGACTGGCCCTGTCGAAACTAAATGTCCTCCACTGGCACCTCGACGACGCGCAGTCCTGGCCAATGGAGATGCGCTCGTACCCCGAGATGACCAAGGATGCGTACTCGCCCCGCGAAATCTATACCGAGAACGATATGCGTCGTGTTGTCGCCTACGCCCGTGCACGCGGCGTCCGAGTCATCCCAGAGGTTGATATTCCCGGCCATTCCGCGTCCGGTTGGCAACAGGTGGACCCGCAAATCGTCACATGCACCAACTCCTGGTGGTCCAACGATGTCTGGGAGCACCATACAGCCGTGGAACCGAACCCCGGCCAGCTCGACATCATTTACAACAAGACCTATGAGGTCGTGGAGAACGTGTATCAGGATCTCTCCCGTATCTTCAGTGACAGCTTCTTCCACGTCGGTGCCGACGAGTTGCAGGCGAACTGCTACAACTTCAGCTCCCATGTCATGGATTGGTTTGCTGAGGATCCATCTCGCACCTACAATGACCTTGCGCAGTACTGGATTGACCACGCCGTTCCAATCTTCCGTGGAGTTGAGAACCGTCGCATCATGATGTGGGAGGACATTGTTCTTTCTACTGAGAACGCCCATGACGTGCCAAAGGATATTGTCATGCAGAGCTGGAACAATGGGCTGGAGAACATCAAGAAGCTCACTTCTGCGGGATACGATACCGTGGTTTCATCCGCCGATTTCATGTATCTTGACTGCGGCCACGGCGGCTTCGTCACCAACGACCCTCGCTACAACGAGCAATCCAACCCCGACGGCAGTGTCAACTTCAACTACGGCGGGAATGGTGGATCCTGGTGCGCGCCCTACAAGACCTGGCAGCGGATCTATGATTACGACTTCACAACCAACCTGACAGCCTCCGAGGCGAAACATGTCATTGGTGCCGAGGCTCCCCTTTGGTCGGAGCAGGTTGACGACATCAACATCTCAAATGAGCTGTGGCCTCGTGCCGCGGCCCTGGGTGAGCTCGTGTGGTCTGGCAATCGCGACAAGAATGGCCACAAGCGCACTAACCAGTTGACTCAGAGATTGCTCAACTTCAGGGAGTATCTCGTTGCCAATGGGGTTTTGGCCAATGCCCTTGTCCCCAAGTGGTGCCTCAAGAACCCTCACGGCTGTGATCTATATCAGAACCAGACTGCCATTGCTTAGATCTATCTTCTGGACGTGGTAATCTAGTTGACCTGTACATAGTTTATCTAGGAGAACCCAATATCAACAACTTTTTCCGGGCTGAATATCTTCCTTCTTTCTGACGGGTTTTTGAACCACTCCTGAGTTGTGAGTCCAGGGCTCAAGGGCTTTCTCCAGGCGATTCTGGCACAATGTCCGCCCACCACCCATTCGGACCGTAATCCATCAATCGTTTTGCGTCTCTGTCCAAGATTGATATGTGCGTTCCGTGCCCCCAATGCCCCTTTCACGGTCAAGTCCTTCATTGCAAGCGATTACCCATCACACCATTTACCTAACTTGCACATCTCCGACCACTCTGATTTTCACACAATCCTACCCAGTCCAATTCGAAATCATCTCCCATCTCGGCCATGCCACGAATCCCAACTAGACGTCCAAGACGATGTACTTTGGCTTCGATTCCTCGCGTGAATCGATCACCGGACCAAACAGTCGCTGTGGGAAAAACATCCCACAGACCCATCCTGCTTCACAACCCGTCCAACTCACTTTCCGCGATTGGTCCCTTTTCACATTAGGCCTGAACGCTGCACTACCCTCCGCCTTGGAAAAGAGGCTCAGTTTAGTCCCGAGTCTTCCCTATGGTTTCGGGACGGTCTCGGGCTTGACCTCAGGCATGCATATCTACATTACCCCCGATGCATATGTAGCCCATATGAGCTTGAATCAGCATGTGTGCATGTGGCATTGCCAGTGGACGTATCCCCTATGTGGGTGTCTTTGCTCATGCAACGCAGACGAAAAGGCGTGCAGTGCGCCTATCGGTCACCTGCACCTGAGAGCTATGTCATATGCGACTCTCCCGAGGCCGCCTTATCGAGTTACTTTTCGCTGTTCACCGCGTTGATGCTCGGTCTTTGATCCGAGCTTGGAGGTGCTATATTTGAACTGGTCTGCTCACGTGTACGTATGCATGCTGCATTCGGTGTGGGTTGCACAAAAGGTTTACGAACAATCTACAAGGTCAAAGTAAAGCAAGTGATGTGCCCGGGTCTGTGGGCTCATTGTCTTGTTTTGTTGACCCTTTGGGGTCGAACTTGTGAAATATCGACTGGCTTCCACCCTGTCGGGTGTGAGATCTGGGCAGGCCCTGTGCTAATCTAATTGAGACGAAAAAGGAAAAAGCAAAAGCAAAGCAAAGGAGAGTCAATTGATCGAATGGGACGAGCCAAGCATATGTTTGAGTTTGATTGGCCTCTGCGCATGAAGGGTTTCATTCTATACTCACCCAGTGTCTAGGTATTCACCACTGACACCACTCGGAGTTATTCGGTTCCTACTTCGAGTCTAAGTGCACTCGACATTTCAAGCCCTCTCCCAATTCGGTTTCATCCTCGGGCCAGCAGATCGGAAACCGATCTTGCATGCGCGCACGAACCGGCGCATTGTATAACAGAAACACGAGGCTTTTCGCGTAACACTTACTCTTGCTCTAAGATGGCCGCTCGGTAAAGATATACCATTTAGGAAATTGACATTGTACTGCTGACTATGGTATGTTCCATTCCTCTTTGGGTGTACGTTCAACCTACGGCACTTTGTAACCGTGTTTTCTGGATCTTGTGGGAGTGGTTTGTCCTACATTGTTGTTTCAACCTGAATCAGTGTCATTTTCGGGAAAAGTGTTACTGTTAGCTTTGTTCCTTCACATTTCATGGTTCAAGGTTGGGTCTAAGTATCTAATCTTCCAGAACACGATCTTGTGTCTAGCTGTAGGTCCAAAAGTCGAGCTGGCTGTCGGATGATGTATACCTTGATAATTGACATCATAGCATACCTAGAGGTATATACCACTTTATCATCCAAGTTTCATGTACCAATAAATTAGTCTTGGAGATCAAATCAAGTACATATCTAAGTTTGCTCATCATCAATTGACGTTTAGATGCACTGCCCTAATGGGTCTTGATCCCCGTCAGACAACCTCTGCATTGCGCCTTGCTTCGACGTTACACTGCGTCACCCCAAGAGCCAGGTTCTAAGCGAAAGTCTGATCATGGGCCGCGACAGAATAAAAATTCAGGTAATGTTCTCAGATACCATACATGAAGAGAAAATTACTGCGTAATGTTCCCATTCTGGGTCGGCCTCTTGCAAGGTTGTCCCTTGCACAGAGGAGACGTTTCAGGATGATCCTGGTTAATCCTGAGGTGCATTTTACCCACGCTAATCTTGCAAGGGGCATGCTGTGATGTAGCTACTGAGATCATCCCCTGAGGTCCAGAGTTGCCGCATTATACAAGGCGTGTACATGTATGAAGTAGTGGCCATTCTGCATTTGGCCTCGGGCCCTCTTACCAAGATTGTATAAGTTTGTACCAATGCCTAATTTGGCCTTGAAGCAAGAAATATTCAAGTAAAAAGATGGTACCTTAGTATTATTTGGGGGTTGCATACGTATTGCCGTTAGTTGGGCTTGATTTCCAAGCTTGTAGTCAAGAGTCGGAGAAGCAAGGTCAACGCTTGTAAACACACTGGGGTCGATCAATTCAAAGGTAGGCAGCGAATGAAAACCAGCCAAGACCGGCATAATCCTAAAATCCAAGCTCATCACCATACGCTCAAGTATTTTGAATATATCTGTACGCCACATGTTGATCTTAGACATCTTATAGGAGTTCCTGGTTGTATTTTTTGGGGGGCAGCATGTGGCCACCGACTGTTTAGGAGTCCGCGAGTAGAAAACCGGGTCCTGTACGATGATCACCCCAGGCGCATGGACATGGCTACAAACCTTGGAACGAAATATCAGATCTTCCGAATAGCCTATGTATTTCGCCCTGCAGGCTGAATTACTTGATGATCTGATGACCAAAAAGTCAATCAACCAGATCGGCCGACTAGCGAAATACGTCCTACCACACCTTCCCGAGTCTTCAAACCGACTGCCTTGTAATGCCTTTGGAAGAAAATCACACCAAGGCTATAATATAAGCGAGCCACCGTGGACCCGGGCAGTCGGGTTCTCAAGCAGAGTGCGCCGGAGCGCCCGACTCACCCCACATCGAATACCCAGCGAGACTGACACACTGTGAACTACCGTACAACCCCTTCGTAACGTCATTCTCGGAAACCCGGGTGTGAAAATTGTTATCGATCGTGACACCGCCTCACCTGGTGGAGAGGGCGATCCACCCGTGCGTCATTTCGGGGAGAGCGATGTATTTGGATCTGACTTGTTTGAGCGTGGCTAGAGAAGTGGACCGGGGCGAGTCTGTGGCACAGTCGCGTAAATGCGTGAGGACCCAGTGGTATCAATATGGGTAAAAGGGAAATGCGCGAAAATGGAGTGTAGCCAGAGTATCGGAAGATTTTCAAATCCCAAAAATTTGCAGTGGAGTTTTTGATCCACATGTCGATTTATCGGATCTGTGTGGTCGAAGTCATCTGCATTGTGCACAATTCCCTTGAACATCTTGTTTTCACTTCGCCTTTGTTCGGGATCGGCATGCCAAGGGCAATCAAGTTGACACATCATAAAGAATGGGGTGTGTCCACCATAACGATTGGGTTACTGGGATGCATCGCAATCAATTTAGTTCCCGAGTTCCCGTCGCTGCATTCGTGTAGATCATAACAAAATCAGGAATCAAGGCTGTCGAGGCTTGATTCGAGCAAACCCACGCCAGACTCTCCTGCCTGTTACGTTCAAAGGAACATGCCCTGGCTGATCATTTCAATAGTTAATCTCGCCCGGGCGCCTGGACCGCTAGCCCTGAAGGTCAGTACAGTACTCTATATGTTTGGATGCACCACTCTCCCTAATCTATGAAGCGATCGACGATACATTCAACGATTCCATGTTCGTATCAGACAGAACGAATCCCGACCTGCTTGGCATACTGTACAAGAAACCTCCTCGCGGAGCCCCTGGCTGCGTTTCGCGCAGTAGTACATGGTAGTTCTATTAATCACGCAAGATGTGCTCCGTATTTGGCGGCTACTAAAGAGGACCGAGTACGGAGTACTACGGAGTACTTTCGCATGTCTTTGGCCTAGTGCCTCCATGGGGTAGCATCGATTACATATATCCACTGTAGTCCGTAGCTCCTCGTCACATATCTCAATTACATCCATAGGTACTATTGGCGTCGGCAAAGGAATATGCACAGTCACCCCATGATTCACATGTGCAAGTATAGCCAAGTAGACTACTGTAGTGGCGACCGAATAGTCTGGACGGATCAAACACCAGCTTCATTTTGATTGGACACGGCCTTTGGCGCCCGCAATAAAAGATAAAGAAAATATTCTTTGTAGATACAGCTGTATGGAGTACAGTGTATACATCAGCATATCCGCTTGATCTAAACGGGCATAGAGCACGAGTCTAGGTTGCATGATCTGCGAAACACTATCACCAATCAGCATGACATTTTGAATCAGGCACTCAACCTGTGAGACCAATAAGTAATTGATTGGGATAGATAGCTTGGCTCTCTTTCGAAAAGCCAATCTTGCATCGATCGTGTCGTCAGCGGCCAGCGGCTAGGCGGGTGATTGGGTATGTTCTTCCGGGCATTGAGGGGTAAATGAGCCCACGAACACCCAAGAAAAACGCAGATCAAAGCCTAGATGAGTATCAAACATCGGCGTTGGCGAAAAACATTCGAAATTTGAGAATTACCAAAAAGCGAGTGGCAATCGCTCATTCTCAAGGCAACATTTGAGCCCCCGAGAGCTGCATATCCCGGCAAAAGTGACTGATTTGAGCTCCAGTTCGGCGACCTCATCGTTTTGTAAAGGGTTAGAGGGCAATATCCCTGTCCCACCCGCGTTTGACCTCGAGAGTGCCAGGTCAGTACGGTTTCCCGTTCGGGAATCTGCAACCCAGCGACGACCCCGGGATGAGCAACTATAGAATACCACTCACTGTATCTGCTCGTATCCAACTACTCCGTGCCCGGGTTTGGCATCATCACCCTGGTTCCACCTGGACAGATCATCTACTCCTT